CTACCCTAACCCTAACCCTAACCCTAACCCCTAACCCTAACCCTAACCCTAACCCTAACCCTAACCCTAACCCCTAACCCTAACCCTAACCCTAACCCTAACCCTAACCCTAACCCTAACCCTAACCCTAACCCTAACCCTAACCCTAACCCTAACCCCTAACCCCCTAACCCTAACCCTAACCCTAACCCTAACCCTAACCCCTAACCCCTAACCCTAACCCTAACCCCTAACCCTAACCCTAACACATTGATTACAATCACCCCAATACACTAACACGAGTGATGTACATGAGTGTAGTAATTGGGAATCGAACTCCTGACCAGTTAGGATTGAATCTAAAATACTTGAGTTAGTATGAGACAGTAGTAACTCTTGATGGTTTTAGATAAGAGAATAGTATTTTTAAGTGATTATTTTAATGAAAGTAGTATAATAATGTGTATATCTATCGTAAATATCAGGAGTTATGTTTTAATTGGAAGTTCTAAAATTTAATTTTTGTGAGGAAAATACTTGCTACTTTGAAATATTTTGATGATTTTTGAAGAATAATAATAAAACAAAAAAAAAAAAAATACCTACCTGTTTACCTACCTACCTAAAAATATTTTTCCTGGCCAAGATACGGGACAGACCTCCACGTTGAGCCCTAGCCCTCGCTCTATATTAATGCTCCGAATTTTGTTCGATCGAGTTCGATCGAGTTCGACACTATTTATTTTTAGAGACGTTTGTTCGGTTCGCTGTTTGAGATCGAGGCGTTGTCTTGTCTGTTTGTTTGTTCGATGTTCGAATTAATCACCCCAACTAAGTGGTATAATAGGGGTTCGACATCACAAACATCGAACAAACCGAGTTCGACTCATGTTTGACTCAAAAATTTTTTTGTTTGTTTGTTCGGTGTTCGAACTGGTTGCTCGGTTTACCCTGTTTGTTCGATCGCAAAACCTTTCAAAACAAGCCGAACAACGAACAGTTCGAGGCATCGAACAAAATTCGAGCATTAATAAATTTATTAAAAACAAACTGAGACAAAAAAGGTATCAAAACAACATTCAATATTTTTGGGATAAATACCATTGTTATTTGGTTCTTTTACTATTGAACAAATTTCAAGTTATTTAATATGTTTTAGTAAAAGTTAAAAAATCAGAAGAGTTAATTAATATATTTCGAAAAAAAAAATTGGCAAAGTATTTTCCTCTTTGGCCCTAATAAATTTGTGATAAAAATCGAATAAACTTATGAACAATGGTAGAATTTAAATTTAAAATGGACAGTGTTAAGCTACGAGATAATTTCATCTTTTTGGAAAAAGAAAGTATAATGGATTCTGATGTTTTCCCAATTTTTGGTATTTTTGAACCTATTTTCTTTTTTTTTTATTTATTAATTAATGTTTAAGAATTCTGTACCAATGATTGAAAATATTGACCGCAATAATTCTTTAATTTCCTTTTCAGATGTACAAATACAATCGCTAATGATACCAAACAGCTCCAAGAGATGAGGGCGTTTGCCACCCATTTCTATTATATTGTTGTTTGATTTTCCACCAATTTGTTGTTGATATATTCCTGGCTGTAATTGGAGATCTCTTATTTCTTTGAGAACAAAAGATACCTCTGAGAGTCTTGTTCTCGAGAGAGGGAATTGACCACTTTGTTTTTCGTCAACCACAAAGTGTTGGAGTACTTCACGACATCGTTTGAGAATAACGGGGAGTATGGTTTTTGCAATTTCGATGCTCTCTTGATTTGATGGATCGGCCTTTGAACAAATCGAAAACATGTTTTGATAACATGATTGAGATAGCTTCTCTCGTCCAGTGTTGTATAGCATTGATCCTTCGTTTAGTATCTCCACCAAGCGATCACGAATAATGGAAACTCTTTCTACATTTATTCCCGAGAATCCTACCATCTCGCTGGAAAGAGCATTGATAATGTCTATATCAAATTTATCCTCCTCTGATCGTTTCTCTGACGAGTTTGGTGTATTTTGAGCAGTTCTTTCATGTAGGATAAAGGTTTGAATTGAATCTATCAACTCTGTCCATATTATGTTTCTCTTTATAGAATTTAATAGTTGTGTATCTTGATTAATCGATAGTAAACCTTTTGGTAATATTTTAATTAAATTTGTTACAGATATCTAATAAAATAAAAAAATTAATATAATAAATTAAATATATATTTGTTTTTTCATACCTTCCAAATATTTGAATGATATTTTGTAAACTTTGTCAACATGGAAGCACCAAAAACCTTTAAAATATCTTCATAGATTGAAGCCCTCATTGTAGTGGTTGTTGTAGGGTGGAGGAAAAGCTCCGAAATGAGATCGATTGATTTTTCAGTCATTGGAGAATAATAGACCAAGTCTTTGGTAATTACAACTGGTGGAAAAATGACAGAACAATTTGATGGTGAATATTCAAAATTTATACCAATCGATACATATTTTAACAACATTGTAATTAATATTGGGAATATATCCTCTGATATTGGGGGCTAAAATAAAAAGTTTAATAAGTAATCTATTGTTTTTTTTTTTGTTTTTTTTTTTTATACTTACAAAAGTTTTTAATAATTGTAAGGTATGGATTTGTGGATTTGTTAATTCAGATAAACCCAAAGGATAAAGAATTTGGAGTACTCTGATAATTTGTCTACTATCCATTGCTGACTTTGTCTTGTTGTAAAAGTCGAGGAATACTTTGATATAGACAGAGAGAGATTTTGGAACGGGATTGGTTTGATCTGTTAATTTTACTGATAGTCTCAAAAGACAATCCCAAACTGACTCTGTGATTTCTGGATGTGAAATATCGGTAATGGGAGAATTTACAATTTCATGCAACGAGGAAATTGATGCCATTGATACCTCTTTGCTAGAAGATTTTGATTCAGTTTCTAATATATTTAATAACTTTTCCCATGCTTGTGTAAAGGTTGATAAAGTTCTCAATGTATCGAAAAAAGTTTTGAAAACTATAACCATTCTTCCAATTGGTAATACTTGGGTTTCATCCCATTGTTTTTGTGCTGTATTTCTACTATGATGTACGAGTCTAAAAAAAAAAAAAAAAAGGAAAATAAAATAATTAACTTTTTGATTCTTTTTGTTTTTTTTTCTTTCGTTTTTTACTTACAACATGACACCACCACCCAAATCTGAATCAATTCTTTCTTTATCTGCTTGTTCAGAACATAATTTAACTTCATCAACCAATGGGAATAAAATCTAAAAAAATAAAAATAAAAATTAGCTCTTTTCCTTTTTTTTTTTTTTTTCTATACTCTCCATAATATTAAATCTATTAAATCCTTTTCTAATAAATGTAAAGATGTGGCCAAAGTTTGGAAAAGTGATACGATTACACCATTTCTGATGGCAGGGCGAGGATCAATGCATAGTACCTTCATTGAAGTAAACGCACACAACCACATTCTACTCATTAGGTTACGATCCTTGTCGAGAAAGTAAGGTGATGAAGAGGGGATTGTTAATCTAATTCTACCTGGTACCCTTGGAGGTAGGATAAAATCTGATTCTTGTTGTTGTTGTTGTTGAAGCAAATCCTTTTGTTGTTCCTCTTCTAGTTTGAACTTTGAATTTGACAATGCATTCTCGTTGGCCAAGAAATATGTCAAATCAGACAAGAGACCAGATGAGGCTGACAATGAAATATTGATATCTGACTTTTGCGATACAAACGAGCAAACCACTTCAATAACCATTACCAAACAACTTGGCGAAAGATTTGAAAGGAATTCATTACATATCAACTTTAAACTTTCAAATGCTATCGTTATATATTGTTTTTCATTATTATGTGCTACTCTTAATAATATTGATAATAATATTGGCCATGATGTTGTTAAAATCTATATAAAATAAAAATAAATAAAAACAATTGATTAAATTGTATTCTTCTTTTGTGATTAATATTTGGTTGTTTTTCATACTTGACCTGAAACTGATAAAATTTGATGAATAGATTCCAAGATTCTTTCCTTTGTATCAACAAATGTAGAAAATGATATTTCTTCAATGGTTAAAAAAGAATTCTACTTGTAATTTTTCAACGTCCCAAGATCTAAATTTCTTTGGTGGGGTGCCAGAGTTGGTTCCTTCTGTTTTTTCTCCTCCTTCAATTCTACCACCATATTCATCAGCGCCAATATCGGTCATTGGAAATGATGACAATGACAATGCATTCTTTATAATTTGAGTCAAAGAGTCGACTCCAAATGCTCTGACATAGGTATTCTTAAAGTTTACAGTTTCTATTAAATGATGTGATACCAATGGCCATAATTTGTCAATTCTTGATATATTTGATAATGATGCTTCTACCAATTTACTAATACTAAATAAATTTGTTGGCTAAAAATAAAAAAAAAAAAAAAAAACAAAATAAAAAAAATTAGAATTTAAAATATTATTATCCTCCAATTTCTTTTTCTCTTACCGAATTAACAAAAGAAGATTTTGATAAAGAATTTGTACAAAGTTTACTGAGTGCTTCAAATAAATAGTTTATCGATCTGTCATCTAGTTGATAACTTGATTTGAATAAACTATTCATAGCAGTCATTAATATTGGAATTTCACCTTGTCCGATGGGGCGAGGAGAGCTAGAAACACTGTTGCTTGAAATATTGTTGTTGCTGTTGCCAATATTGGTATTGTTATTGGGACGGTCATCTTGTTGAAGTGTTTGGTTCATAGTCTTTAATACTTTATCCCAAATCTCCAATGTCTCTAGAACCAATAGCCAAGTTTCATCTAGGACACCACCCATGCAATGAGCAATATTTAATAGTGTCTTTAGAGATAAAAAGTTTTTAATGGTTGGTTGGGCATAGAGAGTGTTGGTTCCGTTTGATGATGCCTGTTGATCTCCATCGTCCTTGTTGGTTTCATCTTTTTCTTTATCCTTTTTTTCTGTCTCTTCCCTCGGCTCGCCACTACTACCATAGTAGGGACTATTCAACGAAGTTGGCATCGCTGTTTTACAGAGACAAGTGAGGAGAGCATCACGTGGAGCACTGAGATGTAATTCACCACAGGTATTGGTAAATGATTGTAACGATTTTAAAACAATTTGAATAAGAGTTTCATCATTGGCTTTACTCAACAACATTGAAATGGCACCCAATATGCTGACCCAACAGGAATTTGCCATTTGTGGAAAAATTTCATCTCTTTCTCCACTGAGCTCTGGATTATTAATCTCTGATACTGCATTTACTATACCAGTTATGCTTTCTGTACATATTGATATAATATAATTGTCTTTAACTATTGGAGATTCATCTCTATTTAATAAATCCATCCTTTAAAAAAAGAAAATTAATATCAATTCATTTATCCTTTTTTTTTTTTGTTTTTTGTTTTTCTTACCAACGATTTTTTGAAGTATTAACCAAAACATAATGAGAAGAATCTAGATGATATAAATTTTGAACATATTTTCCAATACAACTTGCAAGATTTTCAAATATCTTGGCTGCATTGTTATCCTTGTCATAGTTTCTGAAAAAGAGCCTAAGTATTGCAGGATCTTCAGTATAGGTTTTCAATGACTCTAATGCCAAGACTTGCATCCAGATTGGATTATCGCTTTCCATCATACGAATCGTTTTGGTCAATAATACATCTGATTCTGTAACCATAATACTAGCATATTTGGATATATATTGAGTAATCACTCTCATCAATCTAACTGTATGCCCAAAATCCATTTTGAATTTGAAACTTTTGATCAACAATGGACAAACTCGATCTTTTAATAGAAATTTAAATTCTTCCAACTTTAACAAAACACTGTTAGCAATTTATAAATAGATTTGTTTTTTTGTTTTACATACATGAATGAATAATTTTTGATTGACCGAAATAATCATTTCAATTAATTCCAATCCAGTTGATCTAGCAATGGTAGTAGTTGGTGGTAACCAAGTTGGATTATCTCCACCTGTAATATGACATAAATCTTCTAATAATAAATACGCGTCACGGGTACAAGGTTTCAAGCTTGAGGGCACTCCATTTTTATCATTTTGTAATTCAACTGCACTTGAGCTTTTTTTCATCAAAATGGGTGAATTTGTGGATGATGATGATGGATCGACAGAAACAGTATCTTGACTTGAACTTGTTTCATTGTTGGCTAGATTAATATTTGGTGAAATTGATTGTAATTGTGGTGATGAATCAGAAGGAGATGATGAAATACCCTTGTTACTACCAGATAAACTTGTTGAATCTGGCGGCAATTGATCTTGCAATTCATGACGAACACGATCAAAAATAATACGAATGATTTGGGGTAGTGTTGCATATGAAGTATGTTGAATGGAACTATTCTTTGACGAATGCAATCTAAAACATAATACCAAGCATTGTGCAAGTAAATCATCATGAATGTCATGAAGTGTAGTAATAAGAATGAGCAATCCTTGCAAAACTTTAAGTTGAACTTGTTCTTCTGATCCTACATCTACCAACATTGTCATCTTTGCCAATATTAATGGTAATGTTGACTTTTATAAGAGAGAGAGAGAAAAAGAGAGAGAAAAAGAAAAATAAAAATAAATCAATAAATACAATGATTTATGTATGTTTCTTTTATACCTACTATTGAAACAACAGATTGACTGATAAGCTTTAATATTGATCCAATCGAAATTGAAATCATTTTTTGATTCTTTGTATCACATGCTAATAAGAATGGTTTTAATACATCTTCTGATTTTGATAATGCTATATAAAATATAAGAGAGAGAAATAGAAAGAGAAAGAGAGATGAAAGTAGTATAAAAGAGTAAAAATATTAGATTCAATTGATCAATATAGAGAGAGAGAGAAGAGAAGAGAACAAACCTTCTAATAATTTATCATGAGTTGATGATTGATCTTCAATATATTTCAACTTTAAGATACCACGTTCACTGGCCTCTTTAATTTGTGGAAATTTTGTTCTAGCTTCTTGTGATATTGATCTTAAGTCTGTTTGTAGAACTGCCATCAACCCAGACAACCCTTTTTGTTGAAGTGATTGGTTGGTTGGTGTTTGATTCCCACTCATCTATTTATTACTTGTTGTTTGTTGTGTACTCTTTCACTGCTCTAATGAGAGTAACTCTAAAACAAAGTACACACCTGTGACTGTGCATAAGCTCTTTGACCATGATTAATATATTTTTTAAAAAAAAAAACAAAAATGAAGTTCAAAAAAAAAAAAAAAATGGATAATTATTATTTTTTCAGATATATTTATGATTAATAATATAATCACATATTGGATTCAATCCATCGAAATTTACGTATATTAAGAGATTATTTATCTTTTTGATAGATTTAATTTTTTTTAATTTCCTTTTTTCTTAGAAGGATTTTTTTGTTTGTTTTTTTATTTTTATTTTTATTTTTTCAAAAAGGGGGTCAATGATCATTCAAAAAGTCTCTACTTGACTCTAGTCATATATATATTTATATACAACCCTATCTCTCATTTCATTGTTTCATCATGGATGTAACAGAATCAACCAACACCGACGAAGAAACTTCTTCAAAGGAACAACAACAGCCTATTTCACCACCAAAGACATCTCAGTTTGCCTTACCCTCTACCAATTATAATATCAATGATAACAGTAACAACAACAACAACAGCAATAGTAATGCTAATAACAACACCACCAATAATAGATATACACCATATCGTCAAGGTGATAACTTATCATTCAAGGATAGATTAGAATTGATAGAACAAGTTGTTTCAATGTATCCTCTACTAGAAAAAGATAATATGGTCTACAGTATTTTGAATCGTAATAATTGGAGTGTTGAAAGAAGTCTAACTGAATTGCAAAAGAGACATGATTACCAAGAAAAACTTGACCGAGAGAAAAAGAAACTATCACCAACAGGAGCAGCTACCTTGTCATCGTCGATTGTATTGGATACTAGTGGAGAAATGTCAGAGTCATCAATGACAAATGACGAGTCTCATGAAGAGGAAATGGAAGAGGAACCATCTGATGAATTTGAAGAAGAAGAAGAAGAAGAGATGGAGGGCAACGTCGACCCTCAACAACAATTCCCCAAGATTATAGAGGACATCCAGACACTAAAGGATATTTTTGGATCGGCCTACCACGATTTTGAATTAAAGGCATACTATATGATGTGTGGTGGAAATTTAGAGTTGATCATTGATCAGCTGGTCACTGAACAAAACAATATCGCCAAAAAGTCTAGTGCTGGAACCGGTGGCGGTGGTGTCGCTGGAGTGGTCGATCCACTCTTGAAAAATGACTCAAACGTTGTACAACCTACAGAGGTACGTCATCCCATCACCAGCAGACTGACAGAACAAGAAAAAAGACAACTACAACTCCAACTCATCCAAGAGCAAGAATCATTAGAGAAAAAATTTGAAGACAAAAAGAAACACGAAATTGCAAGCCATCCAAACAAAAAATCATATTCCAAAGATGATATTTTAAAGGTAAATAGATTAGAAAAAGTTTAAATTAAATATACTGACTTGTAATTTTTTTTTAGGAATTAAAAGATTTATTCAAATCAACTGTTGAAGAGGGTGTCATTGAATGGGTTGCATACAATTGTCAATATGATCTTGGGGCTGCTGTCACTCAATTGGTAGATTTGAAACATAACAACTTGATGAACAAGTCTGCATTGCCAACAATGTATCAACCTCATCTTGATCCTACTATTACAGCCAATCTTGCAAATGGATTTAATGCACTCAAAGGAATCGCCACGCCCCAACAGACTGTCGATACGACCCAACCAACTCATCTTACCTCTCAAAACTCAAATGAATCAATGAGTTTTATCATTGACAAGGTGACAACTCTTTCCTCTAATGATAAAGATAATGATAATAATAATAATAATAATAATAACAAGACTGTTTTTTCACCTTGGGGATCACCAACCTCTGAACAACAAACAACTACTACTACAACTACCACCGCCAACAACCCAACAACACACCAACAATAATAATACTGTAAATTTCTCACCATCTTCCTTTTCATCTCCGGGGAATAATTAATTGACCAAGTTTACAACAAGTTTGAAAAGGAATTTAGGTTGGAAAAAATTAGATCTTTTGCTTCAATAATAAAATTACTCTTCATTGGTTAATACCAACCTGTAATGATGGATCAACACGAACCAACAAAGATTTAAACTATATAGACAATACGGAGCGATCTGAACCGAGTGATCTACTTCTGAGAGTCTTGCCTTGTTACTGGAAAGGTAAATTGAGAGAGGAAGGAAAAAAGTAGAAATCTGGAGAGGAATTGAGTAAATTAAGGTTGGTACATTTTTGACCTTGTATATTTTAATATTTTATTGTAATTATTTAGGCAGATTCATCATATTTGCTTCCGAGGATCTTTTCCATCTCGGTGATTTCAGACTCAAAGTTTTCGTCGAATTCCTTCTTCATCAATTCGAGTTCGGCGGTATCGAGCTTGTAGTGGTTCATTTGGTCAATCTTGGCCTTGTAGGCTTCTTCGACGAGACGACGGACCTTGTCACGCAAGAGTTCACGGGAGGCGTCAGAGGCAGATGAGGTAGTCTTCTTGCCACCAGATTCGGCTTCTTCGGCGGCTTCGAGCAATCTCTTGGCCTTTTCTTCGACTTCAGCGATGTTACCAACCATGTAAAAAGCGGCTTCTGGGAGATGATCATATTGACCTTCGAGGATACCCTTGAATGAGCTGACGGTTTCCTTGAGTGGGACGAGCTTACCCTTCATGTTGGTGAAGGCTTCAGCAACTTCGAATGGTTGAGAAAGGAATCTTTGAATCTTACGGGCACGGTATACGATGGTCTTTTGTTCTTCAGAAAGATCATCCATACCAAGAATGGCAATAATATCTTGGAGACCCTTGTATTCTTGGAGGATCTTTTGGACAGAGGTGGCAACAGTGTAATGTTCTTGACCAATGATATTTGGATCGAGCATGAGAGAGGTAGAGTCGAGTGGATCTACAGCTGGATAGATACCCAACTCAGAGACGGCACGGGAAAGCACAGTGGTGGCGTCAAGATGGGCAAATGTTGTGGCTGGGGCTGGATCAGTAAGATCATCAGCTGGTACGTATACGGCTTGGACAGAGGTAATGGAACCATTCTTGGTGGTGGTAATACGTTCTTGCATAGAACCCATATCTGTGGCGAGGGTTGGTTGGTAACCTACGGCAGATGGAATACGACCGAGCAAGGCAGACATTTCTGAACCGGCTTGGGTGAAACGGAAAATATTGTCAATGAAAAGGAGCACATCTTGGTTTTCAACGTCACGGAAGTACTCGGCAACAGTGAGACCGGTGAGGGTGACACGAGCACGGGCACCTGGTGGCTCGTTCATTTGACCGAATACAAGGGATACCTTGGATCCTTCACCATCCAACTTGATGACACCAGCAGTAATCATTTCATTCCACAAATCGTTACCTAAGAGAGTAAAGTAAAAAGAAAAAAAATTAGAGAACTTTGAAATAATCATTTAATATATATATATATATATTACATACCTTCACGAGTACGTTCTCCGACACCAGCGAAAACAGAGAAACCACCATGAGACTTGGCAACGTTATTAATCAACTCTTGAATCAACACAGTCTTACCGACACCAGCACCACCAAAGAGACCAATCTTACCACCTCTAGCGTATGGGGTAAGAAGATCAATAACCTTGATACCAGTAACGAGAATGGAAGCAGATGGGGCGAGCTCATCGAATCTGGGTGGTTCTCTCCAGATTGGAAGGTAAGTATCAGAAATGATTGGACCACGACCATCGATTGGTTCACCAATAACGTTCATAATTCTACCAAGGGTTGGACGACCGACTGGAACCTTGAGTGGAGCACCAGTATTGAGAACAGTGGTACCACGGGCAAGACCATCCTTTAGAAAAGAAAAAAAAGAAAGAAGGAAAAAAGGTTAGAAAAAGGAAAAAGGGTAAATACCGTAATCTCGAGAGCAAAAGGGTAGAAAAGGAAAAAGGGTAAATACCGTAATTTCGAGAGCCACGCATCTCACAATGTTGTCACCAAGATGTTGGGCAACCTCTAGTACGAGCTTAATTTCAGAGATTGGAACTTGAGAGTGATCCAACTTTCCTTCCAAAGCTGGGTTGTTCAAGTCTTCAATAACCTTTTCGACGTTTTCAGCCTTGAAGTTTTCGACAATCAAAGAGTCATAGATGAGTGGCAACTTTCCGTGTGGGAAGTAGACATCAACGACGGCACCGATAACTTGATGGACAACACCTTGGTTATCCTTGAGCTTTTCGTAGTCGACTTCTTCAGCATTGTCTTCTGGGATGGCATCAAAGTCCTTTTGGAATTGCTCAACATATTGTTGTTCGTTGGCAATAGACTTTAATGAGACTGGTGAAGTCTTAAAGTAACCTATGATGATGATGATGATGATACAAAAAAAAAAGATTGATTAATATCTTTTTTGTCTGGACACAAAAAAGTCTATTGGTTTTGTATAATGATGATATTTACCTCTCTTGGTGACAAAAGCGGTCGAGGTCTTGGTGGCATTCTTGGCCAACTTGAGGCTGTTAACCTTTGTTCCTACTCTTCTAACAACAAACATACTAAGATATATATATTAAAAAGATATTATATGAGAAAAAAAAAATGTTAGATTGCTGCAAATAAATGTTTGTAGGTAAGAGATTGATGAGGATCACCGTTTGCACCCACACAAAAAAAAAATCATCAAAAAAAAAATAAAAAAAGGAAGAAAAAAAAAAAAAATGTGTCGCAATGGTGTGATCACTAACAAGTAGTTTTAGTGTTCATCAGATGCTACAAGCTATATATCGTTTCATTGCTATCATCAAATGGTTTCTGCTTTCATATGATGTTATTTCATGTGATGTTTTCCGTCTGTCACATATGTCAGTTGTTTAAATAATCTTTAAATTCTTCTATTGCTTGCTGTGCTGTGCTGTGTGTGTGTGTGTGTGTTTGTGCGCGTGTGTTGAGATTTGTTGTTGTGTTGTTGTATAAGACCATATAGTATATGGTTCAGGGGTTTAAAGATGATCAATCTCCTCTTGTTATTTGTTGGATGCACTTTACCTTTTTTGATATGATTATGTATTGAGAAAAAAAGAATGATATACTCATGACCCTGTCATAACACCCAACACGGCGAAGAGGAAAAAAAAATTGAAAAAAAATCAATTTTTTATTTTATTTTTTTCGATGAGACTCCTGGTCGTTTGTTAAATTTGGTGGACTCGCGAAGAAGAAGATCATACATGGATACAATGTTTTAAAAAGAAATTTCTAAATTTTTTTGATGAGATTAGTCAATAAATAGATAATATATTTAATTAAACGAATTAATAGCAATTGATCAACTTTGTAAAACTACAAAATATTTAATTAAATAAATTTAATTCTTAGAAATCTTTATCAGATGTTGGGTGCCATTCATTTCAACGCATCGATTTTTTGTTGTTGAGCATACTACGACAAATAATAATGAAAAAAGGATTTAAAGGTTTTGTAACACCTTATAAAACAGATACTGCCTCTACTGCTGCTCCTCCTCCTCCCATTACAAAACCTTCAAAACTTTTTAAAGCAAATACCACTTCTACTACTTCTACTGCTCCTCCTTCCCTCACAAAACCTTCAAAATCATCAAAACCTTTACCAACCAAAACAACAACAACAACTCAATCCAAAGATGAAGATCAATATTATAAAGTAATGTGGTGTGAAGCATCATCAAAGAAACATAAAACTCATCTAGATGGTACATTGTCTTATGATGTAACAAAGAAACAGGCAATACTTTATGACGAGACTGGAAAAGATATAGGAAGATCAAATTTTACGATTGTACCAACCTTGTCTATTGGTTATAAATCTAAAATCTCTGGCAAAGAATACGAAATTATAGAATCTATAAAGCAATCTGAATTTAAAGAAATCAAATCATCATCATCATCAACATCAACATCATCATCTTTTACAAAGAGTAAAGAAAAAAAGAGAAAAAAAGATCAACAAGAGGAAGAAGAGGAAGAAAATATTAGTTCACTTTCACATAATGATTCATTTAAAAATGTATTACCAAATAGTACATTATTAAAGACACGAACCAAGATTCTCAGTCCTTTATTTAATCCAAATGCAACAAATGCATTTGTATTGCATACTCCTACTATTGAAGAGATTAAAAACAATACTGCAACCCATGTTGTGGTCGATCCACATCTCTCATCAAAACTAAGACCTCATCAGAGATTGGGTGTAGAGTTTTTGTATCAATGCTTGACGGGAAACAAACATGAATATGGTTATGGTGCAATATTGGCTGATCAAATGGGACTTGGTAAAACTCTTCAGGCGTTGACCTTGATATGGACAATGGTACAACAAAATCCCAATAGCAGCACCAAGCCAATGGTTAAAAAGGTGATCATTGTTGCTCCTGCCACCCTCATTGGTAATTGGCGTTCAGAGATTATCACATGGCTGGGAAGAGAAAAGCTAAAACCTGTGACATTGTCTGACAAGCTCAAGGTATCAAAGGCCGATCAATTAAAAGACTTTGGAGAATCACAGACTGACCCAGTTTTAATCATATCGTACGAACAATGTGTATCCTATTCAAACCAACTCGAAAAGCTTTCCGATATTGGTCTTTTAATAGCAGACGAGGGTCATCGTATAAAGAATGCAACAACAAAGACTGCCATGGCAGTAAATTCAATTAAAGCAACTCGACGAATCATTCTTTCTGGAACACCAATTCAAAACGACCTCTATGAATTTTATGCAATGGTCGACTTTGTCAATCCTGGTGCCCTTGGAACGCCAAACGAGTTTAGACGTGATTTTGCTACACCAATTCAAAAGAGTAGAGATAGTAATTCAAATCAAAGGGAAAAGGATCAAGGTATATTAAAATCAATTCAATTGGCAAAAATGACAAGTTCTTTTATCCTTAGAAGAAAATCAAATGTATTGGAAAAATATTTACCTCTTAAATGTAAGAAAAAAAAAAAAAAAAAAATTAAAAATATTAATATTTATTAAATTTTTTATTTTTAGCTACACAAATAATATTTTGTAAAATGCCAAGTACACAAAGTAAAATTTATCAAGAAACTATAAACTCTTTTGCAGAAAAGGATTTTTCATTATCGAATATTATATTGTTGAAAAAATTATGTAATTCAAAGGCAAGTACAAAAAAAAACCCCCCCCCCCCCTTCTTTACTCTTCCTAACCTTTTTCCTTTTTTTTAGGATTCAGGAAAATTATTATTTGTTGGTGATTTGATTAAATCTTTACCTAGAGGAGAAAAGATTGTTCTAGTATCCAATTATACACAAACTTTGGATATTTTTGAGACATTGTGCAAAGAATTGTCATTTGGATTTTTGCGTTTGGATGGCCAAGTGGAAGCCGACTCTAGACAATTTTTAATTACAAAATTCAACGATCCAGCAGACCAACATAAAGTTTTCCTTCTCTCTGCCAAAGCTGGTGGTGTTGGAATCAACTTGATTGGTGCAAATCACATTGTCCTTTTCGATCCTGATTGGAATCCGGCAGTTGACTTGCAGGCAATGGAGAGAGTTTGGAGACAGGGGCAAGAAAAAAATGTATTCATCTATAGATTATTGCTCACTGGAACGATAGAGGAGAAAATTTACCAAAGACAGTTAATGAAAGAATCAATATCCAACTCGATTGTTGATAAAAAGTATTTTGACAAGGGAGGATTCACAACAGACGAATTAAAAGATATATTTTCTTTCAACTCAAATACCTCTTGCGAAACTCATGATCTATTACAGTGCAAGTGTTCATGTCCTTCAAATTCACTCGGTGGTGGTGGTGGTGGTGGTGGTTCAAAACTCGCTTCTTACAAGAATGATGTCATCAAGGGCATAGACCATCATCAAACTTGGTTCCATTTGAATCAAAATTATATCCAACAAATCAAAAATCAATCAATCAATATTTCTCCCATTCTCTTGTCTGACCTTTTTACAAAACATATCAACTATATTTTTATTAAAAGACCTCAATCTATTAATCAAGATATTGATATTGGTGAATCATTATCTTTTTTGGAAGAAACAGAACAAATTGAAGAAGAAAAACAAGAAATGGAAGAAGATGATGAAGAAGAAGAATATATAGAACCAACAAAAACAAAAAGATTAAAAAAACAAAAAGTTCAAGAGGAAGAGGAAGAAGAAGAAGATAATCTTAGTGAATTAGATTTAGATTAATAAAACAATGAGTTGATCTATATAATATATTTTCTATTATTATTTTATTCATCATCTTGGTCATCGAGATCTTCCATATTATCATCATCAAAGAGTGCCCAATCGACTTGAGCAGCCACTTGTTCGAGTTTTGGTTTAACAGTTGATGCAGAGATGGAAGAAACTTCTTCGCCCTCTTCTGCAAATTTAGAGTCTGATAGAATCAATGTTGAATCAGTTTCAAAGAGTTGTCTTCCTGTTAATTTGCCAGTATGCTTGGGTTGTTCTTTCTTTGCAAAGGGTTGTGTCTCTGCAAAAAACTTCTTCCTCCATTCCATAAACGATTCTACAGTGACAGGAGTTCCATCAAATACTTTTTCCTCTTCTTGAGGTGCTTCTTCTTCCTCTTCTTCTTCTTCCTCTATCACTTGATTTGGGTCAATATTATTATTATCCAACCATTCTTTTATAGTTCCAGCCTAAATAAAAGAAAAGGAAATGATATTGGATCAATAAAAAGTACAAAGTAGTTTGAAAGGATATTCTTCCATACCAAGATGAATATCATTGACGTTCCAATATTTTCTTTTGCTAAATTCTCAATATCACTCTTTAGATCTTTTATACTGTCTTTTGTTAAACCAATTGTTGCTATTAGATCAATTATAGGGGCTTCATTTGGGTAGTCGGGTGTAAATTTAATATCTAAATCAATTCCAACTATATATATACAATAAAAAGTTAACAATCGTGTGCAATTTATGTAGAGGAGTGTTGATAACTTTTCATACCAAAATTGTCTTCACCTCCTGGGTTGGGAATAAGTTCTATTTGTATATTATCATCGTTTATCACTATATGTACGTATAAAATAAGGGTATTAAAAAGACGAGTCAAAGATCTTCATCAATTCTTCTTCCTCCTCTTCTTCTTCATCTTCTTCTTACCCTTAAAAGCATCCATATAAATGGCACCCAAGGCCTCTATTTCCATTAATCTTTCTTCAGACATCTAAAGGTTTATTGAAATATATGTATATATCTCGGTGAAAAGAAAAAGAGATATAGATAAAAGAAACAATAAAAGTTTAATTATACAATCGATCATGATGATCGTTTTTTTTTTTTTTTTTAATGAATGAAAGCCTTTAGTGATCATTAAGTTTTGTCATTACTTTTATCTATTTTAAAGAGTGATGAATACAGTAAGTAATTTGTACAAATTACAAACATGATAAATGACTCATTTATATTTCTATTATTTCTACAAGAAAAGAAGTTTTGGTTTATTTAAAATCTTCCCAATCATATCCTTTGGTTTGGGTAGTTGGCAAGTCTATAGATATCAATGGAAAAAGGAAATCATTCAAAAGGCAAAAGAGAATGTCGAAATGGAACCAATAGAGATGAATGACTCTTTGGTTGACAGTCTTCTTCAAAGTTCTGAACTATCAGACGACTCTAAAAAACGATTAGAGTTTAGAAGAGTCGAGGTCAACGGTACCTATACACCAAATAGTAAAGAGATTTATCTAGGTCCACGTACATACGAAGGACAAGTGGGATACTATGTCATTCAACCATTACAGCTGCAACACAGCAATAAGCAAGTGTTGATCAATCGTGGATGGCTACCAACACAACTCATAAGAGATCGTCCTGTGATTACCTCGGATCTACCAGAGCCAACCACTGTTGAGGGGTTGATTGGAAAAAGTAAAGAGGCTGGTAGCATATTTACGCCACCAAACGATCCGGCAAATAATCAATGGTATTTTATCGACGCAGAGCAAATGGCCTCGGTCAACCCAAATACAGCACCTCTTATTGTAAATGTAGTCGATGAAATAGCAGACAACACCCAATATTCCAAACAGACAAAGACTAGACAACAACAAATGGCATCTCGCTTTAAGAGATTCGACACAAATGTAGAAAACAATTTTTATAACAAACATGTCTCTTATATATTTACATGGTATTCGCTTACTGGTTGTCTATCTTTTATCTATTACAAATATATGAGAAATGGTTTATTAAAAACAAAATGAAATGATTTAATAAACAAAAATAATAATATTTTCTTCTTATGATCCAAAATCAATATCATCCAAACTTTGTTTGTATTGCATGATTCCATTTGGTTGAGTTGTTGGTTGAGTTGTTGGTTGAGTACCAAATGATTCTTCATCGGTTGATGAATCTTCTTGGTTTAGTGGTTTTGGTTGTTGGATCGGTTCGTCATCAAAATCAAATTGAAAATCTCCATCATTTAATAAATGATGATTATTTTCAACTACATGAGCCAATTTAACAACTTGTGTGAAAAGGTTCATACTACCTGGTGATCTAAAAAGATAAAAAAATAAATAAATTAGAATAGAGAGGCCATTTGTTTTTTTTTTTTTTTTTTCTTACAATAATAACCATTGTCTACAATTGTGGAATAAATCAGCCAACTTTGATTTTGGGGTGACTGTAATATCGACTGTATCTTTTGAGCCAAAACAATATAATTCTTTGTTTGAATCATAACCTTCATATTTTAAATTGGCAAGGTGAATAATTGGATATCGATCGACGTTGGTGTGATTATAAATATTTAATGCATCTCGTGTAAATCCTTCAGCAAATGGGATAGAAATGTCCATATTAAGATTACTAATATTATTATCTTGTTTGTTTGCATTTTCTTGATTTTGCTTGGTCCACGCAACTCTGCACAAAGTTATTTTTGCAATACAATTACTACTATCACCAATGTATAAAGTCCGAGTTACTTCTTTGTTGCCTCTGATGTTATCAACGTTGGAAATGTTAGGGCCGACATGAATCAGTAGGCCGATTAAATCACATTCTTGTCCTATTTTTTGGGTTTGGTAGTGTGTTATTTTTGGGATATCTTTTGTTTCTTTTTCTGCTTGTCGACGAGTTGTATTTTTAGATGTTGAGGAGATGGTTGTCTTGTGGTGATTCTTTAGCTCTGCTATTTTGTTTCGATACATTGAGTTGGAAAACATGGGTTGTAGATGGTTGAAATGGATCCATTCCCCTTCATTTAATTGGGATATCAATTCCTCGGATGGGTTGTAGAAATGTAATATTGTTTCATTGGATAAAGATTCCACTTTTTGTTTTGCGTCTCCATAACTTTGTTGTTTTGATGCTCCACCAAAGGTAACCGGGGCAACAGGTGGGAATACGGGGTTTTTTCCAACAGTATCAATAAAGGATTGGACAGGTGGTAACAAAGGAGGGTTGAAATTGTTGGATGGAAGATATAGCTCTGGTTCATCGACCGAGTCAAATATTTGTTTTTGTGTCATATAAGAGTTGCCTGTTGTAATTGATTTAATTGGTTGGGTGTTGCCATTATTATTGTTGTTGTTTTCTGATTGTTGTTTGTTTTGGACATTTGGGTCATCTGTTATTCTAATCTTGAGAATAGGTGTAACATTTCTTGTTGATCCATTGATTGCTTGTTTAATCTCACTCGCAATCTTTTCATTCATTTCAAATTGTTTGTTTTCAATTTCCTTGCGCAAAATTGATTGTTGTTCTTCATTAAGTCTTTCGATTAAACTATTTGATTCATTTTGGGATTTATACATTCGATACAACAAGTCTCCATCATATATTTTACCCAAATCTAAGAAAAAAAAAAAAAAAACAAAAAATATTAGCTTTTGTTGTGTAGTTTAAACTCTATTACTTACTTGACTTTTCAAAACTAGAAATAGGGATTAAATCTTTGTCTTGATCTTTTTGATATTTTTCACTAATCTCATAGGCCAACTTTTCTTGAATTTTTTCCAGTTCCAATTGGTGAGTATTTTGTATTTTATATTCTTCTGACTGTGGTCTTTTTATAGTTGCTTTTCCTTCAATTATCTCTCGATATTCCATTGGATATTTTTTCTAAAAACAAAATAAAATAAGTTTTGGTCCATGTTTTTTTTTTTTTTTGTTTTTTTTTACCAATATTTTAACATTTAGTGATTGAATGACACCACCACCAGGAATAACAGATTTTAAAGATATTGGAAACCAAAGTTGAGGTTGAAGTCCCAACTTGTCAAACCATTTTGCTCTTCTGGTGCTATTTGCAAAAATTTTTATAAAAGCACGTTCTCCTTCTGCTTCAAGAGGGTGTGCACCACCTTCAATTCCTTCCAATTTGGCACCCTGGATCCTTAGTTTTTGTCCAACAAAGATTTTCCCATTGCTGAGACATTGGGATAGAAATGGATCCAAAAGTGCTTTGATAGAGTACCATCCATCTGTCAGCTCTATCACGACTTGAGTTGGTTGAGATGGTTCTGATAAAGTTGATGAATCTTGGACTTTTCTATTCTCTGATTCGTTACTTAAAATATCAGAAACACAAAGAATCATATGTTTTTCAGAAGAATAATCTTTTGCATAAATCTTTTTGAGGATGGGTCTTTGACATTGAACGAGTTCCTTGGTGCATCTTTTTTTGAGTTGGGTCATCACATTGTAAAGTGTCAAATGTTTTCCACCAAAAATATCTGGAAATGCTCGCTCCATTGCTGCCAACTTCCAAACAATCCATCCATAATGATTACGCACCCAATCATCGGTCACACATTTAAATGAAGAATCTTTAGACAAATGGATATATATTTGTGAATGAGCTATTTTCTTTTGTCTGACAAAACCCAAATCTTTGGCTTCATTGCTCGTTCCATCAAATTCATAGTCTTCACAATTTTTTCTAGTTACTGCAAGTACTTCTTTTGTTCTATTAAAAGGATTAAAATTAGAACAAAAAAAATAAAATTAAAATAAATAACAAAAACATACACTATTCCAATTGGTGATTTTGTAAAAGGAGATCCAAGGTCTGAAAGTTTTTTTCTGAGGTCTACAGGTTTGTTTGGTTTGGTACAAACTTTGTTTGGTGTAATCGATGAGGCTTTTAAATTTACTGACAACGTTCCATTATTATTGTTGTTGTTACTATTATTATTATATTTGTTGTTGTTTGGTGACGCAGGCGCAGGCGAATAGATCCTACCATTAAAGTTTTGGATTGTTGCTTCTTTTTTTACTGGTGATACAAAGGATGATTTTGATGATGAGACCTTTAAACTTGCAGTTGGTTTGGTTGGTGTTGAAGGAGCTCCTTTATGAAAATAGGTGAAATTCGATGAAGCTTTGTTTAGATGGCCAGAAGGTGAGGCTTTGGTTGGTGTTTTTGTTGTTGTTGTTGCTATTGGTGCAGTAGTTGCTAGGGAAGGTGGTTTAGGAGTGGGAGGAACAAATTGAGGAGATTTTGGAGGTTGTTTTGTTGTTGTTGTTGTTGTTGTTGGTCTAGTAGATGATAAAGAGGAAGAAGAGGCGGTTGTAGTAGGCTTTTTTGAACTACTAGTAGTAGTAATAGGCGCCTCATCATCATCATCATCATCATCATTTTCGAGTGATTTGAACGACTCTGAAGCGGCTCTTAGCTTATCCTCTGAAATGTTGATTTTTTGTTTGTTACCAGTTTGAAAGCCAACAAACAAAGGGATTGTAGATGATGATACCGATGTGAAAGAAGAAGAAGAAGAAGAAGAACCACCACCATCATAATTCATTGGTGGAAAAAGGTCATCTTCTTCGTCATCTCCTTCAAAAGGATTAAAGAATGGTTTCTTTGTCGTTGTTGTTGTTGTTGCTGCAGTCGTAGTTGTTGTCTTTGTTGGACCGAGTGTTCCTTCATTTGATTTCCTTTTCTTCTTTTCTATGTTTGTATCTACTTGGTCACCACCATCTTCATCATCCTCTGATACATCCCTTTTCTTTAATAAAGTATTATTATTATTGTTGTTATTATTGTTGTTGTTGGTCATGATTGCTGTTATTTAGTTTTAGGAACATCAATAAATAAAAGAATGCAACAATGAATAACAATAGTTTTAAAAAAGTCAATAAAACAAAAAATTCTTAGAAAAAAAGATTATTATTATTTTATTTCATATACGTATATATATATATATAAATATTTATATATTACTACTACGAGTACGCGAGATGAGTAAAGGAGAAGAAGGACAACTTTGTCAATATGAATGTATATATTAAAATAAAATCACTCATATTCATTTTACTTATCACTCTCTCTTTCTTTTTTCGCTTATTTTAGATTTAGATCATACAGCAGATATTAGATTCGTAACTATAAACAAAAGAACTCTCTATAGAGTGATAACGACTAACAAATATTTCTATCATCTAAAAAGCATACATGTAGGTTTGATAAGAAAAAACAAATAGATCGTTGGTAGCAGTCACACTCTTATTAACTATCAATCGCCGCGATTACTACTACTACTACTTAGGGGGAAGCACAATCAATGAGGCATTTGAACAACAAGCATTGGCAATGATGAATTATATGGTAGAATTGTCAAGTGTAGATATGATAGCTGACAAGGATGACATCAAAGAAATGACAATCACTGCAAAAGGACATGATATGGATAGTCTATTGTTTGCATTTATGGACGAATATTTGTTTACATTTAGTACTGAATTTATTGTATTTAAAGAGATTCACATTGAATCATTTGATAGAGATGGTTTTACCATTGTTTCTACTGGGTAGGTGCAACTAGGATCCTAATACATACAACAAAACTATAGTGAAACTAACATTCATTGAATGTCATATTTTTTCTAGACGAGGAGTTGAACTTGACAAATCAAAACATACTACAGGTACAGAGATCAAGGCAATAACATATTCGTGTATGGAAATCAAAGAGACAAAAGATCAAACTGATATCTTTGTTATTGTTGATATTTAATTTAATGAAATTATTATTATTATTATTATTATTCTTCTTCTTCTTCTTCTTCTTTTTTATTCATTAAGAGTAAATATATCGGGTGTTGATATAGTTTCAATTTCAAATCGATCAATGAATTTGTCTTGGACATCATCGATGATTTGGTTGTTGAATAAAGAATATAAAATGCCTCCATGAATATTAATCAGTGATCGACAAGGATGGTTGTTGATATTATTAATATAGTCTTCGCATTCTAATCTATTTTGGTAGGTAATAGGGCCAGGGAATAGTTGTGCTGAATAGGGGTGTCCAATCTTTACAACCACTTGGAATCCATTTGAAAGTTTGATAAGAAGATTTAATTCTGCCATCAAGGAACTATCGACGAGTATGCGACACTTTGGACAAAAGAATGGTTCTTTTGAATAGCCCATACAGATGGTGGCACGATTGGGATAGGGTCTGACGGATGCAAAACAATTAGTGCATCCTCGATATATAAACTCTTTGGTAATTTCTATAATCTCGGCTCGTTGAGCACTGACCAAGCATTGATAGGATGACATCATCTCTAATCCATCATTTTCAACTAATGTAACAAAGTCATCGATGGGTATTGATTGAGTGGCTGAGAGGTCGAGGTCAACATTTTCTTGATGGTAGACAGGTCCTACACTTGTATAAATATCAGTGAGTAAAAGTGGATAGGATCTTGTAGAGGAAGGTGGCAATAGAAAAACATCTCTAAACAAAATGGTTTGGCCTATTACAAATAATGATGGTTGTTGAGGTTGTTGCTTTTGTAGAGGTGAATTTTGTTTGTTTCGATAATAATAAGTTTCACAAAATTGTTTGCAAAGTGTAATTGATAGAGAATTGATAGATAACTGCTGTTGATGGTTGTTGTCATATAAAAATAGAGTGAGAGTTGAAAATAAAGTATTGGCTTGTTGGTTAATTGGTGTATTTGTAAATTGTGATGGGTGTATATGTGATATGGTTCCTTGAATGGATATTCTTTGACCAACCATTGATTTAATATCGCTGTTGAGCAGAGAAGGAACCGAGTAAACATGTTGAATGGGAGAGCAATATAGTAATGAGTCTTGTGCTTGGTTTGATCTCTCCTTGACGATAAATCGGGTATCTGAATTGGCTTGTAAAACGACGAGTGAAAAGGTTTTGGATGGAGGTCTGAGGGTTGGTTGTATGTGAGAAAGTATGATGGACCCCTCGGGAGAGGAACATTCTATTCTCTTGCATTGGAGAAAGGTTAGACCCATAAAGAAACATTGAAAGGGAGGATTTTGACCACACTCGACTAGATGTATCCATTTATCCAATTGTTTGTCCAAAGTCAATGGAATTTGAATCTCTCCAATGGTTCCATTGTTTTTTACAATAATTCTAATGTATTCTTGATTTGTTTGTTTCTTTTTTAATCGATCAAATCGGAGAATAATCACCGATAAATGAATGTCCAAAAGATTTTGGTGTACCCTTGCAAGGTCCGAAAAAATATATTCTTCAAAAATATTTTTGGTCTCTTGTTGTTCCTCTTTCAGACTTGGGTCAGAGGACAAGTGATTGTTTAAAATGTTTTCATTTTTTTCGTCTTTGATTGATATGATATCAAATTGTTCTTGAACAACATCAAGAAGATCTTCTTCCAATTGGTCTGCTTTTGTTAAAAGTTTACCAGTCAAACATAGTATGGTGGGTTTGGATTTGGTGGTGCTATGAAACATGTGCCAATATTCCAAGCATATATGTGTTCCAACTTGGATTTCCCAATCATCTTTTTGTTGCATGTTGAATATTACAGTGATAAGTGAGTCATCTGCTGGCAGTAAATGACTGTCGTCATTTTCAGATGCACCCCCGACGTTGGAGATTACTCGACAAGTTGTTACAAATACATGGGGTTGGATGAGTGAAGGTAATTCTGCCACCACTATGTTCAACTCTAATGCAAAATGTGATTTTAATTCCAAGATTGTATGATTGTAGATATTGTTTGAAGTTGGGGGGATTTGTGTTGGCATGACAGATCGTTGAGAAATCCAGTCACAGTTAAAATTTTGTTTTTTCAAAAGTGTTGATAGCCGACCAGACAAACCGCCTAGTTTTTCATAACGATTCATTGATTTTGAAGAGGGTGCAGCTTTCTTTGACGAATGATCCATAGGTGTAGCATTTACCAACATACTCTTAAAGTTTTGAGTATCGCCAGTTCTTTGTTGTAGAGATGATGATGGTTGTTGTCTTGAAAAGTTTGTCCCATCCTCTGCTTCTGACTTTTTAAAGGTTTCAAAAAGATTTCGATTTTCAAACAGATCGTCGTCATGATCCTCATTATTAGCCTCATCAATTTCTTCATAGTTTTCTTGTTTCATTTTTTTCATTGACTAGAATAAATAAAAAAAAAAAAAAAAAAAAAAAAAAAAGTTAGATTGATTTTAAAAATTGATTAGATAATATAATTTATACCTCGAGTGTTAGAAATTTTTCTCTATTATAAAATAATTCTACTTTGGGTGGAGTAGGGGATAGTTGCGCATCATTTGTCATTTCTTCAGAGGAAGGAGGCTGAGAACTTTGAATTTCCTCTGGTTGTAGATCTTTGTAAAAGCTTTCAATGTGTGTTCTGATGTTAAAATTTTGAGATGGAGAATTTATGGTTGTTTCAATAATTGGTGATGTTTGTTTTAATGGTTGAGAAATATTTGGTGGTGGTGGTGGAATAATTGTTGAAGATATTATATCGTTATCGTCGCCATATTGATCTTCTTGTTCGTCGTGAATGATTAAATTACTACTACTTTTGACAAATGCCGATTTGTGACTTGTAGTTGAACTAATTTGACTTTGAATACTTTGTTGACTTGATGTTATATTAAATTGTTGAGAAGGATTAATTGATTTGCTGTGATGAGTCCCACCACCACCACCACTATTATTATTAACATGATCTTTCAATAGTCCACCAAATGATTCCCTATCTTTTTGAAAGCTGTTGTTTCTTTTAAGATTGGAATAAGAGGATAAAGACGATGAAGATGATCGAACCAATTTAAGTTGATGTGATTTTGTTGGCGTCGTTGCTGTCTGATTTTTAGTTGTTTCTGCAATCGATGATCGATTTAAATTACTAGAGATTGGAGGAGGAACTGTATCCTCTACGATTTCGTCAACTTGCAGATTTTCATCTTCAAAATTACTACTTGACCATTCTTTTCTTTTCTTTTCATATGATTGTTGTTTTGATTCTTGTTGTTGTTGTTGGATTGGTTGTTGTTGTTGTTGTTGATGATGATGGTGACAAAGTTTGATATTATGATTGTTGTTTTGATTATTATTGGGTTGGTTCTTTTTAATGGAGGAAAAATCAACATCTTCAATTGGTTCATCGTCTTGTCTCTGGAATCGAAAAGGGGCCTTTAATTGTGGTTTGGGAGGTGGAGTTGGAGCAGGTGTTCCCATCAACATCTGACCAACAAACATTTGACGAGTAGTTTGTTGGTGTGGGTCGTTTGTAGCAGCCGCATAATATGGTGGTGTTTGTGGTGTCTGCTCTCTCTTTTTTCTTTCATACTCTTCCCAAATATTACTAGTCTCTACCTTTTCAATCTTTGAATTGGATGTTGGTGTATTTAGTAGACTCCTTAACATTTCATTTTTTGTTGAATATGGTGAAGATGGTTGTTGTTGTTGTTGTTTGGAAGGAGTGGAGAAAACATTTGTTTGAGAGTTGGGAGTACTAGTTGTTGACCATTCAAATATCTTTGATTTAAAGTCATTTTTGGAGGCGGTTGGAGTAAGAGGAGGAGGAGGAGGAGGATGTTGATGATATCGATCTGAATAGTTTCCTTCTGCTGTTACTGAGGAGGGTTTATCATCAAATGTAAAAGATTTAAAAGTATGGTTTGGTGTTGCAAAAGGAGAAGGAGAAGGAGGATGTTGTTGTTTTTGTTGTTTTGAAACAGTTGTATCTGTAACATGTTGTTGATCATATTCTTCGATGGAAGGGTAATCATTTACATTGGTATGATTAACAGCAAATGTTGAAGTTGTTGGTAATGTATTCTTTGAGGTGTCATCATTCTGTCGTGGTGCAGATGGTATAACTAATTTTCCTTTTTAGGTGTTGTTTGTTGTTGTTGCTTTGATTCTTGTTGTTGTTGTTGTTGTTGTTGTTGTTGTGATGGTTCTATTTGATTAAATACATTGATTGGTATCTGATAATCTGACTGTTCATAAAGACGAGATTGACGATAATAAACCTTGTTGTTACTACCATTATTATTATTAGTATTACTAGTGTCGTTATTCTTTTTATTCTTTATCCATTGTAAATCTTCAGACATGAGTAGAGTGTGTGTGTGTATATGTTATCTGTTTGTTGACATTGTTGTAATAGAACATATAAAAAAGACATCGATGAAAAATCTCTTTCTACATTTCCAATAAAAGTTTTTTTTAGTTTAATTAATTTTATTTAAGCTTCTTTTTGTAGTTGAAGAGCGGGGATGGATTGAGTAAAAGATTTAAAAGCTTGATCACGGTAAGCACGATAAAGAGATGGTGTAAAGAATTGAAAGTAAGGACTAGTATTTGGGAATTCACCAAAACAAGTATCGAGAGCACCTTTAGAGATCGATGCAAAACATTGACATCTATTCTTTGAAGAGTGACAACATTCACAAGCTATACCTGGACCTGGTTGATCTCTTTCATCTCCTTTGATTGGTTTAAATAGATGAATAGTTATATTTCTTCTACCAATATTGTCATTGTTACTATTTTTGAATGCTCTCATCTTGATGTAGGGCATTTCGGTATTCTTTTCAAAGTCCAACAACCATTTTTCAATATCATCATTCTCCCATGTAGATGTTGTTGTTTCTGTATAATGATCATTGTTGTTGTTGTTGTTGTTGTTGTTGTTGTTGTTGTTGTTTTGATCTAAAGCAGCATATTTGGTTGTTTGACGATAGATAGTGAATGACCAATTGTCGGATCTTGCAATTTGTAAGAATCGACGGAAATCTTTCAAAAGTCTGTTTGGATCGTCAGAGGCATCGCCAACATAGATCTCTTCAATGTTTGGATAGAGAAGTAATGACCAAATACCTGTTGGTTCAGAGTGTGTGGCATCGGATAGATAGACATAACCACCGTGTTCATCTACTATTGGTATCAATAGTGAACCTCTAAATATTCTAACGATTGGACTATGAATGGGTGATTGGGCGTGATAGGGTTTGAAGTCAGTGTAGATGAACAACAATGACACCAAAAATGATGGAATCCAAATAACCCAAGGATAGGTATATCTTATAGATTCAGAGCAATGTAAAAAGGCAATAGCAAAAGGTAATCCAGAAATACATGCAACAATGAATGCACTCTTTCTATAACCTCTACGATAGACTATATTTAACCAAGAGCCAACACCCAAGTTAAATAGTGTGAATAAATTACTCCAACTTTCAAAATCTGATCCTTCAGATCCAAATGTAGATGTAATCGATGCTCCACTATTCACCATGGCAAATGATAATGCTAAATCTCTAGATTTACCTGCATTTATCTTTACACTATTACGACCGATTTCTGTTCTATAAAAATCAATAATCTCAATTCCTGTATTCTCTTGTTCTATTTGTTCTATTTGTTGGTCTATTTGTTGTTCTAGTTGATTCTCTTGTTGCTCTATTTGTTGTTGTTGTAATAATTGTTCTTGTTGTTTTTGATGTTTTGATTTTGTTTGATTTTTACATTTGACAGGTCTATCGTATTGAGTATAGTCATCGTCGGTCGGTAATTTTTTAGCAACTGAAAAAGAGGCTGTGGCATTACCATCGGATCTTACTTTCCAAAGATTTACAGTCATATTTGCAATGTATGATGCTTTTTCAGAGAGATGCGAAAATCTACTAGCAGGAGCATCAGATGTACAAAAGCAGATGCCATCCAATGCACAAAATGATTCGGTCGAGTAAAATGCTTTTTGTAATCTCCATCGATAGTAAAAGTGTATGTGATTCTGTGCCCAATAACAGGTGAATGGGAAAATGAGAATAAGACAAATAGACAGTGCCAATAAAATGGTCCATGCCTCGTCTGTAAACTGAAACACTCCAAACAAAAGGTTTTCGGGTGTCAATGTTCGAGTGACACGCCAGTTTATAAATAGACCAAAGATGGAAAGCAAGGCAACATATCCAGTTAAACTGTTGATAATACCTTCTACTTTTTGACGTAGAAATGCCATTGGATGAAAACGAAGAATGACCCAAAGCAATGATGTACTAATACCAATGGCACCAGAGACTACTTGATCAAACTTTGCTTCAATCTCTTTAAACACTATTTGAGAGCCGACCAAGATGGAAAAGAGTGAAGCCAAAAACATGGCAATCTTGAATGCACCAATTGTAAATACGATACCAGTGGTAGATGTGTATGGAGTTAGGAGGTATGTCAATACAAAGAGTAACAAGGTGGTTGCGATTCCAATGGTTGGTAGGATCCATAATTTTTCGGTACCAACAAAGTGTTGAAACGATGCAATAGTCTCTACGACAAACAAAATAAATGGTAGAATGGTAATAATGATAAGCACTATTTGAAAGAGAACGATAGCCAAAAGATAAAACATATCTAGCACTCCATTCCAACTCTGGAAATTGATACAATAATTTGCATTTTTCTCAAAGTCCTCATCCATGTCATTGTAGATCTCCTCTTTGCTTCTCGATGGATCTTTACATGTTCTCTGACAATATGCACTTCCAGCGAAACCTCCTCCACCAGCACACGAAAATACAATGTTTTGATAACGATGTTTTCCTATTACTCCTTTGATTATACCACTACCAAATGATGCACCTCTTATACCTTCACCAAATAATGCTACTCCTATTGATTGACTTGACGATTGTTGGTTTGCATTGTTGATAAAAGATGAAGATTGTTGTTGTTGTTGTTGTTGTTCTGATAATATTCTATTGTTTATACTCCTACTAGATTCCATCAATATTGGTGATGGTCCACCAATATTGAGGTTATTACCTTGGTTCATTTAAAAAAAAAAAAAGGTAGATATAAATATAAAAAACAAAGTTGTGATGGGTCTCTTTTGATTACCCCGTCGTAGTGTTGTGCGTGTGTGTGGTTTAGGGTGTTAACCCCGACTGATAACTTTGTGGTTTGAACTATTGTATACAGGATGATCATTGGTCAGAAAAAATAACAACCTTTCAAAATATCTCGTGACAAGATTTTCTTCAAGTTTTGATTATTTTTTGATTAATTAATTATTTTATTTGTTTCTAGTTTATCTATTTATACATCATCTTCAAAAGAAATGTGTTTTTCTTTTTGTTGATCATCTTGTTGTTGTTGTTGGTTTTCAAGATCTTGTGTGTCATTTTGTGGGATATCTACTACTGATTCTGTTTGATTAAATTTCTCTTTCTCACTAGGCCTCCCTTCCGAATAGGACGACGGTTCATCACCACTGCTACTACTGTTTCTATCATCAATATTGGTTTCCTCTTCTTCTTCTTCTTCCAAGTTTTCTTTTTGACCGAAATTTTCCAATATCCTATTTTCTTCTTCCAATTGATCTTGTTTACTCAATTCTATTGCTAATTGCAAATCTCTGTCAAATGAAGAGTACAATGAATTTTGATAGTTGTCAAGATGGTGTTGTTGGTTGTTGGTCGTTGTAGGGACCACTCTGTTTGTGTTGTTGTTGGTTGTTGGTGCGACCACCCTATTATTATTATAATTATTTGTTGTTGGTTGAGGAGGAGGGATTGGGATATTTGGGTTCAAATGTTGTTGCTCACCAATTGTCAAAGAATGATCACCACTATTATCATTTCCAGCATCCAAAATGATAGAGAGAGATGTATTAAATCTACACAATACACCCAATTTCTTCCATCCAAAATCTTGTTTTCCATATTCTACAACAAAATCAAATGTTGGATCAGCAACCTTGACGATAGAGTCGAGAGTTCTAGTTAATATCTTCTTTTTGAGTTGCATCTTTGAACCTGCAACTCCAATTCTAATTGAGAATTCAATGTCACCGGTTGGTTTGTCATTGATTTCAGTAGAAACGTTAAAGAACATTGGACAGAGAGTGATTGGATAGCCTGCAATCATAAGAGCGGCACGAAGTTTTGTTTTTCCAATTGCTTTTTCGATAGCCTTCCAGATGGCGTCACCTTCAAGTGAAAGTCTAGCATCTTGTATAGAGAATCCATATGGCTTGTAGCCACTGAATGTGATGACAAGTCCACCATCGTCGGGCAAATTGACAAAGACACCGGTCAAAGCAATCTTTGGAGTTTCATCCTTGACCACTGGTTCTCCCCAAGAGTCTCTAATAATAAAGTAGCTCTTGAATATGAGGAATAGAGTTAACAAACCTCCAGGGATAAATACATAGTATACTTTGGTGACGATGGCAGGGATAAGAGGCCAGCAAGTCCAAATCAAGAACAATGGGAACATGAGAAGTTCACCAACCATACAAACACGACGGAGACGATAGCATATGTTGGTTGGTTTTGAAAGAAGGAGCTTATATAATCCCCAGAAACGACCAACAAATAATTTCTTGATGAGCCAATAATATGCTTTCCATGGCGAAAAGAGAGGGAAATATCTTTTAGCGACAAGATAGTTTATGTGCCATGTCACTGCCATGACAAGAACCCAGAATGCTTGAATGAACCAAATGCCAACACCAAACTCGCCAACTGTATCCTTCCAGAATGCTCTGCTACTGAAAAATAGATCCCAATATTGGTTGAATGAAAGACTGGTTGGATAATAGGCTGCCAATGAAATGATAATAGGCAACAATAATAGTAATATTTGCATTGCAACAAATACTGGGAATAACAATGCTTGTAAAATAACTGTAATATATTCTAAAATTACCAATGGTCCAATAGCTGTTCCTAATTCTGTCCATTCATATTCTTTGAAAATAAATATAAAATTCATGAAACTATGTTAATATATTTATAGTAACCTATGTAGGTGTTAACATATGGTTTTGTTTTTAATTTTCAACTTACTTGTTCTAAATTGATTCCAAAGAGGTGATCCAAGAGTGACAATAAACATATAAATACTATTGATCAATACCAATACAACTCCAATTTCATTTGGAATGATCACCAATGCTCCCAATAGATTAATGGTTGCAAATTTATCAAATCCATAAAAATTCATTTCATTTTCAGATAGTTCTAGAATTCAAAAAAAATATTAAAATTTGATCTATTTTTTTTGTTTTTTTTGTTTTTTTGACATACCATGTATCCAAAGAACAATCAATTTTAAAAATGATTGAGTTGTTGTATTCTTTGTTCTTTTCTTTAAATAAAGATGAACTGGATAAAAAATGATTCCTACTGCCTTTAGTGGTAAAAGTACGATATGAGGAATATCACGCAATGATTCGAGGAAGAAAAATGAAACTGGATGACGTAAATCCTCAAATCCAAAATTCAAATCACCCTTTGATATCTTTGAAAGGAATTTAATCATTGGATAGACTTGAATTCCAATCAATAAAATGCAAACCAATTGAATAACCAATAATATATCCATTGCCCATAGAGTAAGTGTTGCAACCGTTGATTTAGTAATCGAATTTGTCTAGAAAAAAAAATAAAAAAATAAACAAAGAGTTTTTTTGATTTTAAAAAAAATAAAAACTTACATGGAACCATTTTGAATGTTTCATTATATTTTGATCTCTTGAAAGGAACATTTTTAGACAATAAATTAATGTTGGTACTCTCCAAAGTGTTGTCAAGATAATTAATGCTAAAAAAAATATTATTTTTTAAAAATTAGTCAAAACTAATTCTTTGTGTGATTTAAACAACTGTTTACTACTTACAAAGTATAATATTAAAAGTATCAATAGCGATTGTTAAAGCATATTCTAAAACAGTCCATCTGGCTTCCTTGTCTGTTTTACAATCCTTGTATACGGATTTAACGAGGAAAATACCTCTCCATGGGAATACAAATGTGAGTATTCCAAGTATGACAAAGGGAATGTCAACAATAAGTCTTGTAAATATCAATGCAATGGCAAGATGTTCATTGTCACCACGTTTGTATTTCTTTACCATTGCCACAAAGGTGGGTATACGCCACACAGTGATGAGGATAAGAGCAAGTGGAATTGAGCAAATAATATCCAATACAATGTACCAAAGATAACGTAGGATGAGAAGACGGCGTTGGGAATAGGAACGCTCTGGGTCATCAATTTCTTTGAGTCTCTTTACTAGTATAGGTAATCTCCAAAGAGTCAAGAGTAAAAGAATTGGTATGGGGATATCAATGATTAAAAGGAATAATTGTTTACCAACAATCATTCTCCATGAGCTCATTCCTTTGATATCATCTGGTACTGCAGCCTGTGATCTTGTAGATTGTTTTGGAGCTGGATTATCTTCATCATCTTGTGAGGGCATCGCCAATGGTGGAGCTTGACCAAAGTTGTTGATTGTGACTTGACCACCACTACCACCACCACCCATGTTATCATTGTTTAATTTTTCTTTTTTATATTTGAAATAATGTTTTAGTTGAGTAATGGTTGGTTTTGCTCTATAGATTGTCACCAAAATGACCAATAGAGCAATGGTGGCAGGTATATCCAACAAGAGGGCAACAAAGTTTTTGAATACGTATTTTCTTTGTTCCATACGTGTAGAGTTTACACGAGGGAATCCTTTGACAAAGAAATAACTACGCCATCCAGAAACAAGTATGAGAATTGAGGCGAGGAGGAATGGTGTATCGATAATATCGACAAATAACATTCCAAAATGGTAGAGAACGACTTGACGTCTTTCCGATTTTTTAGACTTTTGGAATACGTCCCTTAGCATAAAGAATGCGCGCCACACTAATAAACTGACAAACAGGCCCATAAAGATGAATGGTATATCTCTAAGCAACCTGATAAACTGTACAGTCACATATTCTCTATATCTATTCCAACGATTGTGAGGTGATTTCATCTTGGAAATTGCTCTGACCAACCGATACACAGATACAGTGATAAATATACCACAAAACAATATCCAAATATCGGCAAAAACGTAGAGACACTGGAAGAATAGTTCTGCACGAACATCGTTTCCTCTATTGGCTTGTTTGGCACGTTTGATTGCGTGGTATAATCTGTAGACTGTAATGACAACAGTAAAGACAAAGAATATTGCCAACAACAAATCCAATACCGCCAAACACTCTCGTCGTGTAATGATACCAAGACATTCATCTACCTTTGGTGGTTGCGATGAATTTCTGCGTGTTTTAATCTTTTCAATTGCATAATAGGCATGGTATGGAAGTAAAATGAGAACTGGAAGGAATATGATGATTGCTACATCCCAAAATATCTTTAACGATTCAAACATGACCATGAGACGTGCACGAAATCCAAATGCCAAATTGATCTTTTTCGTTTTGAAAAGAGATACCAAATTGATCATACGCCAGAAAAAGATACATTGCAAAAGTAACAATGGCACACATATTATATCTGGTATAATTAAAAACATGTTGTAATATAATTGTCTACGTATTGGTTTTGTTCTATTAAACGTTCCAAAGAGGAATGGTATACGTATGACTGTTACGACAGACAATATAAATGCAAACATTGCTCCTATATCTAAAATTGATTGCCATACTGATTTATAATATTCACCACTAAATAATAAAAGATAAATAAATAAATAAATAAATTTTGGTCAATATTGAAAATATTATATAAATATATATTATATAGATCTATCAATCTATCAATCTATCAATCTATCAATCAATCTATCAATCAATCTATACATACAATTTAAAATCTTTCATTGATTGAAATTTAAATCTAGTGAATACAAAACCAATGATATTGACAACCAAAGCTACTGCAGCCAATACCCATGGTAAAAAGGAAGCATGATTTGGTATGGCATGTGACACTGCCCAACCATATAGATAACTTAGACCAAGAAATGAGAATGGGAAAAAAGGTAACACTATGAGGGCTCTCGGTAAAAACATTAAAAAGTGTACCGATTTTGAATTCTTTATATTGTCTTGCGTAGCATCATTGCATACCAACTAATGAGAGAAAGATGTATTAGAGAATAAAGTTATTTGATGTATCTTTCATCATTATTATTATTTTGTTAAACTCTTACAATGACTAATTTACAATAGAGTATAATCGGTAGACATATGATTGAACATAAATAACCGATAAGCTCTAATAACTTTACGATTAAAAATAAGATGAGTGGAGAATCACTCATTTTGTTTGAAAATGGTTAACGTGGAGCGTTTGTTGTTGCTCTCTGTATCTATCTCTCTATCTCTCTCTCTCTATATAGAAAAACTAGTGGATAGATAAAGTTAGTACGTTTTAAGACCACGATCGCATCTTGCTGATGTATGCACACCACCACCACATACTTTTTGTTAAAACGACGATGTTATTCTTTTTGTTTTTTTTTTTTTGTTCTATTAATTCTCTCTATTTCTCTATCTTTTTAAAAACAATTGTTTATATAAATTTAAAGGTGTTTTGAGTAGACTATTTATGATGGGCGCATCGATCAACACCAAACTGATAAAAATATCTTTTTAAAAGTTCATGGAATCGACAACCTCGAAAGAATTGATTCACAATTGGTGCCAACGACATAAATATTTCATTTTTGTCAAAAAATTGCATCAAGGGAAAAGGAACAAAACTGTGACGTTTCTCCTTTCATTCCAAACCACAACAAACAGCTTTGTTTCATTTTGATTGGCTGCTGTGTTTGTTATCACTTTATATTTCAAGTTCATTCCACTCTATATATTAATCTCGATTAATTGAGTAATTAAATAAATACTTACCTATTGCACAATCAAAAACTATTATTATTTTTGCTGACAAGCGACATTATGAAAATGAGTCTTTTTTCATCGTTTTGGTGTCAAGAGGGTACGATGAGAAATTATAACTTCAAACGAACGAAACAAAGATTAGCAATATTAACAACATCAACAACAATCAAAGAATAAGAATACAATAATAATAATAATATGGAAGCATTTCAAAAAGTACATCCTCTAGAGTTTTATAAAAAGTTTCTAGAGAGATCGGTTAGACCCGATGGAAGAGGATTAGACTGTTTTAGAAAGATCAATATATCTACAGGTTCGATCATGACTACTGATGGTTCTTCTTTTGTTAAAATTGGTAATACTTCTGTCATTGCTGGTGTAAAGGCAGAGGTTGCTCTTACTCCTACTCAATCTGATAATTCAATCTCTTCAAATAACAATAACAATAATAACAAAATGTGTATGTCTCTTTGAAGTAGTAGTAGTAGTAGTTGGTTGAATTGAAACAATAGAGCTCTAGAAGCAAAAACTAACTCTATAGATATCATTCTTTAGTTGTAAATGTTGAAATGGGACCAATCTGTTCAAATATATTCTCATCGAGTAAGCCATCAGAAAAGGCAATGTCACTATGTTCCCAATTAAATTCACTTGTAAATAGATTAGAGATAAACGACAAGGAACTCTATTTTGATGATCAAGGCAAATATAGTTGGTATCTTTATATTGATCTCTATTGTTTGGATTATAATGGAAATTTAATGGATGCTTGTGTACTTGCTATCATGTCTGCTTTAAAAAATGGTATGTATCAAAAGTTGACAAAGTGCACTCTGATTGCAATCAAGAAAATCATATTCTAAAATCAACCTTGATTCTCTTTCTCAAAAAGTTAAATTACCAAAGGGTATTGTCGTAGAATCATCTGCATCCGAAGCACCACAATTATTTAAAGATACTGAACAACCAATGAGATCACTAAACATTGGAACCTATTTAATACCTCAAACTTTTGTTTTATTAAATGAGTATGTACAAAAAAAAAAAAGGAGAGAGAGATTGTAACAATACTAATATATATATATATATTTATATATTTATATCTATACAGTTATTTATTAACTGATCCATCATTGGAAGAGGAAAAATTATCAAGTGGAACTATATCGATCACATTTAACGATCGATTTGAAATTTGCACACTTTTATATACTGGAATTACAAGTATCTCTGAAAAGATTCTTGAACAATGTTTGGAAAAGACTAAAAAAAGATCAACTGAAATTATAAACTTAATCGATAATTGTTGTACAACAATTAATAATAGCAATAATAATAATAATATTTAATAATAATAAAAAACCAAAATAGATAACTTAACTTTTCTAGAAATCATCTAAAATCAATTTAATTTTTATTTATAAATTGTATAATATGTCTCTGGTTCTGCAATTGAACTTAATACCTTTTCGATTGATTCCATACCTATTGATAAAATACAACAAATTTCATCTAAACTTTTTGTTCCATTTAATAATCTTTTAAAGTAATAAAAAAGGAGGAGGACATTAATATTAATATTATTTACATTTCTATTGTTTTTCAAAAAAAGATTTACCTTTTTTTATCATTTTGAGGTAATTTTTCCAATAGCTTAAGATTACTTAGCATTGGATATTTTTGCTTTCTTTTTAGAAAATCATTAATGACACCAAAAGTTATAAAACATCGTTCATCTATACCAAGTGATGTTAATTCATTCTCTGTGCAATATTCTCTAAAGGGTGTGTCTGTTGATAGTCCAGCATAAAGTGAAAATATTGTATCAAACGAACAACATGAAGACCCTGGAAGAGTTATATACTCCATACATTCTCTTTGCATATCCAAATCATATGCTAGTTTACGTATTTGTGGTGTTGGATTATAGATATTAGAGTATTGAAATATATCAATCATCTTTACTACATTGTAGTATACCAAATGACGAACACAAGTTTTAACAAGATTGATATCAATCTCTGTCAATTTTGCAATTCTACCAACAAAGTTGACACCATCAATGTATGGAATTACTTGAAGCAATGTAAGATCCCATTCACCAGCATTCATTGTATCAATATTGCTAATGAGTACTGGTACATGGTGTTCCAATACGTCCATTGGTTCTAGAGGTAGTGAAAATACTTTTACATTGATTGTATTGGCGTCATCAATGGTTATTGTACTTTCTCCATCACTATTTAATTCTATATACAATGTTTCCAATACTTTTAAGAGATCAGGTTGATCTATATGTGATGGTGTTTTCTTTTGAAACATTGAAAATGCTGATGCTAATGATTGTTGTAATGATTGTAATGGACTGGTCGTATTTGTGTTTGTGTTTGTTGTTGTTGATTGTTGTTGTGATTGTTGTTGTTGTTGTTGTTGTTGCTGCTGCTGCTGCTGTTGTTGCTGTTGCATTTGCTGTTGCATTTGTTGTTGTTGTATTTGTTGTTGTTGTTGTTGTTGTTGTTGTTGTTGTTGTAGTAATATTTGTTGATTCGTAGAGTGTTGTTGGATATTTAAATTTACAGAAGATTTGTTTTGATTGAATAGATATTCACTCTCTTGTTCGAGAGTTCTCAACATGATACCAAGTTTTCTAATGATTGGATGATAAATTGTAGTATCCGTTACTCTATCAAACACCATACATAGATTGAATAACAGAGCATTACGATGATATTTAACGTCTTGAAGAAGTACAGGATAACCAAGTATCTTGTATTCACCTGCAGTGAATGTAATTACTTTTCCACACAACTTTGGTTTAGGTATAATAAACTCTGCAAATCCTTCAAATACATCATTTGATATAAAACTAAAGATGATGATGATGATGATGATGATGATGATGATGATGATGATGATGATTATGAATGTTGATTAGTAATCAATAGTAGGAATAGTAGATTGGATCAATCATTTGAATGTGTAGTGATGATGATGATGATGATGATTGTGAATAGTAATTATAAATACCCTTCAGGATATTGATAAAATATCTTGGTACCATATATATTATGAAATTCACTATAGAATATACATTTGATTTGATCCATGTGTACACTTTAACTAAAGCTAAATGAATGAACTCTATTATTAATTGTTTTAATTTTGCTATATTTTTAGTGAAGAGGATTGTTTTTGAAAAAAAGCGAATAAAGTCATTATCATTATTAAAAACATTGAATAATGAGTAATGTCGAGTACTACAACTGCTACTACAATGAACAACACAGATGAACAATCCCCAACAACGATAACAACTGAAACAACAAATACTCTTTTAAACTCTACAATCAACAAAGATGCATCTTTCATTCACAGTGATACAATAGTATCAGCAGACAATAATAATAATAATAATAATAATAATAATAATAATAATAATAATAATAATAATAATAATAATAATAATAATAATAATAATAATATCCATACTACAGCAACAGCAGCTTCGGGGACATTTAAAAGAACTGCTACATCCCCAATCTTTTATAGTAATAATAATAATCAAACTACGTCACCAACATTGACAAAACAAGTGTTGGAAAGTATAAATGTATCATCATTGCCATCTGGATCAGCATTGACGTCACCAATTATTGGTGCAAGTGTTATGTTTATCTTGAGAGAATCGGAGATTGTTAAAGCATTGGGTCAAGTTTCAAAGGACATTATCATTCAATGTCTAAAGTCTATAAAAGGTCTCTACAACATTAATATTGACGATTCAATAGAAAAGATACCAAAACAAAAGTTATTACATGTAGTACACGAATGTATATGCTTCACAGGAATAGATGATTTCGTTTCATCACAATCAACAGAAACTCAAAAAAGGATAATAGAAACTCTTCATCCATCTTCTTTTTTAATTGATCACCCTTATATTAATAGTGATAATAATAATCAAAATATTAATAATCAAAATAACAATTCAATTGATAATCAAAATAATAATAATAATAATAATAATAATAATAATAATAATAATAATAATAATAATAAGATAATTGAAAATGAAGAAGAAGAAAAATGTAACCAAGATGAAGAAAATATATCATCGACGACTGATGCTATGAAAAAAGATAAACAACAGAAAATCAAAAAGAATCAAAAAAGCGACAAAGAAAATAACATACAATTATCATTTTTTAAATCATTATCAAATATGGTAAAGACAAATGGAATGGAGAAATTGTTGGAGAAATCAGATTTGGAACTACGCAAGGAATATTGTAAAGCTTTATGTCTGTTGGAATGTATTGATCAATCGAGTGATGTCATAAATCACAGAATTAAAGACGAAATTATATTGAGAGGTACAGAGATGTTTTTCAGGAATATCAAAGCTCCAATCATTAGATCAATGGCAGAATGTTTACATATCAACAAAAATTCTGGTACCAAAGATACAATGATTGATAAAATTATGGAACAAATGTTCAATTTGAAATCAATGCACACCTCGACGCCTCCTCAAACACCTATTACAGTCTCTACAAAAAAACAATCCTCCTCTTCCAAAAAATCAAAGAAAACATCAAACCTGGATAGTCCTAGTATGGGAAAGGGAGAAGCATATTATCTTGATGAACAGGTTGATGAAGATTACAAAGAAGTAGAAGATGAAGAAGAAGAAGAAGAAGAAGAAGACGACGAGATGGAACCACAAATCAATAATAATAGTTTTAAAACACCATTGAAATCAAAAGTAACAAATAGAAACTTTAGCGATCACGAAGATTTGGAAAATGATTTATATTCCTTTAAACCACCAAAACCACCAATCCATAACAACAAAACAATACCACCAACCATCAAACAACTTAAAAGAAAAAAATCATTGGCAACAAAATCATTTTTATACTCTGACGAAGATGATCAAGAAGGAGACGACAACGACAATGAAGAAGAGGAAGAAGAAGAAGAAGAAGAAATGAACCAAAAACAACGAGGTTGTGATGAAAATCAAGAATCTGACCAATCCAATGATCTGGAGGAAGAGGAAGAGGACAAAGAAAATGAACCAAAAACAAGAAAAAGTTTAATGTTGTCAAGGGTACCATCAAATCCATTCTCTCTCATTTGCAAGGGAATTAAAAGAGAACAATTAAACGCATTGTAAGTATTGTTACTACAAAAGGGAGATCAGAGAGAGAGAGAGAGAGATAATTTTACTAACAAATATTTTTTATTTATTTAGGTATAATCTTCCCGATCTCAGACAATACTGTAAATTGAATAATATTAAAGCAACTGGAAAAAAGGGTGATGTTATGAAAAGAATCTTGTTTCACATTAATAAGGATGTCCCAATGGTACCATCGGTTGCAAGTTTGAAAAAAATACCTAGAAAAAAGAAAAAATAATAAATATTATTATTATTATTATTTATCAACAATATAAATTAATTTTATTGTTGTTTTTTTTTATTTATTTTATTCTAGTTGTACAACTATTTGTAACAGGAGGAGTAGGTATGTTAACCTACCAGGTTCACAAATTGATTAAACCCTAATATTATCATTTATGGTCTCTTGAATGTGTGATCTTTTCCTCCTTTGGTTTTCATTCTTTAAAAAAGAAATTGTAAGTTAATACAAAATAATAATAATAATAATGGATATATGATAATAATAATTCACAAGAGTATCAAAAATTTTGACGACATACCCTTTTCTTGATCTTGAAAACTCTTCTGAATATTCAAATGAATCATAGATTGATGCCTCTGGTGCTTCCAATTTGATTTGTGATTTGGCAACTTCTACTCTCTTTTCCAAATCCTCCTTGTTCTTGCGATTAGCTACGTGTACCTTGTCACTGTGAATCATAAGCTCTCCAATAGTCTTTAACAATCCATCAGAGGTTCCAACCCAACTATCTAAAGCATTGATAAGAACATCGATGCTTGCAGCTGGAACATCACGACCAATTGCAAATTCAATCTCCAAATGCTTATTCTTTTGGTCCAACTTTCCTCTGATAATATTCTAAAAGAGAGAGAGAGAGAGAAATGAGTTAATTTAAAAGAGGTTATCAATCAAAAGAGTATTTGAAACATACTTGATAAATAGAATCAATCACCAAATCTTCCAATTCTCTCAAATTTGAAATTTCCAATTCCTTTTGTAACAATGAATAAGGAATGATCTTTGAAATGGTTGATAAATATACAATAGAAAGTTGTTTGAGTTTGGTTGACATTTGAGGTGTCAAAGGTGGTAAATTATCCTTATTCTCTAAATAAATTAGAAGTAATAGTAAGAGGAGAGGGAGAGTGAGAGAGAGAGAGTGAGAGAGAGATAGATATTAGTTATATGTAACTTTTAACATTTTATACTCAATCTCTTACTGATATAATGTGAATAAGTTCCAAATGTGAATATATTGAGAAGATCATAGTGTTGCTTGAATTCAGTTTGTTGTAACTATGCAAATGGATATATATGTATGATAGATATAGTGATTTGAATGGAACAAAAAGGTTAATAAATGAATGTATTTGATTCTGAATAGAATGAAATGTATACATACAGCTTGTACATTTGGCATATCTAATAATTCACCAAATACAAATACATTTTGATTTGAAAGTGCTTGTTCAATGAGGGCAACACAAGCCCGACCTTTATTAGATTTTGCCAATACAAGGTATTGTTTAAGAGCTGTACCTTCTGTTAAAATATCTGTTGTTTGGGTCATTGTGTTTTCTCTTTGTCTCTCTCTCTATATATGATTACCCAACAATCTTTACAAGTATTAATTAAAAAGTTTTTAATCAAAAGTTAATATCAAGGGGCAAAAAAAAAAAAAAAAAAAATTGAAAAAAACAAGAATTGAACTTCGAAGAGCTGATGGACTGGAACTATTATTAAATTATTTATAAACCTCAAAGTTTTTTGTGTATATATATATATATGTGCCTTTATTATTCGTCTCTTATTGATTGATAAAACTTTTCTTGTTTGGTAACAAATTGTAGATTAGTTGGTTTTAGCTCCATTATACCAGACCTTGCAATTCTCTTTGCTAGATCCTCTGTCTTGAAATCATCTGATCCTCCTATATCTTCGAATCCAACTATTCGGTCTACTGCAATTCCATTGCTAAAAAATACCAATGTTGGAAGTATTCTAATATTTAATTTGGTGGCAAAGAATTGTGCCTTTTCTGCATTCATTTTTAAAAACGTTGTATTTGCATGTACTTTGGCTAGAATCTAGATGACGAGATAAAATAGGTATAAGTATATGTATGTATATATGTATATAAATAAATAAATAAATAAATGATGGTTCCATCATACGTTTAAATGTTTGTCAATTATTTTACATCTCTGAAATTCCTCTTTAAAAAAGTGAACAACAACATTTGGCGACCCAGTGACTGCTTTCAAGAACTCTTGCTCTTGAATTTCAACATAATTACCACTCGTAACACTTAGGTGTTGTAATGCTTTTGATCTGTTGTTTTTAAATAGTTTGTTTGTTAGATCTGATAAACATTATTGTTGTTCGTTGTCAACATGAGACTAGACAATAACAACATACTTTTCTCTTAGTTCTTGTAATCTTTTTTCTCTTATTCTTGATAATTCATCATCATCATCTTCAATTATATCATTGTGTCTTTGGTTGATTGAATCTCTATCTCTTATCCTATCTTCATTGTACTCTTGTTGACTAATAAGTAGTAGTAGTAGTAGTAGTAGTAGAGTGAGTAGTATTAGTATTAGTATTTATTTGCAAAGAAAGATAGTTAATTTAAACCATAGTCCCAACTATTTGGGTACTACTACTACTACTACTACTACAAGTCAACATACTTTTTTAACGACATGATAAACTATCTATTATTATCTTTGTAAGAGTTTATCTTTTTTAATTGTGCAGAAAGTTTGTTCAAAAGTTAAACGATTGTCGAAAAAAAATCAATTATATTATTTTATTATTCATCGAAGTACAATAACAAATAACAAATAACAACAACAAACTAGATAGATATACCTAGAAAATGTCAGAATATGGTAAAGCAGGTAGTGGAGGGATGCAATCATCCCAATACGACAACATAGACAGAAGGGAGAGACTTAAAAAGTTGGCAATGGAGACTATAGATATATCAAAAGATCCCTATGTCATATCGAATCATCTTGGTTCATATGAATGTAGATTATGTCTTACACAACACAATAATATAGGTAACTATCTTGCACATACACAAGGCAAGAAGCATCAGACCAATTTGGCTAGAAGAGCTGCACGTGACCAAAAAGATAACCCAAACAACCACTTTAACAAATCGTCGTCGGCAATGTCTCACAGACCACGTATCATACCAAAAAAGACTATAAAGATTGGAAGACCGGGATACAAGATCATCAAACAGAGAGATCCAGATACTGGTCAACTGTCACTTCTCTTTCAAATCGATTATCCAGAGATTGAACAAGGACTTCAACCAAGACACAGATTTATGAGTTCATTTGAACAACATGTCGATCATGTCAACAAAGATTACCAATATATTTTATTTGCTGCAGAGCCATATGAAACTATTGCTTTCAAGATACCAAACAAAGATATAGATAGAACTACTGGTCCTGATGGCAAATTCTTTACTCATTGGGATAAAAATAAATTATCATTTACTGTATGTAAATTAATTATAATGAAGAGAAAGAAAAAGAGAGAGAGAGATAGAGAGAGAGGAGAGAGAGAGAGAGGAGAGAGAGAGAGAGAGAGAAAAGGATTACTAACCGAAAATATTATATTATTTTAAAAAAAAGTTACAATTATATTTCAAAGAGTCAAGTAATAAGGATCAACAACAACAAACTCAACAACAACAACCACCACCCACCCCAACAACAAGAATAAATAGAAATGATATGTATCGTTGCAGATTGGTTTGGAATTCCAACAACAAACTAATCATTCCTTTTATAATATTTCAAGAAAAACAAAAAGAGAAAACATGATTTCATACAACTTCTTTCTCTCTCTCTCTCTCTCTCTCTTTCTCTCTCTTTCACACTTTATAGTCTATTTATAACATCAACATCATTATCTATGATAAAAGTTCAACCCAAATAGTTTGGAAATCTGCAACTGTCATCACCATTAAAATCAGATTGGATCTTTTCATATATTTTCTATTTGGTTGAAATGTCAAGTGGAACACCAACGTGGACGGAATATTCCGTCAAATTAAACCAAAATCGGTTATGACAGGATAAAGAGAGAACAATAGCAACAAAAAAGACGGTTTGGGATAATTATTCAATTGAATTGGAACAGCAGCAGCAGCAGCAGCAGCAGCAGAAATGACCACGAATGATCTATATTCCGAATCCACGCATGTGTACTTTTTGATCAATTTAAACAACAAACAGGTTATGTTTCAAATTTATTATTAATGATTTAAATTGGTTGGTGTGTGGTGGTTAGGGTTAGCAAACAATCAACAACACTGGAAATGGGTGAATTTCAACTTTAACTTTTTTTTTTCATCAACCAAACATATAACAACTGCATGTCATGATCATCATTGCAATGAATGTTATATATTTGGATTGAACATGTTCGTGTAGTCGTCTTGGAAGTTACATCATTAACATCATCTAGCTAATGTGTTATACATCCCTTTAATTTGTCATCACGGTGGTGCAAGTGCAATATGAAGCAACAAGAACAAAAGCAGCAAGATCACCATAATCGATTTCTTCACCTCCGTCAGTCAGTCTATTCGTCTCGGCGGAGCCCGCTGGAAATTTAATGTGTATGTATACCCCACCCACCACCACCATCATCACCACCACACCCACACTATCACGATTAAAACCCAACTCACTAGTGAGTTCCAACTAACCCCAAATTTCTTTTCATCCATTCACCACCAGAAATTTGAACAGTGTGTGCGAGGGGTAGCGATTTGATCTAGATCAAATGATAACGCCACCCACCCCACCCCACACAGTGTCTAACCTATAGGTGATAGGATGAGAAGAGTAGGGTTTATATCATGTAGGATCACGGTTAAAAGTAATTAATTACACACCCCTCTAACAACACCCATATTGGAACTATTTACACATCAAACTTGGCAGCGTGGTTGACCATGAATAGAAACTATCGAACCGATTGGTCTACACAGACACATGTAAGCACGTTCTTTTTCTCACTCTCACTTTCTATCTGTCTGTTTCTGGCAATCTTTTTTATCTATATACCCATAGCGACTACCACTTTTACTTGTTTGCTGATCATGCTGCTATGTTGCAGTGCTACTTGGATGGCCAAACAAAATTGAACCAACATATTTTTTTTGAGCAACACAGTTAATATTAATATTTACTACTACTAGATAGAGGCAGTGGGTGTACACGTTCTTTTATATCACCAACTAACCCAACCCAGCCAGCTGTATCTTTTGGCCACCCACTTTTATTGTTGAACATGACATGATATTGATCAACGCCCAAATTGAACAAAAAAAAAATCAACACCTGGAAATTGAATTGTAAAAAATTATAAATAGATTCCATGGATGGATCATCATCATCATCATCACAAATAACTTTTTCTTTTTCAAAGCATACAACTAAAGAATTATCATTTTATCCAACTATTTATTTATTTATTTATTTATTTTTAAAACAAACAAATCCCACCCACAAACTATTTCTTTCTTTATAGAAACCCTTGTCATTGTAAAAAATGATAAGAATCAATATTTTATTTATTGTTTTAATTCTATTAGGTGTTTTAGCACTTAATGTTAAAGGTAAATATGAGGAGAAACCAAGCAAAAAAAAACAAAAAAAAATATAATTGACCAACTTTTTTTTTTTTTTTTTTTTTCCACATCCCAATTTATTAATACCTAGGTAATATCAATACACTTCCTACTTGCCAATGTGATACTGACTGTAATGACAATAGTAAATGTACTACTGATACCTGTAAAAATGGAGGATGTGTATTTACTCCCATTTCATGTAACGATGGTGACAGTTGTACCTATGACAGTTGTTCCAATTCCACTGGTTGCGTAAATACTCGTTTAAGTGGATGTTGTTCTTGCCCGGAAGATTGTAATGACAGTAACAGTTGTACAACTGATTCATGTGTCAATGGAAAATGTGTTCGTACCGATGTCAATTGTGATGATGGTGACAGCTGTACCTATGACAGTTGCTCCAATTCTACTGGTTGTACACACACTCGCATTCAAGGTTGCTGTTCGACCAATAATCAATGTTTGTATCATTATTCATTATATTGAATTACTCCACTCTCTTTCTTCCAAATATTGACCTCTATTTTTATTTACTATAGGTGATGACAGTAACAGTTGTACAACCGATTCATGTGTCAATGGAAAATGTGTCCGTACTGATGTCAATTGCAACGACAATAATGCTTGTACCAAGGACTCTTGTGACCCATCATCTGGATGTTGCAATACTCCAATTTCATGCGATGATGGTGACAGTTGTACCTATGACAGTTGTAGCAACTCGACTGGTTGTACACATACCCGTATTGAAGGTTGCTGTACTACAAGTGCTCAATGTTTGTATCATTAATCATCATATTGAATTCCTCCACTCTCTTTTTCCCAAATATTAACCTCTATTTTTATTTACTATAGGTGATGACGGTGACATGTGTTCCAACGATTCATGTGTGAATGGAAAATGTGTTCGTACTCCAACCAATTGCAATGATAATAATGCTTGTACAACGGATTCATGCAACAAACTAACTGGATGTTGTAATGTTCAAATTTCATGTGATGATGGTGACAGTTGTACCTATGACAGTTGTAACAACTCTACTGGGTGTACACATACCCGTATTGAAGGATGTTGTTCTTGCCCGGAAGATTGTAATGATGGTAACAGCTGTACAACCGATTCATGTGTCAATGGAAAATGTGTCCGTACCGATGTCAATTGCAACGACAATAATGCTTGTACCAAGGACTCTTGTGACAAATCATCTGGATGTTGTAATGTTCAAATTTCATGTGATGATGGTGACAGTTGTACCTATGACAGTTGTAACAACTCTACTGGGTGTACACATACCCGTATCGAAGGATGTTGTTCTTGCCCGGAAGATTGTAATGATGGTAACAGCTGTACAACCGATTCATGTGTCAATGGAAAATGTGTCCGTACCGATGTTAATTGCAACGATAATAATGCTTGTACCAGGGACTCTTGTGATAAATCATCTGGATGTTGCAATGTTCAAATTCCATGCGATGATGGTGACATCTGTACCTATGACAGTTGTAATAACTCTACTGGTTGTACACATACCCGTATCGAGGGCTGTTGTACTGCCAATTCTCAATGTTTGTATCATTAATCACCATATTGAATTCCTCCACTCTCTTTTTCCCAAATATTAACCTCTATTTTTATTTACTATAGGTGATGACGGTGACATGTGTTCCAACGATTCATGTGTGAATGGAAAATGTGTTCGTACTCCAACCAATTGCAATGATAATAATGCTTGTACCAAGGACTCTTGTGACAAATCATCTGGATGTTGCAATGTTCAAATTTCATGTGATGATGGTGACAGTTGTACCTATGACAGTTGTAACAACTCTACTGGGTGTACACATACCCGTATTGAAGGATGTTGCTCTTGCCCGGAAGATTGTAATGATGGTAACAGTTGTACAACTGATTCATGTGTCAATGGAAAATGTGTCCGTACTGATGTCAATTGCAACGATAATAATGCTTGTACCAAGGACTCTTGTGACAAATCATCTGGATGTTGTAATACTCCAATTTCTTGTAACGACAACGATATCTGTACATTGGATAGTTGTAACAATTCTACTGGTTGTACATATACCCCGGTCCAAGGTTGTTGCAAATGTGCCGATGATTGCAAAGTATCCAACTCTTGTGAAGTAGCCCAATGTGAAAACAACAAATGCAAGGTTACCAGAAAGCCCGGTTGTTGTGTCTCCTCACAAGAATGTTTGTATCATACATATTTAATAGATCCCAACTTTAGAAATATATTAACCTTGTTCTTTATTTAGGTAACGATGGTGACAGTTGTACAAATGATTCATGTGAGAATGGAAAATGTGTCCGTTCTCCAATCAATTGCAATGATAATAATGCTTGTACCAAGGACTCTTGTGATAAATCAAAGGGATGTGTTCGTACACCAATTTCATGTAACGACAATGATATCTGTACATTGGATAGTTGTAACAATTCTACTGGTTGTACATATACCCCGGTCCAAGGTTGTTGCCAATGTGCCGATGATTGCAAAGTATCCAACTCTTGTGAAGTAGCCAAGTGTGAAAACAACAAGTGCAAGGTTACCAGAAAGCCCGGTTGTTGCTCTCGATCGGAGGATTGTTTGTATCATACATTTAACTTGTCCCAACTTTAGAAATATATTAACCTATTGTTACCAATTATTTAATAGGTGATAATGGTGACAAATGCACCAAAGGCACATGTCTCCTTGGGGTATGTATCAACCTTCCAATCAGTTGCTCTGGTGGAAACAAATGTTTCGACAGCGGCTGTGACAAGAAGCTTGGATGCATATTGACTCCAAAGGCCCCCTGTAACGACAAGAACGTATGCACTGTTGATTCTTGTAACAACTCGACTGGCTGCTCATATACCCCGGTCCAAGGTTGTTGCCAATGTGCCGATGATTGCAAAGTATCCAACTCTTGTGAGGTAGCCCAATGTGAAAACAACAAGTGCAAGGTTACCAAAAAACCCGGTTGTTGTTCAAATGATAATGAATGCCCTCAAGATCCAAAGTCCCCATGCAGCAAGAACCAATGCCAAAAAAGGAAAATGTGTTGTAAACACATCCCAATGTTGTAATTGTGATAATGAGCAAGTATAATAATAATAATAATCATCATTAAATTTGTCCCACTTTATAATAACCTTTTTCTTTTAATTTTAATTTAGTTGTCCAAAGAGCAGCAACAAATGTCAAACACCCGTGTGTGATGTTAGATCTGGATGCGGTTTCAAACCAGTAGTGTGCAAGGATAACAAGAAATGTGACAAGGACAAGGGTTGTGATTGTTAAAAACTGGTTCCTTTCCTCTATTTTATTATTATTTTTATTGGATTTTTTTAATCATCATCAATTATCAATCATCATCATAATTTATTATCATCGTCAGAATGATCATCATTTAAAAATAGTGTAAATAAAATATTTATATTAAAATAAAAAGTAAAAGTTGGACAATACCTGATATTAGAAGAAAAGTCGATTTATTAATGTTAAATTGTTCAATCCCTCACATTAAAAGGTCGTCATTGGAGTAGAATGGCAAAAGAGAACAATGGAGACTCCAATCATTGGAGAGTACAAGAGGCTAAGATCATAGTGAACAAAGTCAGTTTAGCCCAACCAAAAATTGGGGAGCTTCGTAATTTAAAAAAGTAATAAAACATGTTGTTGAAGAATATACATTTATTGAATAACTATGATAATATTTACCAATAGTGATTGTGAAATAATAAACAAAATAAATAATAATATATTATATTTTTTTGTTTACTTGTTAATTTTAGAGGGCTTCCACAGACCAGTGTTTTCATCTTCCTTTGTTTTTGTTTTTGCTTCAGCCTTTTCTAATTTCTTTAATTCTTTTTTCTCCTTTTCCTTTTCTTTTATCTCCATTTTCTCTAGTTTCTTTGCATCCTTGATAGATTTTCTCTTGTCCTTGTCAGACAATGAAGGTGGAGCGAGACCCGTTGTTGGGGTAGAAACCGAGGAGCCAGGTGGAGGAGGAAGATTATAGACTGACGGAGCAAGACCACCTCCCATTGAATTTTGTGGTGGTGGGAGTGGTAATTCGAGAGCAGTATCTTTGAGGAAAGAAGTTTCAAACTCTGATTGAAAGAGTGTAACATCTGTTAGGGTAATCTTTTTAAGGCCATCACAAGCATCGAGGTTGGTGAGATTGGCAGTGATCTTTTTCTCGAGTTCTTCAAGACGTTGATCAAATTGTTTCTTTGGTGGATCAATAGCAGCCTGTGATTTAATAGATGCTAGTGCTGTACGAAGGGCACGTAGATCTTGTGTAACGGCAATACCTGTTTGTCTGGCATGATTTGTTACCTCTGCGTTGAGGTTCAAATCAGTTTCAGTCTTGATTGCAGTGAGATTTATGAATCTAAGCATCTTTATAACTCTTGCTTTTTCTTCTGCCACCTTTTTCTCCTTTTCCAGTCTTTCAATTTCGTCGGCCAATTTATCCTTGAGGGATTCTTGATCTTTTAATCGATCTTGTAATTCCTTCATTTCCTTTTTAAACATTTCTCTCTTTTGTCTGAGCATCTCTTTTCTCTGTGCATCACCAGCTCCTCCCCCTACTCCATCTTCGTCATCATCATCTCCTCCTTGATAGTCTTGTTGATAATCTTGTTGATGATCATGTTGTTGTTGTTGTTGATATTGTTGATCGTTTGATGTATAGTTGTTGTTGTTGTTGGTATCATAGGTATCGGAAGAACTAAAGTTAGAGTAATCTTGATTTTGTTCTTGATCGAGATATTCGAAATAGTTGGCAGGTACTCTTCCTACGAGACCATTTAAATCTCCACACCACCATCCATCTTCATAATCTTGGGTAATGCAAACTACGTCATTCTCTTTGAAACTAATCTCAGAGTCATTGGCAGCATCATAATCGTATAAAGCTCTGACCCACATTGGCTCAAATGCATTGTAATCATATTCTCCTTGTTGGTCATAATATTGTTGTTGTTGTTGTTGTTGTTGTTGATCGGTAGAACTTGTTGTATAATCGTATTGATCATCATCATTGTTGTTGTTGTTGTCATAGTCACCATCTATTTCTTCACCTCCACCTTGTTCATCATACTGTTCATCGTACTGTTCATTATCCATCATTACATTAATGAATAGATAGTAATGTTATTACTACTACTAACTACTAATACTATTATTATTACTACTACTAAATATTGCTAGTAGAAAGAGGGAGGGGGGAAAACAATAATAAGAAGGAGGAGATACTATATATCAACCAAAACTACTATTAATATATAATAAATACAATAATAATCTAAATAAATAGATATATATAAATATATGAATACAACTATAATACAATAAATAATAAATGAACAATCAAACAATTTTAATCAATTTCAACATCCAAGATTTTTTTTTTTTTTTTTTTTTTTTTTATTATAATTTAGATGTGGTCGAGTCCATTTGCTTTCAATTTAAAGCTTTTATTATTTATTTAATTATTATTATTGATTTTTCTTTTCAGATGGTGCAGTAGTATTTGGAAGTACAGTGATTGGTTTTCTAAGAGCTTCTTCAATCATAAGACTACCATCTTCAAACTTATCATCACCATACCAAAAGACGGTAAAATGTTCGTCAGCACGGAATGAACCTTGACAACGACTAAAGTACCATGGATTCAATGGATTGTTATTACGTGATCTCCAGTACAATTGCTCAATGTCACGTTGTAATGATCTCCAAATGAGATCTCCTAGACCAAGACCTTGAGCTGATCTTTGTACACAAAACTTGCAGAGATAGGGAATATAGTCTGGCTTTTTAAAGGTTACAATGGCACATCCCATATATTGATCATCTGCTGAAACACATATATAAAGTGCATATAGATTATCCCTAAGATAATCAAAGTAATCCTCTGAAAGTGCTCTACCAAAACTATCTTGAATTAATGTTCTTAATCTTTCCAAATCTACTGTTTCAAAGTTCTATAAAAAAAAAAAATGGAAAATAGAAAATTGATTGTTAACAAAGGAAAGAAAAAAAAAAATACTCTCATTCTTTCTCTCTCTTATTCCTTCTTTCTTTCTTTCTTTCTACGTACATGTCTATTATAAACTTTAACTCTATTATCTTCTCTACGTTTAACGATTGTACCAGTAGCAAGACGAGGGAATAGAATTTGATGAGCAATTGCTTCGATAGAGGTAACAATGACAGAGGTTGAAGTTGGGAGATGATCGACAATACGTTTCATTTGTTTGAGTTGAACACGACGACGCTCTGTAGTATGGTCGGCCTCGAGAAGAGCACGATAGTCTTGGTCAAGATAGACAACTGGAATGGCCTTGTGATCGACATCGAGGATACCACCATCGTTGCAAGCAAAGATAATCTTGAATGGTTGGATAAGTTTGGCCAACTCAAATGTGGTAACATCAGAGTTGATTGGAATCTCGATACCTTCTGTCGTTTCGGCAACGGAATCCCAGATTGGAATCTTACCCTTCTCCAATGCTTGTGTAAGTAGATCATAGTCAAATGATTCAATCTTCATTGTGAGACCACCATTTGGAAGTATACCAGATCTACCAAATTCTAATTCCTCTTCAGAGAGTGTATCAGATGATGGAGAATCTTGATTGTCATATTCCTCTTCGGCGACGACTGGCTTGATCTCACAAATATCGGGACTGAGTACAGTACTGCCCACACCATTCTTTTTAATGGCCTCTTTGAGTGCGGCCGAACGAATACGACGTTCCTTGATGACTTGATCGTATGGAAGACGAGTAATATCATTGAGACCACCATGAATAACGATTGGCAAGAGACCAAACTTGAACATAAAGCAGAGAGAAGATGCTGCTTGATCGATACCATATTGTGTTTCAAGAATACGTCTACTAATCTTGACAATGGCAATCTTTCTAGTGGCCTCTCCAGAAAAGTTTTGTAACCAACTTCTGACATCTTTGATATCCTTGACTGAACGTAAAAAGTCTTCAAATTCTTTACGACTCTTTTGATTGGCTTCGAATAAAAGTGTCTCTTCTGATGTTTGATAGAGTGTTGCCTCTGAATTGACTCTACGAATCTCAGCAAATGATCTACCACCAACTTCTGGTACCAACATTGACATTGAATCCGATCTTGGACGTCCCATTAACTCTAAATTATTTAATGCATCACCAACTGAATGTGAAGTTGGTAGTGATAGATTGTGGTGGTGGTGGTGTTGTTGTTGTTGGTTGTTGCTGATAAGCATGCTAGGATTTGAATTGGTTGGCATTGGAGATTGTAATAGTCTATGAAGTTGTTGATTACGCAACATCAACTCTGGATGATCTATCAACAATGATGAACAAGATGATGATGGACTGAGTTGAATACTACTACCACCACCAGGTGTACTTGTACCAGTGTTTGAGGCATTGGTAGATACTATCAAATGTTGATCCGTAGGAGTAGTAGTAGAATGGTTGTCATTTTCTACTACCACTAATGTTGGTGAATCTTGAGGTGGTGGTGATGGTGGTGGTGGTCTAATTGACAATGAAGGTTGTTCCAAAGATCTTTCATTTGATAGATTTGATTCCTCTACAACAGTCGATGATGATGACGACGATGAAGATGATTGTTCGTTGGGAGGTTCTTCTACTACGGTCGAGTGAATTAACGGTGTATTCAAATTAAATTTCTTTGTTGTCGATACCTTTGATTGGCTATTTGTAAGAGTTTTTAATTTCTTTACTTTTTTTGCTTTTCTTTTTTTCTATAAAAAGAGTGAGAGAAGAGAGAGAGAGAGAAGAGATGAGGGATGTTAATATTAATTATTTAATTAAATATGTATTACTATTATTATTATTATTATTATTATTATTATTATTATTATTATTATTATTATTATTATTATTATTATTATTAAATAGATACCTTTAGACTTGAAAAAGTTTGATCTGGATTAATATTCTTTGCCTTGGCTTTTAATAATTCAAGTTGTACCCAAGCGAAAAAGGTTAAAAGTTTCTCGACGACAAAGAGTGGCAAAAAGGAGATGACAAAGATGAGGAGCTTGTAAAAGATGGCAGAGAATGTTAAAATGGCACCTTGTTGTTGCTTTTCTTCATCGGCTTCAGTGGTAACAGATGCAAGTGGTTGTGGTGCAATAATACCATGACTGTAGTTGGGTGTTGGAGGATGGTTGCTTGTATTGCCACTACCACTGCCAATCAATTTGTTTCTTCCAAGTATGTGTTTACTAGCCTTGAAATGTGATATGTTTGGATAGTTGTAATTGTGAAAATAATACTTTGGCGTTACTAATGGAGTTGAATGTCCTCCCGCTGGAGAATGGTGTCCATTATTCTTATTATTATTATTGGTTTGTTGTTGTTGTTGTTGTTGTTGCTGCTGTTGATTTGAATTGTTGTTGTTGTTGGAAATAGTGGACATTATGATTGGGATGGTAATTATTATTAATTGTAATACTCTGGTCAATAGTTGACAAAATCTATCAATAATAAATCCAATAATATCTTGTTGTTGTTGTTGTTGTTGTTGTTGTTGTTGATGGTTTGAGAATGACGATGGACTGGTATCGTCTTTGGTGTTAAAAATAAAATGATATTCTGGAGGTTTGTTGTTTTGACAGAGACCAGCCTGGTTTGATGTTACAATAGTATTGGTATTTGTGTTGTTGAATGTAACCGTTTGGTATAGATTACTGTAATTGTTGTGGTGGTGATGATGGATGTGAAAGTTTTGAATTACTTTGCGTCTAATAATCATTTATGTTTTAGTTTTGTAAAGAAGAAAATGAATTGATTTTTTTTTTTGAGATTAGTAATCGATCAATCAAAATTATATATAAATCTGGAAAAGATGTGATGGATTGGTAGTAGTGGTGGTTGTTATTGGAACTTGTGAATGTTGGTTGAATAAAAAATATATATAGTGTAATGTACTTTTTGTTATTTTCGTATCCAAATTCCTTATTGATTTGATTGGCGTATTCATAAATACTATAAATTATCAAGTCTATCTACTACTATACTATATAAAACTATATCTAGTTGTTTTGTTGTTTTTATAGGTTGAATATTTATTCAACAGAAATATTGATGATGATAGATTGATCAATGGTCTTTGAGAATCGGGAAATAGTCCATCAAAATGTAATTTTTGTATAAGTTTGAGGGTATGTGTGTGGTGTGAGCGTGTGTGTGTGTGTGTGTATGTGTATGGTGAATAGTTGTAAAGGAAGGTGTGAATAATTTTTATCCTTTTTAAAAGTGTACAATGATTATTACAATTTTGATAAACTAAATATTGTGTTGTTGTTTTATTATTATTATTATTATTATTTATTTATTTATTTATTTATTATTATTATTATTTATTATTATTATTATTATTATTATTATTATTATTATTATTATTATTATTATTACTATATTATTATTTTATTATTGATATTATTGATATATTATTATCTACACGGCTACTCTATGTCTAGAGAGTATAAAGATATTAAAGATAGATATCTTTAATTTGTTTTGTTTAAAATTAAAAAATAATAGAAAGTACCCACTAAACATTGGTATCAATGATTTTCGTTTTATAAATTATTATTATTATTGATGATTTGATTTCAATTAACCTTTTTTCGTATTCATTAATATTATTATGGATTTAGAGTATTCGTGTAAATAATTATTATTATTATTATTATTATTATTATTATTATTATTATTATTATTTCCTGGTGAACTTGTTTCCAAAAATATATTATTATAATTTTTCATTTTTAATAGATAATAATGGAATATTTTCCCAAAGTAGAAGTGAAAGATTCCAAATAAAAAAAATAAAAAATAATAATGATAATACATCTCTCTCTCTCTCTTTCTCTTTCCAACATTGTTGTTTCATTTCATTTACCTCGAGTAACCATTATAACAACCATAGTTATACTCTGTTTGATTTGAGCGATTTCTTCTTGACCACCTTCTATGTACCATTTGTTGTTGTTGTTGATATGTGACAATTTAAATTGTTAACAATAACGAGACAAAGCCTTGCAATGACAATAAAAGAAACTAACACACATATATAGAGAGAGAGAGAGTCTCTATCGAACAAATAAATAAAAGGAAGGAAAAAAAGAATAAATTATAATAATAATAAATCAAGGCTGTGTAAACATCGTCAGAGCGTGAAATGGTTTCCGAAAAGAACCCCCCGCCGCCGCTAATAAATGATGAGTGCGACAGCGGGTTGACTTTTAGGTAGGCAAACATGTTTAAAACCATATAAGTAGAAGGGATGAATGCCTCCTCCTCCTCCTCCTCTCGTGTGATCTAATTCTTTTAGATTCGCAACGTGGGTGTGCGTGAAATAAACAAACAATGAATGAAACCTTAACAAAAAGGTACGTAAAAAACAATGATGGCTGGCTATCGGCTTCTATTTATAAACACACAAACACACAAAATAGAAAGAGGGTGTTGACGATCGCGTGTGGTGGTATTGAGATATAGAAAGAGATTTAAAGAGAGAATAGAATAGGAATAAAAAGATTGAGATGAGTTTACAACTTTAAACTTACTTTTGTTTTGTTTTGTTATATAACTTTCTTTTTCTAGTACTTGGCGATAGAGTGTGACTATTTTAATGTCTCCTTGGATTTGACCGTTCAACTTATTGAACCGGCCCCAACCAACAAGGTAGACGGGTCGCACACTCTATTTCTTTGAGAGGAATAAAAAGTTATTCTTGTTTGTTTAGTAGTTTTAATTGTGATTGATGTGTTCCTCGCCAATAGCAGTACTACTATCTATGGTATCGGGATGAACTACAAATAATGTGTGATAAAAGGTAAAAGGTGATTGGTTGGGTGGGGGTAATGAATGAATGATGTTGAGATGAAAGAAATTGATCTGTTTTTGCTGCTAGCTACTGCTTATTGTTGTTATAAAAACTAAGTAAGCGCTTGCGATGAGACACAAATAAAAAGACAAAAGAACAAAGCGAAGCGGGGCAAGGCGGAGCAATCGTTGGCCAATGCATAAAAAAAAATTAAAAAAAAAAAACACTCTCATCGGAGCTTATTTTTTCCCTCCAATTAACCTGGGATATGTTTGAAATAGCTATTTTGAACACATTTTTTTTTATTTTCTAAAGTATTTGTTATCTCTTCAATCTTCAAAGATGAATAACTCTTTTCTTCTATTCAACTTGAATATACAAAAAAAAAAAATAATAGATGATCGGTAACGGAATATGATTAGGTTGGTGCACCAACCGACCCGTTTGACAGCTCTAGTTTTTTTTTTTTTTTGTTCCCGAAAAAGAATAGAAGTTCTACCTTTTTTTGTTCGTTTCAAAAACTATTTAAATATCTTGGATTAACCGAGACACGACTCGTTAATTAGCCTCTCTACACTTTTTTTTTTTTTTTTCCCTCTTGCCCTTTGCTTTCTTTTACAAAAGGTGTCATTTTAATTCTTTCTCGTTTTAAACCAAACACCAAGCAGTTCACACACACACACACAAAACACTACATTCACATTCTTTTTCAAACATTTATCTCCTTACTTTATCTCTGTGTTTTGAACATCTAACACCCTGACAACTTTTTTTCAAGTACTTACTACTTTGGCCTCTTCTTAACTTCATTTATAAATTCGACGGTTGCCAGATTCTTTTTTTTTTTTTTTTTTTAATATAACCAAAATCCCATTATCTACTACGATATATCAACAATCTTAAACAACTAAAACATATAAACATACCTATATATTCTTATATAAATATAAATAATACAAATTAGAATGAAAGATAAAGAGGATATTGAATTAGATATTAATGGTAATATCATTACAGCATCGGAACACCAACAAATAGAAGATGACGAACCAAAAGAAAAATGCGGAGTTTTCGGTATATACGCTCCAGAGTTGGACGTAAGCCGTATTGCCTTTTTTGCATTGGTTGCACTCCAACATCGTGGACAAGAAAGTTGTGGTATTGCAACATACGATCAACACCATGCTGTACACGTAGAGACTGGTATGGGTCTTGTCAATCAAGTATTCACAGAGACTAATCTAAAACCTCTACGTGGTAACATGGGAATCGGTCATACTCGTTATTCAACCGCTGGAAAGAGTACAATCAACAATGCACAACCAGTTATCGTGCAGACTTTACATGGACAAGTAGGAATTGTCCAAAATGGTAACCTCACCACTGCACACTCGTTGAGAAGTGAATTGCTTCAACAAGGTATCGGTTTCTTTAAAGAGACAGACGTAGAAATTATCACTCAATTGTTGGCTGCTAATCCACCTGCAATCATTCCAACATCTCCATTACTTGGTAGTGCCAATGGTAATGGTGTTCATTCATCTGGTTCTTCAACTCCATCAACAACAACAAAATCACAACCAAATTGGGAACAACGTATTGCCAATTTCATGTCAAAGGCTGAGGGTGCCTATTCACTCTGTTTAATGACACCAACTGCATTGTATGGTGTCAGAGATTATTTGGGTCTTCGTCCACTATGTATCGGTGCTCTTGACGTTCCATCTACATCGGATCCAACAAAGACAATCACTCGTTATGTCATTGCTTCGGAGAGTTGTGCTATCAATACCATCGGTGGTAGATATATTAGAGAAGTTAGACCAGGTGAGATTGTACGTATCGATGACAATGGTTTAGACTCTTTTATTGGTAGAACCCCTGCCGATAAACCAGCTCTATGTGTCTTTGAATACGTATACTTTTCGCGTCCAGATTCATTGCTCGAGGATCAACTCATCCACAGTGTACGTCAGAGAATGGGTGAACAATTAGCTCGCGAGTCACCACCACCCCCAGCATCACAGGCCAACAAAGATCTAGAGACCATTGTTATCGGTGTTCCAGACTCATCACTTCCAGCAGCCATTGGTTATGCCAAACAATCTGGATTGGCATACACAGAAGGATTGACAAAGAATCGTTATATTCATCGTACATTTATTCAACCATCGGATCATCTTCGTCAACAAGGTATCAAATTAAAATTTAATCCATTGTCTGAAAATATTAAAGGTCGTAGAGTTGTTTTAGTTGATGATTCTATAGTTAGAGGTAATACTATAAAGTATGTATCAAAAATAATAATAATAATAATAATAATAATAATAATAATAATAATAGGATGCATTTAATCATCATATTAACACACAAAACTATTTTGTTTTTAATAATAATAATAGGGCATTAATTAAATTAATTAGAAATGCAGGAGCAGTAGAGATTCATGTTAGAATTTCATCACCACCAGTTATGCATCCATGTTATATGGGTATAGATATGGCAACACATGACCAATTAGTTGGCTATCAAAAGACAACCAAACAAGTTTGTGATTATATAGGTGCAGAGAGTTTAGAGTATCTAAGTTATCCAGGAATGATGAAATCTGTCAATATCGGTTTACTCGATAAACAACAACAACAACAACAACAACAAAATGGTAAACTGTTGTGTGACAATGAAAAGGAATTAGAGGATGGCAGTAGACATTGTTCTGCATGTTTCTCTGGTGTTTATCCTTTGGCGGTAGATTTTTAATCAATCAATAAATTAAACCTTTATAAAGTATAATAACAAAACCTCAAATCGCGATACTAAAAAAAGCCGAATAAAACTTTTAATGTGCCAAGCTTTTTTTTTTTTGAGAGCTCTCATTGCAAAAATTTGTAACCCTCAAGTTTGGAACCTTGTCAGTCTCACATTTTTATTACCCTTATCAATACTTCCCAATGCAACACCTCATCATTTATTATTAACCCCTAACAACAACGAAGAGTGTGATAATGTCAACTATTAGGTGATATCGATCGAAAACCAATGGTGATTATGCCCTCCTCTACATGTTCTTTCTGACTGGGTATCAACCAACCACCACCACCTCCTCCTCATGTTGGTTATATTTATATAACTATGAACTGATTATTGATAGGTTGTTTCTTTCTCTATTACTAGAGAATTAGTTCTATTATCGCTCGCTGGATTTGTCTTTATTATCATCATCATCGCTCACAATCATTATTATTGTCATCTTATACACATATATATAATTATACATATCATTATATATATATATATATATTCATTATAATTGTGGTGGTTATATATATATATAACTATTAAACTTGTTTGTGTCACTCAAAATTAAACACCCCCTATTCATTCATTCATTCATCCGTCCATCGATCCATCACCCCCCACTCGGTTACTAGCAATAGAGATATTTGAGTGGTTTGGTATTCAAATTAACACTTTTAAATTCATCAATCCAATCATTGTTGTTTATTTGTTATAGTTTTTTTTACTACTTTATACCCCGTATTAATGGCAGGCTCTTCACAGCTCAAGCTATTATTACACAAAAATTGTTTACTAAAAAAGAAATCAAAATGTGGAATAGTATGTGATATCATATTTCCAATCATCGTTGTTTCTTTATTATTGGCTTTGATTTGTATGTATATTATAATAGATTTACCCTTTTCACAATGATCATTAATTTACTTTTTTTTTTTTTTTTTTTTTTGTAGCATTATTGTCAATTATCGAATTTGATTATGATCAATATGAGATATTGACATTAGAGAATTATGTCTATGATATCAATAGAACAAGAGTATTGTATGGTCCATCTCCATTGACTCCAACATCACAAAAGATATTGGATTCATTAAAGAATGATATCATCAATGGAAGCAATGGACTATTGCCAATGCAATATGTCGATCAATTGTTTGTTGCCTTCAAGACAGAATCCGAAATGGAGTCATACTATGCCAATTTCTCAGAGTCTGCTCCTTATGGTCTATGGTTCAATAATGACCAGCTCTCATCTACTACCCCATTTTCATACAGCATTCGTTATGATCAAGATCGTTTACCTGCCAACGATGGTCATCTAAAGGAAGACTTTTCAACATCTGCTGTGTTTGCAGAAAGAGGTATCTGCTCTTTGCAATTATCACTCGATCAAGCAATCATTAGAGAGTTGGGAGGTAGAACCAGTCAATCCATCAGTGTTTATCATCGATTGTTCCCCAATCCTCACGATCAAGCCTATCAAAAGGTTAGATTGGGAAGAGATCTCATTCACAAATCGGCAGGTGGTATCTTTATTACCGCTGCTCTACTCATCTATGCCTATCGTTTAATTACTGATTTGGTTGTGGAAAAGGAAACAAAAATCAAAGAAGGTATGACAATGATGGGAATGAGTTCTGCTGCCTACTATCTCAGTTGGAATATTACATCAATCTATATTGGTCTACCAGTCACAGTTGTACTTTGGTTAATATTCAAAATTTCAAATATCATTCATTTTGGTAATTGGGGTTTGGTTTTATTACTATTTGTTTTCTATTTCTTTACTTTATTGTTAATTGGTAATCTTTTAAGGTATGAAATATATATATATATATATAGAATAGATTGCATGTTTCAACACAAATATTTAAATTGTTAATATTAATTCTTTTTATTTCTATAGTTTATTCTTTGATAGATCAAAGTTTGCAGGTATTATATCATATGGTTTTGTAGTTGGTCTATCTGTAGCTGGTTATTATGTTGCCAAAGCAGAGATGACTCAAAAGGCAAAACTTGCATTATCTCTTATCTCTCCATTTGGATTTCAATGTGCTATCTTTTCAATGGCTCAAAAAGATTTAGATGGTATCGATCCTAATCCTGATTATTTCCCTCAACTTGGGTATGATTTATTATTTTTTTTTAATAACATTTCAAAGATACTAATTAATTAATTATTTATTTAGTCATATTGTTGGAATGTTATTTATTGATATATTATTATATGTATTGATTTTATGGTATTTGGACAAGGTAGTACCATCGGAATATGGAGTAAAAGAACCTTTTTATTTCTTTTTAATGCCATCCTATTGGAGAAAGGGTGGAAAAAGATTTGATGATCCAGAATCAAACGCTTTGAATAACTATGCCGACCAAGATGTTGAACTTATTCCAGTTGACCTTCGTAACAAGGTGACAGTCTCTATTCGTGGTCTCAAAAAGGATTTCAATACTGGTAATGGTCTTAGAACCGCTGTCGATGGTCTTAATCTTGAAATGTATCAAGATCAAATTCATGCATTTTTAGGTATGTAAATGTGTATAAATAATATGTATAGTTTTTGAAAGATTATTAATCATTTTTTTATTCCTTTCTAAAAAAAAAGGTCACAATGGTGCAGGAAAGTCTACTAGTATGTTAAAAACAATATATATATATATAATAATAATAATATAATAATAATTAATATTGATTTTAATTTTTAATTTTTTAGCAATTGGAATGTTAACAGGATTAATTAAACCAACTAGTGGTGATGCATTGATTCAAGGTAATTCTATTTCACGTGAAATGAATAGAGTTAGAAATGTGATTGGAGTTTGTCCACAACAAGATATTATTTGGAAAGAGTTGACAGTCTTTGAACATCTTTCTATTTATGCTGCTCTAAAGGGTGTACCTGCTAATTTGATTGACAAACAAGCAGAAGAAATGGCAAGAGAAATTGGTTTGGCCGATAAAATACATGCTCCTTCTGGAACAATGTCTGGTGGTCAAAAGAGAAAATTATGTCTTGGTATTGCTTTTATCGGTCGATCTGAAGTTATCTTCCTGTATGTATCTGAGATAAAATTATTGTATATTCCCAAAATATCAAAACTCTCTCTCATTCTTTTCTTTCTTAGTGATGAAGTTACATCTGGTATGGATCCATTATCAAGACGTGGAGTATGGGACTTTTTACTTCGTCACAAAAAAACAAGAACCATTGTTCTAACAACACATTTTATGGATGAAGCTGATTTCCTTGGTGATCGTATTGCTATCATTTCTCATGGAAAGCTTAGATGTGATGGTTCACCACTCTACTTGAAGAAGAAATTTGGTATTGGTTATCTCTTGACAATGTCAAAGATTGAAGGTCAATGTAGATCACAAGATGTCATCAACTTTGTTCAATCTTACATACCAGAGGCTGCAGTACTCTCTGATGTCGGTACAGAATTAAGTATCCGTCTTCCCACCTCTTCGTCGAATCAATTTGTTCCACTCTTTATTCAACTCGATCAACAAAAAGGATATCTCGGTGTTGGGCATTACGGTATCTCTATTACAACAATGGAAGAGGTATTCTTGAGAATAGGTCAAGAGTCTGATGGTGGAGCACGTCAATTTAATTTGACATCAAACAACAATAACAATAATAACAAAGCAATCAACACCAATGCAGTGGCTAGAACTGCCAAACAACAACTCTATGGTCTTCTCATCAAACGTATCCGTACTTCGATCAAAGATGCACGTGGTTTCTTTTTATCGATACTCTTGCCAGCCGTCGTTATCTTTGCATCGATTATTATTTATAAAAGTGTTTCTGGTGGAGAGTCCAACAGTACATTGCATTCATTGCCTCTCTCAATGTCCATCTACCCACCATCACAAGACTTTTTTATACCCTATCAAACGGCAGACAATCAATCTGCAACCACCTCATTCCTTGGTACGTCTCCATTCATCTCTCAATTGACCGGACCAATTACCAGTGACTTTGAAGATTATCTCAGAGATAATTTTACTAGAGATCCAGGTGCTCTCCACTTTTCTACTTTGTTGTCTGCCAGTGCCTCTTCAACACTAAACTACACTGCACTATACAACATTAATTACAAACAAACACTTCCAGCGCTCATCAATATGGTATCAGATTCACTACTTAGATCATCACCCAATGCCAATGGAGCTGGTATTGCGGCCACTTACAAACCATTTAAACATGTTTTAACATTGTTTGAAAAGCAAAGTGACCAAGTTCAAACTCAAACCATTGTATTCTTTTCATTACTGTTTTTGGCTGGCTATGCATTGATGGGCGCATCATTTGCAGGAAATGTTTGTCAAGAACGTGCTTACAATATAAAACGTCTATTGTACATATCTGGTTGCAAGAAACATGTCTATTGGTTGAGTAATCTGCTGTGGGATTACTTTTTTGCAGCCATCCTTGTTATGGTTGTCACAATCACTATGGTTTGCATCGATGAAAGATTTAGAGATCAATGGGCAATTGTATTGATTGCTCAAGTATTGTATTGTATTGGTATCATCCCATTATCCTACCTTTTCTCTTACAATTTCAAAACACATGGAAAAGCAACCGGTGCCATCTTTGGTCTACTCTACACTATCGGTATCGTTTTCTTTATCACCTCTATGAATGTACGAGTACAAGCTGCCTCTCGTCAATCAACTAATCTTCAAAACATTGGAGATATATTAGATTACATATTCTATGCCATCTCTCCTCTGTATTGTCTCGCCAATACAATGTTATTCTTGGCAAAATTCCCAGGAACTGCAAGAGTCGGACAATTTGAAGTTGATGACTTTTGGTCGCTACATGCTTGTGGACTACCTCTTATTTACTTGGCTGTTCATGTTATTGTTTGGCTTGTTTGGTTGTTTGTATTGGATATGATGCCAGAGATCAAAGGTCGTCTTCGTAATCCTCGTAACGTACGTGCTCCCACTCCAGAACACGATGAAGATAGTGATGTTGCCAATGAAAGACTACGTATTCGTTCTTTGGAAAATGGTGGTGGTGGTGGATCGGCAGGCCCAGAAGACTTGGTCGTGGTACGTGGTCTACATAAACTATTCAAAGCAAGTGGAAAGAACAAAGACAAGATTGCAGTTCACAACAGTACATTTGGTATTCCTCGTGGTCAAACATTTGGTCTCCTAGGTATGACATTAAATACATAACATTTATATATTATTTATTAACTCTTTATTTAAAACCCTAAAAAAGGTCTCAATGGTGCCGGTAAAACGACTACCTTGTCAATGTTATCTGGTGATATCTATCCAACCTCTGGCTCTGCATCCATTAGTGGTCATGATTTGATCACTGAAAGATCAGGTGCACTCCAATCGATTGGTAGTTGTCCACAATTTGATGCACTCATTCCACTATTGACAGCAAGGGAGCAACTCACACTCTATGCTCGTATCAAGGGTATACCAGAACACCAAATACAAGAGACAGTAGAAGCATTCATATCAATGATGGATGTCAGCGGTATTGCCAACAGTAACGTCGGTGGTTACAGTGGTGGTAACAAGAGAAAGATTTCACTCTCTATTGCTATGCTTGGTAATCCTTCTGTTGTTTTCCTTGATGAAGTATGTAGAAATATTAAATATTATTATTACGATATGTATATGTAGCCTCAGAATCTCTAACCACTTTTATCTCTTTCTTTTTTCTATTTTTATAGGCAAGTACTGGATGTGATCCACAAGTAAGACGTTTCATGTGGAATGTAATTACAGAACTTGGCAAGAACAAGGTTATCATTATTACAACACATTCAATGGAAGAATGTGAAGCACTATGTCAACGTGTTTCAATCATGAAGGATGGTAAACTAACATGTCTAGGATCTATTCAACACATCAAGAGCAAGTTTGGTTCTGGTTATTCAATTGATATCAAATTTAAAAAGGAATATGTAGACACTGGTGTTGATATTGTACTAAGATCATTCCCAGGATCATCACTCCTAGATCGTCACGATCTCGTTGCCAATTTTGAACTTCCAAATCCTCCACAACGTCCAGTTAAATTATGTACCATCTTCCAAATACTTCAATCACAACTTCATTACTTGATGGATGATTATTCTGTCTCACAATCTACATTGGACAGTATATTCATCAAACTCACAGCCTCTACACACGCCGATAGATTAGCAACACTATCTGAACACCAATACGAATATTATGATCAATCATCATCTGATACAGAGAGTGTTTCAAAAATGATGTTGATTGATAAATATATAAATAATAATAATAATCATACAATTTTAAATTAATAAATAAATAAATATACTTTTGTTTTTTTGATAACTTAACCAAAAAATTGTGTGAAGTTGCTGATTCATTCATTTAAATCACATAGACACGATGACAAAAAAAGGAGGAACAACTATACACAATAAATCAACAAATAGTAGTAGTAGTAGTAGTAGTAGTAATAGTAGTGATCATGTTGGTAGTAATAAAACAACAACAACAACAACATCTATTGTGAGTGAAGAACAACTGATAAATACATTGGTTTCACAAGGTGATGCGATCAAATATATAGATGAAATAGTATCATTTGGTTCATTGGGATTGGATAAAAGAGATGATAAATCTTTGGTTGATAACAAAAGTACTGGTACTACTGATCTATTAAATGATCCACTTTTACTTCAAAACTACTTTACTTCGGTTGTTGATACTTTGATTGATCTAAAGGTAGGTAATATAATAACAACGACTCTATTCCACTTCCTTTCTTTATCATTTATTAATCAATACTTTCTTTCTTTCTTTCTTTCTATCTTTAGAAACACTTGTATAATAATGTACATAATGAATTGGAAAAATCAGCAAGAGTAGATATATTGTCAATACAAAGAGAGATACAATCATTGGAAGAAAACACTTTGAAATCATTTCAAGTGATCAATGACAAGAATAGTATTGTCGGTAGAATAAGATCAAATATATCATATGATCAACAACTAAGAAAGAGATTAGAATCGATTGAATCAACATTGGTCATGGTCGACTACTTTGAAGAGTATGATGGTTATGTAAAAGCCTATGAAAAGGCAATCAAAGAAAATGATATTGTTCAATCTACTAGACATCTCGTCAAGATGGAGACAATGGTCAACATTGGGATACCAGACTCACTACAATCAATGCAACCACTTCCTCGTATCCTTCCTTCGATAAAAGATCAATTGAAAAAGAGAAAGAATCAACTAAAGACTCAATTGTTGGAAGAGTTTACAAATGCTCTTGTCATTAATCACTTGGAGATATCCCTAGCTAGAGATAATATCTACCAATTGATTGGCGCTTTGGAGCAACTTGGTTTATTGTATTTTATCGTTTCTTCCATTTCAAATCAAATTTATAAATCAATTATACAACCACTTCTCTCAACCGTCCAAGCTAGACTCTCTTTAACAAAAAATGAATCACAACCAACAATTGATATTAGTAAAAATGGAAACCATTTAAAATTAACAATAGATATTCAAGAAAAGAACAAAATATCAACAATTGGTATGTACCATAAAATATATAAGTTTTTATCGAATTTTTTGTTTAACAAATCATTTTAATTCTTTAGACAATTTATTCAATATATTAAAAAACATGTTTGAATTTATTTATAATCATATATTTGGAAAGGAGAATCGATTGATGGAGAGATTTGGAACTGATATTTGGAGTGATATATCAACTACCATCATTTCAAATTGTTTAAAAAATATAATACCAGATGATCCATCACAACTTTCATTATTCCAAAGTATTCAAAGTAAACCATTTGAAGAATATTTGGTTCAAATAGGTATGAAACGAAAACTCAATTAACTAGATCATCTTCTAACAATATATCTATCTATCTTTAGGTTTAATCAATTCAACACAACAAAGTATAACAGAATTTATTAATAATATTGAATCACATTTTGCAGAGAAAAAGAGACACAACCTGTTGGCAAAGGCAAGACATATTATCATGACTGATAAATTTGATTCTATTGATAGTTCAGAGTCAGTTATTGGTGAGTCCCAACAAAATAATGGATCTCTTCAATTATATTATTTTACACCTAGATCAATCTTTAAAAATGCCAACACTTTAATTCAAATGTGTAAAACTGCGCTTTATGAATCTTTACAATCTTCCCCTCTATGGTATGTATAGAGAGAAATCAAAACAAATCATGTATTATTCTTTATTTATCATTATTTTTACTAGTTCAACAAAAATTTACCAAGGATGTAGAGATATTTTTGATATGTTTAGATTTATGTACATTAAATATCACAAGGATAAAATCAAAACTGTCCCTTTATTGGCATGTTTATATTATAATAGTTGTTTATTTTTATCCCATAGCTTTTTAATTTTATCTTTTGAATTTCAACAATTGTATGTATCACAGAAAATGTTTACATTTGATTTATTTATTTAATTTTTTTTTTTAGGAAAAAAGAAAAAGATACAACTTTATTTTTAGATTTTTCTCCAATCTTTTCCAAACATGCAAATGAATATTTTAGTAGTTATTTGATGGACCAACTCAATTTTATTCTGTCATACTATGATGGTTGCAACGGATTAGATGATACAAAGGATGAGTTTATCATGAATAGAACCGAATCTAGTTTCAAGAGAATGGTCAACGAACTGACAAGACTATCACAAACTTGTCGATCATCTTTAACAAGAGAAGATTATTTTGGATTGATATCTCATTTTGTTGATAGAGTATTGGCAAAGTTTATAGAATTGGTCTTGAAGCTTGAAAATATTTCAACCATTGAAACTACAAAACTAAGTCAACTTTGCTCTCAATTTTTGTCTTTGGAACAATTATTTTTATATGATGATGAATCAGAGGTAAAAATATTAAAATATTAATCATATTGAGCAATATTCTAACATTTATTTATAAATTTTAGGAAATGGTGAAACCAAGATTAAAATTGGTTAGAAATTGGAAAAAGGTTTGGCAATTGAATAAGATTTTGGATCTCAACCTAAGCGAAATAGTTACATTGTACAACAAAGGTGAACTTAAAAGATTATCAAACTCTGAATTAAAATTACTTGTCATGAGTATCTTTGCAGAGTTTGATCTCAGGACTACATTCTTGAAAACATTATCTACAACAAATTAACTAATAAAAGAGGGAATGGAATTTTGTATACAAATCAATTTTATTTATTATTGTTACTTGTTTGTTGTTGTTATTGTTTGAAATCAATAAAATTACTTTGTTCATCTTGTTGTGATGAACGTTTTAAATTTTATCAAAAGAGAGAGAGGGAGAATAAAAGAATTTAAAGGTGAAGGTTTGTTGATCCAGGTTGGGAATTAAAATTGTTTGTTTTAATATCCATTACATTATTGTTATTATTATTATTATTATTGTTATTGCTGTATTATTTAATCGCTTTCATCAGTTGAGGCTTCTGGATCTAAAGTTGGGACCTCTGGGTGAGATGGTTCAAGTTTGGCAGTGGCAGAATTAACTGTTGATAATGGTCTCTTTGTGGCATCTCTTCTCCATAATGTGATTTCTTGTTGTTTGAAATACCTGTTGAGAGAAAATAAAATCATAAGTATGGTTGCATGGTTTGATATATTTTCTTTTTTTTTTGATTTCATACTTTTTATCATCTTCATCAACAAGAGCAAGATTCAAGTAATATTTAACAGAGAACTTGTTGTGAACACTTCTATAGGTTGGAGTAAGATCGAAAACTGAAAGGAAAAGTCTAACTGGGATTGATTCACCTATATATATTTTTTTGAGAATAAAATTAATTAATTAAACTGTATCTTTGTGTTGGTTAGATCTAAAAACAAACATACCTCTAACTGGAGCACCATCCATAATTTCAAATTTGGTTAAAGTTTCGCTTTCATTGAAAACGTTTGGACCATGACCGGTTTGCTCTCTCTTGATTAAAGCAATCTCCATATATTTAATTTTAATTCTTACCAAAAGGAAGTAAATCTTTCCAATGATGACATCCTTTAAGTGATACTTTGATTTGTTGTATTCAAACTCAATGTGAAGACAGTCCTCAATACCGACTTCCATCTTGATGTTGCTGTTGACTTCGGGTGGTTTGTTGTAGTTGATGACCCAAATATCGTATTCCTTGATAATGTTTGGTGCATAACTTCTAGAGATTGTCAATCTGACAAAATATCTTAGTCTGGTGTTTGTACCATTGTAAGATTCGTATTGCTTTTCAACATTCATAAAGTCATAAGTAAAAGTCTTGTTTTCGGTCAATTCACCTGCTGGTGCCAATTCTCTAACCAAAGATGTAAATTCATAATGATTACCTCTGTCATAATATAATTCTAAAAGAGAAGAGACAAAAAAAAAAGATTAATTAGATTTTTTCCTTTACTTTTTCTTTTTTTTTTTTTTTTTAATTTATATATTATATATATGAACAGTGATTTGCAGGTGATTCGAGACTTACCAATTTGTCCAACAAACTCTACTTTGATCCCTTTGTGTTCAATCTTTTTAGCCTTATCCTTCAAGGTGATAGCAACTTTGCCAGAGACTGGTTCATTACCAACAAATACAAATAGCTTTTCAACCTTTCCTTTGTCTTGAGTAACTTCTATTGTCTTTCTATTTTGACAGTTATCTAAATCAAAATCGATGGTACATGGTGTTCCTGTTACCAATTGATTAAAAAAGTTCTGATATAGGTGGTTATTGTGTGCATATAAATATATATATATAGGTAGTGATAGTAGTTAACCATGTTAGTTCATCAAGTATCTTTCATTGTCCTATTGTAGCAACCAAAGTGTGTTCTTGTCCCTGACAGCGCCGTCAGAGATTAGAAGATATTTGTAGTATCAGCTATTGTACACAATAGGAGGTGTATTGCTTGATCAAGATTAATTACCATTTTCTATGTGTGTTTATTCCTTTTTTGGTCTAAACTACTATACTGTGCTCTACTGTTGCTATTGATATAGTATGGTTGTTAATATTAGAGAGTATTCGATAATACAACTGTTATCACAGAAAGAGAGAAGAAACAAAGGTCTCAATAAATTTAAAGTGAAATCAAGGTAGGGAGAATTAATGAAAACAAAAAAAAAAAAAAAAAAAAGATTAAAATCTCTTTTCCTTTTTCTGCGCAGGTCGACCCACCTCACCAGTATCTTCCTCCGAATCAAGGGATATCGATTAAAAGGTCTTTAGTTTTGGTACTTTGTCAAAAATTAGTTAACTTTGTAATCACATCATTATAGGTAAGGATGTTTATTCAAAAACAGCCCCCCTTCTTTATTCTTTATTGAGTAATTTTAAACCCAATTCAGTTAATTCGGCAGAGGTTACTTGGGATGGTGAATTGGTCATGAGTTCACGACCACCAGATGTTTTTGGAAAAGCAATGACATCACGAATAGATGGTGATCCTACCATGAGTGCCATTAATCTATCGAATCCAAGTGCAATACCTCCGTGTGGTGGACAACCAAGGGAGAGTGCATTGAGAAGATGTGAGAAACGTTGGACAAGATGTGGTTCGAGTTTGAGTACTCCTTCAAGTACCTTGAGTTGGAGTGCAGAGTTGTGAATACGAATCGATCCTCCACCGAGTTCGACGCCATTCAAAACAATGTCATAGTGAAGTCCACGAATGTGTGAAAAGTCTGATGGCTTGGTGCCATTGGCAAGGTGGTGAATATCATCTGGATGTGGAGCTGTGAATGGATGGTGAGTGGCTTGGAGTGGAGAGTTTTCATTCAAATAGTCGGCTGGAGTAAACAATGGGAAATCGACAACCCAGAGAAAGTTGAATTGACGTGGATTGATTTCGAGTAGTTTCTTGTCACGCATCATATTGGCACAGAGAATACGTGTCTTGCCAAGTACTGGTTCTACAATACAACGTGGACCAGCAGACAAGAGGATGAGATCACCTGCTTGTACTGGCTCCTTGTATTCCATTGCGAAACGATTGATGATTTGATCAACCTCTTGTGAGGACATGTGTTTTGAGAGCATCGATTTCCATTCTCTATCAGATTGACATTTGATGGCAATAAGACCAGGTGATCCAGGTGCAAATGTCTTGCTGTCCAAAACCAATTGATCAATTTCTTTCGATGTGAAATGATTCAATACCTGTGGCAATTTAATGCACTTTATGACAGACTTTGCTTCTTCAAAGGTGCTTGGTGGTGTAGCATCGAGTATCTTTTTGAGTAATGGAATAGATGTGTTGGCAAAGACACTTGAAAGGTCTCGCATTTCTAGTCCGTAACGAGTGTCTGGTTTGTCTACACCAAATCTCGACAATGCATCCTTGTACGATAGGAATGGGAATGGTGCTTGGATGGTGTAACCAGCTTCACGCCACATTGAAACGATCAAACCCTCAATGATACGATATACCATATCAACATTGACAAATGACATTTCCATATCGATTTGAGTGAATTCTGGTTGACGATCGGCACGAAGATCTTCATCACGATAGCAACGAGCCAATTGAAAGTAACGATCCATACCACCGACCATCAACAGTTGTTTGTATTGTTGTGGACTTTGAGGAAGACTGTAAAATTGACCTGCCATACGAGTTGGCACTAGATATTCTCTGGCACCCTCTGGTGTTGGTCTAAAGAGGGTGGGTGTTTCTACTTCGGTGAATTTCTGTCGAGTTAAAAAGTCACGTGCTGCCATGGCAACTCGACTTCTCAGACGTATGTTGTGTTGTACGTCTGGACGACGTAGATCGACATATCTATGACGTAGACGCATCTCTTCAGTGACACCGGTATCGTGTTCAATGGTAAATGGTAGATCTCTACATTGATTCAAGAGACAAAGCTCATCGACAGACACCTCTATGGCACCGGTCGACATCTTTTCATTTGTCATACCTTGTGGACGTGCAATGACACGACCTTTGATAGAGACTACACTCTCTAGACTAATATTTGTTTTGATATCCTTTATCTCGTTTAGAGACACCTCCAATACAGTCGATTTCAAACTCAGTTGCTTTGACTCTGAGCTAATACAAAGTTGAGTAGTTCCATGACCATCACGTAAAACGATAAAGATTAGATTATCTCCAATCATACGTAACGATTGTACCCATCCATATAATACAACCTCTGAACCAACATCTTTGATTCTTAATTCTCCACAATCATGTGTTCTTTCAATTATATTATTAAGGTTACTACTAGATGCACTATTATTACTAGATGTTGAATAATATTTGTTTAAACTGTTGTTGTTGATATTGTTGATAGATCTACTATTTGATATAAAGTTACTCCACAATGATGATATATTATTATTATTATTATTATTATCGTTACAAGTTGTAGTTATTTGGTGGTTGTTGTTGTTGTTGTTGTTGTTGTAATTAAAGGTTTGTTGTTTTGAGGATGATGGTGGTGGTGGTGTGATATATGATATCGATCTTTTGATTTGATTTAAAGAATAGCAGCCAAGGCTGTTTTTACGACTACCTAACATCATCATCATCGTTATCGTTATCGTTATCACAACTGACAGATAAATTAACTGATGCAGCTGCCCCTTAACACTAATTAATAAACGAACAGATATTCATTCAAAAAACACAGGACCAAACTCTGAAGATACATAATAATGAAAAAAAGAAAGACGACAGCAAATCAATCTGTTGAAGGTTTCTTCTTTCAAGCTGCTCAAGAAGAACTATAGTATAGTATAGTAGATGATCAACAAAGATGTGTTGGTGTAGATAAGATAACTTGGGAATTCATCTATGTATCATCTTGATGGGTACTTCTAGCAGAAGCGGCTCTGCAACTGTTGGATCAATGTATGATGATATCATAGATTGATGATCACCCAACAACCGCAATATTAAACAGCAGCAACAGTAACAGCAACAACAACAACAACAACAACAACAACAACACCACCAACATCCATTGAGAGGAGACGAAAGGTGGGTGGGTAGTGATTACCGTACCTTGTTCACTCTTTCACCATTACCACTACCACTAGCCATTCTACCCACCACCCTGAACGATATATTTGTACATTGAATGGTTGGGGGTGGGTTCTCTCTGTGCACATATATACAACATCGATGCTGCTATGTATATATATCCATACCGACCCATCATAATAAGGAGGTGAATGGTCAGTTGGGAGATGGTCTCTCTCTCTTTCTCTCTTTAAACCCATTCAACAAAACTATCAACATTTCTAGCGAGCTATCCCACCCTCACTCCCCACCCTCATTATATGTTTTTGATGGTATGTATTACTGTTCTTCTACTTTTTGCACTTCTGCTTTTTTGATATCTTGATCTATGCGACTACTCTTTCTGGTATGTACCACCAATCAACCTTTTTTAATATTACTATTATATATATTAACAACACCTACCCCCCTCCCTCTCCTTCCTCTTACTTTAAAGAACCTAATTATTTCCACCTCTTTTTAAAATAACCAGCAGCAAACATGTTTTGCTTAACCAAGCAGCCAGGTACGTGTAAAATAACAACATCACGACTCAAATATACCAATTTCAACCTTTGTTGTTGTTCTTCTTCTTCTTCTTCTTCTAACTTCAACATAACATCAAATTTATTTTAATCCATTGTGTTGTTTATCAAAATCGACAACACAACACAACACAACAACAGCAACAGCAACACAACAACAGAACAATAATAATAATAATAATAATAATAATAATTTAATAATAATAATTAACACCATTTTTAATTATTTATTTTTAAAACCTCTATCCCCTCATCCATTATTTATAATACCAACCATATTATATCCATCATTCATCTGTTAATTACAGCAATCAATTATTTGTATTTTACCTTTTTAAATATTTCCATCAAATCCAAAAAAAAAAAACAAATAGTACATCTTGAAATTAAAACTAAAAAGTACACCAATTTCCATTATTTCTTGAAGATCCATTGATTTATCAAAAAACAAAAAAGTAATAATCAAAAATAATAATAATAATTATTATTCATCTTCCATTTTGTTTAGATTAACCCAACCAATACTTTGTTGGTATGTAATATCATCTTTAATCACAAATAATAATAATAATTCAAGAGACTCCTATTATTTTTATTATTATTGTTATTATTATTATTCAACTATACTTTTGTGTATATCTTGGTATAAAAGAATTCAACCAAATCTCATTTGTCACCTTTCCTTCTTTTTCACGACCGTCCATGTGTCCGATATTTACCATCCACATCTGTTCCACTACCATCACTATCACTACCACCATTAAACACCCAATCCACCCAACCCCCCCACCCATCCACACTTAATTCTGCTGCACGATTTTCACCCCCCCCCCCAGTCGGTTTTGATTTTGTTGTTATTGTCATCATCAGATTATTGTTCATGTTGATATTATTATTATTATTATGACTACTACGACTACTACTATTATTATTATTATGTGCGTACTAGTTGTTGGTCTCACATACTCGTTCAATTCCAACCACTTTTTGTCAAATTATGTCTAGACTGGCAAAAGTTATAACTGTTGTTTGTGTTTTCAACAACAACATCAGTGCACGATTGTGATGCATTTCTCTCTTTGTTGCAACTTTTCTTTTTCTTTTCAACCTTTTTTGACAAATTAAAATTTTGAAGCAAGCAACATCCAAATTAATTAATAATAATAATATTTAGTCTAGCCATCATCATCAGCGTCCCTACTATCACTCAAAATTATAATATAATTTAACAAGAGGACAGGTACAATATTATTACTAGCACTTACCGCAACAAACCCACTCACTCTGTTTAATTGTAATTTATCCTTTTTCAAAAAAATTTTTTTTGTTGTAAATCCCATGATATAGTAGTCATTATTTATTAAATCACAATCCATAGATTTTTAGTAATACCAATCAAGATTTTATTTAGTAATAATATTAATATTTATTTATTTTTTATCAATCAATCAATCAGTTCAAAGCTTTGAAAACAAAGAAATTCAATCAATAGTAGTAGTAGCAACACTTTACAATAATTAATAATAATCAAAAAGATAAAAAGAAGAAAAAGAAAAAATAATTTTAGAATATTAGAGGATTCTCTAAAACAAAAAAAAATATATATACAATATGTCCGATGTAACACCTGCACCAGCAGAGACTTGCTATTGTGATCCAACCATTCTATCATATGGATGTAACGAAAATGGATGCTTGGCAATTGCAGTAATATTTTTAATATTATTTTCAATCCCATTTGTAATTTGTATATATCGTTTCTTTATACTCTTTCAAAAACCAAAAGAAAATCTTTGGTCCATCGTATCGCATTCCTTTATTGCTGTTACATGTGTTTGTAAGTATACCTAATATTATATAATGCTAAAAACTACTACCACTACTATGATATTAATAATATGATTATTATTATTATTATTTCTATATATATATATAGGTAGAATAGTTAGATCAGGATGTTTAATTGCAAGAGTAGCCAATTTGGCAGGAATGGCATTATTATATCTTTTCCCAATTGGATTTTTAATTTGTTCCTATTTCAACACACTCTATGTATGGATCAAGATTATCTATCACGTTAATTTCTCTAAAGTTGTAGAGAGAATTTTCCCGTCACTTGGCAAAACTATGATTGCATTACAAGTATTATTGATCGTTTGTATTATTATCGTATCTATGGTTCAATCTCCATATCAAGTTACCAATGGTATTTTAGGTGCTTTTATCTTTTTTGGAGCGTATGTAACAAAAAAAAAAACAAGAGAAAATGGTTAGTTAATATTTTAATTATTTTTATTTAGACTTGGATTTGCCATTTTTGGAAAGATGATTTGGAGAGAATATCGTGATATTTCATCAAAGGATTGTGGAGTATTCAGTCAAACCACACATTCAAAGATTCAAAAGGTTACTAAATTGTCGGCTGCTGCCATCGTTGTCACCTTTTGTACGTTTGGTGTGATTATTTGGGGATTGGTATCATCCTATCCATTGGGCATAAAGAGTTTGATTGCATTCTCGTTGGTAGGCAGAGGAATAGAAGTATCATGGATCATATCTATGCTTTTAGTGCTTTCTCCTAGTTTGCAAACTTGGGGTGCTGGTGCATCAAAACAAGTCAGTTCAATGGGTGCCAACCAACACTTTGAAGATCTCAGTGATAGTTCAATCGATATTGAAGATGGAGAAGTAACATCATCCAAGAAACAACAACAACAACAACAACAACATCAAGCAACATCTATTACAACTGCCACTAAAATGAATCATTTACATGGAATTGATGATAGTGATGATGATAGTAGTAGTAGCAGTAGTAGTAGTAATATTGATCTTCCTACCTCCCCTACTGTTGTCAATAATAATAATAATAATAATAATAATAATAATAATAATACAACTACCACCAATCAAAATCAAAATCAAAATCAAAATCAAAATACCAACGAAAATACTAATAATTCTACAATTGATAATAATCAACAACAACAACAATCAACTGGAGGTTCATCTGAAGTTTAAATTTAAACATTAATCAAATAATATTTTTTCTTTAGAAATATTATTATTCCTATTATATCAAAACATATTTATCATCCGTCAAACCCAAATCTTACTTTTATTAAATATACATCAAACTATAAATTTAAAAGGCCGCAAAATAAACCACATGTACTATATTATTATATTAAATATTAAATATTTTGATTGATTATAGTTTTTTTTTTTTTATGTATCAATTATTTTATTTACTGATTTTATTATTGTATATTTTTTTCTTTGTTTCTAACAGTACTGATTGCTGATATGGTATGGTTATTTCTTATTATTATTTGTTTTTTTTGTTTTTTTTAGATTACTTCAAAATATCTTTGAGTTTCCCATCTATGAACTTGATGATTGAATGTTCTATATTCCCATCTTCTAGTTTGAACAAAGTGATCAATAAATTCTTCACCTAACAATTCTTTTGCAATGTCAGACTTTGCCAACAATTCAGTACTCTCTGATAGAGTTCTTGGTAGACGTGGAACAAGACCCTTCTTGTAGAGGTCATAACTATTGCCAACAATTGGTTCTTGTGTAAGTTTTAACTTGTTTTTTACTCCATAGAGACCGGCAGCAAAACTAGCAGCAATGGCAATATATGGATTAACATCACTACCAGTAACTCTAAACTCTGATCTTGTTGCCTTTCCACCCTTGATGACACGAATGGCTACCGTTCTGTTATCATATCCCCATGTTGGTGTGGTGGGTGCCCAATAACCATCGACCAATCTCTTGTAACTATTGATAGTTGGTGCAAAGAATGGAAGGAATTCTGGAAGGAGTTGTAACTGACCAGCCAAGAAGCTCTTGAATGTTTCAGAAATCTCTCCCTTTGAATCGGCAAATAGATTGGTCTTTCCATCGAGACTTTGGAAGTTTTGATGCATGTGACCTGAACATCCTGGTAGTTGGGTGGATGGCTTGGCCATGAATGAAGCCATGATACCAAATTTGGCACCAATTTCTTTTGTGGCCAACTTGAATAGAATGGCACGATCGGCAGCTTCCAAGGCATCACTAAATTGAATGGCCACTTCATAGACACCTGGACCAGTTTCAGTATGAAGACCTTCCAAAGGAATACCATAGTCTTTGAGAGCGGCCAACGTATTTGCATACTCTGAATTGGAGGCGACTCTTAAAAGACTGTAACCAAACATACCATTGGTGAGTGGAGACAGGTTCATAAAGTCCTTTTCATAGATGGTTTGATTATTCTCTAGATAATTGTACCATTCAAACTCCATTCCCATCATTGGTTCGAATCCAGCCTCTCTACAATCTTTGATCACCTTTTTCAAAAGATTACGTGGACAAATGGGTAGAGGTTTATTTGGATCATCGGTCTTGTAAAAGTCAATGAGGAAGAAAGGGGTGTTGTTCTCCCATGGAATCAATCTAAAGGTTCCAAGATCTGGTTTGGCACCAATATCTGGATAACCTGTATGATTGCCAGTGAATTGAACATTGTCATAGCATTGATCCTCTGAATCCCAACCAAAAATGACACTACAAAAACCCAATCCTTTAGTAGCAGCCGATTCAAACTTTTCCTTTTGTAGATATTTTCCTCTAAGAATGCCATCAATATCTGAACCAGCAACTTTAACCATTGGTGCAGAACTATTCTTTACTTGATTTATAATTAAATCTTCTGGTGTCATTCTACCTTCATCATATTTTGTTCCAAAATATCTTTTAATTCTAGAATTATCTTCATTGTTGAGATGATTATTTAAAATAGTCTTGTTTGATGAATATTTAAAATTTAAAGGTGATGATAATTTGGTTGTTGTTGTTGTTGGTTGAATTGAGTTTTTAAAAGCTATTAAACTATTTCTACTGATCGATTGTTTAAACATTTTGTTGTGTGTGTTTTTATAAAATACAGTTAATCTATTATTATTAAATAGATCTATATATATACAGAGAGAGTGGAAGAGTGAGGAGATATGAAATGTACAAAAAAAATATAAAATGATGCTATTAAAGCAAGAATTGTGTGTTGGGGATAGGAAAAAACAAGATATATTTTAGAACAAAGCAAGATTAATATTTATATATATATACAATTGAGAGAATAGAATGAAAAAACAAATGAAGAAAGAGAGAGGAGGGGCTACTTGAAATGCATGGGTTGATTAATTTTTTAATATTTGGGAGACCTGAAATTTTTTTGGAATGAGGGTTTCCCTGGACCACACCCTTTCGGATTTTTTATTCATTGAACTTCATCTTTGAAAAATCTTTGTACCTTTTTTATTTATTGTTTCCATTGACCTATATATTACCTTTTTTCAATCAATTTTAAAGTCCCAATGATTGAATAGTTTGACAATATTACCTTTTTTCAATCAGTTTTAAAGTCCCAATGATTGAATAGTTTGACAATATTCTTGCTCTGTTGTCCTATACAATTCCAACAATATTTTTTTTTTACTTTCTTCTGCTTCTTTTAATTTGGCTGGATCATCTTTGATACTTTCATCTACTTCGTTTCCAATGTATTGTTTATATAATTTCTTTTTAATCGATATTCTATAGTTTTTATAGACTGGACTATTTGATGGCATATGCATTAATTTACTTAATAAATAAATTTCTAAACATATTTTGCTTTGTGACTTTTTAAAAAATAATTAAATAAAATTTAGTTGGATTATTAATTATACTACTATACTATTCTATACATACTGGAGAGATTAATAATTTTTTACGTATATTTTCAAATAGTAGAGTATTGGCAGATAATGAAAGTGAATTATTTGGTTGAATATCTTTAAACAATTCAGAACGCATAATGTTACCAAGATCTACAGTATTACGTAAAAGACTAAATTGTTCACCTGGATCTTCAACCGTTAAATCATAACATGGTCCATATACACTATCATTTGTTAAATAATAATTATAAATTGAATTAAATAAATGTTCTAAAAATAAATAAATAAATAAAATATATTAGTCCTAGACTATACTCTCTTTTATATCTATCTATCTATCTATCATTTTACATACTTCCATGACCCATTCTTTGATAAGGTGGTAAAACCAAAAATTGACTAATACGAGGACGTGTTTGAGATGGATGATGATAGAAATTGTATAGAGTGCAATAGCCAGCTATGCCATATCGTGGTTGTCCATCAATCATTCTCTTTTCAAAGATAAAAAATACATCCCAATTGGTGTCGTTGGAGTGAATAAATGACGATGCATCAATAAACCACAAACAGAATATTTGTAGTCTTTCATGATATCTCAGAACGGCTGGATCTGATATTCTTCCAAAATAGATTTCATAAACCATCTCTTCTCCAATCTCTCTATCAACAATTGTATATTCTTTTAATTTAACTCCAACTGGTACAAAATCCTTTTCTTTGTTTTCTAAATGCTAGCAAGAATTAGATTAAATTAGAATAAATTGTTGGTTTTTTAAAGAGAAAAAAAAAGGTGGTATCATCTGACAGACTACCCTACTACTACTACTACTACTACTACTACTACTACTACTACTACTACTACTACTACTACTACTACTACTACTACTACTACTACTACATACATCTTGTAATTGATTGATTGATCTAAAAGGTGGATCAGTTTTTGACATGAAACCAGTAATTTGTTTCTCTACATTTGTAATATTTCTAGATTTGATAGTATAGTTTGTATCAATAAACGAATAGAGACTACCAGCAGTAAAGAATATGTTTAATCTAAGTGGATCATATCCCATGATTTGTTCCTCTTTGAAAAAGTTGTGTGAAAACTCTGTATTAAAAGGTGCAAACCTATTATCTCTTTCATGTATATTGATTCGATAAAAGTTGTTTTGTATTTGTTGTTGGTCTTGTTGTTGATGTTGTTGATGATCTTGTTGTTGTTGTTGTTGTTGTTGTTTTTGGTCTCGTTCAAGATAGTTTACAAGTTCATGTGATGTCCACACAAACTTGATATTGGTTGATTGATTAGAATCAAATTTTAATATTGTTGTCATTCACTACTACTTCTATTATATAACTATTACTATATAACTATATATGATGATATTGGTTAAAGAAGAAGACTAAATCGCTTAGCGCTACAACCATCATACTATTAAAAAAAAATTCAAATTATTTGAAGTTCAGGTGGTGGTAAAAATAATATTAATTAATTATTTTTATTGAATGAATGGAGAGATCCAGTTGTAATAGTTAAAAAACTAGAACAACAGCAATAATAATAATTAATTTAATATATTTCTAGAATAATAATAATAATATATAATACATAATGAAAACATTAAAAAGTCTATCATTGAACAAATGCAAAAGAATGGGGAGTAATAAACACGAAACCTATGGAGAGGTAGAATTAAATAATTGTGGTTTCACTCATGTAGATGCAACTATGGAAGGTACCGTTGGTACATATACTATCAATATTGATATGGATCCAAAAACAGGAAAAGTGTCATCTGATTGTTCTTGTCCCGTTGGAGATGGTTGGTGTAAACATATAAGGGCAACAGCAATAGCAATGTATTATAATCTCAAACAAAAATCTCTATCATCTTTTACACCAAAAGTACAATACAAAGAGTCGTTGGATAAAATGTCAAAAGATGAATTAGTTGGAATCATCATGGAATTGAAATTCCCAGATCAAGACGATGATGAAGAAGACGAAGAAGACAATGAAGATGATGATGAAGATGAAGATGACGATGACGATGACGATGAAGATGAAGATGAAGATGAAAATTATAGTGATAGTTCATTTGGAGGGTACTATAATAGAAAAAGAAAACGTTATCATTATTAATAAATGTCATTTTATCCAAATGAATGCACCACCAATACTTTTCAAACCTCCTGTTATTAAACTTTGATTTCACTTATTACACTTGGGTTGCATTGATATTAATCAACAATCAATCAATCAATCTATTTTACCGTTACCGTTGTTATATAAATCTATCTTCCCTTCCTTCCATTTGACGCAAAGTAAATCTAAAGAACACATTTAATAATATCTGTACTTTTAGGCATTAACATCACAAAAAATAAAGTGTAGAGTGCCATTGTTCCGCTGATCTTATCAATCCAACTGACTCTCTGCAAAATAGGAGTCGAATTGCACAGCGTCGCGGGAAATGATAGACACAACTGTCACATGAAAGTTCACATTCCTTTTCCTTTCGGATTTTAATTTTTTTTAAATTTTTTATATAAAACTAACTCGCACTCTTCTTGTTCGTCACCATTAAACATCGATCAGGCAGTTTCTTTTACTTTTACTTTCTCTATCTTTTTTTAGATATATAAATACCTTTTACATAAAAAATGTTTATTCAAAGAATATTCTTTGCTATTATGCTTACATGGATGTCTGTATCCATGGCCTACCAAATCCCAATCAGCGGTGCTGGTAAGGTTATCAATCATGCTACTTGGGTCGAACAAAAGCGTCCAGGTTTCCTCCCACCAATGGGTTTCAAGAGATCTGCTGATCGTGGTGATGTTCCAGTAGTCGATTATGCTTTCCAAGCTGTTCCTGCCAACTTTAACTCTGCTCAACAATGGTCCAATTGTTCATACATCTCTGCCATCCAAAGTATGTCAAAAAACATAAATATATATATATATATTTATATATCATCTGATCAACCAAACACATATGTATATTAATATCAATTTGTACTATCACTATAATATTATAATAGATCAAGCAAGATGTGGAAGTTGTTGGGCATTCGGAGCTGTTGAATCAGTTTCCGATCGTTTCTGTATTCACAAAGGTGAAGATGTTTTATTGAGTTTCCAAGATCTAGTTACCTGTGATCAATCAGATAATGGATGTCAGGGAGGTGATGCTTATACTGCAATGAAGGTAAAGGATAATAGCCAACAATACATTTATTTTCCTAGCCAACTTGCTGTTTTATTAATTTCCTTTTAATTTATTTATTTATTTAAAAACTATATAGTTTATCCAAAAGAAGGGTATCGTCTCGAATGACTGTCTCCCATACACCATTCCAACTTGTGCTCCAGCTCAACAACCATGTCTCAACTTTGTTGACACCCCACAATGCGTTGAAAAGTGCTCCAACGCTTCATACACCTATGCTCAAGATCTCCACTTTATCGATGGTGTCTACAGCATGAACCCAACCGTCAATGCCATTCAACAAGAAATCATGACCAACGGTCCAGTTGAAGCCTGTTTTGAAGTATATGAAGATTTCCTCGGATACAAGTCTGGTGTCTACCAACACACCACCGGCAAGGATTTGGGTGGTCACTGTGTCAAGATGATTGGTTGGGGTACCCAAAACAATGAACTCTACTGGATTTGCAACAACTCTTGGACTACTTATTGGGTATGTTAAAACAACAAACTTATATTATTTATACATAATAATTATAATATTCATGGCTAATTTAATTTAATTTAATTTATTATTATAGGGTAACCAAGGTGTTTTCTGGATCAAGGCTGGTGTCAACGAATGTGGTATTGAAAGCGACGTCGTAGCTGCCAAGTTCAAGTAAACAATTAAACACAAACAAAATGATTGAATATTCATCATTAATCATCATCAAATTTATAATAATATAATAATTTTTGTAAAATAAAATTAATCTTCTTTAAGTAACAGGTAAATGATTGATAGATCTATAGGAATTGGGCATAAGCTCATCCAATTGGTGTATTGGATTCATGATAATTTCTTGGGCAAACTACGACTAGTTGGCGCACCCTGAAAGGGTTAAGTCCATTATGTAACTGGAAAAAATATATTAATATTGATCTTCTTTCCCCATGGAAATGACAGGTTGTAATTAACACATTCGACCCCCACAATGAGAGAGGGGAGGTAATGTTATACATGAGTGGGATTTCATTTTATAAAAACTGGAACGGTAGTCACTCTCAGAATGAAACCAAACAAAATTAGAGCTATTGACATTTCCAGCTTTGAATTTATTTTTATTAAAAATTTAATGTATTATGTTTCTAAGATTTCTAAATTTATAATGTAGATATGAAGTACTACCTATAAATAATATTATAAATTGATATCGAGAAATTCTTTAAAATGTCTTGTTGAAATTTTTTTTTTTGGTTTTATTTGATACTTTCTCTATAGAATCTAGTTGATAAATACAATTTTCATAGTGAACTTTGGTTAGATTTGGTTAAATTCAACGAATTTCGAGTTGGAATACTCTTGAATAATTTCCCCTTTTGTTAGGTCTAAATTTAATTATTTTTTAAAACAATAAGCATGAGTAACATTCCCGACACATTGTCTATCTATACACCTTGCTCCTGTTTGATTTGGAGATTTTTTTTTTTCCATATAAAATTAGTATGGACTTCCTCCGGCTTGGGAAAACAATTGTTTGTCAAAATCCCATGTACAAGTGGGTGTTATATGTTTGTATGAAGAGCAGTAGAATCAGTTTCCGATCGTTTCTGTATTCTAAGGAGGGTGAAGATGTTTTATTGAGTTTCCAAGATCTAGTTACCTGTGATCAATCAGATAATGGATGTCAAGAAAATTTTGGTGATGCTTATACTGCAAGCTCAACCACCATGTCTCAACTTTGTTGACACCCCACAATGTGTTGAAAAGTGCTCCAAAGTTTCATACACTTTGTAAATACCAAAACAATATGATATAAAACCCAAACAAACTTGATGGAATTTCAATTGGTTTTAGATCTAAAACTAATTTAAATTAAAAAAAGATTATGATTTTTTCGAATCCACTCACACTATCGTGAAAATCATATCCTCACCATCAGTATAGATCATACTAGAGAGAGATTGTAGACTATAGAAGGAGTAAAAGATAGAAGGTAGATGACAGATAATTACAAAGGACTCTTACAAGAGATTTGTCAGAAACATCGAGAAGGTGTTCCCAACTATACAGAATGTCATCAAGCTCCTGGTCCAAATAATTCAAATATATTCACTTCACAGGTACATTGTCTGTTTAGAGGTACAGATCTTTCGGGTGAGGGAAAGGGAAAGACAAAGAAAGATGCTGAAAAGGCTTCTGCTCTTAGTGTCATTCATCAACTATTTATACTCTTTCCTGAAATTAAACCTACTTCTTTTAATTCTTCTCCCTCTTCTCCCTCTTCCTCCTCTGATCCTTCATCTTATTCATCTTCTTATACCTCTTCTTCACCTTCACCTGTGGCCAATCATTTTGTCCCTTCTTCTTCTTCCTCTTACTCTGCTTCTGCAACCTCCTCCTCCTCTTCTGTACCATACACACATACTATATTTAGTATACCAACTACATCAACTACATCAACAACAACAAGTACCACATCAGCTACTATTATAGAAGAGAATGATACCATTTCATCATCACCATCTATTACACCACCTCCAACACCTCCATTTAGAAGTCATGAAAGACCAACTACACCTACATCATCGTCATCTACCTACTTGTACGATGATCAATCATCAACGTCATCATTTAATATCGACTCTTCCAAATCATCAAGTTCCTACACACCAACAACAACAACAACAACTCAACAACAACTTCAAATTGATGCACTTCAAAAAATAGTAAAAGACCAACAATTAAAGTTTGCCAAAGAGATATTTGAGATGAAACAAAACCATGAACGTTCCAACAAGGTACTGGAAGATAGAATAGCAGAGATGGAAAGAAAGTTTGAAGTCGTAAAAGAATTTGTTGATCACAAACTCAAACAACCTAAAAAGAATAATGACAAGACTCATTCCTATAAGATTGTCATGGCTACATCTACTGTAGAGAAACCACCAATTCTTTCTCCTTCTTCTTCTTCCTCCTCCACTTACACTTCCACTTCCACTTCTTCTCGTACATATGGAAGACAACAACAATCAACAATCAACTATCAAAGTGTGGTACATCCTGAAATTGCCAAAATTGACAACAACAAAGTACCAGAGACGATGAATTTCCTTGTCTATCATCTTGTCGTTTCTCATGGTTTCCAACCATCCAACTTTTCACATCTCGATCGTAAATATCGACACAATGGATTTGTACTCTACACTCAAGAGATACTTCATCGAAAGCCTGTAATACATATATCCAATGCTGCAGGACAACACTTTGGAGTAACAGTCATCCAGTCAAAGCAGGTTAGTGTCAGTCGATCCGACTTTCAGTTTATGCTCACCTTTTTTAACTTTTTCTATGGTCCAGTGCTCGAACAACACTACATGCCAACCAATGAAAACGATCGTCACTTTTTCGTGCCAGATGTAGAACCAGCCGACACTGCTCCAGGAAGCATGAGTGTTGGTGAAAAGTTCCGTATCCTCTTTGATCTCATCCAACAAATCGATGTCTTGGGTGTCTGTCCTCCAGGTATAAAAGACAAGAACCAAATGGTTGAATTCTTTAAAGAAAGATTCCTCAACAAGGTTCAAATGACTGCTCGTGGTGACTTTGTCGTTTGTAGAGGTGTCGACCCAAAGAAAACATTCCGTTATGACTCTGTTCCATACAAGGTCAAACGTATGGATGGTAAGCCCGTCCCTCTCGTCAGTAATGAAGCACCCATTATAATGTGTACTCATACTGGTGCATCGCTTGGTGGTGAAGAGTACTGGTCTCTCAAACCTCTTCTCTACTTTAACAAGGATGGCAATGAAGAGGATCTCAGTCGTTGGAACATTGATCCATATCTTCCCAAATCTGATGTTGCCCCACGGGAACATGCCCCTGTTCGTGATGCTCATCTCGAGGAACCCATTCATTTTGAAGACTATATCAGAAAGAGAAAGTTACAGGAGCGTGATCCACTCGTCCACAAAGTCTATGGCATTACAAGTGAAATGCATGCAATGGCCAAGGTCATTGTTCTTGTCTATCAACCAGAACTAAAGTGGTGGGCAAAGATGTATGAATTCCAAAAATCATTTGTCTCTATCAAGAATGACCTTTTACTCAGACAAGTATTCACTCATCCATCGACCAAGATGATCAACTCTCTTGTACCACAATCGTACAATATATTTAGAGACTATTTGCCTTTTGATGGTGACAATCAAAGATTAGAGTTTTTGGGTGACTCTGTACTCAAGTTTTGTACAACCTACTATCTCTACTTTAAGTATCCACAATTAAGAGAAGGTCAACTCACTTCCAAACGTAGTGAGATTACAAGCAACAGTTATCTACTCTCAAAATGTGAACGTTGGAATGTTGTAGATCTGCTTCGTTTTACTGTCACCGAAGATATGAAAAAACCAAAGGCCGATGTCATGGAAGCAATCTTTGGAGCTCTCTTTATTGAACGAGGTGTAAAAGAAGCATATCAATTCATTGTTCAAAATATCTTTCAAGATCCTGAATTTTCTCAATTCCCAGAGTATCTTTGTAGTTGTATATCTGAATTACCTCCAAGTATGAAGAAAGAAACAAAAAATATAAAGATTATATTACTAACCTTTTACCTTTTTCTTTTTTTTTAGGTAGAAGACAATCTAAATTTTTATTTGATTTAAGAATCAATATTAAAAAAACATGTCTTTTCCAACAGAGTATGACATGTTCTGGTGATTTGGATAGTTATGAAAGATTGGAATTTTTGGGAGATGCATTTTTAGATTTGGTGATTAGTAAACATCTCTATGATCAATTCCCAGACAAACAAGAAGGCTTTTTGTCAACAGCTCGCGCTGGACTCGTAAAGAATGAGGCATTGGCACAGATCAGTCAAAAGATTAATCTTAGTTTGGCCATTTCAGATCCACATATTCATTTTACAGTCAAGAGATTGGGTGATCTCTTGGAAGCATTTATTGGATGTCTTCTTTTGGATTGTGGTATGGAAAAGACTAAATATTTTATTCATACTCAATTCAATTTAGCTTCAAAAGACACTGTCCTTGAAGCCTATCGTTTAGAGTGTATCTCTTCAAAACAGTTTCAGACAACTACCACTTCTACCACCTCTACCACTTCAACTGCCATTCCTTCATCACCACAACAATACAATGGAAATAATAATAATGATAATGCTAATAGCATCGGAATCGATTCTGTCATTGAAAGTTTCGATGCAATTAACATCAAACAACAACAAAATGGAACAGATTTTGAACAAGAAGATAATAGTAGTGATAGTTCTTTTGAATCTGATGATGATGATGAAGAAGAACATAAAGAAATTCAAATTATCAACAACAACAATAATAATGATGATAATAATAATAATAACAATTAAAATTAAATAAAAAACAAATATATAAAAAATAAATATATTTTTTGAAGTCACCAACAATAAGATTAAAGAAAGACATTGACACTTTTTTTGATTAAAGATATTCATTATTCATCAAGAAAGAAGAAAAAGAAGAAGAATGTCATCTTCAAATGATGTAGTAGTAGCAGGAGGAGGAGGAGAAGAAGAAGAACAACAAGTTTGGTTATTATCAGAAAAAGGAGATCAAATATTGGATTCACTATTACTCAATATACATCAATTCACAAAACAAGTACTATCAATGCATTGGGATCCTGTTCAATTACATACTGTCTTACCAACTAAAACAGTTGATACCTATTCATCTGGTTTCTCTGAACATATCTATGGTTCTGATACTCCTTTACCTCTTAAATATCAACCAAAAAGAAATGATCAACAACTACAACAACAAGCTGATACAAATCAACAACAATCACAACAACCAACAGATATATATACCAACATGTTTAATCATTTCAATTTAAATGATCCAAATGAACATTTGGACAGAGCTGTATTTGAAAAGGATACATCAAAGACAAAAGAAGTTGGAGAACAATGTTTGGAACAACTACGAAAGTTAACCACCGTCGTAAACGGTATTGTAAATTTAGAACTATCATCACTATCAAAGAAAAATATTCGTAAACAACAACTACAACAACAACAAAAGGAAACTGAAATCAAAGACATTGAACAACAACAAAAAATAGAAGATATAGAAATGCAAAGTACATCAACTACTACGACGACGACGGCAATAGCTGAAACTACCACCACCACCACTACTACAATGACCAATCTTGGTGATCATGAATCAAAGGTAATTCAAGGCATCATCGATGAATCAAAACAAAAAAGAAAAGAATTATCAGATTTAAAGCATGTATGTATTACATATTATATAATAATAAGAAGAAGAAGAAGAAGAAGAAGAATATCACACAATTGTCACCATATATATCATCGATACTGATCAACTTTATATCAATTTAATTTAGGAGGCACACAAAAGAGATTTAATAATTAAAAAGTTAATTGATCAAATGAGACTTTTACAATTAAGCATAAATACAATGAACAAGGTATCTATACCTTCAGATTAATATTACCGATCAATATATATATATTTGTAATTGTAGTTTTTTATTTTATTTATTTATTTATTTTTTTTGGTATAATCTCGGTATTGGTTAACAAGCTTCTCCAGTTTTTGAACCAGCAGCCTTAAAGTTAAAAGCAAAGAAATGGTCATTTGACCAAGCATAATTCATTCCACTTGGAGAACATTGAAGTTCAAGGTTGAATCCTGGCGATGATGGGTCTTTCCAGAGTGGTGTCATACTGCATGTACCATCTTGATTCAATACGATACCGCTTCGGTCGTAAAAGGAAATTGAGGGCTTTGTCTCTGCAAAGGGCTGAACCTTTGAGTTTGCACAGTCTTCATTGTCACTGGTTACCACACTGAATGAATCCCCATTGGTCAAGAAGTGACCCTGAGGAAAGTAGTAGAGGTCGTTACGCGTAAACACTACATTTCCATTTGGCATTACTACTGTCATTTGTACTCTTTGTTTCTGTCCATTAAAATATGGTGCCAATTGCGATAGACATCTGGGATCTGATGCTGATGCTAATCCTAGCACTAATCCTATTACTACTATTAATAATAAGATTCTCATTGGATTTATATTTTAAAAAGATATATAGAAAAGGAAAATAGATAGGTTAAAAGGTAGGAAGCAACAAACAAAAAGGAAGAAATTAAAATGATTCAAACCAGAGGACATTAACCATCATTTATAAACATGAAATTGCAGAAGAGTTGTTACACACAACATTACAATTGTATAATCCATTCATCAATATCACACATTGCTTTGCTTTATGTTTTTACCTCTGTCGCTTCCAACTCAATGAAGAAGTTTTGATAACCCCCAAACAAAAAAAATATTGTTATTAATACAACCACTACCACCCACCATTGTTCTCAATGATGGGTTAGTTTTGTTGCCATTATCTTTTGTAAATCTCATTCTTTCAAATCCCTCCTTTTTGTTTCTTCAATGGTACTAGATATTTTTTTCCAAGATGTTATCAGACACACCAAGTAGAAATGTTTGTTTGTTGGATGTTGAAAACTGGATCAAAAATATCCAAGATTATTGTTTTCTCTTAATCATCTATAATAATTGTTGTGGTTCGAGATGGTGGATGGCTAGAGATGATGATGATGTGGGTGACACGGAACGGATAGGGAAAATTGTTTATTTTTCTTGAATTTCCTCATATCTCTTTTGGATAGTTTCCATCTTTATCATCTTGTTTGAAATTTCTATTGATAATCTTAAAGCTGAAATGGAATATTATTAATGATGATGTTTTTTTTTTTCCAATCAATCCTCTGTCCGTCTGTCAGTCATACCTTGCTTAAAATAAAGTTGTGATTGTTTTAAAGTGGCAGGAGTTAAATATCCAAACCAAAAGATTGGATTGGCCTTTAACTCGGTTGTTCGCCTCTTTGGTTTACGTGGAGTAGATTTCTTTTCGCCACTATTTTCATTACCATTATTATTTTCATTGTCATCGCTATTGTCGTCATTATTTTCATCGTCTGAATCGCTATCACTGTCACTTTCTTGGTCAATTGAAGATGAACTTAATAATCTTTCAATTGATCCCATTGTAGTGGTACCTGTCTTTGGATCCACTGAAATCTCTGGTTCCTTATTGAATTTTGTTCTTCTACGAGTCGTCGATTCATTTTCACCAGTTTCATTATTACCATTATTATTATTATTATTATTATTATTATTGCCATTATTATTGTTGTTATTGTTCTTTTTTATATCAGTTTGAATTTCATGATATGATATTTCATTATGTACATTATCAATATTATAACCATCTTTTGGACTAAAAGATTTAGATAAAGATGATCATTTAGTAAAGTGTATTATTATAATAAGACCAAATATATAAAGTCTGGTTCATACATTTCAAGTTTAATAGTTGGTTTCATATTCTCTGGATATTGTAATTGACCAAGTGATTTCAAACCCATTGTATTTCTTGATTTAGTTATTAAAAAGTAACCCTATAAAAAAGATCAATTGAATTAATCAATCAATGCTAACACATCATTTTGTTTGTTTGTTTGTTTGTTTGTCTCGAGATCTTTAGATTGCATACATTCTTTAAGGCATCGTTTAATTGACTTCTCAATTGAGTGAGTAATGTATATTCGTCAAAATACTCTGTTAATAACTTTTCACAAGTCTCTTTGTTGCTATTGCTACTTGTCATCTAGTTATAATAGTAGTAATAGTAATAGTATAGATAAATATATATAAATGTGATAAAAAAAAACTGTTGATTAAAATATATTCAAACAACTTCCCAGGAAGGAATTTTTTATTTTTTATTTTTTTTTTGTAGCTCTTGAAAAGAAGAAGAGGTTATCCCTTTTACCTATTATCAATATCTATCGTTTTTACTATCTTTTTTATATTTATATATATATATTAAATCATGTCATCTGTAGGTTGATTATAAACAAACAATACTAAGGAGGAGACAGCTGGAGTACATATAGAAGAGATCAACATCATTATCATCATCAACAAACGAGTAGCATTAAATATCTACAAACATGTTGGTTTCGAACAACACAACAACAAATCAATAGTCATATGATGATGATGATGATGATGAAGTTGGTCTTCTATTAGACAATCTGCAATACTTCCTGTGCGGCTATCATGTCATTGTTATAACGAATCAAGTTTAAACTAATCAACAACAATATCTATTAAAATACAGGAACTTAATAACTTTTGTCAAAAGATCATTCAAAGATTCCAAGGATCATCTATAGTAATTGCAGATAAGGATGGTTTTGTTTTAGCCAAGGGTAAATAAATTAGAACAACAAGACAACAACAAAACGACAACAAAACAAAACAACTACACATAATACTTACACCTCTTTTCATTCCGTTAGCTATTGACCACGACACTATGGAAGAAAAAGTAATCGACAGTTCATTTTTATCTACCTTTTCATTGGCATCTGATCAGGTAAGACTAGAGTTTTAAAAACAACAACTACAACAACAACAACAACACCCTATTCTCTGATTTGATGAATAATAGAATAGAATAATAATTCTATTATTATTATTATTATTATTGGTGAACCAATTCATTAATCTCCCCTTTTTGATTTATTTATATAGGCTGGTAAACTTTTATTTGGAAAGAACAAGAGCATTGTTTCATATTTTGACGATAAATTGGTATTTCAAATCAATGTTCAAAACATTATAGTATCTATTATTTGGGATTCAGATTCAAATGTTGGGGTTTTGTTGGGTGCTCAAGATGAAATTATACGTTCACTCACAACACTTTCCAATTCCATTCAATTGGATATTCAAGATTTGTAAAGCTTCACATCGATAATAAACTAATTTAAAATCCCCCCCCCCCCCTCACATACATACATACATACATATAAATATATAAATATAATAAACCTTTGGACCCGCGAGTTGGTATTCTTCAAACGTTGTCACAAGTATAAAACAAACTCCCCCTCCCTATCGATAAATGATATCCCATCCATCCATCTTTTGAATCAATAAAATAAAACTATCATTAATAATGATATTTTTTTTCTTTATTCAATGATTATCTATATCTATATCTATATTTATTAATAAATACTTTTCTAGACCAATATTCCTCAACGACAACATTTAGCACCACCCGACATTTGAAACAACAAGTAGACACTACACAATTTTGGAAGGTCATTCCCTACCCTGCCCCAACCCTAAACCTTCAAACTGTTGTCAGTTTGTTGTCGTGTCACGAACAAGTACGTCATTCTGGAAGTTAAGATCCATAGATTTGTTTGGTCAACCCGAATAGTTGGTGGAACAACAAAAGGCTCAAGTTCTTTTTTTTTTTTTTTTAAATTCCCTTCTCATAAAGTATTTTTTTTTCTTGAACTGATTTTGCTTGAGCTTGTCAGTTTTTTTATTATTAAAACCAAATTAGGAAATATTGACCATTAAGAAAGGCTTTTTGAAAACTCTTCCTCATCAACTTTAATACCCCCCAATGCCCCCGCGACTCTCTTTTAGAGTGGTGGCAGTATTGGTTCATAGACAGTCGACCACCACCAAAACACAACAAACATCGAATTAATTAAAGAGAGTGAGTGAACTAGTGCAACTGTCGCCTGTAGAAAAAGACCAAGACCTAAATGTAGAATATTGAATTTATTATATCACATCCAAAAAGAACAACTCAAAGATCCATAGTACCGTTCATATTTTTGATACATCAATGATATTTCAAAACAACAAACAAACTCTTTTTAGCTTTCTTTTTAAATTATTTATATAGTTTCCACACACCCACCTAAACATTAATTAAATGTCTTTTCAATTTTTATAGGTTATTCATTAAATCAACTAAATAAATATAAATATAAAATATTAATATATATATAATAATAATAATAATAATACTACTAGAGAGAACTAAAAATAATAATAGTAATAATAATAATTTTCAAGAGCAGTATTATATTTTCATGTCAAAACGTCGATAACAAAAAAGGTAAAAGATAATAATAATAATAATAATAATAATCAGTACTGCTGTGTTTGTTTATTGTTGTTGTTCACACATCGTCGTTGACGTATTTTTGTTCGATTTAAAACTATCACCATCTTAATGTTTTTTATAATTTTCGCCGAGTGGTCTTTTTTGATGGATGGGAAAGGTTGTTTTTTATCAACAATCCCTACACCAAAAACCATGGTTGGTTGGGCTCTCTGACCTGACGCGGATGTGCAGAAAACCTACAGACTTGCAGGTCATAAATTTATGAAAGAGGTGCTGTTGTTGTCATTTCCCACTCACTGTTTGCAGGTGTCGACCCAACAGAGAACTGTTTCTTGTTAGACCGCTCTGGGAACTCTTCACTACGATTTACTCTAGCCATCATAAACCTTTCAACCAAATCAGCAACCCCACGATGGTTTACTTGGATCTATAAACATAACCGTTCATCCAAACAACCAATAATTCGTCGTTCCTCATGTTGTCTAGATATCTATCGTCGTTCTCTTTTGGAGCTTGTCAAGCTTTGATTTTAACCTCTTCATTTTATTTGTTAAATCAACCAATCTGTTTTCTTCCTGTTCAAATGTCAGTACTGTCATTCATTCATTCACACATTTCAACTTCTTCTACTACTACTACTACTACAATAGGCATCAATATACCACACATTCATTCTATCTCCTACATACTCTTTTAAGGGATCCATCCACAGTTGTAAGTACACTATTACTCTTTCCCCACACACCATCTTATTATTATGTCTCTCTGCCAAGGTTGACTTGATGTCTGTTCAGAGAATAATTATCTCTTTGTCTTTCTTTCATCCTTGCCCCTCAAATTCATTTTTCAGTGTTGGATATTTTGATCAAACAAAATATCTCCATTGTTCTCGAATAGTCGACTAAAAATAACCCATCAAGGGTGCGCAATCGTGATCGAAAAGCTGTTTTTTTTCCAAATGGCGCAGATTTTTTTTTTATGGCATCATTCCTTTGCATTGAGTGTCAAAAACTCAGCCATCTGTTGGCAAATCACCACCGAGGAAGGTCTACGACTAACCCCTACTCTCTCGATCTGCGTACCCTCCTCTTAACATCCGTCTCCAATATACGAATGTTGGAGGTCGACCACGAGGCGTGTACCTCAGGCTATTTCGAACAAACAAGATGAAGGGTTTTTTTTCTTTTTGTTTTCGATCAGGCTTGTTTTCGAAATCTGCCCTTGCCGCACTGTGACCCTTCGCTCATACAAGCCAATTTTTTTTTGATTTTTTAATTTTTTTTGTTTCGTAGCGAAAAAAACACCTTCACGCCTTTGACCATTCATTCTTCACCCCCAACCTTTTTTTCCCTCTTTCCTTCTATAAGCTCTAGTAACACTACAAACTCTTTCTTTTCTCTCTCTCTTTTATAAAATACTATTATCTATCTATTTTCGATCAAAAGCACTTTTTTTTATATCTTGCTTGATTGAATTTATTGTATCATATTCACCCCCATCAGTAGTATAATAATATTTAAACGAAAAAAAGAGAAAACTTTAAAGCACATACTCGTCAACAAAGGCACAGGAATCCAATTTCGCACCACACACATTTTTGTTTTTGATATATATATACACTACCCTTCCATGTTTTATTAAACAAAACAGCCATACCAGATATATAATCATTTTTTTTTTTCGAGGTCACCCTTAGGCAAACAATTTTTTTGTACCATTACTTTTTGTAGTTTTAAATATTCTATCTTTGTTTAACAATTAGTTACTTTTTTTTTCCAAAGTCTAATTGCCATCTTTTTTTTACTCTGTACATATATTTTATTTTTTTTAACCAAAAACTCCAATTTAAACTAACTTTTAGATAAAGTTATATTAACCAACCATTATTCTTTCAAAATAATTAGAATTTATTCTCAATTAACAAAACACGAAATATATACTTTTTTTTTTTTTTAATATTTATATATTTTCCAACTATATCCCTCTGTACATATATTTGACATTAACAACAACAACAACAACAACAATACAAATAGGAATTCACCAAAACTCCTAAATTAATTAATTTAATTTTTCTTTTTTCAAATTAATTAATTTCCGATCAAACAACAAAAAATCATCCGATAATTATACATTTTCCCCAAACAACCAACATTTTTTTCCAATTACACTCTCTCTTATTCAAAAATGCCATTAATGTGCGAAATTGACCTTCCATTCCTCTCTAAATACTTTCATTTACCAATAAATGATGTAGCTAAAGAGATTGGAGTATGTGCTACTGTTTTAAAGAAGATTTGTAGAAAGAATGGAATTCCAAGATGGCCACATAGAAAGGTAAATATTAAAAAAAAACAAAAAAAACAAATAATAATATATTAATATCTTAATTTCAATAGATTAAAAGTATTGATAAGATGATTTCCAATCTTGAAAATACCACTCCAAAGAATATGGAAGTAGACGTCCGTATTAAAGAAGAGATTGAAAACCTCAAGAGAAAGAAAGCCTACCTTATCAAGAACCCAAATATCCTCGGTTTCAAGTCAAAGACCATCAAAGAGTCTGTACTTGAGGGCCAAGGTCAAATTGATCTTTCTGGAATCGAACCATCTAGTAGTCCAACCCCATCTAGTAGCCAAGCTTTTAAGAATCTTGGTGCTATCTCCAACCCATACATTCATCAAAATCAATTGATGATGGATGAACAACAACTTTGTAATAATAATAATCAACAAAATCAAAATCAAAATAATAATAATAATATCAATAGTAGTAGTGATAACATAAGTAGTTCAGTACCAACTTCTCCAAATTATCATTCATATCCATATCAACAACAACAACAACAACAACAACAACAACAACAAAACTTTAATTATTTCCATACTCTTACCAATGTAGCATCACAACCACAAAACCAACAACAACCACAACCACAATATAATACTGAATTATTACGTACACAATTCTATCAACAACCCCAACAACAACAACAACAACAACAACAACAACAAGTAGTCCAACAGCCACGTTTCATTTCGAGCTCGCCAAGTAAACTTGTTCCATCCCAACAAGGACCACCATCACCATCGCCAAGCACTTGGAGCATTCACCAAGACTCACCATTCCAAACACTCAAACAAGTCGTTACCGATGAACAACAAGTCCATCAACATAAACGTGTATCACCACAACCAGTACAATCATCGACTGAAAGTTCCAACGGATATTTAATTCAGCTTCCCAAATTAATGATTCCAAACTCTTCTTCATTTGGAGATCTCGTATCCCTCTCCACCAACTCCTCTCATTTACAAACCCTTGAGCCAACCTCGCTCATCGAAACCTCTGTACCATCATCTCAACAAAACTCCCCATCTTCCCAACACTATGCACTACCATCGTGGTTTAAAAAGGAACATGACATGGTCCTTCAAAATTTTTCCCAACACCAACAACAACAACAACAACAACAACAAAGAACTTCACCACAACAACAACAACGATCCAATAATGTTATTAGAGTTGATCAATTAATTTCCGACGAAGATAATGTCCCAATTGTTATCCAACACTTTACTTCACCATCTTCTTTAATTGATTGCTAAACAAAAACATTTAAACAATTCTATGTTCTTTGATCCAACCGAGTATTAGTATTCCATATTCACCATCATCTCCAACCCACCGCAAAAACCCCCAGACCAACCAACCAACCAACAGTTGTTAGATAATTCTTTTTAAATATACATATATTTATTAATCCTATTTATATGTTTATTTCCGCCGACTCATAATTATTCTAATCACACATGTAATTATTTTCCCCTACCCTACCCAACCAACCCCCCGCTACCTCCCCAAACGACCAAGATGTCTTTAACAATAAAAACATATTTAAATTAGTATCATAATATTATTATTATTATTATTATTATTATTATTATCATTTGTTGAATCTTTTTTTTATTAATTCTATATATCCTTTGTTATTATTTAATTTATTTTTTATAATTGAGTTTCACCTTGTTGTTCAAAATCTTTTAATTCTTTCTTTACTCTTTTTTTAATTTCCTTTTTCTTTTCATGTTCGATGATTTCTTCTGGATAAATGTATGGTTTGATATTTTTGTGACCAGATGATTCTCTGGTTCTTGTCAACATGAGTGATACCATTGAGGCACCAACAAAGGCAGATGCAAATTTAACAGAGGTACATTTTACAAGAATGTATCCACCAGTCATAAAGATTGCACTACCAAGTGATTCAACTGCTGCTGAACCAGTGAGTGACTTGACGCTACTGATGATCGTTCCAAATATCGACATACCTCCAACCAATAGAATGGGGAAACCAATACTTTCTGTAAGTGGTCTCTTGGTGTACATTCCAAAAGCAGCCATTTGTATAAAAGTTGAAACGACTGGTAGTTTTTGATGTTGCAATGCGTATGGCAAATAATAACGTAGACGAGCTTGTGTAATGTACTTGTCGATAATTATTTGTGGGAGGGTTTGTTGGTTCTTGCTGACTGGTCCATTGGCAGCAATCAATTGAAGCATTGCGTATTTAATGGAAGGAATATTATTTTTGAGATGTTTGGTGATGAGGAATTCAAATACGACAATGATACCACTATCGATCAATATTTGATAACAATCTCTACGATTGATTACAAGGATTGCCAATGATAAACATATCATCTCTGAACATACTAATGGTGTAAATTGACTCTTACAGAATGATACTATTCTATGAATTGGTATATCCTCTTTTTTCACTAAAGATGATTGAAAAAATGATGTCAGTCATATGTACTAGATAATCGACGAATATCTATACTACAAACATACTATTTAAAAGTAATTGAGACATGATTTGAATGGAAATACTAATTGTATTTTCATTTTGAAGATGGTCAAATAGTGTTTTGATATCCTCTTTTGAAGCATGTTTGATGTTTTGTGTTTCATAGGTTGATCTAATGGCAGCAGCGGTAACACTCATAATTTCCAACAACTTTAATACATTGGCACTTGTAGAGATGTCTTTGGTGATGAATTGATTATTGTAAATCACTTGGAGTACCTCTTGTATCTTTGCACCAGAGAGATCAATCTCTCCCTCTACAGTAACCTTTTGATGAAGTTCATCGATAGCATGTTGAATTTGATCTACAATTACTTGACTTGGTCCAACTTGAATGGTTTTTAAATCTATATATAGATTAGGTTAGAAACATTTTAAATTGATGTAACAAGTATACTCCAAATAACAACGACGGTGACGACAACTACATACAATAGAGAGAGAATGAAACAGCAGTAGATAATAAACCAACCTTTACACCTTGAGCCAATGTGACATTATTATGTAATCTAGTTGATGCAAGTGTCAATGTTTCTTTTGCAAGTTTTAAAGGTACTTCTTTAATAGTATCTATATATTGCATTCTAATCTATCTAGTATCTCTATCTATTCTTTTTAAATATATATATGAGAATAGAACCTTTGTTTGATCATCGTTTTTAATCATCATCATTGCTCGAGTACACTGAAAAAACGACAAAAAACAAAAAAGTCTCCCAACTTGATATTATATATTTTCCTATTTATTAATATTAATATTTATATATATATTTATTTATTTATTTAAAGAGAACTAGTTGGATTATTAATAGGAGTTATAGTATGAATAGATTGAAAAGAATGACCTGGTTCAATGAGAGGTGGTCGATTGATAACACCTGCTTCTATACATATCATTTGTAGGTACTCTAAATCACCAAAGTCTTCCATCTTTTTTGACTTTTCAATCCATGGATTCCAAACTACTGCATCTGGTAGACTCTGTGATGATGTTAGTTTGATAGATGATTTGGTGTCTACAATGGTGACTGGTTGTTTAGTGTCTAGATAGACTCTATCAACTTCTTCGCCAATCACTACATTCTTGCGTGCCTCCTTTTCAACGATTAGATTTCTCATCTTGTCAATGTATTCTACTTGATATAGTCCTTCTACGTGTACATTTGATATTTGTGATACTTGGTAGTAGGTGTGGAAGGCCAGTTGAAAGTCCCATGGCTTTTGATCGGTATTGGTAGTGGTAAATCTAAGTTCTAACCGATCGGCAAACAATACTACACTATAGATACACTTGAAAGAGTAGTCCCAAATGGAACGAGTGTAATCATTGTCAACGAGTTGAAGATCAACACCTACACATTGATTGACACTATCAACAAATGTATCGTGAATAGCCCATTCAGTGTTTCTAGCAAATCCATGTGTCTGTATCTTTCCAGGTCCAAATTGTGGAAAGATAATTGGTACACCTCCTCTAATCGCTTTGCCACTTGTAAATACAGACTTTTCACTTGTAAATAAATGTTCACTTGAATTGGTCTTGAATGATATAACATGTCCTCCTAGATAATAATAATAATAATAAAATGTGAATTATTAATATCAAGTTATATACATATGTAGATATATAGATGATAGATAGATAGATAGATATAGATTGATGAATCAACAAACCATGTAAATAAACGGAAGAAGAAGAGTTATTGCCACTATCTAAATGTACAATAGTTAGACCATGTCTTTGATCAATTGAAACATATCCCTTTTTATTCCATTGTTGTTGTAGTGTTGCTATATCTGTCATTATCTATCTCTCTATCTCTATTATATCTATCTATATTATTATTATTATTATTATTATCTCTATGTTGTTAAAAAGTGATTGAATTTGGTTTAAACCACTTTCTAAATTATGTTTCTAAATTAATTGAAGCGTATTCGAAGTTCACACAAAATCACATCTGTTGGTGCATCGCAACGAATAGTTTTCATTGAACACCTAAATTAGATTATCTGTTCAGTTTTAAAAGAGAATAAATCAGCTAGCTTTGATCAAGAAGAGGATCATTTTTATTTTCAACAATTCTATCTTATCTATTTATCTATTTATCTATCATTTAGTTATTCAAAGGAATGACAACACATTCATCAACAACAACAACAACATCAGGTATTGATAATAAATCAGCACAATTTGCATGGTCAAAGCATGGTGCAGCCAAGACAGTTTGTATAGCCTATGCATTGGGTATCGCAATGGGTGTTGGTATATCAGTCTATTTCTATTCTGATTCATTCCCTACATTTGGTCTATACCTAACATCACTATCAATCTTTCATCTATGGGAATACATTTGGGTATCAATGTATGATACTTCTAATCTTTCAAGTGAATGTATGTTATTATATATTATCTATCTATCTATATTATATCATACTAATTAAAATCTCTCTCTCTCTCTCTCTCTCTCTCTCTTTGTCTCTCTAAGCATTCTTATTAAATCATAGTAGAGAATATCATTTAGCATTATTGGTTGGGTTTTCAGAGTTTTGGATTGAATGGTATTTATTCCCATCGTTGAAACAATTTGGATGGATTAGCTTTATTGGATTGATTGGGTCTTTGGGAGGACAAGCACTCAGAACCGTTGCAATGATCACTGCCGGTAGAAACTTTTCACATCTCATACAAGAAGAGAAACGTAAACATCACAAATTGGTGACTAATGGCATCTATCAATACATTAGACATCCAAGTTATTGTGGATGGTTCATTTGGAGTGTATCAACTCAACTATTGATGTTTAATCCAATTTGTATACTAGGTTTTGCCTACGTATCATGGCAATTCTTTAGCGATAGAATTGACTATGAAGAAGACACTTTAATTGAGTTCTTTGGAAATGATTATAAAGAATATAAAAAGAAGGTTTGGTCTGGTGTACCTCTTATTAAATAATATTAAATAATAATAATAATAATAATAACTTTACATGTAAAGTAAACAAATATAGTAATAATAATAATAATAATTGTACATTATAAATATATATAATATAATCCCAATACTATCTTCTTCCTTCTTCCTTCTTCCTTCCTCTTCTTCTTCCAACCTTACCGAGATAGAATAATAATAATAAATAATACTCGTAATTATTAATAATAATAATATTATTTATATACAACATCACTAGATTATACATTCATTCATTACCCTTGATTTTTTAAAAAGTGTGAATGTTTGGAAAAAAATATATTTTCTGTTTTTTTTTATTTATTTTTTATTGCTACCTTGAATGATAATAGAATATAAATTACAATTGAAACCAGTAATTTATATGTAGAAAAATTTAAAGATGGTAAAAGAAGTAGGGAATACTAAAATTTCAATGGATGAAATTGATATACCAACTACAAATAATAGTTTGAACCATCAGAATGGACAACAATCAATAGATTTAGAAAAGAGTGAAATAGATTTTAAAACAACATCATTTATTTTGGAAAATGAATCAAAGAATAATAGATTGAATAATAAAGATGATGGTGATGATTTGGAAAATAGAGTATCACCAGATGATGATAGTAGTGATTTTAAACTTCGACAATACTTTGAAGATTCACAAAGAATGTCAATATCAAATGGAAGTAAACCTAAAAAGATGGGTATTAGTGTTCATAATTTATCGGTTATTGGTATTGGTGCTGATGTATCTGTAATTAAAGATATGTTATCTCCTTTATTCTTTATATTTAATCCTTTTAAATGGTAAAAAAATTAAAAAAAACAAAAAAAAACAATGATTTTAAACATTCTCTCTACCTCTCTTTATCTTCATATTTTAGGAAAAGAAATAATGGTATAACATTTAATATATTAAATAATATAGATATATTTTGTAAAGATGGTGAAATGTTGTTGGTGTTGGGTAGACCTGGTGCAGGTTGTAGTACAATGTTGAGAATGATTGCAAATGTTCAACGTGACACTTATGTCAATGTCAAAGGTACTGTGTCTTATGGTGGTTTGGATTCAGAGAGATGGTCTAGATATAGAGGTGAAGCAATATACATTCCAGAGGAAGACTGTCATTTCCCAACATTGACACTACACCAAACACTCGACTTTGCTCTCAAGTGCAAGACTCCAGGTAATAGGTTACCAGATGAAACGAAACGATCTTTTCGTCAAAAGATATACAAGCTGATGTTGGATATGTATGGATTGGTTAATCAGTCAAATACAATCGTTGGTAATGCCTTTATTAGAGGGTTATCAGGTGGCGAGCGAAAAAGAACAACCATCACCGAAGCAATGGTCTCAGCAGCACCTATCAATTGCTGGGATTGTTCAACTCGTGGTTTAGACAGTGCAAGTGCATTGGACTATGCAAAATCACTTCGTATCATGACAGACACTCTGGACAAGACAACCATTGCAACCTTTTATCAGGCATCTGAATCAATCTATCGTCTATTTGACAAGGTGTTGGTACTTGAAAAGGGTAAATGTATCTACTTTGGTCCAACCGACCAGGCAAAGCAATACTTTGTAGACTTGGGATTCGATTGTGAACCACGTAAATCAACACCCGACTACTTGACTGGTGTCACTAATCCACAAGAAAGAAATATTCGTCAAGGTTTTGAAAGTAGTGCTCCTCAAACTAGTTTTGAATTTGAAGATGCATGGTTACATTCATCGAGTCGTAGTAAAATGCTTCAAGAACAAATGCAATTTGACCAACAGTTGGAAACAGAACAACCATACAAGATATTTGCTCAACAGGTTGAATCAGAGAAATCAAAAACGACACCAAACTCTAGACCATACACTACATCATTTTTCACTCAAGTTCGTGCCCTTACGATACGTCAATTTCAAATCATTTGGGGAAACAAGGTTTCAATGATATCTCGTTACATTTCAGTATTGTTTCAAGCATTTGTGTACGGATCTTTATTTTTCCAACAACCAAATGACATGAACGGACTATTCACAAGGTGTGGTGCGATATTTGGGTCCATTCTATTCAATTCCTTTTTGTCTCAAGGAGAGTTGATAGTCACATTTATGGGCCGTCAAACATTACAAAAACACAAAACCTATGCCATGTATCGTCCATCAGCCTACCACCTGGCTCAAGTCATAACAGATCTACCAATCATCGCATTTCAAGTACTTCTGTTCTCAATCATTGCCTATTTTATGTTTGGTCTTCAATATAGAGTGGAACAATTCTTTTTTTGGATTTTTAGTATGATTGGTCTCACTCTTTGTATCACCAATATTATTCGTGCGCTGGGCCATTTCTCTCCATCTCTGTATGCCTCTCAAAATGTAATGTCTGTCTATCTCTTGTTACTTCTTTGTTATGCTGGGTTTACAGTTCCCTATCCCAAGCTGCATCCATGGTTATCTTGGTTCCTTTGGATTAATCCATTCTCGTATGGATTCAAAGCACTCACTTTAAATGAATTCGAAAATATTATATTTGATTGTAATCAAACTGCCATCCCCTATGGTCCAACTTATCAACAACAATCATCATATCGTACATGTCCTATTCCTGGTTCTGTTCCAGGTCAACTATCAATATCAGGTGAATCATATCTTAAAAGTAATTTTGATATTGATGCATCTAGAAAAGGATTTTATATTTTAATAGTTTACCTATTTTGGGTATTATTTATTATTTTAAATATGTTTGCTTTAGAGTTTATTGATTGGACAAGGTATTTATATTAAAACAAAAAAAAAAAAAATACAATTAAATAATTTAATTAATATTTATTTTTTTAATTAGTGGAGGATATACAAAAAAAGTATATAAAAAAGGTAAAGCACCAAAGATTAATGATTCAAATCAAGAAGAAAAAAAGATAAACAAAATGGTTCAAGAAGCAAATGAAAATATAAAGAATATGTCATTGGATTGTGGTGGTGGTGTATTAACTTGGCAACATATAAAATATACTGTGCCAGTACCAGGTGGAAAGAGATTGTTATTGGATGATATACAAGGTTGGATTAAACCAGGACAAATGACAGCTCTCGTGGGATCAACAGGTGCCGGTAAAACGACACTTCTCGATGTGTTGGCCAAGAGAAAGACATTGGGAACTGTACAAGGTGATATTCGTCTAAATGGCAAACCACTTGAAATCGATTTCGAACGTATCACTGGTTACATTGAACAAATGGATGTTTTTAGTCCAAATCTAACTGTTCGTGAAGCACTTAGATTCTCTGCAAAGATGCGTCAAGATCCAAAAGTACCAATAGATGAAAAATACCAATACGTAGAGTCAATCCTCGAAATGATAGAAATGAAACACCTTGGTGATGCTCTCATTGGTGATTTGGAAAGTGGTGTTGGTATATCAGTTGAAGAACGTAAACGTCTAACTATTGGTATTGAATTGGTTGCCAAACCTCATATCCTTTTCTTGGATGAACCTACATCTGGTCTTGGTAAATATAAATATAACAATCAAATTAATTATTATATTTCAAATTAATTAATTAATTTCTTTTTCTATTATCTATTTCTATTTTTTAGATTCACAATCATCATATAATATTATTAAATTTATTCGTAAACTTGCAGATGCTGGTATACCATTGGTTTGTACCATTCATCAACCATCACCTGTATTGTTTGAATATTTTGATAGACTATTACTTCTTGCAAAGGGAGGTAAAATGGTTTATTTTGGTGATATTGGAGAAAGATCAAGTTTATTGACATCTTATTTCACTCGGTATGGTGCTAGACCATGTACTGAATCAGAAAACCCTGCAGAATATATACTTGAAGTCATTGGAGCTGGTGTTTATGGAAAATCAAATGTTGACTGGTCCAACACTTGGAAGAGTTCACCAGAGTACCAACAAGTTACTTTGGAATTGGAACAACTTAGTGGTATCACCACAAACAATCTATCCTCCTCTTTATCTTCTTCCTCATCCTCCTCACCACCTAGAGAATTTTCTACACCACTTGCCTATCAAATATGGCAAGTATATAAAAGAATGAATATTATTTATTGGAGAGATCCATTTTATTCATTTGGTCGATGGGTTCAAGGTATTGTTGTTGGACTCATCATTGGTCTAACATACTTTAATCTTCAATTCTCATCATCCGATATGAATCAAAGAGTGTTTTTTGTGTTTCAAGGTATCATTCTTGGCATCATGATGATATTTGCATCACTTCCACAACTATTTGAACAACGAAACACCTTTAGACGAGACTATGCCTCAAGACTTTACCATTGGATCCCGTTTGCATTGTCAATGGTAGCAGTCGAACTACCATACCTAGTTGTTACAAGTACTCTATTTTATGTGTGTGCCTATTGGTTGGCAGGACTTGGATCAGATGCAGAAACCAACTTTTACTTTTGGTTAACTTTTACCTTGTTTCTATTCTTTTGTGTGTCGATTGGTCAAGCAGTTGGTGCATTCTGTGAAACAATGTTCCTGGCAAAGTTTGTCATACCAGTGATCATTGCATTTCTCTTTTTGTTTTGTGGTGTACTTGCCCCGCCACAAAATATGCCTCTATTTTGGAGATCGTGGATCTATCACTTGATGCCAACTAGATACCTCATGGAAGGATTTGTTACCAATATTTTAAAGGATGTAAATGTACGTTGCACAGACGAGGATCTAATTCGATTTACCTCTCCACCAGGACAATCTTGTGAACAATACACTCAACCATTTAGTCAATACAGTACTGGATATACCCAACAACTATCGTCACCACAAAACGACACATGTGGGTATTGTATCTACTCTAATGGTTCTGAATACTATCATACACTTGGTTGGAGTGAAAGTAATCGATATAGAAATCTATTGATTGTATTTTGTTATTGGATATTCAATATATTCTTGGTTACCATCTTTATCTATATTTCTAGAAAACAAAAGAGATAAAAAATAAATCCAGCTCCCAAAAAAAATTTTTAAAATTAAATTTAATTTAAATTCTTTGTTAGATTGTAGTTGTTCACTGCAGTTTATGCGTGGTGTCTGCACAAGCACTTGGTGAGTTTTACCTTTTTTTTACTCATAAAATAACAACAATGCCCAGGATACATGAAATAAAATGATATTAATTTTAAAAAAAAATGTTATAGAAACTTTATTTATAGTATTATTAAAGTATTTGTATTGTTTTAAATTCATAGTGAATGTTTTCATCTGTTTTTGAGCTGTTTAAAATATTAACTTTGAACAATTATCATGAGAACGATTTTTAATAGTATTATTTATGCTGTATCTAAGTGTTATTGCTTGTTTTAATCTGTTTCTATACTGTTTATACCTGTTATCTCTCTTTAACTATGATTGTATTATATTTGTATTTTCTACATTGTATTGTATAGAAAATAACAAATAAAAAAAAAAAAAAAAAAAGTACCCAACCGACCAAAAAGATTGAAAGCGCTCATCAAAATAGTGTTGATCAATTTTTCATAATATACCCTGATAGTATTTTTGTAAATTAAAGTACAGCTCAAAGATTAGTCAATGAGATTTCATCTAATTATCAACATACATTGTCATGGTGGCCAAATATGGAAAGTGCTCTGGATAAAAATACTAACTAAACAACAAACTATCAAAGACTGATGAAATCAATAAACGTGATTCACTTTTAATAATTATTGTTTATGTTATAAATATTATCTTTACAATCTAATTTTAATCTAAAGCTTTTATATTATACCTCTCAAACTAATTTTATATTTACCTAGTATCTATATAGTTATTACAGCAATAAAAATAACACAACAAATAATAATAACTAATAATAACAACCATTAAGTCAAACATCATCCCAATCTCAGAAGTTAAATATGTCTAAAAAGAAACAATCTCCAACCTCAGAATTTCTATCAGAATCATCAGAATCCTCTACAGTTACAACATCAGAGTCCGAATCAGAATTATCTGTGTCGGAAGAGAATTCGAATCCATCCACTCCAGTTGACACATCAGAGTCCGAAGGGCTTGAGACTAGTTTTAGAACATTGACACTCGATCCACCAATTTTAAATTCAACTATCCTTCGTGAAAAAGGAGTAACCCAATTATATCACTTCACAGACAAAAGTAACTTAGACTCTATTAAACAAAATGGTCTATTTTCTTGGGATCATATTGATCAAAACGGAATTCAATCTGTGATGGGAAGTAACGAAGACTCAAGAAGATTGGACAAGAGAAAAGGATTAGAAGATTATGTAAGACTCAGCTTTGTTCAAAACCACCCCATGATGCACGCAGCATACAAAAGAGATAGTATAAAGCAACCAATTATTTTAGTAATTGATATCATGGTTGTGGATCTCTTGGATGTAAAGTTTTCTGATGTAAATGCAACTTCCAACAACGTAATCATTCAAAATGACACGAATCATATCCAATTCAGTATTTTCAAAAAAGATTATTTCAAACTCTCGACCAACGAAAAACAATACTTCCAGGCAGAGGTTTTAATAAGAAATAACGTACCTGCAAGTTATATCAAGAGATCTATTACCCCAAATATGGGTCGTAAGAGTACATAAATAATTCTTATGGATCACTTAGTTCAGCACTATCAAGAGCCCTCCACCTATCACCAAATCATTTGTAAATAAACTCTTTTATTTGTATCACAATAACATACAAAGTTAACAAAACACAGTTTCCATTTCCTTTATTGGGTCACCATTTGTGGACTGTGGGAATTATGATGAGGTTTGATTCGACGATTATAATACCAAAATAAAATGTATGGTAATTATAAAATACTTTTTTCCTTTAAAAAACAAATGTGTTTAGGAAATATGAGGAATACAATATGAGATACATACAATGAGAGCATATATCCTCACGACTCTAATGATCCCCATGTTATGTGGGGTATATAATTTGTTGATGATATAGTATATCGAGGAATGCCCCATTTCATATCTTTAACTTTGTGGATGGTATGATCTTGTCGATCCAATTGCTCTGTTTAACCCATCCACTCCAACAAATAGGATTATCTATCGGTTCTCTCGGTTGATTTATTTTGGAATTGAAGTAAAAGGAGAATAATCTACATTACATTTACTCCAAGCCTTTAAAACTGAACTTTCAGCAATTGATTTACATTTTGGATGATCTTCCAATGCTTTGATGGCACGTCTCTTTACACAATCTTGAAGATGATTATAAATACCTTTGTGTCCACGTGCAAACTCTTGTGCCAAATTACAATCACCAGATAGATTGGCAGCTCTAATCTCTGTACATGCAAGATGTTGACAATTGGTTGGATCCAAATCAACTCTGCACATATCATATGCATGTATCATTTCATGCATCACTGTATTTCTCATACTAGTATAAAATGTTGATACATTATTACATATTACAAGCTAAAATAAATAATTAAATTAATAAATAGGTTGAAAAAGACATACTATAGTTTTGTACATGTCGACGACACATACACCAAGTTGATTATCATAATAACCAAAAGCAGGATCATCACATGGTCTACATCTAATTACAGGTGGTTTACAACCCAATCTAACCATCTCTTTGATTATATATTGTAATGGTTCATCTATAACAAAAATAAGAGTATTAAGACCGAGCAACAATAGATATGATATCAATCAATCTAACAACATACATTCATTTAAAGTTTTCAATACAGTCTTTTCACATTGTTCATTGTTTGGTTCAATAAATATACTATTACTATCTAATTTCTTGTCATTGTTATTGTTTTGTTGTTCTTCTTTTGAATAAAGTGTTATATGATTATAGGTTTGTTTGTCGTCGTCGTCTTGTAAATCTATATCATCTTTATCTATATTATCATTTACTATATTATTTATATTATTGTTGTTTTGATTATTATTATTATTATTGTTATTAACTATAGACTTTAGTCTTTCTCTTATATGATCTGCAATCGTCATCGTTGTTATCTCTGTCTGTATCTTTGCTTTAAGATCTTCAAGGAATTATGTGTCTCTCGTTCGTTTTTCACAAACACATCCCAATCAAGAAATTATATACAATATTAATTTTAATAAATATTAATTAGTTATTAAATTAATTCAACCAACCGTCAACATTCAGTTTATTACATTAATCAAACAATTAAAAATAAAATAAATAAAATAAACAAAAAAGTTGTACTTTGGAATTTGATTGTTCAATTTGCTGCAGTGTCAAATAAAGGAGTAATAAAGAGTAGTTGATTCATTCACTATCATTTGCACTTAACTACGAGAATAACACATCCCCCCTTTTGTAAATAGTTGATTTGATAGATAACACTCGCTTCTTTGTTATTGATATAATAAAGAGTAGATAATAGAAGAAGAAGAAGAAGAAACATGTTGGATGGTGAAGTAGATACGATATCATTGAAATTGGTATTCGACTTTGAACCATATGTAACTGAAAAGAATGAAATAGAAGTTGATGAAGAAGATAAGGGTATGTATTACAACAATCAGATGAAGTTGTACACGTACAAGAGCCATATATTAACACATGTACATCCTATATAGACAACTCTGGTGAAATATGTAGATTCTTTTTAAAAGGAAATTGTACAAAGGGACCTGATTGTCCGTTTAAACACACAAAGACTGAACATGCTGTCGTCTGTAAACATTGGCTTAGAGGTTTATGCAAGAAAGGTGATCTATGTGAATTTCTTCATGAATATGATTTGGCAAAGATGCCTGAATGTTATTTCTTTTCAAAATATGGTAAGACAGATAGATAGATACATCAACCACACAACAACAACCGCTATCTTTTCTTTTACTGACACTTTTAATTTCTCTCTCTCTCTCTCAGGTGAATGTAATAATAAAGAATGTATGTACCTTCATTTAAATCCAGAGGAAAAGGTAATAGAATGTCCTTGGTACGCAAGAGGATTCTGTAAACATGGCCCAAAGTGTAGACATAAACATGTTAAAAAGTTGCTGTGCGAGAACTTTTATTTAGGGTTCTGTCCAGAGGGACCAAAATGTAAATATGGTCATCCAAAGTGGGAGGTGCCAAAAGAAGATTTAGAATCAAAACAAGATATCGAAAAACAACAACAGAGCAGACTACAAAGTCAACAATACAATCAACAAATCATTTCAAATATTTCAAAACAAAAACAAATGTTGTTACAACAACAACAAGATCAAGAAAATGGTATAGGTGGTGAAGATAAAATGAATATAGATAATCAAAATAATAATGGTAATAGTAATATAAGTAATATGAATAGTGGTGCTGGATATACTCAAATGCTTGGACAACAACATTCATATGGAGAAAGAGGTGGTAGAGGTGGTGGTGGAAGAGGTAGAGGTGGTGGACGAGGTAGAGGTGGTGGAAGAGGTAGAGGTGGTGGTGTTATGGGAGGTGGAGATCAAGGAGGAGGAGGTGGAGGATACCAAAATTTTAATCAAGCTCCTCCCCCTCAATTTAGTTATAATCAACACTATACATAACAAGAGAGCCACAACCAACTAAAATATTAATAATAATAAACTCAAAAAGAAAAAAAGACAAGAAAATAAACAACATTATTTATTCTTTTTTTTTTTTTGGTACTACCAAATAACAGCGTCAAACTTTGATGCTATATATCTGTTTCTCTTTTTTTATTAATCTTTTTTTAATTTTTGCCATAGTCTGGAACCATTTTACATAAATAGCTCAAATATGGTCTTCTTGAGAAAAGAGAATTCTCTTACTTTTTTTTTTCAATCTCGTCGATATCGCCCTTGTTGATGTCAAACTTGTGTCCAACGGGATGATCGATTTCATATTCCTCCTTTTCATGTGAAAGTTCTGGAATACCATATCCCTTTGGGTGTTGCTTTATTTCGTCTAAGAAAAATATTAAATTAATATTTTGAAAATATAAATATAAAATATACATATATACACAAAGACATACTTTTCTTATCCATTTTTTAATGTTTGTCTGTTTGTTTGAAAGTAATGAATTAAAATTACAACAAGTTTATTTTATAGTTTGTTGAAATGTAGAATTCATACTAAAATTAATATAAATTCAATTACCAATTCTTCCTTTTTAATACATTCATTGGTCTGTTGAATTCAACTAAAAATATGTTTTAGGGTTTTTTAACCAAAAAAGGAATAAAATTTTTATCTCTTTACCCTCAAATTAATTGAGACTGTTTCGAAATGGTAATAGGGAATATTCAAAATAGAAAGATAATAAAAACTATTGAACTTCGTTTTTTTGAACCAATAGAATAATTTTAATAAAAAAAATAATTTTTTAAAAGTAATAATGACCTCCATCCTTCCCTCTTTTTTTTTTAGAATCGATTCGTAGTAATTTTAATATTCGATAAGATATAGGGTATTCCCATCAAGTTATGGCAATAACCATTCAAACTAGAAGTAGAACAGTAAAGATTGATTCTGCACCAGAGGGAGGTTTCAGAGAAGAGGATCCCTCTGAAGATGAAGACTATGAACCAAGTGCTGGTGAAGAGGAATCTGAAGATGAACATGAAGAAGCAGAAGAACAAAAACGAAAGAGAAAGAAATCATCAACAACATCAAAAGATCAAACACAAAAGAAAACAAAGAATGATAATATAGATAACAACAAAGATGATGAACAACAAGATTCAAAGTCATCATCATCATCGTTTCAACAAGATTTAAAATCAAAGAGTTTAGATGAATTGATGCAACTTTCCTCATCTTCTTCATCATCGACTACAAAAGAATCGTCGTCACCAAATCAAAATAATAAGAAAGATTCTGAATCATCATCATCATCATCCAATAAGGTTGCCGATACAACAACCAGTAGTACTACTAAAATCGAAGTTGTAGAGTTTGCTGGTGAAAAAATAGAGTAAGACTTGACAAAGATGATTATTATTATTATTATGCTACAACCCTATTGATACCAACTATCATCATTATTATTACTTATAGGAGAGTTGTAAATATTACGCCTGTCTCTCCCAAGAAGAGTTTTGCTCCTGCTAGGCCATTCTCTGCTCAGAAAAAGTATGAACTCTCTACAATATATTCTTTCTCCTATGATGATATCTATTGATGCAAATAGATCATATACAAATATCTATAACAAATATCTGTATTGTCATACGACTTTAGATTACTTACCTTTCTTTTTGTTTTATGCAAGAGGGGCGTTAGATGGAATATTATCAGGTCTATCTGGGAACAACAAACCAAAAAAATTATCGACTTTGGAGAAATCCCAACTCGATTGGGAAAAGTTCAAAGATACCAATGTCATGGAAAAGAATGATCTGGAGAAACAAAGTAAAAATGGTTATCTTGAAAAACAAGCATTCCTTCAGAGAACTGATGAAAACCTTTACAACACTGTTAAATCATTACAAAAGAAACAATAGTAATAGTAATAGTAGTAGGTAGAAGTAAGTAAAGATAAAAAAAAAATAACAAAAGGGAAAAGGTTGAAGGTTAATGGGTTTCCTCCATCCCCCAATAAAATATCCCCCAACAACAACCATCACACCATGCATGGTATCCAAAAGTAATCGGATTACCTTTGATGATATTCTTTTCAAACCCATATTCGTCATTGTATTACTATTACGGATGATGAAGATAGTATCTTTGTGCGCACAAACCCTTTTATTGTTGTATTTTTACTTTTTTTATCGACATTTTAGCGATAAATTTATAAAACCTAAAAAGTCTGAAAATTGGGTAGAGAGAAACACTTGGCCAATAGAGGTGTGGGGGGACAGGTAAAAAAATCTCACACCGATTTCTTTGGTATGCCTCGAACCTCGCCTCATCACTCCCAAACGACCGCTCTGACCTTTTTTTTTGTTTTTTTTTATATTTTTAATGTTCAACCCGATTTCGAGCTAACAAGTTCCCAACATTCATTAATACAAGAGAGAGTCTATTTAAAGTTTAGAATACACTCAACACTTTATCATAATCAAAGGTATATTATAACCCAACTTCCCCTCCCCTTCTAATATTATTTGTCCACAACCATCATCTTCATTTCCCATATTTTCCTACCCTTTTTTAAGGCATCATCTTCTTCTTCTTCGATGTTTTATTCGTTGTTTAAGGCCATGTCCCCTTTTTTTAATTTTTATCTTTACCATTTTCTTTTTTCAACCATGACCATTATTATTATCATTTGGTTCTACCATTTGTTGTTGATATTATTATTTACGAAAAGCGAACTCGGCATTTGGGCATCGCCACTATAGCCCATCTTAACCAACTTCTCGTTCTGGTATTGCGAAATGCTTGCCCATTATTTTCATCCTCCTCTGTCCTTTTGTGTGCCGACCCGTGGTCGGAAAAACAACAAACAAAAAAAATCCAAAGATTCTTCATCATCAAAGTCTCTTTGGTCAAAAAAAAAGGTCACCTTTCAACTAATCGATCCTCGCTTTTTTATTTCTTTCATTCTCTTTTTTATATTATCATCATCATCATTATATATTTATATATCTATATATATTTATCTCTTTTTCTTTTATATTCTCTCTCTCTATAGATAGATTGATAAAAAAAAACATAAATAGATAAAAACAAAAAATGGGTAGCGGAAATACAGCCAAAACCTATCCACCGGTTTTATACAAGAAACTCAAACCAATTCGTAAATCACCAAAAGAGTTGCCTCAAGTCATTACTCTTGAACAAATTGTAGAATCACTTCCAAAGGAAGTATTTGAAAAGTCTGGATTCAAGTCTTTCTCGTCACTCTTTTTGACCATCCTTTTCATTGCATTATCCATTGTATTTATGAACCATGTCCCATCATACCTTTATCCAATCGGTTGGTTCCTTGGTGGTGCTTCAATTACTGGTGTAAGTAAACTAAACAACAAAACAAAACAATCAAACTTAAGTTTATTCTAATTTACTTTTTTTTTATTCCATTTCCATTCATTTGTTTCTTTTCTTTTTTTTTGTTTGTTTGTTTTTAGTTATTTGTAATTGGTAATGATTGTAATCACAAGTCATTTTCAAACTCTTCAACAATCAACAGTGTCGTTGGTACTATTGTTATGCTTCCACTTTTATATCCATTCCAATCTGTTAAAATTATTGATAGAATGTAAGTGTTGTTTGGAAACAAAATGCAATCATGTTAAAAAGTATTAATATATTATTTTCTTTTTTATCATTTCTTTTTATTTATTTTTATTTTTTAGTAATTTAAATAATAATATTAAATCAAATGCATCATTTATTAGAAACTGGGCAACAGGTAAATATTTTTGGTTAGTTAGTATTTGTAACTGGGCCGAAAACTATTTCAACGTTAAAAAAGTAGAAGACAAGGATGACAAGGCCAAAGCCTTTACCTCTATTGTATTGGTCTATGTGTTTGCCGGTATCTTCTTCCCATTGATCCTCAAGTTCTTTGGTATCTCTGGATTCCTCAACTACTGGCTCGCACCATGGCTCATCTACCATTTCCTCGCCTCCACCTTTACCTTGTTGCCACGTATCCCATTCTTTGATGAACGTGACAAAAAGTATTCCGTTCACATTACCTACCCCAAGTGGTTTGAATTTGTCGTCAAAGACATCAACTTTACCTTGCCACGTCAAATTGCAGTCACCATCCCACATTACAATCTCCGCAAGGCCTATGACGCCTTTAAGAAGAACTGGGGTGAATACATCTTTGAAATGCCATTCGAACATGAAATGCTCAAAGAGTTGATTACCCGTTCACAAAGTTTCTCAGAGGAAATCTTTTCGCCATTTGACAATCAACCCATTGCCAAGCCAACCAACCGTCGTTATGTTCCACCAACCTCTCAACGCAAGTCACGTACCGTTTCTGAGTTCCTCAAGGAAATCAACTGGCTCCACGCCAGTCTCCTCCTCACCACTCCAGTCATTGCCGTCTATGGTATGATGAGTGTATCACTCACTTGGAAGACATTTGTCTGGACCTTTATCTATTATCACATGACTGGTATGGGTATCACCGTTGGTTACCATCGTCTCTACTCTCATCGTTCGTACAAGGCTACTCTCCCCATTCGTATTCTCCTCTTACTCTTTGGTGCCGGTGCCATTGAAGGATCGTGTCGTTGGTGGTCTCGTGATCATCGTGCTCATCACCGTTACACCGACACTGACAAGGACCCATATAGTGCTCACTCTGGATTCTTTTGGTCGCACTTTGGTTGGTTGATGATGAAGCAAGATCCATCCAAGATTGGTCGTTCCAACATTGAAGATCTCAACGCCGACAAATGGGTCATGTGGCAACACCGCAACTATCTCCCCATTGCCTTCTTTTTTGGTTTTGTTTTCCCAACACTCGTCGCTGGTTTGGGTTGGGACGATTGGATGGGTGGCTACTTTTATGCAGGTGTCCTCCGTCTCGTCACAGTCCACCACTCTACCTTTTTCGTAAACTCCTTGGCTCATTTCATCGGTGACACTCCCTACGACGACAACCACTCGCCCAAGGATTCAATCATCACGGCCATCTTGACGTTTGGTGAAGGTTACCACAACTTCCATCACGAGTTCCCAACCGACTATCGTAACGCCTACTCTACCTTTGGCTACGACCCAAGTAAATGGGCCATCAAATTGATGGAGTTGCTCGGTCTCGTCTACGACCTCAACACATTCTCCAAAAATGAAATCCAAAAGGGTATGATCCAAATGCGTCAAAAGAACGTTGAACAACTCAAGCAAGTCATCCACTGGGGTACTGCCATTGAATCGTTGCCAGAAATGACCGAAGAAGATTTTGACGCTCAATGCAAACAAGGCAAGAAATACATCATCATTGACAGTATCGTTCTCGACGTTGAAACCTTTATCGACGAGCACCCAGGTGGTGTTTCATACATAAAGATGGGTCTCGGTAAAGATGCCACTAAAATGTTTAGAGGTGAAGTCTATGGTCATTCAAATGCTGCAAATAATCTTATCAGTCAATTTAGAATTGCTAGATTCATTTCAAAAGAAAAAAATAATTAGGAAAAAAAAAACAAACAAACAAAAAATAACTCTTTTTTTACTTCTATCTCTTTACAACACCCTTATAATTTAATTAGTTTTAATTAAAATTATCACCATATTTCAAATAAATTCAAATCTATTTTTTCATTCTCTTTTGTTGTAGTAGTCCAATCAAATCAAAGATTGGAAAAACTACTTCATTATTATTAAAAAATCAAAATCACAATAATTAATTTAATTATGTTGGATTTATTATTATTAGTTTTGTACAAAAGCATATGTCTATATTAAACATATTGGATACTAGTAGTATCGACTATTTTACATTGAGTGAATCAAGTAAATTTGAAAGGTTTTCAAGACTATCTCCAGAAGAGTTATCTCCATCCTGTAGTTGTGCAATAATCTTTTCAATCAACATTGGTGGTAAATTCTTTTTAAGTAGAATCATCAATACATCTAAATATAGGAATAAATGGATTGGTTAATATATTATTTTTCTTGAATTCTGAATAAACATACCTTGGCTTATTTGAGGTTCTTTAAGATTACATTAAATAGGAATTGGTTTGTTAGAAATATATAAAGTTAGAATCAATTCATTGAAGTGAGAGGAGTGGAGGGGAAAGATCTCTACATACTTTGAGGAACCGCAGAATTTGAAGACATTTAGTATTATAATAGATAGATAGATAGAATAATTAAATAAAGTTTTAATAGTACAATAAAAAATAACAAAAAGACTTTATACTCTAGATCAGAGGGCATATCTTCTCATTTTTTTAATAATTTGTGACTCCAATTTATTAAATTTTTAATATTCTGATTGATTACCCAACCAAAAGAGATTTAATTATCTAATTCTATTTCTTATACATAACGTAACGTTTAGATGATCAGATATAAAGAGAACAATGAAAAAATATCTCAAAGGCCATGATTAAAATTTTAATTGAAATCCTTAAGCGAGTCCCTCGGAGATTCTCCGACCTTCAATGGTGAACTCAAAGAATCCCAAAGCCCCTATGAAATGTCAATAACAATTTCTTTTATTTGTTCTTCTCCTTTTGTTTTGTTCATCTTAATCTTTCAACAAACCAAAGGTATAAAAAGACATTGATTCTCCTCCCCAATAATTATTTATTATTATTTATTCACTTATTTTTTTGAAAGTAAAAAGAATGAACATCAAGACTTATACATTATTTATTTTTTTATTATTATTCATTGCTATACAACAGATAGAATCAAAAAATGAACAACCAATTAAAATAGATAATCATCAACAACAACAACAATTGTTGGATGATTCAAATTATGAACTTGGTGTTGGTATATGGGATGTTACTGGTCCTGCTGCTGAAAGTATGTTAAAGTAAAACATATATCACAACAACATTATTATTATTATCTATCAACTCAATCCTAATCATCTCTTTTTTATTCTCTCTTGCTAGCTGGAATGATGGGATATGCACAACCAGGACAGATAACAGAAGGAATTCACTTTAGATTAAGAGCACGTGCTTTTGTATTTGTCGATGTCAATGGAAATAGAGCTGTCTATGTTAGTACCGATGCGTGTATGATATTCCAAGCTGTCAAGTTGAATGTCGTACAATTGTTACAAGATCATTTCGGACCTGATCTATATACATCTGATAATGTATTGTTGAGTGGAATACATACACATTCTGGTCCTGCTGGCTATTCAATGTATGCTCTCTATGGTATCACTGCTCTTGGTTTCTATAAGGAAAACTTTGACACTATTTGTAATGGTATAGTACAATCAATTATCATGGCTCACAATAATGTACAACCTGGTAGATTATTGGTTGAACAAAGTACTCTTTATAATACTAGTATAAAGTATGTAATATATTTTAAAAATATTGATTTTGAATCGTCATCAAATATTAACATTTACAATAAATGATTTTCTCTCTCTCTCTCTCTCTCTCTCTCTTTCTTTTATCTAGTCGATCACCAAATGCATATTTAAATAATCCAGAAGAAGAAAGATCACTTTATCAAGATGATACTGATAAGAATATTACAGTGATTAGATTAGAGAATGGACAAGGTGATGCAATAGGTGTAATCTCTTTGTTTTCTGTTCATTGTGTATCAATGAACAACACTAATCATTTGATTAGTGGAGATAACAAGGGTTATGCTTCATATATGTTTGAAAAGTATATGAATGGAAATGACTCGTTGCCAGGTGTTGGTCCATTTGTCGCTGCATTTGGTCAATCCAATGAAGGTGATGTGTCACCAAATACGATGGGTCCCAAGTGTCCAGATGGGAGTCCATGTTCGTCCGATTCAACTTGCAATGGAAAGAATGAAGGATGTATTGCTCACGGTCCGGGAATAGACATGTTTGACAGTACAAAGATCATTGGTACCAACCAATTCCAAAAAACATTGGATATGTTAGAGTCTGCATCGACACTGGTTTCAGGTGCCATCCAGTATCGTCATACCTATCTCGCTATGACCAATTTGACAGTGTATCCACCATTTGTACAAGATCCAGTAACCACTTGTCGTCCAGCTATGGGATATGCCTTTGCTGCCGGTACAACCGATGGACCTGGTGCTTTTGATTTCACTCAAAACGCAAATGACACACAAGGTAATCCATTCTGGAACTTTATCTCTGGGTTTATCGCCAAACCAACACAAGAACAAAGAGATTGCCAAGCACCAAAACCAATTCTACTCGATGTAGGTATGACCAAGCCATTGCCATGGATCCCAGATGTTGTACCAATTCAAATCATCACTATTGGTCAAATAGTTCTTTGTGCAGTGCCAGGTGAATTTACAACCATGTCTGGTCGTCGTCTTCGTAATACCATCACACAAATCATTGGTCAAGGTATTGATAACCCAATCGTTCTTGTAGCAGGTCTCGCCAACACCTACACTGGGTACATTGCCACACCAGAAGAATATGATGTCCAAAGATTCGAAGGTGCTGCCACTGCATTTGGCCCTAATACTCTTAATGCCTATTTACAAGAGTTTTCAAAGTTGGCTCAGTCAATTGTTGACAAGAAAGAGGTTTCAGCCGGTCCAACCCCACGAAACATGACTGGACATACATTCTTTTTCCTTCCACCAGTGATTGTTGATGAAGCACCCAATGGACAATTTGGAAAGGTGTTGCAAGATGTAGAGTCTAGCTACTCTGTCGGTGATACAGTAACAGTCTCTTTTTATGGTGCCAACCCACGTAACAACTTTATGACCCAGTCAACCTTTTTGACAGTTGACATGTTACAATCTGACAATACAACCTGGAGGACTATTCTTGTTGATGGCGATTGGGATACTAGATTCTATTGGAAGATGCATAATCTTGTACAATCAGCCATCACCATTGAATGGATTATAGACCCATCATGGAATTACCAACCAGGTACCTATCGTATAACACATTCTGGATATGCAAAACCATCAATGTTTTCAGATAAACTTGTTCCCTATTCTGGTCAATCAAGTGAATTTCAAATTACCAATTAATTTAATAAACAAAAAATTATTATTATAATTGATGAATATTGGGAATATTTATTTATTTATTTATTTATTTTGATTTATATAGAGTAGGATAATTTACATGAAATTGTGTGTAATTGTATACTTGTGGAATTAATAATGAATTCTTGTTGCTGTTGTTGTTTGGCGATGATAAATTACTCATTGTATCTGATGAATATGAACCTACTTGTGGAGTTGTAAGATTACTTGAAGTAATATCAATGTTTTTGGTAGTAGTTATAATATTTTTGTTGTTGTTGTTTTCTCTATATAATTCAGAATAGGTTGGGAAAATGTTAAAACTTTGGTATTGACCTGCACCAGACTGTGATGTTGATGATGTTGCACCATGATGATTATCTGACAAACCACCATAAATAAATGGTTGGTGAACAAGATCTTTTTGAAGAATTGGAGTATAAATAGTTGGTGTATGTGAAAAATGATAATAATCTAATAATCTTTTCACTCTAGTCGAACAATATATAGAAAATACACTTAAACCTATCCAACCAACCGTAAGAATGATTGCAATAATATTCCAAGCACAACCAACTGGAAAGAAAAGAAACGACTCGTCAGAACTTCCAATGGCAAATAAAGTCATCACCATACCAATAAGTATAAATAATGTTAAAACTATCATTACAACATTATACTATTTAAAAAAAAAACAAAAAAAAAAAAAAGATTTGATTTGATTAGATTAGATCAAAAGAATACTATTCTTTATTATTTGATTGGTTACATACAAAAGCAATTAAATTTCTTCTTTTAGAATAAGCACCAATGAAACCCAATACAATTACATGTAATCCAATAATGGCAGCCACCAAACTATAAACATTTACAAATAGCAATGGAATTGTATTAGCCATCATTATCATGAGTACAACTGTAAATTTAAATGATGAACGATTCAATTCATTATCATCATCTTCCCCAACAAATTTATTATAATATTCCATATTTCTTAATATAAATATAAATATATAAATTCTACCTATATATATATATATATATATATGTATATATAAATATTATCTCTTTTGATACTCTAAAAATGATTAATGATTGATGTGTTAACACCCATTATTGAACAACAAGAGTTGATGATGATGAGGGATGGAACTTACCTTTATGATCATTGTTTTTTTTTATATATTCTTTTTGTTGTATGTGTGTGAGTGTGTTTTGTTGAGAGAACCAAGCGGTGAAGGTGGTGGTAGTGGTGGACAATGGTCTAAATGATTTTTTTCAATAGATTGGTAGAATGTTGATTGAGTAGTTGTACAATATTTAGATGACCATTTAAATTTGCCTGATCAATTGCCTTTTGAGTAAATCCCTCTTTTCTATTGTTGACAAGATAAGCTAACGATGTGTAGATAACCATTTGATGAAGCTATATCCAATGCATCGGTTGAACAATAAATATCTGGGTATGATAGATCTAGATAGGTTAGAATGGCAAGGTTACCATTAGATGCCAGACAGTCCATCACATGATCTTCAATATAGAGTGGTGATTGTAAACAACACCACTTTAACAACGGTTGAAGTGTTTCAAGTGTAGAGTTGGTATGACAACAATATTGACTAATTGCCATATTAACTATATAGTCATCCAAAGTGGGTGGTTGTCTGGTTGCAATGTAATGTTTTACGTACTGCCATGGCAGTCCGTATTTTGCGATCATCTCTAATGCCTCATTGTCATGATCACCGTCTTTGAGTACATTGATGATATTGCTACCTTTGATAAATGATCTTTTCTTCTTTTCAATGATAGAGTTTGGATTGCAACCATAAGAGTGTATCGAATTGATCATATTAAGATATCTTTGATCGATTGCACTCAATGTCTCTATCGATTGAAATATCTTATTTCTTATGACAACATGTCTAAATAGATCGATAAACGTTACTATTACTTCCATTGATCAATTTAAAAAGTAAAAAAGATGCTTATAATATATATATAATATACAAAAAAAATAAAGGTGTTTGCTTTGTCATAACAATCAAATATCACATCTTTGGGGGAGATATTTTCAAATAAAGAAAAAAATATATATTTCTAGTCTAGAAATATATATTTTTAATAGTCATTTTTTACTCATTTTAATGTAATTATTTTCAAAGTAGTAAAGTAGTGTTGTTGGTTTGTGATAATAATAATAATAAATAAATCATTACTGTATTGTAATGATCTCTAGAAGGTTGACTCAAATGGGACACGAAAAAAAAAAACAATTTTAATTACACAAAATACGAAAGAGAAATCGAATCGCTGCTGCTGAGGGTTGCGAACAAAAGAGTTTAAAAACCCCTCATAATTATATTTCATCAACATCTATCTATTATACATCATCTCGTTTATTACATACAATTCGAATAGTTAACCAATCATCATCATCATCAAAAGACTGGAAAGCATCACTAAACAGTCAGATATATATACAACATCATCACAAAAAGTGATCTGTTAAATGCTGTTTTGATAGACATCAGTTAAATCACACACTAGTTATTATAATATAGAGATCAAAAGATAATAAGAAATCAATTTCAACCCTATCTATCTATCTATTTATCACAACAACCAATCATTATGACTTCAGAGTAAAACGAACAACTTTCTTCGCCATCATCTTCTTCCTCTAGTTTTCACAACAACAACTACAATAATAATAATAGTAGAAGCAAACCCCTTTGTAGACTTTATATATATATATATATTACTGGTAGAAAGTAATTAAAATTATCTTCAACCTTTTTCCCTTCCTTCCGACCAACCAATAGGCAACAAACAGTAACACCAAATCACAACAACAACAATAACAACCACACAAAAGTCTTAATCACGGGACCGTAAACACAAACTAGTTTTATTAATAGAACTAAAAGGTAATAAGAACATAAAGATCACCCCTATCACATTGACAAAGGAAGGCTCATCCAACCAAACCAATCATCCAAAAGGTCGACAACTACATATAGCACTCTTTTCGTCTTTCTCCTTTTTATCACACCACCAATACAAATATCGATCACAAATAATCACATCTCAATCAATCCTCATCCATATCTCTCTCTCTCTCTCTCTCTCTCTCTTTGTTGTTGTTATTGTTTTTTAATAATTTACCCTTTTGTTGTATATTATGGTGTTCACTTATTAAAATAAGTGAAATCAAATAGTAGAGTAGTAATATTTAATTGGATCTTTATATTTTGTAAAGTATCCCAATTTTAAAAACAACTGGTTGTAAATTTACAGCCTTTCTCTCTCTCTGAAACATCAGGAGATAGATAGATTTAATATTTTATTGCAATATCACAACTAGTCGATATAATAATTATTATATTAATGTTGTTGCAATCCGATTCCAATGATATATAATATATAACACATTCAATTTCACAATCCAATTCAATTTGGAGAAGGAGGGTGGGTGCTTCTCTAGGAGAGTAGTAGTTGTTGTTTCATTATATGGGTGGTATAGATCATATTTTTTTTTTATATAATCTCACACCTCTCTCTCCGTCTGCTGTTGCTAAACAACAAGCAGCAACAGTCAGACCTACACCCCTTTCTATGTCTTGCACCTACCTCTACTTCACCCTCTGACTGTCATTACCGCTACTATCTGTTTGTGTAGGTAGCTGGTGGTGGTGGTGGTGGTTGAGGGTATGCATACATATATATATAAAAGAGAAAACATATAAATATAAGCTGTTTGCATATTTAATTGTGTTCCAACTCTATTTAATTCACAACAACAACACAGTCGCAACAGCAAGCAACATCAGTCTCATTAAAAAAAAAAAAAAGTAGAATAGTACTCCTAACCTCAATTGTAGTACAGTTGTAAGCAACACAACAACAACAACAACAACAACATCAAACAAAGAACAACGCTAGTCTGGTTTTAAATTAATCTTTGTGACAAAATAATAATAATAATAATAATAATAAATTCACACTCCGCATAAATCAATATATTAGTCATCATCATTGTCAATCATCATCATCATCATCATATTGTAAATAATAATATTTTAATTAAAGATTAAAAATTAGATCGCCAGACATCATTTCATTATCAATCATATCATCTAACCCTACCAAAAGACACACCAGTTTTTAAAAAAGAAGAAATTAGGCATACCCTTTTAAACAATAACATCACTTTTAAAAACAAAAAAGGGTGGGATATTGTAAGTGTTACCAAGAGATTGTTTTTTAAAAACCATTATTACCTTTTCACCACATCATCAACATGAATCAAATCATAACATGTTGATTGCCTATAAAATCAACTAAATAATAGTTTTTAAAAAACAACAAATATTATTATCATTATTTATTTGATAGCAATCGCAATACCATACCCTATCATTTTATTTGTTTTGTTAAACAAATAATAATCTCCATTTTTTTTTTAATCCAATTCCTTTTTCCACAAAGTTGATCTTTTTATTGAAATTTCAATCGTCGTCGTCGCTGTGTTTTCCTATTACAGATAAAATATTAATAATCAAACATACACATATGGAATCATACATCACCTATCACAACTAGCTAAACCAAAAGAAATTCTTTATTTTCTCTATTTATTAACCAATTTAATTTTCTTTTTATTATTTTAGAAATCTTTGCTTTTTTTTTTTCAAAATCAAATCCCTTTTTTCCTCCTTTATAAATTATAAATCATCATGATGACGGATGATCATAAACATCCTTCGATTGAAGATCTTTCATTTGAAGATCTTACTTTTGGAGATTCATCCAATTCATTGGATTTATTAAATTCCCATCGATTAAATATAACTGGCCATTCGTTCCAACCCAATTCCTCTTCATTCCAGCCATCAAAACATTTACATTTACACCCAGATATTAAAAAGTCATCTCTTTTGACTGCCAGTTTACAACAACATCAACAACAACAACACCATCACAACAACTCATACAACAATAATAATATTATCGTTTCACCACCTACTACCAACAACATTTCAACTTCATTGGGTGGATTTAATAGTAGTACACCAAATACACCAAACAATGGAATTTTATACAACAGCAGCCTGTCACTTCTAAGTGCAGCCGTTGCAGGTAGTGCCGGTTCAATGATGTCTCCCATGTCATCGTCGTTGAAACCACCCAAAGATAAACGTACCAAGAGTGACAAGTCAGACAGACATGCTGTCCTTGTCAGCTCCAAGGGTGACAAGATCAATGTTGGTTTGTTATTAAAGCAATTGGAAGAGTGTGGTCCCGTCAGAGCCCACCACTTTCGTGAGCGTCAAACTTTTGGCTTTGTCCAATTCCTAGACTCTGAAAGTGCCGACAATGCCATTGACAAGCTCAACAATCAAGAGATTGATGGACAAATTATCACCATTGAACGTATCAAGCGTATCACCCCGGGCAAGGACCCACGTGTTGCCACTGTAGGATCGCCCCAATGCTCTTCATTGCCAACCCAATTGCCATCGATGATTGAAAACAAGCCAGACAGTACATTGGTGCTAAAGAATCTTCCATTCAACCTCCGTCAAGTACAACTCCAAGAGATACTCGAAAATATCAACCCATCGGCACCACAAAGCGTTAACTTTCACTATGACTCGATTGGTGTATTCCGTGGAATGGCTTTTGTAAAGTATCGTCTTGTCGACGATGCCATCAAGGTATTTGATGCACTCAACGGAACAGATGTATATGGACGTAGAGTCCGTCTCGAATACAAGCGAAAGGTCAGCAAGAGTAGCGAGATTCCACCAGAAGTTTTAGAGGATGAAAAGTTGCGCAAAGTTTGGGACCAATTAAAAGAGTACAAGGATGACCCCTTGTCAACAAACGAGCTAAACTTTTCAAACTTTTCAGGTGTTCAGAGAATGTACATTCACAACATGGCCGAGAAGCTCAAGCTGACCCACACCTCTGTCGGTGAAGAACCCAACCGTTCGATCATTGTCACCAACAAAAAGTCGACTTCAGTTGGTACACCAAGCAAGGACGAGACAGGCAGCTCCTATCTCTTGTCATCTTCACCCATCGGATTGTCTTCCGTCTTGAGTGGTGGTACTAGTGCCGCCCCCTCACAAATGTCCATCACCCCTTCCAACAGTTATTCCTCTACACCCAGCATGTTTATTCATGCCCCTTCTCAAAGTTCGTCAATGACCATCTCTGGAACCAGTAATAGTTATAAACAATCCAATGCATTGGAATCAAACTTGTCTGGTAGTTTTGGTAATCATTTCCTTAGATCTACACCTCCACTTTCAAATTCTTTTCCAAATAATATCAACCACAACAACAATAACAACATCAAGGGAATGCCAATTAATAATCTCAACAACAATATGAATAACAATAATAATAATAATGATATGATGGGAACATCTTGGGAACAATCACCAACCAATCATACAATATTTACTAGTACACGTGGATTTGGTCCAATCGTGTCTCGAGACAGATCTTTTTCAACACCCGACGTCGATGCATATAATCAACAACAACAACAACATCAACAGCAACAACAACCACAACTTTCAACCTCTCCTGTCAATAACCTATGGAGGGGTAATTCTTCATCTTTAAAGGAAAATCATATTAATAGTTTTAATAATCATCATAATTTCAATAGTAATCATCCTCCATCGTTGCATGTAGGATTCAATCATCAACAACAACAACAACAACAACAGCCACTCAATACTAATTCGACAATGACAAATAATTTTTTAAGTCCTTCACCCAGTTTTATTACCAGCAATAGTATAAATATTTCACCTCAACAACAACAAATTAATAATAATAGCAACAATAATAGTGTCAACAATAATAGTAATAATAATAATATAGTTTCATCACCCATTTTATCCAACATTCGTCAACCAAAAGGCCCAGATGGTACAAAGGGTTTCTCAAGCGATTATCGTATTCGAAGAACAATTGTTCAACCCTAAAAAAAAATAACAATAGAAAAGAAAAAAAAATATTTAGATAATCCTCCTTTCCTTCCCACTCCCTTTGTATTAAACATATTTAAATATTGTTTTGTTCTTTTAAAGATTTAATAAAATTATTTATTCAATATATATTTCCAAAAAAAAAAAAAGACTATTTATCTTTATTATCTTCTAATTGTACTTGTGGTTCTAGGGATTGAAAGTGAAGAATTTGAATGAGGAACAGGACCTCTTGTTTCTCTTGCATATGATTGATCCTTTGTTAGGGCTTCAAGAGATAGTTGATGCATGTAGGTGAGATCGATATCGAGTGTTGTAGGTTCTTCTTCACCACGACGAGAGATGACCTGATCTACAATACGTAAAACGTCGTTTGGAATTGGTTCACTGTTAATTCGATCGGTTTGAAAAAGTGACAATAAATGTTTGACTTGGTGCATTGAAAGTGAAGAACAAACTTGGTCAACAACTTCGATTTCATCCAACAACTTTTTGTCCATGACCAAAACATTGGTTGTTTCAATCATTGGATCCAATTGGCAGAGACTGTCGTGCAAACCCATCGATGATGACCAATCTGCAATCTTTGACAATTCAATCTTCATTTGGAAACCATTTGCCGTACTGCAAAGACCACGAATATTGTTGAGCGAGTTGAGGAGGACGGCGTTGGTAAAGTAAAAGATTTGTGAAAAGAATTGTTGAATCAAGTCGCTATGAACAAAGTTGGATTTTAATATATCGTACATCTCTTCAAGAACATCCAAGAATGAATTGCTATTGAATTGGTTGTGGAATTGTTGGTGATGGTGTTGTTGGTGTTGTTGTTGATGTGGAGGAGATGATATTGGTTCTGGTGCTGTGAATTTTGGCATTGCAATTTGTGGTGAAGAAATGTCTGGTGCACTCTTTCTCTTTTGCAAACGTCCGCTGTTGAATGCATGAATATCGTGTTGGAGAATAGATTTTACAAGTACAGGAGATATACGTGCATAGGTGTTTTGCACAAGACGTGAATAGAATTTAAAAATAATGGCTTTGAGTTGGAATTCAAAGGATTTGATTGGTGATAGACCCGACTTTTCGTCGTAGAGGTGGCCGCCGCCGGCACCATTCACCGAGAGAGATGGAGAGGAAGAGCTGTCGCTTTCGATTTTGTTTTTGATTTTTGCCAATACCAAGCAAGTGGTGGATAGCCAATAGGCGAGCAAAGAGTTGTCGTTTAAGCTCTTTTTGTAGATATTGTCAAAGGCAGTGCTGATACTCGAGAATAGTCTGCTGCCAACCTTGAAATCTTTGAGAACTCCCAATGAAATGAGTCCTTCAAAGAGAGCTGCACCAGAAACAGACATGTTTCCTTTGAATTGTGGTTCAGCCAAATAAATGGTACGTTCAATCAATGTCTTTTCCTCTAGTTCTGTCTTGTATGCCAATGATTGTTTACGTAGATCGTCGACTGATCCAGTCGCCTTTGTTACAATTGGTTGTGAAGATGTGGTGGGTGAAGATGTTAGATGATCCTTTTGGTTTTCACCAGAGGAATCGGCTCTCTTTCTAACCATTGTTACACCAGCATTTAATTTCTCTTCCAAATCTGATTTTTGTTTTTCCAACTGTGCAATGGTACGTTCTAAATTTTCATTTTCAGCTTGTAGTGCAGTGTATTTGGTACGAATGTCGGTTTGAGTCATCGAACCCAAAGCAGTTTCTGATAGTACGGTTTGTTTTAATTGCTTTTTTAGTTTTGTAATCTCCTTTTCTTGTGCAGCTATGACAGCCATCTTTTCCAATTTCTCTTGTTTTAAAATCTCTATATCGGATGAACCACCAGAACTACCTGCCATCTCTTCGCTTAGTCGATGTTCACGTTCTTGTTGTAACATTTCTATATTTCCTTCATGTTCTATTATAGTATCATTCAAAATACGAGTCTGCTTTTTGTAATTTTCAATTTCCAATTCCAATTCTCTAACCCTTTCCAATCTTTCTCCACTCTCCATCTCTGCAAAATCTCTTTCCTTTGTTATTTGGTCCAATTGAACTCTTAGCTCTTTTTTTGATTCTCCTAAATCATCATTTGGATCATCATCTCCAAATGAATCATTAAATGACTATGAAAAAAAGAAAAATAAAAAGTTAATAATATAGCAATATATTTCTTACAATTGTTATTATATATCTCTTACAATATCAGAAGTCATTGAAGTATCAACAGTATCTGAAGCTTCAGAATCAGTTTTATCTAGGAAATAATCTTCACCAGCTATTGTTTTAACCAATCTAGGATCTTTTGATGTCTCAGCTCTATTTAAAACTTTAACCAAAGGTTTATTATTATATTTAATTGGTATAATATTAAATGTACACTAAAAAAAGTAAAAATAGGAATAGGAAATTAATAAATGACTGATACATATCTTTGATTGATAATCCATTTCATACATGCAAGACAGGTTCAGGTTTAATTCCTTTTGTAAATGATAATGTAACAGTTTGTGAAGACTTTGAATTTAAATAACTTGTAACATCAAATTCAATCTTGCCTAGTATTTTACCACTTGATGATTTCTTCTTTTCCTAAAAAAAACAACGATAATGACGATTAATGTATTAATTAAACTTGTTCTTCTTGTTCTTCTAATTTGATTAACATACTTCTTTTAAAGAGAATGCAACCTTTTTACCATCAGGTTTCTGTGTTTTTGGATCAATAAAGAATTTACTTTCAAATGATATCTTTTCATCAAATATAGATTCACCATTCTTTACCATTAGATGACTAGTATCACCTGATGACTTTGAAGATGATCCTCTTTTCCATTGTATAAATACACTACTACCATTCAACTCTTTTAAATTGGTTACTTTTTTAATGACAACTTCTACCTTTACTTTAAACTTGTCTTTTCCTTTATGTGATTTCATCATTTTCGAACGAGACTAGTTATTCTTTATAATGATAAAGAAGAAGAAGAAGAAGGAGAAGAAGGAGAAGAATTAAAAGGTAAATGTAACTGTTGTAGTTGTATTGTTATTATTATTATTATTATTATTATTATTATTATTATTATTATTATTTCTTGTCTTGTGCGAGTGTCTATGATTATAATAATGTTGTTGTTGTTGTTTTACAACACTAATCTAAATAGTTGGTATAGGAAGTGTTGTTTATTTATTAGTTTATCTCTATAATAATAATAATAATAATCATTGATGTCGCAATGAAGAATAAGAATAGTATTCGTTTCTGTCTGTATATATCTATCTATCTATGAAATAAACTAACTTTAGTTTATCTTGAGGTGAGGTGGATTGTTGTTATTGTTTCTCTCTCCGCTCCATACCCCGATCGATCCTCTTGTTTTTTTTTTAAGCTGAGGGGTGGTGAGATATTAATAGGGAAAACACACTACTCGTTACCACTCTTTTCCCCCCTACCCTCTCTCTCTTTGTGTATGAGCTGACCTTACTCATAATCTTAATAATATTACTATTAAATCGTTGTTGTTGTTTAAGCTATGCAAGTATGTATATTATATCTTTCTTACCTTTCGAAAAGTGATAAAGAATAAAACTGGTATTCTGTCTATCGATAGGACAAGAAAGATAGAGAAGAGAAGATGGTTTTAGTGCTTCGTAGTAACTAATTTTGATGAAAGTGCGTGTTATGATAATAATCTGACAAGTTTGGAGGGGTAAAGAAAAACTATTTTTTTTTTTTTTTAATTTATTTATTTTATAACAAAACAACCCTGCAAAGGAAATTATAGTATTAGGTGGTGTGGTTCATTCTAAACGTGTTGACAATCAGATGGATGGACAATAACTTCTTCCTCTTTAAAGAAAATTACTTTTGTCAATCCGTCTATCTGATTGTCAACTTGTTTGCAAGACAACAACAACTCATCATAATATGAACAACAACAACAACAATGATAAACTATAAATAAGACCTATTTTTTGGTAGTTTAAATCATCATCATCATCTTATTTATTTATTTATTTATTTAATTCAAAACTATTAATCAATTAATTAATAATAATGTTATCATTATACATTTACATTTTATTTATTTTAATTTCGGGAATTGAATGCCAATATCTCCAAATTGGTTATTATCCAGGTGCTGGATGTCAAGCACAAGAAGTATCAAAAGAATGGTTTCTTGTTAATTTTTGTCAACGTGGCAATGTATTCCGTGTTGGTGGAGCTCCTGCCAGTTCGTCGTTATCCTCTTTATCTGGTCTTGGTGGATTGACCAGTTTATTGACTACTGCACCTGTCTCTGGCTCTCCATTGACCAGTCTTGTCACTGGCACTACAACTTCACCACTTAGTAGTCTTGTCACTGGAACTACAACTTTGCCATCCTCTAGTGGACTAGTTACAGGTTCGACTACATCTTCATCTGGTGGACAATTAACATTACAAAGTCAACGTGTTCTCTTGGCTGGTAGTGAGGATCCAACTTCTACCACCACATCGACTACTACTACTGGTACTGGTTCGACTACTACCTCATCTCCAACCACTACCACCACTACCGACGCTGTCACATCAGTTTCAACAACTACATCACCATTGGTATCAGCCATTACAAGATACTATTGTCTCGATACAACCAATTGTGCACAAAATTGTTATGCAGTTGAAACCTTTCAAATTAATGGTGCATGTGCATTGTCATCTGAAAATGAACATGTCAGATACTCTGTTGTAGATAGTATTAGTGCCACCTATGATAGAACTAATGGTAATTGTTGGGCAATGAACTTTACAATGTATGTTATTAGAAAGTATATATCACTCACTCTCTCTACTTGACTAACCATTTATTTTCAATCTACCAATCTATCTATCTATCTATTTAAAATTTAGTGATTGTACAACACAACCACAAGGTATGACAGAGTATAGAAACAACTTGGTATCAAGAGGATACAAAGTTAATTGTACCGATGACCAATACAACTATTACAATTGTGTAGATTTTGAGTGCGATCAAGTAGCACTAGTCAATAGTTATCCACTCAAGAAATGTTTGACCAATGCCAAAGACAAAACCTACAACTCTTACTTGTCATTCATTCCAGCTCCACCAACCAATCCACCAACAACACCACCAGCTACCGATGCTCCAACTGAAGAGCCAACCACTCCTCCTACTCCCAACCCAACCTCTGATGCAACCACTAATGTCAGATCATTCCTTTCTACTATTGCAAACATTATTTATTATTATTCTTTACTCTTTTGTATTCTTTTTTGATTGATTAAATCAAATAACTATAATATTATTATATATATATATTTACAGAGAGAGATATATAAATAAATAATTAATTATTACTATATTATTATTATACCTGTATTTATAAATCATATGAACTTATGATGACCCCCAAAGTGTTCTTTTAATTTAATTTTTTTTGGTTTTTTGAACCAACCAAACCAAGCAGCATAAACACACCATCTTTTTATAGTGCCATTATGCTGGTGGGTTTGATTTATTATTATTATTTATTGTTTTATATATATTTACATTAACAACAGTTTAGAAATAAAGAAAGAAAGAATAAACTAATCACCACATAGCAATTGTAATAGTAGTAGTAATAGTAATATAAACCAATCACATCACAGATAGACATATTCATAAAAGCAATATATATATAGATAGAATCATCATATATCATACTACTTGCTTACTTACTTTTACTTACTACCAAGTTAGTAGTAAAACAAAAAAGGAAAGATATCTTGAATGATGGAGTCGAATAATGTTGACGCCGAAACAACCAAGAAGTTGGTTTTGGCAAGTCTATCAAGTCTAGATGACAAGTCACAGAGTTTTAAAGTAAAGCTTGATCATCTTAATAAACTAGTCGATCTTAAAAAGAGTATTCAAGATCTTACTACCATTGTACCATATACACAATTTCTAAAAAGGTATGATGATGATGGAATAAATCTAAATCTAAATCTAAATCAATCAATCAATTAATTAATTTTCTTTTCTTTTTTTTCTTTTTTCTATTTCTATTTTACAGTGTAAGAATATTTTTAGCTACACCACCAAAGACAATGAGAACATCAGCATTAAGGGTGATTAGATATTACACAACCAACTCCAAGTTTATTCAAGAGATTGTATCATTAAAAATTCATTATTTTATAACAAGATGTCTCGAAAGAGATAAACATAGCGAAACAGAGAGAATACAAGCATTGAAATTGGTGAGAACCATAATGGAGATTGATTGTTCTCTGATGCCACCTTGCATCGTCAAATCATTGGTGGCTATTGCCGAGAATCAAGAAGACAACTTTTGTCGTGTCTGTCTTGAAACACTCTGTGAAATATCAATCCGTAACCCACAAGTCTCTTCTCATTCAAATGGAATTAGAACATTATTTGATAGTGTACTAGATCCCTTTTATCAAGGTATCCAAGAATCACTGTTAATTTCCATTCTTTATATTTTAAATGAAGAAAAAACAAGAGTTTATGTTAGAAATAGTGATTTAGAAGTAATTATAAAAAAAAAAAAAAAAAGATATCAAACATCATTTAAAATCAATTGATAAACTAACTTTTATTTATTTATTTATTTTGCTTTGTTTTAGATTATTTTATCACCATTAACCAATTCTTTAACATTGGGTGTAAAAATTAAAGGAATGAGTAAAGAAAAAGAAAAAGAAAAAGAAAAGGATGATGAAATTAACATGAAAAAGTAATATTTAAAACATATATATATATATATGTATATTCATACTTTTTAATCATTATTAACCTTTTTTTTATTTATTTATTTATTTATCTTTAGATGGGTAGGATCAAACAAAGCTGTTGTAACATTATTAAAAAGTTGGATTGGTATAATATCATTGGCATCAGATGAACATGGATTAAAATCAATTGTTGATGCTTTAAAAATGCCCCAACTTGAATTACATGTATTTATCTCTCAATCAAATATTAGAAAAAAAATGGATCAGATGATTAATCATTATACTATATATTTTGTTATTCTATAGGATAAATTATTAGAATCGTTATTTGAAATATTTAGATTGGTTTTACCAAAAAATACAGGTGATCCATTTAGACCACAAAAACAATCACAAGCGATCAATATGGGACCTGATGCATTGTCAGACTTGCCATCGAGAACTCGGTCACTTCGACACAACCTGTTGAATAATTATATAGCTGTATTATTAATTGCATTTATCGAGTGTGGATTGATTGAAGGTTTGGTTCATTTGGGCAACACTACACAAGGTGCAATCATGGGATTGTCACATGACAATGACAAGGAAAAGGAGATGCACCGATTGGTGGGAACTAAAGCAACCGTCTTGCTTGGTGAGTTGTTGCATTTGTCCAACTCGTTGCTTCCACCTTCTCAGTGTGCACGACTACAGACACTACCAGCATTGGTCAATTCGGCCATCTCATTCCGTTTGGATCCTCGTCAGAGATCGCGTTCTTCGACCATGGTCACCAACTTGCACAGCTTTTCGCATGTTAAATCGTCAACGACATCGTTTGACAATACACTTGCCATCACGCTAACCGGTGCCAACAAGTGGCGTCGTATCAAGGGACAAGACCGTCGTTTGGACAAGATCGACGATGTCAAGATGAAGATGGACTATCTGATGGACGATCAACAGTTTCAACAGCGTCTCAAAGACACTCAGGTACTCGTTACCAAAGACGCTGGCAAGTGGAACTGGGAGATTATCTTTGAAATCCTTGAAGGTCCTCTGTCCAACGTCAACCACCTTGCAAGCGCTTTGAGAACCAAGTTTATCAAGCGTATGCTCTCCTTTTTGCGTCCATCCAACAAGATGTTCTCGACGATGGCATGGACACCCGAGAACCTCAAGTTTGTACGTGTTGCATGCGTCACCCTCGAGGTTCTCATCTCATACGACATTGGCTTTGAGTATCTCAAGGACAACAAGACCATCGTGCAGATATCAGAGATGCTCAAGCTCGAGTTGGAGATTCACCAAAATGCCGCCAAGGCTGGTACGCCCGTACCTCAAGGCTCCCACGATACCAAGGGTGGTCGTTTACTCTCGCCTGAAAAGGTCCTCAAGACCATGGCTAGAGAATACTTTACCATGTTGGGTACACTCAGCAGCAATCTCTTGGGTCTCGAGATTATGAGTCGTAATCATATCTTTGACTATATCAAACCACTGGCCGAACTCCCAGGAAGAGATGATTTGTCGCATCTCATCATGACATCGCTCGACTATAACGTGCCAGGTGCCAGTCGACACATCCTCCAAAAGATTCTCACCTCCAACTCGAGAGTCGTACGTTATCTTGCCACCAAGTACATGCGTTACTTGTTGCGTTCGGGTGCACACGACTTTTCAAACTGGGGTGTCGAGTTGCTTGTTGCACAACTCAACGATCCCGATACCAAAGTGTCACAGTTGGCGTTGAATGTATTGGACGAGGCGTGTGACGATCCAAACGGGCTTGACTCGTTGATCCACCTCCAACCACCTCTTCTCAAGCTCGGAAAGAATGGAAAGAGTTTAATGTTACGTTTCCTCTCGCGAAAGAGTGGACTAGACTATTTGTTGGGCACCAGCTTTGTCGAGCAAGAGGAAAAGCTCTGGTTGTCTGGTGAAAATGCCAACTATGTCATTCAAGTCGAGGGTGCCATCTCAGAGGCATTGACTCCACTGATTTGGCGTCAACGTGAAGCACCAGACCAAGGCAACAACGGTGTCTACCTCCCACCACATTTCTACGGTGAATTGGCCAAGACCGAGGAAGGATGTGATATTTTAAAGCGTAGCAATAGTTTCCCAACCTTTGTCAAGATTGCTACCGATCAACGTGCCAATCCACTTGAGCGTCGTGCTGCCATCTTTGCAATTGGTCAAATTGGATCGTCGCAAGCTGGTTTCCGTTTTCTCGAAGACCATAATGTCGTCCCATTGATTGTAGAGATGGCTGAAAAGGCAACTTGTCTCTCGCTTCGTGGCACTTGTTTCTACGCACTCGGTATGATCAGTTGTATCGAACGTGCCAACGAAATTCTATCCAAATGCGGATGGGAGTCTCCATCAGACTTGACATCTCGTATCTCTGTACCAAAAGACTTGCAAAAGAGTACATTCCTCAAAATCACACCCTATGACTTTAAGGGATCTTGGGCTGGCAATGCAGTAGATCCCCTTCAATCACTATTGGACAATGCCATCAAACAAGAGATTGTCACCTTTGTCGGTAACTTGGCATCACACATCACTGCCGAGACTGCTTCAAAGAACCTCAAACGTCTCAAGTTGAAACACCCAGATTTGTTTGCCTCTGGAGACATGTTGTTTATGGCATTCTCGCTATTGGATCATTACAAGTATCGTCTTATCACTCGTCGGTTTATCTATGATTGTTTCGATACTGCCATCTTTTCTTCTGATCCTTTTGAAAGTATTACCAATTTTGAAAATTTAGTAAAAAAATAAATCAACTACGAATAAGATCTTTGATTTATTTAAGACACTAGTAATTATCCTCTTTATTCTTATTATTTGTTAAATTAAAATTATTACAATTAGATACAAACGTGACGTATGATGAATGTTTATCAATGAGTTCTTCGAATGATGCATTTTAATTAAAGAATAATTATAAAAAAAATTAAATTAAAAAAGATACAGAATGATGAGCTCACTTCATTGGCAATGAATGAAACTCATTGAAGAAAAACAAAGAATATACAGATATCTGTTTCAATATTAAATAATAGATAGAAAAATGGGCAATAATCAACAACAACAACAACAAGATGATATATTCAACAAAGTGATAGAATCAAATAAATGGTTATCAGAAAACTCAAAATATGTAAAGATCAATAATGAAGAGATTGATAACTTTATTAAAACTTTATCAAAAGGTATGTAGAGATGAATTGAATGAATTGCTTTGCTTTGCTTCTTTATTCACATCAATCAATATAACTAATCAATATCTTTTTCTCTCTCTCTCTCTATTTAGAACAATATAACAAGCATTCATCATTGGTAACATTTCCATTAAACTTTTCATCGATTCAACAAGAAGTATGCTTTTGGTTTATATTGGATTTGATCAATATTGGTAGTGGATTTAGAAAAGAGTTGCATGAGGTATCGGATAGAGGTGCCTATGAGACTATTTGCTATGGATTGCTTGGTATGTTTTTGTCACAGTCTGGCAAGTTGGATAGCAACTTTTTAATGAATCTATCGTTGCACGAAATATCAAGCTTCTTTAACATACCAGTGTCAACCGAAGTACAACAACCAGATCTGCCGGGTATCTACACGTATCGTGACTCTGTCGTCAAACCATTGATTGTCAACATTCACAAAATCTTAAAAGAGTCGGCAGAGATTATCTATCGATTGGGTCACTCTGACTTTGGTGCCTACGTACTATCATTGTACAATGTCTATGATGCAGAACAAGGCCCATTGGCATCTACATTGGTACAAGCACTTGTAGATACATTCCCAGCTTTCAAAGATGAAGCTAAATATACCGACGGCGAAACAACAAAGACAATCTACTTGGAAAAGAAGGCACAATTGTTGGCAGCTGATTTGTATCGTCGTTTCAAAGATACTGATGCACGTTTTAATTTCATTGATGTAGATCGTATGTCTATCTTTACCGATAATGTCGTACCTGCCGTACTCAGAAAACTCAATATCCTCCAAGTCACCGACGATACCTTGGTCCAACAAATCAACCAAGGCAGAGAGTTACCCGCCCAATCACCCCAAGAAGTAGAACTCCGTGGTCTTGCCATCTATGCATCCCGTCTCATTGTACAACGCGCAGCACAAATCTTTTCATCAACACCAGAAGAAAACTTTATTGGCAACGATGTTAAATTGGATTATTATCTTTGGAGTGTTGGTAAACAACCAGAATATAGATCTTTTGAAAGACATTCAACAAAACAAACTTTATTTTATTAAATCAACTACCAGACCTTCTTATTTTTTGATCAAATCGACATCGACACCAAGATATTATCGATGATTTTTTTTGTCTTTAAAGATATTATATTCATTATAATTATTAAGATATATTCGTCTTTTTTTTATTAATCATGGTAGTTGGTTAATCACAGATGATCATAAAGCGACACCTCATGTACTCATTCATTCATTCATTCAAAGTTAAAAGATGAAGAGATTAATCATAGTAATATTAATACTAGTATTTAATATTTGTATGTTTGTGTTTAAACAAAACAATAATCAAATAAGAGTGTATTCTGCTGCTAATCTATTTTTCTTTTATTCCTTCTTTTAAGACTACGTAAACTCATATTTAAATGAATATGTTCAAGGAAAAGTTAGTGACCTATTCTATGACTGTTCATCAGGTGAGTCGTGTAGATGTCAAGCTACGTTCTTTATGACATTGAATAGTACATCTTTATTGGTTCAACCAGTCTCTACAGGTTCAACAGACTATGACTATATCAATCAAGAGTATAAATCTATCGTTTCTCAAGGTACACTCACAACAATCTATGTAGAGATGTGGAATAGACCTGGATACAACACCTATCCAATATTATCAGTTTCCAACATGGAATCGGATGCCATCGATGTTACTGTACCGTGGATTTGTCAAGAGCAACACTTTCAATTCAAGTTGACCCCTATTCAACGCTTAGGATTCCTTTATGTTGTGGGTGTGTCTACTATCAACTCGACGATGGACATCTCACCAGCATATGGGAGTTCTCCTGGATTTGCCCTTGTTGCTTACATTGCCCGTACATATTTAAATGAAGTTAACCTATGTGTCCTCCCATTAAAAAATCAAACATCAGTATTATCCTACAATGATCCTCTCACCTTGCCAATAACAACACCTTTAGTTTCGACAAATTATACCATCCCCAATATCACTCCATTTGGTAAGTATAAACAAAAACAACAACAACAACAACAATAATATTATTAAAAAAAAAATGATAGGATTATTATTAATTTTCTCATTTCTTTTTCTTTCAAGTCAATTTAACATTCATTTCAGCAATTCATTATCCTACAGTACAAGTATATGTAGAGTATGGACAAAGTGGACAGATTAATTCATTTATCAATGTTCAAGGATACAACAAACCAGCTATTGTTTTTAGTGAGTTTGGATCTGTTTTCCCAATGCTTGGTAACAGTCAAGACATGCAATTAGTGAGTGCAGATAAATTTAACTATCAAGGGATTACAAATCCAATAGTCTCTCAAACGTTTTATAATATTCGTGGTCCTACCCTAACTCCCATTCTTCCATCTCCAAAATCATTTGATTTGTATTTTCAAGGTAAAAAAAATCAAAGACTAATACTACTACTACTATTACGACGACGAATATAATATAATTAATTCATTATTTATTTTTAATTATATATATATAGATCCTCAAACTTTTTTTACCAATTCTACACCAATAGATTTGGGACCAACACTTGGAACATTGAATTTAGTAATGGGTGATTACTTTAATCCAGTTAAACTATACTATCAATCAAATGTTGAATACACCATTCCATATCCATATGGATACAAACACAATTACGATGAACAACTCAACCTTATTCGTTACAGCTTTTCATTCTTGACAGGTGTTTTCAATTTTAAAGCAACAATCTTGTTTCGTCAAACTACTCAACTATTTGATGAGACAATTAATTTTTATTTACAAGGTACCATAGAAGAAGAAGAAGCAGGGAAGAAGAATAATCAACTTTTCCTAACCAAACTTTTTTTTATTTTTGTCTAGATACTTTGGTCCCAATATTAGTTTCAGTTGATTTCCAACCATTCTCTTCTGATAGTTTTATCGTTACTATGAGAATTACCGACAACTTTAGTGGAGTGTACAAGATTGAATTTGGCACCAGTCCAGTCAGGAGATTCTATGCATCGGATACTCTAATCTCTGGAAATGAATTGGACGGAATCTATGTATTTGAATACTCATATTCTTCAATAGACACTTCACCGCATTTAATCAATATTTACGATAACAATCAAAATGTTTTACAAATTGAAAAGGATATTTATGATATCAATTTAACTAAAATCCCACCAAGACCTTTTAATCCAATTTGTATGTATAAAAAAAAAATAATAATAATAATTAATATATTTATTTTATTTTATTTTATTTAGTACAAATAACATCAGATGATTTTACACATTTTGAATTTTATCCAAATATTGTAAATACTAGTTTAGGTCCAAGTATGGTCACTATGTTGTTTAATTTGACCGAAAATTTTCCAAGAGATACTTTGGTTAAATTCTCTTTTGGATGGAATTCTCATATGCTTTATTACACAGATTTGATGATGCCAGTCATTGCCGAGTATCATCCACCCGACAATATGTTTAGAGCTGATTTCTTGATCCCTGCCAACACTGAAAACTATACATTGACATTTGCTAAAACTTCTTTCTCTCCTATTGATGCCATTCAAGCTTCTTTAATTGAAAAGTTTGGTTCTCAAGCAAAAGTTGATTTAGTTTCAAATTGTAAGTAAAAACAAAAATGAATAATATTAATTAATTATTAATGTTTAATTCTTTTTAATTTTTAGATTTAGATATTAAACCACCAATGGTAACTCGTTTAGTACCAATACCAGGCAATAATATAATGAATAGTGGTGCAGATTTCTTGGTGGGATTTAATATAACTATTGTAGATCGACCAAATGGATTCAGAGAAGGAACTTGGAATATTAAATCTAGTATTGATGGAAAGCTTTATTCTTTTAAATTGGATAATAGTACAAGAGTTTCTGGTGACCAATTTGAAGGAACCTACCAAGTGAATTGGACTATGGACGGATCGTACTGCCAAAACCAAACATTTTCAACATACAATATTTCGTTGGTCGATCAATCAGGTGCTACTTCTGAATACCCAAGTTTAATGAATTTCGAACCAGCCGTCCACTTGGATCCATTTATTCAATTAATCACTTCACCACTCAATTTATTTATCAACTATAACTGTTCGGTCCCTACAACAAGTGACTCTGTACCACCAACCATTCTTGCATTCAGTTTTACCCAAGACAACGATGCAAGAGTCGTCAACTTTGACCTAACCATTCAAGATGCACTCGTTGGCATATCACTTCGTCACAACCCAGTAGTTTATATTTGGGACAAGAATGGAAGATATGTGTCGATTGAATCAAACAACAGAATCATTCACAACGTTTCAACAGTTTCGTATCAATATTCAACACAACTAACCTATTCTGTGGCCAGTACACCTAGTCTAGTGTCTGTTTATGGATTGGTTGATAAGAATTTGAATACCGATGGTTATTCAAGCGCTGATTTGAAATCAAATGGGTTCCAGTACGATATTACAGTCCCTCAATCACCAGATGTACCTGTATTGTTTGAATCTACATCAGTTTATAGAATTGGAGGTATATTAACGGTACGAGGTGCTAAACTAGGTGACTCTACACTGCCCAATCTAGTCGCATTTATCGACTATGGAAATGGAGAAGAGATGGCACCCATCGACATGGTATACAATGTTGGATTACATGTCAAGGTTGGAACCATACCCTCTACAACCACAAAACTAATTCTTCGAGTTAGATCCAACGTACCATCCCAACAGTACTCTAATAAATTGGTTATTCAAGTCAAAGAGTACAAACCTACAAGAGTCATTCCACCCAACCCAGAACCAATTCCGTGCCCAGGATCACCGTTGGTGTGTAGTGGAAGAGGACAATGTACCAATGATGGATGTGTTTGTGTAGCACCATGGTTTGGTCCAGCTTGTACAAGTCAGGTCGTTCCTGTAAATCCTCCTATTCGAAATGAAACTGATCCAACTGTCATTATAGGTGGAGGTAATGGAACAAGTGGTGGGAATGGTACTGGAGGAAACCAACCAATTAAAGTTAGAACAATCATCTCTATAGTTGCCATTAGAGAATTGTCCTATGACGGAGTAGAAGTTGCAATGCACAAGTTTTCAAACTGGACGCTCACCGATCAATCCAATTCCACCCAAGACAATATTCACAACAGCACTCAATTGTACAACTATCAAACATTGATGAACCAAAACTCAACCCTTGTCAATGTTAATATTGAATGGTTCAATCAATCCACTACCATTCAATTTGCACAGTCCAACATTACATTGCCACCCTTTTCAACCAAGATTTCAATGTCATTGTCTAGATATGATTTTGCAAGTATTTTAAATACCCTCCAAGTTATATTTAAAGTAACCTTTCAAGATGATGAAGGAATAGATAGATGTGTTGAAAAGGGGTATGGATTGGGTAACGATGACAACCAAGATGATGTGCAATGGCTAAAGATCCAAATAGAGGATCAAATGTTGTATGGTCAATTTATTAGAAGAGCATTGGTTGATGGTCGTCCAAATAATGTCCGTAATGTCGTATTGGATGGTTTGTTTGGTGACACTCTATCTACCGACTCTTTTATTGGTATCAACATACCTCACTACTCTTTCAGTGCAACTATTGATCCCAACTTTTCAAATCTAATCAATTTCGATGGTGAAACACCTAGTTGTGGTGACACCAACAAACTATCAAATGGTGCTATTGCCGGTATTGTAGTAGGTTGTGTCATTGCACTAGCCATTGTAATTGGTACTATCATCCTCATTAAAAAGAAACATACTCAAAAAGGTTACGAAATACAAATGAAAAAGAAATTAGATTCTTTTAATAAAAGTCAATAAATAAGAATAGAATAGTTTGTATTGAATTTAAATACAATTATATTATATATTATATATGAATAGTCTGTTTCTGTACAAGTTTATTCATTTTTGTTTTGTTTTGTTTGTTTAATAAGTTGATTCAAAGAAGGTTTTTGATTGCTTGGAATCTGGGATCATGGTCTTACCACCCTTGGTCCAGTTGGCTGGGCAAACTTCACCGTGGACATCAGTGTATTGGTAGGCTTCAACAAGACGGAGAGCTTCATCAACGGATCTACCGACTGGGTTATCGTTGAGGGTGATTTGCTTGACGAGACCGTCAGCACCAATGATAAAGGAACCACGGATGGTGTGTCCGTCTTCTTCGATAAAGACACCATAGTCCTTGGCAATTTGGTGAGTAAGATCAGAGACGATTGGGAAGTTGATACCACCCAAACCACCTTGCTTACGTGGGGTGTTGACCCAAGCCAAGTGAGAGAATTGAGAGTCTACTGAACAGGCAATGATTTCACAACCAATCTTCTTGAATTCCTCAGCACGTTCGCTAGCGAAATAAATAAAAGATATTAATATAAAGATTTGAAACATCAATGCTTTTTCTTTTTTTTTTTCTTTTGTTTAAACAACACTTACGAGAAGGAGATGATTTCAGTTGGACATACAAAGGTAAAGTCGAGTGGGTAGAAGAACAAGTATACGTATTTACCTATATATATATATATATATATATATATATTATGTGTATAGAATTATGATGATATTAGTATATTGAAATACAAACTATTACTACTATTGATTGTTGTTTATAAACATACCCTTGAAGTCGTCCAAAGAGACGGTCTTGAATTCACCATTGACAACAGCTTGAGCGGTGAACTTTGGAGCTGGCTTTCTGATACGGATTTGTTGCTTGTGTGGGCAGGACATGTCTAATTCTTCAAAACAGTGATGATGACTGAATATAAATTTAATATTAATATATATTACATTAAAAACTGTGTGCGAGTACAGAGGTGTTTGCGCATAGTCTCTTGCGAGGATGAAGATCAAAAAAATAAATAAAAAAATAAAAAAAAATGTTGGTGTGTTTTCTTTCGAATGAACCCCCCTCATTCCATGCGTCTATAGGGTCATATGACACTAAAAAAAGTCACAACGAGAGAGAGAATGAAATTCCATCCATCCGTGGAAGTAAAACTCGTAATTACTACTACGAGTAAATAACAAGTATATATTATTGAATATACCTATAGAAGTATCTAAGATCTAATTAGATCTATTGTAATCTTCTCTTCTGATTGAAATAGGTTGGTTGTTGGTTGGTTGGTTGGTTCATTCTTCTTCTTCTCCAATCAAATTCTAGAAGAGATGAAAAAGAAGACTGGACTAATGGTAATGTATGGATGGGATGATGAGAAATGGATGGGATGAGAAACCTACTGACTACAATCATCGTTAGAGGATGATGAGAATTTAGAGATGAATGATGAAGAAGAAGAGATCGATGGAGTAGTGAAAAGAGTTGTTGATTTGGTCATCGAGAAGGTTGGTGCAGTCGATGTCGATGATGACAAGGAAGCAAAGTTACTCTTGTTGACTGATGCAACAACTCTAGATGTGACTGATCTGATACACTTTAAACTATTCATTTCTATGTTCTCTCTTTTACAAAATATGAAAATCGATTAAAGATTAGGTAGGTTCTGTCCTCCCTTTGTTTTGTTGATCATCACATTTTTAATTAAATTAATTTATTTATTTTTCATTAGTTTTAAAGAACCCACAGCACTTTTAACTCAATGACCATCACCGTCAGTCTTTTTGCAACATATATAAATTAAATTAATATAAATAAGATATTATACTACTACCAGATAAAGAACAAGATAGATAGATATCATATGATCAAGGAAAATAATTAAAAAAACAATTATCCATTTCAAAGAAAGAATCTTTTCATCTTTGTTTTTGTAGAGCTCTAACAACAAAGAGAGAGAGAAAGGACAGTTCATTCATTTACTTTATTTTCTATACAACAAAGAAGACTTTTTAAAAGAAGATGACGTGGTTACCATCACCAAGCAAATCACTTAAAGGTGTTTTCCTATTTTGGTCACCTCTCAATATGAACAGATACTTTGTGTTGGAGAGAAATGTTATTTATACAATACATCCAGCTGTTATGTTACACCAACAACAACAACAATCACATTATCAACAACTAAAGTTACAACAACAATCACATCATCATCATCATGGTCAAAGCCAATCATCATCATCAGCGCCTCCACCTCCACCACCACCATCAATGCCTAAAATAATAGAATTACTGTCATTATTTTCACATGTAGATAAAAAAGAAACCTATAGAATCAAATCAAGATTGAATGTATTTGTACCTGAACAAATTGCAACATCAAACAATCTACAAGACATTGAAAATAATTGGGATCACTTGGAATCCGAATTATATCCAGCATTGAAAAAAATGGAATCGAGCACCGATAAACAACAGGCACTTGTAGCATACCTAAAACGTAAACAACATTTTAAAAACTTTATACCTCAACCTTCTTCCACTTCCACTTCATCTAGTTAAAAGGAAGGGATTCCCTCCTTATTGGACAACAATTGTATAATAAATGTAAAATAATAATAATAATAATAATAATAATAATGTGGATATATATATATATATATATATTTATTCCAATAATACTTAACAACCTGTGCAGTCCTGACTCGACCTGAAATAAAAAAAGAAGAAAGATCAGTGTTCGTTGAAAAGGTTGTATATCTCAAGATATTTAGGTTGACTTTTAATCAGAAGAATAATAGTTGTTGGAACCATTCCTATTCGAATGGTTATGCTCGAGTATTGGAAGCAATGACAGACATGTGGATGTTAGTTATAATGTAATCTTTTTAATATAAATACTGTGTATTACAATAATGATGAAAAGGTATTTACTTTATTTATTATTGTTGATCATCGCACCACTTTTCTTTGGTGGTTATGATCGTCATCATCATTTTGCTTTTGCACAAACAATACCTGCTGAAGAATGTAAGTACGATCATCATCATTATGATCATTATGATCACATGTCATTTATTCATCTATCCTCTATCGTGGCGATCACAACTAATATTAAATCTATAACTTTATTATACTCTCACCCACACTGCAGTAAATAGTGCAATATGGATCATCAAACAATATCGACTCGATGTACCAATGGATCAGACAATGTGTAGTAGTATAAATTTCGCTGTTTGCAAGATATCTATTGATGGTTTATATCATTTAACTTCAATGTATGTCTATTCATATCTAGAGAATGATAATTCTTTGTATCTAACCATTTTTATTTTCATTTGTTCAGTCGTTATACTGGAGATACCTATTTAATGACCAATGGAATGCCAGATACAAATCTACTAGCATTTACCTTTCCATTTTTGGAGAATCTGATCATTCCTACTCCATCTGTCATTGCCGACCCTTCATTAAACATGCTCAACTTGATCAAAAATTTAACTCAACTTTATTCATTTGTGTATGTAATACAAACAAGTATACTATAGCGCTATAGAGTACTCTTTGTTGGTTTTACTTAATTTAATTATTAATACATATATTTATTTATTTATTTATTTATTTAGGATACAAGGGGTTGGTGATCCATCAATCACAACCATTCCAATTGGATTTATGCAACAAGTACCAAATATCCTATCGTTTGTATGTCTGTGCAGCATTACAGACATTCCACAATTAGGTTCAAATAGCAAATTGCAACAATTGTCCATCGAATCCAAAACTAATATTAATTTTGTGATTGATGAATCTGTTTCATTGCCAGCACTCCTGGAGCTCTCTATCAACTATTCTCCTTCGTCTCCCCAGTCACATCGCATCACTCAAGCTTCATTCCCAAAAATTACTCGACTTTCCTTTATCTCTGATACATCTTACAAGATATCAATTCATCATTCAACAACTAAACCAAATTTAGAAATGTATGTATCCTAATATAAATGATAGTATTATTTTTTCACAAACTCACCGACCACCATTCATTCACAAAATAGCTTTTTAGGAACATTAATATTTCAACCAGCTGTTTGGTTTGAGTTTACTACTACTAATCCCTCATCAATCAAAAGTCTTGCTATTCATGGGAAATATTCAACCTATTCCCCTTCCGATTTAGAGAATGATTATCCCAACCTCGAATATTTAGTATTAAGTCATATTCAATTCCTAAATCAATACCCTTTTTCAAACTTTCCTCCAAAATTAAATAGTTTGTAAGTTTGCTTGTTTAAATTAATCATATCTTTTAAAAAGTCTCTCTCTCATGATTTACTAAAAAAAACAAAAAAAAACATCTAGGAATATATTAAATGCAGGTTTAAAGATAATTCCATCCATTCCTATACCATCTCGTATGAATGCACTGTAAGTATTTTTGAACAGTCAGTGAAATCATAAATCATAATAATTATTAGTTAATTAATTAATTTATCTATCTATTATTTTTTATTTAGTGGATTTTATAACAACTCTTTAGAAACAGTACCATGGGGAATATTTTCAGACCTAACATCATTTAATATGAGAGTTCATTTTGACCTTAATTTAAATCTGGGTGGATCAGTTCCACCAATGTTGTGCAACAAGATCAACTACTTGTCAATCACTAATACTGCTTTGGTATGGGTGCCAGACTGCTTTTGGTGCTACCAAAGTGGTCACATGTCGACTCAGTTACCCAAACCAGCAGGGTTTACATGTCCGATATCATTGACAACGCCAGCAACCATCAAAACCATTGTTGGAAAGACCAAGATAGAGGGTCAAAACATTGGGTGGGGTCTAGTCACTCCGGAATATTCACTTGTACATGTCATTCCAAACTCTAATCTATTACTCCAAATATCTCAATATGCCAATTACCTTGTCGAGAAACCTCTGGCGGTCTCATTTTTAGCCGGTGGCTCTGCAGAGTATAACTACACATTTAATGTTCAAGAAGTTGGAATATTATTTAATTCAGCGATATTTACTTTTATTCAGCAACCTGGTGCAGTTACATTTATAGTAGGATTTAGATTGTATAATCCCAACATTCCTCACACTGCCACTATTGATGACACTATCGATTGTGTACAAGATCTTGGTGAAGACACCAAACAATTTTTCACTTGTTATTCAGTTCTTGTTACCAAAGCCTACACTATGACTATTTCAAATGCTTATACAATGTCAAGTTTCCAATTTAATTATATTCAAAGTATATATACATAGTAAACAAAAAAAAAATAAGAGTAATAATATTTTTACTAATTTTATTATATTTTTAGAATATCCTGTAGTTTCATCTGGATCAGTTAATAATGGAACGACAGGAGATTCAAAATTAATTAGTTTGACAGGTGATTTTGGAAACAATGGTCAGAATAATGCATCTGTATTTATCAATGGTACCATACCATGTATTGTAAGCTTTGCAAGTCGCGATATTATCAATTGTACCATTTCATCATTAAATAGTTTTGGTAGTGCATCTTTAATGGTTTCAGTTGACGGTGCTCTATTTAATAGACCTAATATGCTTTATTTTGCACAACCACCAAATAATAATAATAATGGAGGAGGGGGATCACTAAAAGAAAAGTGTGAAAAAGATACTCATAATTGTTATGGTAATGGTCAATGTCAAGACAATGGTCAATGTTTATGTAATACTAATTATAATCCAACTGATAATTGTTTAACTCAATGTATGTTGTAAAAAAAGAAAAAAAGAAAAAAAAAGAATATTAATATTTATTTAATATTTATAGTTTTCAATGAAACAATACCAATTGAAGCAAATCAAACTGCACCAACTACAAGATTTGAAATTGATGGTGTTGAATTTTTATTTGAATTATATTCAATTCAAGAATTGGATGTTGACGGAGAGACTGTTATACACGAAGTGATTGTTGATAATTGGAATTCGACTATAACAACATCTACCAATACAACAACAGCCAATTATGTATTACTATCAAATGAGACTACTGCACAAGTGGAAGCAGACATTTCATTCTCTGCCACTGCAAGACAAGCCACTTTTGGAGAAACCAATTTCACAATCAATCCAAACTCTATCAAAGTGTCGGTATCTATCAACAATTGGGAGTATTCAAGTAATATAGCAACACTACGAGTTTTATTTAAAACAGTATTGAGTAACAACCAAGCAGTTGGAGTATGTGGAGAACAACAATCAATCGATTCTTTGTCATACGACTTTTCAGGTAGTACTATACAATACCTAAGAGTTGCCAAACAAGGTATACAATTTACAGGTAGATTCTTGGATTATGTCGTATCGGATGGTCGTACCACTTACTCCAAGACAGAATTGGTATCTTTGAAATCACTCAACGGTAGCAGCAGCGATCAATCAGTTGCTATGATTGGTATCAACTTTCCTCAATGTCAGTCATGTTTACTTGACCCCGACTTTACACCATTGATCATTGACAATAGTCGTATTACTGGGTGTCCAAGTGATTCCTCCAACACTTGGAAAATCATCGTCGGTGCTTGTGTTGGTGGAGTAGTCTTTATAGCATTGCTAGTAGCTATCATATTTTATTTAAAAGATAGTAATACTTTTAGATTAAGAATAAGAAATGCAAAAAGTATTATATTAAAGAAAATATAAAATATAAATAAATAAATAAATAGAAATACAAAAAAATAAATAAATTAATGGGTGAGACTATTCGGGTTTGATGAGGTTTTAATCGAAAATATCTAGATCCGTTCCGTATCTATTAACAACCCATGGATGATGACATGATCTCCAATTCATTGAATCTATATCGCTATCTAAGCTGTTTACCTACGTCCTAGGTAGGCGCTACTAGCCTAGTATTGTTATTAGTTAGATATCAGTCTATAATTCATTATAATAGTACAGTACAGTACAGATAGATAGATAGATACCTACACAGATAGAGAGAGAGAGAGAGATGAACCATTCTCTTTTGTTTATCACAGTTAGTCTATTGTTGATAGTATTCAATACTAGTAGTAGTAGTGTAAAAGCAGGTGATCTACCAACAGATGAACGTATGTAGAATAATTGTCAAGATCAACCAAATCAGTCCTCACAACCAACTAACTAACTAACTTTTACCGTTGTTATCTTTTTTTTAAAGTAAATAGTGCAATGTAAGATTACAAAGAAATTAAGATATAAAAGGAAAATGATGGTGTTTATATATATATTGACATTTGTTACTTATTTACTTTTTAGTTGGATTATAAGACAATATGGATTGTTTTCAGTACCTCAAAACCAAACACTATGTTCGTATGGTGTGTTTGGTTGTATGACTGATCCAGAAACAAACCTAAATCATATTCAATCAATGTATGTATATACATCTTAATAATGCAACCTATTATTTACTAACTAACTAAACGTATGATCAAAGTAATATACCTCAATCTGCATATATGGGAGGTTCACCACCCTTTATAGAAAAGTTTGACTTTCCAGAACTAAAATCAATTAATATTTTTGCTTCTATTCCATTGGGTGACATTAGTCTAAACTTTCTTTCTTTTATTAGAAATATGCCGAAACTTTTGTCTATAAAGTAAATATTAATATTGTTAATATATATTTGTTAATATTAACCTCTCCTCTCTCTCATTTCTCTCTTATTTATTTTAAAATTTAATAGAATTCAATGTCCAACAGTAAAATTTATACCAAATGATTTTCCAACTGGTTTACCTTTATTGAAATCGTTTGACTCTCTCGAAAGTCCTGTTACAATGGCTCCAACCTTTTTTAATAATTCCAATTTAGAGATAATTAATATTGGATCATCGGTATTTGGATCTTTTAGAATAGATGAATCTCTAAATCTACCTCTACTCTACCAATTAAAGTTCAATGTCAATTCAACGATAAGCCCTAGTGTTACTTTTACATCAAAGACTTTCCCAAAGTTACTCAATCTTATCATTCAGAGTGATACTACTAAAAAAATAACCGTTTTTATTAATACCTCTCCACCTCAATTATTAGATGTGTATGTATAAATTATATATATATATATATATATGTATATATGTATATATGTATATATTTATATTTATATATTTATATTTATACATTTCATTTTATTTAGAGCATTAATTAGAAAATCAAACGGTACTATCTCTCAACGTCAAGTAAATTTCGATTTAAGGGTGTTGAACCCTTTATCACTAGCTAGGGTGGCATTGGTAGGTGAAAGTTCAACAATTACACCATTCCCTTTGGATTCCTATAAAAATCTAGATTCATTGTCGATTTCATACTCAACATTAACAACCTATCCATTTACAATACCTTCCCCAAATTTATTGTCATTGTAATGTATTATTTAAAAAAAATCAAAGTTTAGGTTTACAATCAACTAATGTTTTTTTTACTCTCTCTCTCTCTAGACTATTGACCGAATCAATGTTTGCCTCTATTCCAAATGTTCGACTTCCTTCTTCACTGCTCTATTTGTATGTATCAACTATTATTATTATTTTTAAGATCAAATCTATTAAACTGTATATTTTTAAAATAGAAATTTTGCAGGTAACAATCTAAATGGAGGTATACCTTGGGATTACTTTGAAAACATTAATTCTCCTTCAATGTAAGAGTTTTTGTTGGTGAACATACTATAGAGTGTTTCTATCGAATATTATATTTACATTTACCATATTTGTTTTTTTAGTAACATTGAAAATAATCCCTATGTAATTGGATCAGTTTCAGAAGATGTATGTCATTCTAAATTGAATATCAAGGGAACAAATCTTACAAGTGCTCCAAATTGCCTGTGGTGCTATTTTGATGAAGGTGTTCTCTTGACCAATCTGAACCCACCATCCACAATGGTTTGCTCTCCATCGGTTGATAATGCCGAGGTGTTTACAATATTCGGCAGTGCCATCATAACAGGTTCGCTTCTTGGGTATGGTAATCCTTCACAACCACTTTATACACTCAATGCAATCATACCCAACAAGATGTTAAAGATTCAAATGAAACCTCCATTTTCAAACTACTATACCAAAACAAATATGGCTATTCTCACATCCAACATGTATTCATACTCTGTGCCATTGGCCATCCTTGAGGTTGGATTCAACGCCACTACCATCGATGCAGTGCAAGTGGCTCATTCCGTCATTTTTTCATTCGCATTTTCAGCAATCAATCCCACCATTGAATATTCTGCCGATATTGGTCCCACAGTGATCTGTCAAAATCCACAAATCGACTCAGTCACAGGTTTATTAACTTGCTCTACTCGAGGTGCCCTACCCACAGGATCATATAATATATCCATTTTCAATGAATTCTATTCATCTTCTATCATTTATCAATATAATCAAAGTATGTTAAAATATAAAAAAATAATTAATAATAATAATAATATTAATTAATTATATTTACCTATTTATTTTAATTTTAGAGTACCCAGTTGTAAATTCAGCAGAAATTAACGATTTTAATAGTACAAAAAAGGTTATTAGTTTATTTGGAAATTTTGGTTCTCAAGTCGATGTTACTATCATCTTTAACAACACTGTACCATGTATTCCTAATCACCTTTTCATGTCAAATATAAATTGTACAATTGATGCCTCTAGCTTGGGGTATGGGTCTGCATCTATTTTTGTTTCTTCTGACGGAGCAAACTTTACACGTTCCAATATGTTCTATGTTCAACCTCCACCATCTTCAAACAACGGCTCGACAACAACTAGTTCCACCTCTGGAGGAAACTCACCTACTCCAAAAGAAAAATGTCAACAAACAACACATAATTGTTATGGTAATGGTCAATGTCAAGACGATGGTTCATGTCTATGTAATACAGGTTATAATCAATTTGATAATTGTTTAACAAAACGTATGTAGTGAAATTTAAAATACAAAATACTATTTTATAATTATTAATATTTACAATTTTATTTAATTTTTAGCTATAAATAATACAGTACCAATTGAATTTAATACAACTGCACCAGTAACAAGATTTGAAATTGATAATATTGAATTTATGTTTGAAATGTATTCAGTCCAGGAATTAACATTTGATGCAGTCTCTCAGGAAGTTTTAACAGAGAGTTGGAATTCAAACATTACAAAACAAGGGGATCTGACTGTTGCCAACTACACTTTAATCAGTAATGATACAAGTGCAAATATAACAGCCACCATTTCCTTTTCATCACAACAAAGAATTATATCTTTTGGTGGTAAAAATCTAACCATTCCACCAAACGCTATCAAGGTGGCAGTTTCCATTAACAATTGGCAATTCCAAAGCAATATTGGTACTCTTCGTGTTATCTTTAAAACAATTGTCAACAATCAACAAGGAATCAGCGTTGGTTGTGATGAGCAAGAAAATGTAGATCTATTTGCCTACGATTTCTCAGGCAATACCATTCAATACTTAAGAGTTTTAAAGGAAGGTATTCAGTTTACAGGAAGATTCTTGGATTATGTTGTATCAGACGGTAGATCAACCTATTCTACCACAGAACTAGTATCATTTCAACCAAGAAACAACAGTGCAGATGAATCAATTGCCATGATTGGTATCAATATGCCTCAATGCCAGTCATGTTTGCTTGACCCAGACTTTACACCATTGATCGTCGATACAAGTCGCGCGGTTGGGTGCCAAGACGTTGATTCAAATGTATGGAAATTGGCAGTTGGTATCAGTGTTGGAGGTGTTGCATTTATAGCTTTGGTAGTCGGGATATCTATTTATCTGAAACGTCATACCAAATTAAGATATACAATATTTAAAATGTCTAGATTATAATAAATAAAAAGAAAAATATATTTTATTTATTATATTTATTTTTATCTCTTTTTCATTGTAATACGATTTGAGTTTCTAAATCTCATTCTAAATAGATTAGAGTCTTTTAAATAAATTACAGCACCAACAACCAATGCTATAAAGACTGCACCACCAACACAAGCACCAACTATGATTTTCCAAGTGTTGGAGTTGCTTTGATTAGAGCATTCGTCGGCTTGATTGTTATCAATGATCAATGGTGTGAAATCAGGGTCCAGTATACACGACTGGCATTGTGGCATACCCACTCCAATCAGTGCAATCGATTCATCTGGATTAGAGGTTGATTTGTTGAGTGAGACGAGTTGGGTTCTTGAATAAGTTGAACGGCCATCTGATAATACATAGTCTACGAATCTACCAGTAAACTGTATACCATTTTTAACAACCCTAAGGTATTTAATGGTATTAGAATATGAATCGTATGAAAAAGAATCAATTGATTGCTTTTCCTCACAACCAACATCAAAATCTTGTTGGTTGTTGACCCATGTTTTAAAGATTACTCGAAGTGTAGCAATGTTGTTGTTAAACTTCCAGTTTGCAACTCCAACAGTTACCTTTATCGAATTGGGATCGATCGATATGTTTTGGTTGCCAAATGCTACTGTACGTGGTTGTGACGAGAATGAAACCGTTGCAGTAACATTTGCCAAAGTATCATTACTCGATAATGTATAATTGGCAACAGTCAAATCACCAATGGTTGTAATATTAGAATCCCACTTGTCAGTCATCACTTGTTTGATGACAGTCTCACCATCAACATCCAATTCTTGAATAGAATACATTTCAAATCTAAACTCTACACCATCAATATTAAATCTTGTAACTGGTGCAGTTTGATTTGCTTCAATTGGTATTGTTGTATTTAAATCTAAAAAATTAAATAAAATAAATAAAATAATTAATAATGAGCGATAATTTTAAAATTGTGTCGACTTACATTTAGTTAAACAATTATCCAATTGACTGTAGCCTTGATTACATAAACATTGTCCATTGTCTTGACATTGACCGTTACCATAACAACTATGAGTTTGTTGTTGACATTGTTCTTTTAATGATGTTCCATTGTTTGTATTGTTTGGAGTGGGTGGTGGTGGAAAGTATATCATATTTGGTCTTGTAAAGTTCAAGCCATCGACTGAAACCAATACCGATGCTAATCCAAAATTATTATTAATTGAAGGTATGTTACATGTAATTAAAGTTGGCGTTGCATTTAATAATGCACATTCGGTGCTATTGATTGTTACAGAGAGATTCGATAATGCAGTTCCAAAATCTCCATACAATTCAATTTCAACAGATTTATTTTGTTGTACCACAAATGACGCAGATGAAACCGTTGGATAATTTGGTTCTATTTAAAAATAAATAAATAAATAAATAAATAAATAAATAAATAAATTTCCTAATTAATTTAAATATTTACCAGGAGTAAAACGAAGGATTCTTGCAGCATTGGTAAACTCATTAGAGACACTAATTTCCAATGGACTGGGGCCAATGATACCGGTCAAGATACATGATACAACAGCATTACTACTGTAAAATTCAAAAATACATGGAATGGTCGTGTTGACCTTGATGGTGTGTTGGATATTGGGATTATAAACTTTAAATGGGATGTATAGTCTAATATTGTTATTACCAATCTCCATACGACGATATGAATCTGAAAGTTGTATACCGACTTCGGTAAAAGTGATAGTGTTTTCATAGTAGGGATAGGCATCTGACAATGTGAAAGTGAATGGAGTTGGAGTATAGAAATCACTGAATGGTCGGTTTAAAACAGAAAGTCGGAGTTTACTGTTTGGAATGATTGCTGCTATTTGAACTTTTGAATCAGTTCTTCCATAACCAATGTTGGTGCCCAACAATAAAGTCGACCCAAGAATGAGATTGGCAGTTGTATTTCCATTATTCAAATAAATGCTACAATGAAAATCCTGTGGTGGTGTAATTGATGAAGTAAAAGCACTTACATCTTGTACAAAACACCAAAAACAATCTAAAAAATAATTAAATAATTAATTAATTAATAAATAATAATTAAAAAATAATACACTTTACATACCAGGAATTTGAGTATTTATAAAACCGGTAGACTTGATAAAGAGTCTAGCTTTGCACATACTACTGGGGATAACTCCAGATAGATTTTGATTAGATGATAAATCAATATATGGACTATCAACATTATCCCAAATGTTCCATGGTATTGTTTGTAATTGATTCCCTGAAAATGAAACGCTACCCAATTGTGGTGGAAATGTAATATTTGAAATACTTGAAAGATTATTTCCTACAATATACCTTTTTAATGATGATGATGATGAATTTGGTCAGTATAATAATTTAATAATGAAAATGAAGAATGAGATACATCTTTAACATACATGGTATTTAACTTTTCAGGGTAGGTTGTGTTGTATGGAATTTCAGTAACATTGGCATTCAACAAATTTAAAAGAGCAATTTGGGTAAATGACAAAAAAGGTGGTGAGATGGTTGACAAATAACCAGAAAAGGTAAACACTTGAACAGAGAGAGGATTTGCTACAGTTAGAGCAAATCTCGTTGTTGATGATAGATATGGTTTTAATTCACTAAAAAGAGAGAGAGAGAGATATTAATTAATTAGTTTTTGCCAATTGATCAATATTCATAATCTATAACATGCATACATGACTTGTACATTGGCTTGAATATCTACAGTAATCTGGGTAGAAGAGTATGACTCGATATAGACTGATTTGAGAGATGGACATGAACTGATAGTGAATACTATGGTTTGTGGTTGGGTAGCATTGATGGCAATCGAAAATGATTTGAGAAAAGGTAGACTGAGTATAGATGGTACATTGGTTAACGGATACCACATCTCTATGCTTGTGACACTAGAACCGTCAAAAAAGTTATTCGTGATTGTAATTGGTGAGTATCCAGATGAGAACTTTGTAAGATTGGGTATATCAGATGGAAAATCAATTGGTATCTCTGTTAATGCTGCATCATTTACACTACAAGAATAATTAGGTTAGATTATATTATGATAATAATAATGATGATGATGGATGATTGTTAATACATACGAAATGGTAGATAGAGATGGAAGATTCTTTAACTTTGAAAGAATATTGTTAGATGTTTTGTTTAGATCCATGTTTGTTCGTATTGATATGGATTGTAGTTTTGGAAAGTACAAGGAATCTAATAATGGATCGGGATCACCATTATCAATCGGTGATGATACATCAATGACACTATATATCAATGAAATAAATGTATTTGTTAGGAATTGTTGTTTCTTTTTTGTGGTGGTGCTGGATTGCAACAAACGTTCATACTTACATGTTGATTACATGAGCAACAGAATTAGGAGGATCATCAGCACATTTAAAGGTAGGATAGGAATTACTACATAATGTTTGATCTTTTGGGACTGGTACACCATAGTTTTTGATCAACCAAACTGCGCTTGCAACTATAGTTATAGTATTGTATGATAATAAATCAACATCGTTGATTAGTTTGTGCACACGTACACGTGATAGAGTGATTGATGCATTCTGATAAGTTTTACTTACGCTCATCTGCAGGTAAATCAAAAGAGATGGTGCTTGTTGTGAATAACAACAACAACACAATCAAACAATAATAGTATTGTCTTTTCATTATTTGTATGTGTATGTTTGTAAAGTAAGTAGGTATTATGATATTGACACAAAGATGGTGACCATCTTTGTGGCTTGACACTTTCTCTCAAGCTTGCGACAAAAAAGAAGATATCTTACTTTGCGATAATATCTCGTTTCTCATCTTTACTAAAAAGGAAACACCTTCGTTCCTTTTATGGTGTATGCGAACACATGCTTTAGATGATTGTACCACAACAACAACAACAACAACAACAGCATCATGTTTTTGACTATTCTCTGTTCTCTATTATTGCCGTTCGGTTCGTGGTTGTACCATCGTCTGTGCGACCTGATGACGATCTTGCATTTTAGGTACCTCCATCACCGATTATCTATCCTACTGAATATCAATCGACTATTCTTCTTCTTCTTTAAAGTAAGGGTTAAAAAGTACACCTCCCTTGCTTGATCATAGTTATAATTACAATGAACTTTGAAAGATCGATCCATTTTCTATCTTCAAAAATTAAAAAAATTAAAAAAAAAAAAAAAAAAAGGAAATCATCCTTTTTATTTATTTATTATTATTTTTTTTGATATTAGTATCAGTATACTAATACTATTAATACTATACTAATTTGATCTATACTAAATTGAAAGTACAACATAATTCATCTTAATTTTTTATCACTCAATTACAAATATTACAAATACATTTTAATTTTCTTAATCGTTTTGTTTTTCTAGTTGGTTTTGGTATGAGGAGGTTGTGTTGCTTTTTAATGTCAAAGATCATTTCATACATTTTGTGATACGAGTTGGAGTTGATTATTTTATCGGTCAATGTGAAAACCTGATTGTTTTCAATAAGGTAGAACATAAATTCACTTGTCTTTGGAGATTCACTGATCATTCTGTATAAACTTGACCATTTCAATTCTTTGAAAAGGTTTGGAACCTCTTTACAAAGATGGTAAAATATATCTTTTGATCTATGTTCTATCACCCTGGAAATGATTTTAGTGAATTTTATGCATGTGTACACTGAAGGAAATATCTCTTGCAATCTTTTCAAAGGATTTAGTTGGTCGTTTTGTAAAATATAGTAGATCCAGGGAATGTAACAATTTGAATTATCACATTTTTCCAAAAAGCTGGTTGCCAATGACTTGAAGATGGTGCTGCTGACCAGTTGATCGATGCCTCGCAAATAATTCTTGGATGGTGGAAAGAGGTAGTTGGTGACAAAAAAATTATTATCTCGAGTGTAACCAAAGTATTCCCCAAAAACGATGATATCCTTGAATTGGGTGGACTGTGAAATATTGACCAACACGACAAACTTTTCCAATGATTCATGGAATGCGTTAAAGAGTAGTGGCTTTTTCAAGTCGATTGCATATTTTGGGTACATGTCAAACAACTCTAAAATGACTTGTTGATCCCTTGCATTGGTACTGATGACGGCTTTGGTTATCAATTCATCTTGTATGATCTTGTCAAATGAATCGATATTGTCTTTGAGAATTTGTAATTGTTCTTTGGTATTAAAGCCATAATCTCCTTTGACACCAAAATAAGTCCAAAATACCTTAAATTCGTCGTGTGAGCCAACCAAACCCAAAATTCTTTTGAGTTGTGGCAACTCTGTTAAATTGCACCAACTAGTCTTGTGGAGGTGGGGTATATAAGAAGATATGATATCATTCTTTAATTTCGGGTATTTTATCAATAATGCCTCCATCGTTGATGGTATTATATTAAACCACATAGATCTAAACAACAATTTACAATCCAGTCCATTCTCGTCCAATGCTTCCAAAACAATCTCCACCTCCCAATCTTGGTTGACCGAGATTCTTAGATACTCCTCCTCCGACGACGACGACAAATTTGACGTTTCTATTTGTTGCAACAATAACTTGTCAACGTAGTGACGATACATGTACTTTGATCTTTTGGCCCTCCCAAGAGTCAGTCTTTGAGCCATTTGGGGATAGTCTAGGTAGAACTGTTTCACTTGTTGCACCGATGACGCATGCACTATGATATGATCAAAGTAAGTCGGTATAAAATAGTCTAGTACCGATGCTATGTTCCATTGAACGACTTGTTGCCACACCTCTGCGTTACTGTTGATCCCGTAACATTCTCCAACAGAGAACCCGTGGATGCAAAGTAATAGTTGCATAATTGTTATGATCTTGTGGTTGTCGTTTTGCAAATGTGGTCCAAGAATACCAATAGCCTTTGTCTTTAATTTCTTTACTTGTTCAATATCATCCTGCAGTTCTAGCAGAGCAATAACAACTTGTTTGATTCTCTCCGCTCTATTGCCACCATTCCACAACAGTTTTGATAAAGGGAGATCTTGATCTGGGTACTTTTTGAAATAGGTACGAATAATATCCACGTTGAGACACATCAACACAGCAGATTGACCAACACGTTTGTAAAACTCATGAGTTGTTTGTTGAGAATGTTTATATAAATACAAAGTTGCATTATTATCATCACTTTTAATATTAAAAGAAGAAGAGGATGAGGAGGAGGAGGAGGAGGATGAATCATCATCATTATTATTGTTATTATTAACATTGTATATAATTTGTTGTGTTTTTTTGTCAGTGAATACAATCTTGAGGATATCAATATCATTTTCGTCTAGTATATTTGCAAGTAATACCTGATCCAAATCGATGTTATTGGGAGTGTATTTGTATGCATATCTTAAAATGTTAAGTTTGTTTTGTCTTTTGTTATTGTCTTGTTCGGAAACAGCATTAGAACACATCACAATGAAAGATCCATTACTAAACCGAGCTAGTTCTTGTTGCTTGGCACATAAAGTATAACTGAATATATGTTTTAATAGATATCTATTTCTAAATACTGATATGATACTACTAGTATCATTATTATTATTCATTATTTTCGAAAAAAGAGAATACTAAATTTTAATTTATATTGACCTTTTTAAACTTTCAAGTAACTTGAAGAATAACATTTTGAGCTAAGGAATTTCAAGATTGTTGTTGGTGTTTTTTTTATTTATCGACACTTGGAAGTTTGAGGATTTACCCACAAATTTAGCTGGCTAAGAGAGTTAGAATGGCAACATGTATACAGATGACACCAACAACAAAATGAGAGAAGGATGAAGCGTTGAGAATATAAGCAGAGGAGGAAGGATCGGATATTGATTGGCTGTCAGTGGGAATATCATAGCTTGTGCCATTGGATTGAACTACTAATCCATTAACAAAAATAGAGAGATATTTGTCATAGTCTGCCTTGTTAAAGTCTGAACTATTTGAATTACTATACATTTAAAAGAATAAACATAAATATTGAGTAAATAAATAAATGATTTGGTTCTATTTATAAATATTAACTTACAATTCGCGAAGTGAACTTACCAAACCAGGGAGATAATCATAAACATTATGTTTGGAAAGAGATGGATAAACTCTTATACGGTTAAGATGAAAATGTTTGATTTACAAAATTACTATATATATATATATACGTCGTATTGATAATGAGGATATTACTGTACTGCACCGTGGTGAGGTACCTTTGAGTGATAACGACGAAAACATACACGTCTACGGAATGATCCATCATGAATTGGTATAGAATAAAGATTATCAGAAAAAATATCAAATAATCCGTCAACAAAATAGTTACTACAAGAGACTGTAACATTGACCATCATTGCTTGAGAAATTTCAAATTGGCTATTACCTATTAATAAATAAATAAATAAATAAATATTCTCATGTGTATGTTTTGTTTTGTTTCAACTTACTACAATTTAGAGTCATGGAATCTACTACCGATCTGATATACACACTTATAATCTACCATTTCTGTTGGGACTAATGAACGCATGCATGTTAGTTTTGTTGGGTTGTAGAGACATAATAATATTATTCTTTTTTCTTTCTTTCTTATACATACGAACAAGGTTAATGTTAAATAGTATATCTTGATAGCCAGATGTAGCATTTGGTGGCGTTGCTGTTGTACCGGTTACGAATCGAACTATGTTACGGAATTGTGGTTTGGTGTAGATGGTAGAGAGGTCAAGTCAAAGTTGAATATGGCATCGACAATGTCATAGTACAATGTACCTTGTGTTTGGAATTGAATACAATCAGTTTCATATGGAGGATAACCTTCATCCATTTGAGTCTTGCTATTCAAACGAAGATCTACACTTTGTTCAATCACAACATCACCATCGAATTGGAGTTTAACACCCGCTGCTAAATTCAACAGAGTGTTGTTGAATCCTACGATATAGTCATTGTTATTGAATTAAAATATTAATATATATTTATATTAATATATATTTATATATATATATTAAAATATTAATACTAATTAGAATTCTACATCTACTTTTGTGATACAATCATTCTTTAATTCCAACAGTAGTAGTAGCCTCCCTTCAAATACAAGATTGATCGAGAATGGTTAAAAATAAAGGATCCTTTACAAATGTTTGGGCGTGGTTGGAAATTATTGCGCAAGCACCAGGGTTTTGGATTGTAGGATAAAGGGATTAATGGTTGTATTTTTGGTGATTATGCCGAATGATTGATAAATATATGATAGATCATCCATATCGAGTTGAAAATTTTTAATCAAGAGGATGGTCGAGAAATGTATACATTTTATTTTACCAAGAAACAAAATAATCCATATTATAATAGATAAATATATTTTATTTTTATAAATAAAAAAATCATAAAATATAATGTATTGAAGTTCATTAAAGTTGAGTAGATCGTTAGAATTTTTATCATTTATTGATTCAACAAATAATATTATGCTATGATTAAATCTCAAACGTTACAAAGAGAGAATGACGCTTTAAAAAAAGAGAGAGGCCGTTTGAAGAAGGAGCTGCAACAAATAAAAGGGCGTAGGGGACTCAATCAGATAGATGGACGAGAATGGGAAATTGAGGAGCTGAAGAATTCCAATGCATCTTAATGAACGTTGCCAGGAATTAGAAGATTCCAATACATCCCTTAATGAACGTTTCCAACAATTAGAAAAAGTATAGTATTCTATTATGTCCACAGTAAGTAGTGAACATTCAATGTTGGTCGCGCATTTTTACAAGAAAAAAAGACAACAACCAAAATAACTCTGGTTTCATTGAGGTAGTTTGTTTCATTAGTTAGTTTATTGCTTTAATTAATGAGATAGAGATAGATATATATATATAGAGAGAGAGAGAGAGAGATAGAGAGAATGACATCAGTCGAGAAAATACTTATTCAAGGGATACGTAGTTTCGATTATAAAGAACCAAGTGTCATTGACTTTTATAAACCATTGACTTTGATCGTCGGTGTCAATGGTGCTGGCAAGACAGTATGTACATACTATCAAACATACAGTTGATGGAGTTGATCATTAACAATATTATATTATATTTGTTTGTTTGTTTGTTTGTTTTAGACGATTATAGAATGTTTAAAATATGCAAGTACAGGTGAAATGCCACCAAACTGTTCGAATGGTCAAGCATTTATTCATGACCCAAAGATTGCAGGAGAGGCAGAAGTAAAAGCACAGATCAAACTTAGATTCAAGACACCTAATGGTAAGCCTATCGTAGCTGCTCGGTCAATGTCGCTGATACAAAAACCACACAACAAACAAGAGTTTAGACAGATTGATTCGTCGCTACAGAGTTTCAACAATGATGGGCAAAAAGTGAGCAAGAGTTATCGATGCAGTGATCTCGACAAGGAAATACCAGAGTTGATGGGTGCTGCCAAACCAGTTCTCAAAAACGTTATCTTTTGTCATCAAGAAGAGTCCAATTGGCCACTCTCTGAAAGTGCAAAGCTAAAGGTCAAGTTTGATGAAATCTTTAGTGCCGTTCGTTACACCAAAGCTCTCAAATCAATCAAAGATAAAAAGAAAGAATTAAATACTCAACTTAAAGAATTTAAATTGAAATTGGAAGTTGTTGATACAAATAGAGAACATGCTCATCGAGTAAGTTAAACAATCCCTGTCACAATTAATTGTTCAATTTCTAATTATATTTTTTTTTAAACTATTAGTTAACAAAAGAAGTAAAACAAATGGAGAATCAAGTTGTTTCATTAAAAGATTCAATTCAAAGAATGAATGAACAGTTGGGACAGAAAAGAGAGATTGTTGAAAAGATTGCAAGAGCAATGAAGAATGTTGATTCGGTGATTTCAGAGGTACAGGTAATGGAAGCAAGAAAGAATGAAATGGAAAGAAACAAAAATCAAATCTACAATTCATTGGTAGAGGTGTTTGAGGAGCCAGATGAAGAGTTGGTGTTTATGATCAAGGGATTCGATGAAGAGGTTAATAGAATGCATTCAGCCTATCAAGAACTATCAGAGAATCAAGCAAGACTTGTACAGGAAAAGGAACAAGCTGCAAGAGAGATGAATAGATTGGCTGTTGAAAGTGGTCAAGCCAAAGCATCTTTGACTACAAAAAAGAAAAATGAACAAGAACGTGATGCTCATATTAGTGACCTAGTCAAACGATATCATATCATCAATGGTGAAGATGATACAAATCCATCGATTGACCAATTACTTGGGTTACTCGCAACCAAATTTCAAGAAATCAACAGTATGATTGAAGAAGATAGAAAGAGTAATCAAGAGAGTCTCTCATCGATACAAGAAGATTTAAACAATCAAACTGGTAAAAGACAAACACTTCGTGAGAGAATACATCAATTCTCTACTCAAATCGATGACAATAACCAAAAACTAAACAACTATGACAAAGAACGTACAAGTGTAATCAACCTAAACAAAAATCTAGAAGCATTTGCTCAACAATCAAATGTTTTACAAGATGAAATAGAACAACTAGAACAAACAACTGCCAATAGTAATAATCAATCATTGATCACTGCAAAGACAGAAGAAAAGAAATCAATTGAACAACAAATGGAAATATCAAATGACGAAATTAGAAAAATGTCATCTCATGCAACCATCATTTCAAGAATCAATCAACTTAAAAAAGATATCCTCTCCAAACAACAATTAATCGATTCAAAACTACAAGAGAATCAAGTGCAATTAAAACAGATTCTAGGTTCAAATAACCAACCAAAAGTCAATGGATTATTTCAACAATTGATCAAATCAAAAAAGGAATTGGATGAATCCTTGTCGATCAAACAAGAGGAATTTGATGATATCAATGATCAATTAAATCGTTCAGAAAATGAACTTCGACTCTATCGTGATGAATTGTCAAAGAAAAATCAACAATTATCAACTATTAAACCAAAACTTTCAATTTTGGATCAAGATGAATTAAAAGATTTATCAAAATCAATTTCAATTTTAAATTTAAAATTACATAAATTAGAAAAGTAAGAAAATAGAAAAAAAAGAAAAAGAAAAATATTAATACTTTTAATTTACAAGAAATTATGCAATTTTAGAATCAGAAGATATATTATATAAAGAATATATAGAAAAAGCTCATGATGAAAAAGAATGTGCATTGTGTGAAAAAGAATTAAATGAAGAATTACCACAATTTGTAGAGAAACTACAACAACATACACATGATATCCCACTTAAATTGGAAGATATCAAAAAAGAAATGAACCAGACTAGAAAACGTTATGAACAATTGGAAGCAATCAAACCTCAATACGACATTTATATTCAATTGTCAGAGACTGAAATACCACAACACAATAAGAGACAAGAAGAGATTTTAAAAAGTATTTCAAGTTTGGAACCAACTCGTCAACTCGTTACCACTGAACTCAATGAAATTAAATCAAAAAGAGAAAATTGTAACAAAATGCTATTGATTGCCGAAAGATTGGATCAGGTACAAAAGGAATCACTCGAATTAGAGGCAGATTTAAAATCAACTTCTAGTCAAATACAAAATGATAGTTTGATCGATCAAAATGAAACTCTAGAGTCGAAAATGTCAAGATATGATCAACTTCAAAAAGAAATAGCAGTCTTGTCACGTTCTATTGACGATCTATCAAATCAATCAAAGAAATTGGCAGAAACTTTAATGTACAAAAAACAACAACTCTTATCCTTAAAAGAAAAATTATCAAATCAAAAAGGTTCAGAACAAATTTTAGAAAGAATTAAACAATCTGAAATTGAAACAAATAATATTATTTCACAATTGACAAAAAATTTACAGGCAAGTAAAAAAAACAAAACAAAAAAAAGAAAATAATAATATATATTTTATTAACTACTTATTTTTATTTTTTAGTCAACAAAACAAGAAATGAAAGAATTGGGATCATTAATTGAAATTAAACAAAAAGAAATGCAAGAAAAAACATTAGAGAATGAAACTAGAAATAGAGAGTTGGTACAAGAAAAGACGATATTTGAACGTAAATTGCATCAATTAAGATCGGTGATTAATCAAATTGCGAGTGCAGGAGATGTTGAATTAAAGCATAAAACTATTGTGGAAGCAATCGAAACGATTGGTGTACAAATTTCAACGGTTGACCAAGACATGGCTACTGGTAGTGGACACTTGGAAGCAATTAAAAGTCAATTGAGCGAACGTGACAAGGCCAAGCGAGCCATCACAGACAACTTGCAATACCGTCAACTCAAGCTAAACATTGAAACAATGTTGAACCAAATCCAGAGAAAAAAGGATGTCATTGGCTCAATGATCACTGCCGAAGATGCTGCCAATCATAAAAGTCTATCTGCCGATATTAGCGTTTTAAAGAGTCGTGTTGATCAATCGACAGGTTCCGTTGAAGCACTCGAACAACAAAAGAGAAATCTTACACAAGAACTCAACAAACCTGTCTACAAGACTGTCGATGAAGTGTATCGTGACTTGTTGGTTCAAATTGAAACATTGGATTTTGTCAACAAGGATATGGATAAATATTACAAGGCGTTGGACAAGGCGTTGATGAAATACCATACACTCAAGATGGAAGAGATCAACAAGACCATAAGAGAGTTGTGGCAATCGACCTACAAGGGCAATGATATCGACACGATCGAGATTCGCTCAGAAGAGGCAACTGGTGCCAAAAAGACACTCAACTACCGTGTGGTCATGGTCAAGGGTGAGGTTGAACTCGATATGCGTGGTCGTTGTAGTGCCGGTCAAAAGGTGCTTGCCTGTCTTATTATTCGTTTGGCATTGGCCGAAAACTTTTGTTCAAGTTGTGGTATCTTGGCACTCGACGAGCCAACCTCGCATTTGGATCGTGCCAACATTGAAAGTTTTGCTACCGGTCTTCTCAACATTATCGAAGCACGAAAGAATCAACGTGGATTCCAACTCATTATCATTACTCACGATGAAGAGTTTGTTCAATACTTGTCTCGTGGCAATTTTGCAGATTATTATTGGCGTGTCACCAAAGATTCAAATCAACATACCTCTATTGAAAAGAAAGAAATTTCTAAAATCTAAAAAAATAAAGGAAAAGGAAAAGAAGAAAAAGAATCCAAGTTCTTCTTGTGTTTGTATAGATATAAATATAAATATATTCTCGATCTTGAGACGATCTTTCGAAAGGTTCGTTTTCCAATGGGAAGAAGAAGGAAGGAAGGAAGGATGCGGAAGTTATTTTTGTAATGTGTTGAGAAAAAAAAATCCAAAACAAGAAAGGAAAAGATTGGAAAGGAAAATAAGAAACGGTTTTTTGGTCCTCTGCTGAGGACGAATCTGCCTCTCTTTTTTAATCCGCCAAAGTCGAAAAAGATTGCAAAACCGTGTCTTTGAGAAAAAAATTAATTTGGTTTTTTTTTTTTTTTTTTTTTTTTTTTTTGTTCGATCATCCCCCGACAACCCTCAACCCAATTTTGATAGACAGGCGTCTAAAGAGATAACATAACTACATAACTTATTCTATTAGCAAACACAAACAAACAAAACTATCATCTTCATCTATCTATATATATATACTTTTTTTTTCGAGGCATTGTTCATTGTATTATTTATTTATCTATATTTTTTTTTTTTAGAGGCGTTCTTTTCACAGGATTTAATACTTTGTAATAACAAACAAACAAAACAAACAAACACGAGGATTTAACAACAAGCAACACAAGAATAAGTTATATCTATATTTATCTATCTTTCTATCTATCTATTCAAATCACATTATACAAAGTCTGAAACTTTAGTAAACAGTTTATAAATAGAACAAACAAACAAATTAATTAATTGACTACAAGACCCAACCAACAACAGCAAAAAAGACTAGTTTTATCTGTATCTATCTTTTATTTATTTTTTTAATTTTTTAATTGTATCATCTCTCTCTTTCTCTGCTGCCTTCACAAACAAATACTACAGCTATTCAATTATAATCGTTACACCAACCAACAACATATCTTTTTTTTTTTTTTTTTTTTAATCTTAGTATATACTCCTTTTCTTCTTATTCAATTTCTTCTCAAGAGATATCTTTTGATCGATTTATAAAAAGGAATGATGACAAACCATGTAGGTTGTTTTACTTCCTCGAGTGAGGCAAAACAAAAGAGTAAAGAAATCGATAAGAATATCAAAAAGGAAAGCACAAGCAATGTTTTAAAACTTTTATTGTTGGGTAAGTCATAACATGATATTCAGCTTTTAAAAGTATCTTCTTATATTAATTAATTATAAATTGTTTCATTTAGGTGCAAGTGATTCAGGTAAATCTACATTATTCAAACAAATGAAAATTATTCAAGAAGATAATGGTGGATTTACAAAGGATGAATTGGTTGCCTGTCGTGGCTTTGTCTATGAGAACATTATCAGTCAGATGAATGTATTGTTGGAAGAGATGTATTGTGATAGAAACAAATTGTCTACTACCACTGTCAGTGTAGAATCTGGAACAAGTGGCATAAACAATCAACCAAATACAAACGACAACCTCAACAACACTAATAATTTTGACTATAATGGTGAATCATCAAGCCATGATTCAACTGTCAACATGAAGTTATATATTAATGAACAACCACAACAACAACAACAACATCAACAACCAGAAAACACCACCGATAAAAAGGAAATTTTATATTTCCAAGACCCTTCCAACTTTGAAAGAGCTGCCAGAGTCATGCAGGCATACCAATTGCTTTTGGTCAACGAATTCACTTCCACTTGGACTCCCATTATCCAAGATATAAAAGAATTATGGAAATCAAAGGAAATCCAATATCAATTCAATACTCGTGAAGATGGAACAAAATATTTTCATTTACATGATTCAACTCCATAGTATGTAATAATATTCATATTTATATATTTATTTAATTTATTAATTTATTTTGATTTATTTTTTTAGTTTTTTAAATAATATAGATTATTATTTAAATGAAGATTTTTTACCAACTGAACAAGATGTATTGAGAATTAGAACCAAAACAACAGGAGTCACCGAGGCAGATTATCTATTTAGAGGATTGAGATTCAAGATGGTAGATGTAGGAGGACAAAAGAGTTATCGTCGAAAATGGATCCACTGCTTTGATAATGTCTCTGCCGTCTTGTTTGTAGCATCACTCAATTCCTACGACCAGGTTCTCGAAGAAGATGGTACTACCAATCGTCTCCAAGATTCTTTGTCTTTGTTTGGTGAGACTTCCAATTCAACATGGTTCACCAATAGCACCATCGTTCTCTTCCTCAACAAATCTGATTTGTTCCGCGAGAAGATCAAGAGAATCCCCCTCTCAAAGTACTTCCCCGGGTATACCGGCCCCAACAAGGCAAAGGATGCCGCCACCTATATTTTCAACCTTTTTAATTCGCAATTCAAACAACGTCGACAACTTTACTTCCATATCACCTGTGCTATCAATACCAAAGATATCAAATTTGTTTTTCAATCAGTTGTTGATGATTTATTAAAGAAATCTTTACAAATGTTTGTATATTAGAGAGAAAACTCAAATCAGTTTTTTTTTTTATTCACACAAAAGTTATATACATATATTAATTATTTTTTATTTTAACAAATAATAACAATAATAACAAATAATAACAAATAATATTTATTTATTTATTTATATTTATTTATATATTTATTTATATATTTATGTCAAATTTATAATCAATCACCACCAAAAACAAAAGGTTTTAAACTAGTTACCTTTCCCATATCAAGTTGTCTCTTTTCCAAATTTTTTGAATTCTTTAAAAAAGATATTAAACCTTGTAAGTAATAAATTATATTATATTTATTGATAATTAACTAACCCCCTTATTCTCACAATAGATAAAAGGTAAACTTGTACAACCATTTGGTATTTCTTTTGAACATCAAGATAACTTATTTCTACTCGATTGGAATAAAGCAATTGAATTATATCTTTTTATTATCGTTCAACAATGTAATGTCTCTTTTTTTTTTATTAATTCTAATTTAAAAGTTTTTCTTTAAAGTTTTTAAACTTTAAAAAAGACTCTTCATTGGTTTAAGGATTTATTTAATGTTTAAGAATTAATTCTAGATCAGAATAATTTGTAGAATAGATTCTGTGCAATTGAAGATTCTTGATCAAGAATTCAATTGGACATACTTGGAACTTGGTGGATTGTTTGGTTTTTACAACTTGAGACCATTGTTCATCTGTAATATTGGCTGGCTTGGTGGCAAGGAGTGATTGTTTGGTCTTTCCAATAAAACCGAGTTGGTCGACGATGGAATGATCAATAAGCTTTGACATGGCCTCCTTTGTATCTAGTCTAACAATACCAAGGAATTTACGAACAGCTGATTGGTCAGCAAAGTAACGTGATCCATTGAGTAAGTTGAGTTGGACGAGTAGAGGGTTCAAGAGTTCTAATCTTGCTGTGGTGGGAAGAGGAGTGTGTAGGGTAGTAAAATATTCTTCATTCTTTCTCATCAATGAACCATGTGGAATGGTTTGATGGAGTGATCCATAAATAATCTCTTGATCTACATTTCTATGATGTTGGTCATTTGTTTGATGTACATTTACCAATTTATTGATTTCTCCCATCAAACAATTTGCTAAAAAAAAATAAATAAAATTAATATTATAATAAATAATTTGTTTTTTTTAAATTTACCTTCGGCCATTGAAACTAAAACAATAAATGGTTCTTTATCTCTATCATCTGAAACATTCCATAAAACTAGACAATAATTGAGTGGTCTTTGGAATTCATCATCATATTGAATCTTATCAAAGTTGAAAGAGGTTGATTTTTCGACGGCATTGATAAAATCTTTGGTCACCTTGATGTTTAAACTAAATGGTGTAGTTGCACTGGTGAGCGAGTGGCTAGAGGATCCGTCGAGAGATTCGACCAGGTTGAAAAGACTAGTATTTCTGTACATCTCTTTGACTTCAAAGATAAAATCTTTATAGAATCTCGAGTGAACATCCAATGTCTTTTTACCAGTGACAAGATCCATAAGTAATTGAGTTTGAATGTTGGCTGGACATGCCTTTCTTACACCTGGTGGTTGTTGAACCGATTCGAGTTCAATTTCAATTTCAAACTCTCGTTCTTGTTCCTCGTCGACTGGTGAGCTGTAGATCTTGACATCGTTGACCAGTTGCTTTGAACGTTGTGCAATTTCTTTGAGGAATTGGTAGTATTGACCCTTTTCATACTCTTTAGTTTCATGAGGGATGGTTCCATCAGAGTTGATGTCTTGTACGAATCGATAGGTCATTGACGAAGCTTGGTTTTCAATCACCTTGGATGCCAAGTACTCTTTGTGTTGGCCACAGTACATAGACTCGAGACGAGTGACCTCTGGAAGTGACGATAAACGAGTAAATGCCTTTCCATGTTTGACCAATTGCATGGCCGATTGTAAACGGGCGTGTAACATTCCTTGGTGACCCCAGTGTCCAAATGCAGCGACATTGGTCTCAATGGTGTTGTTGATGGTCCAATGAAGAATGTCAACGACTCTTGGTGAAACATTGAGTTGTTCTGGGATGACAAACGAGACAGTATGACCCTTGCCAAGCTTTCTCATTCTCATACAAGCCTGAAGGAGTTTCTCTTTGGTCATCTTTGCACCAATAGTTACAAGACCATGAGAGTGTGTGGGAAGTTTAATATCAACACCACGAGTGTGATAATCGTCTAAATAGACAATAACACGATCCAATCTTTCGGAAAATGGTGATTGACTAAAAAGGAATTTCTTTCCATCACGATCGATTGATGTCAATTTATCATTTTCGAAAAAGAGTGCTCCATCAATCTTTGATTGTGGTGTCTTGGCTAACCAATTTCTTGCTACTTGTTCATTTGTTTGTCCAATCATTAATGCACCAGCATCAATTAATACATTTGTAAATGAATTATTGTTGTTGTTGTTTGGTTTTGTTGTCATCTTTTGAGTAATATCTTCACCAAGTTTTAAAATGGAAACCTGATTTTGTTGATCATTTTGACCAAGAATATAATTCAATACTTGAACATTGGTATATTTGAGTTGATTCATTTCACTCTGTTGAATGGTAAGAGGATAGAGACATTTAGTATCATTGGTACCACTAAATCCACAAGAGATGTATTGTTTTCTTTCATCTTTTGGATTAACCAAATCCCATGGGTTGGCAAATAGTTTGGATGGATATTGTTTGGTTTCAAATGGGAATACCAATTCATTCAACCAGAAATTGATGACTCTACAATTGTAACGGAAGAGGGTATGGAGATGACGAATCAAGGAAATGTCAGAACGAACAACACACTTGATATCACGGTATTTTGGTTCGATGGTTTGATCGTAATCGGTCCAAGTACGATAGATATCCGATGCTTGAGTCTTGTGGAAGGTGAGTAAACGATAAAGAGCCTTTTTAAATTGTTTAAAGGTGAGGCCTTGATTATAGTAGGAGATGTGTGTGAGAATCATGGCAAACTCTGGATGTCCAAATTCACTAGTTTCAGAGGGTGTGTCCTTGGCACGGTAGGGGACAGCAAGAAGAGTGGAACTGTCACCATTTTGTTGTGATGACATGGACGAGGAGGCACTTGATCTAATACCATAATGATTGGACCAAATCTTTTGAAGGGCATGCAACAAGACATCGTTGGAGAACAAACCACGATAGATATAGATTCTATTGAGGATCGATTCGTCATTCGTCATATCCTTGATAATTCTTTGGTGACGAACATGTACCTCTTCTTTAATGTCTGCATCGATCCAACAGAATGCTTCCAAAACACCCAACTTTTCCTTCGATGCGTTGAATGGTAGAGTACGCATCATTCTCTTCATTAACTGGTGCATCAACTTTCTACCTTCATCAAAGTCATAGACAACAATGGTTGGGTATTGTTGAGAGTTGTTTGATCTAAATTCAATCTTTTTCTTGTCGATTGCTCTAAAGTCTAGATTCTTGAGTTCAGATAGTACCTCTTGGATAACCTTCCAACGGTCTGATCCACCATCCAAAGGTATTTTCGATCCAGTTGGATAGAGTAGTTGGTAGCGATGCGAGAGAATCTCATCGCACTCATCCATAATGTCAAAGATGTGTTCGTCCCAATATCTAAGTACACCTTCCATCGATGTCAAACGGTCAAAGTTGAGTTTCCAATAGAGTGCAAACGAGAGACGATGCTCTGGCGTACACAAGATGATACCTTGGCGTTTGTGGCATTGTTCAAGATTGGACATGATCTTTTCAATGTGCTCATTGGTGATGAGTGACCCCATCTCACGCTTGAATGGATAGAGATAGATTGGACGATTAAGAATAGCAGATCCTAAACGCATTTGGAGATCGTGAACCGATGTTTGGAGCAGCGATGGAAGAACATTGACACGAGCAATACTCTTTTTGTTGGACATGGCCAAACACATGATTGGGAGAATGACCGATGTCTTTCCTTCACCCATTTGCAATTGAATACATTCATTTTGGTCTGCACTCATCAATTTGATTGCAATATCGGCTTGGATGTCTCTAATCCAAATGGACTGTTCCAATTCAAATACCAACCATGACGGGTATTCTTCCAATGACCAAGTTCTAGTGGTACGGTTATGAGATAATTCTTGAACGAGGTCTTCGTCAGTACTAGCCTCTCTACATCTTGCAATCTTTTGTAGATAGGTTTGAAGGAGGATGTGGACACCAATCAACTTGTATATTTCCTCTGGGATGGTCTTTTCCTTGGAGTTTTTAGATTGATTTAAAAATGAATTCATACCAGCTGCATATTGATCGTTTTGAGAGAGGTGGTGGACAGTGTAATGGTTGATAAAATCTCCATACACAATCTTTGGAACACACTTTCTCCAACAACCAGCTGCAAGATACATCTTATCAGCAGTATCAGTCGATCCAAGATAATATTCTTCAATCAACTTCCAAATTTCCTTTGATTGATCCTCAACACGTTTTTGAATCTTGGCAAGTTTCTTTTCCAATGACTCTTGTCCAAGTGGTTTCTTGAGTGGAACATTGAATTTCTCGATCAAAGATTCCTTGCTTTCATTTAAATCTTGATAAAACAATCTCTTCATTTCAATCATTGAATTTTCTTTTTGATTAAAGAATTGATCCAAATAAATAGAGTTGGTCTTGTTTTTATCTTGATAATCTTTCAGACATTCAGAGAAATAGGTTTCTATCACCTTGTCATAACCATTACTCCAAATTTTAAACCATTTTCTAACTTTTAAATCTCTTACATCCAATATATCTGAATCCCAATTCATTCTATGTTGTAATTCTTCACATTCAATTGATTCAAATTCAATTACTAAAATAAATAAAAAAGAGAGAAAGAAAGAAAGTTAATATAAATATTATTATTATTATTATTATTTTCTATTTTTTTACCATTTGGTTTATCTTGATCTTTATAAAAGATTGGAATTTGATTTGATTTTTGATTTGGTTGATTTGGATTTAAATTTAATATACGAGAAACTAGAGCAAGAAATTTCTTTAGTTTAGAATTTGAAGCCCAAATCTTGATAGTTTCACTCAACCAATTATTGAATCTTAGAGTGTCTGGTAGATAAAGACTATGGATATTGGGAGGATTAAAACCAACAACTTCAACTGGAGCAACGATAATATCGGGACTAGATGGATCATTCTCCCAACTGTGTTGTACGAGGATGGCATCATAGATTCTTTGTGCTTCATTTTGGGGAACTGAACTATGGTGAGTCTTTAATTGTTCGGTGATATATTCAGTGAGCTTGAATCTTGAAAAGGTTTCTTTGGGGTTTGTCCATATCAATTGAGGGATGATAGCAGACGACCCCATTTCTTGACGTGGTGGTGAGTAGGTTGGAGAGGGTGGTTCGACAAGTTGAACCCTTTGTTGTAGCACTAAATAAAAGAATTGATCCAAAAACAAGTTCTCCATGTGGAAATAGATTTGAAGATAGGTCAATGTATATTTGAACTTTTCTCTTAGCATCTTGTCCTTGTTTGCTTGTGTGGCCATGTAATACAATGATGTCCAGTACTTGCTAAATACTGTATCTTTTTTCTCTTGGTCGAGTGACCCCGTAAACGATATAATGTCATCAAACTCTTTGACAAACTCTGGTCCGTGCATATTGAGGAAATCGCTCTTTTCAAGTGTCGCAAGTGGTGACAAGGAATGATCCAACGAGTCAATATGGAGGTTTGGATGATCGACAATTCTAGTGACCCTCGCAGAGTAGTTGGCATACTGAGATGGCATGGTCAGAGCAATCGTTTCAAAACTAACCTTGATACGATCCAATACATCTTGACTTGGAAGTATATGAGGTGAGAATAAATGTCTATTACGATAATATGAAGCTTGGTTCAATTCCAATGATTCAATCAATTCGAATTTCCATTCTTTTTCTTCTTCTTCAAATGATAATGGTTTTTCTTCAGTTTCATCTTTGTTATCTCCTTCTTCTTGTTGTTCATCTTCACTCAATCTTGTATCTGGAACAATTGGATTGATTGAAGTAGGTTTTGAAGGCCAAAGGAACTTTATAGAGTCATTACCCTTGACAATATCATCTACGACCAAAGCAATGACATCTTGTGTGACTGGATGAGATAGTTGGGGGTGCTTGAAATCGACGTGTTGGAGAACTGTATGACCGGGACCCGAGTGATTGGGAATGGCATAGCGACGAGGGGCAACATCCTTGATTCTCTTGAGAATCGATAATTGTTGGTCAGTGTATTGAACATTGTTTCTAAAGCTTTGAAGTTGAAGAATGGCACATTCAAGACCTGTCAACCCAGTGAATGGATCAGGGAATGCCGAAGAGGTCATGAGATGAGCATAGGCTAAATGTAAATGAGCAGTACTATCTGATGCCTTGACCAATCTAGTTTGTTTATCCAAATCATAGATAAAGTAACTTGGATATTGAAGTGCACCAACATCAGTATCTGATATATTAAAATATCTACTACGTTCAACTGAGTTGGAAGAGGAGGATGAAGAAGAAGAGGAAAAGGAAGTAGATGATTGTGCATCTTCATCATCATCGTTTTCATTGTCATTGTCAATGTCATCCTCATTTTCAGATGAAGAAGGATCAATTTCTTCAAATTCATCTTCATCTAGTTCTTTTACAATTTCATCGTCTAGATTATTAATTCTTTTTCTTCTTCTTTCACTAACCTCTAATGTAAAAGGTTGAGTAAGAAGTTGTTGTGACAATCCATTAATGTATGAGAAATCTTCAATTGAATCTCTTTCTCTTTGAGGTGGGAATGATTCATCTTGTTCATTGTATTGGTCATCGTCATCTTCCTCTTCGACACAACCAAAACGTTCAAATTCAGATTTAATACCAATCTTTGCATTTGGAATGATTACTTTTGTCTTGTCGGCTGTCGAGTGTTGCAATATTAATTGAGTCTCCAAACCAATGAGTGTTCCAATATTTTGGTTCTCTGATATTCTATATCCACTGTATTGTACCGATTCAATGACACCCAATTTACAATTGACCTTGAAATCCAAACGATATTGGTACAAATGAACATTGTATGACTTTTCACTATCCTCTTGACTGATTTCATAAACATGAATGTGATCCTCATTTTCCAATTTAAACAGTTGTTCAATATCTTCCTTTAAATCACCATCTACTTTGACTAGTAGTTTGTTATTATCGGTTCTCTTGATGGTTCCACGACCCAAATCACCAATATATTTAATGGGTTGTTGATTAAACATAGAGAATTTGGTTGTTCTAAATTCGATCATTTGTTTCTTGGCATCCAACCAATGAGAATATTCATCCTCCAAAACCAAAGGTAGGAAATCAAAATGTTGATGATCAATCAAATAAAATTGATCTCCATTTTCATGAATTTCACATACTCCTATAGAATGTTGATCATCATCTCCAAATAATTGTTGTCCTTCTCTAATAAAAAATTCATAACTTTTTCCTGAATATTTTCTAATTGTTCTCCTATAAAAAATAAAAAAAAATAAATGATTATTATTATATATTTTTTTGTTTTGTTTTTTATATCTTTCTTACCATCTATTTTTTGAAATATTAATAACTTCAAAAATACTAGTATCAAATAATCTTTTAAAAAGATAATGAGATTCAATTTCAATTGGTAATCTTTTAATAGATTCACCATTGATTAATAGCGAACCAGTGGCAATATTGATTTTAATTTTGGTTAAACCATTATTATAATCACATTCCCATTCATCACTAGTCATAAATCTCTTCCAAACATTAAACAATTGTAATGATGTCTGATCATTGTTACCTCCTTCATACCAATATTGCAAGATGATTTTCGATAGCAATATAGAATTTGAATCGACTGTTTTATGAACCTGTTTACTACGATGATGGGCGATAATATCAACCTTGGTCATGAGATAATCAAACTGTTCTTGTTCTTCCAACTCGTTTGATAGTTTTTTACCCAATCGTTCATTGTAAAATGTGTTGTTGTGGATGGTGATGAGAGCACCTACAAGATCGACAATACCAGTGAATTGGTTGTCTTGTTGGTTGACAAGCGGGTCGATTCTAGAATCGGGCAAGTTGTACAATTGAAAATCATAGGTGAGTACGATGGCTGTACAAGCATAAACCAGCTTTCTTCGGTACATTTCCAAAACCTCTGAGCTGTGGTTGGCACTACGAAGCGATTGATCGGTGAGTTGCTTCAATGTCTCTACCCACTCTTTTGCAATCATTCTACACTGGAGTAGCAAGAGGATGAGCGTTGATTGGTTGGTCTGTGACTGTTTGCTGTTATTTAGAATATAGGATACCAATTGGATGATGGCCAACAAAAGGTTATGACCATCCCAATTCATTCTACTTTCCTCGAGCAAACGAGAGATGGTGACACCAAGCAGTTGGATCACTTGGTCGTCACCCCAACTCTCCTTCCACGGACGTATGGGTGTCGAAGGAATCGAGTTGTGAGACATGGTCGACGTTTGGGCCGGACCAGCCTTGAAAAGAGTCTGTTGCACGAGTACGAGGAATGCAAGACTATTGAGATCGTTTCCATCCTCTGACAGATAACGAAGAAGATTTCTAACATGCAAGAATCCACCTCCACTACGAAGTTGACCAAATTTGATATAATCGTATGGTCTCATACCAAGAGGTGCCTTGCACTGTGTTGCCAATACTTGATTTTCATCAATAATATCATTATCAATAATCCATTGTAATGGATTAATCTCTGCACTAACCAAACCATTCACCATTTGTTTGTTTAATTTCTCTTTTTGATCCTTTTCAATTTTCTTTTTTAATTCATTCTTGTTTCGGTGGTGGTTTGGTTTGTTTGAAGAGGATGAAGAAGAAGGAGGGATTGGTAATTTGAAAATAAATTTCTTTTTAATATGTAACCAATTTGATATTTCTGGTACACCTTCATCAGCACCAAAAGTGATCTTGGATGGATGTCTCTTACTATCTGCAACAATCTCCTTTTCAGTTGTATTTAATACAACCAATTGTTTATCATTTCTATATTTACGTGCATATTGACTACGCAACAATACCAATGGTAATTCATTATTCCATCCTTGTTTTGATATCCAAAAATCAACCATCTTTTTTGGTAATTTTGTATCTTTACCTCCTGAACAAAATTCTGCCAATATCTAAATAAATTAAAAGTAAATAAAATAAATTAATAAATAAATAAATAATATTTGTTTGTTTTTTTTTTTTCTATTACATACAGCAAAACAATCTCTAATAATTCTAAAATCAGAATAACGAGTAAGGAAATTTTCAAAAATAACAATATTTGCTTGATCATCATTCTTTGGTAAATATCTTTCAAAGGGAGTAATTTTTTGATCACGAGCCTTTTTAATCTTGTCTTGAAGTGATTTTTGTGGATCTAGTTTGTGTTTGGCTTCGAGACCTTGGATTTCGTGACGAAGTTGCTTTTGAAGGTTTCTAAAATCCTCTTCCTTTTCGAGAGCACGACGATTGTCGTCTTGTCGTCTCTTTAGCAAGTCATTGGTGAGATGTTTCTTGGCCCATGGAAGTGCAAGACCATACTCGCCAACACCAAAGATAGAGTGGTCGCCATTACTCTGCTTGCATTTACGAAGAAGAAAGTACTTTTCCAAATCGTGCAATTGGTTTGTCTCCCATTCATAGGCGACCATAACATGACTGAGTACATCGACATTGATAAAGATGGGGATACTAGTGTACAATTGTGGGTCTTGACAACGATACCCAACAACAAAGTCCAATGTAGCAACCAGCGTAAATGAAAAGAGTGCTATTCTGCTGTACAAAGCTGGGTCACGTTCATAGTGTTGACTGGCGACCTTGATGTAGTTTTTGAGTAATCCATAGATATCCGAGGAGGACGAACTGACACTGATCAATTCTGGTCGCTTTAGCCAAAGGGTATTGATCAAAAATTCGAGGTCGTTTAAAACGACCGTTCGAAGTAGCCAGTCTTGACAATCGCACAAATCGGCCATTCTGTCATACACCTCCCTCAGAATACGGTCTGCTCGTTGGTCGGCCATATTACTCGGTACTTTGGTTGGTACTGAGCTATACGACGCACCACTGCTACTTTCATTTTGTTGTTTTCTCTGTCTAGGTTTTCTTCGTTGGTTTGCCGATGAAGATGTCGAAGCAGCAGCAGGTTTCTGTGTGGATGGAGCAGCGGCTGGTTGCTTGGGAGTGACTGGCTTGGTTAAAAGTTGTTGGATTTGTTCACGAGCAGAGTCTTTGATTTCAGTGAAATCAAACACGGTTGTAAAGTCTTGAGAGTCGTTGAACCCCTGGCAAATGCTGTCAACGTTGCCATACCAATTACAACGCTCGACAAATTGATTCCAGTCCTTGTTGAACCGACTCGACAAGCTCTCAGAGACACGACTGGCATAGTTGATAGCATGTTCGTACAACTCTTCATTGGAATCGTTCATTAACTTTTCGGACCGTTTTGCAAGCTTGGCAGTGACTTGGAAAAAGTTGGGATCCAATGAAACTACATGTTCGGCCACAAAACTCATAAAGCATAACATCATTGATTTATAAACAATATTGTTTGGATTTGACTGAGAACACGACCCTTCTTCTTTTTCTACTTCTTCCTCTGATTCAAATGAACCATTCTCTAAGAATAAAAGATGAATAATTGATTTGATACCAATCCAAAGAGGTGATCTTCTCCATGGTACTGAATCTTTGGATATTCTGTCATCATCATCATTTCCTCCAAGATCTTCGCCACATGCAGATTCTTCGAGTTCGACTTGGTGGGGAAGTGGGGATATAATCTCTGGTCTGACACTTTTGACAAGTGTGACTGCATGGCTGTCGAGTTGCACGCCACCATTGGACATGGAAGGAATCAACCATTCACTGAGTGCAGAGGTGACCAATCCAATCTTGGCTTCATTCTCTCCATACTTGTTGTAGTGTGTGATGGTAGTATCATTCTTTTGTGGTGGTTGTTGTCTATGGTGATGGTGTCTTCCATGATTCTTTCTATTCTTATCTCTCAAGATTTGAATATGCTTTTTCAATTCAAAAGAGATGGGGATGGGTTCTGGAACATCACGGAGTTGTACCAGATAGCTGAGGAATGCAAGAGTCAATTGGGAAGCATCCTGGGAGATGTAACTTGGATCGGGTACAGTGTGGCGGAGCTTGGTGGTAATGTTGGAGAATGACTCGATGCTTGGATACAGTGGAATGACAGACAAACGAGCACGGACAATATGCGATTGTCTATTCTTTACAAACTGGATCAACAACATACAATTTGAGTTTTTAAAGTAGATGATCAGTGGTTGAGCAGGTCCATTCTGGTGTAGATTCTCAATCTGCAATCTAATACGATCAGACAACTCCAATGCAGAAGGTGGTCTGGCAAGATCATTCTCTAATTGATCCAATACATCCAACAATGTAACACCACCAATCAATAGATTATTCTTTGGATTATCAGTACTTATTTTAGTATTGATTGAAATGTTGTAATTATTTTGATTATTATTATTATTTTGATTAGGGGAAGAAAAATCTTTTAGAAAACATTGAAATAGTTGTAATAATAATAGTTGGGCAGTATCATCATTGTCAGTCCACATAAAAGGTAGTCTTGATGCCATATATAAATGTACAAGTGCTCGGTCAATAACTACCTTGGTGTGTTGTTGAATGATTGATTGGATATTGGTTGAAGATGGTGATGATGAAGGTGATGATAATGATGGTTGTTGTTGTTCATTATGACCTCCTGTCATTGTTGAAGACCTGTTGTTACCGGCCTGCAGTGGCTGATTTGTCGTCATTATAAGCACACTGCCTTTGTTTTTGTTGTTCTTTTTATATTATGTGTTTGTTGTCTATATATATTTATTATCTCCAAACTCTCTCTCTCTCTTTGATATCTCTATATATATATATATATATATTATAACTATAAGTAAAGTAAAAGTAAAAGAAGAGATAAAAAAGAGTGGTGTGGTGTAAGGGAATGAAATTTAATTTAAAATTTAAATTGAGTTTGAAGATCAAGCAGACAACACTTTGCAAAGACAACATTTTTTATCTATCTATTTTTATTATTATTATTATTATTATCTGTTAGGTAAGCATATAATAACAATCAAAATGTTATATTTCCTATTGTATTGTATTGTATTGTATTATTAATCACTATCACTAATTACAATACAATCATCACTTGCATTACCATGGTCCCGATTTAATATATGATTATTATTATTATTATTTCCATTATTATTATTATGATTTGTATGATTTGTATGATGATTATGATTTCCATTATGATTATTATTATTATTATTATGATTATTATTATTATTATTTACATTGTTATTTTGATGATGATGATGAGTATAATTATTATAAAATTCACTTTCTCCATCATCATCGTCTTCTTCTTCTTCATCCTCGTATTCTCCATCATCATGGTCGTCGTGATCATCATCTTCTCCACCTCGATCAAATTCAAAATCAAAAGAGCTGTCACTTGAAAGTCCACTTTGCAAAGGTGGTGTTGGTGATAACATTGCATCTACATCAAATACATCTACACTACTACTATTATTATTATTATTCGTACTGGTTGTTGTTGTTGAAGTTGAAGTTGATAAACTATTAGTATTATTATTATGATTATTTTGATTATTATGATTATTTTGAATTGGACTTGAAAGATCAATACCATCAACTGAAAAGGATGAAGAAGATTTTGATAAACTATTATTATTACTATTATTACTATTATGATTATGATTATTACTATTATGATTATTATTATGATTACTACTACTATCAAAAGATTTTTCTTTTTTAACTTGACTAATTGGAAGTTGATATGATCCGTCGGGATTGATTGTTAGGTTGGAACAATCGTGTGGAGCCTCTTTGAGGAGTTTTGAAAAATAAGTGTCATGAATGATGAGTGAGGGGTAGGCGGGGACATGGCACACTGGACAATTCCAAAGTTGTTGTTGTGTCGCATAGTCTAAAAATAACTTGATTTCAAAGCATTGAATGTGGTTGCAGTTGACTGTCTTGCCAGGCTGGTTGATTCTCATAAAGGAGAGCGGACATTTAAACGAAATATCATAGGACAGCTCTTCAATGTCATCGTTGTTTTGTGACTTTGCCGGATTACAATATCGTTCACGTTTCATAATATCCGCTACAATCGTCTCTGGTGCCACTGGTTTCACCAGTTGAATAACCATGTATCCAATGACACCAGTATGTTCGAAATTAATGTTGAATGTAATTTTGTTCTTTCTCGTCTTTAAATGTTGCGTAATATCAACTGGTTTTTGAATAATAAATGGTTGATTATATCCTTTATATCTTATTTTCTTATGAAACTAAAATAATCAATCAAAAAGTAAATAAACAAGTAAATAAATCAAATCTATTCGGGTTGTTTAATATTGTGTATACATACAAGAGGAATACTTTTACCATTGATTGCAAGATACATTTCTTGTTGATAGATGATATCTTGAGTTCTTGAAACCAAACGGATATGAATGGCACGTTGTTCGTGAAGTGGGAGTTGTTTGAGATGGATGACGTCGAGAATGCTTTGGTCAATATCAAAGTTGACAGTTGAAAGGGATCCCGATTTAAACATGGATGTATTGAGTATTTGTACCTGTTCAAAGTATGGTGATTGATGTCTTGAAAAGTTTGCCCAGTCTACACTGTTTGTTAGAGCGGGTGGTGGTGGCGTCACCATACCTTGACTCTTTTTCGCGTATTGAATCGGTGGTGTAATAATGGTTGGTGGCGTCGTAAATACTCTTGACATTTGTGTATGTGTTTGATTCAAAGTTTGTTGTGATCTCATTAATTCTTGTAATTGGTGTTGTTGGTGTTGTTGTTGTTGTTGTGTTGCAGCTATAGAAGAAGGTGTTGATGGGTATGGTGAATATCTGTTGTTTGTATTTGCCATTGATCCCATTGTCAATCCTCCTCCTCCTCCTCCTGCAGCTGCTGGTTTATAAGTACCAGGTGGTATAACTGACATTAAAGATGAAGGTACTGATGAAGTAGATGTTGTAGTAGAGCTAGTTGTAGTTGTATTTGAATTATATGAATTTTGAAGTGCTGCACGTTGTTGTTGAATAAGCATGGTTTGTGATGGTCGAGTATGTGGTACGCTAGTATCTAATCCTCCTCCTCCTCCTCCTTCGTCGTCAAACAATACACCAGATATCCTCTTTATAATATCGTTCTTGTTGCCGCTAATCGACAAGAACGATGCTTCTTTATGATCTCTTAAATATCGTAGAATCGGTTTCAATTGATCTAACTTTGCGTTTGCTAAATGTATTGGACTATATTATATAATGCATATTATAATATATTAATAATAAATTATTCATTCTCTCTCTCTCTATCTCCTTTTCTATATACAAACCTGCTTAATATGAGTTTGGTTTGTTCTTCAGACTTCAATATTGTCTCTGCTATTCTCTTAATGTCGAAACTACTGAGTATGATTCTTGCCATTCCTGGTCACCAATCACAACCAACCTCTTCTTGTTTTGGTTGTATCTATGTATAAATATATAATGTATATACTATATATTTATGATGTATGAAATCTGTGTGCTTGTTGTTGTATGTACAATTTTTGTTTTGGTCGTCCCACTCCTCTCTCTTTCCTTCTTTATTTATCTTTATCTTCTTCTTTATTTTATAAAATATATATTGATCTATGTTACTGTAGTATAGTAGAGAGCAGTTCTTTATTCATAGCTCAATATATATAGAGATTATCTAGAATGGGGCGTCCGATAATATAATAAAAAAGAGCTTGAAAACTATTTTTCCCTCTTTTTTTTTTTGCAAGACGTCTAAAAGATCAGTTTATTTTTTTACTTGGTTTATTAATTGTTTCTTTTTAATTTTTTTAATTTTAAACTTAATTGAGCGACTTTGAGTTTAATATGATTACTTTTTTTTAGATAATAAGCTAAAGCGCAGACAAGAGATAGGAAAATGGCACCTCCAACACAAGACCCAACAATGATCTTCCAAGTGTTTGATTGTGATTCGCTGTCACATCCATTGAGTGAATTCTTATTGTCAACGAGTAAAGGTGTAAAGTCTGGATCAATCACACATGATTGGCATTGAGGCATATTAATACCAATAAATGCAATCGATTCATCTGTAGTACTGTTATTATTATTACTATTACTAGTGACAATTTGAGTTTTAGAATAGGATTGTCTACCATCTGACAATACATAATCGATGAATCTACCAGTAAATTGAATACCATCTTTAATTACCTTTAGATATTGAATAGTGTTGCCAAGTGAATCGTAGAGGAATGAATCGACAGTCTCTAATTGACAATCACGACCAACGATTTCATTCTTGTTGATGGTTGTTTTTAAATAATACTCTAAGTGTTGCAATATTACTTTGGAATGCCCAATTATCAATACCAACAGTCACTTTGATAGTGTTGGGTGCCAATGTAAATGATTGATTACCAAATGTAAAATCTCTTTGTTTTGAAGAGAATGATATAGTTGCAGTTACATTTGGTTGTGGTGTTGTTATGTTGTCATCACTAATCTGTAATGTATAATTGGCAGTTGTCAATTCACCATTCTTTTCAATACTAGATATCCAATCTTTTGTAAATAGTTCAGTCACTACCGTCTCGCCATCAACTCCCAATTCTTGAATAGAATACATTTCAAACATAAATTGTACTCCTTCAATATCAAATTTAGTAACTGGTGAAGTTTGATTTGTTTCAATTGGTATAGTATCATTAATATCTAAAATAAAAATAAATTAAAAGTCATATTAATATTTAATTTAAATTTACTTCTTTGTTTTTATATATTACATACACTTTGTTAAACAATTATCATTTTGATTAAAACCAATATTACATTGACATGAACCTAGATCATTACAAACTCCATTACTATTACAATTGTGAGTTTGTTGTTCACATTGTTTTTTAAAGTCTGGTGATGGTTCTATGGGAGGTGGAGTGAAAAAGAGTGAATTGGTATTTGTATAATAAGCACCATCCACCAATATAGTCAATGTAGCAGGTCCATAACGATTGCCAATCGATGTAATATTACATTGAATTAAAGTTTCTGAAATCGATTCAATGTTGCATGGTGTCGTAGAGTTGATTGATACCGATGGATTGGCTTGCCCTAAACTTCCAAAATTACCATAAATTAAAACTCTATATGATTTATCAATTTGATTGGTACTGATTGAAACTGATGATACAGATGGATACCCTAGAGAGAAAAAGAGAGATCGAGAGAGAAATAAAAACAAAAATTAATTAATTAATTATTTTCATTTTCATTTTCTTTTTCTATTTCATACTTTGAGAATAAAATATAGTCTTTTGATTTGAACCATAAACATTTGATATGGTTAAATTATAAGACCCAGTTGAAAGTGAATAATTTGTTTGACAAGTAATCTTTTGGGAAAGTTGGGTGACGTTTAAACATGGGATATTTGAATTGATTGTAACACTGTGAACTAGCATGGGACTTAGGACATGGAAGAAGAGTGTAAACGAGGTTGAATTGGTGGCTTGTAAAATTGTTTCGTTTGCCCACACCACACCAACTTCAGTAAAAGTAAAGGTATAGGTGTATCGTGGTATAATGGATGAAAGTGAAACGTTTACCTGTTTGCCATAATAAAAAGCAGTTGGATTTTGAAGATATATTGCAATATTTGAATTTGGAACCAAAGGTTCAAGACGATAGACTTGATTTGAAACGCCTCCAAATCCAATACTATCACCTGTAATATTGGCAGTCCCTCCAAATGTGCTTAAACTATATTGATCAATTGTTATATTGCAAATAAAGCCTGCGGGGGTTGGGAAAGTTTTACTAAAATGAAAACTATCACCATCATAACAAAGGAAACAATTGGGTGCACCTGTGATTCCAGTATTAAGTATTTGCAATGAATTGATTTTACACATTGTCGATGGTACAACACCAGTCAACAATGGATTTTGATTTAAATTAAGTGAAAATGTACCAAGATTATCAAAAATATTCCATGGTATTTCTCCTTTAATTCCACATTGTGTAAATACTCTTGAAAAAATAAAAATAAAATAAAAATTAGTAAATTTAAAATATATAAAATATATAATAACTATATAATATTTAAACATACACTGATTCTATAGTTGATGGTAATGTAATATTAGGAATTGATGAAAAATTTGATCTTGAGAAATCACTATATTTATATTCAACAAAAAAAAAAAAAAAAAAGAATGATTAAGTATTTTGAGAACTAATCATAAACTTTGGGATAATACTCACAAACCAAATAGTTTAGGTGGGAATGTGGTCCAAGGATACTGAGATAGATTTGATTTGACAATAGCTATTCTTTCGATATTTGGATACACGTCCAATGAAGAAGGTGAAAATGTAGATCTTGTTTCATAAATGGTTAATCCAATTACAGATGATGGATCTACAACAGTTAAATCATAAAGTGCATTACTTGATGGTGATAATAAATTACTATAATAATAAATAAATAAATAAATAAATAAATAGATTCATCAGGTAAACAAAGATGAAACAAATATTATATATATATATATATTATATATTAAATAAACTACATACATATATGGCATCGATTCAACTCTAACTCGAATCAATGAATTGGTGGTAGAAGCAACAATTAAATTGGACATTTTAGGGAATGATCGTTTTGTCATTGTCATTGAATAGGTTGATTGTACCATCAAAGTCAATCCAAAATAATTGAGTGATGGCATATTGATAGTTTCACCAATATTTAATGATCCATTGGCAACCAATGTCATTGTACGAATTGATGCAGAGTTGTTGAAAAAGGTTGGTGCCGATTCAATTGGTGATCCAATTCTCAGTATTTCCAATTTACTCAATCCAAATGGAAAATCATTTGGAATTGATTTACAACTACCTTCATTAATCCTAAAAAACAACAACAACAACAACAAAATAAATTAATTAATATATTTTATAATTAATTTGATCAAAATTTACATACTCTATTGATACAACTGATGGTAAGTTTCTTAATCTATCTAAAATGTTTAATGATGGATTTGAAACGGTTTGAACAAGCCCAGTTATTTTACAAAAGGTCAATACTGGAAAGTAAAAGGTTACCAAAGAAGGGGGAGTTGTTGGGTATACCCCTGAAATATATGCTGATGTATCTCTTTTTTAAAAAAAAGCAAGTAAGTAAGTAAGAAAAGTCTAAACATGTATGTAGTCTGACAGATCACAGTTTCAACACTCTCTAAACATACATTCTAGTTATTCCATATACTCCATTAGATGTACCACATGTAAATACAACGATTGATCCATAATTACATAATGATTGATTCTGAGGTATATTGAGTTGATATTGTTGAATAATCCATCTATATATATTTATATATAATATACCGAGTTGATATTGATATGTGTTAGACTATTATTCTTGCAACCTTGACTGTGTATATTTTACTTACATTGCACTATTCACTATGGTTCAACCATAATAACAAAAACAATGAAATAAATTTCGGTGGTATGAAGATCACGTGATGATAAAAAGGTGAGTAAAAATATTATTTTGTTGGTTAGGGTACATACATTCATCAACACCTAGTAGGTCAACACTCTCTACAACTGCTTGTGTAGAAGATAAAAGTGATAAAGATAATAAAACTATTACTAACAATATCTTTATCATTTATTTATTTATTTCTTAGTTATTATTTGTGTAAAAGTCTACAAATAATTAAACAAAAGAGATGGAGGTTACATCAACCAAGCGACATCTTGTTTCTTATAGACTCTTTGATCGAGGTAAGCCATGACCTTCCGTCTGTTCTATGGGTCGTACTCGGAAAAGAAGATTAATAGAACGATCAACCAAAACAACAAAGATATTTTTGAAAAGATCTTGTTTATTTATTTTTGGGCGCCATAATATATTTATTATATTATATCTGTCTGTATGTTTTGTTTGTTTGTTTGTTGTGTAAGTTTATAATTTTAGTAGTACTATTTATAATTTGTTTCTGTGATTTTTAGATTTCTTTCTTTCTTTCTTTCTTTAGATTTTCTTCATTATGATTGCATCATTTTTTCTAAAACGTAGTCTGAATGAATTACTATCTTTTAGATAGGCAACTAGACCGACTAGTAGGGCAATAAAGACGACACCACCAACACAAGCACCAACAATGATCTTCCAAAGTATATCAGAGCTGGATGAACCACCACAAGTTGATACACGACTATTGTCAATGATCAATGGCGTGAAATCAGGGTCGAGAACACATGATTGACATTGAGGTAGATTGACACCAATCAATGCAATCGATTCATCTGGATGAGAGGTGTCAGTGTTGTTGAGTGAAACTAATTGTGTTCTTGAATAAGTTGATCTACCATCCGACAAGACATAATCTAAAAATCGACCAGTGAATTGAATACCTTGTTTGACAACTCTTAGATATTGAATAGTACTACCATACGAATCATAGGCAAATGGATCGATGATTTGTTGGCTGTCACATCCAACGCTGACACCTTGACTGGTATTGACCAATGTCTTGAATATAACTCTAAGCGATGCAATGTTACTTTGGAATTTCCAATTGTTGATTTCAACAGTAACCTTTATAGAATTGGGTGCAATCGTAAAGTTTCTATCTCCAAATGCAATCTCTCGTTGTTGCGATGAGAATGATATGGCTGCCGATACATTGGCAGTGGTTTCGTTACTGACAAGTGTATAATTGACCGATGTCAATGTTCCCTCGGTCGTTACATTGGACAACCATTTCTCTGTCAACACTTCTTGAATGACAGTTTCACCATCAATATCCAATTCTTGAACTGAATACATTTCAAACATAAATTGTACTCCTTCAATATTAAATTTTGTTACTGGTGCAGTTGTATTTGTTTCAATTGGTATAGTATCATTAAAATCTAAAAGAAAGAATACAAATAATTAATTAATTAATTATACGAGTCTGTCAATGTTTGTTGATTCTCAAACATTTACATACATTTAGTTAAACAATTATCAAGTAGATTATAACCTGGATTACATTGACATTTTCCATTATCTTGACATTGACCATTACCATAACAATTTTGAGTTTGTTGTTCACATTGTTCTTTTAATGTTAATTGTGGTGGTCCTCCAGTAGTAGTAGTAGTAGTTGTTGTACTGCTAATTGTAGTGCTACTAGTAGTACCATTATTATTATTATTTGATTCTGGTGGATAGAAATAGAGTACATTGGGACGTGTAAAGTTTACACCATCAACTGAAACAAATACAGATGCAGCTCCATATTGATTGTGAATAGTTGAACAGTTGATATAGCTAGAATTGATGTATTGTATAGTACATGGTATAGTATTGTTGATCATCACTACCGGTGTATTTTGACCATTATCTCCAAAATTACCAAACAAATTGATAACCTTTATATCATCATTATCATTTCTAAAACTAGATGCTGATGAAATTGTTGGGTATGCTAAAGATATGAAAAAGAATATTAGTATTAATTTGTTTGTTTGTTTGATCTATTTTATACATACTTGGAGTATATCTTAAATGAATAATTTCAGAGTATCCAATATTTGAAATATTAAGGGAATACGTGCCGGATGGTAGAGGTGTAGGAGTTACACAACTAATACTACTAGTAGTTTGACTCATACCATTACACTGATAAGTATTAGAGTTTAGAGTAATCGTGTGAAGCAATTGATTATTAAAAGTGAAAGCTTGAATCTTGACCATTACTCCATGATTGATTTGTGTCATTGAAAAGTCGGTTTGTGGTAATAATGCAATACCAACTTCAACAATGGTTACAGCCATTGTAATATTTGGGTTGGTTGGAGATAATTTGAGAACGGTACTCTGAGGTGTATAGAAATTAGATAGTGGTGTTGGTACTTGGAACTCTAACAACTTGTTTGGAATGGTAGCTATTAATGGATATGGTTGGTTTTGAGGATTACCAAAACCAATCATATTACCTTTAACCTTGACCTTTCCAAATATAGATAGCAAGTTTACACTATCAAATGACAAACCACTACATAAATTACCTGGTGGTCTCGGTAAGCTAGTCACCAACACACTAGATGCAGTATCATAACACCAGAAACAATTTGGTACCGCCTGAATACCAGTCTGATTAATATCCAACTTTTTAATACCACACATTGATTCTGGTACAGTTCCAACTAAACCTGGATTAGAACTTAATGAAAGTGATAATAATGGTGCATTATTAAATATATTCCATGGCACTTGATTAATATTATTTCCACTAAATATTCTAAAAAAAACAAAACAAAAAATATCATAAAAATAAGTAATTAAAATAATTAATAATTCTTGCTTTGTATTCTTACAATGTTTCAAGTTTAGGAGAAACTGGAGTATTTGGTATTATGAAATTTGATTTTGTAATTTCCCTAAAAAAAAATTGAATAAATAAATAAATAAATAAATAAATAAAACATAGCATACATAACCTGTATCTAGTTTAATATACAAACATACAAATATGTTAATTTATCTGGCCAAAAATTAAATGGATAACTTGTTAGTGAAGTATTGATAAATCTCCTAAAAAAAAATAGAAAAAAATAGAAAAGAAATTAATTATTAATAGTTGGTAGGGGTCAATAGTTTATACCTTTCTTTGATGGTGTTGTTTTTAAACATACGCATATATAAGACTAGGATAATCATTTAAAGAGGCAGGTGAAAGAGTTGTAAGTGGTCCAGATATTTGCAAATCTTTTAAATTACTTGTATTTCCAAGTACTACATTAAATCCAGAATTAAAAGTTGGTGCAAATAATGCTCTGTTTTTTTTTGAAAAATAAACAAATATATAAGTATAAATATAAATTGATCTTTCTTTTTTCTTTTTTCTTTTGCATATACATACAATGATACCATTGAATTTTGTAATATGGAAATATTAGAAATTGAATTGGCAACAGGAAAAGTCAATGAAAGGGCTGAAAGCTTTGGATAGGCAGATTGTGTAAAAAGAATGGGATCCAGTGACGAGTAGTACATTGAAAGTGTCATTAGCTTCTTCATTGAAACGGTAGCGTCCAAGATGAACGGTCCATTTATCTGTGCGAATAAAGATAGCGTTTCAATATTTGAATTGTTAAATAATGTTGGTGATGGTGAAAGCCCTAGATACGATGCAAAGCTTGAAAGTAATGGAAATGTAGTTGGAAAATCATTTGGAATAGTTGTTATTGATTGATCTCCAACACTATTGTTTTTAAATAATAATAATAATAAAAAAAAATAGAAAAAGATTAGAAATATTAATATAATATTAATATCAATTGATTGATTGATTGGGGGGGATCACCTATGATGACATACTAGAGAGATTGAAGAGTTGGTACATTTCTCAATTTGAGTAAAGTGTTTAATGCTTGATTGGTAACTGTATTGTTGATATAATAGAAAATGGTCAATGCTGGAAAATCTAATGTATCCAATGTATTGTCTGGTGCTCCTTTTGATGTGAATATAGTTCTTTGTATTCTTTATAAATAAACAACAAAATAGAGATACTAATTAGTACTAATGATATTCACAATATATTCATTCATTAATAACATACTGTATTTTAGTGACATGACCACCTGAACATGTGAATATAGGTATATCCAATAAGACTGTATTACATAAAGATTGATCTAATGGAACATTGATTCCAAACTGTTGAGCTACCCATCTAGACAAATATATATAAATATAAAATGATTGTTAAAAATAAAGAAAGAAAGAAAGAAAGAGAGAATACTGATCAAATGAGGGTTTAACTTACATTGCACTATTTACTGAGAGGGTGAGAGAGAGATAGATAATATAATTAGTATCAACCAATGTTTATATGTGTGTATATATATATATATATATGCTTTAACATACGTTCTGAAGTTGATAGATTTTGAGAGTATACAAGAGTACTACTCTTTGTTTGAATGTCCAACAATAAAAATAAACATACAAACAATGAAATATAAAAATATCTCATCTTCAAGCCTATGGGTGTGTAAAGTAAAAAGTTGTTGCTTTTACTTAAGAGATAGAATACAGAGATATAATATAGACAAGATAATATATATAAAATATGAATAGCTTTGAATAAAATGAATCAATGAAGAATGAATTATCTTATTATCGCGGGATGATCATCTTTTCAAAGCCCATTCCTTCTTGATCCTGTGATACATTTCTAAGAGAGAGAGAGAGAATCGATCACCTTTAGATATTTATTTTTGTGTTCGTTTTTATCTTTGGCCTTCACGTCACGATGCAATTACAGATGGGGATGATAGGTGTGGATGGATGCATTCCGTGAGAGATGATGTTTTGTTCGGAACACCCGGATTTTATTTAGATATTTTAGTACACCAAAATATTTTTGTTTTGAAGCTTCACACTACAAAGTATTGGTATCTTCCATCGACTCCTTCCATTTTGGAATCTCTATCGATTCCGTATCTTTGCACTCTTTACTGATCAAGTAATATTAATGGGCGCCACATTAATGCAATAATTTGAATGAGTCCATCCATTAATGCAATAATTTGGTACCAGGCAAAGGATCCTTTAATCTATCTCCTTGGATTTTTCCAAGTGAATTGGCTTGAACACCCACCAATATACAATTTATTCGTACAACATATATATATATATATCAAATTTGATCATTCATATATCATAGAAACAAACATGCTCCCAAAGATAGAGAGATTTTTTGAAGTCATGTCTTTGGAAAAAAAAAAAAAAATTCAAATTAATTTTAGTCGGTCGTTTTTTCAACAACATGCACATGCCTACCTCTATCTTTGAATGAGTACAATAACTACACCTTTTTGGTAGATATATATATATAAATAGATAGCTAGATAGATAGAATGGGAACATCTAAAAAGATATTAAACTCTATTAGAAAGGAAGCAAAACAGAATACTAAAAATGGTAAAGAGACAAAAGACGAAAGACAAGAGAAACAAACAAAACGAACGAATATTAATCTCTCTCTCTCTCTCTCTCTCTCTTTAACTACTTTTGTTTTTTGTTTGTTTATCTAGTATCTAATTTCAATGACTTTATGATGGTTTTAGGTGATGTTAAACCAGAAGATCAAGAAACATCAACAACAACAGATGATAGTACAACAACCAATGTAAATGGTAAAAGAGAAATAGATCAAGAAGATGAAGAAAAAGAAGAAGAAGAACAACAAGTAAACGATAAGAAACCACCAAAAAGAATTAAGAAATCAAAAGAAGAAAGATTTATGGAGAAACAACAAAAAATAAGAGATGATATTCAAAAAGAAGAGGAAGATCAAAAGAAATCAACTACCACTACTCTTTCATCTACTTCATCTACTACTTCAGCAGAAGTTGATAAATTAAAAAAAGAATTAGAAATGGTTAAAGAGGAATTAGAAAATAGAGAAGCAGAATTAAAGATGCAAGAAAAGTTTTTGAGAAAGTCTAAAAAGGAGACAAAGGATTTACAACGTGAAATTAAATCAACCATCTACAAGGTCAATCCAAAGGCAACTCGTTCCATTGCCATACCAAACGATATTTTGGATGACTTTGCAAGCGAGGAAATGAAAACTTATCTCGTTGAAATGATTGCTCGTACGTTGGTACTCTTTTCAATCGATGAAGTCATTGTCTATCGTTCAACTAAATCTACCAATTCAACTACCGATAAATTATGTAAATTATTAGAATTTATTGATTTACCAAAAGTATGTGAAAGAAACAAAAAAAGAAACAAAGAAAAGAAAAGAAAAGAAAAAGATGGAAATAATATTAATACTTTAATTTACTAGAATATAAGACATCATTTATACGATTTAAATGATATTGATTATCAATTTGTTGATAAATTAAAAAGAGTTGAATCTGGTCAACATGCAACTTCGAATCGTTGGACCAAGTATAGAGAGGGTATTGTGTTGGACAAGTTGTCGGGCAAGTTTTCATTGGTCGATGTTGGGTTGGGCGATGGCAAGGAGATCAAGATTGACAAGGAGTTGCAGGCGGGTATCCGAGTGACACTAGAGATGGAAGAGGAACACGGCAAGCAAATCAACAATGCCAACCAACACCGCAAGGGCAAGGTGGTGTCACCGGCAGAGGTTCGTCACGACGGTCACTATTGGGGCTACCAAGTACGTTCGGTCGACTCGATTGATAATGTCTTCCAAGACAGCTCTTTCAATGCCTACGACTACAAGATTCTATTTACATGCAACTCTCACGATAACCAAGAAGTACAAGATCTCAAACAACAAAGACTCAAAGAAAAACAAGATATCTTTGACAATAATCTAGAATCACAACAACATGTTTTAATCATTTTTGCTGAACGTGAACAACAAATTTTAGATTTATTAAAACAACTTCCAATTGAAAAAGAAGATGAAAAGGAAGAAGATGAAAATGAAGATAAAGAAGAAGAAAAGAAAGAGGATGGAGAAAAGAAAGAAAAGAAATTGGATAAAAGTTTGGACAAGATTATTGATTTACAATCTGATAATACATTAAAATCAAAAAGAGTTAGATTTGAGGAAACTTTATTAATTGGTTTATCAAGTTTACTTAATAAGGTTATTTAAATATTAACTAAAATATATAAATATTTAAATAATTTAATAAAATAAAACAACCCATTTTATAATAAACAAACAAACAAACCCAGAATAGAGTATCAATTTTGTGATGGGTTATATAATATAATATTTATATATATTTAGAGGAGATATAATCTCAACCAATTGTATTGATTCATTAATTTAAAAAAAGGTAAATGAATGACACAAAACCAAACAAACCATTTTTTTGTTGAAATCAACAACAACCAACACTAAAGTTATATATTAATTTGGAAATGATGGTCTGCCTATCGGTTCATTTTATTGATAATCTCTGATCATCTCATCACAACCCTAACCCACCTAACCACTGCTAATATCCATAGCACCATACATGTGTGTTTGTGTTTTACAATATCCATCTACAGATCTTTCCTCTATATATGATAAACACATGTGTCTCTTTCATCAACATTGTTGTGATCAGAAAGGAAAGGAAAGGAAATGTGAAGGTTCCTTTAATTTTTTCTAACTCCAGTTAGGATCTGGTCAGAAATTTTTGTTGATCATGAACCATTCACAACACACACAATCAAACAAACAATCAAACAAACACACACACACATAGCTGTCGCATACATACACACACTGATGTTACAGATAGAGATATTTAAAACCACATGGTGGGTGTATGGTATATGTGTGTGTTGACAATTGTGTGTGAGTGTGAGTGTACCGCGATGTTGATTGATTCGCGACAATCAATAAGCTAAGTGAGCTCACTGCCAACTTCATCATCATCATCAGCAGTTGATCCTATAGGTGCTATTGCCTATAAAATCATGGTATGGGGTCTCACTCTCACTCTTGGATGCATAGATGGGTCAAATATTGACACTAAACCCAAGTGGTTTGTTAAAAACCCAACCCAAACCCTCTATGCTACAATGTGTACAATTTCTTTGGCAGGAGGAGGATGAGGAGGAAAGCACGCATGAATAGAAGCTGATGGTGGTACAATTGACAGTAAAGACCCATCCACCATCCACTTCCTCTTCCTCCTCCACTTGCTCCGTCTCCCTTGCATCAATCAGGCAATTTCGATAAAGGGATAGGATAGGGATATTGGAAGAGCAATCACATGTATGGTAATAATAATAATATTTGTAGAAGCTAGTTTGAGTGTGTAGCAGTAGCAGTAGCATCAAAAGGAAAAGAATTAGTTTTTAATTATTATAATAAGCAGTAGTACCTACATACACATAACAATTAAAAGGAAGGAAGCAAGGAAGCTCTATCAGCACCAACAACAGCGACAACGACAACGCTTTATGATTGTACTACCATCCAACTGACAACAAAACAAACACTTTAAAGTAAGTAAGTCAAAAGAAGTGATAATGAACCTCAACCATTCGTTCTTTTTTCAAATCAATCAATCAATCAATCAATCACCACCCTCCTTCCTTTGTTTATATATTTATTTGTAGAGACCTACCAACCAACTTACCAACCAACTCCAACTCCAACTTCCTCTCTCTCTCTCTACAGAATACAGATAAATCTTAAAGCAACAAACAAACAAACATTTAAACTAAAAAAAAAAACAAACCAAATAACATTCCTCTTTTTCTAATTCCATCTTATCTCTCTCTCTCTCTCTCTCCTACCCCTCCACACCATTTATATATATATATATTTATCTCTATCCATTTATCTCTATCTATTTATCTCCTATCTAGAAAACTATTTATCACACAAACATTCGAATTAGTAACTTTTAATAATAATTATAATTAATAATCTAAAGGTCAAAAGTAGGTATTTAGTAAACCCAGGATTAGATTCCGCATCTTGTGGAATAGTAGTATTTTCACACTTATCTTGAAATTGGTTTTGTGTGTGTGTGTGTGTGTTGTTCAACGAATGACGTGGTGGTATTAACCGACTTGGGTCATTCCAATCAATCATTTTTGTTGTTGGTTGTTTGTTCCAACTGCCTTGTTCGATCTGACATTAAAAGTTCCAAAACTAAACTAATCTAATCTATTCATTTACCAGTCAGTTTACCAATCAACCAATCAATTAATTAATCAATGAATAATATTACCCATCACCAAAATTAATTCGAAATCTTTAAACATTTCCTAATAATAATAATAATAATAATAATGTTTGATTGATTCAACATCATCTTTTAAAAAATAAGAAGAAGAAGAAGAAGAAGATATCTAAAAATCACTTAAAACTGTAAACAGACGTTTTTAAACTTTTCAATGATAGTTCATTTCATTTCTCTTTTGTTTTTGATTTTTTACCAAAAAAGGACAACAGTTGCAAAAGGTTCAAAAAAAAAAAAAAAGAAAAGTGGCAAGTAGTCAGCTGCTGTCTTGCCTACTTGGGCCGATACGTTAAATTTGACCACTCCTTTTTTATTTTAAAAACAACCAAATTTGTTTAATTTGATGATAACTTGTACTTGCTTCAATGATTAACGTCATCTTCCAAAGTCGACTTTTTCCTCTCTCACTGAATATAATATAATATTGACGATAGCGACGACGCATTCTTTTGTGTTACAATATTGTTGTAGGTTGTTGGTTGATGTCAGTTTGCATGCATTCATGACCTTCACTGCCTCCGCATTTGGCCATTCACACAATATATCATATCATTCTTGATGTTAACTGAAACCAAGCCAGGCAAAGAGTTGAGAGAGTTCAGTTATATTTATACACACCACCCATTCCAAGATCATATCATATCATATCATCATATAGTTATATAAAACAAACTATCTAATACAATACAATACAATACATACATACATTCGATTAGTTATAGATTTCACAAAAAGGTTTCTAACGATTAAAACTTTTCTTTTTTTTATTATAATAATAAATAGACATTATCATATATATACATACCTATAACACATTTATATACATATACATATTATATATATATATATTATATTATATTATATTTTTTTACCTTTCTATAAAAAGTAGTAATAGTAATAGTAGTACTTGTAATTAAAACAAATCCTCTCTAGAATCCAACAACCATTCAATCTTAATCCCAATGATTTTTTAGGATAAGTAAGTAAACCAAACCATCGTTGTTGTTTTGAACCAAAAGTTTGATGATGAACTTCCATTTCATAACACATACTCACCTCGCACACACAACAATTCCATCCAATTGAATTAAATTCAATTTTCCATCACTTTTCCCCTTCATCAATGGAAGTACAATTGTCACACTCACGCATGCACACAATTTATGATTACTCAATTATCATTATTAGCTGTATCATCCATCCGTTATCTCTCTTTCATTGTTGTGGTAATATCATATAAAAAAACAATTAATCACATTCAGTTACAGATACAGAGACAATAGCAGACATGGCATGCATAGATAGATAAGATCGTCTATAGATAAATTCAGATAAATTTAGATCAATATTGTTGGAATGATCCATTGTCAATCTCATCTTGTCATCTCTTTGTTTTTTTTCTTCTTCCTCCTTCCTTGTTTTCTTTCCTTTGGGATACTCCCCTAAATCCAACTCTTAGTAGTGTAGCATAGCATTTCAGCAGACAGACATACAGACAGACAGTAAATCCATTTATGGAAATATTTTAAAATAGTAATAATAATAATAATATTGATGATTAATACTACTCTGATCATCCATCCATCCATCCATCTATCCATTTACCAACTTTTTTTGTATGTGAATGTCCCAGTATGAATTAAATATGGACACGGTCATTCCAACTCTTCTTCTTCCCGGTTACGATACCGACAATCTTCTTGAACACAAGTTGTGTCGCATCATCATAGATCAAGATGCCATTGGGTATGATCTTGCCTAAATTTACTACTCTTGCATATGGTAAAAGCGGAACAAAGAATCACTCCTCCCACCCACCCCACTGACCGTGGACATCACCAACATTATAATTTTAAAAGAATATGAGGGTAGGGAGAGAGAGAGAGAGATGATGATGACGATGATTATTCATTATGATATCTAATAATAACACGATGATCACATGATTGGAATCAACATCCAACGTCTATTATTATTACTCTAGTAACACATAAATGTCAATGTATTACACATTCATCATTATTATTATTATTATTACTGTCTCCACTTTCACATTCACACCGCCCCCACCCACCAACCTCTTTTAATAATAATAATAATAATAATAATAGTGATCTTCTTCTTTTTTCTTTTTTGATGACGATGAAATCCAGTTGTTGGATAGGTTAGGGTTAGGGGTGGTTAATGCCATAACCAACAAACCATATATATCATTATCTATATTTATCATATCAACGATGATATTATGGTTATGATTAAGATTAACCATTAACAGAACACAGTAGAGCATGGATCGTTTCTAATACAGGTGCTGCTGATAGCAGAGACAATTTAGTGGGGGTGGGTGGAAAAAAGGATACTGCTACAACTTCTGCTGGTATGCTACTGTCTGTCTGTTTGGTATGTGCTATTTTAGTGTGTTGGTGGTGGTGGTTAGTGGTGGGTGTCATATAGTGATCGATCAACGTTGTGTACCCCCTCACCCACCTCTGTTTTTTTTTTTTTTCCAATTCATACAATACACATACTATATTCATCATGGTGTTTTAAAATTCCAACACCTCAATGCAATCACAATGCAGACCAACCCACATACAAACACACACTAAAAGGAACAAGGAAAGAGGAGGATACCCATGGGATACAGTAATGTAATAATCAATGGGGGGTGTGGGGATGGCATGACTGATACCCTCGCGAGTCGTTATATATCCTATATATATGTATATATATGTGTGTTTGCAATTAAAATAAAAATATCATGTTGATGTTATTGGTAGTTAATAATACCAATAAAGTGGTGCTATCAAAGGAAGGAGAGAGAGAGCAGACCGAGAATATATAATTTAGTATTTCAAATTGAATCATCAATCACAGTTACATTTGTTGTTTAATTATTGTTGTTGTTGTTGTTGTTTCGATCATAATTAATCTATCTATCTATCTATCTATCTAAAACCCTAACCGACCAGCCAAACTGTAAACTCAACCCTATCCATCAATCAAAATTAAAAATATTCAATCAGTTGATATTTTTTTTTTTTTTTTTTTTTTTGAAGAGCAGACAAGCTAGACAGACAGACAGACAGGCATACATACAAAGTATACAGAGTATAGTAGAGTAGGAATCGTAATTTACCAAAATTCCCAACCATCATCACACTCTTTTCCCTCCCTCTTGTCCATCCATTAAATAATCTATCAAATTACACCCAAGAGTAGTAGATTGTTTTAAAATATATATTATATTGTGTTAAAAAAGAGGATCATTTACAATTATAAGAATTGGAATAATTATTTTATTTGTTTACATCTTTTACTGATGATTAATCATCACACATTACTATTATCATTATCATCATCATCAATATCATCAAATATTATATAATTATTTGTTTTGCTTATACTTTTATTATTATTATTATTTCTTTTCTTTTTTTTAGGAATTCCAGTTTAGCAAACCCCCTCTGTAAATAATTTAAATTCTTTTATATATATATATATATCATTTATAAATTTTAAAACAAACCCAACCAAAACCAACCCCTTTTTTGTATATCAATTAAATCAAACTAAAAAAAAAAATGGAAATCACCAAAAATAATAATAATAATTCACAATCAACATCAAATTATGAATCAACGATTCCACAACAAATATCAACTCAATATCCAGGAGGAGGAGGAGGAGGATCACCTCTTGATCAATCCCTATCGCCATCATCACAGCCAAGAGAACGTCTTCCAACTACTATACTTGGTATCTTGAAGGAATGTAATATTGGGTCATCTCCAATTTCACTCGGAAATTGTAAAAGTGATACCATGGAAAAGGAATGGCTTTTAAAATGTATAGTTGTTTTAATTGATCATTTATTATCAATTGGTGATAATGTAAGGAAAAAAAAAAAAATCAAAAAATCAAAATCAAAAAAATATTTATTTATTTCTTTTTTTCTTTTCCAATCTTTTTATTAGTATTCAAATAATCATCAAGAATTTTTACCAGATAATATGAGATTACCAATGATTACTGTTGATATGTATATAACCAGAATTATGAAATATTCTCCATGTTCAAAAGAATGCTTTATCACCATTCTCATGTATATAGATCGTCTTATAACTCAGAAGAGTTTTATTGTAAATAGTTATAATATCCATCGAATTTTAATTACCTCTATCCTAGTTGCTGCTAAATATCTTGATGGTAAGAAATCAAATAATATTTATTCATTTATTTAAAATACTTAATTCTTTTCTTTCTATTTTTTAGATATATTTTATAATAATAATTTTTATAGTCAAGTTGGAGGAGTATCAGTTGATGAAATCAATCGTATGGAGATTGATTTATTGAAATTATTAGAGTTTGATTTATCGGCCAAGGTTGAACTCTATAATGAATACTGTAAATACATCGAATTATACAACTCGAAACTCCAATCTTTTTTAAAGGTGGCCACCCCAATCGATTTACGTTTAGTTATTACTGATCCCTATATTTTAAACTTTGGAAAAAACCTCCCACCTACTTGTTTATCACAATCTCTGTCGTCTTTTAATAGTATAAACTCAAACACTAATAATCAAAATGGTAATAATCATTTATCGAATCATCTAGTCCCAAATCAAGTTAAACAACAACAACAGAAAAGTAATAGTAGTAATAATTTAAAAAATCAACAACCAACTAATCAACAACAACAATCTCAGCAACAATCTCAACAACAATACCTTCATCAACAACAACAACCAATATCATCTACATTTCGATATCATCCTCAACCGAACGCAGTTGCTTGAAGGTATTAAAAATTTTTTTATAACAAAAAAAAAATAAACTCTCAAAAGAATGAATGAATGAAATGAACATCATTCCACAATATCCTTAATTATTAATGTTTTGTTTTATTTTAATATTTGTTTTTGTATTATTTAGTCATCATCATCATCACGTAAACTTGATAATTGAATTCCTGCAGCTTCTAAATCATCATCTGCTGGAACATTGAAATAAGGATTATCCAATGATGGTCTGAATTGATATCCAGTTGCTGAATAGAAAACCAAAGAGGCAACGAGTGTAGAAAAGTCACCAAGCCATATCAAATGGAATTCTAAACTTGCTTTTACCAAGAATACAACAATACGTGTAAAATAGACATAGGAAATAACAAATACATAAAATTGTCTAAATAATTGTAATTTTGCTAAACTTTTTGCAGCTAAAAAATAAAATAAAAAAGAGTTAATATAATATTTCAATTTTGTTTTTCTATTCTATATTACCTTTATCATCAGCAGAAGCAGCATCTTTTAAATGATTAATTGACCAAATAATTGGAACTATAATGGCACCACAACAAATGATATCAACAACTGTAAAGATATGTTTCCAACTGACCCAACTTTCAGATCCTGGTGCTCTTTCATCAATCATAATCAAAGCGATATTGTCGAGGATTTGAAGTGGAATGACAATCATGAAAATGGTTTTATCCTTGTCTGAAAGGAATGGTTTGATAAATGTCCATCCAGTACCAATCAATGCAATCAACACTATAAAGAATGATCCTTGAAGACATGCAAAAATATAATATGCAATATCCCATCCATTTGCACTACCTGTTGTTTTAATATAATGCATTTCAATCTAAAATAGAAAATAAAGAAAAAAAAGTTAATTTAAAAATGATCAATTAAATATTACGGCTACGTATACTGGTATTTACAGATCTAAATAATAATTCAACAGCTTGTAAAACCAAATAAACTGAACATAAATGATGAATTTTGTTTACTCTTTTTCCTTCACCTCTAAGGAAAACAAAAATCCATAAAACCAATAATACAGCAAAGATGATGGAAAATAAACCATAAACTGTTGGTAATGGATTATCACCAACTGAAAGATAATTAATATTACCATTTGAATCGATATTATATTCTACAAGATCCAACTATATATAGAAAAAAAAATGGTCAGTAAGTATATCTATTAAATTCTTTTTTATTTTTCTTTTTGTTCTACACATACAGTAAAAGAAACAGGTACAGCTTTACAATTTACAAAAAATAAGTTATAGAAACCTTCTGGATACTTTTTTGGATCATTTGCAATGTTGATGACAAATGAAAAAGGGTTTTCTTCTGAAGAGTTTGTGAAATAGATATCTGGGATTGAACAGTTTTGATAATCAATATCCTCTAGATAAAGTGTACCATCTGTATCTGATATTTTAATAACAAATGCTGTATTATCATTCTTTGTACTTGGTATACCATTTACCTAAAAAATAAAAAACAAAACAAATAGTCATTAGTATATAGTGTATAAACTAAGTTTTATATTTATATATATCTATGTATTTATTACATACAATCCAATTTGATACGCTTGCATTTAATACACCTCCACTTGAAAAACCAAAACCTTCAATCAAGAATGATTGACGTCGATCATTCTCTATCTTTAGATGATGTTTTAATGAATATGATATAGATACATATGATAATAATAAACAAATAAATAATAATAACTGTTTCATTGTTTTTTTTCTAGATATATTCTGATCTCTCTCTATATATATATATCTCTCTCTTCTTTAAATTCATGTATATTATAAGTATATATATATATAAAAATATCTATAGAGAGGGGAGAAGAAGTTTAATAAAACAAAAAAGAAGAAGAAAAATTCTAAGGTGACCTTTTAAAAATTTTATTTATTTTTTTTTTTTCCATCTCTCACTCTGTGAATCATCATTACTAGTATATTATTATTTCTTTTTATTCTTTTTATTCTTCTTCTTGTTTATCATTTCAAGATTAGTTTTACATAATATATTAGGTGTATGAATGATTGATTCTTCTTCTTTTTCTATAGGTACAAACAAAGCAAAAGCAACATAGAAACCAGATTTATGAGAGCTATCAACATTTGTGAGTTTAGCGTGCACAGACATTGTTGTTGTTGTTGTTTTACCTATCATACTTTTATCGGGTATCACCAATCCACCATCAAAATAGGTCCATTTATTACCACCATCATCATTCTTGTTAAAGTGACGTCTAGTTGTTACCTTTTCACTTTTGTAATCACCATCTTCAATTTGATGCCATACATCAACCCATCCACTAAATTTATACTTTACCATCCAATATACACGATAGTTACCAATTGGTAGAGTAAACATATTACCAACATCAAACCACCAAACATCTTTTGCATTGACGTAATTGTTAAATGGTAGAGGGTCAGTGGTAGTTGTTAGATCAACATGTCGCGTATTCATGTGTGCAATGTATCGATGGTCAAATGAATTGGCTGCAAACATGTATCGATAATAGGTATAGATTGAATTCCACTTTAACGAATGATCACTCTCTTTGGTAATATCAATACCAACAATCGATGCCACTTCATTGATTGGTGTTATCGATTTAGTACATATCTCTTTAAAGTTGAATGTTGAATAAATCTTTTCTCTTATTTCTTTATTACACTAAACAAATAAACAAACAATTATTAATTAAAAAGAATACAAGAATAATAATAATAACTTGTCATATGACATACACAAGCAAAGTTACCAAGTGATTTAGGACTAGATTGGAATAAATATCTAAATATCTCTCTCCATATATAAATATAATTTATATCTTTTAACTCTTTTTTCATCCTCTCGAATATATAATATAAATATTAAAGAAAAACTAAACTCTCTTTTGTGTAGCATTTGCATTATTATTATTATTATTATTATTATTTAATTAATTCTTTTTTTTTTTTTTTAAGGACCACGTCGGTACTGTTCATCGAATCTGTTTATTTCACCTTTCTCTTTTAATGTCTAGTTTCATTCCAAAAGATAACAAAAGGTGTAGATACATCATCGATTAGATTATTGATTGCCGATTGATAGGGAGATGCACAAACACCAGCACAAGCAGAAACAGTGAGTTCAAAGGCATCACCTTGAGGAAAGGTAGTACTGTTGAGGTAAGCAACCCATTGTTGCTTGTAACCTTTTGCTTTGGGTGCATCGAAAAAGTAAGAACTTGTAGAGAGCAATGGTGTCCAATTGTCACCGGTGATATTAAAGACAAATTGACCGACATTGATGCGATTGAACAATTGGTATTTGGCTGTAAAGGTGTAGTTGCGCCAGTCGGCTGGGAAGCTTTGGGTTCTGACTAGACCAAAGTTACCCGATGGGTTGGCAACGTTGGTCAAGCATTGATTGGTACTCTGACAGAAATAGATTGGATCGAAAAAGTATTGAACATGTGCAACAAAGGTTTTGACCGTAAAGCTATCACATACTGTATTACATACTTGAACAGCTGTTGAGTTGCTTAATTCTGAACAAATTTCCTAATTAGATATAATTAAATTTATTAATTATTAAATATTAATATTTTTTTTTTTTTTAGATTCATACAGAACATGAATCAAATGAACCAGTGGAAGTGATTTGTTCTAATTGTTGGGCAACAGAGTCGAGACTCAATACACATGTTTGACATGTTTGTACTGATTGACCTTTGACTACTGTTAATAAAAGAATAATAACAAGTATATATTTTAAGAACATGATATCTATCGATAACTTTTTAAAAAAGTGATCCCGGATTCATTTTTATATCTATCATCTATCAAGGAGCTCGGAAATCACCTACCAAGCTGACAAAGAAAATGGGTCATAATAGGATTTTATCTCAAGATCATCCTTGTTTGCCAAGTGGCAAATTAAATTTTTTTTTTTTTGTTTTTTTTTTTTGACCTTTTGTACACATTGCTCACCCTTTTAATTTTATAGTAGTTACACCACTTCTTCTAACTCTTATAACTATGTGATATCTATATATGAGGATTAGATAATATTGTAATGAGATCTCATTATCTCGGTTTTTACAAACGTTAACCCTTAAGACACGCAAACGATCATTATACTCTTTATTGTTCTAACAACATTATAAAGGTATAGTAAAGTAATAAATACACAACATTGTTCTAACAACATTATAAAGACTTATTACTCTATCTTATTCTTTATTAAATACAATAGTGATATACGTTAGAAGGGCCCGCTACATACCCTATATTTATTAAAATATGATAAAAGGCAATTAGACTCTCCACATGTAGGGATCGAACCTACGATCTTATCCTTAGGAGGGATACGCATTTCCACTGTGCTAATGTAGAAGCATGACAGTTTTACGATTTTGGTCCAATGTGACTGAGAGACGAACGGTAGCAACTGTGGGATCTAGAGACAGGACACCCCCACGGAAGGATGACCGGGTTAGTTTCCCCTTCTCAGTAGGAGATTGGGTAGCCAGACTGCAACAAGTAACGGGAAGGTAGTGGAGGACCTACTGGGCCGTCGCGATAGAAAGCCATCTGACATCTCAAATACAATATGCAACACGTAAAGACGAGTGTCCACAATGGGGAGTAAATCGGCGTGAGAGTTGAGAGCGGCAGTCGGTCTTGGACGCACCCAAGGCTTAAGGTTTCACCGCAAGTATGGTACTAAAATTAGAAGAAGATGGGTGCCATATTTGCGTCAACACCTTCATCTTCTTCTATTCTCTCTTCATCTATCAATAATAATATTAATAATATAATAATTTACTAAATAATAATAACATAGAATAATTATATAACACAATATTACAGCCTATAGTGCTGAGAAAAAAAAAAAAAAAAAAAAAAAAAAAAAAAGCGATATCTTTAACCAATTTATTTTTAGAACAAGCAACAACCCAAAACAATCCAACATGCTTGACACTATACAATAAGATACATGATCAACGTCCATATAACATGTATCATAGACATGGACAACCCCCAGAACAAATTAACTTTAATTCTTCTCGAGATAATCTTTATTTCTTGCTGGTCAATTAAAATGTATAATTAATAAAACTTTGTAACTTCTGAGTACTACTCTTCCCGATAGGAGAGAACAGGAAAAGAATTACTTTAAAAAAAAAAACGGTAGCAACTGCTCCTAACGTCTCTTCACATTCTTTTACCCATGCCCTAATTTCTTGCATTGATTGTTCTTCTTTGTTGTTTCTTTCTTTATCGTTCCGCCTCTCTCGTCTGTTTGAATCAACCTTGTTGATTCGATACTGACTGATGATTGATCGTTTGATTCGTTCCATTTACAAGCATCATTTTCCACTATCCAAATTGCGTGCTGCGTTGCTTCCTTCAATGAACATGCCCCTTTGACCAACAATGCACTGAATAATCTTCCTCCAATAGATGATCGATCTTTACACTTGCCATATGATACCAAATAACCACTACAATAATCTCTGATTCCTTGGCGTTCGGGTACCCATTGATAATGTTGATACAACAAAGTTTCAAAAAGATCTACAACAACAACTACAGCAACAACCACAATCACATCCACAACAAAGACAACCACACAAACAACTCGATCAATTATTAGCCCAATTAAAATAGATCGGGAATGGTTGGAAAAATGTTGCATGGAAGCTGTCCATGCTGCTAGAAAGTTGAGAATGCAATTCAACATCAACATCAACGGTTTTTTGGCATTATTTCTCCATCTAAATGGATCGTGTTATTATTCTGGTGTCCCGTTAGTGCCACGACAACAATGCTCTAAAGATAAGGTCAGCAAACTCAATCAAGAGGATCCTCGACGCTACAAGATTAGTTTTGAACGATTGGATACCACAAAAGGTTATCTCATTAGTAATATGGCATCGATTTCATATCGTACCCAATCCATCAATACTCTTCTTTCTTTAAACAAAAAAGATAATCAAGATGAGTCAATGGATCAATAAGAGGAATCAACAAGTGATGATGAAAATGACATTGTTCAAGATGATAAAATAGGGTTGGCAGACCCAAAAAACTCAATTTGGACACACCCAAAAAAAAATTCCTTAAAAAAATTTGCCATGAACATCAACAACTACAGTTACAAGGAGAACTACTATTAGAGATCGATCCACATTTTTTAAAAGAGTTTTTAAAGCCCCATGACAATTTGGAATATCAGGCAGAACAACTCAAACAAGCAATGAACATTCCAACGGTAAAGAATAACCCTGTCCTCTATCAAGATTGTCAAACGAAATTGAATCCCAGATCCAAGTCTCCAAGCCACCTCCGCCTTTGTCCAAACCAATGGCACCAAGCTCACCAGGTTCACTCTTCAAACTTGCTGCAAATGATTTTAGATCTTCCAACCCAACAACAACAACATCACCTACAACATCACCAACCAAGTCCATTTAAAAAACATTTTCTCCGACATATCATCTTTCAAACCTAAAAACAATCTTTTAAACAAAAAATAATTTCAAAACAAATCATCAATATCAAAACTGTTAATTCTCATCAACTTTTTAAATATAAATAAAGAATATATATATATTTATTTATTATTATTATTGTTTGATTATTTATTATTTAAAATGTTTTCAATATGACTAAAACCAACAGAATAAATTCTTTGTAATTGTAAATTCTTTTCCAATAGATCGATGGGACATTTTTTAAAACATCTTGTTTTGATGATCGAGAGTAGTTGATTAGATAGAGCATCATCAAGAACGGTTGATGATAATTGGCTAATATCATTTTGGTTGACATGATCAAAGACAAAACCAAATTGATCAATGTATCCTCTGTTGATGAGTTGTGTCATTCTTTCTTTTGGCTTGCATCTAAAGATACCAAGGAATTGATAAATATCTGCTAGATTATCAAAGTATTTTGATCCATTTAATACATTGAGTTGATTTAATAATGGATCAATTGATTGAATATTGTAATTGGTGGGTAAACGAGTATATAGTTTGTTGAAATACTCTGTTTGGGTTGGTCTTTCCCTTTGGATGGTTTGATGAATTGATGCGAAAATGGGTATATCGTTGTTTTGCTCCAATTGGTCCAACAAGTTGATTAAATGATTTGCCTCCTTCATTGACAATACAATAATATTTGGAGAGTCACCATTCCAAACAACCAAAGTGTAATTGATTTGTTTGACAAAATCATCGATATTATCAACCACATTGTTGTCATGAACAACGGTTTTGGTAAAGTTTTGGGTGGCCAAAATGGAGGGTGAGAAACATTCCTTTTGAATTTCCAAACACTGCCAAACCAATGTTTTCTTGAATATATCTTTGATTGGTAGGAATATTGGACAGTTTGAAATGTTTGTTTTTCCAGTCAATACATCATTCCATACTTTACTAATAACTTCTTCATATGGTTCAACTTTTGGTGGCAATTGTCTTTCAATTTCATTTTCAACTTCCACTTCAAACTCTCTTTCTTGTTCTTCATCGACCATGTTTGAAAATATCTTTTGATCTTCTATCTTGTCTTCGGCATACCGACAAATTTGTATTGATTGTTTTGAATGCATTTTGTCAAGTAGTTTGAAAACTTTGGCATTTCCAACATCGTTTTCAAATGTCTTTTCCAAGTTGCTTCTCATTGATGAAACAACAGCGTTACCCTTTTCTTGTCGATACAATGAAGAATACATATCGTATAATGAGAGATTCTCGGGGAATGCAACTAATCTTGAAAAGATAGATCTCTTGTTTTCAACATTATCCATTGCCAAAAGTGAAATGGCAGATTTACTTCTTGCATTCATCATTCCTTGGAATGTCCATTGAATAAAAGAGTCGGTAATAGTGTCTATTGTATTTTGAATTGTCCATTTCAAAATATCTTGAATCTCTGGTGATTTTGATAGTGGTTCAAGTTCACCTCTTTCATTCTTTAATTCAATTCCAAGATTCTTTGAAATGAGAATTGAAATAGTTTGACCTTGTCCCAACTTTCTCATTCTCATACATGCTTGAAGGAGTTTTTCTTTTGTTATCTTGTTTCCAATTGTAACCATTGCATTACTGTTGATTGGAAGTTTAATATCAACACCACGAGTATGATAATCATCCAAATAAACTAAAACTCTATCTAATCTGTCAGAGAGTGGTGATTGACTGAATATAAACTTCTTTCCTTCTCGATCGATTGTTGTCAGTTTATCATTTTCAAAAAATAGAGCTCCATCTATTCTTGTTGTTGATTCCAATTCTAACCATCTCTTTACAACATCTTCATTTGATTTACCAATCATTAATGCTCCTGCATCAATAAGTATGTTGTAATAGTGTCCACTTTGATTGTTGTTGAGCTTGAATATCTCCCCGAGTATGTTATTTTCATCAACGATATGAACCTTGTTTGATTGATCATTTTGATCAAGAATATAATTCAATACTTGAACATTGGTATATTTGAGTCGATCCAAATCATTTTGTTGAATAGTAAGAGGATAGAGACATTTAGTGTCATTGGTACCACTGAATCCACATGAAATATGTTTCTTGGAGTTTGATTTTGGATAAACCAAATCGCATGAATTGGCAAATAGTTTGGAAGGGAATTGTTTAGTTTCATATGGGAATACCAATTCATTCAACCAGAAATTGATGACTCTACAATTGAATTTGAATAGAGAATAGAGATGTTTGATCAATTGATTATCAGATTTGACAATACATTTGAAATCTCTATATTTTTCTTCAATTGTTGGGTCATAATCTGTCCATGATCTGTAGATATCTGATGCTTCGTGTTTGTGACTTGTTATTAAAGTATCCAATGCTTTACAAAATTGTTTATATGATAAACCTTGATTGTAATATGAGAGAAAGGTGAGTATAATTGCAAAGTCTGGATGACCATATTCAGCTCTCTCAGAGGGTGTATCTTTGGCTCTGAATGGGACTGCCAATAATGTAGAGTCCCGTTTGAATGATGATGATGCAGTTGATCTAATACCATAATGTTTTGACCATGTTTTCGAGAGTGAATGTAACAAAACTTCATATGAAAATAATCCTCGATACAATAAGACCCTTGTTTGATGTTTTTCAAGTTTTTCAACCATCGATAGAGCATTTCGATGTTTTCTTGTTGGTGTATCTTCATCAGATCCAACAAATTGTTTTATCAATTCAAACTCTTCTTCATTTGGGTTGAATGGGAGATTATGGATTAATTTGTCACAAAGTTCATCCAACACCTCTTTCATTTGGTCTTGATTGTTTTCATTCTCTGATGTGAATCTTCTAAATAAGAATGGATCTTGGTCATCGTTGTAATGATGTTGAAGAATTAATTTCAGTTCAGATAGAACCTCTTCAATTACTTTCCAACGATCAGATCCACCATTCAGTGGAATCTTTGATCCGATTGGATAGAGTAGTTGGTATTTGTGTGATAATAGATCATCACATTCATCCATAATATCAAATATATTGGTTTCCCACCATACAAGGACTTGATTCATTTCATCAAACAATTTATCTTTTGCCAATCTCCAAAATAAATTGAATGATAATCTATGTTCTGGTGTACAAAGTATAATTCCATTCATTTGATGGCATTTTTCAATGTTGCGACGTATCGATCTAATATGTGATTCAGATATTGATGGTCCAATATCTCTTTTGAATGGATAGAGATGAATTGGTCGATTGAGAATTGATGATCCAAGTCTCATTTGTAAATCTTGAATATAGGTTTGAAGTAGTGATGGAATTGCATTGACTCGAGCAATTCTTTGTTTATCGAATATTGCCAAACACATGATTGAGTAGAATAACAGATGTCTTTCCTTCACCCATCTGTAGTTGAACACATTCATTACTTTGAGCATTGATCAACTTGATTGCAATCTCTGCTTGAGTGTCTCTGATCCAAATTGATTGTTCCAATTCAAATACCAACCATGTTGGATAATCTTTTGGTAACCATTGTCTTGTCTCTCTACTCTGTGATAATATTTTGAGTAAATCAACACCTTGAATGGTCTTGCATTTCTGAATCTTTTGTTTATAAGTTTGAAGGATAATATGAACACCAATGAGTTGATATATCTCATCAGGTAAATCAACCAAATGATTTGAGAAATCTTCATAAACAGTCAATGGAACACAACCAATCCAAGAATGACAACTTTTAAATATACAATCCAATTCAGATTCTACATTTTCATTTCTAGTTGGGTTGTTGTAAAACATTTCGATTATATTCCAAACCAAATCCAATTTTTGTTGAATAATAACTGATAACTCTTCCAAAGCCTCTCCAAGTGATTGTGATTTGTTCATTTCAAATGTTGGTTGGTTTAAATGAATCTTTAGAGATTCTTTACTAATATTTAAATCATCAAATAATTCCTCTTCCAAATGTGTTTCATGGTAGATTCCATCAATAAAACTATCCAACTTGCCAAATGATATCTTTTCTCGTTTGCAACTTTTAGAGGTGAGAGTTGACAGAATAGATTCCAATTGTTTATCAAAACCAAACTTCCAAATATCTTGAAATTCTTGACTGATTTCCTGTTCAAACAATTTAATGTTGTTGTAATCTTGTTCATTAAATTGATTCTGTAGTGACAATATTGTTGGTGTTGGGAATTTTGGGAAGCGATTGAAAATGTTCAGATTTGAGGGTTTACTGCCGTATGTTTGGACAAGATCTTTGACTATTCTGTTGACCCTTTGGAAAAATGATTTCAACATTTTGTTTTTGTACCAATGATTGATTTTCTCTTGGATTTTGCTATTAAAAATGGAACTATGTGTCATATGCTTGCTGGTAACCGAATGATATTCGGTATCTTGTGGTGCAATGATTCCATATGACTCCCTTTCCCAAATATTTTGGGACAGGATACGATCGAGAACTGCTTTTCTTTCCTCATTGTCTTGTTGAGAGGTAGTTTTTTCGGTAAAGTCCAACGAATTTCTTATAGTATTTACGATTTCAGATTCGTCATATGTTGTTATTGGGTCTTGGTAACTGGTTTCTCTCGGAAATGTCCTTATAGCGGTGAAATGATATGAAATTGCAACCAATACCAAATGATCCAAAAATGAGACCAAAGATTCATCTGACCAAAAACATGAAAACAAAGTTATGATAAATTTAAATCTTGAAAAATTATAATCACCATGAACCGTTTCCATTGCTATCTTTAATAACTTTAGATACCAATCTGTATATGCTGCACCTAGTGTCTGTTTTCGAGCAATGTATCTGGTATTGATGAGATTGTTGGTTTCTTGAAATTCTGGAACACAATTTTGTGATGACTTTACGTCCAATCCTGTGATGGTCGAACCACCAATCATAGAATAGGGATTGAATGATTTGTCCAAATTATCAATATTCTTGGATTCAATGATCAATGCAAATCTTTGAACTTTAGTATTGGTTTGATCCAATTTAGATGGTTCAATGATTTTGATAGATCCTGGTGTGTCAATGGGTTCATCGATTTGGCAAAGCGGTGAGAATATTCTTTTGGATCTAATCCAAGCGATTAGATTTAGGGCCAAATCGAATGATCTTCTGTCATTTTGAGAAACAAGTGTATATAAAAATGACATTTCTTGGTGTGATTTCTTGATTCCATCAACCAAAATAACAAATACATCTTGTGTTATCATTGGTGGAAGTAGTGGGTATGATATTGATATTTGTTGTTTGATATTATCTTGAGATACTCTTGTTGGTGATACACTTGCAATTTGTGATAAAATATTGAGTTGTGATTGGTTGAGTGGCATATTGTTTTTGAATTTCTTTAATAAAATAATTGCAAGTTCCATTCCTCTCAATCCAGTAAATGGATCTCTAAGGAATGATGATGTTACAATATGAGAGGAACAAAGATGGGGATGTGCTGTCAAATCTGATGATTTGATCATTTTGAGTTCCCTGTCAATATCATAAATAAAATATGATGGATGGTTGAGTCTGGTTGTACTTGATTTGGCATTGTTGAATCCTTTACAATTATCATTCACCTCCAATGTGATTGGTGAATGTGGAAGAATAACCTTCTTTGTTCCACTTAAATTGCTTTGTTCCAAAACCAATATTGTTTTCAAACCAACCAAAGTTCCAATATATTGTTGTTCACAAAGTCGATATCCAGAATATTGAACTGAATTGATTTGTTGATTCTGACAATCAACAATAAAATCCAATCCATATTGATTCAAATGAATTCTATAAAGTTGGGATGCTTCTTGTTCATAAATATGAAAGTGTGACTTTGATTCTAATGGGAATATTTTGAATATTTGATCTCTTAATGCTTGATTATTTTCACCAAAATATAATAGTGATTCATCATTTGATTCCAATTTAATTTCGCCAAATTTAGTTCCAATAAATTTAATTGAGTCCAATCCTCCATCTTTGTATTGTTGGAATGTTTTTGGTCTAAACTCTATTTCATTTGTTGCCAGATTTACCCAATGTGTATAACACAAATACAATGTAACAGGTAAATGCTTAAATAAATCAGGATCAAGAAGCATCCATCTTTCACCATTGTCTTTGACTTGAACAATTCCAACTATTTTTGATGAGGCAAATTGGAATTCAAAATTGAATCCATTTATTGGACGATTGGTAGTCCTGTCATTAATTAAATAAAATAACTCTAGTTTAGTATCTATTCATTTAAAATTAATATAGAATATACATACCAAATAGAATTACCAGATTGATGAACTTCAAAAATCGAATATTCAAAGAAGGTTTTATAGAGCTTGTGGCTGATTAAATGTGTAGGTAATCTTCTATCAAAAGTTCCATTGAATAATAATGTCCCATCAAATATATTGAATTGAATGATTACATTGTTAATTTGGAATTCTATGATAAATAAAATGTCAATATTTAATTAGCTAATTGATATTTTTTTAATTTAATTTAGACTTACGATAATAATTATTATTTGATCCCTTTTCCCATTCCAAATCATTTCCATCATCTCCTTGATTATTATGAATAATATTATTTAAACATTTGAAATGATTTCCATCTTTGAAATATTCAACTATGAATGGTATTTGACGATAAATAATTAATGATAGTTGATTGAATATTATATCCAAGAATGGTTGTTCTGGACATGATGATCCCAATGTTCTTGTTCCATTACTTGAAATGGTTGTATTCTCATCCAATATGATCAATGATTTGAAATAATAATCAATGTGTTGGAAATAGTTTGTGTGTTGAATAATATATTGTTTGTGATTATTGTCAATGTTGAATGTCATTATGATTGCAATAGCTGTATAAACCATTCTCTTTCTAAGTGTTGCCGTTTCGGTATCTCTTCCATGTAATAATTCTTGTTGAATGAGTTCTTCCAACTTGGCAACCCACTCCCAAAGTACCACTCTACATTTCTCCAATACGTCAATAATCTTTTTGTCAGTGTCATCTGGTTCATGAGTTTTTTGGTCTGGTTTTTTATCTCTTGTATTGAATGCAATTGTTAAACAATAAATGATGACAAGCATTGAAACGCTACCTTCCCAATTGGTTTGGCTTTCATTCAAAACGGTTTCAATTGTATTACATAGTGTTTGAAGAACATTTTCATCATTCCAACCAATTCTAAAAGGTCTTGTTGTTGACCGACCTTTCTTTCTAGGACCACATTGCATTGACAATTGATAAAACATAACCAATACATGAATTCCATTGAGATTATTTCTTTCTTCCATATATCTGATCATATTTCTAATCGATAAGTTTGGACCAACTCTTAACATTCCATATCTAATATATTCATTTGGTAACATTCCTTTTGGTGTCTGGTTTTGAGTTGCGAGAACATCATTTTCTTCTATTCCATGATTTGATTTAATCATCCAATTGAGTTCACTATACTCAATCTTTGGTGGAATTGAAAGGAGCAGATAGCTTTTTTGGATGTGGGGTGCTTGAATATCGGAAATTGCTTTTTTGTCTTTGTATCCATAATACAAAATGGTCTTTGGATTCCAATCAATAAATGAATCTTCATTATTTTTAAATATACAGAGGGAATATGGTTTTTGTGGGTTTTCTCCAAGTAATGATACGATACTTAAAGGTGGTGAAAGGTCCCATGTTTGAAGTGTGGCAAAACCATAATCTATCTTTGGACCACTACTTGCAGCGTAAAGATATTTGGAAAGCATTGAAAACGAGTTTCTAACATAATAGAGGTAGAATGGGATGTGGGTCTCAAACATGAGTTTGAATTGATTTTCTTTTTTTTCTGGCATTGATTTGTAGTAGATTGATAATGTTGAATTGAAGCAGGCTTCAATATAATTATTGATAATTTTTCTTTTTTCAATGTGATCATCACTATCACCCATATACGAAAGCAACTCAGTTCTGTAACCTCTGATTTCTGCTTTAACCGTCTCTATGTAGTGTTTATACTCTTTGATTTTGTTTTTTGTCTTTTTCTCGATATCATCCAATTCTTTTTGTAATTCTTCTTGATAAAATTGTTCAGCCCATTTCTTTCCAAAACCATTGTCATCAATACTAAAGATTGAATTATCGATTGATGTATTACCATGGCGCTCATCTTCAAAATAAAATTCCAATGATTCCACAATTTCATATTCATATTGGTGTTGGAGTAATAGATCTGAGAATATTGATAAATTGACATATGGTGGTAGAGAAGAGTATAAATCCAATCTGAGGGATGAATCCTGACTCTCATTTTTGTCAATTAAAAGACAATAATCCAATGTCAATCGATCCAAAATAGCGACCAGTGTGTATGATGTCAAGATAAAACGACTGTAAAGAATAGCATCATTTTCATATCTTGGTTTTGATACTTTCATATAAATGTCCATTAGATTGTAAATCGATGAGAATACATCTTGGCATTTTTGTTGGTCATTTGAAAGTGAGTGTCTGAATATTTGACTTTTCCAAATCTGGAATATCATATTTTCAATTATATTTAATACGATTACCAATTTTACATTATTTGGTTTGCTATTATTGTCGTAGTTGAGACTATTTATCATTCCTTGGACTATAAAAGTCAACTTTGTAGCAGTTCTAGTGTGAAGCTGATAAAGTTGTTTTGATAAATTCTCCAAATTGGTAATATAAGAATCGGATGCTGATTCAGTCAATAAGTTTACGTCTTTTACATCCAAGTCCATTACATTTACTTTGAGATTGTTGATAAATGATTTAATATTTTGTTGAAGACTTTTATGAACCAAGTTTGTTGGATCAGTTCCATATTCTTTCAATCCATTACAAATGTTGTTGATTGGTGTACTGATTTGAGATTCTTTCTCTACGACTTGACAGAATGAATCCCATTGTTGATGAACCGTGTCAGAAAGTGTCTCACATCGTTCTTTGATTGCTGTGATTAAACCAATCACCATCGATGGATGTTTCTCTTGATATTTGATTTTGAATTTGTTGCAACTTCTGGCAATATGTGCAATGTATTCGAGTGTGGTTTGACTGTTGATTTGATACTTGGCCAAAGTATTGATTTTAAATGCCAACACATTCCATTTATATAAACTTGCCTTTAATCCATATCTTTAATAAAGAAAATGAGTCAATGATTTGAGACCAACCCAGAGTGGTGATCTCATCCAAACACTATCTGCACTTAATATTTCAGTTCTAATTGATTTATAAATGATTGGAGTTGAATATTTTGTTGTTGAATCATTGTATTCACATCCAGGAATAGATGGAATTAACCAATTGAGAATGGTGTTTGGAACTGGTATCATACTATGTTCACGATGAACGATTGACATGATTGGTGGTTGATCAGTATCTCTTAGTGCAACTAGATACTCTAAGAATACAGTATCTAACAGTTGATTGACATCTTGAATGTTGAATGAACAAATAGGTGTTGCAATTTGTAGTTTTGTTGTTTGAACATTAAATTTATCAAGTGTTGGATAAATTTGAATTAAATCTAATATAATATTATTACTATTACTATTTTTATTATTATTATTATTGTTGATAGTTGGAGGTCTATGAATAACTAAAATACAATTTGATTTCTTAAAGTAGGTGATTAAAGGAATATTATTGTGATTATTATTATCTTTTGAATCAACAAACGATTGTGTGATTCTTTCAGTTAGTTGATTGATATCAGGTGGTTGTTTAATATCATCACTGAATTGATTTAAAGCCGATGAAATGATTCCCTTTCCCATGCTGGCATTTACATGTTTAATGAACGAATGAAATAGAGTACTTTCTGCTTCATCTTGTTCTTGCCGATCAAACACATTAGGCAGTCTTGTTGGCATAAATAGATGAGTCAACATTGAATCATCTTGATCATGATTCTGAATTACACCAAAATCCATTCTATCAGAACAAATATTTATTAGTTAGATTGATCTATGATGAGGATTCAATAAATAATAGTATAACCTACCTTATAGTGAGGTCTCTCTCTCTCTCTCTTTTCTCTTTGAGGTAATTGGCTAATTGTAAATACGATAGTTACTCGAAATATAAATCTATCTATCTAGATGTAATTAAATACTGTAGATATGTATAGATAATGAATTAATGAATGAATATTTGATGTATGCATACACAAAAGAGAGACAAGATCTTCATCTCTCGAATAGCAAAGAATAACCCACCACACCTTCCTTTTCTACTTTATTTTTTTTATTTATTTTTTTGGTGAAGTTCTTATGATCATTTTCGCACAACGTTCATTGTCATCCGTGATGAGGGGGGAGTGCTAGTTTATTGGTTTAAACATCAGATGATATATAAATATATTTATATTTTGCTAATTATTTATTATTTATAATTTTTTCAATATGACTATAACCAATTGAATAAATTCTTTGGAGTTGTAAATTCTTTTCAAGTAGATCGATTGGACATTTTTTAAATCTTCTTGTTTTGATGATTGATAATAGTTGATTGGATAGATTATCATCTATCGAGAGTTTGTCGATATCACTTGGTTTGACACCTTCTAATACAAATCCAAATTGATCAATGATTCCTTTGTTGATGAGTTGTGACATGATTGTTTTTGAATCACATCTAAAGATACCAAGGAATTGATAAATCTCTGGTAGACTATCAAAGTATTTTGATCCATTTAATACATTGAGTTGATTTAATAATGGGTCGATTGATTGTTCTATTGGATTGAGTGCAGCGGGTAAAAGAGTATACAATTGTTTAAAATACTCTGTTTGTTTCTTTCTTTCTCTTTGGATGGTTTGATGAATGGATACAACCAATTGATTCTTATTTTGGTGTGCTAATTGATTCAACATGTGGATTAAATGGTTTGCTTCTTTCATTGATACTAATACCATGTTTGGAGTAGTAGTACTACTACTATCACTTCCAGCATTCCAAAACACCAAAATATAATTAATTTGTTTGACAAAGTAATCATTATTACCAACGATCGTATTGGTGTCATGAACCACTGTATTGATAAAGTTTTGAGTTGTCCAAAGGTGTGGTGAAAGACAGTCTTTTTCATGGTCCTCCAAACACTTCCAAACCAATGTATTCTTGAATATATCTTTGATTGGTAGGAATGGTGATGGTTGTTGATCATTACCATCGATCTTTTTAGTGCCAATCAAATAGTCAAGCCATTCCTTTCCAATAAATAATTCTTGATAGGGAGTTACTTTTGGTGGTAATTGACTTTGGATTTCATTTTCAACTTCCAATTCAAATTCTTTTTCTTGTTCTTCATCAACCATGTTGGAGAAAATCATTTGATCTTCTATCTTGTCTTCGGCGTATCGACAAATTTGTTTCGCCAATGATGAATGGGTTGGAACAAGAGCTTTGTAAACTTTATCATCTCCAATATCTTTTTTAAATGTTTTTTCCAATTTAATTTTAGTAAATGATACGACAGAGTCACCTTTTTGTTGTTGATACAATGCAGAATACATATCGTAGAGTGATAGTGTTTCTGGGAATGCAACCAATCTTGAAAATATAGATTCTTTGTTATCGATATTATCCATTGCCAAAAGTGAAATAGCAGATTTACTTCTTGCATTCATTAATCCTTGAAGTGTCCATTGAATAAAAGAATTGGTAATAGTATCTATAGTATTTTGAATTGTCCATTTTAATATATCTTTAATCTCTGGTGATTTTGATAGTGGTTCAAGTTCACCTCTTTCATTCTTTAATTCGATTCCAAGATTCTTTGAAATGAGAATTGAAATAGTTTGACCTTGTCCTAACTTTCTCATTCTCATACATGCTTGAAGTAGTTTTTCTTTTGTTATCTTGTTTCCAACTGTTACGATTGCATTACTGTTGATTGGAAGTTTAATATCAACACCACGAGTATGATAATCATCCAAATAAACTAAAACTCTATCTAATCTATCAGAGAGTGGTGATTGACTGAATATAAACTTCTTTCCTTCTCGATCGATTGTTGTCAGTTTATCATTTTCAAAAAAGAGAGCTCCATCTATTCTTGTTGTTGATTCCAATTCTAACCATCTCTTGACAACATCTTCATTTGATTTACCAATCATCAGTGCTCCTGCATCAATTAATATGTTGTAGTAATTCTTGTTGTTGAGTTGATTGAGTTGTGTAATCTTTGGTAGAATATCATTATTATCATCAACGATATGAACCTTGTTTGATTGATCATTTTGATCAAGAATATAATTCAATACTTGAACATTGGTATATTTGAGTCGATCCAAATCATTTTGTTGAATAGTAAGAGGATAGAGACATTTAGTGTCATTGGTACCACTAAATCCACACGAAATATGTTTCTTGGAGTTTGATTTTGGATAAACCAAGTCCCATGGATTTGCAAACAATTTAGATGGGAATTGTTTTGTTTCATATGGGAATACCAATTCATTCAACCAGAAATTGATGACTCTACAATTGAATTTGAATAGTGAATAGAGATGTTTGATCAATTGATTGTCAGATTTGACAACACATTTGAAATCTCTATATTTCTCTTCAATTGATTGATCATAGTCTGTCCATGATCTGTAGATATCTGGTGCTTCGTTTTTATGACTTGTTCTTAAACAATCCAATGATTTACTGAATTGTTCAAATGATAAACCTTGATTGTAATATGAGAGATAGGTGAGGATGATTGCAAAATCAGGATGACCATACTCTGCCCTTTCAGATGGTGTATCTTTGGCTCTGAATGGGACTGCCAATAATGTTGAATCTCGTTTCAATGATGACGATGCTTTTGATCTAATTCCATAATGTTTTGACCATGTTTTTGTCAAAGAGTGCAAAAGAACTTCATATGAAAATAATCCTCGATACAATAAGACTCTTGTTTGATGCTTATCAAGTTTTTCTTCAACCAATAATAAGGCTTTGCTGTGTTTTTTTGTTGATGTATCTTCATCTGGTCCAACAAATTGTTTGATAAGGCCAAGATTTTCTTCGTTGGTGTTGAATGGTAGTTTGTTGATTAATGTTTCGAGTAAAACAGATAACACCTCTTTCATTGTATCTTGATTGTTTTCATTCTCTGATGTGAACCTTCTAAATAGGAATGGATCTTTAAAGTCACCATATTGTTTTTGAAGAATTAATTTCAGTTCAGATAGAACCTCTTCAATTATTTTCCAACGATCTGAACACCCATTGAGCGGAATCTTTGATCCGATTGGATAGAGTAGTTGGTATTTGTATGAAAGTAAATCATCACATTCATCCATAATATCAAATATATTATCGTTCCACCATGTAATTACTTGATTCATTTCATCTAACATCTTATCCTTATTTGACTGATCCTTTGCCAATCTCCAAAACAAATTGAATGATAGTCTATGTTCTGGTGTACAAAGTATGATTCCATTCATTTGTTTACATTTTTCAATGTTGGAGAGAATAGATCGAACATTTGATTCAGTTATCGATGGTCCAATATCTCTTTTGAATGGATAGAGATGAATTGGTCGATTGAGAATTGATGATCCAAGTCTCATTTGTAAATCTTGAATATAAGTTTGAAGTAGTGATGGAATTGCATTGACTCGAGCAATTCTTTGTTTATCGGATATTGCCAAACACATGATTGGTAGAATAACAGATGTCTTTCCTTCACCCATCTGTAGTTGAACACATTCATTACTTTGAGCATTGATCAACTTGACAGCAATCTCTGCTTGAGTGTCTCTGATCCATATTGATTGTTCCAATTCAAATACCAACCATGTTGGATAATCTTTTGGTAACCATTTTCTTGTCTCTCTACTTTGTGATAATTCTTTTACCAAATCAACACCTTGAATGATTTTGCATTTCTGAATCTTTTGTTTATAAGTTTGAAGGATAATGTGAACACCAATTAATTGATATATTTGATCTGGTAAATCAACCAAATGATTTGAGAAATCTTCATAAACAGTCAATGGAACACAACCAATCCAAGAATGACAACATTTCAAGATACCATCCAATTCATATTCTACATTTTCATTTCTAGTTGGATTATTGTAAAATTCTTGAATTAAATTCCAAACCAAATCTATTTTTTGTTGAATAATAACCGATAACTTTTCCAAAGCTTCTCCAAGTGAATGTGATTTGTTCATTTCAAATGTTGGTTGATTTGAGTATTTCTTTAAAGATTCATTACTGATATTTAAATCATCAAATAATTCTTCTTCCAAATTTGTTTCATGGTATATTCCATCGATAAAACTGTCCAACTTGTCAAATGATATCTTTTCTCTATTACAACTTTTAGAGGTGAGAGTTGACAAGATTGATTCTAATTGTTTATCAAAACCAAACTTCCAAATATCTTGTAGTTCTTGAGGTATTTCCTTTTCAAACAATTTAACATTTTTGACCTTTTCTTGACTTGATACTTGGTCTTTTTGTTTAATTTCTATTATTGGTTGTCCAACAAAATATAAAAGATTTTTTTCTCTTTGGTAAATAATATTATGTGTTTCTTGATTTATCTCTTTCAAAAATATTATCAATAATCTGTTATCGTACCAACAGTTGATTAACATTTGAATTTCTTGATTAAAAGAAGTTTGATCGTGAATATACTTGTGCTCTACATGTTGATAAGAATTGTTAAGGGGATAAATGATTCTTGTTCCATCGACTCGTTGCCAAATGTCTTGTGTTGTGATCATATCCAAAATTGACTTTTTTTCTTTTTGGTTTTCGTCTCTTGTCTTGCCTATAGGATATACAATATACTTTACAAGTACATTAACAATTAAGCGTTGCTCATATGTAGTGAGTGAATAACTTGTGTAACCTGGAAAAGTTGAAATATTTGGTAATGGTTTGGATATTGCTATCAATACAATGTGATCTAAAAATGGTGTCAATGATGGATGTGACCAATGATACGTCAACAATGTGATGATATATTTAAATCTTGAAAGATTATAATGACCACTTGCAGTTTCCATTCCTATTTTTAATAACTTTAGATACCAATCTCTAAATGCATCACCAAGTTGTTGCTTTTTGTCAATATGTTTGGTATTAATGAGACGGTTTGTTTCTTGAAATTCTGGAACACAATTTTGAAGACCTTTAAAGTCTGGACCGTTGATGGTTGATGAACTCATCATTGATGAATAGGGATTGAATGAATTTTCCAAATATTGAATATTCTTGTATTCAATGATCGATGCAATTCTTTGAATGTTTTTGGTGGTTTTGCCCAATGCTGTTGGTTCAATGATGGTATCATCTGGTGTGTCAATAGGGTCATCGATTTGACAAAGTGGAGAGTAAATATTTTTGTATCTATTCCAAGCAATACGATTGAGTACCAAATCCAATGGTTTTTTCCTTTCTTCTTCTTCATCTTGAGTATTATATAAAAATGACATTTCTTGATGAGCATTCTTTATAATATCAACCATAATAATAAAAACATCTTGTGATATCATTGGTGGGAGTAGTGGGTATAGGATTGATACTTTTAGTTTGATATTATCACCAGATACTCTTGTTGGTGATACACTTGCTATTTGTGATAAAATATTGAGTTGTGATTGGTTGAGTGGCATGTTGTTATTAAATTTCTTTAAAAGTATAATAGCAAGTTCCATTCCTCTCAAACCAGTAAATGGATCTCTAAACAATGATGATGTTACAATATGAGAATAGCAAAGATGGAGATGTGCTGTCAAATCTGATGATTTGATCATTTTGAGTTCTTGATCAATATCATAAATAAAATATGATGGATGGTTGAGTGTGGTTGTATTTGATTTAGCATTGTTGAAATCACCGTTCTTTTCCAATGTAATTGTTGAATGTGGCAGAATAACTTTCTTTGTTCCACTTAAATTATTTTGTTCCAAAACCAATATTGTTTTCAAACCAACCAAAGTTCCAATGTATTGTTGTTCACATAGTCGGTATCCAGAATATTGAACTGAATTGATTTGTCCAACAATACAATCAACAATAAAATCCAATCCATATTGATTTAAATGAATTCTATAATGTTGGGATGCTTCTTGTTCATAAATATGAAAGTGTGACGTTGATTCCAATTGGAATAGTTTGAATATTTGATCTCTTAACTTTAGATTATTTGCAACAAAATATAATAATGATTCACCAGTTGATTTTAATTTAATTTCACCATTTTTAGTTCCAATAAATTTAATTGAATCCAAACCTCCATCTTTGTATTGTTTGAATGTTTTTGGTCTAAACTCTATTTCATTTGTTATCATATTTATCCAATGTGAATAAGATTCTACAAAAGTAATTGGTAAGTGATTAAATAAACAAGGATCAAGAAGCATCCATCTTTCTCCATTGTCTTTGATTTGAACAATTGCAATGGTATCAGCAGAACAAATAGAAAATCCTATATTATATCCTCCCATTGAATAATTGGTAGTCCTAAAAATGTATGGTTAAAAAATAATGTTGGATAGTTTTTTAAATGTATCTATACATACCAAATACAATTTCCAGTTTGATTAACTTGAAAAATAGAATATTCAAAGAATGATTTATAAAGTTTATGATTAACAATTTGATTTGGTAATCTTCTATCAAATGTTCCATTGAATAATAATGTTCCATCAAATATATTAAATTGAATAATTACATTGTTAATTTGGAATTCTAAAAAAGATAACAAAATGAGTTCATAAATTAGTATAAATCATTTGGTTTAATTATAATAAATAATTGATATACATACCATAATAATTATTATTTGATCCCTTTTCCCATTTAAGATAATTTGATTCTTGGTGAATAATATTATTTAAACATCCAAATTGATTTCCATCTTTGAAATGATCAACGATGAATGGTATTTGACGATAAATAATCAATGACAATTGATTGAATATTATATCCAAGAATGGTTGTTCTGGAAATAATGCCAATGTTCTTGTTCCATTACTTGAATAGGTTGTATTTTCATCCAAAATAATCAATGATTTGAAATAATAATCAATATGTTGGAAATAGTTGGTTTGTTGAATAATATATTGTTTGTGATTATTGTCAATGTTGAATGTCATAATGATTGCAATAGCTGTATAAACCATTCTCTTTCTTAGTGCTGATGTTTCTTGAATATCTCTTCCATGAAGTAATTCTTGCTGAATGAGTTCTTCCAACTTGGCAACCCATTCCCAAAGTACCACTCTGCATTTCTCCAACGTTTTAATAATCAATTTGTCAGTTTCATCCAATTCTTTTTGGTCTTGTTTTTTATCTCTTGTATTGAATGCAATTGTTAAAAAATGAATCATGACAATCATTGAAACGCTACCTTCCCAATTGGTTTGACTCTCACTTGTAACAGAGTCAACTGTTCTACATAGAGTTTGTAAAACATTTTCATCATTCCAACCAATTCTATAAGGTCTTGTTGTAGACAATTTGTTCTTTCTAGGACCACATTGCATTGACAATTGATAAAACATAACCAATACATGAATTCCATTTAGATTATTTCTTTCCTCCATGTATCTAATCATATTTCTAATCGATAAACATTCTCCAACTCTTAACATTCCATATCTTATATACTCGTTTGGTAACATTCCTTTTGGTGTGTAGTATTGAGTTGTGAGAACATCATTTTCTGAAATACTACCTTGACTTAACATCCAATTGAGTTGACTATATTCAACCTTTGATGGAATTGAAAGGGGTACTAGTTGAAATTTGCTTGTTGTAATATCCACAATATTATTTCCTTCTTTGTATCCAAAACAAAAAATTGTGTTTGGATTCCAATCAACAAATGATGATTCAGTATATTGAAAGATATTGAGATTAAAGGGCACTCTATCTTTGGTAACCAATAAAGATATAATACTTTGATCTGGTGAGATTTTTAATGTATCTTTCTTTTCACTACTGCTTGGAGCAAAAAGATATTTGCATAGCAAAGCAAATGAGTTTCTAACATAATAGAGGTAGAATGGGATATTGGTTTCGAAAATGTGTTTGAATTGTTCGTCTTTATCTTCTGGCAATGATTTGTAGTAGATTGATGATTTTAAATTGTAATATTCTTGAATGTTAGAGTTGATTCTATTTCTGTTTCGAATGTCAGTTTCGCTTTCACTTGGATATAAAAGTAGTTGTTCCGTTTGAATCTTGATATAATCTGTCACTTTATCTTTGTATTCACGATACTCTTTGATTTTGGTTTCGGTCTTGGTCTCTATATCATCCAATTCATCTTGTAATTCTTCTTGATAAAATTGTTCGGCCCATTTCTTTGCAAAACCATTAGCGCTAAAGATTGAATTATCGATTGATGTTTTACTACAATGACGTTGATCTTCAAAATATAATTCCAATGATTCCAAGGTGTCATACTCGAATTTGTTTTGAAGTAATAGGTCTGAGAATATTGATATGTCGACATAGGGTGGTAGAGGAGAGTATAAACTGAATCTTGGTGTTGAATCTTGACTCTCTTGTTTGTCAAGTAAAAGACAATAATCTAAAGTCAATCTATCTAAAATAGCAACCAAAGTGTATGATGTCAAGATAAAACGACTGTAAAGAATAGCATCTTTATCATATCTTGGTTTTGCCAACTTCATATAAATGTCCATTAGATTGTAAATTGATGAGAATACATCTTGTTGATCGTTTGATAGTGCGTGTCTAAATATTTTACTTTTCCACATCTTGAATATAATATCTTCAACGATATTTAATATGATGACTAATGATACATTCTCATTTTTTGGTCTAGTATTGATACATATGACAATACTTTGCATGATAATAACAAAGTGGTCTCCAGCGCCGAGAGGTTGGAGATCGTTGAGTAAGGTAGAATATCCCTGTAAACAAGATATTGAAGAATTGGATGCTGAATCGGTCAATAAATTTACACCTTTGACATCTAACTTCTTTTCTTCTACTTTGGTACTGTTTACAAATGATTTAATATTTTGATGAAGGGATCCATGTACCAAGTTTGTTGGATCAGTTCCATAATCTTTCAATCCAGTACAAATGTTGTTGATGGATGTACTGATTTGAGATTCTTTCTCTGCGACTTGACAGAATGAATCCCATTGTTGATGAACCTTGTCAGAGAGTATCTGGCATTGTTCTTTGATTGATTTGGTCAAATCAAATACAGTTGTTGGATGTTTCTCTTGATATTTGATTTTGAATTTTTCACAACTCCTTGCAATGTGTGCAATGTATTCCAATGTTGTTTGACTGTTGACTTTATGTTCCACAAGTGTATTGATTTTAAATACCAACACATACCATTTATATATTCTTGTCTTTAATCGATATCTTTTAAAAAGAAAATGAGTCAATGATTTGAGACCGACCCAGAGAGGTGATCTAATCCAACCATTATCTGGACCAGAACCAATAATTTCAGGTCTAATTGATTTATAAATGATTGGAGTTGAATAATTGGTTGTTGAATCATTGTATTCACATCCAGGAATAGATGGAATTAACCAATTGAGAATGGTGTTTGGTGATGGTATCACACTATCTTCACGACGAACGATTGACATGATTGGTGGTTGATCCAGTATCTCTTAGTGCAACTAGATACTCTAAGAATACTGGATCTAACAGTTGATTGACATCTTGAATGTTGAATGAACAAATGGGTGTTGCAATTTGTAGTTTTGATGTTTGAGCATTAAATGTATCAAGTGTTGGATAGATTTGAATTAAATCTAATATAATATTATTATTATTATTATTATTATTATTATTATTTATGTTGTTGACAGTTGGAGGTCTATGATGATAACCAAAATACAATTTGATTTCTTAAAGTAGGTGATTAAATGTATATTATTATTAATATTATTATTATTATTATCTTTTGAATCAAAAAATGATTGTGTGATTCTTTCAGTTAGTTGGACTATGTTTGGTGGTTGTTTAATATCATCACTGAATTGATTTAAAGCAGATGATACTATTACTCCCTTTTCTCTATAAACTTTACAACTGCTGACATGTTTAATGAACGAATGAAATAGAGTACTTTCTGCTTCATCTTGTTCCTGCTGATCAAATACATTAGGCAATCTTGTTGGCATAAATAGATGACTCAACATTGAATCATCTTGATTATTATCTTCCTCTGTTGGTGGCTCCATCTCTATTGATACTCTTCACCCAATACTAGTTGTTAATCTGAGTAAAGATAAGAGATAGAGATAGATAGATTGATAGATAGATAGATAGATAGAGTACCCTTTGAAGGGAAGAAATGCAGAGCAATGATCTTCACGAATTTAATTTTTTTTAATTTTAGTTTTTTTTTCGAAGTGAAGATCTCCAACAACAAATAAAATCTTTGATAGTATTATTTTTTGTATTTCGATAATTAGTTGTGCATAAATAATGATAATCATTTAACCTCTCCTATCAATCCTCTTTCACTTTAATTATGTACTACTATTATATATCACTTTTTATTCATCGATCAATGTATTGATCGACATTTTCAGCATAGGCTTTGATATAAATGATTTATAAACATATATTTCACCTGCTCATTGTTTATTTTCCTTTATATGTCATTCTACCAGTGGAAAAACAGAAGAGTTGAACTCATTTGAAATGAAAACAAACCAAACTCACAGTTTTCTTTCATTGATTGCATAATAACTATTTAACTATTCAAGGATCAAACCAACAATTACAAAATGTAGGTTTCAACGATGATTTAAAAAGAAACATTAATGTAGATATCAATCGATTATTTATTAATACAAATCTATCTTTTTATAAAATTTTTAGGCCTAAAAAGCACGATACCAGATGGATGAGGATGATAAATCATGTGTTGTTCTTATTTCATCAATCTTTGGTGGACCGTCATTCTGGTGCTGGCAATGGATTGGATGATGGTTTGGTGAAGACATTTTTTTCCTTCACAAATATTTAATGTAATCACCCGAATCACATTTCTACAAGATCATACATCAGATGGTTGATTCATATTTGCTATGATTTATCAAATCGTGGTATCCAATTTCGGCAATGCAACTCTTGTTGGTATAACTCACCAGAAGCTATCAGGGTATATTGGATATACCAAAAATCCACTCAAGAGGATGATTCAACAGCTGCAATAATATTGGAAGTATTGCTTGTGGATGACAATCACTCTTTTGCTTGGAGTAGGGTGTTCAATCATCGCCTCTTTATGCATTTTGTAGATGCACACAGAGTCGTAAAGTTTGGTCCGGTTATTCTTTTACCATCTATAACAATTACCTGTCCTGATTCAACGTAGTACATCTAATCGTTCATATGATAGTAAAAGAATAATCGAACCAAACTATCCACAGAGTTGTCCATTAAAGAGTCAAGGTTAATAAATAATCATTTAATTAATTTGTATATATGCTATATTTATTTATTATTTATAATTTTTTCAATGTGACTATATCCAATTGAATAAATTCTTTGGAGTTGAAAATTCTTTTCAAGTAGATCGATTGGACATTTTTTAAATCTTCTTGTTTTGATGATTGAGAGTAGTTGGTTGGATAGAGTATCATCTATCGAGAGTTTGTCGATATGACTTGGTTTGACACCTTCTAATACAAAACCAAATTGATCAATAAAATCATTGTTGATTAGTTTTGACATGATTGTTTTTGATTCACATCTAAAGATCCCAAGGAATTGATAAATCTCTGGTAGATGATCAAAGTATTTTGATCCATTCAATACATTGATTTGATTTAATAATGGATGGGTTGATTGATAATTAAAAGTTGATGGTAACAATGTAGATGCCTTGTTGAAATACTCTCTTTGGTTTGGACGATCTCTTTGGATTGTTTGATGGAGCGATGCAACAATGATTACCTTTTGACAAACTAGTTGATCAAACATGTGGATTAAATGATTTGCTTCTTTCATTGAAACTAGAATCATGTTTGGTGTATCAGCATTCCAAACAACCAAAATATAATTCATCGATATTTTTGATGGTGTTGTATTGATTGATAATAGTCTTGGTAAAGTTTTGAGTTGCCCATAGTGTTGATGAGAAACAATCCTGTTGAATCTCTAGGCATTTCCAAACCAATGTATCTTTGAATATTTCTTTGATTGGTTGGAATATTGATGGACAGTTTTGTATGCATGTCGACCCAATGAGGATGTCTCTCCAACCCTCGTAAATAATTTCTTTGTAAGGGGTTACTTGTGGAGGTAATTGACGTTGGATTTCTACTTCAGCTTCTATGTCAAACTCTCTCTCTTGTTCTTCTTCAACCATATTGGAATAAATGATTTGATCTTTCATTTTGTCCTTTGCATAGTGGCCAATCAAGTTTGCTTGTTTGGAATGTTGTGGGTCTAGTGCGACCACTATACTTTCATCTCCAACATCTTTGTTAAATGTTTTCTCCAATTTAGATACCATTGATGAAACAACTACATCACCTTTTTCTTTTCGGTACAATGAAGAATACATATCGAATAATGAGAGAGTTTCTGGGAACGATACTAATTTTGAAAATATGGATGTTTTGTTCTTGGCATCATCTATACCCAAAAGTGAAATCTATCCAAGGAATGATGAATGCAAGAACAAATGAATTTGTGACTGATTCAATCGTATTTTGAATTGTCCATTTTAATATATCTTGAATCTCTGGTGATTTGTAAAGTGGTTCAAGTTCACCTCTATCATTCTTTAATTCGATTCCAAGATTCTTTGAAATGAGAATTGAAATAGTTTGACCTTGTCCCAACTTTCTCATTCTCATACATGCTTGAAGTAGTTTCTCTTTTGTTATCTTGTTTCCAACTGTTACGATTGCATTACTGTTGATTGGAAGTTTAATATCAACACCACGAGTATGATAATCATCCAAATAAACTAAAACTCTATCTAATCTATCAGAGAGTGGTGATTGGCTAAAAAGGAATTTTTTTCCTTCTCTATCGATGGTTGTCAATTTATCATTTTCAAAAAATAGAGCTCCATCTATTCTTGTTGTTGATTCCAATTCCAACCATCTCTTGACAACATCTTCATTGGTTTTACCAATCATCAATGCTCCTGCATCAATAAGTATGTTGAAATAGTGTCGACTTTGATTGTTGTTTAGTTTAACAATTTCTCCAGAATATTCTTATCATCAACAATATGAACCTTGTTTGATTGGTCATTTTGATCAAGAATATAATTCAATACTTGAACATTGGTATATTTGAGTCGATCCAAATCATTTTGTTGAATAGTAAGGGGATAGAGACATTTAGTATCATTGGTACCACTGAATCCACACGAAATATTATTCTTGGAGTTTGATTTTGGATAAACCAAATCCCATGGGTTGGCAAATAATTTGGATGGGAACTGTTTTGTTTCATATGGGAATACCAATTCGTTCAACCAGAAATTGATGACTCTACAATTGAATTTGAATAATGAATAGAGATGTTTGATCAATTGATTATCAGATTTGACAACACATTTGAAAAATCTCTATATTTCTCTTCAATTGATTGATCATAATCTGTCCATGATCTGTAGATATCTGATGCATCATGTTTGTTACTTGATATGATACAATCCAATGTTTTTTGGAATTGATTAAATGTCAGTCCTTGATTGTAATATGAAAGGTAGGTGAGGATGATTACAAAATCAGGATGACCATACTCTGCCCTTTCAGAGGGTGTATCTTTGGCTCTGTATGGGACCGCCAATAATGTAGAGTCCCGTTTGAATGATGATGATTCTTTTGATCTGATACCATAATGTTTTGACCATGTTTTTGATAGTGAATGTAACAAAGCTTCATATGAAAATAATCCTCTATAGACCAATATTCTTGTTTGATGTTTATCAAGTTTTTCAACCAATGATAGTGCATTCTTATGTTCTTGGGCCATTATGTCTTCATCTGATCCAACACACACAACCCCAACAAATTGTTTGATAAGGTCAAGATTCTTTTCATTGGTGTTGAATGGTAGTTTGTTGATTAATCTATCTAGCAAATCAACCAATATTTCTTTCATTGTATCATGATTGTTTTCATTCTCTGATGCCAATCTTCTAAAAAGGAATGGATCTTGGTCATCGTTGTAATGATGTTGAAGAATTGATTTTAATTCAGATAGAACCTCTTCAATAACTGATAAGAATTCGTCGTGTTACACTTTTCAATGTTGCCGAGAATAGATCGAACATGTGATACTGATATTGATGGTCCAATATCTCTTTTGAATGGATAGAGATGGATTGGTCGATTGAGAATTGATGATCCAAGTCTCATTTGTAAATCTTGAATATAAGTTTGAAGTAGTGATGGAATTGCATTGACTCGGGCAATTCTATTTCCATTGGATATTGCCAAACACATGATTGGTAGAATAACAGATGTCTTTCCTTCACCCATCTGTAGTTGAACACATTCATTACTTTGAGCATTGATCAACTTTTCAGCAATCTCTGCTTGAGTATCTCTGATCCATATTGATTGTTCCAATTCAAATACCAACCATGTTGGATAATCTTTTGGTAACCATTGTCTAGTCTCTCTACTTTGTGATAATTCTTTTACCAAATCAACACCTTTAAGGACTTTACATTTCTGAATCTTTTGTTTGTAACCTTGCAAAAGAATGTGAACACCAATGAGTTGATAAATTTGATCTGGTAAATCTATCAAATAATTTGAGAAATCTTCATAAACAGTCAATGGTACACATCCAATCCAAGAATGACAACTTTTAAATATACAATCTGTTAGATCTAGATTGTTTAAAATCAATGATATCTCAATGATATTTCATTGATATCTCATTGAACTCAATATACTCAATCCTGGTTAGGACAAGTCAAATATGTAAAGTATTTTGGATAAAATACTAACGACTAACCATCGTCAGTTAGTCGTCTGGATCAACAACTATAAAAAGGATTAGAATAATCCAATAAAGACATTCTACAATTCTACATTCTATTCTATATTCTATATTATATATTCTATATTCATCTTTTATTACTATAAATAATAATCATTACAATCTAATCTAAAATCAATATTACTATCTATATATTCATATATCTATATATTATTATATACCTCTCAAACTAATTATATATTTACCAAGTATCTATATAGTTATTACACAATCCAATTCTTGTTGAGATTGATCTGTTCTTTTTGGATTTTTGTAAAACTGTTGAATTATTTTCCAAACCAAATCTATTTTCTGTTGAATAATGACTGATAACTTTTCAAGGTCACGACCCAATGTTTGAGAATTAAAGATACCAAATTTTAGTTGGATATATAGATGATTCTTTAACGAATCTTTACTGATATTTAAATCATCAAATAATTCTTCTTCCAAATTAGTTTTATGGTATATTCCATAGATAAAATCATCCATCTTATCAAATGATATCTTTTCTGACTTGGTACCTGTAAAACCCAATGTTGACCAGATTGATTCCAATTGTTTATCAAAACCAACGTGCCAAATCATTTGATACTCTTGAGGTAAATTCTTGTCAAATAGAATTTTACCTTGTAATTGATTCTATTAAATAGTTTTTTGGACCGTTCACTTTGAAGATGTTTGAAAGTCGGATAACTATTAAAATACAATAGTGCTGGTAATCGAGTGTACCATATATTTTTTGTACAAGCTTGTATTGATTCTAAAAATAATTTCAATCGTCTATTGTTGTACCAATGAATGATTTTTCCTTTAACGGTTTCATTAAACGATGCTTGGTTATATTGTAAATATGGGTTAGAGATTGGTGTATATGAGGTGTGTGTTGGAGCAATGATTTCTGCACCGACCATCTCCCAAATATTTTGGGTAAAGATCCGATTGAGAATATCGGCTTTTGCTTGTGTAATTTCTCGCTTTTTCTTTTCCCTTTCTTTTTCAGTATAGCCGATAAAGTAATGAGGGCTTGGTACTGAATTATTGACCAAAGTCTCTAATAGTTATTTGTCAAATGTAGTGTTAGGGTCAGTATAACTTTTTTCACAAGGAAAGGTTGGAATGCCTCTGAATGGCGAGGATATTCCAATGAGCACGAGATGATCGAGTAATGGTGCCAATGAATCGGACCAATGGTATGAAATCAATGAAATGATGAACTTGAATCTTGAAAGGAGTATAATCACCACTTGCAGTTTCCATTGCTATTTTTAATAACTTTAGATACCAAGTGGCAAACGCATCAGCTAGTCCTTGATTAGAACGAATCTGATAGGTGTGGATGAGATTAGGTGTTTCTTGAAACTCTGGAACACAGTTTTTGCGGTCAGTAAAGTCTAATCCATGAATAGTTGATGTACCAATCATTGAATAGGGATTGAATGAATTATCTAAATATTTAATATTCTTGGATTCAATGATTGATGCCATTCTTTGAACATTTTTGGTGTTTTGTCCAAATGCTGGTGGTTCAATGACGATAAATGATCCTGATGTGTCAATTGGTCCATCAATTTGACAAAGAGGTGAATATATTCTTTTGTATCTATTCCAGGCAATACGATTGAGTGTTGAAGTTAGTGGTGTTGCTTTTTGATTGGAAATCCACAATATTGACATTTCAGCATGTGATTGTTTAATCATATCAACCAAAATAACAAATCCATCATAATGTGATATCATTGGTGCGAGAAGTGGAAATGATATTGTTATTTGTTGGATGTGGTTGGATTGAGTTCTTTTTGGTGATATGTTGGATATCGCAGATAAAATATTGAGTTGTGATTGGTTGAGTGGCATATTGTTATTGAATTTCTTTAAAAGTATAACTCCAAGTTCCATTCCTCTCAATCCAGTAAATGGATCTCTAAACAATGATGATGTTACAATATGAGAGTAACAAAGATGGAGATGTGCTGTCAAATCTGATGATTTGATCATTTTGAGTTCCCTGTCAATATCATAAATAAAATATGATGGATGGTTGAGAGAGGTTGTACTTGATTTGGAATTATTAAATCCTTCACAATCATTCTTTTCCAATGTGATTTTTGAATGAGGAAGAATAACCTTCTTATTTGTTTTTATTGAATCAATTATTTATTACCTAGAATATTTTTGAGGAACAATCAAAAAATTTATATAACAATAAATGAGTTAATCATGTACATTTGATCATTGTACATGATTAACTCACACTCAACTTATTAAATTTATTAGTATGGATTTTTTTCTCACTCAACTTATTTAATTATTTATTATTTATAATTTTTTCAATATGACTAAATCCAACATAGTAAATTCTTTGGAGAACCAAATTCTTTTCAAGTAGATCAATGGGACATTTTGTAAATCTTCTAGTTTTGATGATTGATAATAGTTGATTTGATAGATCTTTATCCACTGTGAGTTGGTTGATATCATTTTGGTTGACATGTTCATACACAAAACCAAATTGATCGATGATTCCTTTGTTGATGAGTTGTGACATGATTGTTTTTGAATCACATCTAAAGATCCCAAGGAATTGATAAATCTCTGGTAGATTATCAAAGTATTTTGATCCATTCAATACATTGAGTTGATTTAATAATGGATCGATTGATTGTAGATTGGCATTGTTGGGTAATCGAGTAGATAGTTTGGTAAAGTATTCTGTCTGTTTTTCCCTTTCTTTCTGAATGGTTTGATGGATTGATACAACAACTTCCTTATCTTTATCAATCAATCCTTTTAGCTTTTTGAGTAAATGGTTTGCTTCTTTCATTGATACTAATACCATGTTTGGTGTACTCCTACTACTATCACTGCCATTCCAAAACACCAAAATATAATTGATTTGTTTGACAAAATAATCGTTGTTGCCAATTTTCGTTTTTTCATCATCAATAATAGTATTGATAAAGTTTTGGGTTGCCAATATGGATGGAGAAAAACAATCATTTTGAGATTCCATACGTTCCCCAACCAATGTATTCTTGAATATATCTTTGATTGGTAGGAATTTTAAAGGAAAATCAAGAGGTGATTTTTTACCTTCCAATAAATCACTCCATTTGTAACCTTTGAAATCTTCTATAAATGGTTCAACTTTTGGTGGTAATTGTCTTTCAATTTCACTTTCAACTTCTATTTCAAATTCTCGCTCTTGTTCTTCATCGACCATGTTTGAAAATATCATTTGATCTTCTATCTTGTCTTCAGCATATCGACGTATTTCTTTTACAAGTGATGAATGAGTTGGACCAAGAGCTTTGTAAACTTTAGAATCTGCAACATCTTGTTTAAATGCTTTTTCCAAATTACTTTGCAAAGAGGAAACAACAGCGTTACCCTTTTCTTGTTGATAAAATGAAGAATACATATCGTAAAGAGAGAGGGTTTCTGGAAATGATACCAATCTTGAGAATATAGATTCTTTGTTTTCGATATTATCCAGAGCCAAAAGTGAAATAGCAGATTTACTTCTTGCATTCATCATTCCTTGGAATGTCCATTGAACAAAAGAGTTTGTGATCGATTCAATTGTATTTTGAATAGTCCATTTCAAAATGTCGTGAATCTCTGGTGATTTGTAAAGTGATCCACCTTTTCCATTTCCTAATTCAATTCCAAGATTCTTTGAAATGAGAATTGAAATAGTTTGACCTTGTCCCAACTTTCTCATTCTCATACATGCTTGAAGTAGTTTTTCTTTTGTTATCTTGTTTCCAACTGTTAACATGCCATTGCTATTGACAGGAAGGTTGATATCAACACCACGAGTATGATAATCATCCAAATAGACTAAAACTCTATCCAATCTGTCAGAGAGTGGTGATTGACTGAATATAAACTTCTTTCCTTCTCGATCGATGGTTGTCAGTTTATCATTTTCAAAAAAGAGAGCACCATCTATTCTTGCTGATGATTCCTTTTTCAACCATTTCTTGGCAACATCTTCATTTGATTTACCAATCATCAGTGCTCCTGAATCAATTAAAATGTTGAAATAGTGTCCATTTTGATTGTTTATATTTAGTTTAACAATCTCTTGAAGTATTTTCTTATCATCAACAAGAATATGAACCTTGTTGCAATGGTCATCTTGATCAAGAATATAATTCAATACTTGAACATTGGTATATTCGAGCTCAACCAAATCCTTTTGTTCAATGGTACGAGGGTAAAGAGATTTCGTATCATTGGTTCCACTGAATCCACATGAAATATGATTCTTGGAGTTTGATTTTGGATAAACCAAATCCCATGGGTTGGCAAATAATTTGGATGGATACTGTTTGGCTTCATATGGGAATACCAATTCATTCAACCAGAAATTGATGACTCTACAATTGAATTTGAATAGTGAATGGAGATGTTTGATCAATTGATTATCAGATTTGACAACACATTTGAAATCTCTATATTTTTCTTCGATTGTTGGGTCATAGTCTGTCCATGATCTGTAGATATCTGGTGCTTCGTTTTTATGACTTGATTTTAAACAATCCAGTGCTTTACTGAATTGATTAAACGATAAACCTTGATTGTAATATGAGAGAAAGGTGAGTATAATTGCAAAGTCTGGATGACCATATTCAGCTCTCTCAGAGGGTGTATCTTTGGCTCTGAATGGGACTGCCAATAATGTAGAGTCCCGTTTGAATGATGATGATGCTGTTGATCTAATACCATAATGTTTTGACCATGTTTTCGAGAGTGAATGTAACAAAACTTCATATGAAAATAATCCTCTATAAACCAATATTCTTGTTTGATGTTTATCAAGTTTTTCAACCATTGATCGAGCATTTCGATGATTTCTTATTGGTGTATCTTCATCTGATCCAACAAATTGTTTAACCAATTCAAGGTCCTCTGCTTTTAGATTGGTTGGTAGTTTGTTGATTAAATTGTCACAAAGTTGACCCAACACTTCTTTCATTGCATCTTGATTATTTTCATTTTTCTTTGTGAACCTTATAAATGGATATTTTTCGTAAATGCCATATTCTTTTTCAAGAATCGATTTCAGTTCAGATAGAACCTCTTCAATTACTTTCCAACGATCAGATCCACCATCGAGTGGAATCTTTGATCCGATTGGATAGAGTAATTGGTATCTATGGGAAAGTAAATCATCACATTCATCCATAATATCAAATATATTGGTATCCCACCATTTGATAACATTACCCATACTATCAAATAATTTATCATTTGCCAATCTCCAAAACAAATTAAATGATAGTCTATGTTCTGGTGTACAAAGTATGATTCCATTCATTTGTTTACACTTTTCAATGTTGCCGAGAATAGATTGAACATTTGATTCTGATATTGATGGTCCAATATCTCTTTTGAATGGATAGAGATGAATTGGTCGATTGAGAATTGATGATCCAAGTCTCATTTGTAAATCTTGAATATAAGTTTGAAGTAGTGATGGAATTGCATTGACTCGAGCAATTCTAATTCCATTGGGTATTGCCAAACACATGATTGGTAGAATAACAGATGTCTTTCCTTCACCCATCTGTAGTTGAACACATTCATTACTTTGAGCATCGATCAACTTGATTGCAATCTTTGCCTGAGTATCTCTGATCCAAATTGATTGTTCCAATTCAAATACCAACCATGTTGGATAATCTTTTGGTAACCATTGTCTTGTTTTTCTACAATGTGATAATTCTTTAACCAAATCAACACCTTTAAGGTATTTACATTTCTGAATCTTTTGTTTATATGTTTGCAAAAGAATATGGACGCCAATGAGTTGATAAATTTGATCTGGTAAATCAACCAAATGATTTGAGAAATCTTCATAAACAGTCAATGGAACACAACCAATCCAAGAATGACAACTTTTAAATATACAATCCAATTCAGATTCTACATTTTCATTTCTTTTTGGATTATTGTAATATTCTTGGATTATTTGCCATACTGCCTCCAATTTTTGTTCAATAATGAGAGACAGTTCTTCCAATACATCTCCGAGTGACTGAGAGTGGTTCATTTCAAATTTTGATTGGATTAAATGTTTCTTGAGTGAATCCTTACTTGAATTTAAATTTTTAAATAATTCCTCTTCCAAATGTGTTTCATGCGATAATCCACCTACAAAATGATCAATCTTTTCAAATGATATATTTCGACGTTTGTTATTTTCGATTGTGAGAGTTGATAGGATTGATTCCAACTGTTGGTCAAAGCCTGACTCCCAGATATCTAGGTATTCCATTGGAATACTATCTATTATTTTGTTTTCTTGGGCCCCACGAATTTCTTTTGGATGTTTTTCCTTGAACTTTGGGAAACTATTGAAATAGGACGGCTCTCTTTCTATTTCTCTCTTATAAACGATGCCCTTTGTTTCATTGCCGACAGCTTTTAAAAATGCATTCAATAATGAGTTACTGAGCCATTGATGGATAATTTGCTCCATTTTTTCGTTTAACGATCTGAGATTCAACGATGTGTGATTTAAATGTCGAAATGGTCGGTTTGGAGCAATGATCGTCGATCCATTTTTATCCCAAATGTTTTGTTCGAGGATATTTTTCAAAACAGATTCCTTTTCTTTTTTTCTATCTTCTTTTGACATTCTAATGGACTGCATTGCCTTGGTTCTTGTTCTCTCGAGTAATCCTTGGTTAAAGGTTGTTTGGGGAGTGACAAAACTGGATTCTTGTGGAAAACGAGGAATATTTGATAATGGTTTGCTAATTGCAATCAGTACAAAATGATCGATAAATGGCGTGAAAGAGCGACCCGACCATTGGTGAGAAAACAATGTGATGATGAATTTAAATCTTGAAATGTTAAAATGACCATTTGCAGTTTCCATTGCTATTTTTAGCAACTTTAGATACCAGTCTGAGAATACCCGATCGAACTTGTGATTTCTGTCCATTAATTTGATAGAGATGAGATGGTTTGTTTCTTGTAACTCTGGAACACAATGGTTCTCGGTAAAGACTAATCCATGAATAGTTGATGAACCAATCTTTGAGTGAGGGCTAAATGAATTGTCCAAATGCGCAATATTCTTTGATTGGATGATTGATGCCATTCTTTGAACATTTTTGGTGGGTTGATCAAATGGGGATGGATTAATGACAACAACAGAAGAATATGGCTCCGAAGCACCTATATGACAAAGTGGGGAATAAAGTCCTTGGGGTCTGCTCCAAGCGATATGGTTGAGGGCCAAGGCAGTCTGACTTGCCGACTTGTCCTTTTCTTGGGTACTATCATATAAAAATGACATTTCTTGATGTGATTTCTTGATTCCATCAACCAAAATAGCAAATCCGTCACAATGAGATATCATTGGTGATAAAAGTGGGTATGATATTGATATTTTTTGTTGTTGTTGATTATCATATACTCTTTTTGGTGAAATGTTTGATATATTCGATAGTATATCAAGTTGTGATCGGTTGAGTGGCATATTATTATTAAATTTCTTTAAAAGAATAATAGCAAGTTCCATTCCTCGCAATCCAGTTAATGGATCTCTAAACAATGATGATGTTACAATATGAGAGTAACAAAGATGGAGATGTGCTGTCAAATCTGATGATTTGATCATTTTGAGTTCTTGATCAATATCATAAATAAAATATGATGGATGGTTGAGAGAGGTTATACTTGATTTAGCATTATTGAATCCAATACAATCCTTATTCACCTTCAATGTAATTGTTGAATGTGGAAGAATTAACTTCTTTGTTCCACTTGCATTATTTTGTTCCAAAACCAATATTGTTTTCAAACCAACCAAAGTTCCAATATATTGTTGTTCACACAGTCGGTAACCAGAATATTGAACTGAATTGATTTGTTGATTCTGACAATCAACTATAAAATCCAATCCATATTGATTCAAATGGATTTTATAAAGTTTTGATGCTTCATTTTGAAAAATATGGATGCGAGTACTTGATTCTAATCGGAATAATTTGAATATTTGACTTCTTAGCTTTTGATTATTTTTTTTATCAAAACATAAAAGAGATTTGCCAGTTGATTTACATTTGATTTGACCATTTGGAGTTCCAATAAACTTGACAGTGTCTGATCCTCCTCCATCTTTGTATTGTTGAAATGTTGGTGGTCTAAACTCTATTTCATTGGTTGCCAGATTTATCCAATGTGAATAGGATCGATACAAAGTCATAGGCAAATTGGAAAACAGATGAGGGTCAAGTAAAAGCCATCTCTCACCGTTGTTTCTATTTTGGATGACACCAAAGACAGATGAAACAAAAGAAAATTCAATATTATATCCTCCGCCCAATTCATTTGTTGTCCTACAAAATATACAATGTTAATAGAATTGGTACAAATATCTAAAATGAATCAGACATACCAAATAGAATTTCCAGTTGGTTTGACTTGAAATATTGAACATCCAAAATAGGATTTATAAAGTGCATTGTCTATAATTTCCTTTGGTAATCTTTTATCAAATGTTCCATTGAATAATAATGTTCCATCAAATATATTAAATTGAATTGTTTGATTGGCAATCTGGAATTCTAGAAAAAGGAAGAAAAAAAGGTTAGTATTAAGTTTCTATAGTGATCTTGACCATTTCTAATATTATTGTTACATACGATAATAAAGATTTGATGATCCTTTTTCCCATTTGAAATCATTTTCTTCTTGGTCATTTCTAATAATATTATTTAAACATTTGAAATGTTTTCCATCTTTGAAATGATCGACAATGAATGGTATTTGACGATAAATAATCAATGATAGTTGATTAAATATTATATCCAAAAATGGTTGTTCTGGACATGATGATCCCAATGTTCTTGTTTTATCATTTAAAGATGTTGTATTCTCATCCAAAATAATCAATGATTTGAAATAATATTCAATGTGTTGGAAATAGTTGGTTTGTTGAATAATATATTGTTTGTTATTATTGTCAATGTTGAATGTCATAATGATTGCAATAGCTGTATAAACCATTCTCTTTCTAAGGATTGCTGTTTCAGTATCACTTCCATTTAATAATTCGTGTTGAATGAGTTCTTCCAACTTGGTGATCCAATTCCAAAGTACCAATCTACATTTCTCCAACACTTTAATAATCATTTTGCTGGTTTCATCCAATTGTTCTTTTTGATTTGGTGGTTTGTTATCTCTGGTGTTGAATGCAATTGTTAAAAAATGAACCGTTACAATCATTGAAATACCACCTTCCCAATTGGTTGCTCCTTCACTAACGATCGTGTCCGCCGTATGACATAATGTTTGAAGAACATTATCATCATTCCAACCAATTCTATTTGTCGCGCCACCTTGCATTGACAATTGATAAAACATCACCAATACATGAATTCCATTGAGATTGTTTCTCTCCTCCATGAATCTAATCATATTTCTAATCGATAAACTTGGACCAACCCTTAACATTCCATATCTAATATATTGATCGGGAAGCATTCCCTTTGGTGTCATGTTTTGAGTTGAAAGTACTTCATTTTCCTCGATCCCTTGGGTCGATTGAATCATCCAATTAAGTTGACTAAATTTAACCTTTTCTGGAATGGAAAGGCAAAGATTGGGTTGAAACTTGTTTCTGGTAATATCCATCATCTCACGTCCTCTTTCCTTGTATCCGTAACAAGTGATCGATGTTTGATAGCAATGAATGAATGATGATTCAGGCTTTTCAAAGATATTGAGACTTTGTGGCAAACGAGACTCTACAATGATAAATGCGACGGTGCTATGGATAGGTGATACATTCAATACTTGGCTCCTTGCAGCACCTCTTTCAACATATAGGTTCAGAGAAAGCAAGGCAAACGAGTTTCTAACATAAGAAAGGTAGAATGGGATGTTGACTTCAAAGATGTGTTTGAATTGAATGTGTTTGTCCTCTGCAGGTATTGATTCGAAATAAATTGGCAGCGTTGACTTGTAGCACGCATCAATGGCATTGTTGATCCTTCTTTGGTTTACAAGGTCATCCTTGTACAAAAGCAACTCGGATTGGTAACTTTTGATTTTATCGAGCATTGAATGTTTGTAGTCTTGGTACTCTTTGATTTTTTCCTCTTTCTTTTTCTCGATATCTTTTAATTCTTTTTTTAATTTGTCTTGAAGGAATTGTTCAGCCCATTGTTCTCCAAAGCCATTGTCATCAATACTAAAAATTGAATTATCAATTGATGCTTTACTACATTGACGTTTATCTTTGAAATAGGTTTCCAATGATTTAACAATTGAAAACTCCCAACTATGTTGAAGTAATAGACTAGAGAATATTGATATATTGACATATGGTGGGACTGAAGAGTATAAATTGGATCTGGGTGTAGAGTTTCTACTTTCTTTATTGTCAAGTAAAAGACAATAATCCAAAGTCAATCTATCTAAAATAGCAACCAAAGTGTATGATGTCAAGATATAACGACTGCAAAGAATAGCATCCTTTTCATATCTTGGTTTTGACAACTTGATATACTTGTTCATTAGATTGTAAAGCAATGAGAATACATCTTGACATTTTTGTTGGTCGTGTGACAGTGCATGTGTGAATATTTGGGTGCTCCAAATGTTGAAAATATGAAATTCAATGATATTTAATATGATGACCAACGATACATTATCAGTTTCTAGTGGCACCGCACTGATACGTCCAACTATTGTTTGCAAAATGACGGGAAATGATTCTTGGGCATCTCGTTTGGCGAGTTGATAGAGTTGATTAAAAGGCCTTTTCAAATAGTTGATTAAAGTATTGGATGCTGAATCTGTCAATGTATTTACACCTTTGACATCTAGATTCATTTCATCTGCTTTGAGATTTTTGGGAAATGATTGAATATTTTGTTGAAGACTTTTATGAACCAAGTTTGATTGATCCTTTCCATATTCTTTCAATCCTTTGCAAATATTGTTGATTGGTGTACTGATTTGGCCTTTATCCTCAATGACTTGACAGAATGCATCCCATTGTTGATGAACCTCGGTTGAGAGTGTCTCACATTGTTCTTTGATTGATTTGATAAAATCAAATACAGTTGTTGGATGTTTCTTTTGATATTTGGATTTAAATTTGTCACAACTTCTTGCCAAATGTGCAATGTATTCGAGAGTGGTTTGAGCGTTGACTTTATACTTGGCCAATGTATCCATTTTAAATGATAATAATGCCATTTTATAGTCTCTTGTCTTTAATCCATATCTTTTGGCAAGAAAATGGGTCAATGATTTGAGACCAACCCAAAGTGGTGATCTAATCCAAACAAGATTGTCTCCAATATTTAATATTTCAGGTCTAATTGATTTATAAATGATTGGAGTTGAATATTTGGTTGTTGAATCATTGTAAGAACAACCGGGGATCGATGGTATTAACCAATTTAGGATTGTGTTTGGAACTGGGATCAAACTAGGTTGATTTTTAACATATGACATGATTGGTGGTTGATCAGTATCTCTTAGTGCAACTAGATACTCTAGGAATACTGGATCTAACAGTTGATTGACATCTTGAATGTTGAATGAACAAATAGGTGTTGCCATTTTAATTTTTGATGTTTGAGCATTAAATGTATCAAGTGTTGGATATATTTGAATTAAATCTAATATAATATTATTATTACTATTATTATTATTTCTATTATTATTATCATTGATAGTTGGAGGTCTATGAATAACTAAAATACAATTTGATTTCTTGAAATAGGTTATTAAAGGTACATTATTTAATTTACCATTATTATTATTATTATTATTATTATTTCTATTTTCATCAATAAATGATTGTGTTATTCTGTTTGATAGTTGATTGATATTTGGTGGTTGTTTAATATCATCACTAAATTGTTTTAATGCTAATGATACTATTCCTTCTTCATCCCAATGGTTGATATCTTGAATAAATGAATGAAATATGGTCATCTCTGCTTTGGGGTTGATAGAGTCTGGTAATCTCATCGGCATGAATAGATGAGACAATACTTGATCATCTAGAGTATGTTGTGGTTCCATTTCTAAACTGAATCTAAAAAGTAGATAATGATTGAATTTGTTAGTTTAGATTGATTACTAGTCGACCTTAAATGTCAAATAATACATACCTTTAATATATATTTACAATATTATCATTATCATCATTGATGACTATGAATATGATGATAATGATGAATGAACAAACCAACCGTGCAGATGATCAAGGAAGGAGAGGAGACCCACCACCTCGCTAGGTATGAAACAAACATTTTATTATTTTATTATTATATTAATATATTAGCAGATAGCAGTAAGAATATATAATAAAATAAATCTCTTTTTTAAATTATATAGCTTCTTTAATTTTTGTGACAAGTGATGTGTCTTTGTTCTTTTTTTGGAAGTTCATGTCTGACGAAGTTCGACCAGCGCAAAAATAAAAAAATTAAAAAAAATTGAATAAAAATTCATCCCTACAACCATCAGATATCTTTACAAAGCTTTATTATCGTTTAATTGTAAAATACACAAACAATAGAAGAAGAAGAATAAGAACGATTTACTCATCATCAGGACAGACAGAGATATATATTTGATTGTACAAAAGAAGGGATCATATAATTAGATAATTACTGAGTACTACATCCCTCAATCAATTAATCAATTAATCAATTAATTAATTGATTCATTACAAATAGTATATGAATGAAGAAAGTAGTTATAACGGATCAACATCAGCAACAACAACAACAACATCATCATGATGAGTTGACACCGATGTCGTCATCATTGTCACCAACTACAAGTGCAGGTATATTAAAGAGTATGTATAATATCAATATAAAGGGTACAATAATAATAATAATAATAATAATAATAATAATAATAATAATAATAATAATAATAATAATAATAATAATAATAATAATAATAATAATAATATTAATAATAATAATTTGGTTCATTATATTAATTATCAACAAATGAATAGAATCTAAATCAATGAATTATGAATTAAGTCATGGTGACCAACAACAACAACAACAACAACTACAGCAACAACATTTAGGTACTTCTCCAACATCATCTTATCAAAGAGTATGTTATTATTAGGATAGAAATATTATTATTTATTTTATTCTAATTCTAATTTAAATTGTAGACTGTAGATCATTCATCACCATATTCAAGAATTATACCAATTACAGATAGTATAAGTGAAGAGTGTTTGGATCAGATAACGTCACTTCAACCAACCATTCTAATCAATAATCGAAGCAACAATGTATTGAGTAATAGTGGAGGAATCATGATATCGCCACCAATAGTATCTAATCGTAGAACTCATAAACGATCCAATTCACATGGACCACCATCACGACCAACTCAACCAATGTCTACATCAAACTATAACAATAATCATGGAGGAGGAATGTTAATGTCAAACTTCTCACCACCAAACAACAGTCTATTACATGGGTACCATTTGTCACCTCCAACATCTCATTTACTTCAACAACAACATACTGTTGGTGGAGGTAATGGTGGAGGAGGAGGAGGAGGAATACCATCCCCACCAAATGTACCTGGTAATAATAATAATATGAATAGATCACCTGGATTGACAAGTGTTAGATCATCATCTGCATCTAGAACTACATGGTCACCAAGTAGAGTAAAGACAAACAAACATGTACTCGATTCAATCAAATTATTGGGTGACTCTCCTCCAACTTCTCAACCCATACTATTGCCACCTCCATCCCCACAACAGTATCTATCACCACAACAACTATCTCAAAAGCAACAACGACATCGTCGTACCGTGTCATGGGACACACCAGATTCGATTGAAACATTGAATCAAATCATCAAAGAAAAGAAGGATGCATTATTATTGAGAGAAAGAGAGTTGATGGCTCAACAAAAAGCAATCAATGAGAATATACAAAGAAATAGTCATAGTAGTAGTAGTAGTGGTAGTCATCAAGATGGACATGTTTACTCTGCACCTTCATCACCACCCAATACCATGCCATCCATGTCTATCTTAAATGTATCTTCTTCTCAACAACTTACTTCATCTCCTTCTCTTGGTGGTTTACACCATCATCTTCATCATGGTTCTTCTTCTTCTTCATCCACTTCATCTACTTCATCATCTTCGTCGTCACCATCATCGATTAAACACAATCGATCCAAATCAGATACAAACACACTTGTTCAACAATTGTATATAAAGAAACAACAGGCAGCTGCTTATCAACAGCAACATCAACAACACCAACAACAACAATATTATCAACACAACTCGAGTCCACCCAATACTATTCCAGACTCGTCGTTTTATCCAATTAGCGGTGAACAGACCACTGCATCACCACCAAGTCAAGTGTTGGCAACACTACCACCTCTCCACTTGCCACCACAGGGTAGCGGTACTCTTAAAAGTCCAAAGATCATGTCACCTACTAGCTGTGAGGGTAGTGGAACGGGACCACGCAGTCCAAGAGGATCAACTGGATCGTCAACAGGAGGAGTAGGAGGAGGAGGAGATAGCAAGAGACAACACTCAATGTACAGTACGACCACTACCACCACAACCACTTCGACCACGTCGTCACCCATCCAGCTGCCAACTACCCCTGTCAGCACATATTCACGTCGTCGGTCGGTTGATCCAATGCTCTATGTCGGCGGTCTAAAGCCAATTAATCCAACTTCTGCAGGGTCTGGTGCAACGGGTGCACCTTCCAACAACAACAACAACAGAGGACCAAATTATTATAATTATAATTCTCCACTTGGTGTAAATAGCGCCAGTGGACATTACTATTATGCAAACAGCAGTAACACCAACAATAGATACTATCAACAACAACAACAACACCACCCACAACAATACCCACCACAATACTATCATCCTGCTCCACCTCAATCAAGTCCAAGACATTATGTCAATATTGATCTACATGAACTTGAAGAAGAAATTGATAAAGAGATTCAACACGCCATTGGTGATATTCTCCAAACTTCAACCATTCAAGACAAAGTTGATCTTTTAGAAAGAGTTAGATGTACTGCACCTGGACCACTCCGTATGTTGTTTGGTGATAGTTTTAGAGATCCAAAGGATCAAGCTATAGCCAACAACAATACCACCAATCCCTCCTCTGCCTCTGCCGTTGTTGTTAATAATAATAGTAATAGTACAGGTTCACCATTTATAGTACACTATCCCAACTCTTTTGCTGACCATTTACCAAATGAAGCAATGAAAACCACCTCTTCTCGATCAACAACACGCAACTCTGTGAAATTTACTCCTTCAACTTTTAATGGAACTAATATTGGACACTCTTCTCCATTTAATGTTTATCAACCAACAACAACTTCAACATCATCAACCAGTATTCCAAGTGGTGGAGGTGGTGGTGGTATTAGTAGCAGTGGCAGTAGTAGTAATAGTAGTAAAGGACCAGATAAAAGTAAAAGTAAAAATATTTCTTCATCACTTCGATCCTCTGCTTTTAGTCCTCCACCTTTTCCAACCACAAGACCCTAATCGTATACGATAGATAGATAGATTAACAAACAATGTAAATTTCCTTGTACTCTTCAACAACTCCCTCCCAACAAAACCCATTTTTCAATAAATTCTTTCCAAAATACGCAAAGGTGTTTGTGTATATAATTCCTTTCAAAATCTATTTCTATTAATATCTACAATTTATTATTGAAAAAAGAAATCTTTATAAAAAAAAAATAGGTGATTCCTTTTATAAATCCATAGGAGAGAAAAGAAACCCTTTGAATCTATCTCATTTATAGTTTTGTTTGAATAAAAACTATCTTGATTGCGGTGTGTTTTGTTTGTTTAATTAACGACAGTGATTTGTTGTTGATGTTGTTGGTTGATAAAAATAATCATCGTTGATTATAAATTAATATAATTATATTGTTCGTTCTAAAATTTGTAGTAGTTGTGTATAGGTTATATATATATATATAAATTGGTTGATTTGGTTGGGGTTGTGTTTTTTTTTTTTAGAATACTTTAATAAGTGATCTTGGAACATATCTCAAGTCCCAATCAACAAAATAAACGATCGACATGATGGTGAATAAACCAATTGCCGAAAAGAAATGCCATGTATCGTGGCTATCAAAGAATCCAAATAATATACATGGTTGGTTAAGTTTATCCGATTCATCAATTGGTAGGAACTTATTCGTGACTGCAATTTCAAAGAAATAAAATCCTAATCCCTATATTATATATAAAATAAACTAAATGTTAACACAATGATCATTCACATATGTATTTTTAATTTCTAGACTTACCCAAGATACAATCATAACAACAAAAAGTATCCAAACCATAAAATGAATTTTTTCTCTATATTTAATCTTCATTCCAATATAATAGAATAAATAGATTAAAAAGTTTAATATCATTACTCCCCTAAAAATTAATTAAATCAAATATTAATGATCAATGTTAATTATTATTATTATTATTTATACATACAAAATTAAATTTGAAAAATTATTTGATACATTGTCAACGATACCAATGACTGCTGAAGCCAATACAATACTCCAATTTAAAATGTTGGCAACAAACAATGCATAGAATCTAAACTTGTCTTCAATCTCTCTTGGTCTATAAATCTTTTTAATGTGTCCCCATAAAACTGAAAATGATGGTTGAATAGATAATCTCTTGTGTGCCAATAAATAACAAGTTCCTGTAATCGAAATATATCCAAATACTATTATAAATAATATCCAAAATCTAAAATATTATAAATTAATTAATTAATACCAACTTGTGATCGTTCTCTTTTTAAAAAAGATGCTATCTATCTACATACACATAAACATTAATATTTGTTAAAGAAAGGAAATTGATAAAAATGAATAAAGCAAAGAATGCAAATGATTTAAATGCACCAGCTGTCAATGTTGCGTGTCTCTTTTGATGTAATGTAAAAAACAATAAACCTGATCCAATTAACATATATGTTGTATCTAAAATAAATAAAGAAATAAAGAGAGATTAATATTAATCTGATTGTTGATACTTTGAATTCAATTGAGTCATACCAAATTGAAAATTAATTCTTGATGGGCAAACATGGTATAAAGCAGAAAAGAAACCCTCGCAAAGGATTGTTACACCCATACTATAATATAAAGACATGTCAGTGTGAAGACCATTAATACCATCCTCATCAGGTTTGGTAAAGTGAAGAATAACTAAAAATGCTGTTCCAGCAAAGATATATGATAAATTACTAATAACTAATAAATTAAATTAAATTAATAAATCAATGTAACAGATAGATAGTGGTATGATGTGTTAGCTACGTACCATTATTAAAAGCAGTAAGACCAAAATAAGTCTTTGCACATTTGAAATTAAAGTAACAGGTTACTTGTGGATCGGTATATTGAAAGAATACAAATTGAATCGATGGTAATATATAAAATGCTGAAACTATAAGTAAAATCTTCCAAAACTATAAATAGAAATAATAATAATAATATTAAATAATGAGTGATAGTGAGAAAAGTGTAATCAACTACTGATTTAGTTTATGTTGTCAACTTACATATTTCAAATATACAGGTTGACTTTTTAATTGTCTTCTAACTTCAGATTGTTGTAGTAGTTCCTGAACGTTGGCAGGAATCTGTTCGATGAGATGTAATGTCTCGTCATCATTGATACGAGCGTCAACTTCTATTTCCATCTCATTCATATGTATATTCTATCTATCTATCTATGATTGGATTGATTGGTGATTGATGATATAGTTGTTGTTTTACTAGTAGGTAGGTAGGTTCTATAAATATATATATAAATATAAACTCTCTCTCGCTTTGATGAATAATAATATATTTTCGTAATAAGTGTATATTGATTGTTTGATTGATGTTATAACAATAATAGGTAGTATATGTCGTATTGTTATCTATTATATATATATATATATATTATTTATGTTTGGGGGGTGTACAACTGTAAAAATGAGTTAGGTAATTTAATTTACTGATTGCGTATGGTTCTCGAAAAAGCAAAAAAGAAAATTAATTTATTGGGCTAATGCCAGCTGTTTGTCTGTCTGTCCCCTGGTCTTGCTTTTATAGGAAAGTGATGCAACTGATATATTTATAAATAAATATCTGTTTATACCTTCTTTTTTGATTGTGATTTGGTGATTGTTGTCTTGTTGTTGACTTGGTAAACCAAGTTTGTTTGATCAATCTTTGTATAATATGATGATCCTTGTTATCTAAATGAACAAACTAAACAAATTAATTAATTAATAATTAAACAACAATTTGAGAAGAAAGAGATGATAGAAGAAATATTACTACTACTATTGCAATAAAAAGAGAAAAGAAGAAGTGAATAGAGTAGTAGTAGTAGTCGTCGATAGTCGTATTATTAATAGTTGTAAAAAAACAATTAGTGTAGATTCGCTTGAAAAAACATTTATTCTCACCCCCCTATCTATTCTATCACTACCATTTTCTATCCACATAAATCGTGTGGTGTGTATATGACAGGATGTGGGGGGTGTAAACACTCCTATGAATCATACCCTCTCTCTTTCTCTATTGATTGCCCTGGGCATTGAATTCAAAATATACTTTTATAAATAATCAATAACCCGATGACGATATCGCGAACTTTAAAAAAATGAGGTGAAGTGGCTTTAAACTCGTGTTCAACATTTCAAAGTCAACAGTTTATATTATATTAATATAAAACAATAACAAGAGATAGATAGATAGATAGAATGGCAAAGAGGAAAAAGGTATGTAGAGAAAGAATAGGAAGAGTAGAATAGATGTTACAAAGAATATAGACTAATGTTATTATTTGTTTGATCAAACAACACAAGCAACCTTATACATACCAAAGAATATCAGAGCTTACTCATCAAACTACTTCAAACTTTTATGGAATAGTAACAAAATGTTCAGATCCTATAATACCATCAGCTCAGAATTCAGGTATCTATACAAACAAACAAAAATAGCTATGATGAACAATCAAATGTTTACTTTTTCTTTCTTCTTTTTCATTTTAGATCAATCAATGAGAATGGAGGTAATTGATAGTCCTGAGAATAAAATCAATGTAAATATATTCTTTGAATCACATATCGATAAATTACAACCTGGTACAATCATTAGATTCCATCGTGCAAAGGTATATAAAGATCAAACCAACAAGAGATAAATATATATATATAGAGTTATTAATGATTATTTGTTATGTTTTGAATGTTGTCTAGATAACAAAAACATATCAATCATTACTTGCAACAGGCAATCTAGATAATGGTATTGCTAGATTTACAATGATTTGGGTCAATGGTAACAAAGGAGATCCTATAGTGGTACAATCACGAATAGATTCACCCACCTACACTGAAAATGATGAACATAGAATAGAAGAACTTAGAAATCTTTGGTTTGAAATTAAACATTTATTTATTTTAGATCAAAATCAAAATAATCAAAATAATCAAAATAATAATAATAATTATCAAAATAATAATCAAAATAATAATTTTATTAATAATTTAAATAATAGACAACAAATTAATAATGCAATACCACTTGGAGATTTAGAATCATGTCAAGGTCAATTTGTTGGTGTTCTGTGCAAGATCATTTCAAAGTCGATAGTGATTACTAGTAATCAGAAAAAGGTTCAATTTTGTGTTTGGGATGGTACAGGATTCGGTTATGAATTCTTTCACAATCAAACAGATGTTCATTTGGCTCACCGACTCGGTGTACTGATGAGTGTCGTTGCATGGGATCCTCAACTCATTCCATCGATAGACAGTCTCACTGCCAACGGGCCAGATCAATGGGCACTGATGAACAATGTACTGATTCAAAGATACCAAGGTACTCTTGAAATCAAAATTACAAAGGTTAGTCGTGTCACTCTACTAGATCAAAATAATGATAATGTTAAACGAATCATTCAATTACATCATAATCGTATTGATGAATATCTTAGATTAACTCAAAAGACTGATAATAATAATAATGACGAACAACAACAAAATAATAATCAAGATCAAATGCAAGTAGACTCTACCAATCCAAATAGAATTTTACCAATCTTTACAAATACTTCAACTCTTCATCCAAGTGTTCCAATTACTTTAATATCTGATATTTTAAAACATGATCAAAAGGTAAGTAAACTAAAATAATCAATCAATTAATTATTCAAAGTATTAATAATATTATTTTTTATTTATTATTTTTTTTAGGTACCAAACAAATTTAAAATTAGTTGTAAATTAATTCAACATATACCAATGAATATAATGGAATTTACAAGATTTATATGTCGTGGATGTGGACAATGTCCAAATGATTTACCACATTTTACATTGGCATCACCTATTTGTCCTAAATGTGAAAGTACTGATATTGGATCAATATATATGTTTAAATTAATAGTCAAGGATGAATCTGGTGAATTACCAATTATTGTTTATGATAATCATGCTGTATGTATAATTATATTTATAAATAATTATTATTACCACATTTTGATTTAAATTATTATTATTATTATTTAAATATATTAATACTTTTTGCTTTTTTTTAGAAACAATTTTTTAATGGAGTTGAAGCATGTGATCTTTATCAACACGTAGATAAATTAGGATTAATAGAACACAAGATGGTACAATTAAAACAAAAATGTTCACCAGAACTAGGTGATACCTATTTTGATTGTTGTATCATGTCCTATTATATGCAAGGTTATGAAAGAACTCCTGAAAATATTAGCTATCAACTTTTTGATACAAAATTAAATTAAATCAAACAATTTATATCATTTATTTATTTTATTTATTTATTTATATTTTATTTGTATTATTACTTTTTTTATATTATTGTTATATTAAAATATTTTTGTTTAATTCATATTATTCATTTTTTGGGTTACTCTTTCCATCTTTTTCTTGTAGGCAGATTCTTTTAATTTCTTTTTGGTTAAAATGACAGATCCGACACCAAGGGCTACGGCAGCAGCACCACCAATGGTAACACCAACGATCAATTTCCACTTTGAATCATTTTCAGATGCACATCCATTATCATTGCTTCTATCGACTAGCAATGGTGTAAAGTCTGGATCGAGTTGACACGATTGACATTGTGGCATACGAACACCCAAGACGATTGATTGTTGTTGTAATTCAGTGTCATTGGCATTGGTACTTTCAAATGGTGTAAATGAAACTAGTTCAGTCTTTGAATAGACTTCTCTTCCATCGGATAGTGCAAAATCGATAAATCTACCATTGAATTGAATATTGTCTTTGAGTACTCTTAGATACTCTAATGATCCCAAAGAGTCATTGGTGAGTGATCCAATTTGTCTTTGTTCACATTGGTACTCTACAGATTGATTTAAATTCATTTGGGTAGCGAATAACAATCGGAGAGTTGCAACATTGGATAGATATTGCCAACCAGTTACATTGATGGCAAGTTTAATGGCATTTGGATTAATCTTTAAGACTTGGTTACCAAATGGAACGTCTCTAGCTTTTGATGAAAAAGAGATTGTGGCAATAACGTCAAGTGATTGGAATGGGGTGTATCCCTCGGCATCGGTTGAATTGGCGTCAGGGATGGTTGGGTTGACCATAGTCTTGTTGAGTTGATAAGTTCCAACGGTCAAACCATCAGTTTCAGTGATATTAACAATCCAAGAATAATCTAGAATATTCAATTCATTTAATACTCCATCATCCATATCCAATTCTTGAATAGCCTTAAATTCAAATCTAAATTCAATTCCATCAATATTAAAATCAATAGTTGGTGATGTTTCATTTGCTACATTTGTATTATTTGTGACTAAAAATAAAAATTAATTAATTTAATATTTGATTCACAATTGTATTATTTTCGACATACATTTTGTTAAACAATAATCGGCAGGATTATAATTTTCCTTGCATACACAATCACCATTAACATCACAAAATCCATTTCCATAACAGTCGGATGTATTTTCAGAACAAATTTCTTGTGGTGTTTTTCCTCCTCCTCCTTGTTCTTGAGAATTATCTTGACTTGATCCATCTCCACTTCCTTGATTGTTGCCAGAATTTTTAAGATTACGAAGCAAGTTTTGAGAAGATGTATTAAATCCATTGATATCAATTTGAACAGATGATAAACCATATGGTGGTACAATATCAAGTGAACAATTAATAGTAATTGGAGTCGAAGTTTGAACCAAACATGGGATAGTCTTATTGACCATAATGATCGTGGGAAGTATAGTTGGTCCAAAATTTCCAAATAATGAAACCATCTTTAGATTATTTGCATCATAATCACCTGAACTAATTGATGGATATCCTATAAATTAAAAATGTTAGAAAAAATATTAAACTTTAAAATAAAATATATATTTACATACCCTTTGTACAATTATCATAGAAATTGGCTAGATTACAAAGACAACTGCCATCGGGTTGACAAACACCATTACCATTACAAAAGTTGGTTGATACCTCGCACTCCATTTCAGCCAATGTTTTGAATAGGTGATAGGCAACACGAGTAAAAGTATTGATTGTAATGGTGACTGTTGTGTTTCCGTATGCTCCTGGTTGACCGGCTGGAATAAAACACATCATATAGTTGTCTTGAATTCTGTAAATAGTGGCACTGGATTGCGTGGCAAGACCTTCGTTGAAAACGATTGTTACAGAATTGGAATTAAATCCTCCATTGTTTCCAGTGATTGTAATCATCGTTCCTGGGGTAGCCTTACGAGAAATAGTTTCAATGGTTGGATAGTTGGGTACAAATAGTGGAAATCTTTGAGTGTAATAACCATTGGTAACCTTGGCTGTATACTGGCCGGCAGGGACTGGTTCCACTGTTTCACAAGTAATCATGGTAGCATTGGCAGAATTGGCATTACAAGATACACCATTGATATCAACGGTTGGAGCAAATCTGTTGTTGTAGAGTTGCATATGGAACGAGAAGCTAGTTGTAAAGGTGGTTTGTAAAAACTTGATGTAATTGATTTTGACTCCACCTTCGACCATGTTGGCTTGTACTGTAAGTGAGGGTGTGATTCTTTGCAATTTGAAAGTGGTGGTTTCTGGTGCAGTGAGTGCAGCATAATTTGGAAAAGTCAATACCATGACTTCATTTGGAATGATTGCAGTAATCGATGGGTTGTTGGCAACTGGTGTAACACCCCACCCAAGAGTGCTTCCAGTGACAGTAGCGCTACCTAGGTTTGTAACAATCAATGATGCATTGTTTATAACGGGAACTATTTGAATCAAAAAAAAGATTAGAGAAATTAGTTTGTGTTTCTTTAATTCATTTTCATTATTTTACTTACTGCAAGATAGACCAGTAGGTTTTGTAATGGTAGTTTGAATAATATTATTATCTCCTTGATAACACCAAAAACAATCTTGATTAAAAAAAAGAAAGAAAAAAAAGGTTTGTAAGAACGATGGCGGTTATTTGCGATTAAATTTTTTAGATATTGATAGATACCTGGAATAGTTGCTATAGATGTGCCATGAATAAATAGTCTATTTCTACAAAAACTAGGTGGAACAGTTCCAACAATCGTATTATTATTGACGGAAAGAGTCAATCCAACATTGTTTAAAAACAATGTATCGAAATCAATCTGTCCAGATAATGGATTGTTAGAAAGATCAACAATCAAAAGACTGGATGGGAATGGGGTTGTTGGCCAGGTATTAATCAGATTGTTTGATAATGATCTAAAAAAAAACAATTAATGAATTGTTAATATTAAATGATTGAATCGATAACTATCTATTGTTAAATATTGATCACTTACAATGTTGATATTTGAGTGGAAGCTAGTTTTGGTATCGTTGTAAGTACTCCATAATTGATTGATCTATGAAAAAAAAAAAGATTAATACCAAATTATACAAAAAATATATCTGTATATATATATATATATTTCTATTAAAACTACTTACAAAGAAGAAAGAACAGGATATTCTAATGGATCTTCAACCCAAGGAGTGATGGTTGAAGTTTTTCCTTCCAATGTTCTATAAAAAAATTTAGTTGATTAGTTTTGTTTATGGATTCCTCATCTTTCTTTTTTGTATTGTTTGCAACTTACAAAGTATTAAGAACTTTGGTATTTGTCATGTTTACATTGCATATAATAACAGGTCCCATACTAGTAGTACCTTTACATGCTCTTTTAAAATAAAGTATAGTGTCAATATTTTTTTTAGAATAGATTTTATTGATTGATTGATTGATTGTTCTACTTACAGAGTTTGAAAACCAATATCTGTATTGATAGTAATCTTTCCTGCATTATTACCAATAACAAATTCTCTAGAAGATTAAAGTTGAAACCTATATTAATATTTTAAATACATATTATGGATTATATAAGGACAAGTTACCCGAAATTTAAAACTGGACATAATGCTTTGTTCAAGTTTATAACGTCGTTGGTCGGAGAATAAATAGCCTGTACCATCATCAACTTTGGGTAGGTAAGGGTAATGGGAGGAAGGTTTGAGAATACTCCATACACATAGAAATGAGAAATATTGGTGTTGGGAATGAATGTTGGGAAGTATCGTAGATTTGGAAGATACATTTTCAAAGATATTAACTTTGGCATTCCCAATGAAAATGTAGCTGGTATCGTGTCTATTCTATTATCTGCAATATTGAATTGAACCAACTCTGGATAGGTATCGGTAAAATAATTTAAAATGTTGATCATTGAAGTGTAAGAATTTCCAGAAGTAATGTCCAGTGATACTAATCCAGGAAATACCAATTTTGTAAATGTACTATTTGGTGCTCCAACATTCATAAATCCATAGTTTGGTGCATTACTTTTAAATTTAAAAAAAAAAAAAAAAGAATTTAGATTCAATCAATAAATCAATCAATTAACCATCATCATTTCTCTTCTCTTTTTTTTGTTTGATCAAAAGTACATACATTGTAGTAATGTGATAAGCATTATTAACAAGTTTACAAGTGAAAAAATAGAAACCAGCAGCTTCATTACACAGTGCTTGACTTTGTGATGATCTCCATCCAAATTGTTGAATCAAGAAAATAGCTGATTGCACTATAGTAGTAGTTAACAATAACATATGTAGATAGATAGATATAGATGATTATAAAAAGTTAATAATAATGATATCTACAATATATATCTATCACTTTTCTTTCTTTCTATCGATACATACACTCATCATCAGATAATACATTTTGTGAAGACACTAAATGATCGCTTCTACTCAAACACAGAGTCGATACCAACAAACACACAAAAATAAAATTTTAAATAAATTCATTTTTGGGGTATTTGTTTTTTTTATCTCTCTCTCTTTCTGTGTCTCTTTGTTTGTGAGTGTTGTGACTAAGGTGGTGGAATTGAGAAGAATCAATTGATTTAATTTTCAACGTCAACGAGACTCAATGATCATACTATCAATCCTTCCAGGGCCAACAACAGAGACAATAAAAGATAATTTTAATATTAAAATTATATTCTTGTCTCAAACAGGTCAAAAAAAGAGAACCATGTCGAAAACGAGGTTGGTTGTTATTTTTCGTCAACATTTTTTTTTCGACTTTCGTTTTCAATGTCATCTCACATCTCACTGGACGGGGTTTGAGATGGCAAGGTTTCGTTTTTTTCAACGAAGTGTGCACGCCTATATCATGTGACTATCATTCCACGCTGTTGTCGTTGAGTTTTTTGAGACCTCGCCCCATATCGATCGAAATTGTCGATGGGTTCCGAGTTGTCATTGTCAAATTATATTTGTATGTGTGGCTAGATATTTTGTTTGTTTTTGTTTTTAGTGTTAGGGTCGTATGACACATTCAATTGGGAGGGGTTCTCATTATCTGTGAGTTTATTTTTATTTTGATTCTATCTACCTTTTATCTTTACGTTCTACCTTGTATTCATAGCAATTGAAGATGATGATTTACGATTCAATAACAAGTGTCTTTTTAATCTTTTGACAGCATAGACGATGATGATTGATAGACATACTGCTCCAACTACGCCAACCACAATACCAACAATCAATTTCCATTTGTCATCTAAATCTTGTTGTGAACATTGATTATTGTCGTTGTGGGTGGTATCAACGATCAATGCTGAAAAGTCTGGGTAGAGTATACACGATTGACATTGTGGCAAACGAATACCTAGTACAATAGATTGTTGTTGTAATAAAGTGTCATTGGTATTGGAACTTTCGATTGGTGCAAATGAAACTAGTTCAGTCTTTGAATAGACTTCTCTTCCATCGGATAGTGCAAAATCGATAAATCTACCATTGAATTGAATATTGTCTTTGAGTACTCTCAGATACTCTAATGATCCCAAAGAGTCATTGGTGAGTGATCCGATTTGCCTTTGTTCACATTGGTATTCTACAGATTGATTTAAATTCATTTGTGATGAAAATAATAATCGGAGAGTTGCAACATTGGAAGTGTACTGCCAACCAGTTACATTGACCACTAGTTTAATTGCATTTGGATTGATTTTAACTACTTGACTACCAAATACAACTTGTCGAGCTTGTTGTGAAAATGATATGGTTGCAATAACTTGAAGTGATTGGAATGGAATGTATCCCCCTTGTTCAACTTGACTGTTGGTAGAATTTACCATAGTCTTGTTGAGTTGATACACCCCAACGGTCAAACCATCAGTTTCAGTGATATTAACAATCCAAGAATAATCTAGAATATTCAATTCATGTAATACTCCATCATCCATATCCAATTCTTGAATACCCTTGAATTTAAATCTAAATTCAATTCCATCAATATCAAATGAAACAGTTGGTGATGTTTCATTTGCTACATTTGTATTATTTGTGACTAAATAATAAATAAAAAAAAAATTAACTTTAATGTAATGTTAATTAATAATATTATTTTTTCGACATACATTTTGTTAAACAATACTCGGCAGGATTATAATTTTCCTTGCATACAAACACACAAAAATAATATTTTTAAATAAATTCATTTACTTTTTTATCTCTCTCTCTTTGTCTCTTTGTTTTTGGGTGGGTAGGTTCGAAATGGATCGAAAAGTTTTGTCTTTTTTTTCAAAGTTCCCAAGATATTTTTGAAATTTCGGAGTTTTGTTGTTGTTTGGCTTCTAAACTAGCATACATAACGTTGAGGTTGACCTATCTTTCTGAGTTATGGTGGTAATAAATAAATAAATAAAAGTATTATTAATTTTAGATGATTTTATTATTATTAATATTGTTCTTTTGCTGATTTGATTTGATTTTTTTTCCATTATCTATTTGAATTTAAAAGTCTATAATAGATATCTAAAAATGTTGGTCTTTCATCAGAAGAATGTTTCCAACAATCCTGAATGATTGATTTATAAATCTCTGGGCAATCATTTGGCAACTCTAATCGCTTGCCACTTTGTAACAAATCTTTTACATAGTGAGGATTCATACCATCAAATGGTATTTGATTGGTTACCAATTCCCATAATATTGTACCAAATGAAAATCTAAAAAAAAAAAATTAAAAGATTATTATTATTAATTTCTATATCTATTTTTTTTTTTTTTTTATTATTTCTACATACACATCACTTTTTTCAGTAAAAGGTTTTGAAGATAAAATTTCGGGAGCAGCATAAAAGGCATAGGCCAATCGACTACCATCCAATTTGTTGTCTTTATGTTTACAAGATGCTAAACCAAAATCACAAATCTTGATCTTTAGGTTGTTGGTTACCAATAGATTCTTTGATTTTAGATCGGTGTGATAGATTGGTGGGTCATAGGTAGACAGATGGTAACAGCCAAGTGCAACACCAGTAGCAAAGGTTAGAAGCAGCTGATTATCAATCTTGACCAATCCCTTTGTTCCTTCACGATGTAGGATGTCATAGAGTGATCCACGAGGTAGGTATTCAGTGACAATATAACTATACTGTCCCTTGGTACATGCTCCATAATATTTTAAAAGGTTTTCGTGTGGTCTTAGCTTACTTAGCATACCCACCTCTTTTCTAAAATCTTCCAATGCCTTGTAAGATTGTAATTCTATTTGTTTGATTGCTACCTCTTTACCTTGCCAATAGCCATGATAAACTGTACTAAAACCACCTTGTCCTATTAATTCCCGTATCTCTAATTCTTTATAATCAATTTCCCATTCATAACTTCTTTTTATCATTGAATTTGAATTTGAATTTGTCAATGATGTTATAGTTGCAGTAGTTGTATTTGATACATTTAATGATGATAAAGTTAAAGGTTGATTATTATTATTATTATTATTTATATAATTAATATTATTATTATTATTATTATTATTATTATTATTATTGGATAGTTTACTTGTTGTTGGTTGTGATATAGGATCAATAAACTCCATACTACTATTTATATTAAAACTATTATTTAGACTATTTGGATTGGATGAATTATGTGATGATTTTAAATTAAACATCATATCATTATCACAACTTGTAGTAATATAGTTGTTACCATTGGCACTTCCCCCACCACCACCAATACTATTATTACTCGATATTATATAATTTACATTATTCGTACTACTATTATAGTTATTATGATTACTATTTTGATTATTTTGATTATTATTATACAATGAATTAAAAGCAGAAGATGATGAAGTTGAAAGTGAAGCAGTAGATGATGACAAGGAAAGTGTTGATGATGTTAATGAAGTTGTTAAAGGGTTTGTTGTTGGATATAATGAACGATATGAATTCATATTATTATTATTATTTCCAGTATTACCACCATTTCCAACTCCTCCAAATAAATTAACACTACCATCAAAATTACGACGAGGATTACTTGTTGTTGGAATACCATGTGATGAACTTAAATCATCGATTCTATTCAACATGGATTGATCAATTTCATCACAATCTGGATTCTTTATATGATATCTAATTGCTTTAATGCCAAGATGATAAAATGAAGGTAATGGATTACCATCTACTCCAATTTCTCTTATTGATCTAAATAAATGATTTAAATAAATATTTAATCTTTTTCTTTTTCTTTTTTTGTTTCTTTTTTTGTTTTTTTTGTTTTAAAACATACCTGCACTTTAAAAAACTTTTTGGAAAATTTGATATATGATTATTGTATAATTGTAAATCAACCAATTTGGTGAGAAACCCAATTTCAGCGGGCAACTCTTTAATGTTGTTATTGCTGACATCTAGTTTCTTAAGACTAGATAGAAAACAAATGGATTCGGGGAGTTGTTCGATAAGGTTTTGTGAAACGTTTAGCTCGATCAGTGAAGAGAGATAGTTGATGGAATAAGAGATTGATCGGAGTCGGTTGTGTGAAAATGTGACCTTGGCAAGACGTGTCAACTTGACCCACGTCTTTTCAGCCATCTCTGTGATTTGGTTGTGGTCAAATGAAAGACTATGCAATTTGGTGAGATACCTTAGTGACGATGGAATCTCTGTTATTTCATTCTTGGACAACGTTAGAACCTTGAGTGCTGTCAATTTAGACAATGCATTATTGGGAATAACTGATAATCTATTAATGGAAAGATCGAGTGTTTGGAGTTGAGTGAGACGTGCCAATCGACTCTCCTCAATGGTTTCAATGTGGTTGTTGTCAAGGACAAGCTTTCTAAGTGATAATGGTACCTTTGGGAATTGAGTCAACGAGTTGCCCGAGAGGTAGAATTCCCTAAGTTTCCCCAATCCACCTGCCAGATCGTCTGGCAACTGTTCGAGATGGTTGTGACTGAGGTCGAGTATCGTCAGATGCCGTAGCGTCGATAGTATAGGTGGCAGCGTCGATAATAGATTATTAAACATAATCAGCTGCTCCAAACGGTCTTTAACCGATATAATACTCGATTCATCAATCTCCATGATCGAGTTGTGTGAAAGATCGATAATTTTGTAATGATTTGGTTGAATTATAATTGGAAATTCCTCTAATCCACTCTCTGATAAATCCAATTCAACTTCATAATAATTACCATGATGATTATTATTACCATTATAACTATTTGAATCATTAAACCATAATATTTGTTGTCCATTTTGATTATTATTATTATTATTAGAATGACCATATGAGTGATGATGATTATGATCATTTGTATTTGTATTTGGTATTGGTATTGATTGTTGAATTGTTTCAGATGTCGTTGATTTTTGTTGTTGTTGTTGTTGTTGTTGTTGTTGTTGTTGTTGATGTTGTTGATCAGGTTGATAATTTGTAATGATTTGAATATTTGATTTGGTTGATAGATATTGTTGATAGAATGTTTCCATGTCGGATATAGATACATTTCTCGCCAATGACGATGTCATCATTGTCGCAGTTGTTGTCGTCGAAAAAAATATTTGGAGGAGGACGTGATGGAGATGATGGAACATTATTATTATTATTACTATCTATTTTCTTTTCAGTTGACGATGATGATGATGACGACGCTGTCATTAGTGAATGTAAAGATGGCGTTTGTTGTGTTGTAGTTGGTGATAATAATAGTTTGTTGTTATTTACAGTTGGAGAAGAAGAATGAGAATGATCAACACTCCCTCTTATATTGATATGATGAATGATACCTTCACGACTAGCTCTAATATTATCCATTTGTTGTCGTCTATTGTTACTGTTACTACTATTACTTGGTATACCCATATTACCTTCACTGTCTTGTGTACTAAATTCAAAGTAGTGATCGATATTTTGTAAATCTGTTTCGTCTAGTTCGTAACAGTCTTCTCCTCCTCCTCCTCCTCCTCTAACACTGCTACCACCTCTATTACTATCAGTCGTTTTGTAAATATCTTCCAAAGAGTCATCATCTTCTAGATCGTCATCTAGATCGCTGTCGTCGTCATCACCATCATATGCAAATGATGATCCCTCCATTATAAAACTTGTATTTGGTGTTTCATTTTGTGTTATATTACTCGTACTACTTATATCAATAGCTCTTGGCTCGTATACTAATCTTGTAGTCGTTCTATTATTATTATTATTATTATTATTTATTGACAAGGAGTCTAATGTTAAATCATCACCATCATTCCTCCAATTTTGTTGCTGGTTATTATTACTATTATTATTATTATTAAAACTATTACTCCTTATCAATATACTATTACTAATATTATTGTTACTATGACTATTACTATAGTTTGAAGATGATGCTATACGTTGTTGTTGTTGTTGATCGTTATTGTTATCATTTTTATTGTTATTGTTACTGTCAGTATCGATGTATCCCACCGATATGCTCATTAGTATCCTATATAAATATATATAGATATATATATATAAATATATAGTTTGTGTGTACTTTACAATATTTGTCTTTGTTGAAAAGAAGCGAATGGAGGGCGGGTTTTTTTAAAAAAGTAGCAACGGACAGTACTTTGATTATCTGAAACGACCGAAGTTCATTCAAATGACCTTTTTATATTTTTATTACTACTAAGAATAATATATCTGTACAATAAAAGATTTCACAAGAACTGATCATATAAAATATTAAAATTTTAATTTAATTTTATTTTTATTTTTTAATCTGATGTAAAAGCAAAGAACTAGAAACTAACTTGTCCTACTACTTTCATTTTCATTATCATCTTGACACAAAGAGAGAAAACAACTCGCGTATTCATGAATATAACTCATCAATTATCTCATCATCGTTCAAACTAGAACCTGTAAAGACGTCTTTTCAGCTTCTTCTAGATAGATTCAAGTTATAACAAAAAGGTAGATCACGATCAAGTGTGTTGCAGTTCAGATCAATTCAACACACCACATATTATTACAACACAAGTTATCCGATTATTTTTTAAACTTTTAAGCTTGATTACCCCCATCACTCATCACCATCATCAACAACATCACAGTCATCAAGATTTTGACAGCATTGATTTTAATTGTGTTGGATCATATCAGGTGGGGGGATTTTAGCAGAGGTTCCTGCTCTACCTCTCTCTCTCTCTGGGTGGACATTCAATGTGTGGCTGGCTGATGGTGTGCGAGGACAACCCACTAATATTAGCTATTCCCAACCAACCAACCAACAAACATTGTGGATATTTTAAAGGTGACAATGATGGATGATGGGTTGCATGATGATGATGGTTAAACCCATGAATCAGTTCAACAAAAAACAGGAATTAATGGATTAATGAAAAAAGAGTTGGTATCAGTGTCATTCACCAACACTCACTGATTCCCACCATCACAACAAAAGGAATTTGCGACGACAATACAAGTGTACCTGTGTGTTCTCTCTCACTCACCCACGCTCATTCATCTCGATCAACAATCTAGATGAAGCTAGTACTACTAATGAATGGCTACTCTGTTGGTTGCAATACCTGATTAATCAATCGCTTTTTTGGTTAGTGAGAAGAAAGCGATATATTGTACAAATATATTTATTACATGTAATTATTATTTTTATTATTATTTTATTATTTTTCCTTTTATTATACTTTTTGCGTCATTGTAGAGAATAGAGTAGAAAGTCACAGTCAGCTTACCAGGATCAAAAAAAAAAAATTGATCAAGAATTGCAAACAAACAAACAGATAAATATCTTTCACTAGCAAATAATAATAGTATTATTAATAATGGATATGGTACTTGACAAACCGTTTGTATCTTCAGTATTGTATAGTATCTCTCTTTTTTTAATAGGAATAATCCTTTTTTTTTTTGTTTATTAAATCATTCGTTTTGTTTGTTTCAAAACTATGAATTCTTCTCATTCTTTTTCTGCACCCAAAAACCCAGCAACAATCCAAAACATTGCCTTCTCCCAACAAAACCGATGATCACCCCCAATAATAATTGAAACATAGATTTAATTTTGCAAACCCGATGAATCCAACCATTAAAAACCTTTGGATATTTTTTGAGGTTTCCCAACAACAAACAATTACCCTTTTCTCTATTACACATCTGATGATTTGCCAATATCATCACAAAACATAGTTAAATTCAATCACACAAAACAGAGAGTAGATAGAAAGAGAGGAAACAATCCACGAACGAAAAAGAGATTTATGTAAGAGACGAATTAGTTAGAGATAATAAGTAAATGCACAGAGTCGGCGATCATCATAGACAAAGTAGTGACACCCATCAATCATAGTTTTAAAATACCCAACTATCTTGAAGTGGATGGTAGGGGGGGGGTGGTTGTTGGGATCGCAAAACAGAAACAGTTATAACTGTCATCTACGATAAAAAGATAAATCTTCAAAAATTAGTTATGTATGATTGATTGATTGATGATGACGAAACTACCAACCCAACTCTTTTTTTTTTAACTGATGTTAATTAGTACGACGATGATGATGATGGGGGAGTGAGTACACATAGCAGCTGCCATATATTAACAACACATTATAATATTAATACATCTATGTTTGAAGGAAGCTGCGCACTCTCACATCGCTATGCAGAGTAAAGTAGGAGGGAGTCTCCCTTCCAATGTGCATAGATGAATAAAGAAAAAATATCTCTTTTTTTTTTAAAATTTTTTTTTTCCTAAAGTGTTTTTTTTGTCAGCGCCCATCAAAAACTATTATTGTTATTAGAGCATTATTAGCAGCAGAAGAGCAGAGCAGTGTACAGTAGAGAAGGAGGAGAAGAAGAAGAAGAAGAAATATAGTTAGAGTCACAGTGTGATTGTATATATATCTGTAGGTTTAGTTTATTATTACTACTATTCTATGTGAAATGATCGCGATCGATCTCACACCACTTGCACAGCAACTAGACACATACAGACAGAAAGAATTGGCTTTTATTATTATTATTATTGTTGTTCTTTAGACAAACAACAAACAACAATAATATATTATTATTGCAATGATAAAGTAGAAAAAGAAGAAGATGGTGATGACGATGACGATGAGGAATGAAATAATAATGAAATGTTAAAGAGGAAATGTACACACCAACATTCAATCAGTTATCAATGAATCAATGAATCAATCAATCAATCAATCATACAGAGAAAGAAGGAAAGAAAGAAAGAGTGCAATAAGAATAGGAATAGGAGGAGCAGACATCCATCCATCCAAATTTGTGGCGACGCAAACATACCAAAGTATCATTTTTGGTGTGGGTTGGGTTATTTTTTATTTAATTTTTTTTAAAACAACAACAAAATTCCTATCTTGTATCTATCTCTCTCTCTTTGTTTCATAACCACAATAACAGCAATACTATCCAAAGCAAAAACAACACCAACAACAAAATAACAAATAATCAGTACTTTTTGTTTAAGAAAAAGAAAAAAGAGTTTGACTCGACAAAGAGAGAGAACAGAACAGGTTTAATTTACATTCATTCCATCTTTGGGAAAGAAAACAACAAAACTATTTATCAATTAATGTAATTGATTGTTTGTTGGGTAAGAAAGAAAGAAAGATAGAAAGAAGAACCTTTACACACACTCTCCCTCCCTCCCTCTTACTTCATTTGTGTTATTTATTTATTTATTTATTTGTTTTTTTTTTTGTTTGTGTGTGTGTTTTGGTTGTGTGTATGGTTTGGTTGGATTCAAAACTCACACTACTCTTTAATTTTGTCATCAACTACCCATACCAACAATCAACCAACCAACTAAACCATAAAGATCAATCAATTACTCTCTTTGTTTGTTGTTGTGCACGCGAGATATATATATATATATATAACAATATTCAATATTAGTAATACAAGTCAACAAACACTAACATTCAATTATGTTTTATCATATACTTAGTAGTGGCAACAAACAACAGCAGCAACAGCAACAGCAACAACAAGACCAAGAACAACAACAACAACCAACAGCAGTAGTAAAACCAAAACCACAACTGCAGATAACTCAACATCACTATAACCTTAGCTCGATCAATAAGGATAAAGAGAAAGAGAAAGAAAAAGACAAAGACAAAGAAAAAGATAGTATTAGTAGTAGTAGTACGACAACGACAACGACGACGAATAATCAAAATAATCAAAATAATAATACATCTTCATCTTCATCATCAACGGCAACATCACCAACGATTACAAGTTTAAATACTTTTAATACAACTTCAACCACGACTACTACAACAGCACCAACATCCTCCACTGCATCATCTCTTGATAGAAAGTCTTGGATGACAGAGGCCTTTTCTAGAAGATCGAGCACTTCACTACCTACTACACCAATGAGCAGACCACTAAATAAACTGCACCAAGCCATAGCGGCAAAGGACCTCACCAAGGTCAAGCAGAGACTAGCACAGCCGAGAAAGGCTAAACTAGAGATGCTAGAACTGGACCACATGGACCAGAACCCTCTCTGCGCAGCCCTTCGTTTCGGTTGCTACGACATTGTTAAAGATATTTTACAATTCTATCAAACAAACAAGTATGTACAAACAAACAAAAAAAAAAAAAGAAAGACAAGGTAAAGGTAGTATATAGAACTAATTATTGTTGTTACTTTTAGATTGGATATAAATCAACAAGATAAAAATGGATATACAGCATTACATGTTGCAACAAGTAACTGTGACGATCAAATTTTAATGTTATTACTACGTGAGGAAGGAGTCAATGTAAATCTAATCAACGACGACAAGAATTCAGCATTACATTACTTTTGTCAAAAGTTTAAATCACCAAATCTTTCAGAACCATTCGAATTGTTCCTCAAGAAGGGTGTCAATATCAATCTACAAAATAAGAATGGTGAAACTCCATTACATAAATCTATATTTAATAATTCAGTTCGTTTATTAATGGTTAATAAATTATTAGAAGTAAGTCAAAAACAAAAAGAAAATAGAAGAAAAAAGAAGAGAAATAAGAACAAGATGTATTAATTATTAATTATTTTAATTTTCATAGCATAAAGCAGAAGTAAATGTATTAAATTCAAGAGGTGAGAGTCCACTTCATTTTGCAGTACGTCTTGGTAGAGAAGATTTAGTATCTGTTTTGGTAAAAGCAGGTGCTGATCCAAATATCAAAGGAAATGAAAAAAAGACATGTTACGAATTATCACTTCAAGGTCAAAATGTAAAAGTAATTAATTTTTTAAAGAATGTTCAAGGTAAATATAGAAAATAGAAAAAGAAAAAGATAAATATACAATATATTGTTGGTTATTAATTTATACTTTAATTTAGACGTTTATAATTGGTTACAATCAATTGAATTGGGAGAATATTGGTTAAACTTTGTGAAAGAAGAGATATTTATGGATTTATTACCGGATCTTGATGATACAACATTGGATTCGTTAAAGATTGTGACCAAAGGACACAGAATACAAATTACAAAACAATGTAGGCTATTAAAAGAGCAACAACTGCAACCAACACCAACCAAACTACCCAAGCCCGTCACACCCAAGGGCGACAAATCGACACCACCCGGTGGCTCTTTTGAAAAGGAATCGATACAGTCTGACGAGCTCCGAACAACGTTGGTCAACATACACAATGGATCGAATATCATCTACTCTAACGACCTAGAGTATACATGTAAATTGGGCCAGGGATCGAGTGGCAAGGTGTACAAGGGGTTGTATCGCGGCAAAGAGGTTGCCATCAAGGTGCTAAAGGCCATCACCACGCAGTCGCAGTTGGAAGAATTTAAGAAGGAATTCCAAATCATGGCGTCGATTCATAGTCCGTACATGGTGCAGTTTTACGGAGCATCACTCGAGCCCAAGCTCTGCATGGTCATGGAGTACTGCAGTCGCGATTCTCTGTACCATGTGATGAACACGGTCAAGTATGAGATTGGATGGGACCGATTCTTCCAGTTTACCATGCAGATGACACTCGGTATCCAGCAGCTGCACAACAACCAGCCTCAGATTGTTCACCGTGACTTCAAGTCACTCAATCTCCTCGTCAACGAAGACTGGGAATGTAAAGTATGTGATTTTGGACTCAGTCGTTTTAATACGGCCGACAACTTGGACACGCTCTCCAAGATCCGTGGCACGTTTGCCTACTGCTCGCCAGAGGTTGCCAATGGCTCGGGATCGCCCTACACCACCAAATCAGATATTTTCAGCATTGGTATTGTCTTTTGGGAGTTGTTGGTGCGTGTGCTCACTGGCGAGTACTCTCGACCCTATTCCGAGTATCCACACATCAAGATGGATTTCCAAATCATGCTCAACTCTAAAGAGGGTCTCCGTCCAACTCTACCCTCTTCTTGTCCTGCCGGTCTCGTCAATCTCTACAAGGATTGCGTACACCAGGAAGCCAGCCATCGTCCAACCTGCGAAGATATCATCTCGTCGCTAAATATCCTCAAAAAAGAATACGTCGCTCATCGTCAGTCTTGGGACACCCTATTAAAACAACAATATATTCATTCCAACAATAATAATTCTGCAAATACTACTTTTTCTTCTTCAAATTCATCAACCTCTACAACTCCAAATAGTTTAAACATTTTTAATAATAATAGTAATCATAGTAATGATCATAAATAATAATTAATTAATTAAATAATAATAAAATAATCATAAATAATAATAATAATAATAAGATAAAAGAGATTGGAAAGAGAGTTGAAAAACAAAAGATAGTGGAATATTAGAGAAATCCAAACCCCAAAAATGATAAGATAAATAATAAAAAACCCTTTATAAAAAAAAAAATCTAAAAAAAACAAAAACTATTTTACTTAAAGTTGAGATTTACAATTGTTTTTTGTAGATCCAAAAATTTGTTGTTGTTGTTCTCTCGGGTAGGAGAAATGACAGATACATATAAAAATTGAAATAATAATTAATTTTAATTCATTTTAAAAATATCTACTTTGCTTTGTCAATCTGCTGTTGTTGAAAATCGATTTGGATTAACAAGGACAGGAAAGGACAGGGAGGGTCTCACCCCCTCCTTTTATTATCATTTTGGTACCTTTCTGATAATAGAATCTCTCTTACAATCGTCTTTTCGATTTCTTTTACAATTTGTTTTAATTAATTACTTTTTTTATTTATTTATTTAATACTACTCTATTATTTTTTTCTCTTCTCTTCTCTTGCTCTATTAATTCATTTTTCTTCCTTTTGATACTTTATACAACATAATAATAATAGATTAATAGTAATACGATTTAATATAGAAAAAAGGTAAGTTCATTTTACTTTAAAAAAAAATATCAAGCGACCAGTCATATCCTTCATCTTTAAAGGGAGATAGAGTATAGAGAGTTTGTACATCCTCATTTATATATTTATATAACCCTTTACGAAATTATTCTCTCTATTCTACACACATGCATACATACATACATTCAAACATGCTCGTGAGCATCTGCTATGATGACTTGAATCCGATTTCTTTTTTCTTTTACGACCACACTTCCTTCTCCCACCCGTCCTCACCCTCTCTCGAGCTCTCAATGCTATCATCATAATTATACATGGTCATAAATCGATTGATGGATGATGTGATGATGTTCACATCTATCTCTATCATCTGTATTCATCCATGTTGTTTGTTGCTTGTTGTTTTAAAATACAATATGATGATGATGAAAGATGAAGATTCAAAAATTATTATTTATTTACTAACCAAATTAATAATAATTTAAATCAATCAATTAGAGTTTAAAACATAGAATAGAATAGAGTATATATATATATATAAATCGTTTGAAATATAGAAATAGATAATATAGAATATAATAATTATGGATGATCAAACCAAATATTATTGGGGTAAGAAATTCATTGAGATTGTTCATCACAATCCATTGGCCGATATACCTTTACTAATATTAGTATATCTATCTATCTATATAGGAATTCCCAGCGCCTCGATAGACTGGTGCGAACTAAACTATACAGTATCCCCATTCATATGTGAATTCTACAATACATTGTCATCGCTCATCATAACATTCTATGCAGTTTATGGAATGTATCTAAATAATATGGTTTCTTTTAGTGGACATAATGCATTTCATTTAAAGGTCATTAACAAACATGGATTCCGTAATAGATTAAACCTAGGTTTATTTTCACTTGCAGTTGTTGGTTTGTATCCATCCATCCTTCTCCCAAAAAAAAAAAGAGATAATCTAACAAATAATTATCTTTAATTTTCTTTTATTGTTTTTTTTTAGGAATTGGGTCATCAGCATTCCATGCAACATTATTATACCAAAACCAATTATTTGATGAATTACCAATGATCATTACTTCACTCATTATGCTCTACATTCTCATGACTGTCGGTGAAGAGGATTCAAACAAACAATCACCATACAGATTCAAGGGGGGTATTTTGGGTAACACTTGGCTTCGTGTAGTCATGCCATACCTTTTAATTGCATATGGTCTCATTGTTTCAGTTTGGATTATCATTATTCGTGATCAACCAAAGATTTTACAAGTATGAAAAGAAAAACAAAAAAAAAGAAATAAGAAAAGAAATAATTAATTAATAACAATAATATTAATATTTTGTTCATTTGTTATTATTATTTTAGCTTAGTTATGGAATATTAATAGTTTATATTATAATTCATTCCTATTATTTGATTAAAAAGAAGGGATTGTCATTGATTGATGATCTCAAGTCACCCGATGTCTATTTGTACGTATTTGCATTTATAGCCTTTTTGGTCGGATTTGTATGTTGGGTGACGGAACGTGTATTCTGTAACGATGGATATGTGGTACGTGGATTACAGCTACATGCAGTGTGGCACGTTGCAACGGGTCTAGGTGTATTTGCTTGGATTCAATTCTTGATTTGTAATCTTTTACAAGCTAAAAACTATACTGTCTCTCTTCACACTTTTATCGGTATTCCTTCAGTCTATGCTAATCCAAAGGCAAACTAAGTAAAATAATAATAAATTAAAATAAAAGAGCAAAAAATAGTTTAAATCTTTTAATTTTTAAATTTTACAAATTCTAGAGGAACTACTATTTTTCTCTTTGAGTTTTGAACTAGAGTTGACTTGCTTTGAGTATGTCTTATTTTTTTTTTTATCAACTATTGTAATGAAACAAAGAAATAATTCAAGGTGTAAGATTAATGATGGAGATGATGATAGTAGTAGTGAGGAGGTCTCTATAACAAACAATAATAATGTAAATCATGTGACTAAAAGAAGAAAGAATGGTGATGCTCATAATAATGGAACCACTAAAGATACAACAACAAAGGAAACATCATACCAGTTTAATAATAATAACAAAAGAGTAATTAACAATGAGGAAGATGATCAAGACGATGAAATTGAAGAAGAAGATGATAATGGTAAATATATCGACCAATAAATGAATGAATGAAAAAAATTCCCTGGATTACTTACTTATTCTTTTTCCTTTAATTTTAATTTTTAAAAGATGAAAGAGTAGTATACAAAGAGAAAGAATTAAAAATTAAACTTAAAAAGGATTTATTATTGATTTGTAAAAGATAATGTAACAGCAACAATGAATCAAACCAAAGATACAATCATTCAGAATATTTTAAAAAAGACACAAAACGATAGATTATCAATAATAATTGAACCAACACCCAAAATATTTTAGTGCAACTCAATGTTAGGTATTATCAATCCAACTCTTCCAATTTGCATCATAGAAAAGATTGTAAGATACTCTTGGAATGGGTATTGGTGTAATTGTTGTAATATTGAAAGTAATCAATATCTCATTCAATCAATCGATCAAAAGAATTCCTGCAAGCCAAATCAATGTGTCCCATACACAAAGATTGTGCGCCAAACATAGGTACATACTTTGATAAAAGTATGATTGAACTAATCAATCAACTTCGATTTGGAATACCAATGAAATGCAAGAGATTATTTTCATTTGTTTCAAAGTATCTTGTCAAGAGAGTTGTGTTTAATGATTCTCCCAACTTTGCCAACCAAGAATCCGAAATATCAGCTATCATCAACATTTTTCAAATCAATATTGCCTTATTGGTAAATCAATAGAAGCTTTTAAAATTGAAATGGAGTATACCTCCGGTTCAAGTCATCAAAATTGGGAGTTTCTTCATCTAGATTTCTATTCAAATGTACAACGGTTGAAATTCGTTACGACCATGCTACCCCTCTATACTACCTATTTTATACAAAATACAACCAAATTATTCCACTCATTGTCTCGATTACAATCTCTTACTTGATTGGATTTCGGGCAATCAGTGCTAGACCATGTGGGTCGCATAGAAATCAACCATTTAAAGAATATACCTCTTAGAAAATTATACTATAAAATCAAAGATAATCAATTTCTATTCGAACAAGATCATGACAGTGAGATGATCAATGTAAATGGCCACTTACACAATCATTGGAAGCAGTATCTATAAACTCTTTTGATGTCATTCCAAAATTGGATAGGTTGCCGAAACTGAGACATCTCAGAATTGACATAAATTATGGAATATATGGTACACGCGATGAGCAAATTCAACAATCAATTCTTCCTCCAATGTCACCAAATTATCATTCTTCAGCCCTGATATGGCTAAAATCAGCAAACACAATCTACATGTGAATCAACTGGTATTGTTACCCACAAACACCAGCTATCATAATATCCATCAATTTTATTTACCCTATGACAATGTACAAAGATTACCATCAGAATGGTATTTGGTTCTTCAAACAAAATTCGGCCTTTTATTTCACTTCAAAGCAACTTTCAATTCATTGGAACCTTTTATACCGACTCTCAATCAATGTACCATAATCCAAGCTTTGGGGGTGGGAAAACAGTACACCAAAAGTGGGTTTACCTGAGAAAAGATAGTCACCAATAATTAACAATGATCCACACCATTCAATAAACAAATAAATAATAATAAACAAATATTTTATGTTAACACTTTGAATAGAGGGTGTGTCAAGTCGATGGCAGTGCGTAGTGGGTGCTAGGTGCGTCGTTCAGCAGCTATCCCAATTGGGTCGTAAAAAAATAAAAAAAAAATGAATTTCCATTTTAGGAATTGTCGGTTGGCAGACTTTAGAGCACCAACCAAGCCACAGTAAGTTTATTATGAGTCAATAAAAGAGATAAAGTATAAGATAAATGAAGAGATAGAACATAGTATAGTTAGAACATATAGTATATAGTTATATATATAGATATATCATTGTATTTTGTGGCTCGTTAGTGCCAAATGCACAAGAAAGGATAAGGAATAAGAGTTCACAATATTGTCAAGTACTGAATCAACACCAAGTCTATTGCTGTTATAACATTCACGAGTTACTTGTACTTATTTGCTCCTCCAATCCACTCTTGATGCAGAGAGATACAGAGCTGTTCAAGTAAATTATCATTGTTTAAAGATATTGCCGCAGTTGCGTCTTTGTATGTTTAAATCTGCCACGATTATCGATCATAGCATTGGTCCATTTACACTCAACTACCTGACCTGTGTCTCTTATCGCACTAGCTAGTTGCATGTTACTATAGTATAGAACTACCTACCTTTTTTTTTATCTTCTTTTTTGGTTTTATTTATAACTATTTATTGGTGAATGGATGAATGGATGGATGGATGGAATGAACGGAGTTATCCTTGTCGTTGTTGTTGATGTTGATGTACTATTGCCGATAGAAGCAGTTTGTTTTCTGGGAGATGTGCTATAAGATAGCATTCATCGTGAAAGTTAACTTTACATTGGCAACAAGTCTTGGTGGTTCTTGTTCTACGCTTTACATCAAGGACTTTGCAATACTGACAAGGATTTAGATCACCTTGAACCAATGCGTGGACTACAGTTTGAGGAGCAGCAGCAGAAGTGGGAGCATATTGGCCTCCATTTCCACTGGTTACGTATGTGGATTGTGTAGCCAATTCTTGTTCCAGTTGTTTAATCCTATCTCTTTGATCCTGGAATACTTTTGATGTAATTGGATTCAAGTGTTCCAATTGTTTTTGAATAGGCTCCTGCAAGCCAAGCTTATCTCTTACCACGTTTTGAGTGAAATCACAAAATCGGTATGTGCTATTGCCTTCAAGGGATTTGAAGATGCAATATGCATTCACCATTGCACGATCCAACTGCGCAAATATGTTAACATGTGTGTATTTGCTTTTTCGATGGGGATATGACCGACAATTTGATGATAGTTGTCCTGACAGATCGACTCCGTGGGTAGTTGCATTGTATTGAGTCTGCACATCGAGCTTTGTGAGTTTTCCTTCTTTTAATGTATATGGATTACAGGAATTTGATAAAAAATATGTTACTTTGCTGTCATTGATGGCGGTGGCACAAATGTCCTGGGGAATACCAGAGTCTTCTTTTGGAAATGCTATAGCAGCCAACTTTTTCTTGTTGTCCTTTTGTACCATGCGTCCTAAACCATCTTTGAAAAGGTACGTTGGTCTAATGGACCTTACAGTCATTACATAATGAATCTTATTGTTGGGATTGTTATCGTCGTTGTTGGAATTGATGTTTTGACTAAAGTTTGATAATACAGTGGCAACTTGTAATGATGTGTAATAGTTATCCATTGCAAACAAATAGTGACTCAATGGTCTATCATCTGTAGCTACTTTTTGTCTGACCCACTCTGCAAATTCGATTGGGATTTTAAGAGGACTATTTGGTGGAAAAGAACTAACCACAGATGGATCTAAATAAGACAATAATAATGATTAGACATATGATGATAATGATGATATTTGTAAATTGTTATAAAACAACATACCTATTGTTACAGATTTTGTTGTAGATTCATCACTACCTCTGTAAAGCCATTGGGTCAATATAAAACCATTTGAGTCAGATAAAACGAAATACTTTAATCCAAATTTGTGTGGTTTATCTGGTTCATACTGCTTGAACCTTACCAAGCCTTTATAAGGGGCCATATATTCATCGATTGATAAACGTAATGATGGGATATAGTGGTTGTTTGAATTTTTTTCAATCATTTGAATGACGGAATCTTCGTCATAGTGAAGGAATTTGAGGATGGACTTAAATCTTTTTCTTGACATTAATGGGCTGATAACAGATGGAGGATGGAAAGGGCTCTTTCTATTCCAATGGTCTTCCGCCCGTGGGAGTTTGACAAGACCCATAAAAAAGGCAATATAAAAGAAATTCTCCAATTGTTTATAGGTAAACAACTTGGTGTTGTCAACCAACTGTATTTCCTCTTGTTCTAACTGTTCTTGAATAAAGCTAAGCCTATCTTGTGGAGATAATCCTTGTGGCATTGTTGATAGAAACCCACGCTTCCAAGTCTCAAAATCAACCATTCTTCCAACAATTTGATTGTACTCAGTTTCTACTGCATTGGTTTGATTTGAGGTAGATGTGGTAGATGTTGTCGATGATGATGATGATGATGATGATGATGATGATGATGATGATGATGATGATGATGATGTGGTCGATGTTTGCGAGTGGGAGGGTGTGAACAAACGAAGCAGACTGGATCCAAAGCTTGAAGAGGAAGTGGTGGCGGTGGTGGGAGTTGTTGATGAAGATGTATTAGAAAGAATAGGAGGTTGGAATTGTTCGTTATCTTCATCAATTATTGTAACTGGCTGGCTCTTTCTTTGATTTTTCTTTTATTTCTTTTTTCTCCTTGGTGTATCAGCCTCTTTTTCTTCATCATTATCATCATCTTCTTCTTCATTGTATCTTCTTCTAGAAGTTGAATATGTAGTTGTTGTTGTTGATGATGATGATGGAGGCGGCTGTGATTCCTTTGACTTATTCGTGAGAAAAAGTCTTATTTGTTGGTAATGTTGCTTGATGTATTTATAATCCCTTGCATATTTGCTTCGATGGATGAGATACAAATTCGATTCCTCGAGTATGTGGTTGATGACTGATTCGTCGATTATCAAGCTTATTACTTGACTAGGAGTTAATGGTTGATCGATGTTTTTGCTACGTGCTGATGCATTGCTGCTATCCATTTCATAGGTTATTCGATTCGACAATTCTTCTGAGTTTGTATTATTTAAAATAGTCCATTTCTCTTTGAATAGATCCCCTATAAATGTGATAATTGTTCTAATTTGTTAGCAAGTTGTTGGTGAATCATCTATCTATCTATTTATATACATACGACATGGGCATTTACATTGAGAAGTACAACCATTATTATATAACTTGCATTTGCAAGCAGTACAATTCCCCTTGTTAGCGCATTTACATTCAAAAATGGTTGTGTCTTGAACAAAATAGTAAGACTTGGATGCACGTTTGTCCAAGTCCGTTAGGTTATTGAATAATGGGATACGACCGACACTTTCTGGTTGTTTTTTCTTCTTGTTATTCAACTTGTGGACATAAATCAATCTTGTTTGAAGAAATCTATTGAACTTCTGGTGGATTTCCAACTCTTCAGGTGATTCAATGGCTTCAATAGATTCTTTTGCTTCAAACTTCTTGAATAACTCCATGTGGGCATCGAAAGTCTCTTTGAACCATTCAAATTCCTCTTGTAAATCATCTTCTTTGTAGTTGGTACGTGGTTTTAGTGGTGGTTGTTGTTGTTGTTGTGAATACTCTACTTCTTTTTCTGGTACAGGTGTATGTGATCTTTGATATTCTGGTTCAACAAATGCATCATCTTCTAGATCTTCATCGTCAAGTATAGCATTACCATCAAGTAAAGGATTATCATCAAGTAGATGATTGTCATCAAGTTGATTATTATCATCATACTCGGCTTCGATCCCTCCTTTGTATATGCTTCGAAACAATGCTACACCTTTCTTCAAACTTTCAAACATAGTTGTTGCTGCTGCTGATGCTGCTGATGCTGTTGATGATTTATCTGTAAATACTCGTATTTTTGCAATAAAGAAACATATAATAGATAAATAATGTTGAGCGTACACATATTATATGAAGATATGTTAAAATATAAATAGATAAAAAAAATTAAAATATTATGTTATTTCTACCACCCGCTACTATAGATCGCTGAGCTATTACCAAATGCGGAATTGTTTTTTATTTTTTTTTGACTTTGATCTGAAACTGATTTTGGCATTCAAAGTGTTAATATTTCATCGCATACAAACTCGACTTAAGTTTTTCAAATATTCTTGTGGTCGCATAAATTTCTATTATTCAAACATGAAAGAAAGAAACAAGGGTACTCATGACAGTAATAATGATGATGATGATGAGGAAGAGGAGGAAGATGATGAAGAAACAACAACAACAACTACTACAACAAACAACAATCGTATTACTAAAAGAAGAAAGAATGCCGAATCACCTGATAGTAATGATGGTGATACAACATCTACTCTTGCTATAGATCAATTACGACAAAGAAAGAGATCATCATCATCAACGTCGTCATATCTGTTTAACAGTAATAACAAGAGAGTAATAAACAATGAAGAAGGTGATGAAAACGAAAAGAGTAAATATAAACTATATCGTATTAAGATTGATTGATTGATTGCTTGTTATTCTATCTTGCTAATATATATCTTCTTTAATTTTTAAAAGATGAAAGAGTAGTATACAAAGAGAAAGAATTGAAAAGTAAACTTAAAAAAGATTTACTATTGATTTGTCAATCATTAGATGTAACAGCTACAATGAATCAAACCAAAGATACAATCATTCAGAGTATTTTAAAGATACAAAACGATAGATTATCATTTAAACATAATATGATTGATAATAATCCTTTACAAGATTACAACAAAGGATCACTTGAATATTCTTTACCGTGGCCAATCATCAGTAGAATACTCGATCTACTATGGACGCAATCATCTATTTGTACTTGTTACTATAGCGATCAATTTATTAGTACTGTAAAATCACACTCAACCAATAATGACTTGGGTATTTTTCATTACTATCAAATGTGGCCATTGTATAAACCTCTTTTGGATCAATACAAAGAATCAAGAATGAAATGTCCAATGCATTCGTACTACTATTCAAATGGTCTAGTTCCGTCAATCATCATTTCAGCGCCATTTGTTTTCGATTTAAAAGACAAGCCAATTTGGAGAGTACAACTTTTAACACTCTCCAAACGAGTCAACCAGTATTTTTCATTCAAATATTTTACCAATGTTAAACTATCATTCAATCAAGATTTATGGAATCATATCAACGGTCAATACTGTCCAATCAAAACACCAAAACAACTTTCAATCAGTAATGCCTATGACTATGATAGTTTTGGCAATAACAACACATCAATATTTTCGACAGTTGAAAAGTTATCGATCGTTGATCAAACCAACTTTTCAACAAGTCATATCAAGAGTATACAAAAACAATTCAAGAATATCAAATCTTTTACTTTAAGAAATTATTGTGCCTTTAAAACACCATTCCTATCACAATTCAAGAATCTTACATCACTCAATTTAATATTTGCACCATATATTGATGACCAACAACAACTATTAAATATTCTTAAACCTGGGATGATTAAACTTTTACTCCCAAGTGAATGGACAACAGAAGAAATTACCCTTAAACCTAAACTAGCCAACACCATTCAAATCAGTAATATCACTCCACCAAATCAAATGCCAAACTTGCATACCTTTCATCTTCCCTATGCATCATATGATATGTCATCGTTTGATCATCCAAATGTTACAAAATTGGTGGATCCATGTACCAACTCTCAAGCAATGTCACTCATTGTTCCTCCAACCATTGACACTTTAAAATTCAGTGCAGATCCAAGTCTTTTTCTAGACATCAATTTAATTACAAAGGCAACATTTTTTAATGAATTGAATGTCAACAAACTCATTATCAACTGTCAAACTGAAATATCAGATCAAACTATAAATCAAATGAAAAGACATGGATATGAATACGATGGTGCAATAAGAAAGTTATCAACCAAAAGACAACTACATTTTATTAAAACAACTACACCATCAACACCTGAAATAATCATTCAAACACCTGATATAGTTGTACACAAACAAGTAGAGATCAATAATCCAACACTACCATTTTATTTAATTGAAAAGATTATTGGATACTCTTGGAATAGTTATTATTGTACTTGTGATATTGAAACTACACCAGACAATGAAAATCGTACACACTCTAGAGATATTACAGATTACATCAAACAATCTGAAATATTCCTCAAGGCAAAATCAATATGTCCAATGCATAAGAATCATATACCAAATACCGATACATACCATCGAGATAGTCCAATACAACAAATCAATCAACAAAGATTTGGAATTTCTCAGTCATGCAAAAGACTATTCGAATATGTTTCAAATCATCTTGTCAAGAGATCTAGTTTTGCTTTTCAAGAATACGAAACATTACTCAGACACCAACACTATTCGAATCAGTATTGTCTAATGGGTAAATCAATTGAAAATCTCATCATTGAAGTACCCCATCAAGTCACTGGTAAAGTTTGGGAGTTTCTAAATCTTCATCATTATTCAAATACTCAAAGTTTGAAATTCATGCTAGTGCGCCCATCTCAATTACCTAGTGTCCCTGTATTCATCAATTCACTTGGTCGATTACAATCTCTAACTTCATTGGATATATCTCAATGGAGACTACTAGATCAAGAAAGTACATTGGCTATCAAAGAATTAAAAAATCTACCTCTTAGAAAATTATACTATCAAATGAAAGATAATCAATTTCTATTTCAAGACAATAATGATGGTGACAGTGAAGATGATTCAAGTAAATGGCCAATTACAAAATCATTGGAATCAGTATCTATCAACTCTTTTGATGTCATTCCAAAATTGGATAGATTACCAAAACTCAGACATCTAAGAATTGATATAGAACGTGAACAAGGACAAAATGGAAATGTAGAGTTGACAGAACAACAAATCCAATCAATTCTTCCATCCACCATCACCAAACTATCATTCTCTGATACCAATATTGCCAAAATCAGTCAATACAATCCTCAAGTAAACCAACTAGTCATGTTATCACCCAACAATAACTACTATTTTGACCATCAATTCTATTTACCCTATGATAATGTACAAAAGATATCAATTAGAATGGTATCCATTCATCATATCAATCGCCGGTACCCTCACATTTCACCTCAAAGTAACTTTCAATTAATTGGAACCTTTTACACGAGCATAAACACAGATGGCACAGTAAATCATAAATGGGTCTATTTAAGGAAGAATCAACAACCCTACAGTTCAACCAACCCAACAGCTACGACTACTAAATATAAATAATAAATAATAAAATTAATTATTCCATTTCTTGGAAATACAAAGCTTGTTCTCAGACTGTGTCTCTTGCTAAAAAATGCTGTGCATATTGTTTATTTAATTATCATCTGTCACTCAAACAACAATGAAAGATAGAAAGAATACATTTCAATTTGTAAACAAGAGTGCTAAGATAAATAATAAAAATAGTAATAGTAATAGTAATAAAGAGAATGATGTGATATTATTGGATAGTAAGAGTGAGGAAGAAGAAACAGTAGTAAATACTAAGACTACAACAAACAATCATGTGACTAAAAGAAGAAAGAATAATATGACTGATAGTAATAACAACAACAACAACGATGATACAACAACAACAAAGGACATCGATAAAGTAAATAACAATAATAGTGCTACTGATCAATTACAACAAAGAAAGAGATCATCAGCATCAACATCATCAAATCAGTTAAATAATAATAACAAGAGAGTAATCAACTTTGAAGAAGATGATAATCAAGAAGATGTAAAGAGAAGTAATATATCAAACTTGAATATTGATAGATGTTATTCTCATTAGGTTACTTACTCTACTTTAAAGTTAAAAAACAGGTAGAGAATGAATTAAAGAGTAAACTTAAAAAAGATTTATTATTGATTTGTAAAAGATTAAATGTAACAGCTACAATGAATCAAACCAAAGATACAATCATTCAGAATATTTTAAAGATACCAAACGATAGATTATCATTCATCATTATTGATAATAATCCTTTACAAGTTTACAACAAAGGATCACTTGAATATTCATTACCGTGGCCAATCATCAGTAGAATACTCGATCTTGTTTGGACAGATGCATCTATTTGTACTTGTTACTATAGTGAACAATTATTTATTTCATTGGTATCTAAAGGTCCCCGTTCTCTTTTTGATCACTTTCAAATGTACCCAATCTATCAACAGTTGATGGATGTGTACAAAGAATCTAGAATGAAATGTCCAATGCATGCATACTACTATTTGAATGGTTTGTATCCTCCAGTCAACATTGCCATTTCTACACCTTTTTATTCTGAATTCAGAAATGACAAAAACCGTTGGAGATTTAAACTTTTAACTCTATCGAAACGAGTCAACCAGTATTTATCATCCAATCACTTTACCAATGTTAAACTATCATTTAATCAAGATCTTTGGAATCATGTCAACAACCAATATTGTCCAATCAAAACACCAAAAAAACTTACACTTGACAAACACCACCAACTTCAACTATTTTCAAACCGCAACTCAATGTTATTTTCAAAGGTTGAAAAGTTATCAATCTTTTATACACCAGGATCCAAAGAAATTCCACAACCTGTTTTCAACAACATACAAAGTCTATTCAAGAATATCAAATCATTGACTTTAAAATTTTATATAAAATATGAAGTATCAGTCCTATCACAATTCAAGAATCTCACGTCTCTCAATTTAGAACATCCACCTCATCTTTGTAACGATAGACAACAACTATTGGACGTTCTTCAACCTGGGATGATCAAACTTTTACTTCCAAGTCAGTGGTGTACTGAACCAATCACACTCGGCACCAAACTAGCCAACACTATTCAAATCAGTAATATCACTCCACCCAATCAAATGCCAAACTTGCACACCTTTTATACTCCCTATGCATCATATGGTATTTCCTCATTCTATCACCCAAATGTTACCAAATTGGTAGAATATTACACACGACCAAAATACGGTAGTCCTCTATTACCCATTATCCTTCATCCTTCCATTGAAACTTTGAAAATAGGGTCAAAGGAAGATCATTTTTATCGTGTTGAAATCAATGTTTTATTCGATAGATTGAATGTCAAGAACCTCATTCTTTTCTATTATCCAGATATATCAGATAAAATTATAAATGATTTTAAAAGACATGGATATGAATATAAAGGTTCTGTTTTCAAAGGGCCAACAAAAAGAAAACTACATTTTATTAAAACAACAACACCAACACCTGAAATAACACCAAAAATATCAAGGGTTTGATATAATCATTATAATAAAGATTCAAACATGGATTGTAATCAATGTAGCAAGTACACCAATAACTATTCCAAGAGTACCCAACAAATTGCCAAAATGACTAGATACAATATTCATGTGAGGGAACTGGTATTCTTACACACCCTTATAGGCATTGACTATCATAAAGCTATTCAATTTCCAACCTATGACAATATCCAAAAGATTACCGTCAATACATATTCCTTTACCTCTCACCGTAACTACCCTTTGATTCCCGAAAGAGATCGTAATCATACACATCAAGGTGAGTTTATGCATCAAAAATGGCTTTATTTGAGACGAGATGAATTCCCCAAAAAAAAATAAATAAAAAGTGTTATTGTTGCAGATCAACGATCACTCTTATTTTTCTTTACAGACAGCATTCTTTTTATCAATGAATAATGAAACAATGAAGGAACGCAGTTCAAACAACGATGACAATATCGATGAGATGCTGTCGTTTAGCAAAGATCATCTGAAAACAGAAGAAGAAGCACAACATATTACAAAAAGAAGAAAGAGTAATATAAACACGATGGATTCAACAACTGATAAAGTAAATAATGATGATAGTAGGAAAGATATCGATCAATTTTCATCATCAACTTCACATCAGCTTAATATAAACAACAAGAGAGTAATCAACTTTGAAGAAGATGAAAATAATCAAGATGGTAAATATAACTAATGTAGATGAATGAAATGAATTCATTGTTTAGATATTTGTATTTACAATCCTTTTTAAATTTGTAAAGTTAAGCAACAACAAAATGAAAGATCAATAACCAAACGATCTATTTCAATCAAAAACATTATGATTGATTATAGTAAAGGATCACTTGAATATTCATTACCGTGGTCAATCGTCAGTAGAATACTCGATCAACTTTGGATTGAATCATCTATTTGTACTTGTTACTATAGTCATCAATTAATTGATACTTTAAAATCGCAACCCGATGGCGGGGTCTATTCTCCTTTTGATTACTATCAAATGTGGCCAGTCTATCAACCATTGATGGATATACATAAAGAATCAAGAATGAAATGCCCAATGCATGCATACTACTATTTGAATGGTTTGTATCCTTCAATCAATATTTCTGCCCCATTTGTTTCTGAATTGAACAATGACAAAAACCATTGGAGATTTAAACTACTTGAATTATCCAAACGAATCAACCTTTATTTATCATCCAATCACTTGACCAATGTTAGGCTATCAATCAATCAAGATTTATGGAATCATATCAACAACCAATATTTACCTATCAAGGCACTAAAACGACTGACAATCAATCTTACCTGTACACCTGAAAACTTTGTCAACACATCAATATTTTTCTCTGTTGAAAAGCTTTCAATAGATGGAAATAGAGATATTTCACCAAAATTTCTAAGGAACTTACAGAGTGTTTTCAAAAATATCAAATCATTCACATTCAAAATCTTTAGTAAATTTAATTGTAATCTACAGTCCCTTTTCCAATTCAATAATCTCACTTCAATCAATTTGACATTTCCACCCCACAATTCTCATCGACAACAACTATTGGATATTCTTCAACCGGGGATCATTAAACTTTTACTCCCCGGCTGTTGGTGTACTCAACCAATCACGCTCAAAGCCATTCTAGCCAACACTATTCAAGTCAGTAACATCTCTCCACCAAAACAAATGCCAAATTTGCACACCTTTTATACCCCCTCTTCATCTTACGATATTTCATCGTTTGATCATCTAAACGTGACAAGGATAGTTGATCAGCCTTATGACTTGCAATCATTACCACCCATCATTGCCCCCTCGACTATTGAAACTTTGAAATTCAGTGCAAATCCAAATCCAAATTTATTTCTTGATGTTAATTCTATTATTCAAACTCCTGGTTTGTTGGATCAATTAAATGTCAAGAAACTCATTCTTTACTGTCATTTGGAAATATCAGACAAAACCATTAATTCTTTTAAAAGACATGGATATGAATATCAAGGTGCTATATTTAAAGGACCATTAAAAAGACAACTCCATTTCATCAAAATAACTAAACCAACACCTGAAATAATAATTGAAACAACACTAGAAACAGTGGTACACAAACCAACAGAGATCAACAACCCAACACTCCCCTATTACCTAATTGAAAAGATTGTCAGATACTCTTGGAATAGTTATAGGTGTACTTGCGACATTGAAGGTGAATTAGTTGATCAAAGCAATCAGCCCCAGTTTCAAATGGGAGATTATATCAAACAATCACAAAAATTCCTCAAAGCCAAATCAATGTGTCCAATGCATAAGCATCGTTTACCATATATCAGAATTTATAAAGGAGAAAGTGTAATTAGACAAATCAACCAACTTCGATTTGGAATACCAACTTCATGCAAGAGACTATTTTCATTTGTTTCCAAGTATCTTGTAAATAGCTCTTGGATTCCCTTACAAGAATCTGAAATATCAAACAGACATCAACATTATTCAAATCCATATTGTCTGTTTGGTAAATCAATTGAAACTCTCACAATTGAGATCTCACATACTATCAACAAAAGAAAAAGCTGGCGGTTTCTTAATCTCAATCACTATTCAAATTTAAAAAGTTTGAAATTTGCACCAGTGGGTACGAACCAATTTTCCCTCCCATGTATCCATAAACTTCTATCACAAAGTGGCCGTTTACAATCTATTACTTCATTGGATCTCTCAATATCAAAACTTGACACAATCAGTGGGTTATCCATCAGCTCTTTAAAGAATCTACCTCTTAGAAAACTATACTATGTTTTCAAAGAGAACCAATTTCTCTTTCAACAACAAAACAGTGAAGATGATGATTCAAGTAAATGGCCAATTACACAATCTTTAGAATCAGTATCTATCAACTCTTTTGATGTCATTCCAAAATTGGATAGACTCCCAAAACTCAGACATCTAAGAATCATTATAGATTCAGGTCATGGATTTAACGTAAACATCGAGTTTTCAGAACAACAAATGAAATCAATTCTTCCATCCAATGTCACCAAACTATCTTTTGTCAATACCAATATTGCTAATATGTGTCAACACAATCCACAAGTAAATCAACTGGTATTGATATGTACCTATAGCTATGATGGTCGTCCATTTTATTGGTTTGATGACAATGTTGAAAAGATTACGATCAAAACACTCACTTATATTCCTCACCGCTCCAAACCTTTTATTTCACACCAAAGCAACTTTCAATTCATTGGGGCCTTTTACAAATGCGTCCAAACTCTAGCCAATGGCACAATGCACAAATGGATATATTTGAAAAAGAATGATCAATCAACCCAACAGTTACGACTAAACAACAATCAATAATAAATCAATCAAATGCGTAGATTCTAATAATTTAAAGTGTTTTATTTAACATGTAATTTGGCTACCGAGGTGGTTGATGATAAGGAGGATATTGTTGTGGTCTATGTTGATCGTATAAATGAGGTGGATATTGTTGTGGTGTTTGGTGATATGGATGAGCTGGAGGTTGGTGATGTTGTGGTTGTGGTGGATATCCTTCTCTTGGTGGATGAGATGTTGGAGGTGGTTGGTGATGTGGATGTGGCGGATACCCTTCTCTTGGTGCGTGAGATGATGGAGGAGGTTGATGATGAGAGGGCAGATGTGGGGGATAATGATTTGGTGGTGGTTGGGCTCTTGGGGGATACGCATAAGCATATCTATGATCGCTATATTGATGAAGTGGATGAGAGGATGGAGGAGGTTGATGATGATGAGAGGTGGGTGGTTGGTGATGTGGATGAGCTGGAGGCTGATGATGTTGCGGTGGTGGATGAGACGCCGCTGGTGCTGGTGGGGGATATGTCTCTCTAGGAACAACATTTGGTACATGTGGTTGATGGTATGGATGAGTCGGGGGATGATAGTGTTGTGGTTGTGGCGGATACCCTTCTCTTGGTGCTGGACTATATCTCTCGTCCCTTGGTTGAGTTTGTTGAAGAGGAGGAAGAGGAGCAGGTGGAGGAGACTGTAGATGTTCCTCTTTAGGTGGGGGTGGTGCTTCGAGTTGTTTTTGAGGTTGATCTTCCTCCAATTGCATTGGCTCTGGTACCTGTATTGGATTTTGTTCCTCCTCGTCAGGAGACTCAATCTTTGGCCCCTCGGCGCTTGGAAGTGCAAGAACTGGTATGGATGGCGAGGAAAACTCGCCCTCTTCTTTTTCGTGTTTGTTCTCAATAGCAAGAGTCGGCTCTTGTTCTTCTTTTGCTTCATCTTCCTCTTCTGGCACCAACAATTCTTTCTCTGGTGCTACCACTAGTGCCAGAGACTCGGTTTCAAGATTCTCCTTTGGAGGGGTAGGCTCTGATTGTTGTTTTTGGAGTTCAGGTACGACTGGCTCTGCTACTGCTGCTGTTGGAGGAGCTGTATTGGGTGGCTGTTGAGGAGGTTGTGGTGAATAAACATCAGCTGTTGGAGGTGGGTAGGGTTGAGGTGTATGTCGTGTCTCGGGTGCGGGTGGGTGTCTACCCTCATCTCTTGGTGGTTGTGGTGAATATCCTGCATGTGTAGGAGGAGGAGGAGGAGAAGGATAGTGAGGTGGATAAGGTGGTCTTGTATCTGGAGCAGGTGGTGGGTTTCTACTTTCATCTCTTGGTGGGTAACTGTGTGCAGGAGGAGGAGGAGAAGGATAGTGGGGTGGATAAGGTGGTCTTGTCTCTGGAACGGGTGGTGGGTCCCTACCCTCGTCCCTTGGTGGGTATCCGTGTGCATGAGGAGGATAGTGAGGAGGTGGAACATGTCTACCCTCTTGGGTTTCTGGTTGAGGAGGGTAATGTGATTGTGGTGGATATCTATTGGGATCAGCTTGTGGTACTGCTGGTGGAGGATGTGGGTATCTAGCATGATCATAATGTCCACCTCGTGTGTCGTGTTGCGGATGATGATGAGGATTTGGTGGATATCCTTGATGTGCAGGAACAGGAGGAGGAGGGTGATGGGGGTGTTGGTATCCATGGGGAGGTGGATATGCAGCAGGTACTGGAGGTGGGTGGGGGTGAGAATGGCTCGGTTGATGATGATGGGGGTAAGGGTTTGTATGAGGTGGTTGGGTAGGATGTTGAGGAGGAGGGTGATGGGGGTGTTGGTATCCATGGGGAGGTGGATGTGCAGCGGGTGCTGGAGGTGGGTGGGGGTGAGCATGGTTCGGTTGATGATGATGGGGATGTCTTGGATCATCTCTTGTTGCTGGTGGTGGATGAGGATACGGACTCGTATGAGGTGGTGGAGGAGCAAATCGTGGATCTTGGCTACGAGGTGGAGAAGATCGATGATGTTGGTAATATCCTCCTGGTGAGGGTTGAGGAGGTGGATGTGCATCTCTTGTTGGAGTTGGTGGATATTGGTGAGCAGGTTGTGGATGGTCAGGAACAGGTCTATGTTCCTGAGGATGGTGTGGATAATGTTGTGGAGGATAATGATGTGGTTGTGGTGGTGGATGAGGTTGAGATTGATGGTGTTGTTGCTGATGTTGAGGAGGAGTATGAGCCAAATGTTCACTTTGATGTCTTCTCGGTGATCTATAAGGAGACTGTCTTGGATCGGCTGATTGATGGTTATTTTCTCTTGGAGGAGAATCAGCCCAAGGATTTGCCTCGGAATGATCGACTTCTATTATATCACTTCCTCCAAATCCACCTCTATCAAATGAAACTCTACTCGCCGATGACTGTTCGTGCATCTTTTCTTCCTTTTCCTTTGGTGTCGTTTGTGAAGGTTTTCTTGCCGTGTTTCGAGTGATGATAACAGCAATCAATGAATTTTTAAAGGTAGAAGGAGAGGAATCGTCAACCGATGTAGATGACTTTTGCACCCTTAGGAATTCTGGGAATTCATCTTGTTTGCAAGGAAGCAGATAAATGCATTTGACATTGATCTTGCCCGAGACGAGAGTTGGCTTGGCAACGAGAACGGGTGCCGTTGACTTTGAAATCTCTTTGAATGCCGTGTCGTACAAATTACGGTCCAACTCTGATGATGGATCGAGCATCCAAATACTCTTGGCACGCGTCTTGGAGAGTGACTCCATCTGTACAATAAAATCCGAGAGTGCTGTAACTTCCATCGATCCGATAAATCTGATTTGATCCAATTTCTCTGATGCAAATGCTTGGACGACGGATCGATCGCCACCGACATGTGAAAACTTGACCTTGAACGATCTTAGTTTAGACCCACCCTTTTCGAGCAGTGGAAAAGCAAGTAATACATTTTTGAACAATTGTATTTGTAGTGGTGGTGATGAAGGTACCTCTACATCTGTTGAATTGTTATTATTGTTATTATTATTATTACTATTATTACTTGTACTTGAAATTTCCTCCAATGGTGATGATGGATGATCAATAAATGGATTATCATGACCACCAACACCTATATCATTATTGTTGTCAAATTGATTATAACTAACAAATACTTCTTCATCATTTTTGTGTTGATGGTGATGAATCTCTGTACCAATACCTTTGATGGTTCCAATTGACACCGATGCAGGTTCCTCTTTCTTTTGTGAATCAATGTTGACTTCCACATCACCTTTGTGCGTTTTCTTGATGATTGTCTTTTTATCATCTGGCAATACGATTTGATGCATTGACTTTTCCTTTAATTCCTTTCTCAATTCTGCCAATGAATTGGTCGCCCAATCTTGTGGTGACATTTCCGCAATCTCTCTTGGTTCAATATCAAAACATAATATTCCACCTCTCAACTCTGGATTTGATTTAATATTAAATACTAATGATCTTGACCTTAAAAAAAATTAATAAATTAAATAATTTAATATTAAATATTGATATACATACTTTGTAACATATTCACGACTTTGATGACCATCTGATTTTGAAAATAAAGCAGCTTCAATATTTTTAGATAATTCAGATATTTTTTCCATGTCTAGACAAGGAAGTTTAGTCAATGGTAACGTAGCATATCTTTTAAAAAAAGAAGCAGGTGCATTCTCTTTGACATAGTCTATCATTTTACTACTGTATCCAATAAAATAAGGTTCCAAATCATCTATAAATCGTGGTTGTTCTAATAATAAAACCGGTGATTTGTTTAGAGCTAAATGTTGTGCGATAGATTCAATTGGTTGAGATGGTATCTCTTGAGTTTGTTGTGATGATGGGAGTGGTTGTGGTTGAGGTGTTGGCAAGATGATTTGCTCGCTTGGTTGTGATTGTGGTGGAGGGGTTGGGAAAATGTTTTGCTGGGATTGCTCAATTGGTTGAGACTGTTCAATTGGTTGGGATTGTGATGAATCAATCTCCATTTGTGATGATGAATCAATCTCCATTTTTGCCTGTTGTTGTTGATCTAAATTTGTGGTTGTTGAATTATTATTCACATTATTATCTATTGATTGATTAAAAGATTGTGAATTGTCTACCAAATGTGTTGGTTGAGATGGGGGAGGTGGAAAAAGATTTGTATCAAAAGATTCGGATTGTTCTGTAAATTTTGAAAAATCTTGAAGAATGGATGGTGAAATGGGTTGGTTGATTAGAAGTGACTGACTGTACAGATGCAAAACCATGGTGCAATCTGCTCCACCAAACAAATCACGATATCCATGTGATGCATCAGCCTTTGTCGCTGAATCTGGTGATTGAGTTTTTGTAGAGGTTGTTTCAGCAGTATTGGGTGGCGGTATTATAGTAGTACTATTATTATTATTATCTGCTATAGTAGTTGGTGGTGCAATATCCATTGGATTGGTAATGGTTGATTCTGATGGGACCTGTACAATTGGTTCCTGTTGTTGGTTAGGGTTAATTTGTGATTTTTCTTCAACTGGTTGTTGTTGACTAATAATATTAACAGGCAACTGGGACGGCTGATCAATTTCTACATTGATTACCTCGAATGTCTCCAATTCTTTTGAGATTTTATCCATTTGTGAATTAATTAAATCTTGGAAAAATGAATCACCTATTTAAAAATGAATGTTAGTAACAAATAAATAAATATTTCTCTCTTTCTCTATCAATATACATACCAAATGGAGTTAATAAAGATTCATATAATAGATTTTGAACAGTTGATCGATTATCAGAAACAGAATGTTGTTGTTGTTGTTGTTGTTGTTGTGATTTCGATGGTGTTTCTGGTTGAGTCGATGATGAAGTAGTCGTTGAAGAGGAAGCAGTGGTAGTAGTAGTAGTAGGAGGTGATGAACTTCCATTTGAAAAAGGTTGACTTGATGAAACGTTGGTGGTTGTGGTGGTGGTGGTGTTGGTTGCGGTGGATGGTGAGGTAGATGATTTTTGTTTATCTACTGGCCTGCTGGTTGGAGTCGAAGTTGAAGTCGAGCTACTACTACTACTACTACTATTATTAGTAGCAGTTTTAAATTGTGAAGAATATGGTTTTGAAGATGAAGTTGGTGGAGGTTGTGATTGATTACTATTCTCTTTTTCCTTTTGCATTCTAAGAGATTCTTCATGAATCATTTTAGCTCTTTCCAAACTTTTAAGTGCACTTTCGTTGGAAGCTCGGGCTGCCATTTTCTTTTTCTGATTCTTTGGACTGATCAAAATCAATTTTGAAGGATCAGGTATCTTTTCAATCGGCTGGAATCTACCCTTGTAAAATTGGTGTTGATTGTTATTTTGTTGCAATTGTTGTTGCCATCCTGTTAATCCTTCTGCCGATGATTTGAGTGATTTGGGTGATCCAGGTGACGATGTAGAAGTAGAGTTGGTTGATGATTTAAGTGAAGGTGACCTTGATGATGATGATGTAGATGAAGATGTAACCTTTGATTTCTTCTTTGGTGTTGTAATTAGTTTATCCTTTTCCTTTTCTTTTGGTGATTTGGATGATGTGCTCTTTTTAGAAGATTTTTTACCGCTGTCAGAGTCACTACTATTACTACTACTGCTGCTTGTCCAATCACTATCACTATCACTACTACTACTATCACTTGAAATAACCCTACTACCACCACTACTATTGGAATGATTACCACTATTCCCATTATTCGTAACCTTTTTCTTTTTCTGTTCATTCATTGGTCCAGATCTGGATGTTGTCGATTTGGGTTGACTATGTTTTTTAGGAGTTGGAGTAGTAGGAGTAGTAGAAGTCTTTGGTTTCTTTGTTCTATCCTCTTCTGCTGCTGCTGCTGCCGTCATAGTCGTTGATTTAGATGGTTTCTTCTTTATTGGAATATTGTCCATTCCACTACCCCGATATTCTCTATTTGTTGTAGTTGTTGTCGTCGTAGTCGTCGTTGTTGATGATGTTGTACTTGTATTGTTGTGACCAAAACTATCACTATCATTGATATCTCTCTTTCTCTTCTCCAATATTTTATTCTTTCCTAAAAAATATTTCAAAAAATAGATTAATATACAATATTATTAAAGTTGAATTTAATTTTGGTTTACACCATACTTGGAGATAAAATAATTCCTTCCATTTCCTGTTGATGTAATCTAAATGCATATCTTTTTGCATCTCTTTCATCAAAGTGTTCAATGACAACGCGGCAAGGAACACACTGTTCCTTTGCTTGACATATTGGACATTGAAAGTAATTGACTCGGGCAGCTATATCTTTGGTGATTCCTACGCACGGTCCGTGGAACCAATCCTCGCATTTTTGACAACAAACCATGAACCCATATTCACCTCTTCTACATATACAATAGATATCCTCTTGTAATGCCGTCACACTTTGTTGTGATTTGTTTAAATTATTTAGATTACTTAAATGTGTTGTTGGTTGATAAGTTGCATTGATAGAGTTACTACTAATACTACTACTACTACCACCACCACTATTACTATCTACTGATAAAGATAATCCGTTATTATTATTATTATTGGTTGTATTATTATGATTATTGTTATTGTTGCTGTCGGTTGAAGAGGTTGAAGTTGTTGATTCCTCTAATGGAATGTTGTTGCTGTCTCTTGATACATCTAATGGAGTAGTACTACTATCATCTAATCGTCGTGGTATACTATCCATTGATTCATTCATTATCTATATAAATAATTAAATAATAATAAACAACAATAATATCATAGACAACACAATAGTTAGTATAAATAAATAGGCGCCATGAACTAAAATTATTTGGTGTGATGAGAGGGGAGAGGGTGATGGTGATGATCAATATTGTGGGGTTTGACTATTTTACATACATCATCATTCATTTGACTATTATTATTTAAACTATCATTCATATTGTCACTCATCTGAGTAAAGGTATCATTATTATTATTATTATCCATAATTGTATCGACTGCTGCTCCATCGACAATTGTATTATTATTAAAGTTATTTAAATTATTGGTGTCTGGTTGTTGTTGTTGTTCTTGTTGACTATGGTCAATCTCCATATCCTCGGATTGACTATTACTATTAACATCAGCGCTAATATCGGGTGCTACTTGTCGTTCAACTTCTATCTTTGATTCTTGTTCTTGTTGTGAAAATGAAAGAGATGATGTTTGTGTATCTGTAAATGTAAAAGAGGGATCATCACCAACCACCTGACTCTCTTTCTCCTTCTCTTTAATGATATCCTTTTCTATGATGGGTGTTGGTGCTGCTATAGGTTGTGGTTGTTGTACTCTATCCTCAATAATCTCTTCTATAATCTCTTCTATAATCTCTTCTATAATCTCTGGATTACTAGAAGAATAAGAAGATTCAACAATAACAGACGACAACAACGACGACTGATTTGATAAAGTTTGTTCTTGTTGGTTTTGTTGTTCAAGTTCTTTTTCTAAAGGGGACTCTATAATCTCTGGTACCAATGAATTAAATTGATTATTATCATAGTAGTGATGAAGATGAGGTGGTGTAGTTGTAGGTGTAGTTGTAAAAGATGTAGACACACTAGTATTAGTTGGTTCAACTATTGATGGTACTTTCACACTTTCAACAAGAACACTATTATCATCATTATTATTATTATTATTAATATGATGATCTAATTCCGATATTGTTGTTGTTGTTGTTGTTGTTGTTGACTCTGGTTCAGATATCATTGTTATTATTATTTATTTAATCTAATCCAATTTAATCTAATCTAATCGGAACAACAAATATATATGTATATACAGCTTCATTACCCTTGATTTTGGGTAAGATATATCTAATTAATAAAAGGAGGGGATGATGATATGATATGCCCTTTGATCCTCTTTTGTTGTCTATCTATCTCTTTTAGACTGACTATATATGTACATATAAAAATGAGATGACTTTTGATGAAGTTTCATCAAAAATGAGAACACCCTTAGACCAGCGACGTCGTCCCACAAACTCACTATGAAAATATATTCCCACCCTTTGTTTTTACTAAAATACTCAGAGTAACTTCTATCTTCATAATAATAATAATTATACTTTTTAATAATAATAATTATAATAGATTTTTATGACTGATGATAATAATTAAGATAGGGGGTATTTTAATAGATGATTTATAAAATATGATATTTAAAATCTTTAATTGGTAGGGACTAGAATAATTTTTTATTATTTTCTATTTGGCTGTTTCTAAAAAAGGAAAAAATTACTTTTAGAGAATATTTTTAATATTTTTTTATTCTATTATTATATAAACGTAGGGATTACACTCTTTATTTCTTCTTAATATCAACCAACTAGAATAAATAAAGTTAGATATAAATCCTACCACCAAATAATAATAATAATATTATTTAATTAATATATCAAATTAAATTAACAACAATATATATATATAGCAACAATGTATAGACGTGGAATGAGACCAATTGTAGTAGCACCACCCATGAGAAGAGGGTTGGGAGGATTAATCGTTCCAGTTGCAGCGGGTGCTGTCGCAGGCTCAGTCGTTGCAAGTCACAAGAATTCAGCCAAAAATGCACAACCTCAACAAGCACCTCCACCTCCCACCAATACTGTCTACAGTATGCCACAGCAACAACAACAAATGCCACAAATGGTAGTTGTAGGATACGACCAAGCTGGTAATCCACTCTACCAACCAGCTCAAATGAATACCCAAACTGTCTACCAAGTACAACAACCACAACAAGGTGTTCCAATGCAACAACAACAACCAACCCAATATCAATAATCAACTAATTCTAATCTACTCTAATCGTCTCTAGATCAGAGCAAACTACTTGTAAATTATTATCAAAAAAAAAAAAACTAAATAAATATAATTATAATCACATAATATATGCATGATTCTCGAATATCTTATTGTTCAATAAGTGTTGTGTCAGGGACAAAGAGAGATGAAGTAAAAAAAAAAAAATCGAAAAAATTCAAAAAAAAAGAAACGAACGAAGAAGAAAAGAATACCACACCGACTGCCCTTCTCTCTTTATCATTGATTGAGTATTGTAATACTTGCGTCCATCCTACACATTTATTATTATTTTGTATATAAACAACAACAACAACATATTAACTATATATCTGTATACACAAGTAGAGTAAACAGATAAACAAAACAAGAAATATATATATAGAAAATGGCAAAAGGAAAACCAAAAAGAGGTAGCAACCTAGGAAAGCAATTGATTAAATCAAAATATAAGAAACATACTTTGAATAAAGAAACACTTGGTGTATGTTATAATGAGATATAGATATAGAGAGATAGAGATATAGAGATAGAATAGATATTTACTTTTGATGATTTGTATTGTTTTAGATGTACACAACTGATATAGATGCAAGAGAAGAAAGAAAGAAACAATTTGCATCACAGACAGACAGTGGAAATATGTTGGATCAATTCATTGAACAATCAGAGATGGAACAAAAGGTATTCGAAGCAGAGAAACAAAACGTCGTCGTCTTGTTAAAGACATCGTCGACCGTCATGACACAAGAAGAACGTACACAGAGAACACTCGAACATCAACAAGTGATGGAAAAGAACAAGTTGTTTTGGAACTCTCTCACTATTCCTCGTCGTCCCTATTGGGATGAAACTACAACCACCGAAGAATTATTATTAAATGAAAAGGAATCATTCTATAATTGGAGAAAGGGTTTGGCAAAGTATGTGTTGAAAAGAAAAAACAAACTTTAGAAAAAAAGAAAAAGAAAGACAATATATTGTAAAAGTATACTTATAATATTAATATACTTTTTGTTTTCTTTCTTTTAGATTGGAAGAAGAAGAAGGATTAATTGTAACACCATATGAAAAGAATCCAGAAGTTTGGAAACAATTGTGGCGTGTAGCAGAGAGAAGTGATTTGTTGGTACAGATTGTGGACGCGAGAAACCCGTTGTTGTTTAGATCGCCGGATCTCGAGAAATACGTCAAGGAGATTGACGACAAGAAGAACCTGTTGCTGCTGGTCAACAAGGCCGACTTGCTGACCAAGGCACAGCGTCGTAAATGGGCCAAGCACTTTGACACGGAGGGTATCAACTTTAGATACTTTTCGGCACACAAGGAGCAGGTGCGTATCGACAAGAAGAAGCAGATTGAGAAGTTGTTGGCAGCTGCCAGCTTGCGCGGCGACGACGACGACGATCTCGACGACTTGAACAACTTGGAGATCCAAAAGCTCAAGGAGAACCTCATCCAAGAGGACGACGACGAGCCCGAGGCCAAGAGCACACCCGTGTCGTCGGCACTGCTGAGCAGCGACATGGAGATGGACGAGAAGATCAGAGTGTACACACGTGACGAGATTGTTGGCGAGATGCTCAAGTTGGCACCCGAGACACTCGACAAGGACAACCGATACGGCGGACGTGTCATTGTCGGTATGTCGGGCTACCCCAACGTCGGCAAGTCGTCGACCATCAACGTGTTGTACGGCGAGAAAAAGGTCGCCGTCGCACCCACCCCCGGAAAAACCAAGTACGTGCAAACCATCATTCTCGACGAGCGTATCGTCTTGCTCGATTGTCCGGGTCTCGTCTTCCCCACCCTGCTCTCGTCCAAGGCAGACATGGTGTGCAACGGCCTGCTCCCCATCGATCAGTTGCGTGACTTTATCTCGCCGGTCGACTTGATCTGCGAGCGTATCAGTCGTCGCTACCTCGAAGAGTTTTACGCCGTCGGTATCCCCAAACCAAAAGAGCACGAGCTCCAAGACCGTCCCCCTACCGCCGCCGAACTCCTCTCTGCACACGCCCAAATGCGTGGTTTCCGTACCGTGCATGGTGTGCCCGATCAATCGCGTTCCGCCCGTATCGTCCTCAAAGATCTTGTCAACGGCAAGCTCATCTACTGTTGTCCACCACCAGGTGTCGACAGTCACAAGTTCCAACGCAAGAACCCAAAGATCAGAGGTGCCAAGACACTCATCAAGGACAGCACCCTCGACCAACAAGAAGAAGAGCAACTCCGTAGCACCGGCGGTATCACTGCCGAATCCAAGGAACGTAAGGTCACATACGATGTCAGCGTTGAAAGTGAATGTGCCTATGACGAACAACAAGGTGTTGTTGCCCGTCTCAAATCCAAAAAAGGTCAAGAAGGCCATATTTTCCATCGTCCAAAGTTCCATCATCAAGAAGTTTCTCTTTCTCAAAAATTGGATAAATTAAAATTAAAAGAACAACAATTAAAAGATTTAGCAATCAAACAAGCTAAAGAAAGAATTTTACAACAAAAATTACAACAACAACAACAAGAACAACAACAACCAGGAATAATAAATAAATTATATATATAAATATTAATATTTTTTTTTAAAATATATCAAAAAGAGAGAGAGTGATAGATACATACGATATTGAGTGTAAATAATTGACCAAGAAAGAACACATCAATTGGGTTGACCCAACTCTATAGATTGGACAGTTTGTGCCAAACCAATTGATGTGTTCTTTTGGAGATAAAGCGGTCGTTCTATGTATCACTTGATGAGATATGTGGTATCCTATAGTTGTTCTTGTGTTTCGGTCTTTTACTCGTCCAATATCATTAAAATAATAGCTAATAGAATGTACATGCCAAAGATTGAAACCAGTCCGATATACGTTTAATTCGATGCTGGTTTTTATCTTTGAATAAAGGGTTAAATCATATGTGATTTCATTAACCTTAACATCTTACCTCTGTTGTTGATCTATTGTTTCTGTTGGGGCCCACGTCCAATCAATCGATTTGAAACCATCAAGGGTGCATGAGCAGAACAGTGATACTACTAGAAGATTCTTCCTCTTTGTCTTCTTGATATCTAATGGTTGTTGAATACACGACGTGTACATCAATTGATACTTTTACCACATCCTTGAATACTTTTCAGGAGATCTAGGTATATTTATGTTTACTCTTTAATCTTTAAGACTATTTAAAATAGAATAAGTCAAACTGTTGGTTCATGAAGAAACAAAGGATCAAATTACAAAAAAAATGGATAGATCATCAAAAAAATAAATTAAATACAATGAAATACATTATTTAATTATTAATTCCAGTGATTTATTTGTATAAATATATATATTTATCTTTTTTTGTGATGATCAATCTTAATATCATAATAATAAATGATGATACCGATATTGAAAACAGTTACAAATAATGGGAAATAGTAGGGGATGGCAGTACGTGGAGCAAATACATGACTAAACCAAACATGGTGTAATAAAGACCATGCAGTTTCAACTAATAATCCAAGTAATAATGATTTTCTATAATTAAATTAAATCAAATATGTTAATATATATATAAATATATAATATTTCCATTAATATCATTTGTAATATTTTTGATCTATTTATATATTTATATTTTACCTTGAACCTTCAGTATTACCAAGTACAGATAAAGTAAGAATGAGAGCAGCGACACAGAAATCAATCAATTTTTCATTGGCAGTTGCATAACCATTGATAGATGAGGCAACAATGAAACCGGCAGATGAGGCCAACAATGATACTAATAACCCATGTGCAAATCTACCATGTGACTTGTGAATAAGATACCAAACGACTAATCCAACTACTCCCAATGTGATTCCACTAATATCTTGATCTGATAAAAATAATATACTCATTCTTCTTCTTCTTCTTCTTTTAATAATATACAAATATAAATACAAATAATAATAATAATAATAAATAAGTTATCTCTTTTACTTTTTAGTAAAATTAAATTAATTCATACTTCAAAAGTCTGTTCAACAAAAAAAAAAAAAGCGAACCATTAATTAAATGATTTAAAAATATCTTTAAGATTATCAGAATGGATCTGATCCTTCATAGTCTGTCTCTTTGTTGTGTGTTCCCCTTTATCTGTATACATCTATCTATCTTATCTATCTATTGTTAAGGTTGGTTGTTGATGATTCTGATTTGAATATAAATAAGGAGAGGATGGATGGAACGATCATCCTTTTTTGATTAAAAATAATGTTTAGAGATACACAACAGCAACAACAACAAAGAGGAGAAGATGAATTTGTAAACATGATAGAACCAACCAAAATTGATAGTACAATGGTTAATGGAACATATATAATGGATGAATTGGATGAAGAGTTGGATCAGTTGTTTGTAGAGATTAGTGATTTGTATGATAGTCATTTCCCAGAGCTGGTTACATTATTGGTTGATCAATTACAATACTGTCAAGTGATTGAAAGGATGGGCGATCGATGTAATGCCAATCAATGTGATCTCACCTTTTTGATACCTAACCACCTTCAAAATGATATTCTTCAATCTGCTCAACTCTCTAATGGAACCTCCATCACTCTAGAAAACTTGATCAAGTGTCAACAACTATGCACACAATACCTATCCATCAATACCTATCGTTTACAATTAACTGATTATCTAATCAATAAATTAATCATTCAATAAATATATATATATTGTATCTCTATCTCTATCTCTATAGCTAGTATCTCTTTTCTTTTGAACAATAAAAAAAATAATAAATAAATAAAATTGGCAACTACTATAATTTTTTTGGGTTGCCCCGAAAACAAAGCTTCAAAGCTGCAACGAAACATATATATTATTATTACCAAAAAAACTTTCACAGCAATATTGTTATTATTAGTTTTATCAAACACACACACGCACACATCACACTCAATCAACCACCACTTTCTCACAACCAACCAACCAAACCACCAACTTTAATTAAAATAAAGAAGCAAGCTTTTTCTTACACTTGCTTGTGTGAACAAAGTAGTAGAGAGATTAAATGAACTAGTTAGCAATAACAATATATACATATATATATATATAACTAGTTATAGAGATAGAGATACAAATACAAATATATATATATTAACAAAGAGAGAGATATAGAGAGATGATAAGATATCATGTACAAATTATAATATATCTTTGTATAACCATTCTATTGATGAATGATGGTAATGTACATCGACGCGATACAAGAGTTGAATCGATCGATGTATTGTTGTGGTGTGGATTCTCTTGGACTGGTTTTGGAAATGAACATTTTAAAATACCAAATTATCTAGGTCAATCATTTAACAAGACTCAATGTCCTGTTGAATGTAAATGGATTGGTATGAGATATACAATAGTAGAAGAAAAAGAATAATAATAATATAACAAATATAAATATTATATTAATTTTTTTAAATCTTTTTTTTACTTTAGGAGACAAGAATAAAATAGATCAAGTTGATGCAGTTGTATTTGAAGCACAACCATTGGGTAATTTTGGATACGCCTATTTAAAAGAGACACCACCATTTCCACAAAAAGATGTTGGTCAAAAGTTTATAAACTTTGGTTTTGAACACGAAGACTATTTCCCCATCCAGACTGAACCGGGATACTTGGCACATATCGATGCCAATGCAACCTTTCGTCAGTTTAATCAGATCCCATTGACATTTACGTGTTCGTGGGGTATGTACGAGAATGGGTCGATTGACAATTTCAAAGATGCCTATGTACGTCCGTACAATGAAAAGTTGCGTGTCGTGGCATTCATGGCTACCAATTGTATGGGTGGTGGTGCCATCTATCGTACCAACTATATCAAAGACATGATGACAACCATACAAGTAGATGCAATGGGAGAATGCATACAAAACAAAAAGTTGTCGCCCGAAGAATTCCCCAAACCTGTCTTTGCCGATCTCGGACTCTCCATGAAGATCAAGAGAGAGGTATTCTCACGGTACCTCTTTTCATTGGCATTTGAAAATAACAACAAGACTGACTATGTATCTGAAAAGGTCTATACATGTCTACTTAGTGGATCGCTGCCAATCTATATGGGTGCTCCCAACATTGACGACTTTGTACCACGTAATAGTGTCATTAAAACAAATGATTTCGAATCACCTCAACATCTTGTAAAATATTTAAAATATTTAATGACAAATGAAACTGCTTATAATGAATATTTTGAAGTATGTAAATGGATAGAATATAGAATAGAAATAGATATATATACTTACATTTATTCTTTTTACCTATTTTAGTGGAAAAAAGAAGTATATCCAGAAATGTTTAAACAAAAATATTCAAGATGTGCATTTTATGCAGGTGATTGTGATATTTGTAAATATGTTCATAAATTGATTGAACAAGACAAGGTAAAGAATGGAGACCATAATGCGACTTTGCAACATAGAATTGATTTTGGTGAACCAAAGGAGGTTAAAAAGTTTACACGTGTTGGTAAACTCAAAGCACAGAGTTGTTTGATTGTCAAGCAGACGAGTGATTTGGTGCCAGAGATTAACGACGAGTTTACATTTGCAGCGTGGATTCATCCAGAGGCGTCACAGTCACGTACTCTATTTGCCATGGGCGATGCTAATAGTGCCGGTGGCAAGATGATCAATATCAGCATCGTCCAGGTATGGCGGAGATTCTACGTGCAGTATTGTCTAGTGTCCAACGAGGGTGGCGGAGACTACACCAACGGGTTTGGCGAATTGGACGAGGTGTGTATCACTGGCGAGCGATCCATTACACACGGCGATTGGAAACACATTGCAGTCACCATCACAAGAGAGGATGTCGACGGACACGATATCCAACGCTCCAGTATCTATGTCAATGGCCTACTCGACGTTACCGAGCGTATGCCTGCACACACCACACTCAAAGCCAGCAATGTCATGATTGGCTGTAAAAACAATTTCGAAGGTTTGATAGATGACATTGTCATTCGTCGCTACGCCATGTCTCAACAAGAAATCTACCAACTCATGTTTGAAAAGCTTCGTGGTGATGAACCCGGTCTCACCACCTACATCACTTTCTCGGACAATGCCGCCGTCTCTGACTACTCCAAATATAAATCACCTATTCAAAATACCGCCGTTGAAATTATTGATACTCCACTTCGTAAACTTGATTTAAATAATTGTTAAACAAAAATAAAATAAAAATAAAAAGAAAAAGAAAAAGAAAAATAACAATATATATGTACATAAAAATAAATAAATAAATAAATAAATAAATAATATTTAATGTTTTTCTTTTTTTTTTTAATTAATAATATACAATATGGATGGATGGATAATTAAATAAATAAATAAATTATAAAGATTCTATAGAGTTTTTGTTTTTTTAACTCCAATCTTGTTCTTCATCATCATCTTGTTGAAATTCTTTTTGTTTGGTTGGTTGGAATTTCTTGGATGGTGCTTCATCTTTATCTGCATGTTTCATAATTTGATTTGTCCAACTAGATCCTAATTGTTGATCACCACTAAAATTACTGATTTGTTGTGAATCCATCTTTACAACAGATTCTAAAAAGATTGAATTTCCAATTGTTTTAATTCTAATTTCTAAAATTAATAATAATAATAAAATAGATTATATTAATATCATGTTGATTATGTATATATATATATATATTTGTATATTGTATTGTATTTGGTATTTACCATCACCAACTTTAGTATCTTTATGAGAAAACTTTTCAGCATCAGCCCAAAATTCAAAGATATTGGGAGTTGATGGATGAAGGGAAGGGAGAGAATCATCGTGAAAACCAATAGGGAGAGCTTTACCAGTTGGTGATCCTACAGCTTTAGCCAAAGCATTTGAATCAACCTTTTCGACGAGTTGTGATTGCACACGTTCAAATTTGTTTAGGTAGCCTTTGGCAATGGCAGTGGCACGAACCATCTTGGGAGGTACTTCGACACCATCCTTGTAATTACGTTTTATACATTGATCTACTTCAACTGTAATCGATACGAATCTAGTAGGTAGTGGAGTGTGATGAACAGCAGGCTTTGAAGAGATAAACATTGAATGTACTTTGACCTTTTTAACGGTTCCTTCAATAATGAATCCATCTCCATTACACCATTTCTCCTTTGTCCAATCTTGATTAAAATTACTTGATGTACTCATGTTTGTATGTATTATCTATCTTTTTATCTTTTATCTTTCTCTTCTGTATATATCCTCTTGTGTACTAAAGTTGTAATGAAGTTGCAAGATTATAATAATATCTAACAAACATCCATTCCATTGCAAAAATATTAATATTTATTTCATTTTTTTTTGATCAGACCGTCATTCTCACTGCGACTTCGAATAGAAGACTTTTGAGTTCAAAAACTTCTTCTTCTTCTTCTGATTGAATGGTTGGAGTCGTCGGTCAATAGATGTCTATATAGCTCGGTTAACTATTCCTCATTTCAGTACTATTCAATATTTATCAATTCAAACAACACTAATTCACTGCTAGAAATGGAAGTGTTTATCATGCTATTATAATGCTATTATATTCAGTAAAGAATGCGATAAAAAAAAGTCATGTTTTTTTTATTTTTTAATTATTTTCAAAGCAGATCATTGATACACGTCCTCTCGTCAGACCATATACAACTTTAAGTGTATTATGTACACAATAAGAATTAATCTACAACTTTGTATGATAGTTATCTATCTATATCTCTAGGTATCATGGGCCCTTTTGTTATCATGTCGTTGTCGTTCAATATCCATGTGGTTGTCGTTTATCTCATACAAAGCAAAGACATGGATTTTGAACGACAATGACAATGACTCGAATCTTGCTTGTCGAGACTGTTTATGGTATGTAAATATAATATAATATAAAAGTAAAATGTGTCTATTTTAATTATATATTTATATATATTATTTATTTATCTCTCACTCTCTCTTTAGGGATCAGGAACAGTTCTAAAAATAAAAACCTCTTCCTCTTCATCACTACTAAACTCTGGTATTGGTGCAATCGTTTCAATATCGACATCATCTTGTTCAATAATTTGTTGCCTTTGTCTAGCTGACCTTGAACCTCCTCCTCCTTTACCTCCAATAATTCCATTACCAGTGGTGGTTTGATCTGTTGTTGTTGTTGCAGTACTTTCATCATCTGAATCCTTTGCATCAAACTCATCCTCTAATTCTCGATATTCTTCATTCTCCTCCAATTCTGTAAAGTCTGGTGCAAATGCACTCCAAGTATCTGTATAAATAGTTGACCATATATAAATAATACCAGTTAAACTAATTGTCAATAACATTGGTCTAAGTGGATGCCACTAAATATTGTACAAAATTAAATTAAATTAGTAAAATAATAATAATAGATTAATTAATCTAATCTTTTTGATAAACATACACAAATAAATTGAAAACCTTCTTTTGGACCTTCAAGATCTTTTACAAGACCACCAGAAACACTCCAACAAAATATACTATGCATTGATTTATGTTGCATACCTGCAACTAGGTATTCAGAGTTGTTGGAGAAACAACATTTCTTCCATTGTGCACGGTTGACACTGTCGTGGTATTCTCTGACCACTGCAAATGCTTCGAGTGAGTATAATCGGATGACCTTGTCGGTTGCATTAACCAACATGTACTTTCCATCCCTTGAAAATTCAATCTCTTTGATTGCAGCCGACCCAGACGACACCTTTACAACTCTCTCCAATGGTAACTTGGTTGATGATCTAGTTGAATCTTGTTGATAATTCTTTTTATGTTGTGTTGTACTATTATAAAATAATAGGTTACCTTTTGAATCACCAACTACAATATGATCACCTTTCCAACTATAACTTGCTATAATTTCATTTGTACTTGTTTGTTGATCGGTTTGATTGGTTGTTGACGTCGTAGATGTTGATGTATTAGATGAAGATGTATTATTATTATTATTTGATTGTTGTTGTAATGGTGGAGAAGTACTATTCAATTCCAAATCACCCATTACATTGATGGGTGTCATATTATTAGTCGGTAAATGAATGAGTAAAGGTGGTGATGATTGTAATGATACCAAACATATATCTCTAAATAGAATGTGATTAATAAGTCAGTTCTGTATTTATAAACATATAACAATATATAACATACCCATTTCTAGGATGTAATTGAGCACAACTGATAGAACTGTCAAAGTCTAATTTATAAATGATTGATGAGTTGTTTATATCCCATAGAATGATCGAACCATCACTGCTACCACTTAATAATCTCTGTCCGTCTCTTGTCCATCTTGATAGTATATATATATATATATATATATATAGATTAAATGAAATGAGTATGATGATCAAAATGAATGAATGATTAGATTAGAGTCTGATCAATCATTCTCTTTGATATGGATAGATATCTTTTGTGTTTACATACGATAAAGAATTAATAGATTGTTTATGTGATGCGAATAATCTAACGATAGACTTTGTAATAAAGTCCCATATAGATATAGTACCCGATTGATTGCCGACAGCCAATAGTGTACCTCTTCTATTAAACTTTAAGCAATTAGCCTTTGACCCTAAACTATCCATCAGATAGTCTTCTACTCCTTCGGGAATATCCCCTATTCTAAAGGGATCTTGAAAGCTAAGGTTCATTCTCTATCTATCTATCCCTTTCTCTCTTTGATCTGTGCACATATATTATTCTTTCTCTTGACTGAACTTCAAAACCAATTTATGTGTTTGCAAAAATAAATATGAAAAGTGTGGAGGGGTGAGTTCGCAGCACACAGCTGATTTTATACCATCATTGCGATGATCATCTTTCATTGCCCATTCCAGTGGTATTGGGGGGGGTTTGGTTTGGTTAGAGATGTGATATAAATAAAAATATAATTTAAATTGGTTCTCTCCTCTTCCTTTCCTTTCTCTTCTCTATCATCTCTCATCTCATCAACCAACTCTATTTGTATTCTTTACTTTTAATTTTTTTTTTTATTTGTCTATCCACAATTAATTAATCTTATCTTTTGACCAACTAGTTATATAAACCTTTATTTTCTATACAGACCTATTGTATGTGTTGTTAATACAAGAGTATACAAGAAAGAGTAACGATGAATAAATTGTTATGAACTAATTTTTTTTTTTTTTTTTTTAGTATCTTCTTTCAAGAATGGAAACTAGAGAAGAAGATCAACTGTTGGCTCATCTGTTTATGCCGATGAGAATACAACATGTGAGCATTCTTGAAACAGTTTCTGAAAGTACTCTTTTTCATTCATTCATTCAACATATTATTAGCAGCACTAGCGAAAAGGGTGGAGGAATAGTATCATCTGCTTTAAATCAATTCAGTGATGATATTAAACAACCACCAAATATCGATCAACTAACTAAAAGAATCAGTCAATCATTTGTTGATTCAAAAGATAATAATAATAATAATAGTAATATTCCTGTAATAACCTATTTCAAGAAATCAAATTGTATTTTGGTTATTCATAGACCTCCAACTATCATCAACCAAAACAACAACAATAATAATAATAGTAATAATAATAATATTATTTTAGATTTAATTCAAATCTATCCAACACTTGATACATTCAATGTTCAAACAACAAAACTTCAAATGGCCACTCCTATTTGTTCATTCAACATACAAGATGTCAATCAACTATTAGATCCTGTATTCTTAGAGTATCTAGTTGCACTAAGAGATACTGATCAATCACCAATCATGTCAATCGTTCATCATGACCATTACATGGTACCAACACCAAATACCATTCTCAATTGGTTAATTCCATCTATTCCTGGGTGTGAATACAATGATTCAATAGCCAAGTATTCAACACCAATTATTTATAAATCAATTAGAACTGAAATATTAAGTGGTAGTTGGATGAGATCACCACTTTGGGTTGGTCTCAAGTCATTGACTCATTTTCTTTTTAAAAGATATGAATCGTCAAGAGCCTATAAAATGGCAATATTATCATTTAAAATCAATACATTGGCCAAGTATAAAGTCAACAGTCAAACAACTCTGGAATACATTGCACACATTGCAAGAAGCTGCAACAAATTCAAAATCAAATATCAAAAGAAACATCCATCGACTGTATTTGATTTTATCAAATCAATCAAAGAACAATGTGAGACACTCTCTGACAAGGCTCATCAACAATGGGATTCTTTCTGTCAACACGTAGAGAAAGAATATCAAATCAGTCCATCAATCAACAATATTTGCAATGGGTTGAAAGATTATGGAACTGATCAAGCAAATTTGGTTCATCAAAGTCTTCAACAAAACATTCAATCATTTATCAACAATCTCAAGGTAGATGAGAAGAAATCAGGTGTCAAGGATTTAGGCTTATTAAATGACTCGGCATCAAGACCTTCAATAACCAATTTGGAGAATTATTCAAAACAATTACATCAACTCAACAATCGTGACGCCTCAGGGTTGGTTTCTATATTAAAAGGAATGATTGATACCCTCAGCAATACCAATGGGTTTACATTGGATTATTACACTGATAATGTAACATTGGTAATCACATTGAATATCATTGAAGAGATGATATTCCAGATGTGGAAAAGTCAAATTTTCAGACAATCTCTGTCAAATGGCCAAAAACAAAGTCAAGATGTATTCTCATCTGTTTACAATCTAATGGACATTTATATGAAGTTGTCAAAACCAAGATATGATAAAGATGCTATTCTTTACAGTCGTTTTATCTTGACATCATTTACTTTGGTTGCCATTTTGGATAGATTGACACTGGATTATTGTCATCAAAATGACAGATATACAACTTTCAGTTTCGATTTATACTCTTCTCTACCACCATATGTCAATTTATCAATATTCTCGGATCTATTACTTCAACACCAATATGAATATGATATCTTGGAATCATTGGAGTCATATTTTGAAGATCAACGTCATTGTAGTAAAACATCAATAGATAATTCAATCTTTAGTGTTGATGACAATGGTTTTGGAAAGAAATGGGCCCAACAATTTTATCAAGAAGAGTTACAAAAAGAATTGGATGATATAGAGAAAAAGAAGGAGGACAAAATCAAAGAGTATCGAGATCTCAAAGCCAAAAAGACAGCAATGATTGAAAAACTCCAAGAGAAGTTGCTTCTGTATCCAAAATATGAAGGGGAAAGCTATTCTTATGCTCAAAAAAGAAAAAAAATTGAACGTGACATTAAAGATTGTTTTAATACGACCTTGTCAATCTACTACAAATCAATGCCAAAAAACAAAGACAACCAATTCAAACTCATGTTTGAAATCCATATCCCATTCTACCTCTATTATGTTAGAAACTCGTTTGCTTTGCTTTGCAAATATCTTTATGGTGGACAAAATTATTATAACCTCACTTCATGGAGGCTTTCACCCACTTCAAGTATAGTATCATTATTTGGGAGTATGCCTCATGTACCTGAATTCCTTGCTATCTTTAAAAATCCAGAAACATCTTTTATTGATTGGAATCATAAGACTATTTCGCGCTACCAATACAAGGAAGCAAGTAGAATCGAGGATATGACATCATCAAACCTCCAAAAGAGTAATTTGCTCCTTTCAATTCCATCAAGAGTTGAGTATAGTCAACTCAACTGGATGGTTCAATCAAATCATGGAATAGAAGAAAATGATGTTCTCGCAACTCAAAGCAACACACCAAAAGGAATGTTACCAAATGAATATATTCGATATGGAATGTTAAGAGTTGGAGCAAGTTTATCAATTAGAAATATGATTAGATTCATGGAAGAAAGGAATAATCTCAATGGAATTCATGTTTTGGTTATGTTTTATCAATTGTCAATGCAATGTGGTCCTAGAAAGAATGGTCAGTCAACAAATAGACCATTTAGAATTGGTTGGGACGATGAAACTGTTCTTCAAACACTATGTAATACCGTTGAATCTATTTTAACTGAAAGTGAACTCAATTGGGAAAGAAATATTTCAATGATTGCCATGATTCATTGTTTGACAATTGCATTCAATACAAGAGATAATAAGACGTTGGATGATATCAACAAATCGATTATTAAAGTGTTAGAGAAATGTAGATTGGTACTTTGGGAATGGGTTGCGAAGTTGGAACAACTCATTCAACAAGAATTACTTCATGGAAGAGAAACTGAAACATCATCACTAAGAAAGAGAATGGTTTATACATCGATTGCAATAATAATGACATTCAACATTGACAATAATCACAAACAATATATTATTCAACACACCAATTATTTCCAACACATTGAATATTATTTCAAATCGTTGATCATTTTGGATGAAAATTCAACCTATTCAAGTAATAGGACAAGAACATTGGGATCATCATGTCCAGAACAACCATTTTTGGATATAATATTCAATCAACTATCATTGATTATTTATCGTCAAATACCATTTATCGTTGAACATTTCAAAGATGGAAATCATTTCAAATGTTTAAATAATATCATTCATAACAATCAAGGAAATGATTATACTTGGGAAAAAGGATCAAATAATAATTATTATCGTATGTAAACATAATAATTAAAAGAAATAATAGTAACTGATTTTCCTTTTTGTTAACCACTTTTTTGTTTTTAGAATTCAAATTTAATGATCTTATTGTACAATTTAATATATTTGATGGAACATTATTATTCAATGGAACATTTGATAAAAGATTACCAACTCAAGTTGTTAGTTATCCACTTTATAAATCCTTCTTTGAATCATCTATTTTTGAAGTTCATCAAAATGGAAATTCTATTTGGTATTTATATTTATTTATTCAGCAATTGATGTTGTAATAGTTCATTAACATATATCATATATTTATAAAATAGGACTACCAATCAGACAATAGAAGGATATAAAATAGAGTTCATAATATATTCATCTCGTACCATTGGAATTGTTCAAATCAAAGACAATGGTGAAAGATGGATGCTTCTTGATCCTAATTTATTTAATCATTTGCCAATTACTTTAGTCACATTCTATTCACATTGGATAAACATGGCAACTAATGAAATAGAGTTTAGACCAAGAACTCTTCAACAATACAAAGATGGAGGTTTGGATTCAATTAAATTTATTGGAACTAAAAATGGTGAAATTAAATTAAAATCAACTGGTGATTCTCTATTATATTTTGGATATAATAATCTATGGTTAAGAGATCAAATATTGAAAATATTCCCAATAGAATCGGAACCTAGCTTTCATATTTTTGAACAAGAAGCATCCAAACTTTATAGAATCCATTTGAATCAATTTGGATTGGATTTTATAGTTGATTGTCAGAATCAACAAATCAATTCAGTTCAATATTCTGGATATCGACTATGTGAACAACAATATATTGGAACTTTAGTTGGTTTGAAAACAATATTGGTTTTGGAACAAAATATTGCAAGTGGAACAAAGAAGGTTATTCTTCCACATTCAACCATCACATTGGAGATGAATGGTGATTGTCAAGGTTTCAATAATGCCAAATCAAGTACAACCACTCTCAACCATCCAGCCTATTTTATTTATGATATTGACAGGGAACTCAAAATGATCAAATCATCAGATTTGACAGCACATCTCCATCTTTGTTACTCTCATATTGTAACATCATCATTGTTTAGAGATCCATTTACTGGATTGAGAGGAATGGAACTTGCTAATATTCTTTTAAAGAAATTTAATAACAACATGCCACTCAACCAATCACAACTCAATATTTTATCTGCGATATCCAACATATCACCAAAAAGAACTGAATCAAATCACATCCAACAAATAACAATATCACGTCCACTTCTCGCACCAATGATATCACATTATGATGGATTTGTTATTTTGGTTGATATGATCAAACAATCACATGCCAAGATGTCATTTTTATGGAGTGTTAATCAAGAAGCAGCACCATTAACTTCAACACTCAATCGTATTGCTTGGAACAGATACAAAAGAATATACTCCCCACATTGTCAAATAGATTTGCCAATTGACACACCAGGATCGTTTGTCATAGTTGAACCATCATCTTTGGGTCAAAACTCCAAAAATGTTCAAAGAATGGCATCAATCGTTGAATCCAAGAATATTCAGTATTTATGCAATTCATTTAATCCCTTCTCAATGATTGGCACATCAACTATCTATGGGTTAGACTTTACTGACCGCCAAAATTGTGTTCCAGAGTTTCAAGAAACCAACAATCTCATCAATACCAGATATATTGATAGACAGCAACAACTTGGCGGGGCATTCACATACTGGTATCTAAAACTTTTGAAAATAGCAATGGAAACTGCAAGTGGTCATTATAATCTTACAAGATTTAGATTCGTCATCACATTGCTCTCATATTTTTGGTCCGATTCTTCTTTGGTTCCATTAATAGATCATCTCGTACTTATCGCAATATCTAAACCATTACCAAATGTTCCATCATTTCCTCTTGAAAAAATATATGTAGAACCAATGACTACATATGAACCTAATTTCATTAGTAGTAAGGTTAAATCCTCTATTCCAGATGCCCGTTACCCGTACTCCGATACCTATGAAGAAATGGTAGCCAAACGGGAAAAGATTGAAGAAGCAAGATCCACCGTTATCAAAGAGATCTTTGACCAAAATATTTGGGATAGAGTGAATGAAACAATCATTTCACCAAGTCACACCTCTTACAAATCAGTCTCTAATCCCCATTTCTACTACGAAAAATCATTTAATGATCAAATACAAAGTAAAATAATTTATTGGCACAACAACAAACTATTGAAATTATATTTACAATCCATACACAATGAAACAACCAAGATAGTTTACGGTCGATTATCAGGACTATCTTATTTCAATGGTTTACCAAGTTTCATGAAACCTCGAGTTTACCATTTAAAGAACCAATTTAATCAACAAATTTACAATTCAAAACTGTTCGACAAGGAAATCCCAAAGGATTGTATGAGAATATGGGAACTTGGTTATGATCAACAGTTGGAATCAATATGGTCACCTGGTAAAATATCATTTGGCAAGTTGGATAATTTTATCAATGGAATTTACCATCAAACCCATTTGGAGGAGGAATTATTTGATGATTTAAATATCAGTAAAGAATCTTTAAAGAATAATATTCAACAATCCAAAACGAATATTCTGAATTCTCAGACATTGGGTCGTGACCTTGAAAGGTTATTGGTTATTATTCAACAAAGAGTAGATTTGGTTTGGAATATAATTCTAGAGTTTTACAATAATCCAAAAAGAACAGATCAATCTCAACAAGAATTGGATGGTATATTTAAAAGTTGTCATTCTTGGATTGGGTGTGTTCCATTGACTGTCTATGAAGATTTCTCAAATCATTTTGTTGATTTACCAGATCAAATATATCAATTAATTGGTGTTCATATTATCCTTCAAACTTATAAACAAAAGATTCAAAAGTGTAAAACCATTCAAGGTGTTGATTTGGTAAAAGAATTATCACAAAGTAGAGAGACAAGAAAATGGTTACCAAAAGATTATCCAACATGGTTGGTATTTGAATTGGAACAATCAATATGGATCAGAGACACTCAAGCAGAGATTGCAATCAAGTTGATCAATGCTCAAAGTAATGAATGTGTTCAACTACAGATGGGTGAAGGAAAGACATCTGTTATTCTACCAATCATGTGTTTGGCAATATCCGATAAACAAAGAATTGCTCGAGTCAATGCAATTCCATCCCTACTTCAAACTTATATTCAAGATTTACAAATGAGACTTGGATCATCAATTCTCAATCGACCAATCCACCTCTATCCATTCAAAAGAGATATTGGACCATCAATATCAGAATCACATGTTCAATATATTCTCTCCAACATTGAAAAATGTAAACAAATGAATGGAATCATACTTTGTACACCAGAACATAGACTATCATTCAATTTGTTTTGGAGATTGGCAAAGGATAAGAACCCTTTATTTGATAGTATGGGTAATGTTATCAAGTGGTGGAACGATAATATATTTGATATTATGGATGAATGTGATGATCTATTATCACACAAATACCAACTACTCTATCCAATCGGGTCAAAAGTTCCGATTGATGGTGGATCTGATCGTTGGAACGTTATTGAAGAGGTTCTATCTGAATTAAAATTAATTCTTCAACATCATTACAAAGACTACCAAGATCCATTCATATTTAGAAGATTCACTTCTGAGAATGAAAATAATCAAGACCAAATGAAAAAGATATTGTCTGTTTTACTCGAAACATTAATCAACAAACTACCATTCAACACCAATGAAAAGAATCTTGACCTTATCAAACAATTTGTTGGGCCCGATGAAGATACAATTTCTCAGGAGCATCACAAAGCTCTATCCTTGGTGGAAAAACTTGATAAACATCAAACAAGAATATTGGTTTATAGAGGATTATTTTCATATGAAGTTCTTTTACACTCTTTAACAAAAACATGGTCAAAACATTATGGTATCAGATCAACAGCGTCATCATCGTTCAAACGAGATTCAACATTATTGGCAGTTCCATTCAGAGCCAAAGATACACCCTCTGAAAGGGCTGAGTATGGACACCCTGATTTTGTAATCATTTTGACATTCATAGCTTACTATAATCAAGGATTGACATTTAATCAATTCCAAAAAGCATTGGATTGTCTAATCTCAAGTAAAAAACATGATGCATCAGACATCTACAGATCATGGACAGATTATGACCAATCAATTGAAGAAAAATATAGAGATTTCAGATGTGTTGTCAATTCTGATAATCAATTAATCAAACATCTCTATTCTCTATTCAAATTCAATTGTAGAGTGATCAATTTCTGGTTGAATGAATTGGTATTCCCATATGAAACCAAACAATATCCATCTAAACTATTTGCCAACCCATGGGATTTGGTTTATCCAAAATCAAACTCCAAGAAACATATTTCATGTGGATTCAGTGGTACAAATGACACTAAATGTCTCTATCCTCTTACTATTCAACAGAATGATTTGGATCGACTCAAATATACCAATGTTCAAGTATTGAATTATATTCTTGATCAAAATGATCAATCAAACAAGGTTCATATCGTTGATGATAAGAATATTCTGGAAGAAATTGTTAAACTAAACAACAATCAAAGTGGTCATTATTTCAATATTTTAATTGATGCAGGAGCATTAATGATTGGTAAATCAAATGAAGATGTTGTCAAGAGATGGTTGGAATTGGAATCAGCAACAAGAATAGATGGTGCTCTCTTTTTTGAAAATGATAAACTGACAACAATCGATAGAGAAGGAAAGAAGTTTATTTTCAGTCAATCACCACTCTCTGATAGATTAGATAGAGTTTTAGTTTATTTGGATGATTATCATACTCGTGGTGTCGATATTAAACTTCCAATCAACAGTAATGCAATAGTAACAGTTGGGAACAAGATCACTAAAGAGAAACTACTTCAAGCATGTATGAGAATGAGAAAGTTGGGACAAGGTCAAACTATTTCAATTCTCATTTCAAAGAATCTTGGAATTGAATTAAAGAATGATAGAGGTGAACTTGAACCACTTTCCAGACCCCCTGATATTCTAGACATTTTGAAATGGACCATTCAAAATACAATTGAATTTATCACCAACTCATTTATTCAATGGACATTCCAAGGAATGATGAATGCAAGAAGCAAGTCTGCCATTTCACTTTTGGAAATGGATAATGTAGAAAACAAAAACAAGAGCACTATATTCTCTAAATTGGTATCGTTCCCAGAAACTCTCTCACTCTATGACTTGTATTCTGGTCTCTATAAAAGGGAGAATGGTGATGTCGTTGTTTCATCAATGGTATCTAAATTGGAAAAGAAATTTAAAAAAGATGTTGGCTCTGACACTATTCTGGGTACACTTGGCCCAAGTCATTCCATTCAAGCAAACTTGATGAGCAAATATGCCAAAAACAAGCTGCAAGATCAATTTGTTTATTCCAATATGGTTGAAGAGGAACAAGAGAGAGAGTTTGAAGTAGAAGCGGAAGTTGAAATGGAAAGAGAGTTACCTAAAAAAGTAAATCCACATATCGAAAAGATTGATGATGGTTGGAGAGAAATCCTCACTGGATCGAAACATGTGCAAGACCATCCATCAATATTCCTACCAATCAAAGATATATTCAAAGATACAAATGTTTGGAAATGTTTAGAGATTCAAAAGGATTGTTTTGCACCAACACTTTGGACAACCTATAACTTTACCAAAACCATTACCACTAATCTATACTCAACAGCCAATAATATAGATGAATTTGTCAAACAAATCAATTATATATTAGTGGTGTGGAATGGTGATACACCAAACATGATTCTAGTGTCAATGAAAGAAGCAAACCATTTAATCAAAATATTGGATCAATTGTCAAAACAAGAGATTATCATCTTTGCATCAATCCACCAATCGATCCAACGAGACCGGCCAATTGAAACCATCCAAAAAGATAGACCAGGTCAAACAGAGTATTTCAACAAAATATCTACTCGTTCGCCATCAAGTTTCTCTCTACAACCAAATTATCATGCTCAAATCCGTCCATTATTAAATCAAATCAATGTATTGAATGGATCAAAATACTTTGATTATCCATTAGAGATTTACCAATTCCTTGGGATCTTTAGATGTGGATTAAAAGAAATAATGTCAAAACTAATCAACAATGATTTTATTGATCAATTTGGATTTGTATTAGAAAGTGTCAAACCAAGTGATATCGACAAACTCTCGATTGATGATGATCTATTCGACCAACTCCTCTCAATCATCAAGACAAGAAGATTTAAAAAATGTCCAATCGATCTACTTGAACAGAATTTACAACTACAAAGAGTCTATTCTGTCGGTGTCGATAGTCATATCAAAAATATTCTAAGTAATAAATAAAGTAGTTATATTTCAAAGATTTATTCAATCAAAGATCGGAAGTGCTGCTGATCTTCAAAAAGTACAAGAAAGAATTTTTTAAATTTTTTTTGTTTTTTTTTATCAAGTCCAAAAACCAACTAAGATCTTCACACAACCATTTTTTTTTAAATAGAGATAGAGAGAGAGAGAGGGTGACACACTAACTACTACTATCAAATCACTACTACTATCTATTATAGTTCATTGTAATAACACATCACACCTTCATCAACAACATCAACACAAGGTCAATCTCAACAATATTGTAAAGGTATTTACATTATCTTCCTCAAAAGGTCGATTATCTACTATATAAATATTTATATTAATAAATCTAAACCAATACAATCTTTATCTTTTTTTTAGATGGAAGAACAAGACGACCAAGTATTGTCTCATCTATTTATGTCAATGAGATTACCAGATACTCTAAATACCAAAGCAGAGATGACACTTTTTCATTCATTTATTCAAGATATCAACAATTGGGATGAAGAAGGAATAGTATCATTAGCATTAAAACAATTCAGTGATGATATCAATCAACCACCAGATATCGATCAACTCACAAACAGAATAACACAATCTTTTATTAATGAAACAAAAGGAAACAATAATAATAATGATAATAATGATCAATTAAATAATATACCTTTAATCACCTATTTCAAGAAATCAAATTGTATTTTAGTTATTCATAGACCTCCAACTATCACTATTAATAATAACAATGATAATAATAATAATAGTATTATATTAGATTTAATTCAAATCTATCCAACTCTTGAAGATTTTAATGTTGAAACAACAAAAATTAAAATGGCCGCTCCTATTTGTTCGTTCAACATTCAAGATGTCAATCAACTATTAGATCCTGTATTCTTAGAGTACCTAGTTGCACTAAGAGATACTGATCAACCACCAATCATGTCTGTTGTTCGCAGTCAACATAATGTGATACCAACACCCAATACCATTATCAATTGGTTAATTCCATCTATTCCTGGATGTGAATACAATGATTCAACAACCAATTATTCAACACCATTTATTTATAAATCAATTAGACCTGAAATTTTAAATATTGGAGACAATCTTGTTTGGATGAGATCACCACTCTGGGTTGGTCTTAAATCTTTAACTCATTTTCTTTTTAAAAGATATGAATCATCAAGAGACTATAAAATGTTAATATTGGCATTTAAAATGGATACTTTGCAAAGTATAAAGTCAACAGTCAAACCACTCTTGAATACATTGCACACATTGCAAGAAGTTGTACCAAATTTAAAACTAAATATTATGATAAAGATCCAGAGATGGTATTTAATTTAATCAAATCAATCAAAGATATGTGCCAGACACTCTCTGATAAGGCCAACCAACAATGGGATTCATTTTGTCAAGCCGTAGAGAATGATAGTGACATCAGTACCTCAATTACCAAAACTTGTAATGGATTAAAAGGATATGGAAATGATCAAACCAACCTGGTTCATCAAATTATTAAACCAAAGATTAAATCTTTTATCAAAAATCTCAAAGTTGATGAAATGAAGTTAGATGTAAAAGGTGTAAATACATTGACCGATTCAGCATCCAATTCTTCAATCACAGATTTGAAAATTCTTTCAAAACAACTCAATTCTCAAGATGTTCAAGCTTCATTCCCAGTGATTTGCAAAAAATATCTGAGCACATTGGCGCATTGCCAGATAATGATAATGCATCGGTGGTCATTATTTTAAATCAAGTTGAAGAAATTGTATTCCAGATTTGGAATAATCTAAATTTGCCTGAAAGTCAAATATTCAGACAATCACTTTTAGAAGATGGCAACCAGCAACACAGCCAAGATGTATTCTCATCGGTTTACAATCTAATGGATCAGTATATGAAAGTGACCAAACCAAGATATGAAAAGGATGCTATTCTTTACAGTCGTTTTATCTTGACACTCTGGTTGCTATTTTGGATCAATTAACGTTGGATTATTGTCTTTTACTTGACAAGAATGATAACGTAGATTCAACACCAACACCAAGATACAATTTATATCGTTCTCTACCACCATATGTCAATATTTCAATATTCTCTGACATTTTACTTCAACAAAGATCAGAGTATGAAATTAGAGAATCTTTGGATACCTATTTCAAAGATTATCGTAATTGTAGTCAAACATCAATTGAAAACTCGATATTTAGTATTGAAGATAAAGGGTTTGGAGAAAGATGGGCTGAATCATTCCTCCAAGAAGAATTAAAACAAGAATTGGAGGATATCGAGACAAAGAAAGAAGCCAAAATCAAAGAATGTCAAGAATTCAAGCAATCAATGCTCGATAAAATCAAAAAGCTTCAACCAGATTTACGTTTGTATCGTAATGACAGTCGCATTTATAGTAGCCGAACATCAAGTACCGCCAAATCTAAACATATTTCAAATGCCTGAAACATCTTTTATTCAATGCAATCAAATATCGCTCACTTGTTATGGATACAAAGATCGAGGAAGAGAAATGATGAATATCAGAAATAACAAGTTCCTACCCAATCTTTTCCTTTCAATTCCAGAAAAAGTAAAGTTTAGTCAACTGAATTGGATGATTCAATCAAATCAAGGGATCGAGGAAAACCAGGTTCTCGCAACTCAGAACCAAACTCCAAAAGGAATGTTCCCAAACGAGTATCTTAGATTTGGAATGTTGAGAGTTGGTCCAAGTTTATCGATTAGAAATATCATTAGATATATGGAAGAAAGAAACAATCTCAATGGTATTCATGTTTTGGTTATGTTTTATCAATTGTCAATGCAAGTTGGTTCAACAAATAGAATTGGTTGGAATGATGAAAATGTTCTCAAAACTCTCTGTCAAACAATCGATTCTTTAGTGAGTGAAGGAGAAACTAATTGGGAAGGTGGTATTTCAATGATGGTCATGATCCATTGCTTAACACTCGCTTTCAATACAAGACAAAACAAACCAAATCAAAAAGAACAATTGGATGATACAAACAAAATGATTATTAAAGTGTTGGAGAAATGTAGATTGGTGCTTTGGAGTTGGATTTCAAAGTTGGAACATCTTATTCAACAAGAATTATTAAATGGAAGTGATACTGAAACATCAATACTTAGACAAAGAATGGTTTATACATCGATTGCAATTATAATGACATTCAATATTGATAATAATCTAAAACAACAAATTATTCAACACACCAACTATTTCCAACATATTGATTTTTATTTCAAATCATTAATCATTTTGGATGAGAATACAACCTATTCAAGTGATAAGAGAAGAACTATAGAATCATTTTGTCCTGGAACAACCATTTTTTGATATAATATTCAATCAACTATCACTGATTATTTATCGTCAAATACCATTTATTGTAGACTATTTCAAAGATGGAAATCATTTCAAATGTTTAAATAATATTATTCAAAATAGTATTATTAGAAATGATGACCATGATTTAAACAATATCAAATGGGAGAAAGGATCAAACAATAATTATTATCGTATGTAGTACCAAAATCTAAAATGTTCAAGATATTTCAAATATTAACTATTTCTTCTTTTTATTCTAGAATTCAAAATTAAAAATACAACTATTCAATTTAATATTTTTGATGGAGTTTTATTATTTAATGGAACGTTTGATAAAAGATTATCAAAAGAAATTTTGGAGAATACACTTTATAAATCCTATTTTGGATGTTCAATATTCCAAGTAAGCCCTGGAAATTCTATTTGGTATATAACCTTAATTAAATCAAGTTTATAAACTTTTATTAACAATATTAATTTTGTAGGACAACAAATGAATTGATTGGAGGATATAAAATGGAATTTTCATTGGTTTATAATAATAATGAATTTAACATTCCAACATCGATGGTTGGTGTAGTACAAAATAGAAATAATGGTGAGAGATGGCTTTTACTTGACCCTGGTTTGTTTAATCATTTACCAATTCATTTGTATCAAAATTATTCACATTGGATCAATTTGGCAACAAACGAAATTGAGTTTAGACCACCAACATTTCAACAATATAAAGATGGAGGAGGATCTGACACTGCCAAATTTATTGGGACTAAAAATGGTGAAATCAAATGGAAATCAACTGGTGAACCACTCTTATATTTTGGTGAACATTATGAAATACTTCGTAAACTAATATGCCAATTATTCCCATTGGAATCAAAGTCAAGTATTCATATTTTCCAAAAAGAAGCATCAAAACTTTATAGAATCCATTTGAATCAATATGGATTGGATTTTATAGTTGATTGTCAGAATCAACAAATCAATTCAGTTCAATATTCTGGTTACCGACTAAGCCAAAACAATACATTGGAACTTTGGTTGGTTTGAAAACAATATTGGTTTTGGAATCAAGTGGAACAAAGAAGATTATTCTACCTCATTCAATTATTACATTGAAGATGAACAAGGATTGTATTGGATTTAATAACGCCAAATCAAGTTCAACCACTCTAAATCATCCAGCCTATTTTATTTATGATATTGATCAAGAACTCAAAATGATCAAATCATCAGATTTGACAGCACATCTCCATCTTTGTTACTCTCATATTGTAACATCATCATTGTTTAGAGATCCATTTACTGGATTGAGAGGAATGGAGCTTGGTATTATGCTTTTAAAGAAATTCAATAATAATATGCCACTCCACCAATCACAACTTGATATTTTATCAAATATATCAAATATTTCACCCAAAAGGGTTACTGGAGATACTATCAAACAACAACAAAAAGTAGTAATCCTATACCCACTTTTATCGCTTTTGGCAATGGATAATGCCAAGAACAAAACTTCTATCTTTTCAAAATTGGTATCATTCCCAGAAACACTTACCCTCTACGATTTGTACTTTTCATTGTATCAACAAGAAAAAGGTGATGTTGTTGTCTCATTTATGAAAAGCAAATTGGAAAAAACATTCATCAAGGATGTTCAAGATGAAAATGTACTGGCTACACTAGCTCCAAGTCACTCCAAACAAGCAAGCTTGGTCTCCAAGTATGCCATAGACAAGATGCAAGACCAAATAATTTATTCAAACATGGTCGAAGAAGAACAAGAGAGAGAGTTTGAAATGGAAGTAGAAGTTGAAATGGAAAGACAATTTCCTAAAAAGGTGACAAGATATTCTGAAACGATCGATCAAGGTTGGCAAAAAATCCTAAATGGGTCTACAAGTGTCCGTGGCTGCCCAATATTCCTATCAAAGATATATTCAAAGATACCAGTGTCTGGAAATGTTTACAACTACAAAAGGAATGTTTTTCATCATTGTGGACCACCCAAAACTTTATCAATACCATTGCCAATCAAGACAGAGTATTGGCCAATAATATTGATGAATATGTCAAACAAATCAATTATGTTTTGGTAGTTTGGAATGCTGGTACACCAAACATGATTCTAGTTTCAATGTAAGAGGCTAGTTATTTAATTGTAATGCTGGACCAATTGTAAATCTTGATGATCCCATTGTCGCATCGGTCCATCAAACCATTCAAAAGGAGAAACCATCCCAAAACGAGTTCTTTAACAAAATGTCTACTTCTCTTAATCAAAAATTGGTTGATCCACTATTGAATCAAATCAATGTATTGAATGGATTATCAATTCCTTGGTATTTTTAAATGTGAATCAAAAACAATCATGTCACAACTCATCAACAAAGGAATCATTGACCAATTTGGTTTTGTATTTGAACATGTCAACCAAAATGATATCAACAAACTCCCAATAGCTTAAGATCTATCCAACCAACTATTATCAAAACAAGAAGATTTACTAAATGTCCAATCGATCTATTGGAAAAGAATTTATCTCTTCAAAGAATCTATTCAATTGGATATAGTCATATTGAAAAAATTATAAATAATAAATAAATAATTAAATTTTAAATAATTATAAACAAAAAATTATAATAAATAATAAATTAATATATAAATAATAACCTTGAGTTTTATTTATTACTTTAGCAAATGTCCAATTTAAACCATTCGATTTCAATGGTTTAAGTAATCGTCAATGACCATGATGAATTGTCAGCTGATATTTAACAATGTTGTATGAGACTCGGCTACCTATAGAGAGATATCTATTTTTGTAAAATAAATAATGGCCTTGCCTTGTCCAACATTTGGTGTGTTCATGAATTAGAATTCTTTGTATGACTCTTATTTGAAACCGGCATAAATGCCTGCGCATTTAAAAATAAGAAGAACTAATCGTTCGACAAAGTCCATGTTTTCCATCACCCAAGTAAGCACTTTCAAGAAACCATCTAAAAGATAGTTTCCGATTGCCTTTAATCCATTCCACAGCGATTGAAGAATTGATTGAACAATTTCTTTACCTTTTTCAAAATATCCCTTTTCTTCTTGGTCTTGCTTTTGGTCCAATGCACCGAATGCTTGTTTCATCCTTTCAAGTATCATTGTTCTTCCCTCTCTTGAACCAATTGCACTGCTGATAGCTGGTTCTGCTTCAGATTCAAAGCACTCTAGAAGTGAATCTGAGCTGAGCGGTCTCATTGGGGTGAATCTATTAGCGCGTAACCATGTCACTGATGATTGAACTGCAGTAAATGTAAAGATCATGGTTGCTCTGAAATATGAAATATAATATGTTGTTGTGTAGAGTAGAATATTATATAAACAGATAATATTTTTTTTGTGTAAGTAAACTTATAACAATTAATGTTGAGAGTTCTTGACCAAGAGAGAAACCTAAAATATCTTCATCAATGAAAAAAACAAAAAAAAGGAACCAATTGAACTTCACAAAGATGGGTTTTGATTGAAATTTCACCAAAAAAGTTATAAAATTTTTTATTTGACCATTGATTGATGATATTATTGATTTGGTAGCCTCTACTCTTGATTTGTATTGTTAAAGTTGTCAAAAAGTGATTGTGAGCTGATAGCAAATGTCATTAATTGTCTGTTTACTAGTTGGGAGGTGTTGTTGATTGTAATAACTAATACTAATACATCAATGTTTAGTTTATAGTGAGATATTGATTAAAACAAAAATGATCATCAATCAATAAAACATAAAAAAAAAAGTCAGAGGTTCAGCATTAAATTAATTAATTTAATTTAATTTAATTATTTATTATTTTACATATATACTAAATCTTAGAGAATACAAGTGCATCGATTTTGTTAGGTACTCATTTTTGCGCATTTAATAACCAAAAGTACTAATCGTTCGACAAAGTCCATGTGATGAATGACCCAATCGATTATCTTCATGAGACCCACTAAAAGATAATCTCCAATTGCCTTTAATCGATCAAACAGTGATTGTAGAATTGATTTGGGTTGATCAACCAATGGTGCTGGTGGTATATTTGGCACAGGTGACTCTGGTCTGACCACCTTGTGGATGGCTGACTGTTGCTGCATTGTAGACTGCCTCTGCATTGTAGTAATTGACCAAAGCTAATACTTTTTTTTGTTGGTGGGGTTGAGGTTGAGGTTTAGGTTGAGGTTGAGGTTGAGGTTGAGGTTGAGGTTGAGGTTGAGGTTGAGGTTGAGGTTGAGGTTGAGGTTTCTGCTTTGCTCCATATGCGTTGACTAATTTTGTAATACCTTCAATAACTGAATCTTTTCCCTCGCTGGTACTTAATGCAGACATGATAGCTGATGCTGATACAGTTTCAAAGTTGTATGCGTTGATTGTAAATGTCATTATTTGCGATTATTGATTAAATTTGAAATGTAATAATAAATAATAATAAATATATATATATAAATATATTTCCGATTAATAATAATTAATTAATTAAATAATAATAATAAGTGTTGTAGGGTTGTTGTGAAGCTAACCCCAACTCTTTGGTTAGCCCCTCACACAACTGGTAGGCATGTGATGGTATTGATTTTTTAATTCCGTGACGATGCAATGAATTTTTTAATCACGTGACGATGCAATGAATTTTGTATTTTATATCACGCGATCTCTCATCGATCAATCCATTTCAGATAAAAAGATCATGGGTTTAAAAATAACCAACTGTTTGAAGATCTTCCTTCCTTCTGTTGTTGCAATGAAAGAAGAAGAAGCTGAGAGATGAGAAAAGAAGTGGTGGCGTAAGTTTTAAATCGTATAGATATGAATTAAAGTATTAATACATACATACAAATAGACAGTCATGTAAAGTGTTGTTTGTGTTTGTTTGGGAGACTCGGCTTACTTGCTTTGCTGCTCGCTTGGGAAAGAAAACAATCCTATGTTATCTGATCTGTATACAAATATATCGATTAGAAGAAGAATAAGAAGAAGAAGAAGAAGGATAATAATACTAAATATAAAGATATAGTGTATAATACTTACATTTAGATCTCTCAGTAAATACGATAACACTCTCATGATTCTTACATTCTTTCTTTCTTGAGAGAGTGAGTATAGGAGTTATATAACACTAGTGAGTGAATACTGTTGTTTACTTGTCATTGTTATTATACTAATATTGTTGATAATGATAATGAGTTATAATATTATTTAGGGTGATTGAGGAACAACCTCTTATTGTCAATCGGTGCTTTGTGATTCATTTTAAAATATTCTACTATTCTACTATATATATATATATCTATCTAAAATATGAAATGAAGATGAAGATCTATCGATTATCCATTCCTTCTAATCAAACAAATAAATAATTAATGAAAAGATTTTTTTGTTGATCATCATCACGCCTTGCATTATTTTTTTTTATTCATTCTTTTTTTATCTTTATTTTTTCCAAAGATAACCTCTTTCCTTTTTCTTAAAATTCAGTTTAATGAATCTACCAATTCCTTTACTTCCAAAATTACGCTCTTCTTTGACATTACCATGATCGAGTAACCAAGCAATAGCATCAAACCCAGCGTGTATGAGTAGGTGACAAGCATCGGTTCTTCCCCGATACTTTTCACCATCGATTAAATTCTTTTCAACCAAATATTTGAAAACTCTTGGGTTGCTAATCTTTGCATGATGACAGAATACCATTTTACGGTGATCTTTGAATGTTTCATAGATGAATCTTAATAGATCCAAGTCATCACATTTTCTAATCAAGTATTCTTGACCTTGTTGTTGTTTGTCAAGTGGAAAATGGTCTAGAACAAATTTGATGGTTGGGATATTACCACTTTTGATGGCCACATCTTGAGCATAAAATTTGGATAGGTACAATTCACCTTGTAATATAGTGTTTGCACAACCACCACTGATTTGGTGTAACCTTTTAATGAGCAGTTTAGAAGGTTCAAGCCAACCAGACCCGATACAGTACTCGAGTGACACCACATGCGCTTCTATATCTTGACCGAAATATTTGATATGATGGTCTTGATCGATTGATAGATACTTGAATAATTTCATTACTTCAGTCTCTGATTTACATGAGTCCTTGAATATATATAAAAAGGTTGGTTTGAAAGTATATCCACATTCAATGGCCAACTGATGTAATATTTTAACAAAAGCAAAACTCTTATCATCATCATCCTTAATCGTCATTTTCAATATCTTGTCAAAGTTGACTTTACTAGTAGTCTCTTCTTGTTCTTTTAATCTATCTTTAAAATATGACAAGATGCATTGTAATGACTCAGGATGACAATATTTTCTATAAATAATACCAAGCAACATGGTTATAAATGATTCGATTTCAATCTCTTTGAGTAGTAATGGGAATCTTTCATTGACCCATTTAAATGTTTCCAATTGTCCAAAGAATCCTGATTCCATTAATGTAAATTTTGAACATGTGCGACCAGCTTTGATTCCCATTTCTAATATTTCAAAGTTGCCTACTCTTGCTGCCACCTCCATATTGATTTCTACTTTGTGAGCAATGAGATAGTCGACAAGTTCCATATCTCCTCTTGCAATTGCTGAAGCCATTGTTTTCTCACCCAAAGAAACATGGGTGATTTGAAGACTGATTAATTTGCGTATGATTTGTAATGCACCAGCAGACCGATTCTGCAGATTCATTATTTGCTCGGTGACGAGTAAATGACTAATCGATGGATCTTGAGCAAAATAATCAATCATCTCCATGAGACGAGGATGATTGGTTTTAATTGATCTCTTTAAAATGTTGTATTGAGTGCCTAATGATAGAGTAGGCATATGACCATTACCAAAAAGGTTACTGATTAATGTTGCATATCCCTCTTCCTCATCTTCATCTTCTTCATCCTTGTAACTGAAAAAATCATTTAATCGATTGTCAAATGATGCACCAACTTCTTCATCTTTAAGGGTTAAGAGCATGCTCTTATAACTAGGTGACTGAAACATTTTGAAGCAATGGTATACCATATCTTGATTACCGTGCTTGGAGATAACATTGTGATTGATGTTATACTTGTCCAATACAATGAGTATGTTGTCGTCACAGTCATTGTTAATTGATTCAATCCATTTGATGACTTCTGAATCATTGACTTTGAAAGAGCATTTGATTAAAGCCTTCATAAACTCTTCCAAGTTATCCACACCATATCTCTTGTACATGAAATCTTGAATGAATTGGTTTCTCTTTTTGACAATACTCTGATCATCAAATTGATATTGTTTGTTTATTATATCACCACGACTCTTTAATATTAAAGGATATCTTGCAATACATTTGATGATCTCTTTTAAATTTGGTATCCATTTACGTTGTTGTTGTTGTTGTTGTTGTTTCTCTTTTTTACTTTGATCACCTTCATCACCATTTTCATTGTCATCATCAAACCATTTATACTTTGCAAACTTTTGTTCTAGTGCTCGTATAGTTGATTGTAGTTGATCAAAGTATCCATGTCTTGCAAGTTGAATAGGATCTTCGATTAATTGATACCAGTTGTAGTATCCAATCGGCATAGAACGCCCGTAGATATCATAGTAATCATCATAAGGTGCTGATAACAATCGATTGATTTGTTGTACATGTTTGATGATCACACTATGGGTATATGAATTGACTATAAATACTGATTGAAATAGTTGTTTATCCATTCTTGCATATATTTATATATATCGATAATAAATTAATAAAAGGTACTACAAACAAATATAGAGATAACAATTCGAACTTGCTGAAAGGTTGGCGCCAAACCACTTTATATTTTTTGCTTGAGTACTAATTATTTATTATTTTATTCATTATTTTGTTTTTTAATTTTAATTTGTTAAGTATTTAAAATTGAGATTAATGAATCTACCAATTCCATGGTGTTCAAATTCTGTGTCATAACCAGTGACATTACCGTGATCGTGTAACCAAGCAATAGCATCATAGCCGGCATGCATGAGTAGGTCACAAGCATCGATACTTCCTCTATAAGTATCACCGTTGATTAAATTCTTTTCAACCAAATATTTGAATACTCTTGGACTGAAGATCTTTGTACTGTTGCAAACTGTAATGTGATAGTGATCTTTGAATGTTTCATAAAAGAATTCTAGTAGTTCTGAATCATTGATGAATGAATAATCAAGAACATAGTTTTCTCTTTTTTGATGTTCGTTGAGTTGTAAGTGACCATGTTCTAAAACATATTTGATAGTTTCAATATTGTGACTTTTAATAGCCAAAGATAGAGAATCTTTTGGTAGGTATGATCCTGTTGCTATTGTATCACTTGCACATCCACCTAATTCTTTTAATACACTGATCAAAAGTTTAGTAGGTTCAAGCCATCCATACTTTATGAATTTATCTAATAATTCATTATGCTCTATTAGATCTTGACCAAAATATTTAGAGTGACCTTGATTGTGTAGATACTTGAATATTTCTATTTTTGGATCGAGTATAATTGTAGGTGTAACTAAATTCTTGAAATATTGTAAAAAGGTTGGTTTAAAAGTATAGTCATATTCATCAGCCAGTTCTTTGATCATTTTAACATGTTCTAATCTATCTTGTTTGATTGCTTGTTCCAATATATTGTTAAAGTTGATGGTCGCAGTCCAAGTGAATCGTGTGACTTGAGAGTCTGAATTGACTTCCAAATAACTTGACAAGATGAATCTTAATGATTCAAGAGTACAATTTGGCAGATACCCAATAATAATAGCTTTGGATATAAACGATGAAATGTTTATATCTTTTAATAATAATGGGAATTTTGCAACCAGCCATTTGTATGCTTCCAACTGTCCATGAAATACACATTGTAATGCATCCTCTGTACATGTACGACCAGTTTCTAGACCCATTTCCAATATTTCAATGCTACCTGCATTGGCTGCCAAATCCATATTGATTTGAAATGGTGATGCTTTATTATCCAATAAATACCTAACCAATTTTGCATCACCTCTTAGTGTAGATCGATTCATTAGATCATAATATAAACTCTTTTTCACGTCTGGAATATATTCGGTGATTTTAAGAATGATAGGTAATGCAAGACTAGACCAACACAAATCATTCATTAATTGATCACCGATTAACATTTGTCTAAGTGATTCTTCTTCATTCCTACCAAAGTAATCGATCATCTCCATAACACGAGGATGACTTTTCTTGACTGATTTCTTTAAAATGGCGTATTGAGTGTCTGGTAATAGATCAGACATATGACCATTATCAAAAAGATTGCTGATTAATTCTGTGTATTCAGCACCAGATGATTTTAAATACCAAACTAATCCTTTGTCAAATGAATGCTTTGATTTACAGATTAAAGAGTAGTTTGGTGATTTAAATAATTTAAAGTAATTATACACCATATCTTGATTGCCATACTGAAAGATGATACGATGATTGATATTGTACTTGTCAAATACAAAAAGGATATTATCACAATTGTCATTGTGAATTGATTCTATCCATTTGATCATCTCTAAATCACCAGCATCTATAGAGTATTGAATCAAAGACTTTATAAACTCTTCCAAATCATTATCCAAACTATATCTCTTATAAATAAACTCTTGAATGAATTGATTTCTCTGATTGATAATGTCTTGTTGATTTTGTTGTTGTTTGTTAAAGACATCAATAAATTTCTCTACATTGATAGGATATCTAATTGCTGCTTCAATAATCTCTTTTAAATTTGGTATCCATTTACGTTGTTGTTGTTGTTGTTGTTGTTTCTCTTGTTTTTGATCATCACCATCATCTTCATCTTCATTGTCATCAAACCATTTATACTTTGCAAACTTTTGTTCTTGTTTGAGTATAGTTGATTGTAGTTGATCAAAGTATCCATATCTTGCAAGTTGAATAGTATTCTCTGATAGTTGATTCCAATTGTAGTATTCTATTGATTCTTGATCATAGCTTTGACGATCATAAGGTAATGATACCAATCGATTGATTTGTTTTACATGTTTGATGATCGATTGACGCACATATTTGTTTGCAATAAACACTGATTGAAATAACTGATTATCCATTCTCTTTGTTCTAAAAGTATATACAAACAAATAAACAAACAAAAATATGAACAAGCAAATACGAAGTAGTTTGAAAGTCGACAGATTTATTTTTTTAGAAATTCTTTAGAATGTTTTTTTTTGGTATAGTTTTTTTTACAATAGATAGAAATAATACTATTTTTACTGTATTATGTTTTTCACAAAGTTTGGAAATAGCTTTGATATTGTTAGCTCCTGTAATAGTTGATGAGCTTTGGGGTTGTCTTTGTACATGTCGGCGCTGATTAAATTCTTTTCAACCAAATATTTGAATACTCTTGGACTGCGTATAGGGACTGTTTGAGTGTTGAATGATATTTTACAGTGATCTTTGAAAGTGTCATAGAGGAATTGTAACAACTCTAAATCGCTTCCTTGATTTAGGATAAGATGATTATCCACTATAAGGGATGGAAGTTCATCGATTGAATATTGGGATAGGACAAACTTGATGGTTGGGATACTACCATTTTGAATTGCAATAGATAAAACATTCTTGTGGAGATACAAGTCTCTGTCTATTTTAGTACTATTGCCACCCAATTTCTGTAACACTCCAAATAGTATTTGAGCAGGTTCATGCCAACCCATTGATAAAAAGTTACCAAGTGTCTTGGTATGCTCTGGAATACTATCACCAAAATATTTGGTGTGTCCTTGGTGATGAAGATACTTGAATATTTCGATGCCGGGGTCGAGTATGAGTAATGACCTTTTCTCCTGGAAAATAGTTAAAAAGTTTGGTACAAAAGTCTCACCATATCGATCGGCCATTTGATCGATGGTTTTAACAAGATCCAATCTATCTTGTTTAATAGCAAGTTTCATCATCATAAACAAGTAAATGTTGTATTCTGATAGAATATTACTTGTTTCAGATGATGGGTGTGCACCTATATAACTTGACACTATGAATTCAAACATCTCTGATGGACATGGTGGAGTGATTGTAACTGCTTTAAGTAGAAACAAGTCAATCTCTACCTCTTTTAATAGTGATGGGTGTTTTGAAATAACCCATTTAAATGTCTCCAAGTGTCCAGAAAATATACATTCCAAAGCAGTGACTGTTAATTCATCACTATGACCCATTTTAAGTATTTCAATGCTTCCTGCCTTTGCTGCCAAATCCATATCAATAGTCAATGATGTATGTTTTAATAGGTACTTTACAAGCTTTGCATTCGTGTCACCTCTTTTGATAACATTTCTCATTGATGAAGCGATGAACCAATCTTCAAGATTTGGAAAATACTCTGCAATACAAAGAATGATTGGGAATGCACCAGGTGATAAACAAACAGAATTCAATGTTTCAATTGAAGTGAGGATGTCTTGAAGCGATTCATTCTCTCCAAAGTATTGAATGATTTCCATGACTAGAGGATGATCATGTTTGATCGATGCCCTTAGAATGTTTTCTTGAGTGAATTGTGATAGTGTAGACATATGATTGTCAAAAAAGTTGGTGATCAATGTTGTACATTCTTTTGAGTTTAAAAACTGTTGTAATCCATTTTCATAGTCATCGATAGTATTACATAATGAAGAAAAGTTTGAGGATTGAAAGATTTTAAAACCATGATATACAATATCTTGATTACATTGAAATATATAATAATGACTAATAGAATGTTTATCCATCACTTCGAGTATATTGTCATTGTGAATTGATTCGATCCATTTGATTAACTCGAAATCACCAGCTTTGAGAGAACAAGTTGCTAGTTCTTTTGTAAAGTCTTCCAAGTTATCCAAACCATATATCTTGTATGTGAAATCTTGAATGAATTGGTTTCTCTTTTCGATCGTAATACTCTGATCATCTTGTTTATTCAAGATATCAGAATGACTCTTTATAATCAGAGGATATCTTGTTAAAGCTTCCATGATCTCTTTTAAACTTGGGATCCATTTAGCTAGTTGTCGATGATCATCATTAAACAACATATACTCTGCAACCTTTTGTTCAAATGATAGTAGTTCTGATTGTAGTTGATCAAAGTATCCATGTCTTGCAAGTTGAATAGGATCTTCAATCAATTGATACCAGTTGTAGTATACGATTGGTTCTTGATCATAGCTTTGACGATCATAAGGTGCTGATACTAATCGATTGATTTGTTTAACATGTTTGAAAATCAAACTACGTGTGTATGAATTAACAATAAGTACTGATTTAAATAGTTGATTATCCATCTATAACTATTGTTTATACAAATATATATAAATGAAAAAAGAATAGATAATGACCAAATTTTTTTTCATATCTAATTTTTTTGATTTTAAAAAATGTTTAATTAAATTAATTTCTTTTCATTCAAATAATTGATCTGAACTTATGAATTGTATGTAATTTTGTAGATATCGAAAGTTTCGTAGAGGAATTGTATTAACTCTAGATTGTAACCATTAGGTCAGGTGATTATTTACTTGGCGATTCTTTAATATCAATGGGTATCTTGTTATGGTTTAAATGATTTCTTTTAAAATAGGTATCCATACCCACTTTTGACCCCATGAAAACCATTTATACTTTGAAATCTTTTTTTCCAATCCTATTATTGTTGATTGTAGTCGATTAAAGTATCCATATCTTGCAAGTTGAATAGGATCTTCAATCAATTGATACCAGTTGAAGTATCCTATTGGTTCTTGATCATATATTTGGCGATCATAAGGTGCCGATAGTAATCGATTGATTAGTTTCACTTGTTTAATGATTAAATGACGAGTATATAAATTAATAATAAATACTGATTTAAATAATTCATTTTTTTTTATACAAATAAATAAGTAGAATATTTTCTTTTCAATATTGAAACTTGAAAACAAGCTGGGAGAGGGTTTGTTTCCCTTTTTTTTTCAAAATTTTATAAATTATTATAATAAATTATAAAATTCAAGATTTATTTTTAAAAGTATTTAAATTTTCTCATATTTGAAAAAGGAATTTGTTTACGTTTATTATTGGTTACCAGTAAAATTACAATTAAGTTGAATGAATTTTATGATATCTTTGTTTAATTTTTTTTGTCTGAATATTGATAGATATGATTGACGATCACAATCAACTATACCATTCTCGTGTAACCATACAATAGCCTCTATACCTGCATTATAAAGTGAGATATATGCATCACTGGGGTGCCCTCTAAAAGTGTCAGCGTTGATTAATTGCTTTTCAACCAAATATTTGAATACTCTTGGGCTGCAAATACTGAATAGCACATCATTTTCAGCGTTGACAACCAACTTGAACTCATAGTGATCTTTGAATGTGTCATGGAGGAATTGAACTAATTCCAGATCATCATATTCATCGATAACTTTGTTCAATTGGGATCCAATTCTTTTATAATCCAATGCCACCAACTCTTTGATTGAATAGTGTTGGAGAAGGAATTTACATGTTGAAATGTGTAACATGGCAGAATCTATATTTATATGTTGAAATAACATATCTCTAACCTTGTTGGGATCACTACTACCTCCAATCATTCCCTGTAAGATACTGTATACCATTTGAGCAGGTTCAAAGTACCCATTAAACAAGAAATATCTAAATGCATCTGTATACACTTCAATATTATCACCAAAATATTTAGTGTGTCCTCCGTGATGATAGAGATACATGACTATATCTGATTTAAAAGGTGTTGGTTCTTGTTGTGGTCTGATAATGTATTTTAAAAAGGTTGGTTTAAAAGTGTATCCATATTGATTGGCTAATCTATCTATCATTACAACCATATCCAACCGTTCTACTTCAATTGCTGTTTCCATTGCAAGATCAAAGTTGGTATTTTCCTTCAAACTAGGATCAGTATTGTTTTTGCAAGCTGACACAAAAAATGCAAGCATCTCTGGAGTACACTTTCTGTTTGATATAAACCAATCAATGTTGTTCTTGCCAATATTAATCGTCTCTTGTAATAATAATGGGTATCTTTCAATCACCCATTTAAATGTTTCCAATTGTCCAGACATAATACAATGCAATGACATATTTGTACATTTCTTACCAAGATGTTGACCCATTTCTAGGATTTCAATGCTACCTGACTTTGCTGCCAAATCCATATCGATTGTGAATGATGTATTATCCAATAGATATCTGACAAGTTTTGAATCACCTCTTGATATAGCATTTTGCATTGAAAATGTAGTAAAATGATATATAGAGTTTGGGAAATGATTGACCATGTGATGAATGATTGGTAGTGCACCAGGTGACAAACACACATCATCCATCAATCGTTCCTTTTGGAGAAGGATGAAATGAAGAGATTGACAGTACTCGATGATCTCTATCACTCGAGGATGATTGGTTTTAATACATTTCTTGACAATTGCTATCTTCATAGATTCTGTTAGAAAATGAACCTTTCTATCATTGTCAAAGAGGTTATTGATGAGTGTTGTACTTTCTTTATCTTTGATGTAATTGATTAATCTAACATTGAAAGAGTCTCTAACTGTTAAATTAGATATAGATTGTTTTGAAGATTGAAATAGGTTGAAACAATAATACAATAGATCTTGATTTTTAGTTTGATATACTTTTAATACATCCATCTTGTATTTTAGCATCACATTGAGTATATTGTCATTGTGAATTGATTCAATCCATTTGATTAGATTAAAATCACCAACTATAAAAGATGAATTAGTTACAATCTTTATAAACTCTTCCAAATTGCCCACTCCATATCTATTGTACATAAAATCTTGAATGAATTGATTTCTCTTGTTGCATATCATAGTATCGACACCTTGATACTGGTTGTTCAATTCATAACTATGATTATTTAATATAGATTCAATAATATCTTTTAAATTTGGTATCCATCTACGTCGTAGTTTCTCTTTGTCTACTTGTTGTCGTTGTTTTTGATCACCATTGTTGTTATGATCATCAAAACTGAACCATTTATACTTTGCATACTTTTGTTCTTGTTGTAGTAGAGTTGATTGTAGTTGGTCAAAGTATCCATATCTTGCAAGTTGAATAGCATCGTTGCTTAATTGATCCCAGTTGTAGTATCCGCTTTGACGATGTCTTTGATGATCATATGATGATAATAATCGATTGATTTGTTTTACATTTTTGATGATCACACTACGAGTGTATGAATTACCAATAACCGCTGATTTAAATAATCTATCTATATTCATTCTTTGTTCTATCAAACAAACAAACAAATAAATAAATAAAATGAATGAATGTATGATTGAATGAACGAATAAAATGAAAAATAGAAAGAAGAAAGAAACCAAAAACTGTTTTTGGAGAGACACTTCACCAAAACTGCTGACTCAACAAACCCCTGAAATGATTCCAGAAACATTATTTATTTATCATTAATTATTGTTATTATTGTTTAATTGTGAGTTATATTCTTTATTTATTCTTGTTTTGTAATATAACAATTGAATTGAATGAATGTTAAAATATCTTTGTTTAGATTTTTTTGTTGTAATATATTTTGATATGATTGATTATCACAATCAACTATTCCATTGTTGTGTAGCCAGACAACAGCTTCTAACCCAGCCCCACAAAACAAGAAATATGCGTTGGATTTTCCTTTATAAGTATCACCATTGATTAAATTCTTTTCAACCAAATATTTGAATACTTTGGGACTGCAGATTTCAGTATCAGGCCATACCTCCAACTTGTAATGATCGTTGAATGTGTCATATAGGAATTGTATTAACTCTAGATTATTGTAATCATCGATAGCTCGGTTAAATTGAAATCCAATTCTATTATAAACCAATAGCAACTCTTTAATTGAATAGTGTTGGAGAATGATTTTACAAGTAGAAATATCTCTAACTGCCAAGTCTATAATGTTTTCTTTTAGGTACATGTCTCTAGCCATCTTATTACTACCACACATTCCTTGTAAGATACTATATACCATTTCAGCAGGTTCACTTAATCCACAATACAAGAAATCTCTAAATGCATCCATGTAGACTTCAACATTTTTTCCAAAATATTTGGTGTAACCTCCATCACGACAAAGATACATGAATATATCTACTTTATCAGGTGTCGGGCGTGGATTCAGATGAATGTTTGATAATAGTGTTGGTTTGAATATATATCCATATTGATTGGCCATTTCTACAATCATTTCTACATTATCCAATCTATTTTGGTAAATTGCTGTTTCCATTGCAAGATTAAAGTTGATCATCTTTGGATTCTCTTCAGTCACATTGTTGATTTTTGCAGCAATAAAACTTGACATCACAAATGCAAGCATTGCAGAAGTACACTTTTTGTTTGACGCATGTTTTAAAAACCAGTCAACGTTTATCATCTCTTTTAAAAATAATGGGTATCTTTCAATCACCCATTTAAATGTTTCCAAGTGTCCAGACATAATACAATACAATGACTCTTTTGTACATTTCTTACCAAGATGTTGACCGATTTCTAGGATTTCAATGCTACCTGACTTTGCTGCCAAATCCATATCGATTGTGAATGATGAATTATCCAATAGATATCTGACAAGTTTTGAATCACCTCTTGTTATTGCATTTTGCATTGAAGTGAAATTAAATATAGAGTTTGGGAAATACTTTGTAATGTGATGAAATGATTGGTAATGCACCAGGTGACAAACACACATCATTAATCAATCGTTCATTTTGGAGGAGGGTGAATAAAAGTGATTGATAGGATTGAATGATTTCAATGACTCTAGGATGATTGGTTTTAATACATTTTAGAATCATGGCCACTTTAATGGATTCACTTATTTCAGACATATTGTCAAAAATATGATTGATAAGTGTTGTACATTCTTTATCTCTATCTTTGATGTGATTTCCTAATCTAACGATGAAATGGTTTCTTTGTATAGCGTTGGACATTGAAGAGTTATGGTTTGAAGATTGAAAGATTTTGAAACAATGATACAATATATCTTGATTGTTTGTTTGATAGATCATTAAAATATCCATCTTGTATTTATCCATCACATTGAGTATATTGTCATTGTGAATAGATTCTACCCATTTTATCATCTCTAAATCACCACCAGAATTTTTGAAAGAGCAACCAATCAAAGACTTTGTAAACTCTTCCAAGTTGTCCAAACCATATCTTGTATAAATAAAATCTTGAATGATGTGTCTGATGACAGATATACTATCATCATCATCATCTTGATGTTGTTTGTAATTCAAGATATCACCATGACTCTTTATAATCTGGGGATATCTTGTTAAAGATTCGATGATCTCTTTTAAATTTGGTATCCATTTTCGTTTATCTTGATCATTTGTACCATCATCATCACCATTGGTATTGTTATCATCAAACCATTTATAGTTTTCATACTTTTGTTCTAATGACAGCAGAGTTGATTGTAGTTGATCAAAGTATCCATGTCTTGCAAGTTGATTAGCATCGTTGCTTAATTGATACCAGTTGTAGTATCCTATTGGTTCTTGATCATATCTTTGACGATCATAAGGTGCTGATAGTAATCGATTGATTTGTTTTACATGTTTGATGATCACACTACGAGTGTATGAATTGACTAGGAACACTAATTGAAATAATCGATTATTCATTCTTTGTTATTTCTCTATCTCTATATCTCTCTCTCGCTGTTATTAAACAAAAAAATAATCAACTCTTGGAGTATTCAAAAAAACAAACTTTAACTTTTTATTATTTTTTTATTTGAAGTTTATTTGTAATAAAGCTTGATTTGAAATATTACAATTAAATTGAATGAATGGTATAATATTCTGGCTTAGATTTTTTTGTTGTAGTAATATATTTTGATATGATTGATTATCACAATCAACTATTCCATTGTCGTGTAGCCAGACAATAGCTTCTAACCCAGCCTTACAAAGCAAGAAATATGCCTCGGATTTTCTTCCTCGATACATATCTGGATTAATTAAATTCATTTCAACCAAATATTGGAATACTCTTGGACTGCAAATTTGAGTATCATTCCAGACTTCCAACTCACAGTGATCGTTGAATGTGTCATATATATATTGTATTAACTCTAGATCGTTGTGTTCATCGATAGTTCTATTAAATAGAATTCCAATTCTTTGATTATAAACCAATAAAAATTCTTTAATTGAATAATGTTGGAGAATGAATTTGAGTGTTGATATGTTTCTGACTGCCACATCTATCATGTTTTCGTTTAGGTATTTGTCTCGAGCCATTATATTGGGAATATCACCACTTAATTCCAGTAAGATACTTTAGACCATTTGAGCAGGTTCATCAAATCCATAAAACAAGAAATCTTTAAGTGCTTCAACGTAGACTTCAACTTTTTCACCAAAATATTTAATGTATCCTTTTTTTCGACAGAGATACATAAAGAAATCTACTTTTTTTAGTGTTGGTTGTGGTCTGTGAAAAAGCGATAAAGAGATTGGGTTGTTCGAGGTGCTCTCAAACGTTTCCAACATTTCTACCAACATTTCTACCATATCACATCTTTCTTTATTGATTGCTTTACTAATCGCAAGATCAAAGTCGATAGTCATATGATACCCCATTTCTGAGACGCATCTGACAGAAAAATAAGTTGAAATAAAAAATCCAAGTATCTCTGGAGTACACTTTTTGTTTGATATGGCCAATCCCATAAGGCTGTCAGTGTAAATCATATATTGGAGTAGTGATGGGTATGTTTCAATGAGCCATTTAAAAGTTTCCAAGTGTCCATATGCAATACAATAGAATGCCTCTGTTGTACACGCCAACCCAAGTTTCTTTCCCAGCTCCAATACTTTAATGCTACCTGCCTGTGCTGCATCATCCATATCGATTTTCAATGCTTTATCAATATCCAATAGATAGGTAACCAATTTTGAATCATCTCTTGTTATTGCATTATGCATTGATTTGTATGAAAAATACCCTTTAATATAATAGGGGTTATATTTGGTCAACTGTTGAATTATTGGTAGTGCCATAGAAGATAAACATACGATATCCATTAAATGGTCTTTCCTTAGGAGGGAGGATAGAAGAGATTTGTCCCAATAAAGGTAAAAATTTTTTAATCGAGTTTCACAGTACTCTATGATCTCTAGTACTCGAGGATGATTCGTTGTAATACATTTCTTGATGATTGTTTTTTTAGTGGCCTCTGTTAAATCAAGTATATAATAGTCAAAGAGGTTGTTGATGAGTGTTGTACTTTCTTTATCTTTGATGTAATTGACTGTTCTAACCACAAAAGTGTCTCTAACTGTTGAATTGGATTTAGAGTATTTTGAAGATTGAAATATTTTGAAACAATGATACACTATATCTTGATTTTTAGTTTTAAATACAATTCTAAGCTCCGTATTGTATTTATGCATTACATTGAGTATATTGTCATTGTGAATAGATTCAATCCATTTGATCAACTCTAAATCACCATCATAACATTTTAAAGCACTTGTAATCACCAATGTTGTAAACTCTTCCAAATGATCCACTCCACCATATCTCTTGTACATGAAATCTTGAATGAATTGGTTTCTCTTGTTGACCCGATCGTCATCATCATCATATTGTTTTTTAAATAGATTGCAATGATTCTTTAATGTCATTGGATAACTTATTAAATCTTCAATGATCTCTTTTAAATTTGGTATCCATCTATGTTGTTGTTGTTGTTTTTGTTTTTGTTGTTCATCACCATCATCATCATTGTCATCATCATAATTAGACCATTTATACTTTGCATACTTTTGTTCTAATGTGAGTATAGTTGATTTTAGTTGATTAAAGTATCCATGTCTTGCAAGTTGAATAGGATCGTTGCTTAATTGATCCCAGTTGTAGTATTCAATCGGCTTTTGACGATCGACGGGTGCATATGAAAATAATCGATTGATTATCTTTACATGTCTATTGATCACACGACGAGTGTACGAATTGATAAATACTAATTTAACTAATCTATTCTTATCTATCTCCATTCTTGTTCTAAAGTTTACAAATAAAGAGAGAGAGAGTTGAAAAAATATAGAAAGATAATTTCGACAACTTTCGTAGTTTTATGGTTTTTTGAGAAGAGAAGAAGAAATTAAAGAAAAAGACTTGAATGTTGGGATAAGAACTATAATATACCTTGGGTAAGGAGATGTGATGCGATCATGTGATTGATAGGATATTTATTTATTTTTGATCTTTATCATTGGTAATAGTACAATTGAATTGAATAAATGTTGACATGTCTTTGTTAAATTTTGATATCTTGATGTATGATTGACTGTCACATTCAACTATACCATTCTCTCGAAGCCATACAAATGCATTGAACCCAGCCTGACAAACTAATAGATATGCATTGGGTTGTCCTTTAAAAGTATCGATGTTGATTAAATTCTTTTCAACCAAATATTTGAATACTTTGGGACCGCGAATATGAGTACCAGAATTGACAAACAACTTATAGTGATCTTTAAATGTATCATAGATTAATTGAACTAATTCCAAATCATTTGATTCTTCAACAGCTCTATTTAATTGATATCCAACTTTGGTGTATGCCATCAACAACTCTTGGATTGTTATATGTTCTAGAATGAATTTGCAAGAAGTAACATGTTGCATTGCCAGATATATAGTGTTCTCTTTGAGTAAGTATAATTCCTTTGCCGTTTGAGAATTACTACCACACATTCCTTGTAAGACACTATACACCATTTTAGCAGGTTCATGTAATTGATAAAATAAACAATCTCTAAGTGCATCCCCATACTCTTTAACATTTGATCCAAAATATTTCGTGTGCCCTTTATGATAGAGATACATGAATATATCAGCTCTATCAGATATTGATTTTGGTCTCTTGTCAAATCGAGATAATAAATTTGGTTTTAAAGTATATCCATATTGATTGGCCAGTTGGTCAATTAATTCAACCATTTCCAATCTCTCTTGATTAATTGATAGATCGATTGCAGCATCATAGTTTATAGATACTTTTAACCCAGAGGCCTCTGTATCATTTTTGAAAGATTCTGTCAAAGTAGACAAGAATATTTTTATATTATTTGGTGTACACTTTTTGTTTGATATTGCATCTTTGATAAATGAATCAACGTCAATCTCTTGTATAAGTAATGGGTATCTTTCATTCACCCAATTAAATGCTTCCAAATACCCATCGATAATACAATGCAATGACATATTTGTACATTTCTGACCAAGATGTTGACCCATTTCTAGTATTTCAATGCTACCTACTCTTGCTGCCCAATCCATATTAATAGTAATCGGAGGCGATGTTGTTGATGTTGATGTTGATGTTGTTGAATGATCCAATATATATTTAACCAATGGTATATTTTTCTTGATGATTGCCTTGTTGATTGAAGACAATGTAACTGTCAATGAATCATGAAAGTTTGGGAAATACTCTGTAATGCAAAGAATGATTGGTAGTGCACTAGGAGAGCCGCATATAGTATCCGACATACCAGGTTTCAAAAAAAACATCTTTTTAAGAATATCATTCTTTAAATAGTATTGAACTATTTCCAAGACTCTAGGATGATTTCTTTTGATTGCCATTTTAATCATTGAAAGCTTAATGGGATACATTAATTGAGACATATCATTATCAAAGAGATGACTGATAAGTATGGTTGTAGATTCTCTTTCTTCAATGTACATTAAGAATCTGCCAATAAAAGATTCTCTTGCATTTGAAGTGGATGGAGGGTGGTTGGGAGATTGAAATATTTTAAAACAATAATACACTAGGTCTTGATTGGTTGATTGAAATACTATTTGATTATGAATCTTGTATTTATCCATCACATTTAGTATATTATCATTATGAATTGATTCGATCCATTTAATAAACTCTAAATTACCATTATTACCAAATGCACATGTAATCACCGATGTTGTAAACTCTTCTAAATTATCCAATCCATATCTTTTATAAATAAAATCTTGAATCAATTGATTTCTCTTTTGATCATCATCTTGATAATATTGTTGTTTGTTATTTAAGAAATCACAATGATTCTTTAATGTTATTGGATATTTTAATAAAGATTTGATAATCTCTTTTAAATTTGGTATCCATTTACGTTGTTGTTGTTGTTTCTCTTTTTGATCATTGTCATCTTCAAACCATTTATACTTTGCATACTTTTGTTCTTGTTGTAGTAGGGTTGATTGTAGTTGATCAAAATATCCATATCTGGCAAGTTGAATAGTACTTAATTGATACCAGTTGTAGTATTCAATCGGTTCATTATGAAGAATAATGTAATTTTTGATATGATTCATTTCATAGTGTGATGATATCATTTGATTGATACATCTTACATGTTTGATGATCACACTACGTGTGTATGAATTGACTATAAACACCAATTTAAAAACTCTATCTATATCCATAAATACAAATATAAATATAAATACAAATAAATTAAAACAAATAAAAAAAAAATAGAAAGTGAGTCAGAAAAAAACAAGACATCTCTTTTATTTCTTTTTTTTAAATTAATTTAATTTAATTTATTTAGTTTGATAAATTTTAATTAATCTTCTTTTTGATTATTTATTTATTATCAATTGATAATAGTACAATTATATTTAATGAATCTACCAATATCAGGTGAGTGAATTTGAATGATTTCATCTAATGATTTCTTGGGACATTGAGTGACACCATTTTCGAAAAGCCAAATAACTCCATCAAGACCAATATGACTGAACCGGTCAAATATGGTTGATAGGTGGTCAGAGTCATCAGCAGTGTACATACCAATGTTGATTAAATTCATTTCAACCAAATAATTAAATGTTGGATTAAAGAGTCGGGTTTGGGGATCGATTGTAAAGGTGTGATGATTTTTAAAGGTGGTGTAGAGGAATTGTACCATTGGCAAATTATTGTTTTCAATTGACAATCCAATATCTTGATCGAAATTAGAGTATATTGATTCTACCAACTCGTCAACTGAATAGTGATCGAGAATAAACGAAGCTGCTGAATCGTTACCACCCTCAAATGCATGAGCGATAGTATTGGCATTCAAATACATGTCTCTTGCTTGTTTGGTATTTCCACCAAACTGTGTCTCTAATATTCCAAACAATAATTTAACAGATTCATACGACCCGTTAAGCAAACCAATTCTAAATGCTAGGTCAACACGATCCTTTCCAAAGTATCTAGTTGGTCCGTTTTCAGTTGACCTGCAAATATAATTGAGTATGTCAAGTTTGGCAGATGGCGATGTTATTGGTGCGCAAAAGTGTGACATGTAAGTGGGACTGAGTGTAAAGCCGTGTTCTACAGTCAGCTGGTCAATCGTCTTGACCAAGTCCAATCTCCCATTTTTGATAGCTGGTTGCATTGACAAATCATAGTTGATCTTTGTCACCTGAGAAGAGGTAGCAGCAGCCAGGTAATAACTCGACACGAAATATTTAAACATATCGGGTGTACAGTTAGAGTTGGATACCGCGTTGGTTAACAATGTATTGATGTTTGTATCTTTAATAAGTAATGGGGATCTCTCCAACACCCATTTAAAAGTGTCCAAGTGTCCACGAGTAATACATGTCAATGCAGTATCGGTACACTGTAAATTGGCGGTGACTCCCATCTCGAGGATTTCAATTTGACCTTCGTTGGCTGCAACATCCATATCGATGACGAGTGACTTGGTTTCGATGAGGTATTGAACCAATTCAATATCACCTCTTTGAATAGCGTTTTGCATAGACTGGATTGAATACTCTGTTGGAAAGTACTTGTCGATGAGAAGGACTAGTGGTAGTCCCACACTAGACAAACACGCATCATCCAATACCATTACATAGTTTCCAACTACAGTAACCAGAGATTCATGTTGTAAATAGTATTTTGTAATCTCCAAGACACGTGGATGACTTTTGGTTATACAAGATGTCAATATGATACTTTGAACATTTTCTGGTAACTCCAATATATGGTGATTGTCAAATAGTTTGTCGATCAATAGTGTACACCCTTCTTCCCCTTGGTCTCTAATATACATCCCTAATCGGAAATAAAAGTCTTCTACCAACAATTGATATGTAGATGCATCAACTGAGGAGGAAGAGGATGAAGAGGATGAAGGTATTAAAGTGAAATAGTGGTAGACAATAGATTGACTGTCACGGTTATTGAATATATGTTGATGTTTAATCTTGTACCTAACCAATAGGTTGATCAAGTTATTATTATTATTATTATTATTATTATTATTATTATTATTATTATTGTTGTGAATTGATTCTATCCATTTGATGAGTTCTATATTACCACTATTCAAAGAGAATGTAATCACCGATTTTGTAAATTCATCCAAGTTGTTCACTCCATACCACGGATAAATAAACTCTTGAATGAATTGATTTACTTTTGAGTAGTAGTTGTATGAGTCGTCCTCGTTGTGTTGTTGTTGATGGTTTTGTTGTTTATTCAAAATATCACTACGATACTTTAAAACCAATGAATGTTGTAATACACATTTGATAGTATCATTTAAATTGGGTACCCATGTCTTCTTCTTCCCATCATCATCATCTTTTTCATCATCACTGAACCACTTATAGTTTGCATACTTTTGTTCTAGTGCTAGTATAGTTGATTGTAGTTGATTAAAGTAGCCGTGTCTTGCAAGTTGAAGTGGGTTGGTGATCATTTGATACCAGTTGTAGTATTCGACTGGTGAAGAATCATGTTTTCTCTTTTGGTGAGTGGACGTCGACGCTGACACGACCATCCTGTTTACAAGCCTCACATGTTTGAATATCTCGTTGTGTGTGTACAGGTTAACCAACACAACCGATCTAAATAGTTGTTGTTGTTGAACATCTATCATCTTCTATCTATCTATCTATCTATCTATCTATCTATCTATCTATCTATCTATCTATCTATCTATCTATCTATCTATCTATCTATCTATTTATTATTATTATTACTATTATTATTATTAACACATTTTGCTCATACTAGAGTACAGTATGTGATGTGATCATCATTCTTAGTTCTTATTGGCTTATTATATTCCTTTTCTTTTCTGGTTGTTGGAGAAAAAATAAATAAAAAAAAGATATTACTTTGACTATTTTCTTTCACAAGCAAGGTGCTCCCTTGCTTTGTATTTAGAAAAAAAACAAATATTTTGCCGCTCAAATATTTGTATGACTATCATGATAACTCAATAATATTAATTTAATATTTAATATTTAATATTTAATATTTAATATTTAATTACAATGTTTATTTGTTTGTTTGTTTGTTTGTTTGGTTTAACCTTGTGGTGGACATGGTTGGGCATTGTTACATGAATCTGGTAATACCCAAGCTGAAGCGGGTGGAGTTGTTTGTCTAAAGTTTTCAAAGTTTTGAATGGTCCATCCAGAAGGGGCGGCAGCGAAAAAGAATGAACCGGGAGTCCAACCAGCTGTGGATGACCCGTTGGCATAGAACCCATAGCCAAACAAACCACCGGATCCAGGTAGATAGATGGTCCAATAATCGATTTCTTGTCCATTCAATGGTGCACTCACATTTTGGGTGGCACCACAACCAGTGATGAAATTGGGTGATGGAGGATACCATGGATCACCAAAGACACAACATGGTGGTACGTCACTTGGAGCATCATCATGTGTCACAATATAAGAGACACCCTTTACATTTATAAAATCACATGACCAATCTGAGCCATTTGAAAAGATTGGTACACAAAAATCATAGTATACTTCATGCATTGCTTGATTACTCCAATCGTAATATGTCATACCACGACCACCCTTGAATGGTGCTGGTACCATATTATTAGCATATGGTGGTGTTTCTTCTGATTCTGTATAAATGATTGTCCTAAGTAGAAGTGAAGAATCAAAGTATATAAGTATAATGAACATTGAATCATTGTCTAAATTTAAACTATAAATAAACATACCAATCTACAACCCATTGTTCAGACCAGAATGGGTCATCGTTACTCGAGCTGTCAACAGAGTAAGCAAAACATGCAGCTGACAGCAATACAACAACTACTAATATTAAATAATTATAAATATATTTCATTTTAAAAGTAAATGAATGAATGATGATGACGAATGAATCAAGCAATATTAAGTACTTAATCGAAAAAATCTAACGTCAAAATATCTGTGGAAGCGCATTCCTTTGATGATGTAACAAACAACCTGAAAACCGATTAGTATTTTCTGTTCAAATATAGGACATCTCCGTGCTTGCTCTATCTATCTATCTACATTATTATTTGTAAAAGTAATAAACAACAACAAACAAACTCACTAACTAGTTTGTTCTTTTTTAATTCCAATTTTGTATTATTTTATTTTTGTCTCAGAGCCGATCGTCATATGAAGAGAGTGCTCTCTAGTTTGAGTGTTACACTATCTATGTACTCATCATGTGATAAATTAATAGACAAATGAATACAAGACAAGTTCCACATTTAATAGAACATCAAATAATCAATCTATTATTCAGGTGTCTTACAACTGATAGATATGTAGCCGATTATTTGGATGATATCATTGTATTGTCGAGTGTATGCAAGAGATGGTTTAATACAATTAAAGTGGCTTTATCTTGTTTGGATCCTAAACTACCATCAATGTATCAAACACCGTATAGATACTACCCAGATAAAACACCGATTCAAGAGTATAAAAGAATGATGGAACATCCACAAAGTCTATGTTCATCACCATTATCTTTTTATGCTTTAAATATTAGAGATACTTGTAAAGCATTAGATTATTTATTATCTTCAACATCTTCGTCTTCATCTTTATCATTTAAATCAACATTTACATCAACCATACAATCATTATTTATTGTAAATGATGATCACAACACTAATCTTTGTAAAAGATTGTTATCGTCATCATCATCATCTTCTTCTTCATCTTCGTCACAGTCATTAGAAATGCCAAATTTACAATCATTGTATTTATATAATGACTATCAAGATGAAAAGAGATTTGATGAAAGGAGTTGTAAAAAATATTGTATTGAATATTTAGTTGAAGAGATGGATGGTAGATGGTTGATGAATATTACAAAACTACAATTACAGTGTCGTGTAGAACCAGATGCATTGGTATCTAAGCTATTTCAGAGATGTCAGTCACTTGAAAAGTTGGATCTTGTAGCTGAGGGTTACGACTCTCATTATGTATTGGGTGGTTGGCCAAAGTTACTATCTTGTCTCTCGGAATGTCCACGAATCACCAAACTCGGTCTTGGATACGTCCAACAGAATCAAACTAGAATAGTCAGACAACTGCCATTTGACAAGCTACCCAACACCATAACATCAATTAGAGTACCGAAAGATACAGTTTCATCATCACCTCTACTCAAACAATTGGTCAAACAACACAATACATCTATTAGAAAAATATCTTGTTTGGAACTTGACAAAGATTGGAATGAAATCTTAAAACATACCAATTTAACAAAGATTAGTTTGACTATCCCCTCCTCATCTTCCTCATCCTCTTCATCCTCATCCTCTCCGAGGATCCCTACAATAATAGCAGTATTTCCAATAACAATTCAATACTTGACAATTGAATTAGATCCAGATGATAGGACTATAGATTACAATGCATGGAAGTTGGAGGAATTGCCAACACTTGTCAAGGTGACTCTTAAACCAATGATTGTTAGACAACGAGCCACCTCTTTCAAGATGAGTGTTGTAAAATACCTCAGCGGTTTAATCGATCGTTCAAAGAGCCTGCAATCGATATCATTGGTTCGACTCCATTGGATCGAATATAATAAGACAGAGGCCGACCTTTTAATATTCAATCAACTATTTGATAGTATTTCAAACAACAAGAGTAAATCATTTAAACAATTTCATTTCGATACTTCTTTTTATCAAAAGTTGGGATGTATGTTTGAAAAGTATCAACAATCCTATCATAATAATAATAATACTACATGTCCATTAATCTATTATTCCAATGATACATTTGGTAACTATGGTATATTTATAATAAATACAAATAACTAACTTATAATCATGATTATGAAAATAAAGATATTGATACAAATAATCTAGATGAACGTCTTTTAAGAGAGCTCTCTTTGTCGCGACAAACGCGAAAAAAGATTTTTAAAAATGTTTTTTTTGGGGGTTGCACGATTTGAGAGAGAGGGAGGGGAGATCTTTAGAAAGAAAGGGCAAGAATACTTAGAGATTTTGCAATATTTATTATTTATTATCATTATTCGTTTTCAAAAAGAAATAGAGAGAGAGAGAAAAGAAGAGAGAGAGAGAGTTTGTAAATATAAGGATCTTGTAAACTAGAATAGAATAAAATAATATTAGATTAGATAGTAGAATGACAATGAAGATTTCAACTATTCTCGTATTGGCAACAGCTTTGCTTTGTACATGTATGTTTAAGTTTATATTCCCTCCTCCCCCTCCTCCTACCCCAATACTATATTGTACACACAACACAATTGATCTTATTCTTATTATTCTTATTCTTCTTCTTCTTCATATTTCATTCTTCTAACTATATCTTTTTACTTTTAAATGTAATTATTATTATTATTATTATTAGTATATATTAATGGATGTAGTGGAGCTGACCCAGTTATTGATTGTATCATTGATAATGGACGTCTATTTAACTTTTGTATATCAAATTCATTTGAACAGGTGTACAACATCTCGACAATGGCCGCCTATGGGTTGAGAATACCTGAAGGTTATAACAACAGTCTTGTCCTAAACGACACTTTTGTGCCAGGTCATACCTGCTTCCAACCTGCTCCTGACTCGAAGCTCTTTATCGACCAATTTGTTCAAGATGCAATCTACTCACTCCAAGACAATGAAAACCTCTTTACCAATCTCTCAATGACTGCTGACCAGATTAAAAATGGTGCTACTAAATGTGTTGAATTCTTGGCTATGCGTACTTGTACTCTTATATTTAGATGTATGTTTTGTTGTTGTATAATAATAATATTATACTGATGAAAAATAGAAAAGATATTAATATATATATATATACTCATCATTATTAATTATCATTCTCTATCTCTTTGTTAATTTAGCACCATACCCAGATCAAAAGGAAGGATGTGGTTCTTTTTGTCCAACTATTTATAGAAGCGGGTGTCCATACGCTAAATATCCACTTGAATTCCAGGGATTACAAATGTACCCACCAAATGTAACCGAGTGTTATGTCGGGCTCTCCAACAGCACCGACGACAAAACCTGTAACGTCTTTAACATGCTCAACCGTATTGGTGATTTCAACTACGTCCCAACCACAACCACCAACGACAAAGAAGAGGACGATGTTTTGGCTGGAACCCTTTTAGCTTTTGGTTTGTTGATTGCTTTCTTGTTGATTATCGGTTCATTAAGTTTTATTATGAGCAGACAACAAAAGAAATAGATAATATAAAAAACAACATTGACCAACCAACCCAACCAACCCACAACAATATATATATTATATAATTATAGGCATACTACTAAATAAATAAATAAAATAAATAAATAAAAAAAAGAAAATTAGTAAAGTAAAAAAATAAACTCTCTCTCTCTATATATATATATATTTATCTCTGTCTCTTTGTTTTTATGTTTATGTTTGGTGATAAAAAAGATGAAGGAAGGGTTTCTTTTCTTTTGTTGCAAAATGTTTTTTTTGTTTAGGAGCTTAAAAATAATTATTGATCCAAGATATTTTTACTGGCTCAAACTTGGGAGTATCGAGTCATAGCCTTTTGGTATCCCTCGTCTCCAAAGGGGGGTTGTTTTTTTATCCAAAAGATAGTTCACACAATCGTTGAATCTTTCAATGGTCACCAAATCTGCTGCGCTATAATCCTTCAGTTTACCTCCATCAAAGTTTGAAGTCCGTCTTATAAAAATTTCTTTTTCTCTTCAATAAGTACATATCTTTACACATAGACATATATATATAATTTTTTCAAACAATAATAATAATGTACAAGAGTAATAGTGTCATCATATGTTTAATCATATCATTGTAAGTCAAGTTTTTGATCAGCGAGAATTCTATGAAAGGTGGAGAAAATGAATTATCTAATCTTAACCTCAACCCATTCCACATGATACATCAAATTTATCTCTACTCTATAGATTATACATTCATAGTTGTCAAGGACAAGTAACCAAAAATATATCATGTATAATAGATGATGGTCATTTGTTTGATTTCTGTCCAATGGTACCATCGTCATTAAAGTATTATTCGTATGCGGCATTGAGTAATATCCCAGACTCGGTTATGACACTCGAATTTTATGATGGTCTCGTACTAGACCCAACCCCAATCGATGCCAATGGCACTACATGTTACAGACAATCCAACTCTTCTTTGAAAATTGACGCATTTATCCGCGATGCCGTCTACTCTGCTCAAAACAATACAAACCTATACACCAACTACTCTTCATCAGTCTCAGAGGCAAAGGCTTCAGCTATTGAATGCATTGAATTTATTGCCATGCGTCTTTGTACTTTAACTTTTAGAGGTTAGTAAAAAAGTCAACAACCTTATATTGAATCAATCAATTATTAATTTGTTATTAATTTCTTATATTTTTATATATAATTAGCAAACTATCCAGATCTTGAAGATTCATGTGGTGGTTATTGCCCATCATTATTTAAGAAATGTAATTATACAGTGTGGCCAGTGGCATATGAACCAACATTTAATGGTCAATCGCTCAATATCACTTATCAAATGTTCCCAAAGACACTTGATGAGTGTTATGCGGGTATTCTAACCAACACTACAACCAATTGCACTGTTGCGACATTGTCAAAGGCACTCGGAAACTTTGACTATAACTTTGTAGTGCCAGGTGAGGAGGTAGAGAGCGTTGTACCAGGCACCCTCTTGGGTTTTGGTTTATTATTGGCTTTCCTATTACTCATTGGTACTTTGGCTTTTATTATGAGTAAACAACAAAAGAAATAAGATAGATAATAGATAGAAATAATAATAATAGATAATAGATAGAAATAATAATAATAATAATAATAGTAGAAACTAGATAGTTAGTTTTTTTTTTTTATAAACCAGAAAAAACTAATAATAATAATAATTGAATAATAATAATAAACCATCTTCACACCCCCTGCCCTGTATTTTAAATTTAATTTTTATTATATATATATATGGATCTTATTATTTTTTTTATTATTTATTATTATTAGTATAAAAAAAAAAGGGTTAGTTAGTTTTTCTGATTTAGGGAGTAGTGTGGGTGTGGTGATGGTTTGATTAAAAGGGTGACTCTCTCCCATCCTACCTACCCTCAACCCCAATTTTGGGTTATTATTTTATTTTTTTATTTAAATTTTGTGATTGATTGATTCCAGTGATGACAGTCAATAAACCAATAATAAAATAAAGTTTTTATATTTATATTTTTATTTATTATATTCTTTCTCTCTCTTTTGCTCTATAGCAATATATTCTACTATTTAATAAATGTTATTTTCAAAAAATAAAAACAAGATAACATCATCATTTAATATTTTACTTTTAGAATTAATTTTTCTATGTTTGTATGTATATTCTCTCACTCTCTCTCTTTTACTTTTTCTAACAATATTAATTTCTTTTTTTAAGTTTATTATTTATAGTTAGTATAAATGGAGAATCGACGACAAGTACAGATGGTCCAGTTTGTATTGAGGATAAAAATAATGATTTATTTGGATTTTGTAAAACGTCTGGGAATGGAACAGGAAGGAAATATGGTTTAGAGGAATTAACCAGACTAGGTATACGTTTAACGTCATCATTTATGTCTTCTTTATCTAGAAATGGGACTAATGAGTGCCATGTTGCAAATGGTACCTACAAGATTGATGTTTTTATCAGAGATGCAATCTATTCAACTCAACACAATCCAAGATTCTATACAAACTCAAGGGTATCAAGTGAAAAAGCAACTGCTGATGCATTGAATTGTGCTGAATTATTGGCAATTAGATTATGTACTATGGCTTTTAGATGTTTGTATTTGATACAAAAAAAAATAGATAAATGTATTTTATTCATTTTCCTAATATTTTTTTATTTAGATGATTATCCAAATTTTGAGGATGCATGTGGAGGATATTGTGAAAGTATATTTAAATCGTGTAGTCATGCAGAATACCCTATTGTATATGAAACTAAATCCGAATTTACAACACTCACCTTTAATATAAAGCCAAAGGATATGACTGAATGTCTGGACGGATTAGTAGATAAAGTTAACGAAAATTGTACTATATTTCCAATGAGTAATTATATTCAAAATTATACATACTCTCCATCAACTCGCTACGGACGAGACAATGTAGTTCCTGGAACACTAGTTGCTTTTGCATTACTAGTTTCATTCCTCTTAATCATTGGAACTCTAACTCTAATTATGAATAGACAACAAAAAAGATTATAATGAAAACAAAAAATATACAACAAAATCCCTCCCCCACAAATATTTAATCAGTCAAAATAAATTAATATAATAAATTAGTATAATAAATAAATTATATATACTTACTTTTAGGTTCTTTATCTTTTCCCTATTTCCAATGATACTTTAAAAATTAATATGGGGACGTGATTTTTTTTAATTTTATTTTCATTTTTTTTTTCGTTGTTCCGTCCGTCTATTCTCTGTTCAAATTAGCTTTGATTAAAAGATTCTAATAGTAGTAGAGTTAGAGTAGATATAGTCTAGTTTTATATTTAGAGTTAGTAAAGATGGTTATTGCAAACTTTGATGAGATACTCTTCAAGACTTTGGATGTCAACAAGGTGATTGAAAACACTAGAGAATGGGCCACTCAAAACGAATGGGATCATCAAGAACTTGTCGGTCACTTGAAGAGTTGGGAGTCCATGTTCACCATCAAGTGTGATAACAAGGATATGCAAACATACGAGTTGACTGCCAACGGCAAGGACGCCCTTGACAATGGTTCACCAGAATACAGAATGTTTAACGATCTCCCAGTCGATGGTGTAACAATGAAAGAAGCAAACGTATGTCATAGTAGAAGTAGTAGTAGTAGTAGTCTATACTTTTAATCAAAATGATATTAATATGAATCATATATCAATCATATCTATCTATGTATTTCAGGAGAAATATGGTAGCACAGCATTTGGAGCAGCAAAGAATAAGGGATGGGTCAAGGTTGACAAAGGAAAAGTCGTAAAGAATGCAGAGACTGTTGAAGATGTTGCAAGAAAGTTATTGTCAAATCTCAGCATTCTTGAAAAGAAGGATATCGATGCACTCAAAAAGGACAAGTTTGTCATGGAGAAGAAGATCACCTATTTCACTGTATCACAAGGTGAAAAGTATAATATTAGAAAGAAGGAGGTCTCTGATCTTACCATGGATATGCTTAAAAAGTATGTTGAAATGAAAATGACAATCATTATAGTAATTATTATTATATATTGACCAACATGTTTACTTTTTAATTTTAGTAACTCTTGGAAAGATGAAACATTCAAATTCAACACTCTTTCAATGGGAACTAAACCAGATTCTGGTTTCCGTCATCCATTGAACAAGGTAAAGGCTGAATTCAAGCAAATCTTTATTGAAATGGGTTTCGAAGAGATGCCAACCAGCAACTATGTAGAAAATTCATTCTGGAACTTTGATGCTCTTTTCCAACCACAACAACATCCAGCTCGTGATGCTCATGATACTTTCTTTTTGAGTGGTAAGATATATATATATTATAATATATTATATACATATAAATGATTATTATTAATATAATTATATTTATTTTATTTCTATAGACCCAAAGACATCACACGATTTCACAGATGAACATTTAGAAAAAGTTAGAAAAGTTCATAGTGAAGGAGGATATGGATCATGGGGATGGAGATATGATTGGAAGCTTGAAGAGGCTGAAAAGAACATTCTTAGAACTCACACGACCGCTGTATCATCACGTATGCTTTACAAGCTTGCCAACCAACCAGGAGGATTCACACCAAAGAAGTACTTTTCAGTGGATCGTGTCTTCCGTAACGAATCACTAGACGCTACTCATTTGGCAGAGTTCCATCAAGTCGAAGGTCTCGTTGCAGGCTACGACATTTCACTCTCCAATCTCATTGGTATCTTTTCCGAATTCTTTAAGCGTTTGGGTATTGAAGACATTCAATTCAAGCCAGCTTTCAATCCATACACTGAACCATCTATGGAAATCTTTGGTGTTCATTCCAAGTTGGGTCGTATGGAGTTGGGTAACTCTGGTCTCTTCCGTCCAGAAATGTTGCTCCCATTGGGTCTCCCAGAAGGTGTCCAAGTCGCTGCTTGGGGTCTCTCTCTTGAACGTCCAACCATGATCAAATACGGTCTCAACACTATTCGTGATATCTTTGGTAATAATCTAAACATTGAATTCATTCAATCAAATCCAATTTGTATGTTCCCTCCAACTAAAACTTTATAAGAAAACAAAATAATAAAATAATAAAATAAATCAAATAGATAGATAATAAATATTATATTATATCTATAATACGTAATATTAGTTGTGTTTGTTGTTATAATTTGTACAATTTTATTTTCTATTTCTATTTCTATTTCTATTTCTATTTCTTTAATTAGTCAGGTAGGGTACCTTCGACAAATTGACCGCTGTTTGTATCATAAAAGATTGATTTGGTTGTATTGGTTGAATGTTGAGAGGCTTGACCAAAATCTAAAACAATGGGTTGACCAATTACTTTGAATATGGGGAACCCCTTTTTAGTGTCGGATTCCAAATAGACTATAGCTTTGTTGGTAGGATTAAACTCTGCCGAGTTGTTATATAGTACATAGGTTGCGTTTAGTTCAGAGTCGATTTGCTTTCCATTGATCTCTCCAATCTGTGTCGCACCAAAGTACATGCCCGCTGGCTCGCTATATCGATTGACCACTCCATAACCTTTGACTCGTGCTGCATCAGGTGTCATAAAGTACCCGCTGTCAGAGAGTGGGTACTCGTGTGTCTTTGATGCGCTTGCAACATCTGCCACTCTAAATATTGCTTGATCTTGGTTAAAACTCGATGCTGCAAACAAACCAAAACTATTGTTCCATACAACTCGGTTATGATTGAATGGTTTAAAAGACTGCCAAGCCACATTTGAATCACCATAGTCCATCCATCTCTGTACGACCACTCTTTGTTTAGCCTCTGTTATCTGATCCAATGCTTCATCACTAAATTGTATCTCTAATTCATAGATTCCTATATATTCCATCAATAAAATAAATATATATATGTTGATTGTATATGTTGTATATGTTGTATGTTGTATATGTTTTTGTTATTAATAGTTTTAATCGTGTGTGTAAAGAATGATCACATTTAAAAAGATTTGTTTGTTTGATTTATTTTTCAAGCGCGATCAAAAGGGTCTGCCACATGCATAACACAAACAAGTGTTTTCCTTTTTTGTGAACGATTTGCCCACCCATCGAAAAAACCCATCGATTGTTTGTTGATAGTAATATTCGGGTTGTGTGGTCAAAGGGGCAGCTCGACCTTTGATTAATTTAATTGATTTATTTATTTTTTTAACTTGAATTATCAATCTTGACTTACACCAATCATTGCAGCAATGATAAAGAGATTATATAAAATGATAGTGGGGACTGCAAAGACGAGTGATACAATGGCCATCCTTCTTGCATGTATATTGGTTGATTTACGGAATAAAATGAATGATATTACCCATAGACAAACAAATCCCCAACCAAGGATAAACATGATGATGGTAGCAGTCAACTCTTTTTTACCTTGAACATCGTCATAATGGTAATACTCTAGATGGAACTTTTCGGCATCACCATAGACCTTGTCAACTTCTTCATTGATGACAATGATACCTGATCTTCCACCACCAATATCAACATGATCAATCTGTTGTTGATAATTTGAATTATTTGTTTGATTATTCTGTAATAAATGTTCACTCATTGAATTGGCATTTGATGAAGGATCCACTACATTGATGATTCCACTTGGCGGATAATAAGGATTGAAATTACTATCATTTGAATTATGTGGTTGATGGTGATGATGTTGCTGATCAGCTCCATTTAATTTTAATTCTTCTTCATTTTCTATATCAATATTATTTATACTATTACTATGACTATGATGACGTATATGATCATTTCGATTATTACTAATTTGATTATTATTATTATTTTCAATATTTGGGTCAAGTTGTGAATATGATTGTTTAATTTCTATCATTCTTTTTTTTTTGGTTAAATAAAACTATAAATGTATCTATTGATTGTTTGATTGATATTCACAAAAAAGATATGAGTGGAATGGGATTTATAGTGATAGACAAATAGGGATATCATGATCGGTTTTTCTACTATTTTATTTTAATTTGACTGTCTAGTATCATCCATCATAATAATAATGTAACCATCATGATTTATTTCCTGTTTGGGGTGACTGTGTGGGTTGTTTCAAAAAACAGTGTGAGGAGGTACGATGTATTGGATATTCATACACTCACTTTGAATCCTAGGATAAAAATAACTTCATCGTTTTGTTTATTATCATCATCACCAATGATCATGCATCACAGATATACAGCTATAAAAATTAATAATATTGTTTTGTTTGTGAATTTATTTAAATAAATTAATTTTGTTGAAGAAAGAAGAGGAGGATGTAGAAATGATTTTATGCTCTATTAGGATCATTGAAACCAGTTAAATAAACTATTAAACAAGTTAAACAGATAACGAATAGAGTAGCAAAAATTCCGAATAATCCAAGTGATACCTTTGCCAATACTCTAGCAACTTTGTCTTTGGATCGATTGTGCAAACAATAATTGATTGACCATGGTAGTATAAACAAGAATCCAATACAAAAGAGTAGACATGATTTCTTTCTATCCTGTGCTTTTCTGGCTTCCTTTTCCAAATCTTGTTTCTTTGCCTTTTCAACATCAAATTCTTTGTATTGTCCATTTTGTTTTTTCACTCCTGATATATTATCCTTGGTTGCATTGTAATCTTTTAATTGATCACTTATACTTTTTTTTGGTTCCAATACTGTCATTCTTTCTATTTCTTTTTATATTTATAAAACAATATTTCTTCTTCTTCTTCTTCTGTTTAAGTTGATGTTGATTAAATTAATGTTGTTTCCAAACCAACTGATCAATCAATATTGATTTTCTACTACTACTGTCAATCTATCGTATTAAAAAAATAATGTGGATTGATATTTAGTTTGTATCTACATTTGATTATCCATCCAGGAATTATTTCAATATTTTGGTAATCTACAATTAATTGTTCGTTTGTATGTGTGAGTGGAAATATGTGGGTAGCATTTTTGTTGACAACAAAAGAAGATATCAAGTTGTTTTGATAGAAATTGTGGGTAAAGTAAGAGTAGGGGTGGTAATATTTTTTTGATTTGATTTGATTTCTGCAGAAGATTGATAAAATATTAAAATCTCTATCTTTTTGTTTGTTTGTTTGAGATTTAGATTTAGTATTGGAATATTTGACCATCACCTAACTTTTTTTTAAATGTGTTTTGTTTTTTTAAATTATTATTTATTTCCTCTCTCTCTCTGGTATTGTTTTTTTCTATTCTGATTTTGTATGACTATTTGAAGAAGATTGATTATTATTATTTTGATTACTACTATCATCCAAATCATCAATTAATTCTGTAATTTTTAACTTTTGTTTAGAAATGAAACGTTTGATATCTTCATTGCTTGAAGGAGGTTTGTCAGATGGTACCATTTTTCTCTTTAACTTGTGAACAAACATGATTAAATAGGCAAATGCAACTGCAAACAATGATATAATACTTAGTAGAAAAGAAATTAAAATATTTCTTTCATTCTTTCTTTGTACTGATAATACTATATCATCTAATCTTTTAATCTAAATGGAAAATGTAAAATGTAATTAATAAATGAATTATTTCCTCTCTTTTTGTTATTTGTTTTTTTTTTTTTGCTTACTCTATTTGAATAAGATTGTAAAGTATCAACATTAATGTTAACCTTTTCTTCAATGATTGGTAATTCCTTGTAGATTTGTCCAATTTTTCCATTTGTAGCTTCCAATACTTTTTCATTGGTTGAGAATAATGCCAAAGCTTTGGCGGATCGATCACGGAGTAATTGGAAATTATCAGACATTTCCTCAAACTCTTGTTTCAAAATAGTATAATCCTTTTGTTGTTGTTCTACCAGTGTTTCCAATTCTTTAATCTTTTCAAATAACTTTTGTTTCTCTTCTGCTTCGGTTGGTGTTTCCAGTTTGTTTACATCTTCACTGTCACGACCATGGTTACCAGCTACATCATCTGAATATTCTTCATCATCTGTTGAAAGGTGTAACATTGCATTTGGTCCAACTATAGGCGCGGGTTGTTGAGATGACATATTATTTTGATTATTTTGATTATTTACATTTTGTTGACTATGTTGCAATTTTAGATTTCTATTTTGAATGGATTGAATCAATGGAGAAGAGGATGAAGGACTTGCTGAAGCAGTAGATGATATTGCATGTTGTAAGGATGGTGATGATATTTGAGAGACAGGTGCTGATCCACCAGCTTGAGTAATACCATGAATAAACTTGTTTCGAGCAAATAACGGTGAAGAGGGGAGTATATCATTTCCAGACCCTTCCGATTCGTAATAGCCTCCGCTGCTATGACTATCCATATAACTCTTTTCACTCTTACTTGTATCAGACTCTGCATCTCCATATTCATATTCATCATCTTCATCATCACTATCCATGTTGTTGTTGTTGTTGTTGTTGTTGGATCGACCGCCGCGGTTATTATTATCATCTTGATCAAAATTATTAAATTTAATATCATCTTGATCAAGATCTTCATTCATATTTTGTTGTTGTTGTTGTTGTTGTTGTTGTTGGTTTCTATTTACAAAGTTGTTTTCATAATTATTATTATTATTATTATTATTAGTTAAATCTAGTGGTTGTATATCTGGTATATTGTTATTATTATTATTATTATCATCTTGATGTTGTGCACCAAGTGAATACGCTCTATTATGATGATGATGATGGTTATTCTCTTTATCTTTTATATGATCCAAATAACTTAGAATATTTTTTCCAGGTGCATCTGGATAGATTCTATTCTTTTGTTGAAAGTTTTTCATTAGTTCGTTGAATGACATGTAGTCTTTGATGGGATGATTGGGTGGTTTGTATCCAAGTGACTCTAGTTTTCTTTTGAGATTGTTAATGTCTTCGGCGATGCCTTTGAATGTGAATTGGTCAATGTATCCCTCGACCTCTTTCGAGTTGGAGATGCCATTCTTTCGGTTATTGTCAATTTGGAATGCTTTGACTGCGTTGATTGTCTTTTGGTCGTACTGGCCATCGATACGTGTCAACAAGGGGAGATAGTTGAGATGAGACAGTGCAGCTTGCAGTTCCTTGACAAACAAAGTGATGTTGCTGAGATTGGTCGACGAGGCGCCCGACAACTGTTCAAACGTCGTACGTGCATCACTGTCAAATGGTAGATACGACAAGAGATACTTGGATCGCATACACCCCAGTCGTTTGAGTTGGAGGTTGATCTTGAGCGACGAGATGTATCTGTCGAAATCATTGCCCAACTGATTCGACCGAAGTGCAATGAAATTGAGACCCAATCCAGTACCAGAGCTCGACAGACTCGTTCCACTACCACCACTACTGATCATCTGTGAGTTTACAACGATCAGTTGTCCAAGCTTTGTTTTTGTCGGGTAACATCCAGCTGGTGGTTTTGAAAAGAGTGTTGATAATGATCTTGTATTACTTCCTCCTCCTCCTATATCACCAATTTGATTGTTTGATTGAGAGGAAGAAGCAGACTCTCTAGAAGAAGGTTTAAATACTGCAACTATAATTTCGTCACGAGGATTACCAGTAAACTCTACGGCAGACCATAAATGATTTGATTTGAATATCCATTCTTCAACTGCATACATTCTATATTCCCTCAATATCCTGTTGTCGCTAACCAACTCCCATTTACAATCGTTTGCATATGATTTGATTCTTTCTCTTTCACATGTAACATATAATTCATCTAAATTGGATGATGACGATGATGAATAATCATCATATGTCTGTTGTTGACCATGATGGTTTACTTTTAAACCTCCACTTGAACTTGTCAATGATGCAGTTCCCGAGAGGGAAGATGTAAGTTGATTGTTGGGAGATGTTGACTTTTTGGCATTGATGGGCAGTCCGCCCGATCTCTTTGACAAGTCATTTGAAACACCCTGAGAGTTACTACTAGTCAACATTGACATCATCTTTCGTCTCAATTCCTTTTCAATTGGATCTTCTATTGATGATGACGAAGAAGGTGCTCCCTCTCCTCCTTCACCATCCAATGCAAATGAATCATCTGAATTATCTATTTGTCTATTATTATTATTATTATTATTTGTTGTAGTCATTCTAACTATTCTCTTTGGTGATGATGAAGTTGGATGATAATCATTATTACTATTACTACTATGACTATTTAAACTATCTAACAACTTCCTCTCCTCCTCTGAAATTCTATTATTGTTGTCATTCATCATCATAAGATTGATCGTGATACAAGTATGTACATATCAAGTTGACTTTTAATTAATTAATTGATTGATGTTTGAAATATATATATTATTACAACACAGTTATCTATCTATCTATCTATCTACTCTTCTTTTTTAAATGTTTGTTTGTTTGATTGAAAAAATTAAAAAGACAGTTTGTTTGTTTGTTTGTGGGTGGTAGTTTCGATCCCCCCTCAGAAGTGGTGCAGTTCCCAATTCACACATTCTCCTCATATTTTTTTTTTTTCAACAAATCGGGCAACCGATTGGTTTATCTCTCAGGTAGATTGAAGCAATGACTAGATGGATGATCGAGATCTAGATATTTTATCATTCAATTAATATTAAATTTAAATAAATAGATTGACCTAAAATTAAATGGATCATATCATAAATATAATTACACAACAAAAAAAATAGTACTATTTTACTTTTAGAAATAATTATGATTTACAATTGGTCAGCTGATACAATGTAACATAAACAACACTTAGACACACAAGCCCAATGGGCCATGTGATGCATACAAAACGATGGATACCAAACACCTTTAACCTTTTTACAACTATGAAAAAAACGACACTTTGTTAACATTCATAATCTTTCATTTTTTGAGTTTATAGATTCCCATATTCATTTTTCGACGAGGTCGCATACATAGAGGTCTCTAGAAACCTATCATACCTCTTTAATAAGAACGTAAATACTTCCTAAAAAGATTGAAGGTCGCAGTTTATCGACCGGACGTCTAGAGAGACTTACAAACAGGAAGGAGAATACTAGCTTGCTTTCCACTGTGATCTGATTTTCAACGAATGATCCCAACTTGCAAGTTTTACAATCCATTATATATTTATATTTAATTTAAAAAGACATAAACAAACAAACAAATAATCAATTGAATACATACACACAAACATCTTAACAGATTGTTGTTATTATTGTTTCGATGAGGTCCACAAACATAGAGGTTTCTAGAAACCTATCGTACCTCTTTAATAAGAACGTAAATAACATTTTCTTTATCTGTATTGTGTCTGTGAAAAAAAAAAATAATAATTTACAAAAAAAAAAAAAAGGCACTGTATTCTTGTTAATTTTCAATATTTGTTCATTAGTAATTTTAAATTTAAAATTATGTTTTATTATTTATTTATTATATATTATCATCAAACTTAACTTAACTTTGACACAGGTTAAGTGCTTGATTCATTATCTAGTATGACATGTTAAGAATAAGAGCAGAAAAGAAAAAAGAGACACTTCTTTTAAAAGAAGAGTTATTTAGATTGGTATGGAATAATGTGGTGCTTAGAAGATTGATATGTGCAAAGATACAAGAATGTGTGTTGGTGTTGGTACCCGAGACGATACGTTTGGAGTTGTTTGGTAGCAAGTCGAGACACTTGGCAATGATCAAAGAGTACAAACGCGACCCCAAGAGACACTATGAACTCAACGGTAGCTTCTACTTGTACACTTGTCCGTTACTGACACCTCGCATATTCAAGTATTACTATGAATACGTGATGCAGAGGAAAAAGAGGCCGACAGACTTTGACTTGATACTCGACAAGATATCATTATCCCCAAGGAATCTGGTTGACTGTTGGTTGTTTAAAACCACATATGAATTGTTAAAGAGTAAAGGTGTACCACTCGACAAGATGGCGTCAACGTCTACATGGGCAAACATAGTACGTACAAATAATGTAGAGCTGTACAACTTTGTAAAGACGGTGTTACCACTGCCAAAACGAGTCGACGATTTAAAAGCTTTGGTGAGTGTGGCTGCTATGACACCTGAAACCAAGCTATCGTATTATGAAAGGTTAATGCCGATCTCTCAAGACACTAAATTACTCGCTACACTATTGGACGACCTCATTGAACACGATCCGTGTGAAAGGTACCTCGAACAAGTAGATTACGGTACATTGGTGTGTACTGGAAATATGGGTATACTCCAGACACTTGCCGAGCACGCAGGCGACTATATACGACGAACTATCACGAGTGGAGGGTCTAGTATTGGTGGAGGACGTGCCGAACGTCGTCGACACCGTCACACACACCTAACAAAGGAAATGATGTTGCTAGCTATGCGTAGCAAGCAAATCAACTCTGTTAGATACCTCCACCACGAAATGGAGATGCCAATCGAGACTGACGCACTCGTCGAAGCTGCTCGTTCCTGTGACCTCCCCTTTGTCATTGATGTTAACAGTATAGACCCTTCTGCAGGCCGCCTATACACCATTTTTCTCTATGTCATGAGTGCCAAGTTTATCCATGACGCTCACTACTTTTCACCCAGGTGTCTTGACCTTTGGCGTGACTACCGACGCGACTTTTGCATCTTCGTCGAAACTCTAAACTATATCGATCAAAAGCTACACTATCAAATCGACCACCACCTGGAATTCAAGTATCACGCCAAACCTATCCAACAACACTTTAAAATATTTGAATCTGGTTCTTTAATTCCACCTTTATCTTTTGATTTTGATTAATAGTCAAACAACATAAATAAATAATAAACAAAACAAACAACAATATTAATATTAATATGTTCAACTTAGTCGGTTCGAATCGATTACATCATCTTCCATTGAAAAATGCATTGCAATGAAGCAAAGGGTGGATTCTTTTAAATTAAAGAGGTCAAGTTTGGTTGCGGTATTATTCTCGCATGCGGAAAACGCCATCGAAAACTTTAAAAGTTTTTTTTTTAATCTTTTTTTTTTCTTGAGTGTGTGAGACACACAGAGTCGCGACTCTCAAGATATCCCTCTCTTGTCTTAAACAACAACATCATCTATATATTACTTAATTATCTATATTCATCATCTCAACTCTTGCAGTAGTAGTAGTAGTACTAGTAGTGTAATAACAGTAAGAGTAGGTGTCAATCAATCAACCAACACTCAATCATCAACACTCAATCACAATCAAAAATCAATCACAGTACAAAAATATCTGATGATCAAGTCAAAGTCAAGTCAATGAAGCTTTGAGATTATGATAATCAATCATATTCAATATACATACATAGTAAAAAAAGATGATATTACTTTAGTTTGGACCTATCAACAACAACAACATCATCATCATCATCCTTCCCTATCAATCAATCAATCAATCAATCATATATCACAATATTTTACTACTACTATGTAAAATACACATACACATACATATAATCTAACAAATCAAATCAATAATTATTTTAGGATATATCTAAAAAATGATGAGAGTAGCTTTTCTTATTGTTGCAATCATTGCTTGTATGATCAATGGATCATACTCTGCCGCCACCAATTGCGTCTTTGGTGAACAAAATTTCTCTGGTTTCAAGTATGTTTAAAACATTGATATTTTTTTGACACATATGACTAACCCAACATTAAATTAAATTTCTTTTAGTGGTTCTTATACTTTCAAGTTTGTTGAATTCAGAATTTAAAATATATATATATTTGGGAATGATTACTTTACTTATGCCTTTTTCTCTTTAATTTTCTAGTGTCGCAGGTACAAATTATATTTGGTCAGTTTGTCAAGCCAATACACAATGTAATAATCTTCTTACAGCCACCGGCGTTGTTTCATGTCAAAAGCCAACAACTGGCACACCACAAAACACTGGTTTACTTGCCGGCGGTACCTGGAGTGCATACCCAGACGGAGCTGCTACCGTCAACTACAAGTCTGGCACTGCTCCATGCAAGAGTTCAGGCAAGGTAAGACAAACCAACATGTTTTTCACATGCGCCAAGGGTGCTCAAAACAAGGTTATTTCGGCCGACGAAAGCGCCACCAAGTGTATCTATGAAGTTTTCATGAGCGGTGACTCTGCTTGTGCTGGTGGTAGTTCAACCGACAGCGGTCCATCATCGTCTGGAACTGGCGGTGACAGTGGCAAGAAGGGTGGAATTGGTGGAGGCTGGATCTTTATCATTATCTTACTCGTTGCCACCACCGTCTACATTCTCGCCGGTATTGGTTTCAACTACAAGGTCCGTAATCTCCGTGGAAAGGAAATGTTCCCCAACTATGCTTTCTGGGCTGACTTCCCAGGTCTCCTCAAGGATGGTGTCTTGTTTATCAAGTCCAAGGTTTCTGGAGGTGGTGCTTCTGGTGGTTCTGGTTATCAACAAGTTTAAAATTAAATTAAATTAAATAATCAAATAATATCAAAATAATCAAATAATATTTTCTCAAAACAATACACACATAACATACACACACACAACACAACCTATAAATAAAAATAATCAAAATAAAAATAACTTGTATTTATTCTTTTCCTCTAATAATATATATATATATATTATCTCTATTCCAACCCAAACATACAATTCCAACAACAATCAATAGGTTATTTGAAACCAAATCCTAAATCCAATGTACATGACTTAACACACACACACACACATATGTTTCATTAATAATATTAATAGATTGATTGATTGGTAGGTAGATTGATTGAAGGTATGCACCCACCCTCAGGGAACAGTCCTTAGATGCAGGGGTGCGACCTAAACAAAAAAATATAATATTATTTTTGTTTGATCATCAACACACACCTCAATGATCATTCACCCTAACCCTCAACTCACTATACTTTAAATATTTTTGATTGATATCTCTTTTTCAATCACTACAATCATTCATTCTCCGCATCACACCCACACACTCACGCACAACACATCAATACTTGCGCTACCCAATTATATTCGGTCAGGTCAAGAGTTGATGATGGATGATGGTTTGAATGTTATTTTTAAACCATCATGTAAATCAATTAATTATAATCCATCCCTTCTCTCCCTCCTCTCTACTACGTTATACTCAAATAATGATGGAAAGCTATTTAAATCCCCGGGGAGGGAGACAACATGATCATCATTTACATTTCATCTCTCTGATCACAATCACTATATTTCAACTATACTTTCTAAAAACAAAGAGTGATCAATCATGAAGATCATCAACATCATTTTCCTCTTCTTCTTCTCCTTCTTCTTAATTGTAAATGGACAAGAATTGGTCCAAGAAGTGAGATGGACATTAAGCAATGGTGGTAATAACCATGTCTATAGTTTGTACCAAAACACTAATGCAAACATATCACAACCAAATGCTCAAACCTTTTGCAAAGAATTAGATCTTTACAATACCATTTATTTGGCAACTATAAACTCAAAGCTAGAGTTTGATTTCATTAAAGACCAATTCCTAAGGGGATTGTCTGGAGCAACCAGAGTTTGGATTGGAGGTCAAGACCAAAACAAAGATGGTCGATGGAAATATTCTGTTGGAAATGAAGTTGATCAACCTTTATTTAATACATTCTCAAGTCAATGTTTTGGTATGAAATGTTAAAAGACAAATAATGTAAAAAAATATATATATTAATATGTTAATATCTTTTTGTTTATTTTAGGATTTTGTTTATTTCATCAAGTTCAACCTTCATTTGGACAATATTTATCAAAACCTTATTTACAGGTAAGGGGTGGACCGAGTAGCTGGAGATATTTTGGTGAGAGTTCAACAACATCTTCTCCAACACCTTACTTTTTGTGTGAGACCAATACTGCACAAGATGAATTGTTTGTGACTAGTACTGGTACTCTAGGTGGAACGGTTTCCATTACCAATGGGTTTAGATATGATGTTGAATCAGCCATGGTCACATTTATAAATACCGTTACAAACAAGGAGATACCATGTACTAATCTACAATCCGGTAATGGGTATCATGAATGTACAGTACCTCCATTATCAGGTTACTTTAACGTTAAAGTAAATGATAGTACTAGTACAGGTATGGGTTCAAGTATCCATTATAATTGGCAACCTTATCCACCATACATTAGAGCTGTTTATCCTGCTAGAAACAAAGGTGACTTGGTGACAGTGATTGGAGAAAATTTCGGAAATGATATTACTAAAATCAAATTAAATGTTTCAATGACTTATATTAGTAGTTCAGATTATGGTATTATATGTACACCAATAACACCATTCTTTTCAGGTGGTGAAGAAGGAATCCTCACAAGTTTCACTTGTCGATTAGAAGCAAATCTTGGATCTAAAAATTTCCTCTCTATTGCCATCTCTGTCTCTGGTGTACTTAGTTTTAATTCAAAACCTTTAATTTGTAAGTAGATAGTACAATAATCCGTATAATATTTATTTAGTCCACCAAATATTCTTTATATTAATCCTATTTCTTTTCATTTAGATTGTGTTGATAGATTTTATTCACCTGCTTATTATACTGGTACTTATAACTATTCAAGAGATTGGATCGACCAAGAAATGCAATTATTGGGGTCTGATCAACCAGGTTATATCGGTGTCATTGATAGTCAAGCACTTTACAAATGTTTGGTTGATACTATTTCAAGACATGAAATTGACAATGACTACCATTTGTGGTTGACTTCTGGTACTGGATTCTTCAACTCAAACCAAAGTTATACAATGAATGATGGTCCATTTAAAGGTCAAAAAACATCATTGTTTATTAAACCTACAACTCAAACATTGACAAACTTGGTTTGTTATAATTTTGATGCCCAAACCATTAATTTCCCAACCGATACTGCGTTTGTAGCTGCACCATTCATTGCTTTTGGTGGTGGGAATCCTTCACCAATCATTCAAGATGTTGTCTATTTCAGGAATGAGAGTGTACTCTCTATATCAGGTCTATACTTTGGAACTGATATTTCATTTGTATCAATTAATGTTGCAGACAGGATTTGTACCAATCCAACCTTTGAAAATACCGACACATCCATCTTGTGTAAACTCGATCCTTCTGATGAGCTGGATATTTACTCAAGTTTGAATGTTAGTGTCAAATCATACCATTTGTCCTCAACTCTACGTGTCAACCTTCAAAGAAATTGTCCAAAGGATTGCTCTGGACATGGAATATGTGACAAAGACTATGGTTGGTGTAATTGTGATACTGGATATGACTCGACTGTAGATTGTTCAGTTCTAGTGGTTGACCCATCCCAAACATTGTACAACTCGTCGATTGAAGATAACGGTCTGACCATTCTATCATCAAAACTAGAAAACACAGTTAGTTTTACATCTGGCATCAAGTATATTCGTGAAATGACACATGATGGAATACAAGTACGAGTGTTGGAGGTAGACAAGATGCAATTTGCCAAGCAAGAGATTGTTGGTCAAAACACAACACAATTTACTGGCGCTACAGGAGACGGTCTATTTTTGAAAATCAATGTTCAACAATTTCAAGAAGGATCAAAGACTCGATTCGCAGATGAAGATATTCAAGTATCACCAAACTCTGTAAAATACAACATTCAAATTAGAAAGTGGGCTTGGCAATCACCTTTGAATGTTTTACAGATTATATTTGTTTCACAGTCATCTGACAATATCCAAAAAGATAAATGTGGTAGAGATTTGATTCGATTAGAATCATCACAATTGGAGGAGGATGGTGACAGTAGTAGTAGTAGTAGTATTTATTGGACAAAGATAGAAGTTGGAAGATCAATGTTGAATAGTAAATTTGCAAGTAAAATGATTGTAGATGATAAATACTTTGTTAAATCAAAAGTATTGATACTTGACAAATCTGTAACTGATCAACTAGAGAAAACAATCTCTAGTGATCAACAGAGTGGCACTGTATTTATAGCAATGGAAACACCATATTTCCAAAATGTCATTGAATTGGATCCAGCATTCAATGCATTGGTAGTTGGTGATAAAGATGCAAATAACTTTGACGACAATGACGATGGCGATTGTGAAGATGGATTTGCCAAATGGAAGATTATCGCTATTACAGTGACATGTGGTACTGCACTCATATCTTTGATCATCGGTGGTTACTTGCTCACTCGAAAATGGATTAAATTAAAATTGGCCGAAAGATTAAACCCAAGTATCATCAATATAAGAATGTCTAATAGATTCAGTAGAAAAAGTAAAAAACCATCAAATAATCCATAAATACTACTTAAAGTAATTTGTAATTAAATAATTAAATAATAAAATAAATAAATAAATATCATGTTGTAATTATAATTCAATTATAAAATGTACTTCATTTCCAAATCCCAATTAATATATATTATTTATATATAACATATATATACTTGGCATATATGTTGTTTTTGGGCATACACCAGTTATTAAGGGTAAGTGTTTACCCCACACACATGGGATGAGACCTTAAAGTTTAATTTTTTGTTTTGATCACCCCTCGACTCAACATACTTTTAATATTTTTCATTCTCCAATCACTCACTTTTAAGTGAGTACTACAACTACATTCTATCATTCATTCATTCAATTCCTCCTCATCACACACACATCTATGTAATGAAATGACAGGCATAACAATGGCACAATTATATTTGATCAAAAGTTGATAGATAATGGTTTGAAGGTTAAATTTTTGAACCATCGATTAAATGATTTAATTACTTATAATTATAATCCTCCTCCTCCTCCTCCATCCCTCTACTACGGTATACTCAAATAGTGATGGAAAGCTATTTAAATAGGAGTCTCTGATCAAATCACTATTTCAACTTTTTTAAAGAGTGATCATGAAGATCTTCATCAAATCAACAACAATCTATTTATCATTTACTTCTTCTCCTTCTTCTTCTTTTTATTTTTGACAATTGTAAATGGACAAGCACAACTGGAAAAGCAAGTGACATGGACATCGAGTAGTGGTGGTAATAACCATGTCTATAGATTGTACAAAAGAAATGCTAAAATATCACAACCAGATGCTCAAGCCTTTTGCAGACAATTAGATCTTTACAATACCATTTATTTGACAACTATAAACTCTAAATTAGAGTTTGATTTCATTAAGGACCAATTATTGATGGGTCTGTCAGACGGTCCTTTGGTTTGGATTGGAGGTCAAGACCAAAACAATGATGGTCAATGGAAATATTCTGTTGGAATGAAGCTGATCAACCTTTATTTAATACATTCTCAGGTCAATGTTTTGGTATGTAATAATATATAAATATATTAAATATATTAAATATATTAATTAACATTATTATTTATTATATTTGTTTGTTTTAGGATTTTGTTTATTTCATCAAGTTCAACCTGCATTTACACAAAATGAAATAAGGTCCTATGTCACTGTTAGGGGTGGTGTCCAACAATGGAGATATTTTGCACAGAAAACTATTACTTCTTATCCAGTCATTTACTTTATTTGTGAAGAAGATACTGCACAAGATGAATTATATGTGACTAGTAGTAATGTTGGTACTCAAGGTGGAACGGTTTCAATTACCAATGGGTTTAGATATAATGTTGAATCGGCTAGGATCACATTTATAGATACCGTTACAAATAAGGAGATACCATGTACTAATCTACGATTGGGAGATAATGGTAACGGGTATCCTGAATGTACAGTACCTCCATTATCAGGTCACTTTAATGTTAAAGTAAATGATAGTACTAGTACAAGTATATATTATAATTGGCATCCTAATCCACCATACATTAGAGCTGTTTATCCTGCTCGAAACAAAGGTGACTTGGTGACAGTGATCGGAGACAATTTCGGAAATGATATAAGTAAAATCAAGATTAATGTATCTTTGACTTATATCTATTATAATAACTCTTATGGTATTATATGTACACCAATAACTCCAATCTATTCAGGGGGTGGAGGAGCAGGTATCCTTACAGGTTTCACTTGTCGATTAGAGGAAGATCTTGGAACTAGAAAATTCCTCTCCATCGCCATCTCTGTTTCAGGTGTATTTAGTTTTAATTCAAAACCTTTAATTTGTAAGTAGATAGTACAATTATAATTATATAACTAAATATTCTTTATATTAATCTTTCTTTATTTTGTTTTAGATTGTGTTGATAGATTTTATTCACCTACATATTTTAATGGGACCTATCAATATACAAAGGAATTGGTCGATCAAAAGATGCAATTATTGGGGTCTGATCAACCAGGTTATATCGGTGTCATAGATAGTCAAGCACTTTACAAATGTTTGGTTGATACTATTTCAAGACATGAAATTGACAATGACTATAATCTTTGGGTGACTCCTGGTACTGGGTTCAACAGTTCAGATCAAACCTATACAATGAATGATGGTCCTTTTAAAGGTCAAAAAACATCATTGTTTATCAACCAAACAACTCAACCAGCTCAACCAATGACAAACTTGGTTTATTATAATTTGGATGACCAAACTACTACTTTAACATTTTCCAACGTCGACTATTGGAATAAACGATATTATTTATAATTGGTGAAGGATTTCCACCACCAAAAGCAATTAATGGTGAAGCTATACATTTTCCACCAAAGTAAGATTAACATAAGAATCAGTCGAAAAAGTACAAAACCATCAAATAATAATAATAATAATAATAATAATAATAATAATAATAATAATAATAATAATAATAATAATAATAATAATAATAATAATAATAATAATAATAATAATAATAATAACAATAATGCCATGGGAGTGAATAATCCATAAATAAATCAAAAAAATGTGAACTTCAAAAATGAAGGTTTTTCAAATTCAAATTTTTTGGGAGGGAAATTAAGCTTGACAACGGCGCGGTGTTCGCATAAAGTATCCCCGTTGTAGTTTAACTCAACAATTGGTCTGCCAAGCTCCAACCAACGCTTTTTTTCAAACCAATCAAACCAATTTAAATTATTAAAGTAGTTGTAGTAGTAGTAACAAATAATATCTTTACCACCTTGTTGTAATTAAAGTAGTAGTATTAAAAAGAAGATCGATCAATTATTAGTATCAATCAATTATCATATTGTATATCAATCAAACAATGTCAAATAAAATCGTATTAGAATCCATTTCATACCTTGACTGTCAAGAGAATATCGGTGCTGATAATGTAAGTAACAAATAAGATATACATACATACCTGATTACACTATTCTCTATATTCCTCTCTATTCTTAATAAATTAAAACATACTATTACTATTGCAGTTACTGTTGTGTTGTGATCACAATCACATGTGATGGTCAATACTATTATTATTATTTATCAATAATAATTCCAAAATGGAAAACTTTATAAAGTTTCTATTTTTTATCTTTTAATTGTTTCCTACCCTATCCTACCTACCTACCTACTCTATTTTTTTACCACATTGTTAAAAATCAGTGTTTGGATTGATTTTTAGATCTATTAAATCCATCAGATTTAAAAATCACACATATCCATCCTATCCATCAACCCATTTTCGTTTTATACTGACGCATACCCCTCCCTCTTTTTTTTTTTGTTTTTGTATATATATTTATAGAAAGTAAAAAGTAGCAAGATCTCTGCCAAGGATTTAAAGGCATCCCATCGCAAGACCACCTCTGCACTAGTTAGAAACGCTGATGCTTTGTTTGGTGATATTACCAACTCACCTCCATCAACTCCAAAGAACAACACCAAGTCTGCCATCAACAACCCATCCACCCCTTCTACTACCCCACTCTTTACTTCCACCCCTTTAAAGAGCAAAGTTGTCAACAATGACAATGCACCGATCCATAGCAGTTTATTAGACGGAACTAGTTTGGTAAGTCAAATTTAAAATATTTATATATATCTATATTTATGTTTATATTACGTACACACCAACCACCAACACCACCATCAATCATCAATCAATGACGGACGGACGGACGGACAGACGGATGGATTCAATTTGCTCCATTCCCCATCCCGTTAAAAAAATATGTATCTTTTAAAGCATGATATTACGTATTCCGAATTTACTCACATATGTTTAGATTACGGACACACCAACCACCAACACCACCATCAATCATCAATCAATGACGGACGGACGGACGGACAGACGGATGGATTCAATTTGCTCCATTCCCCATCCCGTTAAAAAAATATGTATCTTTTAAAGCATGATATTACGTATTCCGAATTTACTCACATACCCATTGTCAATGGATATTTTAATCCAATCACATGATGATAATAATAATAATAATATTACTCTCTATCCATCTATAATATTCATCACTCACTCTCACTCTCACTGTCTTTGTCTTTGTCATCATCATCGTCACACATACATGAATATTATTATTCATCATGGATCTGTAATTCCCAAATGATTATAATAATCAATAATTATCATTACTTATTTATTCCAATTCAAAATTTATTATATTTCAATTATATAATCATTATTTATTTATTTTATTCATTACACTAATTATTCATTCAATCAATTTAAAAACTATTATTATTTATTTCCACAAACTATTATTCATATTCATTCATACATTTTACTAATTAATTTATTTATTGTTATTCTTTCAAATCAATCAATATGACACAAATGTTATCTCAAAATCCAATTTATAATCTTTTGGTACTTGGACTTTCCCAACAACAACAACAACAAAATATGAATCAACAACAACAACAATTACCACCACAGAGTCCAAAGTCATCAAGATATACTATTGCTGCCACACCAACCAAGATTGGATCATCAAATGCTACCTCTAACATGATGTCAGTTGCTCAACCACAACCAAGTACTCCAGTTGCAAAGGGATTCTTTACGACTCCAAACAAAGCTAATGGTGTATGTATAATAATATAATAATCAACCATCCAACTACAAATATATATATAAATTAACAACTTGTTTTAATTTTAATTTTTTTAGGAAAAGAAATTAAAAAAGAGACAATTGGAAAAAGAATTCCAAATGTTACAAGACAAGTACAAAATTATGGAAAAGATTAGAGGAGACAATGATAGTGACATTGAAAGAATGAAGATTACACTCATTGAAACCATGACCGAAAACGATCGTCTCCAAAAGAGAGTTGGTCAACTTGAACAAACCATCGAAGAAATGAAGAGTGAGTTGGACAAGGGATCCTATGAAGCTTGGAAAGGATACTGTTCATTACAAGATAGTCCTCCAGGTGTATCAAGTCGTTACACAAAGAAACGTGCCATTTCTCATAATATTAATTCTGCCAACATTTAATCAACATTACACAAAATATTTTATTTATTTCCATCCTCATATATATATATATATATTTATATCTTCCATACATTAATTAATTACAACAACAACAATAATTGAAAATAATGAATTTTATTTTCTTTTTTATAAAAAATAACTATAATAACCTAAATAATAATAATGTCTATTAATCATTTTTCTATTTATTTTTCTACCCTCCTCCTCCAAATACAAATACCAAATCAAAATCACATTTATAATAATATATATAAATTTTAAACAACCTACAAACAAAACTAAAATTTTATCAATCAGATCATCATGATCAATTTAAACAACAAAACAATTGACAATGCAAACGGTACGAAGTGATTGACAAAATTTTAATTTTAAAATAAAAACTACACACCATCGTGTATATAAATTAAATCTAAATCTAAATATATACATATATATGTAGTCCAAAATTTGATTATTATTATTATTATTAATATTAATAATTTAATTTATATATATTTATATATTTTTAAAAGGGGAGGTGTTTGTTGTAAAGGTGTAGCGTATTATTATTATTATTACACTTTTGTTAAAATGTAAATGTAATATTATTCATTCTTATTATTAAATATTGATTGATTGATTGAATATGAAACTTGGTGATTAAATCTAGGCTTGGAAAGAAGATAAGATTTCATTTGATTCAGCCCAAAGAGCAGAAGCTTGTTTGTAAAAGGCCAATTGTTGAAGAGCGAACTCTCTGAGTTCGGCAACCAAACGCTTGTTCATTTCGATGTTGAGGTTCTCCATGACATCAGAGAACTCCTTGTTGACAGCGTCATACTCCTTTTTGAGTTCTTCGCACTCGGTCTCTACTTGCTTGACCTTGAGTGAATTGGCGTCATTCTTTTTCTTGGTCTCTGTGAGTTTCTCGAGAGCGGCATCGTATCTGAGACGAACGGCGTCTTGCTTGTGCTTGGCATCACGAGCCTTTTTAATCTCAGTGTCGTTAAACTTGCCAACTGGAGCAATCAACGAGGTCATCGAATTGACATTACATGTTTGACGTGCTTGTTCAACCGCCTTTAATTGGAATCCAACATTCTTTAACACCTCTCCAACTTGACTATTAATTAAAAATCCTTCACCAAATTTAGTTAAAGCATCTGCAAACTTTGTACCTTCTTGTGTTGATTCTACAATAGATATATAAAAATATAAAATATAAAAAATATAAAATATAAATTTAAAAAATATAATGAAGAAGAAGAATATACAGTAGGTTAGACATATGATCATTCATTCATTCATTCATCTATTCTTCATCATTATTCATTATTCATTATTTATCTTTGTTTCTTTACATACTTTCAGTTTCTTGACAATAGAACTTTCCAGTAGTATATATTTCTTTGTATTCATTCTTGATAACTCTAAGCTTATCTTTAGTTTCTTTGGTAGCATCATTGTCGGCGTGTGACTCTGTCTTTCCCATCTTCTCCATACCCATTTGTTTGACGAGGGCAACTTTCTTTGTAAAACTCTTCATTCTTTAATTGTATGTTATTTGTATATATATATAAGTATATTATAGGTTTGTATGTATATATTATCTACAATTAATATGCTAATTGATATGATCAATGAAAAACAGTGTGTGAAAACAGGGTGAGTGAAATTAGTGAGAGAATTGTCATAAGGTTATTTCTTTTAATTAAAAATTTCATTTTATCTGAAATTATAAGGGGGGGCAGCCTTTCAAAGGTCAGCCTTGGACAAAAGAACAACGGGGCTGAGCTCAATTTCGTGATAACTCGTCATCCGTCAGTACTTTGAGCAACATAGAATTTATGATTGAATGGTGATAAATCAAACACTGAATTGTTAATTAATTTATCACAATCAACTTGTGTAATATTATATTACAAGTTGGTAGGTTGGTTGTTGTGACAGTGAGTCATTATTCATGAATACTCACACATCAGGAGGGAATTGAATGTTAAAATGAATTCAAGAAATTTGGTTACTTCAATTGTTTGATTCGCGATTACTTTGATGATGTGTATAGTATAGTGGGGTGGCGGGGATATTCGCATGCCCCAACAATGGTGCTACAAAAAGAAGAAGTATCGGATCATCATCGAAAAAAATTAATTCAAACAAAAACTGAAGACACTTGCATTTCTCCCTCTTTAAATTGCATTCTTTTTATCTGTTTTAAATATTTATTCATCGCGACTACCCCTTTATTTTATTCATTCTACAACCACTATCCTAGATATATATATATATTAATAGTTAGACAACAACACATGGCATCACCAGTTTATTTTTATATACCCAATTTAATTGGTATGTATGATGATGATGATCACATGAATAGTCGATGATAGTCGTTGTTGTCGTCATCATCGACTAATCATTCAAAGATACCACGATCAGTTTTAACATCTTCTAACATGATGTACATTCATTATCATCATTCATTCAATCTATATATATATAGGTTATTGTAGAGTTATTTTCGCAGTACTTGCATTCTTTTATTCATATGATGACTATCAAAGATTCTTTGTATTCTATGCACTCTCTGCATTGTTGGATATGGCTGATGGTCATGCTGCTCGTTATTTCAATCAATGTAAGCATATATCAAATGATATCATTTCATATGATCGATTGATTGTGATTGCATCATCAAGTGTCTCTCTTTATAATCATCATTTGATATATCTTCTTTTGAGTCCATACAATATTGAATGAATATTAATTAATAATTATTCATATTGATTTATTTATTTATTTATTTATTTATTTATTTATTTTAGGTTCACAATTTGGAGCAGTTTTAGATATGGTTACTGATAGATGTTCTACGGTTGCACTTATTGTAGTTCTTTCACAATTCTATCCACAATATCTCAACATGTTTATATTTTTGATTGTACTCGATATTCTTAGTCACTTTGCTAGACTTGTTGCCAGTGCCGGCAAGAGTCACAAGACCGTTGCCCAAAACCACTTATCAATCATGCGTATCTATTATGGCAACAAATACTTTTTGGCTTTTATGTGTTTTGGTAACGAAGGTTTCTTCCTCTTCTCCTATTTGTATTACTTCTTTTCACACTCTATCGTATTTGCCATTCAATGGTATGTGTTTTTCCCAATTTGTTTCGTCAAGCAAGCTATCAACGTCATTCAATTCTTCCAAGCTGCTACCGATATCGTCGAGCTTGACGATCAAGCTCTTTTAGAATCAAAGAAATCTGCTAAAAAGACTAAATAAATAAATAATAAATAAATATATAATACTAAAAAATACAAGAATAATAATAATTGTTATTATTTGTTTGTTTATATTTTAATAATTTATTTATTTATACATCTTTCTGGAAAAAAAAAAAACTAACTATAGTTTTTAATAATAATAATAATTATTATGAGTGTGTTTAAAGAGTTTAGAGGGGTTTAGAGGTCGTTATTTTGAAAAGTTGGTTGAGCTAATAGTATCTTTGCCTAGTGATTTGTTGTCAGATAACCATTTCTCATTAAACTCTTTTTGTGATTCGCTACGTGAAGTTAATTTTGGTGACAGTCCAACCATTGAAGGAGAGAATTTTTTCTTTTTTTCTTGTTCTGGAGTTCCATTTCCATTTCCATTGTTATTATTATTAATATTGTTATTATTATTATTATTATTTTGTTTGTCAAGTAATTTTGTATCATTTTTTTGATTATTATGATGATTATCATCAAGATAATATTCATCATCTTGATCCATATCGTCTTTCATTAATTTTTCATCCTTTTCTTGTTGTATTTGTTTTTTGTGTTTGGCCAGAGCTTCTTTTTTCATTTTTCTTTCATCGATTGCATCGATGATGGTTTGAGGTGTGTTGGCAAGTCCTTCAATGGGTTTGCTGACGAAATCCATGGCACCAGAGATGGGCTTGCATACTACACCGAGTAGACCCTTGCCGACACCTTGGATAAAGCCAACACCACCTTTTTCCTGGGCACCTCTGATTGGTTCGACGACGACACCTGTGACACCCTCGAAAATACCTTTACCGAGACCCAGTGTGCCTTGATAGAGACCATCGAGGAAATGGGTGGCTTCTTTCTCCTTGATGACGTCGACGTGTTGATGGGAGGGTGTAAAGATGGCCTCTGGTGTGTTTCTGACACCTTCGGCAACCTTGCCGACTAGGCCGGCGGCACCTCTGACAGGCTTGAGTGCAACGCCACTCAGACCACGACCAACACCCTTAAAGAAACCCTTGACACCTTCTGCACGAGCACCGTTGACCGGGTCGGCAATGACACCAGTGACACCGTCGGCAATACCAGTTCCCAACTCAATGACACCTTCGACGACACCCTGTACGATATTGGATGCTTCGACACTGTCACTCATTGGCACATCCATAGCATTGATTTCATTGTCTTCTTCACCTTCCTCCAATCCACAAGTATTTGAACGTTGATTCATTTCAAACATATTGTTAAATGTAACTTCCTTTTCTTTTTTCAATCCAACTCCTTCCAAATTTAATGTAATTCCTTCTATTTCCTTTTCTTCTTTTTGTTTTTGTTCGTCTGTTGTCTTTTCATTGTTGTCATTGGTATCAGTATCAACAAGTGTAAATGGTGAATCTCCAACAACCAAGTTTTCATCAAATGGATCCTTTTCAACTGCAATGACACTTTCTTCTTTTTCTTTTTCTTTTTCCTTTACATTTTCTTTCTTTTTAAAACTAAAACTATTTCTCTTTTCTTTTTCTTTTCCCTTTGCATTTTCTAATAGTTTGTTTGAGTTTCTTTTCTTTTCTTCTTCCTCTTCATTCTTTTTTGTACCAACAACTGTATTATGGTCATGATCATCTTCTTCATCCCCTAATGAACCTAATTAATAAAGAAAGAAAGAAAGAGGGAATTAATATCCAATAACCCCCACATGTATTGTATTATACAATTCAATACTTACTAATTGGGATTCTAATATGCATATCTAAACCTTTGTTATCATCATTTGAATGTTTAGCCAAATCACAATTGTAACATAGATACGATTCACAACTGCAACAAAACATTACAGCCTTTACATAGTCGTCAACATGTGCATCGTGATTAAAACACTCTACAATATCGTTTTGATCTATTTTCTTAACTTTCATATCCATTATTATTATTATTATTATTATTATTATAAAACTACTACTATAATTACTACCCCTTTTATAAATAAATAAATATCTATATATATATATATTCTATCTACTACTATTATACATGAACAATTTATTATTATTATTATTATTATTTTTTAATAATGACTCCTCTCTCTAATACAATCATTCGTGGATGAAAAGGCAGTTTGAGTTGTTTGTTTGGGACAACCCTGCAAAAATAAATAAATAATAAAAAATCGATTAATTCATCTTTGTCGTCGCAGTTCTCAACGACCACCACAACAACTTTGTTATAAATCTTAATATTATTATTATCTACTTACATGATTTCAAGCACTCATTCTTTCATTTACTATTGACATACAGTTTTAGAACGAATCAGGACAAATAATGTGTATGTAAAAGTATGATATGATTGAATACCATTGGCTCTTTGGGGCTAATTAGTAACAATAATACTATATTTCATACTTTTTTTGCTCCTTTTTGTAGGTACAATAGGATGAGCGATGAGTAGCTTGAATCTTTGTTAGTATGGGATACTCTTCTTCCCAAAAAGGTCTGTGGAATCTTTAGATGATGTTAAAGACTATAACTTTAAGATTTTTCTTCATCCACGATATATCTTTATTTTCTTAATATTATTTATCTTGGAAAAAAGTTTACAATTGATTTCACTTGGTTATAGTTCCACTTGGTTCTAGTAAAAGGTTGACAAGACATTTGCTAACTTCTTCGAAGATTTCATCAACATCAGCCCAATCACTCTCTTTGTAATCATCTTTATAGTCGATTTCTTTTCTTGCTCCGCCACGCCATTCATCGTTTACAATAGATGCAATTCTTGACATTAAAATGGCCTCTACCATATATGAAAATTGGTTGTAGTCGTCGACAATTGGTTTTAATTTTAGGAAACAAAAACAATCCCAGTGATCAATTGCTGTTTTTTGGGCAATGTACCTTGAATTGACACTGTATGTAGACTCTCCAATGTAATAAATTTTACAATAAATCTTTTTCTCGTCAAGCAGCCCCAAAACATATACGCCTGGTGCTTTAGGAATGTCAATTGACAATCCATTAATTTTTTTTGGAAAATCGCATTTCCAAGGTTTTTTGATAGAACTTGAAATTTTACCAAGGGGTCTTATCATTTTGGATTCCAAAATGCATTCTCCTTCTTCTCCTGAAACTACACCGCATATATAAATAAAAATTAACAAAATAATTACTTTTTCATCTGCAAATTAAATACAGAGAGATGATCATCATTTTGACCTTTATGTAGGTCGGATAAATATATATATATATATATATATGCTGATTGTATTGTATGATCTATCTATTGGGTATGGATTTTCTTCGGTCCATCCCTTCTATGATGATAGATAATAACTTTATAACCATAATTCTCCAATGATTTAAATAGTTTTAAGTTGTCCTCTTTTTGGTATCCATATATTAAATAAATATATTTCAATGTTGTGTAACTGTGAATCTCTTTAAAAGTATTATAAACTAATTGAAACCATTCATCTTTATAACGATGAGCTAAATATGTATCGTATATATAGTTTTAATAAATTAAAAAGAGTAAATATTATTATTATTATTATTATTCTTATTCTTATTTAAATAATGGGATTAATCGCGATTATAAAAGTAAACAACATACGACTTAATTTCAAAGAGATGAGTGATTTGTTTGTATTGATGGCATTGAATAATTGTTGACATTGTAATAGTGTGGGATCGCTGTTATCAATGGTCATGTGTTTGATTTGATTTCTATTTAATAGTTCAATGACCATTGACAAGTGCTCTTTCACATCATCACATCGTAATCTAAGACATTCAAGATTGGGTAGACTGAGTGTGAATTGGTTGAATACTTCTACATTATAATATGCTGCTTAGGTATTTTCCAAATTAAACAGTTTTAATATACGGTGATCCTGTCAATACTTGACATGATTGTTCAATATGAGTTTGAAAAGCTTTAATGACAGACAGACGGAATTAATAATAATTAATAGTAATTAATAATAATAATAATAATAATATAATACAAAGAAGAAAATACATCGCGATGATCAATAATACATACCTGAACTTTGAACATGATATTTATCAATGTGTGGAATCATTGATGGTAGACAAGCTGGTGTGTGAGGGAGACTATTGCCATTGAAATTCCGCATATGTTCAGAGATGAAGAATCTTGTACTTGGTCTCTCTGCATAGATCATTCTTCCAAATAGTGGGTGATAGAAAGCATACTCTTTGATCGTTGTATTCTCTTTGAGATCTTGATAGATTAAATTGACAATTGGTCGTGCTTGAGAGACAGATAATAAAGATATGATTTAATAATACTAGTTTTTTGATTAATGGTCATATTTAAAGCACAACATACCTTGTTCAAGTACTTCTTCGTTGAAAAAAAAGGTAATAGTTAGAAAGGTAATCAATTTAGATTGTTGAATGACTCTTCTGACATCAGCTACTTCTATCTCTAAATCTTCCAAATACCGAAAATGAATCCTCAGATAGAATCTACCTTCTCGAACTGCTATTGACTGAGTGTCGTATTCACTTAAACCTAATGATATTAGTTCTTGTTGTGTTTTTGACATCTTTGATAAAGGTTGAAGTAACATTTGATTGATTTGTCTTTGATGTTTGATGATGATACTACGAGTGTATGAATTGACAATAAATACCAATCTAAATAGTCTAATATCCATCATCATCGATCCTTTAACTAATGCTAATCTCTTCATTTGTTCTTTGTTGTCATCATCTTTTACATGATTCACCATTTGATCAACATCTATTTGATTGTGTCTCATGAAATAGATTGAACACAATGCAATATGATGATTGAGTGATGCTCCGTCAGACAGCTGATTATCACCACATATCGGACATTTGTTACCTTCAAATGCTTTGAATGTTTTACTGACTTTATATCTTTCTAAAATGTTATTATTATTTGTTTGAGTTGTAGTATCCATCTCTGTCCAAAAAAAAAAAAGTAAATAAAAATATTAAACTTTGAAAAGGGTGAGTGAGTACTCAATTTATTTAAAGTGTGATGTTCAGTACTCTATCTCTCACACGGCTTGGTGTGTGTTATTACTAAATTTGGTTAAACCTAATTTTAGACTTTTTCTATGGGAATAGCTAACACTTTTGGAGTTAGTTAGAATTGTTATATATATGTAATGACATTCAAATAGAGACACATTTTTTGGATGATATTGCCCATGTTGCATCTTAAGTTAACAATGCAACAAACATCACAAAGAACAAGTTAGAGCTAAGTGGTAGTTAAATAGAGCGTTTAGGGCTGCCGCGATGTATCGATTCCTTCGATGCATTGACCACCGGCATCGTTAGAATTATGCACTCGTAAAGCAATACACTCATTGAGATGGTTCCAAAAGTATTTGGCGTTCCTCCATTCCATCCATCCTTTGGACAAGAAACTAGAATCACAATCTTTTGTCTTTGTAAATCATCAAACTCTAATATATCTTTATTTTCTTAATATTATTTATCTTGGAAAAAAGGTGGAAAAGTTTACAGTTGATCACTTGGTTTTAGTTCCACTTAGTTCAGAACTTGGTTCTGGTAAAAGGTTGACAAGACATTTGCTAACTTCTTCGAAGATTTCATCAACATCAACCCAATCACTCTCTTTGTAATCATCTTTATAGTCTATATTTTTTCTTGCTCCGCCACGCCATTCATCGTTTACAATAGATGCAATTCTTGACATTAAAATGGCCTCTGCCAAATATGAAAATTGGTTGTAGCCGTCGACAATTGGTTTTAATTTTAGGAAACAAAAACAATACCAATTCTAAAATTGCTGATACTTGGGCAGAGTACCTTGAATTGACACTCCATGTAGACTCTCCAATGTAATAAATTTTACAATAGTTTTTCTTCGGTCAAGCTGACCCAAAACAAATACGCCTGGTTCAATAGGAATGTCAATTGCTATTTTTTTTGAAAAATCACAAGTCCATGGTAGTGAGATAGATCTTGAAATTTTACCAAGGGGTCTTATCATTTTGGATTCCAAAATGCATTCTTCTTCTTCTCCTGAAACTACACTGCCTATATAAATAAAAATTAACAAAATAACTATTTCTTTCATTCTCTGCAAATTAATTTAAATACAGATAGATATACCTTTATGTAGATATCAAATAATATTATTTTTTAGATTAAATGAACAGTATCCTCCTTTAATCTCCTTATCACTAGTGTGGAACTATTAATAGTTTGTTCAGATTGGGATTTCGATTTCCCTATCAACCATCAATCTATGTAAGAGAACTTTCTATCTTTAGAGTGATACCTAAAAATAAAAGGCATAAAGACAAACAAATCACTCATCTCATTGAAACTCGGTTGTATGTTACTTTTATAATCACGATTAATCCCATTATAATGGTAATAATAATATTTACTCTTATTTATTTATTAAAACTATATACTACAGTTTATAGTGGTGAATTGTTTCAATTTCTTTAAGATTTCGTTGGCGCTGATGAGAGCTTTAAAACAATTAGCAAATGCTTTGCCAACTTTGTCTCACCAATCGATTAGAGTAGACAATCTTCGATCATATTCTCCTCTTCAATAAAAAATAATCCACAAAGAATCACTTTAATGATGAATGGAATTATTATTTTTATTTATAGAGATATTCCTTCTTTTTGTTTTGATTTTAATCACTACCTTGAGAATCCAATGCATCATCACTATCATCAGAAACGAAAACCTTTGGTAAAGTGGCTCTGGTACGAGAAGTGGTAGCAGCTGGTTTCTTGACTGGAGTCCAATCATCGTCCAAGATATCTTCTTCTTCTTCATCTGATTCGTCAAAGGTCATCTCTTCGTCTGACGATTCATCCTTTTTCTTTTTAGCAGCTGCCTTTTTAGTTGTTTTGGCTGCGGCTGGTTTCTTTGGAGCAGCGGCAGTCTTTGCCTTCTTTTTGGATGGAGCTGATACACTACTATCAACTGAAAATACATCATCAGATTCATCATCTGATTCATCAGAAGAATCCAAATCAATTGCCATCTTTGATTGTGGTGGTGATGGTTTGGTTGTGGTAGTAGAGGTTGTGGAGGTTGATGGAGTAACCTTTGTGAAATAATTATCAATCTTGTTTGATGTTGCTGTAGTAGTAGTTGCTGCTGTAGAAGGTTCATCTTTTTTCTTTCTCTTTACAGGAGCCGCCTTTTTAGATGAAGGTCTTGGAGGTGGTTTCCAAGTACTCTTTTTCTTGCTACCTCCTTCACCATCGGAATCAGAGTCTGAATCCTTTGACGATCTTCTTCTTCTAGCCTTTGGCAATGGTTTCTTACCTTTACTAACCTTTTGCAAAGCTTCACCCTTTTTAAGCAACAATCGATCGTCTTCATCTTGAATGTCCAATTCTTCCTCGAGTGTCTTGAGATCGTTCTTGTAGATCTTGTTGATGGGTGTGCCGACCATCTTGTCCAACTCTCCTTTCTTTTGATCACGTTCTTCTAATATCTTTTTGGCACGTTCCATTGTCAAACTCCACAATGGCATCGACAAGAGATAGTCGTAACCCTTGGTGTCGTCGTCTTGTTCCTCTTCCTCGGCGTCAGACTTGTTGGCACCACCCTCGTCGTCACTCTCCTCGCCCAACAACTCCTCTTCTTGCTCGGTCTTTGACTTTTTCGAGTCGAGCTTGCCCTTGGCCGCCTTGGTGGCGTTCTTGGTAAACTTGTCAAACTTCATGTCCTTGAGTTTCTTGATCAAGTCGATCTTTTTGACGTTGGCAATCACCAGTTCCTTGGTGATGACTGCCTGGATGAAACGGGCACGATTGCTCAAACGTGAGAATTCTTCAGTCAGCTTGCTGATCAAGTAATCCTTTCGCATTTGATAGTGTTGCAAACGAAGAGTAAAGAATATTTTGATAATCGATGAAGTGGTATCATACTTTCTCAATACTCCATGTTCGTCAAACAATGTCATATTGGTTTCATTCAAATTGGTTGTCAATTTAAATACCTTTTCAACATCAATTTCATCAACTGGTTTAACAGTTGTAATTACAAAATGTATAACTGCTTCTGTTGAATAATTTTGGAATTTCTAAAAGGATAAAAATAAATAAATATATAGTTTTCTTTTTTCTTTTTTCTTTTTTTTTTTTCTTTTCAATTTTTACCTTTACAACAGGAATTAAACCAACATTGACATCATCATCATCATCACTATCATTTGATTTCTTTTTCTTTTTGGAGGCGGCAGAAGCAGGTTTCTTTCCTTTGGTGATGATTTTTTTACCCTTTTCAGAAGCTTTCATGGCAGTACGTTGTTCCTTTTCAACCTTTCTCTTTACTTTCAAGTCGGGATCAACCAATAACTCGAGTAATTCTTTGAATGATTGTGTCCAAGTTCCAATGGGCAGTTCGGTTACTTCCAACTCGTATTCAGAGAGTTTCTTCCAAGCACCCTTGCAAAGGTAGGTTTGATGTGACTTTGGTTCGATGGAACCTCTGAATCCACGATACCATGGTTTGATATCAGTCATTTCCTTTTCATCTAGAAGATCTCTCATGCATTGGATGAGATCACGTGGGTTGTAGTTGGGAATACTAGACGAGTAACCTGTACCGATACCAGACGACCCATTGACGAGAACAAATGGAATGGTAGGCATATACCACTTGGGTTGTACCTTTTTGCCGTCGTCATTGACATAGGTGAGCAGATTATCATCGTCTTGGTGGAACAGTGTACGTGTAATATCACGCAGACAAGTGTGAATGTAACGTGGTTGAGATGAATCCTTACCACCTTGCAAACGACTACCAAAAGATCCACTTGGATAGAGTGTGTTGATGTTATTGGATCCCACATAATCTTGTGCCATGTTGATGATGGTTGATGCCAAACTGGCTTCACCGTGATGGTATGCTGAATGTTCCGACACGTATCCAATCAACTGTGCCACTCTCAACTCCTTTTTAAGATTTCTCTTAAAGCAAGAGTAGAGGATCTTTCGCTGCGAAATCTTGAGACCGTCGACAATCGATGGAATCGATCTCTCACAATCGGCAATGGAAAAGAGAATCAACTCCTTGTTGATAAACTCTGAAATCTTGATCTTTTTGGCGCCGTATTGGTCGAGATAGGTGCCTGGCTCAAAGTCATTGAGCCATTTCTTTCTATCGTCGGCTCTCTTTTTGTTGAATGCCATGTCGATTGAATCGTCGGCATTGTCGTCCCATTGAAAGTCAAGTTTGTGTCTTTCAATGTCGGCAAAGTATTCCTTGCCCTCTTCGGCCTTGCTTGTACCCAACCCCTTGTAGTACTTGATCTCGTACCCCTTGCCTCCATTTGTTTCCTTCCATTTGAGATACTCTGGAATCGTATAAAACGATATTGGTTTGTTTTTACCCTTGAATGCCTTGATAATAGGTGTAATAAACTCCATCAAAAATCCATCAATCTTTAATAACGATGGCCAAAAATGATGTATAAAATTTAATATTAATCCTTTAATATGTGATCCATCATGATCCTAAAAAAATAAAATAAAAAAGAAAAGAAAAGAAAAAAGTTAATATTTTTATCTTTGTTTTTGTTTTTCTATTTTAATTTACCTGATCAGTCATAATCATTAAATGACCATAACGAAGAGTTGAAATATTATCATAATTTACATTATGTTGGAAACCCATAATTTCAAAGATATTTCTAATTTCTTCATTGGCCAAGATGGATCTATGAGAGACTTCACGAACATTGATGACTTTACCACGAAGTGGGAATACACCATAGTGATCCCAACCAACCACTGAAATACCAGCCGTTGCCAATGTCTTGGCAGAGTCACCTTCTGTTAAAATGAGTGTACAGTCTTCTGATTTCTTGGTACCAGCAAAATTGGCTTCATCCAACTTTTCAATATTCAATCTACCCTTTTTAGTTGCCTTTGGTGTGGTTTTTTTAAGATCAACCGTCTCTTTATGTTTTGCCCATGAAATAATTTGATCAACAATTCCTGTCTTTGTTTCACATACTAAAAAAAATAAAAAAAGATTAATAAATATTATATTTACTACTTTTTTGTTTTGTTTTTTTCTATTTCAACTTTACCAGATTTAAGGAATTTATCAGAAGGAATACAAGTTGAACCATAAGTTGAAACTTTACTTGAACAAGTTTCTTTTGTTTGAGAGTCGAATGCGGGATTGACAATGAGACAATTGACAAAGATAAAGAGATGGTTTTTAACAAACGATGGTTTCATTTCGATACCACCCTTGTTCTTTTTGGCAACTTGAGCGATAATGGCTTCGGTGATCTTGGTGAGTGCGTAGGTGACGTGAGTACCACCCTTGTTGGTACAGATACTATTGACAAAACTAACTTGTTGTGGGGTGCCATCCGAACAGGCGACGGCAATCTCCCAACGAGGATTGACACGTTCATAGACGACGACAGGGGCATTCTCATCGTCTTTGAAATAAGTGTCGATATAGTCGGTAAACGAGTTGAATCCAATCAACTTGCCGTTGAGGTATACCTTGAGCGATTGGTTGCAACCGGCAATATCATAGACACGTTTGGTCAACAACTCGAGATTGTCGTCATCGTCCAAACGGGTCATACCAAAACGTGCCAAATCAGGGTGAAATGTAATCTTGGTGTAATCAGTTGCCTTGGTGTACGACTCTATCACTGGCTCATCTCTCTGCTTCATATTCTTTGTAAACGTTTGTTTAAACAATTTCTTTCTTGCAGAATCGGCACATTCAACCAAAAACTTTTGACTAAATGCATTTGTTAATTTGGCTCCAAATCCATTACGTCCTAAAAAAGGAATAAATAAAAGGAATAAATAAATAAATCTTATTTGTTATATTATATATTTATGTTTTGTACATACCACCAGCAAGACGTTCTTCAGAATCATCATAATTACTACTTGTTAAAAGATGACCAAAGACAAGTTCGGGAACTTGCATTTTCTCACCTTTGTGCATTTCAACTGGGACACCTTTACCATCGTTCCAAACAGAGATACGGTTGTCGTTGGCATTGATTTCCACCTTGATAGACTTCATGGGTTGTCCATCCTTGCGTTGAAGATTGTCGGCAGCATTGACAAGGATTTCATCAAAGATCTTGTAGAGACCTGGCACAAAGACAGTCTTTCTCTTTTTCATTCTGTCGTTTTCCCAGATCCACAATTCTTCTTCTTGCTTTTCGATTGAGCCAATGTAGGTATCGGGACGCAACAGAATCTGGTCAAGTAAATCCTTCTTTTGGTAAATCTCTTCAACTGTCTTTTCCTTGCCAGACGACGAAACAATCTTTTTCTTTGGTTGTTCTTCTACTTCAGAGTCAGAGGCAGAGTCTAGGTCAATATCAGAGTCTACTGATGTAACGGCAGCCTTTTTCTTTCTTGGTGCAGATGGTTTCTTTGGTTTGATATCATCATCATCATCAATGTCTGATGATCCAGATTTCTTTGTTGTTGATTTCTTTGTAGCTGCTGCCTTCTTTGATGACGCTGCCTTTGGTTTGGCAGCTTCTTTCTTTTTACTTGCAGCTGCTGGTTTCTTTGGTGCAGCCGATGCACCCTTTTTGGTTGTTGTTTTTGTTGTTGTTGGTTCATAATCTGAACCGTCGTCTGATGGTTCATAATCGTCATCTGAGAATTGGTCCTCTGATGACGATGGTTCATAGTCATCGTCTGAATCTGACATCTTTCTCTCTCTCTCTCTCTCTCTACACTGTACTTGTGATTGATTATCTTCTACCTAAATAAGATAAATACAAATAAATAAATAGAAATAGATGATGAAGAAATAATAATAAAGAAAAAATCAACTTGATCTTCACCAAACCAAACAAACACACTTCCCTCCCTTTTTTTTTATTTTTAAATTTGAAAATAAGAGAAGACAGCCCGCCAAAAATTAAAGACACACTCTCATTATTATTTTTTTTGCTCAAAGTATATAATATAAATATTTATTTATAATGGGTTCTACTGCTACTGCTACTACTATCAAATGTAGTATAGATGGTTGTTGTAAAAGTGAAGAAGATGTCTATCATTGTACAACTTGTGCAATTCACATTTGCAAACATCATTTTGATGAATCATGTGCTATTCAATCACATCAAACTATGTCTTCTCGTTTTTATGACAAGTATATACATACGTTATTACAACAACATACTACTTATTGTAAGGATGTGAATGGCCAAGATGTATCAAAGTTGTTTAGAGTGGTGACTCAAACAGACAAGGAAGAGAAAGATGCAAAAATGGTGATTGGGTATCATAACCTACCTCCAATTCCTTTTGATAGTAATCGATATATTGGATTCATGGGTCCATCAGGTGTTGGTAAATCGTCAATTATAACTACTATACAAAGATTATTTCACAAAGATCATGATCATTCATCGATCACCATCATGCCTACTATCAGTGACCCGTCATCATGTAAACCAAATTCATCTGATATTAATATATATGTAAGTTTTAATTTAAATACATTATATTACATTTCATTGGTTTATTAAACCAAGTATTTATTTATTTATTTATTTATTTATTGATTTATTGATTTATTTATTAGAAATTAAAAGATAAAGATAATGATGGGCCATGGGCATTGTTGAAATAGAAGATACAAAAAGTAGTAGTATGGAGAATATATTTCCAAAAAGAAAACAATTTGTAAAGAAATGTTATCCAAAATTGATACATATGATTTGTGATGTGGTGGTCCATGTATTTGGAAATTCAAGAGAACAAGCGACCATCATTAAAAACTTGTCTCGCTTGGTTTCAGATATCGAGTCTCGATCAATCAATAATCCAAACAAACCAGATTTATTGGTCATATTCAACAAGGTTGAAGGTGACGACAGTGACGGTGACACTTGTCAAGACTACTTTCAAAGTGATGCATTTTTAAATGCTGATGAATCAGTCAAGAGAATTACAAATTATTTCAGAAATGTTTGTTCAATATCCCTACCAAACATTAAACAACATCCAAAGACATACTTGAAAAGAATCTATGATCATTTTTCAACTATACTTTGTGACGGTTTATCTTCACAACGAGATGGTACGCAGGGTTGGCAAATTGAAAAGATGATTGATATTATGAATCATAATCCTTTGGCAATTGTTGACCATTTTACATTAAATCAGCGTACAAGTGGAACATCTCTCTACTCTTACTATCTTGATTTGTTAGAGTATGTCAGCCAAGCTAATACCACTGTCATTGTCGGTAAACTGGACCAAATTCGCATGGTCGTCAAATACATTGTAGATAATGTAATCGAACCACAGTTGGATGATATTGACGAGGAGACTGTATTTAAAACGGATCAAATGATTTTGAATAGTTTTAAATGTATCTCGACAATCCCCAATCCAAATCCAGACAACAATACTAGTACTATTGTACAATGTGGACTCTATTTTTTAAATCATGGAGACGGGTACCATAAATCAACTAAAACCAGAAAAGCATTTTACCATCATGATGACGATAGTGATAGTGATAGTGACGATGACGATAAAGAACAATTGGAGGAAGCAATTGAATGGAAAGGAAAGTTTGAAAATGATTTTGGTTGGGATCCCGAAAACCAAACTTTACAATTATTTTCATTCCATTATGAACAATTAAAGAAATCAAAAGAAGTCGACCAACATCTGGTTGAAAAAGGGACTGATTTATTTAACCTACTGGGTCGGTTAGAACCAACATTCAAAAGTTATTGTATACAATGTAAATGGAGAACTCCAACCCAGGCAAGAGAATGTGGACATGTATTTTGTAATGATTGCAATGATAGATCAGATAAGCCAAAGTCAAAGTCAGAGTGCACCTATTGTCACAAACCATCGAAATGGATCATTGTTGATTTCAAGGATTCCTCAAAGGGGTTTACATACCATGATATCGAAACCATTTGTTACAAGGAAAAGTATTTGGATTTAATAATGCACAAAACGTATGATTATTTTATATTAGGACAATCAACTAATATTTTAGCCACCGTCATTATAATTGCCCTTGCATCTGGACATGGGGCTCAAAAAGTAATAGACCATATTACTAATAGGATTGATTTTCAGTGTGGAGATGATTCAAAGATATTAAAGGCAATCAATGAAATCATACCAAATCAACTATTATTATACCAATTAAAACGTCCAATATTATTTGATACCGGTAGCCGGAGCGAACAATCACATTCTTTATTTTCAAGTTTTAATCAAAAGATATCAATATTTACCAATTGTCGTCAATTGATTAAAGAAGAGTACTGTTTCTCCAAAGAATCATCGTCTTCATCATTGGCAATGATGATTGATAAAAGTATTCTTGACCAAGTAAAATTTAATGCAAATCATTACCATCAATTCACAAGCACATCCAGTTACGAAATGAAAGGGAGAATATATCATCAAAGTCCTCCTTATAATGAAGCCAAAGAGAAATTAATTAAAGGGTTTTAAAAAATGAATAAATTAATAGTTATTTTTAGAATCACCTTCTCTTCACAAAACAACACACACACACCAACCCTATTAATAGTTACCAATTAAGTTAAATTTCATTTCTAGTGCGACCATGGTTATAAAGTAAAGATGGATACAGATACAACAACTCAAACAAATAATAATAATAACATTATAGAAAGATATAATGTTAATAAAACATTAAAAGAATTCAAAGCATGCTTGGAAGGTAACAAATGTCCAATATGTGGTGATAATCAGCTGTCTGACAGAGCATCACTCAATCATCACATTGCATTGTGTTCAATCTATTTCATGAGACACAATCAAATAGATGTTGATCAAATGTTGAATCATGTAAAAGATGATGACAACAAAGAACAAATGAAGAGATTGGCATTAGTTAAAGCACTGGATATTAGACTATTTAGATTGGTATTTATTGTCAATTCATACACTCGTAGTATCATCATCAAACATCAAAGACAAATCAATCAAATGTTACTTCAACCTTTATCAAAGATGTCAAAAACACAACAAGAACTAATATCATTAGGTTTAAGTGAATACGACACTCAGTCAATAGTAGTTCGAGAAGGTAGATTCTATCTGAAGATTCATTTTCGGTATTTGGAAGATTTAGAGATAGAAGTAGCTGAGGTCAGAAGAGTCATTCAACAATCTAAATTGATTACCTTTCTAACTATTACCTTTTTTTTCTACGAAGAAGTACTTGAACAAGGTATGTTGTGCTTTAAATGTGACCATTAACCAAAAAAACTAGTATTATTAAATCATATCTTTATTATCTGTCTCTCAAGTACGACCAATTGTCAATTTAATCTATCAAGATCTCAAAGAGAATACAACGATCAAAGAGTATGCTTTCTATCGCCCACTATTTGGAAGAATGATCTATGCAGAGAGACCAAGTACAAGATTCTTCATCTCTGAACATATGTGGAATTTCTATGGCAATAGTCTCCCTCACACACCAGCTTGTCTGCCATCAATGATTCCACACATTGATAAATATCATGTTCAAAGTTCAGGTATGTATTATTGATCATCGCGATGTATTTTCTTCTTTGTATTATATTATTATTATTATTATTATTAATTACTATTAATTATTATTAATTCCGTCTGTCTGTCATTAAAGCTTTTCAAACTCATATTGAACAATCATGTCAAGTATTGACAGGATCACCGTATATTAAAACTGTTAAATTGGATGCTGGCCCAAGAAATTATAATATAGAAGTATTCAACCAATTCACACTCAGTCTACCCAATCTTGAATGTCTTAGATTACGATGTGATGATGTGAAAGAGCACTTGTCAATGGTCATTGAACTATTAAATAGAAATCAAATCAAACACATGACCATTGATTGCGATCTCACAGTACTACAATGTCAGCAATTATTCAATGATGGCATAAAGACAAACAAATCACTCATCTCTTTGAAACTCGGTTGTATGTTATTTACTTTTATAATCACGATTAATCCAATTTTATTTAAATAATAATAATAATATTTATTCTTATTTATTTATTTATTAAAACTATATCCTACAGTTTATTTTGAAAGCGATCAATGGTTTCAATTTGTTTATGATATTTTAAAAGAGATTCATAGTTACACAACATTGAAATATATTTACTTAAAACATAACAAAAGAAAAGAGGACAACTTAAAACTATTTAAATCATTGGAGAAGGATTTTGGTTATAAAGTTATTATCTATCATCAATATATCTATCGTTGGACAGGTCGAGAACCTAAAAAAATACATACTCAATAGAGATAGATCTTACATATGAGTTTCAAAAAGTATAAATTAGTAGTAGTAAAGACAAATGACCAAAAGAGAGGAGACACCAGTCAGTGAGTAGTAGTAGTAAATTAATGAAAGGGGAGAAATAATAACTACATCAAGTAATAATTAAATATTTTTTTTCAAAACATCCTATTCTTTTCGAGAGTAAACTTTATTTTTAGGAAGAAATGATTATTAAAATAATTGAATGATTGATTAATTAAGAAATTCAAATTTATAGATGTGTTGATACTTTGGAGCAACTGTGATACCGTGAACTGGAGTTTCGTCCAATTGGCCACCATCAAACGAAGAGATCTTAAAGTTGTGGAATATCTTGGCCACGCTTAATTGAAGTTCCTCACGGGCGAGGCCAAATCCCAAACAGTTGCGTGGACCAATGCTAAAGGGTACCCACTGAGATGACAATGTTGGATTGCTAAAACTAGTGTCGTCGAGGAATCTGGATGGTTTGAATTGATCGGCATCTTTGAATTGGGTAGCATGCAAAGCATAAAAGTTCCCCATCAAGTGGGTACCCTTTGGAATAAAGTATCCTCCAAGTGTTGTATCCTCGCTCGCAATACGCGGGACACTGAATGGAACGACCATACGGTATCTAAGAATCTCTTTCATGACGGCACATGTTTGTGGACAATCGGAACGATCGGCAGTTGGTTGGATATCCTCTGAATGGACAAACGTTGATCTAATCTCCTCTCTCAACAACTCTTGTTCGTGTGGTTGATTGGACATTACAATAGACAACCATTGTAATGTCGATGCGGTTGTTTCAACACCTGCAAACAACATATCAAAAAATACATTGATAATAATTTCATCATCATATTCTCCAAGTATAAACAAATCTAAAATATCTCTAATACTAAAAAATGAAAGTAAATATTAATACAGTAATTAATTAATATTATTATTGATTTTTTAGATTTACTTTTTAGGATCAATAGTTTGACGATGTTGGTCGATAAATTGTTTGGTAATGTTTCTGACAGAGTCAAGCTTACGGTTTAATGGTCTTCCATATAAATGGTAGTAGATGGGACCGAGGATATGGACCGTGTCAAAGATGGCACCTTGAGCAATACGATTGACAAGCTCGTCGATCGGTGAAAAGATGGTATGCATAATTCCACTGTCTGGTTCATCCTCATATGACAATTCAACATTAAACATCATCTTTAAAATAATACTAAATGTATATTTTCTATAATATGGTGCTGGATTTACCTAAAGTAAGTATACATAAATTTAAATATAATATAATATAAATATAATATAGACAAAAAATTAATGTTTGTTTGTTTGTTTGTTTGTTTGTTTGTTTGTTTGTTTGATTCATACAGGTTGACCATCTTTGGATAATTCTTTTAATTTTCTAATTAAATTGTTTGATTGAAGATCGATGGTTGAAGAGAGAGCCTTTAACTTTGTTTTGGTGAATGATTGATCGATGAATCGACGGAGTGGTTTCCAAGTATCGATATCATTCAAGACGAGGTTGTTGTAATTTTCACATACGATTCTTAGTGATGGGACAATCGGACGATTGCCAAATATTTGATTCTTTTTGATAAATGCTTCTTCTAGTATCTGTAGATCGTTGATAAAGACTGTATAGTTGTCACCAAACCAAATACCATAGATCTTGCCACACTTTTTAGCCAACCCTAGCAGATCCTCTGGTGGGTTCTTTGATATCCTCCAAAGACCACCAATGATAGGTGCAGAGATACAAGCAAGTGGTGGATCATTATTTGAAAATCTTGTATTCTTTTTAATCTAAAATAAGAATAATAATGTATATATTTAATAAAAAATGTTAGTAAACTGAAGAACATAATTTACTTTTTAGATATAGGATATAGTTTACAAATGATGAAATGATATAGAATAAAAATAGGTATCCTATAATTTCCAAAGTTCCAACTACCATGGTTTCTAGGTTTAGAAAGAGGTAATTAAGTAAATAGTGTATTTATAATTATTTATTTTTCATATTTCTTTAAATGTTATTTATTTATTCATTTTGATGAGAGACAATTCATAAATCATCGAATCAAGAAATAAGAATGTAGACATTTTCTTTTGTTGTTGTTGTTGTATAAAAAAAAAAAGAGTGAAAGAGATAAAGATAGAGCAAACACAATTGTGACAAACAAATGTTTAATTCTTTTTTCGGGATTGAGGGTGTGGTGCAAGAATAGACTTTGTTTTAGCCGACCATCAACTAAAACAACTGCCAAGAGGCACTTGTCTATGTGGTAAACAATAACAACTTGTTGATATTTATCTACAAGATTAAAAAGTATATCTCTTTTACAAGAAGAGAGCTCTATCATCATGACCACGTCCTTCATTCATGACGCTTGATTGTGGAAGGATTTCGAGAGAGTTCACCCCCCTTTGAATTTGGGCAAACGAAATGAAACCAATCCCATTCCGAGCCGGACTCTATTGAAACAATGGCAATTCAGACCCTTCATATGATAGAGTGTCCCCTCTTACGATCTTCAAATTTTTCAAGACCAAAAAAATCCAGAGCACGCAAAAAAAACCGTGGGGATCCCTGATCGGCAGGTGCTCATTGCGTTGAGTCCATCCCCTTTTTCAGACACTGCATACGATGGATAGTGAGGCCGACATGAGGCTCTTGGGGTTTTTTTTGCAAAAAAAAATAGTTGGAAATGCCACATGGACAATGACAGAGTGGCACCCAAAACCAAAAAAAAAAAAACAAACCCTCAATGTTTACTATATCTCAGTGAAATTTAGGGATGCATCGGTGGTAACGAGCAACAACCAAACCATGGTTTGGAATTATAATTATAATTATTTAAATTATTTATTTCTATAGAATTCTTGACTCGATAGCAATAAAACCCATCACACCCAAAACTATTATCATCATCATCATCCATCTCTAATAATAATATATTTATTTATTTATAGTAAATACATACACACACATACCAAAAATAATCATTAAAATGAAATTCATTGCCACACTTTTAATTGCTCTCTGTTTGATTGCCTCTGCTTTCTCTGCCTCTGTCACCTTGACCGGTTGTAACGAATCCTCTAGCTCATGCTCTCAAGACTTCCCAGTTAATCAATGTACCGCCTACGATATCTGTGGCACCAACACTGTCAACATTAATTGGCTTAAGATCTCTGCCATTGCTTCCGATAAGACCTACACCGTTGCCCTCTATCTCGATGAAGACTGTTCCACCCCTCCAGTCTCTGAAACTTTAACCTGTGGTGAATGCACCGATGGCACCAATTTCATTGCTGAATGTCCATCCTCTGGCTCTGCCACCTCTGTCGTTGCTGGCTCATTCGCCGTCTTCATGGGTCTCGCCGGTTCCCTCCTCCTCTAAATTATATAAAAAATAAAAGTTCTCAAATATAGTATAGTAGTCACAAAACAAAAATATTCAATAATAGTAATTATAACAATAATAATAATACAAATCTTAATTCAATATTCACAAAAGTGAACAATAGAGTATTGTCAATTTAATTTAAAACCCTATCAATCATTCATTCTTTTGTTCATCAAATATTCAAAACATTGACATGTTTCTTTTGTTGGTCGGTGATTTTGGAACCCATATATATATAAATCGCTCTTTATTTATATCATATTTTTTCGTATATACATTTAAAATGATTACAAATTAATCTGATTCTATATTAAATTCTATTCTATTCTATTTTTTTAATTATAAATAATCATTAATTAAATAATAATAAATAATAAATAATAAATAATGAAATTAATTAGTATCATTTTAATTTTACTTTGTATGGTTACAATGTCACTTTCAGCAAGTGTCATGTTAAGAGGTTGTGGTCCTACTCCAACAACATGTAATCAAACTTTCACAGTTGGAGAATGTACAGCCTATGACAAATGTTTTGAACCATTTGCATATCCTCCTGATAAAGTCAAATATGTAAAGGTCAATTCCTTTGATGGTGAATGTAGCAAAACCTCCTTCTTTATTACCTCTTACGATGACTCTCAATGTCGTACTGACCCAATCTCCACATCGAATGAATGGTGTGGTATGTGCAACAGTTTCAATTGGTATAGAGTTGTTTGTTAAATCTGATGTTAACTCTCTCTCTCTCTCTCTCTCTCTCTCTCATTCCCTCCAATTCATTACTATCCATCTTCTTGACCACCGATCATTTCCCTCCTCTAAATCTCGAGAGATGGTATTTAGAAGAATAATTAAAAAAAACTAAAAATAAAATCAGTCTCCCAAAGATCGATCTCACCTTTTCAAAAAGTAGTATTTTAATTTATAATAATAACTAGTTACATGTTTCATCAAAACAAATAATACTCATCATATTATGAATAATTTGTAAACTTCTTCTTCTTCTTCTTCTTCTTCTTCTTCCTCCTTCTTCTATATCTATATTTATACAAATGAATAGAAAGTTTGGATATTATGCAGTTTTAGTATCACTTGCAATGGGTATATTCTATTCAAAGAGTATTAAAGATAATAATAATAAAGGCACAGATTCAACAACACCACCAATAGTAGACAAGAGTTCTATTAATTGTGTATTCTGTCAAATCATACAAGAAGATAAAAAGGCTGTCTATCAGGTAGGTGTTTGGAAATATTGAAAGAGAAAGATCTCTCATCATTTTACTTACTTTTTACTTATTACAATGTATACCTATACTTTTTATCTGATATGTAGGATGAAGAACTATTTATATTCTCTGATCGTACACCAAAGGCATCGACACACCTTTTGGTGATACCAAAACGACACATAAAATCGGTCAAGACACTGACCGTTGACGATCTACCAATCCTCGTTAAAATGAAACAAGTTGCTATTGAATATGCAAACAGAGAGCATTATGGCAAAAAGTATCATCTTGGTTATCACATCCCACCATTCTACTCTATTCCACATCTTCACATGCATCTTCTCGTCGAACCATTCACACCTGCTCGAAAGAGAATAAGTTATACTCCTCATCTAGGTGGTCTATGGTTTAAAGATGTAGATACTATTATTAATTCTTTGGCTGATCAAGTAGTTTAAAATGACAGAGAAAAAGAAGACTACAAGTGTATAAACAAACCAACCAACCAACATCATATGATTTGCAACTAACCAACAACAAAATACAATAATAATATAATAATAATACAAACACCACTGCAAAAATGGTTATCATTCCAATTCCATTCAACATTCCATCATTCACATTCCATTGGTGAGATATAAATCGTGACGATCACCATTTATTTATCTATTAATGAATAATAATAATAATAATAATAATAACATCTACAACAAATAATTTGTAAATATAAATAATAATAATAATAATAATAATAATTGTAATATTTTCTGAAAAGAGTCTTCACCAACAACGACAACGATAATAACAACAACAATGCGTACAGTTCAAGGTTGTTTGGAAAAGTGGCAATATCAAGTTGAACAACAACAGACCAAAAACAAAACGATTGAATAATAATAATAATAATAATAAAAAGATCAACAACCATTCACAAGTGATACGAGTCCTAAACAAACACCACCAAATGTAAAACGACGGCCACATCTAAACACTTTACTTTTAAACGCCAATGACCAAGTATAGTTGTTTTCAAAACGACTGGTTCCATGAAAAGTCGACAAACGTGCAAAGAATGTGTTGTCTGTGTGTGTGTGTGTATACACCAAACAAATAATATCTCTAATTCTATCTATCTCGAGAATTATTATTTGTCCAACCCACACAAAATCATTGGTTTTGTGAACAAACGGTGACTAGTCACCATGTTCACACAAATCAAAAATATTTTTGGTTCCAAAGATCTTTTAAAATTTTATTTCTCCTTCTTCTTCTTCTTTGGTTCCAAAGATTCATATCGCGTTTAATGACACTTTATTAACGCTTGGTGACAGTATGTGATCATACTCCATGTTTAGACGACTGTGGACGAAACAGATGCTTTGCACGATTTTCGGAACACGCGCTTTTAAAAAATTAAAAAATCTCGTGACCGTTCAAAGAATGGTCACGACAATTGGAGACTCTTATCTGGAAAGTGTTGTTTTTCTGGTCGTCTAGCGCGTTGTGACAGTCCATCACCAAAAGACGACTACGGTCGGTCTAGTAGTAGAAGACTCCAACATCATGACAATTTTCAAATAACAAACAAACACCAGCCGGTTTCAAGCTCATCTGAGAGAGAGAGAATATTAATTTCGTGTAGTTGATTTCGTTTAGGCTTACAAGAGGATGAGACCGACGTCGTTGCACAAAACTACCAAACCAATCCATATAAATAGTTTCATTCCCATTGCAAATGAAATATCATTCAATTCACAATCAACAAATATTAATAATATTAATAATTAATAATAATCACAATAGTTTCATATATATATATAATTAATAATCAAATTTAATTAATTCCAATCCAAAATTATTTTAAAATCATGAAGACTTTTACTCTTATATTTATCTTGGTCACCCTTCTTGCTGTTGCTTTTGCCCAAACTGCAGACACTACCACTGCCGACACTACTTCTGCCACTACTGCCGACACTACTTCTGCTACTACTGCTGATACTACCACTGCCTCGACCACTGCTGATACTACCTCTGCTACCACCGCCTCTACCACTGCATCAACCACTGCCGACACTACTTCTGCCACTACTGCCGACACTACCTCTGCTACCACTGCCGACACTACTTCTGCTACTACTGCCACTACTACTGCCTCAACCACTGCCGACACTACTTCTGCTACCACTGCCACTACCGCCATTACTGCTGACACCACCTCTGTTACTACTACCCCAGCTACTACCACTGCCACCTCGACTGCCACTGCCACATCTACTGCCACATCAACTGCTACATCTACTGCCGACACCACCACTGCCGACACTACAACCGACAACACCACTGGTGATGCTGGTATGATCAAGGCCTCAATGATTTCATTGGCTGCCATTTCATCCATTGTACTTCTTTTCTAAACAAAAAAGATGATAATATAAAAAGAGGGGAATATATATACAATTTGTACCATTGTAATTCCATTTTACAACTAAAAATATTATTTATTTATTTAATTATTGTTTATTTATTTAATTATTTAATTATTATTTATTTATTTCTATAGTTGGTAAACCATTTTGAATTGATAAATAATATTTTTGATTTTGATTTAAAAATGCACCATATAATGATCCTTTTTCCAAAAATAGAACAGTTTGATATTGGTCTTTAAACTTTCTAATTGAAATTGAGAAATTAAATAATTTAATAGTATCAATTTGAGATTGTAGAATTTCATCCAATGATAATTTATAATCATGTTCTCTTTGAATATCCAATTCTAGGGTTTTAATATTATTCGGTATTGGGTTTGGAATGATTGTAATAGTTGAACCATATTTTAATTGAACTGATAAATGATTGATTGTAGATGGTGCTTTACAAATTAAATGAATGTCTGATAATGTTAGATGAGTCAAAGATGGTGGATACTCTGTTGGAAGAAGTGATGGATTTCCCCAATGAATGACATAGGATTGTAGGTTGGGTGGAAGTTGTGTCATTTTAAAATCACTTTTTTTAATGGTTAATTTAACAAGTTTGGTTGTTGGAAAACATGATGATAAAGTGGCTGAATTGGGTAGAATATAATTTTGAATGGTTAAATCTTCTACATTGCAAGGTATTGATCCTCTAACCAAATCATTATGAACATGAGCAAATGAAAGATGTAATTTTTTAACATTGATTGGGATGAATCCAGGTTGAATGTATGGACAATAATATAAAGATAGATTGGTGATTGTCGTTGGAAGAGGTGAGTTGATTATTTCCATATTGATATGAAGTGATTGAAGATTTGGCGGTAATGAAATAGGACTGTTTCCACTAGATGGCATATATCTGACTGATAAATGTTTGACGGAATCTGGCAAGTCAATTCTGCCAATAATTCCCTTTTGACAAGACCGAATTGTCAAATACTCTAATTGACCAAGATGTTTGAGTGAAAAGTCGATTGGACCAGTATATTCTTGCATTTCAGTACGTATGTATGATAGAGTGAGCGAACGAAGAGTCGTTGGGAAATCTGGATACACTTTGATTTCATTGTTGAGTTGGTGGGTGAGTACCAATTGAGGAGAATACAATTTTAAAGTTTCTAGGGTTGGTGGATACTTGAAATGGTTCTCGTCCAATATTCTAAGATCGTTGGTTCCAAATCTCTTGAGTGATTTTGGTAGTACGAGTGATTTGATGCTATCGTCGACATTGTCAAAAACAAATTCCTCCATATATTTTTCGGAAAAGTCTAATGATAGATTATCGTATTTGACAAGACTGAGAAACATTTTTCTAGTGGCGGTTGGAATTTCTACAATATCTGTTTTACTTTTACAAAATACTCTGTCAAATGAATGATTGTCCAACGATTGAAAATGATGATTGTATTTGGCTACATTGTCTGATCCTGCACCCCAAGTGACTCCACCAATGACCAAATGATGCTGAATCGATTGTTTAAATATTGTTTTGAATGATTTTAAAAAGAATTGATTGGTGGTCCCAGTGGATGAGTCATCCCGACACCTATCCGTCAATCTGTTTACCTCCAAGTTTTGATCACCTTGAATGTAAATCAATTCAACCTGTTTGAATCGAATGGGTAATCGAGTCAACTTTAAAATATTGAATAATCTCTTGCATGTCAATAATAAACAAATAATATCTATATCATCTTGAATTGAATTGATAATATAATATAATAAATAATTTGGTAATTTTGGATCTAATAAATTAAATCTTTCTTTTTCTTCTTTTTGAATCATATCTATAATTTTATAAATGTATATATAAAAATCTTGTTGGTATAGGTATTCGTTAAAAGTAATCGTTAACGGTTGATCCACCAATACTTTTTATTATTTACAGAAAACCGAAAAAAATTTCAAAAAAAACGAATTTGTAAACCACCAAATTTGGATAATGAAATCATTTTTCAAAAATAAAGAATAATAATTTTTTTAACCCATATGGTTCTATATATCTATATGATATTCTATATTTGTTCATTTTGATCTATGGATATTCTTTTTTTCCTTTTTCTTTTTTTTTTTTTGATTGATTTTTAATACATTTTTATTCTCTCATTTATTTTAATTTTATATTATTATTATTATGTGATTTGTTATTATTATTACAGTTGTTTCAAATTGATATGTATTTCCATATTTCTATTGTGTATGAATTTTATTGGCATAGCGTGATAGCCCCAAAGGGATAGATCGTATTATATATCCATAATCAGTCTATAATGATTGTGCTAGTATTGGATCGTAGTCACTCTACTCTCTATACTGGTAAAATAAACATATTTCAAAGTTGTATAGCTGTGAATCTCTTTTAATCTTTCACAAATATATGAAAAGTGTCCATGCATAACTAGATATTTGCATTTCAACAAGTGGAAAGAATAAAACAGAAATTAGAAAAATAGATAACATCTATAATAATAATAAACTTGACAAACCATTGATTTTCAAAGAGATGAGTGATTTGTTTGTTTTGACTGCATCGAATATTGATACCATTTGGGTATGTAAATTTGATTTCACACCACCAATTGTCATGTGTTTGATTTGATTTCTTTTTAACAGTTCAACGACCATCGATATATGCTTTGGCATTGAAGTAACATCAATACGAAGACATTCAAGATTGGGCAGACTGAGTGTGAATCGATTGAATAGATTGTAGTCGTAGGACTCATAATGATCTCCAACCAACTTGACAGTTTTAATATATGGTGATCCTGTCAATACTTGACATGATTGTTCGATATGAATTCGGTTATCTAATAATAATAATAATAAATGAAAATTAAATCGACGAGCGAGTTAACTCCCGGGGTGTGAATATATCATAAATGGATAGATAAAAGGTAATAATACATACAATCAATAGTGTGAATATGGTATTTATCGATATGTGGAATCATTGATGGCAAACAAATGGCTGTGTGAAGTTCTTTCTTGTTTTTCTGAACACGGACTTCAGACATAAAGAATCTGGTACTTGTCTTTCTGCATATAGATTTCTGGCAAATGGTGATCCATCGATAGAATACTCTTTGATCGTTGTATTCTCTTGAGATCTTGATAGATTGATTCGATTATTGGTCGCGCTATAGAAGAAAGGGACTTTTAAGAGAGAGACATAGGGCAATAATATATATTATCACATAACGGACATTTGTTATCTTTGAATGTTTTGAATTGTTTGGTGATAGACTGATATTTATCTGTCTCTTTTGTTGTTGTCATCTTCTTTGTTGGTTTTTTTTAAAATAGTTTTGAGCAATATTATTAATAGCAACAAGTATTGCTAACAACAAGTGACTAAAGAGAATTGATGACTAGACATCTATTTTTCAGAGCTGAGGTCAACCCAAGAATGTTTAAAGGCTTAGTTTTGATAAATATTAATTATTTTAGAATTTATTTATTTATTTATTTATTTAAATGTTCTCTCGGCCTAGGTGAGTAACACCTATACGAATACCAATACAAGGTTTCTCTTTGTTCATACATACACCAACATTCTATGGTGTATGTAATTTTTTGAGTACTCTGTAGCCTGGGGAAATGTCTTGTATTATGTAACCATAATCATCCTGCAACGATGCGACCGGTTGTTTGTCAACATATATACTTTGATACAACAAGTAAATATATTTCAGAGTTGTATTATTATGATTGGTACGTATCTCTTTTAAAGCTTGATAAACAAATGGGAAACACTCTTCGCGAACTAAATAATAAATGAATGAATTAGAGACCTGGAAATATATATTTCACACATCGATCAGTACTTACAATGGATTTTAAAACTAATAAGTGATCTGTTTGTCTTGATGGCATCTAATAGTTTTCGACTCTGTGCAGGAGTTACCGCGATATGGCGAATTGTAAGGTGTTTGATTATGTTTTTGTTTAATAGTTTGATGACCACTGATAATATTCTGGCACCACCACCACATAGTCTGAGACACTCAAGATTGGGTAACCCGAGTATGAATCGATTAAATACTTCTTTATCGTATGTCATTCTACTGGATGCCGTTAGTTTGACTGTTTTAATATATGGTGATCCATTCAATACATCACATGATGGTTGAATATCAACTGGGTGTTCTTTGAAATATATAAAGGTGGTGTAAGTTGATTGCGTTGGATAATGAATGGTAATAATATAATATAATATGTACTGTCCATACCTATACTTTTAACTTGGTATTTATCGATATGTGGAATCATTGATGGCAAACAAATGGGTGTATGAAGTTCTTGGTTGTTTTTAACATTGGCTCCATAGACACAGAATCTTGTACTTGCTCTCTCGGCATAGATCATTCTTCCAAATGGAAATGATTCAAAGAAATACTCTGTTATTATTGTATTCTCTTTTAGGTCTTGATAGATCAACCCCATAGTTGTACGCGCTTTGATAAAAGAAGGGAGTGAGCATGATAAATATTTATACTCGATAGATAAGATGTTGACATACCTTGTTCAATTGTGTTATCATCGAAAATAACATATATTGATAAGTAGGTAACCAACTTTGATTTTTGGATGACTGTTCTTACCCTATTCACCGCTGATTGTAGTTCCTGTTGACTTCCGACAAAGTTGATCATATCTAGGCATCTTCCCTCACCATTTGAATCCTTAACAAATGCACCCAATGACTTTAGTTCTTCATCAGACCTTATTATCTTTTTGTCGTCGTTGTTGTTTGTTTCCATCTTTTGTCTCTTCACATTGATGTCATCATCATCATCAATCACAATAATATTATTGTTATTATTATTATTATTATTATTGTTGTTCTTGTTGTTGTTATTATTATTATTATTATTATTATTATTATTATTATCATTGTTGTCAATTGATCTCTTTTTGTTGTAAAGATTTGCCATGACATCATTTACAACTTGCAAGACATCTATTTGATTGTCCAACATGAAATAGACAGAACATTGAGCAATGTGATTGTTGAGTGTTGCAGTATCACATAGTTGACTATCACATAACGGACATTTGTTATCTTTGAATGTTTTGAATTGTTTGGTGATAGAATGATATTTATCTGTCTCTTTTGTTGTTGTCATCTTCTTTGTAATTTGAAATAATCAATTAATTGTTCAACAAATATTGGTTATGTTTGAAAAAGTAATCTTTTTTAATTTCTACAAGACAGGTGTTGATTTTTTTTTTTGAACAAAACAATGTACATCAGTGATGTATCGTGGCAATCGGATAAACAAAGGATGGGAGAAACCTCGTCACATATCTTGATTCCACATGTGGTATTGAGATTTGGAACAGAATCCATTCTGATTTACTTGGAGAAGTATGATCGTTAGAGGGTGGAGGTGTTATTATCGATTTCATAACGTTTCACAAATGGTTTATATGATTTACTGATATATCTATCTTTTGTGTTGTTGTTGACATTTCTTTAATGAAGGAAAAGGAACTTAATTTTATATTTGTTTTTTTTTTTACCGTTTATTATTTTAATATTATATTATTATTATGTGATTTGTTATTATTATTATTATTATTATTATTATTATTATTATTATTATTATGCCTGGCTATCTATAATATTATATTATACTATTATTATTAGTTGGTTATTTTGAATCGAAATAGGGATTTATAGATTCCTTGCAAAATTCATAAACACCCCAAGTAATGGCAGCGCTCATACTGTGAAAGACTATACGCGGACGAATGCCACACAGATAGCCCTTGGGACCTTCCTCGCGCCAGATGGAATGGAAGGATCAATGATGATGTTGTTGGTTGTTGAGTTGGTTTATGAAAAGATATAATTATATTTAATATTAAATAAATAGGCGTAGGCAGTATTTGATCGACACGACTAGTTGTAGGAGCTTATAATAATAATATAGAGAGAGAGAGAGAGAAGAAGAAGTATCTCTAGATTTATTTGTGTTGTATAGTTTCCTTCTTTTTTTTAATTTCAAAGGGGGGGGGGTCACTCACTTTTAAAATGTTCTCTCGGGCCTAGGTGCGAGGAACCTATAGGTACAAATACAATGGTTTCTTCTATTCTATGGTGTATGTAATTTTTTAGGAAAGGTTGCGGGGGGAATGTCTAGTTGTATTATGTAACCATAATCATCCTGCAACGATGCGACCGGTTGTTTGTCAACAAATATACTTAGATGCAACAAGTAAATATATTTCAGAGTTGTATTATTATGATTGGTACGTATCTCTTTTAAAGCTTGATAAACAAATGGGAGACACTCTTGGAGAACTAAATAATAAATGAATGAATTAGAGACCTGGAAATATATATTTCACACATCGATCAGTACTTACAATAGATTTTAAAACTAATAAGTGATCTGTTTGTCTTGATGGCATCTAATAGTTTTCGACTCAGTGCAGGAGTTACCGCGATATGGCTAATTGTAAGGTGCTTGATTATGTTTTTGTTTAATAGTTTGATGACCAATGATAATATTCTGGCACCACCACCACATTTTAGTCTGAGACACTCAAGATTGGGTAACCCGAGTACGAATCGATTAAATACTTCTTTATCGTATGTCATTCGATTGGATGCCATTAGTTTGACTGTTTTAATATATGGTGATCCATTCAATACATCACATGATGGTTGAATATCAACTGGGTGTGCTTTGAAATATATAGAGGTGGTGTAAGTTGATTGCGTTGGATAATGAATGGTAATAATATAATATAATATATATTGTACATACCTATACTTTTAACTTGGTATTTATCGATATGTGGAATCATTGATGGCAAACAAATGGGTGTATGAAGTTCTTGGTTGTTTTTAACATTGGCTCCATAGACACAGAATCTTGTACTTGCTCTCTCGGCATAGATCATTCTTCCAAATGGAAATGATTCAAAGAAATACTCTGTTATTGTTGTATTCTCTTTTAGGTCTTGATAGATCAACCCCATAGTTGTACGCGCTTTGACAAAAGAAGAGAGGACAAGAGTGGAGTGAGCATGATAAATATTTATACTCGATAGATAAGATGTTGACATACCTTGTTCAATTGTGTTATCATCGAAAAGAACATATATTGATAAGTAGGTAACCAACTTTGATTTTTGGATGACTGTTCTTACCCTATTCACCGCTGATTGTAGTTCCTGTTGACTTCCGACAAAGTCGATCATATCTAGGCATCTTCCCTCACCATTTGAATCCTTAACAAATGCACCCAATGACTTTAGTTCTTCATCAGACCTTATTATCTTTTTGTCGTCGTTGTTGTTTGTTTCCATCTTTTGTCTCTTCACATTGATGTCATCATCATCATCAATCACAATAATATTATTGTTATTATTATTGTTGTTGTTCTTGTTGTTATTATTATTATTATTATTATTATTATTATTATTATTATTATTATTATCATTGTTGTCAATTGATCTCTTTTTGTTGTAAAGATTTGCCATGACATCATTTACAACTTGCAAGACATCTATTTGATTGTCCAACATGAAATAGACAGAACATTGAGCAATGTGATTGTTGAGTGTTGCAGTATCACATAGTTGACTATCACATAACGGACATTTGTTATCTTTGAATGTTTTGAATTGTTTGGTGATAGAATGATATTTATCTGTCTCTTTTGTTGTTGTCATCTTCTTTGTAATTTGAAATAATCAATTAATTGTTCAACAAATATTGGTTATGTTTGAAAAAGTAATCTTTTTTAATTTCTACAAGACAGGTGTTGATTTTTTTTTTTGAACAAAACAATGTACACAGAATCAGTGATTGATCAAAAAAAAAATTAAATAATAATATCTGTTTTGTTCAAAAAAAAAAATCAAAAGTCTGGGTTCTTGGTTTGATCGCTTCACAAGATAATTATCTTAATAATTAGTGTTCAAAATGCAAATTATTTTAGTAGTGGTAGGCCTAGTTTTCGTCTCTTTCGTTTCAGCATTACCTTTGGCGATGCAACCTCCTCCTGGTGCTCTCTGCGCTATGCCGAATCCAACAATACGAAGACCTCGTGCGTTTATACCAAATGCAAATGGTGCGGGATGGCACTGTTCAGCGAGAGGAGTAGAAGCGCCTGCGGCACCTGGTGTGTATGTTTTGGGTCTACTTAACGGTCCCAACATAGACATAGCCTACATCGGACAATCATCGGTAAGTCTTGAAAGTAGACTCGCCTATCAAGAAGGAGCAAGAAATATAGGCATTTGGAATGCTTATTGTTTTTTTCGACTTGCACCATTCGCTGGGGGTGGTCACAACCATTTCCCATATTTAGCAGAAGCCTACCTAATGTCAAGGATCTCAGCACCTCAAAACAACCAGTGGCTTGGTGGAACAAGAATTGGATATGACAACGTTGTCCCTATCTTGCCTCCCATAAACATTGTTCCTCTTTTTGCTAATTTGCTTCAATGCCTCTAAATAAATGATATTTATTTAAATAAACAATGAAAACAGTACCAGCAAATTATAATGTTCATAATATTTATTCTTCTTCTTTTGATTTTGACTTTTCACATATATGTTTTTCTTTTAACTATTTGACATCATATTAGTTGTTGAATTAATTGATAATAGCTACCACTACCACCGGCTTGATTGATTGGTTTAGCCAATTCTTTGGTAATATCTACACCACCCAATTCTAAGCTACGTAGAGATGGCATGTTGGATGACCATTATAAATAGGTGCTGCATGTGATATTCACATGGTGTCCCTAGTCTAACAACTTGCAGAGTTGACTCTCAGTTCTTGATAATATACTCTCCCAAATAAATTGGTGAGCGAGAGTGGGTGTTAACATCCCCCAGTGAGTGTCAACTGAAGAACTTGATGTGATAGATGAATGAAAAACATATTGATCTAAATGTTTTTCGAACTCTTACAAATGCATTTCTAGAGTTAATCTTGTTAAATATCTTCTTGTCGAGTGTCTCTCTAACGAGAAAAGACGTGATATTGAATAGTTTGGGTATAATCCATATGTAAGGTTTACATTGATGGGTTTTTATTGATTGCTTTGAAGAAAATCTTGGATTGTTGTTCTATATCATTATCTTTTTCTCTATTTGTTGGAGCAGGTCGTGGTCTTTTTTGAGCTGCAAATGTTACCGGTTTGGTAACTTGCTTGTTTACTAAAAGGTCAAGTTTGTTGGTTTGGGATTGGAGAGTTGGTGTTTGACTAGATCGAATACTAAAATCTAACAAGCTTTTTTTTAGAGTCTGAAATAATCTTTGTTGTGGTTGGTGAGCTTGAATACATTTGGTGTCTTGGATATCACAGAAAATAGGGGGTGGGCACCAAACAGGTGGTTGATGATTTAAGAGACTTTCGCTGTAACGTACACATGTTTTACATTGAACTTTTGTTAGACCGTTGCCCTTCCAAATAGGGTGATCGCACATTGACTCCATAAATTCATTGTATTCGTCATTGTATTCGCATTCTTGTGAGGGATTGAGGTTTGAATCGAACTTACATTCAATTGCAAGAGATCCCAAAAGCCCGACTAGAATTAGAAGGGCGATAATTAACGCTTTCATTATTTGTTTCAAATTTATGACAAACCAATAAAATGATCACCAAGCGTTGTTCTGCACCTTCAAATTGTCGTTGTGATATTCAAAAAAAAAGTGTATTCATACCAACAATATTAATTTACAAAAACAAAGTAATCAGGTTATTATATTGTTATTATTATATTATTATTGTTATTATTATTATTATTATTGTTCTTGTTGTTATTATCAATTGAAGAGAATGAATTGGTTTCAGTATCATCTGATCATACTATTATCATTTGGAAAAGAGTATGATTATATAAGAGAATATATAATATAGAATAGAGATATGTATATTAACATTCATTCAATCATTTTCTATTTTAGAATGAAAATACTCTATTTTGATTAAAGAAACATTAAAAGGACATAGTGATAGTGTAACATCATGTTCAATTGTTAGAAATGATAGAGATGGATCATTGTTGTTGTGTTCTACATCGACAGATAATACAGTAAAGATTTGGAAGAGATGCTGGTGTTGATCAACCTGCAAAACAACAAGAGCAGGAGGAGGATGGTGAAGAGGAGGGTGGTGGTATTGATACCAACACATTGATATATTCGTTAAAGAGTTCATCGATTACTGGTGTCAAGTCATTGTCTTCAAAGGGACATATATTCAATGTTAGCGAGACGACCAAGGTCAAGGTGATTGTCTTGTTAGAGTCGGTCATGTCCGGTCACGAAGACTGGGTGTACAGCGTCTCATGGTATCCCGTCAACAAGGACGATGGTACGCAAGAGATGTGTTTGGTGTCGTCGTCGACAACGGACAAGACTATGATTGTCTGGCGTCCCGATCCAAAGAGCGGTGTGTGGATGGACGAGGTGCGTATTGGAGACATGGGTGGCAACATCCTCGGTCTCTATGGTGCCGTCTTTTCACCAACTGGAGAGTACCTATTATCACACGGATACAATGGTGCATTCCATCTTTGGGGTAACGAGAATCATCATAACAACAACAACAATAACAACAACTCAAGTAGAGCAGTATGGAGACCAGAGATTATAACATCGGGTCATTTTGGTCCTGTTCAAGATCTCATGTGGGCACCCGATTACAACTACTTTATCTCTTGCTCAACTGACCGCACGCTTAGATTGTAGAGTGAGTGGGATTCATCACAAAACCAGGATCGTGTAAAGGGATGGTTCGAGATTGCACGTCCACAAATCCACGGATACGATCTTGAATGCTTCACCTTTATCCACGGCAAGAACCATGCCATCGTGTCGGGTGCCGAAGAAAAGATCTTGCGTGTGTTTTTGGGCTCACAAAACTTTATCGATACAGTTGGATATCTCGGGCGTCGTCTATGAAGATGACGGACAGATGCGTCCAGCTGCTGCCAACCAGCCATCTCTGGTCTCTCCAACAAGCCATTCTTTACCACCGCGCAACAAGACGGTGCGACTGACGGACAAGAAATGATGATCGCCGCCACCATGGCCGAGGACAATGAAACTCACCGTCGTCCAACTCGCCTTTTCACACGACAACCGATACCTTCTCGGCGTGTCACGTGATCGTATGTGGTCGTTGTGGCGTCGCACTTCTGATGAAACCAACCCGTATGTCCGAGATATTCACAGACATCAATATTATTATTATTATTATTATTATTAATTTCTAAAAGATATTATTATTATTATTTATGGGGCCGAGAATTATAAACAATATCTGGGTGGAGAAAGAGATGGACTAGAAAATACTCAACCACCACACATTCAACCAACAGAAGTGGTAGGTCTCGTTCGTCAATTGCTTCTATGCATTTAAAAATAATAACAATAAAACATAAAACCTTTATTACACATTGTTTGTTTTTTATTAAAATGTGACTTAGGCAGTGGTTTCCCCATTTCCAGTATTGATCAAATCAGATGGATAGGTTGCAAAGTTGAATAGTGTTTTAGAGGTACCTTGTGATTTGTATCCATTGGTTGTTACCAAATTAATGTAACCATGAGTGTTTGGTTGGCCTTCAGGAACACAACTTCCATAGGTATCGGAATTTCTATCGCACATTCTGGTATTATTAATAAAAAAAAGAGGAAAATAAGTTAAAAGGACTTGATAAAAAAAAAAAAAAAAAAAAAAAGACTTACTCCATTACTATTATTTCATCCGAGAATGAGATTGGGATTGGCACATCATAAGGAACATTTACCATACCTTTTGTAGTTCTAATCTGATAAAACGCTAGATGGGTTGAGGTTAGAGACAAAGCAACTTGAATATCATTTATCTTTTGGGCAACGAAGCTTTGGTACTTTTGACTGAATGATTGGATTTTGTTGGTAGGAGCGAGTGAGGTTTGGTAACTTTTAACAAAGGTGTCAAATTGGTACAGGACTTGTGCTTCGGTGAGTGGAGTATCTTGGGATATCAGTTCAGGTTGGAATGGCAGGTCAATACGGCTCACCTTGGAATAGTTTGGTGGGGTTCTTGCAGAGTCGGCTTTTACTTGTACCATTTTGGTTCCCAAAGATCCGATTAGATTGACAGATATCAAAGGTACTATGCCAATCTGGATAGGGCTTGGCACGTAGTTTACACTACCAATAACTTTAATGTACCCAACGTCTGGGTAGATTGCAGGAATTGGTTGTATAGTGTCATATCCAATGATGATTGGCTCGGGGGTTGGAGTAGGCGATGGAGTGGGTTCGGTAGATCCGCTTCCTCCAGTGGTTGTTGAGCCGCCTGTAGTGGTGGTTGGATCACTCGTGGTAGATCCATCCCCTCCAGTGGTGGTAGAGGTAGTGGTGACAGTCGGACTGTCGGTGATAGTGGTTCCATCTGATGCGGTGGTGGTGGTGGTGGTGGTGGTGGTAGAGTTGATTGGAGGGTATCCATAAATGGGAGATATTATTGGTTGGAAAATATAACCACGCGAGTACTTTTGGGTGTTCATGTGGATGATCAACTGGTCGATGTACAGGGTGGCATTCAAGGGGACCAAGGATTGAGTGGTGACGTTCCAGCTATATATAAAGATTGAACCGATCTCCCAATCACCAAAAGGCATGTCAGTTCTAACAGAGTGTTGGCATCCGTCGGAAGTGCACTGGTGATTGATGGCGAGATTAATGCGGGACACGTTGAACAAGCCGTCATCCACAGTCTTGTTGACAAGGTTGTACATGACAATGGTCAAGTTGGAGAGCATGAATTTTTCTTGAAGGGTAAAACTCTTGGGCTTTGACGACTCGTAGTTGAAAATAATATTTATCTTGTCCAGCAGGGGATTGGTATTTTTTTCAACACCAGTTTTGATATATGATATATATGCTAAAAATAAAAGAAAGAAATAATAAAAATGGAATGAGAATAAATAAAATTAATATTTTGTCATTAAAAATAATTAAATTAAATTAAAACGATCGATTTACATTGCCACCAGAGTTCTTTGTAGGTTGTAACATTAATGGCTTCTCCAGTCAACATGTCAGACATTGAAATATTCTTTGGCAAAACCCAGTTTTCAGGAATAATGTTGTAGAGCAAATCAATCTTGAAGTCAACTGGCACAGGACGAGTATCAACAGTTAGAGCCCATCCTCCTAAAATAAATTAAACAAAAACATACATATTAAAATGGTTATTCGATTGAAATTGAATAATAATAATAAGTGATTGAATTTTTTTAAATTTAAATAATTACCAAATGATGAAGGGGCATTGATATCTGGGCCAAAACTTCCCGGAGCACCACCTTTGACAATCAGTTTTCCTTTCATTGACGAAGCCTCATAGGCTGATTGGGTCTTTTGAGAGACAGAGTTCTCGTTACTTCCTTGGTACGAAGCACCACCTCCACCATAGGGTGTGGAGATATCAACAGACGTTGAGATTTGGGCACACTTGGACAGTTCTGATTCATCTTTGTTTTCGAGCTTTGAGGTGACAACGTTGGTAATTACTTCGAGGGATCCGCCCAATTGAGCAGCCTTGTAGTAGAAAGAACCAAACTTTTCGACAAAGGAATACATGTCGGAAAGGGTGAATACTTTGGACAAGGCTTGTACGAAATTGGTGTGGAAACGAATGGCATTTCTGGCTACATTGGAGATGTAACATTTGTATTTGGTAGATATGGTCTTTCCTCCGTTTTCTTGTTGCAGGGTTTTCGACTGCTTCGTAGATTCAGACTGACTGTAGGCAGCGGTAACAGAGGCACTGTACCCACCGGCTTTACCACTTGCAGCAAAAGAGGCACTCATTTCGGTTTCCTTGGCAAATTCTCTTTGCAACATCGATGATGTATCAAAAATACGCGATTGGGAATCATATGAACACTTTGGCGACATATCGGCATAGAACTCTAGTGGAATACTAAAAAATAAAAATAACAAAAAAGGTTACATTAGTTATTGAGGATTCGATGATAATTATAATTGTATTATTAATATTGTTGTTTGTTTATACCTACCTATATACTTTATTTCTATTGAAATCCTGGATAGTTGTAAATGTAGCATTGGGGCAATACCCGAAATCAAATATGATTGTTGGCAATTCTTCACCCGTTTTGATGTCGATACCGTGGGAAAGATGCGACAGACCTGGTAAAGAATAGGTGTATTGATTGTTGATGAGGTACCCTACAGAATCCAAACGTGGAAAATCATTTGAAATTGGCTCTATTTGAGAACTGCATCTAGTACCAAGGTAGGCATAGCAATCTTGAATGCAGCTTTCTGGTTGTTCATTACAAACACCATCACCACAAATTGGATTGATTGTAGACGATAGTTTTTCTTTCAAAGGGCAAGTATTTTCTTCATCAGAATCTTTAATACCATCATTGCATACTATAAATAAAATAAAAAAAAAAAAAAAGGACAATTTAATTAGATTTGATTGATAGAGTTGGTCGATTGTTTCAAATAATTATTACCATTTAAAGAAAAGAAAGGTTCAAAAACATTTTTACCACTCTTGTCAAGTACCTTGATTTCCAAATCGGAAAAAGAGGATGCTGGGGTCAAAATATCTAGTTTAAGAATGTTGACAACGCTTGGTACGACTCTCATCTCGTGAACTTGGGTCATGTTTTCAGTGATAAAACTAGCATCGATTTTGACTTGGTGATTGATTGAAAGAACAACTCCAACATTTCTTCCATTAATAACAAATCTATAGAAAGAGTCGGTTTCAACCTTGAAATAGGTTAGGATATTACCAAAACTACTTGTTGGGCTATTGTAATTGGTAAAACCTATGTTTGAAAAAAAAAAAAAAAAAATATTATTATTATTATTATACCATGTAAGCGAGGGTGTTTTAAATGGATTGACTATACTTACTGAGTTCACGAAGTGGAGAAGGGAATCCATCCACGACACATGAGTGACTGGGAATGGTTTTGCCAGTGGTTTCGAGGAAGGGGCAATTGGAGTACATTACCCACTTGGCGCCATTGAATTGACAAGATTTACAGTCGGACGGACAGGTAAGACATGACTCTTGCGACTCACAGATTCCGTTTGAGTTACACTTGGTTTTAGAGGGTCCGCTTGGAGTTGTTGCTGGGGGAACGATATCGGTAGCACTTGGAATGGCAGGGACGGAGGGACAGCTGGGGACTTTGTTGCATACTGAAACCATGTCAGTCCAGAGACCACTAGCCGAAAGAAGAGCCTGGTTCGACGAGCTGCACGATACACCGGCACCGGTGATATTGGTTTGACGGAATACAACATCGGCAGAGTTCTCCAATACAATATCAGTGTTGGAATTGCATGTTATTCTTGACTTGGTGAAAGAGGAGGATGAGCCCGTGGCTAGAATTGCACCAGCTTTATCTTTTGCCGTGTTACCAATAAAGGTACAGTTGATACAGTTGAGTGCGTTGCCATGGAAATAAATTGCTCCACCGACGTGTGCCTTGTTTGAATAAAATCCAACATTTGTCATATGCATCGTCGAACCTTTTCCATTGATGGCGCCGCCGTTCATTGCCAAGCAATTGATAAAGACGATTCCATAAAGCGACAACGTGGAGTTGGTCACAGTCAGACCATTTGAAATTTGTTGGCAATCAACAACAGATTGTTGTCTTGGTTCCAAAGTACTATTAATTATTATTATTATTAATATGAGAAAAAGAAATGTTAATATCTATATATATTAAATATATCGATCACATGATCGTTGAGATAACCATACCGAATTTCAAGAGTAGTATTGAATATTTCCAATTCACGATTTAAATCACCATTGTAGATTGACTGCTTGAGAATGATAGATATCAATGAGGATGAAGGTGGAAGAAGTGAAACTTGTTGTAAAGCTTGTTTGATGGATCTGCAAGGTGCGTCAACAGGTCCACATCTGTTGTAAAATGGTTTCGATGGATCGACATGAATGTCATAACCTCTGCATAATCCTACAAAGATAGTTAGTAGTACTAGCACTACTACTATTCTATTTTTCATATTATATTAATAATTTAACTAACTCTATCTATTACTATTGCTACTACTATTACTACTATTAATGCTATTGAGAAAGGAGAGTTTGTCTAAAGCACCCAACCATTCCTAAGATGCTTGGGTAGGCGCCTCGAATCAGAAGAGAAGCATCTACTAATGGGGAGATTGTTGATCTCGCAACAAACTCTGTATCATGCTAAACTCTTGCATCATGCTTCCCCAACCACCTGATTCGCTATTTCATTGGTTTCGTTTAGATTTTTTTGGAGGTACGCAACGAAACAAACCAACAGTGCATCTGATTGGACAAAAAAAAAAATGATGAACATCACTTTGAAACTATCTTCAAAACTTACTTACTTTTAGTTTCAAAGTGGGATGTTCATCATTTTTTTTTGTCCAATCAGATGCACTGTTGGTTTGTTTCATTGCGCCTACCTCGTGCGAGCTCTAACTCCAATATCTTCGACGTTGTAACAAAAAGTTTGGTGGGAAAGAAAATAAGTGATTAAGTTCCTCATTCCTTTCAGCAGTCGTCGTAGATAGATATAATTAATTATTTAAAGTAGTAAAAATGTACTCCAAACCTTTTTTATTACTATATTTATTATTATTATTATTATTATTTGTCATTACGACAAATGCACAGTCACAGCTTATCTATGTGGACTATAAATCCTCGATTCAATTCAGAGGAAGCGAGAACTTCCCTTTTAAAGATATAAAGAGTGCTATCGATTTCAGTACTGAAAACAAGTTGGTATGTATTAATTATAAAAGGTGGATCGAATTTAATTGATGAGATATGTCTTACCAAACATTAACTCTTTTTTTTTTTTTTTTTTTTTTTTAGACTCTTCCGATCATCTTGATTCAACAAGGAATTTATGCAGGTACAGATAATAAGAATATCAGAATCAATGATATGACAATTCAATTTGTGTATGTATAAAGTTTTATAGAAGATAACAAACCGTTTGAGGAAGGAACCAAAAAACTAAAAAACTAATTATTTTGTTTATTTTTTATTTTTTTTTTTAGTATCTAAAAGTACACCAATTATAATTGATTGTGAAGGTATTGGTCAAGGTTTAATTATTGAAAACAGTAATGTAATGATTAGCGGAATTACATTTGCCAATTGTAGCAAGTCCCAAGGCAGTACTATCCATGCTTTAAACTCGGTAGTTACATTGGAAAACTGTACCATTACCAAATCAAGAACGGACAACTCCAACGTCCTCTTCTCGTCTTCAAAGTTATTCGTGTCAAAAACCAACTTTACAAACAACTATGCCACCAACTCTGGAGGTGCCATCGTTGCTGTTAATTCTATTGTAGAAATTGGAAAGGGTGTTGTCTTTTCCAAAAACAACAGAACCTCCTCAAATGGAAGACTAGTTAGTGATGACATTGTTGCCTCTAACAAATCAACAGTCTATTTTGTCGATGCTGGCGGTGTAGAAACAAAAAATGTTTTTTGTGATGAATCATCTACGGTTGATGATAGCAAAGGTCTCTCGCTCTGCCCCATGAAAAATGATCTATCGTCTGCCTCCCCTTCCTCTCCACCACCATACTGCGGCGATAGCTTCTGTGACACTGTAAACGAAAACTACTTCAACTGTCCCCAGGATTGCCCTTCCATACAGTTTTCTGGCTTCATCAAAGAAGAATGGACCGATTCAAACCCCTTGAAGGTATCGTCGCCAATGCTATATCCAAAGACAACTATATTGGATGGAGTCGAAGGCCCAGTCCACGCTACTCTCACCTCTTACTTCCGGTTCTCTCAAAACTCAAAGTTGTATCTACGTGTATCAACATTTAATCTTGGCTTAAAGATCCTTTTTGACCGAAGAGAGGTATCCCATTTTCAATTGCAAGAACCAGACAGCAAAACCCAACTTTTTGAAGCTAATGTCTACCTCGTCCAAGGAATCCACCAATTTCAAGCCTTACTCACCTCGTTTACCAAAAAAACGCAAGGATCAAGAAACATAACCCTCGAGTATCGTACCTCGCTCTCCCAACCATACGTACCATTCAACATTACCTTCTTTTCACTCAATTCATGTGGTGATGGTATTGTCTCCCCTGTCAATGAAGACTGCTCCTATGACTCTTTCAACGGCTATGGCAGAATGGATTCTGTTACAAATCTCAATACCACATGTGGAAACAAGATATGTGACGAGGTTTCTCCCATCCTTTGTTTATCCGATTGCCACGAGTACATCACTGAAAAGTGTCCACCCTTGACCGTTAGAAAAGGTTCTTTGGTTCCAACTGCCCCCACCTCGACAGATACTCTTGGAAAGCTTATTGCTAACCAGCAAGTGTGGCGTCTCCCCGGTTACCAACACTTCTCGTTTGGATATGACATTGTATTTGGTGAACAATCAAAATTCCCAGTATTCTATTTTGGTTTCTGTAACGAAAAGGAATCAAACATTATTGAAGATGTTTATCGTGATGCTTTCTATGAAATCCCCAAAGTAATTAAAATTAATGATATTATTTATATTTATATTAAATTTAACACCTTTCTATCTATATTTAAATTTATTTATTTATTTTAGGAATTGACCGTTGTACCTCTACCTCTTTGTAGTTTCTCCATAACCACTGAAGAGTTTAATAGTACTGATTCCATGCAAAAATCCAAGCGTTCCAAATCGTCCATGTCCATTAGCGCCAATGCCAATGCCAAGATTGGTTCCGTCGGTGTACAGGTCGACGCCTCCTACAAACACGACAAGGCAGTATCCGAGTCTAGATCGTTGTCCAATACCAAACAAGGTTCCACCTACGAATCAACCGTCCAATGTTCCTCGTTTTCAGTTGAGATTATCGACCCTTCCACAAATCAGTTCCATCCCGGCTTCTTGAGCGACCTCTCAACGGGAAACTCCACCGACGACTTTATCCTCCTCATTCAAAAGTATGGCTCCCACTTTTATCTCTCTGGCATTTTGGGCGGAACCCTCAAACAAATCACCATCCACCAAAAATCTCAATCCGAGTCAGAGAGTCAAAAAGATGTAGATGATATGGTCAGCTATTCAGTTGGAGTCTCGGTCAGTTCTCCTTCGCTTTCCGCCAGTGCCAGTTTCAGTAGCACAGAGACCAACGATTCTAAAGAAGGCAGAAAACAAAAATTTATGAGCGAAAGCAAAAGATCCACCATCATAACCAATGGTGGAGCAGCAGGCTCATTTGCTCCATCAGCCGACGGTGCCCCCACTACCTTTGGTAGGTAACCTTTCAACAAAACATTCCACCTTAAATATATATTGACTCTATTTTTTTATTTCAAATATAGGGGACTGGGCAAACAGCGTTGATATTCTTCCGGCCATTGTCAACCCTCAACTCCAACCAATCAGATCCATCATTCCGGAAGTGTGGGTTACCCCATCTGGTGAAAAGGTTGTTGATCTATGGACCAAAGCCGAAGAAGAATACTACAAACGAATGTTAAGTGGCCCAATCTTTGATTCAACCTTGTCTACACTCCAAAAGAAAGAACACTTGACTTGGTTCCCGAGATTGCACTTGGATGAACGTAGTTATGAAACTTCTCACATTGTATCACAAGATCGAGCCAAGGGAATAGAGATCTCTAGTCTCGACTTGGAATTCTTTGTCGAGAAAAGACAAATGGCTGACGACTATGAAACCGATTTTGTCAAGATAGAGCCAAACTTCCCCACCTCTATCGACCCAGAAGTTCACGATGTGAGATTACTCATGCAGCTCCCAAGTATTAATAATTGGACTATCGATCAGTTGAACACGACATATTATCACACCCACAACGAAGATTCAATCGACGTATCAAGATCCCTTGGAAATGTCATTTTCCAAAAAACGTCAAAGACATTCGAACTTCCAAGCGAAATTGGGTATTGGAATAGACCAACGCCAGGCGCCGTCCCCAAAAACTATCCAATCTACCATCTTCACCATATCTCCAAAGGAAAGTTGGTTCGAGAAATGGCGCCCTCGTTTTTCCTTTTGGTTCCCCCAGACTGTGATGGTACCCAAAGTACCGTGGATGTCGTAAAAGTTGGCATTAGATACTATATTGCAGGAACTGAACAAAAGAGATTCTATGATCGTCAATCTACTCATCGAGGAAAATGGAGACTATTGGAGATTTTGGACAAAACAACAGTTTCACAGCTTTTGTTGTCTACAGACACCTACGTTCATTACACAACTGATAGTGATTGGCCCGACTCTGGCACTCCAGACTACACAATCAGAAGCTTTATGTGCCAAACATATTTAATCCTTCCAAACAAACAAGGAGAGTATATTACCATTCGTAACCTTTACAACAACAACAATGGTGGTAAAAAGACCAACGGTGAAGATTTCAAACCTTTTATTGAAAGTCCTACTCACTCAAGATACGTCTGGTGGGAAGATGGAGATTTAGAAGTGTCCAGTGATAGCGAGCATCTCGATGAAAACGCTGCCATAAATTTAGCCTCAGAGTTCCCTGCTGAAAACTTTATTCCAGAACAATTATTAACTCAAATATCAAACAAATAAAAACTAATAATATTAATATTAATACTGTTCTTTTTCTCTATCTCTCATGCGCATGATGAGATTTTAAAAAAATGAAATAGATATCTATATTCTTTTATTTATTTGAAAGTGTACTTGCAATTATATTATACTATTATTATTAGTTGGTTATTTTGAATCGAAATAGGGATTTAAAGATTCCTTGCAAAATTCATAAACACCCCAAGTAATGGCAGCGCTCATACTGTGAAAGACTATACGCGGACGAATGCCACACAGATAGCCCTTGGGACCTTCCTCGCGCCAGATGGTTCGCATGAGAGATAGAGAGAGAAGAAGAAGAAGTATCTCTAGATTTATTTGTGTTGTATAGTTTCCTTCTTTTTTTTAATTTCAAAGGGGGGGTCACTTACTTTTAAAATGTTCTCTCGGGCCTAGGTGCGAGGAACCTATAGGTACAAATACAATGGTTTCTTCTATTCTATGGGGTATGTAATTTTTTAGGAAAGGTTGCGAGGGGAATGTCTTGTATTATGTAACCATAATCATCCTGCAACGATGCGACCGGTTGTTTGTCAACATATATACTTTGATACAACAAGTAAATATATTTCAGAGTTGTATTATTATGATTGGTACGTATCTCTTTTAAAGCTTGATAAACAAATGGGAAACACTCTTCGCGAACTAAATAATAAATGAATGAATTAGAGACCTGGAAATATATATTTCACACATCGATCAGTACTTACAATAGATTTTAAAACTAATAAGTGATCTGTTTGTCTTGATGGCATCCAATAGTTTTCGACTCTGTGCAGGAGTTACCGCGATATGGCGAATTGTAAGGTGTTTGATTATGTTTTTGTTTAATAGTTTGATGACCACTGATAATATTCTGGCACCACCACCACATAGTCTGAGACACTCAAGATTGGGTAACCCGAGTATGAATCGATTAAATACTTCTTTATCGTATGTCATTCGATTGGATGCCGTTAGTTTGACTGTTTTAATATATGGTGATCCATTCAATACATCACATGATGGTTGAATATCAACTGGGTGTTCTTTGAAATATATAGAGGTGGTGTAAGTTGATTGCGTTGGATAATGAATGGTAATAATATAATATATATTGTACATACCATAACCTCTAACATCGTATTTATCGATATGTGGAATCATTGATGGCAAACAAATGGGTGTATGAAGTTCTTGGTTGTTTTTAACATTGGCTCCATAGACACAGAATCTTGTACTTGCTCTCTCGGCATAGATCATTCTTCCAAATGGAAATGATACAAAGAAATACTCTGTTATTATTGTATTCTCTTTTAGGTCTTGATAGATCAACCCCATAGTTGTACGCGCTTTGACAAAAGAAGAGAGGACAAGAGTATGAGCATGATAAATATTTATACTCGATAGATAAGATGTTGACATACCTTGTTCAATTGTGTTATCATCGAAAAGAACATATATTGATAAGTAGGTAACCAACTTTGATTTTTGGATGACTGTTCTTACCCTATTCACCGCTGATTGTAGTTCCTGTTGACTTCCGATAAAGTTGATCATATCTAGGCATCTTCCCTCACCATTTGAATCCTTAACAAATGCACCCAATGACTTTAGTTCTTCATCAGACCTTATTATCTTTTTGTCGTCGTTGTTGTTTGTTTCCATCTTTTGTCTCTTCACATTGATGTCATCATCATCATCAATCACAATAATATTATTGTTATTATTATTATTGTTATTATTGTTGTTCTTGTTGTTATTATTATTATTATTATTATTATTATTATTATTATTATTGTTATCGTTGTTGTCAATTGATCTCTTTTTGTTGTAAAGATTTGCCATGACATCATTTACAACTTGCAAGACATCTATTTGATTGTCCAACATGAAATAGACAGAACATTGAGCAATGTGATTGTTGAGTGTTGCAGTATCACATAGTTGACTATCACATAACGGACATTTGTTATCTTTGAATGTTTTGAATTGTTTGGTGATAGAATGATATTTATCTGTCTCTTTTGTTGTTGTCATCTTCTTTGTAATTTGAAATAATCAATTAATTGTTCAACAAATATTGGTTATGTTTGAAAAAGTAATCTTTTTTAATTTCTACAAGACAGGTGTTGATTTTTTTTTTTTGAACAAAACAATGTACATTGTTCCACAGAATCAGTGATTGTTTCCACATGTAGTATTGAGATTTGGAACAGAATCCATTCTGGTTTACTTGGAGAAGTAGGACCTTTAGAGGGTGGAGGTGTTATTATCGATTTCATAACGTTTCACAAATGGTTTATATGATTTACTGATATATCTATCTTTTGTGTTGTTGTTGACATTTCTTTAATGAAGGAAAAGGAACTTAATTTTATATTTGTTTTTTTTTTTTACCGTTTATTATTTTAATATTATATTATTATTATGTGATTTGTTATTATTATTATTATTATTATTATTATTATGCCTGTCTATCTATAATATTATATTATACTATTATTATTAGTTGGTTATTTTGAATCGAAATAGGGATTTAAAGATTCCTTGCAAAATTCATAAACACCCCAAGTAATGGCAGCGCTCATACTGTGAAAGACTATACGCGGACGAATGCCACACAGGTAGCCCTTGGGACCTTCCTCGCGCCAGATGGTTCGCATGGCATCGATGAGGCCATTGTAGTGCTTGCCGACATCGCCGGCTGTCTGTAGACGTGTTTTGGCAACGTCGAATGGGTTGGTGACGGCAGCGGCGACCACACCGGCTCCTCCACCAGCCACTAAATGCAAAAGCAATGGGTTTCTATCCTTGCTGTGAAATGGTTCGATGACCTTTTTTAATGATTCGTACGATGCAAAATACGTTCCATAGTATGGCACGTTCATCACCAACGACGTCGTATATCCCGCATAAAATGATTTTAATCCCTCTCTAACCCACATCTTTCTCATGCAATCTTTTAATCCATTGTATGTTGTCACTTGTAATTGCATTCTTTGTTTTACTGCGTCCATTGGTGATGCAACTGCTTCACTTATCATCTAAATCAAAAAAAAAGAAAATGACAAACAAATGTTAATATATCAAATGATGATTAATTAATTAATATGAATATGTTTGTTTAACATACGGTTGCAAAAGCACCAGCAGCACCAGTTTTGAGTGGATGATGGTGTTCCTTGTCTCCCTTGCATATTTTTTCTTTTAAATGTTCGTATATGGCAAAATGGAGGGCATGAGATGGAGCGGCACCGGCAGCGACGGCAGTGACACCTCTGAATAAACCTCCAACACCTGACCTTGTAACAATCTCCTTTGTTGTTTGAAAGCCTGATAATACTGCTACTCCTGGTCTAACTGCTGATTGTATATGTGTCTTTATAAAAAAGAAGAAGATCAAAGAAGGGTTAATCAATCAATCAATCGTCAATTGTCAATCGTGGTCATCATTGCAAACTTGTCATTGTCATTGACATCACCACCATCATCACACATACTTTGACTGTATCGATTGGGTACATTCCAACATGTTCTGCAACACCTGCAACAGCACCACCTATTAAATGAACATAGAATGATCCTCCTTCTTCCTCTTCTTCAAATCCGTGATCGTGACCCATGATTCTATTCTATTCTATATATATATATATATTTGTATGTGTGTTATGTATCAAGTTAATGAATACTTCTACTACTTCTACTATACTACTACGACTACGCCCTTCACGTCTTTGTCTCTTTTGATGATTTCTTTCTTTGTTTCTTGAAAAGTAATTATAATCGATTAAGATTAATCTAAACCAAATTAATTACTCCAACGCCCGAGCAAGACAGCAATCGATTGCTTCGTCTTTTTAAAAAAAAAGAAAAACTAATAATTTTGTCATCAGCAAAGGGTCAATTAAAATCGCGATGGTGACAAATACCATTGTAATGAATATCCGCCCCTTCCCTCTCTCTCTTTTGTTCGGTACCGGACCTGATCCCTATGTCACCCCCCCTCTAGTAAAATAAACAATTTCCCTCCTCTCCTCTCTCTGCAGTCAACCAGGTTAACAACAGACTAACTAACGTATGTTGTGTTGTATCATACGTATTATGATACACCATATATACGTTTGTTTGGTTGTTCATCGAACACAATCGATAGAGAGTCTCTTTTGGAATGGAATCTATTGTCTTCTCTACGATATTTATTCTCTCCAACTATAAACTCGACCATCTCATTCATCATCATCATTACTCTATCTATTGTGTTGGAATCAAAAGATGTATTGCTGTTGTTGAAATATCAAACATGAGTTAAAATACTAAATGAAATCACAATTATTGTTGTATGTAAATGATGGCAAGAGCAAGAAAAGTACATGTTGTTGGTGGGACTTCGAATAGGTGAGGGAAAAAAAAAAAAGAAAATAAATAAAAAAAAAAAAAGGTGCTACTTTAATTTGGGTTTGATGATCTTCACTTTTTAATCATCATCGCATGAGAAAGAGAGATAATCAAAAGAAAGACATTGTAACAATTAAAGGTATGCATATCAACTACAATACATACAACAAACAGATAAAGGATAGACATTCTAGATAGATAGATAGATAGAGTAGATAGGTTGATGTGAACTTCACATTCCATCAACAACAGCGCTATGATGATCATTTAATGTTATACCTAGTGCCTACATCTATCCGAGTCGTGATATGATCATCAGGTTACATATACATATTTATAGATAGTTTACTAATATTTTAACAATCTATTTAAATTGTACCAAAAAAGAAAGAAAGGAACATACACAACAACAACAACAACAACAACAACAACAACAACAACAACAACAACAACAACAACAACAACAATAACAAACAAATTATATAAAAGAGAGAGAAATGGAAACATTATTAGCAATTTCAATTAAAGGAGGAGTTTTATGCCTTGCCGATACAGAAGTCAATAGATCAATTGTAAAGATGAAAGAAGATGAAGATAAAATGGCACTCATAGACACACACAAACTGATCATGTCGGCAGGAGAACATGGTGACCGTAGTCAATTCATAGAGTTTGTTTCCAAAAACTGTAAATTATATAACCTCCGTAACGGCTATGCCCTCAGCACAGCAGCCACTGCCAATTTCACCAGATCCGAACTTGCTACAGCCCTTCGTAGTCGTCCATACAATGTCAATTTGATTATAGCCGGATACGACAAGGAACACGAAGGGTCCATCTACTATATGGACTATTTGGCTTCGATGGTCAAGCTCGATTTTGCTTGCCACGGATACGCCGCCTACTTTTTATTAGGTCTTTTGGATCGTCACCATAAAAAGGATATGTCCTTTGAGGAAGGTATGGCCTTGTTAAAGATGTGCACCCAAGAATTGAAAACTCGTTTCTTGGTTGGTGGAAAATTCATGATAAAACATATTAATCAAGATGGTGTCAAACAAATTCCTTTCATCAATTAAACTCAATCCAAAAACAAACCAAACAAACATGTCATGTCTCCAATTAATAATAATCTATAAAAAAAAAACAAAATAGCCATTCGAAATCAAAAACAAAACAATGATGTAAATTAATATTATCATCATTGTTTTATAATATATATATATAAACAACAACAACAACAACAACTCCTTTGTAAGATTTTTTTTAAAAAAAAAATATTATTATTAACAATACATGTTTTTATTTATTTGTTTATTATTTCCTTGGTTTATTGTTGTTGTTATTATTTTATATATTATTTTATTATTTAATTACCTATTATTATTTTAAAATAACTTATTATTATTATTATTATTATTTAGAGACCAGCATCTTGAAGAGTTGCCATAACAATATCAATAGAATCAACTAAACTTCTTGGTGTTAGTTTAGTTTGTGATCTTAGTTTTTGTAAATGTTGTAATTGTTGTTCGTTAGCAATCTTTTCATTTAATTCATTTCTTTGTTGAAGTGAAGAATCATGATTTCCACCTCCTCCTCCTCCTCCTCCTAAACTACCACCATTACTATTACTACCAATACTTCCATTTCTTTGTTGTTGTTGTAATTGTTGAGATGGTTGTTGTTGAGGTGGAAGATTAGCTAAATCTTTTATATCAAATGAAGATGATGGGGTATTTGGGTTACTGTTACTGACACCACCGTGTACAGTGACAGGTCTAAAGGTTTGTTTGGTTGGAGTTGGATAGTAATGTTCAGAGTGTTCATACCATAACCCATTCTCTTCGAGGATGGCTTGGATCTTGTGAATGACCGAGAACAATAGACACTTTTTGTTGGTTGGTAGCATAGAGATGGCTCTTTCAAAATCAACCGATGGGAATGAGAAATTAACCAACGACCGATTGTTTTGAAGTGCCAACATGATAGTTTGATATGCATTTATCGTAAACAGGTTATTGTCTACTTCCAAGCTTTTAAGTCGGTCGTTCTTTTCGAGCATATTGGCAATATCGACCGATGCCAAATCACCCAACATATTACTACCAATATTAAGGCACTCTAACGAGTTTTCTTCTTGTTCTAAATACATAAACAGTGGTTTCAACAATGCCTGTGTTAAATGATTCGATTGACATCCCGCCAATGACAATGTTGTCAATGATTTCTTTGTTGATAAAAATGATTTCACTTCACTTATAAATTCTATTCCTTCATTTGGTGACTAAACAAATAAAAATAAAAATACAAAGTTAATTATTATTTCTTTTCATTCTTTTGTTTTTTTTCTTTTTTTTGTTTCATACACCAGAAAAATTAGCATCAAGTTTTAATATTTTAATATTTTCATTTCTTCTAAGAGAATCTAGTAATCTTGTTAGACCTTTGTAGCCGATTGCATTGTTACTGACATTGAGTGATTTGAGAGTGACAAACATTTCAAAGGTGGATACTAGGGTGTTGGGTGTTTTGCCAAGATGGTTGTTGGATAGATCCAACGAGAGTTGTTTGATCTTTAGGTTTTTCGAGAGACTGTGCGAGAGGAACAGACACTCTTCATTGTTGATATTACATCCCGACAGGTTAAACACCTCCAACCCATTGGATCGACTCAACAATGAATTAATCTCTTCAATCTCGGCCTTTTCCAATTTATTTTTCGATAAATCCATCGTCTTGATATCACACAATTGCTTCAAATAACTACCAAGATAAATTAAATGTAATTGACATGATGATAAATATAATCTTCTTAAACTATAATTACTAAAATAAAATAAAAATAAATAAGTATATTATATTTTTTTGATTTGTTTGTTTATCATTTTGATTAGTTACTTTTGAACTTTATAAATCCATCTACCACAAACACTTGAACCAACATCTTCAAATTTACTAGTACTTAGATTTAAATATTCAATGGCAGATGACATGACTAGGTTATTTTCCAATGCTTGAAAGAGATGTTCGACACTTCTAGAATGTAGATTACAGTTGCCAAAGTTCAGGTATTTGACTCCATGTTTGAGTTGTCCCAACCCTTCACAAAATATTTGAAATGATGATTGAATGATCGATGTACAACTAAAATCAAATACTTGTATTGCATTAAACTGGTTCTTTTGTAACCCCTCTCCTATGAGTCTGAAATCCTGGTCCTCTGTAATACCAGAGATGGTTATCTTTTTCAACGATGAATTCGATCCCAACACCTCTCCAATCGATCCCAATAAATTCTTTTGTGCCACTCCATTAATAATCACTGAATGGAAATAATTATTATATTTTAATGCCAAAAATACCAACTCTACTATAAATCTAAAAAATAGATATAATAGAATATTAATATTAACAAATTAGCTTTAAATATGATATATATATATATATCTGACATACCCCATTTCACCTTTTCCTTCAATTCCAGGACACTTGTTTAAATCAAAATCAGTGATTCTATCGGCATAGTATCTTGTCACCAATCGACATACTTCAGTTGATGGAGGTGACTTTTTATAATTACAAAGTCCTTTATAAACTTCACTAAATCCATCAGCTGGTCCAATTACTAAATAAATCAAACAAACAAATAAATAAATAAATATAGTTAGTTTCATTTTAAATTGTTTGTTAATTGAATTGATTTGTTTGACAATTATTATTATACCTTTTTCTGGTAATGGGGTAAGTGTATCAACAGCAGAACCATTTAATTTAAGTGTTCTTAATTCCGATGGGAATGAGTGTGTCATGTATCGATGAGTATTTCGAATGTGGTACACTAACTTTTGTAATGACTCTGTTGACGATCGAATGATAATACCAAATCGTTGTTGATTACGTGCTCTCAATTCAACGCATCCTTCAGTCACTACAATTTCATTTAAATCATAGAAATGTATTTCATGATTTAACTAGCAATTGATTGGGGGAAAGACAATTAGTATTAGTATAATATAAGATTTGTGTAATGCTTTATATAAACATACAGATAGACCAAGTTTACCCCTTTTAATAGATAATATTCTATAGGTACCCATTACAATGACACGTTTCTTTATGTTTTTAGATTTAAGTGATCTAGAGTCAACCCATTCAATCAATCTACAAGTATCTCCATAGCTATGTGAAAGTTGTTCATTTGCAAAGTCTATAAAGTATAATATAATATAATATAGTAGGCAGGTAGGTATGAGTTATTAGTTTCAAACTTTATATGAATGTATTCGTAGTCACGTTGACAAGATGATCACTCATGTGATTGATTGATCTATTACAAACATACTGATAATATCATCGGCTACTGGTTCTTGCATTTCTCTATCTATTCCTTCCTACTATTCTCTTTACTGCTAACCATTATCTACACCTTTTGTGCAAATAATAAATGAGTCAATGATGGTAGGTATCCTTTCATACACATCATTATGTTTTAAACAGGGCCGTTTTATTAAGACAAACGGGCATGATCATGATTTTTTGATTCGAGGAATGATGATGCCCGAGATATTTCTAACCATGGAGGGTTATATATCACAACAAATTGATGAGTTTTCGTTGTGTGTTCGGCTTTAAAAAAGTAAAAGCAAATGATCATCACATCACAGGAGCACACGAAAATAAAATCAGACATAAATATATATCTTTAATTTTCTAGAACTGTGAATCATCTCATCGGGTGGGTTGGAAACATGAATATTCTCAAACAACTCTCTTCATCCTTGGACACAAAGTTGTATGGACCTAGCTAAATTTAGTTGTTGTGTATAAGAGACATCATCAAATCATCAACTAGTATAATATAATAACTAGCAACAAACAACAAAAATCAAAGATAGATAGATATATAGATAGATATCATATGCTTCTAGCATCCGTGTCAATGGTACCATTCCAAGACATCTATACCATGATCATTGCAATTTAGAGAATTTCACTTATAATGGAGATCTTGCCAATGCCCAACACCACCACCACCAACAACAGCTGTGGAATTGATGCAGTGAAGTTCCAAAACAACTTCTCTTGTTGTAAAACCTGCCCACTGTACGGAATGGGGTCCAATCAACTTTTACATCGTTGAACCCTATTATCTATTTGCCACCTTTGATCCGACAAATTATTTCGGAAATGATTTTAAAATCATAATAGTATTAGTGGTAGGAGTAGTATACGACGACTACAATCCATGCATTCTTTTGTCTTTCACTTTCAAAAGACATATTAAGTGAACAATAATAATAATAATAATAATATAAACAATTACTTTGTTGATAATTGTTCGTCTTTAGAAGAGTCGTTTTTTCCGAGTTATATTTTTATAAACAACCATTCTCTTTCCTCTTTTGCAATCTTCAAACCCCCTCCATCACCCCACCCCCCTTTTATCACTGTTCACCCCCACGATCAATTGTAGCTACTATACCCCCTTTTTATTATTATATCATCGATCACACATACATACATACCAACTCGAGTACAGTTACACAAGAGAGAGAGAGAGGTGTTGGGGCATTGTATCCATGGTTTTTATATCTTGGGAGAGAAAGGAAATGATGGATTATTATTATTGATGATGATGATGATAACGATAGACAGAGAATGGATGGATGGATGGTTTATAATTAACAAACGACGATTGTTTGTTTGTTTGCTTGTTTGTGTCAATCAATCAATCAATCAAATCAAATCAAATCAAAAAGTAAGAAAGAATTTATTTATTTAAAAATAACAACATTATGAATTGAATGGGTTGTTAATATAAAGAAAGAAAGAAAGATACATATGCCCCTTGCAAAAATAACAGATATAATATTATATATATATATGTTCATCATTCAATATGTTGGTGTGAAAATGCATTTTGCAAACCCTAACCAACCAACCAACCAACACCAGCAACAAGTAAACAAAAGAGAAAGAAAGAAAGAATTAGTCGATTGTAAATTCCTCTTTTTGTTGTTCTCTTTTTTGATTTTAAAGGGATATACTCGGTTCTTGGTTATTCACTCTTGTCGAATCATAATAATAATAATAATAATAATCTGTCAATCTATCAATCTGCCAATCTAAATCTATTTGCCAAAGCTGGTAACACCATCCATCATTCACTTTGATCGTTTCTATTTACTGGATCCATCCTCCTCTTTTTTTTTTTGTCAACATAATATAAACATTATTATTATTATTATTATTATTAATATTAATATTATTGTTATCTATCTACCCTACACTACATTACCTACCCTACCCTGTTTGTTCACATAATCTTAACCAAACAACGACAAGTTGTCCTTTGAATATATTCATCAACAATCACAATAATTAAATTACAATATCAAAAGTAAAAATAATAGTAATAATCGTAAGAATAATAATAACAACAACAAGGTAGCTATTTGGAAAAAAGAGGAAAATAGGTGAGTTCTTGCAAAAAGAAGAAATACACGACTCATGGACTGACTGACAGACGTGTTAGATATCCAAAGGGGTTGAGGCGAGTGGACAAACACATCTATTGAATGATGACAAATCATACAGACACTGTGACTATTATTACTATTACGATTATTATTATTATTGTGATGAATACAGATTCATCAGCCATCCATCCACTGCCCTTCCATATGTCCAATTGATTAATTGATTAATTGATTGATTGATTGATTCGTGTGGTAGAGAGAGAGAGAAGGACGGAATGCTATTTATATAATAGTATCAACCAACAATAACAAGAATCTTTTTTACTTTTTTGTATAATATTAATTATTCATTTAATTATCAAACATTTTTCAATTAATTATAATCATTTATTATTATTATTATTATTATTATTATTATTATCGCATATCATATCACATACTCTATTCAAATATCCATGAATTAATGAATCAATTCCAATAATTGATTGTTCTTCCAATTCCAATTTTATTTACTCATCATCTTTTTTTTTTTTTCAAACAATAATAATAATAATATTTAGATTGATAAAGAGAAGAGAAGAGGAGAAAAGATAGAAATAGAGAACCCATTAATTTAATTTAATTTAATTGACCAATCAAATCAAATCAAATCAAATCATATCAACCAATAATAATAATTATTAATCATATCATATCAATCAATCAATAATAATGCAATATGTTAACGGACATGATATAGCAACACAGAGTATTACCGAGGTTCAGACATTGGCATTGTCAAACAGAATTCCATGGACTCGATTACAAGCCGAATCATTTGATCCGGACTCTTCGATTTGGGGCTACCATAGTCACGAAAAGGGTATTTATCTAAACAGAGGTATATGTGATTTCAACATATCCCCAGAAAATATGTTTGAACTTCTTTATAATTTAAAATCTAGAACTCAAGTAAGAAAAAGAAAAAATGAAATTTTGATCGAAAAGTTACAAAAAAAAAGAAATATTAACTTTACTTTACTTTTCTATTTATTTTTAGTGGGATATACATTGTAAAGAAGCAGATATTATGGAAGAATATGATCATTTAAATCATATAATTAGAATGATGATGACACATCCATTGGGAACCATTAAAATGAATCTTTATCGTAGTTGTCGATATGATCCTCAAAAGAGATTGTATGTGATTGCAATGCGATCCATTGAATTGGATGACCATGATCCAATGGAAAATTGGTTTGAGTGTTTACCAAATGGTTGGATCATTCAAGGTGTAGATGGAAGTCGTGATCGATGTAGATTAATATTTGTTCAACAATGTCATATGCGTGATATTGAACTTCAATCAATTCCTGGTTACAAAGTAAATATTAAATACAAAACAAAATAATCATAATAATAATAATATAACGATATATTTATTTTTGTTTATTTTTTAGTCATTTGAAACAAGTGAACAATTAGGGGATTTTCATTATTTGACAATATTTCCTGCAAGTGTTGGAGGTAGATTAGGAAAGATTTTCGAATGTTTGAAGGATTTTATTCTACTCAATGTCAAACAAATTGAAATCAAAGATACTCGATTAAAAATACTAGAACAAGCTGAAAGACAGGTCAATGAAATGTTTGGTACTTCAACAATCGATTATGGTTTCACTAGTAATTTTAAAAAATATGGTACGCGAAATGAACTCTGAGTTTGAAAAAAAAAAATCAAAGTATATTAATTTTCATTTTGATTGTTTTTAGATATGGAAATATTAGTTAAAAAGATTGGAGACATTTATTATATGATTGGAAAAGGAAGTTTTTCATCACTTTATACACCGATGGAAATTGCCGATTTGTTGTATTGCGATGATCCGTGGGGATGGGACACATTTTATGAAAAGAGCTCGGTCGTTGAGAATATTACGCCGACTGCGCGAGAGGTGGAGTTGTTCTATCGAATGTGGCATGAGTCGTTTACAATGCGTGTGTTGCAGTCTGTGAGAAAGGGCCCGGGCAACTGCTCGGCCGTGTTGTGGCGCTCGGTCGACTCGCACTCTTCCGAGCCGCCCTCGCAGCTGGACATGGAGCTCGGGTTTCTGCCAAGCGGTATATTCAGCTACGGACTGGGCGAAGGCAGCTTCACGTCGTTCCTCGTGGGTATTGGCGTGAAGGGTGCCAAGACGTCGGACGAGGAGAACTTGATCGCCAAGTTGTTTGCGGCACGAGTCATCTCGACGCAGAACCATATCATCAATGTGATGAGTTTGAAGAGTAGTCGTGCACAGACTAACAACCCGACGCTGCCCGTCATTCCAACACCCCTCAAACACTCGGAAATCAACGGATACGCCTACGACGATGACTCGGTCGGCGGGTCACCCGCCGTCTACAACAACATGGTCGAAGACTTTGCCAACCTGCTTCTCGCAGACTCGGTCGCCGTCAACCAGAAAAAGGCACAGCGCGATGTCAGCGAAAGCACAAAGAGCAAGAGAAAGCGCAACTATGTCGATGAGAGCGAGTCGGATAATGCCAATGTCCCCTCCCCATCCCAGCCTGCACAGACGCAAATGGACATTGACCAAGAGACGGCGGCCATCCAGGCACAATTCCAGCAGCAGAGAATACTCCATTTGCAACAGCAGCAGAGACAGCGGTACCCGTCAATCCAGTCCAAGCGTCCAGTCCTTCGCATTGCCTCGAATATCGCAAAGGACGGCCACGGACAACACCTCCAACAACAACAACAAGATGAAACATCTCTGGAAAACATGCCCATCTGGAATTCAACCAAAAGACAACCCTTTTTGTTTTTGGTGTCAGAGAGTAATGATGTCAAGAGACTGACGCGCAAGGAGCTCAGTCTCAGCAACTCACACTTTGACAACTTACCAGAGGAGATTGTGCAGACTATATTCTCGTTCCTCGGAGCCAGCGACATTTTGTGCGCGTCAATGGTCTGCAAGCGATTCAAACTCACCACAGACTCGAGTATCCTCTGGAAACAACTGTATCTGTCCAACCCAGTCTTTAACAAGGCTGTCCCCAAGCGTTACCGTCCCGCCAAACCATCCTCTCCACTCGCTGTCAACCCCGAGGTCATCGCTACACTCGCTGCTGTCCTCGGTCCCGAGTTTGACCTTTCCCAGCTCGCACCCCTCCTCTCGGGCGGCCAAGTCGACCCCGACGTCATGGTCAGTGTCACAGCCAAGCTCTCCAAGCAGTTCCCCGAGCCTCCTCCCCCCGCATCCCCTCCCCCCGAGCAAGCCGTCCCCTCTACTCCTACCGCTGACAATTCCAATCCCAATCCCAACACACCAAACCCAACCGAACAGTTTATGCAGATGATTTCAATGCTAACAAACAGTTTGGCCAAGGAACAACACAGTCCTGCCGACTCTACCAATCAATCGGGGAGTTCATCGGGTTCCAGTGACGAGGGTGGAAGTGGAGTGGCGCGAATGTGCGGGTGCAGAAAACAATGTATGTGCGTGTGTCAAAAGGGATGCAACTGCGAGTGTCTCAATGAGGATCTGGCAGGCATCACTAATTGGCGCAGTCAGTACTTGCATCTTGTCAAACTAAATGACCGATGGAAAATGGCCGTGCCCAAAAAAACAATCGAGCTTAAAGGACACAGCAAGACGGTACGTCAGGTGCGCTCGGAGCAAAGCTCGGCCATCTCTGTGTCGGCTGACAAAAAGGTGCGTTTCTGGAACCTCAATAGTGGCCAACACATTGGCACGTACGAGGAGCCTGGCACAACCGTCCTCTCCATCGACTATGACAAGACATCCAAAACATCGGTTATATGGCCACTATCAGACTACACCAAAGTGCATATCGGCCATAAAAACGGTCTAGTCTCACTCGTTGACTTTATGGAGCGTCCACATATCATTGTCTCTTCGCAACGTCCTGTTCTTTTAGCAGACGGTTTTGATTTCTCATCCCCCGGGAGATATGTTATTTGGGAGAATAATTCGGTTGATTGCTGGGATGAAGAGAAAAAAGTGAGGTTGTGGCAGTCGGTCGAACACACCAAAAAAATACAACAGGCTCGTGTTATATCCAGCACACTCTTTGCCAACGGGCTCGTTGGAACAGCGTCGTCTGACAAGACTGTTAAACTGCGCAATATGTCGGATGGTGTGACAGTCGCCTCTCTGGCCGGATACACTGGTGTCGTCAACTGCCTGGAACCTGTTGGAGACTACCTGCTTGCCAGTGGGTCAAGTGACAAGTATGTCAAGTTGTGGGATCTCCGTAAACTAACTACCCCCATCTTTTCAAGTAACGCTCATTCCTCTCCAGTACGTGCCGTCTCGTACGAAGAAAATGGTGGTCGTCTCATCACTGGTGGTGACGATGGTACCGTCATTCTTTGGGAGTTGGATAATTGGAGTAGAGGTCGTAGAGAATGTCTTGGTATGGTTACTTCACAAACATCACAACAACAACAAACATCAACCTCTTCAACTTCAACTTCAACTTCAACCTCCACCTCAACTCATCAAAATACAACCATTTCAATTGGAACAGTCAAAGAATCAGGTAGACTTGTCAACTTGAAATCAGGAATCACTTCTATTGATTCCGATGAATCTGGTTTAATTGTTGGTTGCCAAGATGGATTAATTTATAGATATGATTTTGCCTAAATTAAAAACAACCAAATGTGATGTGTTACCAAATTGATCCTAAAAATGTATAATAATAATAATAATAAATAAAATAACATTCTATTATTCTTTTAAAGTACTATTCTCTATTCTATTCGATTCTATTCTGATATCAGACTCTTTTATTATTATTATTATTATTATTATATTATTATTGTTGGAGGTGATGATTACTATAAATTAATTTCTTCATGTAAAGCATCTGTTGAACTCATAATATCCACAACAGGTGCACCTTGATCCATACTATCATTCATACTATCCATAAAACTAGCAAAATCTTGATTACTTGGGGTTGTAGGTGTTTTACCTCCAACAACAGGAGTTGATTTAACTGGGAGTTTTAATAGGTGATAGTATAGTTGAAGGTGTATTATTATTATTATTATTTTGATTAGTATTAGTATTATTATTATTCTTTATATTATTATTATTATTATTTTTAATGTTAGTATTTGGTGTTGTTGGTGATTTTGCCTTATTATTATTATTTGTATTTGGAGAAGTAGTATTTTCATCACTACTACTTTGACTTGAAAGTACTGGAGAACCATCTAAATTTGGAGTAGAAGGATCATTGATTGAATTGTATTCGTTATATTTTTGAGTGATACTATGAATATTGTTTAGATGATCTGTCGATTGTCTTTGAATCGATTCTTTGATTTTAGAAAACACATATATATTGTTAGAGTAGTAACTGTCTTCATCATCATCGATACCTTGATCAAATGTCATCTTTTGTTTTGCATATAGTTGGTCCAATTGTGATTCCAATTGTTCAGTTGCTGTTAATTCTGGTTGTTTTTCTGAAAAGAAAGTAAAGGTTTAAGAATCAACTAACGATTATAGATAGAATAATAGAATATAACATACTACTAATATTATTGTTGTTATTGTTGTTATTATTATTGTTATTATTATTGAGTTCAAATGAAATAGGAGCAACTTTTGAAATATGTATAAAGTAGATCATCCAAAACTGTTCATCTGTCATTCGTGAAGGACATAGACTAAACCTCAATGCATCTAATGGTTTGACGATTGATATTATCTTTTTGACGTGTCTTTGTTTTATGCTATTCAATTTCATATCTTATGTTTGAGATGAAGTTTGAGTTAGTGTAAATTCTTCTATATATATCTATATATCTATATATCTTTTCTTACTAGTATTAGCAGGTACAGTATGTAAAGGAAAATCTTGAAACGATTGAGGAAACTTTGATATCTTTTCAACAAACTGTATCAACTCTTCACTGATACCCAACTCTTCTCTTTCTTTAATCTCTTCATCGCTCTTTATCTCTACTAAAGGGTCGAGTAGTTTCTTAAAGAAGTTCATCTTTTATGTAACTCGATCTTAAAAGTTTCTTATATAACTATAAGTTATACTATAATAAGTTCGATATATCTTTTTGAAAAAGAGATAAATCTTGGCACTCTGCTGGCAGACAGAGATAGAAAAAATATTTATTTTTATTTTCTTTTTTTTTTATTTTGGATCTGATCAGCAGATGGAGGTAGGTCTTTCTATAGACTGCATTATAATAATAAAAATATTATAACTAAATAGTCGACTATCTATCGATTTTTAAATTATTATTATCTTTGTTTTTTTTTTGAACTTCCCATCAGATGTTGTGATGAGATGATGGTTTGATTTTTTTGTTCTTTAAATTGTTTGTTTTTTTTTAATCTGTTATTTTTATATATATATACATAGATATTTATTTATTATTATTGTTGTTGTAATAGTTAGTTTATTTTGTTGTTGTATTATAGTAGTTAGTATTAGTATTAGTATCATCATATACATATATATATATATAAAGTAAAAAGAAGAAGAAAAAAGAGGGAAGAAGAAGGTTGATACACACAATCTTTCTTTCTTTCATTCTTTTACAAAACATCATCAAACAACAAAAGAAGAGATAAATATATAAAGAATATACACAACATACGTATAGATAGATGGATGCTAGATTAGATGTCAACTCATCGGGGTTGACATCCACTCTGATATCAAAGTTGTTTGATAGTTTGTCGGCATCGTTGGATACGACGTTGATCAATGTGATCAATGAAGACCGTGTGATGGGGATGCCGACACCGATCAGCAGTTCGACGTCATCGAGTTCGTCGTCGTTGCAGGTGGGTGGCGCGATTACTGGCTCGGCGTCGGCATCGTCGTCCAACCTGCAGGGTGGCGGCGGCAGCGGCGGTGGAGGTGGTGGAGGCGGGTCGGGCAGCGCAGCATCGACGATACTTAGCGGCTCGCAGTCTCTGCGTATGTCCAAGAGCAACACACTTATCCGCAAGCTAGCCAACAGCGGCAAATTGCTCAACGACCAAACCAACGAGCGCGACTGGGCCAACTTTGCACGCGACTTTTGGTTCTACTACCCCTCTCTCATGCTCATCTCCGAGTCTGCCAAGTACTGCAAGACACAGTCGTTGCGTCTAGTACTCGACTTTTTACCACGCCACGTGCAGTTGTTGCAACACAGTCAGACAGCCACCACCTCTACATCTACCACCTTTTCAGCATCGATTGTGTCTAATTTGGCCATGCCCGTTGTCAACAGCAGCAATCAGGCCGGCGCTGGCGGACTCAATAACAGTGGTGGCGGCGGCAGTGTTGGACGGTCGACACTCAACGGCCAATCATACCTAGTCAACCCGGGAAGCACGCCATCTAGCACGTTGGTGACCGTGTTGTCGTCGGGTCAGAATAGTCAGACCAAGATGTTCTCGTTTGACTCGTTCCTCCATCAGATCAGTCCGTCCATCTACCAGTCGGACGCCAAGTATCTCGACCTCATAGAATCGACCGTCGAGATTGTCGTCGCAGACATCATCACGCATATCCTTGGCACGGGTGCCAACTCGATCAGCGAGTCGCTGGTCAACCGTCTGCGCGACATTGCATTCTACTACTTTAAACCCCTCACCCCACGTTCTCTCAACCAACAATCTTGGCAATCCCTACGTTACTCCATCTCTGATCAATGGTCACTTATCCTTGGTCAAATTTCAAGAATCTCGTAAGCAATATGATACATAATCATTTCTACAAGTTTACTAATCTTTTTTTTGTTTAATTTTTATTTTTTAGGTTGATATCAATTACAGGACACTTAAACAAGGTGGTATCTTCAACACCAGGTACGACAATGGAAGATTTAATATCATATTTTAAAGGGATTCGATGGATTAGTTTGCAATTGAATGACAAGGATCGTATGATAGAGGTTGAAAAATTGATTGTACAGGTGTTGATGTGGATCGAGGGCAATAAAAAGAGTGTACTTCGATTGGCACAACTAGAGTCGTTGGATGGTATGGTGTTGTCGATGCCCGATTACACCATCTCTACAGGCATTGTCGAAAAGATGAAACTACTATACAAGCGTGCCGAAAAGCTACTCAAACATGACGACTTTGAGGAACGGTCACTCAAACTCATGACAACGATCTTGACACGTGGACCCAACTCGGTGTTTGAAGAAGAGTATGATAATGTACTCAAACGGTTACTCAAGACGTTGTCGGTGCAAAAGAAGCGTGATTTCTCGCTAGAGTGTATCTTGCGTCTGTTGCAGGGTCGTTTTGTGCCACCTCGTCGTATCACTGGTATCCAGGCACACCTGTCAGCCAGCTCGTCGGACCAGTCGTCCATTGCAGCTCAGTTGCAACAGCGTCTGGATAGAGTCTACGAGAATCAGGGTAGTTACCCGTACGCTGGGTTATCCAATAATCGCGCCAAGATGATTCCACGTCTTCAAGATATTATCCAGGTACTCTATGGAAAGAAACAGATCGTTCCCAAGGTGATCGAGTGTATTGACCTATTGGTCGCCATCACCGTACATATTGCAGTGCATAGTCTCAAGTTGTTGACCGACACGATACTACCCACACTCTTTTCCAACGCCTCTCCACTCATGCACGTCATTGCCTTGCGCACCCTCTCCATCATTCTCGATCCGTCCGACGTATTTTGGAACACGTCACCATCGGCCAACTCGCGCAACACAGTCGTCATTGGCGACATTACCTATGTCAAAAAGGAGGATATCCAACTCACCTTTGAAACATTCCTCACCAAATCCTTTAAATACTGCGAGGAGCAGTCTGGCGGCGAAGCTTCCTCCTCCTCTCAAGATCCACTCATCATCTCTACTCAATTTGAACCAACCATCTCTTTATATTCTTTAATTTCTGATCAAACTAGTGTTTATAAATTTGAAGTAAGAAGAAGAAGAAGATTAAAAAAAAAAAAGAAAAAGAAAAAAAGAATAATTTATTAATATTCATATTTATTTTATTTTTAGAGCGAAACAACAGTTGAAGCAATTAAAAGATGGTATGATGTTTGTACAAAAACTCCAGAACAAAGAGAAAAAGAATTCTTTGATCAATGTCGTGTTATGGTATGAAACAAAAAAAAAAAGGAAAAGAAAAGAAAAAATGTATTTACTTTATATTTATTTATTTTGATTTAGGGAATTAATTTAATGAGTAAGATTTATCAATGGGAAAGTTCAAATCAACTTGTAAATATACCATCAGAACCATACCCAATGAAAAAGAAGTCAATCAAGAAAAAGACGATTAATCCAGAATTGTTGGAACTTTTCAAAGAGACTATTCGATGTGTGACATTTGTACCCAAGACATTTGTGTTGCACAATACACTGCATAAACTAGTACTACATGAAGAGGAGGAGATTGCGACGGCGGCATCACACGCCATTCAGGTGATTATGTGCGATTATCCAAACTTTAGAACCAACTTGGTGCAGGGATACACTTCACTCATTCTACAGTATGTTGGCAAGGACCATGTGTCTTTGCAGACATTGTTGTCACAGTTGCTTGGGTTGATCGATTTGTGGAACGAGCGATCGTTTATCGAGTCGCGTCATTCAAGTGTGCCGCTCGACTCGTCATTCTATCCACCCAAGCTGCTCGAGACTGAGATTGAGGGTATTGGGTTGGTACATTTGTGCAGTCCTAATCCACAAACTAGAATCATTGCATTGCAGTTGATTCGTAGTATTAGTGGTATTAGAAATACAGAGACGACCAACACGCAGGTTGCATCAGTACTACATACTCAGTGGAAGACGATTGTGCAGCGTGCACGTCACCAACTTTTGCTTGACAATGCGTATGGTATTGACCGCGACCTCAAGCTCAATCCAAATGATGAGTTGCCATCGGCAGAGGAGATCGTGTCGAGTACGCATGACCGTCTGTGGGCGTTTATCCTCGCGGAAATTGGACGTTCACTCGTCGAGCAAGATTGCGTGCGCACGCTGTCTAAAGCACGTGGTATACTGCTCACTATCCTCTCGAGCATGCCACCCATCCCCACACCTGAAGTGTTGGGTGCGGCGATCATGGTGAGTGGCGGCAGCGGCAGCGGCACGACAGCCGACGACCAGAAACGGTACGCGTCGTACACACTGCGTCACCTCTGGATCAACTGCCACGCACTGCTGTTTGCATGCTCGGGTATCCCCTCTATCTACCCGCTCAAGCCAGACCCCGGCTGCACCGAGCAGCTCGTCTGGGACATGATCAACTTTGAGCACGCGCTCCAGGCCAAGGTCACCAACTACCTCCCCAACTTTTGGGCAGCTCTCCTATCCGACTATAGTTGGATTCGCGAGAAGCTGTCGTTTATCTGCGGGTTGTTGCATTGGCGTCTGCTGCCTTGTGTGATCGACTCGCTCAACAAGTGGTGGACTGACAACCGCCAGAATAAAAAGCTGGCACGTGTACGTGTCGACCTGTCCAACATCTTTAGACGTATCTCGCAGCACAAGGACTTCCCACGCGCACTCAAAGAGTCCAATGACTTGATCCAGGTATTTGTGCAGTTTATCCAGCAGATCGACCCCATCTTTGGCGACGCTACCAAGCTGCCATCTGTCGTCAACGAGAGCTATTTCAACGACAATGCAGTCGTCGTCTACAACTTTTGCAGCTCGTTGTACCAGCCCACTCCGTGCTCGATCGTCGGGCCGGTACGCAAGTCGCTTGCCAGCTCCATCCGCAGTATTCCATGGACAGTCGGCGAGCGTTACAAGACGTTCAAGGCGATCCTGCAGTGGTCGGGTCACCCCAAGGTATCACAGGCTCGTATGCAATTGGAAGCGATTGAAATCAACAAACGTCTGTCCAAGGCAAAAGATTCGAGTGCACGTGACGAGGAAAAGGATCGTATCGAGAATGCGCTCAAAAAGATCAGATATTGCTCGCGTCTCGCCGCCGAGAGTATCCTGCGTCTTGGCACGTTGTTTGAAGAGGGACGTCTCCAACAAGACGTGCTTGAATGGGTGGTCGACTCGGAACACAAAGGCAACCGTATCCTTAGATGGGTGTTGTCCTATCACTTTGACGAAGCGTACGCCTATTTCCTCAACAAGTGTTATTCAGAGAACCCAGCTGAATCAGTACTCTACTTGCACTCAATCTACGATCAGTATTTGCCTATCCCACCTGCCAACCCTCCAACACTTGGTATCACACAAGATATCTTTCAGTTTTATGCAGATCGTGCATTAGAGGAACGTGCACAAGTCGAGCTTGAAGACGATGTTGTCACGGCAATTGACCGAAACTTTTCACGTAAATTGACCGAGATTGGGTCATCGCTTCTTTTCCTTTCTAGTCTCAATCTTCTCCATCCAGCATTCCTTGCACGTATTCGATCATTTGACATTATTGCCCGTTTGTCGCCGTGTGCGTTTGGTCTGCTCCTCGAAGAGGACGATGAGGTGCGGTCGGCACTCCTACCTCGTCGTCAGGCGTTTGCATCGCGTATCGCCGCCACCAACAAGCTCAACGCCCTCGCAGTGTCTGATATCGTCTCCAAGAGCTGTTCGCCGTGGACTGAACGACTGTTTGAGGAGGCGTTTGCCAGATTCGGCACACTCAACGCCACCAATAAAAAGTGGGTGGTACAATTCCTGCTGCCGTGGTGCGATAATGTCTGGTTGGCGGGTGGCGAGCATCGTCTGACTCGGTTCACATCGATTGGATTCCTCAAACTGTTTTTCGGCGTCTTTACAGAGTCGATGGCCAACATGGCGACCAACGAAGTGCCACCCGAGCTCATCGAGCTGTGGTTGGCACTCGCTCGCCGCGACCCACAGAATCTGACGTGTATCATCAACTTCCTCATCAAGAAGGGTATCGCGTCCAAGGATGCCATGCCTATCTGCAAGCTCATCATCTTGCACATCTACCGATCCAACCCTGCGGCCACCCTTGAACCTCTTATCTACCAACTCAGCTACATGGGTGTTGTCACATCTGAGAAGCGTAGTTTGTCAGAGGACGACCTTCTCAATCAGGGACTACAAGGGTCCACTTCTGCAGCTGGAGGAGCTGGTGGAGCAGGCGGACTGACTGCCAGCGGGTCAGCCGATGAATCACGTAAACTGTCCAAACAACAGTCTGTCAAGATCCGTGAAGCGTGCGTGCTCACCATCACTGACCTCGTCAGCGAGAATCTCGGTCCTATCATGAGTCACCTTCACATCTTGTTCAACTATAGTTTGTTGCGTATCGATTCGACCGAAGCACCCACCCTCACCAAGATGATCACCGTCCTACTGTCGTCGGTGCGTAACAGCATGTTTTCGCATATGTTTGACGAGCCCGACCTCAAACCAGCACTACGTAACGTCATCCGTTCAATTGACACTATATTGACTGCGTTCCGTCTGCCTACATTCCAGATTAAATTCAATTTCCACAATTTCAACCAGGATGGTAGTAGTTCAGCATCATCGCCATCCTCGAACAAGTCTAGTGGTAATGGTGGATTCTCCAAGAATGCAAGCACTAGTTATATATTTGAAGAGCAACGTACGAGTTATCAACAACCACTCAAATCATCGTCGTCGAGTTCCATCACCAACTCGAGCTCGACCGTTACATTTGGTAAAAAGAGTTCGGTTGGTTCACCGACTTCGAGCAATGGTGGTATGGGAGAAAACAAAGATGATTTGATCGAACACAGAGACGAGATGATTAAATGCTCCAATGGATACATCTATGTCAACGAGTTGATCAAAGTGTTGTGCAAGTACTTTGAGTTGCTGTCGCCAACCACCATTGACAAGTGGGAGAGTGAAGCACTCATGTGGATCAAAAACTACAAAGACCCGAGAATATCGATCAAGGCGTGTCAGACGTACCGCTCCATCATCCACTGTCAACAACAGTTGCCTGACCATTTGCGAGACTTGTCCAAGTCACAAACACTCAAACGTCAGAAAACACGTTGGGCATCGTCGGTCGAACTACTCGCCGTCCTCTTGCAAGAATGGAGTGAAGATTTGGAGAATAGTATGAATAGTATTATCAAGATTCAACAACAGCAACAGCAACAACAACAACAACAACAACAGAGTAATAGAACACTACTCTATGAACAAGGTATAGCAACTTTTAGTCGGACATTGTGCATAGAGATATTGTTGGCGATGCGACAGATTGTAGAAAGCAAGAATCTCGATGAACATTCGATATCTTTGATCTTTTGGAGTTCGATTTCATTCTTGGCAACTAGTAATCCATTCTACGAACCATTGTATAATACAGCGTTGGATATTGTTCGTTTGATTATTATCGAACTTAAGATATTCAGCTCGGACCCACTCGTCATGATGCCGTCCATCTCGGATCTATTGCACAAGCAGGCGACCGAGGTGGTGACTATACCACGTGGCATACAGTATCATCTGTTCAAGGGTATATTGAAACCAGGCACCGAAGAGTTGGCAGGTGAGTTGTTGGTCGAGTTTTACGGGTTGACTGACGACTCGCTGGTCGATCCACTTGGCGCACCACAACGATATTTACTACCATTGATTGCGCTGACTCCATGGCTACACAATAAGATTCTGAGTAGCAAGTCGTCCATCATCTACAAGGAGCAGCGTTTGGTAGCCGACAAGATTGCCAAAAAGTTGGCAGAAACTATGATGTTGATCGTAGAGGATGAAGAGAATGGAGAGGAGGATTTGGCCGGTCTCCCAATGCTCAAACTTTCCAAGGTGTTTATGCAATACTCTCAAGGATCGTTCAACTCTAATCCAGACGAGTTTTTGGTGCAAGTGACATCACTCATTTGCAAACTATGTCTACCTGATTTTGCCAACGAGTGTGCCGATCTCATTGGCAATATGCTCGATAATACAGCTCAGCTATCTACATCGATTCTCAAGATGACCAACATGCTGCTCAAGGAAGCACCCGCCGGAGTCATCCCTCTGTTCAAGAATATCGTGCGTGTCGCATGCGAGTATGGGTCGTCGTCACCCGTTGCCGGCGATCTCATCCACATTGTATCATCAACCATGAAGAACAACACAGTTGCACCGTCTTCACTCCCTCCATACCTCCCACCCGTCGAAAAGGCACCTCCCGAGACCATCAAGGCTGTGCTCGGTCCCAAGTCGGGTGGCAAGGACGGACAGAGCGAGCTCGCGCACAAGCGTCCCCGTAACGGGCACCGTCGCAACAAGTCGGCCATCACAGACCACCCATCACTCAAGGAAAAGGCAATCAACGAAAAGAAGATGCAGCCACTTTCACCTCCAAAATTCTCAAATGTATTTAATCAACAACAACAACCTCAACAACAACCTCTTCAACCTCAACAACAAACTCAGGTTCAAGTACCACATATTACAACCAAACCATCTCAATCATCTCAACCTCAACCACAACCATCTCCACAACAACCACAAAAATCAGGGTCAAATCAATTATTGCATCCTGGTGCAAATACACCTGGTAAACCATCTTCAGTGTCTTCGACATCGTCGCCATTGCAAACAGCGGATTCTGAAGACTATGAATTTGAATTTGGTGATGACGAGATGATCAATGATATTATTGATCACGATCCATTGACCGTTTCGATGATGCAAAAGGCTTGGAGAAACTCAGACGAATACAATGTCTACTTGGACATGGAAGAGAATGATTTTGAGGGCATTGACGAGCTCAAAGAAGGATTGGAAGGTCTCGACACGGGTGCACTCCTCTCTAAACTCGGTCCAACTGCCTCTATGATGCAAATCAACGTTCCCAAGAATTTGATTCAAAAGCATGCTCCTCAATCCAAACCTGCAGCACCTCAACAATCACAACAATTGAGACCACCCCACCAACAGCAACAACAACCATCGACCACCACTACTCAACAACAACAACAACAACAACACGCTCCAACTCATATTGTTTCTCATACTGAAACTCATACTCATATTCAAAAGACACCAGTTACAAGCAGTGTAGTACAAAACATCAAGACGGGAGTAGCCATCTCAAGAAGTTCAAGTGATTTGGATAGTCTTCGTGAATTACTTCATAGCAAGGATGGAAAGAGAGGTAGTGTGACATTGGCAGACTCATTCCAAATCGATCAGTTATTATCACACCTCGATTCACTTGATCTCAACAGACTCGATGCAACTTTGGAAGACATGTCAAACGATTCACCGTCCAACTCATTCTTGAGCTTTTCAACAACCACTGGTCCACAAACTCCACAGACTCAAGTTGCGCCTGCACCACAACATACTGGAGTACAAGCAGTTTTGGCTGATGCCAAAAAACGTAGATCATTCCTCGACTTTTTGAAAAAGAATCATTACCAAAAGAGTGTCAACGATGTATGCTTTGTCGAAGTGGTCAATGATTTCCGTGCCGAAGGTGGTGGTGATGAAGACATTGGAGGCGACGGTCTCCTCTATCTGATGCGTCATATTGTCGAAGGGTTTGTCGTTGAGAGTGCTCGCCACCAAATCTCCATCACCGATTCAGCTCGTACCAACATTATCAACTCGTACCAGGAATCCATCGATCAAGGTCACTGTGTCAACACTAAAATGTTTGATGAAGCTCTATCAACCATCACCAAAGAACTAGAGTCTAGTGTATTGGACCAATTTAAATCAATTAATTAATCATCATTTTAATTAAAACAAATTATTATATTATATATTAACCAAAACAAACAAATTTGTTATTTATTATTTATTTATTATTATTTAAAAAATAGAGAGATATTTAATATAAATTAACACTTTTTGTCAATATTGATATTTTTGCACACATATATATATTTGATTATTTGTATTGTATTAACATGTTGTACAGTACTACTATTGTTGTTAATAATAATGGATCAATTACTTTATACATTATGTGATCAGAAAGAAGATAAAATAATATTGAAAGCAGCCAAACAAGCTTTGAAACTAGCTCATAAACAACAACCAAGTCAATTGGTTCAAGAATTATTAAACTCTTTAACAATCAAACAACAAGATGAAAGAGTATGTAATATAGTTGATTGTGTGTACAACTATTACAGCTAACGAACTTATATATAATGTACATTTTACAATTACTTTATAAACGTAGATTAAATCAAAAGCATTACAGTTATTAAAACCTCTAGTTTCACCTTTGAAACCAACTTGGCAAAAGATAACAGTAGATGTAAAGAATCAACTTAAAACCAATCTAATATCAATCTATTTTGAAGAAAAATCAATTGCTAATAGATATAAATTGGTTGGTCTCATGGGTTTGATTGCATCTGATTTAATTCCAAAAGGTAACAACACAAACAACACATAAATCAATAATAATAATAAATATTAATCTAACTCTCTTTTTATTCTTAAAATAGGACAATGGAATGAATTCAAATCATTATCTATAGAATCAATTAAATCAAATAACAATAATAATAATAATAATGAATTAAATAGAGAATTGGGTGTATTGGTAATGGAACAACTTGCAAAGTTGGTTGGTGGCCAAACAGCTGCAAATATAAAATTGTACAGTCAATCATTGGAGAATGGGTTAAGAGAAACTAGTGAATTGGTTAGATTAGCGTCGATCAAAGCTACTCTATCATTACTCGGGTTGGATAATATCGAGTGTTACAATCAATTCAAGATATCGGTCATTCCATTGATGTTTGGTGTTGTCGCTGCATCGGTACCATCCAGTAGAAGTCTGGAGAGTACACTAAAAGAGGTTGTTCATCCTCTTGAAGAATTGGTTGAAGAGAGGTGTCCTAAACTACTCAAAGATCACAACATTGCTCTAGTCGAATGTTTTATCAGAGTGTTGACACTGTCAACCGATGATTTATTGAAATACCAAGCAACATACATTCTCACACTATCAATAGAATCATCACCAACCATATGGGAAACCAACCCAACCTATATACAATCATGGGTTCAAGTACTAATTAAATGGTGTTCAACAGAGGAGAAGGAGGATAGTGAAACCAATCTACAAATTTGGGAACAAAATACAAGTTCTGGTAAAAACCATCAAAATATAGCTAGACTTTCATTTGACAATATTGTAAAGTCACTCCCAAGTACAATACCTAGTTTTATTCAAATAATCAACCAATTATTCAAATCCCAAGATGACAAGGATAAGAAGGCATCTTTAATTTGTTTATCATCTATTTCAAAATATTTGAAAGAAGAAAAAAAAGAAGATATTGAATCTTTATTAAAGTATGTTAAATTATATATATTAATATTAATCAATATCAAATTATTAATAATAACTACCATTTTTAAAATTAAAGATTAATAGTTGAAGGAATATCTAATATAAATCCAATGGTTAGATATGAATCATTTAAATGTTTGACTAGTTTTTCGATACATCTAAAAGATAAACTGGTATCAAATATTAAATTATTTGAATCACCAGTTGCTTTGGGTCTTGCTGATAAATACCCACTCATTGCAGGTGCTGCTTGTGATTTTATTTATGTATTATTGGATAATAATGATGAACAAGAAGAAGAAGAAGAAGAAGAAGAAGAAGAAGAAGAATACCTCGAACAATTAAGAAAATCAATTCCATGGAATTGGTCAAATGTATTAAAATTGGTATCACGTCACTTTGAATCATCGGATCCATCACTTGTCAAATGTGCATTATTATCTTTTTCATCAATTGTTGAAATCATTGGTAAAAAATTTGAACCAGTAAGCAAATCAAAAAAAAAAAAGAAAGAAAGAAATAATATAAAGTAATATAATTAATTATTATTCTATTTTTTTATATATTTCTTTTAGTTTTATGAAACATATAGTTTATTATTATTTTCAATAATTGAAAAGAATAATGATCATTCTATAATGGATCAAAAAGACATTTGTTATACTGCTATTCTAGCAGTGAGTAGAATGGCCGTTCATAGTTTAGCATCTAAAAAGTCATGTATAAGGGATTTTGATAGAATTTTATCCAACCCATCTGTATTGAACTACAAAACAATACCAGATGGAAGAGACCCCTTTATGGAAGACCTTTTAAATGCAACTATCAATTTTTGTAAATGTCTTGGAAAGGATTTCAGCAAATTCCTTGTCAAATTTCAAGGAGTCATAATTTTCATTCTTCAAACCAAAGATTCTAAAATAATAGTTGGTAGTGATGATGATGATGATGATAGTGATAGTGATGATGATTATGATGGTGATAATGATAAATTGCCAAATATCAATCCAATACTATTAGAGAACAAGACATTGGCATTGGAATTAATGTGTGAATGTGTTGATAGTATGCAAGAAGGTCTATTTCCAGGACATTATGGATACTTTGAACAGACTGCATTGAAATTGGTCAATCATCCATTCTATTCACCTATTAGAGTGGAGGCGTCTCGATTATTGGCAAAACTATTCAATTTGCATGTCATTATTGCAAACAAATTTAATGATAAAACAAGGGCCGATAAGAATTTCAAGAGATACTTGAAATCTTGTCTAAGAGCCAACCCCATCTACGATGAACCTGAATCTATCGTTGCCAACTTTGATTGTGTAGCCGATATGATTGCTTGTTTGGGTCATGGTCGTATGACTCATCAACAAGTTGACTTGTGTTACAATACTTTTTCTTCAACTGTCCATATGTTGGAAACCATTAAAAGAATTAATTTGGGCAAACATGGCGATGACAAAGAGGATGATGAAGAAATGGTGGATGAAGATATGGAAGATGAAGATGAAGAAGAAGATAATGTTATTAGTAGTGGTCTAAAGATGATATCAAATATACTTGTTTTCAATGGTGACGAGACCGCCCATATCGGAGCATTTTTCCTTCCAAATATAATTAAATGGAATTGGATTAAAAAGGATTCGATTAAAGGTGATATCATTGATATGCTATCAAAATATTCCCAATTTGGAGAAAGAAATACTGGTGCGTTTATAAAAGATTTCATTCCAATATTGGTTGATCATCTTTTGGTAGATGATAGACAAATTAGAAAAAATGCAGCAAATGCCATTGGTTTTATAGCACAAAGTACAAAAGAGCAGTTTGCACCAGCTGAGTACGCAGTCGATGCACTCCAAAAACTCAACAAACTCATTCAAGATCAAGAAATAACAGAGGTTTCAGATGTAGCAGTATCTGCAATTGGAAAACTCATTCTCTATATTCCACAATTAAAACCTCATGCCAATAGAGTCATTCCAATATGGTTGTCTAAACTTCCATTGCACTATAGTGAAGAGGTCTCGACCTCAATTCATACTCTTTTAGAATTATTAAAGGTGTACCCAGATATCACCCTAGGAGCCAATCTCGTTCATGTTGGCCATATACATAACTTGTTGTTGTCTGTTCCACGTGAGACCTATAGGTTCATCAAAAATCTAATTCAAAAAACAACTACTTGGAAAACTCTTTCACAATCTTTAAAAGATGATTTTAAAAAGAATTGTCCTAACTTTCAATTATAATCATTGGAAGCAATAAGAGTATTGTAGTAATAAATCTTTTTCTTAACCAAAGGGTATTCAAATTTCTAATTGAAAAGAAATTAATCAATGCCAACACTTTTAAAGGACAATTCAACCCCATCTTTTACTTTGTCATGCTGGTTTAGAGAGTGTTGGATGGCTTTATGAAAATGTTTAACTTGATTGTCATCATCGATCCTTTGAAAAGATATCTAAACTAAGCAACATTTATACAATTAAATTGTACTATTATTACAGATCAATAAAAGAATATAGATATAAATTAATATATCAATTTAAACTTAATATTTATTTTCAAATTAAATCTTCATAATATTATGATAGCTATGATTGGACAAGAATTATGAAATAATAATGTCGATCAACATAAATAAACTTTTGATATTTTTTTGATTGGGGTACGACAAATTGGACACGATTTTAGTCTACCAGTGTTGTGACAATTGGAACAACTAACAAGATGACGACACGGTTTGATAAATACATCGGTGACATTGGTAAAACAGATACTGCACTTGTTTTTTTTGTTTTGTGGATGCCCAATTGGTTGCATGGTGCCCGATGGAAAAGCAAGATCTTGAATCTCTTTGACATCGTCGACCGATAAATTTTTCATGGCCATTGTTGCAATTGATTTTAATTGTGTCTTTAAATCTGCATTCTCTTTATCGAATATACCGTTCTCTTGAATGTCTTGCAACTCGCCTTCCAGTTCCTCGTTTATATCTTTCAAGACATCGTTTTCCTTTTCCAACTCTTGTATTCTCGACTCTTTTTCTTTGTTCTCCTCTCTTTGTTCCCTTAATGCTCCCTTTTGTCGAGTAATTGTTTTCTCTAATCGATAAATTTGGTCTTGTAGTAATTCCAATTGTTGGTTATGTTCAAATTTCAATAGATCCAATTTCTCTTGGAGATGTTGATTCGTTTCCCCTTTTATATTCTTGTACATTTTCTGTTGTTGTTGTAGAGGTTGTTGGTGTAGTTGGTATCTTCTTGTTGTTGTTGTTGTTGTTGTGTTAGAGGTTGTTGTTGTTCCCTCATCTCTTGGTGATGGAAGTATTGTCTCTTTTACTAAAAATGGTTGAAACTAATGAATAAATCATAAATTGTTAATATATTGTTTTAAAAATAAAATAAAATAAAAAAAAAGGTTTTCTCTTACATTGAACATGATTATTTATCTATCTATCTTATATATATATAACTAACTATTACCATTATTGTATAAATTACCAAATCCATCAATAATTGATCGATCCATGTGTTTAAAAAAAAAAAAAAAACTTTTAAAATGTGTGTGTGGGGGTTGATTGACCGCTCAACCCGATCCATGGTTACGGTGGTGATGGTGTGATCGATTATATGAATCATGTTTCCTAATTGGGTATTCCCATATAGATTGGATCACTATATGGCTACTTCTTTTTGATTGAATTTAGTCTGGACATAATCCAAAAATTCATAGTACCCATTGACACTATAAAAATTAATGACACGATTGTAAATGTCTGGATCATACAAATTGACAAGTTTGTGTTCCACGATATACTCAAAAGTAAGGTTAAACTTTTGATTATCATTCCAACCTAAAAGAGCTTCAGCCGTACACCCCTCTGTTCGATTCTCATGAAGCCATTTGACCATTTCAAAATGTGAATTACGTGCTGCACATGTCATAGCTCTAACAGTACATCCTTCTGTACGATTCTCATGTAAGAACTAAAGTAATAAATAAATAAATAAATTTGATTGATTGATTGTTTTTCTTTTTTTTTTTTTTTGACATACTTTAACCAAATCTAGATTTCCCTTTTCAGCGGCAGTATCCATCGCTGATGTACCACAAACCTCTGTACGATTGTAATGAAGGAATTTAACGATATCTATATTATTACTAATGACGGCGTGATTCAATATACCTGCATTCCACAAACTGTCCGACACTGGAAACTGCTGATGAAAATATTCGATCATGTCTAATCGACCATTCATTGCGGCTCTTTGAACAGCCTCTCTTGTAATACCCATCTTAAAGTTTTCATTTATGTATTTGATGATCTCTAGATTTGCAGATAAAGACATAAGATTTCTATCAATTGCATCTATAGTACATCCTTCTGTTCTATTTTCTCGTAAAAACTAAATAAACAATCAAAAAAAAGTAAGTATTATTAATTAATTAATTAATTAATTAATTTCTTTTTCTTTTTCTTTTTCTTCTTTACCTTTAAAACATTTAAATGAATATTTGAATCTCTAACATGTATTCTATCAACTGCATTTGTAGTACAACCTTCGGTTCGATTGAAATGGAGGAATTTTAAGATATCCAAAGCCCCCACGTTAGCCGCATAGTCCATTGCCTTTGAAGTGGCACCTTCAGTCCTACACTGATGCAGGAATTGTAGAATCTCTAATGACTTTGCGTAATCCATTGCATGGTGGGTGCACCCCTCGGTTCTATTAAAATGTAACCATTTTACAACATCAAAGTGTCCCAACCGCGCAGCCCTTGTCATTGCATCTTTTGTACATCCTTTAATACCATTCTCATGAAAGAACTATATATAAATATAAATATAAATATATAAATATAAATATATATCTCTCTATTTGTATTTGACATACCTTTATAATATCTAATCTTCCAGTTGCGACAACTTCATTAAATGTACTTTTAGAGCAACCTTCAGTTCGATTAAAATAAAGAAACTATTGAAAATGAATATTAATGTTAATGATGTATGATTGTTTATTAACAATTAACATACATACCTTTACCACTTCCAAATGTCCACCTATTGCAGCCTTTGTCATTGCCCTTTCAGTACATCCCTGTGTACTATTTGCATGTAGAAACTAAATAAATCAAAAGAGTCAGTAATCTAGTACAATGTATTGAATTGAATTAAATTGAATTGTATTATATGATCTATTTAAAACATACCATAACTACATCTAAATGACCATTTGAAGCAGCACCATCCAAAGCTCCTTTTGAACAACCAGCCGTACTATTTTGATAAAGATACTGAACCATTTCCAAGTTACCTCTAAATGAAGCTAGGTCCATACAACTATATGTCCAGGATGAAGAGAGTTGTTTGAGAATATTCATGTTTCCAAGTTGTGCTACTCGATTAGCTACTATTTTCAGATCGACACACACCGACGTAGTAGCCACATACTCTAATATCTCCATATTTCTAATACTCTCCAACTTGTACAAATAGTATCTTGAACTTTTAATCCAATCGGCACTGTATGTATAATCGTATCGAGTCCACTCTAACAAACGGTTGAATGTATCGATTGTAGCATTGGGATGTGCACAATAACGAGTGATGACATCCATTCTTCTTGCAAACAATACATTGTCTCTTGGTGGTAGATAGTGTTTGATAAAGTCCCATGGCATTGCAAAACTTGATATCATCACTAAACGTGATTGATTGATAATATCTCTTCCCTTGGTGTAAGTGATACCACTGTCATTGCTGTATCTCTCTTGTTCTGGTTTTGTCAATACTGCAATATAATCAAATATCAATCGTTTCAAATAGGTTGTTCTATATATTGTTAGGAATGTTGTTTTAGTTGTAGTAGTTGTAGTAGTTAAAGACATTCTTCAAAAATGTAAACTAAAATGAACTAAAGTATTTCGATGAATTGTATAATTAAGTAATATAGATGATGTTGTTGTTTGAGACAAAAGAGAGGGATATCTTGATAGTCTGTGTCTCACACATGCACTTTTATAAACAATCTTGTTTTTTTCTATATTTAATTTTTTATTTATTTTTGACAGGTCTTTTAATATCTTTCTATCCATCTCTATCTACACCTTAAAATGCTTCTTTATATTTGATCAAATAAACTTTTTGATGATATTTACTCTATCTATTTTTTTGGATCCATTTGTATATTTGTATAGAATAAAGAATAATGGATATACAACTATTTCAATCAATATTTATTGTAAATTCTTACACTCGTGTGATTATCAAACATGTACAACAAATCAATCGATTATTAACAACATCATCATCATATGATCAATCAGCTGCAAATGCTGCTCCGGTGGGATACTACAAGTGGTATCAATTAAGTGATGATCCATTCAACTTGCAAGACATGGATACTTTGATCAACTACAATCAACTATACTAGCACTAGAACAAAAGTATGAAAACTATAAATGGTTTAAAGATGATGATCATCAACAACAAGACATCAAAGAGAACCGTAAATGGATACCAAATTTAAAAGATATCATTGAATCTTTAGTCAAATATCCTTTGATATTAAAGAATCATGGTGATCTATTAAACAAACCATATCAAGATAATCATCAGAGTATTACAAAGAAGAACCAATTCATTCAAGAGTTTATGTATAAAAGATATGGTTTGGACAACTTGAAAGAGTTTATGAAAGCGATAGTTTCATTCCTTTTCCTCGCTGGCGATTTAGATCTCATCGAATGGATAGATTCACTTTACAATGGCAACGTATTGCATTTGATGGTGAGATACAAGTTTGATCTCTGTCAAACACCCTTTCAATCTTTCGATCAAGACTTGATGTTTTATTGTTTCAAAAAGTTTAATTCTGCATACAGAACTGCATATTGGCACAAAGAATATTTAATTTTCTCCAAAGAATTTCTCACATATATCAGGGATAGAGAATGCACAACCCTTATCAACCAGTTATTTGACAAATATGATTTACATGAAACAAACGCTGTGGCAATCATCAAGAAATGCATCAAAAGTAATCATCCTCGAGTCATCGAGATCATTCAATTCTATGCACAGAATGAACCTTATCAAAAGATTCTCTTTAAAGAATGCAAATTGGATATTTTGAATTTTCCAGATGCATTACCTATCGTTCAACACTTGGCTGAGAAATTCTCGGGTACTACCTCCGAGGATGAATCACTTTGTACTGAAGACTCAATGAAAAGTGCTATTGAAGATGGAGATGTAAATCTGGTAAGACATCATTTGGAACACACTTCATTGACAGTCGATATGGAGTTGGCAGCAGGGTCTGGAAACATTGAAATATTGGAGATGGGAAAGAATCTTGGTGGATCATGATGTCAAAAGAGTCTTTGAAATGTGTTATCGAATCTGGACATTTGGAAGCATTTAAATGGATTATTACAAATTATCCATCATGATTACAAGAGATTGATATTGGTTCGTTGATATCAAATATAAAATGCGCTCCAGAGATGCTTGAATACTTTGTGTCAATATTTATGGCTTTAAAAATAGAGCTCGAATCAAGTTTGGTGACAAAAATTAATTTTAATCATTGGATGGAAATGGCAATCAACAATGAGAGATTAGATATGGTTGAATCGATTGATCAAATGGTCAATCTTTATGGATACTCTTTAAAACCAACACTATTATCACAATTTTTCTATTTCGAACCAAAATCTAAATCAATTAAATCAATGATGATCATTGAATCATATTCATGTATCTCTTTAATCAAGGATACAAAAAGTATTTTGGAGAAACTATCAAAGAATATGAAGATGTATTTAGAGATTGTTTATTTTATGGATTATATGAACCTGCTAAAATAGTTTATGGTATCTTGACAGGTTGTGATCAAATAGCAGAACCAAATACTTTAACGAAAACATATATTGCAATGCAAAATGTAGCTACTATCAATTCCTTCTCCAACATTATTCAATCAAAGAGTTGCTATCGATATATAATAGAATTGGATTTCAATACGTATGGCTTTATGAAAATGTTCAACTTGATTGTCATCATCAATCGAAAGTATTCAAGACACATGAAGAACTACGATCATTAAAGGTATTTCATCCAACGGATTCTGGGGAAGGACGATGTCGTATTGTTATTGATTTTAACGAAAAGAAAAGTGTTGTTGATAGACAAGTAGAAAAGGTCAGAAGAATCATTCAACAATCTAAATTGATCACTAGTTTATATCTTTCCTTTAGGATGGATGAAAAGACAATTGAACAAGGTATGTATGTATGTGGTTTAATTATAATTATCTGATAATAAATTAATCATCTTTACTATCAAATCTCTATAGTGAGACCAATAATGAACTTAGTCTATCAAGATCTAAAAGAGAATACAACCATCACAGAGTATTCTTTCTATCAACCATTATTTGCAAGAATGGTCTATGCAGAGAGACCAAGTACAAGATTCTTCATCTCTTCCATCGATAATGGTAACTTTAAAAATATTGAACCTCACATACCCATTTGTTTACCATCAATGATTCCACACTATTGGTAATCTCAATGTATTACAATGTCAACAATTATTCAATGATGGTATCAAAACAAACAAATCACTCATCTCTTTGAAAATTGGTCGTATGTTGTTTCACTTGACCTTTATCTTTATTTATTAATTTATATTTTACCATTCTTTTATCTATCTATTTTATCAATCTATTTCTATAGTCGCGAGCGAGCATATTCCAATTTCAGAGATTTTAAAAGAGATTCAAAGTTACACAACATTGAAATATATTTATTTTAAAAAAACATTTATTTACAAACCAGATAATCGGTTCTTCAATTCTCTACAAGATGACTGGGGATACATGATAAAATATATTCCCGATAGCAAATATAAATTTGGTAAAATACATACACCATAGATAGATTGTGGTTCAGTAGATGTTGTTGTTGTTCCCTCATCTCTTGGTGATAGAAGTATTCAATATTCTTATCAGTGACTGCTTCTTCATCCGACCAATAATCAAAAGAATATAGATATAAATTATTAATACTAGTATCAATTTAAACTTAATATTTATTTACAAATTAAAGCTTCATAATATTATGATATCTATGCGGAGGAGTACGAATTTTTTTGGGACCTTTATTTTCCCAACTATAGATAACGATTTTATAACCATAATCATCCTCCAATGGTTTAAATAGTTTTTCATCATTGTTTGATATGTCCGGACCAGTCATCGCACTTTAAATAAATATATTTCAATGTTGTGTAACTTTGAATCTCTTTTAAAATCTCGTATATAAATTTGAGTTGAATCTCTTTACTTAAATTACTTTTTTTTTTATAATCATCACCTATACAGTTAAAAACAACTACACAATTTTAATTAATAAATATGATTAGTATTTTTGAAAATAAAAGATCAACAACAACAACATACGACTGAGTTTCAAAGAGATGATTTGTTTGTTTTGATGGCATTGAATAATTGTTCAAATTGTAGCTGGGTGCCACATTTATCAATGGTCAAGTGTTTGATTTGGTTTCTATTTAATTGTTCAATGGCCAATGGTACCTACCTTGTAACGTTGTCCCCCGTTGGCAATCGTTGGCGTGAATAATAAATAAATCCAAGTATTGGCCTTGTCATATCTAAATAGGTACTTGGTAAATATATAATTAATTGGGAGGTATAATTTAAATAATAAAAGATTTAGATTAGATTGTAGTGATAATATTTATAATAATTAATAAGAATGAATTATAACTAGTAATAATTAATAATAATGAATAGAATCAATTAGAATTCAATCTCTTTATTGGATTATTGTCTAAATCCTTGACTTATTTGACTTGTTCTAACCAGGATTGGATTTGAGTTCAACGATTTTAAACAATCTAGATTGGTTCAACGAATGGGATGCAGCTGTCGAATTTCCTCCCCTTGTCACTTGCGCCACTTTAACCCGTACATTTGTTTTTATTTTTTGTCTGAATTAAATTTGTTTTTGTTCCATTTCGATAGATTTTTTTCATTCACAATCGATCATCAATTCATTCTTTACACTCAATAGAACATCAATTAGAATGAATGAGATATTAGAAGTGAAAGTACTAGGTTTGGCCCCACGAGAGACACTCCTCTCAATAAATGGAGAAAATTGGGGATCTAACTCCCCAGTAAAGTCTCTAGTGGTAAGCTATGTTTACATTGATTGTTTGGACGATCTGATAAAACGAGCAAAGAAAAAAGGGGCCACCTTAAGGTGGGAACCTGTAAAAGTTGATAAGTAAGTTGACTATATTCTTTAAAGAGCGAAGAATAAATTTATTAATCCTTTTTTTCAGAAAAAAACCTGCATGTTTAATGTACCATCGACCAGATCACAAATTGGAAAAAGGTACTCTAAAATGTAAATTGGTATTCGATATTGGTTCTGACAATATAAAATATTGTTATGTTGTCCCTTGGGATTACGAGGTCCCCACAGGACCCCAAAACTTGTCTTCTGTTCTGCAAAAAGAAACTTTCGTTCCAGTATCTCCACAGGCACAAGAACCAAACAATCAAGCAGTGGTTAATTCATTGGTCAAAAATGGTCCAGAAACACAGAAAGAGAAAGAAATCGAACAGATACCTAACGAAATTGATGAAGACAAAGATAATACAATAGAAGATCTTTCTCAAAATATGAATTCTCTTCGTATTGATCAAGAATTTGAATACTATCTGACCAAGAGGAACTTTTTTTTAATGAAGTATGAAAGAGCAAACAGCAAGTATCAAGCTCTCCTTGAAAAAAAGGCAGCCCAATAAATTACAACCCTGTACACCTACTACTATTGGCCCAATCAAAGCCACTTTAAATAAATGATAATGAAATTATACATTCCTTTACCTTTAATATTTGAATGTCTGTATTCCGCGCACTCACTAAATACGCTGTCACCGATTACTCCATGGATTCTGTGGAATATCGTCGATCTCTGTTTGTGCCTTGGTGAAAAAGTGCCAATCGTTGGCGTGAAGAATAAATAAATTTAAGTTGCATGATAACAATTGTTTTGTTTATTCAATAATATTATTATGTGCTTTTATCATCAATTAGATTTTTGTCTAGCAACGGAGGCGATCGCATTCCAATTATTAATAACTAAATTGATCATGATGGTTATGATGAATCCATCTTCATAGATCTATAAATATCACGATCACGTTTACTAGCCCTAAATCAATTGACATTGTTGATTAATAATAAATTAATTAATTATTGGTTGTATCCAAAGTCAGTTGAGTTGGATGTTAGTTTGAAACAATCACAATTGTGTACATACCTATCGATAGACTTTAATTTACCTTTAAAGGTATAATGAGTAGTAAAAGTATATCCCCAACGATGATTATGTAAAAACTTTCTAAAGCTTTTATAGTGTTCACTACCATCATGATAATCTTCTTGACATTGATATACTCGTTCTATATTATCCAAGTATTCATCAGAATTACTACCATTATTACTATTATTACTAATATTACTATCACTATCACTACTACCACTATCACTATCAACAACGACGACTACACATTTATCTAAACTATTATCACCTGAAAGCATATGTATATCTATCTTGATTGTGTTGTTTGTTGGTAGTGAATATACTAGTTGATAATTTGATGATGATTGTCTCTTACACACAACTAGATTTATAGTTGATCATCTTTGTAATAGAAGAAGAAGAATTCCTCTATCTATCCTGGTATCCATATCTCGAAGTAAGTATAGGATAGTTGAGAAATCAATCAAGAAATAACTAATAATCTTGAATGTCAAAGAGAGAGTGTCAAACTAAAGAAAAACAAACAAAATTACTTTTTTTTGTTTTTTAATAATTTTTTTAATTTAATTTTTATTTTTAAATTTAAAAAGAATGATTGATTCGACTATCCCTTATATTGATCATTCCCAAATGCCCACCGTAGTTGTAGTAGTAGTTGTTGTTGTTGTTATTGTTATTTGTTATTTGTTGTTATGTTATTTGTTGTTAGATGGTTGGTTGATTGATTGAAAAAAAACTATACTTTCTATTTTATTTGTCACCCTTTGGAGTAACTCTGTATTGTCCAACAACCAAAGCATGATGACGTTCATATGGATCGAGTGTCTAAAAATAAAAGAAAAAAGAAAAAAGAAAAAGATAAGTTAGTTATTGTTAAATAGATTGAATAGATATATATGTGTATGTATGTATATGTATCTATATGTATGTATATGTTAATGTTTTTGCTTACCTTTAACAATTGTTGTGGTTTAAGCTTTTCAGCCTTTAATTTTTCAATTTCAGCAGCGACGACGACTTCAGTTGGGGCGGTAGAATCGATACAGTTGGCCTTGATAGAGATGATAAAGTGACCTTCGTTCTTGAGGAAATAGGCGGCGTTTTGGGCGACGATTTGGGCTTGGTTGGGTTGGGCAACGTCGGCAAAGAGGACGTCGACCATACCGATCAACATTCTGTACTTTTGTGGGTGACGGGCGTCTTCGATGATTGGGATGACATTGTTACGCTTCTTGGCCATGCCGATGAGATCACGACCGGAACGATGCGAGATTTCGACACCATAGACAACACCGGTGCTGCCGACAACGTCAGAGACGTGGGACACGGTGGTGCCGTTGGCAGCACCGAGGTACAAGACCTTGCATCCGGGCTTGATGTAGAGGTTCTCGATACCTCTGTGGATGGCGGCGGCAATCTTGGAACGGAATGGATTCCAGATTCTGTATTCCTTCTTCTCGGTACCGACTTCGATAGCGACACGCTTCTCGCCGTACACTGACTCTCCTGGGGTAGAGTTCAAAGTGGCATAGGCGTCTTCCTTGCCCTTGACGACAAAGACACCGTCGAAACGTGGGTGACGCTCGACCATGACCTTGGCACCGCCACGGCCTCCTCCACGGCCTCCTCCACGACCGGCAGATCCGAGTCCACCACGCGAGCCTCCACGACCACCTCTGTCGCCGAAACCACCACGGGAACCTCCACGACCACCTCTGTCACCACCGAAACCACCACGGGAGCCTCCACGACCACCTCTGTCGCCACCGAAACCACCACGGGATCCACCACGACCACCTCTGTCGCCTCCTCCGCTGAAACTGCCTCCACGGCCTCCACCGAAACCACCACGGCCACCTCTGTCACCTCCACCAAAGCCTCCACGGCCTCTACCTCTCATTTCAGACATTATTTTAATATATCGGTTTGTTTTGGTCTTTTCTAAAAAAAAAGATCAAATTGACTAAAGTTATTTGTTGGTTGTTAAAGTCTAGGTTTGTTTGTTTTGACTGTTACTACTGTTGGTAAATTAATAATAATGTTGGTTGATGGTTGTTTAAAAGATGATCTTTGTTTAAACAACGGTTGCTATTATTATTATTATTATTCTTGTTGTTGGGAGGCTGAACGAAACAAGTCTGTCTGTGTTATGTGTATGTGATAGTCGAGACGTAGATATAAAAAAAAAATACCAAGAGAGCAATAGAGCTGGTGAAAAAAAATGATAACGAGCGAGTCGTCTCGCAAAAAAAAAAAACAATTTTTTTTAATTTTTGTCTTTTTTCATCAACCGCTAGCCCAACAATTGTTGAAGGGCATTTTTTTTCGATTCACGAAACCTACAAGAAAAAAAAAAAAAACCAAACTACCAACTTTCGATCTTTGAATTTATTCTCACAAACAATGGCATCGATACTATATATATATATATATATTATCAAATATATCTATCACTATCAATCAATACATCAGACAGAGAAAGTGAAATATAAATATGAATATGAATGAATGAATGATTAGAGAACAAAAAGAAAGAAAATGAAAGGTGAAAAGTGTGTTGTGGTGATGTGATGAAGAGAGAGACATAATAAAAAAAAATTTGTGGTCGGTCAGTCGGTCGGTCCATGTGTGTCAGATATTATTATCAATGAAAAAGTACCACACCACATGTGGAATGAAAGAGAGAGAGAGATAAAAAATAATATAAATCCAATGATAAATGTACCACACACACATGTATACTGCATACTGCATACTGACAACAATCCAGATCCAAAGTGGGGAAATAAAAAAAAAAAAAAAACAAGTACTTTTTTAAAATTTATTTATTATTATTATTAATTTTTATTTTCCAATAATAATAATATACTATCATCCCTCATCCCTCATCCCTCATCCTCATCCCTCTTCTTTATTTTCATACTACTATATAATAAACAAATTTGACAACATTAAATCAATCTTTCTTTTTTGCACACTCAATATATTTATATTTACATACATAGAGAGATAATTCATAATAATAATAATAATAATAATAATAATAATAGTTTTGTTCAAATAATTTTATATTATTATTATAGTAGTAGTATAGTATATATTATTGTCAATAAATCAATTTTCATCCATCATTTCTATTTATATTTCTATTTATTTATATTTATATTTCTATTTATTTATAATTGGTTGATTTTTGTTTTTAAAATTTAATGGAAAATAATAGTAGTACGACGACAGATGATGTACTATGTCATAGCTATTTACCATGTTCAGGGTCCATAACATCTGATATATTCCTTCAAGTAGTCTATGCATCATTACTTGGTATAGGGTCAAGGTTAATTGCTCAAGGCAGTGAATATTTATTAGAGGTGTGTAGACAAACGGACAGAGACAGACAAACAGACACCAATCATGATCAACTACTAATTCAAAATTTATTCATTTTTATAATTTATATTTAGATTGCATCACCAGGTATAATAGGTGGTTTAGTATTACCATTATTAGGTTCATTACCAGATGCTGCCATTATCTTGGTAAGTTGTCTTGGTGGAACTCCAGTTGAAATTCAACATAAAGTTGTATGTATCAAACTATAGTCCTATAGTGTTTAGATTACTAATGTTTATTTTTGTTTCTTTTTACTTTTATTTTATTTTTCTATAGACAGTTGGAATTGGTAGTTTATCAGGAAGTAATACATTTTTAATTACTATACCATGGGTAGTATCAGCATTTGTAGGTAAATGTGATATATCTCAAGTGACTGGTACTGCAAAGAACAAAACTTATACGGGATGGTCATGGTCAAAGACTGGTATATCTGTGATGAACTATACAACCATTCTGTGTCGGATGATGATTGCATCACTGTTTCCCTATTTCATCATCACACTGGCATTTATCATTTCACAGATTCGAGGAGAATCGATTCAACAACGAGAAAAGTATTGGGCATTGAGTACAAGTATCATATGCTTTCTTGGGTTTATAGCCTATAGTTGCTATCAAATGTACGATGTAAGATACCAAGAGAGAAAGTTGAATCTGGCAAGAAAGAAATTCCTTTGGGATCAATTCTGTAAACATGTTCAAATTCAAGTAAAGAGTAGAATGAAGTATCGGTCCATTGAACGAACATTTAGTTTACCTTCAGTTAAAAAGAATCTACCAAAATCACAAGATGATCAACAAATACCTCATCCAAAACCTCCCCTTTCTCCTACTATTAGTAATAATAACAATAATGATACTCAACAAGTAAATGAATTACAATTAAAAGATTTAGAAAATAATAATAATAATAATATTGATAATAATAATAATAATAATAGTATTGATAATAATAATGATATAAATTCAATAATAGATATTGATGTACCAAATTTAACTTCATCTCATACGATTGGACCATTTTCACAACATCAACAACAACAATTACAACAATATTTACAACAACAAAAATTACATCAACAACAACAATTACAACAAACAAAACAAAATACCGACGACCAAATTAAAGAACCATCAGAACCATCACAACAAGATCATGACCTTGGACAAGATAGACCAATTCAATTAAATAGAAGTGAATGTTTACATGATAAAAAGATGAAGAGAATGTTGAGTAGAGAATATGCAAATGCTAGTGGTCAAAATCTACCTCTTCATTCATCATTCCCAAGAAGAATTAGAGACTCTGTTCATATTCCACCACCACCAACACCGGTTCAAGATTCTTCGTCGTCGTCGACGAATAGTATGAAGCATAGTATCGATGGATTAAATTATTCTTCCTATCATTCTCGGCACCATGATATCCCATCTCATCAACTCTTCCAAGGTTTGCGTGACAAGATCAACGATTTGGATGAGGATGAGATCATGATGATGTCGTTTCCATCAAACCAACATCCTCAGATGGATATTACCATTGACGCATTCTCCAAAGACCAACAGCCAAAAAAGAAAGATGTTAGAACGATCATCATAAAGGCAGTGTTGGTACTCATCCTAGGAACCACCCTCACCTTTTTATTTGCCGATGCTTTTGTCGAATCAATCACCCAGTTTTCTCAAAGAGTTGGTATCCCTCCCTTTTACATTTCCTTTATCATTGCTCCATTTGCTCTGAACTCTAGTGAGTTGGTTGCTGCCTATGTTCTTTGTCAAAAGAAAAAAAGAAAAAATATTTCTCTTGTGTAAGTCAAAAGAAAAAATTATATATATTAGATAAGAGTAGGAGTATTAATTAATCTTTTTTTAATTATTTTATAGACATTCATCATTATATGGAGCAGTAACAATGAATAATTTAATAGCACTTGGTATTTTATTATTTATGATTTATTATAGAGGATTGATTTGGAATTTCTCTGCCGAGACTTTGGTTATCTTTATCGTCACGTTGACGGTAGGAGCAATGGGGTCGCTTAAAACCACTTTTACCATGATTCATGCGGTGGCCATTGGTTCATTATTCCCCGTTTCAATCATTATTATAGCAGTCTTGGAAAGTAGTAGTATAGGTTGGGCATAAATGAAATGGAAAAGAAATAATGTTCAATCTAGATAGATTTAAATAAATCTATCAATCCAAATAACAAAGTACATTTTTATTAAAAGGGGATTAAATCATAAATAATTATTTCTTAGTTATTTGTATTTGACATTTCTAAAACATATCCAATCATTTGGTAATCTAAATGGCATCCGGATGACTCTTTTGGTATTGACAAAAATCTTTAAGTATCTCTGTTTTGCCTTGATCTTTCTTTATCTATAAGCCCAAAACATAGAGTGAATTTGGAATACCAACATTTACCAAATCTTCCAAAATAAGTTTTAACAGATTAATATTTTATTTTATGATCTCTCTCATCTTAATATTCGGTTCATTTTCCAAAGGAGGAGGAGTGGAACTTTATAACTATGGGAAAATAACATGTATAATAGTTTTCTTTTTAATGATTTTTGTATCTTTAGATTTTAGATATGGTTTTTTTTTGACAACAACACAACTTTTCATATTATTTATTTCAGATCATTGATCATCAACGAAATCAAAACTGTATTCTTCAATCAGAACATTCAGTCCAACTATTATCCAAATATCAACTACTTAGTTAAAAAAACCATTAATTATGGCCGTAATTAATTTATTTATTGATTTTTTGTATTGATAATGACTAAACCAATATTATACTCTAGGGATATTAATTTAGATCTACGATGAGAAATTTGGTGTTGATGAAAGGATTTTAACAACCCAATTTTATCTACTAGAGATACATTGAGTTGTAATCGTCTTAGTGATGTACTTGAAGAGATGGCTTCAATAAGATTATAATTGTGAGTTTCGATTGTGGATATTTTAAAATCTGTTACAACTTGATTGATACTCTTTGACTTTTATATAAAGTGTATCAAATAGTCGCAACAATCTCTGATCCCCTTGATAGCCAATTTCCTTAGACTAGGCAATTTCTCCAAATCAAGTGTACGTAGATCAACATTTCCAAAAGAGTAGTCAATCATTAGATACTCTAGTGTCAATGAAAAGATTGGTCGAATGTTGCCTCTAATCTCCAAACCCAATTTTGTAAGTGTAGATTGTCCAACTATAAAAGTCCATTCACGATCGAGAACAAGTACCTCTAATGATTTCAATTGTTTGGCATTCAAAACATACTCTTTAAAATCTTCCAACAAAGTATCGTATCGTGCTGATTCAACCGATATAGATGTAATGGTATTTGGGAGTGTCTCTGTGAATAATCCGAATCTATTCATTGACAGCTTGGAAAGACGAGGTAATGATGAAAGACTTGAAATAAAACCATGACTTGTATGTCCAAAATTATCACTCAACTCGACTGATTCCACTGCTTGGCATTGTTGAAATAGTTTGATACATTGATCAGAGTCTTTTGGATATACTGATCTAAATTTGAGACTCTTTAAATTTTCCAACTTTGGTGATACTTTGTCAGTGTCCAACAGAACTTGGACGATATCTCCAGTCGGGGAAAGCCCTGGTGTAGTCTCCCTATAGAATGGGTGTTCAATACAGAGATGTTCATTGGCAATTCCAACAATTGATTGTTGACAAGAATATTTTCTTTCAAGGATTGGATCATTAGGGATTGTATCTTTAATAGGTAATGCTCTAATTGCTTGGTTTTGTCATTTGAAAGATGGGATTCTTTACTCCCAGGTAGAAATGAAAGATTGGGTGGAAATTGATACAAGAATGATGTCATTTCCCAGTGTATGAATTGGGGACTCCAATTTAGGGAATAGGACTGTCCGTACGATAGATTAGCAGGTACACCAAAATTTTTTTTTAAATCAGTTGATTGTGATTGGAGGACCGCTTTGACAATATCAAACCATCTCTTGTTCACACTTGCCAATGGTACTATTAGAGTTGTATCATCTTCAATGATACAATCTCGAATGACTAGATTGACCATGATACCTTGTACATAACCGGGGATATAAACTAACCTTTTACAATATTCCCTTGCTATTCTCAATTTATTTCTTTGTCTTCTTCTTTTCTCTTGTCTTTTCTTTTATTTTATTGAAATATTTATTGTCATGATTATAATAATAATAATAAAAATGAAAATATAAATATACATATATATTTATTTTAGAAAAAATATACAATCACCAACTTGATTCATTTCTAGTTTTTTAATTTACCAACCTTTCGAAAAAAGGTTTAAAAACTTAAAAAATTTAAATCTGTATATAATTAAGGTTCCTTTATTATCTTCTGCATCTTAAGAGGGTAAAATTAATTGTAAAAGATTGATCAATCTCTATAAAATTTATTAATTAAATTATTTAATAATTATTTGTATTTTTAATGACAAAACCAATATCAAGATTGTGATAAATTAAATGGGGTGTTGGGAAGGTCAATTTTCACCAAGTGACGTACAAATCAAGAGCAAGAGCTGCTCTTCATACTATCGTCTCACTGGAAAGTATGATGCCTCGACCAGCGTCTTCCAAGGAATCATGATTGACAACACTTAAGAAAAACAACAACTCAAGAAACTCAAGAACACCTTGACTCACGACGCACTCACCGGTCTCCAAAATAGATACCATCTCAACAACAAGATTCAAAAGTTTTATGCCAAGTCTTCATCTGAACAATGCTCAATCTACTTTATCGATCTCAACAAATTCAAACAAATCAACGATTCCCACGGACACGACAATGGTGATGTTGTCCTCAGATCAGTTGCCGATCGTTTCCAACAATTCGCCGACGAATCAGTTCTCCCAGTCCGCCTCTCTGGCGATGAATTCCTCATTGTCAAACGCAATGTAGAATCAAACACACAAGCTGACCAATTCATTTCCAGCTACCTCTCAAGTGTCCAATGCGACACTGTCCAACTCAACGACCCAACCACCTCGATCAAAGTCACTCTTTCAACAAATCACAATTAACCCAAACCGACAAGTTGATTAAATGTGCCGATGAAAGAATGTATCAAATGAAAAAGAACCTTTTACCAAACGGCAATACTACCGTTACCTTTACCGCTGATATTTAAATTAATAAATATTAATTAACAAAAAAAAAAAGAAAGTAGTATCTTCTTTATTCTTTTTTTTTTTAATAACTTCAACATTCAACAAATAATATTATATTGTAATAATGACTACTACAATAATAACATTTCAATCTATCTATAGAATGAAATACATTAGACAATTGATATTCAATCATATTAATGATATATCACAGCAATTGTATAAAGGCAGTATTTATGATGATGGTAGACAACGATCATTAGTCGGAAGAGATATCATCAAGTTAACATTACCTCGACTTGAAATGGTATCAAAGTTTGCAATGCCATGGAACTATATTAGTCATTATCTACCAACAGATGTTGATGAAATAGAATTCAAACAAAGAAAAAGAGCTATTACTCAATACTGTCATCATCGTAATGCAACGTTGGATACACTCGTACATCTATTGGAATGGTCTCCCACCGTTCAAATTGAATGGAAGTACTTGAAAAACAGTGGTTGTGATATAAAGTAATCAAGAGATATTAGAGTATCTCATCAAGAGGTGTTCTGTAGCTGTTGCTGGAGATTCGAATGACTTTCTCGTTTGGGCAATGAATAGTGCATGCCTGAATGGGTATCTCGAGATTGTCAAGTTGTTGCACTCGAGTATCAATGGTTTAAAAATAGATAAAACAACAATGGACAGAGCTAGTAGAGTATCAATTGACATTGTAAAGTATTTACATGATAATAGAACTGAAGGTTGTAGTCATAGTGCGATGGTAAGAATCCAACCAAAAAAACAAAAAGAAAAAAGTAAAAGATAGACTTATATTCTTTTTTTTATTTGATTGTAGGATAATGCTTCAAGAAATGGTCGTTTAGATATTGTCAAGGTGAGTGTGAGTCATAAGATATTAACATTAGATATGAAAGAAAAGTTCCATTAACCCTCTCAAAAATATTTATATTAGTTTCTTCATTCTCATAGAACTGAAGGTGCATCAAAGAATGCTTTGGTTTGGGCATCTGAAAACGGACACATTGAAATTGTAAAGTTCCTTTCCGAGCATCGTACTGAAGGTGCAACATCCAGTGCTATCGATTGGGCTGCTCAAAATGGACACATTGAAATTGTAAAGTATCTTTCTGAGCACCGTAGTGAAGGTGCAACAACCAATGCTATGGATGGGGCATCTAGAAATGGACACATTGAAATGGTAAAGTATCTTTCAGAGCACCGTAGTGAAGGTGCAACAACCGATGCTATGGATGGGGCAGCTAGAAATGGACACATTGAAATTGTAAAGTATCTTTCTGAGCACCGTAGTGAAGGTGCAACAACCAATGCTATGGATGGGGCAGCTGGAAATGGACACATTGAAATGGTAAAGTACCTTTCAGAGCATCGTAGTGAAGGTGCAACAACCGATGCTATGGATTATGCAGCTAGAAATGGACACATTGAAATGGTAAAGTATCTTTCAGAGCACCGTAGTGAAGGTGCAACAACCGATGCTATGGATGGGGCAGCTAGAAATGGACACATTGAAATGGTAAAGTATCTTTCAGAGCATCGTAGTGAAGGTGCAACAACCAATGCTATGGATGGGGCAGCTAGAAATGGACACATTGAAATTGTAAAGTACCTAGAGCATCGTAGTGTGGTGACGATACCTCACTTATAAAAACCCATGTTCACCGTGACATAATCAAGTCATTATTATACCTCTACAAATACAAATAAATAATGTTAATTAACACCCCAACACAGTAACCTTTATCACAGTCGTAATATAATAATAGTAATTCTGTTTATTCCTAAATAAGAAATTAGATTATTCCACCCTCAACATGTTCCCTCCCTTTCTCTCTTGCAACCTCACACACCCACCAATTGTATTAACACCACCACCACTCCCTTGCTAAAACAATAAAAATAATAGATACCCATTTTAAGTGTGTATTTTAAAACAACGAATGATTCATTGTTATAAAAATCTGTATATGCTCGATCACCACCATCATCATCAAGTTTTCTTGACCTCCCAATCAAATTGGATACATTGTAATTATCGCTTGAACGATCTGTGTCAAAGTAGTTGATGATACTTTTGGAGTAGAATGATCAACATCCACCAACCAGTAGATATTGATCATCATCAGGCATAGCAGATCATTGTTGGTCGATAATTATTATCATCTGACCAGATATAGATATCAGTCCTTTTTGGATGAAAATGGTAATCATTGGAATTATCTCTACCCAAAACTAGAGCTGCCTCATCATTATTTTAAATCACAAATCAAACAATCAACAGTTTAATAATTAAATTCACAACAACTACCATACACTATAATAATAATATTAAAAATGGCAATTGAAATCATCAACTTTAACCAACTCATCCAAAGACAATCTTTGGATAGATTCCCAAACACACTATTCCCAACCAACTATTACTACATTGTATTTTGTATCATTGTTTTCTTATATACCATCCAAAAGCGTGACAAGAAGTCGTCAAGTCGCTTTATGGACATTCTCTCATCAACTCAATCAATCAGTATTTTACAAAATGTTTGTAAAAATCCAGCTTTATCTCTGACTAGAGATAGATTGAGTTGTAATCGTTTGAGTGTCAGACTGGACGAGATGGCATTAAAAAGTGGATTGAACTTTTCGGATGTATGAAAATCCGTTACAACTTGATATCCTTTGACTAGATTTTTAAGGGTTGGGAATTTCTCCAATAGAAAAAAATACAAATAAATACCATCGCTACCCAATTCATAGGTAAAGTCAAGAGTTAAATGTTCTAGTGTCCTTGGTAAACATTGAAATGTAAACACTTGACTCTTTATCTCCAATCTTATTTTGGTGAGCGTGGTTTGATCAAGTTTAAGCCCCCAAAAGTTATCGAGGACTAGACCATCTAGTACTTTGAGTTGTTTTGAATTCAAAAGATATTTTGTGAAATCCTCTTTATACAATTAGTCAACGTGATTTGAAGTGATATGGATGTGATTGTATTTGGGAGACATACAAATAATGACCCTTTTCTATTGAGGGGAAACTTTGACAAGATGAGGTAATATGAAAAGTGAAACGATTTGAGAAAATGATGAAAAAGTCTTTTTTTTTTTTTTAATAATTATTTTTTAATAATGATTATTTGTATTTGTAATTGTGAAATTATTTCCAACTTTGAGGTAAACCAGATTAGATCTGGGATTGACCCTTTCATTTTTAAAAAATGAACCTGGAATCACCGAATCTAGTTTAAATTGTTTAAATGTCAGACTTGAAGAGATGGCATCTAAAAGAGCAAGATCCTTTTTAATCTCGAATCTACGAATAGATGTTTCTGCGCGCCTAAGACTCTTTGACTGTGTTATGAGGTGTGTCAAATAACCACAACTATCCATCGTAGCACGAATGACCAATTTTCTTAGACGATTTAATTTCTCCAATCGAAATGTATTTGGATCATGGTCTCCCCAACGATCTATTGTTAGAGACTCTAGTGTTGATGGAAATATCTGTATCTTTGACGTCGTGTCGTCAATAAGTTGTAAATGATCACTTATAACCAATCCTATTTTTTTTAGTTTTGTATCTACAAGTATTCCAATCCATTCTTGGTCAAGGTCAATGCCCTTGACAGACTCTAGTTGTTTTGAATTCAATACATAATCTTTCAGATCTTGTTGTGAATTGTCACCGTCATTGTCTCCATATCCGACCGATATCGATGTGATTGTGGTTGGGAGTATCCCATAGAAAGGACCAAATCGATTGAGTGATAATTTAGTCAATCGAGGTAATGATAAAAGTGTTGAAACGACTGTTTCAAATCCCACGGGATTAGAATGGTCCATTTCATACTCGAATATACCGACTGATTCAACAGACTGACATTGTCTAAATAGTCTAGCACATTGATCTTCATCCAATGGAAACACTGATATAAACTCGATACTCTTTAAATTTGCCAAATATTTTGGTGATACAACTTTGCCACGATGATTCATGTCTATTAGAACCTCAAAGATATCGTGTGTTGGCTTATCAGATGAAATAGGCTTTTCGGATGGGAGTTGAATGCGTAGGTGTTCCAGTGCAGGCATTGGTAGTGCCAACAACTGCCTGTTGATGGTGTTGTCCCTAAATGGTCTGACTTTTAGTTCTTGTATCTTTGGCAAGACGTATTTCTCGAGTGCTTCGACGACATCTTTTGAAAGTTGTGAAAAGGTTCTAAAACTACAAGGCAAGAAATCAAGCTTGATTGGGTATTGGTACAAGTAGCAGTGGTAGTAGTAGTCTACCGGTATCTCATACTCTGTTGATGGATATGCCAGAGGTTGTTTGGAATACATATCTTTGTCAAAGAGTAAGTGTGCCGCGTTACTAAACTTTGGTAGCAAGTTTGATGACCTTGATGATTGTAGTACATTCTTTACAATATCAAACCATCTCTTACTCACTATTGCAAGTGGTAATATCGGACCTGTATCATCATCAATAATACAATCTCGAATGACTAGATTAAGTATAATACCGTGTACATAGACAGGTACAAGTATACGCTCTAATCTTTGTTGCACCAATTCTTGTGCTTGTAATCTATTTCTTTGTTTTTTCCTTTTATCTTTTCTTTGTTTTTCTTTCATTTATAAATGAAATTAAATTAAATTAATATTACAAATAAATAATTATACAAATAAATCAATAAATAAATAAATAATTAAGTTAATAAACAATGATTCAATAATTCGATGAACACGCATGTCTTGTCTTGTCTTTTTTGGTTTTTTTTTTTGAGAAACAAGAAGGGTACATCCTTTCTTTTTTTTTTTTTTTTTTATTTATGTTGTTGATTCAAAACTTTCTATTATCCTTATATCTATCTCTCTCTATATCTCTACATATTCGATCAAATATATAATATTGTCTATATCTGCGGCCGTAATAATATTATTTACTTTTTTACTTTTCATTTCATTTTCTCTTTAACCTTGGGTTTATTGAGTTGGACTGTTGGTACCGGTCATTGGTTCCGTATAATTTCCAGGGAATAGTCCAGTTGTAGTTTGATTGTTTCTAGTGACTGAACCCAACCACCAACCAGTTTCGTGGTCTTGAGTGATGACCGAGATGATCTCATCTTTATAAAACTCCAAGTCTCCCTCTTGCTCAGAGATGCAGTCCCAGACAGCACGAACCAATCGTTTGTTGGGAGGAGGTGGTGGTATTCTTCGAGAGAGGGGGCGTTTCATGGGTTGTGGTTGTTGTGGTTGACCACCGCCACTATAGTCGACACCACTGTCAAACGCGTTGGTGGCCATCGTGTATGGCGACCCACTGTCTGCAGAGGAAGGAGGTGTATTAACAGGTGAGACAGTGCGCATCGGCCCGCCCTTGGTAGGAGTTCCAATATTAGATGATGTAGGTGTAGAGGTGGAAACAGGTGGACGAATAGGAGGAGACGTGGTATTGGACGATGACGACGATGTAGAAGATGTAATGGTAGTGGTGGCGGTAGTTGTAGTGGTCATTGAAGCGGGAACTGACATTCTGTCGCCCTTGTTTGGTGTAGGTGGAAGTGGATGGCTTGGTGGAGCCGGTGTTGAGTGTATTCTTGGTCGCGTATTATTATTTTGATTATTGTTAGTATTATTATTCGTAGTATTATTATTATTTGGATTATTATTTGGATTATTATTATTATTTGTAGGTGGAGTACCAGATGGATTAGAAAATGAATTGGTTGGTGGTGAAGAAGTAGATATATGTATGTTATTGCCATGTAGGTTATTCATGCTGCCACCTCCAGTGGACTTGATAGCAGGCACACTCGTGTGTCTATTAAGTGGTGGTTTATCTTGACCAAATCCAGATGCAGATGATAATGATGTTGTATGTGATTTTGTAAATGGTGTGTATCCTCCCTAAATCAAATAAAAATCATATTAGTACTTTTGAAAAGAGATAGATATATGTCAATATCAATTCTAAAGACTTACAGAACTATTTCGATGTCGTAGATACTTTGCTATACTATCTGGTATATCATCTGTAAAGGCAATTCTACATTTAAAGCAATACTTTGCTTCCTTTTCATACTCTGTTTGACATTCTGGACAAGTAATCATTTTTTAATTAATCTCTCTCTTTGTTTTCTAAAAATATATGATGATGTTCAAAATGAGAGTAGGTTAGAATATATATATATATATATAGATAGACAACAGTTTCTTCTTGAACAGTAGTACTTACTTGTAGTCTAACAATATATCTATTTATCTATATATATACAATATCACAAGACTTTTACGCTCTATAATACAACAACAATGTAGTGATGGTGATGTCTGACAATACCAATACAGTAACTTGTTTCTTTCTCTCTTTACCAACTCTTTACAATCTCTTTCTCTTCTCTTTCACTTTCTTTCTTTCTCTTTCTCTTCTTTCGTGTTGACAGTTTGAACTATTGAAACAAGCTTTGAATGATGATGATAATAATAATCATCCCACACCCAACTCCAATATTATCATCAAAAAATTATTTTATTTTAAATTTAATTTAAAATTGCGCTCACCAGCTAGTCTGCAACTTCACAAGTGTCCACTTTCTTTCTGCTTCGACGACTACTACTACGTATTTAGACTGATGTGATGATATCATCATAATCATCTTCTTCTCTTTGGATATGAACTATCACCTTCACCTCCACACTATTCTTCATACCTCCAAGTGTTCTCATCTCTTGATCAACCATCAAGATCAAAGATCAATAATAATGACAAAATGATGCACCTCACTCTTTCTTATTTTCTTTCTTTCTTTCTCTCTCTCTCTCTCAAACTCTCAACTACTTGTATCCTTTGAACTAAGACTATATATTTAAAAGATGATGATGATGATGATGCCCATTCCATTTTATGTATTCTCATCCAACAATACACATTAACAAAAATAAAGGGGGTTGTTGTGTAAAATGTGTAGGATACTTTTAAAAACAAGTAAGTATAATACTATTTAATATTATTATTATTATTATTATTATACATGAATAACTAATACATATATATTTATATATATTACAACAATTGTTAGAAATGTGAATTGGAAGATGAATTGGATGGATTGGATGACAAATGGAATTATAAATGACTTAATAGTATTATTATTATTTATTATTGTGGAAACTATTTAAATGATGAAATTACCATTACTATTTATATTATTAATAATAGAAGTTACTTTATCATTACCACCAACAAACCAAAAACATGGTATTAATAATAATCATAGATTGATAGTAATTTCAATCGATGGATTTAGATGGGATTATTTAAATAGAAATATTACTCCTAATTTAAACAAGATTCATTCTGGTGTTAATAGTTGCCGTGCATCTTATTTATCACCTCAATTCCCTTCAAAAACATTTCCTGTATGTTCATAAAACAAAACAACTTAAAATCAGTTTATAATAATATTCTCTCATTTGTTTAGAATCATTTTACATTGGCAACAGGGTTATACCCAGAAAGTCATGGAATCATTAGTAATGAAATGATTGATCCAAAATCGAAAAGGAAGAAGTTTTCGTATGCTACAGACTCTGTATACGACGCTCAATGGATTACAGGTGAACCTATTTGGGTTACAGCCATTAAACATAATCTTAAAGCTGCATGTTGTCTTTGGCCAGGTTGTGTTGTCCCTATTCAAGGTATTCTACCAAATCCTATCATTTCTCCTGTATGCAATTTTAAAAAACAAATTAATAATTAATCATTTGATTTACTAATATGCCATTTTTGATTGATTGGGATAGTATAAAAATACAAAATCACCATTAGTATTGGACCAAGTATTTAAATGGCAGGTACAGGATAACCCAGACTTGACAATGGCGTATTTGTCAGAGGTGGATACTGCCAGTCATAAATTTGGAGTAGATTCAACCGAGACACTACAAGCTATAAAAGATGTGGATCGAGCCATCGGACAATTTATGGAGAATATGACAAAGAGTGGATTGATTGATACGACCAACCTGATCATTCTATCGGATCATGGAATGACCAATGTAAAACATACAATTGATATAACTAAATACATTGATATGTCTAAAGTATTTATGAGTGGATCTCCAACACCTATCCTATCACTCTATCCACTTCCACATGTTGATGGACCATCTGATTCTCTTTATACTGGACTTACAGTAGACGAGATATACAATGCTCTACACGGTAAACATCCAAACCTACAAATCTATAGAAAGGAGGATGTACCCAAACACTACCATTTTAGTCTGCACTCCAATACTGCTATCTCACCAATAGTGGGTATTGCAGATTTAGGGTATTCCATCTTTACAGGAACCGTACTGCCAGTTGAAAAGGGTACTCATGGATACGACCCATCCTATCCAGATATGAAAGGTATCCTTATTGCCAGTGGCCCAAATATCAAATCTCAATCAAAACCATTCGACTGTGAAAACACAGATCTATTCAATGTCTACACTACTCTTTTAAATATACCATCCAATTCTCCACACCTACCAAAAACAAATAGTACTACTTATTTAAAAGATTTAATTCTCCAAAAGTAAAAAGTAAAAAGTAAAAGTAAATTAAATAAATAAATAAATAATCCAGTTCCACATTCAGGATGTTCCAGGGTGGAAATATAACAATAAACAATAAACAATAAATAATAATAATAAATAATAATAATAATATAATAATGATATATGATATACCATTTTCTGTTCTTTTCTTTTCTTTTTAATCTGGAGATAGTTGTTTTTGGTTTATGTTACTGTGAAGTTATTTATTAGACCTAAGTTTATATTAAATCCTTTTACATCTTCATGGCTTCACCCTTCTTCTTCTTCTCTCCACCGAGTTCGAAACGCTTGCAACGCTTGAGGACGGTTTGCTTCTTTCTACCGCAACCACATTCCATACGGAGGACGATCTTCTTGGTGGTCTTGGCCTAAATGTTATCATGAGATTGATGATTTGATGATAGGGTATAGTATGGATGAAAATGATGAATTAGATACTATGTCTAGACTACAAACCAACTATATTTTCTATAACTATATTTTGTTGATAACATACCTTCTTGTGGAAGACTGGCTTCTTTTGACCACCGAAACCCTTTTGCTTACGATCGTAACGTCTCTTACCTTGGGCCATCAAGGATGGTTTACCGGCCTTGTATTGGGTTACCTTGTGTTGGGTGTGCTTGTTGCACTTGACACAGTGGGTCTTACGGGCTTTTGGGATATTGACCTACATAATAGATAGAGTATGGGTGAAGGATTAGATAAATGTACTAAGAGTGCTGTTGAGAAGATGAATAGAGATAGATAGAGCAAGTGATATACTGATTCGCTGTCTGATCTCAATTCTATTCTATTCTACTTCTCTATTTCCAAATGTATGCTATGCTATGATAAGTACCATTTTGACACAGTTTAACAGTGATGAGAGACAAGAAACTGAATAAGCAGAGAAGCCGATATCGTTCAGCTGCGCAGAGCCAAGAGAGCGCAGAGGGATTCAGCTCGATTTCTGAATTTCTTTTTTTTTTCAAATTTAAATTTTGCTCTTTTTTCTTTCAAACCGACAAAATTTTTTGCCCCATATCATTTGGTTTGATTGAGCATACTGTGAACAACCCACCAAAGCAACAAGAGTAAATAAGAAAGAATGAAGTGTACTCAGTGAAATTGGATGAGGTTGTCAGTGCAGCGATGGACAAGAGAGAAAAGGAAATACAGATATTGAAAGAAGAGAATGACAAATTAAAAAAGCAGCAAATTCAACGGTCATCTCTATGATAGCAAACTCATACATACATACACTTGATGCAGCATTGGATTACTATTTACAACACGTTTTAATGCCAGAGATCAACAAGAAAATCAAAAATGGAGTTTATCGGATGAGTATTTTTTGAAATTGAGACGAGGAATACATATGGTTCGACTTGTTGATAGACTTCTCCATTTTTGATTTTCTTGTTGAACTCTGTGTAAATTTGGTCAAGCTTGCTGCAATGATACCCGAAAATAGAGACCGTGTTTCCCATCCCTCAGTGGACAGAGAGTTCTTCAAGTAGTGAAGCAGCCAATCAAAGACAAAATCGGAAGCAGAGACCAAAGCACGAAGTGTAAACTATTGGGTAATAATATAATATAATAAATAATTGTGAAATAGAATCGATTTGGTTCACGGCTGTCTCTGATTTCATTCGATGTGAGCCTGTGAACTTGTGAGTGAGTGATGATATCATCACATTATAGATAGACCCATATTATATAATTAGACAGGGGACATGTTATAATTATAACGGTTACTTTGAGACTCACCACACCAACTTGGGTTTTCGAGAATGATCCCTCCCCCTGTTTTGCACCACATTATATTGACTCTCGGCTCCATCCAATCACCCAATTTTTTGAATTTTTTTCTTTTAATTTAAATGAGCTGTGTACTCTCTATATTTTGAACGAACCCCTCCTTGCACCAACCTAACGTCTTTAATTTACACATCGCAGCTCCAACATTGTCGATATCTCTTTTTATATAATATAATAATAATATTTATTTATTTATAATTTAATGTAAGTTTCTCTCTTCTCTTCTCATCCATCATAATTATCTTTATCTATCTGATCACCCCCAAAGTGATCACATACACGCAATGCATGCATTGTTGTTGTTGTGTTTGGTTTGGTTGTAGATTGTGTGTGGGTGGTGTTGGTGGTGGTGGTGGTGTGATTTATTTGTTTCTTTAGATGCATATACACACAATCAATGATATATAGGCTGCATTCCGTTCGTTGTTCATTCTATCATCTCTCTCTCTCCCTACCCTACCCTCACACTATACACCATCTAAATGTTTACCTTCACAACCAACAACAACAACAACAACAATGAACACCTATGATTCACAACACTCTCTCATATGTTGTTGAATTTTGAAATATAAGAGAGAGAGAGAGAGAGTAGGGGGGGAGTAGAGGAGAGTAGAGACTATCAACTGGGTGCTTGCAACAACAACAAATGTTTTTTACAGCAAGCAGACCCCACCCCCTCTACTCTATAAAACAAACAAATCAATGAGAGCAAAGAAGGATGAAAAGTATTTTTTAATTTTTTTTTAATTAAAAAAAGACCACTCTGCTATGCTCTGTCTCTCTCATCTTTTTGGGGTAGTTATAGTAGTAGTAGTAATCTAACCTATTCATTCTCAATCATATTCATTCACTTACCCCTTCCTCACATCACACATTTCATTTCATTCTCTCATTCACTGTTCCTACTTGTTGTTGCTTCTATTACTTATATTAATTATTTAATTATTACATACAATATATAATATAGATTCAATAGTTCAACTATACCTATATCTTTTTTCATCTCGATTCTTCTACGCAAATTCAACTTCTTACAAGTAAAAACATACATACATACATACATACTACATATACATACAGATAACAGATAGATAGATAACAAAAATGGTCGATACATCTGATCTCCTCCCAAAAACCCCAAGATACTTAAAAGTCCCATTAATTATACTCAATGCAGTCCTTTGGGTATGTATACATCATATACGATGACAACAACAACAACAACAACAATCGATTATAAGTAGTAGTCAGTAGTAGTCAGTCTAACAATCATTACTTAATATGATCATATTATTTATAGGTATTGGGTATTATTTTAATTTCACTTGGTGGATATGCTAGTTCTAAATTATCAAATCTCAAGGAACTTATTAATATTTCGTTGCCAGTTGGTATTATTGTGATTGGTGTCTTTTTCGTGATTCTCACAATTGTAGGTTGCGTTGTCGCCTACAAGGAGAAACTCGTTGGTTTGGTCGTCTACACTGTATTCATGTTGATTCTTTTGGTCTGTTTGATTGGTGTCGGTGGTGGTGCTTTTACCTACCGTAACGACGCCGAGACTCCACTCCTCAAGGCTTGGAACCTTGCCACCCACTCTGAAAAGGGTCTCATGGAAGACTATTTCGTGTGTTGTGGTTGGTCTGCCGAGGTCATTACCACCAGCAAGAATGTCAGTGGTATCTATGACCCATGTCTCACCTATGCCCCCGAAAACGACCCAACTCCAACAGTCCGTAACTCCACATACGGTCCAGATTATGCCTGGTGCGGTGAGACTATTGTCGACTTTGTCCAAAAGAACCTCTACATTGCCGGTGCTGCTGGTCTCTCGATCGGTATCATTGAATTCATTGCCATGCTCTTTGCCCTCTTCTTGATTGTCCGTATTTGCAACAGTCCAAGATCAAAGTCATACGATTAATTCGTCCGCTGACACACAAAAGTCCCCATCCCAAAAAACAAGCAATCAATCTAAACAATCAAAAAGAGTAAAGTAGTAAAACAAAATAACCAAATCAAAATAATACGTATAACAAATAACAAATAACAAATAACAAACTACTATGTTTTACAAACAATACAATTTTAATTGTCGATTTTCAAAATAATAATAATACAATTATAAATAATAATAATAAATAAAAATGTTTTAAATAAAAATAATATAATATATAATTATAAATCAACTACATAGTTTGCAAAGTAGAGTAGTTATCCATGCCATAAAGTAGTTTAATTTGTTTATACTTACTATTCTATTGATTTTCCCAATGTCGTGTTTGGGATAAGGAAATAATAAAAAATCAGATGTTTGATGATCATTCATTTCATTCATTTCATTTCAGTCATAGACTAGGTATATAGTTGTAATATATATATATTTGTTTAGTTTAATTGTAGAGTATAATAAATAATAATAATAAATAATAATAATGTCGGGAGGAGAACAAAAGTTAACATGGGAATTACTAGAGAAATGGACAGGAGATAAACTACAAAAGATGGTTGGGTGTCAACCCGATGATATAGTACAACATGTATTCTCATTGGAGAGTGTTAGAGACATTGAAAACTATCTATCTGATCTACTCGGTAACACAAGACAATCAAAACAATTTGTTGAAACATTCTTAAAGAAAATGAATTCTCTACCCAAGAGAACAAAGGTAAAAAGAGATATGATAGATAATAGTATAGAGTATATGAATATATGATATTAACAAATCAATTCTATTGTTCTATATAGAAAAAACAATCACTTGCACATACAATACAAGTTAAACAAGGACAACAAGGACAAGGACAAGGACAAAAGGGAAACAAACAAAAAGTAAAGATATCATCATTTTCAGAGATACAAATTGATGGTACTATAGGAGATACATGTGAATGTCAAGCTACCAAACACAAGTTGATTGGAAACTGTTTGAATTGTGGAAAGGTGATTTGCGAGCATGAGGGTAACGGACCATGCAAATTTTGTGGAACTGCTCTCAACTCCAAGATTGATCATTCCAAACCGATTGTCATGTCTGACAAGGAGACAGCTGCCATTCAATACAAGGATCGTATCTTGGGCTACCAAAAACATGGTGTTCAACGTACCATTGTCTATGACGACCAAGAAGATTATTTCTCCAATGCCAACAACAAGTGGATATCGGCCGACGAACGAAAAACCATTCAACTCCAAGAGCAAGAATACAATGACAAGATGGAAAAGGAAAAGAAAACAATTAGAATTCAATTGGATTTTGTCAATGGTCGTATTCTACCTGCCACAACTCCCATCGCTCCACCAAAGATTGAAAAGTTAAATTTAACAAATCAATCAAATATAGAGAAAAATAATAATAGTAATCAAAACTCGGTTGAATCTTTGAAATTAAAAGATGGTGATCAAGTAGTAAAGAATATGCATTATGTAACTGAACATCGTAGACATATTCCAAAATCAAAACAACAACAACAACCAAAAGGAGGAGTACAATCTAAACAAAGTTCAGTCGTACAACAATACTATGGTATAGAAGACGATGGATTCATCTTGAATAATAATCAAGAAAATGAAAATCAATTTAAATTTAAAGGTATTATTGAAGGTTTATGGTTTAATAATTTTCATCAACAACAACAACAACAAAATAATCAAAATAACCAACCTAATCAACTGAATCAAATTAATTGTAAATTACCAAATTCAAATATTTATAATAATTATTTAAAGACATTGGGAGAAAAGAATAATAATTATTTTATTATTGGACCTGATCAGTATCATCAGGATACTGTCTTTTCATTGACATCGACCGTTCCAAAGAGTACGTTGGAGTTTGTAAAGTCGTTGGTTGACCAATCCACCAAATTCAAAGTAATGATCAATGTTGCACTGCAGATACCAATGGATTTTGTATTTTCAGCTAGCGATTCAGTTTCAACACTGAAAAAGAGAATAGAGAGTTATTGTAGTGTTGGAGTCAGTCAGTTTACATTGGTTCTACCGTATGGTTTCAATGACACTTTTACAACCATTCCTACATCTGTTCAATGTGCAGACTACAATACTGCCAAGACCTATGCTTCATGCCAGGTGACAACGATCAATCAAGTGTTGCAAGAGCTTAGTGGCAAGGTCAAAGACATGTTGGTGTGTCCTAGTTACTTCCAAGTTGATTTGGCCAAAGCTCCAACACGACAACACATTGAGTATTGGAGAGAGCTGATTAGAGGTCTAGACACTAGATGCACATTGGCCATCTCAACACCAAGTGGTCGTTGTGACAATTACATCCTCTCCAAACTCTCCAATCTGTTTGATAAACGTCAAATTGTGATTATCGAAAAGTTCCCCTACCGTTCACGTGTCGACAAGAATACTGTCTTGCTCGATGCCTACCAACCACTCTTTTCAGACAATGATCGTCGGTTGGCAGGTGTCTTGGCCACACCGTACAACCATAGTTTCCTCCTAGACCGTTTGGATCTTTTAATCCCTTTGACCACCTTTTCACAGTACCTTCATTCGCCACACAGCTATCAAGACGAGTTGACCATGAGAGCCAATCTCGCCGAGATGATGATGAATGACTCTTTGGCCGAAGATTTTGCAGACGTTATCATTTCACTCTCCAATGGTGTCCTCGATACTATGCTACTCGATATTAGCACATCGATCGATGACCGTGGTCGTGTATTCATCTCCAATCTAGTTCAAAAGGCTCAAAATGTCCTCACATTCTTTTCATCCAGTAGTCTAGAATTATCAAAATCCATTCAAAATATTATTAATATTTTATTACGTATTTTAAATAAAAATAAATAATCAAAGTAATATAATATAATAAATATAATATAATATGTAATGTGCAATAGGTGACAGAAACCCCATAAAGAGTTGAAGGAATTGGTTTGTTATTCAAACATTTGGATCCAATTGCTTAAAAGTTAGAACCAAATATATATAGGTATATTATAGTATTTCCAATTTAATATATATACCTTTCTTCCCCTGTGTCAGTAAAAAACATAATTATCTTATGTAGTACAGAGTCGTGCGAGTACAATAGATATTATTATTATCTGGATAGATATCTATTATTTGGACAAAATAATGAACCTGGTGATTGGCTGTGAACGAACGTCACGTGGTCGTTTAATGGGGGGATGGATATTATACAACAATAGCAAGATAGATTGATTAATCGGCCAATTGTTAGAATAGAATCTATCAAAGAATATCTCTCGGGATTGATCATGAATGGTTGTCATGGTGTGTGGATAGAATGTTCTTTCACTATTGCACCACCACAAAGAGATAGATAAATAACCATGTATTCTAGGTATAATGTATGGTTATACATTACCACATTGATATTATTATTAGTATCATCATATCCTAACTATGTTCAGTCACAACTTGACCAAGCTGAATGTATGTATTATAAGCAAACAACCCCTTCATAGACTTTTTGAAAATCATTTTATAAAAATAACCTAACACCATCATACTTCTTCATCTTCATCTTAATCTTTACTTTATCAATAACTCTATAGTGGATTCTGCAATATGGGTAATCAAGCAGTATGTATATCTCTTACTCGATAACAGCACTAAAGCAATAGTGATTTATTAATTAAATACTTTCAATATATAGGTATAAACTTGATGTTCCTTTAGATCAAAATCTATGTGATGGTGTTACCTTTTATTGTATTGGTAACCATGTCTTTGAGATGTATGTGATGTATACTATAGATATCTATCTAACCCATATACTTATACTTACTTACCTTTTATGTTATTAGTAATATAAAGTATCCAGCCTTTTCAATTGATCACGGACCTCCCGACACTACAGTATTGACCTTCCCAGAGTTGTATTCCTTCTCTGTTGAAAGATCAGCTGATCCCTCTCAAGTGGCACTTCCAGAGCACGATATTATTGTTGATCTTATAACTTGTTGTCCTAAACTTGGTATTGTCAAGTATGATAAGATAAAGATAAAGAAAAGAAAGAAAAGAATGACACAAGACGAACAAGTGAAAGAAATCTAATCTATGTTTGTTATTTATTTATAGTTTTACAGATGATCCAACTGTTCAATCTTTAGGTGCTAGTTTTTCATTGTTACCAGAGACTTTGTTGTATGCCAGTTTTATAATGTCGGGTGCTCAAACCATTACTTTACAAAGTCATGCAAATATGACACAATTGACGATATTTGGATCAGAGTCACTCACTGACTTTATCATTCCATCGACTGTTTCAATGCCAGAAATGACAATATTGAATTTTGGAGTTCGACCAACTAGTCCTGGAAGTATGCCTCTATTACAAACTGTTGGTAATCTAACAGTACCTTCATTCCCAAAATTATATTCACTGTATGTTGTTGTTGTTGTTGTTGTTAGACACATTTAAATTATAAGATCGATATCGTGATTAACATGATTTTTTTCTATTTCTATTTATTAGTAAATTGAATTTCCCTCCACAAACATCACCTCTTCAGCTCTATTTTGATGTACCTGTTATGGGATTATTAGAATTTACAGCACCTACCTTTGCAACTGTGAATTTCATCAATTCCATCTTTTCTTTAATTATTTTGTATGTACATATTAACGATTATATATTGATCCATGATCACATCTAACACCTGTACATAATTAATTTACAAACATTTGTATTTACAGGAAATACATTGGAGGTGGAATAACCTTTATTCCTTCACTTGGTGAAATCAACACACTTTTGTCAATGTATGTAATAATAATTATTATGATTATGTTTTATTATTATTTGTGTTAAAACAAGAAAACTAATTGTTACTTTAGAACTGCAACAGATTATAATCCTATTGTCCAAGATACATATCCATTTGTAAAGTTCCCATCAATTCTCGTATTGGCAGAGTTTTCAACTGGAACTTTAAATACTGTTCCAAATGTTACAGTACCTCCAAGTCTTGTTAAATTGTATGTTTTATTATTTTGAAAAATATATATTAATTTTATTAACAAAACATACATTACTTTTTAGGGATTTAAATTCAAATCAAATTCAAGGAGATATGGATTTTGATAATATTTTAAAAAATACAACTGGTGCTTTGGAATTAATACTTAGTAATAATACTCAATTATCAGGACCACTAGACCACGAAGTTGCATTGTGTCGTTTAAAAAGGTTATATTTGGATTTAACAGCTGTGACAACTGTACCTGCTTGCTTTTGGTGTTATTTTGATCAAAACGTGTTGACTATACCGGCAGCTGTATCACAACCATCAGGCTTTTCATGTGTGTTGTCGGTTGACAATACAACAATCTACACGGTATTCCAAAGGGGTATTGTGACAGGGTCGTCTTTGGGATGGGGGTCAAATGTAGGTGGAATCACAGTTACACCAATCATTCCAAATGAAAAGATGGAAGTATACATTCCAACCGTCCCATCATCAGGTGCACCACAACCATACACTGTACAATTTAGTGATACTCAATCAACCTACACTATTCAATTCAATGTTGTAGAGGTTGGATTCATTCCAGCCACTACTTCACTTTCACAGTACCCCAATCAAACTGCTCTTCTTGCAGTCACATTTTCATCGGTCAATAGTTATTTCGCGCACTATGCACAACTCAATGGAACCTCATCAACAAACTCTAATCCTATTGCCAATGGATACTCATTTCAAATTCCAATTTCGCAACCCAGTCTTTATACACCAATGGTTTATAATGATCATTATAGTGTATACCTATCATCTATTAATTTAGTTCATTGTAAGCTTATAAATAATCTAATAATAATAATATCAATATATAGCTGTATTAATTATTAATTTCTATTTAGATTATCCAAAAGTTAGTCAATTAACTGTTGGACAAGGTGGAGTTGCAGGATCAACCATTAATATTATTGGAAACTTTGGACCATTCCAAGATAGTATCAATATCGTTGTGTTTAATAATGGGACACAGAGTCAATCCAACTATTCACCATGTACACCCACATTGTTTGCAAGTGGTACTATCAAATGTGTACTTGATCAATCTATTGCACCAGGTCTTGTCACATTCAACATTACAGTTGATGGATACTTGGTACAACACCAAGTTACATTGGAATCATTACAACAAGAATGTGAAATTGAAACAAATCATTGTCATGGTAATGGTCAATGTTCAATATTTGGTGATTGTATTTGTAATATTAATCAAGGAAGTTATTATAATGATTGTTTATATCGTATGTTTAAATATAAATAATATATAATATAATATAATATAATATAAATAATATAATCAATCTTTATTATTTACATTTTAGCATATCCATTTATTACAAGTGGAGTTGTAAATGATGCTGATGGTGAACAAAAATCAATTAGTTTGTATGGTGATTTTGGACCATTGGAAGAATACACAAATGCAACGGTCACTTTTAATAATACAATTAGTTGTATTGTGGCTATTGGTTCATCTGGTCATTATAACCTCGACTGTTTATTAGATGAATCACCAACTTCATTTGGATATGTCTCTGTTCAATTAAACCTAGATGGTCTATTGTATAAAAGTGATAGAGTATTCCAATTTATTGATCCTTCATCCCCAGGTGGTTCAACTTCAACTGCTACCACCTCAGGTTCATCATCCTCTTCTACTGCCACCCCAACATCTTCACCAACATCTTCTTCTTCAACCGGTGTAACAACCAACACTGCCACCACAACTACCACAGGTTCATCTTCCCCAACATCTTCTTCTTCAACCTCTGGAGGAGGTGGAGGTGGTGGAACTCCAAAAGAGCTATGTCAAAAAAGAACACAAAATTGTTATGGACATGGTGAATGTGATGATAATGGAGTATGTCAATGTGAAGAGAAATATAATCCTGTTGATCATTGTGCAACTAAGTGTATGTAGTTATTTAATTTATTTGGATTTTTTGATTATTAACTTTGTAATTTATTTATTTTAGTTGTTGATAATTCAACATTTACACCAAATACAACATCACCATCATCAAAGATTGAAGTTGATGGAGTTGAATTTGAATTTGAAATTATTGCTATTCAAGAAATTGGAATTGATAATGATGAGATTGTCAAGGAGTTGTTTACAGTTGATTGGTTGTCAAATATTAGCAAACCAAATAGTACAATGATAAATGCAGCGTATGAGTTGGTTATTTCCAATACTAGTCGTCTTGCAGATACCAAAGTAAATGTTAATATTACATTCTCTACGTTACCAAGAACTGTAGTGTTTGGTGATCAACAACTCATAACCAATCCAAATTCTATCAAGATGTCAGTATCCATCACAGATTGGAGATTTTCAACTAATATCGGTACACTTAGATTGGTACTTAAAACAACAATCAATAATCAACAATCGATGAAATATGATTGTAAAGAGACTAATGTGGATTCATTTGACTATGATGATATTGGTGATGTCCAGTATCTAAGAGTTATCAAAGACGGTGTTCAATTCAATGGTAGATTCATTGATTTTGCATTGGCAAATGGTAGATCAACTTATTCAAAAACATTTGTTATCAATCAAACTGAAATCATTGATAGTGGTGATCAATCAGTAGCAATGATTGGTATAACTCTACCACAATGTCAAGAGTGTATTCTCGATCCTGATTTCACACCATTATTGGTTGTCAATGACAAAAATGACGATTGTGATGGTTCGAGTAACACTTGGAAGATTATCGTTGGAGTTGTTATTGGTGGTATTGCATTAATCGCCATCATCATAGGTGCAGTAATGTACACTAGAAAGAGAATGGAATTCAAAAAACATAACAAGATTATGCAAGCCAAATTAAGAGCACTTGGTTAAACCCAAAACAAAAACAAAAACAAACCCAAACAAACAAACAAATATAATTATTACAAACACAATATTGTGTTGTATTATTTTTCATCATTAATAATAAAATACAAACATACAAACAAAAGAGTTACTAGTATATTCTTTTCTTAAAAGATCTTTGTGAAGTTGAAATTTCCAAATATTCCAGCTCAACTCGGGGTCTTGAGAATATTTGCATTGATTGCTATTAGAGAATTAGGTTTAATTTCCACAAATGATGTTGATGATGTAATCACTGTCCTTTTATCAATTGCCAAAGATACATTTGTATTGTTTACTTGTAGAGGTGGTGATGTTGGTCGTCAACCAAAGTTACAACAATTGAAATCAATGCATATTAACAAATCTAAAAAATACATTCATTTTGTTTGTGTATGTATATGTAGTAATAATACATATGTAGTAATATAATAATAATAATTCTGCTGGAAATGTTAATTAACATATTTTTTTTATTAATTTAGAATGAAAAATTTAGAGTATTTGCAAATTTAACAAATAGTTTTAGTTGAAGCAGTTGCTGCAAGAAGAGGAAAAGAAGAGGAAGATGTATTACAATTCTTACGATACCCATTTAACCAATTTTTTATATTTGTTTTTTTTTTTACCGTTTATTATTTTAATATTATATTATTATTATGTGATTTGTTATTGTTATTATTATTATTATTATTATTATTATGCCTGTCTATCTATAATATTATATTATACTATTATTATTAGTTGGTTATTTTGAATCGAAATAGGGATTTAAAGATTCCTTGCAAAATTCATAAACACCCCAAGTAATGGCAGCGCTCATACTGTGAAAGACTATACGCGGACGAATGCCACACAGATAGCCCTTGGGACCTTCCTCCCGCCAGATGGAATGGAAGGATCAATGATGATGTTGTTGGTTGTTGAGTTGGTTAGGAAAAGATATAATTATATTTAATATTAAATAAATAGGCTTAGGCAGTATTTGATCGACACGACTAGTTGTAGGAGCTTATAATAATAATAGAGAGAGAGAGAAGAAGAAGTATCTCTAGATTTATTTGTGTTGTATAGTTTCCTTCTTTTTTTTAATTTCAAAGGGGGGGGGGGTCACTTACTTTTAAAATGTTCTCAGGTGCGAGGAACCTATGGGTACAAATACAATGGTTTCTTCTATTCTATGGTGTATGTAATTTTTTAAAAAAGGTTGCGGGGGGAATGTCTTGTATTATGTAACCATAATCATCCTGCAACGATGCGACCGGTTGTTTGTCAACATATATACTTTGATACAACAAGTAAATATATTTCAGAGTTGTATTATTATGATTGGTACGTATCTCTTTTAAAGCTTGATAAACAAATGGGAAACACTCTTCGCGAACTAAATAATAAATGAATGAATTAGAGACCTGGAAATATATATTTCACACATCGATCAGTACTTACAATGGATTTTAAAACTAATAAGTGATCTGTTTGTCTTGATGGCATCTAATAGTTTTCGACTCTGTGCAGGAGTTACCGCGATATGGCTAATTGTAAGGTGTTTGATTATGTTTTTGTTTAATAATTTGATGACCAATGATAATATTCTGGCACCACCAACACCTATTAGTCTGAGACACTCAAGATTGGGTAACCCGAGTATGAATCGATTTAATACTTCTTTATCGTATGTCATTCGATTGGATGCCGTTAGTTTGACTGTTTTAATATATGGTGATCCATTCAATACATCACATGATGGTTGAATATCAACTGGGTGTTCTTTGAAATATATAGAGGTGGTGTAAGTTGATTGCGTTGGATAATGAATGGTAATAATATAATATAATATATATTGTACATACCATAACCTCTAACATCGTATTTATCGATATGTGGAATCATTGATGGTAAACAAATGGGTGTATGAAGTTCTTGGTTGTTTTTAACATTGGCTCCATAGACACAGAATCTTGTACTTGCTCTCTCGGCATAGATCATTCTTCCAAATGGAAATGATACAAAGCAATACTCTGTTATTATTGTATTCTCTTTTAGGTCTTGATAGATCAACCCCATAGTTGTACGCGCTTTGACAAAAGAAGAGAGGACAAGAGTGGTGAGCATGATAAATATTTATACTCGATAGATAAGATGTTGACATACCTTGTTCAATTGTGTTATCATCGAAAAGAACATATATTGATAAGTAGGTAACCAACTTTGATTTTTGGATGACTGTTCTTACCCTATTCACCGCTGATTGTAGTTCCTGTTGACTTCCGACAAAGTTGATCATATCTAGGCATCTTCCCTCACCATTTGAATCCTTAACAAATGCACCCAATGACTTTAGTTCTTCATCAGACCTTATTATCTTTTTGTCGTCGTTGTTGTTTGTTTCCATCTTTTGTCTCTTCACATTGATGTCATCATCATCATCAATCACAATAATATTATTGTTATTATTATTATTGTTGTTATTATTGTTATTATTATTATTATTATTATTATTATTATTATTATCATTGTTGTCAATTGATCTCTTTTTGTTGGAATGATTTGCCATGACATCATTTACAACTTGCAAGACATCTATTTGATTGTCCAACATGAAATAGACAGAACATTGAGCAATGTGATTGTTGAGTGTTGCAGTATCACATAGTTGACTATCACATAACGGACATTTGTTATCTTTGAATGTTTTGAATTGTTTGGTGATAGAATGATATTTATCTGTCTCTTTTGTTGTTGTCATCTTCTTTGTAATTTGAAATAATCAATTACACCCACTATCTTTTGTTTGCAAAATTGGTTTTTTTTTCAATGAGTAATTTAATTTCTTTAAGTCAAACATCTACTATGGCAGTTACGGGTAGTAGTTGGAGTACAAGATTAAAATAAATAATAGAAAAGATTTTTACAACAAATGAATGTCATTATTATATTCAGCACATATATATAGATATTATTGGTATAAGATAAAGTCAAAATGGAGGAATTAGCAAGCACAAAGCAAGATCAGAAACAGGTGTATGGAGAGATTTTAGGTGTTTTAACAGTCTTTTGGGAATGTAAATCAAGGCTAACATTACAAAAGGTCTTGGTGAGAGAACAAAAGGAGCGATTGGAAGCAGCTGTGATGCTTAGACTAGAGCACGGGGAGATTAGCAACAAAAATATTAGCTTCGTTTTGGGATTAGAAGAATATGAAGTATCAAGGGCACTAAAGAAGAAATCTATAGTACCTCGCCAAAAGACACTTACACAAGAGGAAGAGGAAAAGATAATAGCCAAGATCAAGATATCTATTCAGCAGAATAGACCTATGACAAAGACAGATGTCAAGATTTTGGCACTCAATCTCTGGAAAGAGTGAACGGGCACAAAGAGAGAAAAGATGCTGTCAGACTCTTGGTGGAGAGGTTTTAGATCGAGATACGTAGATCTCAAGCTTAGATATGTTCGCTCTCAAGATTATAAAAGGGCACTTGCTGAACAAAAAGGTGGTTCTGACGCATGGATCAAGGAAACTAGAGATTTCATAGTAAAACATGGTATCAAACAAGAAAATATATTCAACATTGATGAAAAGGGAGTTCTCTTCACAGATACTAAACAAAAGGTAACTATAGACAGTAGTGATTATACACATGCAATTGATTAGAGTTTACTAATAATTCAATGTCTTTGTCACAGGTTGTCATGTTTGTTTATAAAAATGCAAGGGAGACACTCAAACCAAAAGTTTTTAAACAAACTCAGTCCCAACACTTTACATTGGTAGGAGGAATAACAGGATTAGGTGGTAGTCTAAAGCCTTATTACGTTTTGCAGTTTCCAATCAAAAAGAATTGGTCCATTACTAGTAAAAATGAATATGGCTATCTGGAAGTTAATAAGAGTGGCTATGTAAGATGATTTTTTAAAAATTTTCTTTTTCTACAAAATCTAAATATTATAATTAATTAACACACTCTTGTCTATAACTAATCGTATATAGGTAGATGAGTCAATCAAGCTAGACTGTGTCCAATTTTTTGTTAAACAGCTGACAACACCTGGCGACAAGTTACTTTTGGTCGACAATCATGGAAGTAATTTTAGTCCTGAATTACTTCAATGGGCCAATGAAAACAAGGTTCACATTAAGAGCTTTCCATCCAATATGACACATATCTTACAACCTTTGGATCTTGTCATTTTTTCATCATTCTCTCAATCACTAAAGAATATGATACTAAAACAACTTCAAGACAAACCCAACTTTAAAATCGCACCCGAACACTACCAACAGTTTTCATACTTTGCATGGGTCGAAGCAACAAAGCCAACCAACGTAATGGCTGCTTGGAACAAGTCAGGTATCATTAATTGTTCGCCACTCTCACCACAAGATCAGGGATTGATACCAAAACCACCCAAGGCAACAAAAAAATCTTCAAAGGCTCTTGCTCTTGTTCAAACCACTTCTAATGCATTGGTAACGACAGATTCTTTACCACACAAGCAAAGATCAATGATGATGAGAGATAAGATGAGTACAGGCACTGTCTGGACCGACGACACAAATCGGTATGTTTAAACGATAACAACTACTACCCATTTTTTACTAACCTAATTTTCATTTAAATCAAAGAGACTTGGTTATTCATTATAAAAAAGAGACACGAAAGAGAAGACAGCCAAAAAAATCAGACTCTGGAGATGTTAACCTGAGCCAAGTTAACAATTATAACACCTTTAACCAAATTAATGTGGCTACCGGCGAAATGCGAGATGAAAATAATAGACCAGCTAAAAGAATAGCCTATGAAAGCAATACCAACTCATCATCCCAACTGTCAACCACTATTCAAAATCCTTCCTTTGTCTCTTCCGTCAAATCCCTATGTAATAAATTCTTGCATTGAACTGTCTTCCCCCATATTCCCCATATAAATTGGGTCACCCCAAACTTTTTATTTTCCTCTTTGCAAAAAAAACCAATTTTGCAAACAAAAACAAGTGGGTGTTAATTGTTCAACAAATATTGGTTATGTTTGAAAAAGTAAAAAGTGAACTGGTTCAAATTTATAGATCAACCTTTTATATCTATGAAAGAGTCATACAATCCAAGATTGAATGGAGAGATTTAATTATCGTTCAATATGGAGCATTACAATGCATCATTGAAAAGTGTAGAGACTTTGAAACATACGTGGCACCATTTGCCAATGAAGTTGTCTCTTTTTATACTGTATCTACTGCTCCTCTCAGCGCCACCCAAGTGGATGGAGAGCGGGTTTCCCCACTTGCATGGGAAGAAATCTATCTCTATATCATACCAGTTTTAGAAGATTGGGTGACCATTGAATCACTCAAAGATAGACTCGTCAGATTATTTGATCAAATATCATCACACCCATCATTTGACCCAAAAATCCTATCAAGATATCCACCACTTACTCAATTACAAAAGTAAGTAAAGAAAGAGTGTTTGTACTGCAAACAAACTATTATTGTAACAAATTTGAATAATATCAACACTTCATTCAAAATAAATACCTTTAAATAAAATCTGAAGAGGAGGAAAATGGAATTCAAACAAAACGGTAATATTGTTATGTATTTAGTTACTGTGCCCATTCAACGCACACGTCATTTGATTTAGGATACCCTTGATTCATAAAATCTAGATGAATTGGCCCCAATGTTTACCAGATTAACTATAGTTGCAAACAAAGTATTATAATAATATGTTTCGAAACAGTAAATAAATATCTTTCGGAAATATTGAATTGTACTGCTGTACTGGTAATAATATCAGGAGTACTGTACTGGTGGTCGACGTCATCATTGATCTTTTTATAAAGATTTTTCTACAAAATCAATTTGATAATAAGATCTTGGAATGGGCTCAATTCCAAATCAAGATAATTATCTAAACACTCAACTCTGTCGGTTTGAGTGCACATCATCAACCGAAATTTCACCATCCTATATATAGGATCCATTTCGTTAGTATTAGAGATACATTCAATATACATACAGATACAGATAGATAGATAGATGAAACCAATTATAAGATTAATATTTATATATTTTCTTTTTCAATATTTTTTTTGTGTGGCTCAAACCCAAACACTCATTGGGCAAGAATGTTTGTATTTTATTATCTTTTTTCAAAAGTCTAAATATAACATATTAATCATGATTTGTACATTCTTGAACTATGTATAGTGGACTCTGCAATTTGGATATGCCAGCAGTATGTAGTTGGTAGAAGAGATGATCTAATTCATACATACACGACTTATACTAACACTTGATTGATCTTCTTTAGGTATAGACTTAATATTGCTCTTGATGCAGTTGTGATTTGTTCTTCAGTTTACTTTACTTGTTTTGATGGACATGTAACTCAAATGTATGTATCGATCGTTAGTTGTGATGCATGCTCATATATGATCGACAAAAGAGATTTGATATTAATTAATATTGTTATTATTTCTAAACATGTGATTAGTGATATATCAACTTTATTGGGTGTTGATAATGGAATGCCTAATCCTTCACTTCAACTTTTATTCCCAGAACTTACATCATTCTCTTATGATGGTACCATAAATACTGGTGTAGCAAATCAATCAAGCTCTTTTCTTGATAAACTTGTTTCGTGTTGTCCAAAAGTATCATCTATCAAGTATGTAGTAAGCTTATAAAAGTAGTAATTATCCAAAGTAGACTATTGACTAACTAATGACGGATTGATTGATTGATTGATTGTTATATAATTTAGATTTGTTCGAGATCCATCAGTTAAAGGGATACCTGATAGTTTTTCACAGATTCCTAATCTTGATGTGGCTACTTTGATACTACAATTTGTATCACCTATCGTTTTGAAAAGTAATCCAACCCTTTCAAGCTTGGATATACGTAGTGACGATGCAACCGAATTCATATTTGACAGTAGTGTCAACCTACCAAATCTGACAACACTCACTATCGGATCACCACAAATTGTTCATGTTAGTAACTTTACAATTCAAACCTTTCCAAAACTTCGTTTTTTGTATGTTAAATCATAATGATACATACTTTTAATAGTTATTTTCTAACCATCTAAATTAATTTAGAAATCCTCACTTTGCAGGATCTCAAGATCAATTACAAATTAATTTAGGTATTCCAACACTTGAAGAAATATCATTTGTTAATGGAGGAGGCCCTGTACCATTTGCCAAACTCAGATTTACTGGTACTTTAAATCTTATATCTTTGTAAGAAAGAAGGAAGAAGAGTCATAGTTAATAATAATCAACTGATATTAACAACTCTTTTTATTCTTTTTATACAATAGGTCTTATTATGGAGAGAAATTATCTTTTGATCCTCCACTTGATAGTTTTAGACAATTAAAGAGAATGCAAGTTATCATTGCTGAGAGATATATATATAGTATTAGTAATAGTCTTCATACTAACTAATTCATTTTAGTAAAATAACAAACTATCAAAGCAACAATTATCCATTCCTATCATACCCTCCATACTTGGAAAGATTTGAATTGACACATTCATCATTCAATACTATTCCACCTATACCAGTCCCAAATTCTCTTATCAATCTGTATGTATTATTAAAGATAAAGATACTTATATATATATATATATATATATATATATAAATATTTATTAATTTATTTATTAATTTTTTAAAAGTATTTTATCTTCAAATCAAATTCAAGGACCAATTGATTTTGATAGTATATTTGGAAATTATGTTGGATTTCTTTTAGGATTGGATATTCAAGAGAATCCATTGTCTGGAGCACTTGATCAAGAAAGTGTACTTTGTCGTCTAAGATTTATAAATGCCAGTCAAACAACCATCACAAGTATTCCACTATGTTTTTGGTGTTATGAATCTTCAGTGATTAGGTTTATCAAACCACCATCAGTCATTCCTCCTTCAAGTCCAGTGTGTGATGTGACAGTAGACAGCACAACGCTGTACACTGTCAACCAAAGGACTACCATTTATGGCTCTTTAATTGGGTGGGGGTCAGATGCAAACGGAATCTTATTGCATCCTCTGATTGCAAACAAAAGGTTATCTGCCATCATTCCAACACCAGTCTCTGGTCCACCTCTAACATACACAATCAATTTTAGTTCAATGCCTCCTATTTTATCTAAAGAGTTTTCCGTTGCAGAGGTTGGATTTAGACAGTCTGCCATATCAGTGGTACAGGCACCAAACCAAACGGCAATCATCCAAGTAACATTTACCAACGTCAACGATTACTTTAATCATGTGGTCATCGTTAAAGGAGTCAACTCGAGTATGACTATTGTCGGTCCCAACATATTCAGGTTTAACATTACTGACAACCTGATGACATTTGGATCCAATTTTATTATCGTTGCCAATGACCATTATCAAGGTCCACTTACAACAATTAGTTATAATCAAAGTAAGATCGACATATATAAATATCAACAGCAATAATTCAGAATTAGATATTAACTTAATATTTTTTAATTCCCTTTCCATTCATTCATTCATTCATTCAATAGGTTATCCAATTGTTTCTAGTGTTGTTCAATCTCGAACAAATATAATATTGGGTGGGTATTTTGGAGGTTTTCTAGACAGTGCTAAAATAGTTATTGTACAAAATAGTGGGCTGGCAACATGTTCAGTATCACAGTTTTATGTCACTATCATCAACTGTACGATCATCTCTCCATTTTCAACTGGTATGGCAACACTAAATGTGACAGTTGATGGATACACCATTCAAAGACAATACCTTTTAGAATCTATCCAAGATGATTGTGAAATTAACACAAATCATTGTCATGGTAATGGTCAATGTTCAATATTTGGTGATTGTATTTGTAATATTAATCAAGGAAGTTATTATAATAATTGTTCAAATCGTATGTTAAATATAATTTTAAATAATATCATGTTTATATTATACCATTTTATTTGTTTATTTATTAATTATTTTATTATATTTTAAATATAGCATATCCATTTATTACAGCAGGTAAAATTAATGATTTTAATAGTGAACAAAGATTAATTAGTTTGTATGGTGATTTTGGACCATTTGGACAAAACGATACAACAGTCACAATCAATAATACAATCAATTGTATTATTGATCTATCCATATCCGATCAATTCAATATCAATTGTTCACTTTTATCATCACCAACAACATTTGGATTGGCTTCAGTTCAATTAAATGTCAGTGGTTTATTATATAGTAAAGGACGTGTATTGAAATTTATTGACCCTTCAACCAATCCTGGTGGATCTACTACAACTACTACAACTACTACTACGACAAGTACAAGTACAAGTGGAGGAGGAGGGGGAGAGTCACCAAAGGAACTATGTCAAAAGAATACACAAAATTGTTATGGACATGGTGATTGTGATAATAATGGAGTATGTCAATGTCAAGAGAAATATAATCCTATTGATAATTGTGCAACTAAATGTATGTCTATATATAAAGATTAATTTAATTTAAACGATAATTAAATATTAACTTTAATTTCTTTGTAGTCACTGATAATTCAACATTTACACCAAATACAACATCACCATCATCAAAGATTGAAGTTGATGGAGTTGAATTTGAATTTGAAATTGTTGCCATTCAAGAAATTGGAGTTGACAATGAAATTAGTCGAGAATTATTGACCAATAGTTGGTTATCGAGTATTTCAACAAATAGTACAATGACAAATGCAATCTATGATTTGGTTATTTCCAATACTAGTATTCTTGCAGATACCAATGTCACCGTTACCATTACATTCTCTACATTGCCAAGAACCGTAATGTTTGGAGATCAACAACTATTGATCAATCCAAACGCAATTAAATTGGCAGTATCAATTACCAATTGGCAATACACGTCGAATATAGGAACACTCAGAGTTGTCATTAAAACAACAATTAATAATCAACAATCGATGCAATATGATTGTAAAGAGACTGAAATAGATTCATTCTCTTATGGTGCTGATGGTGAAATTCAATACCTCAGAGTCATCAAAGACAATGTTCAATTCAATGGTAGATTCATTGATTTTGCATTGGCTAATGGTAGACCAACCTATTCACAAACATTTGTTATCAATCAAACTGAAATCAGCGGCGACAGTGATCAATCAGTAGCAATGATTGGTATAACCCTACCACAATGTCAAGAGTGTATACTCGATCCTGATTTCACACCATTATTGGTTGTCAATGACAAAAATGACAATTGTGATGGTTCGAGTAACACTTGGAAGATTATCGTTGGATGTGTCGTTGGTGGTATTGCTTTTGTAGCCATCGCAACTGTCTCGATCATGTACACAAAAAAGAAATTAATATTCAACATACAAAACAAACAAATGAAATTAAGATTGAAAGAAATAAACTAACTTTGTCAAAGACATTTATATGTATAATAAAATCGTAGGTGGATCTCCTCTTGTCCATCAACCATGCAATCAAATAAAAATCTTCCTTCTTTTTACCGCGGCGGATGGAAGATCTTTTAAGCTTGATCTGCTCCTTTCTTTTACTCTCTCTCTTGACACCCATTTTGAATCATACCTTCTTTGTATGATTCTCACTTGAAAAGAGACAAAGAGAGAGATAATGAAAAAGAGAGATTTCTATCATTTATTGCTGGTCAGTGTATTATTTTTAACATTGGTTCAATCAACCCAATCACAGTCCCTTAGCACAGAAGAATGTAAATAATAATAATATTGATATCTATCCATCTCGATGCAAAATGAATCTTGATCACTAACTAAATCTCTCTACTACTACAACTACAACTAAACTATATAGTATTGTCAGCAACATGGATTATCAAACAGTAAGATACAAACATAGATATCACATACAAAGAGAGAGATATATATATATATATAAATATCATCATAGTAAACTAACATTCAAATGTTATATATATATATATATATATATATATATATATATATATATATAGGTATAAAATTAATATACCTGCTGATCAATCTATTTGCACTGTTCCATCATCAACATTTTATTTTAATTGCGAAAATGGACATATTACCAAAATGTGAGTATTTGGATCATATGATATCCTGTAGGACAGAATATTCTAGAGAAAATCAATATGAGACAGACTCTTACACTTTCTTTTATAAAACCACAAAAAAATAGTCTCCATTTGCCCCCAAATACTCAAATGGATATGGGATTACCAAATAGCAATATCCAATTCTCATTTCCTCAATTAACTATGGTCTCTGTCTTTTTTAATGAACTTGGTGGTGACAAGGTTGCTGATATCAATCAAAATATTGTGGATAAATTAGCAATAGGCTGTCCGCTCCTCAACTCATTAACGTATTGTAGCCAAGGAATGATTATACTATATATTAATCAAGTTTATCTACTTACCTTTTTTCTTCTTCTTCTTTTTCTTTTTCTTTCTTCTTATCACTATTTAGGGTGGCCAATGATCCTTCATTGAAATTTGTTCCAATAATTTTTTCAAGTATGCTCAGTCTTGTGACTGCTACTTTTAGATTTCCTGGTGTTCCAACCATCTCGCTTCCTAGTCACCCAACATTGAGCAAATTGGAGATTTATGGTGATTCGAATATGACAGAATTTATCATTGGCAGTAGTGTACTTCTCCCAAATTTGATACTCTTGTCATTGGGTATCTATCAGGACGTCCCAAACAATTGTGCTTTACAAAAGATTGGCAATTTTTCCGATACATCCTTTCCAATACTAGATACTCTGTATGTTTAGTAATCATACTAATATCATTCGTTCATTCATTGTATATCATTGCATAGCTAATTACAAACCCTTTATTTATTTATTTATTTATTTATTTATTTATTTATTTATTTATTTTGTTTTAAGATTTTTCTACTTGGGTCAAGGACCTGTTCAACAACAAATTAATATAGGAGCATCCAAGTTGAATGCATTAAGACTTTTTGACAGATCTTCAAATCTCCCTTCCAATGCCAAAATTAATATCAACCATCCCGAATCTTTGACCGATATGTATGTATATTATTATTAATAGTAAAGGTGAACGTGTTGTATTCATATTAATATTAATATTCTATTATTTTTAACTATATAGTTATTATCAATCCGATGGATATGTTTTTGAACCTACTCTTGACAAATTCTCAAATCTTGATAAATTGTATGTATTTATTTTTTTAAACAAAATAAAAAAAAAAAGAGAATAATATAGTAATCAATGAAATACATCTATAATTATTATTATACCAATACTTTTTATTTTATTTTATTTTATTCTCTAGAACTGTACATCAATCTTCCAAAAATAGTTACCCATTCCAATCAGAAAAGTTTCCACAAAAGTTGACAGGTTTATATCTAAACTCAGGAACAATGACCACTATTCCAAATGTGACCATTCCGTCATATATCAACACTCTGTATGAATGAATGAATATTTTTTTAAAAAGATATATAACATTTATTTATTTATTAATTTATTAATATTCTTTTATGAAAACACAATAGGAGTCTATTAGAAAACAATATTGTTCAAGGATCAATTGATTTTGATCATATTTTAAAAGATACAAATGGGTCTTTGCTTTTGGATCTTTCAATAAACCCCAATTTAACAGGTCCACTTGTCCAAGAGACTTCATTGTGCGGTTTAAAAACCTTAAAGTTGGGTGGAACAGCGGTAACATCGGTACCTGATTGCTTTTGGTGTTACCAAGATCCACCACAAAAAATAGTTTTACCTCTAGGTCTCGCTAAGCCATCTGCGTTTATTTGTCAGATTTCGGTAGACAACTCAACTTTGGTTACACTTTTCAAGTCGACTGTCATTTCTGGGTCCAATCTAGGTTGGGGATCAAATGTAGCAGGGGTCTCTGTCATACCGATCGTTCCAAACAAGATAATGGGCCTTTACTACCCGTTTGTACCAATAGATGGACCACCCCAGCACTACATTGTACGACTCAGTGATACGGACGCATCACTCTCTGTTGGTTTGTACCTTGTTGAAGCTGGATTCATTGTGCAATCAGTATCACTCGCTCAATCGCCCAACCAAATGGCCAACCTAACCATTCAATTCTCGGTAATCAACAATTATTTTGTCCATCAAGCAACATTAAATGGAACAGGGCACGACATGTCCATTGTCAACGGAAATCAATACCGATTTTACTTTACCAATCTTCCTTTTGGAGAATATAATCTTGTCATATTCAATGGTTATTATAATACTTCAACATTTAACATAGACTATGTTAAAGGTAAATATAAATATATTTATATTTACCTTTGTCAAATTCGCGAATGTACATGTATGTTACTATTTGTCTGACAATATTTTTTGTTTCTTTTTTCTAGAGTATCCCATTTTGAATACGGTTCCATCGTATAATAGTCCATTATTACAATTGGACAATATTCAATTGAATGGTTATTTTGGAACATATCTTGATACAGCCACAGTCACTCTACAAAATAATAATAGTCGGTTCAACTATTCGCAATGTACAGTTACACAATTTACAAGTAGTTCAATTGTTTGTCGAATAGAATCACCTCTATCATCTGGTATGACATTATTTACCATCAATGTTGACGGATTTTTTATTCAGCAAGACCATCAATTGGTGACTGCTCAAGGTGTATGTGAAATGGAAACAAATCATTGTCATCGTAATGGACAATGTGATGGTTATGGCAAATGTGTTTGTAATATTAATCAAGGAGCTTATTATAATAAGTGTTCAAATCGTATGTTAAATATAATTTTAATATTAAATTAGAATATTAATATTAAATTATTTAAATAATTGTAGCATATCCATTTATTACAGCTGGTCAAATGAATAATGAACAAAGATTAATTAGTTTGTATGGTGATTTTGGACCATTTGGACAAAACGATACAACAGTCACAATCAATAATACAATCAATTGTATGGTCAACCAATCCATATCCAATCAATTTAACATCAATTGTTCACTTTTATCATCACCAACAACATTTGGATTGGCTTCAGTTCAATTAAATGTCAGTGGTTTATTATATAGTAAAGGACGTGTATTGAAATTTATTGACCCTTCAACCAATCCTGGTGGATCTACAACTAGCACAAGTGGAGGAGTATCAACACCTCGAGAATTGTGTCAAGAGAATACACAAAATTGTTATGGACATGGTGATTGTGATGATAAAGGAGTCTGTCAATGTCAAGAGAAATATAATCCTATTGATAATTGTGCAACTAAATGTATGTGTATAAATATATAAAATTTATTAAATATAAAACTATAAATATTTACTTATCAATTGAATTATTTTTAATAGTCGCTGATAATACTACATTTAATGCAAATAATACTTCACCGTCATCAAAGATTGAAGTTGAGGGTGTTCAATTTGGATTTGAAATTGTTGCCATTCAAGAAATTGGAGTTGACAATGAAATTAGTAGAGAATTATTGGCCAATAGTTGGTTATCGAGTATTTCAACAAATAGTACAATGACAAATGCAACGTATGATTTGGTTATTTCCAATACTAGTATTCTTGCAGGTACCAATGTCACCGTTACCATTACATTCTCTACATTGCCAAGAACCGTAATGTTTGGAGATCAACAACTATTGATCAATCCAAACTCTATTAAATTGGCAGTATCTATTACCAATTGGCAATACACATCGAATATAGGAACACTCAGAGTTGTCATTAAAACAATAATTAATAATCAACAATCGATGCAATATGATTGTAAAGAGACTGAAATAGATTCATTCTCGTTATGGTGCTGATGGTGAAATTCAATACCTCAGAGTCATCAAAGACAATGTTCAATTCAATGGTAGATTCATTGATTTTGCATTGGCAAATGGTAGATCAACCTATTCACAAACATTTGTTATCAATCAAACTGAAATCAGCGGCGACAGTGATCAATCAGTAGCAATGATTGGTATAACTCTACCACAATGTCAAGAGTGTATACTCGATCCTGATTTCACACCATTATTGGTTGCCAATGACAAAGGTGACAATTGTGATGGTTCGAGTAACACTTGGAAGATTATCGTTGGATGTGTCGTTGGTGGTATTGCTTTTGTAGCCATCGCAACTGTCTCTATCATTTTTGCAATCAAGAAACTCAAATATCAAACCAAATTTGGATCAAAGATGAGAAAAATCATCTAACATGTAACATAATAAACAACCAAATAATAATAATAATAATAATTGTAAGTTATAATTTTTCCTTGATTTCCTTTCTTTGCAAGAACCTACTCCAACCCAAGATAAAATCTTAAAGTAGCATGGTTCCAACAAAACATTTTTTAGTGTAACCGTCGTGACTTATATCTTTTTTTTCACCATTGCACCAACTCTATTTTTAAATATATCTTCTTCTTTTTATTTCTTCAACAAACAACAACAGATAACATTACAGTTATAATAGTTGATCGAGTAGTCTAAACTACCCTACCCTACCTCTGGTATACAATTTGTATTGGAAACATCAATCAAGATAAGCAAAACAACAACAACAGCAACAACAATAACAACAGTAGATCAATCAGATAGTAGTAGTAAAGAGTGAATATTAAATCTCATGACAGAAGGGGTACCCTATCAAGGAGCATGCAGACGTGATAGTGATCTAATTATCTGCATCCCCCAGGGGCAGTCTGTTACGTTCACTGTTGTATTAATGGCCATCTATTCATACATTCCGATTCTTCTGTTTGTGGTACTCGTCATTTGGTATCTGTGGAGGCGATCAATCATCGCTGCTACAGTCCTCGCATCCCTCATCATTGCATTGATATTTAACGAGGGAATTATAAAGAACATTGTCAAACAAAAAAGACCTATCGAATCATGTGCTTGTTCGTATGTATAATTATAAGCAGTAATGTTTTGTAGTATGATCATATGATTGTAGAGAGAGACTAATTAGTCTTTCTTTATTTATTTATTTATTTATTTATTTATTTATTAAGATACGGTATGCCTTCGGGACATTCATTATGCTCGACATTGTTGTTATTTTGGATATGTTACGAATTTATATATGTGCCAATGGACAAGACATTGACCAAACAAAAACGAATTCTCTATATTGCACTAGCGACGGTTATATTTGGAGTTGTACCATATAGTCGCATCTATCTGTACTATCACACATGGCAGCAGGTTGTGGCTGGCTGCTCGATTGGGTTGTTTGCCTCGGCGATCATGTGCATGTTTTTGCGCCGTGTCGTGGCTGTCAAGTGCACACCCAAGAAACACTACCACGTCAGAGGCATCGTGGTGCTACGCAACAGCTACTATCACAAGGGCCACACTTATACCGTGCCGGCCGCCATCATCACCGACACGATCGACATTGAGATGGAGCAGAGCGGTGACGACGGCTCGCTTGCATTCCGTGTCGGTGAAGCACTCTCTGTCCACGAGGACGGGAGTAAGAGCCAGTCAATTGTTACAATCGATTCAAATGACTGGCAACATCACAGCGCTGACCAAGAAGAAAACACAAATGACATGGACCGAGCCATTTAGATTTATGACTCGTATCATCGATATCATACAATACCATTTACAAGCAAATGACATCAAACGAGGAAACAAATGGTTTCCAACTATTAATACTAATACCAAGATTAAAAATTATTAAAAATATTTAATCAACTGCTACGACTTTTTAATTAATTAATATTATTTTGTTTATCCCTTTATTTATTATTATTATTTATTATTTATTCTATATTATTAAAGTTTAAAAGTTTTGAGAATTATATTTACATAAACCACAACCAAGTGAAAATTCTTCACCTGTTGGAGGATGGTCAATACCAAGTGGACAAATGTCGCCGGGCATCTCAATGCCACCAGGAGCAACTGGACATTTGGGATGTTTGGATCGAGATGTTAATTCAGCGTGTTTATCGTGACACAATGAACAGAATCTAGTGGTACCGAAACAGAACCATACAGATGGCGAGCAACAGTAACGACACTTGTACTCGAGATAGTCTTTTCCATGTTTGGGACATATAGTTACACTATCATTTGAACTGCAACTACCACAAATAAGATCTTGTTCGTTGATCTTGTCTGGTACAACCAATCCGGCTGCACATTGATTCATACCACCAAAATATGGTTTCTTACACTTGAAACATAAATAATATGAGAATTGTTCAACAATATAATCTTCTTCTTTGTTTTCATATTTTCCTCCTGATTGGAATACTAATAAAAATAAATAAATAATAGGTTAGAGATAATATAGTTCCACAATAATTATATTTAATATTAATGCATACCTGGATCAGATTTAATACCAAGGAAATCTAAACGTAATTTACCCTTTTTAATGATTTCACCATAAATATTATCTAGGACAGATGTAATTGATTCAAGAGATGGATGATGAATTGGTACTTTACAGATGGGACATTTTGAAAATCCAAATGTAATTCTTGAACCAGTCCAACGTTTCTCTAACAATAATTGGGTACATTCATGATGGAGAACATGACCACAATCCAATTGAATCGATGGTGCTTCTGAAAGTGATTCGGTCCAACAAATCATACAATAGTCGTCACAATCTTGGCCAAGTCTTTTGGTTGGGACACCTTCTTCGGCAGGGGTATTGTTTTTGCAACCGTGTAGACATGGTAGGCAAACAAGTTCATCACGAACACCGCAACAGTGGTGGCCACATGGATGAATGGCAGTACACGACTTTTGAGCTTTAGATTTGCACTCTGCCGATGAACATACATTGGCAATACCAAATGATGGCAAGAGGTTCTCTAGATCGAGTTTTTGTTTACAGAAACGACACACTTCTTGTGATTCCCGTGTGTTGATGGTGGTTTGGACAATCGCTTTTTGCTTTTCAACATCGATAACAAAGAGAGAGGTGGCGAGTTTCAATCTGATACAACTTTCGTGTACTTGGATGGTGATCGAGTCGTTGGCAAGGGTAGCACGACCATGGTCACGTTTAGACTTGGAGAGATGGATGACGCGATCACATTCATTGCAGAGATTCGAGACGGGTTCACACGACTGACAGTGCACAGTGGCTTCAGTAACCGTGTCATCGTGATTTTGGCATAGTTTAATACTCGACTTGTCATCATTGGCACTGTCGCTGCTGTTGATCGATTGGATCATTTCATTGTTACCAGACACCACTAGCAAACTGGCCAAACTTGCCCAGAAGCTGTTCTTGGTCAAGTACTGGCTAGCAGGCAGCAATGTCTGCTTCTTCATGTCAATGATAAAGTGGCGGATGGCTTCGTCGATTGATTCCTTCCATGGTTGTGACTTGGCAGATAGTTCCTTGAGCATTTCGATCAGTTCCTTGGACACCTCGTTGGTGACGGTGCCTTCCAATACCTTTGGCAACAACTGATCAAATGTAACCAATTCCTTGTCCTTTTCTTTGTTTTCTCTTTCTTTTAATCCTTTGACTTGGAGACTGATACCCTTGGAAATGACCAACAAGAGGTATTCGACAAACGAGCCAAGTGAACGGATAAAGGCAGACTGATTCTCCTTGACAAAGTTGTCAAACAATGATGGCTTGATATTGATCAACATTCTACGACAAATATTAATGCAAATGTGTTGCACTCTTTCTTGACCATGATGGATCAATGGCAACAGCGAGTAGATGGACGATTTGGATGGCAAGAATGATTTACCTTCCTCACTCTCCAACAATGATGATAATGTAGTCAACAATTCAAACAAATAGTTTTGTTCACCACCATCAGCAGCTTTTCTTTCCTCTTGATCTTGGTTGTTCTTTTCTCCGTCTTGTTCATTCACCAATTCCTTTTTCTGTGAATCTGACCAACCAAAACTATCCAAATGATTAATTTCCTTTTGAACTTCGGTACTGATAAGAGAGAATATTTGTTTTTGAATGTTACTAATACCGCTAGTACCAGAGATGAGGTTGTGTACATGATTTTTAATATTATGTTGTTCCTGTTGTTGTTGTTGTTGTAGTGGTTGATCAACTCCTCCTTGTTTGTCTAGTTTTTCTAGTTTATCCTTTTCCTGTTGTTGTTGTTGTTGAACTGTAATACCAAAGATTTGGAATGTCAAGAGTTTCAAGAGACTGAGAGCAGCTTCAAACTTGGAGCTTGGTACTAGATTCATGGTAGTTGTCTTTTCTGGTACCAACACCTTGATTTGATAGACACGAACATTATTGGACGACTCGAATGAAATGATAAATGAAGTAACAGTGACATTGTCGTTGAGAGCAATCGACACCCATCCATTATAATTGAATTGCAAGTCTCTCGATTTAACCACTTCTTGGGTAACTCCACCGCTCTCGGCGGTACAACATGAGGCTGTCACCTTGATACCCGATACTACGTAATCTTTATCAGCTACATTATCAATAAATAATGCAATTTCCTGGACTGGCTGAGGTTTGTCCAAAGTGATGGTGATGGTAGACTTGGGTGACGCTTCCCAAAAGGTGAGTGTACTATTGTCAAAGAGTGATGGCATCATCTCGGGTGATTTACTCAATACCACCTTGCACTTGCTTGCAACATTATTGAAACTGCTGTTTTGGATATTGCTTGGGACGACAGACTGACCAAACGTACCAACTGTCATGGTGGTCGATGAATGCATCAATGAGATGGCTGGCAGTGACTCTGGGGTAGATGATGATGCATCATGGTGGTGGTCTGTTGTATCAGCCTTTTCCTTTCCTTTACTCTTGATGATGGGTGTGGGTGGAGTTGAGAGGCCAGATGATCTTACCTCTGACAAGAGCTTAGAGATGAATGGGAAGATCTCTGACTTTTGCACAAAGTCAATGTCCTCAGGCAACAAATACATTGAAAAACATTGCAAAGAGTTGAGAATAATATTGTCGTTGGAATAGTATGGTGTGTTGTTATTGATACGCTTGGACAGTGTCTCGAGGAGTGCGTGGAAGTGATGTACAAACTCCTTTTTACACAGTGGGTGGATATCCGATGCAAGTAGCAGGTTGTTGGCAACACGACCTTGCCAATCTTGTGGCAGTGTCTCTTTGGGTGCTTGCTTGGAATGGAGTACCGTTGCCAACATCCAAATGACATTTTCAAATGCGCTGGGTGATTGCACCATCTCAACGAGCTTAACCCATGTTTGAATGGCATCAACCTTGCTTCTAATCTTGGAGTTGTGCTCTTCGATGATCTTGCCAAACTCGATCTTTTCCATTTTGTCTTCGATCAAATACAACAATGGTTTGGTAATATCTAATTTGATCTTGGTCGATGACATCGAGTGCGAAGGTTGTTGTTGGTTGGATGGATGTGAAAGATTAAATGTCAATGGATTGATATTTGAACTATTCATCAATTCTTCAAATGAATATTGAATCATTCTAGAAGAGGAGGAAGAGGATGAAGAAGGAGATGAATCAGTCTCTGTTGGTAGAGATGGTTTTTGTTGTTCAGCAACAGGTTCCAAAGTATTGAAAAAGTCCATCAAGAATTTAAACTTTTCAAATGGCAATTTCTTGGATGCAGAGCTTGTATCTTCGTACAAACATTCCTCACCAAACAGTGATTGCATACCATCATATGGAATGTCGTCAACTGATGGAGTGGTAGATGCCAACTTGTTTAACTTCTTTTGGATCAATCTCCACAAAGAGACAAATGGTTCAAACCCTTCAGTCTCTTTTGATTCTTCAAATGTTTTCTTGTGGTTCTTGATACTTGTCACTTCACGAACAAAGTCTCCAGTGGTACCTGTCAATCTTAACATTTCAACAAATAATCCTTTACTTGCTTCATCCCATCCTTCCATTAAATTATAGGTTGATATAATTTCAATTGATGATTCTTCTTCTTCTTCTTTGATTTCTTTTTCTTTTTCCTTTTCCTTTTTGAATTCCTTTACTGCTACTGATGTTGCTGCTGATACAATCTTTTCATCATCACTTTCTTTTTCATCATTATCTTGGTTATTTAATTCTTCTTCATCTTTGATTTCTTGTTCTTTATCTTGATCATCAGTGATTAAAGTGGTAGTGGTAGAAGTGGTAGAAGTAATATCGTCATTATCATCCTTGATATCTTTATCTTTTTCAGATTCTTCATCATTGATCTTGACTTGCTCCTTTTCTTTTTCTTTTTCTTTTTCCTTTTCCGCTTCATCCTCTTCTTCTTCTTCATCTTCATTAAGATTAAAGAATTCATCATCAGATTCTTCATCAGCTTTAAGTTCTTCTTCTTCTTGATCGGATGAATCGGAAGATGAATCAGATGAAGATGAATCGTCGGAACTATCACCAGCTTGTTGGTTGTTGGCAAAAAGCTTCTTTTTGTTTTCCCAGAGGCGTTGTTGTTGTTTCTTGCGATCAATGAGAATCTTGAGTTGTTTGAGACGTGTCTTTTTATCCAATACCGATAGTTCTTCATTGTTGATTGGGAATGACTTCATCTTTTCCTTGATCTTGTCCTCTTTTTCCTTTTCTTGATCTTTTAGTTTTGAATCCTCTTGATCATTGTCATTGTCTTGTTTTTGGTCATCCTGATCATCCTTGTTTCCGTCACCATCCTTTTGAGCCTTTTCATCTTGATCCTTTTCTTTCTTCTTTTTGTTGTTGTTGTTGTTGAGTCTATCAGCAACTGCCTTGGGTGATTCTGATAGTGCGTATCCAATAGTCTGGAAGAATTGGTCGACTTCATAACCGACAGTATCTGCCTTTGAAGAGACGAAATCTTGGATAAACTCGGAATGCTGTGGATCGACAAACTGGGGAGACTGTGGTCCCTTGGTGACACTAGTCGAGTACACTTTGGACGACACTTGATCCCACACCTTTTGGAAGAATTGTTTGGATTTCTCAGAGGCTGCACCAGTTGGGTCAGTTGCTGGATTCGCACCACCCTTGACAACTACAAACTCGTCGAAATCGAGTCTCTTGGCACGTTCTTCTTTCTCCTTTTCACGTTGTTTTTGCTTTTCAAGCTCGAGTTCTAGATCCTTGTCCTTGTCCTCATCGTCGCTGTCATTGGCATTCTTTTTCTTTTTGCCTTTGGCAGCCTTGTCCCTGGCAGCAGCAGCATCTTTTTGCTTTTGCTTTTCCTTGAGTTTGTCCTTGTTGGATTTAGGGTGGACGACGAGCTCGTCAGACACGAGAGGTTCGGATGCGAGCTGTGCGATATAGAACGACAGCTGTCTCTCGAGACGTGCCAACGGGATGGTGACATCCTCACTCAACGAGTCGTAGCCATAGACATTGCACGCATACCCGTATCTTTGGACGACATTGACAGCAGCACCGTTGTTGTTGGGTACAGAAGCAGTTTGGAAGTCAAATATCAACCTGTTACCAGGCACTAAAAGTGATAGCTTGGGGAACGCCTTTTTCGAGAAACCGACGGGTGTCTCTGAGCACTCTACAGACGCGCTGAAATCGTCTTTGGTCCAGACTATGAGACGGTCGCTTTCACTGGCCGTCAATGAACGTTGGTCAAATTGAATAACCATCCATTTGACAGTCTTGGGAAACTCGACGACGTTGGTCTGCTTGAGACACTCTTCGTAGGGATGACTCGACTCCATCTTGACGCACTGCACATGGTTTGGTGTGCTCAATTGGGCAGTTCCAAGTGGACTGCCAATCACAGCCAACGACGCATTAGACAAGTGTTGGTTGGATAGTTGTTGAGTCTGTCTATTGATACGTGTGACGGGCTCGAGCAACTCCATCAATCTGACAGTCTTGTCGCGATGGTTACCTTCAAAGCGGTAGAAACTATCGACCATCAATGGGAGCACCGTCTGCATAAAGTAGTCGCGTTTGATGATCTGTCCAAGCGCGCGGGTTGTGGGGTGTAAGTGCAGAGTCTTGAAGAATCGTTTGGCATAGCCAAGTACCTGCGATGAAAAGTGCAGACACTCTTGCTTGTCAAGTGTCGTTTGCACACTTGATCGATTCGGTTCGAGTTGGAAGTAAATGGTTGGGAACTGGCCACTCGACACACTCGTTCCATTATCGTGTGCAGCGACACTCGACGATGAAAAGTGGAACACCACGCCGTTGGATGGCACGCGATCCTTTCCGCGGTACCCACTCGACGACGACGGTCCGTTGATACGTGCACATACAGTCAAGAACTCACCGGGGTGTAATGGTACAGCCTTGTGGAACTCGATCTTGTGTATGTATCGTGATGTCTGGTTATGCCATTGCGTATAGATTACATTAGGTGGAGGAGAGTCGCGGAATCGCGCAGCAGCCTTTCCATAGAGATGAGCTACCTGCGCGCTATAACTACCCTTGTCACCATATAGACCGACACCCGTCACATAGATGGTTCTATCTACGGCAAATGTAATCGAATCGACCAAATCTTCATAGATCCACGAACTACTCGTACTCGTGAATCTCGCCACATCAAATACTGGAGGTGGGTCATACGTCGTACCAATCTTTTTTAGTGTCAATGACGATGACCAAATAGTCTCCAACAATAAATTGGCTGCCAATTTATAATTTAATAATTTCACTGAAATTATATCCTCTTGGTCACCTTCATCGTCATCTTCATCATCATCATGTTCCTCTTGTTCTTTAAGATTGATTCTTGAAGCAATTGATAATAATAAATTGATAAATATCATCTCTTCACCATTATTATTATTGCCATCATCCTTTTGTTTTCCAACACGTTTTGAATTCTTTTCCTTGTAGATTAGATTTTGAATGTTTCCATAAAAGTTGACCAATACTGGGTTGGTGGCCTCAGTAATGAATGCATCTTCTTCACTGACCATAAGAGACAGTGCTTTCAACTCATCCTTGCTATTGGATGATAGCGAAGAGATGGCAGAGGTAAGGAGATACTTGATACCTGGAATCTCTGCTCTGACGACCTCTTTTGATGCCACTTGCAGCAGTTGGTCAAGCAAGACAATACACGAGACACGTTCTTGGTCACATCCATAGACCAATCCAAAACTTGATGTGAATAGTCTGTTTACCTGTGTCATGACCAATCTAAACAAATTTGCATTTGCATGGTGTCCATGTTTAAAGAGCACAGCATTACAATAAATCTGGTGCAAAAAGTTGATAAAGTCATCAAACATGCCTTGATCCTTGGTGGCAATCGTTGCAATGTTATCTGCCAACAATGACATGGCTCTTGGTAACGGTTGCTCCAACAACTCGAGTAACATTGAGTCGTCTTCAGCAACCTTTTGTTCAAACGTGTATCGTGATTGCAGGGTGCCTACATATTGTCTCCACATGCACTCTATGCTTTCAAAAAGATGTTTCAAATCTGATATGTCGAGCTTTTTCTTGTCACCCGACAATAGAGCGTCCGAGGTGGCACTGATAGTCAGACTGTTGGATGGAAGTACTGAAAACTTGACACCGCAGAGGATCTGTGGGCTGTCTCTGTAGACGGTGGGTGGACGCATGTCAATCTTGACACCTGCCACTGAGTATTTTTGATAGTTGATGCCTTGGATACACATGTTGCCATCTTGGTTGATGAAATAGATCTTGTATAGTACACCAGGACGCATTTCAAATGGTGACACGAGATCGATGATACTAGTCTTGTACAATTTCTTTGGTGACGTGACTAATTGCTTGCCATCAGACGACTCGATACGATACGACAAATAAATCTCTTTAAACTTTGGAATAACCAATGTTTTCAAAAGAATAGGGTGGTTGACTCTGATAAAACTAATGGTCGAAGACATTGGATAATTGCTAATCTTTCGTGGCACCATAAAGGTAAACGTCGACAATGATGACAAAAACTTGGACTCGTTTGGTATTTTAATGGGTTGTGGCGATTGTTTCGACAGTATTTGGTTATTATAAATGTTTGACAATAATGAATTAACCAATACCAATGGATCAACAAGTTGTTTTGAATTATAAAATGATAATTTTGAATCAACATTTGAAATTGTTGAAACTGTTGAAACTGTTGATGATGATGATTCTTTGCTACGACTTGGTTGTTCAACATTTTCCAAAATTGAAATATTCTTTGATGTATTGTCAAATGTAAAACTTGCATAGGGAGATAGATGATATGGATAATCAAATATTTGAATTTGATCCTTTTTATCAATCTTGATTTCATCCAATAATTGTAATTGATTATTATATAATTTAAATTTTAAATTCTTTTCAATATTTCCTAAATTATCATTATTATTATTATTATTATTTTTACTATTATTATTATTGTTGTTGTTGTTGTTGAAAAAAGGTAATAAAATACCAAATAATTGTTGATTTTGAATATAAACATTGAAATTATAAAATTGATTACTACAATCTTGAATACCTTGAGTATCATAGATTTCACGTAAAACTGTGAATCCATACTCTGTGCAAGAGATATCGATCAACTTTGCAAAAGATTCAACTTTTTGTTGTTGTTGATGTTCTTGACTAAAATCGACCATTTGTAAAAAGATGTTGGTTTGCTTGTGATCTTTGATATTACCAGAATAAAAGATTTGGTTCTTTGTTGTAGCAATCAACGTAAAGGTTAATCCAGAATCAACTTTGAGAATAGTCTGCAAATCCAAATGAACGGGGAGATTGTCAATCTTTGTGAACGCGTTTGGTTGGTCTTTATACGACGCCAACCCAAGTTGTCCAAAACTATTGTTTCCCTTGACATAGATGCCTGTCGTAGTGACAATGACGACCGACTGGTAGGCAGCGTGTAAATGAAGAACGTCTCCGTCGACCCCAGCGACGTCTTGTACACCCCACTTGCCATCGAGTGTCATACTGTGCAGTTTCTTGCTACCTCCATCGACATAGTAGAAATCCGTGTCGTTGGCGGCCATGAATGGGACACTGGGCACCGAGTGTATCTTGGTTGGTGATACTGCGGGCTTCTCCTTGTCAAGTGCCAATAATTGTTGATCGGCAGCCGAATAGATAATCACTCCATAGTTGTAATAGATGGCATCGGTCACCTTGTGCTTGGAATAGAATTGCTTCAACTGTGACGCATCTCTTTTCTTTGGTGCCACCAAACTATACAACTCTTTCGATTGTTCCTCTAAAAACAGCACTTCAGGTTCTTTCCAAATCATCTTTTTAATTTGTTTCCATCCATCTCCTGAATATAACATTAAAGGTTGACTACTTTTTGTTTGAAATATTCCACTAAACAAAATTAAAAATTAAAAATTAATATTAATATTCTTTTTGTTGTTTTAATTTAATTTGTTGACTTATTTTTTTACATACTTGCTACCTAAAAAATAAACATTTAATTCCTTTGTTTGAAAGAATAAACCACCACGAGTGGAAGAGAAAATCTTTGAGATTTTAAATGGTTCCAAAGACTTTAAAACGGTGTCATCGGATTCTTGATCTAATACTACAGTGTTGAATTGTTGGACTTGTGTTTTTGTTTTAAACAACTCGAATTCTTTGGTGCCCGATGAAGTGTCGCTGTGTAGCGAGTGGTCGTCGTACACCTTGATGTAACGGATGGTCGTCTTGGGGAGATCGGATGCGACCTTTTTGTTGACGATAAACTCGAGCACACCAATACGCTCGCTAAACTGGTCGAAAAAGAGTGTGTAGGGGTGTTGCCCGAGTTGTTGGTGTTCAGGTTCATCCTCAATCGACTGATATGACTCTTCGAGGGTATCAAGTGTCATTGTACAAACGATACCTTGGTCCATATCCAAACTTTTAAAATACAATCGGTCACGAATGATAAACATCCATGATTTTGTTACAATTTCAATGTCCTCGTTCTTGGAGCTCGAGCTAGAAGAACCGTTCATTGTGACACCACCACCACCGCTACTACCACTACCACTAATGTGACCATTAGCAAGATGATCACCACCATCATGACAAAGTGAAGGAGTAGTGTGGAATGATTTTTTATGTACATTGATCATATATTTTCTGGTGGATGAATGTAAAGAGATCTTTAATAGACCGATATTACAATGAATAAAGATAGAGATGCCATCAGTGGTCATTGAATACACTTTTGTGATTGTCAATGCCAAATTGTTTAATTGTTGAATGTTTTGGTATTCATAACAATAATTAATCTTGTAATCTGCCTTTTCAAATGGTATCATTTGATTATTATTATTTTTTAAATTTAATGGTAATCTAAAATAAAACAAAAAAGGAAAACAAAATAATTAATAATCAATCTTATTTTCTTTTTTTTTTGTTTATGTACATACAAAGATTGATATTTTGAAGATAGAATAAATTGAATCATTCTAAGAGTTAAACTTTGACAATTACGAGCTACTACTAGAGAGATGAGGGTTGTAGAGGCAATGATACGCTCTTGGTCAGACTGTCCATTTTCAATGACATGGATCAAAAGATCGAATATTTTAGTCATGATTTGTTGTGACACTTGTCCAAGTGACCCGATTCGAAGGGTTTGAAGATACTCTTGCATCATTTCATATCCTTTGATTTTCAACTCTTGCATTTTACTTGTAATCAATTCAATGATACATGTTAAAAACATTTCAATCGATTTGGTTGATGTATCGGTTGATGAAGTCTCATTTGATGAAGATTTTGTTGTTGTATTCTTTTTTGATGATGAGGAGTCTGTTTCAGTAGCATTCTTGGTATCTTTTTTATCGGTATTTTCTTCTCCTCCTTCCTCTTCCTCATCTGATGATTGATCAGATGGAGTGGTAGTATCGGATTGAAGTAAAGAAGAGGAAGTAGAGGAAGAATGATCCTTTGATGCATATTCAAGTGTCTCTTTTAAATGTTTCCAAACCAATAGTTTCATTTGAAGAATTGAATTGGACTGTGACATTGGTATTGACGATTCCAACGATGAGAAGGAACATTTGGTATTACTACTCTTTTACCTCCACTCTTTTTGTTGTTACTTGAATCCTTTATCTTTTTACCTCCTTGTTTTTCTTTGTCTTCATCATCATCATCACCACCATCTTCCTTCTTTTCTTCATCTTCATCTTCTTCTTCTTCTTCTTTATCCTCGTCCTCTTCATCATCATCCTTTTCTTCATCATCATCGTCGTCATCTTGTTGTCGTGCACCTGCTGCTGGTTGTTGTTCTGGTTGTTCTGGTTGTTGTTGTTGCTCAAACTTTGTTGGATTGTACAAATCACTCTTTGAAACGACGTGACTAAAATACTTTAGCAAGGAGTCTAGTGATACTCCTTCAACAACATTCTCTTGTCCACCAATCAAATGTTGCCCACCGCCACCACTATACAACTTTGCTAAAAATGATGAATCCATTCTCTCTCTCTCTTTTTAACAAAGTCTCTCCTTGAAAGATATCTTTCTCTCTTTTTCTTTTTACTTTATAATCTAATCTAATGTGTTCTTTGTACAATTTGTGAATGTTATCGGATTTACAATAAATACTATGTTGAATAAATAAATATATATATACAATAAATAAGTTGCTATTATTATTATTACTATTATTATGAGATATACATAAATCTATCCTATCCTATCCTATCTCTGTATTTATATATATCTCTTTATTTATCTGTATGATGATGATGGTTGGTTGAGAACTGATTGAGAAAATAAAGTGGTGAAGTTAGGTTTTTTTTAGATTTTATTAAAAAATTAATTTAAAATAAAAAAGAAACCCCATTTATTAATAAATTACTAATAGTACCCAAAAGGTTTAAAATCGACCTTTACACTTTTATCATTAATATTTTAAATCTGTTGAAGACATTATATTATTCTTATTATTCTTAATATTTTTTGATTCTCTAAAATGGATGCACTGCGATCGACGCTGTGCTCAAGTAATTACTTCTTTAATTTATTCAAGAACTTATAATTTGTTATTATTATTATTATATACAGGTGGTTATTATTATTAACTATTATTATTATTATTGTAAGTTTGGTGTTGTTGTTGCTGTTGTTGTGGAATATTGTAAAAAAAACAAGTTGGTTTAAAGATGGGTAAAGAGTCAGTTCATGAAAGGGGTACTGATAGATGGGTGGGTTGGTTGGAGAAAGTATGGTTGGATCGTATATCATATCATAGTTATTATTCATTAATTATTATTATTATTTATACAAATCTATTTATAGTTTAACGATTTTAGTTCCAACGATTTGAGGATTTGCTTTGGCAATCATCGATTTCCCAAGAGACTTGTAATCAAATGTACATTTGTGATTATTCATATGTGATCCACAAAATATCAATCCACATCGACACTTGGATGAAACAGACATCATGATGCCAAGTTTTTTGTTGCATCCTGTGAATGAGCATTTTACAGGTGACCCAGAAGAGGAAGGAGGTGTAGATGGTTTCTCTGGTGAAGTATTTGGTGTCGTTGTTGTTGTTGTATTTGTTGAGTTGCTTGCTCCAGCACTATCATTTGCGTTATTATTGTTTTTGTTGGTAGAAGAATTATATCTATTCTTGTTGGGTGATGACGGTAGCGTTAAAATCTCAGTTTCAATGTCATATATCGATCGTTTGGTTCCTCTAGATTTATCATTGCTATTATTGTTGTTGTTATTAACAGGTGCCTCTCCTACTGCCGTGGATTCCACCATCGTTGTCGTCGTCGTAGTCAATACATTTTCATCTTTTTGTTGTTGTTGTAGTTTTAATGCCTCTGGTGATTTGTTAAAACAACCTGAACATAATCCAATTGTTTTTGGATTACTATAAATAATGATAAAGTATGTATTAGTATCATATATTCATAATATCATATCATCATCATCATCATTGCCTGTACATGTATATAATAATACATACCCATAAAATATACATTTGGTTGTTTTACACATTGATGGTTTAGTAGTATCATCCGTTTGTTGTTGTTCTTGTGGTATTGATGTTGTTGTTGTTGTTGTCGTCGTTGTTGTTGTTGTTGTTATTGACTCCTCGACAACATTTGACGATACGGATGAAGGATTACTATTATTATTATTATTGTTGTTGTTATTATTATTATTTACAGAATTTGGTTGTTGTCGTAGTTGTTGTTCATCTTTATTATTTTCATTCACTGTTGTTGTTGTTGTTGTACCACTACTACTAGCGGTAGAAGGGGAAGATGATTTATCGATATCATCTACCTTGTTGCTTCTATCAACGCTAGTATTATCCATTTTGTTGTATTGTATCTATCCTCTACTCTACTACTCCACCAACTAAACTACTTTTTAATGATGGACAATATTATTATTATTATTATTATTATTATTTATATATATAACCAAGTTATTGTTGTTTGTTAAGTGTTTGGATAATTATAATACAATTAAACCCCAACCAAAAAATATATACAAGATGTTGGGATGTTATAATTTTAGCCTGGTTTGGTTTGGTTTTGGAAAATAATAATTATTTGTTTGTTTGTTGTTTGTTACTATTAATTATTATTATAATGATTGAATTGTGGTTGTATTGTATTGTTTTATAACTTGTTGTTGTTGTTGTTTTATAAAAAATTAAAAAAAACGAAAAAAGTATATACTCTCAAATTATTACTGCTATCCAATCTTTCTGTCTATCTGCCTGCTCTTCTTCTTCTTCTTCCTCTCTTTTTGTTCTTGTTGTGGCATATACTAGCTTATAGTCTAGTCTGTCTGTTACTCGTTATGTGTTGTTTATATTTCTAATGTACACTATATTGGATGTATGTATGTATGTATTAAAAAGTCTACTATATCCTCCTTCAACTTCTTGTATTTGTGTAACTAATGCAGGTAAGGTGTGTGTAGAATCTATCTATTCTAATGTGTCTTGTTATATATCTATCTATTGTTGTGTTGTTCTAGTACAACTTTATATCACTACAGATAAAATACAATAGTAAAGAAATGAAAAGAAAAGAAAAGAAAGATATCGCTTTAAAAATGGTTGTTTATGAGTACTGTTTTGTTGCCAGGGGTTGACCCTGTTGTGTGGTGGTGTTGGTTGGGAAAAGGACAAACAGAACAGAATTTGTTTGTGCGATTGTGTCACTGAGGGAGGGTTTTTTGCAATGGTCTCTTTTCAAAGTGTCGCGAAAGATATTATTTATTTATTTATTTACTTTTAAATATTTTTATGTTGGGGGTGCAACGTTGTATGATCTGCCGAGAATCTATCTATCTGTCTGTTTATCTATCTGTGTGGCGGTTAGGAGATGAAGATAATATCTATTTAGGTTCCAAGCAGTTGGTTGGTTAGAACCAATAACAGATGATGATATTGCTCGAGGCAATAATGTAGAAAGAAGAGTATGGAGGATCGACTATTATTATAAAACGATCATATTCAATATGTTCACTGATTGGAGAAACAGGAATGGTAATTGCGTCAAAAGAAGGCAGGAGACTAACCACAACCGACCAACCTATCGCCACTTTTTGACAATATTATTACTGCCACTTGTGGGTAGTTAGTGTTGGTGATCGACACGCAAACATATTTCACACCCTTGAGGAAGGCAGAAAGGCAGGGGTGACATTATATCCAACAATAGGTGTATATGATGTTGATCAACACAAGTAATCACTATTTGTATTGGTGTGTAGTATAACAATGGATTTAAATTTATTAATTTAATTTATTTTGTTGGATGAGGTTTAAATTTGTTGATTCTAATTAAATATTCAACAGTTTCGCTTATGGATTGATTAAATGGGGTGTAGTCACGACCCAACTTAACCTTGGAGTTGGAGACAATCTTGTATTGGAATGGAGTTGGTACCGTGGACATGTCGACAGGTGTAAATGTATAGTGTGGGAAGAGTGACTTGGCAAGCACGGTAACGTCGTGGAACGTCATCACAGTGTTGCAGAGCGTGGCACGTTCGCCATCCAAACTTTGCTTGGACTCGAGTGCAACGACGTGTGCATCGGCCACATCACGGACATCGACAAGACCAACACGTCTTTGGGTGAATGGGGCACCGACACCACGCAAACCTTCCTCTAATGTGCTGAGACTCGTGTTGAGTGTCCGCGACAAGGCAGGTCCGACGACAAACGATGGATTAATGACAATGATTTCAAATGCCAATGGTCCTTTTTCCTTTCTAAAGTTCCATGTGGCCTTTTCAGCCAACACTTTAGAGTATTGGTATGGAGTGGCTTCAGATGCACTGTCGTTCCAGTCTGACTCGTCATACACCTCTTTTTGTTTGGTGAGGTCTGTAACGGCGGCAGTCGACGATGTGATGATCACCTTTTTGATGGATGGGGTGGCTTGGGCAGCCTCGAGGACACGCAAGTTGCCTGCGATGGCTGGTTGGATGATATCACGTTGGACATCATCGGCTGTGTATACATAGGGCGATGCGCAGTGAATGACTGCATAGCTGCCCTTGAATATGCTCAAATAGTCTGCACTCTCCAAATCACCAGATTCAACTTCCAAACTACCACTCATACCATCTTCCATGAGCAGATCAACCAAATGTTCATATTTGGCTACATTATTTTTATCTCTAACAATTGCTGTTACTGCATACCCTTTTAAAAGTAATGATTTTACAACTATAAAGTAAAAGAAGAAGAAGATAGAAAATAGAAAAGAGTATGTTAAAATCAAATTTGTTTGTGTGAGTCATATTGATTGAATGATACAAACCATAACTAGCAATATAGCCATTTGCACCAGTAACTACAATCTTTTTCTTTTCTTCAACAGTTGACATTGTTGTGTTATGTTATGTGTTGTATGATTTATTTATTTGTTTATGTTTGGTATTAGCTAAATAACAAGATGATTGATTACATGGTTGGTGAAGATGATTCATTCATACTAGTACAAAAAAATAGATTAATTTCCATTCTAGATTCATTTTCGAAGGGAGAAGTATATTCGACAACGAATCATTGCACACAAACCACAAATATAGTGTTTGGAAGATCGAACAAAACTACTACATAGGTTATTCTATATTGTATGTGCTCGCAAATAACACTGAACGACTGAATGCAAGAAGAGGAGACGGTCGACGGAATGAAATGAAAGAAGATATTGTAGAAAGATCAACACAAAACAAAACATGCAGAACAACAAAGACAATAATAATAATAGTGTAGTTAAAAGAGTATGGAGTAATATAGTACTAAGAAGATTGATATGTTCAAAGATTGGAGAATGTATACCGGTATCAGAAGAGAATAGAATCAAGTTAAAGGCAAATCAACTTGAAATGATGCGACGGTACAAGAGAGACCCAGTCAGCTTTATTGATTTTGGTAATTCGGCGTTCTACAGGTCTCCCTTTATGACTGCTCGTATGTTTGAGTACCATTATGACCACTATCATAGCATAGGTGCACGGTTCGATTACCGCGGCGCCAGACAGGAGAGAGTGCTTGATGGTGTCGCTGGAAACCCTCGTAACATGATCGACACTTGGTTGTTTCGAAGGGCATACGACCACTTGAAAAGAAGAGGTGTGAAACCCGAAGACATGGCATCGGTGGAGACGTGGCGGTACATCGTCTCAACCAATAATGTCGAGTTGTACAACTATGCAAAGTCGGTACTGCCAATGCCCAAGGCAAGCGACTGCGCATCGCTTCTGCCAATTACCACCAAACCAGCCCTTGATTTCTCATACCACGTTGCTTATATTATAAAGCCACTGGATGGTACAGAGTTGCTGGCTGCGTTACTCGACGATCTCTATCACCTTGACCCGAATGAGAAATGGCTTGGGTGGATTCATTTTGGAGGGTTGGTGGCACGTGGGCGAGTCGATGTTTTACAGACTATCGAGACTCATGCCGGCCCATATATATCACGTGAGATAAATGTCTTGCCAGTTGGAGAGAAGCGGTCATACACCCATTGCCATAGTCATCTCACCCAAGAGACCATGCGGTCAGCCATTCAAAACAAACAAATTGAAGCGATTCGATTCCTATACAAAGTCAGCAAGATTCCAATCGGACCACAGTCTCTTATCGCTGTTGCTCGTACATGTGACCTCCCCTTCCTCATTGCGCTACACAATATCGAGCCTGAAGCTGGTCGTCTATACACCCTCTTCCTCCATGTCATGAGTAGTGCATTTTTTCAAGGTCCACTGTTACCTCCAACACAATGGAAAGACTTTCAACAAGAGTTTTATCAACTTGGCAAAAAACTCAACTACATTGACACCAATCTTCAACACCAAATAGACACCAAACAACCAATTAGATACCGACCCAAAAATATTCAACAACATTTTAAAATATTTGAAAGTAATAATACTGATTTATCTGTACCATCTTTATCATTTTCATTCAGTGATGGAGATTAAAAATATAAAGAAAAATTGTAAATATATATTGTAAATATAATTATTAAATATTTAAATAATTTATTATTTAAAAATTAAAAAATATTAATTAAAAAATTTATTTTTGAACCATGACAATGGATTATTATTATTTGATTGTTTTGTTTCCTCTTGTTCTTGTTCTTCCTCCTCTTCGTCTTCAATAATCTCTTGTGGAATGTTAAATGTATTTTTTGATTTCTTAAATGGATTTTCTTGTTGTTGTAAATAAGTCCTACTTTTTTGGTCATAGGGATATACTTTTGTTTTTGGATTTGGAGTCGTGGTTGTTGTTGTGGTTGTAGTTGTAGTAGTCATTGAATTATCTTCATCTTGATCGTCATCACTACCCCAAACATCATCTTGTTTTCTTTTTGGTGATTTGGTTGATATATTTGGAGTTTGGTCATAAAAGTTAATTGGTGAATGAAGAAGTTCATCAATCGTTTCTTGTCCCATCTCTTCCATTGATGTGTTTTGGTATTGATCTTGTTCATCATCATCATCATCATTGTTTTGATCAACGGCATCCATATCTGTTGGTTCTCTACTCTCTTCCAATTCAAGTTTAAAATCCAAGAGTTCTTCTTTTACAACTTGTTGATCGACATCTTCATCATCCAGATTACAACTTTTAACCATTTTGTTGACACATTTTTCAAAATCTTTGAGTATACCCAACGTACGATTTGGAAATGAGAATTCTTTGATCTCCAGTATAAAATACTTGACCTTGAGCAAGTGGTCTGGATCCTTTGGAATATATGATTTGAATAATGGTAGACAAAAACATAAATATTCTCGATTTTCATGATTATTCGAATCTTTTTCCTTTTCTTTCTCTTCTTGAGCCTTATCTTCTTGTGCATGAGTTAGAATTGTCATTAATAAATTCAAAAGTAATTTATCTCTATGTTTGATGAGTGATCTTTTTAAAAGAAAAAGGTCAAATGATAAGTAACATTTGTTCGATAAGTAAGTATACTATTTAAATATATTATGGATTACTTACTGTTCTTCTGTATTGGGTCCGATAAATTCAATAAACTTGAAAGCGATCATTTCAAGTATTTCTTTTCGTTCATTTTTATGGCAATTATAGTAAAAGAGAAAGTGTTCCAATGTAGGGGCAAACGATTTGACAAACATCCCCATATGTTCTTTTTGATGGATAAAAAATCTAAAGAATGAATCTAACATTTGTTTGCATTGATTCATAGATTGTAGTTCATAATTTGTAAAAAATGTAATTTGTAATTGATCAAAAATCTAAAGGTTGTCAAAAAATATATATTAGAAAATCTATCATAGAAGTTTGGTTTGCTTTGGATTGGATTGGATGATGTTATTTTACAAACTTTTTGATCTTTTAAATGTAAATATAAAAATAATTTACAAATTCCTTCAATACATAAAAGTTGGAGTTGTGGGTATTCATCATTAAACTTGTTATGATCTTGGATCACCCTGACCAGTTTGGAGCGAAAGTTTTGAAGATATCTTGGTAGAGTCGATCTAGCACAAAGTACATCAAAACTTGTTTTCAGAGCTGATGATTTCACGATTTCCCGTTCTCCTTTTAAGTTTAGCATACTTAACACTACTGCGTATCCTGGGGAACCACGCAGTTTATCATTTACGTCCAAAGTTGATAATAGTCCAAAACAACGTATTGCCCTCTTTCTAACCGGTGGTTCAGAATGTTTTATCCATTCTATAATTGGTTTCTCATAACCAAATAATATTTTGGACTAAATAATTATATTAAGTAAAATAGGAAATGTTTCGATTTGTGTTTTTTTTACTTACTGGATATTCATATTCAGTACTATATTTCATTAAATCTGTCAACACTGTAAGAACATGAAGAGGTTGTGGAGCATTTGGTAATTCCATAAGAGTTTGAACTGTTGGTGTTATCTCATTTTTTAAATATTCACTCCAAGCATATTCTCGACCAGCATAAATTTTCCTCAATGCTTTTAATACTATTTTTTTACCTTTCAAATCTTTAAATGATTTTAACAAATTTCCTAGAGGTCAGAAAAAAAAAGATTAATCTTTGATTTGATTATATATCTTTTTTTGTTTTTAGTTACCAAAAAATATTTCAAATTCTGTAAGGTTTAAATCGTTGGTAGAAACACGACCAAGAATTAAACAAAGTTGTTCAAACATAAAAAGTTGGGTTTGGTATTCATTGAGTAATTCCCAAATTAAATTTCCAGATGGCAAGACTTGTTTAATTTTAACTTTATATTTCTGATCTTTTGTCTATATTAAAAAATATAAATAAATATATATATTAATATATTAATATTATATATATTAGTTTTATATATATAGTTTCCAACATACTTTTGAATATTGATCAAATAAATAATCTAAATAAACTCTCCAAGAAAATAGAATTTCTGGGGTTAAATCTTCTTTGTTTTGTTCTGCAACCTCTAAGAATTGACATAAAGAAAACTTTTCAGAATCAAATAATGAACGAATTACTATTTCACATTGTTTTTGATGGTCCTCTACTTCCAAAAGTAGGAGAAAAGATTCAAAGTCTCCTCCACTATGATTTTCTAACCATTTTTCTATAGTTTCTTTACAAGATTTTTTCACATTTTCTTCATTGTCTCGTAGTCCACAATCTAGAACTTTAATTCGGTCTCTGGCAATGAAATCGTCAAAATGACCTTGCATACGTAAAAATGTGTTTTCTCTAACATTTGCATCCACGTCCATAGTTAGATCTAAAATGGCTTGGTTCAACATTCTATTTGGTATATGCATTTTCTTTATTAATTCTAATCTAACCATTCTAATTAAATAGGAATATTGAGTAAGTCAAAAAGGTAATAGGGGCCTGGTGTTTTTTTTTTTTTATATCTAATTACTCTGAAGGATCTTTTGGTACTGAAAGCATTAAAATAAACTTTTTGGTGATAGGATCGTTTACAATATTTGGATTTTGAAAGTTTATACATGTACCTATAGCCTCTATTCTTACCAATGGTGATTTATCACTGAGACGACTGATTGATGATTGGAGAATTGATTCGTACAAATGTTTGTCCATTCCAGCAACAAGATTTTGTTTGACAAAACGACATAAAATAATTTTAACCAATTGACATGAACGATATCTGATTGTTTTATCATTTGATTCCATTGATGAAATTAAACGACGCAACAAGATATGAGTAAATGAATGGGTCTCATAATCAAACATATGATTTTCGAGAGATTCATATCGTTTATGGTCCAGTTTGTAAAGGTCTTTGGCCATATCTGCCACAAAGTCAAAGAATATATCAACACTGGGTGCAGAGTTATCGAGTACCAATGAGCTATCAATCAACCTCACCATCTCTCTATATCTTTGTTCTCTATTTTCCCATGTCAAATTTTCATCCATCTTGAGAATTAAATCTTGTTCTTTACTATATAAATATGATTGTTGTGCTTTTGCAAATATTTTTCTAATTTTCTCAATATCATCATTCTTTGGATTATCAATAAAAATATTATTATTATTATTATTATTTGATGATGTAATAGTATTATCTGTTTTTTTTAAAGAAGATTTCTTTGGTTTTGGAGGAGATGAAGTTGTATTTTTCTTTGATTTTTTGCCAGACTTGGAAGAAGATAGGTTTACATCGGACAGAGACGATGATAATTCGCGGATTGGGTGCCTATAGAAATCCTCTTCTTCTTCCTCTTCTTCGTCTGATGAAATGAATATAACTTTAGGAGTTTTCTTTTTCTTATTATTATTATTATTATTATTATTATTATTATTATTATTATTATTATTATTATTATTATTATTACTACTATAATTCTTTTTCTTTTTCTTTATATTTATCTTTGTTACTTCATCATCTGATGAATCTATGACTATTGGATCGTCTTTATTATTCATAATTTGTCTAGTCTATCACCTTAACTTGATATAAATATAACTAACTAATTACTTTCTTCACTGCCCTTCAAAGTTAGTCGGAACTAACTAACTAATAGCATGCATTGGTTATGCTGATGACTTTTACTGATGAACCCTCATCATTTAATTCTATTTATTTGAAATTAATAAATGTGTTAGTACGATTTAATACTATGGTGGAGGTGGTGGTAGTTACTATGAATAATATTATTTACATACAAGTGGGTGGGGGTATACTATCTACTAGATACTGTGTCTACACTCAAAGGGGGGATGAGTGAAATGAATAATTCAATTGCTCCAATAGTTTTTTATTAAAATTAATTAATTTAAAATGTATAGACGAGATCATTTCAAAGAGGAATATTCCTCCTACTATTAATTAAGAAAGTAATGAATACTAATGAAAAGAATGATCAACATGAAGTAGAACAACAAAGAATAGAACTACAACAACTATTCAAACAGCAACAACAACAATCATCTGACCTTGATGAAAGGTTATTTAGAAGAGTTTGGAATAATGTATTACTTAGAAGATTGATTGGTTCAAAGATTGGAGAATGTATACCTCTGTCTGCTGAGAATAGGATATTACTAAGGGAACATTGTGCCGTACTGATGGGACAATACAAAAAGAACCCTAAACCATTTAGGTCTAAATGCAACAGAGAGTTTTACGAATGTCCAGTCATCACTGCCTCCCTCTTTCAATCCCACTATGACCACGTTAAATGGACAGACATGGAATATGTTATTTATTTGGTATCTGGTAACCCGAGAAATGCAGTTGACACTTGGTTGTTTCGTAGGGCATGTGAATACTTTAAACGTTGTCATCCTTACTTGGTCTTGACCAAGACACCCCTAAACACGTGGAGAAATATAATTAGATCAAATAATGTAGAATTGTACAACTATGCAAAGACAGTGATCCCGATGCCAAATGATATCGAGGATATAAAGAAGATGGTGGCTCTTGCTACCAATCCCTCTTATGACAATTCATACTATCATTCCAATGGTGCAATCTCGAGGCCATCAAACACCAAGTTATTGAAAGCTCTATTAAAAGACGTCAGATTAATACTCGATCCTCTGCAGAGAGAGATACAGTGGTTAGAGTATTGTGATTATCAAAGGTTGATAGTACATGGACCAATTGGCATAGCAGAGACCATACACAAGTATGCAGGTGATTATTATCATCCGGCTAATAGTGCTTTAATGATTCCGGCCATTCAAAGCAAACAAGTTGAATCGATTCGGTTCCTCTACAAAGTCTGCAAGATTCCAATCGGACCACTTGCAATGCTAGAGGTGGTTCATACATGTGACCTTTCATTCATCAAGAGACTGCACGACATTGAGCCTGAAGCTGGACGTCTCTACACACTCTTTATCCATGTCATGAGTATAAACTTTTCCAAAGGTCCCGTACAAGCAAATACAACCTTTCAACAAGAGTTTTATCAACTTGGCAAACAACTCAACTACATTGACATCAAACTACAACACCAAATAGATACCAACATGTCATTCCATTATCAAATGAAAAATCAACAACACTTTAAAATGTTTGAACAACAAAATATAGATCATGACAACAGCTCTGCCATACCAACTTTATCATCATTTTCATTTGATGATTAATATTTTCAAGCCCCATGTTCATAAATTGGTATGTTCATTTTTAATATAAATACATATTCAACCAATTAATAATTAATTAAATTTGTTTCTTAGGATTAGTTTATTATTAAAAAGGATCATTTTGGTAACCTCCTCACTCTTGATGTTGTTGTTGTTTAACATTTACCTTTGCTTTTAGTAAATATTTTTTACTATTTTCTTCATCTCTTTGGCAACCTACACCTATAAATTTATATGTTATTATAAATCAGTATTAATTATTTATTATAATGTCTATATATATTTACCTTTTTTATACATCATACTTGTCACGTATGCACCTCTTGTATTACCATTTTCAGCAGACATTAAATAATAGTTAAATGTTTTTGTATAGTCTTTTTTTGTTTTAGAGTATAAATGACCAACGTGATATTGTGCTTCATGGACTCTATAGTTTGCAATTACACCTTTGTTATGTAACAATTGAATCTTTGGTGGTTCCAATGCCGATCTTTCACATAATTCAATTGCTTTATCAAATTCTTCACCATCACAATAAATTAATGATAATAAAAATAACCCTAAAATTTAATTAGTATTAGTAATTAATAGATATATTTATTTCTACTATACATACCTTCAGCAGAATGATTATCAATTGCTTTTTGAAAATATTTAATTGCATTATTAGTTTCACATTTTATCTTTAAATAGTAGAAACCAATTTCACAATAGATTCTATTTTTTAAATAGTCTATTGGGATTCCAGTTCTATGACTACATGACGATAATATTGATTGTGGTAGTTCACCTTTATGATGGTGTATTAAATATCCATATTGACTTGACATTAATTTATAATTAATTGAATTTTGTTTTTTGTCATCTCTAATACCAAAAAAATATTTATTTATATCCAATACATTACATTGTGATGATAACCATTTATTTAAATATTCCATTTTTGTTATTTATTTTTTAAAACTATCATTTATAATTAAAAAATAGTATCCTTGATTTCTTTTGTTTTATTAAATTATCTCAAATCATTTAGTAGTGTAAAAAAATATATAATAGCCTATATTAATAATCAATTGATTATAAATAATTTTTAAACGTATAAATATATTTTCAAAAATGTAATGTAAAAAAATCGTCATAAAAATAATTAAATTATTACCTAATCGGAAAAATTATTACTTAATCGGAAAATGATTGAAAATAATTGGAATATTTAAAAGTGATAGAAAAAACAATTGAAAAATATATGGTCAAATTCAAACTCAGATGGATTATGTCACTAATATTAAATGATTTATAATAATTATTATAAATCATTTCAACAATAGTCTGATTAAAAAGAAAAAAAAAAAGAAATAATATATTTTTTTAAACAGATCAAGAGGTTTCAGTTCATAGTTAATTGATTGGGATTGTGTTTGTTGAACTTGATCTTATTTAATAATTTTTCATTACTAATAGTAAAGTTCATGGGTTACTTTAAAATTGTTATATTTTATGGGAAAATTGGTATCCTCATAAAATTATAAGTATTTTTTAAATGGAAAAGAGAAACGATCAAGAAGAACATCGGAAGGAAACACCTATGTCGATTATTTAATTTAATTTATGATTATAGTCAATCACTATTTATATAATGTAAAAAGATGATATGATAAATGGATAATAATAATAATAATAATGAATCACAAGTAGAAGAAGAAAAGCAAAAACAAAGACAACTAGATCTACAACAACTATTCAAACAACAACAACAACAACAAAGACAACAAAGACAACCAATAAAGATTGATCAAGTCATATGTAAAAGAGTTTGGAATAATGTAGTAATTAGAAGATTGATCTATTCAAAGATTAGAGAATGTGTACCGATATCGGAAGAGAATAGGGTCAAGTTAAAGAGTCACTTTGCTCTCGCTATGCAACAGTATAAAACGGACCCTCATCGTTTTGTACAGCTCGAAGGTAATAGGAGGTTCTATCAATGTCCAGTGATCACTGTAGACCTCTTTAAAGTCCACTACCAGTACTTTCACAAGTATGGAGCGGCACTCGAGAGCGGATACGATGTCATTGATCTCGTCTCTGGTAACCCTCGTAACATGGTAGACACTTGGTTTTTTCGCAAGGTGTGCGAATTCTTAAAAGGCAACAATAAGGGCAAAGACAAGGATATGATCATCCCCAAAAGCCCCTTTTATACATGGGACAATATAATGGTATCTAATAATGTAGAGTTGTACAACTATGCCAAGACAGTGATGCCGATGCCCGACACTAAAGGGTTGAAGCAAATGTTGTATGTTGTGACGAGTCCGCCACGGGCTATCCCACACTACTCCTCCTATGGAACGATTACGAGACCGTCAGGCACCAAGTTGTTAAAGGCACTACTACAAGACCTCAGATTAATCGACCCACAAGAGACACAGTGGTTGGAGTGGTGTGATTACGGACAGTTGGCGGCAAAAGGATTAACGGATATTATGGAGACCATCCACAAGTATGCAGGTGACTATTATGTACCTACGTATAACGTTTTCATGGTGCAAGCCATTCAAAACAAGCAAATCGAATCGATTCGATTCCTATACAAAGTCAACAAGATGCCAATTGGACAGAGGTCAATGTATGAGGCTGCTCATACTTGCGACCTCCCCTTCCTCATTGCGCTACACAACATCGAGCCTGAAGCTGGCCGTCTATACACCCTCTTCCTCCATGTCATGAGTTCAAGCTTTTCACATGGACCAATGCGTTTCTCGCCCCACCAAACACATTGGCAAACCTTTCAACAAGAGTTTTACCAACTTGGCAAACAACTCAACTACATTGACACCAATCTTCAACACCAAATAGACACCAAACAGCCATTCAAATACCAACCCAAAACTATTCAACAACACTTTAAAATATTTCAACAATCAAATGTAGATGATTCATCTATACCAACTTTATCATTCTCATCATTTGATGATTAAAACTAATTAATTAATTCATTGTAATAATAATTATTAATTGTAATAAACGAAATTTCGAACCATTTTTTTTTATTCGTTGTGGTATCTCCATTGATTTATTTAAAGATTCTGTAAACTGTTTGATAATCTATAAATAAATAGATACGCGATGGTTAAAAAAGGATATAAAAAGAAACGACAAGCCCTACGAAGACAACAAGAACAAGAACAACGAGAACTCGAGAACCAAAACCGAATAGAACAAGAACTCAAACAAATTGAACACCTACAACAACTATTCAAACAACAACAACCACCACCACACATTACAATCGACCCGATCATATGTAAAAGAGTTTGGAGTAATATAGTACTTAGAAGATTGATATGTTCAAAGATTGGAGAATGTATACCGATATCGGAAGAGAATAGAATCAAACTCAAGCGTGGTTATGCTGCACGTGAGATCAGACAGTACAAGACAGAGTTGTGCAACGAGGAGCCACCGAGCGGACTCACGAATCAAAGGTTTTACGAATGTCCAGTCATCACTGCTGACCTCTTTCAATACCACTACGAATACATTCACAATCAGATCAAGAGATCTTACGAGAGGGATGACTATGTCCTTGTCTTTATCTCTGGTAACCCCCGCAACGTGGTTGACACGTGGCTGTTTCGTAGGGCATTCGAATACTTGAAACGGACCGATCCTCAATCGTTTATGCCGCACCGCCTTGGAGACATATGGGACAATGTGATCAAGTCCAACAATGTCGAACTGTACAACTATGTCAAGACGGTACTACCAATGCCTTTTATCAGAGATATTAAACAACTGGTGTCTCGTGCAACCAAACCTTTCAACCCGAGCCCAACTATTGAATATGGTGTGCCGGCACCACCATCCAATACAAAGTTGTTGAAATCTCTATTAAAAGACCTCAAACTCATTGACCCTCTAGAGACACAGTGGTTTACATCATGTAATTACAAAAATTTGGTCGAGACAGGATCGATTGAAATCATGGAGACGATAGACAAGTATGCAGGTGACTATTATCGACCCACCGACGCTACTTTGATGGCTCGAGCTATTGAAACCAAACAAATCGAGTCGATTCGGTTCCTATACAAAGTCTGCAAGATTCCAATTAGTAAAGTGTCAATGCTACAGGCAGCTCATTTTTGTGACCTCTCATTCATCATTGCTTTGCATGACATTGATCCTGGAGCTTGTCGTCTATACGCCCTCTTCCTACATGTCATGGGTACAAGTTTTTCAAATGGTTCTCTTCGTCACTCAGAATCCAAATCAGAAGAGTGGCAAGACTTTAAAAAAGAATTTTACCAACTTGGTAAACAACTAAACTATGTGGATAAAAAACTACAACACCAAATAGACAACAAATTGCCATTCAGATGCATCCCCAAAAATATTCAACAACCACAACAACACTTTAAAATATTTGAATGCAATACTTCTGATTCCTCCATCCCAACTCTATCACCATTTTCATTTGATAATATTATTTAAATCATTGGAGACGACAACAACAACAACTGATTCAACTTGAAGTGCACATATTTTTGTGTAAGATCTTTTCAGCGAAATTTCCTTTGGAAAATATCTATGTTTTTTTTTAATCTTTTTGGTGATCAAGTTTATCGATATTAATATTAATCACATTATTTTATATAGTTATCTTTATCTTTTTTTTTGTTGCTCATTGATAAACAGTACAATGAAAAAAGGATCAAGAAAAAAAAGATTACAAGATTTAAGAAGACTACAAGAACAACAACGACACCAACGACTACAAGACCAACTAGAACAACGACACCAACAACTACAACAACTATTCCAACTAAACCAACAAACAATCATTGATGAAACACTATTTAGAAGTGTATGGAATAATACAATACTTAGAAGATTGATATGTTCAAAGATTGGAGAATGTATACCGATATCCAATGGCAAACGGATACAACTAAAAGATACCTTTTTCGCTGAGATGGAACAGTACAACAAGGAACCAGATCAATTTCTAAAATATGGTGGTAATCAAAGGTTCTATGAATGTGGTGTCATCACTGCCGACCTCTTTAAATACCACTATCAACACACTCATAGGAGCTGGTTGCAGGAGGACCAAGTGGAGACAAGACTCAGTGTCCTTGACCTTATCTCTGGAAACCATCGCAACATGATTGACACTTGGTTGTTTCGCAGTGCATACAACTACTTGAAACGAACCGATCCTCAATCGATTTTGGCCGACCAACACATGACCACGTGGCACAATGTCATTTCATCAAACAATGTCGAATTGTACAACTATGTCAAGACGGTACTGCCAATGCCCGGTCTCGAGGGTATCAAACAAATAGTCGCCAATGCAACCAAACACACTCGTATGCGTACAATGGGATCGTACCATGCCAACACATATGGTTCCATCTCGCCACCACCCGGTACCAAGTTATTGAAAACTCTTTTAAAAGACCTCAGATTAATCGACCCTAAAGAGACACGGTGGTTGGAATTATGTGATTATGGAATGTTGGCAGAATCGGGATGCACAGACATTATGGAGACCATACACAAGTATGCAGGTGACTATTATTGTCCCTCTGAAAAAGCTATTATGGTTCGAGCCATTCAAAACAACCAAATCGAGTCGATTCGATTCCTATACAAAGTCAACAAGATTCCAATAGGACAAGTGATGCTAGAGGCTGCTCGTACTTGTGACCTGTCATTCCTCGTTGAATTGCACAACATCGAACCTGAAGCTGGTCGTCTATACACCCTCTTCTTAAAAGTCATGAGCCCGAGCTTTGCCAAGGGCCCTCTACGATTCTCACCATCCGAATCAACACAATGGCAAACCTTTCAACAAGAGTTTTACCAACTTGGCAAACAACTCAACTACATTGACACCAATCTTCAACACCAAATAGACACCAAACAGCCATTCAGATACCAACCCAAAAATATTCAACAACACTTTAAAATATTTCAACAATCAAATGTAGATGATTCATCTATACCAACTTTATCATTCTCATCATTTGATGATTAGAACTAATTAATTGTAATAATTAATTACATCGAGAATAAATAAATTTATAGTGAATTTAAATAAATATTATTATTTATTTGTGAAATGATGGACGGATTTTAAAATAGTTTCACGGACGCCACAACGACCACATACGATCACGTGACACGCCGAGAAGGTATCGGTTGTCGTGTGAAAAGGCGAGTTGGACGACTGTGCGTTGGTGACCCTTGAGATTGGCAACCTCACAGATGGCAACACTCCAGATACGGATGGTTGCTTGGTCGGATGAAGAGGCACGACAGGTGGATGCTGTGTACTTGCCGTCGTAGCTGGCTGCGACTGCGATGATCTCGTTTCCGTGTCCGTATAGAGTTTAAACATTGTTTTGTTCAAAAAAAAAAATCAACACCTGTCTTGTAGAAATTAAAAAAGATTACTTTTTCAAACATAACCAATATTTGTTGAACAATTAATTGGTTATTTCAAATTACAAAGAAGATGACAACAACAAAAGAGACAGATAAATATGATTCTATCACCAAACAATTCAAAACATTCAAAGATAACAAATGTCCGTTATGTGATGGTCAACTATGTGATACTGCAACACTCAACAATCACATTGCTCAATGTTCTGTCTATTTCATGTTGGACAATCAAATAGATGTCTTGCAAGTTGTAAATGATGTCATGGCAAATCTTTACAACAAAAAGAGATCAATTGACAACAATGATAATAATAACAACAATAATAATAATAATAATAATAATAATAATAATAATAACAATAATAATAATAACAATAATATTATTGTGATTGATGATGATGATGACATCAATGTGAAGAGACAAAAGATGGAAACAAACAACAACGACGACAAAAAGATAATAAGGTCTGATGAAGAACTAAAGTCATTGGGTGCATTTGTTAAGGATTCAAATGGTGAGGGAAGATGCCTAGATATGATCAACTTTGTCGGAAGTCAACAGGAACTACAATCAGCGGTGAATAGGGTAAGAACAGTCATCCAAAAATCAAAGTTGGTTACCTACTTATCAATATATGTTCTTTTCGATGATAACACAATTGAACAAGGTATGTCAACATCTTATCTATCGAGTATAAATATTTATCATGCTCATACTCTTGTCCTCTCTTCTTTTGTCAAAGCGCGTACAACTATGGGGTTGATCTATCAAGACCTAAAAGAGAATACAATAATAACAGAGTATTTCTTTGAATCATTTCCATTTGGAAGAATGATCTATGCCGAGAGAGCAAGTACAAGATTCTGTGTCTATGGAGCCAATGTTAAAAACAACCAAGAACTTCATACACCCATTTGTTTGCCATCAATGATTCCACATATCGATAAATACCAAGTTAAAAGTATAGGTATGTACAATATATATTATATTATATTATTACCATTCATTATCCAACGCAATCAACTTACACCACCTCTATATATTTCAAAGAACACCCAGTTGATATTCAACCATCATGTGATGTATTGAATGGATCACCATATATTAAAACAGTCAAACTAATGGCATCCAATCGAATGACATACGATAAAGAAGTATTTAATCGATTCGTACTCGGGTTACCCAATCTTGAGTGTCTCAGACTAAAATGTGGTGGTGGTGCCAGAATATTATCATTGGTCATCAAACTATTAAACAAAAACATAATCAAGCACCTTACAATTAGCCATATCGCGGTAACTCCTGCACTGAGTCGAAAACTATTAGATGCCATCAAGACAAACAGATCACTTATTAGTTTTAAAATCTATTGTAAGTACTGATCGATGTGTGAAATATATATTTCCAGGTCTCTAATTCATTCATTTATTATTTAGTTCTCCAAGAGTGTATCCCATTTGTTTATCAAGCTTTAAAAGAGATACGTACCAATCATAATAATACAACTCTGAAATATATTTACTTGTTGCATCAAAGTATATATGTTGACAAACAACCGGTCGCATCGTTGCAGGATGATTATGGTTACATAATACAACTAGACATTCCCCCCGCAACCTTTCCTAAAAAATTACATACACCATAGAATAGAAGAAACCATTGTATTTGTACCTATAGGTTCCTCGCACCTAGGCCCGAGAGAACATTTTAAAAGTAAGTGACCCCCCCCCTTTGAAATTAAAAAAAAGAAGGAAACTATACAACACAAATAAATCTAGAGATACTTCTTCTTCTCTCTCTCTCTCTCTATATTATTATTATAAGCTCCTACAACTAGTCGTGTCGATCAAATACTGCCTACGCCTATTTATTTAATATTAAATATAATTATATCTTTTCATAAACCAACTCAACAACCAACAACATCATCATTGATCCTTCCATTCCATCTGGCGGGTCCCAAGGGCTACCTGTGTGGCATTCGTCCGCGTATAGTCTTTCACAGTATGAGCGCTGCCATTACTTGGGGTGTTTATGAATTTTGCAAGGAATCTTTAAATCCCTATTTCGATTCAAAATAACCAACTAATAATAATAGTATAATATAATATTATATATAAACAGGCATAATAATAATAATAATAATAATAATAATAATAATAACAAATCACATAATAATAATATAATATTAAAATAATAAACGGTAAAAAAAAAAAACAAATATAAAATTAAGTTCCTTTTCCTTCATTAAAGAAATGTCAACTACAACACAAAAGATAGATATATCAGTAAATCATATAAACCATTTGTGAAACGTTATGAAATCGATAATAACACCTCCACCCTCTAACGATCATACTTCTCCAAGTAAATCAGAATGGATTCTGTTCCAAATCTCAATACCACATGTGGAATCAAGATATGTGACGAGGTTTCTCCCATCCTTTGTTTATCCGATTGCCACGATACATCACTGATGTACATTGTTTTGTTCAAAAAAAAAAATCAACACCTGTCTTGTAGAAATTAAAAAAGATTACTTTTTCAAACATAACCAATATTTGTTGGACAATTAATTGATTATTTCAAATTACAAAGAAGATGACAACAACAAAAGAGACAGATAAATATGATTCTATCACCAAACAATTCAAAACATTCAAAGATAACAAATGTCCGTTATGTGATGGTCAACTATGTGATACTGCAACACTCAACAATCACATTGCTCAATGTTCTGTCTATTTCATGTTGGACAATCAAATAGATGTCTTGCAAGTTGTAAATGATGTCATGGCAAATCTTTACAACAAAAAGAGATCAATTGACAACAATGATAATAATAATAATAATAATAATAATAATAATAATAATAACAATAATAATAACAACAATAATAATAATAACAATAATATTATTGTGATTGATGATGATGATGACATCAATGTGAAGAGACAAAAGATGGAAACAAACAACAACGACGACAAAAAGATAATAAGGTCTGATGAAGAACTAAAGTCATTGGGTGCATTTGTTAAGGATTCAAATGGTGAGGGAAGATGCCTAGATATGATCAGCTTTTTCGGAAATCAACAGGAACTACAATCAGCGGTGAATAGGGTAAGAACAGTCATCCAAAAATCAAAGTTGGTTACCTACTTATCAATATATGTTATTTTCGATGATAACACAATTGAACAAGGTATGTCAACATCTTATCTATCGAGTATAAATATTTATCATGCTCACTCCACTCTTGTCCTCTCTTCTTTTGTCAAAGCGCGTACAACTATGGGGTTGATCTATCAAGACCTAAAAGAGAATACAACAATAACGGAGTATTGCTTTGTATCATTTCCATTTGGAAGAATGATCTATGCCGAGAGAGCAAGTACAAGATTCTGTGTCTATGGAGCCAATGTTAAAAACAACCAAGAACTTCATACACCCATTTGTTTACCATCAATGATTCCACATATCGATAAATACGATGTTAGAGGTGGTGGTATGTACAATATATATTATATTATATTATATTATTACCATTCATTATCCAACACAATCAACTTACACCACCTCTATATATTTCAAAGAACACCCAGTTGATATTCAACCATCATGTGATGTATTGAATGGATCACCATATATTAAAACAGTCAAACTAATGGCATCCAGTCGAATGACATACGATAAAGAAGTATTTAATCGATTCATACTCGGGTTACCCAATCTTGAGTGTCTCAGACTATGTGGTGGTGGTGCCAGAATATTATCAGTGGTCATCAAACTATTAAACAAAAACATAATCAAACACCTTACAATTCGCCATATCGCGGTAACTCCTGCACAGAGTCGAAAACTATTAGATGCCATCAAGACAAACAGATCACTTATTAGTTTTAAAATCCATTGTAAGTACTGATCGATGTGTGAAATATATATTTCCAGGTCTCTAATTCATTCATTTATTATTTAGTTCTCGAAGAGTGTTTCCCATTTGTTTATCAAGCTTTAAAAGAGATACGTACCAATCATAATAATACAACTCTGAAATATATTTACTTGTTGCATCAAAGTATATATGTTGACAAACAACCGGTCGCATCGTTGCAGGATGATTATGGTTACATAATACAAGACATTCCCCCAGGCTACAGAGTACTCAAAAAATTACATACACCATAGAATGTTGGTGTATGTATGAACAAAGAGAAACCTTGTATTGGTATTCGTATAGGTGTTACTCACCTAGGCCGAGAACATTTAAATAAATAAATAAATAAATTCTAAAATAATTAATATTTATCAAAACTAAGCCTTTAAACATTCTTGGGTTGACCTCAGCTAGATGTCTAGTCATCAATTCTCTTTAGTCACTTGTTGTTAGCAATACTTGTTGCTATTAATAATATTGCTCGAAACTATTTTAAAAAAAACTAACAAAGAAGATGACAACAACAAAAGAGACAGATAAATATCAGTCTATCACCAAACAATTCAAAACATTCAAAGATAACAAATATCCGTTATGTGATAATATATATATATATGTTATTGCCATATGTCTCTCTTACAAGTCCCTTTCTTCTATAGCGCGACCAATAATCGAATCAATCTATCAAGATCTCAAGAGAATACAACGATCAAAGAGTATTCTATCGATGGATCACCATTTGCCAGAAATCTATATGCAGAAAGACCAAGTACCAGATTCTTTATGTCTGAAGTCCGTGTTCAGAAAAACAAGAAAGAACTTCACACAGCCATTTGTTTGCCATCAATGATTCCACATATCGATAAATACCAAATTCACAGTATTGATTGTATGTATTATTACCTTTTATCTATCCATTTATGATATATTCACACCCCCGGAGTTAACTCGCTCGTCGATTTTATTTCATTTATTATTATTATTATTAGATAACCGAATTCATATCGAACAATCATGTCAAGTATTGACAGGATCACCATATATTAAAACTGTCAAGTTGGTTGGAGATCATTATGAGTCCTACGACTACGAGCTATTCAATCGATTCACACTCAGTCTGCCCAATCTTGAATGTCTTCGTATTGATGTTACTTCAATGCCAAAGCATATATCGATGGTCGTTGAACTGTTAAAAAGAAATCAAATCCAACACATGACAATTGGTGGTGTGAAATCAAATTTACATACCCAAATGGTATCAATATTCGATGCAGTCAAAACAAACAAATCACTCATCTCTTTGAAAATCAATGGTTCGTCAAGTTTATTATTATTATAGATGTTATCTATTTTTCTAATTTCTGTTTTATTCTTTCCACTTGTTGAAATGCAAATATCTAGTTATGCATGGACACTTTTCATATATTTGTGAAAGATTAAAAGAGATTCACAGCTATACAACTTTGAAATATGTTTATTTTACCAATATAGGGAGTGACCACGATCCAATACTAGCACAATCATTAGAGACTGATTATGGATATATAATACGATCTATCCCCTTGGGGCTATCACGCTATGCCAATAAAATTCATACACAATAGAAATATGGAAATACATATCAATTTGAAACAACTGTAATAATAATAACAAATCACATAATAATAATAATAATATAAAATTAAAATAAATGAGAGAATAAAAATGTATTAAAAATCAATCAAAAAAAAAAAAAGAAAAAGAAAAGGAAAAAAAGAATATCCATAGATCAAAATGAACAAATATAGAATATCATATAGATATATAGAACCATATGGGTTAAAAAAATTATTATTCTATATTTTAAAAAATGATTTCATTATCCAAATTTGGTGGTTTACAAATTCGTTTTTTTTGAATTGTTTTTCGGTTTTCTGTAAATAATAAAAAGTATTGGTGGATCAACCGTTAACGATTACGAATACCTATACCAAAAAGATTTTTATATATACATTTATAAAATTATAGATATGATTCAAAAAGAAGAAGAAGAAAAAGAAAGATTTAATTTATATTATCAATTCAATTCAAGATGATATAGATATTATTTGTTTATTATTGACATGCAAGAGATTATTCAATATTTTAAAGTTGACTAGATTACCCATTCGATTCAAATAATATAATAAATAATTTGGTAATTTTGGATTTAATAAATTAGAATTGATTTACATTCAAGGTGATCAAAACTTGGAGGTAAACAGATTGACCGATAGGTGTCGGGATGACTCATCCACTGGGACCACCAATCAATTCTTTTTAAAATCATTCAAAACAATATTTAAACAATCGATTCAGCATCATTTGGTCATTGGTGGAGTCACTTGGGGTGCAGGATCAGACAATGTAGCCAAATACAATCATCATTTTCAATCGTTGGACAATCATTTATTTGACAGAGTATTTTGTAAAAGTAAAACAGATATTGTAGAAATTCCAACCACCACTGGAAAGTTTGAATGTTTCTCAGTCTTGTCAAATACGATAATCTATCATTAGACTTTTACGAAAAATATATGGAGGAATTTGTTTTTGACAATGTTGACGATAGCATCAAATCACTTGTACTACCAAAATCACTCAAGAGATTTGGAACCAACGATCTTAGAATATTGGACGAGAACCATTTCAAGTATCCACCAACCCTAGAAACTTTAAAATTGTATTCTCCTCAATTGGTACTCACCCACCAAATCAACAATGAAATCAAAGTGTATCCAGATTTCCCAACGACTCTTCGTTCGCTTACTCTATCGTACATACGTACTGAAATGCAAGATTATACTGGCCCAGTCGACTTTTCACTCAAACATCTTGGTCAATTAGAGTATTTGACAATTCGGTCTTGTCAAAAGGGAATTATTGGTAGAATTGACTTGCCAGATTCCGTCAAACATTTATCAGTCAGATATATGCCATCTAGTGGAAACAGTCCTATTTCATTACCGCCAAATCTCCAATCACTTCATATCAATATGGAAATAATCAACTCACCTCTTCCAACGACAATCACCAATCTATCTTTATATTATTGTCCATACATTCAACCTGGATTCATCCCAATCAATGTTAAAAAATTACATCTTTCATTTGCTCATGTTCATAATGATTTGGTTAGAGGATCAATACCTTACAATGTAGAAGATTTAACCATTCAAAATTATATTCTACCCAATTCAACCACTTTATCATCATGTTTTCCAACAACCAATCTTGTTAAATTAACCATTAAAAAAAGTGATTTTAAAATGACACAACTTCCACCCAACCTACAATCCTATGTCATTCATTGGGGAAATCCATCACTTCTTCCAACAGAGTATCCACCATCTTTAACTCATCTAACATTATCAGACATTCATTTAATTTGTAAAGCACCATCTACAATCAATCATTTATCAGTTCAATTAAAATATGGTTCAACTATTACAATCATTCCAAACCCAATACCGAATAATATTAAAACCCTAGAATTGGATATTCAAAGAGAACATGATTATAAATTATCATTGGATGAAATTCTACAATCTCAAATTGATACTATTAAATTATTTAATTTCTCAATTTCAATTAGAAAGTTTAAAGACCAATATCAAACTGTTCTATTTTTGGAAAAAGGATCATTATATGGTGCATTTTTAAATCGAAATCAAAAATATTATTTATCAATTCAAAAAGGTTTACCAACTATAGAAATAAATAAATAATAATTAAATAAATAAACAATAATTAAATAATTAAATAAATAAATAATATTTTTAGTTGTACAAAATGGAATTACAATGGTACAAATTGTATATATATTCCCCTCTTTATTATATTATCATCTTTTTTTGTTTAGAAAAGAAGTACAATGGATGAAATGGCAGCCAATGAAATCATTGAGGCCTTGATCATACCAGCATCACCAGTGGTGTTGTCGGTTGTAGTGTCGGCGGTGGTGGTGTCGGCAGTAGATGTAGCAGAAGTAGTGTCGGTAGTGGTAGCAGAGGTTGTGTCGGCAGTAGTGGCAGAAGTAGTGTCGGCAGTGGTTGATGCAGTAGTAGAGGCGGTGGTAGCAGAGGTAGTATCAGCAGTGGTCGAGGCAGTGGTTGATTATTAATTATATATATATATGAAATTATTGTGATTATTATTAATTATTAATATTATTAATTATTAATATTATTAATATTTGTTGATTGTGAATTGAAGAATGTACATTTTATTTATATATTAATCAAATGATAATGATGGTATGTTGGTGTCTGCACCAGATTGTTGAAACATTGTAAAATGGTGTTGAGCATTTCTTGGTTGGTATTTAATCCTTGGCCACTTGCCAATAGCAAGATTGGTGTTGATTTGTTGTTCCATTGTCTTATTAATGAAATTAAGAGGTTTGACATGATCAATGAATTCTTTTCTAAAGTTGTTGCATTGGGGATCATCTGAACGAAAGTATGCGTTGAATGTGGAGCTAATAACAATAAGAAAGATAGTGTATAGACGACCAGCCTCTGGCTCGATATTGTGGAGTGCAATGATGAATGAGAGGTCACGAGTACGAGCTACTAGCAGTAGAGTGGCATAACTCAATGGAATCTTGCAGACTTTGTGGAGACACCTAATAGAGTTGATTTGTTTGTTTTGAATGGCCACCGTCATAGTATGTTCATTGAGTTGACGGTCAAAGTGATATTTAGATATAGGTTTTGCAAGCATTGGGATACATGAACCTGCATGCATATGTATTGTCTCGATAATATCTGCTATTCCATTCTTTGCCAAATATGAGAAATCTACACATTCTAGCCAATTCTCTGTTGGGTCAAAGTCGATGAGATCGTCGAGTAGTTGAGCCAACAAATCAGTGCCAGTCATCGGCTGTATATGACCCCAATAATCCTTTTGTGGTTTGGCTGCTCGTGGAACCAACTCATTTTTGTAATGGTTTCTGTCGAGCATTGGAAACACCGACTTGGCATAGTTGTAAAACTCTACGTTATTTGATTTGATTACGTGTTGCCAAGTATAGATGTTTGAAACTGATTGGATTGATTCGGGTCGCAACCCTCTTTCTTTCAAGAAATCAAACGCCCTACAATACAGCCATATGTCTCTATAGTTTCGTCTGTTGTATGATATGGCATCTATTACTGACGCAACAGGTATATCCTTGCAATAGGTATCATAATGAGATTTAAAGAGATCGACTGTGAGAAACTCACAATAAAAGATTGACACTATGTTATTGTTATTGCCTTTGCTTTTAATGAATTGTAATGGATCTTCCATGTACATTTTTATAGTCTTTGCAGCACTAGAGCTGATCAGAACTACCCGATCATCTTCTGATAGATAATCTTTAATCTTTGAACATATCAATCTTCTTAGCACTATGTTATTCCATACTCTTCTAAATAGTGTTTCATCAACCTTCATTATTCTTTTGTCTTCCTAAGAATTGTAATGTCATCTAAATATATATATATTATTATTATTATTAATCCTATTATTATTTATCTGTATCTCCTTATCATCTACTGATTTGCTTTTCGTGCTTCAGGGCACATGCAAAGCGAAGATGCTTTTGATCAAAAAAAATGTCTTTATTCTTAGAGAATCATATCTTCTTCTTTTCTCTTTAAAAAAAGATAAAATAAATAATTAAATAATAATATTGTTTGGATTTAATGATTGTACATTTCATTTATATATTAATCAAATGATAATGATGGTATATTGGTGTCGTCACCAGATTGTTGAAATATTGTAAAATGGTGTTGAGCATTTCTTGGTTGGTATTTGATCCTTGGCCACTTGCCAATAGAAAAATCGGTGTTGATTTGTTGTTCCAGTATCTTATTAATGAAATTAAGAGGTTTAACATGATCGATGAATTCTTTTCTAAAGATATAGCATTGGGGATCATTTGGTGGAAAGTGTAGGCCGAAATTGAAGCTAACTACATGAAGAAAGATAGTATATAGACGGCCAGCTTCAGGCTCGATATTATGCAATGCAATGATGAATGGGAGGTCACAGGTACGAGCTACCAGCATTAGATTTGCATGACTCAATGGAATATTGAAAACTTTGTAGAGACACCGAATTGAGTTGATTTGTTTGTTTTGGATAGCCACCATCATTGTGTGTTCATTGAGTTGACGGCCACTTTGACTTTGATATTTAGATATATATTTAGGTTTTACAAGCATTGGGATACATGAGCCTGCATGCTTATGTATAGTCTCGAGGATATCTACTAATCCATTCTCTGCCAAATACGAGAAATTAACGCGCTCTAACCAATTCTCGGTTGGATCCAAGTCGATAAGATCGTCGAGTAATTGAGCCAATAAATCAGTGCCAGGCAATCGATGTACACTTTTACTCCAAGGATCATTTTCTGGTTGTGTTGCTATTGGAACCAAATCATCTAGGAAATGGTGTCTCTCGAGCATTGGAAGCACCGATTTGGCATAGTTGTAAAACTCTACGTTATTTGATTTGATTACGTTTCGCCAAGTATAGATGCTTGTCATTGATTCAGGCTTTATACCTCTGTCTTTGAAAATATCAAACGCCCTACGAAACAACCATGTGTCTATATAGCTTCTTCTGTTGACTGATAAGGCATCTATTACTGCTGCAACAGGTACTTTTGAGCAATAGGTATCAAAATACATCATACAGAGATCGACTGTGAGGCACTCACAATAAAAGAGTGACAATATGCTATTGTTATTGCTTTTAATGAATTGTGATGGATCAGCCTTGTACCTTTCTATAACCTTTGCAGGGCCAGTGATCAAAGCAACACGATCCTCTTTTGATAGATAATCTTTAATCTTTGAACATATCAACCTTTGTAGCACTATGTTATTCCATACTCTTCGAAATAGTGTTTCATCTATCTTTGTCTTTACTTTTTCATCATTATTCTTATTCTTTTGTCTTCCTAAGATTTGTAATGTCATCTAAATATTCTTCTTATTATTTATCTGTATCTCCTTAGCATCGACTGAGCAGCTGATTTGAAATGATCATCCATTTGCACAAAGAAAGATATTTAAAAAAAATTGATTTTACGAAAAAAAAAAAAGACAAATAATAATTATATTGTTTGATTAAAGAATATACATTTATATATCATCAAATGATAATGATGGTATGTTGGTGTTGTCACCATATCGTTGAAATATTGCAAAATGTTGTTGAGTATTTGCTGGTTGGTTTTTGTTTCTTGGATGCTTGCCAATAGCAAGATTGGTGTTGATTTGTTGCTCCAGTATCTTATCAATGAAATTAAGAGGTTTAACATGATTGATGAATTCTGTTCTAAAGTTATTGCATCGGAGATCATTTGGTGGAAAGTATAAGTTGAATCTAAAGTTAATGACATGAAGAAAGATAGTGTATAGACGACCAGCTTCAGGCTCGATATTGTGCAGTGCAATGATGAATGAGAGGTCACATGTACGAGCCACTGCCATTAGAGTTGCAAAACTGAATGGAACCTTGTTGACAAGGTAGAGACGCCTAATCGAGTCGATTTTTCTGTGTTGGATGGCTACGATCATAGTATATTCATCGAAATGTGGGGGTACTTTTGAATTACATGGAATGAATGGACCTGCATGAGCCACGATCGTCTCTAGAATATTTACCGATCCATTCTCTGCCAAATATGAGAAATCTACACACTCTAACCAATTCTCTGTTGGGTTCAAGTCGATGAGATCGTCGAGTAATTGAGCCAACAATTCAGTTCCAGGATGAGGGTGGATAGTGTAACTCCAAGTATTTACCCTCGTTGGAGATTTGGCTGCTAATGGAACCACAGAGCATTTTATTCTTAAGAACTCGGGCATTGGAAACACCGATTTTACATAGTTGTACAAATCTACATTATTTGATTCGATTACATTTCGCCACATATGGATAGTTGCCATTGATTCAGGCTCCATACCTCTTTCTTTCAAGTAATCAAATACACTACGAAACAGCCATATGTCTCTATAGTTTCGTCTGTTGAGTGACAAAACTTCTAAAGCTGTTGAAATACGTATTTCCTTACAATGGGTATTAAAATACGATTTAAAGAGATCGACTGTGAGAAACTCACAACCAAAGAGAGCATATTCACGCCTGTCCTTGAAGAGAGAGCTCTGAATGAATTGAAATGGATCAGCCTGGTACCTTTCTATGTCACTTGCAGCTCCAGGTTTGGTAAGAAGAGCACGATCCTCTTTTGATAGATAATCTTTAATCTTTGAACATATCATTCTTTTTAACACTATGTTATTCCATACTCTTCTAAATAGTATTTCATCAATCTTTGTCTTTACTTTTTCATCATCATCAATATTCTTTTTTCTTCCTAAGAACTTTAATTTCATCTAAATATATATAGATATATTATTATTATTATTAATTATCTTTATCTCCTTATCATCGACTGCTTTGAAATGAAGAAGATCATGCGATAAAAAAACAAAAAAAAAAAGACATATAAATAAAATAATAATATCGTTGGATTAAAGAATGTATATATTAATCAAATGATAATGATGGTATATTGGTGTCTTTATCAGATTGTTGAAACATTGTAAGATATTGTTGGGTATTTGTTGTTGGTTGGTATTTGATCCTTGGCCACTTGCCAATAGCGTTATAATTGATGATTTGTTGCTCCAATCTCTTATCAATGAAATTAAGAGGTTTAACATGATCGATGAATTCTTTTCTAAAATCTTTGCATTGGGAATCATTTGAATGGACGTATGCGTTGAATGTGGAGCTAACTACATGAATAAAGATAGTGTATAGACGACCTGCTCCTGGCTCGATATTGTGGAGTGCAATGATGAATGAGAGGTCACAAGAACGAGCTGCGAGTAATAGAGTCTCGTAACTCAATGGAATCTTGAAGACTTTGTAGAGACAACGAATAGATTCGATTTGTTTTTGTTGGATGGCTACTTTCATTGTTCCTTCATTGAGTTGATGACCCAAGCGATAATTTGGAGGTTTTACAGTCAATGGGATACATGGAGCTGCATGCATATGTATTGTCTCGAGGATATCTACTAATCCATTATATGCCAAATACGAGAAATCTACATACTCTAGCCAATTCTCGGTTGGATCCAAATCGATGAGATCGCCGAGTAATTGAGCCAACACAGCAGTACCAGGTATTGATGGAAGGATACCTACACCCCAATGATCTCGTTGTGTTGCATATGAAACCAAGTAGTTTTTGAAATGGTGTCTCTCGAGCATTGGAAGCACCGACTTTGCATAGTTGTACAACTCGACATTATTTGATTTGATTACGTTTCGCCAAGTATAGATGCTTGATAATGATGCGGGTTTTATACCTCTGTCTTTCAAGATATCAATTACCCTACGAAACAGCCATGTGTCTCTACTGTGTCGGTTGTTGTGTGAAAAGGCCTCTATTACCTCTAAAATACTTGTTTCCTTGCAATAGGTATCAAAATGCAATTTAAAGAGATCGGCCGTGAGAAACTCACAATCAAAGATTGACAATAGTCGATTACTTTGAACGAATTGTAATGTATCAGCCTTGTACCTTTCTATAGTCTTTGCAGCACTAGAGCTGATCAGAACTGCCCGATCTTCTTTTGATAGATAATCTTTAATCTTTGAACATATCAATCTTCTTAGCACTATGTTATTCCAAACTCTTCTAAATAATGTTTCATCAACCTTTGTCTTTACTTTTACATCATCATCATTCTTTTGTCTTCCTAAGAATTGTAATGTCATCTAAATATATAGATATATAATATTATTATTAATTATTTGTATCTCCTATCATAGACCGATTTGCTTTTCGAAATGAAGATGAGTTCTGCACAACAAAGGTCAAAATTGTTTTCAAATGCTCTATTACTAAGTGTCATTATTATTCTTAGTACTATTAATAATCATTTATCTATGTCATTGTTATTATTATTGTTGTTATGTTCACCTCTCCGATGGCAGGCGTTACCAACAAACAAACACCTTACCGTTTGGATAGATAGCCAAACTCAACAAGAAGTTATTCTTTATTTTTAGATTGGATCGAGCCCTTGCAGAATGTACATTTCATTTATATATCATCAAATGATAATAATGGAATGTTGGTGTCATCACTAGATTGTTGTTGAAACATTGCAAAATGTTGTTGGATATATGTTGGTTGGTAATCGAGCCTTGGCCACTGCCTTAAATCAACATAATTGTTGTTGATTTGTCGTTGCAGTCTCTTGTGAATGTAATTAAGGGGTTTAACATGATTGATGAATGCTTCTCTAAAGTTTTCGCATCTAAAATCATCTGCATGGAGATATACATTGAATTTGGAGCTAATAGCAAGAAGAAAGATAGTGTATAGACGACCTGCTGCAGGCTCGATATTATTCAATGCAATGATGAATGGGAGGTCACAGGTACGAGCTGCTGCCATTAGGGCCTTGTGACTCAATGGAATCTTGAAGGATTTGTAGAGACACTTAATAGATTCGATTCGTTTTCTTTGGATGACCAGCATCATTGTCCGTTCATTGAGTTGACGACCAAGGCTATATTGGGAATAAGGTTTTGCAAGATAGGGGATACACGGCATTGCATACATCGCTATAGTCTCGAGGATATCTACTTTTTCCATCAGTGCCAAATACGAGAAATCTACACACTCTAACCAATTCTCTGTTGGGTCCAAGTCGATGAGATCTTGGAGTAGTTCAGCCAACACATCAGTGCCAGTCAATGGATAGATAGTTTTATTCCAACTATATGGCATGGCTGCTCGTGGAACCAAATCTTTTTTGATAGACTCTCTAGTGGGCATTGGAAGTACCGACTTTACATAGTTGTACAAATCTACATTATTTGATTCGATCACGTGTCGCCAAGTATTAACGGTTGACATTGATTCGGGTTTTATACCTCTGTCTTTCAAGATATCGATTACCCTACGAAACAACCATGTGTCTCTACTGTGTCGGTTGTTGTGTGAAAAGGCATCCATTACTTCTGAAATACTTGTTTCCTTGCAATAGGTATCAAAATGCAATTTAAAGAGATCGACTGTGAGAAACTCACAATAAAAGATTGCTACGAGGCTACCGTAATTGCTTCTAATGAATTGTGTTATGTCAGCCTTGTACATCTCTATGTTACTTGCAGCACCCGATCTAATCAACGCAGCACGATCTTTTGTTGATAGATAATCTTTAATCTTTGAACATATCAATCTTTGTAATACCTTGTTATTCCAAACTCTTCTAAATAATGTTTCATCAATCTTTACTTTTTCATCATTCTTATTCTTTTGTCTTCCTAAGAATTGTAATGTCATCTAAATATATATTATTATTATTATTTATTTGTATCTCCTTATCATCGACTGATTTCCTTTAGTGCTCCACAGTGCATAACAAGTGAAGAAGATGAGAAAAAATAAAAAAAAGACAATAATTAAATAATAGTATTGTTGGATTAGAATTTAAAGAATGTACATTTATATATTATCAAATGATAATGATGGTATTTGGGTATCGTGTTGTTGAAACATTGTAAAATGGTGTTGGGTATTTCTTGGTTGGTATTTGATCCTTGGCCACTTGCCAATAGCAAGATCAGTGTTGATTTGTTGTTCAAGTCTCTTGTTGATGTAATTAAGAGGTTTCACATGATCAATGAATTCTTTTCTAAAGTTGTTGCATCTAAAATCATCTGAACGAAGGTATGCGTTGAATGTGGAGCTAATGACATGAAGAAAGATGGTGTATAGACGACCGGCTTCAGGCTCGATATTGTGCAATGCAATAATGAATGAGAGGTCACAAGTACGAGCTGCTAGCATTAGAGTCTCGTGACTAAATGGAATCTTGAAGAGTTTGTAGAGACACTTAATAGATTCGATTTGATTGTTTTGGATAGCCACCATCATTGTGTGTTCATTGAGTTGACAACGACTCTGCTTGTCAGAGACAGAAAGTTGTATACATGAGCCTGCATGCATATGTATTGTCTCGAGGATATCTACTAATCCATTCTCTGCCAAATACGAGAAATCTACCAACTCTAACCAATTATCAGTTGGGTCAAAGTCGATGAGATCTTGGAGTAATCGAGCCAATAAATCAGTGCCGGTCATTGGTTGTACACTTTTACTCCAAGGATCATTTTCTGGTTTGGCTGCTCGTGGAACCATCTCATTTTTGAAATGGTGTCTGTCGAGCATTGGAAGTACCGACTTGGTATAGTTGTACAACTCGACATTATTTGATTTAATCACACTTCGCCAAATATAGACAACATTAGCAGATTCCATTGATTCAGGTCGCAAACCTCTGTCTTTTAATATATCAAACGCCCTACGAAACAGCCATGTGTCTCTATAGTTTCGTCTGTTGATTGACAAGGCATTTATTACTGCTGCAACACTTATTTCCTTGCAATAGGTATCATAATGAAATTTAAAGAGATCGGCCGTGAGGAACTCATAATAAAAGATTGCAACGAGGTTACTATTGCTATGGCTCTGAATGAATTGTAATGGATCGGCCTTGTACCTTTCTATTACACTTGCAAGGCCCGATCCAATCAAAGCAACACGATCTTCTTTTGATAGATAATCTTTAATCTTTGAACATATCAATCTTCTTAGCACTATGTTATTCCACACTCTTCTAAATAGTGTTTCATCAATCTTTGTCTTTACTTTTACATCATCATCATTCTTCCGTCTTCCTAAGAACTGTGATGTCATCTAAATATATATATATATAAATATACTATTATTCTGATTATTATTATTTATCTGTATCTCCTTATCATCGACTGAGCAGCAAATATTTGCAAACTTCACATGAGTAAAAAAAAAAGAAGGTTGTGGAAAAAAAAATATATATACATTTCATTCATTTACATTATCTAGTATCATCAACATCATCAAATGAAAAGGTTGATATTTGGGGATCGTGTTGTTGGAATATTGAAAAATGTTGTTCAGTATTTTTGGGTTGGTAGATGACTCGCGCGGTCGCATCCAAGGTGGCAGTGTCGGTGAAACATTTGAGGTTGTGGTCTAGGTAATTGAGTGATTTGACATGGTCGGTGAACTCCTTTCTAAAGTTTTTGCATTTTGATACACTATGAGGTGAGATGGCAAAGTATTGGCTGAATTTGGAGCTCATAACATGAAGAAAGATGGTGTATAGACGACCGGCTTCTGGCTCGATATTGTGTAGTGCAATGATGAATGGGAGGTCGCATGTACGAGCTATTGCCATCAGAGTTGAAAGAGTCAATGGAATCTTGGAGACTTTGTAGAGACACTTTATGAATGCGATTTGTTTGTGTTGAATGGCTACCGTCATTGTATGTTCTGTTAGGTGACGGTCGAGATATTGAACCTGTTGTGATTTGGATACGTATCCGGGTGGAGTGGGTGTAAGTGTACGTGGAATATATGAGCCTGCATGCATCTCTATCGTCTCGAGGATATCTACTAATCCATGCTCTGCCAAATACGAAAAATTGACACGTTCTAACCAATTCTCTGATGGATCGAAATCGATGAGATCTTGGAGTAGTTCAGCCAATAATTCAGTACCAGTCATTGGATGAATGGCACGATAATTATCTTGTGATGGTTTGGCCGATAGAGGGACCAACTCTTTTTTGAAATGGTGTATGCCAGTGGCGGGCATTGGAAACTTTGATTTTACATAGTTGTACCATTCTACATTATTTGATTTGATGACATTTCTCCAAGTATTAACAGTTGCCATTGATTCAGGCTCCATACCTCTTTCTTTCAATATATCAAATACTCTACGAAACAACCATGTGTCTCTATAGTTTCGTTTGTTGTAAGACAAATCGTCAATGACCGATTGTCCTCTAGTTGTCTTCTTTTGATAACTGTCATAATGAGATATAAAGAGATCGACAGTGAGGAAGTAACAACTATACAGTGCATAATCACCACCATATGCTCCATATAGACTATTACTTTTAATGAATTCCAATCTATCAGCTTTGTACCTTTCTATTACACCTGCAGCACCAGAACTGATCAAAACAGCACGATCATCTTTTGATAGATAATCTTTAATCTTTGAGCATATCAATCTTTGTAATACCTTGTTATTCCAAACTCTTCTAAATAATGTTTCATCAATCTTTGTCCATACTTTTACATTATCATCATCATTATTATTCTTTTGTCTTCCTAAGAATTGTGATGTCATATTATATTATCTATTTATCTATCTATCTAACTATCTATCAATCATGATACACATTGTATGTTATCAACACTAGTATCAGTCCTCTTGCAAAAATATGTGTATTAGAAAAAAATAAGAATATATTATACAAAAAAAAAAATCCAAGTTAATTTGTTTGTTTGGTTTAGTTTAGTTTAGTTATATTTGTTTTAAAAGGGTTGGGTTTAATATTAGTTTTATTTTATATATATATATGTGATCTATTCTTATTTCTTATTTCTTATTCCTTCTTAGGATTTGATTGTTTTTAGAGTAATTTTTGAATAAAGGTATAAAAAGCAAATTCAGAATTGGACAAACCACATTCATAGACGAAACGAGAGGCGAGGTAGCTGCCAAAGATGGCCTTGACGTATGGGACGGGGACACGCTCGATGATCTTGTCGACACCCAAGAGATTCAAGAGAACCTTGGGACAGGCCTCTGAGATGATACGCTTCTTGAGCGACTGGTTGTCCCAGAGTGGCGAGTCTTGGATGGCGTCGTTGAGGTGGTTGATCTTGTTGGAGATGAGATCCGAGAGGATGCAACGCGAGGTCTTTGTCTTTTCATGCTCGGCCCAGATACACTGGAACTCGAGACGGGCATTCTCTTCGATGGTGTGGTGCACGTCCTTGATGTAGGCTTGGTAAAAGGCGGGGGCCTCTTGGCCGTCCTTGACACACATGTGTTCCTTGAACTCGTCGTCGTTGAGTGCGAGCGCAGAGAGCACCTCGAGCGAAGACGAGGTGACACCTCCCTTGTTGGCCGAGGCGTCCTTGAAAATGATGGCGCCCTTTTCTTCGAGCATGAGACGGGCCTTTTGCGTAAAGAAGAGGTTGGCACCCTCGACGATGATTGGGAAACGTGATTCGCCGCTGTTGGTGAACAACGTGTTGACGTTGACGAGTTGGACCGACTCGGGACGACCGCCGCATGGCACAAAGATATCGGCCGACGACAATGGGTTGAGATGGAAGTTGTTACGGAAGATTAAGCCACTCTCGACAATCTCGCCGCTGGGCAACTTGACGTCGTTGTCTTGAACGTCGACAAAGAAGCCTTGGGCCGACAACTTGGACTTGTCAAAGTAACGGCCCATCTGACGCTTGCCGGCAAGACGAGTGATCTCTGCACGGTCCAAACCGACTGGATCGTAGAGTACTCCGGACCCGTCGACAATGCCGATCGTCTTGTCCTTGGATATCTTGATTTCGTTGGATCCGAGGTCACCGTCTGGACCACCCGTTTGGAACTTGGTGCAGGCGCTCTCGTCACGGCCGAGCTTGGCGAGTGTACCAAGTACATATTGATGGATGGAACGAGTAGTCATACCGTAGAGATCGTGTGGGATACCACCCTTGGACAGACTCTTGCCGGTGGTAAAGGCCTTCCAGAAATGTGCACCACGTTGCTTGGCATGCTCAGATGCCCAGTTCATAAAGTCGGCAGTACCTTCGTCTGGTCCGAGGAAGAGGATCTCCTCACGACCAAAATGATCGACAATCTCGTCGTTGGGCAACAACACGTCGACCAACGCGTCAATGTACTTGCGGAAGGCGACCTCGGCCTTGGACTGATGGTCGGCCGACAGGAGCACGGTGCCCTTGCTGCCACCTTCGGCAATGTCCTTGTTCTTGGACTGCTGGGTCGATGCAAGATTGTAATTCTCGTCAAACAACGAGCTGCTGTTGTGATCGTATTGAGTCATGTTTTGCGAACGGATCACACGGATACCACCACGTGCAATATCACGGAAACGAATGTGGAAACCACGGAACTCGGAACCGACGACAAAGAACACTGCGAATGGGGTGTTTTGGTATTCTTGCTTGGAGAGGAATCCTGGGTCGAGACGGAAGACAAGGGCAGTCTTGGTGGTCTTGTAAAAGTTGGTCTTGAGCAAATGACGGTTGAATTGGAGGATGGCGGTAAAGATTTGGGCGTCCAACTCGTTGTTGACGGTACGTTTGATCGTGTGGATAATGTCGGCACCGTGCTCAACGTCGTACTTGCTAGCACCTCCCTTGGTACCCTTGAAATGGAACTTTTCAAAGTCACCATACAACTGACGGATCAACTCTGGGTATTGCATGATGGCGTCACGTACACGACCCTCAGTAAAGGTGTCCTTGGAGAGACGTGTCTTGAGTTGGGCCAACATTGACTGCTTGGTCGAATCGTCGCCAATAGCCTGTGCCAATGCACTATACTCTGTTGCATAACGATTCAAAAATTGGTAGGCAAACTTCCATCCAACATATGCATAAGTAACCTCTGGGAATGATAATTGATGTGACAAGAATAATGATGTAAGTGATGTTCTTGGTAATACATATACAATTGATGCCTATAAAAAAAAAACAAACAAAAGTAAATAGAAATAGATAGATATTAATATACTTTCAAATATAATAGTTTGTTTGTTTGTTTAATATTTACTTGTTCAGCAATCTTTCCAATAAGGGTGTTGATGTCAACTTCAGGCTTGAGGGGACGGAGATAGATGGAATAGATGACGATACCATTGGAGAATTGTTCGACGTACTTGTGGGTGGCGTACATTTGGTGGTAGTGGTAGAGCTCAGAGATGGCAGACCAGTAGGAGTGGGTGGATCCACGACGGTAGGCAACGACGAGACGCGAGCCGTTGGTTTGGTAGGGGTAGTGCTTGATGACTGGGCCGAGCTTGTGGACGACCTCGTTCATGACCTCTTGGTAGATCTTTTTGGTGGCCTCTGAGGAACGCTCGAGGAACTGGAGATCTCCAATCTTGGCGAGATCGGCTTCGGTGGTCGAGACGGGTGTCTCGGATTGTGGGAAGATGGGTTTGGTGAGGTAGTAGAGACGGAGGTGGACGGGAGACTGACTCGACACGGTACCGGTGGTACGGTAACATGCAAGACGGTATCCGTGGGGTGGCAGGGAAGCAGGTGGTTTGGGCGAGTTGAGAGTAGTGGCAAAAGTGACGGGTGCTTGTTGTTGTGGGGTCTCGTCATGATACCCTTCGCCAAAGTACTGTGACTCGATGTACTGCTCGATCAACATGGCTGGAGAGTCACGTTTGCCCGGGTTGGATGGTGAGATAAAGGTGGCACTACCCTCGGTCTTGCTTTGCAATTGTACCTCGAGTTTGGCGCCGGTGGCGTGACTGACCATCTTGGCGGCGTACAACGAAAGGATGTGACGGGCAATGACAACAGCTGGTGTAGACTCAAAGTAGTTGCTGTCGATACCCAACTTGCAGTAGAACCAGTCGACTTCGGGGTCGACACGTGATGCCTCGAGCAGACGCTCGTTTTGGAGGATTGCCTTGACCTCTTGTGCTTGTTGCTTGAATGTGTTTTGCTCCAACAGTGCATGCAAGCTATTACTATCCTCGCTGGTAAAGTATACGGCTGTCTTGGCTGGTTGAACAGCAATCTCTTGACTAATGGTTAATCCTTGATTCATTTCTTTGCGCGTGAAATATATATATAATGTCTTGAAAAAGAAAAAGAAAATGAAGTAAAAGAAAGTAAGGATTTTGATCAATTAACACTACACTCTTTGTTGTGTCTATCTATGATATGATTAGTTGTGTGTTTAGTGTGTTTAGGGAAGAGGGAGAGGAAGAGACTTTGGTTATGGTTTAATGGGAAGTGAGCTATCAGGGATCCCCTTGAGCCAGACGCGAAGAATCTGTTGAAAAGTTTTAAAAAAACAGAGGTTGTTGAATAAAAAAAACAAAGATATCGATGATAATGATGATGATGATTTGATGGTATGGAAGGAATATTTGGTCATGGAACGTCTCGTCTCGCGAAGCCCCAAATGAATGTTTTGTTTGTAATGAATCAATTTAAACAACTAAATATTGAATGTCACATTTCATTATTGTCAATAGTTATTGTTTGTATCTTTATATCCACAGTCCCAATACTCTGTTGGTTGATTGGTTGGATAATCGGCTCATTATTTTGTTATTATTATTATTATTAATTACTATTATTATCTTTGTGACGACTCGTCAAATTTGAGTGAGGAAGAGTAAGAGAGGAGCAGACTCTAGTGTGCGAACAACCTTTAAGTAAGGGTAGTTTTATATCTTTATATAAAAGAAGATAGATACAGAGATACAATCTAGGTTTAATTTATAAACTTTACCTTTTTTTTTAGATATGAAAATTTAAATAAATAATCTAGATAAACAACAACAACAAAACAAAGAGATATGAAACAAAGGGGGTATATATAGAAAGAGAAAGAAAAGATATATATGTTAATAAAACTATTTAAATGAAATGAAAGAATGAATGAATGAATGATGATCGTTAATGAAGAGAGAAAGAAGGATAATAAAAATTCAAGTTTGGGTTAGGATCAATCCAAATTCCCCACCAACTACACCACACCCACAAAACGGCCGACCGAAGCGTCAATAGATGATGTGGTGACTTGATTCTTCCTCTTGTTGATCTCTTCTCCAATCAATCAATCAATCAAATTCTGTTTGAGTGTTACACATACCAATAAAGAGTTAAAATTAAAGAATAAATGAATGTGAATAAAGATAAATAAAATAAATAAATAAATAATAAATAATATGAATGATGATAGTTGCTAGTACAACTAGTTTAAGAGGAATGAGAGATAATATGAGAAGAGTGTAGAATAAAGAATGATGATTAAGACCTGACCAGTGTGTCTCTTTAATAAAGTGCCTCATATCATTTTTTAATAAAGGCGAAATTTCATTGTTTGTCTGTTGTGGGTGTTGTTTCGTTTTGTTGTGATCATCGTTTTTTTTTGGTTGTTGTGGCCCCAGTTGCCCCACCCTGTGAATCTGAAGTCCTCGGTTTGTCATCGATTTGAGCATTTATTTTCTTTGGGGGTTTTGAAAATTTTACAATCACACACCCCAACAGGGGGGCACCAACCTTTGAAGGGTGTCTTTCCCAGAGGTTGCTATCTCTCTCTGAATGATTCGTTGGCCCGTTCCGGAAAAGAGACACGTCAAAGGGAAAGGGTCTATTTAATTATTACTTTCTCACCCTCTTTATTTATTTATTACTCAAGTAGCTGTATTTCTTTTCTTTAGTTTATAACCCTATACAAATATTATTTAAACTATTATTTCTACTGTGTGTTCGAACCAACCATAGTGATTTCTTCTTGAGATAGCTGTGAGAAACCATTTGTTTTTTTTAATTTTATTTTTTTTTGAATTTTTCTTGTGTGTCCGGACAGCTACTTCACTGTGAACGTTTTTAGCTCTACTGTTCATTAGTTTTGTCGACTGGTTTTTGTTGTAATAAATAATACATATTTATTTATTTATTCCTTTACTCTCTTTTTCACACATAGTAAAGTAATATAGTATCTACTTTGTATCTTTTTATATATCATTCACCATCACATCAACAATCTTTTCTTTATTTTATTTCTTTTTTATATTTTATATATTAATTAATAATTAAAAAAAACAACAATGGATAACGATAGAAGTAGATCAAGAGAGAGATCACCACACAACGGTAACAACAACGGTGGTGGTAGATCTTCAAACTCACGTGATCGTTCAAGAGAACGTTCTGGCGAGCGTTCACGTGACCGTGACCGTTCTCGTTCAGCCTCTGGAGGCGATCGTGATGACGCTTTGGCTGAAAGACGTATCTATGTCGGCAAGTTCTCAAGCCGTACTGGTGAAAAGGATCTTGAAGAAACCTTTAAAAAGTTTGGAAAGATCTTAAGTCTAGATATGAAAGCTGGTTTTGCTTTTGTTGTATGTATTCATAAAACAATATAATATAGTTAATAGTAGATAATAGTAAATAGTAATAATAGTAACAGCAGCAGTAGCAGTAATAACAGTAGAAAGAAGACACAAGTACTAGATATTAATCATATGATTTTTTTCTTTTTTATCTTAAAAGGAATTTGACAATGAAAAGAGCGCAAACCAAGCCATTGACGAGATGGATGGCAAGGAGGTAGATGGCGAGAAACTCATTGTCCAAAAGTCACATGGTGGTAGAAAGAGATCATCTGATGAATGCTATTTGTGCCGTGGTCGTGGTCACTGGGCCCGTAACTGTCCAAGAGGGTAATGTATTTCTAGAAACTTAAAAAAAAAAGAAAAAGAAATAGTCAACAAAAAGAGATCAAAGGGAGCTCGGATATATAGACCAAGGGTCCAACTACAACAACATCAACAACAACGATCGTCGCGACGATTCCAAGAGAGAGAATAGAATGATCAAGGAAACGATTCGATAGATAGAAAGCCTCCAGCCCATGTTTTTTCTTTTTTTTTTTTTACCTTTTTCCATGGAAGCCGGCTTATCAATTCAATTCAATTCAATTCCATTTACCAGCCACAACCAACAACTGCGCCATCTCAAAAAAAAAAAACCAACAAAGTAAAGAAAAGAGGTCAAAGAGTCAGTCGAGTCGGTCGGTCGGTCAACTCCCAAGGCGGAAGAAGAAAAAGAAAAAAAGAAAAGAAAGGAGCCAGTCAGCAGCGGTTGCAAGCGCCTCCAAAAGAGAGAAAGCAGAAGCAGAAGCAGAAGCAGTTCCACCCTCCCCTCCCCTCCCTTGTTTGTGTGTTTGTCGTGTCATTGTCTTGCTCAAGAGTCGAAGAGTCAAAGAGCCCCATTCACCACCAACTTCCATCCAATCCACTTTCCAAATTTGTTTGTGCGCAGGCCTGTCAGAAAAAGGAAGAGCGACCTTTCAGGATACCTCGGAGCGAGCCTCTCTAACAGTAGTAGAAGTAGTAGCGATAGTAGAGTAGAAGTAGTGCCATCCTCCTCCTCCAAGTGGTCATAGGAAGAATTCAATTCAATCAATCCAACCAACCAACCAATACTCTTTTTTATACGACCCGTAACTATACAAGTACTAATACTTTTTTAATTCTTTTTTTTTCCATTCCTTTTAGAGATAGAGATAGAGATAATAGAGGTGGAGGTAGAGGAGGAGGAAGAGACAATGACAGAACTCGTGACATTAAATGTTACAACTGCAATGGATACGGACATATTGCACGTGACTGTCGTTCGTCCTCTCGTAGAGGCGGTGACTCTTATCACCCATATCGTCGTAGATCCCCAAGCAGAGATCGTAACAGACGTTCTGATCGTGATAGAAGCAGAAGCAGAAGCGGAGGAAGACGTGAGCGTGACAGAAGCAGAAGTAGAAGTGGAGGACGTGCTAGACGTGATCGTGACAGAAGTAGAAGCAGAAGTGGAGGTAGACGTGAGCGTGACAGAAGTAGAAGTAGAAGTGGAGGTAGACGTGAGCGTGATAGAACTCCAACCAAATATTCACCAAGAAGAGAAACTAATGGTGAGAATGGTAGAGTAAGTCCACGTTAAAACTAAAAAAAAACAAAACAAATAATAATCAAACAAAACAAAACAAACATCACAACAAACAAACAAACAAACAAAACAATAATCCCCATCATTATCCCATCTATAAAAACACATTTATTTTTTTTTTTCTTCTTAAAACCAACCTATTAAAATTATAATACTATTCAACAAGTAGTATTATCATTAATCCATTAGGTTGTTATTGGCAATCTTTTATTATTATTATCCATTTTTTTCCACTATTATTTTTGTGAAAATAAATAAATAAATATCCTCATACTTTTTTTCAAAGATCATGAACATGTCAACAAATAATAATAGATAATATTCTTATCTTGTTTGTTTATTTAAACATTAATATATTATTACTCTAATACTACTACTTGCTATGCTAATGGAATTACCAAAAATCATACAATCACATATACTATCATTCTTTGCATTTGAAAATGATGTATATGATCTTTGCTCAAGAGCACATTTGGGGAATCTTTCAGATGTTTATACTCTTGCAATAGTATGTAAACATTGGTTTGATTTTGTTCAGAGCGCAGTATCGAGACGGTGTCATTTGCAAGCACAAGATAATCGCATGTCTGTGGTTCAATACCACGTCTCGTCGTCATTGCAAAAGCATATGGGAGGTAAACCTGTCAATCACTTGGTATCAGTGTTTGAAGCACCTTTTGCAATCCCAAATCTATACCAATTGGTACATATTCAATTCCCAGTGTTTAGAAATGAATCGATTGAAGAGTTTGTAGAGGTGATACCTACTATGCGTCACATTGAACAGATAACATTTACTGGTGGACTGGTAGCATTGTTGGAGAGTAATAATCAACTATCACGTGTCAAACAAATCAAGAATGCTCGCAATGACTGCATCGAGGTCAATCTTATATTATTTCTGTCACAAGGATTTGATGCTCTGTATGGATACGCCAAAGAGATGCTGCAGACAGAGTTGTTGGACAAGTTTACAGTGTCAGAGATGCTCATTGGCGATGGGTATGATGGTCAAGAGGGGATGGATCGAATCATCAACCTGATCGATCGGTTGAAACCTCTTGCACCCGTCCCTCGAGTAGAGATTAACCTTTTGGGTTCCATCACAATGGGTGCGATGCATCTGAGTTACAATGGATTACTCAAACTGTCACAATGGCTTGGTAATGTGCATATCGAACATGATAGAGTTGATCTAGAAGATATGGCTCTTTTACTGGCTACACCTACCGTCCGAGGCATACGCGCTATCATTCGATTCAAACATTACTCTAATCAAGTCGACCAGTTTACATTGGCACTTGCCAACAATCGCACACTTGTATCTCTACGTCTCATAAAAATGGCAGAGTCCAAAGATAGAGAACCTCTGGATATCGAGTTGTCACGTAAAGCACAAGACGTATTTGTCAAGGCAATGACTGCATTTGTGTCGGACAACAAGAAACTACAAAGATTGGGTATTGAAGATATCACTTGTCTTGTACCAGACGAGGCATTCCACAAGGCTATTCAATCAAGTCTATCCCTTGCTAGACTCAAAATCCGTGACAAGTTTAAACAGTTCACTGACCAACAGTTTATCAGTCTAACACAAGCCATATGTCTTAACAAGTCACTCTCTCAAGTACATCTTGCTCGTTTAGTTTCAAGTCAAGTAGAGTTGATTCCAAACACCCGTACCATCAAACTATTCAAAGTCACAACCTATGAAAATCGTAACAGAGTTATTACAATTATTTAAATCAACATATGAACCAAGAAAGAATAAAGAAGAACTCAGTTGGCCAATGACAATGAAGATCTTCTTCTCTAGATTCCCCCCTTGAACTTTAACCGTTGTCGAGTCGAGTCGCTAATCTCGGGTACATCTCACTTGAAGTGGAGGTGTCCCCAACCGCCGCACAATCAAACTGTTCAAATTAATTTTATTTGCGACCATCGAACGAAGATCATGTCACCTCTGATGGTTTAAATTATTTGAACCAGCATTTGCATACAATCTCGGGATTCGAAAACAGTGTGTATGTCCTTCCACTGACATCTACTCTAACATTTCAACACACCCCCCCCACCCTCACAATGAAGCATGATATCATCACAACCAAAAAATAGATTTAAACCATACCCCCTCCATTTTCTTTATTTGTTTGTGTGATTGAACATAAAAAGGAATTAAATTTAAAAATATCTTTCTTGTTTGAACGATTCAAGGTCAAACTCATCGAACCTACCCCCCATTATGGTCATATAGGTGCACCCCGCTAGAGTGGTTTGCAAAGAGACATTCGAGTTTTCGAATTGATCATCACCATTGTTGTTGATTAAATCTTTGTGTGAAACCACACAACCGAGGATCAAAACATTAATGTTGTTATATTTTTGGATACAAGGGAGGGAGAGAGGAGGAGGGGGTACATATATATATAATCAGAAACACAATTTTGGATTTAAAAAATCAACCATCTCAAACACACCAATGGTATTGCATTCATCCCACTGATCATACAACAGTAACAACAAGAGAGAAGAGAATGTGTTGATTTTAATTTTTAATGATTTAAATGGTTGCTTAACCATTCTAATTGAATTGTGTTTGGTAGGTGTGTGGTGTTGGTGGTGGTGGTTGACCATTGTTGATTAATCACCATAGTAGTAGTAGTAGTTAGTAGTTAGTTGGTTATCATTGGCTACTATTTTTGTATACCTTTTGTTAATCAACATCATCATCATCATAAAAACAGTAACATCAGCAACAGCAGTAGTATCAGTAATTAACAATTAATCCAGCAATTTATTAATATATTAATAATCCAATATATTAATATATACATATCATATTTAAATCTTCCATTTTTATCTTTTTCATCATCATCATCTTCCTTCCTTGTTCCACCTTCCTTCCTTCCTTGATTGATTGATTACTCTCTTCTTGCTTGTTTACCTTTTGATCATTCATTGTTTTCAATCTTTTACCCATTCACCCATCTTTATAATAATTAGTTTACTTTTTACCAGTATAGTAGTAGCAACAACAACAGGACATTAAAAGAAAATCTATATTTATAGATTTAAATACATCAAGATCTTTGTTTTTTTTTTTTTTTGTTAAATCTAATCATAAATCTAATCTTTATCAAATCTAATCTTTAATCTTTAATCTTTAATCTCCAAATCTAATTGGGTGTTTGTTGATATTTGACACAATGAACGTCGAACAACAAAACCGATTAATTTATGCTTTACTATTGTTGGCAGATTTCTCGAGTTTGATAGGATGTGCAGTTGTATTGTTGGGATTTTGGAAGTTAAAGTTGCTTCGAAATCACATCACAAAGATCATTTCTTGTTTTTGTGCAACATCATTTCTCAAAGATATCATTGCCACTTCTCTCACTCTAGAAGGAACAGCCTTTAAAACTAAAAAATGGGCTTGTTATCTTTATGCTGCTTCCATTAATTTTGGTTCATTCAGTTGTTGGATGTGGACACTATGTCTTGGTATGTGAAATAAATACACATATATATATAAATTCAATTTAAAACCATTATCATTAGTAGTAAACTAATTAAATTAAATTAAATTAAACTATTTTTAGCTCTAAGTATTTATTTATTAATTTCTCGAGTACAAATCAATCAAAGAAAATTTGAAATAATTTATATGGTTGTATCTTGGGGTTTACCAGCTATCAGGTATGTATGAAACCTACAATTCTAAATCTAAATCAATATTTTATATTTTATTAATTTATTAATTTAATTTCTATTTTTATTTAGTACAATTATAATGTTATCAACAAATATAGTATCAAATGTTGGTAGTTGGTGTTGGATTGGAACTAAATTTGTTTATTTCAGATTTGGATTATTTTATATTCCATTTTTTGTGATTTTTGGTGCTGCTGCCATTTTGGTTGGATTGACATCGCATTACACCTATGTTGTGATGCACAACTCCAAGTTTGTCCGAAACGAAAACCATCATGCCGTCTACCAATTCAAATTGGTGAACTATATCATTGTATTTTTAATTTGCTGGGTGTTTGCCGTCGTCAATCGTATTCTCAATGCTGTCAACCTTAATATCTATGCCACCAACGTTTTACACACCTATCTATCGGTATCACACGGCTTTTACGCATCACTTGTATTTATTTATAATAATCCCATCATGTGGCGATTCTTTTGCTCCAAGGTGTTGGCTGTATGTGTATTCTTTGGATTTGGCCATAAACTATACGATCACTATCGAAAGAATATAGATCACAACAATGATACATCGAATGGAAGCAAGACGGGGCAAGGAAGAAAGATCACTCTTGCCAATCGAAGAGAAAAGAAAAAGAGTTCGTCCTCTTCGTCGTCGTCAGACGGCTCTGGATCTCCTCCATTGGATTCCCAATCACCACAGAGCGACATTACATGTGTCACCAATACATTGAGTTCAGCGTGCGATGGAGAAAGTCATTCTTTGGAAATGTCTGGAATTCATTTAAATGATCAATCATCCACCGATAACCAAAATAATAATAATCTAAATAATCTTTCAACTTCCGATATTTCAACCCAAGATGAACAAACTATTCCAAGTACATCTGTATAAATAATAAATAATAATAATAATAGAATAAATCATATAATCTTAAACAATTGTAAATAAATAATTACAAACCCTTTTTCTAAAAAAAAAAACAATAATTGCTTATTTATTTGGGAATAATTTTGTTTCTTTTGGGAGAGGTACCATATTCCACAGTGTCCCACCAACCCTATTTTTTTTCCTCAGTTCTTGATAATAACCTTTTTCTGTGATTAAATCTAGTCAAATCGACGAAAAAAGTATTATTATTAATAAACTTATTGGCTGGCTCATTCTCAAAAACTCGATACTTACTTTGCAACTGACAATTGATATGATTATTGGGGTTTGGAACAAATCTAAAATTTAAATATTCTTCATTTTCAAATACTTGTTTGTGAATTTCATCTGCACCTGGATACCAAGCAATTTGGGTCATGGGAGTAGAGGGTATACTTTCAATATCTTGCTTTTCAATACAAACTTGCATAAATAGGTGGGGATAGATACCATGATCGATATATGATACCAGGCCAATTTGGTTGTTTGAAATTTTCAGTGTAGCATTTTTTGATCTCCATTCTCTTCCTTGACTAGTATATCTTTTTTGTGTTTTGGTTAGGTTAATTTAGATTGGCTAGTGTTTAGTGTTTCAAAAGTACCTACATTAGTTCTCCAAGACCATAATCTTGGTAGTCAATGATTAAAAATACCTTTCCCATTGATGATTCAAGAGGTAGTTCACCTTTTATCTTGTTAGTGTCTTGGTCATTTTGATGGTGATGGGCAAATACAATTAAATGTGGCATGGATATATGAATTCCAAAAATATTGTCGGGGGTGGTGGTGATGCTACCAAGAGATGAAGGAAAATGATAAAAAGTTGGAATGAGCTGGAAATAACTCAAATGCTTGAGGTTTTCCAGGTGCTCGATGTTTCTTCCTAGAGGATGAGGATAAGTAAAGGAGAAGATTAAAACTTTTAAACTAGTTGGAAGTGACATTGGCTCGATATTGCTTTGAAATGAATCACCAAACTCTAAAAACAATAGAGAGGGAGGAAGCATATCTTTTTCAATGGGTTGATTAAATCTTCCTAATAATTTTAAGACTGTGATGGTTGGTGGTAGCATTCCTCGAATGTCGCTGTTGACTTGGCTATCGATGGTTAGATTGGTAATATAATGAGGGAATTGACAAGTGATGGGAATATTCAAATAGTAGCCCATTGACATTTGTCGTTCATTTTTGATTCTTTGGTGATATAAAATCGCCTGTAGAGAACCCCTTTCAACGGGATCAGCCATCAACAACCAATTTACAAAATCAATAAGTTCTTGTGAATACCTTTTTGGTGATATTTTAACTATATTTTTCTCTAAAAATAATTTACGGAAATGAACATCACTAGGATGGCTTGATTGAAGTTGGGTTAATAAATAATTATTGTTTTTTTTACATTCTCATACCATGTTAATAATTTATGAATGGTTGATCCAATTGAATACATGTCACATGGTTTTCCATATTGTTTATGAATAGTTTCCTTTAACACAAAATTAATTTTAGATTGAATGATTGGAATGATAATTAATAAATTTCTCTTACTGGTGATAAATATCCAAGTGTTCCTCTCGTCAATTCAGCTATCCTTGTGAGTTCTGGTGTTATCACTACAGATGGCTCATCATCATCGTCGTAACAGTCTATTTGTTGGTCTACTCTTTTGCTGTTCAAAGTACAAGTAATATTTTCGTCTTGCTTCTCTTGATCCAACTTTTCTTGTCCTGTTTTTTTTTCTTGGATGAGTCGATCAATAAACTTACAACATCCCAAATCACCGAGTACCAACCCTCCATTTCTGTCAATAAAAATATTCAAAGGTTTAATATCCAGATGCACTATATTTTTGGACTCGAGTACTTCCAAAATCTTGAGTAACTGTGAAATAATTGTCCAGATAACCTTTTCTTCAACCCACAAATAATTTTTTGGAAATGATCGGTTATTTCTTAAGATGAATTTGTTAACTTTATATGAAATTATTTTCCTTTTCATCAATTGGTACATACAAAGCAACAACACGGTCATACAATCCATTTAAATCTCCATTCAAACAGTATTCAAACAATATCTTTATCTTTTTCTCGTTTGTTATCTCTTCGTGATAGACGTATTCTACAAAGTTATGATGCCCTTCTAACAACTTCATTGCCTTGATTTCATTAAAGGCACTTTCATACAATCTTAAAGATAGAGAATAATCAACCTCTTTGAGGACATACTATAGTTGGAAAAAATTTAGTTGAAATAGCCAATCACAGGATCCTGTGGACCATAAGATATTAAATTAAATTTACTTACCAAATTACATAAATCCTCTGTTATGACCAAAGATACTTTGTTTGATGAATCTTGAAAGTAAAACAATCGGTAGTAGGATTTTTGGTCCAATACAATAGGGTTGTAAAAATGATCCTTTGCGATTGTGGTGGCAGGTGTTTGGGAATCACCGTCACACTCGGCGTCCCGAATGACTAGATCACATTCTTGGAGTTTGTCAAAAAAGAAATAGTTTATGGTTCTGGGGGCTGAGTTGTCCAGCGTGATGAGACCAACGGCAATGGTGTTTGCATTTGGTCCATACACCATCCTTTCTCTTTCATGAGTGTCCAATTTAAAATGAATCGATTGACAGATCCCTCCAAGTGCATCTTGGTAATGAATGACAACGAGTATATTTGATGCGGTTTTGTTCAAAATCTGGAAAGGCTTTCTCTCTCCTTGCATAATTTTTGACCAAATGGAGACGGATACTTGAAATAGGGATTGATGGCTGTTCTCCACACAAAAAGATGATTTGTTTCCAAACTTTGGTCGAACCAAATCCAAAAGTTGAATAGGTCCAACCATAAAAACTTTGAGGGATTCCAACCCAATAATGTCCAATGGTATTTCACACGATACTTCTCGGAATCTTGTCGATAGTAGTCTTTGTTGTGGAGACTGTTCGCGATTATAATATATCCCAAGAGTGGCCAATGATGATGGGAGTTGATTTTCTTCTAGACTCTGACTGAAATGTGTACAAAGCTCCAAGTATTGTAGGTTGGGTGGAAGTATTTTAGAGGTTAGATCCATACTATACTTTGAATCAAAAGCCAGTGAAACAAGAGATCCTGGTAATGACCCAAGTTCAAGGTGGGTATTGAAGCTCTTTCCAAACTGGAGTTCCTGTAGAGTCGAGGGCAAGGTTGATGGAGGGATCCGACAATTAAATGAGAAACCAAGCTCCAACGACTCCAAATATTTAGGTAGCACCATACTAAACATTCCTTCTATCGCTTGATACAAAGGTTGGTTGAATGAATATCCAAATTTTAGTTCTTTGATTGAGTCTGGTAGAGACCCTGCGGTGAATGGTTGATTAAAGTCTGATCCAAGATGAAGAGTTAGTAACTGCGTCGGCAACACCCCATTTAGAGGCTGATTAAACCACTTTCCAAATGACAATTGAGTTAGAGTGTGAGGTAGAGAGCCCTTTGCTATTCGCTCATTAAACTCTGACCCTAAATGCAACCACGTGAGTGATCTTGACAACGTTGTTGATAGAATTGGTTGAATCTGATGGGTGATGTTTACGACCTGTACTTCATCTTCCCATTCCATCTCATCAGGGATTAAACCAATCATTCTTTCTGTGTTGTTGTTCAAATGTATGAAAAGATCAATGATCATGTGAATATGATTGATCATATTTCGTTTGTCGGTCGGTTCAAAAAAAATATTTTAAAAAAAAGATTGTTTGATTTATTTATTATTTTTTTTAAATTGGTTTCATTACAAAGTTGAATAAACTATTTACAAATCTAGTTTTGTTGGCGTCCCAACTCTCAACCCAATCCTTGTCAGTGGCAGGAGAGACTCTGAATAGACTAGTTTTAGTAGAGCCGACGGCGATTGGACGGTACCCCACCATCTCTACCACCTCTGATGTAACAGGAAGATATACTCTTTCTCCAATCCGTCCTGGTGCATACACCATTACCACTGCTCTTGGCCATCAACACACCAATACTGGGTACCGTCCAATCGCCAGGATTGTCTGGGGTGAGAGTGAACAACAACATGAATTTAAAACAAAACTATACTATACGATATCGATATCGTACAGCACAACAAACAACCAAACAAACAATCAATCAATCAAACAACAAGCCAAGGTATTGAATTTAATTGAATCTACAGATAGATCCATTTTATTTTATTTACACTTTGTTTCACACCATTAACTGATTCCTCCCTCCAAAATCTACTTCAAATGTGTACGTATGAATAATCATATGAATTGAAATCAAGTGCTGTGTTAAAATATTTTATTCCCTTGTAATCAAAATAGTGGACTAGGGGGGTCAAAAAGGATGGTGGTATCATTCTTTCGATGCCCACTCCAACCAGATAGTACGATATTGTCAAAATACCTATTGTCATTGTATTCCACTCCACATAATTATTCATTTAATATTAGAGTAATAATAATAATGTATTATGATGCAGAAATCAAAAGAATTCATCTCTTTGGGGTAATACCGAATCCTTAAAAATAATAATAATAATAACTATATTGAGTACTTGTTCTTGTTATAAATAAACATATATATCTTAATTTTAATTCATTGTTGTGTTGATGGTGGTTTGGTTATAAACAACTATCATTCATAATTAAATCACCATCATTGTATTGATGATGACAAACAATTGATTGGTCATTAAAAAGGAGTGGTCGTGACGACGATATAATCACTGGTGTTTTTTGAGGTGTGCGATTACGTCCAGCACTACTACTACTACTGGAAGTTGGGATTTTGGATTTACTTGCTGGTGATTGCAACGAGGAGGACGACGACGTTTGTGATTCTTTGTTGGAGGGTTGTTGTTGTTTGATTGTGATTGTTTTGACAGTTGTAGGTGGCTTGGTCGTTGATTTGGGAGAAGCCAATTTCTTTTTAATGAGACCGTTGGCCGAGAGGTTGTGGGTGCTGCTACTGGGTGCGGCTGCAATCACAACCACCTTTTTCTTGCCGCTGCTGGCAGCAGTAGCTGAAGCGGTGGTACCCGTATGGTTGATCATATGGTTGGTCAAAGGTGACAATGGTGCGCGTACAGACGTTGGTTGTGGTTTGGGTGTTACCACTGTTGCTGTAGTCTTTTTAATGGCCGATGACTTGGCCGACGACGACGAGGTTGCCTTGTACGGAGACTGCATCAATTCCTGTTGTTTAATGGCCGCTATTCTTGGTGTCTTTGGTGTTGATGGTGTTGATGGTTTGGGTGGTTGTTGTTGTTGACTATTCACAGATGATGCAATGGTTTGTTTGCCATTTGGTGTTTTTGGTAAAGATGTTGAAAAAGATGACGTTGATGATGAACTAGACGAACTAGTGGATGAAGTTGAAAAGGATGAGAATTTTACAGATGATGATGATGATGATGATGATGAAGATGAAGAAGATGACGTTGAATTTGAAGGAATAGATGGAACTGGTTTGGAAGAGGAAACACTACTAATACCGCTACTAGTACTTGAAGAAGAAGAGGAAGAAGGATTTGATTTAGTACTATCACTCTTCCCCATGGCCTTTCTTATTTTCTCTGATTCCTTGATACGCTTTTCATGATCCTGTTGTTGTTGCATCAACTCTAAATAATTGAATCCTTCATAGTTGAATGGTTCCCCATGCGTCTGTTGCCACTCGACAAGTTCATTTTTTAATTTCTCTTCTACCATTGGTAATTTTTGGAATTCTTTTCGTAACTAAACAAACAAACAAAATATAATTAATAAAACATCATTATTGTATATTATTATATGTTTATGGTTACCTTTTCCTCTTGGAATCTTGAACGATCAAACTTTTTACTTAATAAACGTTCCTTGTCCCCGAGTACATTTTGTTCGTAATTAATCTTTTGGTTTCTGATAGTTTCTCTCTTTTCAATCAATGAAAACATTGGTATGGATAATTGGTAGAGTTCAGATGTGCGTTGGTGTTCGTTTTCGAGTGCGTCCAACATTTCCTCTGACACTTCTGGGAACCCGACGGCATCGATAAACTCATCGACCTTTTCGGGTGGCCAACGAATCATCGCGTACATTTCCCCAAGTTTCTCTCTTGCATTATTTATAAATCTTCCTAATCCCAATCTTCTAATATCTTCAACTCTTGTTAATTCTTCTTGGCACTAAACAAAATGAATAAATAAAAATAAATTAATATGTATATTCAATATTATCATTTCATTTTGCTTACAGCTTCAATAACATCAAGACCAAGACCAGCAGTTTTACCAAAGAAAGATTCACGTTCATCCTCTGGTATGGACAACTTGTCCCACAAAGCAGTTATCTTTTTTGCATAGTCTGATACCAATGCTTCATTCTCCTTTCTGATGATTGCCAACTTGACAATCTTTTGATCCAATGCTACAACAGTGCTGGTGCTCAATGATAATGGTGATACGATATCAATCATGACTGCACCTGCACCTTCACTACCACCACTACTATTGTTGTATTCAGTCAATGCCATCTTTGTAATTGCCTTTTCAAATTCAGTCTCTGGTGCAATTCTCAATTCAGTCCACAACTCTACAATTTGAATTGATAAATCTCTAACTTTTATAAATGATTCATTCTAAACATAAACATAAAATAATAAATATTAAATATTAATTTTGATTCCAGGTTATTTGTTTCAATGAACATACTCTTTGTTGTTGAAGTTTCTTTACTTTCTTTTGAAGTGATGATATCTTTTCCATTGAATAATCGTTGCCATTGATTTCACTCTCATTGACTCGGCTGGCATTGACAACATCTTTGATTTCCAAATCCCTTGAATACTCTTCAATCTTTGATTCCAAGTCTTCAATAATCACTGCTCTATCTTCGGTTCTCTAAAGAGTATAGGAATGGTTAATATATTCAACAAATAATAGTATTATTATTAATATTTACATACCTTTTTCAATAAACCAAGTTGAGTTTGGATAAAAGATACACGTTGTAATAGGGTCATTGCTTGTAATGGTTTGTTCAAATCTTTGACAGTCTCACCCAACTCTGTCGACATTGAACATATAGTCTCTAATCCACCTATTATATCTTTGATTACATCATCTTTATATTTCTCTTCTCTCTTTAACAATGATTGATAAAGTAATATGACCTGACTTGATAATCTACAGATTCAAATGATTAGTATTGTACAAACTATCTAATTACTAACTAATTAATTAATTACAATACATACTGTTCAAAATGCTCTTTTCTATATGGTTGTTCAGCTCCTAATTCATCCCATATCTTTACTGTTCTCTTTAACAAGTCTTTGATTCCGTCTTCCATTACTTGATTTTAGAATCATTAAAATTGATTATATAATAATTATATTAAATTAAATTTGTTCAGAAGTTGTCTCTCTTTTTCTCTCTATACTCTATACTCTATCTATCTTATTCTAAATCTATCTATCTTATAAATATATATACGTGTAAAGTAAGTAAATAAGGTAGTATGATTTAAATTTGAAAAAGTACCGGCAAAAACACCATCATTGCAAAAGAGCGCCAACTCGAGTTGAAGATGAAAATTTGAAAAACATAAATTAAAATGAACTTCCACACCTTTGTATCATTTGAGTTTCGCGAAAGAGATAATATAATATATTATATTTATTTATTTATTTATTTATTAATATATTTATAAAGTTATGAAAGTATGTTAAAGAACACATGTGTTATGTATTGATGTTATATAGAGTACTAATTGATCGTGTTATATGTATATAGGTAGCAATAGAGGGATGTTGTCATGGAGAGATTGAAACTATTTATAATTCATTGGTGCATATAGAGAATACTACCAATACAAAGATTGATTTGTTGATTTGTTGTGGAGACTATGAAGCTATTAGAAATCAACATGATTTGTTGTCGTTGGCTGTACCCGACAAGTACAGAGCTCTGGGGTGCTTCCATCACTACTATAGTGGACGTTTGGTGGCACCGATACTGACTCTGGTGATTGGTGGCAACCACGAGAGCTCCAGTTACTTTTCAGAGCTAGAGAATGGTGGCTGGTTGTGTCACAATATCTACTATATGGGTCGTGCAAGTGTCGTCAGTGTGGGTGGACTGCGTATAGCCGGTGTATCGGGTATCTACAAAGATCACGACTACCAAAAAGGACATTTTGAACAACAACCACTCAACTCTAGTACAATGCGATCAATCTATCATATTAGAGAGATTGATGTACTCAAAATGCTAGATATCGCCTCTCTACCATCTACACAGCGTATCGACATTGCATTCTCACATGACTGGCCTCAAGGAATCATAAACTATGGTGATAAACAGAGATTGTATAGAATGAAGAAACATCTTGCACAGGATGGTGATCTACTTGGTAGTCCTCCAAACATGCAGATACTCAAAACACTGTGTCCTCGGTATTGGTTCTCTGCACATCTTCATGTTAAATGGGGTGCTGTATATCCTCATCCAAATGGTCCGACCACTGAAACAAGTGAACCTAAAACAACCAAGTTTCTTGCTTTGGACAAGGTGTTACCAGACAGAGATTTTCTTCAAATTTTAGATATTGACCCATCAACAACAACAACAACAACAACAACAAGCCAACAATCATCACCATCCTCTTCACCAAAACTTGTATATGATGCACAATGGTTATGTATATTAAACAAAACAAAATTAATTACAGCCAATCATAACAATCATTTCCCAACTCCACTTGACAAGAATTCTTTTAAAAAGTATGTTTGTTTTTATTTATTTGTTTGTTTGTATACATACATATATGACCCGTTTGATTCAATATTTATTGACCCTCTATTTTTTAATTAATTTTATTTTAGACTTTGTACAAAAGAAGAAATAGAACATATTAAACTTAGATTTAAAACAATTTATAAATTAAAGAATCAATTGGATGATGGAGTGGATTTGTCAACGATAAAGGATGAAGATGCAATGGAAATAAGTCAATCGAATTTTGTGGCCAATACATTGGCATTTGATCCAAGCAATCCAAACAATCCATTACCATTTTTAGCACCTCGGTTCCCTAATCCTCAACCGATTGTATTGAGTCACCTTATTGCAATTGTTTGTGGTAATGATCCAATCGATGCATCAACATTATCCAAATTAAATGTTGAAACTTTTTCTCAATCAAATTTAATATCAACCATTAATAATAATAATAATAATAATAATAATAATATTAATAATAATAATAATAATAATGCAGATGAAGAAACAAGTCAAGCAACCAAAATGCAAAGAATATCAATGGATCAAACATCTAAAAAGTTTAAAGACGAATCTGAAATTGATTTGGATGATCTTTAATAATAAATGGGATTAAAGATTCTATTAAATATTAAAAAACTATGTAATTGGTTCATGAAACATGACCATCATAACACATTGCGATGTAAATTTATTAAATAATCCAAATGAATTTATAGTGAAATTAATTATAATATATACAAAATTATTGGTACAAGTTCGATGGACCATTAAATGATGAAAGTAAATCTACCATTTTCTCTATTGTTTCTACGCTGCATATTCTGGAATACTTTGGAGCAACTTCCATGATCACAGACTTGGTGATAGGGGACCCATTAATAACATGAGGGTGTGCGGCATTGAGACGAAGATCCTTTAATCTGATGACTGCTCGTAAGACCCTATCATCAAGTCCGAATTGAGCCTTTGATGTATCCCAAGAGGTGATGTTGGCTCTTTCCAACTCTGCAAAGGTGTGTGATTTGATTTTCATATCCTTACAGACTGCCTTTTCCAATTGAATTGCCAATTCTCCAAGAATCAATTCATTCTCAATATTGATTCTTTCATTGGTGAGGTATTGATTGTAATCCTCGAGCTTTTGAGTCTTTGAGGTAAGTCCATTCACCATACTCAAAAGAGTATCGTACTTGGTTTCCATATTCTTTTGTTGCGTTACATTCTCTACTTTCATCTCATCTATCGTCACCTCCAGCTCTACAATTTTCTTTCCTTGTTCTGATATAGTGTTTCTTTGCTCAACGATTTTCTTGCCTTGTGCAACGATTGATTTGCCTTGATCGGTGACCATCACCTCCAGCTCTACAATTTTCTTTCCTTGTTCTGATATAGTGTTTCTTTGCTCAATGGTTGTCTTGCCTTGCGCAACGATTTTCTTGCCTTGTGCAACGATTGATTTGCCTTGATCGGTGACCATCACCTCCAGCTCTACAATTTTCTTTCCTTGTTCTGATAAAGTGTTTCTTTGCCCAACGATTGTGTTTTCCTGCTCTAAAGTTTTAACCTCCAACATGCCAACCTTGACAACTGTGGCCATGTTTACTTGATGAGCCGGGGACTGAATATGTTGTTGGATGGGAGGAGGTTGTGTATTCTCTGTTGGTGTATATTCTGTTGTTGGTTGCGAGTCAACTTGTGACAGAGCACGTCCGTGACTTGATTTTTTGACCATTGCGATACTGGGTAGTATAGTAGTAGTAGTAGTAGCGATATAGTATTTGTTTACGCAAAGATTCTGTCTTTTATTTCTATAACATGTTATTCTGGGTATTTTTAATAAGTGAAAGAATAAAAAACTCTGATAATATTAGCAGAGGGGAAATAAAATTAAAATAAAATTAAGTTAATATTAAAGCTACAAATTTGAGCATTTGCCCATATTTCCAATGACCTTTATTTCATACATTCTGTAAAGAATGAATAAAAGGTAGGTTTTTACCTTAATAGTATGATGTTGTACTAATAGACTGTCTATTCATTTTGCAGAGGAGTGATTGAATATAGCAACGTTGGTAATCTATTGGACAATGTACCTGTAGTCAAGACCGATGGCGATGAAGTGTTTGAATCGTTATTTGACAAACAGGGTATCAAGATTGAAAGAATCGTATCGAATGGACAATGCTCACCCGACGACTTTTGGTATGACCAAGAACAAGAGGAATGGGTGTTTTTGATCAAAGGAAGTGCTTCATTGGAGATCAAAGATGACAAGACACCCACCTCGACAAGAATGATTGACCTCGTTCCAGGATCATATGTGCAAATACCTGCTCATTTAAAACATCGTGTTGCAAAGACCGATACAACTCAACAAACTATTTGGTTGGCTTTATTCTTTCCATCTTCTAAATTAAATTAAAATCTATCTACAATTTATTATTTATTATTTATTATTTATTATTTATTAAATCAATCAATCGAGCGGTGCTATCACATATGGTGGTGGTGATATGTAAAACTATATTTAGTCATAGTTATTATCAGCTGGTCCAACCGACACAACGCAAGAGCATTGTGTTGAGCTAGATCCGATGGTTAAGGTGTTGGTTCTGTCTGTCTCTTTTTTTTTTTTTTTTTTTTTTTTCAAACCGTTGGATTGGAGACAGAGGCAGGGAGGTCATTGGGAACTCATCTGATCGTGTTCCGTTTAAACACAACATAGATTCCGAGGAGGAAGGAAAGACAGTCAACACAACAACAGACCTATGATACGAATGATTCTCTTTTAGTTTTACTACACATCCTTTATAATTATATATATATATATATATATTACTATTGTACAAATACTATATCACTATTACTCGTTGTTTATATAATATTCACATTACTGTTTCATTTTACAGTTACAAGCCTCTTTGTATAATTACCTAGATATATATATATTTATAATATAAAACAACAACAACAATAATGGAATCTACAACACAACCAGAACCAGAATCGACTGTTGCACCAACCACTGTTGAAGAGCAAGTCAACACTGAATCTGCTCCAGAGACAACCACCGTTCCAGAGACAGAGACAACTACCTCTGTTCCAGAGACAACCACCACTGCTCCAGAGACAACTACGACTGTCCCAGAGACTACTGTTGCAACAACAGTGGTTGGGGAGGATGTTGTCGCAGCTGAACCAGTTGAACCAGTCGTGGTGACAGCTGCCACCACCCTAGCTCCAGAAGAGGAACAACAAACAGTCATTACAACACCAACCATTGTTGTAGTTGCTCAAGAGTTTTTGGATGTTCCAGCTTTGAGAGCCCCAGCTGGAGCTGAGGTCTCAGAGATCAAGACACCAACATCGTCATCAACCACTACTACTACGACTACTACAGTAGTGGAAAGAACACCAATTAATTGTGAAACTGGAGTAGATTACCAAGAGACATTTGATCATCCAAACTTCCATATGGCCGGTTGGTTGTGGACACATGCAGTATGCAGACGTCTCTACATGCTCATCGAGAAGAAGATCAATAGCAACTGGACACCCAAGACCAACAAAGAGGTCAAAGAAGTCGTCCGTGCCATTCGAGCCTGCGACCAATGGCTCAAGAGTCACCACCTCCACGAAGACGATATTGTATGGCCATGGTTGGCAGCTCTCAAACCAGAGACCAAGGACATTCTCGATGGTGCCATGACCGAGCAACACCACGGTTGGGAAGACCTCTCTAAAGAGTTGCAAGACACTCTCACAGAGTTGGACACTGATAATACGCTGACTGCCGACTCTGACACCTTTGCACCGCTACTTGCGCGTTTGCAAGATGTACATTATCGAATTGTCGTGTCGGTCATGTCGCACTTTGTCGACGAAGAGAAACTCCTTATCCCACTTTGCCTGACACTTGACAAATCGGAACAAATTAAAACAGGTGATCTTATCCACAAGCGCGTCAAGAGTGAGCCAATGGCCAAGTTTGGGTTCTGCGGTATGATCGATCTCGCCAAGAACGACAAGGTCGTTGGCAAATCAATCAACAAGTCTATCCCAGGTCTCATCAGAAAATTGTTGCCTGCACTTTGGAATAAATCAGAATATAAATGGTTCATTACTGCTTTGGAAGTTGTACAATAAATAAATAAATAATAAATAATCTTTTGTAATTACAATTTAAAGAAAATCAATAAAAATTTAATACGCTTAGAGATCGCATGTGGGAAATATTCTAATTTTAATGATTAATAAATCAAAATTAACACTCGCTCTAGTGTTCATTATTATTGAATCAACCAACTTTATTATTCATCTACTACTACTGCTACTCTTCATTATTATCTCTAAGGAATCTCCTACTTTTATGGAACAGACTTCAGAGGTCTCCTCTGAAAAACCTAAAAAGTCTTTCAAATGTATTGTGCACTTTGGTAGTGACAACGTCGACGAGATTTGAACCATATTCCACATGGGCCAAAATATCCTCAAGCTTGGGTATAACTAGAGGTGGATTAAAAGAAAAGATGACATGACAGTCGAACATTTATTTGGTCCCTATGAACCAGGCAAATATACATTTGGTCAACACTGTATGTGATTATAGAATGATGTGATATTTATTTATTTTTTTACTTTATCCAGTCTATATTTAGTTTGTTCCAGTCAACACCAACTGTTCCTGAATTATCAAAGCACCAGGTATTGGATATCAATCATTCTCTCGTTAAAAGAAGATTTAAATCAAAGTTTAAAAAGATCAATAAGAAATAAAACTTTTATTATACTCTTGTTTACTACTATTTCAATTCTCTTCAGAAATAGCCAAACAATAAAATATAAAACGAGATGTCTTCAAAAGAGAGAGAGAGAGAGAGAGAGATAATGACATTATGTCTTTTGTGTCCATTTTCCACTTTTTAACAGCATCTTTGTTATGTGTATATTTTTTGACAATGAGAGTTCTAACAATATATTTGAAGTATTGAACGATTGAAATATTATACCTGGGGTTCTATTTACGAAAATTAGAAAATATATCGGTATATTCAATTCATGTATTTTATTTTTATTTTTTATTATTATATTCGCTCATTCAGGAAAACGCAAGGGAAAACGATAAAAAGAACACTTAGTCGCCTTCTTCACATTTTATTTCAAACTAAACTTTTATCTATCTTTTTATTTATTTATGTATCTGTTTTTAAGAGATAGAAAATATAAATAATTTATTATTATAATCCATGATAATCAATTACAACAACAACAACAACAATAACAATAACAATAATAATAATAGTAATAATAGTATTGATACAATAAACACAGATAAAAATGATTACAACTACAACTCTTCTACTTCTTAATAGTTAATAGTTTTTGATAGTTTAATAATAATTAATTCAACCACTAGTTGGTTCACAATAATTATTACTTCCTGTTTGAACTGAAATGAAATGTGGAGAGTAGATCAAGTAGTCATAGTAGTAGTAGTACATCATGAATCCTAAATGAACGTTCCTTGACTTGACCACCGATGCCGAAAAATGTCTACCATCGATCTATCTCTCTCTCCTCTCGTAGTGCATACATGCACTTTTGGTCTACTTCTGTTATTCTCAATCACCACGTCCTTCCTTCCTTCCTTCCTTCATTCCTTCATTCCTTCCGTCCTTCTTCTCGAAAGTTATACTTTTTTGACAACAGCTAATAATAATGCGTCAGTCCTGCAACAATCATCATCTAGTTAATTGAAAATGTCAATCAATGTCATCCAATAACTACCAGAGGATGAATTAGCAAGTCAAAAAGAATATTATTATTATTATGATTATCTCTTTGTTCCACCAACAAAACACCTCTCTTCACCAACAACAAACAACAACAAACAACAACAACATATAATAACAATAATACAAACAAAAAAAGATGATAGTGACAACAAAAAGTAAAAGAAGAAGGAATGAATGATTATAAAACATAACAACTTTTTACAGTTAATCGTCATCGCAAACTCGGTCACCTACTCGCTTCTCTTTTATAATTAATTTATTAATTCATTCAGTGAGAACAACTTAACTCAAAAGTTGAGAGTTTTCATTCCGATCCATCGATGGGATTGTTGACAATGACAATTCATTGTGTTAACACAACAACAACTCTTCATTCATTCATTCCATTTACAACAATTGGCTGTGAGTGGAAAATGATGGTTTCAACACACGCTGTTGCGGTTTAGAGAGGGTTTTAAATCTAATCAAAATGACGATTTTAAAAGTGAGAGAAGCACAATCAATGCACACTTTAAACAAAAAGTTAGTGTTTACAATGCAACAATAATAGAACACACCAACCACTACTTTTTACTTTTTTTTTTTTTTTACCACCATACTCTTCACACACAATTCCAACAATGAATGCCCTCTCAGTCTCACTGCTGTGACGATCACATTGCAATTCAACAGTCCATCCATCCATCCATGGTCAACTCTCTCTCCCTTCCCTCCCTTCTTCTTCTTATAGATGGCTGTGTCATATGACTTTTGACCAGCAGCACACACAGCTTACTTTGTGTATCCAAATGTGCATTCATTGACGTCTACGGTGCCAATATATACTTTATATGTATGCTTGTGTTAAAGATTCATAGTCATATGATTGACGCCAACCAACACACTGCAATCAGTTTCTGTGTGAAGTAGTAGCTACAGCTACAGAAGCTACCAAACCAACTGATTGATTCAACTCTACCTGCTGATACCGTCAATAAACCCAATGCTCGACGATGATGATGATGATGATCTCCCTCCTTTCTTCATCTGGGAGGTCGAATACGGCATACAATCTCTGTTGCAGAGGTAGGGTATCCAACAAGCTGGTGGTACTACCTTTTCATCAACTACATATTTATAGGAATAAGTTGTTGTGCAATCTGCTTTTTTTTTAATGATTTAATATCTAATTTATATATTATAAATCAACCAAAAAAATTAAACAACTAGTTTTTTTTTTTTTCTTCTCCAACGTGTAGTTCAACAACTAACATTGTTGTAGTAATAATAATAGAGTTGAAAACTAATAACACTCAACATATAAAATAACAAATAATAGTAAATATTTATATTAAGGAGTAGTATTTATAAAAAAAAAGGTATGTTCACAGAGATAGATAAATTTCCAAATCAATCAACTAATCCCCCTCTCTTTTTATCTCTCCCTTCAAACATTATATAATATATAATAGTCATTTTTTTTTATAGAGAAACTTTCTAAAGAGCATAATATTAAAATATTAATCAAAAACAAAAAAAGGTACCATTTTGGAAATCAACAAATTTTTTTGGATCAACAAGATAGATTATTGGAGACCAATACTTATATACATTCCATTCCATACCACCTACCCCCCCCCCCCCCCCTATTTATTTTCTCTTTATTTAGCTCAAAACTCAATATTTTTCGAATTTAAGATTGAGATTTTAAAACAACACAATTTGTAAATAGGTAAGATTATCATTAATATCGATATGGAGAGAAATGAATCACAAAAGTCAAAGATCAAAATTATTAATAATTTAAATTTAATTTTATTTATTTTAGGATTTAATTTATTTTTTTATATATATTTATATAGGATATGATAAGGATGAATAATATACAACTTCCTTTTATAAAGGGAGTTGTATTATTATTAATACTTTCATTACTATGGAACGATCGTTGGATCAATGCGCAGACGGGGTCGACAATGTTGGATGCCAATCATTTAGGGATGATATGTCAATATTGTAATCCCAACAAAACCTATCTTGATTTTTCATCGATTGCACCCGATGCATTTGACCTATCGACGCGACATACACTACAATGGGCAGATCGATTGCCTCGGGTCACCGTCTCGGTGTCCAGCGAGGGCAATCCCGCAATTATTGGCGAGACACAGTCGTACGAGGAGCTGGTGGACAACAACAGCCCGTCGGCAGTCTCCTTTTTCAACGCAACTGGCAAGCAGGACATCAAGTCACTGATGCACTACTCGTGCGGAAACACACCGTCCATAGTGACCATGCAGTTTGACAATGCCACCATGAACTTTTTCTTGATTGTCTTTGGCGTAGGCGCAGACACCTCGGTCGTCGTAGACAGTTACGACCCGTTTGGCTACCCCATCAACATGCAAACGTGGAAAACAATCGACAGCGGTATACTCCACAGTCACCCCAAACAGCTCGAAGACCAGCAGAAAAAGATACTTGCATTGGCTGGCAAGGAGAGTGGTGACGAGAATATCACACCCAGTAAATCATTGGTATTGGGTAAAAAGAATATAGAAGAGTCGGATTCTCCACTGCTTCATCTCCCCGCCATCAAGTTGCAGAGTGACAAGGTGTCTCTCAACCTCACGTGGAATGACCAGGGTAGCAACTCGTACATCATCCTCCAACCCACCCAACTCGTCAGTCGTATCACGTTGACATCCAAGAACATGGCATGTAAAGGAGAGTGTAAGGGAATACGTCTATTCTACTCGCTGCTTGGTATCCACGAATGTCCCGCTTATACCGGTCCCAACTGCACCGACGTGCCTACCTTGCCTCCCAAGTCGTACGCCATCGGACGGTACGTATTTATCGACAGTAATCGCGACGGTGTGCAACAGACTACCGAGACGGGTGCCGCTTCCGTCCCCGTCGTCCTATACAACCAGAATGACATGACCAAAGTCGTCGCGTCCACCTCGACCGACGCCAACGGTGCCTACCAATTTGACCAACTTCCTCCTGGGGCATACTGCGTGCATTTCGGCCCGCTGTCCGCTGGCTACAAGTTCTCTCCCCTTGGTGTTGACGCTGCAGGCAACCAGTGCTTTAATCTTACTGCTACTGCCGTTCCTTCCGTGCCAAGCGACCATGTCAAGGCGAGTGACGTCAACAACAACATCAACCAGGGTATCTACCCACCTCCCTACGCTATTGGTGAAACTGTATTTTACGATGCCAACCACAACGGTGTCAAAGACACCAATGAAATGCCCGCTGCCGGCGTCAAGGTCAGTCTCCTCGACAAGGACGGCGTGCTCGTCAACACTACCACCACCGATGCATCTGGACAATACTCGTTTATCGGGTTGGATAAAGGTGATTATCGCGTTCAATTTACTCCACCTCAAGGATTCACATTCTCACCACAAGGTGGACAGTCGCGTCCTGATTCGTCGGGTGTTGCCGTTGTTCCATTGAATCCAACGACCACTCACTATGACGCGGGTCGTGATGCATTTATTGATGACACGGTCGACGCCGGTCTCGTACCACCAGGTTATGCAGTGGGAGACAGTGTCTGGTTGGACAGCAATCGTGACGGTATCAAAGACCCAAGCGAGACTCCTATTGCCGATGTTGGTGTTCATCTCACTAGTGCAGACGGTGCAGTTGATCTTATGGCCAAGACAAGCGACGCTGGTATCTACCACTTTGACAATCTCAAGCCTGGAGACTACTGCGTTCAGTTCCAACTCGTCGGTGATGTTTCGCCAACTGGCCACGACAGCGTTATCGATGAAACCGGTAAATATTGTTTCAAGTTAGACAACTCGACAGCACGTCCCTCAACACCAGCCGACAATGTAGCTAGTTTCTGGATTCGGGACAATGTTGATGCTGGATTCATGCCCACTCAATATGCAGTTGGTGATACTGTCTGGTTAGACTCTAACCGTGATGGTGTCTATGACCTAGTTGGAGAGAAGGGATTGGCTGGTATTCCAGTAACACTCACTTTATCAGATGGAAAGACAATGAATACAGTCACTGATGCTTCTGGACACTACGTGTTTAACAGTTTGCCCGCTGGCAACTACTGTGTGGACGTTACTCTTCCAACTGGTCATTTGGCATCTCCTGCTGGCCACGACTCGATGATTGATAGTGCAGGACACTACTGCTTCACTCTTGACAAGGATAGCACCGTTACCACACCACTTCCATTCAGCCCATCCGCACAAGCCACTCGTAACAACCCCAATGTCGATGCTGGTATCTCTCCACCACTCTTTTCAGTTGGTGAGAAGGTCTGGCGCGACACCAACCGTGACGGTGTCAAAGATCCCAACGAACCACCTCTTCCAGGTGTCACTGTCACCTTGACGGGCGATGGCGGTATAGTCTTCACCTTCACCACCGATGAAAAAGGAACTTATTCGTTTGACAAGCTCGAGCCTGGACACTACTGCATCAAGTTTGTCTCACCCGACTCGTCACTCTCCCCATCTCCCTCTGGCAAAGATTCTGTGATCGATAAGAATGGAGAGTACTGCTTTGACTTGAATACAAACACTACTACACCAGTAGTTGGAAACCCCAACGCACAATACACCAACGACAAGGTCAACGCTGGATTCGTCCCACCCACCTTTGCCATTGGACAGTTTGTATGGGAAGATGTTGATCGTGACGGAGTACGTGATGCCAACGAACACTTGGTTGCCAATATCCCCGTTACTCTCACCAACGCCGACGGCTCCAAGGAGATTGCTTCAACGGTTACCGACGCCAGTGGAGATTACTCAATCATTGGTTTGGAAGCAGGTGACTATTGTATCAAGTTTACTACCCCATCCGACTATGCATCCTCACCTCTTGGTGGCGACTCTGTCATTGATAAGGATGGTCATTACTGTTTCTCACTCAATACATCCAACACTACTCCTTCTCAAGATGACAAGTCTGTTTATGTAAACAACAATGTCAACGCTGGTATCATGCCACCACAATACTCGGTTGGTAGATACGTATGGATTGACAGTAATCGTGATGGTGTACATGACACTCTAGAATCACCTGCACCCGGTATCCCAGTCCAACTCGTCAAACCAGATGGTACTGTACTTGCCAGCAACATCACTGACGACAATGGTCTCTATGTCTTTGATCAACTTCCAGCCGGTGAATACTGTGTACATTTCAAGATTCCATCAGATAATACTGCATCACCTCTTGGTCAAGACTCCAAGATTGATAGTACGCCAGAAGACTTTACCGTCTCTCCAACCGGACATGACTCAGTCCCCGATAAAGAAGGAAACATTTGCTTCACTTTGGATCAAACCACTGCCAAATTGGCAATGGACAACCAATCGAATCCATTCTATGAATTAAATACAATGAATGCTGGTTTCATGCCACCACAATTTGCAATTGGTAATAATGTATGGAATGATGTCAACCGTGATGGTATCTATGATGCAACTGAAGAACCAATGACCAATATCCCAATCACTTTGACCACTCCAAATGGTACTGTGGTTGCAACAACCGCAACCAACAGTCAAGGTCATTATAATATTGATGAATTGGCACCAGGCAATTACTGTATTGCATTTGCCATTCCATCAGACTTTACTGCATCACCATCAGGAAAGGATTCAATCATTGACAAGGATGGTAAACATTGTTTCACTTTGGACAAGTCTACCACACGTCTATCCACTCCCGATGACTATGTCGCTGCACGATTCGTTGATCTAGATATTGATGCTGGTATGATGCCACCTCAATTTGCAGTTGGTGACATGGTATGGGACGATTTCAACCGTGATGGTGTACATGATGCATCTGAACAACCAATCAAGGATATCACAGTTACACTCTACAAGGAAAAGGTTGGTGGTGATATTGCAGGAGCCACTTCAACCGATCCATCAGGTCGTTATGTATTTGATGGTTTGAATCCAGGTAAATATTGTCTCAGCTTTGCCATTCCATCAGATGCCAAGGCATCTCCAACTGGTCACGACTCTGTCATTGAACAAGACGGAAACACATGCTTTGATTTGGACTCTACCACTACCACTCCATCAACACCAGCTGATAATGTATCATCATACTACAAAAACTTTGATCAAGATGCAGGTATTATGCCACCACAATTTGCAGTGGGTGATCTTGTATGGTTGGATCTCAACCAAGATGGTATTCACGGTGCACAAGAACTACCAAGCACCAATACTACCATTCAATTAACTCAACCAGATGGAACGGTCGTATCAACTACAACCACCGATAACACTGGTCAATATGTATTTGATCATTTGGCACCAGGCAATTATTGTATCCAACTTGTATTCCCATCAGACTATCGTGTCTCTCCACTTGGACATGATTCAGTGATGGATAGTACCGGAAAGCACTGTTTCACTCTTGACAAGACTACCACCACTCCAACCACACCAGCCGACAATGTAGATGCATTCTACAAGAATTTCGATCAAGATGGAGGTTTGATGCCACCCAGAATCGCCATCGGTGATCAAGTCTGGCTGGACTCGAATCGCGATGGTATATTTGATGCCAACGAGAAACCAATCTTTAACATGACTGTTGCACTCCTCATTCCAGAGAGCAATCTCACTGCTGTCACTTTTACCGACAAGGATGGTCGTTATGTATTTGACAACTTGGTACCAGGCCATTTCTGTGTCATCTTTGGTCTCCCTGCCGATACCAAGCCATCTCCACTCGGTCACGACTCTGTCATTGATAGTAGCAACCAGTACTGTTTGAATTTGGATGAATCCAACGCCGAACTTGCCACACCAGCCGACAATATCACTGCATTCTACAAGAACTTCAAGGTAGATGCCGGTGTTATGCCACCACAATTTGCAGTTGGTGACTTGGTATGGTTGGATCTCAACGAAGATGGTGTACACGATGCCACTGAACTCCCAAGTGTCAACACTACCATCCAATTGACTCAACCAGATGGAACTGTCATCAAGAGTACTACCACTGACAACACTGGTCACTATGTATTTGATGATTTGGATTCTGGAGACTATTGTATTCAAGTAGTCTACCCAGCCGATTACTCTGTCTCTCCTATCGGACATGACTCTGTTGTCGACGGAACTGGCAAACATTGCTTCACTTTGGACAAGACTACCACCGTCCCAACCACCTCTGCCGACACTGGCGTCGATGCATTCTACAAGAATTTCGATCAAGATGCCGGTCTTACACCCCCAAGAATCGCCATTGGTGATCAAGTATGGCTCGACTCTAATCGCGATGGTATTCGTGACCCCGACGAAAAACCAATAGCCAACATGACCGTCGCACTCCTTGTCCCAGCCAGCAATCTCACTGCTGTCACTTATACCGATAAGGACGGTCGCTATGTATTTGACAACTTGGTACCAGGCCATTTCTGTATTATCTTTGGTCTTCCTGCCGACTCGCTTCCCTCTCCCACCGGCCATGACTCTGTTATCGACAGCACTGGTCAATTCTGTTTGAATTTGGATGAATCCAACTCGGTACCAGCCACACCAGCCGACAAAATCCGTGCATTCTATCGTAACTTTGATGTTGATGCTGGTGTTATGCCACCACAATTTGCAGTCGGTGATCAAGTTTGGAACGATGTTGATCGTGATGGTGTCCGTGATCGTGACGAGCTCCCAATGGCTGGTATTCCAGTTACATTGACCGATCCAAGTGGAGCAGAGATCAAGACTGCCACAACTGATGCCGAAGGACGTTATTGGTTCGACACACTTGACGCAGGTGAATACTGTGTCAAGGTTGGTATTCCAACCGACTTTAGTGCATCCCCAGCTGTACAAGACTCGACTATTGACAAGGATGGTAAACACTGCTTCACTCTTGACAAGTCGTCATCCATCCCATCCGTACCAGCCGACAATATCACTGCATTCTACAGAGACTTTGATGTTGACGCTGGTTTGATGCCACCACAATTCGCAGTTGGACGATTCGTTTGGGGTGATACAAGCCGTGACGGTATCTTTAACCCTGACCAAGGTGAAATGCCACTCGAGGGTATCACTGTCGAGTTGACTTTGCCAGATGGAACATCCATCACATCTGACACAACTGATCAAAACGGACAGTACATGTTTGATCATTTGAATCCAGGCAACTATTGTATCAAGGTTGATGTTCCAGCCGACTCGATCGTGTCGCCACTCGGACACCTTTCAGTCATTGACGAGAAAGGTAAACATTGCTTCACTCTTGACAAGTCTACCGCCACTCCATCAACTCCCGACGACAATGTCCAAGCTTTCTACCGCAACTTTGACGAGAACGCAGGTATCATGCCACCAGTCTTTACAGTTGGTGACTTTGTATGGTTGGATAAGTCACGTGATGGTATTCATGATCCAAGTGAAGAAGGTGTCGGAGACGACATTTCAGTCACATTGACCAACCCCGATATTGGCTTGGAAAAGACAATCGAGACTGACAAGAATGGCATGTACAACTTTGACATGTTGGCTCCCGGACACTACTGTCTCCACTTTGCCATTCCATTGTACTTTACAGCATCACCTATGGGCAAGGATTCTGTTATTTCAGCCAGTGGATCCAACTGCTTCACTCTTGACAAGAATTCATCTGTCTTGTCAACCGATGCCAATGGAAAGCCATACTATGCCAAATTGGACCAAGACGCCGGTATCATGCCACCACTCTACGCACTCGGTCGTTACGTGTGGTTGGACAATAGTCGCGATGGAGTACACGACGACACAGAGTTGCCATTGGCCAACATCCCCGTCACCCTCGTTGACACACTCAACGCGACCAACACCCACTCTACCGTTACTGACGACAAGGGTTTCTATAGATTCGATCTACTCTTATCGTCAGACTACTGCATCACATTCAATGTGTCGAGTTATCTCGCCCTTGGATACGAAATATCTCCACTCGGAGAAGACTCGGTCGTCGATCCAGATGATCAAGTCACTTGCTTCACTCTAGACAGCTCTTCTACCACTCCATCAGAGGTTGAAGACAATGTACAGGCTGCTTACGTATCCAACGACTTTAACCTTGGTATCATGCCACCTCAATTTGCCATTGGCAACTATGTATGGTACGACCAAAGCCGTGAAGGTATTCATGACTCTACCGAACTACCAGTCCCTGAATTCCCATTAAAATTGGTAAAGAACGACGCCAACAAGACACTCGTTGGCGAAACTATGACCGATCCAACCGGTAAATACGTATTTGACGCGTTGGATGCTGGCAACTACTGTCTCGAGTTTGCCGTGCCAAAGGGATACTTGATTTCTCCAGCTGGACACGACTCGATCGACACTAGCAAGGATCCAATCATTGGATCGCACTGTTTCACCCTTGGTATGTCTGAACCCGGTGTATCATCCTCAACACCCGCCGATGACCTTGAAGCATTCTACAAAGACTTTAACTACAACATTGGTCTCATGCCACCACAATTTGCATTTGGTCACTATGTCTTTGAAGACAGTAACCGTGATGGTCTACGTGACGGCGAGAAACCACTCAAGGGCGTACAAGTCACTGCCACTGGTCCAGGTGGAGTCAGTCTGTCTGCCTTTACAAACGAACAAGGTCACTACAGCTTTGACAATCTCCTTCCAGGCAACTACTGCGTGCACTTTGGTATCATCACCTCGTACTCGGCATCACCTGTTGCCAAGGGCTCGGTCATTGATGCCAACGGAGACTACTGCTTTAAATTGGATACAGACACCTCTGTCAAGGAGGAACTTGATGACAGCCAAGGAAGTGATGAAAACATTCAAGCATACTACCGTAATCTCTCGGTCAATGCTGGTATGATGCCACCACAATTTGCAGCTGGTAATTATGTATGGTCGGATCTCAACCGTGACGGTAAACACGACTCTGTCGAGCCACCAATTGCAGGTGTCCAAGTCACACTCCACAAGAGTTCAATCGATGGAGATGTCGTTGGATCAGTAGCCACTGATAGCCAAGGAACCTATGTATTTGATAATTTGTACCCAGGCAAATATTGTCTACACTTTGATGTGCCAGCCGATTCCAGAGTATCTCCAACTGGACAAGACTCATCAATTGATGCCTCTGGTAACAGTTGCTTCACTCTTGACAAGGATACTAGTACCCCACCACTCCCACTTGACTTGCTAATTGCTATCCCATCGGTACCTGAAGACAATGTCCAAGCTTACTACAAAAACTTTGGCCAAGATGCAGGTATTATGCCACCACAATTCGCCGTTGGTGATAATATTTGGAATGACGTCAACCGTGATGGTATACATGATGCAACTGAACAACCAATTGCAAATATTACAGTTACATTGACTCAACCAGATGGTACTACCATCCAATCAACTACTACTGATGACAAGGGTAATTATGTATTTGATAAATTAAATACTGGTAATTATTGTGTACAAGTCTCAATCCCATCAGACTTTACTGCTTCTCCATCTGGAAAGGATTCATCAATCGATGAAACTGGTAAACACTGCTTCACTTTGGACAAGACAACAACCACTCCATCCACTTCTGCTGATGGTGTAGATGCATTCTACAAGAACTTTAATGTAGATGCTGGTTTAATGCCACCACAATTTGCAGTAGGTGACTTTGTTTGGAATGATTTCAACCGTGATGGCGTACATGATGCATCTGAACAACCACTTGCAAACATTGATGTTAGACTCACTCAAATATCAGATGCAGGTCACAAGGTTACTTCGGTACAAACCGATTCAACTGGTCATTACCTCTTTGATGAATTGGAACCTGGATACTATTGCGTACACTTTACCATTCCAGATGATTCCAAGGCATCTCCAATGGGCAAGGACTCTGTAATCGATGCCACTGGTGACCACTGTTTCACTTTGAACTCTACCACCACCATTCCATCAGTTTCAGCCGACAATGTCAAAGCATTCTACAAGAATCTTGATGAAGATGCAGGTATCATGCCACCACAATTCGCAGTTGGTGATAATGTATGGAACGATTTCAACCGTGATGGTGTCAAGGATCCAACTGAAGAACCAATGAAGAACATTTCAGTTACATTGACTCAACCAGATGGTACTCCAATTACCTCAACCACTACTGATGACAAGGGTCATTATGTATTTGATAACCTCAATGATGGTGATTATTGTGTACAAGTCTCAATTCCATCAGACTTTACTGCATCTCCAACTGGAAAGGATTCATTGATTGACTCTACAGGTAAACATTGTTTCACTCTTGACAAGGATACTACCACTCCATCCACCTCTGCTGATGGTGTCCAAGCATTCTACAAGAATCTCAACGAGGATGCTGGATTGATGCCACCACAATTCGCCGTTGGTGACATGGTATGGGATGATTTCAACCGTGATGGTGCACATGACGCAACTGAACAACCACTTGCCAATATCACTGTCAAATTATCTTTAGATTCTCCAGATGCTGGATTCATTTCAACTCAAACAGACTCTACTGGTCACTACATCTTTGATGGATTGAATCCAGGTAAATATTGTATTCACTTTGATATTCCAGCCGACTCCAAGGCATCACCAATGGGTAAAGACTCTGTCATTGATGCCACTGGTGATCATTGTTTCACTTTGGACAAGACTACCTCAATTGCATCAGTTCCAGCTGATAATGTCAAAGCATTCTACAAGAACCTCAAGGAAGATGCTGGCATTATGCCACCACAATTCGCTGTAGGTGACCAAGTTTGGAATGATTTCAACCGTGACGGTGTACATGATGCATCTGAACAACCACTTGCAAACATCACTGTCAAGCTCTCTATCGATTCTCCAGACTCTGGATTTATTTCAACCACCACCGACAAGGATGGTCATTACATCTTTGACAACTTGAACCCAGGTCAATACTGTCTCCACTTTGACATTCCAGCCGATGCAAAGGCGTCTCCAACTGGTAAAGATTCAGTTATCGATGCCACTGGTGATCATTGTTTCACTCTCGACAAGACCACAACCACTCCATCAGTTCCATCTGACAATGTCGAATCATTCTACAAGAATCTTGACAAGGATGCTGGTATTTTGCCACCACAATTTGCAGTTGGTCGTTCCATCTGGTTAGATTTGGATAGAGATGGTGTTCGTGATGCCGATGAGATCCCAGCATTAAACATCAGTGTTGCTCTCCAATCTCCAACTGGAGAAACCATATCCACCACCATTGTAGATGACAAGGGACAATACTTGTTTGATTCATTGAATCCAGGAAACTATTGTGTACAATTCACCATTCCACCAAGTTATGATGCATCACCTATCGGTCACGACTCTGTCATTGACAAGCAAGGTAAACACTGCTTCACTCTTGATAAATCAACTTCGGAACCATCCACCACTGCCGATGGTATCCTTGCCTCCTACAAGAAATATGATGAAAATGCAGGTATTACTCCACCACTCTTTGCCATTGGTGATCAAGTATGGCTCGACTCTAACCGTGACGGTGTACATGATGCATCTGAACAACCACTTGCTGGTATTCCAGTCACCCTCCATTGCATTGCAACCGGAAAGGATTTACAAGCCACCACAGATTTCAATGGTCTCTACTTGTTTGACGAGTTACCACCATCCAACTATTGTATCCACTTTGAAATTCCAATTGATCACAGCGCTTCTCCAACCGGTAAAGATTCAGTTATCGATGCCACTGGTGACCACTGTTTCATCGTTGATGTATCGACTAGTCAACTATCCACCCCTGATGACAATGTCAATGCATTCTATGAGAAGTTGGAAATTGATGCTGGTATAATGCCACCACAATTTGCAGTTGGAAATAATGTATGGAACGATTTCAACCGTGATGGTGTCAAGGATGCCACTGAACAACCAATTGCAAACGTATCTGTCACTCTCACCAAGGATGACGCCGATCATACTCTAGTATCTAGTATTTCAACGGATGCAACAGGAACTTATGTATTTGATCAATTGAATCCAGGTAAATATTGTGTCCACTTTGATATTCCAGCCGACTCCAAGGCATCTCCAACTGGCAAAGACTCTGTAATCGATGCCACTGGTGACCACTGTTTCACTCTTGACAAGACTACCTCAATTCCATCAACACCAGCTGATAAAGTCAATGCTTATTACAACAAATTTGACGAAGATGCAGGTATCATGCCACCACAATTCGCAGTTGGTGATAATGTTTGGGATGATGTCAACCGTGATGGTGTCAATGATCCAACTGAAGAACCAATGAAGAACATTACAGTTACATTGACCAAACCAGATGGTACTCCAATTACCTCAACCACTACTGATGACAAGGGTCATTATGTATTTGATAACCTCAATGATGGTGATTATTGTGTACAAGTCTCAATTCCATCAGACTTTACTGCATCTCCAACTGGAAAGGATTCATTGATTGACTCTACTGGTAAACATTGTTTCACTTTGGACAAGACTACCACAACTCCATCCACCTCTGCTGATGGCGTCCAAGCATTCTACAAGAACCTCAATGAAGATGCTGGTTTAATGCCACCTCAATTTGCAGTTGGTGACTTTGTTTGGGGTGATTTCAACCGTGATGGTGTACATGATGCATCAGAACTCCCACTTGCAAACATTGATGTTAGACTCACTCAAATATCTGATGCAGGTCACAAGGTTAGATCGTTACAAACCGATTCAACTGGTCATTACCTCTTTGATGAATTGGAACCTGGATACTATTGTGTACACTTTACCATTCCAGATGATTCCAAAGCATCACCAATGGGCAAGGACTCTGTTATCGATGAAGATGGTGATCACTGTTTCACTTTGAACTCTACCACCACCATTCCATCAGTTCCAGCTGACAATGTCAAAGCATTCTACAAGAATCTTGATGAAGACGCTGGTATTATGCCACCACAATTCGCAGTTGGTAATACTGTCTGGAATGATGTCAACCGTGATGGTGTCAAGGATCCAACTGAAGAACGTTTACCAAATATCCCAGTCACATTGACCACTCCAGAAGGTACCCCAATCAACACTACAACCACTGATGAAAAGGGTAATTATGTGTTTGATAAGTTACCACCCGGAAACTATTGTATTCAAATTGGTATTCCATCAGACTTTACTGCATCACCGTCTGGTAAAGATTCAATGATTGATGAAACTGGTAAACATTGTTTCACTCTTGACAAGGATACTACAACCACTCCATCCACCTCTGCTGATGGAGTTGAAGCATTCTACAAGAACTTTAATGAAAATGCTGGATTGATGCCACCACAATTCGCCGTTGGTGACATGGTATGGAATGATTCCAACCGTGATGGTGTACATGATGCATCTGAACTACCAATTGCCAACATCACTGTCACACTCTCTCATTCAACAGAAATGGGTACCATGTCTACTTCAACTCAAACAGACTCAACTGGTCATTACATCTTTGATGAATTGTCACCAGGTGATTATTGTGTCCACTTTGATATTCCAGCCGACTCCAAGGCATCTCCAACTGGTAAAGATTCAGTTATCGATGCCACTGGTGACCACTGTTTCACTCTCAACAAGACCACTACCACTCCATCCGTTCCAGCCGATAATGTCAAGGCATTCTACAAGAACCTCAAAGAAGATGCTGGCATTATGCCACCACAATTCGCCGTTGGTGATAATGTTTGGAACGATTTCAACCGTGATGGTGTACATGATGGATTTGAAGACCCAATCGCCAATATTACAGTTACATTGACTCAACCAGATGGTACTCCAGTTACCTCAACCACCACCGACAATGATGGTCATTACATCTTTGACCAATTACCACCAGGCAACTACTGTGTACAAGTCTCAATTCCATCAGACTTTACTGCATCTCCAACTGGTCAAGACTCATTAATTGGCTCTACTGGTAAGCACTGTTTCACTCTCGACAAGTCTACCACCACTCCATCCACCTCTGATGATGGTGTACAAGCATTCTACATGAATCTTGATGAAGATGCTGGTTTAATGCCACCACAATTCGCTGTTGGTGATACTGCGTGGATCGATACAAACCGTGATGGTGTACATGATGCATCAGAACTACCGCTTGCAAACATCACCGTCAGACTCATGAAAATGCCGCAAGAACAAGTCGATGAAGACAATACTTCATCATTATCATCCGAAGAAAATAAATCCAATCATACAGTCTCTGGTGGTTCAACAGCTTCATCTAAATTCCCCATCGTAGTCACCACCGACAAGGATGGTCACTACCTCTTTGATGAATTAGATCCTGGATACTACTGTCTCCACTTTACCATTCCAGCCGACTACAAGGCATCCCCAATGGGTAAAGACTCTGTAATCGATGCCACTGGTGACCATTGTTTCTATGTGAACAAGACCAATACTGTCCCATCAGTTCCAGCTGATAATGTCAAAGCATTCTACAAGAATCTTGACTTGGATGCAGGTATTATGCCACCACAATTCGCTGTTGGTAATACTGTCTGGAATGATGTCAACCGTGATGGTGTAAAGGATCCAACTGAAGAACGTTTACCAAATATCCCAGTTACATTGACCACTCCGGAAGGTACTCCAGTCAACACTACAACCACTGATGAAAAGGGTAATTATGTGTTTGATAAGTTACCACCCGGAAATTATTGTATTCAAATTGGTATTCCATCAGACTTTACTGCATCTCCCGCTGGTAAAGACTCAATGATTGATGAAACTGGCAAACATTGTTTCACTCTCGACAAGACTACAACCACTCCATCTACCTCTGCTGATGGTGTTGAAGCATTCTACAAGAACTTTAATGAAAATGCTGGATTAATGCCACCTCAATTCGCTGTAGGTGACCAAGTTTGGGATGATTTCAACCGTGATGGTGTACATGACGCATCAGAGCAACCAATTTCCAATCTCACAGTCACTCTCCACAAAGAAGTTGATGGTAAAGATGTAGTTGTAGGCACTGCTCAAACAGACAAGGATGGTCACTACCTCTTTGACGAATTGAACCCAGGTAAATATTGCGTACACTTTGATATTCCATCCGATTCAACAGCCTCTCCAACCGGTAAAGACTCAGTTATCGATCGTGAGGGTGACCATTGTTTCGATTTGAACAAGACCACTACCACCCCATCAACACCAGCCGACAACGTCAAGGCTTACTACAAGAATCTTGATGAAGATGCAGGTATTATGCCACCTCAATTTGCCGTAGGTGATACTGTCTGGAACGATCTTAACCGTGATGGTGTCAATGACCCAACTGAACAACCAATTGAAGGTATCAATGTTTCATTATCAACCAAAGATGGAACTCCAGTCGCATCTGCCACCACTGACAAGGATGGCCAATACATCTTTGATCAATTACCACCAGGTGACTATTGTATCCAAGTTGGAATTCCAACTGGATTTGCAGCATCTCCAAGTGGATTCGACTCTGTTGTTGATAGCACTGGTAAACACTGTTTCACTCTTGACAAGACTACCTCCTCACCATCCACACCAGCTGACAATGTAGATGCATTCTACAGTCACCTCACTGAAGATGCTGGCTTAATGCCATCACAATTTGCAGTAGGTAACTATGTATGGTTGGATTATAGTCGTGACGGTATCCTTGGATCAAATGAATCATTCATTCCAAATACGCCAGTCTCTTTGACCAACTCTGACACCAACGCTGTCCTACAAACTACCACCGACGCCACTGGACACTATGTCTTTGACCGTTTGCTCCCAGGCAATTATTGTATCCAAGTCACTGTTCCAGTCGATTACAAGGTCTCTCCATCTGGAAAGGACTCTATTGTCGATGCTACAGGTAAGCACTGTTTCGTATTGAATCAATCAACGAGCAGATTAGCTGCACCAGAGGATCAAGTCGATTCATTCTATGTCAGATTCCTGGAGAATGCCGGTTTGATGCCTCCACAATTCGCTGTCGGCGAGTATGTCTGGGAAGACTCTAACCGTGACGGTGTACATGATGCATCTGAAAAGCCACTTGCCAACATCCCAATTACCCTCACTGGTCCAATGGGACTCACCCGTTCCATGAACACTGATGACAATGGTTATTACACCTTTGATGACCTTCCACCAGGCAACTACTCTATCCACTTTGGTGTTCCATCCGACTATACCGCCTCTCCACTTGGAGAAGACTCTGTCATCAGTCCCACTGGTGATTACTCTTTCTTATTGGACCAAACCACTGCCACCAAGGCTCCACCCAACCACGTCGATGCATTCTATGATCTCCATGGTGTTGATGCTGGTATGATGCCACCTCAATTCGCAGTAGGTGACATGGTATGGGACGATTTCAACCGTGATGGTGTACATGACGCAACTGAATTACCAATTGCCAACATCACTGTTCAACTTTCGTTTGACACTCCAGACGGAACAGGACTATTGTCTACCACCACCGACAAGGATGGTCACTACCTCTTTGATCAATTAGATGCAGGTGATTATTGTCTCCACTTTGGAATCCCAGCCGACTCCAAGGCATCACCAATGGGTAAAGATTCTGTAATCGACTCTACTGGTGACCACTGTTTCACTCTCAACAAGACCACAACCACTCCATCCGTTCCAGCCGACAATGTCAAAGCTTTCTACAAGAATCTTGACGAAGATGCTGGTATTATGCCACCACAATTCGCAGTTGGTGATAATGTATGGAACGACGTCAACCGTGATGGTGTACATGATCCAACTGAACTCCCACTTGCAAACATCACTGTCACATTGACTCAACCAGATGGTACTCCAGTTACCTCAACTACCACCAACAAGGATGGCCATTACATCTTTGATCAATTACCACCAGGCAACTACTGTGTACAAGTCTCAATCCCATCAGACTTTACTGCCTCTCCATCTGGTCACGATTCATTGATTGACTCTACTGGTAAACACTGTTTCACTTTGGACAAGACAACAACCACTCCATCCACTTCAGCCGATGGTGTCCAAGCATTCTACAAGAACCTCAACGAGGATGCTGGTCTAATGCCACCACTATTTGCAGTTGGTGATCAAGTTTGGGACGATTTCAACCGTGATGGTGTACATGATGCATCAGAACAACCACTTACCAATATTACCGTCACACTCACTCATTCAACAGAAATGGGTACCATGTCTACTTCAACTCAAACAGACTCTACTGGTCATTACATCTTTGATGAATTGTCACCAGGTGATTATTGTGTCCACTTTGATATTCCAGCCGACTCCAAGGCATCACCAATGGGCAAGGACTCTGTTATCGATACCACTGGTGACCACTGTTTCACTCTCAACAAGACCACAACCACCCCATCAGTCCCAGCCGACAATGTCAAAGCATTCTACAAGAATCTTGACGAAGATGCAGGTATTATGCCACCACAATTCGCCGTTGGTGACAATGTATGGAACGATTTCAACCGCAATGGTGCTAAAGATTCAACTGAAGCACCAATGCCAAATATCACAGTCGTATTGACCACTCCAGATGGTACTCCAATCAAAACTACCACAACCGATTCAACTGGTCGCTATGTGTTTGAAGAACTTCCACCAGGCAATTATTGTATTCAAGTCTCAATCCCATCAGACTTTACTGCTTCACCCGCTGGTAATGATTCAATGATTGACTCTACCGGTAAACATTGTTTCACTTTGGACAAGACAACAACCACTCCATCTACCTCTGCTGATGGTGTCCAAGCATTCTACAAGAACTTCAATGAAGATGCTGGATTAATGCCACCACAATTCGCAGTTGGTGATTTCGTATGGAATGACTTTAACCGTGATGGTGTACATGATGCATCAGAACAGCCACTTGCAGGTGTCGTCGTTGAATTATCATTCGACTCTCCAAGCTCAGTTGGATTCCTTGTAGCTACCACCGACTCTACTGGTCATTACATCTTTGATGAATTGAATCCAGGTAAATACTGTTTACAATTTACCATTCCAGCTGACTCTAAGGCATCTCCAACTGGTAAAGATTCAGTTATCGATGCCACTGGTAAACACTGCTTCAATCTTGACAAGACTACAACTACTCCATCCACTCCAGCCGATAACATCAAATCATTCTACAAGAATCTTGATGAAGATGCAGGTATTATGCCACCTCAATTCGCTGTTGGTGATAATGTATGGAGCGATGTCAATAGCGATGGTAAACGTGATCCAACAGAAGAACCAATGAAGAACATTACAGTTGCATTGACCCAACCAGATGGTACTCCAATCTCAACAACCACCACCGATTCAACTGGTCGTTATGTATTTGATAACTTGAATGCAGGAGACTACTGCGTACATGTAACCATTCCAAAGGGTTTCTCTGCCTCTCCAATGGGAACAGACTCTTTCATTGACAATACTGGTAAACATTGTTTCACTTTGGACAAGACCACAACCACTCCATCCACCTCTACCGATGGTGTTGAAGCATACTACAAGAACTTTAATGTAGATGCTGGTTTGATGCCACCCAATTATGCAGTTGGAAGATACGTATGGTTGGATTTGAACAGAGATGGCGTACATGATGCCACCTCTGAACCATTCCTCTCTGGTATTACAGTCAAGGCACTTTTAGATGGATCAGTCATTGCAACTGCCACCACCGATGCCAACGGTCACTACACGTTTGATAATTTAGAAAAGGGTGACTATGTCCTCGAATTCTCAAAGCCAAATGAAAACTACACCTTCTCCCCACTTGGACATGATTCCAAGACAGATGCATCGGGCAAGATTAACGTCAAGTTGGACATTGATACCAACCCATCGGTACTTGTAGAATCAGAGGCATCAGACAATGTCATGGCCTACTATATTGACAGAAACGAGAATGTCGGTATCATGCAACCACGCTATCCAGTCGAAGTTCTAGTATACTTCTTCCCCAACGATACTGTCATTCCAAACGTGCCAGTCACCATTACCACGGAAAATCCAAACGTTCCACCCATCACAGTCACTCCAACCAACGAGACTGGTAAGGTCACCTTCACCGACCTTCCACCAGGCAACTATTGCGTGCATATTGACCTCCCATACGACACACACTACACCTCCAAGGATCCAAACAGTCTGATCAAACAAGATGGTAAGGCATACTGCTTCACCATCAACGACACACTTGTCGATCCTCCCATCAAGGTGCCAGTAGCTGTTGTCGCCAATCTCTATGCAATCGGGTCGAGTGTATTCCTTGATCTTGACGGAAATGGTTATCTCAACGCTCCAGGCGACAAGCAATTTGCCAATATCACTGTCAAATTGTCAACTAGCAGCGGTTCACCAGTCAAGGAAACTCAGACTGATGCATATGGAACCTACCACTTTGATGGATTGGTATCGGGCGACTATGTTGTCCAATTTGTTGCACCAACCGACTACACTTTCCCAGTCAAGACTGACCAATCACTTCCAGTCTTCCACTCGGTCGATGGAAAGGTTCCAGTTTCACTCAACCTTGCATCAACCGTTGTTGTTGACTCGTTTGACGGCACTCTAAATGCTGACTATATCAACCGTACTGTCAACTCTGGACTTTCTCCCATCCTATTCGCACTCGGTCGCAAGATCTTTGTCGATGCCAACAATAATGGTTTGATGGACGCCACTGAATCGTCTATAGCCGTGCCACCCATCAAATTGACCCTTACCACAGCTGACGGCAAACCAGTCACAACCGTCCAACCTGCCAACGGCGACTATTTAGTCAACAACTTGAGTTCAGGAAACTACTGTCTCCACTTGGACGTGCCAGTCAACTACAATGTATCGTCCAACAAGGGTACTACATTCTTTAACCAATTCGACGCTGCTGGAAACGTGTGCTTTACCCTATCAAAGGCATCACCCAATGTAGTGTGCAGTGCAACCGATGCTTTCTCAGACTGCAAAGATTTGACTGAAAATGCTGGTCTCGTACCAACCTATGCCGTCTCTGGTAACGTCTGGAAGGACATGAACAACGATGAAGCTAGACAACCAGCCGACATGGTCTTGCCAGGCCAGCCATTGGCTCTGCTCGACAGTACCGGTGCACAAGTGGCAACGACCACAACCGACAGCCAGGGTAACTATTTGTTCAACAAGTTGCCCGCCGGAATCTATACCCTCAAGTTTGTCGCACCCAACGACACTCTTATCATCACACCATCGCCAGTCGACAGTGTATTCCCCAAGACTGGTGTACTACCAATCCAACTCTCTCCAACAACCACCTCGGTCAACCCCAAGTATGATGGACTTGATCCCACTCAAACTCCATTCATTCTTCTCCACAAGGATGTTGGTGTATCTAACCCACTCTACGCCATTGGTGATATGGTCTATATCGACAAGAATCTCAATGGAGTTTCAGATGTAAACGAAACGGGTGTCGCAAACATCAAGGTGACTCTAGTCACTGCATCGAGCAACACCACCATCGCAACTACGCTCACCGACTCGTCTGGACACTACCTCTTTGACTCATTACCAACTGGAAACTATTGTGTACAGTTTGAATTGTCTCCTGATCAAATTCCAGTCAATCCACTGTCCAAGCAAATCTGTCGTGTTGTTGATCCAACTCACACAGACATGGTGTCAGTCTCAACCACCCCTCTTGTCGGCAAGATCAGCGCTGCCTGGGTCAATCTTAATATGGACCAAGGTATCAGAGTGGCAATCTACTGTATCAGCTCGACTGTATGGTCAGACAATGGAAACGGTCTTGTTGACTCGATCGACATGACCATGTCCAATGTCACTGTTGAATTGTTCAAGGACGGTGTTTTGTTGTTACGTACTCGTTCGACCGACCTCGGTCTCTACGTGTTTGACACCCTCGAACCTGGTAGCTACATGCTCCACATCTTTGCACCACCAGGTACACTCCTCTCCCCACAAACCTACCAAAACAAGTTCAACGCCACTGGATACTACTACTTTATCCTCGGATACACAAATGTAGACGCACACATTGATCCCAACGGAAATGACACTGGCTGCGACATGGTAATCGACTCTTATTCAGCCATGGTCAGTCAGGCTGTCTATGCACTTGGTAACTTTACCTTTATCGACTACAATGAGAATGGTATTCGTGATCCAGACGAACCACCTCTTGGCGGTGTCAACATCAATGCCTTTGACGCCCGTCTCCCCGACAGCATCGCCGTCTCGTACCAATCTGAGAGCAATGGTTTCTACGTGCTCGACAGTCTTCTCCGTGGCCAGTACTGTGTCATCTTTGAAGGACCTGGTGCCTACAAGTTGACCAAGAAGGGTCCAGACAGCGTCCCCAACCCAGCCACCGGCTCGTACTGTCTCTACCTCAACATCTCCACTCCCAACCTACGTCCAACCGTCAGAGAGGATCGTATGGATGCCCAGTATATTTTGGAGCATGTGGACGCTGGTTTTGTCCCCATGAGCCTCGCTATTGGTAGCTACGTCTGGTACGACTCGAATGGTGATGGTATCATCAACTTTACCGAGTTGCCTGCACCCAACACCACTGTCACTCTCACCAACTCCAAGGGTGAACCTGCCCGCACCATCCGTGGTGTCATTATCCCACCAACCGTCACTGACGCACAAGGTTACTACAAGTTCTCTGATGTCATGGGCGGAATGGACTATACACTCAACTTTGGAATCCCAACCACCGCACCAAAGGGCTCAGTCTGGACAGTCTTGGCCAACAACAACTCTGTCACTCCAAGTGGTGAAATCAAGATTTTGAACTCGTCCTACATTCCAGTCAAGGGTAGTATCAACTCTTACTCTAGTTTGTACAATAATGGTGGTATATTCCCGCCATGCTTTGTAGTTGGTACACGTGCATGGGCTGATGGAAATGCCAATGGATTCTTTGATGTTAACGAGATTGCCTATGCCAATGCCACCGTCACACTCTACAATGAGGATGGCACCCGAGCCATGTCAGTCGACAAGACCATTCTCCCACCTGGCACTACCTCGTCCAACGGTAACTACCGTATCATTGGTATTCCACCAGGCCGTTACTATGCAGTGTTGACCATCCCACCTCGTTACATTGTGTCCAACGTCCTACCAGGCGGCTCACAATTTGACCCCAACACCAAGCGTACACCAGTCTTTACACTCGCCATCGATGCTGCTAGTATCGTTCCAACCTACCAAAATACTACTACAGTCTGCAAGTACATGAACCCCACCATCAACGCTGGTATTATCACTCCACGTATTGCCATTGGCGGTCATATCTACTATGAGCCCAATCCAGTCTCCAACGCCACTGTTCCATTCCCCAATGCAACCGTCGTCCTCACCACGCCAACAGGTAGTCTCCGTCTCGAGACCACTACCGACAGCAAGGGCTTCTACCTCTTTGATGGACTTGCAGTCAGCCAATACGCCGTCTCGCTCACCATTCCACCCGGTTTCTTGATCGATGTCAACCACACACAGAACCGTGGTACTTCCAAGGGCCAGGTCGGTCCCATCAACCTCTTTATCGATGCACCAGAGGTCGTCCCAACCAACTCGACCTCATACACTGGTGTACTCGCACCATACATCAATCCCAACATTGATATGGTTCTCAAACAGAGTGTACTTGGTGTGCAAGGTATTGTCTGGCGTGACCTATTCAATAACAATGGATTCTTTGTCGCCAATTCGTCCATGCCCGTCTTTGTCAATGTCACTTTGTACTCTGGAAAGGGTGCCTATGTCGCATCTGTCTTGGCCGATCCAGTAACCGGTCGCTACAGCTTCCCCAACCTCGGTGGCGGTATGTACTCGGTAATGTTCACTCCAACGATCGATCCAACCTCATGGGTGTCTGTAAAGGTCAACTCGACCCTCGTCAACAACTCGACCAGACTACTTGCCAGCTCTATACTGACCAACTTCTCGACGCCCATCTTTACACTCGACTCGATGAACCCCGAGCTCACCCCGTGTGTCTTTGCCGACTACTTCTGTCTCCAAGAGAATGCCGGTTTCAAGCGTCCCGACAATGGCTCGATCAACGGTCGCGTATTCAAGGACTTTAACTGCAATGGCAAGTTTGACAATGCCACCACCTTTTACGCAGCCAGGGATCTCCCATTGGCTGGCATCCCAGTCTATCTCTATGTCAATGACACTGCCACTCCTCTTGCATCGACATTGACCCTTCCAGATGGTTCCTACCAATTCCTTAACCTCACCTTTGGTAACAACTACCTCGTCAGCACTGGAACACCCAATCTGGCCATCTCGTCAGCACGTCAAGTACAAGCTTGTTCCGGAACCGAATACAACACGGTCATTATCAAGACACCATCGACCATCAACTTTGGTTTCATCACTGATGAGGAGTATTGTGTCGATAATCCCGACCTCACCACCTCTTGCTATGTACTTGGAAGAGCTGTTGGCGGAACCTATTCGACCAACCCTATTGTCGTCTCATTCCCCTACAATGCCACCGCACACAGCCAGATCAAACCAAACGCAATCTACAATCAAGTCGGTACCGTCCATGGTCTTGCCTATGACCGTAGCAATGCCCAAATCTACGCTTCCGCCTTCCTCAAGGTCAACACTGACTACGGACCGTCTGGAAGTGGTGCCATCTACAAGATTGACAAGAAAACCAATGCAGTCTCTAAATGGATGTCTGTCAATGACATTTGGGGTGCCATCTACGCAGGTGAAACACCAGCCGACGATCCACAAGAATTTGACTTTAGAACGTTTGCAGTCTACAAGACATCGCTCTCTGATATCGACATTGACCCAGAGAAGCGTCAACTTGGTGTCTGCGTGCTCAGCGTCGATTTCCTCCACTTGATCCCTCTCGACGTCAAACCAACCAGTCTCAACAGTCGTCGTGTGGCTATTCCCAACAACTGTGCTGCCCGTACCGGTGATATGGTTCCATTCGCCGTCACTTTCCATCTTGGCAAGTGGTATGTCGGATGCACATGTACCGCTGAAATCACATCGACCCTCAAGGATCTCATTGGTTATGTCACTTCGTACAACCCCGCCACTTCCCTATGGACCACTGTCCTTACCGTACCATTCAACTATACCCGTGGTTGTAGAAACACTGACCAAGGTCTATCGTGTGTCGAAGCAACTTGGCAACCATGGATCACCGACGAAAACATTCCTCAACCACTCCTATCTGGTATCGCATTTGATGGTAACGATATGGTCATCTCGGTACGTGATCGTGAGGGTGATATGGGCCATACCATCTCTGCACCCGATATTCTCAGAGCATGTGCCAACGCACAAGGTGTACTCGTCCTCGAAAAGAACGGTCGTTGCGGTACACTTATCGGCTCGCATCTCGGCCCATCTGGCACACAAGGCCAGGTCGAGGGTCCCGGTACTGGAGAATTCTACAACGACAACTTTAAGATTGGACCCAATGCCCACGACGACACTGGTGGTCTCTCTGTCTACCAAGTGCCCGGTTACCCCAACGTCGTGTCCAACTCGTACGACGTCGATGGACTCTGGGAAGGTGCCACCAAGTTCTACAACAACACCAATGGTGCCATGGGCCGTGGTTTCGTCCTCTACGTCACGCCCATTGTCGATCCCACCACTCAACCAACCTTTGGCAAGTCCAATGGTCTCGGTGACATTGTCGCCACCTGTCCTCCCAAGCAAATCTCGCTCGGTAGTCGTGTCTGGACCGACACCAACCTGAATGGTTATGCCGAAGCCCAAGAACTCGGAAAGCCAAGTGTGACACTCCAGCTCATCAACGCCGCTGGAACCGTTGTCCAAACCACCACAACCAATGCACGTGGATACTACCAATTCGTCAATGTCCCTCCCAAGGACACCTACTCTATAGTTGCTGTCGGTCAAACATGTACAGTTATCCCACCCCCTACCACTGGTAGATTCGTATCTGCCTCTAACAAGGGTACCACCGTAGCAGCAAGTAAATGTCAAATCACCGGCATTGTCATCCCAGATGCCATGTTGGCAAATAACGTATTCAATTATGACTTTGGTGTAATTTAAAATAATACTCAAAGCAAAAACTTTAATAACAATAACAAAAATTACAAATGAAATAATAATAATAATAATAATAATAATAATAATAATATTTAAACAAAATTAATATCCTATATATACAAACATATTTATATTTAATAAACAAAAAATCAAATTAATTAAATTAAAACATTGTCTTTGGTCTCTCTTTGAGGTTGTGTTTTCATGTTTGGGATCAACAATAGATGGTGAATATAATTTTAATCTTTTTCATGAACGTTTATATCGTCCAAAACCCCAAAAGATGTCAAAATAATTAATCAATTTATACCACCAATGGAAATAAGGGGTAAAAATCAACACCTTTGAATCCACCAACCCACGATCGTTTAAATTTATGATTGGAGGTTACACAAAACACAACTTCATCAGTTCAATTATCTGCTTGATAAAACCAACCAAAGGTATATCAATCTAAAATGTAGTCACTTTAATTCATTTACATTTTATATAAAAATAATTAAATATTGTAAAAGAGAGAAGAAGGATGAAACAAATAATTAATACATTTATTAAATCAAGTAGATACTATACGTTTATTGGAATGCCTCCATTAATGTTTATGGAATGGTGTATTGCTACATCACAAAACCCATCTCTTCAGATCAATGATACATCTCATCATTGGTCTCTAATTGCTGGGTGTATTCTACTCAATGTTTTAGCTCATTCAATGGCCTATTGTTTCAATTCCTATGTTGACTTTTGGACTGGAGTAGATGATCCAAAAACATCGGTTGACAGAACCATGTTTGATATTGGAATGAAAAACTTGCTCAAGATTATAACATTCTCAACTGTATCTGTGATTCTAATCACTGTATGGTTGGTTCAAAATAGTACTGGTGAATTTGAGTGGTTAAAGAGTCAATTCATTGGTTACACTGCTTTACTCATCATCCTCGCTGCAACATACACTCACTGTAAATATGTTGCATTGGGTCACATCAATTGTGCAGTTTATATCTTTGCTACATCCTACTTTTACTACCAATTATTCACAAACAATGTTCCAGATCGTTCATTCTACATCTTCTCCATCGTCGCCAATCTATTCTTCCAAGTTCCAATCATATCAAACTATCATCGTGATTTGGTTGAAGACAAAAGAGCTGGAATCTTGACCATATCCATTCTATTGGGTGAAGTCTATTCTTGTTATTTATTAATCGCATTGACTTTTACGTATGTATTAGATTAAACCAATAATATATATATTATTATTCTAACTTGTTTAATAATAATTATTATTGTTATCATTTAGTGGATTCTTGATTATTTTACTCCAATCAATAATGTACCAAAACTATTACATGTTATTGGCATTGTACCCAATGAATAGCTTGTACCATGTATATAAAGATTCATTGTATAATGGTAATAATATTGCTTTAAATTACAAGACTGGTGTTGAAGTAATTAAAAGTTTTACAATCTATGGTATTGCCCTTCTTGTAGGTGGCAAGGTATAAATTAAATAAATATCCTTTTTGTTTGTTTATATATTAATTAATTTAATTTAATTCACTTAACTTTTTGTTAATGACTTCTTGCCATTGATTGACTCTTGTACGTTTTGCCAAAAGTTCATCAAATATTTCGCTTGATATAATATTACAGTTTTTACCATGGAGCATAGCATCTGTTTTGACAGATGTTATCATCCAATAGAATGCAAATTGTTTGACCGACATGATATCATCCTCGTCTTGTAGTGTAGGTGCTTTCTCTTTGGTTTTTGTTTCCTTTTTGGTATCTTTGACTGGCTTTTTACCAATTACAAAACTTGCCGAAGAAACAGTCGTCGACGTGGTCGAAGTGGAACTTGAATGAGCAGCAGCCAACTGTTTATCTTTTTCCTTTAATTCCTTTTCCAATTTTTCATTCTTTGTTTCAGATTCTTTTAATTTCTTTGTTAAATTATCAATTTCCTTTTGTTGTGAAGATGATGATGACGACGATCCTTTCTTATTATTATTATTATTTTTACTATTATCCAATTGAATTTTAAACTAAAAGAAGAAAGAAAGAAATATTAATTATTTGATTAATTAATTATTATTATTATTATTATTTTTGTTTACATACATCATCTCTTTCTTTTGTTATTTGTAAAAGTTGATCAGATTTTAATTTTGATTCTCTTGTTAATTTTTCTGCCTCTTGTTTCAAAGTGATGATTGTTGTATTTTCCTTTTTTAACAAAACCATTTGATCTTCCAATTCCTTTGATTTCTTTTTTTGTTCAATGTCGCTGGTTTTTAATAATACAATTTGATCCTCTAATTCCTTGGATTTCTTCTTTTGTTCATTTTCGTTGACCTTGGCGTGATCCTCCAATTCCTTGACTTTTTTCTTTTCCAATTCCACCATCTTTGTTTGTTTCTCCAAATCAACCTTTAATAATTTACATTGTGATTCAATTTCAACCTTTGATTTATTCATTTCTCCAACTATAATAATAATTAATAAATAAATAAATAAATAATGGGATTTTAAATAATATTACAATTTATTTACAATGAAAATATATATGTGGTTATTGGTTGGTATATAAATAAATAGATATATATAGTGGTGTTGGTGTATATGGTATGGTTATATAAATATGATTACATGGATTGGTTGATATGTATAAAATAAATAAATAAATTCTACAAAAATATATATATATATATTGTTTGGTTTGGTTTGGTTGGTTGTATTGTTTTTATAAAACATTTGAACCAAGATAATGATGAGCAGCAATAAATGATGATGCAACTGCGAAAAACAAAACACAAGGTATTAAATTTGACGTACTTTCCGTATCCAATTTGGTTTGTTTGTTGTTGGTTTCCTCTAATTTCTTTTTTAATTCATCAATCTCTTGTGATTGTAATTTGTTCTTTTCTTCAACTGATTTACTCTTTTCCTAAATATTATTAAAAATTATTAATTAGATCAACAATCAATCTATTTAGGTTTTAAAATTTTTAGACTTACCTTTAATTCTTCACATAATTCACTTAAACCTTCTTTTTCTTCGATTGTCATTTTTCTTAATTCAATTTCCTCTTGTAATCTATTGTTTGTTTGATTTGCATAGGTTTCCAAAACAGCTCTTTCATTGGCCTCTTCACTTGCTTGTTTCAATAGGCTTTCAATGGTGGCCTTGGCCTCTTCCAATTGCTCTTGAACTGTCTTTTCTTTTCCAATCAATTCAGATGACTTTAGTTTGTAGAGGATCGGTGTATTATTCAATTCAAACAATACATTGAATTCTTCGATCAAACATTTGACAATCTCGGTTGTATAATTGGTTGAATTCATCATTGTCTCTAATGATTCTTCCTTTGGTCTAAGTAATGTTGGTGCAAATACAATTGCCAAATTTCCACTTGTCATCTTATTCTTTTCATGATACAACTAAAGTTGGTAGATGAATAAAAAAAAATAAATGTATAAGTAAATGATGATGATGACCAAACAAAAATCAGATATCTTTATATATATCTATCTGTCTACATACTTGAAGAGTATATAATAATTTAAGGATTAATTGTAAAGTATCGTAATTGTCTTTTGGTAATGCACTTAATAATGATTTAAAGAATGAGATCTTGGCATTTCTATCTCTAATGTCATAACCACCAAGGAAATTCTTGTACAAATCAAATGTTAGAATGGGTTCATCCATCTCTCTTAGGAACATTTTCAATGCTCCACTAACTGTATGTTTATCTGGAATCTTTGATAAATCAACATCTTCCTCTACAAAAGAGAGTAAATAAATAGATTGTGAGAATGATTGTCATTTTGTTCATATATGTGTGTGTCACATGTCAAACCAAACTTACCATTTTCCAATTGTTTTGCCAATTCCTTGACTCTGATTGCATTACCTGAAATTCTACAAATACCCTCCAAATCTAGACAATTAGTCTCTATATAGGCAACCAGTTTCTTTACTGCATTTGCTCCTGCCAACTTTTGTTTCTTTTTCCTCTCTCCTGGTTTCAATATCTTTTTTAATGTTTTATTTGCCATTCTCTTTTCTTTTCTCTTTTTTTGTTACAGTTGATAATGATACAAAATGATGATATATAAACAAAGAAAGTAATATTACAAATACTATAATACAATTAGTACTAAATACTCCAAGTAAAAAAGCTAAAAGTGAGAATAACAAGACTGTTGTAAGAGGGGGAGGCACCTCGATGTGTCCAAAGATTCATTATGTTTTTTTGTTTTTTTAGAACCAATTATTTGAATTCGATCGATGTGATTGAAACGAGTGAGAAAACTTTTTCAAGTGATTGTGGGGATGTCTTTCTTGTCTGGTATCCATCGATCATGTTTGTTGTTGGACCCCAACCAAAGAGATAATTAATTAACTCATTTGAGTAGAGATAATTATTTATTAACAAGTAATATTGATATATTTTTGTAAATGATTTAGAATTATGAATAATGAATACAGTAATTTTCAAGAAGATGAAGAAAGTGAAGAAGAAGAGAAAAAATTGTTGGTGTAATTAACACACACATACACCCCTGTTTCCACTTATGTTCGATTGATTTTGGGGCAATAATTAATAATGATTTTAAAGTGTTGATTCCCATCCCCTTTGAATAAAAAGTTTAAATTCTTTGGTAAAATATCATAAGCGCGTTTAAAAATATCTCAAACCGCTCATCAGACGACTTTTAGTTGTGACTCCTCTTCCATCCCATCTGTGTCTGTCTATTTTTGTTGAATTTATTTTTATTTTTTGATCCAATTAATTCCCTTGCCTCCACACACACATACCTCCACCTTTCATTGCTCAACACTTTTGCAAACACAACGATTCTCCCTCTGATCACCATTATCTATAATATACTTTAACTTACAATCCCCTACTCGAAAAATAGAGAAATAGAGAAATAGAAAAATAGAGAGAACAGTCAAAAAAAAAGTCAGAGATAAAGAAAGATAAAGAGATAAAGAAGATTTCCAACTCAACTTTAGAGAAATTCAAACTATCAGACTTTTGAAAAAAAACCTCCTTCTCCTCCATCACTTTTCTATTTTTATTATTATAACTAGCCTAGCCGAATTCAAGTGAAAACAAAAAATAGTAAAACAAGGTAAGAGGTCACATTTATAAATAAACGCATTATGTTGTGTCTTGTCCAAACATCGTAACCATCATCCCCATCATCATTGCAACTCAACAACAACACAAGACAGTTGGATCACCTTACATACCAGTACTCTATACTATACTATACTCTCGAGTCGACCTTTATTCATACGTACTCTCCTCCATTGTATACTATCAATCTATTTAAAAATGTATGGAAGCTTCTCATCACATATTATGTTGTCGTCTTTTTGTGTTGCTGGCACCCTTGATTTGGTGCCCAGTAGTTTTCAAAAACTACTTTGAACAAAAATGTGTGGTGCCGAACCCCCTCCCACCCATCCCACACACATCATCATACTTTCAACAGTCATTCATTCATTCATTCGTTGCTCTTCTTTCAGATTCACTGAAAATCAACATTCAACTATTCTATTCCTACAGGAAAGAACCTTGATTGGAAAAACAAGTAAAGTAAAGTAAAGTAAAGTATTATTCTGTTCCATCATCCACACCAGTTTGTGTGTGTCTATTATTTTATTTTAAAGTTCTACGAGTTCCACTGCACCACATCACATCACATCAATCAACTCCCAATTACAAGGGTTATTTATTTTTATTTATTTCTAAATATATAAATATATTTATATAAGAGCATAGCAGACTACGACACGTCTGTTTACATCAACAACAACAACAACAATCGTCATTTTTTATTATAAAGTATATATTAAAGTAAAGCAAATAATTATACCCCAGTAAACAAACAAACAAACAAATAAGCGCACCACCCCACCACTCAATTAGGGACTTTCCATTCCAGACTCAAACCAACCAACCAAACACCACCCACTCAGCCCCTACCTAAATTATAATTATACAATCAATCCATCCATCATTTATTTATAAACATTACCATCATCATCAATCAAAGACAAAAGACAGACAAACAAACAAAGAGAAAAAGAGAAATTAATAGTAAAGATAAGATATCAAAAGGTAAACTCAATGAATGGTCATCATGACGAATCGGATCACAATCAATCTAGATCCATAACAGTTGTTTAAACACACATACACACATTCTATGATAAAAAAGAACAAGAAGAAGCGTTAGTGAGTGATCCACAACACGTATAAAAAAAAAAAACAACAACTTCACTGCTAACTCACAGTTGACAATCCATCCCATCCCATCTCCAACTCCATCTTATCTAATCCACCATCTCATTGTCAATTGATGTGTGAATAACATATCTCTCTCTCTGTTCAGAACAACACTATCTCATTGTTTTGTGTAGAAACTGTACCGTATGTGTCAATCGATATCGTGTGTTGTGTTGTTGTTGTTATTCGTTATCGTTGTCTTACCATCCATATCAAACATTTGATTCGGATAACCTGAAAGCATCAATATTCAACACAGCCATTGACATTCAGTCAAGCCACACCCATAACACACCACACTACACATGTGTGGTAACTTTTCAGTAGCACTGTTATAAATAATATTATTAATAACCGTTCGGTTAACATGTTTGTGAGTGTATGTATGTGTGTGTGTGTTTGAATGAATGGATAAATGGATAAACAGTGTTCCTACCCCTACACAATACCATGGAAATGAATGAAGTTAGTCAATCACATCATTTTTTCAATTGAAGTCTGTTCAGTTTGAGCAGTTTGGAGAATATTCCTTCCTTCCTCTTCTTCTTCCTCCTCCTCATAATCTATTTATATAAATTCAAGCAAGCCCACACATATTATCTATCCACCATTCATACATACACACTGTTTCATTCCTTCTGAATAACTGGTAAATAATAATAATAATAATAATAATAATAATAGCTAGTTATAATAATATTTATTTAATTTAATGCTTCCTACAACAACAACAACGTCAATATTATTTTTCAATTGAAACATCATCACCTCCATTACTACTCTTTCACCTTTTTGCTTGTACCAACATAAATATTGTATATCTCATCCAACTCGTGTTTACAAAATCATCATCATCATCAAACATTTTAATTTATTTATTTAATATATTTAATTAATTTATTTATAACTATTTTGTACAATAATAATCCCCAACATATAAATAGTTTATTAATTTAATATATTTTCTTTACCTTATATATCCAAAATAATAATAGTATAGTATCAATCATCCAGCAACAAGTAGTAACAATCGCGTGTAACATAAATCTTGAGCCACCACAAACAAACAATATTTCTATAACATACATCCAACAAACAATCCATCCCATTCAACCAGATAGATTAATTATTTGTAAGTACAGTCTTAGTCATTCAACAAACATTGTTATTATTTCGAACGAATAATTATATAAAGTTTGTAATCTCAAGTCACAATCAACCAATCAAATATAGTTATCTTTGGTGTGTTGGATTTAATGACCCACACACACTGTCACACCAATCAAAATCTACACTCCATCTTTTGGGAATCACCCCTAAAGATTTTATTTGTTTGTTTTAAGCCGGTCACTCAAACGGTTGATTTGTGATTCATATGTTTTATAATTAATTTATAATATATTATTAATATACCAATTGGATAAATACAATCAACAACGTTCCAGACTAATCAATCATCATCAACAACAACAACACAAGTCAACAGCATAACAGCAACAACAACAACAACTAGTGCAAAAAGTATACAATCAAATCACAATATCAATATTATATTGTTGTTGTTTTCTTACACCTGCCTTTTGGTATATAGTTTTGTAACTATCTCATATTCAACAAGTATTGTTTGTTCATCATCATCTCACCAAGTTTGTTAAAGAGAGAAAGACAGAGAGAGAGAGAGAGAGAGAGAGAGAGAAAGAAAGACGTTGTGGTTTTGGATTACTGGTCACAGTCATTCATTACATTGACTTGGCGGGTTGTCCAATATATGCGACTGTCCATCCACACATCCATCCCATTCATTTAAATCATTTAATTTGTTTATATAATTTAAAAAGTACTGGCCTACACAAGAGAGGGGGTTTGTAATGTAGTCAAAAAGAGGGGGAACAATAACCAATGACAAACGGGGTGCAGTGGCGGGTGCCATCGAAAGAAATCAAAAACACAACATGAATCAACGATTCGGTTGGGGCGACTCTGCATGAATGAATGTTTTTGTTTTTTTTTGTGCACCCGCCTTCGATAACTTGGAGTTTTTGCAGCTGACGGAACCCAACCAAGTGATCGAGACAGAGAAAAAGTACTGCCGACACACAGTGGCATGGCGGCAATTTTAGTAGCAGTTTTACAAGCATGCCTTGTGTCACTCTGTTGTGTAAGCAGACACCCTCATCATCATACTCATAGGAGGTCATAAAGTTCAACTTCCTCTTTCTGTTCATTTCAACTCATTGTTGTTTGTTGATTTTTTATTGTTGTCGACTAAAAAAAGAGAAAGAGAGAGAGAGGAGATCAAAGAGTGAGAGATACAATTATCAATTCATACCTCCTCATTATTTATTTATTTATATTTATTACTTTACATTTGTATCACTACGATAATAATAGTCCGTCCCTTCCCTTCCCTTCTTCTTTTCCCTTTCCCCTTTTTTGTTGAACACACTCACACTCTCACAACACCACCACTATTCTTTATTCGAGGAACATTCACACACAGAACATAACAAACACATAACATTAAATAGTAATAATAACAATAATAATAATAATAATACTAACTTCACAATTATTTTATAATTATATTTATTTATTCATTCATTACATTTTTTTTGAAATATATAACCAAATAGATTTATTATTTTATTTAACAACAAACACAACAACTAGTAGCATTAGTAGTAGTAGTAATAGTTTGTAGATCACACACACACAGTAGTAATATTAGTAATAGTATCAACACATAAATACATACATTCGTAACATTACAGTATCAATAATAGTAGTCAAATCAATAGTAATATAGTAATATTATCTAAACAAAAAGACAACTAAACAACAACAACAAATATATATATATATATATAGCATCATATAATATACAACATACATTCGTAGTTATAATATATATAACATATGTCAACCAAAGTAGCTAATACCACCACCGCCACTAATCAATCGAATCCAAAGTTGGAAAAAGAATTGACAGAAGATACAATTAGCGACATGTCTAGCGACGGAATTGAAAATGAAGGAGTTGAGGCAAGCGAGGTTGGTGCCGACAAGATCCTCGACGAAGAGTCTGGCTCTAGTGAAGGTGTCATGAAGCAAGCCTTTGGTTTTATCAAGAACCATCTAAAGGTCGGTGCTGACATGACCAAACTCCCCATCCCAGCAACTTTTGTTGCCCCTCTCAGCTTCCTTGCTGCTCAACAACACCAATCTGCCATATATTCACATGTTCTCATGCAAGCCGACTCGATAAAGGATCCAGAACAAAGATTTTTACAAGTTTTAAAATATCATATGACTTGGCCAAAGATGTTTGTATGTTAAATCAAATCAAAAAAGGAAATCAAATAATAATGATAGAGTAGTTTATTAATTAATAATTTTAAATTTGATTTTGATTTATTTATAGTTCCCAAAGAATCCATTAAATCCAATTTTGGGAGAAGTCCATGAATCACATGTATTAAATGTAGATGAAAAGACAAATGAAACCATCAAAGATGATAAAACTGTATTTATAGCTGAACAAGTATCTCACCATCCACGTATGTAGTAATATATATATATATATAATTTATGTATTCTATGTTTATTATTCTATATTCTAATCTAAATTTTGTTTCTTTTAATTTTATAGCAATATCATGTTTCCATTTCCATAATGATAAACATGGAATTACATTTGAATCAAAACAACAAATCACACCAGTCTTTAAGGGTAAGCATATTCGTGCTACTATGGACGTAAAGAATGTTATTACACTCAAAAACCACAATGAAACCTATATCAATGAAAAGTTCCCAGAGGGATATTTACGTCTACTCCGTTGGAAGTTTGAATTCTGTGGTAAATATGGATTCGTATGTCCAGAGACTGGTTATTCTGCACAAATCAACTTTAAGGATAAACCACTTATTGGTAGTCAATGGCATACAGTCAATGTTCAAGTATTCAAGGGTACCGAATTAATATATGATATTACTGGTACTCATGTTGATACATTAAATATTACAAATGTTAAAGATAAGGTAAAGATTATAAAAAAAGAAAAAAACCAAGATGTTGCCAACATACTTATTTATTTTTCTATTTATTTTTCTTTCTTTTATTTTTTTATAGAGCACATCAGTTTTCATTAATTATAATACAATGAGACAAGATACAGTTACTGAAAAACCATTTGAACAATTAAAGGACAATGAATCGATAAGAGTATGGAAGGGTGTTGCCGATGCTTTTGCTAAAAAGGATGGTCGTCGAGCCGGTCTTGAGAAACAAAAGGTCGAAGAAGCCCAAAGAAAAAAGGCAAAGGCCCACCAAAATCATGTACATGTCCCAGCTTATTTCCAATTCTACACTCCGGAAAACGTAAACAAACCAGACATTCATTTTATTCTTCCAGCTACTCAACAAGATCAATCTTCAACAGTAACCCCTCAAGAATAAAGAATAAAGATTAAAACTCCTCCCCCTCCCATTAACAAAACAATTTAAGTAATAATAATAATAATAATAGAATAGAATAGAATAGAATAATAGAATTTAGAATAATAGGACTTAGGAAAAGTCTCTAGAATTAGAAAGAAAAAGAAAATAACAAAAAAAAGAAGAAAAAAAAGAAAACAAATTGGTAACATTTCTCAAAGGATATAATATCACAATCAATCAATACGCTCCATTTCCCCTTACCAACAACCAATGTAAACCCAAAACAACAACAATATTACTTGGCTCATTTACTCTTTCTTTTTGATAAATTATGAATCATAATTTCAAAAAAAAAGAGTAAAATATAATACAATATACAAACTCACTCCCAATGTCAATCAACAATAATAACAACAATAATAACAATAATAATAACAAATAATAACAATCATAGAGATAGGAAATAATAATTGACCATTTTTATTTATTATTCAATATGTACAACTTAACCAAACCAAACCAAACCAAAACCCCCCTATAGTTATATTAATAAAATCCCAAAATCCCCAAACCTTTAAACAATAATTACTCAACAACATGTTGTAATCAATCAATTCGATTCAATCGATTCATCACATCTCAGTCTAATTTATTCACGGTTTTTAAATTGTGAGAAATGTGTCACCATTGTCCTCATTTTACATTCATCACTAAACCCCCTTATAATTTAAAAAAAATAAAAGAAAGAGAGATAGAAAAATACAAAGAATAATCCAACAAGTAATATTTTTAAAAATATTAACAAACCAACAGCAGCAGATTGTCTGACATCATCACCGTCTCGAGAAAGAAGGAGGTCAAGGTAGCTAGAAAACGACCTCTTTTTTTAAATCTATTTTTTGTTCAAGAGTCAAAAAGTTGGTGTAACAATTGTATTACATAGATATAAGAGAAGAAAAGAGAAGAGATAAGATTATAGTTAGTTAGAGTATATCGCAGTAGGAGGAGAGACGAGAGTATAATAACATAACATATCCATCATTATCATCAGATCAAACAACAACAACAATGTATTCAGGATTATACTATGCTTTGGGTAGCATCATGTGTACCATTGGTATACTAGCATTGATACTACTGGTGAGAGCAATGTTTTACCCAAAGTCATATGCGAAAAAGGTGTTTACAGCAACCATCGTATTGGCAATGTTTTCAAGAGGTGTATACTTTCTCCTCAGTCCAATCATTATCAATGGTGAATTGGATTCATTTCCATTAAATGCGTTCCTCTTTTGGAGTATGTTAAAACTATACACAGATTAAAGATAGACATCATGTATTAATTAATCACAATCAAATCAAATCAAACTTACTATTATCTGTTGTAGACCATATGATAGATTTATCATTCTTTTTAGCATACTTTATGTTGTTTGTATCATGGGCAGACTTTTATTATCAGGCATCAGTAGGAAGAGAATCAAACTTTTTCAAGAGTAGAGCAGCTGTTTGTCTGTTGACTCTGTTTATGTTTGGTTCCGTCGTAGCAATAGCAATATTCTTTTTTATATCAACAAGTGATGATGAGGTATGTTCAACTAGGAATAGTAATATTTGATAGATAGTAGTTTATATATATATATATTAATCAATCAAATGATTGTTGTCTATACTACCTTTAGTGTAAAAGAGTTGATTTAGGAACTACATTTTTCATAGCATCACTTAATTTAATAACGGCGGCATTGTTTGGTATCTATGGTTTAAAGATTTACCATTTGATCGATGAATACAAGGTGGTTTTGAAACGAGTACATTCGTGGAAGATCAAAGCTATCACTTGGATTTGTTCATTGTGTTTCCTCGCTAGATCCTTTATGATGGTATTCAGTGTTGTTAATTTATCTGTAAGTTGGAGGACATAATTTATATAGATATATAGTGGAATGATGATAAATGAATGATATTAATATTAATTATTGTTTATTTAATTTAATTTAATTTATAGGATAATCCAGATACAAAGGCATATAGTGTCGATTGGTATTGGGTACTTATTTATTTCATTTCATTGGAAATCATTCCAACCATTTCAATGTTGTATTTCCTTCGAAAAAAACCAACTGCCAATACCAAGGAAACTCATCATTATACACCTATCCAAAGTCAACCTTAAAGGTTCGGCGTTGCTTGAGAGAGTGTGTATATTTTCATTAGTAGTTATATCAACAACAACAACAACAACAACAACAACAACAACCATTCTTTCATATATATGTAAATAGTTTAGTAAATAACCTTGCTTTTAGAGTTTAAAGGTTATTTTTCTTTCAATCATTAATAATTAATCAAATAATAATAATAATAATAATAATAATAATAATCGTATCAACCAATTAACAATAACAATAACAATAAGAAACTAGCGAGTTTTTAACAAAAGAGACTATAGTATACCAATCCAATCTATCTATCTATCTATCTATCCCCCATCAGTCATCCGTCATAACCAAACCAAACCAATCTTTCAAGTCAATAGATTATATATCATAATTTATCAAAAAGATTGGATCCACCTCCTCCTCTTATATTATATTTCCACTTTTGACGTGAGATGTTTCGTGAAACTAATAATAATAATAATAATTAAAAAAAGGAAATATGTTTCCCTATTTTCTCCTATTACAACCAACCAAACAAACTAATTTATCATTTTAAATAAATTAATTTCAAATTGTATCCATCCAATGAATGTTTGTTTATCATCATTGATTCTCCTTATTTATATTTTATTATATATATATTAAAGATTACATACCTTGAAATGAACAGCTCTTCTGCATCCTTGGGTATGAACCAAATAGAACAAAGGAAAGGCATTGTTTAAACAAATTCGAATACCGATGTCTTGCTTTTGTTTTATTTGGTCATAGGCTTTTTCTGTTGGATCGTCCTCCTATTCTTTGCTTTTCGGTGTAACCAAGATTTAGACGACCATAATGGTCCCAAGAACTCACCCAAATACTAAAAATTGTCTTCATATGAGTTGAAATTGATCGTTAATAATAATAATAATAATAATAATATGTTATACTTTTACTAGTTATGATTTTCCTTTCTTTGCATCCATACTCTTGAGTGCTGCTAGCAACCCAAAAATAAAATAAAAAAATAAAAAATATTTTTTTTCGTCTTGCTCGTTTTGGAGCATTCCATCATTCATTGTCAAAGTCTTCGTTTTCTTCGTTTTTTTCTATTGTTATTGTTATTATTGATGATTGATTATTACTACCCACCTACTTTTTATTCATTCATAACTACTACTTATATATATAGAATATATTATAGATAGTTAAAAAGTAATCTTCAATCTCTTTGTTGTTCTATTCTAATCAAAAGAACAATCAATCAATCAATCAATCAACAAAAAAAACAAGATATCTTTATATCTAATCACCAATCACCAATCACCAATCATCTTTTAAAACTATTACCTTCAATACATTCAGTAGTAGTAGTACATTTACATTTACATACATTTACATACATTTACATTTACATATATTTACATAACATAATAAAATGAATAGAGCAGTTACAACAGTTGTTAGCAATGAGGTATCTGGTGCAACCTTTTCATTCTATACCTCTGAGCAAATCAGAAAGATCTCTGTCAAACAAATCACAGAGCCAGATGCATTTGACATTATTGGTAATTGTGTCTCTGGAGGTCTATATGATGCCGCTCTCGGTCCATTCGAACCACCTGATCTGTATGTAAACAAACATATATCAAATATATATATATATAAATAGATACTAATCTAACCTACTACTACTACTACTACTATATATATTTAGTTGCGTAACATGTGGAGATCATTATTTAAGATGTCCAGGTCATTTTGGTCACATCGAACTTAGTTTACCAGTTTACAACCCTGTATTATTCCCAACAATGATCAAGATCTTCCAAAATACTTGTCTTGAATGTCATACCTTTAAACATGGAAAGATAGTCGTATGTATAGTTAGATATTTAATTGGTTGGTCACAGAGTTGGGTCTAATATATTGTATTGTTTCATTTTAGATTAATGAATTTATAGAAGAACTTAAAGTATTATATACAGGAGATGTTGTAAAGGCAAGAGATTTGAGAGAGAGACATTTGACTAGAAGAGCTGCCGGTCAAAAGAAGATTGACGGTTTGGAAGATTTACGTGCTGACGACAGTGACGACGACGATAACAACAACAACCACCGTGCTCCAATGGATGTTGATAAGAGTGGTGATGACAGCGAATACAAAAACTATCGTGTCGACGAAGAGATCGAAGGTCCAATTGTGAATCGTGAAAAGTCACAACACTTTGAATCGATGCGTCGTGATATATTGAGAGAGTTTGTCAAGATTGCATCGTCGGCCACTTGTAGATGTGCCAACTGCGGTGCATTCTCACCAGCCATCCGTAACGGTGAGCCTAGCAAGTCCAAGATGTTTATCATGCCGTTGGGCAAGGAACAGTTCAAGTCAAACAAGACCAACAAGAAGAAAACCAACTTCTCGTCGGTCTCGGAGGAGAGCATCCACGGCACATGGTACTCACCATGGGAATTGCAACGTCAACTCAAGAAATTGTTCAAAAAGGAAAAGGAGGTGTTGGATCTGTTGTTTGGCGAGGTGCGTCCCACCGGCGCCGTCGACCCGGTCACCAAGAAACGTGTGTTTGGCCGTGAGTCGTCGATCGACTCGTTCTTTTTGACTGCGTTCCCCGTGTTGCCGTCGAGAGCACGTCCACCCAACTTTATGAACAACCGTCGGTCCGAGTCGACCATGAACAACCATTACCGCGGCATCGTCACGCATAACCGCATGATCACGAAGCTGCTCGACGCCAAGGAGGACGAGAGCGCCAAATCGATGGTGACCAACGTCTGCGAGCTGCAGATGCACATCAACAACATGTACGACAACAGCAAGGCACAAAAGACAAGCCGTTCGGTGCTGGCCGCCGGTGTCAAGCAGATCCTCGAGAAAAAGGAGGGTCTGTTCCGTAAGCATATGATGGGCAAGCGTGTCAACTATGCCGCGCGTACGGTTATTTCGCCCGATATCTCGCTCGAGACCAACGAGATGGGTGTGCCCCAGTACTTTGCCCGCACGCTCACCTTCCCGCAACCCGTCACCCACTTTAACTACCAGCAGATGGCACAGGCCGTCATCAACGGGCCCGACAACTACCCAGGCGCCAACTACATCGAAGACGAGGACGGCTTCTACATCAACCTCGCCAAAGAGACCCACGAGAACCGTGTTGCACTCTCCAAGACGTTGCTGACCATCAAGCCAACCAGCCCACACGGCACCACGAAAAAGGTGTACCGTCATCTGTTGACGGGCGACTTTGTGCTCGCCAATCGTCAGCCAACCCTCCACAAGCCAGGTATCATGGGTCATCGTGTCAAGGTACTCGGCAAGCAAGAAAAGACATTACGTATGCATTATTGCAACTGTTCGACATACAATGCCGATTTTGACGGTGATGAGATGAACATTCATTTCCCACAAAGTTTCCATGCCGCCGCTGAAATCCGTGAGATTGCCGCCAACAACTTCCAATATCTCGGACCTAGAGCCGGTGTCCCCTTGCGTGGTCTCATCCAAGATCATATCTTGACGGGTGTCCTGTTGACCAAGCGAGACACACTCTTTACCCGCGCTCAATTCCAAGCTATCCTCTATGCGTCGTTGTGGGGTATTAACCGCGACCACCCAATCGTCACCCCGCAGCCAGCCATCCTCAAGCCCGTCCCCCAATGGACCGGCAAGCAGCTCATCTCGGCCGCACTCAACCATCTCACCATCGGCCGTGTTCCACTCACCCTCGAGTCACCCTCCAAGATTCCCACCAAGTTGTGGGGCAAGCATGGTTTGGATGTCACCCGTGACAGTCACGTCATCATCCGTCAAAATGAAATGGTCGCAGGTATCCTTGACAAGGGACAGTTTGGTGCCTCTGGCAACGGTCTCGTACACACTTGCTACGAAATGTATGACCCCAACACTGCTGGCTCTCTCTTGACATTGCTCGGACGTATGTTTACCTTTTACTTGTCGACTCGCGGGTTCACCTGTAGTGTCGAGGATCTCCTCATCAACGCCAAGGAGGAAGACTACCGTCGTAACGAGCTCGCCAAGGCCAACGAAGAGGGTCTCGACGTTGCTGCCAAGTTTGTCGGTCAACGCAAATACGATAAGCTCGAGACGGCCCGTTTGATGAACGTCAACCTTCGTGAAGAGCGTGAGGTTGGTCGTTTGGACGGTATGCTCAAAAAGGCATTGAACCAGTACACATCCAAGATCATTGATACCCTCATCCCAGGCGGTCAACGTAAGCCATTCCCCGAAAACAACTTCTCGCTCATGACAGTGTCTGGAGCTAAGGGTTCCGTCGTCAACTTTTCGCAAGTCTCTTGTTTGCTCGGTCAGCAAGAGTTGGAGGGCAAGCGTGTGCCTCGTATGGTGTCTGGAAAGACGCTCCCCGCATTCGAGCCATTCGATCCCAGTGCCCGTGCCGGTGGTTTCATTATGGACCGTTTCTTAACGGGTGTCCGTCCCCAAGACTACTTTTTCCATTGTATGGCCGGTCGTGAAGGTCTCATTGATACGGCTGTCAAGACTGCCCGTTCTGGGTACTTGCAACGTTGTATCATCAAGCATTTGGAAGGTATCACTGTGCAGTACGATAATACTGTGCGCGATGCCGACGGATCGGTCATCCAGTTCAACTATGGTGAGGATTCACTCGAGATTACCAAGCGTCAATACCTCACCAACTTTACAGTGGCCGCTGAAAACTACGAGCTTCTCAAGAGCCAATTTGCATATGATGAGCTCGTTCCAGCCATGCGCAACGTCAAGGTCTCGGAATACAACGACAAGTTGCACACACAACTCGCCGAAAAGAAGGCTGGCACGTTGGGCAAGACCGCTCAGTTGCTCGACCCCGTCATGGCCAAGTTCAACCCCGCCGCCGACCTTGGATGCGTGTCTGAGGCATTCATGACCGACCTCAACAAGTATATCGATGCCAATCCACAAGGATTGATCCAGACGGCCAAGAACAAAAAGGGTAAGATCCCCGAAAAGGATTTCCGTAACCTCATGTTCCTCTACTACAACCGTAGCATGGTGTCGCCGGGTGAGAGTGTCGGTTTGTTGTGCGCACAATCTATTGGAGAGCCATCGACACAGATGACACTCAACACATTCCATTTGGCCGGTCGTGGTGAAGCCAACGTCACTTTGGGTATCCCACGTCTTCGTGAGATTATCATGACTGCCTCGCAAAACCCCAGCACCCCGTTGATGGAGTTACAAATATCCGACCCAACCGACAAGGCCGCCACCGAAGCCATGGCCAAGAAACTCGAATGGCTCAAGATGAACGATATTATCGAGGGTGTCTCGGTCGTCGAATACTACACTGACCGCGAGCGTCACTACGATATCAAGATCACATTTGTCGCCAACCTCGAAGAGATCATGCAGACCAAGTCCATCAGCAAAGACTATATGTTCAAGACACTCGAACGTTTCATCAAGGAGGTCAAGTCACGTGCCGCACGTTCTGGCAAAAAGACCAACGCCGGCGCCGATATTGGACGTGGCAAGAAATCTAAAAATTCAGATGACCGTGACGACGAGATTGACATGGGTGACGACGACTCTGCCGACAAGGCTGATGACTCCTCTGCCGCTGACAAGAACGACGATGCTGCCGACGACCAATCCTCCTCCTCCAACGGAAAGAAGAAATCATCCAAGAAACCAGTCTCAACCGTCACCATGGATACTGACAGTGTTGACTCTAAAAAGAAAAATAACAAAACTCAAAAGGTTAGCTATGATGATGATGATGAAAATAACAACAAAAATGACGAAGATGATGAAGATGAAGAAGATGAACAAGAAGAAAAGAAAAAAGATGAAGAATCTGAAGAATCTCAAAATGAAGAATCTGAACAAGAAGATGATGAATCAGAAGAAGAGGAATCAGAGGAATCAGATAAATCATCCAACAAGAAATCATCAACATCAGTCAAATCAAATCTAAGCAAATTTAATCCAAAGAAAGAATTTTCATTTATCGTTGGCGTCAAATCAGATAGTAAAAAGGTATTAATGTTAAACATTATCGAAGATGTTGCATTCAAGTTTATCATTAAGAGTTGCAAGGGTATCTCTAGATGTTTCATCAATGAAAAGACTGTTGGTGGCAAGACCGAGTATTCCATCCAAACTGAAGGTATCAACTTGATCGAGCTGTTTGAGATGCAAGACCACCTCCAACTCAACCGTATGTACACCAATGACATTGGATCGATCCTCAATCGTTATGGTGTCGAAGCCTGCAAGAGTGCCATTGTCTCTGAAATCTCCAACGTCTTTGGTGCCTATGGTATCACTGTCGACAAGCGTCATCTCACCCTCCTCGCCGACTATATGACCTATGACGGTGGGTTCCGTCCACTCAATCGTATCGGTCTCGAAAATAACACTTCACCACTCCAAAAAATGTCCTTTGAAACTACGTGTGCCTTCCTTTCCAAGGCTGCCCTCGTCTCTGACTCTGATTTCTGTGAATCTCCTTCATCTCGTATTGTTTTGGGTCAAGTTGTACGTGGTGGCACCGGTGCTTTTGAAATCGTTGCTCCATTAAATTAAAATAAATAAAAGAAAAGAAAAGAAAATTAAAATAATAAATTAAAAAATAATATTTCTGATCTATTGGAGTTGTGTAGATAGGTATTCACACTATAGAACAATGCAACAAACGAGAAAACACAAAATGGTAAGAACTATCATTCTACTGACAGATTCTGTTTCTTTAATAGATCGACAAATTAAAACTATGAATACATATACAACTTTGTACTATGTGCCTGTCCTCGTCAAGTAGTTTCTAGACAAAGAATATGTATTCTCATTAGTAGATCGACTGGTTTAAACTTTCGTTATCGATTTTGGAGTGGAAATCAAGCACACCACCTTCTGCATGTATGGGATAAGTATACAATAATATCATCAAACAATATTCTACTTGGGTAGAAGTAGTCATAGATAGATACATCAACAAATATACCATCCCAAATCCAATAAACCAAAAGTTGCAACTTCAATTTTTTAAATGATTCAAAATTTTGGCGCCTGTGCTTATTTTGGAGGTTGTTTTAATTCTGATCGATTCGTTTTATAATTATTAATATTATTATTGCATTTAAAAGATAATAGAAGAGATTTCTAGAAAAGAATATTGAATGGATGTAGAATCAACAACAACAACAACTACTACTACTACAACTATGAGTAGTCGTTATAATGCACGTAGTATGATAAAGTTTGATTCATTCACTCATGAACATCCTTTCATCAAGAATGCTGAATGTTCTGATACTTGTAATGGACTATTACTCTTTTCACTTCAAAAGGCATTATGGATATTCGTATGTGTTGCGCAAATATGAAAGGAAAGAGAAAGAGAGAGATATGTAGATGATTATTATGTGTACTGACTCATTGATTAATGTGTTTGATTTAGAATTGTATGAATCAAAAGTTATACAATGCAAATATGCCAATTGAAAAGACAGTATATAATTATAACCTTGAAAAGGGAGAGTATCCATTTAAAGTTGAAAAGGATGAACAGTTTGTTGATGCTTCATTCTCACCTGTATTTGAAAATGGGTCATTGTTGGTGGCAGCTTGTACAAACGATCACGGAGCATTTGTGTATGCTCCTCCTAAACTATCGAGTGACCCTTATTCACCCGAATGGACATCAATCTGTAATCTATCCGATATGCTCTATCTACACTACCAAGATGAAAAGAAAAAAAGACCAAACAAAGGTGTTGATCCTTTACTCATTTATCGTGATTATGATTGGGATCTGTAAGTTTAAACCATGAACACTTGTCATATGATCATTGTACTTATATTTATCTATCTATCTCTTTAAGCAACTTTCATCTTAAAAAGATTGCAAAGATGGAACCATTGACAGAAGATCAAATGGATGAAGCACGTTCAGAATGGGATTTGATAGACTTTACATCGGTGGCATGGTCACCACTAGCAAGAGATGAAAAGACAGGTAAACAATACTGTCTGTTGGCATTGGGAACTAAACTCAAGTTGGCTGTATTCCGTATCGATTATGAAGATGGATTTGTGTTTAGTGTATTTGGTACATACGATTTGAATGGAATGGTCAAGTCACCACAAACAACTAGAATCAATCGTGCTTGTTGGCTTCCCTCTAATCCTCCCGTCCTCACAACTGCCCACAGTGACGGTGGTGTTTACAACTGGTCGTTTGAAGATAAAAAGATAAAGATGATTAAGAAATTGGTTGATCGTGACGAATCAATGTGCAGTCTATTGCGATGGTCCAATGTTGAAGATGACCAACCCGTCCTCGTGATTGGAAAGTTTTTCGGGTTCTACCTATATCATTTAGACTTGGATGTAATGTCACCCATGATAAATGATCAGCGTATTTCATCTACCATCCGTTCAGTCTCTTTCCACAAAAACAATAGTTGTTTTATGATTACGTGTCTTGATGGCACCATACTCAACTATTCCATCACTCCCCAGTTTTGGAAATCACTCAACCCAACCAAAGATATCGTCGTTGAAAAGGTTACACTCCCCGAACCATCCAACAAAATTCGTACCACCTTTCACTTTGCAATTCCTTTTAAATTATTCTTATTTATTGGTGAATGGTAAGAAATATAAAAATATATTAATAATAATAATAATAATAATTGATATTAATATTTCTTTGTTTACTTTAGTATCCCACCAGCAGCAGGAATGTATAAAACTAAAATAGAATTGGCAAGCATGACTATATATAAATTAGATGATTTCAATTTATATAAAGATAATTTTATTAAAAGTATGTTGATGTTTTCTAAAAATATAATATTGTTGAATTATTTATTAATCTCTTTTTTTGTAGTTTATAGAGATTTAAAGGATTTAAGACATATAAATACAAATTGGGAATTTTTATTATATCAAAAGAATTTGACAAGTGAACAATTCCGAACCATTCTAGGGATGGTAAGTGAAGAGTTGAGAAAGCTTGGTGATTTGTCGATTGAACGTGTCAATACACTTAGATTGTTGGTTGCAACATTCAACAACCATAAGAAACTTCTTCCAAAACCCAAAACTAAAACAATCACCAATCACAATAATAATAATAATAATAATAATAATAATAATAATAACAATGAAGATAACAATAATAACAACATAAACAAAGAATTTGACAATGAAATCAAAACTACTCTATTTAATATTCAAACCCTATACATTACAAATATCCTTAGAAATGTATTAGATAATTATAAAGATTTTGGTATGTAGTACTCATTATCAAATTATGATATTAAACTATTATTATTAATCAATCCTTTTTTTTTCTCCTTTCCTTTTCTTTTCTTTAGAATTTAAAGATTATCAAAAAACATCATTATTATTAATGTGTGATTGGATTATAACAACAACAAACAATCAAGATGAAAGTAAAATTAAAACGGCACATATGGTATATAAATTACTCAAAGAACCAATTCCAAAAGATCCAAATGATCTACCATCACGTGAACATTGTTTCCTTTGTCAAGAACAAGTACCCAATTATATCAATATGATGATAGGTGAGATCAAAACATGTCCAAATGGATGTCCACTCGAACGATGTATTCGTACCAAACAAATCATCGATTCAAGTAGACTATTTCTTTGTCACACTTGTGACATTCGTTGCACAATCTTTGAACAAGACGCCATCTACTATAATCATGACCGATCAAAATTTCAATCCTATCCATTCATCTATGATACTCTACCATCTTCATCTTGTATATTTTGTTATGGTCCACTTGAAAGAAATGCTCCTTTTAATTATTAATAAATAATAAAGACACAAAAGTATAATATTATCATTTTAAAAAGAAAACTTTACAAATTGATCGGATTTATTATTGTTGATGATTGATTGATTACTCGATTAATTCATTATCTTATATGTATTTATATATATTTATAAATATAATTAAATTAATCGGTTTGTTGGTTGGACGTCATTCATTGATCAAAGATGACTTGGTGTTGTTTTGGGGGGGGTTTTGTATCTATGTGTGTAACAGTTGTTATTATTATTGTTTATAGTAACATTATATGATTGTGTTGATTAATAGTTTTAGTTCTTCTTGCCCTTTCCTCCCTTGGTGGTGGTGATTGGTGTTGGTACGTTGCCTGAACGGTTAGAGGCAGCTGATGATCTGTGTGGTTGGGCAGTTGGTGCCAACTTGGTGACGAATGGGATATCAAGCTTTTGTGGAGAGTTGTTGTATGCCAAGTACAAAGCAATCAATGCAACCAAGATGGTGATTGGGTGGAACAAAAGAGTAATCACCCACCATACCAAACAAATTGGTGTCTTGATCAAATAATAGAGAATGTTACCAATGAATGAAAAGAAACCCATCTTTATATTATATATATATATCTGTGTATTTCTGTATAATGTAATAATAATAAAAGTTGTTGGTAAGTGATATGATATGCATATATATATAGGGAGGGGTGATGAGTCAACAAAGTCGTATGTATTCTATCTATCTTTGGTTAATTCTACTATTCTTTATCCTCTGATCATAGACTCACTCTCTCTCTCCTCTCTCTTGAAATATATTTAATATATTAACTTACACGTGTTGTATGTAATAATGATTATTGTTGTCGTGTTGATTAAAAAAGGAAAGAAAAACAGAAAACTTGACAGTGGAGGATGTTCATCAAAAAAATAAAAAATAAAAAAAAAAATTAATTTAATATATTCCTTGGAGTACAAAACAACAAAATCAAATAAAATGAAAATGAAATCATCATTATTTTTATTATTATTAAGAGTACTATTTTTATTATGTTTTGTGAAGAGAGTTTATTTTATATATCATTAAAAATAAAAGTCATCAAATTTCATCAGATCGATGTTAACATTTTATCTAGCCCATATGACCAACGACTTGTCTACATACTTTCATACTATTGAATACTTCCAAGAAATAGAAGTGGAGTTGGTGTATCATCATCGAAAACCTCATGAAAAAATTTGCAATATCTAATTTTGAAAATTTATTAGTTTATCTGATTATTTACTTTTGTTATCTATCTATAGATGGTAGCAAATAAAGTTTTAAATGTAGCCGAGAAACCATCAGCTGCAGAAGAAATATCACAATTACTTGCTGGGACAAGACCACGAAAGGTAAGTGAAAAGAGAGATAGTATTTAGATTAGTTAGAATAGAACATATTAGCTTACAATCGTTCATTGATCATCAATTTAGAGACCAGGACTAAGTAAATATAATCCAATATGGGAATTTAAATATAATATATTGGGTGGTAATGCAGATATGGTGTTTACATCGGTATTGGGTCATTTGATGAATACAGAGGTAGAGGAACGTTATATACCCTGGTATTCATGTGAGCCAGTCGAGTTGTTTCATTGTGGAGTACGTAAATACATTCAATCTGATGACAATCAGAATCTCTTCAAAACTATACAACGTGAAGCAAGACAATGTGATACACTCGTACTATGGTTGGATTGTGATCGTGAAGGTGAAAATATTGCATTTGAAGTCATTGATTGTGCTGTCAAAGCAAATAGAAACCTTATGATCTATAGAGCTAGATTCTCTTCTATTATACCTCAGTATGTCAACATCATCATTTAGAGTTAATCAAATATGAACAAGTACTAATCAACTAGAACTACTCTTTCTTTAGAGAAGTAAAAAGGGCATGTGCAAATTTAGTTAGACCAAATGAAAATGATTCGATTGCAGTTGATACTAGAATAGAGATTGATTTGCGATTGGGTGCAGCTTTTACAAGATTTCAAACATTGTATCTTAGAGGCAAGTTTGATTTGACACCAGGTAATGATGAAGACAAACAACCAATCAGTTATGGACCATGTCAATTCCCAACACTGGGATTCGTCGTTGAAAGATACTTGCGTATCGAAAACTTTATACCCGAGGATTTTTGGTCAATGAATGTAAAGCATTCCAAAGAGGAACTTACTGTCAACTTTGGGTGGAAGAGAAAACGTCTCTTTGATCATGCTCCTGCTTTTATCCTCTATGAAAAATGTCTTGACAATCCTTTGGCAACTGTTATTGATATTCAAAAAAAGAATCACAATAGTATGTCCAAAACAAAAGAAAAAAAAAGAAAAAAAAGAAAAAGATATATTAATACTTTTTTTTTTTATAGTCGACCAGTACCATTAACAACTATAGAATTACAAAAAAGTGCATCATCTAAACTTAGAATATCATCCGATAGAACAATGAAGATTGCAGAGGAATTATACAACAAGGGGTTTATTAGTTACCCACGTACAGAGACTAGTCAGTTTATAGATGGGACTGATTTCCAAGGGTTGATTGGGTTACAGACCGGTGATCCACAGTGGGGACAGTACGCGACGAGATTGTTAAATGGAGAGTTTAAACGACCAAATGATGGGCGTACAAACGACCATTCTCATCCACCAATCCATCCAACCAACTTTTTGCCACCTGGAGCTGCCGGTGCAAAAGATCCAAAGGCACGTGAACTGTACGAGTTTATCGTTCGACATTTCTTGGCGTGTTGTTCACCAGAATCAATTATTGCAAAAACAACGGTTAGCATTGATGTTGCAGGTGAAAAGTTTTCAGAATCTGGTTCAATGATTATACGTCGTGGTTATTTGGAAGTGTATAAATACGAAAAGAGAAATGACAAGATCATCCCAACCTATGAAGTGGGTGAACAATTTACACCAACCGATATCAAATTAGAGAGTGGACGAACCGTGTCTCCTAGACCACTCTCTGAACCCGAACTACTCTCTGCAATGGATTCTAATCAGATTGGAACAGATGCCACCATGGCACAACACATTCAAAAGATTATTGAAAGAGGATACGTTATCAAAGATGCAGATCAATTGTTTGTACCAACCAATCTTGGAAAGGCATTGATTGTTGGTTACGATTCGATGGGATTTGAATTCTCAAAACCTGCACTACGTGCATCCATCGAAGCAGACATTCAAAAAATTGGTCTTGGACAAAGAACCAAGGAGCAAGTTCTCCGTGACACGATAGAAAAGTACAAAACACTCTTTATTCAAGCTCAGAATCAAACTCAGATGTTGGATGTTGCATTCTCTAAACATTTTGCCTCCAAAGGTCAAACCTATCAAACATTAAAAGCGAATTTTAGTAAATGTGGTAAATGTAATAATTTAATGGATTTAAAAAAAACAAATGGTGATGTATGTAAAAGTATTAAGAAGAAGTAGAGAGAGAGAGACAAAATTGATAATTAACAAAAAAAATATTTTATTGTAGAGAAAAATATTAAATTGTTCAACTTGTAATACATCTTATAATTTACCACAAAAAGGTGAATTTATTGTCAATGCCCATACTTGTCCACTTTGTAAATTCCAAGTTGTTTCAGTTCAAACAGACAAGACGACCTATACTATTTGTCCATTTTGTAGAAATCATCCTCCAGCATCAAGTAAGGAAGGACCTGGAAAACCATTCCATTGTTTCCAATGTACAGAAAAATGTCAACTTGCAACAGGTCATAATTTTAAACCAAATCAAAATAATAATCAAAATAATCAAAACAATAATAATTATCAAAGAAATCAAAACAATAATAATAATCAAAATAATAATCATAATAATAGACCACAACAACCAAGTTCCTCAACATTTAAAAAGAAACCAGCAGCACCATCCTCAACTTTTAAAAATAGATATAATGATTGGTGAGTGAAACATTATTATTATTATGCAGATCTATTAAATTAATTAAAAGGTGAAAAATGAAAAAAATAAAATAAATATTTTTTTTTCTATGAGTCAGAATGTGTGGTAAATATGTTCACAACAGTGTGAACTGCAGCTAGTTTTAAAACATCCCATCCCACCAATACAATTCAAACAAAAAGGTGATTCATTCAACTTTACAAAGTTAGTTAGTTTTTAAAACTGTAGTAATAATAATAATATAGATCTCACTTGATAATCTCTTTAGCAAAGATTAGATTATTAAAACAATCCTTATATATTTTTAAAAAGAGATAGTTAGTTACAATAATTTATTGTCATGAATATACCACCATCACAAGAGTTTCAAAGATTAAACAATCTTTTAGTCAGCTCATATATCGAACACCAAGATGAAATAAAGAAGCTGCAGTCGAGCATTGACAACATCGCCAAGGAAAAGAGCGACCTCGATAAAAAGTACAAGACTCTGTTGACGTCGTCGCGCGATGGCGGCATTGTCGTCGACGAAGAGGAGCTCAACAAACAGGCCCAAGAAGAGGAGCGTGTCGCCAAGGAACTCGAGACCAAGGAGCAGCAGATCAAAGACTACCAAAAGCAGCTGGAGAATGTGGCCTTGGAGAATGAAGACCTCAAGAACCGTATTGTTCAGGGCAGCGCAGTACACCAACACGAAGAGCAGGCCGCTGCCCCCAACGGTGTCGTTGGCGGTGACGACGCTGCCAAGAAGGAGAACGAGCAGCTGCGTGTGGACATTGAGCAGCTCAAGATCACCATTGACTCGCAGCAAAAGCAGGTCGAGGCACTCAGAGAAATCCAGGGCAAAGAGGAACACTTGCGTCAGCAAAACGAGGCACTCCGCGTATCGGTCGAGGAGAAGGAGTCGGCCAACGGCCATCTCCAACAACAACTCTTGCACGAAAAGGAGCAGTTCAACCGTCGCCTTGAACAGCTCGAGTCGTCGATCGGACACAACGAAGAGGCCCAACGTCTCCAACAACAGATCGACTCGCTCGACCAAGAGATCAGAGGTCTCCAAGAAGCCAAGACCCAACTCGAACAAAACAAAAAGGAGTTGGAACAAAACAAGCAAGAGTTGGAGGAGGGGAAGGCCGCCATCGAGCAGTCGTTTGCTCAAGAGCGCGAGCAGCTGACCGCACAAATCGATCAACTCCAACAAACCATCCAACAACTCGAGGAAAAGGTCGGCGAAAAGGAGAAAGCCAACCTCTTGCTACTCGAACAAATCAACAACTTGGACAGCGAAAAGAAGCAACTACAAGAACAACAACAAGACGCACCACAACAACCCAATGGCAAAGATGCAGACGACAAGGACGACAAGCTAAAGGAAATTCAATCTCTACTCCAAGAAAAGGATCAACAAGTCGAAGGGTTGAATGGAGAAATCCAGACACTCAAAGAATCGTTGGATAAACGTGAAAAGGAAGTAGAAGAGAAAAAAAAAGAGTTGGAGTCGATCAAAGGTAGCAGTGAGTCGCAAGGAAGTGAAAAGGATTCATTGATTCAACAATTGGAAAAGGATCTTGTTGACAAACAAGCATTGCTCGAGAAAAAGGAGGAACAGTTAAAGTTGACGGTTCAAGACAAGAATGAAGAGATTGAAAGATTAAAACTTGAAACCCAACAGCTTGAATCGAATCATCAACAAACTCAACAACTTGAACAAGCACTCGAAGAAAAGAACAAAGAAATCGAACAACTTCGTCAAGAACAAGAATCTCAACAAGCCAAGGACGATCAAGAGACTGCTAGTGCATTGGCAAAGCAAATCGAGTTGGACGAAAAGAACAATGAAATCGAGAAGTTGCGTGTTGAGAACGCTCAACTCGAGGAAAAGAACAACGAGATTGACAAGCTCCGTCAAGAAAAGGTGGCCTCTGAGGAAAAGAGCAACGAGATTGAAAAGCTCCGTCAGGAAAAGGCAGACCTTGAAAACAAGCTTGGCGAAGTCGGTGAGATCGTCAAAGAGATGGACCAGCTCGAAGAAAAGACACGTCTTGTCCATCAACAAAAGGAGGAACTCGATATTTTGCAACAGGAAAAGGCCGACCTTGAAGCCAAGCTCGTAGAGACCAACGAGCTCCGTCACCAAGTCGTCGAGTTGGAAGGTAAACTTGTCCAAATCGGTCAAGAAAAGGAACAACACGCACAAGAACACCAAGTCATCCTCCAACAACACACTGCAGCGGTCGACGAAAAGAACGCCGAGATTGCCCGTCTCCAACAAGAACTCGAGTCCAAGGAGCAAACCATCTCCAAACTCGTTGAAAAGGATGCCCATCCCGATGAAGACGTTCAAAAGGTACAAGAAGTAATTGACAAGATGACAGACCTCAACACTGCATTGGAAGCTGAAAAGACAAAGGTCGATGAAATCAAGGCCGTTCACAAACAAGAAATGGATAATCTCATGACTTCACTCGCTGAAGAAAAGAAATTGGCCAATGACAAGGAAAGTGACGCACTCCAACAAGAAAACATTCAACTTCAACAACGTGTTCAACAACTTTTAGATACTATTTCTAAATTACAACAAAATAACAACAATAATAATAATGATAATAATAATGATACAAAACAACCAACTCTTGATGAATTATTAGATGATACAACTACCAATACAAATAATACTACAAATAATAATAATAATAATAATAATAATAATTCACTTGATTTTGATTTTTCATTCTCTGATGCAAATAATGACAATGTCATCAACGGAACCAACAACGATAATAATAATAACAGCACAACAGAAGAAGAAGAAGAAGATAAATCCAATCAAGATCAAGATCTTTTAATCGACAACGCTTCACCAATTTTACCAACAACTGACAACGCCAAGGAAAATGATAATTCAGTTGATGAACAAGAACAAGATGAACAATTGGAAGAAATTTATTAATCCAACATAACATATAAATTAATAATAAATAATATAATATATAATATAATATAATATACCAAAATCTTATCATAATATAAAAATACGGACTATAAAAGATTGGATCAAAAAATAGCGATCCTCAAAAGATACATTGGAGAGTGTAGGAACGAGTTAAATAAAGCACAGTCAAAAAAAAAAGAAAAAACAGGCAGATGACGCAGAACTGAATCAGAAATAGAGTTACTACCGAGTAGTAAATATGTCGACATCCATTATAGAACCATTCCTATTTTTTATCTCATTTAATACTCTCCTTTTCAAATATACCTTTCTTTTAAACTAAATTTTAGGTCCAATTAAAAAAAGAGTTGCTTAAGCCTCTCAGATGGCGAAAATCGATGCTCAGATCTATGGGACTCCTCTACCAAATAACTTCACCAGTACATAGAACACTCGTAAAAAGATAGTCGGCCATTTTCTCTCCTCTCTTTTATCTTGTGTTTTTACATATGCAGAGAGAGAAGAGAAAATGGCTGGCAGGATTCAATCAATCATTGTATGTACGTATATATAAATATAATAATTTTAATTTTCATTTATTTATTTATTGTTGGCCGCTAGTTGGTAAGTTTTCAACATTCAACTCTGTTAGACAATTATTATTATAGGTATTACTAGTTGAAACCATTGTTGTTAATTGCTTGGCTTGTTGTTGTTGATTGTTGATGGAATTTGAAATTGATGTCAAGGTTGAAGTTGAAGCGGTTGACATTGGAATTGGAATTGGTTTATCAGGTGTATTTAAAATATCTACCATACTTGTATCCAATACATCATCCTTATTGTTGTTGTTGTTGATCTGATTTTCATTTTGTTTTGGTAATGGTGTATTATTTCCTACCTCAATAAAACTACTTTCTAAATTATTATTACCATTTTCATATGAATTAGTATTAGAACTGTTGTCAATGTTGTTATTGTTATTATTATTATTATTATCTTGACTATTTGGTTTTAATGGAGTTTTAAATACTACTTTGAATTTTAATGGTGTTGTTGGTTTTGGTGGTTGTTCGTTATTATTATTATTATCTACATTGTCTGTATGACCATTTGTTTTTTGTTGTTTCTTGGGACTACCATTCTCCTCTTCTTCTTCTTCTTCCTCTCCATCTTTATATTGTTGATCATCTTCATCATCACTAAAATGATCTCTATGAGATTTACCATTACTATTATTATTATTATTTTGATTTTGATTTTCATTATCATTTTCATAATCAACCATTTCTTCATCTTGTTGTTTATATTTTGATGTTAATGATTGTACACCAGCATAGGCATCATTTGATCTAGAGTTGACGATTCGTCGACCACTAGAAGTATGGGTGATGGGTGTGGGTTTGGCATTGGCTGCCTGTCTAGCTGCCACGGTTCTTCGTCTCAGTCCGTATCCAGTCAACTCTTCCTCATCGTCTTCTTCCTCTTCATCGCTCGAGTCACCCTCTAGTTTTCTGCGTTCCTCTTCTAATTTTTCTTGCTCCAATTTTTTAAGATTCTGCTCTAGCAGACGCAGCGATCGGATTGGTCGGGGTGGAGGAACCTGTGCTCTTCGTTGTGACCGCATACGGTTGTTGATCTTTGTCAACACACCGTCCAAAAACTCGCCAATGTTCTCGGCCAACTGCTTCTCGCACTGTATCTCGCTCTCGGTCATATCATCAACAAACTTTTCCCAACTCTCTTTTGATGCACACTGCAATTCCCATTGACACGGCTTTGCGCCGAGTTGTTGGTTTTGGATTGATTTTCTACCACGTTGACTGAGAGGTAGAGCTGGTGGTGGCGTCTCTTTCCACAGTCTTTGGTCGTCTCCAAAGAACCAATATGTACATCTATCTTTATCTTGTCCAACTGGTGACAGTCTCTGAGATTAATAAATAAATAAATTTCAAACAAGTAAGTACTTTTTGTAATTAACCATATGTCGTCATCTTTCTTTGATCATCATACCAATTCATCTGGATCTTGTTCAGGACTACTAACTAGTTCTTGAATCAATTTGTTTTTAGCAAGATTCCAATCACATATACACTTTAGTATCAATAGACGATCTTTTAGTTCCAAATGTGAAAAGTGTTCATCGATAAATGGATTCGTCTCTGCATACTGTGCAAAGAATGGGTTTGGATTTATCTTCTTTTCAATCTCTATTTTAATATAATCTTCCCAATTTAAATTACTATCGATAGATAGATAGTATGAACGAATGATAATAAAGAGTAAAGAGTAAAGAGTAGGTAAGTAATGCGAATGTGAAAAGTAAACTTTACAATGTTTGAAGAGAGTACATACGTAATAGCACCTTGTTTTGGTTTGACAATTGGTTTCATCATTGGTATAAAGAGTTCTGAAAGAAAGGAGTGGTTTGCCTCTGGTGTAACAAGTGCATTCTCTAGATCGTCAATGTGGAAGGCATTAACATGTAATGCATCCTTAAAGTGTGATATGAATCTATAGGTGTAGGGCAACTGCCACATTGACCTAAGTTGATTTTTAGCTATAACAAAGAAATAGATAATATATATAATAAATATATATAATTGATCAATTAATAAACATAGTTCATCAATCTAGATTAATCTATATCTTAATCTATATCTATATATATTTATATTCATACCAGCAACTATATCCAATGACATTGTTGTTGTTGTGGTTGTTTGCTTTTACTATGTGTATCTACCCTTAATAAGACTCTCTATTTCTCTCTCTCTCCTCTCTCTCTCTCTCTATCTCGATAATAAATAGTAATATATTGGTGTTTGCGTTTATTATTATTATTATTAACTAGTTTGTAAAATCTGAAGTCGCTTTCGTTCAAACAAATAATTATTTTTTAGCCGTTGCACCCCTCAGCAAGAGTTTCGTATTGCAAAGAATATCGACAATTCTTTATCATAAATAAAATAAGATAAATAAAATCGAATATATCTTGACACAACTATCTCTGGTATTTAATATTATAATTTTTTTATAATTATTATAATGGATAGGATAAAAAAAATAAATAAAGTTTTAAATTTAAATTATGGTCGCTACGTTGTCCTCCCGCTGATGTTCATATGTTATATTTTTATAGTATAGTATATACTCATCAGATAATATATATTTATAGGTCTATATAGATAGATATAGATAAAGAGACATTCTTCAAGGGTGGTACAAAAGAAAAAAGATACAGTTATTCATGAACCCCAACCACTCGTATTAACACATTGAATGATGATGAATGAATGAATGAAGATGACAATATTCGACGATAACAATGATGATGATGATTGGGCAGATGTTGGTATTTTTATAAATAGCAACGCGTTGGACAAAAGGAAAAGAAACAATAGTATAAGGTTTCCCTTTGGATTCAATGGTTCATCAGGTCTGATCGACCAATGATGATCATTCTTTCTCTCTCACCAACTACCTCTCCTCCTCCACTTCGAGCCATCCACAGCCCTAATCAAATCATTTCCAATTCATCTCTTTTCCTCAACACCATCAACCATTGAACCCCTTTTTATCATCTGATTTTTCATAGGTATGTGCAATGGTGGAGGTGAGGGTGGGAGGTGTGACTTTAAAGAAGAAATAATATTAACAACAATTGTAACAAAAACCCATATGCGATCACCACACTCACACCAATCTAGACACACCACCATTAAATTAGATTTAAAAGAGTAGTAGACCACGATCATTGTGTTGTTTTAATGGAATGGCGCCAATATACCCCCCTTTACTATGAAAAAAGAGAGCGGAGCAACAATATACTCTCCCGCTCTTTATCGGACTGCATCTCCATCAGCTCAATGTAGCTGCAACAAAACAACAACAAACAAGGAGGATCGATCTACAAGAGGACGAATCCATATAGTTTTAATAATTTATAAAGGATTACTCGAAGGTCATACCTATTATATTACGGTACCAAACCCACCATCATATCTAGATTGGTCACCTCAAGGAGCAGTTAAAACCCAACAAAGCATCTTTGACTCGAATGGAAAGACCCCCAATTTCCAATTATCGGGACCATATACAATTATTGCAACCGGAGAATGTGGCAGCTTCAAGAGACAGACGCAACCAATATATGGTGGTTTAACATGTAGATATCCACTCAACGCAACACTTAACATCAAGCTAATCATTGATAACAACAACGACGGTATAATGGAGCCAGAAGAGACCAGGTATGGCCAATCGTACATTATCAGAGGTCCTTATCAGTCTAGTAGCATTAAACGTTAACAAAGAAGCAAGAGACGTCTATGGAAACCTTTACAGCCATCAACCAACAACCAGCGCTGACTATGATATTTATCAATACTATAATCACGTTCCAGGATGGTATCAAGCCAATATCACTGGTCGTCCAGAGTTTTATGAATTCCTTCCAACCATCACTAGTAGCGACAATTCGTCAAGTGTTGGATTCCTCACTGAACCATTCAAGACAACCAACTTTGGAACTGCTCCAGGATCGAATCCCCCTTCTAAACCGGCCACCCAATGTTCAACCAATTATGTTGTCGGATTAACTATTCGTATGTACGATGCATCAAGTCGTATGTCTGGTCGTATCAATACTACAAATGGAGACCCAATGGCCAATATCAACGTCACTCTTATCCCCGATGACCCCAACTATCCAACAGTGACTGTTCTAACCGATTCCAATGGAATGTATTCATTTGACCCTGTCAGACCAGGCGTGTACACCATTTCAGTCTTTGAACAAGACTATCAAATCACCAAGGGTTACAAACCAATTGCAACTGTCTCCACCACCAAGCAATTCAGAATAGATCCATTAAATGACAAGGATTGGATTGAGAATTGGTCAAATAGTACTGCGCCCACAAGATTTGTCAACAACAATTTCAACTTTACCATTGCATGTCAATCCATTCCAGATGCTGTTGAATTGTACACTGTTTTATTCTACGATCCTTATGGAAATGGAACATATTCAGCAGCCAATGGTAGTCCATCCAATCTCGACATCAATTTGTATGATACCAACTCTAGTGCCATTCTCCAAACTCAAACTACCAATTCAACTGGTGGAGTAATGTGGACTGGATTAATTGAAGGACATTCCTATTATATTAAAGTACCAAATCCACCATCGTACCTTGCATGGTCACCTCAAGGAGCTGCCAACACTCAACAGAGCTACTTTGACGCATCTGGAAAGACTCCAAACTTCCAATTGTCTGGACCATACGAACCAATCAAAACGACTGTGTGTAGAAACTACAAACTTGCAACTCGTCCAATCTATGGTGGTTTGAAATGTCCATCACAACTCAATACAACACTCATTGTCACTGTCTATCTTGACAACAACAGAGATAATCTTGTTCAACCAGACGAAGGAATGCTCAATGCCAACCATTCAACATCGGGTCTATTGGTGACACTCATCTCAGAAGCCAACAGTAAGGAAGCAATGGACTCTCTTGGAAAGACATACAACAAAACTCCAACCGTCGATGGTAATACCAAGGTTTATTACTATTACAATCATGTTTCAGGATGGTATCATCTCAACATGACTGGTAGACCAGAATATTTTGAATTCTCAACACCAACAAAAAGTAATGATGACTCTAATAGTACTCGATTCCTCACAGAACCATTTAGAACCGATACATTTGGAACAACTCCAGGGTCCATCCCACCAGCTAAACCAGCATACCGTTGCATAACCAATTATGCTGTTGGCGTCGGTGTCCGTATTTTCGATGCATCAAGTCGTATCTCTGGTCGCATCAACAATACAAGTGGATCTCCAATGCCAGATGCTACTGTCACCATCACTCCTGACAATCCAGCCTATCCATCGATCACTGTTCAAACCGATGAAAATGGAATGTATTCATTCGACTCTCTTCGACCAGGTACCTATACGATATCGGTCGTTGAAGAAGACCACCAACTCTCCAGTGGATATAAACCTATTGCATCTACCACCAATACCAAACAATTCAAGATTGATCCAGCCAATGATAAGGATTGGGTTGAAGATTGGTCCAATAATACAAGATTCATCAACAATAATTTCAACTTTTCACTGGCCTGTCAACCAATACCAGATGCTATTGAACTGAATACCATCATATTCTACGATCCAAATACAAATGGAGCGTACAATGCAGCCAATGGTGGACCATCCAATATTGTTGTCAATTTGTATGATACCAACTCTACAGCCATTCTCCAAACTCAAACAACCAATTCAACAGGAGGTGTCACGTGGACTGGGCTACTCGAAGGTCATTCTTATTATATGAAAGTACCCAATCCACCAACATGGCTAAAATGGTCACCACAAGGATCATCAAGCTACTTTGACGCAACTGGAACGACCCCCACTTTTTCATTATCTGGACCTTACCAAGCAATCAAGACAGCTACTTGTAGAACCTACAAAAGAGAAACAGATGCAATTTATGGTGGATTGGCATGTCCATCCCCAATCAACGCAACACTCAGTGTATTGGTATTCATTGATAACGACCAAGATGGTAGTATTGATTTAGAAGAGAGTATGTTCAAGGCCAATCACTCTGTATCAGGTATATCTGCCACTCTCTATTCAGCAGCCACCAACCTTGAAGCCAAAGATACTTTTGGAAAAACATATAGTAAATTGCCGATGGATAGTGATGGTAAATACTTCTACTACTACAACCATGTTCCTGCGTGGTACTATGTAAACATGACTGGAAGACCCGATTTCTATGGATTTGTCTCAGCAATACACAGCAATGATGACTCGGGCAGTATTCGATTCCTCACTGAACCATTCAAAACCGATACTTTTGGTACAACGAGTCTTGCAAGATCCAACCGACCCACCAAACCAGCCGACCATTGTTCAGCCAATTATATCATTGGTTATACAATCCGTCTTTATGATGCATCGAGTCGTATCGCTGGACGTATCAATGATACTAATGGAGTATCAATGCCAAACGTAACAGTCACCATGGTGCCTGACAATCCTGCCTTCCCAACCATCACCACCGAGACCGATGAAAATGGAGAATATTCTATTTCTCCTCTTCGACCAGGCGTTTACACCATATCGGTCGTTGAAGCAGACTACCAACTCTCCAAGGGATACAAACATACTCGGCAGCCAATGGTGGTCCATCAAATATCGTTGTCAATATTTACGATACCAACTCTACTGCCATCCTCCAAACGCAGACAACCAATTCAACAGGAGGTGTCAAATGGACCGGACTACTCGAAGGTCATACCTATTACATTAAAGTACCAAACCCACCATCTTGGTTGGTATGGTCACCACAATCATCAACAAGCTACTTTGACGCAACTGGAAAGACTCCAAACTTCAAATTCTCTGGACCATACAAACCAATTAGCACAGTCGGTTGTAGATCCAACAAAAGATTACCAGATTTGATCAATGGTGGATTGAGATGTCCAACCCAACTCAATGCAACACTCATTGTCACCGTCTCCATTGACAACAACAGAGATAATATCTTGCAACCAGAAGAGAGTATGCTCAAGGCCAATCATTCAACATCGGAACTATTGATCACCCTCATCTCGGAGCTCAACTCCAAAGAAGCAAAGGATTCGTTTGGAAATGCATACAACAAAACTCCATCCACCAGTAGCACTACCAAGGTTTATTACTTTTACAACCATGTTGGTGGGTGGCATCATCTCAACATGACTGGTAGACCAGAATATTTTGAATTCTCAACACCAATTAAAAGTAATGATGACTCTAATAGTACTCGATTCCTCACAGAACCATTTAGAACCGATAATTTTGGAACAAATCCAGGGTCCATTCCACCAGCTAAACCAGCAGACCGTTGTATAACCAATTATGCTGTTGGAGTCAATGTCCGTTTATATGATGCATCAAGTCGTATCTCTGGGCGTATCACTAGTCCAACTGGATCTCCAATACCAGATGCCGCAGTTTTTATCCTTCCCGACAATCCAGCGTATCCACTTTTAAGTGTTGAAACTGATGCCAACGGGGCGTATTCCATCACCCCTATTCGACCAGGCGTGTACTCTATTACAGTCGCCAAAGAAGACTATATACTTACGAGTGGATACAAACCGATTGCATCCACCGCCACTACCGTTCAATTCAGAATTGATCCACTAAATGACAAGGATTGGGTTCAGAATTGGTCGGGCAATACAAGATTCATTAACAGTAATTTCAACTTTAATCTGACTTGTCGGGTTGTACCAGACACTGTCGAATTGTATACCGTCATTTTCTACGATCCAAATACAAACGGAGCATACTCGGCAGCCAATGGTGGCCCATCCGATATTGTTGTCAACTTGTATGATACCAACTCTAGTGCCATTCTCCAAACTAGAACAACCAATTCAACGGGTGGAGTCATGTGGTCAGGATTACTTGAAGGACATACCTACTATGTTCAAGTTCCAAATCGGCCATCATGGTTGGTATGGTCACCACAAGGAGCAATTAACACTCAACAAAGCTCCTTTGACTCGGCTGGAAAGTCACCAAACTTCCAATTGTCAGGTCCATACCAAACAATCGGCACAGTTGGTTGTATAACCACCAAGAGAGCGACCCGACCTGTATATGGTGGATTGGCATGTCCATACCCAATCAACGCAACACTCATTGTATTGGTATTCATTGATAATGATAGAGATAGTGTCATCGACCTAGAAGAGAGTATGCTCAGGGCAAATCACTCTGTATCAGGTATATCTGCCACTCTCTATTCAGCGGCCACCAACAATGAAGCCAGAGATGTTTATGGAAACACATACAGTAAAACACCAGTGGATAGTGACGGAAAATACTTCTATTACTACAACCACGTTCCTGCATGGTACTATGTAAATATGACTGGTAGACCAGAATTCTTTGAATTTGTCTCAGCAATACACAGCAACGACGACCCAAGTAGTTATCGATTCCTCAGTGAACCATTCAAAACCGATACTTTTGGAACAACTCCAGTCTCCAACCGACCCACCAAACCTGCAGACCGTTGTTCAAGCAATTATGTTATTGGAGTTGCAGTCCGTATATTTGATTCATCGAGTCGTATCACTTCTCGTGTCGCAGATACCAATGGAAACGCCATTGCCAATGCTCAGATCAAGCTCACCCCAGAAAATACTTACTATCCCACCCTCTCAGCCACTACCGACGCAAATGGACAATATACTCTTTCTGGAATCCGTCCCGGTATATACTCGATTTCAGTTACCGCATCGGGCTGGAAACACAACAATTCTGGATACAAACCCATTGCCGCTGGATCTACATCAACTGGTCTATTCAGAATCTCTCCTGCAACTGACAAGGATTGGGTCGAGAATTGGTCAGGCAATTCAAGATTTATCAATACTCAATTCAACTATGTAATGACAAAGTAAAAGTAACAAACTAAAAAAAAATATAAATATAAACACAAACATAAAAATTAATTAAATAAACAAACAAACAAATCAATTAAATTAATAAATTAAATTAATCAATTAAATTAAACCACAATAAGTTTTGCCAAACCGATAAGATTTGTAATTCTATAATTAATGTCGCGAGGATCTTTGATTAACTAGTTTATATATACATTTCTCTTCTCTTATAACCATTTATTTATACAACAAAAGATTTTCAGATCTAGTTCTGATGTCCTTTTTCTTTCATATTTAACCAGTTTTCTTTAATTCGTATTCTATTGCAGAAAGATCATTATTTACATTTACTTCAAAGGTTGCTGGTTCAGGTGCCATTTTAATGTTTCCCCAAATATTTACATATAGTCTCATAAATCCATTAAATACTTTTATAATTCCATTTCGTAATATGATTGTATTTCCAGGTTGTACTACCTCATTTTGTTCTATACAAAAAAAGTTAGTTAGTTTTGGTTCTAGAATGCAAACATAATAAAACACTTCTTTTGCATTTACCATTCTTTACTGTTAATACGATTGTTCCTGTTTCATCACCAACAACTGCTTCAGATATCAATTCCTTCTTTTCTTTGTCTCTTTCAATCACAATCTTTGTATTTAAAACCTTTAATACTAAATTATGACCTTGTGTCATTGGTCTCAATTGATCAACCTTTGTAACTAAAAAGAAAATAGAAAAGAGTAAGAATAATGAACATCAAGTTATATCTATATATATATCTATAGTACAACTTACAAACAGCTTTTGCTAATGGAGGAGGATTATCTTTGGTCGTTGTTTCACTCATTTTCACTCTATCTCTTTCTTTATATTGTTGTCCAAGTACTAATAAATCGTTCTCTTCCTCCTCTCTTTCTTTCTCTTTATTTCTTCTATATTTGACTTCTTGTTTCTTAGACTATCTTCTTTATCTTTGTTATTATTAATATAAATAGAGAACTAAAGTAAAGTTGTGTTGGTCAGAAGTAACTAAGAGAAAAGATTCAACAAACACACACAAAAATTAATTAATTAATTAATTTAAATTTTCTGATAAACTAAATAAACCAAACATATCAAACAATAAATGACTACCACTTTGTTTTTCTTTTTTTTTTTTTTTGATTATTAAGATTTTATTTATTACAAAAAGTCTTTAAAAACCAGAATATAAAATAACTTATAAATTAGCCTCTAAACACACAAAACACAGAATGGAAAAGGAATGGATTTAAATACGACTTTCCAATAACATGTTGTTGTCGGGTGGGAGACCAACGCAAGCTTTCAAAATATTTTCAATGGCGGCTCTTTGTTTAAATAATGCGTTAACAACGTTGGCCTTTTCTGGGACGAGTGGGGCCTTGAGGAGATATGAGAGGATGGAGAGGACTGGGTGGAAGGATACGTAGTCTTGGGATTCTTGTGGCTTGAGAGAGATACGGTCAGCCAACTCTGCGAGGATGACGAGATCGAGGATGATTGGGGCGGCCAAGAGCGAGTCTTCGCAGGTGTTGTGAATGACGAGGGTGTTGTGACCACCCATGAAGATTTGTGAGGTGTATTCGTCCATAGCACGCTTGCTATCTCCGACGTATGGTACGTATTTGATGACGATGACGTGGTCTGGGTGTTCACCTTCCTTGTAGAGGATCGAGTTGGAGGCAATCATGTCGTCGACGACGTTGGACTTGGTGATCTCCTTGGAACGGAATTGTTGTGGGGCTGACAAGTTCTTACCGTCGTTGTTACCGAGATGGTTGTATGAGACGATAGAGACTGGCTTGATACCGGCAGAGACGAGGAAATCAGTCAAGACGGACTTGATCTTGGTTTGACCGGTCTTAAAGTCATCACCACCGATGGTGACGTTACGTTGGAGGGCCAATTCGGTGACACCTGGGACAAAGGTGTTTTGTGGGGAACCGTTAATGTATGGGGTGTCTTCGAGGATACAGGCGACGGCAAACAAGGTGGATGGGGAGATCTCTTCGTCACCACGGGCAATGGCGGCTTCGAGGTTGGCCCAGGTGTCGTTGGTACCTGGAATGATGGCAGAGAAACGTTCAGTGTTGGCAGACCAGATGACGACGATCTTATCGAGTGCGTTGGCAGTCTTGAACTCACGAATGTCACGACGGATTTGTTCCATTTGTTCCTTCTTGGTGCCGGTGAGGACGTTGTTGGCACGGTCCTTTTGGTTGGCAGCGATGAAGTCTGGGAAGTAGATGGATGGGAGTGGACGGATCTCCTTCATGTGTGGGACGAGTTGACGTTGGAGGTCATATTCCAAAACTTCAGCACGTTCCATGGCATCAGCAAGGTTGGCGCTGTTGATATCCCAACCACCGAAAACAATGTCGTTTGGATGGACCATTGGGACGATGTTCTTTAATGGAATGTAAGAATCTCTTCCATTCTCATCAGATCCCAACTTGATGGTGGAGGCCATAATGACAGATCCGAAATAGTTTGGCTTTTGGACACCAGACTTTGTCTTCCAACATAATCCCCTAAAAAAAAATAAATGAACAAATTAATAATTAGTATTAAATACAAATTAATTTGTTATGTTTTGTCTTACTCTCTGTTGGCAATGCAACCAGCAACGACGGTGGAACCATTGTTACCACCCAAACCAACGATCATACAACCCATCTTTGGTACCTTTCTTTCGGTCTTGAAAGTGTACTTGGCAGTGACTGGCTTGACAACCAATTCACCGTCTTCAACAGTGGTGGTGGTGGTTTGATATTCGTAGTTGGAGATGATGGCTTCATCAGTGTAGGTAACATTTGGGCTGTTAACCTTGAAGGTATCGTACATCTTGGCTGACATTTTTTAATATGTTTTATATAGAGTTTTATATATCTAAATAAATAATAAATAAATAAATAAATAAATAAATAAATAAATAAATAAATAAAGTAATAAATAAAAGATTGTAAAATGTTAGATTATTTGGTTCCGACATTTAATTATATATATTTTAAAACTCGGTTCTAAAACAAACAAAATTGAAAAACAAAAAAGATAGATTTTTTTTTGAAAACAAGGATTGTGTGTGTTTGTGTCACACATATTGGGACAATGACAGTGATTGGTAGTCTTTTTTGATCAATCAGCTGAACATAATATGTGTGTGTGAGCGCGAGTGGGATATTTTTTTTATGCATTGGGATACCTGTCCCACCATAATCATCGAGTCGAGTCGATAAGCACTTCACATGAACCCCATATTAATCTCTTCTTCTCCTATGATTGTCGTCTTTATCATCGCATCATGTGATGACTATTACTTATGATTATTACTATTTAATTCTTTTAATTGTATTCGCTGACTACTACTGCTGCTACGACCACCACTACTTTTTTCGTTTCTACTCGATTCGGTTAATTGTGTTGTTGATTTTTTAAAAAAAAAGATAAACACCGTTGCACTATAACAAACAGATAATATTTGAATAAATAAACTTGTAGATACTGTACTATTTAAATTTCTGGAGAGCAAATTTAAAAAAAGAGGGATATATATATGCGTGGATTAAAACAAACTACTAACTAAAAAAACTCTTTTCAAAGTGTCTGGGCATCAAAATCTATGGTGAGTGACTCACAGGATGGGAAACCAAAAATCAAAAGAATTCGAAAAAAAATAAATTATTTTGGATTTTTTTGGCGTTTGAGGCAAAAAACGGTTGTGTTGCTGCATTAGCGTCATGGATGTCGTTTTTGCAAAGACACTAGAACCCAACGATTGCTTGTCACCCACCACCTCTACCTTACTAAATTTCCCTTTGCACTGAGTTTCGAGCTTCTCTCTTTTTTTTTTTGATCTCTTAGATCCAAGGAGGTTGGGCGCTAGTGCCATAGTGCGACATTACCCCCTTACATTCTAGAATTGGCACATTCATGAGTCACCAAAGGACACTGTTGTGGCATTGTAGTGGCAATTCAATTTCACTGTCAATTTGAAATTATTTGGTTTGAAGAATATAAGAAGTGGAATAGAGGTCAGTGTTTGAACCATAAAGAAGAACACCACAATCAATAACCACACATAGATGACTCACTTTCACTTACTCATCAACCATGGTTTGATCAATAGATCATCTATTTTGGAATAGGTGTTTGTTGTATAATGAGTCACAATAGTTAGTTCATTAGGTAGTGCAGTTCGATGATATTTTTTTTTTTAATTCTTTCTTCCAAACCGATCAACACTATAGTACACAACCAAATTTTCATCAAAATACTTATTATTATTATTATTATTAAATATATTTATTTAGTGAGAATCTTCATGGTCGTATGTATAAACAAACAATAGTCAGTCACATGATGATGGCGATCAGTCAGATTCTAATATTTACTACTATACTACTATATTGTTATAATAGCTGTTTGCCGATGTCGTCCCAAAGACTGCAGAGAATTTTAGAGCTCTTTGCACTGGTGAAAATGGGTGTGATTTCACCAAAGGAAATGGTTACCGGTGGTGAATCAATCTACAATGAGAAGTTTGAAGATGAGAACTTTATTTTGAGACATTCTGGTCCAGGTACTCTTTCAATGGCCAATTCTGGTAAAAATACTAATGGTTTGTATCTCTATTAAAATAATTACAATTATATTTAAAATTATGTTTACTAATTCATTTATATATATATATATAAATAGGATCACAATTCTTTATTTGCACTGAAAAGACTGATTGGTTGGATGGTGCTCATGTTGTATTTGGAAATGTTATCGAAGGTTTGGACGTGGTTAGAAATATGGAAGCTCAAGGAACTGCAACTGGTCATCCAAATTACCTGTTGTCATTACAGACCGCGGTGAACTTTAAATGAAACGAGAGCAAGATATCTCAACCAACAACATCATCATCATCATTTTCCGTTTTATTTAAATAAACAATCAATATTAATAATACAAAAACCTTTGGTTCTTCAACCACAAACAATAATCAAACCAAAAGGGTGTTTTTTTTTTTTGGATGAAATTCCCCCCCTCATTAATATAAAAAATTAATTTTTTTTGATGAATTTCATCTTTCATTGTTCACCTCTCCCTCTGCGCACAAAAGGTTAACTTCATTCCATTACAAAAGTTCAGTACTAGTAGTAGTAATAATAATAATTAATTAATAGATTAAAATGACCAACCCAAGAGTTTTCTTTGATATCTCAATTGGTGAGACCCCAGCTGGAAGAGTCGTCATGGAGGTAAGTTTATAAAGACTTTGATAAAAAGTACTCGCTACTATGTGATACGCGACATCGATTACTAATAATCTGTTTATATTGTTATAATAGTTGTATGCCGATGTCGTCCCAAAGACTGCTGAAAACTTCAGAGCTCTTTGCACTGGTGAAAAGGGTGTTGGTAAGGCTGGTAAGCCACTCCACTTCAAGGGATCTTCTTTCCATCGTATCATTCCAAAGTTCATGTGTCAAGGTGGTGATTTCACCAGAGGTAACGGTACCGGAGGTGAATCAATCTACGGTGAGAAGTTTGCTGATGAGAACTTCAACTTGAAGCATACTGGTCCAGGTACACTTTCAATGGCCAACGCTGGTAAAAATACTAATGGTTTGTATCTCTAGAGGAATAATTACAATTATCGTACGATTTAAATTTATACTATGTTTACTCATTCATTCATTTTTATAATATATAGGTTCCCAATTCTTTATTTGCACTGAAAAGACCGAATGGTTAGATGGTGCCCATGTTGTATTCGGAAAGGTTGTTGAAGGTTTGGAAGTTGTTAGAAAGATGGAAGCTCAAGGTTCCCAAGCTGGTAAGACCAAGGTCCCAGTCGTCATTTCAAACAGTGGTCAACTTTAAATGTGTAGGTTAGTCTGTCAACCCCAACCATAAGATAATCAACCCCTTTTAGATCCATGATGATTAAATAAATAAATAAACCATTATTTTCTATACAATCAATAAATATACTTAATTACTATATACATATGTTTATATATGTATAATCAATCAATCAATAAATAAATAAATAATGGAATAACAAAATGATAAATAAAAGAAAAGAAATGAAAAGATAAAGATAAATTAAACTACTTTTAAAGGTATAATTATTTGTTGGTTTGATGTTTTTTAATAGATGGCTTTCGTATAAGTTTTATTTCTTTACACACTCATCACTCAGATTTAGAGAGCTTGTGGGTGCTTCAAGTTGTAAACTTGCTTGGCGATACGATCGAGATCACGACGACCGGTGGAGGTGATCTTTCTTCCTCCCTTGGTCTTGTCGACTTCGACAACCTTGAGTTGAGCAAGTTGCTTCAAAGCGTAACGGATGACGGCACCGCAGGCAATGGAGGTGTGGTTTGGACTGTTACCGAATCTCTCCTTACCACCGTAGATACGTCTGAATGAACCAACACCTTCGTTACCGGTGATGTAGACCTTACGGGCGAGTGAAGCGATTCTGACGTATAACCAGTCTGGGTTGGCTGGTGGGAGCTCCTTGAAGTGAGCAGTCTTGACGATATCAACCCACTTTGGGACCTTTACACGACCAGTCTTCTTCAAGAACTTGGCGTAGTGAGCAATGAAGTCATTTGGGGCAACGTCCTTAACGGTAATACTCTTTGAGGCCATCTAAAATATATTAAAGTAATATATAGTGTAAGATACAATTGAATGAATGTTAGTTATTATGATCAATCATAAGTTTCTGTTCGAGAAAAGCATAGTTTGTGCCGAGAGAAAGAAAAAAAATTAAAAAAAAATAGCGATCAAAAACACCCTGACGATTGTGATCTATAAGATATACGATTGTGTGTATATATGTATGGTGTGTGTATGTAAATGTTAAAAGGTATTTATAATATATAGTATAATCTCTAAAAGTATTTTAAGAAAAAAAATAAAAATAATAAAATACGTAACATGTGACCTGTACATCCAAGACTACTATACTACTACTACAACAACGAGTACAACATATAATTGTAATGCATATTGTTTTGTTTTTGAAACCTGTTTAGTTATTATTCATATCTATAATTATTTTTGATCAAATTATAATTCCATCATGTGGCCTCTCCTCGTTTACCAACTGTTGCTGTATGTAGTAGTAGTAGTAGTAGTAGTATAGTAATGTATGTATGTATGTATGTAGAAGAGTATACTATAATATAAATGATGAACGATGAAGATGAAAGCTAAACTATATTTTTTTTTTTACTCTGTTGTTTCTCTAAAACTATTTTATAATACAATGACGCACCTTTAATCTTTGGTTGTTTCACTGAGAGCAAAAGGGAGAAAAAAAAGACGACACAAAGCTTTTGACAGACAAAAAAATATGAAAAAATCAAAAAAAAATAGGTGATTTGTGTAAAAAAAATTACGAACTTTTGTAAAAACTGCCCATCATTAAGTTTTAGTGAGGGAGAGAGTGCGAGGAGGCATGTTCAACAGATCGACCATCAAAACTAAATTGATTGATTTTTTCAATAGTGATTAAGACTCAATCAAATAATTATAGTTCTTTGTCAGTTGACTTTCCGGAAGAAGAAATTCTATTGCAATTGATTTTGTTGTTCTCTATTCTATTATAAACTAACTTGTTGATATATATGTATACTCTACCACAAGATCAATGTTGGACTATTATCATAGAATAGTTTTTTTGAATGCGACAATGTTTGTGCTTGTTTTCCAAAGGGACTAGTGCAGCTGCAAAGATCTTTATACAATCGTTAGTTTTATTGACAAAAAAATAAAAAAGTATTGTGGTTTGGCATTGTGTCGATTGGACATCAATCATCGACTGTATTTGTCCACCAGTAGTTTTGTTTTTGCAGTTGGACAAATACAATATCAATACCAATACTTGACCACGATGAATATTTATTTATTTATTATTATTTTTATTGTGACTACCAAAAACTAATGAGAACGAATGAATGGAGGTCATGATAGCTACAATTGTCACCAATCAAAATACTTGATACTTTTAGTTTTTCATTCATTGTGTTTGTGGGGTATACAAGCGATGCACCAAAACACAAACACATAATAATATTTCGAGTTTACTAATATTATTATTTATTCAGTTCTATTATTCTCTCTCTCTTTCTTTCTTTCTTTCTTTTCAATGTACCATTATAGTTTGTGAAAAAACAAAAAATAGAGAGAGTTGCATCGCGGGCATTATTTTCGTTTTGATTTTAATGAAAAATGAATTTTTTGAATTTTTGGCTTGACGAGGAAAGAGCAATCATGTGAGACTTGTCAAAAATCATGAGCCGAATCCTCTCACGAACACAGCAGCTAGGTAAAGATACACACATAATATACTTTGCCATATCCCCTTTACATTTCAAGCATACTATTATACAGCATCGTCAATCACAATGAGAGAGGTGATAGCATTGTGATTAGCATCATCATTCAATCGATCGCGAAGCTTCAAACATATATATATATAGGATGATTGAATGTAAATGGGATAGGGGAAAGCAAACAGCTTACAGGACTATTTTACTGATCATCTTGTCACCTCCCCCCTCTATCTACTATCACTCATCACAACTTTTAGATTAGAAAATGACTCACTCATATGGTCTTCGTTCGGGTACTAGATCCCTCTTCGCACGTGGTTTCCGTCAACACGGTCGTCTCAATGCCACCACCTACTTGAGAACCTACAAGGTCGGAGATATCGTTGACATCAAGGCCAACGGTAACGTCCAAAAGGGTATGCCACACAAGTTCTACCACGGTCGTACCGGTCGTGTCTGGATCGTCACTCCACGTGCTGTTGGTATTGTCGTCAACAAGCGTGTTGGTCCACGTATCATTGCCAAGAAGATCTACATCAGAGTAGACCACGTCAAGCCAAACAACGCCCGTATCGTTGCTGCTGAACGTCGTGCTGCCGCCAAGGCCGAAAAGAAGGCTGCCAAGGCTGCCGGAAAGCCATTGCCACCAAAGGCTCGTTTCCCAGCCCTCCCAACCAAGGCTTTCTTCGTCAACCCAAGAGACACTGAAGTTGAAACCATCGCCCCACTCAAATACGAACTCCTCCTCTAAAAAGTTCTTTTCGTATATTGTTTAATAAATTTAAAATTCTAGCTAAAAACAAGATGATTACATGTAGTACAAACATATATTATATTACACATTATATTATATATATATAGTAGGATAGGATTATCAAATTTATTGGAACATATATATAAATATATTTATAGAATATTCAATCCTCAATGTTTAAGGATATATATTCCACTTTCGATTTAAAATTAATTACAATTATTTATTATTTATTTATTTCCACCTTTTTTTTGGATTATTATTATTTTAATTATTCTTCATCAATATCATTATTTGGTATTGATTCATTATTATCTTCATCTTTCTTTAAAAGTGGTTTAAGTGATTTGGAAAAGGATCTATTTCGAATGACCATGACAATGATGAGGAAGATGAGGAATGAACCAAGTACACAACCAATGACAATACCAATGATGACACCGGGTGGGAGTCTCTTGGGGGTGATGACTTCAATGGTTCGACATTTGTGGGTGGTTGGGGAGATGTCGAGGTTGGTGATGGTACAAGCTTGGGTTCCACAAAATAGATTAAATACTTGGTTCTTTGTAGTGGCTGCATCGGTATTGTTGGCATATGAATTGTTGGACAAGAGTAGTACCGTCTTTGAACAATAGATACTGGCACCCATATCTGCATAGTTGCCAGTGATAGCTGTAAAGTTGACGGTTACAGTTGACTCTGAAACCAGTATACCGGCACCTTGGAGGATGGTGTGGTTGTTGTTGTTGGTGATATTAGAACGTGTTACAGTTGCTCCAGTCGTCTCATTTAGACATATCGAACCGCCATAGAGAGCATGATCAAATTGGAATTGTGATTGATCGATAGAGATGGAGCTGACAGACTCTGTAAAGAGAGAGCCGCCCGACCCAACTGCCGAATTGTTTGAAAAGGAGACTGCGGTGATCGAAATGTTGGATGATAGCGTCGATGAAATGGCGCCGCCCGACACTAGAGCATTGTTGGATGTGAATGTACAGTTGCTGATTGATATGGGTTGGTAGGTGGTGGCGGTTGCATTGCCAACCGACAGAATAGCACCTCCGTTGAGATGATTGTTGTTGGTAAAGGTGGATGCTGTAATGTTGGATTGTGACAGGTACAGATAGATGGCGCCGCCACCATACAGATACTTGGTGTTTGGTTTGTACGTGGTCAGGTTAAAGTCCAACGATGTGTGGTCATATACAGTGGTGTCGTTCATTGTCAATGTACCCCATTCCAAAAAGATGGCACTGCCATTGTACGCAGAGTTGTTGTGGAATGTCGAACCAAACGACTCGACCAATGTATTGGCAAGTGTAATATAGACTGCTCCACCAGACGCCTGTGACGAGCAGTTTGAGAATATAGATCCATTCAACAACACACTCGACAACCCATACGACGCTGGAGGTGTCGAGTTGGTCGGGAGGAAAGACTGTATCGAAATAGCACCACCATACTGCCCCACATTAGCATTGGCAATATAGCAATCATTAATCTCAATTGAAACAACCGAGCTTGTCACATTGGTCGGTGCTATCAAAGCATCAATCAACGATCCATTTCCAGAAACCAATTGGTCCAAATTAAATTGTATAGAGTTGATTATAATAGTTGTACTTGTATCATTCAAACCATTTGTAGCATCACTACTACTACTAGTACTACTACCATTAATACCAGTATTATTGTTATTTGTAATATTTGTAGAGGAGGGTGGAGGGGGAATGATGATGAATGGTTGAATAGCCATTTTGTAGGTATCGTCGTTATTGTCATTTGATATGATGACAGTATTATTTGGTATTGTTGGTATAGGTGAAAAGCTAACCGATATGTTGTAAATCAACAGTCCAGTGTTGTATTTGCCACTATAGGTACCGGGTGCAAGTAACATGGCAATATCTGTATCATTGACGGTAGTTGTATTGAGCGCCAGCCACAAAGACGAGCATGCATTGTCGATCGAAGTACCACAAGTTGCTGGGTTATTACTTCCCTTTGAACAATCAACATATATCGTTTTAGTAGCTTGACTCGTATCAACAAGTAGTACTACTACTAACAATAAAGTTGAAAGTAGTACTATCATTGTTGTTATATTATTATTCTTATTCATCTTTTTTTTCTTTTACATCGACTGTAGACACATATATGTGTTTAAATAAGAAGAATAGGCGAGTGAGTACTACAGTTTGTTATTGTTATTGTTGATGATATGATGATGATTATTATTCTTTAGTTTGTATATAATTTAAATCATGATGAAAAGGTTAAAGAACGGTCACTGAAAATTGACATCTTCTTTCATATTGAAGATCTTTGCACTTGACAAGTGTGAGGAAAAAATAGTTTAAAAAATCAATAAATATTTAAAATTTTGTATACAAATATTACTTGTACTTATTAGATATCTGGTTCATTGTAGAGTCTTGTTGTTTGTATAGTATAATATAGTCTCGTAATAATATAGTAGTATCGTAACATGCGCATTATCATTATAGATGTATTTATTATAAATATTAATTTAAAAACTTAAATTTTAAAGGGAAAATGTACAATTAAAAGGTGAGTACATTGTGTGAGATATGACTCCAGCACCTTGCATACCCATCAGTTTAATCATATCACAAGCTATAAAAACAATGGATCATGTTAATATAAATATTATTACAATTTTAAATTATTATTATACATACGTGGAACAGCAGGTAAATTACAAATCATAGGTGAGCTTCCTTGGGTACAGTATGGTTGAATATTGGTAGTCATACCCAAATATTTTATAGAGTTTTCAAACCAAAGCATATTTGATGCCGGTGCGAAATAAATGGATAGTGATTTTCCAGATTGGGTAATATTTAGTACTAAATAAAGAAAAAGGAAGATTAAAATTGGAACCTTTAAGTAAAAGATAGATAGATAGACCAACATACTTTCACAATTCGAGAATGTATACAATGAACAAATAATGTTAATAAATAAAAGAATGTAGATGAATTTCATTTTTTTGAAGGGTTAATAACCAATAAATATTAAATTAATTATTTGGAAAGTTATTTAAATAAAGAATAATTGATAGATTTGATTTATTACTTGATATCAATACTAAATCCCTATTTATAAATAGTTGATGATCAAGGGATGTGGAATACCCATGGTTGGATTGAAATCTTCTTCTTTTTTATGGATGATTTCTGATAATTACTACTGTGATGTTGTTGGTTGGTAAATATAGTACACTATGTTGGAACCACCACCATTGTATAAATGAATTACATACTATTATTAAAGTAGTTTGGATATAATTAATTAATTAGTTCACCTTAAGTATTTTATCATCATGGCAACAACAACCTGTCTGTTAAAGTGTGAAAGGTTCTTCTCTCTAGAGAGAGAGATGAAAACAGGATTGAGAATGCTGTATAATTAAACATTCATATTCACCCGTCATGTCCATTGCACGGTATCGATCATCAGCGATGAGGATAAACTATAGTTATACAATAACAATAAATCGATCGATGGCTATGGTTGATCTCAGGGTTGTGGGTTCTTTATTGGTATTCCACACTTATCCTAACCGCACCAACCCTCCTACCATACCATCACCACAAATGTTTTTCCTCAACCACACATTTCTCAACATAAAGACATTAACCTAAAAGGCTCTTAGTTTTGTTATCGAGATATAACCACAGATTACCAAAAGTTCATTGGTGTGTGATCCTGATATATCATGTGGACAAACAATGAAATTCATTACACCACCCACTTATAATCAATCATTATTTTATAATGTTTGGTTTCCATTTATTGAATTATTAAATATTGCATTGTTAGTGTTGATCGATCGTTTTAAAATAAATGATTGTGATGATTGTTATCTCTTTCTTTTTTTATTTCAGTTTCCATATTCAACTGACCATACATAGTGGAGCTATTTAAATTTCATTATCTTGTAACTAATCAGATTTTAATGCAAACTTGCCTGTGAACCATTGAACAGTAACAGAGAATCGTTTCAATAAAACAATCTCTGACATCTCCAAGGAATGTGATGATACCTCTTTGGTCCACTTTGAAAATGATTCAATCAATGTAACATCAAAATACTTTATCATATCCTCATTGTTTTGAATAATACTATCCAATACTTGACACTAAAATAAATAATAATAAAGAGTTAATTAATTAACTATTTTCTAAAATCAATATTATTATATTATTTCTTACAATATTATGTTCAATAACAGAGGGAGGCCAATAATCTTCAAGCCAATGAATTAATTGTACCAATGTGATATCTTTGATATTGATGGATTCGTGAAGTGAAAGCGATTCGAGTGGATTGACATAGGTGTAGTAATTTTCAAGGAACCCAGTGAGATTAATGTCTACCAGAGTCTTGCCAATATCCTTGGAACCAATGATACAGTCACGAAGGATATGGACAATGGGTTTGGGATCGTGTAAAGAGAGGAAATACCCCTTTCTAAGACGTTCGGGTACTTCAGGATGCTTGTCGACGATGGCTTGAAACTCTGTGTCTGTGCCACCGAGTAGATTATGGTTACGACTGTCCATGAGAACAATCTCAACGTCTCCTGTAACATGTTTACTAATGACAATTGATATCCAGTGTACGGCAACACCCACCATGAAAATATGTGCATACGAATCACGTGTCTTGAATCGGTGACTAATCTCTTGCAACTCTTTGATCTCTTGTAGTCCAAGTCGGTTGTTTCGCAAAGAGTCTATGGCCCAGTCTGGTAGAACCGTGATAGGGTACTGTTGCTTGGATAGCACATTGTCACTGGTCAACAAATAATCAATATAACAACGTTCCATCACACCCTTTTGGATATACTTTTCATTCCATGGATAGTAAGCCTTCTTTTTCATACGTGCCTTGTCAATGAGCAAGTTCATCGATATCGTATAAATATGCCAAAACAGCGGTCGACAAAGCATCCTATTTAAATATTCAATTGAATGATCCATATCCTCTGCTCTACATGCATTATAAAATGATATACCATTAAATAAACTATAATATCCACAACTAATATTAAAATAATATAAGTATTTTTGGTTCATTCAATATTGGGAATTATCAATGTTATGGAATCAACATACCTATCATTCTTTACTTGTTTTAATACTCTTGGTTGCCATATAGTTACAGTATTTTCCAATTTAGTTTCTTGGTTTATAATCATTTTCTCTTGTGTAAAATGTATGATTCTATCATTTCTGTTATTGTTATTGTTGGTGTTGTTCTGTACAGGTTGTTGTTGTTGTGATTGATCATTAATGTTATCATTATTGAGTAAATCCAATTTATCTTTTTGTAATTGTAAATTATTAAATATTGATTGATTGATTGTATCACTATCCAATTTAAATTTCTTGGGACTGTTTATATTCATGTATTGGTCGTCATCCTTTTGATTTTGTTGTTGGTTATTATTTGAGGATGATTCGTCGACTAGATCATTTTCCTCTTGTTGTTGTCGTTGTTGTTTCTCTTGTAGTTGTTGAAGTTGTTGTTCTAGTTGTTTTTGTTGTTGATCTTTTATATCTTGTTCATTGATATGTTCTGATGGTAACAAATGATTGTTTCGATTATACTGTAAACTCTTTACAATATCTTGAATGATATCTAATATTATTTCTCTTGGTATATTTACATTATTATTATTATTATTCTTCCCATCTTTATTTACTTCTATTATACTATCCATGATTATTATGTATGGTTATAGATACCTCTCTCTCTTTCTCTTTCTATGGTGCATATGCAAAAGGCGACCGACCAACTAGTTAGACGACGCGCTGACAATTGTCAGCTAGAACCGAAACGAGATTTCGTTTGATTAAATTGTTCTGTCAAGGACGCCACTCGCGACAATCACAAAACTACAACGTTACCCTCTCTAGACTTGTCCACAACAACAACAACAATTATATTAATATAATTCTTTGCAGATAATGAAATGATACTTGTAATGTTTTATGTTAGGTGGTCACAATGATCATATTATTACAATGATTAATTACTCTACTATATTAATATTATTATTATTGATGTGATGATAATGGTGATGATTGTTATACATTATATATTATCTCTACACACCCAACAAACTATGAATGAAATCTTGTATTACACTCTTCATTTATAAACATTATTTTATTGATGAACTAACTAACGTAACTTCAACTCACACTATCATGACTCAGCTGACGTATGAGAGATATAAATTTTAAAAATTATAAGGAATACTTCCCCCTACTCTTTTTTTTTTTTGGGGCAACCTTTCATTCAACAAAAGAAGTTTGTAGTTGTAATTCAATACAGATACTATTCATTCAATTGATTGATTTGAACTTGGTCGATCACATATGGGTGATAGTTATAATAACAATAATAATAATAACCATCATTTAAGAACCTTGCATCAAAGTAATAAGAGTGGTTATCAAAGTCAAAGACAAAGATCACTGATTCAAGATGAGACTGTAAAGATCCTTGTGATTGATGATATTCTTTACAAATGTAGATTCAAGCTAACTAAAGGCTCTAGTAAAAAGTATGTTGTATTGATCTATCATCAAACAATCATCATCATCACCTTAATATCCTTTTACTTACTTACTTGCTTTGTTGTTATTGTTTAGACCGCCTATCCAATCTGCATTTGTACAAAGATTGATCAACCAATTAGTAGTTTATCTTTTAAAGACTGATGATTGTTTCAATGCACAAAACCACATTGTTTGTGTTACCAAATGTATGTATGACCAAGCAATAATCTCGGATCATTATGTATGGAACACCAATACTAATAGTTTTGTTATTGTGATACAAAGATGTTCATAGAAGAGCACCAAGTTCATTTGTAGTATCAACCAAAACAGATGATGATTCATTAAAGTGTGCAAACAAATATACATTTGTTATTCATATCGTTGGTATATAACATACATATCACATGGCACGACAATCACTCAAGATTGGAAACAACAATTAAATTTAAATTGGTCCTCACACCCTCTTTGGCTCTTCTCTATCGCTTGCTTGCTTGGCCAGTGCTATTATTATTCCAAGAGTCGTACTTGCTTGACTCCTATCATATAGGAGGATATGAATTGGAACAACAACAACAACAAACTTGCCCACAATTATAACGTACATATAATAAATTTTTGGATGATAAATATATATATACAATTCCAGTTTTCGAAACATAATTAGTATATTGGAAACAATTTCTAATAATAATAAAGAATGGAATGAAGGGAAGACAAAGATAAGATAAGTCAAGTCTCTGATAGATTTTTTGGGGGTCAACGAAAAATGATGAATAATTAACTAATTTATTTAGTTCTTTTGACCGATGATGATACCGTCATAGGTTTGCTTGTACCATTCGATGGCGTCTTGACGGGTGACCTTGTGGGTGTAACCGACCTTGGATTGACCTCTCTTCTTCTTGGCAACACGGTAACCTGGACGGGTGAGGATGACGTAGAAATCCATACCGTAGATACCTGTGGATGGGTCGTACTTGATACCCAAATCAATGTGTTCATCAATACCGAAACCGAATGAACCGGTGGTGGCAAAGTTACGAGCACGGAGTTCGAATTCTCTGACCTTCAAACCCTTTTCGAGGATTTCAGCGGCCTTTTCACCACGGACAGTGACGTGACAGGCGATTTGTTCGTTACGACGAATGTTGAATGAACGAACGGTGTAACGAGCTAAATGAATAGAATAGTAATAGTAAATGTAAACGTTAGTATATTAAATTAAGGTTAAATGTGTAGAAGACTCATGCCCCCCGACCGATGAGTTTAAATCCTTCCACATATCCGATGTACGGCCTGCTTGGCTTGAGTGTGTATGATCCTGTGTGCTTGTCTTTCTCCTGTTGTCTCGTCTGTGCACTCTAACTGAATCGTTGAAAGAGAGGGGGTAGGTAATAGATAGGAGTACACATGTGATAGCGACGGAGGAGAGAAGAGAGGAGAGAAAAAGGAGAAAGACAAGGAGACGGAGATGACACGACGCATGTGCAAGAGCAGAGCAGGCCGACAACGGATATGTGGGAGGTTATGGGGCAGGAGTGCTTCTGTGCGCATATGAATACTAACCCTTGGAGTAGACTGGGGTTTGGCCAGTAAGGGATTCGAGTACCTTAGCAGCACGAACTAATCTATCACCACTCTCACCAACACAAATGTTGAGGACCAACTTGTCAATCTTGAGCTTTCTCATGATGTTGTCCTTCTTGGACTTTGGGGTGGAGGATTCGACCTTGGTAGCGTTCTTGGCGGCAGCAGACATCTATAAGTGTGTATGTATGTATTAGAGTTAGAAGATGTTCACTGTGTCTCTTTTCTCTTTCTCTTTCTTTCATTCTTTCTTTCACTAACCTTTATTCGCTTATTATCACTTGACGTAAAAGTAAGTATTAGATTCGGATTCGCTTATCTTTCGAAGCGAGTGGGCACTGCCATCCCGCCCTCCTCGTTGATTTTTCGATTTTTATTTTTTTGTTATGTTTTTCACTTTCAACCCGTGAAATAAAATGCCCTTCATCAACCCGAACCAACTGCACCCTCTCTTTTCCAACTTGGATGATCATTTCCAAGGATATATTTGTACAAATATTATTATTTATTTTATTTGATTGGTCGATCTTTTTGAAAATAAATAAAGATTTATACTTATAAGATTAAACTTACATATTCAAATGATTGATTGATTGATTAATTGGTTGGTTGGTTTGCAAGAATAATATGTTATTGTGTTAGAAAAAGAAATGAAATCAAGATGGTATTATTATCACTATTTAATATTGATTTTAACTTTACCCAGGTCAAGGAAAGTGAGGTGAAAATTAATTAATTTAAAAATTTGATGAATTACCCATGTTTCCTGCATTCACTCAGTTCTTTGATTATTAGAGATATCTAATTATAAATATATATTTGTTAGATAGATAGATAGATAGACAGAGGTAGACTGTGTAGTACTATATAAGAAAGAAGGAAGCGAGGACAAGATGAGTTTATCTCACTTTCAACAACTTGCTCAACAACAACAACAACAACAGCAACAACATGTACCATTGATAGGAGAGAATGAAGTTGATGATAATGGAGACAGCAGTTCATTGGAATCATCTTATATGCAATTAGAAGCATCATGGTTAATAAAGAAAGAAGTACCTGTCATTTGTAAAAGAGTTAGAAGAATGTTAAATGTAAGTATATAGATACATAAAGATGATTGATTTGATAGATACACATAACTGACACCTTTCATTTATTCATTCATTCATTCATTCTCAGAGATGTTTAGAAATGTTAAAACCAACTACACTAATTGATGAAAATGAAGCTAATAATCAACAACAAGAACAAGATAGAAATAATAATAATAATAATAATGGTAATGGTGGTAACAATTTAAATAGTCAATTTAGAAGAGCAAGTTTAGATTTTAGAGATATGAACTTGTTTCAAGACAACTATCAAGATTTGGATGATTTATTGGAAGAGAATAAGATTGGAACGATGAATATTATGTTTGATACTGCCGAGGGATCAAGAGGTAGTTTGGCAATAGATGGATGGTTGGTTGAATCAAATGACATTCAAGTGAAATTCAACAAACCTGCTACCAAACAAGCCGTTCATACACCTACCTATAAAACTTTAATTAATAAGGCTCATCCATGGAGAATTCAACAAGTATGTTTACGCATATGTCAAAGAGGACAAAAAGGAATATCAACTAATTATTGTTTGTGTTTAGATTCAAAATTCATATAATTATTTAAATTTGATATTGACAGAGTTGGAGAGTATTATTACTTTTACAGAGGGATATGTACCTATGGATACTTATGCATTGATGCGAATCAACCCACATATGCATCCATACAATCATCATAATCATCACGGTTCTTCAGGATCCAGTTTGAATCAATCACTTGGTGGTACAACTACCATTCACAACATTACCATTCAAGTGCCAACAACAACAACCAATGCTACTTCTACTTCTACTACTGGTGGAGATTCATCACCACCACCATCACAATCTACATTGACAGCTCCATCACCGTCATCTCAATTGGGTGTTTCAAAGGAATGGATGCCGTCATGGACAAACAGACACTATACACAAAACTTCCCAGAGTTGTTGTCACTTGTAGAGTCAATCAAGAAAATATCAGAGTGGTTGTCTTTGGCCAAGGACGAAATACTTTTACCAGGCCGTACATTGTTCCCTCACACGCTATTCCAACCAAATGTATTGCAACCACCTCTCCCATTTGAAATCAATGTCGACTTGTCGATTTCCAATTGCGAGTTGGTACTCAGTATCTATGAGTTGCACATTGCATCGACGACTACTAGTCCACCCTACTATCTACAACAACAACAGCAACAACAACAGGGTGTATCACCATCAGCTACCGATTCCAAACGTAAAACTTTGACCAATCCCATTAAAATTGTATCAAATAGTGTACAATCAATTGTAAATAATAATAACAATAGTAATAATAATAATAATAATAATCAACAGAATTCACAAAATACCGGGTCAAACGGAACAACAAATAATAATAATAATAATAATCAACAACAGCAACAACAACAACAACAACAACAACAACAATCACAGTCACAACAACCACAAACTCAATCATCATCATCACAATCTGGAACATCTAGTCCAATCCCAAGAAGCAGTTCACCAGAGAATAGTCATCTTACCGAACCAAGTGGACATCAAGGTATCCAACCATTGTATGTATTAATCATCATGATCATCATCATCGTTTATCAATAGTTGTAACATGTTATATTTATATATGTTTATTAATTAATTTTTATTTCCTTTTACAGTCAAACAACCAAAGGTGGTAGTTTACAAACCATTACAATTATTGATCATACAGAATTCCGTAAACCACTTCCATTGTTATTGGGCACTTTTTCATTGTTGACACGTTCCTATGACAGACTAGCAGATCTGAGTGAAAAGCTATTGGCAGTTTCGAATATTTAAAAATCGATTAGATCAATGGATCTATTGATCGACGGACGTGACTGACCATTGTGGTGGATTGATAAAATCGAAATTAAAATTAAAAATAAATATTACACAATTGTTGTAATATCACCAAAAACTAATAATATATTATCAACATTGATTATTATGATAACCTGGTCAATATTTTATATTTTATAAATTTTATTGTTTATTAAATATATATATAATTTACCTCTTTAAAATCATATTCATGGATGGTAACAAAACAAAATGAAATAAATTAATTAAATATAATTAATTAATTGGATGTGCATATGATATGTAAGAGAGTGTTAAAATAATGTTTGAAATTAATTGACATTATTGGCAAGGAAATGGTAGTGGGGCAATTAGAATAAAACAACAACACCCATCCACAACATCAATTAACTACTTTATTGATTTATTCTAGTTTATTTGAATGTTCCTACAACATATTGGTAGAGAGAATGTGGGGGTGATAACAATATGTCTTTATCTTGGAAAGAATATAAATGGAAGTGTTAATGATCATCGTCAGTTTGAAAAGAGAATGCCAAAAATGACAACAACAATTTAATTCTCGTCCGTCTGTCAATGTGGGTGATTGTAAATTGGAATGGTTTATAATTAAAATTGGGATATGGTAAATCAATCCCAATTCCAACGTGTTTTGTCAAGTGATGATGATGATGTTGACGCGTTGGATTGCATCGAACTAGCATCTTGAACATCATCGATATAATATCGAACGAAAATTGGGGTAGACGAGTGGGTTGGTGAGTAGGAGTGGGGTGGGGAAGTATCAAGAAGCTGGGATTGGTTATAGATTGGACAAATAAATTTGTTACCACCAAGTTATAAAAATTGTATTATACATTCAAAAACATACGAATGGGGGGAGTGTACGAAAGTGTTAAACATTGAGAGAATTTTATGTTTAGCCCTATCACATAGGTGGCTATGATTTGACAAGACACTAGATGATGGATGGATGATGGATGGATGTTGATGACGAGAGTGAGGATGTGCGATAGATAGGTGGATGATGAGGTGGAGTGGATGAAGAAGACAGGAATGAGGATGGGGAGGATTGGGTGGTGTTGGAAAAAATAAGGGACTGGACGACAGACAAGTCTGTTAATATACTATAAAAGTCGATCGTTTGACATTGTTTCAATTTGAATAATTAATAATTTATTATTATTTCAATATTCCACCAGCCTGTCAACTTCTTCTTCTTCTTATTCTTTTGGTTCATCTTCATCTCTTTCAAAAAAAAATAATTATAAATATTAACCGTTTAACCGACGATTTATTTTTATTATTCTCACTCTCTTATTATTATTAAATCAATCAATCAATTAAAATTAAATCTATTACAATCAAAATCAAAATCTTTTAAAACTTAAAAAAAAAAAAAAAATCAAAAATGATTATGAGTAAGTTCACAAACATCATCAAGAATACAATCTAAATCTAAATATTAATTCTTTTTTTTTCTTTGTTTCATTTTTAGAAATTATTTCTAATTTGGGTCTATCTAATCAATCCCAACAAAAATCATTGAATGGAAACTATTTTTCCAGTTCAACTGGCTCAACCATCCAATCAACCAACCAATTGAGTGTAGCACACAATAAACCAGGAATTTTCAATAAACCCAGTTGGGCTGCTTGGTAATCAAATTCTCTAACCTCTTCTTCTTGCTATCATCACAATGGATTGTAAAATTCAACCTATTAATAATACCAACATTCACTCTAATCTATCTCTTTTCTTTTCCCTCCTCTTTACAAATAAATCACCAACCAAACTTTTTCCATATGTATTTTTTTTGGTTACCCTTCTTTACTTGCAATTGAACTTTCTTAATATTCATCAATATATTCTAATGGTTCATCGGATCATAGCTAGTAGCCTATTTTCCCATTTATTATCCTTTTTAAATTAAATTAAAAAAAACGAACGATTGTCGCCAATGTTGATTTTTTAGAACGATCGTTTTTTATTTTATTATTATACCCTTTTTGTACATATATATAAACAATAACAATGGTAAATAGAGAGAAACAACAAGAGATTATTGATTGTAGATTAAACATATCGATATTAATATTCTTCTCTTTTCTAGAAAAAGAATTGTAAAAAGATTAAAGCTAAATTAAGAAATGCTGATTTAGCAAGAGAACGTCAAGCAGATCGTATCATACAAGAGAAAAAGGAAAAGATAGAAAAGAAGAGATCAAAGGAAGCTGAAAAGAAGAAACAACAAGACAGAATGATATTTGATGAAGTTGAAAACGAAGGAAATCAAAGAGGAAGAAAGAGAGTTAGAAGAGCTCCAACTCAAATGGATGAAAAGGATGATTAAATAGATAATAATAATAATCACCCAACGCAACCTATCCTCCTCCATTGACCAACACGAATAAAACACAACATCAACAACAACACCATTTTTGTAAAAAGAACAATCGATTGATATAGATAGAGATCTGCGCAACAAACCAATCTACTCTATTTTGAAAGAGAGAGAGAGAGATGCAATTGCTTTTTATTTATTTACTTAATTTCTATTTATTTATTTATCCAATTCTACCCATGGCTTGGAACTTCTAATAACATCAACTCTATCACCTACACATAATTCACCTTGGTCAGGATCATCGTGAACGAAATGAGTACCGAGAAAGAGACCATTTCCAATCTTACGGTAGGAACCGAGTGTACGCAATGGCTCGTTGTCTCCGTATGGATCGAGAACACCCTTTTCATCGGCGACAGTGGTAAGCTTGCAACGAGCAACACGGTTTACCTTTCTAAAGATCATGCCTCCGACACGGACAATGTCGTACGAGTCTTCTTCGTAGGCGTCGGTGCCGACCAAGAGGAGGTTGGGACGGAAACGTTTGTGTGTGAGATTGGGCTTTTGCTCTTCCTTGTTTTTCTTTCTCGTCTCGGTAATGTGTATGTTGAGATCGTCAATCGATGCCTGTGAGAGCATCATAACTTGAGAGCTGTCGACAAATGCCTGTTGGAATTGGTCGTACTCTTGGTCGGTGACTTGTTGTGGGTTGGCAACATGTTCTTTGTTGTGGTCTTCGACGATCAATTTTTTGGTCCATTGTGTAGAGACACGACGGTGGTATACGCTGGGGGGTGGCACTTGGAGCAATCTTATTCCATCTTTGCCAAGAGCACGTGTAAACCATTCGCCAGCAGTATCACCACAGTCCAATGCCTTGACATCATCTTTCCAGACGGCCGAGTCAATCACCAAACGATTCTCGTCCAACACTGGCACCACCAAATCCTCCATACCTTCCATTCTAACAATCAACTCTGTCTCGTCGGCATTGAATGCTACTCCAATATTTGCCATCTTTGGTGTTGTTCTTTGACTCATAAATCTTCCTTCATGATGTAACATCCATCTTCTATCATTAATAATACCATATTTATCAATGTTTGCTAAAGTAGTGAATTAAAAAAAATAATAAATAAATAGTTAGCATTATGATCATATATATATATCATGTGATTCATATTTTCTAAAAATAACTGCGTACCTCTCTTTACTTCAATACCTTGACATGACTTGACTATATAAATAAAAGAGTTTGTTAGTTACTAATATCTCCCAACCTTTTGTTTAGCTTGTTATCTATATATATTTACTTGGGTAGATGATGATCTTTCCGACACGAATAATGGAATCAGAATTTGATTTCTTTGATGATTGTGGAGCATAATACTTTTTGTAATAATAGAATGCTGATAATGTTGCAATGGCTAGTGGCAGTGCCAACAGCAATGCTGTATTTGATGATTGTACTGAACTCATATTAGTACTAATATCAAATAAATTAATAAATAAATAATTATAAACAATGAACTTGAACTGTGAACAACAGCGCAATTAATTTCGAATGAAAATTGTGTAGAGGTGGGTTTGGAGGTCACACGGAAATCATCCAAAAAGAGATTTTTTTAAAAACATCTTGTGGAACTGCTTCTCTTGATCTTTACGACGATTGGAATGAAACATGTCATATATGGTGAGATTCTAGTTGGTGATTCATCTTTAGAGTCTTGTTAATTACAATTAAATATATATATTGAGTTTATTTCGTTTCACATACCCAAAGCAATTTAAACTCTGGGTATCTCTGATAAAAGATTTAAATAATTTGATACCCAATTGGGATTACATCCATCTTGTTGTTGTTGTTGCTGTTGTTGCTGTTGTTGCTGTTGTTGATTTGTAGATGATGATGATTGTAGATGGAGATTAGTAGTACTACCTGGAAGATGTGATGAAATGGAAAGAGGTGGTGGAGAAAATGGATTATTATTATTAATATTATTATTGGTTTGATTTACATTATTAATGGTTGGTTGTTGATCTATTGGTTTCTGTATGATAGCGTTTAATGTTTCTCTTAGTATTTGTTTGGCTTGTTCTAAACTATTATTCAACTTTTCAATATTAAGTTTCTTTTGATTGCATTGTTCTGTCATGATTGATATTAATGTTTCTCTTGCCTAAAGATATATATTAATTGATCAGTACTAACTAGTTGCTACTAACTATTTAAATAACATACTTGATGAGGTCTATAACTATTTAAAAGATGATGAAAATTGATAAAGAGTAGAGAGATGTCATCAACCTTTGTCTTGTAGGTCGAAGGATTCTCAATCAGCGTTTCGAGTAGTTGTAGATAGTTGAATAGAATTGAACGATTGAGTTTCTTTAGTTCTTTGATTGGTTCGATATCACCAGCAGGATAGAGTTGAGGTGTTTCCTCACCAAGTGGAGGAAGCACATCTGTAGTGGCATAGTTTTGTCCAAATTGTACATAGGTCGATCCTTGTTGAGGAGGTAGTGGAGGAGGTAGTGGAGCAGGTAGTAATGGAGGTGGAGGTAACATCGGGCTTACCGTACCACCAGATCCACCACCAGACATACTTGATTGAGCCACAGGTGGCATAGCAGGTGATGGTACTGCACTATTGTTACTGCTACTGCTACCTCCTGTACCTGTTGTTGCAGCAGTATTGGCATTATAGTGTACATATAGTTTATAGAATGGAGGTGGTGGCGGGAATGCCGATATCGTTGTTATATTCTCTGTCATCTCTCTTCTCTCTTTATTTAATTTAAATAATAATGATCCATTTCATTCTCTCTTGACTTTGATCAAAGTTTTCTCTGAAGTCATTCTTTTGAGAGAGATGAAGTTTCATTTCTTTTGCACTAACTATCACTCTCTCTCTCTCTTTTAAATACATTAGTATCATATTGATATCAATCAATTATACTTACAAGATATAACAAAATGGTAAATAAGTGTATAATAATATATCTATGTTATGTTTGAAGTAATATTAACTTGATTGATTATTATTTAGCATGGAGTATTAAAAGTCAAGACAACAGAAGAGAAAGCAAGAGAGCTTAAAGTTAAAGAACTATTAAAGATTAAAGAGTATAAAGAAGTAGTTTCAAAGTTTCAAGAACATGTATGTTGTTATGTAACATAACTTAGATATATAATGATAATGATAATGATATTAGTCAACTAGTTAACTGACCTTTGTTTCAATTTAGAAATCAGTAGGAGTACTTGATCAAATTGGATTAGATATTTCAAAGACAGTATTGGAATGGAACCCTGAATACTATACTGTTTGGAATTATCGTAGAGATATATTTAATCATTTTGACAATACATTGTATGTTGATATCTTTTGATATTATCAAATTCACAATTACTCATCCGTCTATCTATCTTATTCCATTTAGAGAAAAAGAAAAAGTACAAGAACTTTTAACAAAGGAAATGAAGTTTATCGAGGAATGCATTCAAAGATTTACAAAGAGTTATTGGGTTTGGTTCCATCGTAAATGGGTATCTGTAAGATTGGAAAAATGTGATTGGGCAAGAGAATTAAAGTTGTGTTACAAATTACTTGATTTGGATTTAAGAAATTGTAAGAGATAGAAAGAGAGAGAGAGAGAAAGTTATATACTCCTATAGATATTAATTTAAATTGGTTTTAATATTAGTCCATTGTTGGAGTTATAGAAGATTTGTAGAAGAACGTTCAGGAATGCCAATGGAAAAGGAATTTGGTTATACAACTGAAAAGATTGAACAAAACTTTTCAAACTATTCTGCATGGCATCAAAGATCTTCATTGATTCCACAAATGTATCCACAACCAGAACAATTGTTTGAAAAGTTAAAGGAAGAATTTGAGTGGGTTCGTAATGCTGTATTCACAGAACCAAAGGATCAAAGTTGTTGGATTTATCATAAATGGTTAGTTGGTACAATTAAAAAGTAAGAGTTCTATTAATAATATCCACAGGGTGATAGATAACTATGTTATTAATAATTATTTCCTTTCATCTTTTTTAGGATTCCAAATTGTAATTATAAAGATGTTTTATTAAGTGAAGTTGATGAAATCAATGGTTTGATTGAAATTGAACCAGATTGTAAATGGCCAATCTATACTCTACTCACATTAAAGATGGAACTTGGTGTACAAGATAAATCAGAGTTGCAAGAATTGGTAGACAAATTAAAAACAATTGATCGTGAACGTATCAATTATTATTTATCTTTGGAAAAACAATGGCAATAAACAACATAGATATTTGTTATTATTATTATTATATTAATTTTTTTGTTTATTTACAAAGTAGTTTTTGTTATGCTATAATAATAAATGAAGTTCAATTATTGATTGTGGTGGTTTTTGATTTGTTATTGTTATGATGATGATGATGATTATTAGTGTTGTTTCTATCTATAAATATCCATATGTGGGGTTCTTATCTTGTCATTTGTTGACATAGTCTTGTTGGTTGTTTGATTTGATTTTTAAGGGTTATTACTTAATCGATTTCTATTATTTTGAGAGGGTTTAAATACTTTGAGTTGGTTCTTTTTGTCTCTTTCGCCTCTTTCTCTTTCCTTTTCTCTGTTGTTCTCACGCATGCTGAGCAGTGACTTTTCAGTCTCACGATCACGTTCTCTTTCGCTCTTGTCAACCTCTGGGGACAATGATTCATTCTCTTTGTGTTGTGAACTGCTGCTTGAATTTCCGTTGCTGCCTTCTTGTTTGGAGGTAGATGATGTAGACGAAGAGGTGGTACTTGATTCGTCTTCTGTAGCGGTATCTGATTTGACACGCTTAATGGATCCAGAATCACTATCCTCTTCAAACTTTCTCTTGTTTACTTCTTCTTGAACGGCATCTTGACCAGGTTCGATTTGGTCAGGTCGAGGTGAAGATGGAGGAGAGTTGCCATTTTTTGTTGGTTCCTTATTTTCTTGTTGTTGTTGTTCCTTCTTTTCATCAGCAACAACAGCAGCAGCAGTCTCTTCTTTTTCAACTTGCATCTTATCTTCAGATGGTGAAGTTGTAGTTGAAGTGGCAGTAGTTGTTGAAGAAGATGACGATGAGGAAGATGATTGCTCTTTTTCTTTTTCCTTTTCCTTTTCTTTTTCTTTTTCTTGTACTTGTTCCTTTTCTACTTCTTTTTCAACAGACTGTTTTGATGGTGAAACAATAGATGATGGTGATTCTTCAGAAGAAGAAGTACTAGCTTGTTCAACTTCTTTTTCTGGTTCCTTTTCCTTTTCTTTTTCCTTTTCAGGTTCCTTCTCCTTTTCCTTTTCCTTTTCCTTTTCTTTTTCCTTTTCCTTTTCTTGAACAATAGGAGTATTATTTTCTTTTTCTTGTACAACAACTTGTTTTTCTGATGGTTTTGGTGATTTATCGATTATTTCTCTTTCTCTTTCTCTTTCTTTTTCCTTTTCGACCAAAATAGCAGCTACAGCTCTTTCTCTTTCTAGTGATGCATTGGTTTCTCTTTCTATGCTACTTCTATTGTTTTCTTCTTTTGTAACTGATTTTCTATTATTGTTGTTATTATTATTATTATTTTGATGATGACTTGGAATGATTTCTTCAACATCTTCATTGTGACGAGTTTCAGGGCTTGATGCACTGCTAAGTTCCTTGCCCTTGTTCTTTTCGGTCTTTTTGTCATTGAGAGAGATATTTAATTCGTTGCTAGAAGGAAGGACGGGATTGTCGACCTTGGCATTATTCTTTTCGGCAGTTTCAGCGTGGACGAGGTCGGCCAACTCTGGAAGGCTTGGACCATTGTGCGATGATGGTTGGTTGTTGTTGCTGTTGTTGCTGATGCTGGCGATGCTGTTGTTGTTGCTGCCAATGATGTTGCCCAATGCGCTTGGGTTGCGACGGGCCATACTGTTGTTGTTGTTATTGTTGTTGTTGTTGTGGCCAGACGGTGAGTGTGGTTCGATGGTCATGGGGGCGTTTCTGTCGGGCATAAAGTCGCTGGTTAGACGCTCGCCGCCGTTTGGGCCGTTGGGACCGTTGTTGGGATTGTTTGGGTTGTGGCCCATACCCAGTGGCTCGTTGGGACCGTGGTAGTCAGTGTCGCGTGGACCTTCGACGATACGCTCCTTGTTGGGGTTGGCAATATGTTGCTTGAGCGTGTTGAGACGCGACTGGATGTGCTTGTTTTGTGAGTCGAGCTCGAGGGCACGCTGGTAGGCGTCGAGCGAGTCCGAGTACTGGTGACACGACTCGTAGAGCGTGCCGAGGTCATACCACACCTCTGAGAGGAACGGGTTGATGCGGATGGCTCGCGTGTAGGCGTCGAGTGCATCGCGGTACTGGTTGATCTGGTAGTAGAGCACACCGATCGAGCACCAAAAGGTGGGGTTGCGGCCATCGCGGTAGACGGCCTGTTGGTAGGCGTCGTATGCCTTTTTGTACTTTTGCTGCACCATGTAGCAGCGCCCCAATAAATACCAAGTCTGTGCGTCGGACGAATCGGAATCGATCGACTTCATCAAATAGCCAATGGCAGTGTCCTGGTTGGCAAACGCCGGGTTGTTGTGGTACAACCATCCCATCTGCTGCAACACCTTGGCGTGTGCGGGGTTGTCCTTTAATGCCTTTTCATACGCCTCTCTTGCGTTCATATATTCCTTTTGTAATTCATATACATGTCCAATTTGGAACCATATATCTGCTGTTGTTAATGGTTTTGGTGGCATCTTGATTAAATTATTGAAATACTATAAACAAAGAAAAAAAATCAATAAATATTCTAGTCTCTTTTTGTTTTTTCTTTTTTCTTTTTGTTTACCTCTAAACTTTGATCATATTTTCCTTGATGTTTATATAAAACACCAAGTCTAAAATATATTTCATTACTCTTTTCAAATTTACTATCCATCTTTAGAACGGCTGTGAAAGCTTCTTCGGCGTGATCATAGGATCCATAACGATCGTATAGTATGCCAATGCCATACCATAGATTGGAATCCTTTGGATTGGGAAGGTGATAGAGTGCATGTTGGTAGGCATTGTAGGCCTTTTGAAGTTCCTCCATCATCAAAAAACAGTGACCAAGGGCTCCCCAAACCTCTCCATTCTTTTGATCAATGTTTACGATACGTTGAAAATATTCAGATGCCTTTGGGAATTGCTCCTTGACACGGTAGATGTATGCGGTTTGTGTAAGTGCCTTTATCGAGTATGGGCTGTGCTTTAGTGCATTGTCGTAGGCGTGTAATGCTCGTTCTTGGTCGCCCATCAACTCTGCCACCATACCCATACGCAACCATACCACCTCTGAGTGCTCTCTGAATTTTGGTGAAAATATATCAGTTGCTGGATTATTATTTCCATTATTATTATTATTACTATTATTATTTTGATTATTGTTATTGTTATTTGCCATGGTTTTTCTATGTTTCTATGTGTGTCGTCTTTGTTTAGAAAAAAAGTCCAAATAATAATAATAATAACTCTATCAAATAATAATAATCAATTCAATTGATAGGTTGTTGTTTGATTGTTGTTGTTGTTGTGTTTGATGTAAGATTTATCTGTTGTAATCTACGATTTTAAAATAAATAATAAATAAAAGATTAATATCTATGATGATTTTGAACTTAAAATTTCCAATTTCTCTCTTTTTTTTTTGAAACACAAAATCACAACTACTACTATATTATACTAATAGTTTGAATAGAAATTAAAATATATATCGGTGATGATGATGATGATAATGAATAGTGTTTGTTTTCTTGTAAGAAGAGGATTCTAAATCCCATCCTTTCAAAGAGAGAAGGTGTTTTTTTGGTGTCTGGTAAGAGTAGATAGATAAACAACATAAACAACATAAACAACATAATACAAATAATATCTTTATCTACTCTTTGAAAAGAGGAATTGTTCCATCCGTTCAAAAATCTCGACAATCTTATATCTTTTGGTTTATCTATCCTATCTACCACTCACTACCAACCACACCCACTCACTCCATCTTTAGAGAATAACACTCTTCTCTTTCTCTCTCTTTTGCAGTCGAACCGACATACCGATGCTTTTGCTGCATTGGCCAACATCACTATCTATAATTCTAAAAGACTATCTATCTTTTATCTATCTTATCTATCTTGTCTATCCTACCTCTTTATCTCTAGCTTGCGCTTCGATGATGATGATGATGATGATGATGAATGATGATGATGATGAATGATTCTTCTTCCTTCTTTTCTTGTTATCCTGTCTAAATATTTGTTTGATTGTTGTTGAGTTTTGTTTGTTTGTTTGGTTGGTTGGTTTGAGTTGTTGAGTTTTGTTGTTGGTTTGGTTGGTTGTTTGGGTTATTGAAGATAATAAACAAACAATAAAAAGCAGCAGACTCCTTCCTTCCTTCCTTCCTTCCTTTTTGTGCTGATGATACTGACACTAACACACCACCACCACCACTACCACTACTACTACTACTACTTCTACCACCACCCACAGACAACCACCAACCATCACTACCACTACCACCACCACACGCTTCTATATAAAACACCCCATACCGCACTAAAAACCACACACACACACACATAAGCAACCACTTGTATGCTTGCTGATCACACACATAAGATATGTACATATTTATATTCACACACATCTTGCCTGCTATTGGTATTGTTGTCTCTTTGGTGTGGGCGGTGAGGTGGTAAGTGGTAGTGAGTGGGGGGGATGATTGATGCGATTGCATTATTGGTATTGTCGTCTCCAATCTATCTCCTATCCTGTCTCTCTCTATCTCTCTCTCTCTCTTCTTCTCTTTTATGACCAACAACACCGTGTTGTAGTTGTTGTTGTTGTTTGTTGGAGTTTGCATCCTTCTCTTTTCATTGTGATAATTGACTGAAATGAAATGAATGATTGAATGATTGTATGATTGACTATGCACAAAGACAAATTTAACCTATGTATATTGTATAAATATATATATACACAGGTTACTCCTTGATTGTTTGTTTGTTTGTTTCTCCTACCTTTCCAACTTGTTTGTTATTCGTGTTGCTCTTGACTCCAACTATAGTATGATCTATCTATCTATCTTGTTGTTGATATATATAACCTATAAGATCTGCTGACTGTTGTTGACTAATTGTTGACTAAAAAGATCGATCGCTATCTTGTTAATATCTATATCTTATCTATATGTATGTATGTATATATATATTGAATATTGAGATCTATGTATGAACGCGACGGGAGGGTGTTCAATACTAGCGAGAAGGGATAGTGATGGGAATAAAACAACTATTTGTTACAGATATCGCAGCGCAAATGAAAAAGACGCTAAACCACCTCTGTCTGTGTGAACAACCCAACTTGAATAAATATAAAAAAAAAAAAGGGAGATTTTTATAAGGGCAGCGACCTCAACCCTCACACTTTAAATAGGCAAACACGCGGTTTTGCAAAGAAAGAATAAAAAAAAAGTTGGATGGATTCCTTTGACTTTTTGTCTGGGTGCGATGAGGTGGGATGGATCATCACATAAGGTAAAGGTAATCGGTGTCGCGTATATCGCAACACCAACAACAACAACAACAACTAGTTGCATACATACTGTACTGTACTGTTCTGAATCAGGTATATACCAAGATTGATGATATCTAGATTAGATAGATAGAACTATACTATTACTATTATACTATAATACTGATACGACTATTATTTGATATATTTAACTATTCTGTGACCTGATGATAACAATAACAACAACAGCAACAAACAACTAATAATAAATGAATCATATGTATGTGATGTGATGGTGTGGTCGATAGTGATTGTTGTTGCTGTTGTGGGTGACGATATTGACAATTGTGGTCTTGGGGGTGATGGTGACCCACCACTTAGAATAATGATGATGATGGTGATGGTGATGGATCGATTGATTGATTGTTTGATTGATTGATGATTGTTCATTTACCTTTTTGATTCCTATCTATTCTCACAATGAGAGTTGTTGTTGTTGTTGTTGTTGGTGTGATACTGTGTTACGTTGGTTTGTTTGTATGTGTATTTCTCCTTGTTATACTTCTCTTCACTTCTGTGCAGTGGTGATAAATCTGATTTTAGTACCAATTGTTGCCTTTTAATATTAATACTAATAAAATGAGAGAGAATGAAAATACCAATATGACTATAATTACTACTACCTCGCAATCAAAGAGAGAAATATAATATAATATAATAATATAATATAATATTAGTTTGCCCAGCTAAAAGAGTTGTTGAAGGAACAAACAGACAGACAGGGGGAGGGAGGGGCTGGCTAATGGGATCAATAATAATAATAGGTGAATGGATGGAACCATCCATTAAACGTATCTGTCACCGAAACACCCCCTTTTGGCCTGATTGGTTGGATTTACCCAAAAGCAACCACACGCGGAACAGCCCCCATTTTGTGACCGTTACGGTCCTCAGTATGTAAAAAATCTGCGATCATCAAAACAAACAAAGATAGATTCTGTTATTTTAAAAATATTGCAGGATCACATTTATATTACCATTTTAAATATTTGATCGATCTTTGAGTTTTTGATCTCTTTAAATGATTTATTTATTTGTTTTTTGATTGATTGATTGATTATTTGATGTGTTAATGATTGATATGTTAAATGGCAAAGATTACCTTTTCTTCTTCTCCTTCTTCTCTGTGCTTTTTGTTTGATTTCTTTTTCTTTTGTTTTTTTTGTTCTTTTTGTTCTTGTTCTTGTTTTTTATCCCAATCTCTAAAAAGGTAATAACTTGGGTCACCAACATAAGGTGAACTGTCTTGTCCTTTGGATAGATTTAATGGAATACCAGATTGAAATTGATGATTGAGAGAGATGGCACATAAAATAAAATTGAATACCTTTTTATGAGCCAATTCAACATCTTTACCAGAGGCATTATATCCGTTAACAATTGCACCATACTCTTTGAAATGATTCATAATATTTTCAACTTTGCTACATAGAGATTGAATCCATCCATTACAAGTTTCCTGTGCCGATATTAAATTATTTTGTCCATGTAGAAGGGTATGCATACCAAGTATATATTCATTGGTTTGGTATCCCTTTTGTACACCTACAACACCTTGATTTGGGCGATCCATAGTAGGTTTAAATATACCACTAACTCTAGAGATTGAACTATCATTTTCTGATCCTTTGTATGGACCACTACACCATAAAACCTCGCATGTCCCAAGAGATACACCAATCTCATACTTTAAACCATAGACCTGTGTTTCTGGATCATAGTATTCGGATTTCTTTGTTTCCAGTGGACATGTAATGGTTTGTACTGCCAAACATAAATATTGGTACTTTGGATTGAGTGGGTCTATTGGTTTTGAGAAATCTTGTTTCAAGTCTAAAATTAAACTTATCGAATTTAAAGGATCATTTGGTATTCATAAAGAGGTGGCTCTTTACATGCACAAAATAGTTGGTGGTCCCCAAGATGTCGTAATTTATGCACTTGATTATCTGTTACATTATTCAACTCAGAAGCTTAGAAGTGAAAAGTTTAATATTAGACTTGAAGCATTGGAACACATTGATTGAAAGAATCGGTGTACCATTCAAATGATGATGATTATGCTTCTTACTTGTCGGATAACACATCGATACACATTGTGAATGTTTGCTAGAGCTTGTTTGAGGAAGTAAGTTTGAATATATCTCTTGGTCGATAACTTGTTGTTGATGTTCGCTGCCTTCCTATCTTTTTAAGATCATATCTTAGATCTCTGCTTGTTTCATTGATTCTACTCGAACTTGAAGAAGTTTGTTTCTTTCGAAAGACAAGAAGACAGAGATAAAAGAGAGAGACAATGTCTTCTTTTGGAACAATAACACCCGATCTACATCATTTTATATTGAGATCTCACAATCTTATTTTATTAGAACAAATTGTTTTGGGGTAGGCACGATATGGTTGTTATTTATTTTACAATAAGTTTTGTTACAAAGAAAAAAAAGTATTTTACACTATCTATCTAGCTAGATAGTTTGTTAAAATACTTGAGCGGCACCACGAGGTTCTTTTTGCAACGAGATTGAATAAAGATCTTTTTCGGGAGGTGGATTCAATTCTCGGATAAAAGTTTGGATGATTGGTACAATGTTGAGGTTGTAGTCACTCCATTGATAGGTTTGCACCTCTGAGATGACCTTGTACATCAATGTGTACTTTGAAAAATTGATGAGACTGTGTTCGGGGAGAATGTTTGGATTGCCCTCTTCGATAAACGTCAGATCCTGTAGATAGACACCGACAAATGGGATGCATGGTGGATCAGTGTTGTGGAGAATACCTCTGTAGCTCTTGTACGAACCTTCACAACTCATCTCCTTTTCCAGACCCTCCAATGTTTCCGTATATCTTTTAGATACCAATGCACGTGTAAACTTTAATCTCAACAATGCAGAGTTATTTAATCCACCAAGGAAACTCATCAATGTATTATAATTTTTTAATTCTCTTAGTTTCTAAAAACAAAAATAAACAAAATAAATTAATACTTGTATTTCTTTCTTTTTCTTTTTACTTGTTTTTTTTTGATTACATACTTCAGCAATTCTAATTACTCTTTCCATTCTTTTGGCTCTAGTTTTGACTCTGTCAGGTTCGAGGATTAATTTTACAACCCAGTGACCAATCTCGTTGAAACGGTTGACAAGTTTCAAAATGTTGGGTGATTTACGCTGGGCAATGGATGGCTTGTTCCAAGCTTGGTTGAGGAATTCGGTTGGTTTGATGGCACTGTAGAGCATAAAGTCGTAGAGAGTGATTTGACGGGCAATCTCTTCATCGTCAAAATCAAAGATGGAGCGTGGGTTTTTCATTCCCTTCATTCTTGATTCCGGTGCTTTACGAGGTGACGATGGTTGAATGGTAAGTGAAACTGAAAGTGGTGATGAAGTAGACACTGATGATCCTCCACTACCTCCACTACTACTACTACTACCTCCACTACTGTAGGCAGACCCAGACAAAGAAAGTGGAGAGTTGGAATTAGAAGAGAATTCTCTTGATCTCGATTTCTTTTGTTGTTTCTGTTGTTGTTGTTGTTTTTGTTGTTGTAGTAGGTATTCGTTGGGGTTTAAGAGTATTTGGTTCTTGGGTACTGTGAGTGTCCCGTTGCTACGTGTTCGAGAGAGCTCGGTTTTGAGCCCGCACGTTCTCTTTAGGATACAGGCACGGATCAAGTTACCGAGGTTGGGGAACGCCTGCATGAGATGGGTGTCGACAAACTCGACCATCATCTTGTTGGACACGAATCCAAAGTCTTCGTAGTGATGCTCGACCCAGTACTTGATGACGTTGGCCACACGCAGCTGGATCGATGCCTTTTCCTTTTCGTCGATATTGGCAGTCTCGGGCACCTTGAATCGCTCAAACAGCTTGGCAAGCAGTACTGTCGATGTAGTGTACGACGAGTAGGTCATCAACAACGTCTTCATAAACATGAGATCGTGTGTTGTCTCGGACGTCAACCGAATGATCAGTTTGTTGAGTGTACCAGCTTCGACCGACTGTGGATGATCCGATGGCACAATTTTACTATATACAATATTTTGTGGCGAGTCTGGTAATTCCTCCCAAATATTAACATTATTGGTTTCATCCAATTGTTCTAAATTTATCACTTCTTGTTGACCATGTTGATTATTATTTGGATGACCACTATTATTTGGATTATTATTATTATTATTATTTACTTGCTCTGCTACCTCTACTTCTTCATCTTCTTCATCTACTTCTTCTTCTTCTTCCTTGCTATCTGATGATCCACCATCAACTTGTTCTAGAGTTGAATCAGCAGCAGTTTCACCATTGGCGAGTTGACTTTTGTTGTTTCCTTGTTTTTGACTATTCAATTCAATGATTACACGATCATTTGGTTGTACACCAACTTGTTTTAAAGATTTACGGAAATCTAGATTGATTTCAGCTTCACCCAATCTCTTTAATGTGAAACCACGTTTTCTTCCACCACCAGGTGGCAACAATCCCAAGTTTGATGACAATCTCTTGCAAACATCTTCAATCGGGTCATTGAAATCAACATAAAACAAGTTTTGTTGACCTTCCTTATCAAATACTAATAATCTATTTGGTATTTCTTTAAATTCAAGTTCCTAAAAAAAAGAAAAATAAAAAATGGTTAATATTTGATTCATTTGGTTGATTGATTCATTTTTTGTTTCACATACAGTAAAATCATATGACCAAAGATAACGACTACTTTCAAGGATATGTCCATTATCTCTTGAAGCCAAACAAAATCCACTTGTATATTCCATATGTTCATTATGAGCAATCATTTCAAATGCAGTTGAAACTGTTACAAATTGATCAAATTTAAATGTAAACTTTCTATCACTAGACTTTACATAAATATTATATTTTCTACATCTTTCTTTAAATTCAATTATTGTCTAAAATAAATAAATGGAATGGTTAATATTAATCATTATATTATACGAATATATTGTTCAAACATACTAAACTTTTAAGACGATAATTTTCAAGTGTACTATCTTCATCCATCCAAAAACCTTCATCTTCATCTTCAGATGGGGTTAGATAGAATCCACATTTGTTGAGACTGTCTAGGAGACCTGTACGGAGACCAGTCAATTTGATGGCTTTGGAGATAGTGGTAGTTGGATCAAAACGGAGAATAAGATGGTTATAGTTGAATCGAGCAGATGAGAGACTGATAAGGATTTTGAGTTGAAGAGTCTTTTGTGAAATGATGTCAGTGTCGGTTTGAGCAGACAAGTTACGGAATACCAATTGTGACTGTGGTGGAATATGGTAGTTTGAAAAGAGATCTTCTTCATCTAAAAGGGTCTCTTGGTTGGCGGTATCAACTAAAAAGATACCATACTGAGAGATATCTACAGATGTATGGAATTTGAGATATAGTTTACGAATGATTGAACGTACCGAGGTGAATTGAGTCAATTTAAGTGTAGCTTGAGCAGGCAAGACACCTTGACTAAACCCAGGAATATGGATTTTTACAAAATTGATGTTGAGTTGAACCACTAGTAAATGTAAACGATCACCATTCTTTAATCCCAATTCAAGAATAGTTCTTTCTTTATGTAATGGTACTTCTAAATTTGATGATTTAAATAATGCAAATGATTGATGCTGATCTCCAAAATCAGCATTACCACCATTATTATTATTATTACTATTACTATTATTATTACCACTATTGTCAGTTTCCCATTCATCATTTGATGTTTGTCTAGCAGCTTGTAAACCTCTATGATGCATTAGATTTGGGATAACCAAACTTAACACTTCTTCAATCGTTGAACAACTTGAAAATTTGAATAGTTTTTCGACAAACGATGAAATATTCTCATTTTGTTGTTGTTGTTGTTTGCCAGACGGATAACTAACAAACAATAATGTTTCGGCTGGTATGGATTTGGATTCATGGTATACTCTTGGTGTAAGTGATGCGTTTTGTCGAATCATCTCTTCTAGTCTAGAGACAGACTCTGGAGTCAAGTCACCACCACTACTACTACCACAACTATTACTTGAATCTTGACCTGATACACCATTTCCATTATTGACACTATTAAAATCAACTTTACTTAAATCCAATGATGGCATTCTATTAAACATTGTAGTTTTTGGTTTGTATGGTGAATCATTATTATTACTATTATTAAGATGATTACTATTATTATTGTTATTAAGATGATTATTTGATTGTGGTGGTGTTGAATCTGACAATACTATACTACTAGTTGTAGAAGTATTGGGTTTTAAAACTTGAGGTGAATTATTTACAGATGATTGATTATTTTGATTATTATTATTATTATGTTTGATTTCCTTTTCCTTTTCTTTTTCTTTTTCTTTATCTTTTAATCCCTTTTTGAAAAGTTTTACAGTGATTGATTTTCTATTTGATTTTTTGGCAGATGCATTATTGTTGCTGTTGTTGGTGTTTTGACCACCAAGAGGTGACACTGCAATAGGAGATGAGGATGGTGAGGAAATCGGTGTGACATTATTAGAAGAGTTTGGCGTAGAAACTCCGTTTGGCGTAGATGAGGATAAACTCGTTGATGATGATGGGGTAAAGGACTTGGGGGATGATCCCAAGTTGGGAGTCGATAGAGATTGTTGGGTTTGTTGGAGTTGTTGGAGTTGCTTGTTTCGGACTTGTGGAGACATGGTCGATGGCGAAGACCAAGATGTTGGCGTTGGAGGTGGTCTACTTGGTGGACTCATTGTTAAATCTCTACCATTTAATAAAGGTGATGATGGAGCTGAAATTGATGAATTATTATTATTTTGATGATGATTATTATTATTATTTCCAGAATTATTATTGTTGGAAACTATATTTTGATTTAAATTATTATTATTAATATTGTTGTGATGATGATGATCGAAAGCAGCAGCTGGTGTACTTTGAGGTGAAGAAGAAGGGGAAGAGGAAGGAGATGAGGACGATTGTTGTTGAGTTTTCTGTTTGTTGTAGAATGGTGATTGGTGTGGTGAGTATAAGGGTGAGGATGCATGATGTTGTTGCTGTATCATCAATGATTTATTCAGTTGCTTCTTGAGCTCCTCTAGTTTGGATTGGGATGATCTTAGAGGATTAACTCCTTCCACCTGTTCATCCTCCTCCTCCTTTTCCTTTTCCACTACATTGTCTTTTCCATTAGCTGCTCCAGTGTGACCACTTCCACCACCCTTATTGGAAATATTGATATTGATATTGATGTTCCCACTGTTTTTATTGTTATTGTTGTATGGCGATGTTATGGTGTTGTTGTTATTATTATTGCCGTTGCTGTTGCTGCTATTGTTACTGTTATAATGCTGTTGCACACCTACCATTTTGGTGGTTGTGGTGGTGGTAGTTTTGGAAGAAGTGGATTCACCCTCCTCCTCATAATGATCTTCCATCAAAGCAGGTATCATCGATTGATTGGACTGTTTCTGGATATATATAAAATATTGAATATATAAATATATCTATATATGTAGTACTATATAAAATTTAAATTATAATTATTAAATTATTATAATAATACAATGTCGTTATGTTGATTGATTGATTGATTGATTGTTATGGATGATGTCGTTTCTATTAACGAAAAAGGGAGAGAATGGAAATCAATTAATTGATTGATTCACTACTTGAGGTTTGGTTTGGTTTGTTTTGGTTTGTTTCACCCACGGGTTAGGGTTGGGAGAGGTAAGGTATATTATGATAGAAGAATCTATATTTATAAAATAAATTGAAAAGTGTAAGTTTAATCACATGATATCATGCCAATATATAGTAATAACGACGACGACGATATAAACATATATATATATATGTGTTTGATTGATTGATTGATTGATTGTTTGGTGGTTTGGGTGGTTTGGGTGACTATAGATTTTGCAAAGCATCATATGATAGAGCAAGCAGTCTACTGCGCTTGCACTACACTACACTCTCCTCCCACAAAACACTCACACTCACACCCACTCCCATTCAATGTTTCACACGCACACACGCTGTTAATTATCACGAATTATTCCGTATGAATGTCTTCTAGCACAGATTTCAAACGGTCCCTACCCTTGTTTGGTATGTTTATATCTATGCTTTGTTGTTATTTCTTGTATAACTTGTTTGTTTGTTATTAATATTATTATTATAATAATAAATGTTTTGTTGTGTTGTGTGATTGCTAATTATTACTATGTTGTTATTCTCTCTCTCTCTCTCTCTGTCTTTCTCATAATACACTCCTACTCTTTAGTAGTAGTAGTAGTAGTAGGAGGGTTGTTGTTGTTGTTATTATTGCAATCAATAACTGTTAATTCCATTAATCAAACTTGTCTTGATGCAGCTGCTAACTTGACTAATCTGGCTTGAAGCTAAAGCTAGCAAGCACTAACTTTATCTTTAAAGAAGAAGAAGAAAGAGCTCTTTCTTTGTGAGGTAGGTGGTAGGTGTAGTGACGGCATGTGATTGTGTGTGTGATTGAGGCAAAAACATTACCTTTCAACAAAGAGATATACAATAAAACGATGCAATGCGACTAATAATACTAATACTAATAATAATAATAATAATAATAAATATACATGTACTAATGATAAAAGGTGATTTAAATATTTATCTATCGATAGAAGAGTGGGACCCTATCTTGTTGTTGTTGTTGTTGTTGTTGTTTGTGTGAAAAAGAGAGAATGAAGAATGTGAGAAGGGTTTGGGCTTCTTCCTCCTTTTGATGATGATGAGTAGTAGTCTGTCGTCCTACTTGTCAAGTAGCGTTCGTATTCTCTTCTATTGATGTTGTTGTTTAAAGAGGGAGAGAAGGAGGGAGGGAGGGAGGGAGTTGGCTTGGTTTTGTTTGGTGAGTGCCCTCGACAACCATAACACTCTGTTTTTAGCGTCTTTCCAATCTCGAAAACGATCTCTTAAAAATCGTATATACGATTTTCTAAAATACCACCAACCACAATAAAGTAGAGTAGAGTAGTGTAGAGTAGTTGATTGTTTGTTTGTAATATTACATACTAGTAGGATTTATATTATATGATACCGAATAGATAGATGGTTTTTTAGAACCTTAACTAATGAAAAGGTAAAACAACAAACAATGATGATAATATAATGGTTTGGGGATGGTTGAACCGAAATTTGATTGATTGATTGATTGATTGATTGGTTGGAATGGAAAGGTGGAATTGGCGCCGATAAGATATCTTCCCTATACCGATCCACTGTTACCTATATTTGTAATCATAGTTGTGTGGTGGTTGGTTGGGTAGAGTGAGTGTAACTATAGTATGATAGATATACACATATGATGATGATACTATTAAAAACAGATCCCCAACTCAACTCTTTTAAAAGTGAACAAACAAGCAAGTGGTGATGATGATCATGTTATCTATGGTGGTTCATATGATATATATATATATATAATGAACTAACTGATATTATTAACCTCACACCATTCCGTGGTGATGATGGTGATTATTTTTAGTTTTAGGCAAGATCGATCAGTCCACCCACACTCACACCATCCATCTTGGATTGATCCATTCGTCCATCCATCTATTCTACAATTATTGTTGTATTTTTGAGTCTATATTGTTTGTTTACCTGTTGATAGTGATGTTGCGTGTATTCTTTTCTTTCTATAGCTATAGGTTGTTATGTATGTTTTGAGTTCTTATTTCTTTCTATCTCTATCCTATCTCTGTTTCTCTCTCTCTCTTTTATTTAAATATATATATAGATAACTTCTAGAATAACTAATAAAAAAAAGATTCAAAGGGGCAAGGGGGATCGATCTGTTTTCGCCTTTTTGTTCCTCCCTTCAACTTCAAAAATATCTGTTGTTTGATCAACAGCTTTAAGTGAAAGGATCGATTTGATCCCCTGCCCTAAAATAAGCTCGAGGGCTTCATTTCGAAGGTTTTTTTTTTTTTTATGAACATCACCTCCAGAAACTCACTTTGCAAATACAACCGTTATTCATCAATACTACTTTTGATATCCATCCAAACCAATGAATTACTACTGTTCAGATGAATCAAAAGTGGTGAAGGGAGTCGATTTTTGACAAAGGGGCAAGAACCATCAAATCAGCCCATTGCCTTGGTGGTTGTTTATTTGTTGTGAAGAGGACTCATTTTAAATCAGAGTCGACAATGGAAAGAGGGTGTTATTATTTTGATTTGGTTGTTTGGTTTTAAATAGATATTGTATTTATACCAAAACAAGGGTGTGAAAGGGTTAAAGTTTTAATCGTCTTGCAAACAGTTGTTGTCATTGCGCAATGTTAAATATTTTTGTTGGAAGGTAAAAATGAAAGATTAAAGAGTTGGTTGTAAGGGTGTGATCACAATTATATCTTCAAATGTAATGGGGGTACTTATTTATTTTTTTTCAATCATTTAACATTTAACAACTATTAGAGTGAATTAAATATTAATTTCGACGGGACGAATTTGTTGATGTAATTGTTGGAATTGTTGATTATTCTTATCGAGTATGGTGGCGGCTAGGATCACTGGTGATCTATCCATATCGATGATTTGGTCGTGTGAGATGAGCTTTTGCATGACAATAGGGGGACATCCAAAGTTGGCGTCTCCTTCATCCATATCGATGTTTTGGCCACCAGTGGTAGTATCCTCTTGATCATCGAATCCACCGACACTGGGAGTAGAATCTGGAATTTGGTGACGTGGACCCTTACCAGTGTAAAAGTGGTCATAGTAGATCAACATGACAAACTGGACAGCTTGAAAGATAGGAACGACGACATAGGTGCTAAAAGCAAAAAAGTCAAATGGCAAATCAAATGCCAGCGACAAGATCGATGCGATACCACCACATGCATCCATCACCACAAAGATCTTACTAATACCAACCGATGATTTACGGTCATAGATCTCTTTGATCTGTGGTAAAAACCCAACAAACATGAGAGTGGTTGCCAACACGGTGACAATGGTTGAAACCACCTTGTTGTCTGGTCTACCATTGGTAGCTGCGCTCATCACTCCATAGATGATACCTCCGACAGCAACTGATATCACCAATGTTCCACTAAACCAAATACCCAACTTTTTACGTGGGAATTGTCTGTAAGACAAACATCAAATAAACATGTATGTTAGTACAAATATGTACTTGGTGTGAGTGTATGTATATTTATGTGATTACATACTTTTCATAAAATAAATATTGAAAAATAATGATTAAACAAAAGGAAGTAAATAGTAGGATTTGGATGATAAGCGAGACTGGAGACTTTTCATGGATGAGATAAGTTCCTAAAATCAAACCACACAAGTACCATGACATGAAACAATATGGTGATAGACCTTGAGTAGATGCATTCTTGTAGTTTAATTTAACTAAGAGAGAAAAGAATGGAAAGTAACAGACTGGTTAGGGATACTGAATTGAATGGGAAAATATATTATATATATTTATACATACTTTGAGGAATTAATTGGACAGACCAAATAATGGAACCCAAGATTCCAAAGATATTTGAAACAATTTCATTTTCCATTGTTTGTTATTAATATTGATTGATTGATTGATTGATGTTGTTTCTTCTTCTCGACAATGAGTGAGGGGGGAATGATCGTGTTAATCGTATTCTTTTGTTAAAAGTATGATGAATACAAGGAATAGTGTATTGATAATCTTAGCCAGTTCTGAATTAATAAGATAAATAGAATGTTTATCTATTATTAAATATAAAACAAAAAAAAAAGGTTTATATATATATAAATTTATATAAAGAGAGAAAGAATGATATGAATGAACGATATGAAATTTAAAACTTGTTGTTCTTGTTGTTCTTGTTGTTCTTTCTTTAACAATTGATTAATCAATTAAACAACAGTGAAGTGTTATAAAATGTGACGAAGTGGTCGGGGTGTGAAGATAAGATTGATTGAGTGATCGGTTGTTTTTACTTGAGAGATGTGATAGACTTATAAATTAAGTGTGTGGGTATAATAGACTGCTGTTGTATAGTGCTAATAATGATTAATGAATAATATAATAGACTGCTGCTTTCGTAACCGAATCTATGCTCTATTTATGCAAAATTGCAATTTTCCAAAACGAAACCTGTTTTCCCTTTTAGAGCGGTTATGATTAATCACCTCTTTACTCTCTCTTGACCTGGTCTACCCTAAACAACATAAATAATGATGATGTGGTGGATTGACCAAACCATTGTGACCTTTGCACCATGTCTCACACAAACAACAATTAAAAAAAATTCGATAAACAAACCACCATACACCTCGTCGTGGTGGATATTAAAAAAAAATCAGTTTAAACTTTAACACTTCGTCACGTGTCAATGGAGATCTTTTTTGGAGAAGATCTTGATTTGATTGATGATCATTGACCTTGACCTGATTTAAGTGGAATGGGTCCAATACTAAAGGTCATTGTAAAAAATATATATATATCAACATAAATATACAAATAATAATGTTACAAATAAAAACAAAAAATAATAGACTTGCACTTTGACTTGTAACAAGCTGGCAGTTTCATTATTCCAATTAATTTAAATTTAAATAAATAATAATCAAACAACAAAAATAGAATAGATGATGGTTGGTTAAAATTAAATTTTTATTAATTCACAAGATGGATACAACTCAAACAAACAATAATAATAATAAAAGTAGATAGATATAAAGTGAATAAAACATTCAAAGCATTTGAAGATAACAAATGTCCGATATGTGGTGATAGTCAACAACTGCAGCTGTCTGAAAGAACAGCACTTAATCATCATATTGCATTGTGTTCAATCTATTTCATGAGACACAATCAAATAGATGTAGATCAAATGTTGAATCTTGTAAAAGATAATCAAGACGAAGAACAAAATTTGAAGAGATTAGGATTAGTTCAAGCTATACCTAGAATGATGATGATGGATATTGGACTATTTAGATCGGTGGTTATTGTCAATTCATACATTCGAATAGTAGTGCCATCAAACATCAAAGACAAATCAATCAACATTACCAACAACAATTAGTTTTAACAAAAACACAACAAGAACTAGATTCATTAAATATATTACCTCAATACGACGGCATCCCAGTAGTAATACAAGTTGGAGAAGGTAAATGTCGTCTTTTGATTGATTTTTCCAGGGGTATATATTTGGCTGTGGAGCAAGTAGCTCAAGTCAGAAGAATCATTCAACAATCTAAATTGGTTACATATCTAACTGTTATCATTCGTTTCAATAATGAGGTACTTGAACAAGGTATGTGTGGAAATAATACATTTAGTACTATGAAACGAAAAAACTATTATTAATCTTTAGTACTATCTCTATTATAGCACGACCATATGTCAATTTAATCTATCAAGATCTAAAAGAGAATACAACCATCACAGAGTATTCATTCTATCACCCACCATTTGGAAGAATGATATATGCAGAGAGACCAAGTACCAGATTCTTCATCTCTCAAAACAGGATCCAGGAAAATAATCAACCTCACACACCAGCTTGTCTACCATCAATGATTCCACACATTGATAAATATCATGTTCAAGGGGTTCACGTACGTATTATTATTATTGATCATTGAGTAATAATATTGTTATTCATTTATTAAAATATTATTATTTATTATGTCAGCCAGTAAATCTTTTCAAACTCATATTGAACAATCATGTCAAGTATTGACAGGATCACCATTTATTAAAACTGTCAAACTGGAGACTGGTCTAACTAGAAATTATAATGTTGGAGTATTCAACCAATTCACACTCAGTCTACCCAATCTCGAATGTCTTAGATTGCGATGTGACAAGGTGGAAGATCATTTACCGATGGTCATTGAACTATTATATAGAAATCAAATCAAACACATGACCATTGATTGTAGTCTCTCAGTATTACAATGTCAACAATTATTCAATAGCATCAAGACAAACAAATCACTCATCTCTTTGAGAATCAGTCGTATGTTATACTTTATAACATATAATATAATAATAATAATAATATTAACTCTTATTAAACTATATACAGTTTATAGTGAAAGCAATGAATGGTTTCAATTTGTTTATGAGATTTTAAAAGAGATTCACATTTTCACAACATTGAAATATATTTATTTTAAATACTATGACCAAGATCTAGAGGACGACATGAAACAATTTAAATCATTGTCGGAGAAGGATTATGGTTATAAAGTCATTATCTATCATTGGACATGTGAAGAACCCAAAAAAATCCATACTCAATAGATCGATGGTAGATGGTACAATGGTTGTCTCCAATCACCAGTGATAATTATAAACTAAATACCAAAGATCTTGTGCTATACTTTTTAGCCAACTCTGTTATTGAGCGAGAGGATCCTCTGGTTGGTATTTCTGCAGATTTTCAAATAATAGTTGGTCTTTGGAAGTTATATACAAGTTGTGGATCACTATTTGAAAATCTTATAAGATATTCTTTTTAAATCTTATTATAATAATAATATTAATAATAATGGATATTTCAGTGGATTTAAATACTAAAAGTCATAATCTATATTTATATTTATACATGAGGAGGAAGGAGGTTTATTTATTATTTATTATTATTCTTTGTTATTATCCTTATTCTCTTTGTTATCATCATTGCAGTTTTTAGAGTCTTTATCGGTATGGTTATTATTATTACTGTGATGATAGTGGTGGTGATGATGGAGGTGATGACTTGAAATCATATTTTGGTGGTTTTGATCAATCATTATATCCGATTGATCAAGATTCCAATCGATTGGTTGTTGATTCTTTTGATTCTGTTGATTCTGTTGTTGTTGTTGTTGTTGTTGAATGATAGAGTTTGCTTTACTGAAATGTTTACAACCAAAGAAACTACTATTACTACCACTACTATTATTATTATTAGTGGTAGAAGAGGATGTGAATGAAAAGGGGTGTGATGAGGTGAGAATACTGTGATGGTTGTCTTCTTTGATGAGTGATTGTTTGGATTGAGCTTGTTTACCCCAGAGCATAAAGACGATACCCTGACGGTGTTGGGAGAGTAGCTGGATGGCACGGTCGGTGAATGTCTCCCATCCCTTGTCCGTGTGCGACTCGGGTGCCCCCTTTTTGACAGTGAGCACGCTGTTGAGGAGCAGTACGCCCTGCTTGGCCCATTTGTCGAGTATACCGTGCTTGGTCTGTGCACATACACCCAAATCACTTTGCAGCTCCTTGTAGATATTGATCAATTGTGCAGGAAGATGTTTTGTCGATGGAAGCGATGCCATTTCCTGTAGCGTTAGATCGGGTTGTCCAAAAGAGAATGCAAGGCCGTTGGCCTGGTCAGTGCCATGGTAGGGGTCCGATCCGACAATAACCACCTTGACCTGTTGAAAGGGGGTGATATTGAATGCACGAAACACTTGGTCGAGTTTGGGACACATCAACATGCCAGTGTCATCTTCCTTTTCGAGAAACTCAATCAAACGTTTGAAATAGGGTTGTTCAAACTCTCCTTGCAATACATCTCTCCATCCACTCGTAGATACGAGTGATTCCTTTAATCTCTCTCCATATGTCTTTTCTTGTACGGTTGGTGTAATGTCAGTAGTAGAATATTTTGTAACTTGTCCATCTTTTGATTGATATTGTAATCGTTTGGTTGGTGTAGAAACAGTCAAGTTTGTTGGTTTATCAATGATAGATTTTAAAAGAGGTGATGAATATAAATTATTATTATTATTATTAAAAGTTGGTGATGTTGTAGTTGATAGTGTTATAATGGATTGAATAGGTTGTTGATATAATAAATGACTAGAAGGGAATGATTGTTGTTGTGATTGTCCTATTACTATATGATCAAATGGATTATTACTACTACTACTACTACTACTATCTATGATTGTTGTTGTTGTTGTTGGTGTTGATGTTGATGTTGGTGTTGTTAGAGGTGTATCATTCTTTCTTTTCTTTACAAGTAAACTATTATGTTCTTGTTCAAGTTGTTGATTAAATAAATTATGTTGTTGTTGTTGTTGAATCTTATTACTATTACTATTATTATCGCTTATATTCATTGCATCATTATTGTGATTATGATGATTATAGTTCATTTTTATATCATTACTATATACAAATTGTTGTTGTTGTTGTTGTTGTTGAGTATTACCTAAATTGTAGTTGTAGTTATTGTAGTTATTATATTGTTGTTTATCGTTATATTTAAATATAAATGGTGTAGTATTTAATTGTTGTTGTTGTTGTTGATTCTGTTGATATTGTTGCTGTTGCTGATAATAGTTCTGGTGGTACTGTAAGTTCTCAAAGAATTGTACCATATTCTATCTTTAACTTTTCTATTATCATTTATATTGATTATATATCTATCTATCAATCAATATTAGTATCCACAATAACTTATATTTATGTATGATATATATTTGATCAAATATAATGTATGTCTCAAATCAAGTCAGCGAAGATGTCTCTGACCAAAACAAATATTTTTTTTAATTTTGGTCTGTTTTTTTGGTTCGTGGAATTTCATCAATCCAATCCATCCACCAATTGACCAAATATGGAATAAAGTATATGTTTTAGATTTATATTATAATATAAATGTATCAATTGAGTTTTATTTTAATTGAAATATATTGTTAAGGGAGGGTTAGGGGGGTTAGTTGTTTGGTTATTGACTATTATTATTGTTTGTTGTTTTAGAGTTGATTTTAGTTGTTATACATGTACTTTGCAGTCTTTTCACTTTTCATAGTATTAAAGATGCTTTCGAGTTTTTCTTGCATGGCAGCCATGGAAGAATTGATGAGGGTGCCGTGAAGTTTGAGTGCCTTTTCGAGGACGACTATCTGCTGGTCCATAGAGACACGCAGACAGTCGGCGATATGTTTGTTTTCCGGGTGTTTAGAGAGATATGGTTCGGTGAGGAAGAGTTCATAACGACTGACACCACCGTTTACAGAGGCGTCGATGATTCCATTCAAAGTCATGGTCAGAGGATTGATATTTTCGTTTTGGTTTTGTTGATAGCGATCGATACGCGCCAACAATTCTTCATTCTTTTGTACAATAGAGTTGAGGGCATTCTCGATGGGACTGACCTCGACCGAGATGCGGTCCACTACGAGCGACCGACGTTCAGTGCATGGGAAGGGTGTCTCGCAGACGAGGTAGTGGTTGTTGAGCCACAGGTCCTCAAACTCGTTGGTCGACGAACGGTTGGCCTGTTTCTTGAACGGTTTGCTATATAAAAATACATTGACCTTGGTGCGGGCGTTGAACTGCTGCACACGCTGCGGTACACGTTTCTTGCCGCCGGCAAAGGCACCGTCGCTGCCGTTGAGGTTGAGACTCTGGCGCTTCTGCGCTTCGGCCATGCTCGACACGTTGACCGAGGTGATGAGCACGTGCATGCCGTCCGACTCCATCACCTCTTTGCTGGGCGTCTCGGTCGATTTGAGCAGCTCGGCCTTGGGCCACTTGTCGAGTGTCTTGGTGATGAAATCCGACAACCGCTCAAACTCGTTGCCCTTGTAGATAAACTCGCGGTTCTGAATCGACGCGGGGAAGCGCTTGCCATAGTATCCCACTCTAAAGTACTCTTCAAACACCAGTTCCGACTCGTTGATCTTTTGATAGAACGTGCCCTGCTGGCGCAGATAAGTGGCCGCCGAGTTCATGTCGCAAATGTTCATGGTAAAGTGGTGGATCAGCTCCTTGAGCAGCGGGATGGCGCGTTCCCAAGCCTTGCCCTTGTTAAAGCAGGCGAGGATCTCTTTGTATAGCAGTTCCTTGCGTTCTGACTCCTTTTGCACGTGGAATGAGCCGTACTCGTTGTTGATGCTGTTGATGACCTTGTTGTGGTCCCACTGGTAGAGCGACGCGTGCAGCATCACCGTGACACCGGCCTCGACAAAGTTGCCGTTGGAAAAGTGACGCTTGCTGCACATATGGACAAAGCGGATAAAGTGGTTGTAGCGCTTGGTCTCTTGCAGGTAGTAGATAAGCTTGGCCACCGACCCAAAGATCTCCTCCTCGTCGCCACCCTTGATATCCGACATAAAGGTGGTGAGGAGGGTGAGGAACGAGACAATGTCGCCGATAAACTGCTCGGCCTTTTTGCGTATGGCGTCGGTTGATTTGCTCAACACCAACTGCATACACTGCACGTAAAAGAATGTTTGGAAGGTCTTCATGGTGAACGGCAGCTTGCCGTCAACCGAGCCCGCGCCAATAGTCGGCCATGTCATGCCGTCGCTGACACCCGTGCCAATCTCGAGCAACGAGTCAATCGTGCGTGTCATCAAGTCGCTGTATCCACCCGTCTGCAACACCTCACTCTCTAGCATGTCATAGTAGATCTTGGTGGCCACACGTTTGGCATCCATCGTATCGGATATCGACAGTTTCATGATTGGATCAATCAGCACTGGAATAAAGGCTGCACGCTCCTTGATGGGGACGGTCGTCCACACACGCTCAAATACACGTGCCATCTCGATACGGACATCTCCACAACGAGTCTTGAGAAAGATGGCTTTGGCAGGGTTGACCGATTCAAGTTGTAGATCCTTGCAGTTGAGGTAGGATGTAGTGAGCATGAAAAAGGCACGCCACATACCAAAGTCATAGGACGTTGATCCCTTGCTTGGCTCTTTACTCGAATAAAATGTAACATCTTCCAAGATACGAGTCATACGTAGTATAGTTTTGAGTTGAAACACTGTAAATGTCCAGAAATCGGTTGGGAACTTGGGAGAGATAAAGAGGTGTTGCAGACTCTCGTAGAGGTCGACAAAGAATGTCTTGTTGGATTGGACGGAACGGGAAAACATCTCCCAGTTGTGTACACCGGCCAAACGCGATGTGCCAAGGATAAAGGCATAGATTTTGAGACGCAAGTCGTAGAGTTGGTCCTCTGACATGATCGAGACAAGTGCCGACAAGGATAGCGACGGGGATGCACCATTGAGAGACGCAGCCGACGACGATCTACGCGACTTTATAGGTTGGGACGATGAGGCAATGACAAAGTTGATGAGTTGGAGTAGTTCGAGAATAGGTGTAAAGAATGACATCATCTCGAGCAACCACTCGTCTTTATCACGACCGCGCATCTCACTCTTTGTAATCATAATATCGACAATGAGACCGAGGATGGTGAGACACATGTCAGTCTCTTCAACCGACTTGCCAAAGTGGAATTGGAGTGTTTGAAAGACGATAGGGTGAAGTTGCTTACGCGTGTCCTTGTTGAGCATGAGTTGGCCGTGGAGGTAGCTTGAGAGTAACTTGAGTTTGAGCAAGTTGAACGTCTTGTTCTTTTCAAGGTGTTGAATGGATCGCATAAACTTGACGGCGATAATAGCCATCTCTTCAATCGTAAAGAATCGTTTGAGATCCGAAAACATACCTTCAAAGTTTTTGAGTGCGATGGTCTGTGCACCAATGAGCGATGGCGCATTGCTCAGCATAATCTCGCATAGAATATCCACTACATTTTTAAGATTCTTTTGGTACGTGTCGTTGGCATTGGCCGTGTCCTTGTTGGGGAACTTGGTCTTGCTAGCAACAACCATCTTGAATATGTATTCGAGTGCTTTGAGTGAGGACGAGATACGCGATGCGTTGGACGGGTCTTGGAAGTTATCGAGGTTCTTGACAACCGATCGCAAGAGGTGGGAGTGTGCAGACATGCCCGATGGCTGGCCACTCAAACTCGTGGGGATACCGAAAAACTTGCTGACATAGGTATCGAGTGCCGGACGGTAGTTGGTGGTACGCGAGTCGACCAACACACCAATGATAAAGATAAAGCTGCGGAAGATCTCCATCGAGAGCGGAGAGTCGTTGAGTTGCTGGTCGAGAATCGACAAAAAGTTGAAAAAGATCTCTTGCAGGTTACGAACGAGTTCGTGTGACCCAAGGAAGGTGATGTCCTTGACTAAACTGCTCAAGTCGCCCTGGAACGACTGCCAGCGTGCCAAGTTGACCACCAAATGGTTTTGGGTGAGACATGTCGACACAAAGGTTGTGCGGATACGGATGACGTCGCTGGTACCCTTTTTGTCCTTTTTGCCACCCGTCTCGTTGACGCCGTTGATGTAGGTGGCGATGGGCACGTCGTCAGACGACACTTTGTACAACTGGATTGTGTGCACGCCGTCTTTGATGATAGCACCGTCGTCGCCGATAAACTTGAGGTATCCAAATGCCAACGGTGCACGTTCCTTGTCCTTTTTCTCGGAGCACTGACGCACCAAAAAGAAGAGGTGTGACTTTTCATACGACTTTGATGCCATCCACACGCGGACTGTTTCTCCCCACTTGCCACTTGATCCCGACACAAGCACGGGTGTGCGGTACTCGGATATCTCTTGCTGGCCGTTGGCAAACTTGATCGTGTCGTTCATAGTCATACCACTCTCGTTTTTGATCAACATACCAACCTCGACGTTCTTGTCTGAAAACTCTCCCTCTTCAATCTGAACATACATGTCATTTCTGTCGTACCCTGGTAAGATGACCTCGGGAAGACACATCTTTTGAGAAATGCTAACGTTTCGCATCGCTATATTCTCGTTTAAAAAGTGAGAGTACTCTCCCAAATAATGTTGAACTGTGAAAACGACACCCTTGGCACGGGTGATCAACTCGTAGCTGCCAGTGTTCTCCTGGATGATCTGCTCGTGCAGGTTGTGGAACATGGCCTCGTTGGACGACGTGTACAACGTGATCAACACCTCGAACGCCGACTCTTGCTGCGCCGACAAGTCGATCCTCTTGACACCGCACCCAATAAACTTTTTAAACAACTTGTGTGCGGCTGCTGGCGTGGGTGGCATCGCGTTGTGCTGCGAGCCGGCCGTCGCACTGCTACGCGACAATGTCGGCGACGAGTTGGGGTCTTTGGACGACAACGACGACGTGCGACGGTAGATACGTGTCACCAAATACAACTCTCCCTGCAAGTCACGCGAGTCAAGGTCTTTGAAAATGGTGCGAATCTTTTCGTTTGGATTCTCTGGCTCGACAAACAAACCAGTTGGCGGAATCAACCCACTGTAACTCTCTGTCACGAATCGATTCTCTGTCTTGTTGTACAATGTAAAGATCATCTCCAAAAACTCGCCCGACGAGTACAAAAAGTTGTTGACTGACACGAGCAGCTGTGACGATGTGTGTAATGGCTTGTTGGACGAATCCGACGCAGCCGATGACGAGCCAGCGCTGGTCGATGGCTGGTTATTCGCACCCGATGCGGGGTTGGACAAGAACGACCCCTGCTTTTTCATGATGCCCGGGCCGCCCATACCAGTCGACCCCTTCAACGGGTTGTTCGACGCCTGCAATTTCTTGGACGCGCCAATTGGCTGCAACGGAGAGTTAAGGTTGAGTGATGACGTTGACTGTGATCCATTCTGTCCATTCAATGTAAGTGATGATGCTTGTGGATTAGATGTAACTGATATCGTAGAGTTTGATAATGATTGAGTTGATGATGTAGTATTATTCCCATTAATATTTAAATTACTACTAGAATTTGATGATGATGAAGATAAAATAGCAGAGGAAGATGGAGATGATCCATTTGATGACGATGATGACGACAAAGAAGGTAGAATACTACCACTTGATCCAAGTGAAGATTTACCTTTGATTCTAACACTATTGAGTAAATTCATTGAACTTGAAAACTTTGATACTTTTTCACCGCCACCCGATGATTTGTTGGATGACGGTGATCCTACGGGTGAGGAGCTGATCGCAACCGGTGCCGTATTAGATGTGTTGGCCGGTGTTCCCTTCTCACCCGACTCTCTCAACGACGTGCTACTTCCACCTCCACTAATAATTCCTATATTTCCTGAACTGGTGCTTGGTGATAGATTAGACATTGATCCACCACCACCACCACCACCATTTTGACCATTATTTATATTTCCACCACTACCATTTAATGATGATTGATCATTTTTTAAACTTTCTAAAATTTTAATATTTTCTTGTACTGCTAAATATTTTCTTTCTTGATACTAAAAATAAAATAAAGAGATTAATAAATGAAATATTATATAATATTTGTTTGGTTAATTTTAATTTTTACCATTGTACATAAATTAAATACACCAGAATTTTCTGCATCGGCTAATACCAAATCAGTAGCGGTACTTGTTGGTAAAATGGTATTGGTTGTATTTCTCGAATTTGAATTATAATATGTATGGATATTTGACATTTCCTTTCTTAATACAATTGACATTCCAGTCTCTTGTCTGCCTTCATCAATCACTCCTAATATTTTGTCTCTTAATTCAAATGTAATTTCCTAAATATAAAAAAGAATAAAGGTTAGAGATGATTGATCATCATTCATTCCTTATATTTGATATATTTACTTTTGGAGATTTAAAAGCCAATAATTGATTTTTAAATTGAATTAGACAAGTAATTCTTTGTGATAGAATCTTAAAATCATTATGTTGTTTGTTTTGGGAAAATATTTTTAATAATGTTGCCCATTCGACTATAGTTGATGTAACCTCATTGAGTAATGAAGAATTTGTCATTTCTTGATTCGTTAGTGATCTAAATGATAGATAGATAAACAGGTGGTTAATATCATATCCATTACATTACTTGATTTGTTCTTTTGGTTTCTTACAATTTAGTACTAATTGGAGTTGATGCTTGTGAAATGGAGGAATCTTCGGTATTTGTATTTTCAGGTAATATTACAACATATGATTGAGGAAAGATTCCACTTTCCTGCGTATTGACAGAAACACCACTGTACCATCCTCCACTTGCTGCTGCATTTGTCAATGATGGTGAGGTTGGTGCAGAAGAGTCGCTATTTCCATTGCTGCTGTTGCTGCTATCGGCTGTTTGTGCGTGTATATGTACCAAATCTCCAACTGACAATGGTAATTGGAATTTGTGAGACGCATTAAATGGAAACAATACAATACAAGTCTTTGAGATCTCTACCCATTCTTCAGACGTTGTTTTTCGAGTTGTACTTGTTGCCATATTTTGTTTCCAAGTGACACAAATTACTCTCTATTATTATTATTATAATTAATATATATATATTTGGTAGGGGGTATCTAATCTATCTTTCTTTTTTGAAAATTATATAAATATATATGTTGTTGAAATTTTTTGGATGGTTCTGGAAATGAAAAAAAAAAAAATTGAGAGATTCCCTAAAAAAAATTGTATACTATAATAATAATAAAAACTAGTTGGTTAGTAAAACTATTATTATTATTATTATTATTTTGATCGATTATTATTATTATTATTCTTGTGATTATTATTATTATTATTTTGTATTCTATTCTAGTTGGTGTAATAATTATTATTGTTGGGCAATATAAACCTCTTGCTAACCTGATACACACACACACCACACAGACAGACAGAGTGAACACAGAAGAAAACAATACAAAAGGGAAAAGAAAAAAGGAAATAATAATAATAATGGTAATAATAAAAAAAGTCCAATCAATCAATCAATAACAATCAATAATATTGTTGTTCTTGGTATTGTTGAAAGGTGGAAGAAGAATAGATGATGATGATGATGATGATAATAATAATATTGGTGATGATGTATTGTTGGATTTGGGTTGATTGGATTATTTTTGGGGGTGTGTGGATGCAATTTTTGATATCATCTCTCAATCTTTCAATCTATCCATCTCGTGTAATGCTTTTTATAATATAAATATATGTTATATACTCTTAAATTATTATTCCTCTACCAAAGTAGTTGGGGTTGGTTGGTTGGTTGGTTGGTTGTTGACCGATGACGATGTTTTGAGAGGAGGACGGGTGTTACATGTCATTTGTCATGTAAAACAAAAACAAAAAAGGGGAGTGTTGTAGTGATTTGATTGAGATTGATTTAATGATTGGATATTTTTTTGATTTACTGATTTTTGATCCAGTCAGTCAATCAATCCACAAAGAGTGGATATAGGGTGGGGTATATATTTTAATATTATATTCCAACAACTCTCTCTATTTTATATTATTATTATATTATATTATATTTTACAAGGTGGTGAACTGGGAAAGGTTTGATTTGGTTTGGTTTGTTTGTACCAATAAGTAGTAGTAGTCACATCAATACCAATTATATAAATATATATATTTTATAATGTTTACAACAACTGTACGTACAAAGTAAAAATGATTACTTGCAAAGGAAATGAGAAAACAAACAACAAGAGAGGAAGGAGGAGAAAGTAAACAACCACAAGAATGTATATAATCACTGTTGTTGTTGCAGTTGCAGTTGCAGTTGTTGTTGTTGTTGTTGTATTATTATTAAATTCATTTTGATATTATAGGTTTAGGTTAAGTTTTTGGGTGTTTTGGTGGGTAAGGAAGGAAGGATAAGTATATCAATTAATTACCCAACTAACCTTGTTGTTCCAAAGCACGGATGGATGGATGGATGGATGGATTGGATGATGTGTGATATTGTTGTGATAAAAATAACAACAACAATAGTGTCGAGAATAGAATCTATTCAATCATCGTTTTCCTCCTCCTGCTGATGATATATTAATATTGCTAAAGAGGGTATATTTCTAAAGCAGGTTATGATTGATGTCTGCTGGCCAGCAGAAGTGATCGGGGTAAAAAATGGGTGGGTGGAATCAATTGATTCCATTAGAAGCAGTCTGTCGGTCAGGTGAGGTGTATGACTGGAGATATATATATCACTACTACTAAATTTCAATTGTCGCATTTAGAAAAAAACGGTATATAGTGATTGGTGGGGGTTGGGGTGTGGGTGGTTGAATTTGAAACGGGTTGATGATGAACAGGCTGGCTGTTTGACCAAATACCACCCCCTGATATCATCAAATTAATTAATCAGCACTTCTTCTATTTCCAAATCCAACACAAAAGGAGGAGGAGATGAAGAAAGAGGAAGAGATAATTGTTGTGTTGTTGTTGTTGCTTTCTTGATTTGATTTGCTGTTGGTACTGATTGTTGTTATTGTTGCTTTCTTATTTTGCGATTCGTTGAAGTATTAAATATATATATTTCATCGAATATATATTTAAATACTATACTATACGACTATATAATACTGTACGAGGAAACGGATGATGATGCTGATGATAATACTGATGATCACCAACCCATCCTCTTTTATGGAGGGAGTGTAGAAAGTTGAGTAGACATTTTAAAATGCCCGTTTACATACAAATAAATAAATAAATAATTACCTCTCTCTTTAAAAAATGTTGGTTATGATGAACTGACAATAATAATAATAAATGACGGTGATGATGATGATGATGTATTATTTGTGGAGATGGCGGAAATGATGATCAATATGATATATATTAATTGATGATGATGATGGTGAAGATGAATTGTAATTTAAAATTAGATATATCTTCCCAGCCAGATGTATATATGGGAATTGCTGCTACGAATATTATTAATTGGTTTGGTTGTAAATTTGTTTGTTTGTTTGTACTCTCTTAAAGAGTAGTGGTGGTAGTGGTGATGGGATTGGGGTAGGTAGGTAGGTTAGGTGGGTTGGATAGGGGGGGGGGAGACGATTTCATTGCGGTAGGGTTTGAAGTGTTACACTCTGTTACACGCAACACTTTAAATATATATATATATATATTTTTGATTGATTGATAGAACAATTGTTGGTGTCTGTCTCTGTCTATTCTGTCATTGCTGCACAAAGAGGGGGGAGGGGTATTTTCAACGCACCACCATTGTCATTCTTTCATCGATGCACTTTGTTCATTGTCGCCACCCATTTACCAACAACCCATCAAATATTTGATTTCGTCACTGTGTCCTAGTTTGGGTTATGCAATGTATGTAATCCCCAATCAACTGTTAAACGTCACACAAAAAAGTAAAGTAAACTTTGGTACTGCCACATTAAATCGATGTGTTTGTTGATTGATCCGTCACACATATATTTGCGATATATGTGATAGTGGTTGGTTTGTCTTCTTCTTCTTCTTGTTTGTTGCTACGACTACTGTCTGTGTTTGTTGTTATATATTCTTCGTTGTTGAACCACATGTTCACACTTACTTTTAAATTGTCTGTATATATGTAGGGAGGGGAGTCGACTCTTAACAATTACTCGTAACTTTCTTCTCTCTCTCTCTCTCTCTCTCTAACTTTAACTCTACTCTCTTTCTCTCTCTAGTAATAGATAGATAGACAAGACAGATAGATAAATAAATAATGCAAAGGATAATAAAATAAAATAAAAAAGGATTCGAAAAAAGAGGGGCATCGCACACAGATTTTTCAAGATGGGTTTGTTTTTTGTTTTTTGCGTGGAGTAACTGACCGCGGTGCCGTCTCAGCAAAGAGTGGTTTGATCAAAAGACTTTCATTGGGTTGTTGTCCGATGAGATTTTGTGTGTAGCTACGAAAAAAAGTTGGTTGTCACAGGAGAGATATTTTCAGCACTTAAGTTCGCGTAGATAAGATAAGATATCTGGGATAATGACGAATCACACGATAATCATTATAATATCAAGGGTTAGGTCTAATCAGATTTCAAGTATTAATTATTTTATTATTAGTACGATTGTTATTTGTTATTGTTATTATTATTACAATTGGTGTTAGGGATGTTGTTGTTGTTGTTGTTGGTAGTTTGGATAATAGTATGTAGGTTGAGGTGGAGGGTATTGCGGATATTGAGTGTTTGGATGTTGTTGTTGTTGTTGTTGTTGTGGAGGAGGGTATTGGTACGATGGTGTTGTTGGTGGTGCATGATGGGGAGGTTGGTATTGTTGAGGATGATGGTAGTGATGATCGGCATAGATAACCGTTGTTGTAGTCTGTCCAAGATTTGGAGCAGACACTGATTGATGTGGATGTGGATAATGGTATGTTTGATAGGGTGTTGTACCATTATTATTATTGGTTGGTATCGCATTTGGTGTATATGAAACTTGTGGATATAGTCCAGATGAATATGGTGTTGCCGTTGCAATTGGAGTAGTATTACTATCAATATCAATATTATTAATATTATTAATATTTTTGTTATTATTATTATTATTATTATTATTATTATTTGTTGGTTTTGGTGGAGTTGGTGGAGGTACAGCTGCAGAGGATGATGATGATGAGGATGATGACGTTACTAATGGAGACCTGGTCATTTGTGGAAGTGGAGTAGGTGGAGTCATAATATCTTTAATGTCCCATGATGCAGATGGACAAATGAAAATGGTAAAGTCAACACCATTAGACAGTGATTCTCCACTGCTCCCAATACTACTATTCGAATCTCTTCTACTACCATCATTACCACTACTACCATTACTACTACTACTATCTGTTGATTTATGTTTTGATGAAGAAGAAGAAGAATCATTATTATTCTTATTACTTTTACTTTCATCCTTTTTAATTTTCTTTGGAGGTTCCAAAGTAAAATGTTTGCCTTGGTTATTTCGAATATCATTTAAAGATACATTGATCAATCCTACCAATGCACTTGCTCCAACTTTTTTATGATGATATGCTTCAATTATAAATGGTTGGTCAAGATTCTAGAATTGATTGATTTAAAAATATTAATATATTTCTGTCATTTTAAAAAAGTTGTATATTTTATATATGTAATATTTTAATGTATAATACATACACCGGCACATAGGTCATAAAATCCAAGCCTCATTTTCCATTCAACTAGAAAACTACTTGGTAATTCTTTGTAGAGATGACTACAGTAGACTTCTTTGTAACCAGGTGTTTGGCTATGGGTGGCAGCTGCCTTTTTATGAATATGACCGATAATTCCCATGACATTGGTAACATCTCCGAAATTCGAGAGTAAGGTCCCCCCAGCCAAGATTCCTCCCCCGGCTACCATACCAGCAACATTACCAAAGAACTCCAAATCCTCTGTACTCATTGCTTCATTACCAAGATTTAGAATCAAAGGTGCTTTTACTACAAAATAAATATCTTCAACGACCATCATCATTAGTTTACATTACATTATAAATATGATTATTAATTATTATCTTTGATATCAAAGACATACTTGTTTTACAATCAGATCTATATTTTCTATAGATATTTGTTGCTTTGACCATAAAATCGACATAGCTAATATGTTTGACAATTGCAATGTCAGGGTGATCTACAATCACACCATGTTTATGAGGTTTACTTGATACTTTGCCGCCGCCACCTGACATAATGATCTATCTATCTATCCGTCTATCTATCTATCTATTTATCTATCTACCTATCTATCCTATCTATCTATCTATAGCTAAGCTACTCTTTTGTAGAACAAAAATAAAAGATGTGATCTCTTGTTGTTGTCATTTAACTAGTTATTTTAAAATTCTAATTCTAATAATATTATGTTGGTTGTTGGCTGAACTGAACTAATCTGATCTGGTCTTGGTCTGTAACTCTTGTAATAATTATAATTAGAATGTGATAGATGGTTATTACATACATTATTATGGTGAGCTTATATTTTTTTCAACGATGTAACCCGTCCCCATTTCGCGACATTGTTATAACAGACACCCTATATATTCATTACATTACTGTTCTGTTGGTGTATTACATTGACAGTGTCGCGAAATGGGATACTAAAGGGTAGTCCTTGATTAAAGGAGAATCTCTTGGGATGATTGATGGCACTAAAAATTAAAAGAATAAACAAGTAATGTACTGTATCTGTATTTGTTGATAGGTGTTTGAAAATTTATACTTTGGTTTTGAATATTAAGATTTGAAGTTTTGGGTGATTGATTGGGTTGAATAACTTTGGTTGAAGTACACGTCAAAAGGGGTCGACGACCGCTACTGAGACCTGTTGCTGCTGTCTGAGATCTCACTCAGATCTTAGTTCATCATGCTGTTTGACAATGAGATTTAATGATATTATTGCTTTGTAGTTATTTTACATATAAAAAAGAAATGGCTGAATATGGTATTTCAAATTCCAAATATGCTCCTGAGAGCTTTAATTTATTTGCTCGTGCACGGTAACGGTGGGTACCTTATCTTTTTAATTGTGACATTTATTATTGTTGGCAAGTGATTGAGCTATTTGGAGAACATATTTAGCATGACCTTTTGATCGACTGCATGCAACACTATGACATTGCTGTGATAGTTCATTTTGTGCCAATTCAATGACCGTTGGTATTGTGGCACACAATTCTTTTGTTTGACCGTGTTGGTTGTAGTATCGAATGAGACCAGCTTGGAATTTAAGTTGACTGGGATACTGTTGAGCATATTTGGTGTAGAGGTTGTGTGCTTCATTCCATCGATTAAAATGTTCTAAAAACAATCCCAAGTCTCCAACAAATTCAAACTCCTCATTACCATCCATTGCAACCAATCTACCAATCCCTCCCTTTATCTCTCTATCACCTAATCTTTCTGCAATTAAATAATTATCAATTGCAAGTTGATAATTTGATGCACTAAATGCAATACTTCCCCTAAACAAATTAGAATAAATTAAATTAAATTAATAAATTAATTGATTGGAATAATAGTATTATTAATCTTTTATACTTACTTTTCTTGATAAATTTTTCTTAAATGAGGTGTAGAGATTGATAAATACAATATAAATAGTATTGTCATGAATGTGAATATACATTGTGTGAATAGTGTTGAAGAGTAGTATGATTTCTCAGAGTTGTTGTTGAATAATGGTAATGATGTAATAAATGAATAGACTATTACAACTACCAATGATGAGATGAACAAGTTGGTGTAGGGGTCTGGAATAAATTGGTATATTAATCCAACTGAACCAATTGTAATGAATAATGATGATACAATATTTCTTGGTATTGAGACAAGGTTGACCAATTGAATGATGGTATTGTATACCTTTAACCCAAAACCAACCAATAAATCAGAGAATTGTCTTGGTAATGTAAATACATAAAACAAAGTCATGAAATATGAAAATGTTCCAATTCGAAGTCCAGATGATCCCATTAAAACATGCATTGATATACCTGTAAATGAAACCTATATAAATTTAATTAATAAATTAGTTATTTTAATTTAAATATTATTAAGTATGATTATATATTCATACAATTGGATAAAGGAATGGAATGTGAAGAGCAAAGACTAGGAATAATTCAGCAACCAATGTTGATACGGATAGAATGGCCATAGAGTTGTCAGCTAGTATTGGTGAGATTGTACCAAGGACAGATGCTAACGTCTCTTTAAATTCAGGACCGACCATACGTGGCAGTACCGATCCATCTATCCAAGACTCATTTAATTTGGCAACAGATGTCCAAAAATAAACAATTGACAATTGAATAAATAATAATCTTATTTGCCATGGACATTGGATAATATTATTCTTTTCTTTGTCATTGTTGAAATTAAATGATAATGTTGAAAGTATAAATAATACCAATACCAATAAATAATGATGTTGATAATTATCAGTTTGACTTGATAGTACCATCCATGCTTTGATAGTAGCAATGAATAAACACTCAAACCTAGTTGTGCAAACAAAACCAAATGCACACCTGACTGAAAGGAATAATGCAGTGATTGCACAAATGATAAAGGTGGTGTCGTTGATAAGTGGTAGATGATTGGTTAGATAGAGGAGTGTACTACTACTACTACTAGTAAAGTGAGGAACGTTAAATTCACTTATACCTCTCCAATAGTTTGCAGCACGTGGTAGTTCATTCCAAAAATCAATAGCCATCAATGAAAAGAAAAGGAATCTAAATAATACCAATGTTGATACCCCAACTTGATTCCAACTAAACAAGAATGATCTCCTCGCGGTCAACAAACTATCACCTTTTCGAATGTTGCTACTTCTTCTTGTTTGATCATCTTTGATAGTGTCATGATGACTGGATATCTTTTTTTTGTCTTTTGTCTCTGGCACAGATCCTCTCCCATTTGTTCGATGACTGATGCTCGACACATCCCTACTAGATCGGTCCATGTCTTTGAATATAATGTATCTATTTTAATCTAAATGAGAAAGAGAATTATTCGTATTAATACTAATAAGAGTATCCTTGATGATGGTACATACATTCTTTGATAGATCGTTTTGATAATAATAATTAACTCTACACTTTGTTTCAATAGCTGTAGGTGAGAACATACGCCAGACGAATCGTTCGTCGTCTGTTGCTAGTAATGATTCTAAAGATATACTATCAATAGTATCTTCTTCTTCTTGGGTGAGTGAAGGTGATTGTTGTTGTTGTTGTTGTTGTTGATGTTTGTTGTAATAGTATCTTGTTGGAGGATACGATTGAATGACTAGAAATGCAATGACAAATATACTAATTATAATTCTATTATTCAAGATTGATTTCATTATAATGAGTACTAATAACAATTATTAATAATATCTGTCTCTATTTCTATCTCTTGCTTTGTGAAGTTCAATATTATTAAATGATTTTTTTTGGTGAGGGGATCTTTGCTAGTTTCATAATTTAGAAAGTCATATGACTTTGTGAATAAGAAGAGATAATTAACTAAGATGTATAGATGTATTGCTCAACGATGTAATCTGAGACAATCTTGGAATACGATAATGACAATGACAATGATGAATTCATCATGTTATTATTCATCGTCATCAACGACAAAGAAACCTCAATCAGATATGGATACGATGATTGAATTGGATAACAAGAAATTAACAAACAACAACAAGAAGAAAGAAAGTGTAGATATGGATGAAATTAAATCAATCATTGATAGAATACAAAATGGTATTCATAATAATCATGATCAGACGTCGATCAAGACAGATGATCTTGAAAAAGCAATCAAATATTCAACCATTCAACAATTTACAGATACTGTATTTGATAAAGTGTATCATCAAACAAATAATAATAATGAACAACAAGAAATATTACAATTAAAAGATACAATGATTAAAAGATTAACACAAATTGATAATATTGAATTATCATTTAAATATATCTTTAAATCTAATCAAAATAATAATCAGAATAATAATAATAGTAATAATCAAAATAATAACTTTGAATATTTATCATTCATTTCAACAATATTAAAATGTTTGGAATTAAATCAATCATTAATTCAAAATAATCAGAATAATAATAATAATAATAAGAAATTGATAAAAGATATAATAGATCAAGTTTGGAGAATGATAAAGATTAGTGGAGGACATCCCAACACTGAATTGTATAACAAGGTATTAGAGATTTATGCAGAGATGATGGACAAACAATTGGTCAATGAAACATTGGAAGAAATGGAGTTAACTGCAACACGACCAAACATTGATACTTACATGTCAACTTTTATGTTACTCGAACCTGAAACTTCAAAAAAATTAATGGCTAGTATTAAAAATCAATCATCCTATAAATCAGGTCCAAACAGTTACCAATTATTTAAAGATTCTTTTAATTCTTTTAATAATAATAAGGATTAAAAGATAGATAATCAATCATTTCATTTACAAAAAACAAAAAGAGATATTATTTATTTATTTTATTTATTTAATTTAATATTACAAAAATGGAAATGAGAGATTGATATATTATATATTATATAGTTAATCTCTCATTGAATTTAATCTTACACTTCTAGAACTACCACCTTTACTACTTGAACCACCACCATTTGTACCACCACCTGGTCGTTGTCCTTTCAAGATGAAATAGAAACGATTCTTTTTAATGATGGAAATGAGGACGATGGAGATACATATGGCACCAACAACACCGACTACTACACCAACTATAATCTTCCAATTTGAACGACTAGTTGAATCATCTTGACAATTACCAAAGGTGTTGCTACGAATGAGCAATGCACTAAAGTCAGGATCGAGTAGACATGTTTGACATTGTGGCATACCAATGGCAATGGTTGCCAATGATTCTTGGTCATCGATTTTTGTGAGATTAAGTAACTCTGTCTTTGAGTAAGTCTTTCTTCCATCAGACACTGCATAGTCTAGGAATCGACCAAAGAATTGTACACTGCCTTTGGTGACACGAAGGTATTGGATCGAATCGGCATTGGCAAAGTTTTGGAATGATTCAATTGTATTGACATTGCCATCACAGTCTGTTACTAGTTGATCATTATTAGTCTTGGTTGCAAATATGATTCGAAGCGTTGAGGTGAGTGTTTGGAATGGCCAGTTGGTCACATTGACACCAATCTTGATCGATCCACCTGCTAGCTGGATAAGAGTGCCTCCAAATTCAATAGATCTCGATTGGTTGGAGAACTCAACCGTCGACGTTACATTTAGGTTCGAGTAGATGGGTGACAGTGTCGAGTTGATCTGATGAGTAGTCAATTGATACACCATTGACGATAGATCATTGGTTGATTGGTTGGTTACATTCCAATTGACCGTTTCAATACTGTCTATGATCGTATCATCAATATCAATCTCTTGAATAGCAATCATACTAAATGAAAATACATAATCATTGTATGAAAATGTTGGAGTTGGATCAGTTTGATTTGGTGTAAAAATAATATTTGGATCTAAAGAAAAACAAATAATAACAATAATTAGCATCATGAAGGAATTGATAATTTGTTTCTATCTTTGAGACATACCAGGATTAGATTGTAATTTACAATCATCATACCAACCATCATCACATTTACAAATACCATCTACACATGTACCATGTCCATTACAATTATTTGTTCTAGTCATACAATTGTCTTGAGTTGGTAGTGGGTATGGGACAGAGAGGATAGATGTTCCAAAAAATGTGTCAATCTGTATATTTGTTGTACCTGGTTGTGGAACAACTGTAAATGCACACTTGATATAGGTTGCATTGGAAACAGATGTATCAACTGTACAAGTAGTCATTGTAGTATTACCAACCCAAACTTGTGCCGATGAATCTGCAAAATATCCATTTAAAATTAAATGTGTTGGAGGGTATACTGGTGGATCCAAAGAAACTGTTTGTATACTTGTTTCTAAATAATTAATTTCAGAGAGTTGGATTAATTAATTATCAACTTAGTAATATAAATATTTTGTTCTATACACATACTTCTAAAAAATGCAAAATTTGTTGAATATGAAAAATAAGGCGACACCAAGAGTAATTCTTTGGATGCTTGTACTACTGGTAATTCAGTTAAAATATAGTAGGCAGTTTTAAAAGTAGAATTGTAATTTGAAAACAAACAAGATACACCTCCAAAAGATACAGTTGGCATGAAATCAGAGTAGATGTACGAAAAGGTGACTGAAATATTGGCAGAATAAGCATTTTGATTCACTACACTGATAACAAAAGTTTTAAATGCACGTTCATTGATTTGAAATGTTTTAGTCGTTGATGCAAATGTAAATGTTTTGTATACAACCAATCCATCAACTTCTGGATCAAATACTGAACTATAGTATAAAAAAAAAAAAAAAGTTGGTCATTTTGTAAATCATTCTTTTTTTGTTCTAATCTAATCTTACGAAAGTCTTTTGTTTGGTATGACTTGTTGTAATCCTTGATTGATATCACCCCATCCTATATTTTCTCCATCTATGAAATACGCTCCTTGTTTAGAGAATAATTTATCTTTAAAAAATAATATTCCAGCTACATATAAAAGTAAATAATTATATTTTGTTAATTATTAATTAATTAATTATTACCCCTGTAAATAAATATTAATACATACAACACACATCACCTCCTGGATCTGTTAATTGAGTTGAAAAGATGCTTGATGAAGGAGAATAACACCACCAACAATTGGGAATACTTGTTATATTGGTATTTGAAATATGAAGTTCTCGGAGGTAACAATAGGTTTGTGAAAGTGTTCCAGAAATACCATTATTTGTGAATAAATTCAAAGCCAACCCATAAGAACTAGGTGATATGAAATTAGTTGGTATAGTTCCAGTTATACTATTAACTTGTAATACTCTATAAAAAACAAATGAACAAATTAATCTGAGAATTGAATCATTTAATTTAAAGTTTAAACTAGGTCTTACAAATTGTTAATTGATTGTGGAACTGTTTGAAATGGAAATTCAGATAACCCTGAAAATTGTACAGTTCTATATGAAAGATAGAAAGATAAATAATACATTTAATTAATAATTAATCTATGGATAATGAATTTAATAATGTTTTTCCTCGAACTTACAATGAATTTAAATTTGGATAATTTGAACCATCATTGGGAGGATTATAGAAATAATTGTAGGGACCATGTAATTTTAAAGTTTGTAAATTGGCGGGATACTTAAAGAATGGGATGATTTGACCTTTTTCGCAAGCCAATGAAACTGTTTTAATGCCATTATTAAATGTGACATGGATCGTTTCATTGTAAATAGTGGTCATCGATTGAAATGCAACCGATGTAAGAGAAGGGAATGCGTTTGCGTCGAATGTCCAAGTCTGATCATACTGTGTAGTTATATCAAAATCGATTGATTTCAACTTGGGTAGATACAATTGATATAATTCTGGATCCAATTGCATCAATGCAATATTAGCGCCTTTAATTGAGATTGTTTCAAGATTTGATCCATTGAAAAAATTTGAAGGAATTTCTTTAATATTATTTCCATTAAATATATTACTACACACATAATTATAATTATAAAAATGAATGAATGAATGAATGAATGATTAATAAAAATGATTATTAATAGGATTATTAATTAATTAAATGATTGATTGATACAAACAATGTAGTTAAAGAAGGTAAACCTAATGGGAATTCAGGTGGTATTTTTCTCAGATTAATACTGTTCACGACCTCTAATCGAACTAATTTAGGTAGATTCTTTGTATAATTTAAAATGTTTATATCGGGTGAGCCGGCATCTGCCGATGGTATGTCCAACTTCAACTCTGTCAATTCTGGGAAATCCAGAACAGTATTAAAGTCTGGAGATTGCAAATTCGAATTCAATGCATTTACAACCAAATTACTATATAAATATTGATTAATGATAGTTAGTTTAGTTTGTTGTGCCAACCACGGTGAGAAAGTAACAATACTGGTGGGTACATACATTTGTTCAATATGTCTTTCTCCTCCATTCGGTACTGAACAAACAAACTGAACAGGTGACACAGTTGAACAAATACCAGTTTCATTTTGTGGAACGGTAGATCCAAAAGCTTGAATTATAAAAATAGCAGAGTTTACTAAATATAGTAAATATATAAATGTACATACATACATACATACATACATACATACATACATACATACATACATACAAACAAAAAAAGAATTAGGTTATTTATTTATCAAATGATTAAAAAGAGAAAAATGATGATTGAAGTCAATCAACAAAATACTTACACTCGTTAAGTGGTATTTGTGCATAAGCTATTCCTGTACTACTACTACTACCACTAGAGTCTCTCAATTGCAATAATGATATGATTACAATTAAAAAGTATAATACAAATATCAAACTAGTTGTTGATTTCATATTGTTATATTACAATGTTTCCAATCTGTTTGTATATCTATCTATATATATTTGTTATGAATAAAAAGGATGGCAATGGCAACGATGAAGATGATGATGATGAAGGTCCTATTATTATCATTTTTTTTTCTTTAAAGTAGACAAATTATAATTAGTTAACTGACAGATAAATAGATGAGATACTACAAATATCTTTTGAAGACCAAAAAAAGTAAAGTGATGATGGATGAGCGAAACACCAAAAAGAAAATCCTCTTTTTTTAGAACCCGCCACCAAAAGACAAAAATCTCTTTCCTGCGCTATAGTACTTTCAGAACTCTGAGGAGAGATCAGAGAGTTTGCATTGTTAGTGCCTCTCGATCAATCGAATCGACGATAAAGAAGTAGAGATAGAAAGATTAAATGTTTTACGAGGGACTTGAGGAAAAGTTCAACTTGCACATCAAAATAGATCTTGGATGATTGAAAGAAAGTAATATTTATTTAAAAAAAAATACAACTAATAATTATTTACTTTTGATTCTATATTAAATAATATATTATTTAGATTTGATAGGTAATAAAACTCTTCTTCCAAAATATTTGGCAATAGCGAAGACGAATTCTACTGCCAAGGAAAGATCTATCAAATGAATTGGCTCTCTCTCTCTCTCCCTCCAGGAAATCATTTGACATATCTTTCCTTGGTGATAGACTTGCAACTAGTTCCGTCTCATCATCATCAACATCATCATCTATGATATATATATAGGTAAATATAAATATTATTAATAATAACCTCAACATTCGTACGTACTACGTACTAGGAACCACAAAAATATATAAAATAAAATAATGCATGTTCACTCACAGACACACAGTCGAGTCTCTCTTATTTTTCGTAATAGCTAGATAAGTAGATAGATAGATAGATTAGAACCATATAATTTATAACAAGAAGCTAGACATGTCTTCTTCTTCTTCTTCTTCTTTAACTACTACACAATCATTGCTAGAGTTGGTTGGATTCAAATCATTGACTAGGTTTGACAAGACTGCGCTATACGCATTATACGTTGGATTGTTTGGTAGTAGTATGTAGCTAGTTGTATCATTCACACATCATATGATGTGATATCAATATCTATCTATCTATCTAACTCACTACCTTTCTTTTATGTGTGTTGATTCTAGAATTAAGGGAATGTAATAGAATTGGAATAGACTTTCAAATGGTGAATGGAGTCGATGTGATTGGATTCTTTCATGAGAATATGCTTCAATTGAATCGATTCCTCCCTGCACTGTATAATATGATTGAAGAGGTGAGACTGAGTATTCCTCTATGCAAGAAGCTTGCCACACCAACTGTACTCGGACAACTATTGGATATGGCAAAACATCAGAATGTAGTAGAGAGTAGATCTACCTTTTACCCATTGACAGAGTATCAAGCTGATCGTGTATTCATCTATACTCTATCACGTAGTATACAAGCTTGTCTAATTGAATTAATTGGTCTAATATTACCTCATTGTATGTAGTAGTATAAACATATATGTATATTTTATATTTAATATCTATATTTATATTTATATTTATGTGTATATATATATATATATATATATATATAAATAGTCCAAGATATCAATGAAATACCATTTAAAAAGATTATAAAGTATGCTGGAAGAGGAGGATACCCTGTTGAAATCATGGTTGCTAGTAAATTGGCAGGACTTTTATTGGATCGTCCGAGCAAGGAGATGGCACTGTTGGCCGTACAGAATGGTGTACATAGTTTGTTTCTAAAACAATTGCGACATGATCAAAGAGGTGAATTTTGGAAGTTAAAAGTAGCACTCTATCGAATGATCATTGTTCATTTGGAGGGTGAAGAGAATACTCGAAAATACTTTACTGATCCACAAGATTTAAAAGATGCACTCGTCATACTAAACGACACTAACCAAATCAGAAGACTATACTATCTCAAAGTACCACACCGTGTCATGGGTGCTCAAAGTCACAACAATTTCAGAGAGATGGTGTTTGGATCATTGTACGGATTATTTAGTGGATTCATATATGGTATATTAAGGAAAAAGTTTGATTACAACAATAATAATAATATTAATAATAATAGTAGTAATCATTCAAATTCAAATTCAAATTCAACAATGTCAGCATTACAGTATGGATTAATATTGGGAATGAGTTGGATGGCATTAAGATCGATTAGATTTATATCAGTACTGCATTTTAGTTTGATGAGGCGTATCTACACAACGAGATATCTTAGACTGCTCGATGTACTCGTTCTAGACTACCCAATGTATGTCACCAAATACATGTTTATCAAGAATTATCCTATTGTCGAATCACTCTACACACTCTTGATTGTAGGGTTAGGTCTCATACGACAAAAACAAAATCATTCAATGTATAATATTTATTTAGAGTCGCAGTACTACCAATCATATCGATCAAAATCAACATTAAAAGATTATAAAAAGCCAGATAATAATCATATTGACCTAGATATCAATATTTAACAAAACAACCAATGTAAATAAATAATATTAATGTAAATAATATATACAAAAATAAATTAATTAAAATTTCTGTTTTCAAGACGAGTCTTGAGGAGAGGATCTTTCTTTTTAGCTATTTTGATTATAATGCAATAGTTTAGAGATATATATATATATATATCTATAGATAGATAGGAAGAGTCAAAGAGTAAAGAGTAAAGAGATGGTGAAGATTATTCTCGAGAATAATGTAGTGACTATGATACATGCTGGGGTAGGTCGAATGATAGGTCGTATAACAACAACCAAAACATGGGATTATATTGGGTTTCAAAGTATATTGGATTCATTCACATCGAGACACAAGATTGTAAAGATTGCATTATCTCTATTTTTTGTTTATTCTGTTGGTGAGAGTATGTACTCTTTATTGTAATGAATCAAACTATAGTTATACTAAACTACTACTTTTTTTTTTTTTGTTTGTTAGGAATATTGTTAACATATAAAAATGTTAAAAGATCACAAAGACAATATGAAATAGCCAAACAAGTAGTTGAACTAATGAATATGATACCTGATGAATCTCAAAACGATTACAACTCGTTGGTACTCAGTTTACTTAATCTCTCTAATCAAGATTATCGTGTCAGAAAACTAATGGCGACCCGTCAATCAACCAAAATCCTCATTCAAATCACCTACACATACATACGAGCCTACTACAAGGCAGTACGAGGAACACAACCATCAGAGACACAAATCGATACTGTCTTTATCCGATTACTCTATTCTGATTTAACTTCATCTGCTGCCATGTCACTTTTAAATAATTTACTTTATCATTGTAAGTATTAAAAGAGAGAGGAGAGTAGAGTAGAGTAGATTTGAATTAATTATATTTATTATTTGTTAATTTGTTTATTTATTTAGTTGATAAAATTGAAGATATACCATTTGAAGATATGATGTATTTAGTAAGAGAAGGAGGATTTCCAATGGAAGTGATGGTAGGAAATGTATTGGCAAACTTTATCTTATCGAGGAATAGTATAAATGTGATTAGATTGTACTTTTATCACGGGATACATACTCTATTTTTTAAATTACTTGCGTCAGAGGTTGGTAATCAATTTGATACCATTAGAAAGGCAACTAAAATGATGGTATATGAAATTGGTAGAATTGAAGATCGTCGTCGTATATCCTCTTCTTCTTCTTCTGATCAGTTACATCCAATGTACAAAGATGATGATGATGCTATGCGTCAAATGTATGATAGTATTTCATTTTTGGGACCTGTCCCAAAGTTTATTCACAAGTTTTCAGTTGACCATCGCGAAAGATTATTGTCAATTGTATTATCTACACTTATCTCATTTTCATGTGGTGCTACTTTTGGTTGGAAATATCACGGTGGATCAATTAAACATTCTTTGATCGTCGGTACGGTATGGGGAACACTCAGATTATCTCGATCTCTTCTAATGGAATACAGCGATCGTATGACCAAAGATAATCCCAGTCTTCCACAAATGGTCCTTCAAATGGGTGTCGTCGCACCACTCTGCTTTTTAAATATGTTGACATTACTTACATTCCCTCGAATAGGGTTCCATGTCGGACTATACCTACTCGAAAAGAACGATCAATGGTCACGCGGTTACCGAAAGTTTAGGTATCTCCAAAATCAATTATACAATGAATTTAAATCTAAAATATATATTGATACATTCAACACACCAATTCCAAATGCACTTAAAGAATAACTAACTAATATAATATACACTTTTGTAAAAATAAAGAAAAAATAACGAGCTTTAAGGCTTTATCACAAGTCAAATTCGACGTATCTTCACTTTTCGCAAGATAATTATTCTTTATTATAATTATTCTTTGCACAAAGACAACATGATGATGATGATGTGCCGTAAACCAACATATGCATGATGATTAAGTATTTTTATACATATAATATATATATATTATAGATAGATAATAGAGATATAGAGATATATAGTCAAGAGAGAAGAAGATGATAGACTTTGAAAGTATAGTAGGTCAGATGACACTTGAAAGAGTGTTGGATTATTTTGGGTATCATACTTTATTCAAACCATTTGAACCTCTTAAAGAAAAGATTTCATGTTCAATACTCTTGGTTGGTATGGTTGGGTATAGTAAGTGTGCACATTATATTAGTTAATATAGATTGATTGATTGGTTATTAACTTATATGTTGTTGTTTTTTTTAGAAACATACCATACATATCTTACTGTAAAAGCTTTAAAGACACACAAGGCGTTTGTAGAGCAATCTATAGAACAGTTAAAGGCACCCGATGTAACATCTAGTCCTCAAATGTTAATAACTGTCAGAAATCTATTGATGCTTGCCAATAACCATACAGAGTTGTCAAAGAGATTGGCTAATCGTGAGATGGTTCAAATACTACTCAACCTGAGTCAACAATACATGGACAATACCATTTATAATGTTAGAGGTACTCAACCATCAGAAACCCAATTCTCTACTCTCTTTTACGCATTCCTATATTCCGATATATCACCCATTTCATTGGTCAGTCATATAATATATTATTGTAAGTAAACTCTGTGAAACAAACAATCAAACAAAACAATATAATATAATAATAGTTATTTATTTACTTTTCAATTTCTAGTTGATAATATTAAAGATATACCATTTGAAGATATATTAAAATTGGCTGATCATGTTGGATTTCCAGCTCAAGTTTTAATTGGCAATATGTTGGCTACATTTCTTTTAATTAATAATCATGTTGTTGAATTGTATACTCTATACAAAGTACACTTGTTATTTTTTAAATTGATTAAACATGAGGTTGGCAATGAGTTTTTAAACATTCGACAGGCAACTAGTCTATTGGTACGTAGTATCGATCGCAAAGAGTATACTTTATTGTTTGCACCATACCAAGAAGATGCTCTTGCCATGTCTAGGCAAATCATCCGTGTACCTCAATTCCTCATCAATTACTCTGTCAATTATCGTATGTCATTCAAGTGGATTGCTCTGTCATCATTGATATCATTTGCATGTGGCTCTGCATTTGGTTGGAAACATCATAACGGATCAATTAAACATGCTTTGGTCGTAGGTGGAGTGTGGGGAGCTCTAAAGTTTACAAGATGGGTTATATTGGATCGTGTTGAAACCTCACTCAAAGACTACCCAACCCATTGGAATACTGCACTCCAAGCAGTCATTTATACACCCTTTTATTTCTTTAGTATTAGTCGGTTCACGTCGAATATGTTACCAGAAATATGCTACCGTATAGGGCACTCACTCTTCAACACCTACGACAGAACATCTTGGAACTATAGAAAAAGGTTGTATTTACAAAGTGATTTGTATCAACAATTTAAATCTCGATTCCTTATTGATACAGCCCAACAATTCCCTCCTGACAACAATAACAATAACATCAATCTCGAGATAATATAACAAAATCATACTACTACTACTACTATCATTATTATTCACAAAAATATAAACTCTTTAATAAATATAATATAATAATAATAATAATAATTATTCATATTTTTTGTTTATGCTCAAGAGGTCTTCTATCACACATCACTTTAGATTATTCTTTGATGTAAGAAAGTTGGGGTATGTCTTTACTAATTGTACATGTTGATATGTACGGACTGTTTCTATTTGTAATGAATGAGTAAAAGTAAAAGGTTGTATTTACAAAGTGATTTGACCATGTAAATCTAGATTCTATATGAATTGATGGAATGTTGAGAACAACTCAAGATATTAACATAACTTAAAAAAATAGACTTGATGCTTTGTCATCACTCACCAAAAGGTCTAAAAAAATAGGATTCCCTCTAGCCTCATGCAAAAATATTAAAGTGTTTTTTTCAAACATCTTGTCTATTATATAATCTCGTAACACATCAGCAGTTAGATTTAGATATAGTAGATATAGAAGAGAGAGATATATAAATATATAAAGGGAAATGGATTTTATTTTCGATATAATGTGGTTTGGTTTTATCTGTTTGATTCACAATGGCATACGTGAGTAATAGTAAAAAATTGGACAAATTATAGATAAATAATTAACATTTCACTTTACAGATTTCTATATATTAAAAAATGATCATCAAACAAACAATTTTGAAGAGGGATCAGTGGACCACTTGTTCCAAATGGTAAAGGAAGGTCACCAATCTCAATTTAGGTATGCCAATGCTAATAATTTGAAATCAATGTGTGCAATGGCACAAGTTAACATTGAACGACGCCACCAAGAACTTCAAGACGCTGCAACTGGGCTTTCCAATCAACAATGGGACAACAGTTTTCATCGTTACTTGACTTGTTCAACTGAATCAAAATCTATTTATATCATTCTCAAACTTTTACCATATATAGGTAAGTATGTGTAGATCTACACAATCAATTTATAAATATATAAATGTCTAATTAAAAAAATATTTATATTATTTAGGAGATGAAAATGAAACTTTTATTATTATTTCAATGTTAATGCAAATAGTCGAGAATGGATCGTATCCCGAAGAGATATTGGTAGCAGAAGGACTTGCATCACACCTTTTAACAAACTATAGTTCAAGGTTGGCAGATATTTACTTTTTAACCAAAGTTCACAAACTCTTTCTAAAGATGCTCAGACACGAAAAAATTGGTGAGTTCTCTTGCATACGAAGAGCAGCAGTTGCATTCTTTAATGAATTTGGTCGTTTAGGCACCTTCTATGGCACAACATTAAGATTCTCCGAAGAAGAAATCAAAGAAGGAATTGCTCTACTTCAAAAGCCCGATTGGTCATCCCTCCCATTTTGACTCGATTCTACTACTTGATACGTGAAGACCAAGACAATCGTTGGAGAAAGCAACTTGTAAATTTTGTATTTTGGTTGGTGTTTTCAATCAGTGTATTTTGGTCAGATGGTATCACTTTAATCATCAATTCCCTTTTCATTTGTTGGGGCATAGAATATTGTGTGGATATGATACTTCATACTGCCAGCTACCATAGAAAAATGAATCCAACGGGTTGGAGAATTTTGTTAGAGGCTTTCTTGTTCACACTACCCATGATGATTGCAATCTTTTTGTCGACGGAGTCATTTATATGGGTAGTAGTTCAACAATTTGTTTTCAAAATGGTCGTCCCTTTATACGAGGATTTCAACAACAAAACAAGTTTTAAATCATTTTATAAAAATGATTTGTACTTTCAATATAAAGATTCATTCAAGTCTAAAATATCTGATGGTTTCACAACAAAAATAGAGTAACATAAAAATAAATAATTAACTTAATTAAATTTTAAAGGAGGGGGAAAAAAAGATGTATCAAAAATTTGGGTTTCATCTTGTCCATGTATGATCATTTATTTCTTTGATATAATAATATATATTTATAAATATACATATAGAATATATTTAAATACAAATAGTTAGCCTAGACAGCTGAATGGAAGAAAATCAGAGCCTTATTGAAACTGTGTTGATTATTTGGGTTTTTGTTTTGATTTATTTTTGTGGATGTAAGTAGTATTGCAAGAAAAGAGTATAAATTAAAAGAGAATAAGTAATTAGAACTAAGTGTTGTTTTAATTAATTAATTTATTTCTATATAGTCTTGCGATTGAAAAGATTTAAACATTTTGTAAATGTTTCAGCAACCAACAATCATGTTGTAGGAACATTCGAACATTCAGTAGAATCCATCTTCCAAATGGTACATAATGATCCATCATCTAAATCCAATCAATCTGCGATTGACGTTTTAGAATATTTATTGTCAGAGGCAAACTTGAAAAAGAAACGACGTATTAGATACATTGAAGAAATAGCCCTTGGATTGTCAGATCTTCAATGGGATGTCCTACTTGATTATTGTTTGAAAAATTCTACCGAATCAAAAGTTATATCAATCCTATTTAAAGTCTTACCATTCATTGGTATGTATCATACATAGATTCCTCATAATTAATCTAGTGGCACTCACTTACTTAATCATGAACAATTATTTGTTCTTTTTAAGACATATCCAGGTCATTTTTTATTATTGGTCTTTTAAATAATATTTTAGAATTGACCAAACCATCATCATCATCTTATCCTGAAGAGATATTGGTGGCCAATGGGCTTGCAATACACCTTTTAACCAACTTTAGGACTGATATGGTAGACCTTTACTATGAGGCAAGAGTTCACTCTTTATTCCTCAAGATGCTTAGAAATGAAACAAATAATGGTGAATTTAATATAGTACAGAGGGCATCTATTTTATTCTTTAACAAATTTGGTTATCATGACATTAAACATAGTATCAAAGGATTCTCAACAGAAGAAAAAACACAAGCTCTTGTACTTTTAGACAGCCATTATCAATCCTGCAGTAGTCTGATCATCCCTTCATCTTTTATTCGTCTCTATTATCGATATAATAGTGATAAAGAAAACCCATTATTCAATCAACAGTTTGTCTTGGTATTTTGGTTTCTGTTTTCAATTAATTTCAGTCCTTGCAATGATGATGGAGAAACAACAGTCTATTCAAGAGTCAACCTCTTTTTATTTTATGCTACCATTGAATATGTATTGAACAAGGTTTGTGCATATACAAAAGCATTGACAAAAAGGAATATGACCGATTGGAGATTCATTCCGGAAGCAGGCTCTATTTTTCTTCATTTCACAACCATTGCATTTTATTTCATCTTCAATGTGCTTGTTGATACAAAGTATAGAGTATGGACGTTAGTCTATGTGTTTTTGCAAACTATCTACCCCTTTATTCTCGATGGATACAGTAATGATCACATTCAACCTTATTTTAAGAATCTTGCTAAATACAAAGATTCTTTCAAACCTGTACCCGATGGTTTCACCTTTGTACAATAATAAATAAAATGTAATTATTTATTTTAAAGATTATTATCTAGAAAATCAAATACTCCAGAACCATAAAGAGATCGGTTTGAAATGGTATACTTGATCTTTAAGTTTCTTTTGTATATCCCATTTGAAATGATTATTTAATTTGTGTATTCTCTTTTTTGGAATGATTATTATTTTTGGCGATAGCTGGTTGTCAACGATGACGGCGGTAGTCTTGTGCTCCCATAGAGAGAGACACTTGTCTATTTTAATGACAGATAGTTTTGACTTGGGTCCTACACTTGATTGGAAAGAGGTGAGTAGTGCTGACGACACTAGATCTAGATGATCATTGGAATTGTCGGCAACAACATCCTTCTTTTGAGTACAACAATGGTATGGTTCAATTGTCGATCCAATTGACAATTCTTGAATGGCTTCAGAGTTTTGAACCAAAGATTCAAGTGCCTTTTTAATTTGACCAAGTTTTGATGCCAGATGAGTGAGTTCCTCCAAATCATAAATACCCCTGTACGCCTTGGCAGTTGTAGATATATTGTTGTGACCGCCACCGCCGGCGGTTGTTGAACAATCATTGTATACAGTGACGAGTGGCAACCATGCATTTAGTTCATGTTGAAGAGTATATGAAAAATGTGTGATTGTGCTGTTGGCCGCTGTTTCAAGGTATGTCAATAGTGCCACTGAAATCGATGTTGTCGCCGAGACCTTTTTACACAATCCACCACTATCAGTCTTTGGAGAGATGGAGAATTTGAATCGAGTCAACAATGGCAAAGAGTCGAGACAAGAGGTGAGATCGATCGGTTCAATGTACTTGATTTCCTTTAAAGTGAGGTTACTGAGTGCTTTGAGTGTTGAGATTTGTCGCAATAGATTGTGGACTTGAATGTCTGTCTTTACACGATTTTGCACCTTTTCAAAGAGTCGTTCGATTGTCAGTGACGTCAAGTTGGTAAATACATCGAGTCGTGAATGTGATGCATCGACAATATTGCTCTCATCGGGTGAGTAGCAGTTGATAAGACGCAAACGTCTCAACTTGTCCTTGTTTAGTATTGACCTTGCCCACCAGTTGGGGTCTTGTACCACGTCATGCTCGTACTCTGCCAAGTGGCTGTTGAGCTGGATTTTGAGGTCACGTAGGTTGGTCATTGAGTTGAACCACACCTGAGACACGAGGAATCCGCCATACGACTCGATACCACCAATCCAAACATACTTTTCTAGTTTGGCGAGTGGCGCCAGTACATCCATTGTATGCTCGTGATTGTCAACAAACGGGTTCATAGTGCCGGATATCTTGATAGCCAACTCACAAATTAAAGGCATTGAATCCAACAATCGGAGCAGGACATCGTTGTCTAGTCGCGACCAATTGGTCGGGTAGATGCAAAGTCGCTCTAATTGCTTGCAAGTGGATTGCAGCCCTTTGAGAAGCGATTCGTTGATCTCGACACTGTACAAAGTCAGACGACACAATGTAGCAGATGCCAAGCCAATTGACGAAAACACTAAAGCATTGACACTTTGAGGCAGTTGTTGACCTGGTCGTTGAATGAATACCTTGAGTGTACGGATATTCAAGAAGGTATTCTTGTCATGGTTGACCGTGACCGTATCGGTTGTTGTTGTTGTTGTTGCTGTAGATTGTTCTTCATTATCCACCAACAACAAGAAGGCAAGTGATTGGACGAGTCTATTCAACGGCATGGATGTCGGTTGTGTGACAGTCTGAAAGAATGATTTGATTCTTTGGAGCACTGGTTTCCCATAGTGTACTGTGTCGTGGTAGGGCACCATGTACCGGTATTCGAGAATAGTATGAGGGATGATACGTCCAGCCCAATAGGTGCAGACCAGGAACAATCTGACAATATTTGATCGGTCATTCACTCTACTTGCATAGCGATATGCATCGACGTTGGTTGACCTATCTTGGCCTCCTTTAACCCCATCTCTGGTGTCCAAGTGACATGAATAACCTAGTTGCACTAATCGCAAGATACCAATAACTAATCTATCTGGTAACCCAACTTGATTGTTATCTATTCGTCTAGTATTATCTTGTTGTTGTTTGTTCATTCAATATATCTTTATCTACATAGGGTTGAATAAGTAATAAAAGGGTGAACATGATTGTTGAGGTAGATAATGATGAGCAACACATATTAAAAGAGAAGAAGGAGAAGCGACGTATACACCACCCCCACTTGTTTTTTCCTCTCTCATTGCAGAAAGAACTTCTTTTTTATTAGTATTATTTATTCAAGTTGAAATTTGGTCGATTTAATAGAGACATGTCGATAGATTACCCTACCTAAAGTTTATGAAAAGAAGAAGAAGTGATAATGGAAGAGATAATGGAAGAGATACTACAACTATTCAATCATGGGAGGAGTTTTACCGAACTATTAATAGTCCTCTTTACCCTGGCTATAATATGGATCCCTGTTAGTATGTATGATTGATGATCATGCATGATTATGTATGATTGATGATCATGATTGCATATGTTGATATGGTGCACGTTTCTAACTATCTCTCTCTCTTTTTGAATATTAGAATATGTAGAGCTGAGTGAAACACATGAAAAGGAGATCATAACATATCAACAAGATGGAGATGATCGACACAAAGTTAACTTCCTCTACTACTCTAGAGAGTACCAGACATCATTATTTCGATCATTTGCCGATCATCCTACAATACGTCGAATCAGTGAAATAGCATCGACAACAATCAGAGATCGCAACCAAATCAGAGACGTGCAAAGATCTGGATCATCAAATTACCAGTTAGATCAACTCTTTACCGATACTATAACCATTTCAACTGAATTTAGATCTCTATGTGTTATCTTTGGATTATTACCTTTTTGTAGTATGTTATAACATAAACACGTTTAAATGAATGAATGAATAGATAAATCTAACAGTTCTTTTATTATTATTTAGAAAATAATGAAGATTTGGATGTATCAATATTAAGACTAGTTGATTTGACTCGTCAATCAGGTGAATGGTCGTATCCAGAAGAACTGATTGTATCGTATGGTCTGGCATTACACCTCTTATCAAACTATAATTCTCAATTGGTTGATGTATACTTTGCAACTTGTGTGCCATCACTATTTTTAAAGATTCTCAGACACGAACAATCAAATGAATTCAAGGTGATTCAAAGAGCTACTTATATATTATTAAAAGGTATTGGTCGTAAAAATATTGATCGTACCTTGTCACTAGAGGTAGAAGAAAAAGAACAAGCTTGCAAGATAATACGTCTAACTCAACCAATCAGTCTAATCCCTCAACCTTTAATACGAAGATACTACAAATTTTGGTCAGATTATAATGAAGATATTCCATACTTGGGTAGTGGTATATCATTTTGGTTTATTTTCTTATTGATTGATTACTTTTTGCCGTTGGGTGAACAGACTGGTAAATCAATCATGGCAACTATTTTCTTGTTTGGTCTTTACTCAACATTGGAAATCATTCTTTGGACAATCAATAATATTGCCAGAAATTTAAGAAAAAGAGAAACAACCAAAAAGACATGTAAAATACAAGCGGTAGTCGTTATTATGGCAGAGGCGTGTATCGTAACATGTCTTTTCTTGACATGTTATAGAATGGATATTTGGTGGATCTACATTTCATTTAAATTAATCTTGTACCAACTTAATAGGTGGTTTGTTAGGAATACATTCCTCCGATCATTCTTTAATAGTGATTTGTATAAACAATATAGATTAAAATTTAAACAAGATTAATAATATTATTAATCATGGCACTGACCCAGTCTCACCATTTCACAGCTCTAGATCAGAGAGAGAAACAGTGTATAATATATATCAAAATAAACTAAAAGGAACAATAAGTTATTTATTTATTGTTTAGTATTTATTAACTTCATTCGAATGCATTGCAAATAATAGTAATAATAAGTATACAATAATTAAAAATATTATCTCTTTGATTTTGTTGTAGAGTAAAAAAAAAGAATTGACCTGCACGTCATCCAATTAATTAATTATTTTGTTGTTGCACAAGACATATGTACGTCATCAAAGATGACAAAGATTGTTGTTGTTGTTGCTTATCTATCCTCTAGTTATCAACACAAATAGATAGAGACAGAGATGAATATTTTATTAAAGGCAATCAAACCAACATCTATTACACTTGCAGGGATGGTGCATATTGAACCTATAGTCAACTTTTTAGTAAATAGTAATCGTTATGTCGTACCATCATACCTGTTATGTGTATTTGGATATAGTAAGTACTACCTAAATTAATGAATGAATGAATAGGTCAATAGAATATTAATATCTATATATTTATAGGATTATACAAAATTAATAAGTCTATGCTTGTACCTAGAGACATTGATGGTGAAAGTCAAGTAGAACAATTTGCTACGTTGTTGGAGAACAATGATACAATGAAGAGTACTCTACAGGCACTCTATTACATCTGTGGAAACAACGATCCAATGTGTAAAAGGTTAGCACATCCTCGTCTTGTCAAAGCTTTGATTGACGCCTCTCGACTAGTCACTTTATGCAGATTTACAACAGTGACAACAAATATTTATAGTACCAACCCAAAGACACGAGACAAGGCTATTGAACAACTATTCTATGACATTCTAACGTCTGATGAAAAATACAACATGTTTACCATCTCTTCCCTATTACCTTATCGTAAATATTCATTCATTCATCATTTTCAAAAAGATTAATATTATTTATTCGTTCATTCTCTCTTGTATTTATTATTATATAGTTGAAATTGATGATATACCAATGGATGAATTAATGGGGTATTGCGAACTGGGATTTCCAATTCAAATTCTAGTTGCAGAGTTGTTGTCCAAATATTTAGTATCGGAATATAATAACCGTCGCTTGTCAATACTTTATTTCAATACTCCACTCCTTGCTAGTATGTTTCTAGGATTGATTTGGTTTGAACAAAAGAATGAATGTTCTGTGATTAAAAAGGCGGCTGTTATCATGTTTAATCATGTTGGTAAAGAATTAATTGATAATACCGATTTATTGGATGACAATGAAAAGATGGCAGCTTACAGTCTGTTGAAAGAGGGTTGGTGGACCAACAATCAACTATCAAAATCCATCAACAAGATATTGGTAAAAAACGAATTGTTTGTTCAAGATTTGACTGCCAACACATTGATTTGGTTTGGTTGTGGTATGGTATGTGGTTGGAGACAACTAGGTGGAGGTGGAGGTGGAGCTGGATCAATCAAATATATTGTAGGTATGGGATTAGGGTACGCCGCTGCAGAGATTACACGATCAATTGTCAAATACTCAATTGATGAGCGACGAAAGAGCAATGTCAACCATTTAACAACTGTTCTCCTTGCTGCCATTAGCGTACCATCTTCTTACATGTACATCTCGATGCTCAAGATATCACCCATTCCAGTTCTACTCTTACACCTTGGTAGATATCTCTATACCACCTATCAGAAAGGAATACAATACAGAAAGGTACAAACACATTTACAAAACAATGAATTGATGGACCATTACAAACAAAAGATCATAAATGTTAGTTCAGAATTCAAAGGTTCAAAGCTTGAAAAATAATAAATAAAATAAAAAATAACCCATGAAGAAGATGAAGAAGTTCATTGTTGTTTTTACTGTTATATATTTAGATATCTATCTATATATCTACAGATATCTCTTTCTCTCTCTCTATCTATTTATGATGGAGAAGAAGTTTCAATCGATTGATCAATGTGTGATCAAAAGGGTTGGTTGTTTCCCCTTTCTTTATTCGTTCGCAACTTGTGGCTCAACTATAATCGATTTTGATGGTTCAACAAAGGATGAAGTAATCAATAGATAGATAGTGAAATATGGATAAATTATTGCAATCAATCAAACCATCGATTACACTTGAAGGTTCATTCATTCAAACATGTTCCGTTCAAAAAGATGAAAACATTATCTATTTATTTACAAATATTAATTTAATATCTTTATCTAGTTGAAATTGATGATATACCAATGGATGAATTAGTCGGATATTGCTTGGTTGGAGGATTTCCAATTCAAATTCTAGTTGCAGAGTTGTTGGCTAAATATTTAGTATCGGAATACGACAATCAATCATTGTCAATGCTTTATTTCAATACTCCTCGAGTCGCTGCTCTATTTCTAAGATTGATTTGGTTTGAACAAAAGAATGAATGTTCTGTCATACGACAGGCAGCCATTATCATGTTTAATCATGTTGGTAAACAAGTAATTGATAATACTGATTTGTTGGATGACAATGAAAAGCTGGCAGTCGATAACAAGAGTGATGGGACGACATAACGATTATTAATCAACATGTCGACTATATGTTCAATTCGTTCACTTGCAATTGACTGTGTATTTTGATTGACAACTAAAAGGTTGTTGACTACTGTATACTGGGTTGCAGGTTTGATTGATTTAAGTACTGTCTTTAGTACTTTTTCTAGTACTATTTCTATCTCCTCTACCACCATCTCTCTCTCTCTCTCTCTATTTGTTAAGGTATAAGCATCAATTACAACAACAACAAACAATCTTTGTCATCGTTGATGATGTACGTCATCGTTTGTTGAACCATCAAAATCGATTAAAGTGAACTGCAAGTTCGCGTGAATAAACAAAGGGAACAACCAACCCCTTTAGATGACATTGATCAATCTTCCTCCATCATAAATAGATAGATATAAATAAATATATGTAACTAAGTAAAATATTATTTAAATATTGCAATGAACTAATAAAAGTTAATGCAACAAATTTAGAAAATGAACTTCTTCTTGGGGTTTGCAGTATTATAATCAAATTTGAGCTTTTATTTATTTTTGTTTAAGGTAAGCTTTGAATAATTCTGAACTAATGTTTAATGTCTTTTGTTTGTAGTGCACCATCATTACACGGTTTTGTAAATATGTTTGTAACTTTTTGGTTTGTTTTCCATCGTGCCAGGTGGTATAGAGATATCTACCAAGGTGTAAGAGTAGGATTGGAATTGGTGATACCTTGAGCATAGAGATGTACATGTAAACATGTGGGACACCAATGGCAGCAAGGAGAGCAATTGTCAAATGGTTGACATTACTCTTTCGTCGCTCATCGATTGAGTGATTGACAATTACTCGTGTCATCTCTACTACAGAGTACGCTAATCCCATACCGACAATATATTTGATTGATGATCCTCCACCATGTTGTCTCCAACCACAAGCCATACCACATCCAAACAAATCAAACCGTTGGCAATGACATTTTGAATAATCAATTCGTTGTTTACCAATATCTTGTTGATCGATTTTGATAGTATATTGTTGTTGTTATTGGACCAACGCTTTTTCATCACACTATATGTGTATTTGGACATAGTAAGTACTACCCAATGATCATCTTTGATAGATTATACATTAATGTCTATAGATATTAATATTAATATATCTCTTTCTTCTTTAAAGGATTATACAATGTAATATGTGAAACTAAAAAGCAATGGCCTATTCTTGTACCACGAGATCGTGAGAAGGAAATAATACAAGAGTATTCCTCTTCATTGAGAGATTTTGATAAAATGACTCAAACTATCAACAACATGTTATATTTGGTTCAAAATAACCATGCAATGTGTAAAGTGTTGGCCAATCGTAAGATAGTAATGGACCTGATAGAGACTTCAAAATTGATCACAAAGATATCATTTGCAAAGGTGACCCGTGATAAAACCAATCTCGGTATAGCATTCATACGTGCAATGTGCGTTGAAGAAGCACGTGTCATTAACATCATTTCTGCCCTTTTACCTCATTGTAAGTAAACACATTGCTTTCAAAGATTATACGTATACATACATATTTATTTACCAACCAAATCATTTCCCCATTATTTTAATCCAACTAGTTGAATCTATCCATGATATACCAATTCAAGAATTGGTTGGGTATTCCAAGATTGGAGGATTTCCAATTGAAATTCTTGTTGCTGAAATGTTGGCCAAATATTTAGTATCGGATTTCAATAACCATGCCTTATCGATACTTTATTTCAAATCGGGTGTTGGTAATCTATTGATAAAGTTGGCTTGTCAACAAAAAAAGATCCTTGTGATTCAAACGGCGTCGCTTTTAATGTTTGAACAAATTGGTAAAGAATTCATTGACAATACCGATTTATTGAATGACAATGAAAAAAAGGTTGCCAATATCATGTTTAGACACAAGTACGATTCACTAGTTAAATTAATCATCAAGAAAGGATTAAACAACAAGGATCTTTTTGAAAGTATGTTTGTTAATGGTTTGATTTTGTTTGGATGTGGTGCGATAAGTGGTTGGAGACAGGGACTATCAATCCCTCATATTTACGATATGGGAATGCTATACTATGGTGTAGAGATGGCAAGACAATTATTTAAATACCAAATCAAAGAACGGCTAAAGAGTCGTGTCTGTTATCCAACCATCATTCTATCTGCTGCAATGAGTGTACCATATGCTTATTTGGGCACCACTATGCTAAAGATATCACCGATTCCAGTTATACTCTTACAAATTGGTAGATCCTTATATTCCAACTATATCAGCCTCAAACAAGTCAAAAAAGCCATACATCAATTACACAATCAAGATATGGTGGTTCAATACCATCAAAGGATTCAATATGTTGGTTCACTCTTTCAAAACCCAAATAAAAAACAATTACCAAGAAGTGTCATCATGGCATAACATAATATTATACATTCAACAAGACTCAACTGGACCAATGATATACAACATCAATAATATTGTAAAAAATGAAAGATTTAAAATAAATAAAAAATGATGATGATTCGTCAGATAGAGACATGTGAACTTGCAGTTCACATTTTATTTTAATTAAACGACATCATCATCAACGATGACACAGATTGTTGTTGTTGTTATCTTATCTCTTTCAAGTTAACAAATAGACCGATAGAGAGAGATGGAGATAGTATTAGAGGCAGTATATAAATCAATCAAACCATCGATTACACTTGCAGGAGAGCATATTGAACCTGTATTCAACTTTTTATTAACTAATCGTTATGTTGTACCATCATACTTGCTATGTGTATTTGGAAAGAGTAAGTATTACCTAATTAACTTAATGTTGGTTGTAATAATTATATATTAATCATTTTTCTACTCTTTCTTTCTTTTTATCTCTCTCTATTAATCTAGGATTATACAGTATTAATAAGGCTATGCCAACTAGTCTTGTAAAAGGTGTTGGTGTAGATCAGGTAGAACAATTTGCTACGTTGTTGGAGAAGAATGAAACAATGAATACTACTCTAGAGGTACTCCATTTCATCTGTGGAAACAACTACCCTATGCTTAAAAGGTTAGCACATCCTCGTCTTATCAAAGCTGTGATTGCCGCTTCACAAACAATCACTGTATTCAGACTTGCAACAGTGACAACAAATATGTATCGTGCGGACCCAGATACAAAGGAGCAGGCTATTGAACACCTATTCTCTGTCATTCTAACATCTAATGAAGAATCCATCATGTTTATCATCTCTGCTTTATTACCTCATCGTAAATATCATTCATGCAATCGCATTCATTTTGCATGCCAACAAGATTATTTATATTTACCAATCAATTATTCTTTTATTTATAGTTGAATCTGTTGATGATCTTCCAACCCAAGAATTCATGGAGTATTGCATGATTGGAGGATTTCCAATTCAAATTCTAGTTGCAGAGGTGTTGTCTAAATTTCTCATCTCTCAATACAACAATCGTAACTTGTCAATGCTTTATTTCAACACTCCAAAACTTGCTGGTCTATTCCTTAGATTGATTTGGTGTGAACAAAAGAATGAATGTTCTCTCATTAAAATGGCAGCTGTTATCATGTTTAATCATGTTGGTCAAGAAGTAATTGATAATACTAATTTGTTGGATGACAATGAAAAGATGGCAGTATATGGTTTGTTGAAAGAGGGTTGTTGGACTAATCAACTATCAAAATCCATCAACAAGATATTGGTAAACAAGGAATTGTTTGTTCAAGATTTGACTGCCAATACATTGATTTGGTTTGGATGTGGTATGGCTTGTGGTTGGAGACAAGGACTATCAATCAAATATATTGTAAGTATGGGATTAGCATACTCTGCTGCAGAGATTACACGATCAATTGTCAAATACTCAATTGATGAGCGACGAAAGAGCAATATCAACCATTTGACAACTGTTCTCCTTGCTGCCATTGGTGTCCCACATGTTTACATGTACATCTCGATGCTCAAGATATCACCCATTCCAGTTCTACTCTTACACCTTGGTAGATATCTCTATACCACCTGGAACGATGGAAAACAATACAGAAAGGTACAAACACATTTAAAAACAATGTATTGATGGACAATTACAAAGAAAACCTCATGGACATTAGTTCACAATTCAAAGGTACCTTGAAAAAGAAATAAATAAATAAAAAATAATGATGATTCGTCAGAGACCTGTGAACTTGCAGTTCACTTTACACATTTTATTTAATTAAATTAATTATTATTAAATGATAAACGACATCATCATCAACGATGACAGATTGTTGGTCTTGTTATTGTTATTATCTTATCTCTTTCATTTAACAAATAGATAGATAGGATAGGATAGAAAGATGGAGATAGTATTAGATAAAGTATTAAAGTCAATCAAACCATCAATTACACTTGCAGGAGAGCATATTGAACCTGTCATCAACTTTTTATTAAATAATCGTTATGTTGTACCATCTCTCTTGCTAGGTGTATTTGGAAAGAGTAAGTACTACTACTACCCACATTAGATAGATCGCCAATATCTATAGATAGATATTCACCTTTACATCTCAATTTATAGAACTATACAATATTAATAAGCAATGGCCTGATACTCTTGTACCTCGAAATATGGGGATTGAAACCATAATCCATGAATATTCCTCTGCGTTGAGAGATTTCTTTACAATAGATCAAGCTGGTGAAATACTGTATGACATAGCCCGCACTAATCATGCAATGTGTAAAGTGTTGGCCGATCACAGAATAGTCCTTGGTTTGATCAATCTTTCAAAATTAAATAACAAAAAGGTGATTACAAGGAAGATTCGTGATAAGCTCCCTCTTGACAGAGTATTCATGCTCTCTTTTGAAGAAGCAACCAACAACATCTACACCATCTCTGCTCTTTTACCTCATTGTAAATATCACAACTATCCACATTCTTTTAAAAAAACGATTATAAATATAATATATTTACCAACCTAATCCTTCTTTATTTCTAGTTGAATCTATCGATGAAATACCAATCCAAGAATTAATAGATTATTGTAGGGCCGGTGGATTTCCAATTGAAATTCTGGTCACTGAAATGTTGGCTAAATTTCTAATATCGGAATACGACAATCATGACTTGTCAATACTTTATTTCAATACTCTGGGCCTTGCCAAGCTATTCTTAAAGTAGATTAGATATGGACAAAAGAATGAATTTCATGAATTCGCCGTCATTCGACAAGCAGCTATTATCATGTTTGGACATGTTGGCCAAGAATCAATTGACAACTCTGTTTACCTAGATGACTTTGAAAAGTCGGTTGCTAATATCTTGTTGGAAGTAGAGCCTGGACAACTATCAAAATTCATCGACAATATATTGGTAAACAATGAAATGCTTGTTCAAAATATAACTGCCAACGGTTTAATTTGGTTTGGTTGTGGTTTGGTTTGTGGTTGGAGACAACTAGGAGGAGGTGGAGGAGGACCATCAATCAAATATATTGTCGGTATGGGAATAGGATACGCCGCTGCAGAGATGACAAGACAACTTGTCCAATACCAAATCGATAAACAACAAAAGAGTAATACTTATTATTCAACTGCTGTTCTCCTTGCTGCAATGAGTGTACCACCTGTATACATGTACATCTCGATGCTCAAGGTATCACCTATTCCAGTACTACTATTACACCTTGGTCGGTATCTCTACAACACCAACTATATCAACCTAAAACCAACCAAAAAAATGATGTTACATGTACAAAACCAATATTTGATGGAAGAATATAGACAAAGGATCGATGGTGTCATCTCTTCATTCTGTCAAAAATTATTACATTAACTTTCATAATATCATAAATAAAATTGAATCAATGCAAGGTTAACAGTCCATAATATTATTTTTTATTTTTAACTTGTATTATCAAGAAAAGTTTACATTACATTTAAATGACTAACAAATAGTTTAGTTGTAATTTAATTAATTAATTAATCTGTATTTATATAATATATCTATATCTATCAAATGATGATGATGGAGAAGATCAATCTATTGTTTCGATCAACGATTGATCTATCATCATTTAAACAAATAACAGAGTTTTATAATTTAAATCGACGTATGGTTAGACTATTGCTTTTATGTTTTGGAATAGGTAGGTAATCATTCTTTATCATCATCATCCTCAATACCCCGATCAAACTAACTTTGTTTCTCTATTATTAGAATACTTGATAAAGCATAGATATTTTAAAGCATTGAGAGATGAAGTATCAAAAATAGACATTGCAGATACACTTACCGGACAATTACTTGGAGCTGAAGAGGGAAATACAACCAGACAAATATTGACACATATATATGATCTTGCTAATAACAGTTCTCTGGTTTGTCAACGACTAGCTAGATCACAATTGTTTATCAATCAACTCATTGAAACATTACATACAATCACACAAGAACGTTATCAAGCTATAAAACGATCAGGACCATCTAATCAGTATCAAATAGATATAAACTTTTACCCATTCATGATGAATGATTGTGAAAGAAGAATAATGAAAATATTTAGTTTGGTATTACCTCATTGTAAGTTGTTGAACAACAGTTATACAACTACTATAATACTTTAATATTCATTTGTTTGTTTTGTTTTAATAATGATTTAGGTGAATTTATTAAAGATATACCAATTGATTTAATATTGGAATATGCAGATGAATATGGTTTGCCAACTGAAATAAGAATTGGAAAGCATCTTGCTCATTCTATTGTATCAAATTATAATAATCGAGATTTGGCAGTGTATTATTTCCAACACCGAGTATCATCTTTATTCCTAAAGTTGTTACGAAACAAAGTAAGGAATGAATTTGAAGTCATTGAAAAGGCTGCCATCATCATGTTTGGTCATGTTGGTCATTCCCAGATCGATGAGAGCAATATGATATTAGATAAATTGGAAAAAGAACAAGCTCATCTCCTATTGTCAACCGTATCTGGGTCATATATAAACAAGATTGGAAATATAGTTTCAAGACCAATCGATAAATTTATAGTTGATCATGGAATACTTTTGAAACAACTGGTTTTCAGAAATATGGTATCTCTAAGTTATGGGTTGACTTATGGTTGGATTAATAAAGGTGTGGGAGATGGAGGAATAGGAGATAGATCCATTCTTTCAATGGGATTAATGTTTGCCGCAGCAGAGTCGGTAAGAGTAATCCTACAATATCAAGTAAAAGCGATTGAAAGGATACATCCCGGTCGTATGATGGTATTGTTAGACTCTGCATTGTATATTGCACCTAGGTGCACCTATTTCTTTGGTTGGTTTAATTGGCGTCCCTATCTCTTATCAAAGTGTGTAAATATCTTTTCAAGTCATTTTGATAAACATGTTCAAAATGCTCAATCTCGATTGTATTTACAAGGTCGACTGTATAAAGATTTTAAATCAACCTTTAAACTACAATCTCAGATTGAACTAGATAATTTATTTTAATGTACAAAAAAAAAAAAATAAAGATTTTTGTTTACAAAGCAATCAAATCAAGGGCAACTCGAAAAAGAAATAAACTTATTCTATCTATTTATTTATTTATTTATTTGTTTGATGGAATTTACATTAATATTGAAATCATCAATTAAATCTACATTTGATTTAATCTTTGTTAAACATTATGCAAGGATTGTACTACCGTTATTGGTAACAGGTGCTCTTTTAAAATTTAGGTACGACAATATGTTATATAAATAGATTATTTCCATCATAATTTATTGATTGATTCAATTGATTGTATTAAACGTCGATTGGACCTACACAACCAACGTCGTACAACTCAATTATACGAGGAAAGTAAACTTTATCAACAATATAAATCAAGTTGAAACTGTCAAGACAACCCAATAGAAATTTAAAAGGGTGCATTAATGTTGAATAAAATTCTACTTAGAATAATTATTTGTTTATTTAAAGAAAGAAGAGAGAAGATTATGGGTGGTTGTCAATATTTAATGATTAATTAATGGAATGAATTTGGATTTATCAGTATTCTTGATACCATCCCAATTCAAATTATAGTCCATTGGATCGGTGGTGGAAGCTGGTAACATTGAATGTTGTAATTGTTGCGAAAATAAGGCAATCGAATTGAAATGGACTGCACCACTAGCAGATGAATCAACCTTTACGTGGAAGGTAGTTTTTTGACCAACGTTGAAACGAACAGGAGAATTGGGTGCAAAAGTGTCTGAATAGATATCAAAATGATCGGATATCTTAAAGGTTGCAAGTACTGATGGATTGCCGTCGGCTGAAACAGTGACTGTAGCATCACCCTTGGTCGATGATGCCTTTAACTTGATTACAAAGATAGAGGTTGGTGATCCATTGCCACTGTACGACACTGTAAAGTGGGCAGACTTGCCAACTGGGATGACAGTGTCCATTTGACCTGGGAATGGTGTGTCGGGTACTGTAGAGTATCCATCATCAACCTTGCAACACTGAAAATCAATGACACTGGCTGGACCATCAGTGATGGTGCTGACACCGTTAAAAGTGAGTGCCTCTGGAACAAAAGCTGCACAGATTGCATTGATTTGGTCGTTGAATCCAGGTGTGACAGAGATGCCACATCCAAAGAGGAAACCAATCTTGTGGTCATCGACTTTGAGGTCCTTGTTGATGACACGGTTGTCACTGCCACCAAAGTACTGTCCTCCAATGCTGAGGTTCCAAGGTACAACCTCGTGACCCACATTGACACCAAGACAAGGATTGGCAGCGTCAAAGTTGTTGGTGTTTTTTAAAACTCCACCCTTGCCACCATAGTAGTACTCGGTGACTTGGCCAGTAGATGGATTCAAAACACGAGGAAGGATGGCGTCGATTCGCTTGAAGCAACGGACACCACATCCGACAAACTCGCCCTTGTAACGATACATGTCCTTGAAATGGTCTTGGATCTCTTGTTGGGTGGGATGGTAGTATGCCTCCCACGAGAAATACCCATTCTTGGCATAGGTGGTGTTGACAACACCGCAGATGGGTGAGTAGATGTAACGGACAGTATCATAGACTGCACCCTTTGGACAGACTCGTGGGTCATATTGCCACCAAAAGTTGACTAGGTCAAAGACATTGATGATCATATCGCTCTTGTACTGGTTTACACGGTTCCATTGGTACACATCCTTGTACATTTCCTTTGGTACATCCTCACTCGACTCTTGAACGGCCTTTAATCCAATGTTGTAGGCATCCAAACAGTACTTGGTGTACTTGGTCACAGCATCAGAATAAACCTTTTCAAAAGATTCAATCTCTTCATCGGTGAGTTGCCATGCACGACCATACATGAGACGATCAGCCATGATTGACAGATGGTTGGTGGCCATCAATGCGAAAAAGACCAACTCGGATACCTCATAGCCTGGCTTTTGAGCATGTGGAATGGTTTGGATAAAACTAATGTGAGCATCCTCATGAGCAGTTCTCACTGATTGGATGGTACTGTTGTTGGTTGGATTCTTTTGCCAGAGTTGAAATACCCTTTGGTACTCTTCGCTGACTGCGGTGAGACCGAAAAAGAATGCATGAAGAGTGTCCTTGTCATACTTCTCAATACCTTGCTTGATAAGCTTGGTCATCGCATCTGTAAACTTTTTACTCATCTTTTCACCTGCACTATCATCCTTTGATTCAGCTGCACTCCAAATTACATCAATAAGTGTTGATAAAATGCCACCAACCTAAAAATATTAAAAAAAAAAAAGAATTAATAATTAAATTATTTAAAAAAATGTAATTGAATTCATTTTAGAGGTTACTTACATAAGGTACTAATGAAACACCAGCTAAAAGAAGACCTTTAAAAATGTTTAATGGGTCAACTCCTTGGCCATTGATCAACTTGATCAATTCACTTTTTTCCTTTGCTAGGATTTTATCCAAGATCTTGGATCCTTGTTTTCCCATCTTTGATGAGACTAATTGTTTTACTTCCTTTGGAATTTCACTACCTTTTAATTGATTGTTAATTGGTTCCATTTTGATTTACTTAAAAAAAAAAAGAATTAATATTTAATAAATATACAATTATTAACAGAATGAATTACCTTTGATTGCTAATTGTTAATTATTAATTGTTTAATTGCTAATTGTTTTAATTGATTGTTTGATGATTTAACCCAAGATTTCCTATGCCTATTTATATGTTTCCAATTCCATTGTACTGAGGCTAAATTCCAACAGAAAAAAAAAAAAAAAAAAAAAGGACTTGCACCACGACGCAGAAAAAAACCATCACAAATCGGATACAGGATTGGGATTGATCGGATATGGTTGTTCAATGTGACATTCATCGCTATGCCTTAGCAACAATCATACCGATCTTTTGTGCAATCACATACATATGTATGTTTCGTGCAACTAGGTGTCAAGTTGAGATTGCAATTGATACTAGTAAAACCCAACAAAGGGTGTGGCTTTAGTCACTTTGTAATGGAAACCACATGTAACTCTTTTGTGTTTCGATAAACTAAATATCTATATATTGGAAATATACTAGGCATTAATATGAATACTTTACTCTAAAATCGTACGTACTTGTTTGAGGATCACGATGTCAGATTTAACGGAAATAAGAGGAAAGGGTTACAACATTGTGTTGGATGATTCTAAAAATATCTTTCTTTCTTTATTTCTTTTGGGTGTTGATACCATATCTATCTATCATCTATCATTTGTTTTGTTTATCTATTCTTGTCTCTATTGTGGTTGGTTGGTGATTGTTTATGGATTTGATTTGGGTTTTCTTTGCTGCTGTTGACCTTCTTGTGACACCTGGTTTGGTGGAAGAAGTGGAAGAAGTAGAAGTAGAAGATCCGACAATAGAACGGAGAGGTGCTCCTCCTCCTCCTCCACCAGTAGAGTAATCAGATGAAGAAACTCCTGTACCCCTTTTAACAATGGATGATGGTTCAGAGGATGGTGGGTGGTTGGTAGTTTGAATAATTGAGGCTTGATGAGGATTGTATGATTGAGTCATTGGAGCATCCATTGAAGAGTTGGGTGAAGAAGTGGGATTGGAGCTAGTGCCAGTGTGTAGTTGATCAGTCTTTTTCTTTCTTGGTGTTGTTGATTTCTTTTTGGTGCTGGTTGTTGTAGTTGTTTTCTTTACCTTTTTTGGTGTTGTTTTTGCTGATTTCTTTTTGGAAGAAGTCTTTCTTTTTGTTGATTTACGACGACTTTTCTCTTCTTCTCCACTCACTTCTATTTCATCATGATCCTCTTCTTCTTTATAATCTTCATCATCGTCATCTTCTTCCTCCTCTTCTTCCTCTTCATATTCATCATCCTCCTCTTGTTGTTTCTTCTTTTTACCAGTATTCTTTGCACTAGTCTTGTTGTTGTTGTTGTTGGATAGTAGAGTCTTGGTATCGTATGGTACCTTGAACTCTTGTTTACTCTTTTTAATCCACTTGTTGTAATCGGCTTGAAGCTTCTTTGGTACTTGATCGGATGGCAACCAAATGTAGTTGACAGATCCTTCCAACAATACAAAGTATTCATTCTTTCTATTGACAATCTTTTTGTCTTGAATCACCTTTATATTTGGAAGAGGGTATGGAATTGGATCTTGAAATAGAGCTTCACCAATCTCTTTTCTCTTTTTTGGTGAAACCAATATTGCTCCATCTGGGTCAACCACAAGTGTATCAAGATTGATTCTATATGATTTACCAGATTCCATTGTTGTTTTTGTTTTTGTTGTTTTTGTTTTGTTGTTGTTGTTATTGGTGGTAGTAGTAGAAGTAGTAGAAGTGGATGAAGACTCTTCCATATCTTTTCTCTTTCCAATCAATGTCTTGTTAGAGGATTGCTCTTGCTCTTGCTCTTGATCACTACTATCGTCATCTTCATCAGTCTCCTCCTCGATCAAATGATCAAAGGTTCCCATTCTAGTATGCTCGGCCAAGGAATTTGCAACCAACATTGATATATTTTGTAATTGTGAAAATGGTTGTTGTGACTGAATTGGTTGTTGTTGTTGTTGTTGTGAAGGCAGGTATATTGCTTGTTGACCAATATGGATTGGTGGAGGATGAGAAAATCCTACCAATGGTTGTGATGGTAGTAATGGAAATTGGATTGATTGTTGTTGGGAAGGTGGTGCCAATTCAAATTTGGGTAAAGTTGAAGAAGCAGACAAATCAGGACTTTGGATAATTTGTGATGACCCCTAAATAAATAAATAACAACATTAATATATTAATATCCAACAAATTCAATTCAAATCAATAATAATAAATAAATATACCTCTGGTTCTTGTAAAAATGTGTCCATTATTTCCTTCTCTTTTAACTGTACTAATATATTTATAAATATGATTATATGATTATATGATTGAAAGAGTTGAGTTGAACTAAATTATTTGTTGTTCTGATGATAATGTAATGAATGTACTATGAATGATTATTATTCATACTACTATGAGGGGACGCACCTACTCTTCTCATTTCAATAACCCCATATATTGTCATTTTTATAGGGTGGTACTATACTAATCTTCATCTGATTAATAAAAAAGGAAACTATTGATAAAATAAAATGTGTGAAAAGGTATTGGTTTGGTTAATAAAAATGATTATAAAAAAAGCAACCAACTATGCAGATTGTGTGAGTGTGAAGTTCACCAAAGAGAAAGAGAGAAAGAGAGTGGTTTCTTTTCTTTTCTTTTCTTTTTTTTGTTTTTTTTTTTGTAATATATTATTTTATTTTGATTGTTTTTTTTTAGCAAAGTAAAGACTGTAAATTATACAAATAAAAGAGGACGGCCTACACCAATATGATACGATACGATACGTTGATGGTTGACACAAGCAACCCCCTAGTTCTTTTTCTTTCTCTCTTTTTTTGGGTGGATAAATAAAAAAAAAAAAAAAAAAATATTTGTAAGAGGACCACTCGAACAAACGGAAGAGAACCTTTGGCGACTACTACTTGAGTTGCAAGGTAGCAGCACCTGGGTTCAAAAGATGGCACGCAGCAGGTGTTTACTTGGCAGCAGCCTTGGTACCCTTCTTGTGGGTACCAGTCTTTTCGTTCTTCCAGAGGTTCTTGTGGATGTGTGGCAAGACACCTCCACCGGCGATAGTGGTGGTGGCCTTGATGAGTGAGTCCAATTCCTCGTCGGTCTTGATGGCAAGCAACAAATGTCTTGGGGAGATACGACGGACATTGTGTTCCTTCAAGGTGGAGATGGTGAGTTCGAGAACTTCAGAGGTCAAGTATTCGAGGATGGCAGCCAAGTAGACAGAGGCCAACACAGAAACTCTCTTGGTTGGTACTCTCTCCTTGAGCATACGATGGATTCTACCAACTGGGAAGGAAATACCAGCCTTGGTAGACTTGGTCACTGGTGTAGCCTTTTTCTTTCCGCTAGCAGCAGTCTTTGGGGCAGCAGCAGCTGGGGTCTTGGCAACTTTCTTTTCTGGAGCAGTAGACTATAAAAAACATCAATGTAAATATCAATTATCAAATATCAATTATCAAATATCAAATATCAAATCAAAGTATTTAATTTGAGGAAGAAAAAAAAAAGAAAAGTTTTGTGTTAACAAGATTGAAATGAAATGTTGATTCTTTAGATAACTATATATCTATATATCTATGTATCTATATATGTATCTATATTTATGTATATATCTATAAATCTAAAAAGTTTACTTACCATTTTTGAATTATGTTTGGGTTGGGGAAGTAAAAAGTGTTGTTTGGTTATTGAAAAACTTTTAAAATAAAATAGATTGTATTGAGTAATACAGATTGCTACTGAATGATGATGATTATAAAAACAGATAGAGATGAGAATTCTCTTTTTTAATAATTATTATTATTTGGTAAGTGTGATGAAAAAAAAAAATGAAAATGAGAGTTGTTTCAAATCAGGGGTTAGGTTGTTCAAAAGTTTTGATCCGTTGTAAAAAAAATTTGGAAAGAGGGAAATTTAAAAAAATCCAATTTCAACATGATAACGATTTTTATCCGTTCCAAAGACACTGAAATTGGCGCCTGAATTTAAATTAATAAAAAATAAAAAATAAAAACCTTTGATTGGAAAAAAAGATGATTCACACCAACTATCGATCGCTTATACCATCATATATTTATATAGTATTATTAATAAAAAATAAAATAAAACATATGTTCCAAGAATTACAATTTATTAAATTTTTTTGATGCAGTCCTCATTTTCTTTGTTCAACTTTTTTTTGAGAATATTTTAGTATCTTTATCTTTTTTACCTTTATATATATATTTAAATATGAATAATAATAGATTATATGAAATAACAAATCAAGTATTTAATAATAAATATTTATTTAGATTGATTATTGAATTCTTTAAGAATAAGATAGCAAGTTTACAATCATCACTACCGTGGAAGAGAATCAGTCTTTATTGGGCACATTATCATAGGTATTATAATGTGATCAATGAAAAGATCAAGATTGAAGGTGTTGTTATGGCAGGCAAGGATATCAACAATGCTCGTATTATACTCACCAATCCACATTTAAAGTTGGCCGATTGCTATGCTATCATTGATCAATGTGCACAATCACCTGTCAAACTAAAAGGTGTGTTTGATCTCATTGCTTCAAACATATCGTTTTACAAGTCTTCGGTTGGACTCTTTTTCGAGGTGTATGACTTTTTAATGGCTAGAGCTGCCAAATACAAATGTCCGGAACAAACGTTGTTTAATCCTTTAAAAGTACTGACTCATGCAATAGAGTCTGGAAACTATGACCTTTATATTAGAGTGCTATGGACATTTGGATTAAAGCTTACCGACACGTCATACTATGTGTTTGTAGCGGCACGAGAGTTACCATCCGATGGAAACTATCGGATTCTCGAGCATTTGTTGAAGAATGCGGAAACGGTCACCTTTGATTTGGTTGATTACACGGGTATGGCAACCGCTGGCAATCTGGGTGCTCTCCTGTTGTTGGAACGACACAACAAAGACATGATCAAAACGACAAACGATATTGTGGGTCGCGACGACCATGCAATGTCGCCTCTTGTCATGGAGGCGGCTTGTTTGTACGGTCGACTTGATATGGTCAAGCATTTACACTTTAACAGACGTGAAGGTGGAACGAATAGGTGTTTGGCATACGCTGCGATATCAAATAACGCAGAGCTAGTTAAATTCCTTCATCAAGAGGGTGGTACTAAATACGGGTCACTCGCGTCGATCGTACCGTTCCTTTTACCACACCAAAACAGATTATACGTACTATTGAAGCGTGCAAGACAGAGATATACGTGTTGGGCAGATATAGACTATTACCCACTTTTACAATTCGATGCTTTGGTCGACCCAACACGTCAGTTTTCCTATGAAGATGTTCGTGTCGATGGTGGTAGTTATGGTCATTTCTATTTAAATCATATAAGACACTATCGACAAAGTCATTACTTTCAAATTGGTAGGAAAAAGGTACCTACACAAACACTCAAAACCGATATGGAAGCTAGAAGAATAGAGATTGATAAGAGAAATGAAATAGTCGATTATCTAAGAACCAACAATGTACTAAACCCCAACACTATCAGATTGATTCACAATGTTAAAACTAGAGCAATCCCAATCAAATACTTTGACGCTGAAAATTCATTTGTCAATCTATTTGATATTGGTACTCAATCATTACCAAAATTTGATTTTAAATAAATTAAATATAATTAATTATTTTTATTAATTTGTTGTTTGTAATCAATGTATAATTGACTTTTACTTTTTAAATATAATCTTGATTTTAAATTTTGATAGAGTTTGATTATAAGATTGATTCCAACCAATTCTCCTATAAAGTAACCAATGATTGCTATTGGGTAGAATTTGAGTAGAAAGAGACAATTAAAATAGTGTGGAATATTGATCAATACCAAATAAACTACAAATTGTGTTGGATTGGTGTTTATCTTGGTTTGTTTGTATAAATAATGTTTACATGTCCACCACATCATTTCGGCAGTTGAACATACTAGTCCTATTAGTATAGTCAATACAATTGAATTGGTGTATTGCCAACCATAAAACAATCCACATACAAGTACATATAGACCAGAGTAACATTGATTAATTAATATATCGTCATAACCATATCTGTATTGGTCAATGGTTCGGTTCCATTTACCGATCGCCGCTAATGAACTTGCTTGACGTGAAATAGTTAATGCATAATCTCTTTCTTGTTCGCCAAATGATCGATCAATATAATACATATCAGTCATCTTTAATAATGATAATGCAGATTTTCGCATGGTTGAGAATTCATCTTTCACCTCGTACTTTAGTAACTTTACAAAAAGAACAGGTACCTTGTACGCATTTAATACATTGATAACCTTTAAATCATTTCTTTTAGATTGTTGGTACCTTGCCAACATATTAGCAACCAAAATACAAATTGGAAATCCACAATCATCATCATATGTAACATTTAATATATCATCAAATGGTATATCATTTACATTTTCAACTAAATTAATAAATTAATTAATAAATATTATATTATATTTGTTTGTTTGTTTGTTTATAATATACATACATTGTCCAATTATATTTCCAATTAACTTTATGATATTTGATTCAATACTTGATGAAGATACCTTTTTCAATAGAGATGTATCCAATTCCTTGGTTGTTGTTAGTTTGAGATGCTTGTTTCGTTGTTGTTGTTGTCGTTCAAGTAGTGACACTAGAGAGCGTATGACTCTAGTATTTGCTAATCGTCGACATGCTTCATAGTTATGGTCTGTCAATTTTACAAGACAATTAATCTCTGAAACAATATAATCTTGATCATCTGATTTACAGATATCAATTATTTTCTCTTCTCTACATTGTACATCAATCAACCGATTCAATCTACAATATTCATTGAATTCTAAAAAAAGATTGATCTTTTATGTTAGTTACATTAGCAATATATTATATCTCTTTCTATATAACACTTACGATAAGCAACAACTCCAACAATGATGGTTGGGATGACACCCTTTTCATAATACCCATTATTAAACAAAGTATTTTTGATTAATTCCATCCCTATCTATCTATCTTCTATCTTTTGATGATTTAAACAATCATTCATCATCTTCTTTACATGTGTTTGGTAATAGATATATCTCTTGTCTGTGACTCATCATTATGAGTAACTTCCAAAAGACAAAAAAAATAAAAAGATTGTTGAGCCACTTTAGAAACTAAAAAGAATAATCAATTAATTAATTAAAACAAGAACTATTTTTTTTTATAAAATAGTTTATTTGATTGTTATGGTTGAATTAAATTAGATGGGGAGGGAAGTGGTTGAGGTTGATATTGTTGTAATAATAAATTTGAAAGATATTCGAGTGAAGTAGGAGGAATGAATTTAGATTGACAATGGGTTTTGTAAAGATTACTTTGGAGATAGTATCGGTAACGAATACGTTTCTTTAATTGGAGACCAATGTTTAATATATATCTTCCACCATAGTATCCTATAATTGCTAATGGGCATTGTTTAAAGATCCAAAAGTTATGGAATAGGGTGAATCCACCAATCGTCAAATCAAAGAATTGACTTGATCGGTTTGTATATTTTTTTAAAAGTGTCTCTGTTAAATCTGTTGACTTCCATCTAGTATATTCAAATGTTGCAATTGCCAACCCTACACATGCAGTATATTTGATTGAACCTCCACTCTTTTTCCATGCCATGGTTGTACCGAAAAAGACAGGCAAACTCGAGAACCAAATATCCGGTATAATATCGGTGCCGGTATTTAGTTTGTAATAGAGATTAGACATGAATGATGGAGCTGTTTGTCCACGTAGAACTGGTATCATATCCTCCTCTGTATCTTTTAATGTAGGTAGATGGTGTACCACTAGTAAAGATGCACGTCTAATATCAGCAAACTCGTTGGCCACCTCGTGTTCAAGTAACTCTTTAAATAGACCAAGTACTTTGTGAGTTGTATAGGTATAGGCAACTTGATAGGTATTATTGTGTTCAATTAAATATTTGGCCAACATATTACCAACCATAATCTTAATAGGGAATCCACACCAATTAGCATATCTAATTAGTTCATAGAATGGTATATCTTGAACTCGTGAAACTAATCAAAAAAGAATATTAATAAACTAATTAAATTATGAGTATATATATTTGTAGATTTGACTTACAATGACGGATAAGGTTTGATACGAGTACTATAATGGGAGATTCTACAAGTGAAGAGAAGAGGGTGATAAAGTGGAAATCTCTTTGATGGTTGGTTGCCATCTCTAGACATTCTACACGTGCTCGATTCTGTCGGTATGCAATTTGAACGAGTAAACGTATAGACTCTGGAGTGGCTAGTCGTCGACACACAGTGTAACTATTGTTTGTCACATACACAAGATATTCGATTCGAGAAATGACATAGCCTATATTGAAAGGATAGTTTTCAAATAGGTCTTGAATTATATTATTATTTTCTTCTTCTTCTTCCATCTCCTCATCATTCACAATACTCAACATTTCACTTGAATCAACGAATCCTATAAAAGATCAGTAGAGCAATAATAGATTAGTTAATCATTCCATGCATTATGTATGTATAGTATAGTATAGTACACTTACTAAATGCTACACATGCTAGTGTCAGAGTAGCAGGGATAACATATTGGTTGCCAAAGATATATTTGATCTTTGAAACCAACCTACTTGCATTCATCCTATATCTCCTTCTCTTCTTCTTTATCCCTATCTATATCTTTCTAATGTGTACACCATTTATCTTTATAAACGTGATGATAATGATGATGCAGCTCTCTCTACTAACTATGAAATGTCATTTAAATTGAGACAAACAGACTTCTACCACTACGGATATTTATTTATTTTTATTCAGATTCTTTGAGCTCGGTAGACACTGAATAAATACACCAGTTACAAAGCATTACGAAGCATCAATACCAATTGATTAGTAACTTGTCGATTTAAATGCAATCAATTGGTAGTTTCATTAATACAACAACAACAACAACAACAACAACAACAACAACAACCGCTTGATTGAAGATTATAAATCTAGTAGTTTATTCATTACTAGTTGATCACGATATTTATTTTCTAAAATTGGTATGTTGTGATAATGGCGGAGGGGAGAGAGAGATTTGTGTCACGATGAAGAATCAATCTTTTCCCACCTGCAAACAGCATCGACTAATCGAAATTCGTATACCGCACATTCAAGGTCACCACAGTGAAGGCGGTCAACAGTTGTAGGTGGCAAAGATTCAAGTGCCCATCTCGAGTATTAAAAAATATCACGATCCGGCACTTTTCATGAATGAAAATCTTCTTAAGATTTGTTGTTGTGGAGGTGTTTACCTTTTTTGACATCATGTACAAGATGAGCAGCCTCATCCCTGATCCATCATGACTTTCTAGGCTTTTTTTACTTTTTTTTCTACTATAATTATTTTTTTGTTTTCGTAAATTGTTTATTGAATCTCTGTAAAATAATACAGAGGTTAGACCTATTATTATTCTATTTATATTATTTCCATATATATAATTTATATTTTGTAGATAGATATACAGGATACATATATATATATACATATAGGATGGACAGATCGAGATCTAGATCTAGATCTATTTCTAGTACTCCAAATGTACAATTATTTTCACCCACCTTTTTTTTCTACAAGGTGATCATTACATTCATAGTACTATTATGCATTATAAAGAGTAGTCATGCTGATAGCGGCCCATTTACCTATCCAGGAAACGGACATAATTATACTAGATATGATATTGGTTCAGGCAATTACATGAATGCTAATATGAAATGTGCAATGTTGGATTTCTATGGTGGTAAAAAGTAACTATAGTTCTAATCGAATCAATGATTCAATCATACCATTTAACATATTTCTAACATACTCTTTTAATTTATTTGTACTTTTAATTTACTTTTCTTTTCTTTTTTTTAAAAGTTATGCAGCAACATTTACAACAAAAGAGGAATTTGATTGGGCAGTTAGTGTAGGATTAATCAATAATATTCCAGTATTTATTGGAGGTACTTTGAGTGGAGGCAAGTTGATGTTTGGACAGGGACCAGAGACTGGACAGTTGTTGTATGACATTCCTATTGGACGTCCTTACTCTTTTTACCAACCTATTCCAGAGTACACCTTTCCCTCTTCTGAAATGGGTCAGTTGTATGCACTCTTTGATGGTAATGTTTCCTTTCAAGGGTTCCAACCGTTTGATCAGTCTTTGACATCGGTCATTTGCGAGACTGGTGGTGTAACCGATCCGATCTTGTCACAACTCGATACTATTGGTGGAGTCTTGCAGATTAGCGGTCTAACAGGCTACAATCTTAGTGCTCTCACTGTCACGTTTACAAGTACCAACTTGGTCGACCCAACACCCTCTTTTGGATGTGTAGGATCTATTACCAAAACATCGTCGTCACAGGTAAACTGTACAGTTGCACCTGGAACAGGTTCATATAACGTCCAAGTGACCGATGGTAAAAAGACATCGGTTGCAGTGGTTTGGTCATTCAACACTCCCTATCTCAAGTCAATCTATCCAAGTTTGACCGCCGGTACATTGTTTACCATCTACGGTGACAACTTTGGTGACAATGCTACAAAGATCAAAGTATATCTCACGTCTGATATGATACTCTGTTCTGTCCAAGAAGAGCTTATCCCCGGCAAAGCCTATACTCTTACCTATGACATTCCCCTCACTCAACAGTTACTCCCCATAACCATCATAGTTGATAATGTTAGATCATTTTTAAACCAAGTTCCCATTTGTAAGTTTATATATAAACAAAAAAAAACAAAAAAAAAAGATACATACTTGAAGTCAAAAATATTAATATTTATTATATTATTTATTATTATTTAATATTATTTAGGGATAGTAGTTCATATTCATTCTTTACACCATATACTCCAATGAAATCATTTGTTGCTTTTAGTAATAGAATTGTTACAAATGTCGGACCTGCCGACGAGGGGATTGAGCCGGCTCTTGGTGTCATTGAGTTTGCGGCAACTGCCAATCTACTGATTGCTTCGTATCCAAAGTTTTATACACCCGGACGTACATGGGCCACTTGGGAAGATCTCGCAGTCACTTACCCAACCAATTCGTTTACTCGATACACTAACCGTGAGCCTATCGTACCGTATAATTCTACCATTGTCGATGTCTCCCAGTTTAACGCCAATGGATACTTGTACTTTGACTTTACAAATGCCACCATTTATCGTGACAGCACCATTAATTTACAGGCATTGGTTCAACACATCCCATTGGTCTACTTGGCCACTGATACTGCCATTAGAGCAAATACAACTGGTCTAGCATCCGTTAAACTTAATCTAACTAGTTATGGATCAAGATTTGCAAGTACCCAATTATTCTTTGTTAACGGGACACAGGTACTGTACCCAGGATACAATCCAGTCACCAATTATGGTAATATCGTTATATCTATACCAGAGGGATACGATTCCATTCCTTATGCAGTCAAGACAGATTCGAGATGGTTCAATACAACCATTACATACAATCCACCAAAGATATCTAGTGTCTCGACCACTGGAACCGTAGGAGGTGCCATTACAATTACTGGCACTAATTTCTACAAGTCCAATCAAGTTGTAAGTGTATCGTTGTTGGGTAAACCTTGTAGCACACCAACTATCACGAGTCCACATACAGAGATATCGTGTGTTGTCCCAGCAGGCTCTGGATCGGGTAATGTTGTGGTGACAGTCGGTATGCAGCCATCGTCGTCGGTGCCATGGCAATACAACGCTCCAACCATAACGGGAGTATTGGCGTCGGGCAACCCATCGTTGTTGGATATTACAGGAACCAACTTTTTCAACGTTGCCAATCGTATCAGGGTCTATGCGTCCGTTCCAACCCGCAAGAATGTTCAATGTACCGGTGTGTCGGTTACAACTGCCCACACACGTCTTGGAGCAACTGTCCCAAAGTCTATGCAGGGTCGTACGGTCAATGTATCGTTGACAGTCTCCAACACTGCCTCTAACCCATTCGCAGTTGATTTGCCACCCTATTTGGACAGTGTCGATCGTCTACCATACACAGAAGGCAGTGATGTCCAGATAACAGCATACTTTGACACGGTCGACAAGTCAGGCAATAATATCACATCGGTCCAGGTATTTATCAATGGAACGACCACCTATATCGACTGTCCAGTTCGCAGTCTACCACCCACCGCCGCCATCCTCAACTGCACTATTCCACCTGGGTTCTTCCAGTTTAGTGTCCGTATGGGTTCACCATGGGGTCAGTCTAATTTATTGGCAATCAAGTATGCTCCACCAACAGTCGTGTCAGCGTCACCAGTCAAGTACGAGATTGGAGGGTTGGTGACAGTGTCGGGCAACTCTTTTGGCAACCTTACACAACCACCATTGGTTTGGATTGGTAATTACACTAATATGATTAGTTGTACCAATGCCACCCTACTCGACCCATTCCGTATTGAGTGTCATTACACGGGCTCGGTGCCTGCACCCGCCGACAAGACACGTTCGCTCAACGTCACAGTCACCTCAACCTTTGGGTCTGCCACCAAAGAGGTATTCATCTACTCGATCGTGTTGAGTTGTCAAAACAACTGTTCCGGACACGGTGTATGTAACACTGACACTGGTAACTGCCAGTGCGACATTGGATACCGTAAATCTGCAGACTGCTCCATTGCAGACGCTGGTAATGGCGGTAAACCCGAGACTAGCGAGAATGGCACGACCGTCATCCCAGTCGAAGGTCTCAACTTTACCATTGCTATCACACACTTGCGCGAGATAGATATTGACGGTGTCCCAATCAAGACACTCCCCCTCGCAGATGTTGAATGGGATACTGAACTACTCGACAATGACACTATGCTACACAACGGCAACTTTAGCTATGACAGTGCACTCATTTCAATCATCTCAACCTACTTTGCAGATTCTACAACCATTACCTTTGCAGGTCAGGATATGGTCATGCCAGCCAACTCTATCAAATACGAGATCACGGTTGCCAACTGGACTTGGGCAGGCCCACTCTCCCAACTTCAAGTAGTCTACAACTCGGCCACAGATCATCAATCCATGGACGGATGTCAATTGTCCGAGACCAATGTAACTACATCCAATGACGGTGACTCTATCTACTGGTTCCAAATATCTAGTGGAAAGACAGTCATGAATGCCAAGTTTGCCAACCGTCTCATTGTCGATGACAGAGTCATTCGTTCAAGTGTCAAATTACTCGATAAATCCGATGAACTCTACAAAAACATTACATCTCAAAGTGACAAGTTCAACTTGCTCACAGCAATGACCACCCCATACTTTAGTGACAAGGTTGTCTTGGATCCATCCTTTTCAGCACTTCTCAAGTACCGTCAAGATGAAAGTTCAGATCCATGTTCAGTCACTGATGAAGTATCCAATTGGAAAATCATTGTCATTTCAGTGTGTGGTGGTATTGGTCTCTTGGCCGTCGCATCTGTCTCTGCCATTGCCATTAAACGTTATAGAGTAACACATGGAGCAAAACAAAAACTCAATAGATTAGCTAAAATGAATCAAAATTCAAGTCATGGTTAAATTTTAATTAATTTAATATTAATAATATTCCATCCCAACACTCAACTCACTCACCAACCCTTATAATTGTATTATACTACTACCCTTTTATTTATTTATTTATTTATTTATTCCACTCATCAATACACTTTTAAAATTAATAATAATAATAATAATAATACCCATCCATCAACTCTCACTCGACCATTTACTACTAATAATAATAACAATAAAAAAATAAATATTTTAAAATCTTCTAAATATTGATTGGAAGATCATCACATTCCTATAAAAAAAAAACAAAATCTTGTTCAATCATAATTTAAATTAATTAACAACACTTGACGCAATATTCATTGATTTATGATTAATTATTGGTTCATTGTAAGGAAATAACAACAGCACTAGCACCACCACCACCATTGCATATACTAGCAACACCAATCTTTCCATTAGTTTGTTTGAGTGCTGAAATTAATGTACAAATGATTCTACTTCCACTACTTCCAAGTGGATGTCCCAAAGCAACAGCTCCTCCATAAATATTAATTTTGGAATGTGGAATATTTAAAATCTAAAATAAGAAATATATCATTAGTCATCTCATCCATTTAATCTAAATCTAATATTTCTTTTCTTTTCTACTCTTACCTTCATATTTGATAAAGCAACAACACTAAAAGCTTCATTAATTTCAAACAAGTCAACCTTTTCAATTGGGATGTTTGCATTTTTGAGAGCCTTTGGGATGGCAATGGCTGGAGTGGTTGTAAATTGAATTGGTTCTTGAGCAGCATCTGCACATCCACTAATAAATGCAATGATTGGGATATTTAATTGTTTTGCCTTTTCTTCACTCATTAAAATGATAATCGATGCACCATCTGAAATCACCGATGCATTACCAGCCGTTACTGTACCACTACCATCCTTTTGGAATGCTGGTTGTAAGTTTCCAAGTTTTTCATAGTTTGCCTAAATATAAATAAATGATTGTTAATAAATAAATCTATCTTGTATTTTCTTTCTTTTTTCACATACATTATTAATTTCATCATCTTGAGTAACAAAAGTATCTGGTTTACCTTTAATACCAGCTATTTTAACTGGTACGATTTCCTCTGCAAAATGATTGTTCTTGGTAGCTTCAAGAGCACGTCTATAACTTGTGATTGCATATTCATCTTGTTGTTGTTTGGTGATACTGTAGTCTTTTGAACACTTTTCAGCAGCGATACCCATATGGAAACCTCCAAATGGATCAGTTAGACCATCCTTTAACATACCATCTACCAATGTACCATTACCCATTCTCAAACCACTATTTCTAACATTGGGGAGGTAGTATGGGACATTGGACATTGACTCAAATCCACCAGCTACAACAACTTCACAAGCCCCAGTTTGAATGAGTTGTGAACCAAACATTACTGCTTTCATACCAGATGCACAAACTATAAGAAATCAAATGAATAATAAGAGATATTAGAATAAACATACATTTGAACTGATGATATGATATATATATATATTTGTATATTTATACCTTTGTTAATAGCAGTACATGGGACAGATGGAGGAATACCAGCATTGAGAGAAGCTTGTTTAGCAGGTGCTTGACCAAGGTTGGCAGACATGACATTACCGAGTAACACCTCATCGATATTATTGATAAAGTCTGGGCAGTGTTTGGTGCAACGTGAAATAGCCTCTCTGATGGTAAGTGAAGCCAAATCGACAGCATTGAATGATGCCAATGATCCATTGAATCCACCCATAGGTGTTCTACAATACGATACAATAGCAGTTCTCTTTAATGGTTGTTGTTGGTTCATTGTTGAAGCTGTTGTTGTTTTACTACTACAATGATTAGAGTCTAGATAATTATTATTGCTGTTTAATTGGTCTGTTTGTTTTAAATGTTCTGCGAGAATATTAATTCTCTGTAAATACATTTAATTTAATTTCTCTGTGTGTGAGTGTGACAAAGGAGACAGACAGAGAGAGATAAAATAGCAATATAACTACAAATAATAACGCAATGTCTGCTACTAATTAATTAGTCTTGTGTTTGTGTGTGATGTGAACAGTTAACTTTCTAAAGATATTTTATTTTTAAATTAAAATTTTAAAGATAAAAATTATTTTTTATTTATTTCAAAGAGAAGAAGGTGAAGTTAGATCCATCTTTATTGATGTCTTTAAAAACTATTGTATTTATTATTTATTTATTATTTCTTTTTTGTTTGGATGAACGATGATCAAACTATGGTGATATCTCACTGATACTTCTTTGTGACTAAAAATGTTTTTACTAAAATTATAAAGAATGGAAGACGACACTCGTCATGTTTAGTTGTATGCACTAGTGTATCGATAATCAGAATTAACTCTCTCGAAAAGAATTATTATTATTATTATGTTGGGATTGCACACAAACAAGATACGATCCCTTCTATTATCAACAACATCAAAGTCATTATTGAATTGCTCAAAGTACACGACAACAACATCGACTGCTCCTCATTTTACGACAGATGGTAGTTGCGACAACAATCAAGAACAACAACAAATCAATATATTCACAGGAAGACAAGATAGAAGTACACCATTTAAAGTAAAAAAAGATCGATTCTTTGATTCACCTTTTCAAAACAAATCAACAAACAACTCTGAGGAAGCCGAACGATGGAGAAAGTATCAAGACGAGAGAAAGACATCGTTTTTGGATCAATGTAATCAATTTTATCAAGATAATAAGCAGACCGTAGAGACTAGTTCAGGTCCATTCTCTTTCAAGGCAAAGACACCTGTTAATATGTTGTTTGCCTACGTTGGAACGGGATACCATGGACTAGAGTTTCATATGACCGATCAAGACTACCCAACACTCGAAAATTGTTTAGAGAGAGCTCTCTTTCTCAGTGGTATGATCCTTCCTACCAACTTTGGTGATCCTTCGAGATTGAATTGGAGAAGATCAAGTCGAACCGACAAGGGTGTGCATTCAATGAGCACCATCATCAAAGCAAATTTAGAGATTGACAGATCGCGCATGCTCACACCCGAAAAGATAGCAGACTATGTAGCATTGATCAACTCGAATCTTCCAGATGCCTTGCGAATCATATCGATGGAAATGACAAAGAAATCATTTGATCCAAGACGACAAGGTATTGCACGAACATACCATTACGTACTACCAAAAAAGTATCTTGGTGATAGATACACATTAGATGAAATCAATCAAATCATATTACCAATGTTTATTGGTAACTTTTCTTATCATAATTTTACATTAAAAAGAAGAACTTATATTAGACCAAATGAAACAACTGAAGATAATAATAATAATAATAATACAAAAGAATTGGAGGAGGAGGGAGAAGAAGAAGAAATAGAAGAAGAAGAAGAAATAGATAATAATAATAATAATCAACAACAACAACTTAATCAAAAACAATTTATTACAAATGATAAATATTATCCAAAAGATAGAAATGCAGAGATGTCATTATTTAGAAGGAATTCAAGAAATGTTAGAAGAGTTATATCATTTAAATTAGAGGAAACATTTCAAGAGTCTGGTCAGGAATGGGTCAAGTTTGTCATTGAAGGAGAGTCTTTTATACAATACCAAATTAGAAAGATGATGGGTTTTGTATTGGCCATTACCAATGGCAAGACGGATCTAAAGACATTAGAGTTGGCTCTTCATTCTCCATTTTCAATACATGCACCTATAGCTCCACCCAACCCACTCTATCTCTTTGATTGCGCATTTAAACAAAAGAGAACCGCCGAAAATTCTCCATTATTCCATCCATTCCAACTCACCAACAACCGCGTCAACCAATTCAAAAAGGATTTTTGTTCCAATACCCTTTACCCTCATCTCAAACAACTCAACGACACGCAGCAATTCTTTGAAACCTTTATGGATCAGGAATTACCAATTCACAAGTTTGGTGTTGAAAAGGAGGACCTAGACAATCTTTTCAACATGTATATAGAATTTAAAGAGGCTGATTTATTAAGAAGATCAAAACAAGAAAAAGAAAGAGAAGAAATAAAATTGGAAAAAGAAAAAGAAAAAGAAATGGAAATGGAAATAAAAGAAAATTAATAAATTTAGTTATTTTTATTTATTTATTTCTTTATAAAAGGATTTAAAAATCTAGAAAAAGTATAAATTAAATTAAGAGCAGAGCGACGGAGGAGTCCTCCTTTGTCATTTTGAGGAAGATCTACATTGTTTGAGGTTTGTAGATCTACAAGAGAGGAGGAGTCCTGGAGTTGAGGTGGTGGTGGTATGGGAGGTGGTTTGGTTTGTTGTGGTTGATGTGGATAATGGCGATCCTTCTCAAGATGGCTTACATTGTTTGGTTGTGACCTGATTCTAAATCTTTTTTGGAATTGAATGAACCATTGTTGGAATTTTTGTATGAATCGCTTGACCTCTTGTACAAATATTCTTTGGGGTATTTTCAATAATCTCTGTTGCTCTTGTGTTAACCGCTCGTTTTCTTGTTTTAGTCTCTGGATCTCTTGTATTGACCTCTCGTTTTCTTGTTTTAGTCTCTGGATCTCTTGTATTAACCTCTCGTTTTCTTGTTCTAAACTCTCATTCTCTTGTTTTATTTCTTCAACTAGTTGAACCATATATCGGTTCATAAAATAGTGTTGTGCACGACATGTTAGGCCCATTTAGTAGGAGATAAAGATTGAGTTTAAATTCATCAAACTGGATGTGAATTTTACATTTGAATAAGAGTATCCTTTTTTTCTTGAATTATTTAAATAATTGACAATTAGTAAAGTAATAATAATTATTACTATTTGGATTCAAATAAAATATATTTTTTTATATTAAAATAGTGAAAACTATAGTATCTTGCAATTTACTACTAATAATTATTATCTTCTAGCATTAGTCTTTATCCTTTGATTATCGTCTAAATAGTCTAGAGGATCGTGTAATAAAAGTTCGTCATGTTTCTTTTCAATGAGATCAAAGAACTCATCGACGCTTATCGACTCCAACTGTGGACTTGATAGAGTGAAATTGGGTCGAGTACTGTACATTGATTTTTTAGTTGGAACTATTCCACTATCCACAATCGTTGTTGTTGATGCTCCATCTAATATCATTATTGAATCATCATCATAATCTTTTTCATCAGTTCCAGTTTGATAGGAAATAAAATCTCCCTAAAATAAATAAAATAATTTAATTAATAAATTATCTTGATACATATTATTATTATTATTACTATGAATACAAACCATTTCAATTGCATCAACTTGGAATTCTGGATCTATATAATCGTCAATACCTATTTGAGGTCCTAAAAATGATTTTGATAATAGAGTGGATCCTTTGATTGCATTTTTAGTTTCATTCAACATGTCTCGCTGACTAACAGAGTTGATGACGTTTCTTAACAATGTTCCACGTTGTATATTGTGTACCAAAGGTGCTGTACAAATTGATTTGACTCTGTACAATTCATATGGAAATGCATATAAATGTAAAAATGAGATACCCATCATTTCAAAACAAATTAACAAGTTCTAAATTTAATTTAATTGTAGTTAATAAAAAATGATTAGGTATTATCTTCTTCTTCTTCTTCTTCTTTTGTTATAATTTACATTTATAATATTTGCAACTTGTTCTGATTCAAAATGATCAATTGAAGGGATCCAATGAAAAGTTAGATTGATGACTGCAATTGCCAATGATTGCCAAAAACTAAGAAATATTACCAATTTGATTGATACAAATTTAAGTAGTGGCTTATAGGGTGACAATTCTTCTGCTGATGCCTGATAAAATAATACAATGATGGTCATTGCAGTTGTCACTGATAGATTATTGATAATCAAAGAGTAATCGTGAAACTTTATAAAATGAAATAGTTTCTCTCCTTCACCATACAATCCAAAAGGTTCCAATATCACAGCAACAATAGTTAAAATTGGTTTAATAAATACATATTGTAAAATACCAACTCTACATATTTGTAAAAATGATCTAAATAATTAAATAAATAAATTAATAAATTGAATAAATAGATGGACACTCTATAGGAATAGATTCAATGGGAAAGTCACTACTTACTCTGTTGGTTTAAATTTTATACAAGAAAAAGGAAGTGGTAAGGAAATTGATTTTAAAGTTAGAAAATGTCTTGTCAAACTTTCATCGCCTCCTCCATATTGAACACATAATACAAAAAACATATATAATGCATATGATTCATAACTATAAACAAATAAAAAAGAATTAGTAATCCTATACATATATATATTTTTTTCTTTTTCTAATATTTTACCAATCTCTAAATAACTGAAAATAAACTTTATGTTTATAAAATGCCATACAAAGTAGAGAATAAATACCAAATATTGGAATGATGAAAATGATTCTGACTATATATCGTTGATGTTCCGGTTGAGTATAATATTTTAAATGTTTGTAGATGAGAAACATTGAAAGAAAAGTTGCCAAACAAACAAATATAAACCCAAGTAACATGACTACAAAGTAGAATAGAGGTGGATCCTTTTCAAAAAATAGAATCTTTTGAATCACATAATCAGCATTAATCAATGCCATTGTTGAAAGAACAAAGAATCTCTTTTTTTTTAATCAGAAACTATGTATCTAAAATAAATAAACGTATTAATTGATTGATTGAATATCGATATCATAGATTGAAATAATATGTATGTATGTATGTAAATATTTGGTGATGATCATTTATCAAGATATCCATCCCAAAGTAAACTGGACTATAGGATGAATCCAAAAATAAATCATAAATAATTTAAATGTATGAAATACCATCAATCTACCACCTATACGCCGATCGTATGGGGGGTATGAATGATATGACAATGTATAATTATGTACTTACTTTGCAAAAGACATTTATGAATGCTACGATCGTAGATTCGTGTTGTGGTGGTGTGGGTCTGAATGAATTCGATTGATTTGAGTAGTGTTGCACTTGTGTGTGTGCGTGGTGGTAGGTATGTTTTGTTTGTCAGCTCCTCTCTGATTTATCGATATTTGTTAAACAAACCAAATTGCAAGAATAACTTTCTTTCAAGCAAGCCAAGGTAAAAGATAATAATAATAATAATAATAATTCTTGCAATTGACAGAATTTTTATAACTCTTACTACCAATAGTATCTAATTTACATGTTAGTGAGTTGACTTGGGTGGAGATCCACCCCACAGACAGTTACATGAGATAGATGATCAATACCTGACATTTTCTTGTTCAGTAGAACATTACATACATTAACTTTTTTTGATTAGAACAGGGTTCTAATCATTGCAAAAAAAAAAAAAAAAAATTAAACCAAGATTATCATCAGCTTCTATATATATACAGTAATAACTCACTCTTGCTTTGTCCTAAATGATAGTTTAGATCGAAATGTTCATTTGATTGTAATTACTTACCAATATTGTAGAGAGAAGCCTTCTTGTCTAACAATGATTTCATTGTTTGAAAGAGGTTTCAGCAGAATGACTAACCAATCGACCATCTGAACATTGTAAATAGTTATCAAACAAAATGATTCAAGGACAATTGTATGTTCAGATGGTCGACTGGAGCGAACCAAACCTGTTCTTGTGCACGAGCACCCAGAGTAGTATATCTATTTACTTTTCTTTCGATACATGCCCTTCTTTCTATATGCTACAACTGACATATGGATGGTGGACCATCCAAAGAGTAGCTATTCCATCATTATTCGTCAACCCCAATGCTCAACTCTTGACAAATGAGATATCGTTGGCTGAACTCGTCGCTGCCATTTTAAACTTGAAAAATGGTACGTCGCCAGGCCCAGATGGCGTCTACAATGAGTTCATCAAGAACTGTCACCATCAGTCATAGCATACATTCTTCGACTCTTGAATGGTTGCATTAATCTCTCTTCTGTTCCGACGACTTGGAGGAATGGAACTGTCTTTACCATTCATAAAGACGGTAGCCAATCCGAGCCAGGCAATTACAGACCTATTACCTTGCTCTCCTGCTTGTACAAATTGTATACAGCCATTCTTGCAGCCAGACTCTCAAGAATGATAGAGGAACCATCTTCCAATCCTCTCCACAACTTCTCTCCAACACAGTTTGGCTTTAGGCCAAACCGTTCGACAGAGCAGTCACTCCATGCTCTCAATGCCATCTTCCTTGACTCCAAAACATTCAAAAAGGAACTCCATGTCGCGTACATCGATGTACGGAAAGCCTTCGACACAGTTCGTCTTGACTCTGTCATCCATGGTCTACATCTTAAAGGTGCCAACAATCACTTTATTCAGATCATCACCTCCTTGATGAACAACTCGTCGGTAAGAATTATCAACCCTCACGGTCCTGTCACCTGTAACATTGGTGTCAAGCAAGGGTGTCCCTTGTCACCTCTTCTATTCAACATATTCTTGGATCCTCTTCTTCACCATCTCTCTTCTATGGATGGCTACAATATCAACAATCGATCTGATAGCACTAAATGCAGTAATTTAAATTATGCTGATGATATGGTGTTAATAGCTGCTAAACATAAATTATTACAAGAGCTTGTAAATTGTGTAAACGCTTTTATGACATACCACTTCATGTCAATCAACACCTCTAAGAGTGCATACACTAGGAGAACTAAAGTTAAAAATCTCGAAAATAATCAAAATTGGTACCCTTCCTCTTCCTTTTCTTCTAGATCTTGCAAATACTACAAATACTTGGGAGTACATATTCAATTAAATCTAGTATTCGATAATCATCATAAAATAATAACAAAAAAAAATCATCCCAACACTTGATCATATCGCGAGGAAAATTCTTTCAGTTCCTCAAGTCATTTACACCAACAAGAGCAAGAGCAACTCTCCTCGCCTCCTCTCCCCCCTTCATCACTGACAGGTACTGTCTCTGAAGATGGGTACTGGCTACTACCTTCACAGATGGTTCCTGTTCAAGTTATGATCCTCCTCCTCAACAATCCCGTATCGACTTTAGCATCGATCCTCCCCACCCCCTTCAAAATATAAATCTAGTTTTGGTATTTATATTCCTTCAACGTCCTCCTCCTCTGACTCTAATATTGAGTTTAGCAGTAGATCAACGTGGTTGCAGACAATAAACTGCGCAGAATTGGAAGCTATTGATCAATGTGTTAGTAATATATTAAACTGATACGATGATCTCTTTCTTTGTTGATCAGTTGCGACTGCCGTCATCGTTACTAATATTATTATTTACATTATCGATTAAGGTTGTTGGATCTATGTTGTTCAAGTAATTAAAAGTTATTCCATTATTCTTTCTTCTTTTAGTAACATGATGCTCGGCGGCGTTTATTGTCTTTGTGCTTGTTGTTGTTGTTTCCTCATTGTCATCTTCATCATTGTCATCATCATTGCCATCATGATCATTTTGGGTGGTCAGACTATTAGAATTATTGGCAAATTGAAATGTATTCATTATTCTTTCTCTCATAATCTGTCAAAAAAGAATAATAATAAAGTGGGTAATAAAAAAAAATAATAATAAAGAAGGTCTTCCCTCAATCACTTTTTATAAATTGTGGGGAGAAAGAAATAATAATAAATAAAATATTATTCCTTCTTTCTTTGATAAACCCATTTATGATGCAGCGCAATGGTTTTTCTAGTACTGCTGTAAAAGGTTCCAATGAATCGAAAGTTACTTTGATGTGAAATAAATGGTCGTTGGTAGTTGGGAGGTTGGGTGGTTCGTCTGACAGAGATCTTTTGGACATTGTCATAAGTTAAATATGATTGGTCGTCAGGTTGGGATGGGTTGGGTAAAAACACCAATTCATTCACCTGTGCATTGTATTTACTGATTTGCGCAATATTGGTGTCAGTGAATGATAGTTTGGTGATGTTGGATGGAAGTTGTGTTTGAATTTGTTGATCTGTCAAAGGGGCGTAATGTGGATATGTTGGAAGGGTGTCTGAAATAATTCTTAAATGTCTGAGTTTTGGTAATCTATCCAACTTTGGAATGGCATCAAATGAGTTGATTGATACTGCTTCCAATGATTGTGTTAATGGCCATCTATTTGGATCGTCTTCCTCACCCTCTTTATCATTTAGATCTTTGAATAGAAATTGGTTGTCTGGATAGACATAGTATAGTTTTCTAAGTGGTATATCTTTTAATTTATGAATAACGCTTCCACTATCTGGATCTAGTCTCCAATATGATAGATCCAATGAAGTAATAAATTGCAAGCGAGTTGACAGCTTTTGGATAAGATTTCCAACGTTTGTGACAAACTGTGGAGTGAGCATAGACGGCTCAAACATTAAACGTTGTACATTTGAGTAGTGATGGAGGTCGAGAAACTCCCAATTTTGGTGACCAGCGTTGTGGTAGCTATCAATGGTGAGACTTTTGATGGATTTACCAATCAGACAATATCGATTTGAAAAGTGTTTATGGTATGTTGACATTTCAGATTCTTCAGATCCTAGGGATGAGAATGCAACTCGATTGACAAGACGATTTGAAATATATTCAAATAATCTTTTGCATGTCAATGACAATCTAAATCGACGTTGATTGATTTGTTTGAGCATATTTTCATTTCTATATGTACCAAAACTTGGCAACTGATCCTTGTGTATTGGACATATTGATTTGGCCAAGGCGAATTCTTTTGCTTTTTTGATATAATCTGATGATGTTTGGTGATTATAGTATTGGTAATGATTTTGATTTACCGTACATGTTTCAATCTCGCAAGTACAATAATAACTATTCCAATAGTATCTGAAAATCTTTTCGACTAAATAGTAGGGAAGTGTTGAATTGTTGATGGTTGTTGTGGTTGTGGTGGTGGGATCTACAACTATTTGTATTGGTGGAGTTTCAATTTTAATCTCTTCTGTTGCTGTTGTTGTAGTTGTTGATTTAATGAAATGGAATTGTCTTTTTGTTGCTTTAAATATGGCACCAATGTATTCATATCCAATTGTTTTAAATTCATTTATCACCTTTTCTGTTATTTCATAATAATTGGTTATAATGAGCTTCTTGACATTGAATCCAGTAAATGGTGTGGTTGGAATATTGACTCCTCCAGTGTTGATAGAATATTTTACTGTTTCAACAGTTGGAGGGACGGTGAATGGAAAGGGTAACACTTCACCACCACGGCTGTGTTGCACGAGCTTTGTAACTTTTGGGTGATCAAACGATGCAAAGGTGTACGCGTTGGGATGATAGGTATGCAAGTTTGGCATTTGTTGTGGTGGATGAATGTTGCTGACTTGGATCGTGTTGGCTAGGTTGGGAGAGAGTGTAACTGGTTCAGTACACCATATAGCAGGCAGTAAAAGCTTTACAATACCTGGATGAAGAACGTCCAAGAATTCTTGTCGACCTGTATGTTGTGCATAGACCACATTGATCGATGTAAGATTCTTGAATTTGGATAGGTGGAACTTTGGGTTAAGATAGCCTCGCCAAGTCAACGATTTGATATTCTTGAATAGATTTTGGAGACCCTTGAGATACTGTGGTCGAATGCTGACATTGTCTATCGATAGCTTTTCGACCGATGAAAGCACCGACGTGTTGAAATTGTTAAAGTTGGCAAACGCGTAGTGTTGGGTGATTGTAAGCTGTTTGGGTGCTTTGATTGGACAATATTGATTGTTGATGTGCTCCCAAAGGTCTTGTTGGAATGCAAGTCGAATGTTGGTAAAGGACTTGGATGACAGGAACTGGTTGACTCGTTTAGATATACCAAGTAGTTGGTATCTCCATTTGTTTCGGTCGATGGTACTATAACAAACAAAGGGGTGTGAAATGTTGATCAATGGCTCCAAACCATTCAAATAGTGGTATGTGTGCATTGGACATTTCATTCTTGATTCTTTGTACATGTCCAACAATGGTTGATAGACTGGCCACATTTGAAGGTGACCAAGTTGTGTCGACACTTGTGGTCTTATACTACTAACAAATTGATGACTATAGTAACAAGTACAAATAGATGATTCAGTCCAAACTAGATCGAGTATTCTACCGATGATTGGCCATGGTAATGAATATTCAAGCATTCCCTTGTTATAATCATACAGAGGATTATTGTCAATCATTTTGGTTTTGTATTGAAATCGATCATTTTGTATCTTTAGAATATTGTTGATGATTGTATCTTTGTTTTGGTTCATTGATCCTTCAATATCCAATCTTTCACAAATGACAAGTAAATCTTTTTTAGTTTTACTCTTTAATTCAATTCTGTTGTACCTTCTTTCATCTCGAGTCACTTTTAGAGAATATAAAAGAGGTGAGAGTGAATAAGTAAGATGATCATTTGTAGTAATATTTGTCCTAATTGATATTTACCCTTTTCTTCAACATCAACATCATCTTCAAAATGAATTCTTTTGTTGTTATTATTAAACTGATACGATGATCTCTTTCTTTGTTGATGTGTATCTACAACAGTTTGATTATTATTATTATTATTATTATTATTATTATTATTATTATTATTATTATTATTTACATTATCTATGACGGTTGTTGAATCTATATTGTTCAAGTAATTAAAAGTCATTCCATTATTCTTTCTTCTTTTAGTATTAGATGTACTTGTTGTTGCTGGTCTATCCAACAAGATGACATCGTCACCGCCGTCATCATAATCATGGTTATTATTATCATTTGTTGAATCTATATTGTTGTTGTTGTTAAAGTAACTAAAGGTCATCCCATTATTCTTTCTTCTTTTAGTAACATCAGTATTTACATTATTTATAGTTATAGTTGCTTTCTCGACACCATCTTCTTCATCGTATTCATCTTCACTATTATTATTATTAGTTGTTGAGTCTATAAGGTTGTTGTTGTTATTATTATTCAAGAAACTAAAAGTCAATCCATTATTCTTTCTTCTTTTCGTAACATGATGCTCGGCGACGTTATTATTACTATCACTGTTGGTGGTGGTTGTTAGACTATTAGAATTGTTCTTATTTGCAAATTGAAATGTATTCTTTCTTTGTCTCATTATCTGTCCATCTTTGTAGTATTATCAATAGAGAAACAACAAAAAATGTAATTCTGAAAATCTTTGAAAATCCAAGTAATAAGAATATTATAAAATTATAATACTTTTGTTTTTTATAACATGTTTAAAGTACAGTATAAACAAACAAGCAACCACCTAAACATCAAAAATAATATCAAAGCTAATGCATTCAGACCATAATAAAAAAGAATTATATATTTATTTCAATTAATTTATATTGTATTCCTTCTTTCTTTGATAAACCCATGTATGATGGAGTGCATTGGTTATTCTAGTACTGCTGTAAAAGGTTCCAATGAATTCAAAGTTACTTTGATGAGGAATAAATGGTCGTTGGTAGTTGGAAGTACTGTAGGTTGCTTTAATAGAGATCTTTTGGATATTGTCATAGGTTAAAAACTGGTTGTCAAGTTGGGAAGGGTTGATGTTGGGTAACAACACCAATTCATTCACCTGTGCATTGTATTTACTGATTTGGGCAATATTGGTATCCTTGAATGATAGTTTGGTGATGTTGGATGGAAGTTGTGTTTGAATTTGTTGATCTGTCAATGAGACATTTTGTGGATATGGGGAGTTATCTATAATGATTCTTAAATGTCTGAGTTTAGGTAACCTATCCAACTTTGAAATAACATCAAAAGAGTTGATTGATACTGCTTCCAATGATTGTGTTAATCGCCATCTATTTGGATCATCGTCATCTTGTTGTTGTTGTTGTTGTTGTTGTTTGAATAGAAATTGGTTGTCTGGATAAAAATAGTATAGTTTTCTAAGTGGTATATCTTTTAATTTATGAAGAGCACTTGCACTGCCTGGATCTATTTTCATATGTGATAGATCCAATGAAGTAATAAATTGCAAACGAGACAATGATTGGATAAAGTTTCCAATGTTTGTAAAAAAGTATGGATTGCAGGATTCATACATAAAATGTTGTACATTTGAATAGTGGTGGAGGTCGAGAAACTCCCAACTTTGGTCACCCGAGTTGTGGTAGCTATCAATGGTGAGACTTTTGATGGATTTACCAATCAGACAATATTGATTTGAAAAGTGTTGGTGGTATTTTGATATTTCAGATTCTTCATATGAGAATGCAACTCGATTGACAAGACGATTTGAAATATATTCAAATAGTCTTTTGCATGTCAATGTCAATCCAAATCGACGTTGATTGATTTGTTTGAGTACACTTTCATATCTATATGTACCAAAACTTGGTAAAATATATTTGTGTATTGGACATATTGATTTGGCCACGACAAATTCTTTTGCTTGTTTTACATAATCTGTTATTTGATAATGGTATTGGTTTGGATTTAATGTATTTGTTTCAATCTCGCAAGTACAATAATAACTATTCCAAGAGTATCTGAAAATCTTTTCGATTAAATAGTTGGGAAGTGTTGAATTGTTGACTGTTGTTGATGTGGTGGGTACTTGTATTATTTCTGGCGGTGTTGTTTCAATTGTTATATCTGGTGTTGGTGTTGTTGTTTTAATAAAATTTAGCCATCTTTTTGTTGCTTTAAATATTGTTCCGTGATATTCATATCCACATCTTTTAAAATCATTTATCGTTTTATCTGATATTTCATAATGACTCTGTATCATGAGTTGTTTGACGTTCAATTCACTAAAAATATCAGTATTGAAATTATTATTGGAGTGATCTCTAACGAATTTTAAGGTTTCAACAGTTGGAGGGGGAAGAGAGGTGAATGTTGACGTTGGAAAGTTGTGATTGACTATCTTTTTAATTTTGGGGTGATTAAACGAGGAGGACGTGTCGTATGATGGGAAGTGGGTGGTGGGGGGGATATGGAAGGTGTGTAAGTTTGGCATTTGCAATGGTGGAATAATGTTGCTGACTTGAATTGTGTTGGCTAGATCGGTTGAGAGTGTGGCTGGTTCGGCACACCATGCAATAGGCAGTATAAGCTTTACAATACCTGGTTGAAGAACGTCCAAGAATTCTTGTCGATTTCTTTTTCTTGGTACACAAGTTATTTTGATCGATGTAAGATTCTTGAATTTGGTTAGGAATTGTGGTCTCATTTTAAGGTAACCTCGTAAAGTCAGCGATGTGATATTCCTGAACATATCTTGCATACCCTTGTGATAGGCTGGGGGAATGTACAAGCCCTCACTGATCGTCAACTTTGCAACCGATGCAAACGTCAGAGTATTGAGACCGGCAAAGTTTTGATAGTCATAGCTTTGAACGATTGTAAGTTGTTTTGGCGTCTTGATTGGACAATATTGGTTGTTGATGTGTCCCCAAAGGTCTTGGTTGAATACAAGTCTAACATTATTAAAGTATTTGGATGACAGAAACTGGTTGACTCGTTTAGATATACCAAGTAGTTGGTATCTCCATTGGTTTCGGTCATTGTTACTATAACAAACAAACGGACCTCCAATGTTGATTGATGGATAGATATCGTTCAAATAGTGGTATGTGTGCATTGGACATTTCATTCTTGATTCTTTGTACATGTCCAACAATGGTTGATAGACTGGCCACATTTGAAAGTGATAAAACAATTGGTAATTCGAAGGGGATTGCGTTTGTATACTATTAATGAATTTGTGACTATAGTAACAAGTACAAATAGATGATTCAGTCCAAACTAGATCGAGTATTCTACCGATGATTGGCCATGGTAATGAATATTCAAGTAATCCTTTGTTGAAGTTACATAAAGGATTATTGTCAATCATTTTGGTTTTGTATTGGAATCGATCATTTTGTATCTTTATGATATTCTTGACGATTGTATCTTTGGTTTGATTCATTGTTGCTCTAATATCCAATCTTTCACAAATGACAAGTAAATCTTTTTTGAGCTTACTCTTTAATTCATCTTCTTTGTAGGACGTTCTACTTTTATCTATCGTCAATTTAAAAGAAAGAAAGAGTTAGTCATTGATCATTGGCTGTACATTGATTGATATTTACCCTTTTCTTCATCATCATCATCAAAATGAATTCTTTTGTTGTTATTATTAAACTGATATGATCCACCAATAACAGTTGTTGCTGGGTTATTATTATTATTTGAATTAAAAGTCATTCCATTGTTCTTTCTTTGTCTTTTTGTGACATGCTCTACATTTACAGTATTTGTAGTTGTTGAAGTTGTTGTTGTTTCCTCATTGTCATCTTCATCATTGTCATCATCATCATTATTATTATTACTATCACTATTGTTGTTGGTGGTGGTCAGACTATTTGAATAATTATTCTTGTTTGCAAATTGAAATGTATTCTTTCGTTGTCTCATTTCATTATCTATCTGTCCAAACAATAATAATGAATGATGATGTCTCTAGGAATTCCAATTTACTTTAGGTTTTATTATTATTTTATTATCAAATAAAATAAAATAAAAAATAAGTGCACAAGGAAACATGCATCACACAACTATAAAATAAGTATTCTTGGAATTAACTGTTAGCTCCACTCTCTATTGAATATGATGCGTGAGAAAGAATGTCTTGAACAATAAAACTTATCTAAGTTTCATTTGAAATATATTACAATTATATGAATGAAATGTAAAATTGATTGAATTACTAACATCATAAATAGTATCAAAGCTAAATAACATTACATTGTGTTGTTTACTAGTAACTATAGATGCTATTTGTTTAAGAAATAATGTTATGTAAGAAGGAGAGATGGATGAACTACATAAACTAAAAACGATAGACCATCAGCAGAGCAAAAAAAAATTAATAAACAATTACATGTAACATTACATTTTTTTTACTTTTAGTATTAACAATAATAATAATAATCATAATTAATTAATTATGAATGATGATGTCAATAGAATAGTGATATTAGATCCTGTAGTTGTATCAAAGATTATAACGTATTGCTTTTATTCATCGCAACAGTTTAGATTTAAACTATCATTGTCTCTCGTCTCCAAGAGGTATCATCGGTTGATTGGATGTCTCAACACGACATGTGACCTTGTACCACCATCGACAACATCACGTGCAAAGCAAGATTGTCAGTTATTGAGTCATCTCTCTAATCAGTACTGCAGCTTAAACACAATCAACAAGTTAATAACAAATCAATCACAGTTGAATTCATTGGCACATGATATTGAAGTTTCATCTTCCAATACATCATCTTTATCTTCTTCATCTTCTTCTTCATCCTCTACATCGCCTTTATTATATACATCAGATAATGTATTAAAATATGTTGGAGAATTGATTATCGATGAAACTACGTCATCGTCGATGGCATGCTCGTTGTCAAGTCAGGCACAACAGTTGATTAAGCATATTGACCATTTGTACTCGTTTAGACTAAGGTCTGCACATCTCGGTCTACATGCAACTCTGTTGCAGTCACTACTAGAGACAAATATTAAAGAGTCGTTGGAAGAGTTAGAGATATGGCAGATTGTCGATTCGTCAGTCGTATCATCGGCGATTGATATCATCAAAAGTATGATGTTGCCATCTATCAAATCACTCAAGTTGATATTATACGACTCGTTGGATCTACTAAAGATATTTGATATATCAGACCTGGGTGGCGGTGGTGGTGCCACCGTCCCCAAACAGACACTTCAACAGAGCTTCTCCATCAACCTACCGAATCTGACTCGCCTGTGTCTGTCAATTCGTTTGATGAACATGTTTCTCAGTGCTCTTGGATCAGGTTCGACAAACTCGTCTACTTGTAAACTACAGTCACTCCACATCATCCACGACAAGAATACCAAACAATTTAATAGCAACCGATCGGCTTTAGTCAGTTTCCTCACCGATAACACATCACTGACTAAATTGTCTGTCCCATTTGCACTCGACCATCGACTGGTTGACGCCATCGACCGACATCCATCGATCCAACACTTGCGCAAGGTTCGTGATGCCGCGCCCATCAAATTCCCCAAACTACGATCGATTGGAATCTACCAAATGACCGTCAACAATGGAGGACTAGACTACGGCGGACTATTCCAAAAACAAGTGTCACTAGACAACCTTGAAATAGATACTACCAACTCTCAATTGGAAACGATTAAATTAGATCACGATGTACATATATACGAACAAACTCTAGTGAAATATCTTCGGGTCACCTCGACTCTTGTCACAATTCAATGTGGTATATCAGATTCTATACTTCAAGCCATTCGATTAAATCAAACCATCAAACATCTTTCATTCATCTCCAATTCCAATGTAAATAATTTACAAGATATTATAAAATTAATTAATATCATTCCTCAACATTTTAACAACAACAATAATAATAATAATAATAATAATAATAATAATAATAATAATAACTATACTACCAATAATAATATAATGACAATTAGATTTATGATATTAATGAATCAACAACAAGCAAGACTTGATAATATTAATAATAATGCTGCAGCTGCTGGAGGATCAAATATAACAACTGTCCTCAACCAACTATTTGATCAACTACGCAACTACCTTGACCTACAACCATCCATGTATAAATTGATGAATTTCAGTATATCTAAATTCAAATTAAATCAAATACTTTTAATTGAATTTCAACAGAAATAAATAAATCAATTAAAGGTAAATAATAATAATAATAATTAAATTAAAGGGATATGTTTATATTTATATTTTAATTTATTTACTTATTTTCTTCCTTTCTTTTCTTTTGATAATCTTCAATTAAAGAATTGTAGAGTTCTTTAGAGACTGAAGCATGCTTGCTGTATTCCATGGTGAATTCACCCTTTCCTTGGGTGGCAGAACGGAGTTCAGTAGAGTAACCAAACATATTGTTGAGTGGGACTTCGCACTCGATGATGAGGTTTTCACCTTGAGCGTTGGTGTTGAAAATGGCACCCTTACGACGATTGATACCACCGATTACGGAGCCTTGGAATTCGGATGGGATGAGGACTTCGACCTTCATGATTGGTTCGAGAATCATTGGATCGGCAACCTTGAAACCTTCCTTGAAAGAGTTGACGGCACAAATTCTAAAAGCCAATTCAGAGGAATCGACTGGATGAGTGGCACCGTCATTGACGACGAAACGAACACCAGTGATTGGATGACCGATCAATGGACCGTTGATGACAGCGTCGTTGAAACCCTTCTTACAGGCTTCGATAAAGTTTGGTGTAATAGCGTTACCAATGATATCGTTGACAAATTCATTACCGGTTTCATCGGCACCCATTGGTTCGATGTAACCCAACATCTTGGCGTATTGACCTTGACCTCCAGACTGCTTCTTGTGTGTGTATTGGTACTCTCCACGTTGTTGGATAGTCTCCTTGTAGGCGACCAATGGCTTACCAACAATACACTCTACTCCATACTCACGCTTCATACGCTCGACATAAATATCAAGATGTAATTCACCCATACCTGAAATAATCATTTCTCCACTGTCTGGGTCCGATTGTACTCTGAAAGTTGGATCTTCCTTTTGGAATTTACTCAAAGCCTTTGAAAAGTTATTTTGTCCATCTTTACCCTTTGGTTGAATTGAAAGTGACATTACTGGATTTGGTACATGCATAGATGTCTAGAAACAAACATACAAATAGAATGTTAGAATATATCTTTTCTTTTCTTTTTTTGATTTGATTTGATTTGTTTCTAATCATACCATTGTATAACTTAAATTTTGATGAGTAAAAGTATTACCAGAATAACAATCAACACCAAACATGGCACAGATTTCACCTGGACCGACTTCAGAGACTTCTTCCATATCGGCAGCGTGCATTCTGACGAGTCTGGGAACCTTGAGCACCTTGTTGAGGTTGACGTTTTTGATGACGTCGCCACGCTTGAGGGTGCCTTGGTAGACTCTCATATATGTAAGTTGACCGAAACGGCCTTCTTCGAGCTTGAATGCCAAGCCGACAAATGGCTTCTTGGGGTCGGGGATCATCTCGACTTCAGCCTCATTGTTGGCAGTGTCGAGTGCGATATTGGCCTTTTCCGATGGGTTGGGGAGGTACGAGTTGACACCGTCAAGCAAGAGCTGGACACCAATGTTCTTGAATGCCGATCCCATAAAGACTGGTACAAACTTTCGGGCGACGGTACAACGACGGATGGCGTCACCTAGAGTCTTTTCGTCTGGCATGTTGTTGGGGAAGTCGTTCTCAATGATCCACTCACCAAGCTTGTCGTCGACGTTGGCAACGGTTTCAATGAGTTCGATACGCTTCTCGTTGAATTGTGGGATTAACGAATCGGGGATATCAACCTCTTGAATCTGACTACCCTTCTCTCCAAAGAGGAAACCCTTTCCTTTGATGAGATCCACTACACCCTCGAGATTGACTTCGAGACCGATGGGGATTTGAACGGCGGCAGCGTTGAGTTGAAGTTTACGACGTAGTTGGTCGATAACGTTCCATGGGTTAGCTCCAACACGATCCAACTTGTTGATGAATGTGAGACGTGGTACGTTGTAACGACGCATTTGTCTGTCGACTGTAATGGTTTGACTTTGTACACCAGAGACACCACACATGACCAAAACAGCACCATCGAGCACACGAAGAGCACGTTCTACTTCGATTGTGAAATCAACGTGACCTGGTGTATCGATAATGTTGACATGGTTCTCCTTCCACTTGCAATAGGTGGCAGCTGATTGAATAGTGATACCCTTTTCACGTTCCAAATCCATAGAATCCATCTTGGCACCGACACCATCCTTGCCCTTGACATCGTGAATCTCCTTGATACGACCAGTGTAAAAGAGAATACGTTCGGTCAATGTTGTCTTGCCCGAGTCAATGTGTGCAGAGATACCAATGTTACGAAGATTGCTAATCGAGTTGGTCGAGTATGCACGCATGAATTGGCTCATTGGCTTGATATTTTGTGCGTTAAAACACACTGATGCTTGTTTGATGGCATGTGACTTTATACCATTCGATCCACTTGCAAATACTCTTAAAAATGATGCCATCTCTTCTCTCCTCTCTCTCTCTTAAGTCAAGTATAGATAGATAGATAGATAGAAAGTAAAGGAGAAGGGGGTGTATGTACTTCTTCGTTTTAATGAAACACAGTAAAGAGTTAAAAAGATCTGATCACAAAAAAAAACGAACGATTTTTTTTTTTTTTTTTTTTTTTTTTTTGCAAGCAAACCTAAATTGGGATTAATTAGTTGATTTATTCATTTATTATTATTATTATTATTATTTTTTAATAGTTATATTATATTTAAATAAAAGTGAGTTGATGTAATATAGAGATAAATCAAATGGATCAATTGAAGCGGGATTTAGGATTGGTTGATTTGGATTGTTGTTGAAGATATCTTGATTTCTGTCTTTGAGTTTTGAAATGATGGTTGGAGCAATTGTATCTAGACCATGAACCGAAATAACTAATTCTAAAATGTGTGGTCTAACAAGAGACATTGTACAAGTGACCATGTCCTTGATGACAACTAATTTACATTTACCATTAAATGCCAAGTACCTTGTTACATCCATTATATTACCATGTTCTATACATTGTTGGTAGAGTGCTTCAGTTGGTAAATGACCACATTCAACAAGATGAATGATAAAATCTAAATCAATGTGAACGGGGTCGGGTGAATCTACCGGTAACCTTGGTTGTAGATAAACCGTGAGTAGGTTATAATCGACGTCTCGAATCGATGAAATAATACCTTTTGATTCTAGATATCTAACTACTTGTGGAAGAAGTCTTGATCTTTTGTGACTGACAAATAGATTAAAGACGTCTTGTTGAGTATACCCATACGATGAATAATCCAATTTAAAATCAGGATTATTGTCTAGAATAAACTTTAACATTTCAAATGATTTAAAATGTGATATTTGTTTCTCCAATAGTCTCTTTAGTGATTTATCCAAACTATAAAATGGTTCCTCTTCATAGTACCAATTGGGTAATGGTTGTAGATGATTGGTGGTGTTGGTGTTTCGGTTGATATGTTGGATAATTTGAATCAACATTTCAAGATGATTAAAGTTGATACAGAAATACAACAAGCTCTTGCATTGGTGGAATAGGTTTACATCACCACCACCATCATCATCATCGTTGGGATCACACTCACCAACAACATACCAAAAGATTTGATTGGTATCATTAGAGTTGGTTTTGTTTTTGATACACTCTTCCAAAATCGACAAACAATTATCTTTTGTACCCAACAACGATGTCTTTAGACCACCATCGATAAAGGCTATCTTGAATACATCCAATGTCATCCAAGCAAGATTGTCAATAGTGGTACGTAAAATAACCGATGGGTTAAGAGCGAGACCCAACGAATGTGAAAAGAGTTGTTGTGTCATTGCCAAGTTGTTGTTTCCAAGTGCCTTTCTCAAATACCCTTCAACATTCTCGAATGTAATACCATCCTTTAATTCCACGTTTTCATCTATATTCCATCGATGTCCATCTGGATCATAACGAAATGTTGTAAATGTATCTTGTTGTTTAAACGACAAGTCAGAGAACGACTCTTCAAAAGGATACTCTTCATCTTCCGAATCAATATGAGGACAATCTGAATGATAATGTTGTATGACTGAATCTAATATTCTTTCATTGATGTTGTTGTGTGTTGTAATAATATAGTCTCTTTGATTCTTGATATCATACAATGAAGCATAGTGGAGGATGTAGTAGGTGACTTCATGATGAATACTTTTATATCGAGTATAGATGGTTTCAATAACATCCATTCTACGATCTCTTGAAGCATACTTTATGATTCTCTTTAAATCAGGAATTACGAATCCTCTGACCTCTGCAAAGTCTCTCTTGTACTTTTCTTCTTGTTCGAAGATGAACTTTGTTTTAACGTACTCCCAACATTTAAACAAAGTCAATAGTCTGATATCCTTTATAATATCGACCCATTTGTATCTCATTACAACTCTATCTCTTTTCTTGAAAAAGATTGAGCTGAATTGGTTGTTGCTCTTCTCCTCTGCTTGCGCTCTATCTGTTATTTCCTTCTTCAACGTTGATAAGTGACTATGTATGAATTGAACCTCTCTAAATATTCTATGTCTCAATAAATTATTATTTATAATACATTTTAAACTACTATATGTTTTATCATTATTACACATTATTATTATTATTTCTATGCACCCTTCTTTTGATGATCAAAAAAAACAAAAAACATTATTTTTTTTAAGGGTACCCCCTCCTTACTTAGGATATTTTCATAAAGATGGATAGATATTTTGTTAGATTAAATATATAAAGAGATATTTATTTATTTATTTATTTTATTTCTACATTTTCAAAAATAGATCTATTTTTGGAATTGTGTTGGGACTATACCCTGAAATCAATCTCAAATAACTGGGGGACTGAGAGTTGGTAGACTGACCAATGATTGATAGATTGGAAATTCCCACGGACGTCTGATTACTTCCTCTTTTTTGGATTTAAGAGAATAGACATTGGTTTCCAACTTTTGTAAAAAACAAGAAGATTATTATTATTATTTTAATCTATTGATTGGTTGGGGGGTGGTACAGAACCCTACTTTCAAGTTGTGTCTATAGAGATTTATCATTATCATTGTCAGTTGGTTAAAGAGTGAATGGCTGACTAGCACACTTTTTGGTAAATCAATTTTTGGTTGGTCAATCAAAATATTTTGGTTTTTAAAATTATTTTTGGTCCAAAAATATTCTATTCTATTTTCCATTTTTTTTTTTGGTCCTTTTAGTGGGTGGGTCCAAAAGGTTTAAATCATTCATCGTTATTATTATTATTATACAATACTATACTATACCTATTCTACCTATACTACATATATACAATGAAAATAATAATATTAATCACATTTTTGTTATATTTAACAAATCTAACAATCTCACAAAAGGCTGGTAAATTGAGTCCAGAAGTTCACCCACCTATTACTTGGCAACAATGTGATGCCAATGGACAATGTAATACAGTACAGGGAGAGATTGTAATCGATGCTAATTGGCGATGGGTTCATTCCGACCAAGGTACCAACTGCTACACTGGCAACACATGGAATCCAACCATTTGCCCCGACGACATATCGTGTGCCCAAAACTGTTCCCTGGAAGGTGCCAACTATGAGAGTGTCTATGGTGTCACCACCAACCAAGATTCTGTCCGTCTCGACTTTATCACCCAGAGTCAAGGCAAGAACATCGGGTCACGTCTCTTCCTCATGGCCAATGAAACCAACTACCAACTATTCCAACTACTCAACCAAGAGTTTAGCTTTGATGTCGATGTCAGCAAGTTGGATTGTGGTCTAAACGGTGCTCTCTATCTCGTCTCTATGGACCAAGATGGAGGTATGACTCGTTTCCCCTCCAACTCTGCCGGTGCCAAATATGGTACTGGTTATTGTGATGCTCAATGTCCAAGAGACCTTAAATTCATTTCTGGTCAAGTATGTATCTAAAATGAATTAATTAAAAATATTTAAAATACTTATTCTTTTTTTTTCTTTTCTTTTTTTAGGCAAATAGTGAAGGATGGGTACCATCACCAAATAATCCAAATACTGGAGCTGGTAAACATGGTAGTTGTTGTGCAGAGATGGATTTATGGGAAGCCAACAATATGGCCAATGCTTTGACACCACATCCATGTGACACATCGAGCCAGAGCATGTGTGAGGAAGATGACTGTGGAGGTAGTGCATCATCCAACAGATATGCATCGATTTGTGATCCAGATGGTTGTGATTTCAATCCATACCGTATGGGTAACAAGACATTCTTTGGTCCAGGTCTAGATGTAGACACCAAATCTGTTTTCACAGTCGTCACTCAGTTTGTTACAGATGATGGTACCGAGACGGGAACACTATCGGCAATCAAGAGATTGTATGTCCAAAATGGTCAAGTTATCAGTCAATCGGTATCAACCATTCCAGGTGTCACTGGCAACGAGATTACAACTGACTTTTGTACCACCCAAAAGGATGTGTTTGGTGACCCAGACTCTTTCTCCAAGCACGGTGGTCTTGCAGGCATGGGCAAAGCACTCAAGCAAGGTATGGTTCTCGTACTTTCTCTTTGGGATGACTATTTCTCTGACATGTTGTGGCTTGATAGTTCGTTCCCCGTCACTGCCTCTATCGACAAACCAGGTGTTTCTCGTGGCCCTTGTTCAACCACTTCTGGTGTCCCAACAACCGTTGAATCCACCGATGCAGATGCCTATGTCATCTATTCAAATATTAAAGTTGGTCCAATTAATTCTACTTTTAAGAACAAATCAACAAAGTAATCTAAATCATCTAAATAAATCACCATTCTATAATGATTATTCATTATCCAATTTAAATTTGAAGTAGTAGTACTTGTTGTATGTTGTTTATAGTTGTATATAGTTATTATTATTAATAATATTTATTATTAACTCTGTGAAGTTGGTTGATTTGTAGTTGAAGGTGTAGTTGTAGTTGTATTATTGTTTGTATTATTATTTTTTGTTGTTGGATTAGTCAAGTAAACTAAAATGCCTGATAACATGCCAGTTGCAGTTCCAACCACACACCCTAATCCAATACTACTTGGTCCTGCTCTACCTCCTGTTTGTGATGAATAAAAGTGAGTGAGTAAGATTTATGAGTATTATACTATCATTTGTTGTGATTGATACGCACGTGTATGATATCCAGCCAATAAACCAACTACAGAACCAGCAATGGTTCTAGATATCAATGGTTGATCACCAGTAACATTATTTTTTATAGCTAAATCAGTTCCCAAGAATATAGATGTATACAATGACAATCGATAACTATATATTAATGCACCTCTAACTACATTTTGTCCAATGATTCTTCTTGAGTTCATTCCAAACTAAACGGCAATACAATACATTTTGTTAAAAACTGATCTATCTATCTATCTTTCATTTCATTTCTTTCTCTTACCTCTGAAGGACCAGATAAAGGATTATATGAAGCTTTCTTTAATTGATCACGAATGATATCAAGACCATCTCTATAACCAATGATACCACCAACACCCAAACCAGCAAAGCCCATCAACATTGTATAATTCCTCCATAGATGAAAGTCTGGATGTGCAAGTAAACTATCAAAAGCAGGATACTTTTCATACCAATCTTGGTGTTTCTCTTTACCAAGTTTACCTCCTTTAATGACCTTGTCAATCTCTGCTATCTCCTTTTCCAACTTTTTCTTTCTCTCTGCTAATTCATCACCTTGAAAGCTTTGTAATAATTCATTCTTAATATCTTTATCATCTGTCATTCTCTGTTTGTTTGTTTGTTATGTACTAATAAAAACTACTGTGAATGATCAAAACAAAGAACTTAAAATCGCATTTCATTTTCAAAATCAATTTTTTTCGGAAACAGTATATTTAGAGTAGAAAATAATAATAATAATATTATTTAGTTTTAGTTTTTAAAAGTTTATTTAAATATTAAATATTAATTAATTATTAATTTAGCTAGTGGCCTTGGAACTGTCCTGCTTGAATTCTTTAATCAAATCATCACAATTACAATTTTTTTCATCCTCCCAAGTGGATTCTTGTTGACTGTATCCTTTCCATTTGACGAGGTATTGTGTACGACCATACCGTTTTCTCGACGCCAATATCTTTTCTACATCGTAATCGGTTGGATCTGATTCAAACTTGAATGTATCTACTATCTTTTTCTTTTTGTTATTATTATTATTATTATTATTATTATTATTATTATTATTATTATTATTATTATTATTATTATTATTATTATTATTATTTTTCGTTGTTGGTACTACCCTTCTAGTTGTTGTTGTTGTTGTTGCCTTTCTCTTTTTCTCTTTTTCTAGTGATTTCTTCTTATTATTTTCATTATCGCTAGAACTTTCATCATTATCATCATGCTCTTGTTGTTGTTGTTGTTGTTGTTTCTTTTTCAATTCTATTTTCCTCTTTGTCGCCGATCGAGTAATTGTATGTGGTGAAGATATCTTGGTCTTTTCAAAAGTGGTTTCATTCAACTTTTTCTTTTTGATGGGTTTGGTAACTTCATCATCATCTTCTGTCTCGTAGTCTGATTCCTTTTTCTTCATTTTCTTCTTTTTTAATTCTTTTTGTTCCTCTTCCTCCTCCTCCTCTTGTCTTTTCTTCATCTTTTTTAGATGTTCCTTTTCTTTTTCTTTTTCTTTTTCATTTTCATCATCATCATCGATATCCATTTTATCTTCCTTTTCTTTTGATCGTCCAGTTGAAGAAGAAGAGGAGGAAGAATATTTTAGAGGACTATAGTCGACAGTGGTATAGTTTTTAGAAGTGGATGGAGACGAAGAGTAGAAATCCTCATCATCAAATTCTTGTGTGATTTTAATGACTACATCATCACCTCCATCAATGTCTATATATTGTGATGGTGGTGGTGATGGTGACTTTGTTTTTTTCTTTTTCAATGGTTGTAATTCTACGTCGCTATCCACACTTTTATATTTGTTGGAAGCTGTATCATTATTATTATTATTATTTTCCTTTGACTTTCTTTTAGTTGGTGTTTCCTTTTCTCTTTCATCTTCATCTTCATCACTACTATCTTGAGATTGTTTTCTTTTTAAAGGTTTCTTGTCATTACCACTACCATTAGATTTGTCTTTGTCTTTGTTATTATTAATACTATTTCTTGTCTTTTTTACACTACTTGTTACACTACTACTACTATTGTCGCTTGTGATTGATATTTTCTTTCTCTTGTGATTTTTGGTAGAAGAACCATTTTGATGTTCTTCCTCTTTCTCCTCCTCTTTGTCCTTCTCCTCTTTTTCATTATCCTCTTCATTTCCAGTGTTCATCTTGTCTAAACCATCATCATCATCAACGTCATGACCAGCTTGATAGAAATCTTTATATAAATTTCTACCCTTTTTCTCCTCTTCCTTTTCCTTTTCCCTTTTCTCTTTTTCCTTTCTCTCTGCTTCCTCTTCTTCTTGTTCCTTTTCTCTTTTCTCTTTTTCCAACCTTCTCAAAGCTTGTTCTTTTTCCAATCTTTCTCGGTCTCGTTGCTCCTCTTCAAGCTTTGCTTTCTGAGCTCTGATCCTCTCGGCTCTCTCTCTATCCTCTCTTGCCTTTTCCTCTGCTTTTTCCTTTGCCAATTGCTCCTTTGCAGCTTCTTCCTTGGTCGGTATCTTGAAAACGAATCGACTCATTGGTGAGTGAGCATAAAGAGGTGTTTGTGTAAAATTAGGGTTAGTGGGTGTCGTCGTAGTTGATGTTGTATTATATGGTGGTTGTTGAGTTGGTGGTTTAGGTGTAGGTGTAGGTGTAGGTGCAGGTGTTGCAGCAGCAGCAGCAGTCTTTTTACTAGCAGGAGATGCTTTCCTCTTTGCCATCAAAGGTTGAGTATGATAAGTATGATGAGTGGTAGTAGCAGCAGCAGCAGCAGGAGGAGGAGGAGGATGAGATGGTGTCGACACATTATTATTATTACGCAATATTTCATTCATTTGGAACTGCGCCGTTTTCAACTTTGTTAAATATGTTTTACGTGTATGGTCGTCTATCAATGCAATCTTTATATATGCACATCCAATTTAAATAAATAATCAACCAATCAATCAACCAATTTAATGAATCAATCAAGTTAGTTAGTTTCAATCATCGACCATATATATTGACTATGACTACTATACCTTTGCTTCATTGAGTACTTGAAATACAAGATGATCTTCGCTTGATTTATCTATTGAGATTGCAAATAGAGAATGTTTAGTTTTGATTTATAATAATGTATACTATACATTATATCAATATGAATGCATACCAGGATGAACAGTCTTTGCCATTGTTCTAAACTTCTTTTTAACCTCATCTGCAGTGCAGTTGTAAGGTAGGTCAAACACTCTAAAGAAGTTATCTTTGTTGGTCATAATATGAGCCTTTAGTTTCTGATATTCTTCGCCCATCTCTTCTTGTCTCTCTTGTCTCTCGTTTATTGTAGTATCTACCAAACACACTACATCAATCAACTACTATCTATATATATATATAAAAGTATAAATATACGTATATGAGTAAAGAAGCAATACTCTATTACTATCTCTACTTTCTACTTTCTATCTTTGTTTAAAACAAACAGAGTACTCTAAAACTTTTCACGATCGCATTCAATCTTTGGTTTCCCCTTACCCACACACTGTGAAAAGAATATGGGCGCGAATTAATTTTGAATAACCATAGTTGGAAGTTCATTTTCAAATATTTGTGTCTTTATCTCTCAACACACACCAATATAGATATATATTATAGATAGATCTTTAAAAGATGAAGAGAAATGGAGGAGGTGATATAAGTACTACAAAGAAGAAGAAGAACAACAGCGATGATGGTGTTGTACAACAAGAAGGAGGAGGAGAAGAGGAGAAAGAGAGAAGTTCATCATCGGTACTACAGAATAGTATTGTTGGAGCATTCTATTTGATTGGATTACAAGTTGGTAGTCGTATATTGACATTTGTGTTGAATACGTTGATGGTGACAGCAGTGGATACTGGTATCTATGGTATCTTTGCAATCGAGTATCAATTGGTAGCTTCCATCATTCTCTTTTTATCGCGTGAAGCTATTCGTCGTACTTGTATACGTGTCGACTTGACTCAATCAAAGTCTGGCGGAGACAACCAACAATTGGCAAGACTAGTCAACCTTAGTTGGGTGGTTATCCCAGTTGGTATAGTCATCTCGTATCTTACATACCACTTTTTCGATAGTAAGATGGGTGACAAGGCCGGCATTGAACACTATCAAACCGGACTACACATATTCGTTCTAGCATCATTCATGGAATTGATGAGTGAACCCGTCTACATCCTAACACAAAACATGTTACTCTTCAAAGTTCGTACCATCGTCGAAGGTGGTGCTCTATTCCTCAAAGGTGTATCAACCTATTATTTTGTTGTAATGCATAATGTATGTAGTATAAATAATATATATATATTAATAATAAGAGAAGAATAGTGTATACTAATGTAACGATTGTTAACAATGTGTATTTGTAGATGGGATTAAAAGGATTTGGATATGCTCAAGTTGTATATTCAGTCGTTTTAATAGTTGGATATTATGGTAATTTCATCTTATCTATTATTCGTAGCAATCGTGGAAAAGGAGGAGATACAGCTGGACAAGTAACCATAACTAGTGTGAGTCAGTTACTCCCTAGATTCAGTGGTATCAATGTATTGGTTGGATCAGAGTTATGGTATATGACAGCCATGTATACATGGCAATCAATCCAAAAGTTACTATTGACAGAGGGTGAAAAGATGGTTATGTACACCAACTCGGTTGATCTAGTTAGTCAAGGTATCTTCTCGGTCGTATCTAATCTGGGGTCATTGGTAGCTAGATTCTTTTTACAACCTATTGAAGAATCTTGTTTCGCCATGTTCCCCAAATTATTTGCTAATCGTCAAGACTGGGATACTGGACACCGTGTACTGACGCTGCTCATGAAAATGATGATTATCATCGGATTGACATTTATGTGTTTTGGTCCATTCTATGCTGGCGCACTCCTCCATATCTTGTATCGTGGTAAATTCGATGCTACCAATGCTGCCCTCGTAATGGGTATCTATTGTGTCTACGTCTCTTTTATGGCGTTGAATGGTGTCTCTGAGGCATTTGTACAGAGTGTGTCAAAGAGCGACCAACTCCGTCGTCTCAACTGGGTACTCATCGTCATCAGTATAGTCTATCTCTCATGTACCGCCCTATTCTCTTTATTATGGGGTACCATTGGTATTATTTTAGCTGGTGTTGCTAGTATGAGATCAATTCAATATTCAATATCAATCAAATATCAACCATTCTAACTAACTATCCCATCCCTTTATTTTTTAATTAATTTAACCTTGATTATATTCTTTTTTAGATATGTTATTAAGAATATTATATAGTATTTATTTTACATATTATTTCTTTAGTGATGTTAAAGATTTTTCAATGTACCATATGTTGCCTCGAAAGAGTGTGTTGGCACTCTACATTGCATCGTTTGTCGTCACGATGGCATCCAACCATTTCATCTATATTCCCAACCCCTCCTCTTTCAACCACCTCATTATTCACATTGGCGTCGGATGCGTCTGTTTTGGCACCATCATCATCGCCCTCTATCTAACAGAGGCCAATACATTTAGAGAATTTAAACGTGTCTTGAAATCAAAAGGCAATTGATTGATCATCCATTAACTTGTAATTATCATTTTCATCATGATTCAATAAATAAATAAATGAATAATGAATAAAGAATGATCCGTTGATTAAAATCTCGTTGATTGTTCACAGCACAATAAACAAAAAAAATTCAAAAAAACTTGGTGATCATCATCAAAATGAGGTTCCTCAGCATCAGAATGATTAGTTAGTTAATTAATTAATTAATTCATATTGCAATAATGTTCTTTCATGTAAGAGAATAACACATTAACAACCACAGCATCAGCAGCAGCAGCAGCAGCAATATACATCATCATCATCGATTGAAATCAACAACAAAATATGAAGAATGAATGGATGGAACATATGATGATTGATATTGGTTGCGATAATAATGATGATGATGATAATCTATACATCAAGTTGAACTAGTTGATTAATAATGATACATATCTATCATATATATCTACTATCTATCTATCTACTATTAATATATAGTTAACATTAGAAAAGGATCTACATATTCATCCTAAACATTGTGGACCTAATCTTTTCACGATTGCAACACAACAATTACATAGCGAGGTGGAAGGAACGTGTTCTGGACGTTATGGGTTCATCATCACCATTACCAGTGTCGATTTTGTATCAAAAGGAAAGGTATTGGAGAGTTCAGGCTATGTAGTGTTCCAAGTCAAATATAAAGCAATCATCTTTAAACCTTTTAAAGGTGAAGTTATGGATGCTGTAGTTACAAAAGTTACAAATGTATGAATATAGCAAAGAATAGAAGAGAAAAGAGAAATAGATATACACATATATCTATCATCTGACAACAATCGACACTAACCACCACATTTTGATATTTAGCTTGGATTCTTTGCAGAGGCAGGACCACTTACTATTTTTGTATCGACTCATTTGATTCCACCTGACATGCAATTCGATGCACAAAGTGCTAATCCATGCTTTGTATCTGAAGATGGTTCAAAAATATCAAAAGACGATGAAGTTAGACTTCAAATTAAAGGAACAAGAGTTGACGCTACCGAAATTGTATGTGATATGACTGATTGGTTCGATAATGATATGAAATATTAATCAATCTATTTCTATTTTTAGTTTGCAATTGGATCGATTAGAGAAGATTATTTGGGTGTCATTGGTTAAGGTTAGAGCATTTTGCTAGATTTTCTCATGAGACTACGACAACAACAACAACAAACGTATAGCAACCAATCAACCAATCAAACCAATCAAACCACAACACATTATTATTATATTATTTAAAAATGGGATCATTCAATAGTTTAATCAAAAGAGGGGGATATCATCATATGTTTTAACGATCAAAACAATAACAACAACAAAACAAAAGAAAAGAAAAGAAAAAATGTATACTTTAAGACGACCAACAACAAAACAATAACAATAACAATAACAATAAATCATCGTTAGATGTTATAGGATTAAAATCGAAAATGCCAGTGTTGGTTGATTATCTTGATATTTTAATTTTACCTGATTATATCACTCGGAATTCACTTTGGAATCGCAAATGATTATCGGGCCATATATGGGTTTATTGGGTATAGTTTATCTAATTATACTAAATATCAAGACCTTGATTTTTTAAAAATGACACACAACATTGGTGAATTGTTGATTGGAATTGGAATTGGAATGTTGTGTCATATCTATCTATCTTTATCATGATGGGTGGGGTTTGTTGCCGGGTGGAGTTGTTGTTGTTGTTGTTGTAACTATTATAATTATTTACATCTGTCTTTTTTTTTTTTTGTTGGTGTTGTTAGTTGTGGTTGGTTGTTTGTTTTAAAAATCGGAAGAATCAACATCAAAGACAAGATCAGTGTCTTTTAACTCTGTGAAATCAACTCTACTATTAAATGTTGAAGATTTTAATTTTTGTCTATAATATATCGGTTTGGAAATAAATTAAATTAATAAATATGCATATTTAATGATTGTTATTATCTTTTCTTTTTCATTTCATACCTTTTAATCATTGCCAATAATCTAAGGAATTGAACAACATATCTAAGTGCTGTGAAAAATATAATAATGATTCCTTCAAAATCAAATTGATGATCCTTTTTGGTAAACAGATACATAAAGAGTCCGGCAATGGAAAAGACCAACACCACGCAATCAAATATATTGGACCATGAATTGAAATACCGCCTCTTTTGTGATATGATCTGTAAAGATATCTCTATAAACAATGACACATTCACCAAAATATCCAATAATACAAATAACCAATGTGTTGGTACACTTGTACTCTTTTGAACCAAATTAACAATCAACTAAAAAATATAATAATAATATAATATTTTGATTAGTATTTTTCTTTTCTTTTTTGTTTGTGTTTATGACATACCCAAATGATTAAAACAAGATTGATAAATATCATGAAAATATAGGCATAATAATATTTGTTGGAGAATAATACTCTGTTGGCATAAGTTGAGCAATGTCTATCCTTGTGATTTGTATAGTCAGATGATGAGGCCGTTTGACCCAATATATCATTGTAATCTTCATAGACACGTGTTCTACCTCCATTACCACCACCACCACCACCACCAATAATACCATGACCACCACTTGATGGAGAGTCTCCAAGACCATTTGCATGATTGATATTGTTACCAGAACTACTGTTGTTGAGTGATGACGATGTTGTACCAACTGATCCACTACCACCTAAACTGTATGCACTGTTACTACTACTGCCACCAACAGAGTTTATATGTTGTTGTTGTTGTTGTTTATGACTGATATCTCGGTGGTCATCATCGTCATCATCACCTCCTATTTTAAACTTTGGTAGGTTGGAAGCAGCACTATGAGACAAGAAGTTGGAAGGAATCCCTGACCCCTTTCCACTGTTACTACTACTATTACTATTGTTGCCTGCTCCACTTCCACTGCCACTGCCTCCCACCATCGTTGTTATCTTTGGCGAAGATGACATTCTTCTATCGATTAATTGATTTAAAAAGTAAAGACTAATTTTATAAAACTACACTTTATATATAGAAATAAAAACTAAATATTATAATACAATAAACAAATAACAACAAATATGTATGAATGAATGAATAGAAAGTATTGTAATACTACAAAATATACTGCTGAGTTATTCAAGACAGAAAAGGAGGGGGGTGAGATGCAGTGTGGTAAAAGCAAAAATCGATTTAAATTTATTTTTGGTTCAAGTTCAGCAGTGCTCTGGGACATCAACCCAAGGTTGAGTGACTAAAGTTCATCAATTAATCAATTAATTAATTAATCAATTTATTTGTATTTATAATTTAATGGTAGGAGTAGTAGTATAATTTAATGTTACAACAAAGAGAGAGAGGATGGGATTATTGAATAAAAGAAACAATGAATATAAAGAAAAAGAAGAATAAGGAGAATGTTGGTTGGAGGAATGAAGATGCATTAAAGATGGCCTCATCTTCAACATAGTCGTCAAATGATTGGTGTGAGGATGAATCATTCATGTAAACTTTGTAATCTAAATAGAGTTGAGTAGAGTAAGTAAAGATAAAGATATATAATATTAAATGGTTTGAATTACTTACCCTTATTATTATAAATTAAAGTTGATGAATCAGTACCACAGAAATCATATGATGAAGTGGTAGAGTTTGTATGACTATCGTATTGGTTGGGGTATTGGTTACTATAGGTACACTTGATACGACATTGGTCTGGGTCATCAATGATGAGAGCGGATTGGTCCAATTCAAAACTATGGGCACAAAGACAAAGGTTGCCGTGTGTAGTGGCAGAGACATCAAAGCTTTTAGACTTGCAAAGTGAACGACATCCGTTGGCAGTGATTTGGGAGCTACGGAATGCGGTGGTGAATTGGTGAACTGTCTTTTTAAAGTCGTAGCAGCCGACAAAACCAGACTCGTAGATGGATAGACGACTGTCTCCTCCACACACTTCACTGGTGTTTCCTTTACATGGGACGTGACATTCAGAGGCATTATCAGCCTTGCCATAGTATCCATACTTGTTGCCGCAATAGCAAATGTTGCCGTATTCGGATCCAGCATATTTGTATAGATTGCGTGCACAGTGCGAAATACAACGACCATTGGTGAGACGGTCGTCATAGATGATACTTTCGGAAAGGTCGTGGGCAACTTGGTCAACATAACAGCCAACATAACTTTCTCCGTCCATATGGTCGGTTGATGAACTTGGAGTTGGTGTTGGATCAACATCGGGTGTGCCGGTAGTGGTGGTAGTAGAGATCGAGGAGGTGGTGGTAGAAGCTGAATCGGTAGTGGTGGATGACCATCCAGTAGTGGATTGACTGGTAGTGGTCGAGACGTATGTGGTGGTACCTTCTTGTGTGGTGGTGGAAGCAGCGTCGGTGGTGGTTGCGCGACCAGTGGTAGAGACGGATCCGGTGGTAGTAGAAGTGGTTGGTTTATCGGGAGCGTATTCATGACCGGCATACGAGAATGAGCTGACGCATTTACCTTCACCAAAAGTTACAAGGTATCCCATAGTAGGGTATCTAAATGTAATATTAGAGTTTTCCTTGGACTCGAATAAAAAGTAGTAGTCACGACACTGCTTGGCCAACTTTGTTTGGAACTTGTAGATACCCTTGTCGGTGGTACCCATGTCGAGTGACATGGGATACTTTTTTCCGACAATGACGACCGATGCGTCGACTTGGTTATTCATCATACGCGAAATCAACGTCGATGGGTACCAATCGGCCATAAAGTCAATGGTGTTGGTGCCGTCGAAAATATGCGAGCCAGAGTGCACAGGAAACATCTTGAGAGCGGCAACACATAGTGAATTACCAAAATCTTGGGTCCAAAAGAAACGGTATCCCTGAGCAGAGTAGCCATAGCCGACACCGACGACCAAAGAGTCTGGTGACATGATGTTTTTACGATGACCATCGGCTCCACCATCGCCAGCACAGCTAGTCGAGTATGGATCACCACTTCCGGAATCGCAAATCCATTGGTTGTTGGTTTCGAGGGGACTGGCCATACCCGCAGCAATATTCTCGGTGGCCAAACTCGAACACTTATAGTATCTACCGATTCTATCAAAAGTGTCTGTACCGTCACACGATGGATGCGAAAAACATTGGTTGGTTGCCATATCTTGGGAATGGTAACGAGATGATTTACCAAGAGTTGGTTCCCAAAACACAGGTGGAACAGCTGGATAAACATCTGGTGATAAAATATCATGATCACCAAAATTGGTATATTTTTTTAAATATTCTTTTGGTGCTATAAACAAAAAATATAGAAATAGAAATGTTAAAATATTTTTGGTAAAGATGAATATATTTATATCTACATACCAATTCTAACAGCATTAATAAGCATAAGATTACTTCTTTCGAACCAACTTGGAGCTCCATCAACTGAAGGTTCGCCATAAGAGTAAACTCCAACTACTAATAATACAAATATGAATAATTTAAACATGTTGGTAAATATATATATAAATAGAAAAAATAAATAGAGTATATAAATGGAAAAATACTAATCCTCTCTACTACTGTTTTTAGATAAAATTGGGAAACAAGTAGTTTAGTTTTGTTCTTGTTAAGAGAGAGAGAATGAAAATAGTAGTTTAAAAAGTATAAACTGATCAGTATCCTTTTATAGCAATCCCAAAAGGGGGTGGATGGATCCAATTCCAAAGTATATGTTCCATAAATGGGGGTAGACTACCCGATGAACGGGATAACCTCCACCCCCACCACCTCAGGAGGATGACTGATAAATCAGTGTAAGAAAAAAAAAAGAGTGTCACCAAATAATATTTAATAATAATATCCACCGTCCTCCACCACTCGTTTACATTGTATCAATCAACATCTTCATCATAGTAAGTTGAATCAGAACAACGACAGTGTAGAATCAATCCATCACTCACCCCCACCATGTTGTTGTTGTTGTTTAAACACCATACACATACTAAATTGCAAATAGAGAACGCTGTGGAATCTATTAAAAGTAAAAAGGCAGTGTTTGTGTTTGTGTCACTGCAACAGAGAACGTTATCAACTCTTTTTCACTCCATATTATTATAACATGGAAAAGGATGAACCAGTGAATCCATTGGAAATACGAGGGGATTAACAAGGAATTATGGTGTTTAAAATTGGTTGAAACTGTGATATCATCATCTCGACTCTTTATCTAATTGGCAAACAATAATACATCTGACTGAAATAGTGTGTCAAACATTGGATTGAAAAGGATCTGTAAATCTCAACCTTTTTTAAACTATTTTTAATCACACCACTCACACAATTTCAAAACACAATGTGTGGGGGTAATGAATAATAATAACATCTGTCGTCGTTTCGTTTCATTCATTTTGGACATGAATACTGCATTGGCGCGGTGTATGGATATAGTCACAAATTAATCTTGGCGATTCCATTTCATTTAATTCATTTTAAATAATCCATTCTAATTAATCATCATTCCAATAGAGGTAGAGGGTGAGTGGACATTATACATTTCCGAATCATCATTATTCTATACGAGTGTTCCACCACCATTTTCAATCCACTTTACAAAAAAATATTTCAAATCATTTCTCTAGATTTGCCCATTTTACAAGTTGTATAAAGAAGATTAAAGTTGTTGTGGTTCCATTTTTAAATAAACTATTATTATTATTATTATTATTGTTTCCCAAAGTTATTATTATTAAATATTATTAATTTAATATTAATATCTACCCATTTATCTTTTGGTTCACATCAAATTTGATTCAATTATTTATCTATCTATCTTTCATCTACCAAACAATATTTAGCATTTTTAAAAAAAAACAATTAACGGTTGTTGTGTTGTTGTTTATTACTAACTAATGTTGTATGTTATTATTATTATTATTATTTTTACATTAGTGAACACCATCCATTCTCTTTTCCACCATTATTATTACTACTATTATTATTGTCTGAAGTTTTATGTTTCTTTTTTGTTGGATTTCCATTTGTTTCAGGAGGAGCAGAAGAAGAAGAAGCAGTGACAATAGTTTCTTGAAAGTGAAATGGAATGCCATAGTCTGGTGAAAGAGTAATAATATGTGCAGCACCATCCTTTTGTAAAACGAAATCCTTTTCATATCGATATCTGAGAATGGTAGTAGAGTCGTTTTCATCGTCATCGTTGCCTACTTGTAGGTCATCTAAAAAGTATCCATTTCTATAATCATTCTTTGTTGGACTCTTACTATTGAATAGATTATCAGAGAATTGATTTGATTTTAATTTGTTATTGTTTAAGTTTAATTTGGCGCCTTTTGCTGGTGAGTTGTTGTTGTTATTGTTATTTGTTGAAGCCTTTGGTTTAAATGATTTGATACGGAATACAGATTCATTTTTGCTTCTATGTTTGACCAATGATGTAAAGTAAGCTAACCAATCATCATTTATATAAATCTTTTCCTCTGTTGTTGTTGTTTGTAAATTGTTGTTACTGTTATTACTACAACCACTGTCATCCCATTCTATCGATGGTTTATATAATTGACGTGATTGAGCTTTTCTTGATTGTGGTTGTTGTTTTTGTAGTTGTTGTATTGGTTGTTGAATTGGTCGAGTATTTGTTGTCTCTTCCAAAACAGTATGAAAAGCACTATAGAATGCAATTCTAATGGTTTCGGCCGAATAACTAGTATTCTTTGTTAGGTCTTCTATTGTCGGGACACTGAGTTGCAATAAGCGTTCTGCTGCACGTTCATATATATCTATGTAATGCTTCCATGAATTACTGTTAAAAGATGCTTCTTTAGCTTTATCTTTATAAAGATGATTGTTATTATTAGAACTCATCTCTCTCTGTTTTTCTGTTGTCTCCTCTCTTCTCCCTCTATGTATGATGTATCTATGTGTAGACTATATATATATATATATATGTATGATGTGATTTGATTTGATATAAAACAAATAAATAAATAAATAAAACAATGAATCTTTCTTAATTAGAAATACTCAAAACTCAAGTTCAAAAAAGAGAAAGAATAAAATAAAAAAAATTAATAAACTTTCTTGGTGACCCCACCAGCCTGAATGATTCAAGTTTGTGAGTCAATGTACGCAAATATTTAAAAGAATAAGTATATTTAAAAGAAGAAGTAGTTATAAAAGATATATTATTACTTTGTAAACAAAGAATACTTTAATGACATTCTTTGGAGATGTTCTAAAGTATCTCATCCCTACAACGCTCTTTCATCTGAGCGTTTCAATTGGTGACGGAAGAAGAAATGATCAATCAATCGGGAAATTAGATTAGATAAGATTTTTAGTTAGATATCTATTAAGATTAAGCTTTTTTCAACCCTTCAATGCAATGGGACATACACTACGCTTATACCTCAAACAGTTCAATATTGTGCGAGTTTGTACCAATTATTTGAACAGACTTGGCTAGTTGTTGTTGTTGTTTGAGGGAGGCTTGATGCCCCCCTATCTCTCTCTCCCTTGTTTATTATTATCTTTGAACAAAAAGTGAGATCGATAATATAGGCCATTGTTGGCAATTTTCGTTCTCCTCTTTTGAACAAGAACTGTGTCATTGTCATCTTTGCTTTGGATATTTTAGATGATTTTTGACGAATTTCGTAAGATGGGAAGGTGGCAAAAGGGTTTGCTTGCCCCAATGAAAAACTAGATCACACCAGACTTGTAAACATGTTTACCAAAAAAACAGATGAAACGAGTGGCTCTCTGGTATAAAAGGGTGTGTAGGGACATGATGATGGAAAGATGTTTCTCTTGGTTGTCAAAAGGACCAATTTCAAAGGGGCTTGTTGTTTTCTCAATATAGCCCCACTAATTTAATTTTCAAATTCAATTGACACCTCTGCACCAACTAACTAGTAAGTACACACAACCTAACCTACTCACATCACATCACACACACAACACAAACAACACAAACACTTCGTACGTAGTATACCCATTATTCATACCTCATTCATCCATACACACCCATCTCATCTTTAACCAGAAAAAAAAAGAAAACAATCAATCAGTCGACTTGACACCAATCTCCCAAACAAACAAACAAACAAACCAACAACCAAACCAACCCTCCTTTATTTCAATTCAATTGGTTTGTTTGTTGAATTCAATTCATTTCAATAATTTAATTATTGTGGTTTATTCATTCAAAAATCATCCCCAACAACAACTATCTTTGTCATCTTTTTTCAACTACCCACAGACAGACAAACAAGAATACATATTCAACATATTTTGTACAACTGTAAGATACTATATTTCAGCACCCCTCATCATCCTTCTCTATTCTCCTCGACCAGCCTCCTATTTCGTCGTCATCCTCGTCATTGATATTGTCATTGTCATTGTCATCAATCATCCTCCTCGTCATCATTTACCTTTTTAGTCAGTAGAAGAAAAGGGATCCCCTATTATATATCATCATCTTATGAGAGTTGGTTAGTTAGTACTCTCTCCTCTTTATTCATTATTGGACCGATCTCAGTCAGAAAACAAATGTCGGTTTCTTTTAATCTAAAACCTCTTTCCCTCTATTCCCTTCTCCTCTGGTGTGAAATGGATGTCGTAGAAATCGCAGCGGTTTGTGGTCGATGCGATTTTGTTTGAAAATGCGATGAAACTTGTAACAAGAGGATGATGGATGACGATTGCTTGTTGGGATTTTTGGTTTGGTGGAGGGGGAGATGCATCCCAGTTTCGCGGTCATTCGCGTAAGCTCTCGAAAGCCTGCCATCTTGTAAATATCTTGTCTTTGTGTGAACGAATTCGTCAATGGATGGTTGTTGTTGTCGATATTTCGTTATCGTTGGGATAGATGGAGGGTAATTTGTAGAGGCTTTGAAACTACGGTCGTCATTGGAGGTCAAAAAAAAAGTGTAGTCGGCAAAAAAAAAAAAAAAACCGTTGACTGCTCATCATGCCTCTGAGGAGGATGCGGCCCTTGTACACAACAACAAGTTTATGAAATAGTCGATCGCAACTATTTGCTCGTTGCCTTGCTGACAATATTGATTGGATTTCGAGGGACCAGAGTCAAAAATGGCTAGAGAGGATAAGTTTTTTTTTTTTTTTTTGATAAATGGGGTGGTGCATTGGGTTTGTGCACCGCTTCCATTGTCTATCTATCCCTCACCTTTCTTTGCTTTGACCTCATCATCACCACCATCAATCAACAGGGCGGCTGAGCTGTGAGTTGCTCTCATAAATAACTTTTCTTCTTTTTGATCAACTGCCCTTCCCCACATCCATCTTATCTATCCATCTGTCTATCTATCTATCACTTGTATATATCTATCCGATCATTCATTCAACATTCAATCAATCATTCAGTCTCTATATTGTATTTGTATTTATATTTATTTGAAATTGTCACGCATACATATAGTATAGTACCCTTCTTCTGTATCTTATATAATTATAGTATAGTATAGTAGGGCGACGACAAATAAGCAACTACCATTTTGGATTACTTTCAATTTCATTCTACTACGCGATCAGCAGACTATCGATCACTACACCGTAGGTATATATCTATTAGAACTAGAACACGTGACTGATCACAACACAACAGCAACAGCAACAACAACACGACAATAAGTAGTACCTATTCTGTTCTATATCACATCATCATCATCATCATACACAAAGGGAGGATTCATTCGAGGTCATTCAATTCATCCGTTCTTCTTTTCATTATTCGTTTTGATGATTCTTTGCAATGAGTTGAATTTTAATGCAATGGCATGCCAACAAAGGGGGTTCTACAACACACACAATTAATTAATTCAAACGAGATCATCATTGTGATCGTGGGTGGGTATGGATTTCATACTCATCCATTTTATTTATTTATTTATTTATTCATTTTCTTTTATTAAAATTGATTATTGAAGGGTGGTGAGAGAGTATATATTGCGATTCTACAAGAATGCAGCTCTACCTACTACAACTACTACTAACCCTAGTACTACATTTGGTCAAACCCCCAAATGTGATCAAGAAAGTGGGAAAAAATGATTGATAATATCAATCCCAATATTGTTGTATTTGTACCCAACCACCCACTCACTCACTCACGATTGATTACCACACCAATCAAATCAAAAAGTGTAATAAAGAAATACCACACCACACACACACACACACCCACATGCCCGATCAGACAAGTGATTTCATTGTGATCATTATCTGTTGTTGAAGCAAGCAAGCACCAACCAACCAACAATTAATCAACATCACTACTTTGTCAAACTCATTCTCACAAACTCTCAGTAGAGCAGCAGAATTTGGTGACCTCAAACAACAGCCATTTTCAAAATCTAAATATATAAATATATTATTTATTATTAACTAATTTGTTTATTGTTTAACATAGCCAACTTTACTACTACTGCCAAACAACAACTTGACTTGGTTCTATACGACTCACTCCTCGGTTCAAAAACAACAAAACAACTATCAGAGCTCGAGAGAGAGAGATATACATCATATCATTTATATATATCAACAATGAAGAAAAAGGATGAATTAGATTCACTTGGTGGAGGTGATGACGGTGGCGAAAAGAGAAAGCGCCATGCCATCAGATACACCGAGTCGGATGTCAATGCACTGATTCAGTTGATTCCCCTGCATGACGGCAGCGCCGACGCCATCCTGAAAATCCCACCATTTGACGACGGGCGTTACACCAAGCGTCAGCTGTACGACAAGATCCGTTCACTTGAGCGCGATGGCCGTGTACTAGAGTACACGCGAAAGCTCCAGATGCAACAGTACCAGACACACATACCGACCCAACACAGTCCCGAGCAGCACCAACAAGTGCAAAACTATTACCAGCGCCAGCAACAATTCCAGCAACATCAACAAGTCCAGCCCGGACACAACAACAACAACAATCAACACCCCTCTCAGTTCCAGTTACAAAACTTCCATTCATCGCCATCCCAACAATCCGACAGTCCCAATACTCACAACAAACATGACGACAACAACAACAACAACAACAACAAAAATAGCTCCAAACATATACATCAATCCAACAACAATAACAACAACAATATAGATGATGGATATGATGAAAATTCCAATTATTCTTCCAATGGAGCAGATGATCATGATGATTTTGGCGGTGACCAGGACATTGCCTTTGATGAAAAGGATGATGACGATAAACTTGACAACACCAAATCAATGATTCATTCGTCACATGGCACACGTGCATCGTCTAGGGCGGCAGTGGCCACTATTGCGGCTGTTTTTGCCGGTGGAGACTCGACGAGCTCCTCTACATACTCATCCGACTCATCCTCTCCCATGTCGTCGCCCATCAGGAACCACCACAACCACCAAGACGAAGAAATTGTACAGTTACAAACCGCAACCCTCTCTAAAAAACTGGGTCGCATAGCCAAAAAAGCGAGCATCCATCCATCTCTATTACAACTCCCACACCATCATTCCAACAACAACAACAATCAACAACACAACCAACAACAGCCGTCACAAGCCTACGCACCCATTCCAAAATCACATCAGACCACACCCAAGCAGCAATCTCTTGGACCTATTTCACCCCCATTTTCAAGAAGCAAACTATCATCACCCAATCCACAATCACCATCACAATCATACTCTTCTTCATCCTCTTTGTTGTCTGCCAACTCCATGTCAACCAATTCATTATCAAGTGGTGGTGGTAGCAGTGGTGGCGGTCACCTACGTAAAATACCGTCCATGTCGTCATCCAGCAATCCAACTCCATGCCTGCCAAATAATTCAAATCATCATCATATAGGCCAAGTGACATCACCTCAAAATATAAATACTAACCAACACATCAACCAATTTCTCCAATCGTCATTACTGAGTCGACAAGGTTCCATCAGTAATTTACAACAACAAATCTATTCGATTGGAAGCGGCCACCCCTTAGGATCTCCATTTTACAAATTGGAAACTTCAAAATATTTAATCATCTCTATGCCAATAGGTCCAAATGAAACTATTAAACCAATTATTGATAATTGTAAATATATATAGAGAGAGAGAGAGAGAATCAAAAATAATTATAGTTAATGATATTAATATTCTTTTTTTATTTATTTTTCAATATAGCTGGAAATATTACTTTACAAATTACAGCACCAAGTCCTTGGGGATGGTTAAAAGAGCGCAAGCCTCTTGATATTATAAAGGAGGATGTTGTAAGAATAGCATTCTTCCCACACCCTGGAAAACCATATTCAACACCCTACCGTATCCAAGATATCATTGATACATATATTGGTTTTATTTTCGAGGTCGGAGGTGAGGAATTAACTGTCAATCTTAGTGATATTATGTAAACAAATGTTAGAATATAGAATAAAAGTAGAAATAGTAATCACCCAAAATCAATTATAAATACAATATAATATATTATTATTACAAAATTTATTTATTTATCTTTTTTAATTAACCTTGTCCATTCTAATGTACTACTTTTTTATTGAAATGTAATTGACCTATTGAGGGGGTATAATAGATTAGTTGTTGGTTTTTAAAGACCAATAATAATAATAAAGAGTTTAAAAATCAACTAATCTATCGATACTTGCTCAGAAAAATAAACTGGTACTGATCGTGTCTTGTTGTGTATTCTTTTTGTTTGTTTTGGTTATCATTACCGCTTTCAATACCTTGTTGGTTAGCGCCTTGGTGGCCACATTTTCCATCGGTCAAGGTAATCGTCCAAACTAGGTTGTTACATATCAGGTACAGTTGACTATACTATAAATTGTATCCTAGAGGGTAAAATACCCTGGGAGGGTTGCACCACTGATCTGTCAACCCTTCACACAGTCGTTCGCGGTCTCGTCGAAGACGTTTGCTTCTTTTTAATTACCTGTGTTTTAGGTAGGAGAAAAAAAAACAGAAAGATATTCTAGCAAATATAATTCTTTTTAAAACAATGATAGACATTAATAGTTGTAAGTATCATTATATTATAGGCTGTGGTGTGGACTTTTACGGGATGAGGAAGATCAGCACATTGGAAATTGGCCAATGGCTTCTTTCTGTAATTACTAATATGTATCTATTAGTTTATGTCTTCCTATCAACTGTTTATGGTTGATCATCTCCTGCGTTCATCAAAAAAAAAAAAAATTAATTTGTTAAAAAATATAAACAGGTCTCGAAGTTTCTTTCCAATTGAATTTGATTATTTGCAGTAGCGAGAACTTGAATATGCAATAGCTATTTATCAAGATATAATCCATCCTTTATTTATCCAATTCAAAATATTATGGGAACCGTTATTGACTGACTGAGTTTCTTCTCAAATTTTTTTTGATCAAAAAAAACAAAGGAAAATTCATGGAACAGAAGAAAAAAGAACAGATCCCTAGGTTTTTTGAGCGATTGCATATTTGTTGCAGTACGGGATCTTGAGAACTTTTAATATATCATCATTAATATCATCTACCCTTTAAAAAAATGCATATCAACAATTATGGGCCCAAGATTTAAAAGGTTAAAAAAAAAATGATCTTATTTTTTTTTTTTATATACTTTTTATTATTATTATTTAACAAGGTTTTCATAGTTTAAATTATTGGTAGAACTACTTATGATTCCCCAATCGTTGGACAGCGAGTCTGAGAGAAGGACCTTTTTGACGGTGATTTTGCGAATGCAGTAAAACAATGCAATGAATGGAACGATGACCATGCAGGATGTAAGCACACCAGTGAGGAGCTCACTGTTGTTGAGGGCACGCGAGTTGACCATCAACGACACGAGAATGAGGATGAGGCCAAACTGGGTTTCTAGCTCAGTGTAGGCGCGTTGCTTGAATGGCGAGATGAACCAGTTGATGCAGGTGAATGCCAGTCCGAGTGTCGAGGTGATGAGTGACTTGAGGTCGTTGTGGTAGACGACCGAGATGGACGTGATGACAAAACAGAGCGAACGAACCATCAAGAAAATATCCCACCACTTGTAGCGTGGTTTGTACTTGTCGAAAAAGATCTTGTTAAAGTACTTGGATCGACGACTCTTGATTTGGAAGATGATAAATAGCGGCATACCAACAATGACAAACAAAATGACGAGACATGACCCTATAAAGAGGGGATAGTGCGAGCGTGTAAAACACTGCACCGACGCGTCCAACGTGAGATAGTACTCGTCGCCAATACGGTAGCACGACACCATCGACAGCGAAATGAATGCCAACGGGGTGTACAGTGTCATCAAATGGCTGTAGATTGAGTATCCCAAACTCTTGTCAAACGTCTCGGATATGAGATTGATGAATCGTGGGAAGAAACGCCAGATGATATTCTTGCCCCATGAAAAGTTGAGACTGCAAAACATAATAACGATCATGCATCCAATCGACACGATCGTCTTCCAGAGGTACGACAGCTCTGGTGCTAGACATGTAGATGGCCAATAATCGACCATAAAGTTAAAGAGTGGGGCAATTGCAACGTATCGAATGTCAAAGATGAGCACGCATATACCTTGTAGACAAAACAAAAAGTTGAGTAGAACCGTAGCCGACGGCACTCTAAACGTGGTCATCATGACAATGTAGAGCGCTACAAATACAATCATACCGGCCAAGATATAATAGTTGAAAGAGGTACACTCCTCGCAATACAATTTGACCTTTCGATAGCCAGGCTCGCAAACACTGCACAAGATACCGGTTTGAGTGGGACGACACGATCCAGTCAAGCAAATGTCGGGATCGCATTCGTAAATATCGGGTGGTGTCGAGTTGGGGTAGATCCACCAACCGGTTCGCGCAATGATTTGGTTGCTACCCGGACAGATCACCTGGGTGGGGTAGTCTCCAGTGGTGCAGCTCATGCACGACTGACCATCCCATCCATAGGTGTTTGGATTACACACGACACACGTTGGTGTGATGTTTGAGAGTGGGTGGTATCCAGGATCACAATTTGTAAAATAAAAGTCTTGCGAAATCGAGAATCCGCTAGATGTAGTCACAGCAAATGTTACATATTCGTTGGTAACGTTGCTGTTAGCAACTGAAATCGATACCTGCATCAACCCTTGTAGTGTATTGGTTACTTGATATTGTTCGATTTGACTGTTGTTTGGAGACAACAGAGTAATGTTGATGCCAATAGGATTGGGCAACACTGTCACCACTTGATTGTATGCATCTAGTAATGATGCAGTTGCTAAAAATGGTGTATATGGATGTAAATGTGTTACATTTGATGATCCATCAACATCATTTATAGTTAATACTAATGTTGTTGGTCCTAACAAATAAAATAAAAATAAAAAGAAAAAGATTAATATATATTATCTGTTTGTTATTATTTGATATTATTTGATACTTTACCAGTAGCATAAATATTTCCATAGGTAGCATAATTTTCACTAAAAGTGTTTGAATTATCAATCAAACAACCAAGAGAACTTTTTGAATAACAAATAGCTCCGGCACCATAGTAGGCATTGTTGCTTTGGAATATGTTGTTTGTGAATGTGGCAACTGAAGTTCCTTGGAGAAAGGCGACACCACCGCACCTGGTTGCCTGATTGTCATAGTACAAGGTGTTTTTCGAAACCAATACAGAATTTTGCAAAATAAAGCATCCACCCGAACCAAACATGAGTTTTGTGCTGACAGAGTTGCTTTGTTGATCGGTCATGAGGAAATTGGCAGCGTTGATTCTAAAGGTGGACTGTTCGATTGATATGACCGATCCTTTGATGGCGTAGATGGCACCGGCACCCGAGAATGCACTGTTTCCCGAGAAGGTGCAGTTGAGGATATCGGCCGTGGTATTGGCGAGAAAGATGGCACCATAGTTGGAAATACTCTCAGACACTGTGGTGTGTTGCAGGACAAGGTTGCCGTGGTTCATACTGATGACCGAGCCATTGGCATTTTTAACGTTGAGCAGTTCGAGGTGGACACCGTCAATGACGAGATCCGAGCCACTAAAGTAGATGAGCGAAGAGGTCAAGTCGCCGTTCGAGTTGTCGGCAATGTAACTGTCGTATATGTGGATGGTCGACATTGTGCCAGTGAGCAAGAAACGGGCGAGCGTATTGTCAGTGAGGTTGACGTTGGTCATGATGACCTCTGACAGCTCGAAATAGAACGATCCCTGGTTATAGACAATCGAGCTCGTCTCCATACTGGCAGTGGTATTCTCAAAGACAAACATGTCGTTTAGGATATTATAGGTCATGTTTAGGTTGTGCGAGCGCAAAAACGAGTTGGTAAAGCTGATGGCGCGCTGGCCCTGCAGCAGCGTCATGACCGAGTTGGTGATGACCACCCACGCGTTTTGCGCGGCCAGCAAGGCTGTCTTGGTCGACGACTGGTTGGAAAAGGAGCAGTCGTTAAAGGTGACGCGGCCAAACTCGTGCACCATCATGTTGTTGCCGGCCGAGTTTTGGCTAAAGATGCAGGCGTCGTACATCACCGTGCTGTTGTAGTAGCTGCCCAGCGGCGTGTTGTAGCCCGACAGCCTGCTAAATGCGCAGCCTGAAAAGGTGAGGTTGGACGACGTGACGGTGAAGCCGAGGTTGGGCGTGCTGCCCGTCCAGTTGCTGTTGGAAAAGGTGCCGACCGACTGCTGCACTAGCAGCGAATTGTCGGCTGTGTTCATGTACTCCCACACGACACCGTCCATGTAAAAGGTCGACTGCACGATCGAAAAGTATTGTGACGTACGCGCAACGTACGAGTTTGTCAGATTGAACGTGCTCTTGGTGGCACGGATCGGGTAAAAGGTCGCCAAAAAGTTGTCGGTCACGTAGATGTTGGTGATCTGGGCGCGTCCATTGTACACATAGATAAAGTCGCACATTTGGTTCGAGACAAACGTGGAGTTGGCCACATAGGCGTTACTGATGTCTCCGTGGTTGTTAGAGATCTGGATCAGGATAAAGTTGCAGTTGTTGTAGAAGGTGAGCGTGGACAGCACCGACGTGCTGTAGACCGAGTCGGGTAGCACGCCATAGTCGATCGAGATGAGCACCAGCTCCTGGTTCTTGAGGTTGTAGTTGGCAGAGAAGGTCGAGTTGAGAAGAACGATCGACGTGGACGTGGCGTCGACGAACGGCGCCTGGTTCTGGTCGTACGTGACGTTGATCATCGTCACCGAGCACAATGACAGCGTCAAGGCCGCGATACTGCCAGCTAGCTTGGTGACTATCACATTCTCCATCGTCAGCTCGATGGTGGATGCTTCGATCAGCGGTCCCGTGTTGTACATGAATGAGACGTTCCTAAAGTCGGCCGGGTACGAAAGCTCCGAGTCGAGGTAAAAGAACGGGTTGCTCGACGCCGGCGTGTTCTCAATCATCGTATCTGAAACCGTCATCTGTTTCAAGACATAGTTGGCACGCACCACATAATTGTCAAATGCCGACACCCCATTAAACGTGCACCCCTTAAAGGTGACCTCATAGACGTACGAGATGTTGAACGTCAAGAGCGATGTCGTCATGCTGCAGTTGATAAACGATATGTTTTGGCCAAACGAGAACGAGTCGCCCTCCCGATTCGAAAGATACATAAACTCGGTGTTGATGACCGAGATGTTGTTGAACGTCGCCGACTGCGAGAACCCGTACGACTCGTAGACCAACGAGTTGTTCATCACCAGGTTGGCGACCGTCGACGCCATCGACAAGAGTACGCCCTGGTTGTTGAGAAACTTGGAGTTGTTGACATAGGTGTTGCCACGCAACGCCAACAATGGCGAGCCAGCATTCTCGAAAAACGACGAGTCCAGCACCGCCACCGTCGAGTACAACATCGATGTCAGCACAAGACCTCCCGTCTCCCCAATACCTCCATAATACGACTTCTCCTGCATGATGCTGTCCAATGTCAGACCCGACCCAGACGCAACGGTCCATATGTAGCCTTGACCGAGATTGGGTTTGACAAATGCCAAACCAACCACCACTTTGATGTTGGTAAAGGTGACCGATTGACTAGTCACCACCATGAAATAGGTAGAAAGACTCAATGGAGCCCAGTATATATAACACCAATTCATATGGTCTGTTGTGTTCTTGTCGGGTGCAATATACGTTGTAATGGTCATATTCTTTCCTTGTGTGTCGTATTGATAGGGTGCATAGGGAAGATGATCCGCATACGAGAAATTGGATAACAAGTAAATCTTATATCCAGATCCAATCATATCTATTGCTCTTGTCAATGAACAATATGGGTTTGTCATTGTACCATTTCCAACTTTATCACTACCATTAATTGATATATAAATATCATTTTCTAAAAATAAAATAAAATAAAATAGGAGTAGGAATAATGGGTTAGCTTGTTGTTTCAAATTATTGTCATCTGTCTTGTTTGTAAAATAGTCATACCAATTAAAACCAAAGGTTGTGATATAAATGTAATATAATCGATTATAAAAATGACTTGATTTGGTTCATCACTTGAACTACTTTGACTTGAACTACTACTACCACTGCTACTACTACTAGAGTCACTATTACTGTCACTTTGACTGTTACTTTGGTCATTTGTTGGAAAGGAGGATGGAGATGGAGTTGGAGAAGAGGGTTGAACATATTGAAATGTTAGATTATAATAGGTTCCATTTGCAAATTGTGTAACGTTGATACGATAGGGATGGTAGGAATAGTCGTAATAGGGTGCAGGAGGTGTCGAGTTTGTTCGGAGACGATCTATTTCTTGGTTGTTGAGGGTGATTGATATATAGGCGTTGTTTGGTGAGTTTGGGTTGCTAAACGTGTCACCACCGCGCACACGAAAGTTAAAGTTGAGATACAATGCACCATAGGGATCATTTTCGGGTGGGTGAGTGGTATTGCCAATAAAGTTGGGAAAGAGTACTGGAAGAGACCCCAACACACTCGACGTGTTTGTGAATGTGGCAAATGATTCGCCTTCATAGGGCACATCGTCCATCTCTTCCATCGACATGATAGGCGTGTAGCGAGTCAACACATTGACAGACGTGTTTAGGTTAAAGCCGTATCTAAAGCTTGCACGCTCTAAATCACCTCCTATTAACAAGGCATACTGTGAAGGATCTATAGGCCCACAATTCGACTCCGTACCCCCCGACGAGTCATTTTCACTATATGAAAATTCATAGCTTGAACTATCAACTGAACTTGTTATTGTTGTTGTTGTTATTGGTGGTGTGATACCATCCTTTAATGATTTATATTTACTATTACTATTATTACTATTATTACTGGTGTCTGTTGTTATTGTTGTTGCTACTGCTGATATTGATGTTGATTGTACAATATTAAAGTTGATAAAGATGATTATAATTGATATCAACAATAATAATATGAAACGATTGTTGACCGTCGCCATCATCAATCAAACTTTATAACTATCAATCTATCTATTCGTTACTATCAACTCTAAACTATAAACTATTTACAATACAATGACGTTGATTGATGAGTTAAAAAAGAAAAAAAGAAAGATGTTAGAGAGAATGGAATAGGAGTTGGAGTTGACAAGCGACGATGTGTCGCAACAATAAAGAAGATAGATACCAAGCACGTGAGAAACAGAGAATTCAATACGATAAATATCTTTAGATTGAAACTACAGTTGTGGCTTGGGATTCCGCGGACTTTTTTTCATCACAAACCGAACCTCTGAGGGTCCGAGCAGCTGCTGAGCTGTTGTTACTCGATACCCTCCAATTGAATTGGTATTGAAGACTATCTATTACATCATTGTCGTCACTATCTATCTATCTATCTATCTGTATATAAATATAATGATAAATGAATAGACAGACTTTGAATAAGATATATTAATATAGTAGATACAAAGAAAATGAAAAAGAGGTGGTTGAAGAACCAACAACAACAACCACACGATTATAATAATAATAAAAACAACAACAACAACAACAACTTGTATATACACCAATCATCATTCATAGTATTATCAGTGTTAGTCATATTCCTAGCACTATGTATATATACACCTGTAGTTAGTTCATCATCATCATTATCATCAACATCATCGGATTTAAAAAAGATAAAGATATCGGTATCCGATGACACCACCTTTGATTATGACAATGATATAGATGATGGCGATTCACTAACATTTGGGTTAGCTTTGGAATATGCTGATGATGAATCATTGGATTGCACTAGTGGTAACACAGACAGTCGAATGATCATTGAAGATCTATCGTCTTGGTCATCATCGTCGTCGTCGTCGTCGTCGTCGTCATACGAAATCAGAGATAGGTCTGACCCCAAAAGCCTACTACAAGCAATACAAGATCACAAACAATCACTACATATTGAACAAAGAGCATCATTTGATCCTACAACCAGTGATGGTGGTATCAGAAGTGAACCAGACCATATTCAAAGTTACATTGACAACAAAAAGTGTGAAGTCATAAAGAATAAGAATAAGAAGAAAAAGAAACCAACTCTTCCTCCTTCTCCTCCTTCTCCTTCTCCCCATCATCCAAAGGATCGTTCTTCATCTCCCCATTCAAATAATATAAATACAAATACAAATACACATACAGATACATTTGAACCACACCCATTAGAAGAGAAATATCACGAAATAACAGAGAAATATGGACATGAGAACTTTCCACGAGGAACCAATCCACCTATAAATACAAATCAATGCAGTATGTAATAGAATCTATATATGTATAATAGATAGTAGATAGATATTAATAATACTTTTTTGTTTATTTGTTTATTTAGATCAAAACATAATAGTTGGAGATTGGGGATTTAAAAATTTGGCAAGTGGTGGAAACTCAAGTTGGAAGATTGGAGTAGAAGAGGGACATGAAGGTTATTATAATGTATCTTATCCAACACAACTACCAAATGATTACAGTGTACAGACAGTGGTTGGATACCATGCAATCTGCTTTGAGAGTTTGTTTCAAGCGGCCGAATTTTATGTCTATCTCAACCAAACGATCACAATGCCGATCGATACCGAAGACGTGACCTATTTGTACTACTCTTATGCAGCGACACACTTGGTGGTCGATATGCAGGTGGTGTTGAACGGCCAGATCGTTGCATCAGAGGTGCACCAGAGTCCAGCAACCTATGTGCAGTCAACACAGACGGCACTGCTCTCCTTTTCGTCGTCAGAGAAGGGCTGGACAATCGACCTGTCGTTCAAGATTCGGTTCTATGGGTATGGGCAGGCGACGTTTTGTCTGTCGGATATCTACGCGTTGCGGTCGGGACAGCCTTTGCCGGGCAACAAGATCTACGTGGGTAACAATGGCAGCGACATTTATGGCAATGGGACTGCCGAATTCCCATTCTCGTCGATCCGCCAGGCGATTAATATGGCCGACTCCAACGCCAACTCGGAGATTGTGTTGTACTCGGGTACGTACTGCGGCCAGGGTAACAGCTGGATCGACCCGACCGACATTAATCTGCTTATCAGTGGCGCCGATTCGGCCAACCCACCCGTCCTGACGGGCTTGGACCAACTTAATATCTTTGACTATCTGCTGTTTGATGAAGGGGTGGAGCTGCAGCTGGCCAACCTCATCATCGAGCACCCGTCGACGATCAGCCCGCAGTCGGCGCTGCACATCTCGGGTCTGACCAAGCTGAGCGCGACCAGCGTCGTCTTCCGTCACCTCCACACCAACAACTCGATCCAACTCGATTTCATGGCCGAGGCGCAGTTCCACAACTGCACGTTCTACGACTACGACTCGTACGCGATCACCTATATCGGGCTGTTTGGCGTCAACAAGCTCGAGCTGTCCAACTGCACGTTTGTCGGCAACTACACGATCAGCGCGCTCAACATGGACCGCATAGAGATCCGCGACACGCTGTTTGCGTCGTCACAGCCGTTTGCGGGCTGCTCGATGACCATCAATATTGCCACGATGGTCAATATCAGCGGGTCGCTGCTGTCGCACCCGGTCTGCGTGTACACGAGCTTCGTGTTGGTGGAGTCGTCGCTGCTGTTTAGCACGCATTGGGCGCCGGCCGTCTTTCTCGCGCAAAACTCCAACACCACCTTTGTCAACACCACCTTTGGCTTGTACGAGGCGCAAACATACGTGCTGGCGTTCCGTGGCTACCTGACGATCCAAGACTCGTCGTTTTTGTCCAACGAGACCAACACGTACATCCAGGTGGAGGCCGGCTCGCTCGAGCTGGACAACTCGCGTGTCATAGGCTCGTCGATGACGGCCGTGATCCTGTCGTCGTCGAGCTGCACGATATCGCAGACGTTTGTGTCGTCGGCCGCGTTTTTGACGGCGCTGTCGTCCAACTTTTACGTCTACAACTCGACGTTTATGAACACGTTTGTCTTGTCAGAGGTCAAAGAGTCGACGGGCTACTGCGTGCAGTGTCGCTACAGCGACTGCAGCAACGGGTTTTGGGGTATCTCGGGCGGCTACTTTTACGACCAAAGCAGCAACATCACGCACATGGTTGGCCCCTACATGGTCACGTCGATGCTGGCCAACGTCTACATTGACGCAAACTACTTTGCCGACTCGGTTCTCAGCGCGTCGCTCTTTATCGTGTACGACAAGAGCCATCTGCACATCCAAGACTCTAATTTTACGCGTATCTCGTCGCACCACTCGAGCGTGATGATGCTGCAGGACGAGGGGTCCACCGAGCTCCACAATTCGCGGTTCGAGTCGTGTCGCGCTTATGCGTCAGGTGGTGTCGCCGGCATCATGGACACTGCCACGCTCTACATCAACGGGTCGACGTTTATCGGCAACGCGGCCGACCAGGGCGGCGTGTTTTTCCTCGACAGCGACGCCTCCCTTACGGTCACGTATGGCGAGGCCATCCTCAACAGCGCACACGAGGGTTCCGTCATCTACTACACGCGGTCCGTGCCCGATCTCGCCAACTTTACCATGATCAACAACACCCAAGAGGTCGGGCAGCAGGTGCAGCTCGGCAGCGCCATCATCAACCTCAACTACTCGACCGTAAACAACTTTTCGCCCATCGTCAGCGGCAACAACTACCCGTACATCTTTGAAATCAAGACGTTGGACGGGCAGCCGCTGACCAACAAGTTTTGCCAGAGCAAGTGCATGATCTTTCTCTACCTATCCGGCCAGTTTTTGCAGTCTGCGCCGATTGACTCGAACGGCTTGGCGACATTCCCCAACGTCACGCTGACCGGCGCCATCGGCCACCAAGAGGTGCTCGAGGTGGCGAGCAACGAGCCGCAGATCAAGTCGATTGCCTTGGACATTATCTTTGCCAACTGCACACCCGGCTACCAAGCCGACTCGACCAAAACCCTCTGCACCCTATGTCCAAGCAGCACGTATGGCACCGACGGCACCTCTTGCTTGCTGTGTCCCGAGCACATCACCTGCTTTGGCGGCTCTACCTACATGAACGACGTCGGGTACTGGATCGACCCCCTCCTACCCTCTCCCGAGGCATTCCAGTGTCCCGAAGGTCTCTGTCTCACCAACTCTACCTGTCTCGATGACTATACCGGTCCTCTATGCTCACAATGTCTCGAAGGCTACTACAACTGCGGTGCTGGATGCAAAGAACAAAGCGGTGTCGACAGTATACTCATCGCCATCAAGATTGTCTTTTTCACAGTACTTGTACTTTTCCAACAACTTTCTAATGATTCCAGCGGTCTTGTGACGATTGCTCTGTATTTCTTACAGACATTGGCAGTCATTTCCAACGGTATCAAGTTTAGTATTGTCGATGCGCTCAGCGGCAGTGGTACGACCACGCACAGTGCCGGCCATTCAAGCTCGTCGTCCGTATTTACCTATCTCAGCAACTGTATTGCACCACTAAACTTTTTCTGGAACCATTATATCATTGTAATGCAGCCGATTATATTACTCGTCATCTTGTCGATTGTTATTATTGTCGAGTTTGTCATGCGTCGCACGGGTGTACTCCACAAAATTCCCATCATCAAGCGTCATATCAACCCTTCGGCTGACGAGTTCCGTAACCGTCAGTTTTCAGCGTTTATCAAGGTATGCATGAACAGTTACGGTCCGTTCATCACCGAGGTGTTGCTCATCCTATTCTGCATCGACGTAGGCTCGTACAAACTGCTCAATGCCAATCCTGCAGTCCAATGCAACGGCAACGAGTATGTGGACTCTGTGCGTGTCACCTATGGTCTCTTCCCCATCATCTTTGGGTTCCCATTACTCATCTTTGTGTTGTTGTTCCGCTCACGTAAACGTATGAATGAAAAGAATGTCATCCGTCGTCTAGGTGTCTTCTTTCTCAAGTACAAAGACTCGTTTTACTTTTGGGACGTGTTTTTGCTTATCAAGCGTCTCGCCATTGCCGCACTCTCACTCATCCAGTATGACTCGCCCGCACGTTCCATCTCGCTTGTCGTCGTCACGTTTGGCTCGCTCGTCCTCCAACTCATCTACCGTCCCTTCCTCAGTGACATGGATAATAACCTCGAAACCGTCTCGCTCACCCTTCTCTTTATCAGCTGTATCTACCTCGACAATGACCTCTACCTCGAGACCGAGCAGTACCTGCTCATCATCTCGGTGGTCGTCTTTGGCTTGGCCGCCGTCCGATTCCAAGGCCAATACTTTTTGAATGAAATCCGTACCGTCATCCGTCCAATCCTCGACAAGATCAACGCCATGATGAACAGTAAAAAATCAGACAGTAAACGTCCACGAAAGAATTCCAAGAACCTATACAAGCATTTCAAGTATGAAGATGACGAAGAAGATGGTGCCGACCAAACACACAAAGAAAAGGATGTTATTGGTAAAGTCGATCAAAAATCTCGTAATATTCCATCATTTAGTGCTAGTTCACATCATTCTCCTTCCGGTGCTGGTTCATCTTCTCCATTCCACAATTCACACTCTTCAAGTAGAGGAAATATTAATCGTAATGGATATACTATGATTTCAAGTGGAGAAGATGATGATGAAGATTATGATGAAGATGATGATGAAGATGACGATGACAATAATAATAATAATAATAATAATAATAATAATCGTCAATATGAAGAATATAGTTATAATAGTACAACAAGACATTCTAAAAAATATATTTTGTAAAAAAAACAAACCCCAAAAATCCAAAAGAAATTCAATAACATATAATCATAAAACATAACATAACATCGCATCATTTGTAATAATACAATAATAATAATAATAATAATATTTGTCAAATATCAAAATTTAGGTAAAATTAAAATAAATCATATAATACAAAAAATAATAATTTGTTTGTTTGTCTCTCTCTTTGTCAAAGAAAATAAATACTCAAATGGAGGAGTAATTTAAATTTTGGCGCTCAAAATTAATTTTTGCAAACCAAAAACGGCGGGAGGTGACTCCAAGTTGATCTGTTCATCCTCACTTCAAGATTAAACAATTAGCTTAGAGAGAAAGAACAGATCCCCTTCCTACATAACATATAAGAGGTGTAATATATTACTGCGCGCGCATCCCTCTTCATCGTCATCTTCTTCATTCACCATTAGATTTGTAGATATATTAAAACAATTAGGATAAATCTAGAGATAGGATCACAAATAATAGATAGTAGTATAGATAGTAATACAAGTAGTAGAGGATGAGCGAATTAGAATTAATTAAACAAATCAATATACTTAGTCAAGATCCAGAGAATAGACAAACGATTGTCAAGGATCAAGGATGTTTGCCGGCACTCGTCATGTTCATGTCAAATGACAATGAGGATGTGTCTGCATTGTGTCTCGAAACACTTTTGTTGTTGGCACAAACCGAACAGAATGTGCAGGCCATGTCGAGTGAACCTGGTTTGGTCAGCGGATTACAAAAGATGACAGGCAAACAACAACAGGTGGCACAACGTATCGTCGGGTACTTGGAGCAACCCAAAAAACAATCTACCACATCCTTTTCCATGTTGGTCGGCGAACGTGTACCCATTGCACTCAAACAATCTAGACCATCTCCATCAGTCAGCAGTGCCAACACACCACCCAACATCACCACAACTGTACCCAACCCAACTGTCCAAAGTAACAACAGTAAACAAATAGACGATATATCACAAATCATGGGACAGAGAGTTGTATCTTCATCGGCATCGACTGCACAAACACTCATTTTTTATATTAAGGGTATGAATAATGAAGCCACCAAGAAACAGGTTGAAGAGTGTTTGTTGCATACCAAAGGTGTCATATCGTTTATGATCGACCTTCATTCGTACCAAGCTACCATCAGATGTACCATAACACCCGACCAGGTCAAGACAGCTATCCGTAACACTCTCGGACTCTCCGCCTCGCTCATGATCGATGGCCAAGAAGAAGTCAACCAGATGCCAGACTACCTTGATGAAATCAATCCAAACCTCACTACACCAAGCAAAAAGCCTGCATGGGGCTGGAACTCGATCGTCTCATTTGGCAGTATGACCCAAGACAAGGCCACCGACAAGAACAATGGTAATTGGGGTTGGGGAAGTATTTCTAAAGCACTTTTTGGTTAATTAATAATAATTAATAATTAATAATAATAATAATAATAATAATTAATAATAACAACAATAATAATAATAATAATAATAATAATAATATTTCCATTTCCTTCTTTTTTTCAAACCTATTTAAATATTAATAATTGTATTAAACTCCAATCATTCAATCAACCAATCACCATATCACACATTTAATAGGTTTATCATTCCAACATTAATAATAATAATAATAATAATCAAAATAATAATAATAATAATACGTAATAACAATAATAATAATAATAATGAATTATAATACCTACTTGTAAAGAATAAGATCTTTACAAACAATATTTTTAAATTAAATACAGCATAATATCTATCTACCTACCTGCCTATCTATCTATCTCTCCCCACCGCCTATAATAATAATAAAACTAATTAATTTGAACAAACAACTTTATTATTATTATAAAAACTCTATTTTGAATAGTTTAGAAATTTAAAATAAAAATGTAAGGATACGATGATTTATTTGTAAAGTTTGGTCAAAATGATAATGGTGAGGTTTAAGAATAATTAAATAAATATTCTAATTTTACACAATTAGTTAATCATCAAATGATAAAGATGAGAATGACAAAGTTGGCATAGAGGAGCCATTTATATTTTGTTCACCAACACTGGCATTGCATTCAAACATTTTAAAGTGTTGTTGGTTTTTGGGTTGGTATTGGAAATACTTTTTGGTGTCTATTTTGTATTGAAGATTGGTGTCAATGTAGTTGAGCTGTTTGCCAAGTTGATAGAATTCTCTTTTAAAGTCTCGATAACAGTCGCCCCCTGTTCCCCTCGGTCTGTTGAATTTTGAACTCATGACATAAATAAAGAGGGTGTATAGACGTCCGGCATCAGGCTCGAGATTGTGCAGCTCGATGACAAATGGTAGGTGACAAGTATTAGCAATCTCCTTCATTGTATCTATTCCAATTGGAATCTTTTTGACTTGGTATAGGAATCGAACCGAATTGATTTGTTTCTCTTTAATGGCTCGATGCATTAAACCAATTTCATTGCGATGGTAATAATCACCTGCATACTTTTCTATCGTCTCCAATATTCCAATCGATCCTCTCTCTACCAACTTTTTATAATCGCATTGATCTAACCACCGTGTCTCTAGAGAAGGGTCGATTAATCTTAAATCTATTAATAATGCTTTCAACAACTTGGTGTCACGTGATTGAGAGATAGCACCTTTCGTACTATTGAATACCTCCCAATGGTAAAGGTGGGTATCGGTGGCAAGAGACACCATTCTTTGAAGATCCTCTGTCAATTCAGGCATCAGTAGCACTGTCTTGGCATAGTTGTACAACTCGACATTATTTGATTTGATTATATTGGTCCATGTGTGAATAGACGGCATTGTCAGGACCGATGGATAACAACGCTTCATATAATCACATACGCTACGAAACAACCAAGTGTCTACTGCATTACGAGGATTACCAGATACCAAAGCAATAGCACATTCCATATCCGATTTAACATTGTCATAGTGGTATTGAAAGAGTGAGGCAGTGAGTACTGGACACTCGTAAAACTGCCTATTACCTTGAACCCAAAATGATTGAGGGCTCTCTTTGTACTGTTCTATCTGTTTGGCATAATGATCCTTTAGTTTAATCCTCTTCTCTGCCGACACAGGTATAAATTCACCAATCATTGTACAAATCAATCTTCTTATGACTACATTCTTCCACACACTTCTAAATATCGTTTCATCAATCTTCTTTAACTTTGATTGTTTCTTGAATAGTTGTTGTAGGTTTATTCTTTCTTGTTGTATTACTTCACATTGATCCTTTAGATTCATTGCTTTAATTAAAAAAGGGGTAGGTGTTAACTGTATTAACCCGTAACAGCTTTGATCAATGACCAAAATTAAAATGGTTCAAAAGTATGGAGAAAGGAACAAGATGGTGGCAATGAAAACTCACCAAATTGATGGCCACGTACACAATTTCTATTTCAAGAGGACGATGAAAGTGAATATGATAAAGATGACGACCAAGATCCACCAAATAGATGGCCATTAACACAATCTTTAGAAGAATCAACTCATTTGATGTCATTCCAAAGTTGGATATAGACTACCAAAACTCAGACATTAAAGAATCATTGTGAAGTATGCGGAGTATTTGTCAGATCAACAAATCACAACTTCCGTCTCTCATCACCAAACTATCATTTGTTGAACTCTGCACAGGTGAATGAATTGGCGGTGTTGCCCAACCCATGAGCCCAAACACCCTCAACCAATTTTATTTGTTCGATGACAATGTCCAAAGGATCACTATCAAAAACAATGACTGGTAGGTATGGGGACTGGGTATAATATCGACCTGCTATCTCGCATCAAAGCAACTTTCGATTCATCGGAACCTTTTACAACTGCATTACTCATCCAAACAATGCAATCTGTATCAAATGGGTTTACCAACGAAATAAAGAATAAACAAATTGGGTCATACCAATTTAATAAATTAATATTTGCAGCCATTATCGACTCAGGTTTGTATCTACATTCCGAACTGTACTTGTATTGGCTTTGCCAATTTATCTCGATTTGGATTTATTATCTATATATAAATAAATGATGATTACCATAGTTTTCCACCATATCTCTTTGTAGATTTATCTCCATATTCATCAACTATATATCTGATGAAACTGTGATGATCACCAACAACAAATAAAAACAATTAATATAATATAAATTTATCATATTGGTTCATACTACCCAAAAACTATAACTAGTACATACGTATATAAATAAATAAAGAATGAAACGATATAAAATATTGTTTTAATTGTGAATCTTTTCTTAAAGTTTGAAAGTACACGATAAATCTCTGTGGGATATACTTTATGTTGCTTTTGTAAAACCCTACAATACAATAATAAATGATTAGTAACATTAGTATACATCATCATTTTGAGAATAAAATATTGATTAGTCTCTCTCTCTCTCTTTTGTTACACATACCAATATATGTTTAATGCCATTAGAGGAATATTGATAAACAACAAGACCATGTGATATTGTATTGCCAAGAAAAAGGATAAAACAAAATGTACAATGATCTCAATGTTTAGTAGAGGATTGAGTCTTCTAGCCAAATCGATAGGATTAACTAAATCAGACTCTAAATCAGAGAATGCAACAACCTATAACATACAAACAATGAAATGGTTAGAAATATATTACGACAATGTATAAAAGTAGATTAGATGACACATACACAAAATACAGATATAAATACAAGGATTGAAGTGATAATGAGAATCCATATCCAATATATGATGTTTAGATCCATTTTATCAAGTGCTATATATATATTAAAGAATGAATGTAGATATAGGTGAACTACAAAATTAATTTAAACTTTTTTGTTTTTTTGGTCATGGACCTTCGCCAACTTTGAGTCATACAAAATAAATAAATAAATAATAGACAAAGAAAAGTTATATTTAATGAGTTGGGGTATAATACAATATATTAATTTAATTTCTTTATTTTAATTGTTGTTGTTGTTGGTTGTTTGTTATTATTATTATTAATTATTAATGATAGGGAGAGACTAATATTATAAGGGATGGGGGGGGATGATTGATAATGAAACGTTCATTTGATGGGTCGCATATTTTTGATTATTATTTGTTGTTTTGGTTTCTTTTCTTTAGATTTAATTACTATAGCTACCAAATTGTTGGATTTGATTTTCCTTTACTATTTTTGCTGCTTCTACAGCCTTGTAAAATTCCAAACCAGAACTAGACTTTTTAATGAATGGGTGTTGAAGGAGTTCGGCGGCGGTTGGACGTTTCTCGGTATCCTTTTCAAGACATAAATTTACAAACTCGTTGAATTCCTTGGACCATTTGTATGCGTCACGAAGGGGTGGGACACCCTGGGTAGTCAAAAGGAAAAGAGCACGGAGTGGAGGGAACTCGAGGTAGGGGGGTTCACCCTCGGCCATTTCACGGGTCATGATACCCAAACTCCAAACATCAACCTTGAAATCATAGTTGTTGCCCTTGATGAGTTCAGGTGCCATCCAATAGGGTGTACCGACCACCGAGTTTCTCTGTTGTCTGGCTTGGGTGAGTTGAGCTGCGTAACCAAAATCGGCCAATTTGATTTCACCCTGCGAGCCAATCAGGATGTTGTCGGATTTGATGTCTCTGTGAATACGGTTGAATTTGTGAATATACTCGAGTCCGCGCAAGACCTCGCCACAAACAAATGAAATCTGGTTCTCGGTGAGCTGGATGTCACGGTATTGGTCCAACACTTCGGTCAAACAGCCGCCGCGCATGAGCTCCATGGCGACCCACAACTCGTCGGCCACAATGTAACTGTCAATGTATTGGACAATGTTGGGGTGTGTCGAGTTCTTCATCATGCCAATCTCGTTGATGACGGTCTTGAGGTTCTGGGCCTTGAGCTTCATCTTTTTGATGGCCACCGTGTTGTTGGTGCGTGAGTTTACTGCCTCAAACACTTCACCGGCACCTCCCTCTCCAATCTTGTTGATGTTAAAGTAGATCTTTTTGGGGTCGTCCAAACTGATGAGGTCGTTGAGTGTGACGGGTGCCTCGTCGCTTTGCAGTGGTTGGATCGAGGGTTGGGGTGGCTGCGATGGCATGGGACTGATACCATTGTACTGTGCGTGGAACTTGACGACATTGAGCACTTCTTCGGGGTGTTGCATGACTTCAGGCTCTTGGAAATTGGATTTGATGAGTACCTCCCATTCCTTGGGCAAACCTTCAAATCCAGTCTCGGCGTTAAAGTTGACGTGGATGTCGTGTTTGACGTTGAAAGGGATACCGACCTTGGGTGAGAGACGCTTGGCCGTGTCCTTTTTGGCGGCCGACTCTTCCTTTTTCTCTTTTTTCTTGCTGCCGCTTTGGAAGAGCTTGTTAAAGAAGGAATCCTTTTCTTTGCCGTCTTTGTTGTCCTTGTTGTCCTTCTTTTTGCTGTTGCTGCCGTGCTCCTTGGGTGCCTCGGAGATGGACTCTTTACGCTTTGAGTTGGATTCGCCGCGTGGCGATGATTGTGAGTCTTTGAGCAGACTGGGCGAGGACACACTGCCCGATGCGGTGATGGGGGGTGTCAGGCTGTTGTTGAGGGATGGTGTCGAGACGGTCGACGTGGGTGTGCTGCTCTCGCGTGGCACCAAGGTGGCCGTGGGTGGTGGGCTGGCCTTGGCGGGTGGAGGTGGGGGTGATGGCAACGCGAGACCCGAGAGTGAACCACCCGAGTGTGAACGTGTCATACGTGTCTCACCATTGGGCGAGAGTGAACCGTCGTTGTTTGGTGATGCAAGAGTCTGACTTCTGTTACGTGAGTCTGCTGCTCCTCCAGGAGTAGTAATAACATTGGTCTGGGGAGTTGGTGGGAGTGGTTTGGTGGGAGTATTGTAAGTGCTACCGGGACGGTTGTCAATGCTGAGACGGTTGTTGGATGATGAAGACGATGAAGTAGAGAGTGACGAGAGTGTTGAGGCACGTGAAACAGACGACTCATAGTTGACATTCGAGTTTGGTTGGGATGGAGAATCTTGGATGAGAATCTTGGCAAGGTGTTCTTCCTCGGCCTCTTCAGCTTCCATTTGCTTGATACGCTCGATTTCTTTGAGACGACGGAGATAGGCCTTTTGCTCCTCCTCGTCCTCTTCTTCCTCGCGCTTGATACGCTCCTCTTCCTGACGTCTGCGGTCTGCCAACTCGCGCTCCAAACGTTCCTCGTTCTCCTCTTCCTCTTCCTTGAGACGTTGGATCTCGCGTTGTCGTCTGAGTTGTTCTTGTCTCTCCAACTCCTCCTCGTCGTCCTCCTCGTCCAATTGATGGATGACGACACTGTCGCTGGTGCTCTTTTGCATCAACGCACGTTCAATCTCGTCGTGACTCGTTGAGCTGGCGGCCACCTCGCTGACAATGACGCTGGGAATGACCTGTGCCGGCGCCTTGCTTTCGGCACGCACTTTGGCCACTTCAATGTCGCGTATTTTGTTGAGCATCTCACGCACCTGGTGGTCTGTGAAATGGTATCTATTTTCAATGAGCTTCTTGATGAGCTTCTCGCGGTTGACCTCCCACGCGCCGGCGCTGTCAAACAGCTGCTGCAGCTCGTCGGTGTAGGACTCGGCCTCGAGCGAGAAGGTCTCGTTGGGGTGGTAAAACTCGGCACGCTCTCTTTTGAGGTCCGACGCTGTAATGGTTGCTGCCATCTCTGGTTGTTGACTCAGGTGTTGTGACAAGTACGAGTCGCTGTCTACTATTGGATCGGATGCAGAAAATGACGATGGTCTCTTTTTCTTTGGTGTATCGTCTGGACTAATGTATTGATGACTGTGACTATGATTCTTTTTGAAAAACTTATTCTTTTTTTCTATAAATAAATAATAAATAATAATAAATAAGAGTGAATATCTTCGGATATAAATACAATGTAAAGAAGAAAAGAAAGAAAGAAAGAAAACACAATAAAATGAATGTTTTTTTTTAAACGTTGACTAATAATTAATTGATTAACTCTGTGTACATTATTATTATTATTGCTATATATATTATTTATGCTATGCTATGCTATGCTGCTACTGTACTACTGTTGTTATTTGTTTAACCATCAATCTCTAATTGTGATTGATTTAAAAATAAAATAAATAAATAAAATATCAAATCACATCCTCCTCCTACTCCTCTCTTTGTTTTGAATTGTACCACTGTGTCTCACCATTACCACCATGGTGATAATTGCTGGTACTGGCATTTTAAACAGTGTGTCAATCAATACTCACCCCCATATTCCATCCCCTACACTTTCTTTCAATCAAAAAAGGGGGTGGGGTGGATGAGGAGAGAATGGAGTTGTTATGATATATACTACTACAACTATACGTACTGTCATCATTAATGATTATTATTATTACTAATTTAATATCTTTAAATTGATTATGATTGCAATGTTGTATACTCTTTGGTACTATTATTATTGTTATTATTTATACTTTGGGGATGGATGGATAGCTATTGGATTGTTAAATGATTGATACAGATAAAGATAGAAAAGTAAAAAAAGAGACAATTGATCGATCCAGCCAATATCCATTCATTGGATCACCAACCATATGATTTTGAATGTGTTGTTGAACAATATATCACAATACATATATCTCGATGTTTGTTTGGTACTTACTTTTCTCTCCTGTTTCTTCTTTCAAGTTTGATTTCGAATGGCTTCGATGAATGGTTGATGATTTAAGAAAATGTTCAAACTTTTGCCTTAGGGTCGACACATTATTATTGTTATTTGCTATGAGTTGGAGGGATATTTAAAAATATTTATATCAAATACAACAAAGATAAAGATACAAATAAATATATAAATAGTAGTAGTGGTTCAATTGAATTTAAATGAATCAATGCAATTGAGATAGTTAGATAAATAATTAGATTAGTATAAATAAATAAATAAGTATAATAGTATTACAAGTTTGTTTGTTTGTTTGTTTAGTTTGTTTGTTTGTTGGTATTAATACAAAGGTAAGAAGAAGAATGGGAAAGGAAAAGAAAGGTTGTGTGATGAAACAAAAGATAGGCGCGTCAAAACAGTTGAGTTGATGTGTGATTCTTGACGACAAAGAAGAAGAAAAAAAAAAACAGTTCTTTGAAGAAGAATGAAAACGCAAAGCAAAGAGAGCTCCACAAAACCAATTCGATGGATTTTGGGCAAAGCGTGCGGAATTTGGTCAAAAGCGATCAATTCAATTAAAATGGATCGACCAAATCTTCCTTTGTTGATCTCTCTCTCTGTTGTGGTGCTTATGACAATTATAGGTTGTGCCCAATAATAACCAACATCATCATCATCATCATTATTGATAGATAGATAGGTAGGATAGAACGAATGGACAAGACAAAGTGATAATCATTTTAACAAGATAGATAAAGAAGAAGGAGGAGTGAACGTGAATGAGTTCATACATACAGGACATATTCTGTTTCACCTGACTCTATTTACAAGTTGTTGTTCTGACTCTATGATCAATATATATATTATTATTATTGTTGTTGTTCTATATAACTATAATTATATAAATAATAGTAGGAAATGATTATTATTATTATTAGTATATTTGTTTTTGTGAACAAACAATTATAAAGAGGAGGAAAAGGAAAAAAAATATTAAATAAGAGCAATGAATAATAGAACTATGTATGGAGGTGTGGATGGATGGATGGATGGATTGGGTGTATATGTGAATGATAGAACGAACGATGGAAAAGACACACAATGACAATATTAATAGCGATCAATCAAACAAATAACACCACCACTACCACTAACTAATAATACCATAGTTGATTATTTTGTGGTAGAGATTGGATAATGAAAAACTAATGTCACCAATATTGGTCTCTATTTCTTTCTTTCTCTCTCTCTCTCAATACACATACTCACACCAAAATCTTATATAATATTTGTTTGTTTGTTTTGTTTGTTTGGTGTTATCTTTATCTTTCTATCAAATTTATCTGTAATATGCCGTTTGGTTGGTTGGTTGCTATTATATTCTTTTTATAATTATATTTACAAGGGACAAAGAAGTATAGAAATGTTGAAAGTGCTTTCTAAAATTAATATTGTTGTTGTGTATAAATATCAATGAAATGAATAGAGATAGATTGGTAGGTATTGATTTTGATTGTTTGTGGTCGTTGTTTGTTTGTTATTTATCAATATTCTCTTTATCTTTATCTCTCCTCTCTGTTTTCACACACTCACTCTCTTCTCTTTCTTTCTTTCTTTCTCTCTGTCTGTCCGTCCGTCTATCTTTATCTTTTATGTTTATCACAATGAAATTGGTCAATGAGGAGGAGGGTGTATGAGGTGGATTGGTTGGGTACGGTAACTACTGTGGTCTTCTCCCACGTGAAACGTTGCATCAATCGTTATTGTCACTTTATTCACACACCTTTTTGTTGTTGTTGTTAACTGTTAGTGTGAATGAGGTAGGGGTGTGAGTTGTTGTTGTTGTTGTTGGAATATCAATCGAGATCGAGAGTGAAGATGAGAGTTGATGCAATTCACATCAATCGATCAATCGCTTTTTGAACTGTATCATGATGTGTAATTTGTCTCTCCCTCTCTATCTCTACCCTCACACCACAATTATCTTTTGTTGTTTGTTGTTATTGCTGTTGCTGCTGATTGTTGTGTGTTGAGAGTGTGTATGTGTGTATATGTGTCATTTAACAAATAAATTTAAATTACCCTATTTACTTTTTGTTGTTTGTTGTTCAAAGAATATAAATATATATTACAAACTATATATATTTCTTATTGAGACCTATACTATCTATCAATGCTGATATCTAATAAAAATAATATATATATCTCTCAAGTCAGCTGACTAGACTCTAAAGTTATTTATAGACAATATATATATAAATAAATATAAATATAATAACAACAGGATTATAAAGCACTATGAGATAAGCCCAAAAAAGCACTAACGTTGTGTCTCCCATTCATCTCTGGTCAGCTGTGAACCGTTTTCACAGATTTTTTTAAAATTATTTTAAAGGATTTTTGATAAAATCGGACTTCAAAAAAAGATAAACAAATATTGTTTATTATTTATTATTAATTATTTAATGAATTAATTTATTATTTATTTATTATTTATTTGAAGAATGGGATATTCAGGACCATCTTTTAACCAATTTAAAGTGACTGATTGGTTACTATCACTATTACCATTGATAAATCCACCAAAAAGAGAATTCTTTTCCAACATTAAAATACTACCATTGTCAAATCTTTTAATTGTAAAATCTGTAGAGCTCGTAATGACGATGTTTAAGTTTTCAACTTTTGATTTGTATAGGATGTCTTGTATTTCGAGTCGATAGGGTTTGGTACGCCACTGAATACCTAGTTTTAGGGTCTTGATACTGTCTGGCAAGGGAACGCCCTTTGATTTGAGTGAGAGGAGAGGTATGCCGTCGGTCTCGGTCGGTATCAAGTTTAGTGCGAGTGAGGTGATGGGTAACTCTAGTATCGAGGAACTGAAATAATCAACACCTGAATAATCATACCATTCAATTTCTTTGATTGATTGTGGAAAGGTGGTGGTGGTGGGTGAGATGGAGCCGAGAGGTGCCGACTGTGGAGACAAGATTTGAATGTTTTGTACATTGTTTGGAATTGATCCTTCCATAACTCTAAAATATTCTTCAAACGAGAGTAATAGAGTGGTGGTTGATAATGGTAATATACCAGTACGGAAACACTCACCAATTTCAACCAATGAGATATCTGTCAGTGTTTCTGGTAACGACGACGATGCCAGTCCATTTAGATCACGCACATTACAATAGAGTGTATCCAGTTTGGTCATAGTCGATGGGAATGGTGTCAATGGTGTTGGTGAAGTGGCTTGGAGACTGAAAGAGACGAGATTGGGGGGATAGACAGACACTGACACTGGCATGGAAAGTATGGAGCGAATATCGAGTGTTTTAAGCATTGAAAGATACCCAAGTGAGAGTGTACATGCAGTCGTATTTTCAAGGGTGAGGTAGAGCGTGACTAGAGATGGTGGGAATTCAAATGGTGGGGCATCGTCCAATGAAATGTTGAGAGTTGTCAGAGCAGAGGGTAACCGCCAGTTGACGGGTGGTGTAAGCGAAGTGTTAAAGTGTACACCAAATATAGTTAGTTTAACCAATTCGGTGAGATCTTTGAAACAGTAGTCGAGAGTGATGGGTGTATCTTGATTGGTTCGATTTGTCAGAGTCAGTTTAGCGAGTGATTTTGGGAGGCTGACATTTGGTAGATCTTGTAAACACATGACTAGACGTTTGAGTGAGTCTGGTAACACTATACCTCCACCTCCACCACCACTAGACATTTGTTGTGACTCTAAACAAAGTGTCTTTACTTGAGATGGGATCCAACGAGCATCAACGTTGACAGCACTCGAATCTTCAAAATAAAGATATTTGGTTGATTGAGGTATTGATTCTGGTGTGATATTACTACTGCACCTTGATATACCAACTGTCTCGATTTGTTGTTCACCAGATTGATTCATTTGATTTTGGTTCAAGTAGATTGGATCGGTAGTGTCACGAGTATAGACCAACTGGCCACCAAGAGAGTTGTAAAAGATCGATTTGAAAGAACGCATGTAGAACGCAGTCATTGAGAATCGAGTGTAATCATAGACAATATCGTCAAACAATGGTTGTTGTACATAATCTATACTTTTAAAGTAAAGACTGTTGGCATAGAGTTGTCTAAATCCATAGTAGAACTGTTTGCATGTCAACAACAAGCACACAAGATCTATATCATTCTCGAGTAGGTTGACAATCTTTAGACATATTCTATTTGGTATATTTCCAAATTGTAAATAACATCTTCTTCTATCTTCTTCTTCTTCTTTTGTTGGTATAGTTGTTGATGATGAACATGTTGATGATGGTGATAGTGGTGAAGAGATAGTACTACTATTACTATCACACATCTCGATGATTTAAATAAACAGCCTTTAAACAACTAAATAGTACTATATTTATAATTAACCATTTGTGAAATAAATAATAATATTATTGTAGAGAAACATACAAGATACGAGATATCTTGGGATGCAAAGATTATTTAAATGAATGATTGCTGAAATGCATTCCTTCGTCGAGTTGAATACTTTGACAAAAAAAAAAAAAAAAAAGAATAATAATTATGCATAGTATATTTACTGATTCATTGATCTTATTTCTTTGTTTTATTATTATTGTCTTTTTGTTGGTGACTTGAACAGGTCTATAAGATTCATGAGAGGATTTTTTCGTGGTTGGCTCTCTTGACCACCTTTTAGTTGTTTTAAATAATCGTTGAGTAGTTGTTTGATTTCATACCGTTTTTGATATTTCAATCTTTTAATGGCAATTTCAATGGATTGTATTGCCGTGGGAATGTCTACGAAAAGAGGGAGAATCAACTTGACAATATCATAGTGATTATACAAAAGAAATCTACTAAGTGATTTTTCATTGCATTTCTCTTTTCTAACATTGATTAGAAATTCTGCTGTTTCCAGTCTTCCATATTTACATGCATTCTCAATGGCCGTTTGCGTGCATCCTTCAGTTCGGTTAAAGTGTAAAAACTAATAATAATAATAATAATAAGAATATTAATAGTAGTATAGTTTGTTAATAAATATAGAAGTGGTTTGTTGTTAACTATAGTTAATTTGTCTACATACTTTGACAATATCAATGTAGCCCCTCATTGCTGCTTCATCCATTGCATTGGATGTTGCACCTTCACTACGATGCTCGTGAAGATACTTTACAATTTCAAAGTGGCCGGAGCTAGCTGCCCAATCCATAGCCCTGGTTGTTGCACCCTCTGTGCGATGCTCATTGAGGTACTTTACGACATCAATGTGGCCATAGTGAGCGGCCCAATCCATAATGATCGGTGACCAAACACAACTATCATCAGAGAAATGATCGTGAAGAAAATAGAAAATATCCAATTTACCATAACTCAATGCTGCTCTCAAAGCATCTGGTGTACATTTTGCCTTGACAGTGTTAACAAGATACGATAGCATTTCGATACTTGCATTCAAAATGACACCATCTTCCATAGAGATGGTTGTTGTTGTTGTTGTTTGATTTTCATAAAGGTACTTTACGACATTTAGGTGGCCTTTAGCTGCCAAATCCATAGCATTGGTTGTTGCACCTTCTGTACGTTGCTCATAAAGGTACTTTACAATTTCCAAGTGTCCATTCATTGATGCATTATCAATAGCATTGGTTGTGCATCCTTCACTACGGTACTCGTGAAGATACTTTACAATTTCAAAGTGGCCGGAGCTAGCTGCCAAATCCATAGCCCTGGTTGTTGCACCTTCACTTCTGTGTTCCTGAAGATACTTTACAATTTCAAGGTGGCCTTTAGCTGCCAAATCCATAGCCCTGGTTGTTGCACCTTCACTTCTGTGTTCCTGAAGATACTTTACAATTTCCAAGTGTCCATTCATTGATGCATTATCAATAGCATTGGTTGTGCATCCTTCACTACGATTTTCATGTAAGAACTATGTGTTACAATTAAATTTTACAAGTTAGTTTACTTGTTGATTCAAATTAGAAATAAATAAATACATAAGTATACATACTTTGACAATATCTAAATGGCCATTACATGCAGCATTATCCATCGCTTTGTTTGTACAACCTTCACTTCTATTAAAATGGAGAAACTTTTTAAGTTTAAAAAAAAAAAGTACAAGTTAATTATTAAATATTTTCTAAATATTCTCTATTCAACTATCCGATTGATTCTTACCTTTACAATATCTAAACTATTCTTTGCTGCTTCATCCTACAATTTGATTTGAATTAAAAGATAAATAAATAAATTAATTTAATAAATTATATCTTTTCCTTTATAATTTCATATTAATATTAATGAATCTTACCATTGCATCTTTACACTGTTTTCCATTAATCAATCGATTATCGTGTAAATACTTTAAAAGTTCAATGTGTGATCCTTGGCAAGCCAAATACACATGTTTGTCATTGAATTTTACACCTTTGGTAGAGTGGTGTATTAACTTGACAGTCGAAAGATACCCATTCTCGAATGCAACCTCCAATGCATTATCGATAAACCCTCTAGTACTTTTGCCAGCAGCGGCAGCAGCAGGGCATCTCTTGACTAGATATTCCAATATCTCTTGATTAAACCTATTTCTTCTCGTAACTTTAACGAGTTGTGTATTGCTCAAATAGTTCCATTTGAATTCAAACCCGGTAGACCATTCTACAAGATGTTCAAGTGTATCCAATGTTGCATTTGGGTGATGACAGTATTGAGTAATCGCTAATCTTCTTCTTCCAACTCCTATTTGGTCAATGTCTAGATAATGACGTAGAAAGTTCCAAGGCATTGCATAAATTGATATCATTTCGAGACGTGGTAACTTGATGATATCTCTTCCTTTTAATGGTATTCCTTTTCTTTCAGATGCATCATTTAAAGAATCTGGTCGATACAACAATTGATTTGATATATCATTTATAAGATTGAATATCAAATCTCTAATGTATTTTACTTTGATTAAAGATTGAAATGTTGTAGTAGTAGTTGTTGTCATTATGATTATAAATAACAATTATTATTATTATTATTAATAATGTACAAACATTTAATAATAAGTTTGTTGTTTGTTATTTTTCAATAACAAAAATCCAGACATTAAACGTTCACTGAGTATACTAAACTTTAAAAAAAGAAAAAAAAATAGAAATTCTTAAAAATATCCAATAACATTATTAATTTGACAACAAATAATATTAACAATAATAAACTTTTAATGAGAATAATCTATATTATATTGATTCTATACAAAATAATTCACAAATGATTTTTCTATTTTATTAAGTTTAATGTGATTATTATTTATTTGGTTGATGTTGCTTGTTGATGGATCTCTTTGACAAAACATTTATCCGACATGGTTAGAGTTGAGTCAAAGTTCCATTTTGCCATACCCACTTGGAACAGGGGATTTTAGAGGTATCGGCTTCAAAAATACAACTTTGGGCTTCGTTTGGACCAAACTCTTGCTTCATTGGCATTAATGGGACTTGGGGGCCATTTAACCAGGTGGTAGTAGTAGTGGTGGTCTTTTTGATGATACGAGTCTTGTGGAACTTGGAGAGGTCGGTGTGTTCGAGACGGTGGAGTTCCTTGAGCTTTTGCTTCTCACAGGTTTCTCTTTCATAGTTGTCCTGGAGTTGAATGTCCAACATCTTGTCTTCATTGGGGGTGAGGTCGAATCTGTTGGGTCGTTCCAATTCGCAGCTTGGTGAGTATTCCTTAAAGTTGGACTTGAACATGCCTTTGAGCGAGTAGAGTAAATCGTCTTCGTCCATTGGCTTGGTAAATTTCTTGTTCATTTGGATTGGTTCTTCCATTGGCTTTTGCATTGGAAGACCTCCATGTTCACGTGCTACTTTGGATGACATTGTGTAATATTTCTATATAAAAATTAAGAAATAAATTTTGAAATAATTGAAAAATGTTCAAGTATGTAAGTATGTATGTACTTTGTGAAAAAATAGAGTCAAAGAGGATAGAGAGAGATAAGAATTTAATTAATAAAATTTACCTTTATTAATTTCTTTATAAGTATACTTTGGGAAATATGATTGAATTGATAATAATAAATTTATTGGGCTCTTTTTGAATACTCTGTTGCTTATCCATAAATTCTTAATAAATAAATTTATTTAAATCCAAATGTGAACATATTCCAAAAATGGAAATACTCGAATATTTTTTTTTTTTTTTTACAATAAAATCGAAAACCATTGAATATCTTTAATCTTTCACTCCACTTGAAAGATCTCTTTGAATAAAAGTTCCCTCTAATGTAAAATGTGTTTATATCTATTTAAAAATTAATTTGTTTTTAAATATTTTTTTTTGGCGCAGACCTTGGAAACATTTAGATTTTGGAAAACAAATACAATTTAAAATGTCGTCCTATTTGTAACTCTTCAAAAGATCTTATCAATAAATGGGAGAATAGATTGAGATTGATAAACTAAATAGATAATCTACAAAAAAAATACCCCCTCAAATATTGTTGTTTGTTTTAAATAAATAAATAAATAAATATTGAAAGTTTGTTTTATTATGATTATTATTGATGGGTTCAAAAACTTTTTAAATAAATGTTTTTACTTGAAAGAGGTAGAACTACTTATAAACATACTCTTTGGACGAGTTTTGTTTTGGTCCAATTCAAGTTTTTTCTTTTGAGCTTCTGCTGCCAGTGCAGCCATTCCTAATCCTAATCCCATCCCAACTCCAGTTGGAACAAATCTTCTTGGTGGTGGTGCAGAACGTTCTTCATCATCATTATTATTATTATCAGAGGAGGGTGGAGGTGAACTGATACTATTAATATTATTATTATTATTGGTTGTATTAATAATTTCACTTTGACTTTTAGCAAAACTTTCATCCAAGTTTTTTCTATCCAATTGTGTACTGGCAGGTCTCATGATTCTAGATGGTTGCTTTCTTCCACTTTGTGGTCTGGCTCTATCGACTGTTAAACCTGGTAATAAGGTGATTGGTGCTGATGGTGGGGATGTGGATGTTTGAGAGTTTGTTTCAAACCCCTCAAATGAAGGTGGAGATGGAAGGAATAAAGAGGTTGATCTGGTACGAGTCATGGTCGATTGCTTGTTAGTGTCAGATACCAATGACGGTGAGACAACTATATTTGGTGGAGATGATTTGGAAGCAGGTGACTTTGTTGTTGTTGTCTTTTCATTCTCTGCTTTCCATTCTCTATCAATTTCTTCCAATTGTTTTTGTTGTTGAGTAGAAGTAGTTGAAGAAGTAGAAGTTGTTTCAGTTGACAAAGTCTTTCCACTCTCTGCTTTCCATTCTTTATCAATTTCATCCATTTTTTTTTGTTTTTCCAAACGTTCTTTTTCAACTCGTTCCTTTTCCAATCTTTCTTTGGCTCTTTCTTGTCTGACCTTTTCGATTCTTGCTTTCTCTGAATTGACACGTTCAGATCGTTCCTTGTCCAATGCCTCTCTATCCTTTTTCTCCTTTTCAACTCGCTCCTTTTCCTTTTCCAATCTTTCAACTCGAAGCTTTTCAACCTTTTCCAACTTTTCCTTTTCCAATCGATCCTTGTCAGCCTTTTCCTGTGCCTTTTCCTTTTCTAATCTTTCCTTTTCAGATTGGATAGATCGCATAAATCTAAATGAAACTGCCTCCTTTGTCTCAGTAGCTGCTGAAGAAGATGGAGAGGTGACAGGAGTTGAAGGTGCAGTAGTTGGTTTTGTTGGCGTTTTAATCATCTTTTTTTCTTCCTCTAATCTATCTTTTTCCAATTTATCTTGTTTCTCCTTTTCCAACTTTTCCTTTTCTAATCTAATCTTTTCTAATCTATCTTTTTCCAATTTATCTTGTTTCTCTTTTTCTAATCTCTCCTTTTCCAACTTTTCCTTTTCCAATTTAATCTTTTCCAAGTTGTCTTTTTCTAATTTAATCTTTTCTAATTTCTCCTTTTCCAATTTATCTTGTTTCTCTTTTTCTAATCTCTCCTTTTCTAATCTAATCTTTTCCAAGTTATCCTTTTCTAATTTAATCTTTTCTAATCTATCCTTTTCCAATTTATCTTGTTTCTCCTTGTCTTGTTTCTCTTTTTCCAATTTGTCTTTTTCAGCCTTTTCCTTTGTCAATTTGTCTTGTTTTTCTTTCTCTAATCTATCCTTTTCCAATCGATCCAATCTTATTTTTTCGATTCTTTCCTTTTCCAATCTCTCATTTTCCAATCTTTCCTTTTCTATTTTTTCGATTCTCTCCTTTTCTGCACTTTGAACCGATCGCATGAATCTTGATGATACTGCTTCCTTTGGTTCTGATACAGCTGCAGGTGGTTGAGAGGTTGTTGTTGTTGGATTGATGGCAACTGGTGGTTTGGTCTCTACCGCTGCAGTTGTAGTTGCAGGAGTAGGATTTTGAACAGCAGTAGAGGATGGGGATGTAGGTGCTTGTTTGGATTCTTGTTCATTTTTTTTCTTTAGTACAGATAGATAGTTGATTCCAACATCCTTGGAAGGTGTTACTGCCGTTGTTGTTGTTGCTGTTGGTATTGGTGTATTATTAATTGGGGTAGGCGTTGGTGTTGGTGTTGGTATAGTAGTGGGTGTAGGTGCTTGGGATGGAGTGGGGGTAGTAGTAGTAGTAGAGGAAGTAGCAGTTGTCATGTTGATACGACTATTGGACTTACTATTATTGATGGATGTAGCCGATGTCACACGAGCTGGTGTTGCAGCAGTTGAGACAGCCGCGGCGACTACTGTTGGTGCCTGTGATGGGACAGCAGCAGCAGAAGTAGAAGTGGCAGGGGTAGTAATACTTGAGATGGGAAGAGAATTGGCAGAAGTTGATCGAGGGGTGATGGATCGTGGAGTGGTTACCTTTGGTGATGGCGCATGACTGGTTGTATTAAAGTCATAGAGAGACTGGATAAAGTTGGTAAACTTTTGGGTATACTCTGGATGCGACTTAAAGTCAATGGTTACATGTGGTTGGTAGTTACTGCAATTGATATTGTATTGTGATAGTACAGTCAGATCGTTGAGTGATAATGTTGCAACATTGGTTGGTGACGACGTTGCGGCTGCGGTAGGAGCCTTGTTTTTAAACTGTTGGTACGATTGTGATTGGGAGAGTGCCAATATAAACTGCTCTAATGCCTTTGGATCGATAGTTGTTGATATGGGACCGGTACTAGCAGACGATGATGCAGACGAGCGTGGTGTATAAGGTGGAGAGGTAATTTGAAATGGAGCAGCTGACGATGACGATGTTGCCGTGGGTGACGTTGTTGTTGATGATTTGGTGTTGGTGGAGTTGTTGACAGCCACAGAGACTGGTGAACCTGCCGACGCACCGTCCTGGGCAAATGTCAGATACTCGGTAAGCATGGTAGCCATCAGCTTGGAACGCTCGTCATCAATCTGCTTGTACAGACGTTTGTACTCTTTATTGAGCTGTTCGCACAATCTATCATGGTGATCCTTTAGTTTACGTTCCTGTGTATAGTACGATGTCAGGATAGTAGACTGATGTGCAATCTTATCCCATCGTTTCTTTGTCTCAATGTCTCCAATATGAATAGACGTCGATGGTGATGGTGATACTGATGCTGAAGAAGTGACCATCATCATAATAATTATATCGTTGAAAAATGAATATATTAATCTTGATTAAATTTAATTGGATTAAATAATATTATATTATAGTTTAATATATAGAATATAGAATAGATAACATAAATAAATGATTATATATATATATATATTTATATAATTATATCCACAATGTTTGTTTGTTTGCTTGTTTGTTTGAACAACAAAATATTTTAAATAAATATATACACACTGCTTGTTAGCTAGCTGTTACTAGTATTGCTATTTGACTTTATAAATTATGAGAGAGTTAACACAAAATATATATATATAGAGTGAATGAGTGTTTGATTGATTCCTTAATAAAGTGAAGACAATTGTATTACACTCATCAATCACCACACCCACACTGTTTGCTTCACCTCCACTCCAATCGTCATGATAATAATATAAGGTCTTAAACTTTTACATTTGTTTTTTTATTATTTGAATTAGCATTGATTTGCTTTGCATTGATTTTTTTTTGTCATGTTGTTGAGACTCAGACTATTCCTCGTTGTCAATGAATGACAGATTCAGATTCAGATCTGTTGATCTAGATAGATAATCCATCTCTTAATTGAGTTCTAAGACACTCTTTCTATTTCTCATATAAACCGATTTATGATGTACTATTCTACTACTACTATTTGTTGAAACATATTTGTAAAAGGTTCCAATAAATTGAAGGTTGCAAAGTTGAGAGATCGTAGGACGGAAGTGCCAGTTAATATTGTTGGTAGCCACTATGATAGAGATCTTTTCGATGTTGTGGTCATGATGATCATAATCATGGGGTAAATTAAATTGGCTAAACTCTGTGAGAGTTTTGATGTCGGGTAATAACGCCAGTTCCTTGACTTGAGGATTGTATTTGCTGATTTTGGCAATATTCGAGTCGGTGAATGATAGTTTGGTGATACGTTTGGGAAGTTTTGATTTGATTTGTTGATTAGTCAATTTCGCAATACCATATGAACCTGTTTCATCTATAATGATTCTTAGATGTCTGAGTTTTGGTAACCGACCCAACATTGGAATGACATCAAACGAGTTGATCGATACTGCTTCTAATGACCTTGAAAGTGGCCACGTACATGGATTGTCGTCGTCACCCTCTTTTTGTTGTTGAAATAGAAATTGATTGCATTTGTGGATATAGTATAGCCTTTGAAGTGGTAGATTCTTTAGTTGGGTGAGCCCTCTTGCACCGACCCAGTCAAGGCTCCATTGTGACATATCCAACGAAGTCAGAGATTGTAACCGAGACAGTGAGAGAAATAGTTTGTCGGGGCTTGGCAAATTAAAAGGATAGTAGCCGGTTATGGGTCCAAATTCCAAACATTGTACAATATTTGAATAGAGAACAAGACAATCCCAACATTTGTCGCTCCAACCGCTTGGCATCGCGATTGTGAGAGTTTTGATTGATTTACCCAACAGAAAATACTGATTTGAATAGTGTCTATGTTGTATTGATCTTTCTTCATCTTGACAAGGTAGTGCAACTCGTTTGACAAGTTGTCTTGAAACAAATAAAAATAGTGCCTTGCATGTCAGTGTCAAGCCAAATCGGAGACGATTAATTTGTCCAAACATATTTTCCCTTTTGTACACTCCAATAGTTGGAACATGTTGGTCCTTGTGTATGGGACACGTTGATTAGGCTTTTAAAAATGCTTTAGATTGTTTGACATAATCTGCAAAACCAACTGACTTTTCCTCCTACTTGTAACTATTCCATGAATATCTAACAATCTTTTCGATTATGCTAAATGGAAGTGTTGGGTTGTTGGTCATCATTGTGATTGTTGTTGTTGGTATTTCTGATGATGTTGGTGTTGATGTTTCTATTGTTATCTCTGGTGTTATTATTGTTGTTGTTGTTGTAGTTGGAGAATCAAAACCAGCAGGTGTTGATTCTTTATCATAATCATAAATGATAACTTTTGAAAGATTGACCAAAGAATATTTTGATGGATCACCAAGATGAGTAAATCTCTCACGAACAATTTCTATAAATGGTGTGGTGAGGGTTGGGGTGTACTCTAGGATTGGTTTTGGTGGTCCTTCATCTTTACTCTTTTCCTTTTCCTCGCTGAGATCCAAACCTTGATTGTCAACCTTTTCAATGTTTGCCTTGGTAGCTTCCATGTTTCCATTTTCCAATCTCCAAGCACGATAGGCAATGACTTGGTCGAGTTCGTCAATCACCTTTTTCTTGAGTTCTGGTGACAGCGTGTCAAAGACGGCGGTGTGAACATCCAACTCTTCGTCCTTTAGGAATTGAAGTAATCCTAATAACCAACAAACCGACTGTGACAATAGACCAGTCTCTGATTCGTCTCTCTCTGATTTGATACCCTTTTCCTTTAATTCTTCTCTTTCCTTTTGAGTAATCTTGGCATCTGAAACTACCAAATCGTGAATAGCATCGTATATTCTACCCATTAAAATATAACTAACTTCTTCAAACAATACTAATCTCTCTGCCATTGTAATGGTTTGATTCTTGTCCTTTTTAAATTTCTTTTTAACATCCTTTGATGATAAATGAGCTTCTTCAAATAATGATTCATTAATTTCTACATCATTTGTAGAAGCAGAGGTAGAAGTAGCTGAAGTAGTAGGAGATGATGGTTGGCTTGACCAATTGGATGGTTTTAACCAACTAAATGATCTTGAAAATATATTACTACCACTATTTCCATTTACTTGTCCTTTACCATTTTGCATTGGACTATTTGGTACTGATTGAGCAAATCCAGAATTTCCATTACCGACGTTATTATTATTTCTATTTAAATTTGGAGTAGTATTTGTTGAATAATGTTGTCTTTCCAATTTTAATTCTTCATTATCAATTGAACTACTATCAATTTTTAATTCCAAATCACCTTCTTCATCATCAGGCTCCAACTCACCAGTTTCAGCCACGGTGAGGATCTTTTTCAAACAATAAGCAATCTTTTCAAAGTGATAACCAATGTTTGCTTTACAAAATAGTTTGCCGAGTGGTTCATAGAGAACGGGCAGCAACTCTCGGATAATCTCGATCATTTCGTCATTGCCCAACACTTCGATGAAATCATTCTTTTCGCGACGACGTTTCTCCAACTTTACGTATTCAAAGAGTGCTGTGTAATGGTGTTCTTCGAGTTGAGCGATAATCTCTGGGTCGACTGATGGACTCGACGGCCATTGGTATTGCATAATGACGATTGGTTCTGGTACCTCTTTAAAGTAGGCGATAGGAGTACCCTGTTGATCACTAACTTGGGTAGAGTTGGCTGTGAATCCCTTCATCTTGTTGATGAGTAATCGACGATGATTACGATTAGGTAGGTCGTTGAGAGCAGTCTCTGCAGCTTTGAGTGCCACTTTGGTTGCACGATCAGTCTTGCCAAGCTCGACCATCACCGACGCGATAGTTTGGATGAGGTTTCTAGCACCAAATGGTTTGGCCAAAAACATGACAATGATACCTTTGAGTAGAGTGATGGGGTTGGCAATAGCCAACGACGCACGAATCGCCTTGACCGGCGTAATCATATACAAACGTTTTAATTTTACAATTTGTTTGGGGTCGCGTAACTCTCGTTCCATCCACAACGACATAATCTTGATAACGGTAGTTGTAAATTCATAATATTCGTCTGGCAGATCTTTGAAATGTTTAGTCTTTAAAATAACGTTGAAGAGACTAGATATACCATTCTCTGCATTCTTGTCGCCACTACCACCATTCTTTTCCTTTTCCTTTTCAGCCTGTAAATTCTTTTTTTCAATATTCATAATAATGACTTGAGTGATTTCAGTTAGACGTCGTTGTAGTTGCATAATAGTTTCATCACGTTCAATATCCTTTTGTGACTTTTTCTTTTCCTTTTCCTCTTCCTCTGCTATTTTCTCTCTGTCCTCGGTTGTGTGTTGGTCGGGTTTATCACCCCGCTTCTTCTTCATTTGGTTAATGTCAAGTGTCGGGTCTTTAAACACTTTCAACGTCTTGTCCTTTTTCTTTTCCTGTGGTGTACGTAGTGCCACATCAAACACCTTGACCACAAACTTTCTAAAGTGATCCGACGTCTCTTGTTTTGATGCCAACTGTGACTGGATGACAATGTTGGGCAGTGTATGAATGAGTTGTTGGAATTTCTGTTTGGCAGCTGCCTTGTTGGTCAACAGCGGGATGGTTGTCAACTGTTCAAACAGAAACTTTAAAAACAAAGTTTGTTTCAAACTATCGGCATCCTTGAAATAGATTATAATCTCTTCTTGAATACTATATTTTAATAATTGTTGTTTTAAATATGATTCTTGATCATGTGTTAATGTTACATTATCATTTGTTGTTGAAGTTGAAGTTATTGTAGTTGTAGTTGTAGTTGATGTACCACCAACAATATTATTATTATTTTCCATAATAAATATATATATATATAACTAATAAGATATGATTAAATCATTAATATATATATAATTTTATATTCTTAATTTACTATAGTCTTACCTGCAAAAAAAGTAAATTAAACTATTTGTCTTTTTCTTTTTCTTTTTCTTTTATCTCTTTTTTTTTTTTTTTTTGAAGTATGTAAAATGAGATTAAGGTCAACGATATAAATAATGTAGTGTGTATGTTGTTGTTATTATTATTATTATTATTGTAAAATCAATTAATTATGAATAGTGTAGGAGTGGAGTGGGGTTGATGTATTAATAAATTTTATTCCTTCTTGTTCGACTGACCACCTCATGAATGTTCACAACGGTTCGCGACACAATTTAATTTTTTAAAAAACAATTAATTTAATGTTGTTGTGTTTTTGGTGTCTGTCTGCTTCTCCTCTTCTTTTTATTCAAAGAATAAAACATTCTCACCAATCTAACCTAACCTGGTATGGTATGATAGTATGGTTGGATTGTGTGGTAGTTGTAAAACAATACTTTTAGAATGGGACCTGGCTTGTTGAGACTTTCTAACACACAATGTAAGTAGTAAGTAAGGGTGACACCACTCGGTCGGGAGGTCAGTCGGTCACATCTTGATTTAAAAGATTAATATTAATATATATATTTTATTAGTTTAGTTTAGTTTAGCTTGTTAATTGAACCGTATTTGTTTGTTATGTTTGTTTTGTTTTGTTTGTTGAAAATTAGGTAAATAATAATATTTGTTTGATTGATGGAATTTCTTTCTTTGATTAATACTTTCATTCATGCATTCATTCATTATTTATGGATCCCTTTTTAAATTATAAACATCATCGATGAAATCATTTGGTAAGAGGATACCAGTTGAACCAATATAAATATTTCTCTTATAGTAGGTAGATAGTTCATAGATGGAACGCATTTCCGAATAGGTAACACCACCAGCAATGAAAATGATCAACTTGCTGCCAGTGTATTTGGTCTCTTCGACTTGGACGGCTGGATCGGCCCAACGTGGTTGGTTGCTCTTGCCCTTGAGTGATACCTTTGATACTGGGGCGGCAGTGGTTTTGGCGATGGGTGTGTCACGGACAAATGGGAAATCAGTGTCTTGGAGGGTGTCGTTGATAAGATTCTCTGCAATGTCTTTGACCACTGGCACATAACGAGATACTTCGTATGGGACACTACCAGTCTCTTGCTTGCGTTGCTTTTGAATGTTGGTCTTTGCCTTGGCCTTGGCACCCTTCATCAATGTGACACCCAAGTAGTAGAGGTTGGCAATAGCCGATTGCTCCTGTTGATTCAACATTGCCAAATCCATCAATTTTTTACGATCAACATCTTTAATACCTTCTTGTGATATAATATACATCATTAATAATCTAATCTTATCATTTTTTCTAAAAAACAAAAGTAAATTAATAACTAATCATTATTTGTTTGTTTGTTTGTTTGTTTGTTTGTCTTTTCTTTTCTAAAACATACTCAATTCTTTGTTCAGAAAGGAAAGAAGATAATCTACCAACAATATTCTTTGGTGAACTACCTTTGGCATCTTCACCAGTTGCCATATCTTGTTCCAAATAGGCAAGATTAGCCATATCTTCTGTGAATTTTTGTGATGATTGTTCAGCAAGATTAATATGGGTAGAATATTTTGACATGATCTCTTGGTATTGTGGTAAATTTCTAATTACATCACTTGCTTCTTTTAATGATCCTGTATTCTAAAATGAAATAAAAAAAAGAATAATAATTAATAATAACTTCTTTTCTTTTTCTTTTTCTTTTTTCTATTTCTTATTTACTTGTTGAGTATATTGAGTAACTTGATTAGTTCTCAAGAATTCATCTAAACGAGTTTTAAGATATTCAATGACATCAGCAATATGTTTATGACGAAGTCCAGTCCACATGTAATCATGATCGCTAAGGAGAGCCTCCTTTTTCTGAGCTGTACCCGATTGAGAGGTCGAGTCGTAAGAGAAACGATCGTTTTCAATCTTGAACAAATCATAAATCATAGCTTGATAGGTGAATTCGTGAAGCAATGGAGCAATTGGGTCTTGACTTCTATCCAAAATCAATAATGTTCCTCTCTCGTCACTTGGATTCCAATTCTTTGAGTTTCTAGCTGCATGATCCATTCTCTCTTGTGTCATACCTGCAATCACTGCACTAACTGGATTATTACGTGAATATCTAATAATTGGATATTCTCCCAATGATACACATAATGATACCAACTAAAATAGAAAAAGAGAAATAAATAAATAAATATTTAAATCACATGATTAATTAAATGGTTTCTTTTTGTTTCATACTCTAGTAGCAATTTTAGCTTGTTCTTCAATTTGATTTGGAGCATCTGGCATGAATAAAGTTGGGATGGTATGTTTTTGATCAAAATGGAATACTTGTGATTCATTTGCCAAGAATTCAATATTCATTTCTTTAAAGGTAATAATTCTTTGTACTGCATTGGATGCTGATAATTTCTTGAATTCAGAATCTGGCAACTCTAAATAAATTAGAAATAAAATAAGTTTGAGTAAAGTAAAGTAAAGTATTATTATTATTTGTTTGTTTGTTTGTTTGTTTCATTTTCATACTTGAAGTTAAAAACAAATGAATTGCTTTGTATTGAGGATATAGTTTCTTTTTAAAGTCATTGATTAAGAGATCGATTGATTTGGTGGTAGGAGTGATAAAGTAGATTGCTTCAACCGATGGTAATCTTTGACGTGGTTGGTTCTCTATCTTTTCGACGACAGTAATCTTCTCCTCTGTAATATCGTACATTTGGCAACATGCTGAAATAATACGTAATGCATCTTGATCTACAACCAATGCTTTCCATCCATTATTTGAATCTGGTGTTATAGTTCTAATGATTTCATCCAATATTCCTATATAACATTAATATGAAAGAGTAAAAGAGAGGGAGAAGAAAGAAGAGTTAGTAGGTAGGAGAGAATGATAAACTACAAATCATCAAAATGAAAGATCATTCATTCATACTCTTTTTGGTAACATCTCTAAGACTGGTTGCCATCTTTCTCTTTTTCTTTTACTTTGTTATCTCTATCTATCTGTCTCTATCTCTATGTCTATGTCTATCTAAATTATTATTAATATTATTATTATATTATTATTGCGCAATTAAAAATACAAGTATCTAAGTAATAATAATAATAATAATAATAATATCTATCTATCTATCTATCTAATCTTAATATTTGTATTAACAAAAGGTTAAATTAAATAATGTGAGATAATGAGACGATGAAGAAGTTCTCTCTTGGGGTGAAACCATGAAAATCTTTCAATATTTAATTAATTTTGTCGCACCATGAATGGCGTGAGATTACTTTTTTTTCCAGCATCTGCGCTAGAGTCACAATAAATAAATAAATAAAGCTATAGTTTGTTTGTTTGTTTGTTTATATTTTGATTTGTATATGTTTTTGGTTTTATATTTACAAAAAGAGAGAAAATAAATAAATATTTATTTATTTATTATTTATTAAATAATTTAGGTTTGGTTGGTTGGTTGGTGTGGTGGTTGGGTGGATTGGGATTATTTAGTATTTTCAGGTTGGTTTTAGTTTTGTTTGTTATTATTTATAAAATTGATATTTACAGAGTTTGTTGTTTTAATTTTAGTTGTTATTTAAAATAAAAAAAAAAAGGTTGTAAGAAGAAATTAAATTGATATAATTTAACCTTCATATGAAATGATTGTTTTTTTTTTTTGTAGCAAGGAAGGAAAAGGTTTGTTGGAAAAAAAATTTCTAATGTAGTTGTTGTTTGTTGTGTTGTTTGATATTCGCCAATCAATCAATGAAGTTTGAATCGTTAATGAAAATGAATTGAATCGGTTTGTTGTTGTTGTTAATATTTGTATTTGTGTTGGGGAGTTGGGGGATGATTTATGATTGAATGATTTAATTTATAATTTTGATTTAAGCCTTGAGACCATGTCTATTTTTAAAATTTTCTAACCATCCACTTGAAGCCTTGAAATTATTATTATTCAACTGTTTGGAGAGTTGAAGAGCAATATTTTTGATAACCTCACCATTGACAAGCTCACCGTTGGCCTTGTGCTTGTTGATTTGGTCGAGAATGATTTGTTCTTGTTCGACCGAGAAGCTGGCCTTTGGGCCCTTGTGGAGCTTCTTGAGGTTCTTTTTGTTGAATGATCTGTACTTTTCGATATTGCTCAACCAGCGAGAAATGATTGATCTCGAGATGTGGTACTTTTCGACGACGTATGGCATACCGTGTTGGAGCTTCTCTTCGAGTATCTCTAATTTCTTGGATACTTCATACGACTTTCTTGGCTTTTTTAATCCGGCAAGTTCCTTTTTTGGGACCACTTGGTTGTTGTCGGCTTGTCGCTTGTTACCTTGTACGATGGATGTGATCGTTGGCGTTGTCGTAGCTGATGACGTTGTCGTCGTGCGTGGACTATTACAACAGCTAGTGCTATTGGAAGAAGATGCTGGTGAAAAAGGAGAGGTAAAAGAATAGGCTGGTGAAACGGGGGCGCTCTCAGAGACTGAATGACCACAACCACGTGGTGAAGAGAGTGGTGAAGATGCCATGGCAGATGCTTCAGTCAAACTATTTAATGGTGAATTTTCGTCAATATCAGATGACATATTATCATCATCTTCATTGTCGTTGACCATGGTTGGGGTTGGAATATTAAATTGTTGTTGCTTGGATGGTGATACATAAACTTGTTGACTATTATGATGATGAAGATGATGATTCTTGATATTATTAAAATTCAAATTAAAACCATGTGGATTCTTTCCATATTTTGCGAGCAATAAAGTTTCAACAACAGCTTCGGTACTGTTATTTAAAAGTGCTCTATCATTATTATTATTATTATTATTAATGTCGGTGATTTCTTGAGTATTATTATTATTATTATTATTATTATTTTGATTATTATTATTATTATTAATATTAAAACTATTGCTGTGAATGATTTCTTGAAGATGTTGTAAACCTCCCAACTGTTGTTGCTGTTGAGCTTGTTCACGTTGTTGTTGATTTAAAATAAATGATAATTCCATTTTCATATCTGTATGTATATTGTATATTATATTATTAAATAAAAAGTTGTGAAATAGAAAAGGATGTGTAAGTTATTAAATTTGTTCGAATAAATAAATAAATTAAATAAATAAAATGTTTGTTCTGTGATTCTGTCTGTATATGTTTGTTTGTTCTGAAGAAAATCGAAAAATGAATTGGAAGCTTTTGCAAACTTTTTTTTTGATGTATTTGGTGAAGGTGACTGTACTGATTCTCTTCTTGTACTAAGAATTTGAGAAAATCTTATTTTTTTAATAATAAAAATTGTTTGTTTTTTTGTGTAGGCAGCTTTTGTTTTTATTTTTTTTGCACAGTCACCGGAAAAGGGTGTGGTCAGCAAAATAAAATTTTAAAAATTAAAAAAAAAAAAGAAAATAAAGAAGAAAAAAAGGTTTCTCTCCAAAGTCGTACGACTACTATGTTTGTTTGTGTTTGTTGATGCTATGAGAATTTAATTAAATGTTGTAAAGGTACCTGGTTGTTGTTTTTACAAGTTTCTGTTTTTATCGAGATGATAAAAAAAGAAATAGAAATAGGATTGGGAATGGTTTGGTTGGTTTGGTTGGTCGGTTGGTTGGGTTTTAAAATGTAATTAATTAATGTACACAAAAAGTTATTTATATGTTGTTGGTTTTGGTATGGTAGCTTTGTGTAGTGATGGGTTGATGATGTAAAATAAAAAAAATAAAAAAATAAAAATTTTACGTGAATGACGTAAATTTACGACGACGAGCTGTTGCTGATGCTGATGATAATAATAATAATAAATAATGATGACTTGGCTCGCAGCTCTTTGCTTTGTATGATGAGTGTAAAGATCGATAGTATAATATTATTATTATATTATCTGTATCTTCGTGTCTGTATGTATGCTCAAAGTTAACTATGAACTATGTCTTATTCTTCTTTACCTTTATGCTTTATATATGTATTAATTAAAAATTATTTGTTTATGTGTGTGTATGTAAATATATCTCTGTCTGATTGTTGTTTGATTTGCTTTTTTAGTTTAAAAACTATATTTATAAAATTAACGTTCAGCCTGATTGCATCAAGAGCGAGCTTCCTGTCATTCTGCTAGACCTCACTAAATTTCCCCACCGAATTGATTCCGAAAATTATTTTTCGTGAAATTTGCGAGAATGGGTTGTTTTGTCGAATTTGACAATGGTGACACAACAGCTGTTGAAGCTTGTGTGGGTCAATCAGAGTGCGATATTTGCAAAAATCGCCAAAATTTACTCTAGTTTTACGTCATCTTTGGCGATCGCAACAGAATCAGACAAAAAAACACAATCACGCACACCACTCCCAATTCCACCTGAAAACCCACTTGTCTTTTCGTTGATTTAAACTAGAAGAAAACAAAAAAAGGATCACTTTTCTTGGTGTGTTCTTTGCTAAAGAGGAACTCTCATTGAAAAGTACAGAAGAGTTGCTTTTACACTAGAACAAGAATAGAGAGACGACACAGAACAACTCAACAGAGTCACATTCTGTTATTCTTTCTCTTCTCATTTCTTCTTCATACATTTATAACTTAAATATATATAATACCCAAACAAATAAGAGAAGAAAGAAGGATAGAATGATGATGGTGGGGGGAAGAAATAAAGAGAGAGAGAGAGAGAGAGAGAGAGATGGTTGATGTTCGATAATAATGACAGTGGCAATGTGTGAACAACAACAATTTATAACCATAAAAGGTAAAGAGTATTATTAACAATAACAGTATCATATGATTTGTTGCAAACAAAGTCAACGATACATAAAAGGTTAAAACAAACAAAACAATGCATTGTTGTTGATTGCATTGCATTGCTTTCACCACCGAGTGCAGTGGTGTGAAAAACAGATAAAGATAAAAGTGATTGATTACTTAATTGGGTCAGTTACCATTTTAGGTAAAATCAATACATAGGTGATGGTTGGTGGGTGTGGGTTGGTTGGTTGGTGGGTGGGGTACGAGAGAAAACAGGAAAAAACCATACATTATCATATGATTTATTTTTGTTGTTGGTACTTACACTTTTTGAAAAAGTAATATCAGAAATGGAAGTTAATGATTCTTTCTTTCTTTCTTGAAAATCCAAGTCAGGCCAAAGAGTGTAGGTTGGTAATAATAATATGAATATGAATATGAATAGTAATAGGAATAGGAATAGTTTTTGTTTAAATAATTATAGTTTTTTTTTTGAATGAATGATTGATTGATTGTGATGGATAATAAATAAAACGGAAGGTATATTACAGTGAATTAATTTTAAATTAAATTAGGGAATGAAATATTATTATTGGCAGTTGGATACTATTTAGTTCCGAAAAAAAAATATATTTAAAAGATTTAAAATAAATAAAATAATTGTAGTAGTTGTAAAATAACACAAAAATAGGGAATTTGGTTTAGAGATATTATTTTGTTTTTTTTTTGGATAGGATAGGATAGTTTGTTTTTTTTGGTATGGAATCTTATAAAAGGATTTTGTTTTAGTTTTTAGTTTTAAAGAAAATGATGATTGTTTAAAAGGAAATAGGAATGACAAGACAGACAGTTGGGATGGAAATAGAGTAATTAGGAATGGGGAGTACAGAATACAGTAAAATAAGGTTATTTATCAATTGTAGAAATGATGATGATGATGGTGATGATGATGCAAAAACTGAGACTGGGTTGTCGTTGTTGTTGATGGAATTCAATAATATAAATAAAGTAATGAATGTGAATGGAAGTGAAAGGAAGTAGTGTATTTTTGTGATGTGAAACAGGTTCGATAGGTACTCTGTTGCCGCTGCTGCTGTTTCTGCTGCAGGTGGATGGGTGGGGGGGTCACTTAAGAATGTGGGGGTTGAGTGGGTGTGGAAATGGAAAGCGTGTGTTTTTTTGTTCTTCTGTTGTAAAAGGGAGAGAGCGAGAACAATTGCAACAAGCAAGTGAGAGAGTTGTTTATAATCCAAATTTATCTCGTCGCTGGGTTCACAACAACAAAAAAGAGAGTTGGATGGATCGATTGTCAACAACCTAGACGACAACTTTGTAAAAAACAACGCGCACTTTTGTCTGCCATATTATTGAGTGAGTGAGTCCGTCCGTTGTTGTTGTTGTTTGTGTTAAGTGAGTGGTTGTGGTGGTGGGGGTGGAGTAGATTTGTGTTGTTATTTTTTTAAACCCCGGTGAGTCATAGTCTGTTTTGTTGACTGTTGCAACAAGTATTGATGATATCAAAAAAATGAATAACATCGATGCTAAAAAATGTGGAACTGATTTACCCACCCACCACCCACCCTTTACCATTCCTACTGCCATCTTTGGAACAGTGTGATAATAACAATAACATTGCATTGGTATATTCAAATCATTATCACATTTAATAATAATATCCTTCCTGGTTCACTCGTTTGTGATGATTCTCTTCCAAACCTATTCCTTGCATATGAAGAAAGGAATAGAGAACATCAATCCTTCCATATTTCCCGTCAGTCTGTCAGTCAGTCGGTCAGCCAGTAAGTCTGTTCATTTCCAAAGGGATCTCTTGCCCAAACATAGAGCATTTATGCCAATATTCTGATAGAACGATGAATAGTTTGGGAAACTCGAATTATCGAGTCAAGAGAGAGTGAGTGAGAGATGATGTGAGGATGTGGTTATTCTATTGTTTGGTTTTAATTTTTCCAATGGATGGGAATACGATTGATTCCACTGGGATTATTCTTATTTTTTTTTTTTACCCAAAAAAGGAAAAAACAAAGAGAAGGTGGTTGGTTGGATTGATTGATAATACCAAGTTGTGTTTGGTAGTGAAATCATACATAATTCTCAAAATACTGTTCATGGTATAGAACAACCAACTTACTATTTTTTATTATTAATAGAATGCCTCTTGAGAATGGGATTGGTGATCTATCAATCAATATTATCCACAACAACATCAAAAAATATGGCGGTTGTTTTTAAAAGAGTGGGGTGGTGGGTGGGTATAGTGGAATTTGTTGTTGTTGTTCTATATATGTAGATCACTATTGAAAATTTAACAATACGTTTCGGTTCATTCATTTTCGTTCCATTGTATAGCTTAAATTACATATATTCTATTTTTGATTATATGAGAAATTGTTGGTTGGTGTGTGTGGTTCGGCTGTTGGATCGCTGCGCTCCCAAAAAAAAGTATATACCATTCGCCCTTGCGGGGCTCATTCAAGTATGATATTATAGGTTATTAAGTTAAAAAAGTTAATTATTTTTAGAATTATATTTTTTATTTATTTATTTTTATTTTTAGTACTTTAATTTTAACTTTTAATACTTTTATAGGAAAGTTATTAGGTTAAAAAAGATAGCATTATTTTCAAAAAAAAAGAAAATATTGGATTGATTTTACATTTTGGATTGTAGATTCATAATTTTAACCTTTAAAAAGTTATTGAAAGAATTCAACCATTGAATCGTTTTTGGTACAACATTCCTATAAGAGTCAACCAGCCAACAATAATGTCGATGATGAAAAGGGTGGATTGACACTTGTAGATTATTATACATGGACACAAAAAAGACAAAAAGTAGACACTTTTGGTTATAAATATAATATCAAGAATATTTTTGGAATTCGAAATAATAACTAAACAAGATATTAATACATGTAATAGAAATAAAATAAAATAACAAAAAGTAATTTTATTTTATACACACAGGTTGACTCTATCAAATCAGAATTTTAGGTTAAATATACCAAGTCTAGATACTTTTATTTGCTTCTATTTTCTTTTGTTTTTGTTTATAAAAAAAAATTGGTTAATAAATAAAAGAAAAAAATATGATGCGTTTTCTTTTGTTCTATGTCACTTTTCTGTAATTATTTTTATTTTCTCATTTTTAATTAATTTTTTTAAATTTTTCTCAACATTTAATGAAAAAAATTGCTCTATTTCATTATTATTTTTCATGTTATTTTATTCAATAGAGATATTTACAAACCAACAAATATGTTAAAAGTTAAAGAGTCAGTAGACCCAAATGAAGCGGTAGTGGAGAATATTGATTTTCAACACGGAAGAGTATTGAGAAACCATGACATCATTTCAAGAGTGTTTAACGAAACTCTCAAAAAAAAGTTGTCGATTACAACTCTCAAAGATGTATTACATCAATTCAACCAAACAGTAGATAAATCTTCTTTAAACTTCAACTTTAAAACATATGATAGACAATCAGTCATTTTTCAATATGAAGACAAATTTTGGAAAGGAACTATTACAAAAGAAATCTCCATCTACAAACAAAAAAAAACCAAGTTTATCAACATCAAGCTCCCTAACGATGGATATGTTTACTCTTCTAAATATTTAGATGATCAGAAGCAAAATGACTCTTTCATAGTCAATGAAGAGACGTCCTCCTTCATCACTGATCTCGAATCACTTGTTCCATTTGAAGGTGGTTGGGTAGAGATTAACTACAAGGAAGAAGATTCAAGATTCGAGATATATTTCACTGATGACAACCAAGAATCTCCAAGTATTCTCACAATCAAGTTCGAATATGGTTACTATGAAAATTGGGTAAATGGTCACAAGTACACGAGATCCGAATTGAAAAAATTATTAAACAAATAAGATTTTGCTTATATCCCTCCTTCATATCATTTATTTGACAACTCACTATTATCCAATACCATTAACTATTACAATCTTTATTGCTTAATGCCCAAGACAAAACAGTTTTCCATTCTTTTATCTATTGTGGACTGTGATATATCAATAAAAAAATATATATATTAACATTTTAAAATGATTGTTATATTTTCATGAATGACTTTGTTTTTTTTATCTTACGATTATAATGGCTACTCTGAGTCCAATTGAACACACAAACGAGGTCGATAAGGGAATATCAGCTTACTTACTTAAAATAAATTACTTTTTTTTTTTTGTTATTACAATTAATTTATTTACTTTTTTTTTGTGGTGAAGACACTGGCTTTGCTCCATGTTTTAATAAGTGAAAATTTGACCATACCAAGTATTAACTACAACGAATAAACCTTGTGATCTCATCTCGGAGGCACTACGATAATAGGTGGTATCTGATAGGAGGTCAGTAACAGGGATGGTATCATTGCCATTGACTGGTTGAGCATCACTGAGAATGATGGAGCCAGACCCTGATTGACCACTAAAGTTAAAGACACACAATCTCTTTTCGCCCTGGTACGACCACTTGTAGGCAATGAGTTGACTGGAGTCACTGGATCCAGTGACATTGAGGTATTCGAAATCACCATACTTAAAGACTGGATTCGAAACGATGGCAGTGAGATTTTGGTAGAATCCTTGCACGGTGCCAATAGCAGGCTCGCTCTCTTCTCTTCGGAGATGCACGTCGAGTTGGTATTGGTATCCTTCGAAATCACCCCACCAAAAGAAACGCAGACCGGGCATTGTGTAGGTGATCAATGCGGCGGCATGATTGAAAATTGATATAAAATATTTTCTGTTCTATAATTATAAAATGAAAAACTTAATATTTGCATCAAATTTGGAAAATAATTTCAACTTGGAAACATTACAACAAATGTGCAACAAGTGTTTGTCGAATGATGATTATCAAGACATTATTCGATACATCAAGCAATACTTTGTCAAATTACATGACACACCAACAGTCTTGATGTTTATCCCAAAAGGAATGGATGGAGAACAAAGATTTATTTCATTGGCATATGAAGATGCTAGAAAACAATTCTTTTTAGCATCCTTGGTTTGTAAAGTAAATGGAAACGACAACTCCATAAGAAAATGGTTCTTTGATGTTGATTGTGAAAGATACTCTACTACAATGGATCCAAGAAAACCAAAAGTATTTATAGATGACAAAATAAAATATATAAATATGTTTCATGGATTTAAATTTAATGATCGAGAAGAGTTTGATAAAAAAATAAAAGATAAAGATACAGCAAAAATAGCAAAGGAAGGTGTTCAATTCATTTGGAATCACCTTGATACTGTCCTTTGTTCAAATAACCAAGAAGAATATAAATATCTAAAAGGTCATACTGCAAAAGTAGTATCTGGAAAGAAACAAGAAACAATGGTCTATTTGCGTGGAATCCAAGGCGCAGGAAAGTCTTCTTTAATAGAAATCATTACTGCTTCCATTGGTCACAATGTAGTTTATACTTCCTCTGATCCAAATATTTGTCTTCCAAATGCACACAATGAAGATATTGTTGGTAAAACAGTAATTGTTTTTGAAGAGATTCCAGTTAAATCTAGTAATGATTGGAACCAATTTTCAAGTGCACAAAAGCACTTTATTACTGGTAAAACAATAAAGATTAATCCAAAACACAAGAACCAATACTTTATACCCAATATGATTAGTGGATATGCTATTTCTAATCAATGGGCAATTAAAGTTGAAAATGGTGATAGAAGATATTTCATTCCAACTATATCTAAAAGTAAAGTTGGTGATACAGAATATTTTAAAAAGTTGTACTCTTTTATACAAAATGATTTGGTAATGGAAGCATTTTACTGGGAATGTATTGATATTGAAAAAACAAATCCTTTTAATGAGAGATTAATCCCAGACACTGTATGTAAAAATGAAATATTAAATGATCATCTATTATCTATTTATGAATTTATAAAAAATAAATATGTTTTACAAGGTTTGGGTATTGAAAGAATTACAAGAATGGCTTTGTATACATTGTATAGTAATTTTTGTAAAGATAAAGGTATTAAAATAATACCAAAAAATGAAGCTTATAAGCGTCTAGAAGAAATTGGAATAAACTCCCAACGTGGTGGACAAAATACTACAATATATGAATATAGTAAAGAACAACTATTGACAATTTATCAAAAAGAAAAATTTATCACAAAGAATGATGATATTTTTAATCAAGAAGATGAACAAAAAGTAGATGTAGAGTATGTCGATTTGAAACAAATTAATTTAAAACAAAAGAATAAAATAAAGGAATTAGAAGAAAATGCTATTGCATTAAAACAATTACATGATGAAGAAATTTTAAAATTAAAAAATAAAATAAAAGAATTGGAGGTACAACAACAAAAAAAGATTAATGTTGAACCTACTTTACCAAAAATAGAAAATAAAAATACCAAAATGATTGATGATACATTAAATCTTGCTGTTGATATCCTAAAAGATCCTATATTTAAAAAATAAAATAAAAATAAATAAAATAATCATTATATTTATTTGTTGGTTGCTTCATACCTTTTTATAATATCAGGAACATCTTGATACAATTTGATTCTTGATTCCCATGTCCAATCCTTCTTGTCTGGATAACCAACCCATTCAACACGATAATAGATTTTACCATTCTTTTTGTCTTTTTCATGTATCTTTAAAACCTTGTATGTTGTTGGTTTTCCTCTAACAACAGTTCTTGGTGGTTTCTCTTCATCATTGTCTACCAGTTGTAATTGATTCTTGGTATACCATACATCTGAATCATTCATTTTGTAAAGAGGAGGAAAAGAAGGTTTCAATACCAAATCTTGAATAGTTTTAATTTCTGGATTCCATTTAATATCTGTTGCTCTAAATTTACCAATCAATCGCTTGTCAGTATTATAATCGATAGGATCATCCAATTTAACACGTACCTTTGTTCCTATATCCAATAATTCACATGAATCTCCTTCACATAATGGCATGTCTGATAATGGTTTCCTATCTTTTTTAATTCTCTTGAATTTCTTGTTCATTGCCTTGATAATAACAGGTAAATCTTGTATCCATTCTTTTGAATCTTGACCAGTTAATATTTCTTGAGCCATCATTCTTTTAAATAGAGTACCACCCAATGTTTTGTTTCGAGATTCAACCAATGCTTGATTACGATGTCTACCAACGACTCCATATCGAATCATAATACCCTTTTCTTGAAAGTACTTTTTTGTTACACCTTTAAACTCTGTACCAGGATCCATTTGTATAATCTTTGGATGCTTTAATATTCCTCTCTTGTAAATCTTGATAAATGCATCTCTAACATCATTTGATGATTTATTTTGAAGTGGTTCTGCATCTGTTAATCTATTTGCTAAATCTACAACTACCAATGCATACTTGTATCCATTGTCATCAGGTAGAAATAATAAATCTGCTTGCTGTTTATAATTATCTTTGTATTCTTGAATATGAGGCATGTTAGTAAAAGAATCTCTTTTTGGTGATTTGTAAAGATTATATAATTCTTGTTTTAATAAATACTCTTTATCTACAGGTTCTAATCCAAATGTTTTATAATATCTCTTATTATTGTTGTTGTTGTAGTCATTGTTTTGTTTTATATATAATTAATATAATATAATATAAATATATGAAAAAGATAATATGAAAAGTTTTAAAGAATACTATAAAGATCCAATGTTTAGAAAAAAAGTATTGGATTATAAAAATGAAAAGATAGAATGTGAGTGTGGTGCTATTACATCTAGAGTAAATAGATATAGACATTTAAAAGGAAAGATTCATGTAAATAATATGAACAGATTAGAGTATTGCAAGTGTGGTGAAAAAATAAAAAGATCACAACATGCCGATCATTGTTGCTAATACAATTATATTTTTTTTATTAAATTAATATAAATAAATATTTTCTTTGATATAGATATAAATAAGAATGTCAAGAACAAAATCAGAAGTATCAGAATTAAATGTTGCAAGAAAAGGTAATAGATGTATTCAAATAAAGACAACAGGTAGAATGTCAAGAGAAGATGTGAAAAAAGAAGCTCAACAACTATCAGATGATTTCTTTAATAGAGGAATAAGAGGTACAATTCATGTATTGTTACCTTTTATGGAGACTGGATGGAAAACTGGTAAACTTACAAAGGTAGGAGAAGCAATTAGTTTATTTAATCCTACAGAATATAATGTTGAAGAACCATCACATTTTAATACTTTTCTTTTATATCTTATACCAACAGATGTAGTAGTAAAAGCAGGTGGTTGTAATGGACAAGAAAATGATTGTTTGTGGGAAGAAATGATGCAGATTTGTCCAGAGGTTATTAGATCTGTTTATCCAACCCCAGAGTCACTCAAAGAGGCAATAGGTTTGGATAGAACGGCTCTAGTTCCATTGAACAAGATACATGAAATAGAATCAAAATTACCCTCAAGTTTTAAGATTGTTGTTAGTGGTAATCAAGGATGTACGTATACATCAACAACAAGAGAAAATGCTAAAAAAGAAATAAGATTAAAACTAACAAAAGCACATTTTACTGTAGATAAAAAAAGAGATTACAAGGTTCATGGTGTATCACCTTTTGAAAAGAAACCAATCGTTTATCAATATTTGGATGATGGTAATGTGAAACTTTATAATGGTATTGAATATAGCAATTGCACAAGAAAAGAGTTAGAGGTAAATAGAAGGAATACTCTTTCTTGCCCAAATTCATACACCAAATTGCGTAGTGGATTAAATTTAAAACAATCATATTGTAAGTTTATCGAAATAGCAAATAAGTTAAAAGGAATAACATATTATAAAGTTAATCTTTATAAAACAGGAGGATCAATCACTAAAGCAGCCTATCATTTATTTTTAGAATCCAACCCAACCATTCATCCAGATTATATTGAACAAGATGAAGGTGAATGGATTAGTGCATGTTCAAGTGGTCCGTTGGTTTGGTCAGAACATGGTTATCAAGGACCATTGTACAAGTATGATGTTAGAAAAATGTATGCAGCTATTATGAAGTATCGTGCATTTTTGGTACCAATTAAACGTGGACAGTTTAAAAAAATGACAACACAAGAATTGAATGATGCATCATTTATTCCTCCAGGTATTTATAAAGCTACTGTTAATGGTAATCATAAATGTTTTAAAACTAACAAGAGAAATTATTATACTCATTATGATTTAGGATTTGCAAAACAATTGGGTTTAGAATTTAATTTAATTCAAGAAGAAAATCAACCAAATGCATTATTATATGATGGTGACAAGAAAATAAATGGTAGTACTTTATTTAAAAGCTATATTGAACAAGTAATGAAATGGATTGATAAAAGTAAAAATGAAGATAAAGAAATACAAATGATGGTAAAAGGATTATATCAAAAGTTGTGGGGATTTATGGGTAAAAAGGTATACAAGAAAAGAACTGTTAAAAGTAAAACGATTAATACATATAATCAAGACAATTTAAAACAAGAATTAAGTATGTTTGATTTTAATTATGAAGATGATTGTGATTATGTGGAATCAACAAAACCAATTAACGATACTAACTTGCATCAAATTAAATTTCATAATTCTCAACATATTTATGATACACATTGGGCAAGAATTGTACCTTTTATTATTTCTAGGGGTAGATCAATGGTTGGGAATATAATGTTGCCACATATCGATAATATTAAAAGAGTTCACACAGATGGATTTTATTCAGTGGTAGAGTTGTCATTTGAAAAAAATGGAAGACAAAACCTTGATAATGTAAAAATGGGTAATGATATTGGTAATATTTCATTTGAAGGATTCAATCAAAATGCAACCATCCACAAATTAAAAAAGGTTCAAGGATTTAATTAAAAATAGTAACATTTTATTATTTTTAAAAAACATGAAACCGTGTGTGAAGTTGTGTTTCAAAACTATGAATTTTGAAGCAGTGGGGTAAGTGGTGTTTCAAAACTATGAATTTTGAAGCAGTAGGGTAAGTAGTGTTTCAAAACTATAAATTTCGAAGCAACCCAAGGTAAGAGATATATTTAGGTTACAACATATGGTTGAATATGAATTCCCAATCACTATCAAGGATGATGTAATGATGATAGTGATAAACATGTGGTGTGGTAGTGCGTATGGTTGGTGTTGGGTTGAAGAATTTAATTATTTATTTTTTTCTGCACAATGGACAATCAGATATAAATCATCATTGTTTTTTATTAAACAAATCATAGTCTATTACATCATACTCACCGTTTGTGTATTCTATTATCTCTTTTTACAATATATATAGTATAATATATATTCACATTTCTGCAATGTCTATTATGATGTCACCAATGGTTTCCTTGGTAGATTGTTACCAACAAACAATAGGTTCGATAACTACCAAAGCCGAAACTGAAAATAGAAATGTTTCTGAAATGGAACAAGGATATCTTGACTATATTGCAGAACGTCAATCAAAGGCAGAGAAAATCTGTTCTAAAGATATTTATGGTATGTTGTAGTATTTTATTCTTAATTATTGAAAGTTACTAATATGTTTTGTAAAAGAATATCTTAAAAAATTACAGGAAAAGCTTTATCCACAAGAGGTATCCGAACTTTCCCAAGGTATCCGAGAAAGAGAACAGCTTATTTATGAACTTGAAATGGAATTCCTTACAACACGTATGGATTTTACCAACAGCTTGTTCAAGTTCAAATCCGATCCATTTGCCTATGACACCAAGATGTCCAAATTAAAGAATGGTCGTGTATCCTTGCCAAACACAACCCAAAAGTACACCAAGATATATGGTCAAGTACAAGAAAACAACGGCCTTCTCGACCTCTTGGTACAAAAAGGTGCAACTCTTAGATCTCAACTCCAAGCCCTTGCAGACTATGGTAACTGGAAAAAGGAACAAGTTGAAATCGACAACCAGGCCCAACAACTCAAAAAGGCTCAACAAGAACAAGAAGAAAAAATCCGTTTAGAGTTTCAAGAGAGATTAGATGCCCTTAACCAAGAAAAAAAGAAAAAAGTACTTCCAAATACTCCTGGTGGTGGAAAAAAGGCTGCAGCCAGACCCAAGAATCCCAAGGTCCATAATCCAAAAGGCAAACAACCAAAACCAGTTAAACCAACAAATCAAGCTCAACAACCCCCCCTCCCACCAGTTGATATTGACAACGACCATAACATGAATGGTGCTAATGACAACAATCAACAAGACCAAGATGTCTAAATCCTATTTAAAATAGGTATTTAAATTTTTTTTTCTATTTTTTAATATATAATAAAAATGGATTCAGCAACAATTGCATTATTACTTGGAATGGGAACTTTGTTAATTGAAAGTTTATTTAATTTTATGAAGAGAATAAGAAAAGCATCATGTTGTGGTGCAACAGTTGATCTAACACAATCAACAACACAAAATAATAATACAAATAAAAATTAATATTATTAAATAAAACCAAACTTGTTCCAATTATCTCTCATCTTTCTTGCTTTCTTTTCTTCTAGAGATATATCACTCCAACCACTTGATTCTTTAAATGGTACACCATTATACCTATTGAGTAAAAATTTAATTGAATGATAACCACAAGTTGTACTATTTGATGCTTGATCAATAACTTTATTTACCTTGAATTTTAAATAATAATCTGGATTGATTCTATCAATTAGTATTTTTAATTGTTTCATAAAGTCGTCTGTTGGTTCTTGGCCAAATGAATCATAATATTCCACTGATTTATCTTTATCTGCATCAATATATACTGCAACCCAATGACTACCTGGTTTGTTATGTTTATCCAAATTCATAATAAAAGACATTTTGTTGTTTGGTGCCAATGTATCCACTTGATCACTTGCTATTACTCCTTCAAATCCTTTTTTATGATATGGTTTCATTATTCTTTCAATTTCGCTATCATAAAGACCTTGACCAACATTTGATCCACCACCACTTCGACCAAACTTTGATTGACGAGCTTCCAATACAAGTAAATCAATTAAACTAATCCTTTGGTTCCTTGGCATTTCTTTTAATTCTGTACCTAAATTGGTTGATAGTTTAGATGAAGACATTGTTGAATTTAAATAATCACTTACCAAATCATTTACATTTAATATATTATCTCTTGGAATCATTTTAATTAATTCATTTGATATCACTTGATCTTGAATGAGTTGCAATGGTTCATATTCGAGTTGATCTAATCTCTCTTGTTCTTGTTCTTGTAATCTTTCTTTTTCTATTCTCTCTTGTTCTAATCTTTCCATATCTTGTTGATACTTTTCTTTTAATTGATCTTGCATCTCTAATAATGAATCAATTTGTTCATCTTTTTTTCTTGCTTGATCAAACTTACCTTCCAATACGTCCATTCTCTTTTCTGCCAATGTTTGATTATGAATTATTTGCATTGATCTATCATCCTTTTCATATCTCCTCCTTGCTTTTTCTTCTTTTTCTTCAAGAGACGAATCAAACAACATTGATAATCTCTTTTCTAATTGTTCTATTCTATCATCTTTCTTTTTTACCTTTTCTTTCTTTACCTTTATTATTCCACTATGATCGTCATCATTTGTTAAATCTATAATCTTTTTCTTTGTTTCTCTATCCAATTCTTGTTGATTCTTTAAAAGAGATTCTCTAAAGTTTGAATCTTGTATTGATTTGATTATTGCTACATCATTCTGAGGTCTACTCTGTTGTTGTTGCTGCTGCTGTTGTTGTTGTTGTTGTTCTAACAATGCTTCTTTAATCAACTTTTTAATCAATACTTTATCATTCTTTTTTGATCGAATATATATCTTTTCTATTCCATGTTGTATAAATCTACCTCTTTTATCTCTTCTCAATCTTAATGGTCTCTGCTTTCTTTTCATCATTTTGTATTATTATACAATATGATTCTAAAATAATTAAAACTTCATGAATTTGATCAAATTATTCTTTATAATATCAGACTCTTTTATACAATGATTATTTATTACTGGTTGTTTTATCTCTTTTTCTACTAATGGTTCTTCAATGATTTTCGTGTTACCTTTTTGTAAAGCAAACATCTCGATCAGTGATTCCATTTTTTTATTTATTTGTTCAAAATCTTTTTTGTTATTATCTATTACTATTCTTTTCTTTTTTGTATTATTTGTTCTTTTCTTTTTAGGAGTATTATCAATAACATCATCAGAATCAGAATCATCATCATAGTAGACATATTGATTTTTTTTAGCATCACGTGCTTTTTGTAGATTTAGAGCAGATGTAATTGATCTCTTATCTTTCTTTTTTATATCTTCATCCATTTCTTTTTTTTATTATATAATTAGTAAAACATAATAATCATTACAATATTTTTATAATACTTTTATAAAAGAATAAAACATCTAGAGTTAATCAAATAATTTAAAGAATAATAGTAATCATAATAATTTTATAATAATCTTTTACTATTTATATATAATAAAAAGTATGTCTATAACACATAAAAAGCTATTTTATATAAATTCACACAATAGAATTAGTGGTACTAATTCAAGATTTAAATATAGTATTACCTATTATCCACAGGACAAGTTTGATAGAGTTGCGTTATTACAAGCAACAATACCAAAATCATTTTATACAGTTAGAAAAAATTTAAATTCTTTTACCTTGATTGAAGATGATCAATCAACTGTTATTACTATTCCCATTGGTAATTATTCAAGAAAATCATTACAAGATACATTGGAAAAGAAATTGAATGAATTGTCACCAAACCAAGTTAAATATGCAATCAATTGGCCAACATCACAACAACCAAATACTGGTAAATATATTTTTACTTGTGCATCGACAAGAGATATTCAACCAGTCTTTTCTTTTACTAATCAATTATTTCGTCATTTAGGATTTGATAAAGATACAAAGAATCAATTTGTTAATAATGTATTGGTATCAACAAATGTTATCAACTTACAATCAGATAATGTATTATCTATTCATTCCGATTTATGTAGTAATGGAGATGATGATATATTACAAGAGATTTATTCAGCTGCTGGTAGTCCAGACTTTTCAAACATACATTGGCAAAATTATGATTTGGAAGCTTACAGTAAACAGTTGGTATCAAACACAAAGACAAGTTTTACAATTTATTTAACAGATCAAGATGGTAATGAAGTAAATTTAAATGGTGTCAATATGAATTTGACTTTAATATTATTCAAACATAATGATGTTTCTCAATTGGTAAGAGGATATATAAATTATTTATTAGTCAAAGAAAAAGAAAGTTTAGAAGTAACTGACGAAATTTAATATTATCTTTTTTAAATATATAGAAAAAAAAAACAATGGAACAAGCAATATCAAGTCAATTTGATTATAGACAAATGGTTGGATCAGGACCACAGTATGATTACACAAAGGTATATCCTCAAGCAGGTACAACTCAAACATCAGTATACCAAGGTGGTAATGATACTATTTTTGAAATTCCTCCAACCAAAGCATACAATTTGAGTAAGTCTTGGTTTCAATTTACTTTTACTTTACCTGCAACCAATGCAAAGTTTGGATTTGTATTTACTGATTTTATACCTTTTTTTAGACAGATACAAGTTTATACAAGAGGTGGTATTTATTTAATGGATCATACAAACTTTCATTTACACTCGAAAATGGTTACAAAATTAAACAAAAAATTACAAGATACACTCAATACTTTTAATTCTGCGATAAATACAGCAAACCAATCATATATTCCATGTTATGCTTGCAATACTTTGGCAGCTGCAAATATTAGATATGATGGTAGTGCATGTGATAGAGCATATACAGAGCCAGATTATTTGTCATGTGGAAATCTGGCCAACACAGCAGTCAATCTAAACGTTACCATTCCTTTTAGTGAATTGTATGATTCAATTTTATCTGTTGATAAAGATATAATGTTGAATGAAGCATTATTGGTTAGATTTGTTTGGTCAGAGTTGTCAAATATTGGTTTTGGTGCAGATGCCTCTCTTACTCCTCAAACAAATCCTGTTGCTTTGACTGCTCCTAATGGATTTAATGTGCAAGGTATGGAAATACATTTAGCAGTTGAAAAGAGATTTGATATTATTCAAAGCTTACAAAATAAAATTGCAAGCCCAGAAGGATTTTCATTACTAATACCTTATTGTTTTACAAATCAAATTTCTTTAACAGGTACCAATCAACCAGTATCACTAAGAGTAAATAGACAAAATGGTATTACTTTGGAAAGAATTTATCATAGCTTATTTGTTACTGCTGCAGTTGCAAACTCTGCAATTTACAACAATAATTTGGCATCTACCAACTTGGATCATTTCTATACAAATGTAAATAATACTAGACGAATGCAATATGATTATTATCCCAATTTAAATGATGACTTTAAAGCGCTAAGAGATACACTTATTGGTTCAACAATTCAAACACCAAACATTCACAACTATAATTGGTGTTGGTTGGAAAAATTTGATGATGGATCATTTGGCATTGGTGATGATAATATTATTGCTGGTATTGATTTAAATTTGGGAGAGGTCAAATGGGATTTTATAGGATCTCTAAGTGTTGCAACCAATCTTACTCATCAATCAATAGTGGTATGTAAAAGAAAATTGGTTATAACTTCAAATGGATTAACATTAATGTAAAAATATTATTTCATAATTATAAAATAATATAGGAAAATGAAATACAACAAACAAACAATTATTAAAACAATACCAATTAGTGGTATCATTCCTGGTGATCATGGAAGATTAATGGTTCAAATTAATTTGGATTTTGTTCCAGATCTTATTACATTAAAACTCTTTAGTGTAGATGGAGCTTTTCATCAAGGAACATTGTTTACCATTAGAACTTCACTGATCAGTGACAACAACCTTTTTTCTTTTTCAAGCCCATCAATAATCAATTGTAATTTACATTTTACAAACAAAAGTGGAGCAAATATTCAAGGAGTTTATTATTTTGAATGTGTAGATCAAAACAACCAATACAATGAAAACGACTTGGATTTTGCAGCAACCTTTCAATTTACAAAATTTTAACAACCCAATAGTATAATAATAATAGAATGATAAAAGTAACAAAAATTAATAATATAATAGTAGAACCAATTAAACTACCACAACAACCAAAGAATGTTAAAGGATTGGAATTATTTGATCAACTAAATGCAAATATATTGGTATGTGCACCAAAGAATAGCGGAAAGACAGTAGTCATTAAAAAAATAATAGATGAATGTACTAACAAACAAACAAATGTTATTATTTTTTGTGCTACAGTTCACAATGATCATAGTTGGTTAGAAATACAAAATGATTTAAACAAAAAAGGAATATCATTTTTGGCATTTACAAGTATTTATGATGAAAAGGTCAATGTATTGGATGCTTTTATACAAAGTTTACAAGTAAAAGAAAATGGAACAAGTAAAAAATTAATATTGACCAACGATATGATACGAGTAGAAAGAAAAGAAAAACTAGTTGCACCAGATTATTTAATTATTTTTGATGATTTATCAAATGAATTAAAAGATCCAAGTATTACCAAATTAATGAAGATTCAAAGACATTTTTCAACAAAAATTATTATTAGTACTCAATCATGGAAAGACACTTCATCACATATAAGAAAAGGTAATTTAGATTATGTTTTATTATTTAAAAATATACCAATTGAAACTTTAAAAATAATTTATGAAGAGCTATCACTAACTATTCCTCTCAAATTATTTTTAGACATTTATTCTTTTGCAACCAAAGAGAAATATCATTTTCTTTATACAAGTCGTAATGGTGATTATAGAAAAGATTTTAATCAACAACTAGAAATTAAAATGTAGGACATTCAATATATAAAAAAAAATGGCAAACAAAAATAGAGTATGGATTTCAAATGATGGAGCATGCATGTATACTGGTTTGAGTGGTCAACATGGAGATGGTTTTGGTGATTGGTTCAAGAAAGCATATAATTTTGTAAAAGACAACAAATTGGTATCTAGAGGAGCAAAGGCACTTGGTGATGCTGGTGTTCCCTATGCTGGCAAGATTGGAGAAGTTGCAGACAAATTGGGTTATGGGCATAAACCTAGACGTAAAAGAGCACAAAGAGGAGGAACTCAATATGGAATTAATGGTGGAGGTAAGAAGAGAAGAATGACAAGAAAATAATATATTAATTATTGATCAATTATTAATATAAAAAAAAATGACATCCAAATTTGTAGATTTATTAAATGATTTTCAAGATATTGCTATTGGACAAGTTGATGAACTTACTATTACTGATCAATTAATAGTTGAAAATACAACAAATCAAATAGTTTTTGGTGATTTACAAGTCATATTAAATGTAGATACATCATCACAATCAACAATTATTATTCCAACTATTGGTGAAAAGAAAATTGCTCAAGTTTTATTGACAGAAACAGATCAAACTATAAATGGGCACAAAACCTTTAGTGAAAGTTTGCAAGTAGACAAGATCATTGAAACAAATGAAATGAAAACAAATACGATTACTCCTCAATCAGGAGGAGCCATTACTATTGGAGGAAATTTGGTGGCAAGTGGCAAAACAACAGTAAATGATCTTCAAATTAATGGAAAAGTAAGTATCAATACATTACAAATAGATAATGTTGAATGTGATTCACTAACAACAAATACCATTACAGGAGATACAATGAATATTGAACCAACAAAATCTCTTTTTCTAAATGCACCATCAGTAATAGCAAACCAATTATCATTTGTCAATCCCATTGAAGGTTATATTCCTACTCCTTTAAATTATTATGAATATTATAGCAATTGGGTGCAATTTAAATATAATATATCAAGTGGCTCGTATGTTTATTCATTTAACCCAATACATTATGTTAGGATTGGTAAGCTTGTTACTCTTTGTGTTGATTCATCAATTAAAATAGTAATGAATGGACCTGCTAACCAAAACTCGGTAGTGTATACTGACGTTGGGGTTGTTCCTAAAAGATTTAGACTTCGAAATCTACAGATGGTTACAATGTCAACATACCAAAAAGTTTATCCATCTTTATCTATTCAACCTTGTAGGGTTTGTTTGTTGCTCAGTGGACAGTTGGTAATCCAAAATAGTGATGGAAGTGGAATCTCCTGTGATGGCAATCAATACTTTTCAATCGATCCATTTTCCATCAGCTATGTTGCAAATGATATTGATTGGTAGTTGGTTAAAATTATGAATCTACAAAATCAATCCAATATTTTTCTTTTTTTTTGAAAATAATGCTATCTTTTTTAACCTAATAACTTTCCTATAAAAGTATTAAAAGTTAAAATTAAAGTACAAAATAAAAATAAATAAATAAAAAATATAATTCTAAAAATAATTAACTTTTTTAACTTAATAACCTATAATATCATAATTGAATGAGCCCCGCAAGGGCGAATGGTATATACTTTTTTTTGGGAGCGCAGCGATCCAACAGCCGAACCACACACGTTGGTGGTGGAGTATAGTAGTTCAAGTGGAATTGATTTTTGATGGTGATGATATCATTTTCATCTATTTTTGTCAGTATAATATGTGGGAAATTTAGAAATCACTTGTTGAATATTAATGATAATATTGGGCATATATGACGTACATACAACTACCATTTTTAACAAGACACATTTATAAGAATAGAATAGAATAGAATCCCCATTTATTGGTGATGATGGAAGCGATCATTTAGAAAGAACCCAATCATTTTTAAAATTCCACTCCACTTTCTTTCTTTCTTTCTTTCTTTCTTTCTTTCTTTAATCGTTGATTTTATTTATTTAAAAATAGAACTTGGAATCATTGTATCCAAAATTGGAAATCTTAGTGATTTATCAAAAATTTGATTGGATTGATTGATTGATGCTATTAATAAATCAAGAAAAGAATGCAGTTAATCGTGTTTATAATATTGTTGTTACACTATCATGTGTTCACAAGACAGGATCTTTAGATCAATTAGATCATTTCGATCAATTAGATTATATTTTTTTAAAACCAGGCTTAAATGAAATCCTGGTAACAATTCATTGAATATTATTTATAATACATATAAATGATTCATCAATTGGAATTAATTATCAAAGTATTAATATATTCATTATAAATAAAAAATATCTTTTAAAAATTAATTAATTAATTACTTTACTTTTTTTTGGGTTATGACTCACAATGAAAAATGATTCATTACACTCTCTTGAGATGATGTGCTGAAACTTATCTCTCTCACTCTCTTTTAATTTATAAATTACATTATTATACACACGCACACTCACGCTCATACATAGATAGATAGATCTATTGTTTTTGTAATACATTATATTTATTCAAATTTGTATTATTACAAGAATAGTAATAGTTAAAAAAAGAGTAGAGAGAAGAAGAGTCGAGTAAAGCTGTGTGATCAATCAATCAATCAATCAATCAATCAATCAATCAATCAATCAATCAATCAATCAATCAATCAATCAATCAATCAATCAATCAATCAATCAATCAATCAATCATCTGAGATATAGATAGATATAGAAAGAAAGAAAAGAGATCATGTCATCAATACCAACAATCTTATGGAAATTATATAAATTCTTTGTACATTTATTTACAGGAACATCAGAGATTGAGAGAATATGTCATGACTATGAGTTGGGTGGTCATCAGAGAATGATGCTCATTGAACAGAGTATCAAGTTATCGACTAAACTCAATGATATCAAGAGAGCAATGTCTCACGAATTCGATCCACAAGATGTTGCTCAAATGATTGCTGACACCAAGAAAATGAATAGAGAATTACTTGCTTTTGAATCAATGTATGACAATAAAGTAATAATATATTATGATGAAGCCAATTACTAATTTACAATGAATCAATCTATAGAATTTCAAATTTAGTATCAGCATTGGAACCATTGAGTAGACATGAAACATTAAAAACAACTGTAAATACATTAAAGGATGAAAAATACAACACTGAAAATAGATCACATGAAGAGAAATTGGAAAAAGTATGTAAATTATATTTATAAATAATATAATAATGGTAACCTAACAAACACTTACCTTGGTTACTATTTTTTAGTTGTGGGATGATCTTTGTCCAAATGTTAGAAGATCTTCAAGACATACATCAGAATGGGGAGAGATTGGATTCCAAGGAAAGGATCCAGCCACTGATTTTAGAGGAATGGGTGTTTTGGGACTTGACAATCTATCATACCTTGCAGACAGTCATCAACAAGAGGCTCATAGAATGCTTTTATGTGCCAACAGTAAATATAAATATCCATTTGCAATCACTGGTATCAACATTACTGGTCTATTGGTTGGTCTACTTCAAAAGGATTTATTAAGAAATTATTTTTATTATTCTGGTTATACTATTGATAAATTTAATGATCTCTATGGTATGTTAATTACTTATATAATCACTACACACAATATAAATTAACTTATTATTTTAATTTAATTAAATTTAGCTCAAGTATTTATTCAATTTAATGATTTCTATCAATCAAAGAAACCGGAAAATGTAATGCAATTTGGAACCATTATGAAAGAGTTTACAGAATATTTGAAAAACAAATTACTCAATGCAACTTATAATCCATCAACCAATTCTTTTGAAATTGAATGGGCACCTTTATAAACAAATATCCAAATAGTATTTGGTTGAAACTTTTGTATACTCGTTCCAATATTGACCATTTGTGTTTTATTTATTTATTTGTTTGTTTTGGTTTTGTTAAGTACTTACATTGCTTATTGATTGAGAGTTGATTCTTGTTTCAACTCTACTATACTCTACTCTTACTCTACTCTGTTCTTTAAATCCTTTGTCGACCAACTCATATACCAATATATTTACAGCGCTGTATAAGGGTTGACAGACAAAGGATATAAAGAACAGAGGTAAAGTGTATCACTGTTAAAGCGGTGGATGATGGTCATACTATCCAGATAATTTTCAAAGGCTTTGTGAAAGTCCTAACTTTCACCAATATTAATCACAAATAATCTAGTACCATTGTTATTGACCTATACTTTCTTTCAAAAGAATGACTTTTATGAGTATTAGTAAATGATCAAATGAGATGAAAGGAAATGTATACATTTCTCACAAACCTATTACGCCAGACACGTGGTATGAATTCGTTGTTCCTATGCCGATGGATTTCGGGGTGACCTCCGAAAGACCCTAAAGGATGACCATCGAAAATGTTGAATGTCTGAAAGACTACCTTGCACTCCAATTCACTAGAAAAGAAGATGATGAATTTGGATGTATCCACTGAAACAGTCATCAACCAGAGAAGAACAATGCGTAGTAGTAGTCGTGCCTCTCCCACCTGCAAGACCAGACGAGTATGTGTACAATTAAGATGAGCATGATGATCGTGAACGATTGTTCATGAAGATCTTCACTTCTGTGCAAGATGTTGGATATAAAAAAAAACCAAACAAAAATAATAATAATGTATTAATAATATTTTGAACCAAATTTAATGGAAGATAGATAGATAGATAGATTGATTGATAGATGACACACAACACTACAACACCTTTATTATTAGTATTTAAATCAAGGTATTTGACAAAACTGATATTCAAACATATTGAAGAGATTCATAAACAACAAGAAGAAGAAGAAGTAAAAGATGGTACCGGTAGTATCATCAATCGAGCATTAAAAGGTAGAGAGATCATCAAACGTGGTGTTCTATCAATGATATCAATCTATGCAATGCCATGGAACTTTATCAAACATTATTTAAAGGTATCTTTGTCATCTGATGATGATGATGACACAAAGATATTCAGTCAAGTTAAATTAAATATTATCACAATGTATTGTGGTCATCGTAATGCAACTTTGGATACTCTTATACATTTGATTGATGATTGGGCACCCGATTTCGATCCTCAAGAAACACATTCACATTTGGCTTCATATATTGCTGAAGTTGGTCATGTCGATCTATTAGAGTATCTTATCAATAGGTATCCAAATATCAACCTTGATTCAGCTGGTGATATTGCCGCTGAATTTGGTCATTTATCAATATTAAAGTTATTGGATAATCTACCAAAACAACAACAACAACAACAACAACAACAACAACAACAACAAATGCTCTGCAATATTACAAGATATCTCTCTAAAAATGCAATGTATAGAGCTGTTTCAAATGGTCATTTGGAAATTGTAAAGGTACTTGTATAATGAAATTAAATTAAGAGAGAGAGATAGATGATCGACAAACCAAACAAACAACTTACATATATATATATATATATATAAATTTACATTATAGTTTCTACATTATAATGTTGAAATTAATTATAAAAAATTGAATGATGAATATCAAACTTGTATGATTGATCTGGCTGCCAAGAATGGATATTTTGAAATATTAAAGGTATTGTATAGCACAAAATAATATTATAATCAAATGTAGACTAACCATTCTTAATATCATTTAAATAGTTTCTTCATTTAAATCAAACTCAAAGTGAGATCCTCCAGTGTACGACTTTTGCAATGGATAGAGCTGCTCAAGGTGGTTTCTTTGAGATTGTCAAAGTATGTCATTATTAATTCAATGTATATTTACCAAAATAACTAATATTATTCTATAAATATAGTTTCTACATTTTAATCGTACAGAGGGTTGTTCAGAGAGTGCTATGAATTCTGCCGCACAGATTGGCGATATTGAAATGTTAAAGGTATAAATGAAAACAACCAAAACAAAGACAAGAGAGAGATGTCACATCTCTAACCATATTTTAAATTCAATAGTTTCTACATTTAAATAGAACGGAGGGATGCACAACTGATGCTATGGATCAAGCATCAAAGAACGGATTCATTGATATTGTTATATTTCTTCATGAAAATAGAACAGAAGGTTGCACGGTGGATGCTATGGATAATTCAAATAGTTTGGAAATCATTCAATACCTTCATAATCATCGCACAGAAGGATGCACAAAAGCAGCCATGGCAAGAGCCGCAGAAAACGGAAAATTAAATATAGTCCAATGGTTACACTATAATAGAACAGATTCTGGATGTTCAAGAGATGCTATTGGAAATGCAGCAAAGAATGGTCATATTGATATGGTTAAGGTATGCTAGATCAATTATATATATTACTCTATTATAATTTATACCAACATCCAATTCCTTTTATTTTTCTCTCTCTTTTAGTTTCTATTTAATAATAGGACAGAAGGATGGGATAATAATGCAACTGATCGTGCAATCAATTCAAATGGTAGCATGGAGATGATTACATTTATTCATGAAAATCTTTATACTGGGTGTTCTTCAGATGGAGTAAATGCTGCCGTCATTAATGATAGATTAGATATAATCGAATATTTACATTATCATTACCCACAATCTAATATTTGGTCAGTTAATACAATGGATTTAGCTGCGAGATATGGCCATCTAAATATTGTCAAAGTATGTATGAATTTAAATAGATATTTGATCTCTAATTAACAAAATTAATTATCTTTTGATTTATATAGTTTTTAAAAGTAAATAGATCAGAAGGATGTTCAAATATGGGATTAGAGTATGCGTGTGACAAGGGACACTTTCAAATTGTTAGATATCTTTCTGACAATATACCAAATATTAGGATATCACGTGATGCTATGGATAATGCCGCGCGTAATGGGCATATTGATATTGTTCGAGTGAGTATATTGAAAATAATTAATAATTAATAATAATTAATAATAATAATTCTTTGTACTAATACTTTTTCTTCTTATTTGATTTAGTTTTTACAATATAGTAGAACAGAAGGATGTACACCATTGGTTGCTATTAATGGTGCAGCTCAAAGGGGGCATTTACAAGTAGTAGAGTTTTTACACAAGATTCGTAATGAAAAGTGTTCGTCAGAAGCTCTCCTCGCTCACCATTTATGTAAATCCAATAATTATACAGATGTGTTTAGATATTTGGTTACGAATCGTATGGTATCAAAAATGCAAATATTAGATCATCTTGCAAAATACTCTTGGTTTTGTTATGAAGTACTTGATCTTGCCAATCAATATTTAAATTCATCAATATAATAATAATCAAAAAAAAAACCGTGTGGCAAATCAAATCAAAAAAATGATGGGCCATCGATCTAAAAATGGGTGCATTGACAACATTGGAACCCCGTAAACCCCATTTCCAATAAAACATGTCTCATTTGTTTTGCAACAAAAGGTAATCATAATTATAGTTATATATCAACAAACTTATATTATAATATTTATAGTTATATATTCAACAAGAGTTTCAACAACAATAGAAGAAATAGGTAAAAATGAACTTTATACCAGCCAATGCAGGTGTATTTTTAATTTATGGTGTTGCTTGGTATGATGGAAAAGAATGAAATGAAATGAATCCTTTGTGAAGAGTTATAATTAATATTAATCAAAACTTTCTTTTTTCTTCTTAGGATATTACTTATAGTATCATTTGGTACTTATTGGTATCGTATGGAAAATGCTATAGCGTTTGAAACTAGTTATTTTTCCTTTAACAAGATAAAGACGGTAGATGATAATGATAACTATTTTCCGATTACATTTGCAGAGGAAAGATTAAATGAGAGATTTCTACAAATACTAAAGATATCATTTGCATTTTCAGTGTTGGCATGGGCCATTCTTAGTTTGACATTATTGTTTATCTTTCTTTCGCTTGCTGGTATTCTCTCCAAAATCCCATTACCATTGCCTGCCATCACAAAAGTAATTCTGCCTGTCATTACACTAGGTCTTTGTCTCTTATCAATGTTTATCTTTTTTGGTACAAGTAACGCTAGATACGAGTATGTTTGTAAAACAAAGTATTGATTTGGAATCATTACAACATGATTAATTCTAACAATTTAATTTACCAATTTAATTTTTATTTATAGGGATTGTAGAGAACATTTTAAAGATTCTGCTTGTATTAAAGAAGAATTCACATTTGTTTATGACAATTCATGGGGAAAAGGTGGACCTTACACTGGTTGGATTGTTGTTGTAGTTAGTACATTTCTAGTTTTAGTTGGTGGAATCATTTCATTTTTATTTGCCAATTATGATGGTACTACTCCTACTTAAAAATAATAATAATAAATCAATAAAAAGAAATTTTAATCATTTTAGCACATTGATAGATTGATCAAAGATTTGGGGGTTGGGTTAGCCAAGTATTTAAAGTTGAGATTTAACCCATATCTTCAAAAATGGATCTGACATGGTATGACAATAATTAAGTGATTTGACAAGTGTGCCATTTCATGCATGCGATGGTTCAATAATCAGTGAGCTTGCAATAAATTATTAATATTAATTAAAAAAACAAGATAAAAATAGATTTGGAAGGATTTTTTTATCATTATTTATTTTCTAAAAATATATATCAATCATGTAAACAACTAATAAAATTATATATTTATATATAAATATATTTAATAACTTTGTAAATAATGATTTTTAAAATAGCCAATGGATTTGTATTTTTTATTTTTGGTGCTACATGGTAAGAAAGAAAGAAAGAAAGAATGAATCAAAACATCCATTTTTATTAATATGGTTAACTCTCACGGAACTTCTTTAGTGGAAACAGACTTTAATTATAAGTTTGTAAGAATATTCAAGTTATCTCTTGCATTTTCAGTGTTGGCATGGGCAACTCTAAGTGTGACACCACTGTTTATCTTACTTTCAATGTTTGGTATTCTCACTAAAATTCCACTACCATTACCTCCATCACAAAGATAGTCCTTCCAATCATTGCTCTATTTTTTGTATTCTATCAATGTTTATCTTTCTTGGTGTTGGTGAAGCTCGTTACAAGTAAGTGAATGATTGAGGAAATAATAATATTTTCTGTGACATACATTAATTCAAAATTTCTAACAATTAATTAATTGATTGATTTAGGGATTGTCTTGATCACTATGAAGATTGTCGTGAACGTGACAAGTTATTTAGATATGACCATTGGGGAAAACATGGACCATACATTGGTTGGATTGTCACTGTAGCTGGTACCGGTATAGTTTTAATTGGTGGAATCAGTTCTATTTGCCAATTATGATGGTCTTCCTCCTTCTCCATTATCGAATTAAAATAATAAATAATAATTGTAAATCTATGTATTTATTTTGTTTTTGATTGACCAACAAAAAAAACAATGATGTTCACAATTCCCCCTTTTTGAACCGTTAATGATCCATAAACAGGGTGGTGGTGATTAAGGGTTGCTAATTGTATTCATTTTTAATTTAAATAAGAAAGAAATAACATATTTTGAATAAATATTTATACCAATCAATGAATTTGAACTCAGTCTCTACAAATATATTATATTTGTATAAAAGTTTATAAGTTTTTTTGGAAAGAATGAACTTCAAACCAGCCAATGGTTTGGTATTTTTAATATTTGGTATTGCATGGTATGTATTAATATGAATTAAATGAATGGAAAGATCATATCATTAAATGTATTGACTTTATTCATACATACATAATTTAGGGTATTACTTATAGTATCATTTTGTACCAATTGGTATCGTATTGACAATAGTGTTGGTGATACAACCTATTTCTTTTATAACAAGATCAAGATAGGAGACCAAACCACTCCATTGGAAGAGACAAGTTTGAACGAGAAGTTTGTAGGAATATTCAAGGCATCACTTGCTCTTGCAGTGTTGGCTTGGGCAACTCTCAGTTCGACATTATTGTTTATCATTCTGTCATTTGTTGGTATTCTAAAAAAAATACCATTACCATTGCCCATCATTACAAAGATCATCCTTCCAGTGATTGCCCTTAGCTTCTGTATCTTATCAATGTTTATCTTTGTTATTTTAGGTGATGCCCGTTACAAGTATGTACAAGAAGAAATATTATTACTATGAAAATTAATTTCGCTAACATTCATCATTCTTTAAATAGGGATTGTGTGGCAAATTTGAATGGAGACTCTTTTGATTGCAATCAAGATGATATTAAACGTTTTGTATATGACAATGAAAAAGGACAAGGTGGACCTACTACTGGCTGGATTGCCGTTCTAATTAGTACAAGTTTAGTTTTAATTGGTGGAATCATTTCAATTTTATTTGCCGAATATAATGATGATGGTACGACTACTACCGCTATGTATGCTCTACCAAATTATAATTATAATTATAATTATATATTAGTTCATAATAATGAATGAATAGATCAATAAAGAAGAATATAATATTATCAAGAAAATACTACAGGATAAATATGGCAGGTAGTACATATATATAAATATGTGCAATCAAATTTTTGCCTTTTTAGTTTGAAGATGGGGTTTAGGGGGGTTCAATCAATGAAAAATAATAATGTTCAATCAATCAAAAGATGGGGGTAGTGAATAACATTGCAAAATAATGTACGTCAACCCACCATATATATATGTATGGGTCGACCTATTAGTAGTCGGAGCTGTGAACAAAAAAAATTCACCACCAATTGCACAATGATAGATCATTCATATCATATCATCAAACCTTTTTTAATTATAAAAAAGTAACAACAACAACAACGGCGATAAACCACCAACAAACATTTATTTATCTATCAGTCAGTCTCTATCTATCTATCAATCTAGTATAGTTTTCTACATATTTATTAATAAATTATCAATTAAATAGGAATGAACTTTAGACCAGCCAACGCAGCTGTTTTTTTAATTTTTGGTGTTGCATGGTATGATGAATAATGAATCAATACAAATAGATTTAACCAACATTGGTTTTTTTATCTGCTTTTTAGGATATTACTAATAGTATCATTTGGAACTTATTGGTATCGTATTGATGTTAATGATTTGACAACCTATGTCTATTATAACAAGATCAAGACTGTGGGCTATCATGGAACTGGTGTGAGCGATTTGGAGGAAACAGACTATAACCAGAGATTTGTTCAAATATTCAAGGCTTCTCTTGCATTTTCAGTGTTGGCTTGGGTAACCCTCAGTTTGACATTGATGTTTATCATTCTATCGTTGGTTGGTATTCTCGCCAAAATCCCATTACCATTGTCCAAGGTTACAAAGATAATCCTTCCAGCGATTGCTCTTGTCTTTTGTCTCTTATCAATGTTTATCTTTGTTGGTTTGGGTGATGCTAGATATAGGTATGTCATTATTTAAAATAGTTATTTACACTGTGTAACATATTTTTATAACCAACACTAATATTATATTATATTGTATTCGGGTAGGGATTGTGTCGACATCAATGGAAGAGAAAGTTGTGTTCGTGAAGAATTCAAGTTTATGTATGACAATGATAACGGTAGCGTTGGTGGTCCCTACACTGGCTGGGCTGCAGTTGTCGTAAGTACCGCCTTTGTTTTAATTGGTGGAGCCTTATCATTTTTATTAGCCAATTATGATCCAGTCTCTTAAATAAGATAAAGATAAAATATTAATAAAAGATACAAATAATAATAAATAATGGTAATAATAAATAATAATAAATAATAATAACAATACAAATAAAGATATTTATACAAATAAATAAACAAATAATAAAAATAAAAATGAAAATGAATGAGTCAAGTCTTGGTCTCGAGTTTATCTAAAATATTAATTATTATAATATACTTTTTATTAATAAAAAGTATGAACGAGACAAATAATAATACAACAACCACAACATTTTCAACTATATTTAAATTAAAGTATATAAGACATTTGATATTCAAACATGTTGAAGTTATATCAAAACAAGTGTCAAGACCAATTGGTGATAGAGATCATAAAGCTAATCGATCATTAAGTGGTAGGGAGATTATCAAGTTACCCAATCTTGCTATGATCAGCAAGTATGCAATGCCTTGGTGTTTTATCAAACATTATCTACCACCTGGCATAGATAATGTATTATTGGAAAGAAGAATAGATGTAATCATTCGATACTGTATTCATCGTAATGCTGAGTTGGATACACTCAAACATCTGATTGATGATTGGTCACCTGATTTCAATCCAAAAGATAGAGACCAAGCAACTCAATATTTCTCTCATCTAGCACTAAATATAACGTTGGTTGGTAATAGAGAAGTTTTAGAGTTTATACTCAAACGATACCCAAAACTCAATCTAACCAATACAAGACCAAGAGCTGCTGAACGTGGTTACCTATCTATCATCAAGTTATTGGATTCTCTTGCATCTCAAGAACCAGAATACACAAGTTCTGTCATTGACAAGGTAGTTGCAAATGGTCATTTACATATCTTGGAGTATCTTTATAATCAAGGTGAGGATTTGCCACCATGGTTGATCAATACGGCTTCAGCTAATGGGCACCTGTCTATTGTAGAGTGGTTGCATCATCACGATAATCAAAATAACGATCGTATATACACTGCTATGGATAGAGCTGCTCAAGGTGGTTTCTTTGAAATTGTCAAAGTATGTAAAAGTAACATTGAATGAATTGAATAATATCTAATCATTTTCTATATTTATATATAGTTTCTACATTTTAATCGCGCAGAGGGTTGTTCAGAGAGAGCAATGAATTCTGCTGCACAGATTGGGAACCTTGAAATATTAAAAGTAAGATTATATTATGATTCACGAATGTTAACATGGAACTAACTAACAAAACACTATATAATTATATAGTTTCTACATTTAAATAGAACAGAGGGATGCACAACCAATGCTATGGATCAAGCATCAAAGAACGGATTCATTGATATTGTTATATTTCTTCACGAAAATAGAACAGAAGGTTGCACAGTAAATGCTATGGATAATGCAAATAGCTTGGAAATCATTCAATACCTTCATAATCATCGCACAGAAGGATGCACAAAAGCAGCCATGGCAAGAGCCACAGAAAACGGAAAATTAAATATAGTCCAATGGTTACATTATAATAGAACAGAAGGTTGCACAGCGGATGCTATGGATAATGCAATTGAAAATGGTCATATTGATATTGTCAAGGTAATTATAGATATAAATTATTAATATTTAATTATATATTATTTATTAAAATATTAATATTTATTATTTTTCTCTCTCTTTTAGTTTTTATATGAAAATAGGACAGAAGGATGTATAATTAATATTTTAGACACTGCAGTTTATAGGAACCAAAGTTTAGAGATGATTTCATATGTTTTAGATACTATTGGATTAGGAGTACAGTTTACTTTGACAACTGTCAATTATGCTGCGATCAATGGTCGACTAGACCTCATAGAATATTTCCATCGACATTCTGCCTCATTACCCAATAAATGGGCAACCACTACAATGGATTTTGCAGCAAAGCATGGTCGTTTAAATGTTGTCAAGGTATAAATATAGAATAATAATGATCAAAAAATAATTGAATTTTAATATTAATATTTTTTTTCTACATATATATATAGTTTCTACATTATAATAGGACAGAGGGATGTACTTCAGATGCTATGGATCAAGCTGCAAAGAACGGATTCCTTGATATTGTGATATTTCTTCACGAAAATAGAACAGAAGGATGTACAACTTTAGCTATGGATCAAAATGATCACTTTGAAATTGTCAAGGTAAAAAAAAAGGAAATTATCTTAATCTTTTATTTATTTACTATTAATTTAATAATTTATTAATTTCTCACTCTCTTTTAGTATTTACATTATAATAGAACGGAAGGATGTACTTTTGAGGCTATTGACAATTTGTCACAATTTGGAAATATTGAAATGGTAAAATTTCTACACAAAAATAGATCGGCTGGATGCTCTGATAATGCATTAAACATTCGAAATACCTCTGATGGTCAGTTGATGAAAGAATTATTTAAATATCTATTAGACAATAGATTAATTTTAAAAGACCAAATTCAACCATCCCATTTAAAACATTTCATGGTGAATAGAGTTTATGAAGTTTCAGAATTGTTTAATCAATTCTTAAAAAATGACAATTAAAGAAAAATCAATCAAATTTTAATCAATATATATATATATATAAAGGTATGGATTTATTTATAATTATTCCTTATCTATCTTGTCTATCTATCAATCTTAATCAATACAGTTCTAAAATATAATCTATAGTTGGCAAGTCTGATTTTTTAAAGAGGGGGTTTAACATCCACCCATCTTTTTTTTTTATGACACACACAATGGTCGACTGTTATTTGAACATGGAGAGATGTGGGAGGTGAATGATTTAAATCATATATATATTTATTTTAAAATCATCATTGTTACAACACTATTTATTAATCACTTTTTAAACTTTAAGAAAGAGATAATTATTAATATATATAGGTTTAATTAATCATGTCTTCAAAATTGTTTAGTATTATAGTATTAACTTTATTAGGAATATCATGGGTAATGTTGATTGTTTCAATGGGGTATGCATACATATAAATATATATACAATCACTAAAGAAGATGTAATTAGAACCTAACCTAACCCATATCATTTCAAATATTTATCTATTTAATTTATTTTAATATTTAGAGCATATTGGTATAGATATTCTGATGCATTTGGAAAGGTAACCTATATCAATTTTGAAAAGATGAAAGTACCTAGTGGAAATGTATTATACATTGTCTATGATGATAGTAATAGACATTATTTCGAGATATTTAAAGCTTCGTTGGCATTTTCAGTGATGGGTTGGTTTGTAGTAACCTTTAATATTGTATTTGTCATTCTCAGTATTGTTGGAATACTCGGTAAAATACCTCGTGCTCCAATGGGAACGATTACCAAATTCCTTCCTTTGGTAGGATTTTTATTTGCATTTTTGGCAACATTTATTTTTGTTGGATTACCAAATGCTATGTATCGGTATGTAAACAAATTCAAATACAAACAATCAAATCAATTAACCTTTTACTTTATTGTATTTAGTGATTGCAAAAAACTAAATAGACAATGTGATAGAGATGATTATAAATTTATATACGATGAAAGTAATGGAACTTGGGGTGGACCTTATGCAGGTTGGTGTACTGCAGTTGTATCAATGGCCTTGTTATTAGCAGCTTCACTTTTATCAATATTCTTGTGTGATTTTGAAAGTGACAACAACAACAATAAGAAGAAGGACTCTACTACTCCTCCTCCTCCTGCTGCTGCTGAAACTCAAACTCCTCATCAACCAGATCAACAACCTCAACACCCACAACAAGCATTGTAAAAGAAAATGTAAAAAAACAACATACCCTACTATATTATCATTTTGAAACCCGAGGAGAGAATTATAAATTAAAATAACAAAATTCATTCAATATTTTTAATCATTGTATATATTTAGTAATACGTACACAAAACAAATATATAATATATAATACAGAATTGTCACAAATAATTATTTGTATTTTTGATTTCACACACACCATAAATCAAAAACCACATGTGGTTTCTTGTAAGATGTACTATTTTCACCGTCGTCACTCACAATTTACTGGTCTCGAATACCTATTAGGTATGATAACAATAATAGAATTCTACAGAGAGGAGGAGAGGAGAGGAGAGGGGTCAGAAGATATTGAGAGTGATTGATTAATTAATTGATTGACGATGGGGATTTAGTAATATGATCAATAGAGTATAGTAATATCACCGGACAAAAGAGTGAGTTGAAAAAGGAAATTAATTTCGAACCAGTAGCATTAGTAGTAGTATCATTATTTAATTATCTTTTTTTAGATATTTAATATATAATACTATATTTAGCAATAATTTTCCATTCATATATTTTTTATAATATTTTATACACAAAGAGTCTAATCGATTAGTTTCAAAAAAAAGAAAAAAAAGGATGGTGTATAAACCAAATGTTATAGTCTTTTCATTATTAGTTGCAAGTTGGATATTAATAATATCTTCATTCCCAAGTATGTTAAAAAATAAAATTAAGAGGATTTATTGATTGAATGTGAATATTAATCATTTTATAATTTTTATTTTTGATTTTAGCATATTGGTATCAAAAAGAAGAAAATGGATTAAAAATGAGGTTTAATTATAAACAAATAGAATATGAAGATAAGGATGGAATGGTGTGGCAGGGTGAATTCCCAAATGCAGAGTCTAGAGAATTATCAGTTTATAGAGCTGCATTTGCATTTGATATCATTGGGTTTATGATCTTGTCGATTACCATTTGTTTGGTGTCTATTAGTTTTTTCCCATGTAAACTTGCACCGTGGTTGTCATCGATCACTAAATACTTTCCAATTGGAGCATTGGTATTTTGCATAGTGTCGGTGGTTATTTTTGCAGGTGCTCTCAAAGAAGCTCGTCACAAGGATTGTGTAAAGATACATGAATATTGTGATGACAAAATGTTTGACTTTATAGTTCAAGATTACAATGGTCTTTCTCAACACCCAATCCATGGTTGGGCATTCCTCATCATTGCTACCATCTTTTTAACTTGTTCAACAATCTCTTCAATAGCAATTAGTGATTATACAAAATAATCAAAATACTCTTCTTTAAAAATTAATAATACTATCATTCAAACCAACTATCGATTCCAAAACATACCAACGTAAAAGTATGTTTGTTTGGTTTGAAGAAACAAAAGAAAGAAAAACCAATCAAAAAAAAAAAAAAAGAAATAAAATTAAACAAAAAAACATTTAGAAAATAATAATTAAATCACTTGAATCATTTAAAGATCATCCTACCATTCGGGGACATCTTGAAAGTTGAATCGATTACCTTTTTCTGAAAAAAAATCAATACTAAAAATGAAAAATCAATGCAAACTGATCATTGATCTAAAAAAGGTATTGGGTGGTACAGTTTCCGAGGTCATGGTCACGTGATTTCGGCAAATATAATTGATTCAATTCCAACGCCTTTCGTGTACCAACGGTTAAAGTTTAGTTTAGTTTGTATTTTCACGATCTGTCCTCCTGCTAAACATCATACCTATTCTATTATACTTTTGGGGGTGACTATCAATCGATCATACGATAATATTTGAGAGATCTAAATAGTAAAGAGGATGGTTAGGCTCAAGAGAAGCATCGGCCTAGAGAAATATCTTGAAAAGGTGCAACATCAGCAAAATGCCCTCCAAAAAGAAATTTTTGTTTTAGCCAAAAAAGGACTTGACGATTAGCCAATTGCGTCAGAGGGTCATGACCCCTCGATGACTAAAATTTCAATTATGAGATTCGATGTTGTTGGCTGTTTCTGCAAAACAACAAACAAAGGAATCTTCGTCAATCAATATGTGTGTTTTGTTTTTTTTTTTTTGGTTGTTGGTGCGCCTCAGCTTCACACCCTACCCACTCACCCAACATTTGTTTCATTTGTTTGCGTGTGCATTACCCATACCCATAGATTAGGGTAGGTTCTGTTGGAGGATGGTAGGTTTAGGTTTAGGTTTGCTTGTCAAGCGGTGGGCCAACCAACCAACCAAGCAAGCAAACAACCCATTCCACGATCGTTAAAGAAGATAATAATAATATTAATAATTAATAAATTGAGCCCTGCCTCCCTTCTAGAAAGCGATAGGGAGTGAGGGAGGAACTTCACTCTATTATTACTTTTTTAATACAACAACAAAGTAAATACAACATATCATAGAAGAAGAGAGATAGAAAGAGAGAAAGAGAGAAAGAGAGAGAGACTTATAAATACAAGCTATAGATATTTCACATCTTGATCGGGCTCGTCTTGTCTTGTTGCTGACGATGTCCTTTGGACTTCCCTCCCTGCTTGCTAACTCCCTCCTTTATCAAAAACTTTTTTTCATCTGATTTTCGCTTGGATCCATCCATCTCTCAATTGAAAATCAAGATCTATCATAGTTAAGCTCAACTATCAGCTGATAGCTGCTCTTCTTTCTTTCACACAAACATACTATATATATATATATATTTCTTTCATTTACCTTTTCACATACCTACTAAGTATATAGTAGATACCTATATTTATATTTATTTATATTTAAAGTAGTTTTAACATTTCACTATTATGAACCTCCTATAGATGATAAATATTAAAAGTTGTAAGTTTTAAAAAGAAATATAGAATACCTATTGTTTCAAAAGTCACCTCACCTCACCTCACCCCCACCTACCGACCTACCCATCTGTCGACACACACGCGATTAGGTATTCATTCTACAAACCACACACCATGTTTTCAAAAAATGTCACCAAAAATCGTCACTATCACGACTCTCGTCTTGATCTACCCATCCACCACCACCACCACTACGCCACTCTTTGCAACCAACTACACGCTCTTTCCATTGCCATTTTAAAAACATTTTGTTTTAAAGATAGTAGAGAAAAAAAAAAAAAAGTCATCCCATAGATTTGGTTGGGAATAATAATAGTAATCCAATGATCCAAACATGATGACTATTATTATTATTCATGGTTGACAATGACACCAACAAACCTTCCAAGAAAAGTCGATCCATTTATCACCCCCTCTCTGCTCCCTTCTTACCCTTGGTTCGTCTGTTATTAAATCGTTTACTCATTCTTTTAGTTTGTTTGTTGTTCAACAACACACTTTTTGTTTTTTAAAAGTTGACTACTCTTTTTTTTTTTTTTTTTTTGTATCTTTACTACTTCTACTACTACTTCTCTATTCTAATTCCTCCTTTCTTGACTGTATTTTATTCCGTACCCCTACCATATCTTCCAATCCCTTTCCATACCTACCTACCTTCACCAATCCAATTATTTTTTTTTGGATTCCAGACCAATCCAATTGTCAATTTTTTAGTGTAACCGAATCCTTTATACTATCAACTACTTTGAGATCTTTTGACAGATGAGTTGGGAATGACAAACTACAGACGTTTACAAGGGAGGGGGGAACAAGGACCTATCTTTGAAAATATTGTTGTTTTGGGTGTCAACACTGCCATGCCATTTGACAATCGATTATTTAAAAATATATTGGATTATGACAACGAGTTTGTTTTACGATTAAAATAACAATAACAACAACAACAACAACAAACTTTAAAACAACAAACAATTACAAAACCGATAAAATATAATTATTAATAATTATTCTAAACAAATCCAAGAACAAACGATATCAAACAAACATTTCCAAACACCTTTTTAAAAAAATATATTTATCCATCAATCAATCAATCAATCATTATTATTAATTGGCCATTTCAACCCAGTTGGTTTGGGATTTCTATTCAAACAAATCAATCAATCTTACTAATTTTATATCCTTTTAACTTTTTGAAATAGGCTAAATATATTTATTTATTTATTTATTTATTTTTTTGAGGAGAGTAAAGATACTTTTTTATTTAATTTCCCATTTCCTTTTTTTAAACAAAAATGGAACCATATAACCAAGAAGACAGTAAGTAGTACGAACAAATAAAAATCCGTTTAAAAAAAACAAAATTAATTTATTGATCAACTTTATTTATTAATCTTTTTGTTTTTTGTTTTTTATCTTATTTCCCTAGAAACCTTTCCACCAGATTATAAGACTTTATATTCAGATTTGATTAAAAAATATAATCATTTACAAGAAGAGAATAATGATCAAACCAAAGAATCAAATGCCAAAATCAACAGACTTGAAAAAGAAAAGAAATATTTATTGGATAAATTATTAATCTTTGAAAATTTAGATGAAAAAGATAATAACCAAAATAATCAAAATAATAATAATAATAATAATAATTTTTCATTTGAAGATGATTCAGACAATGAATCTGAAAATAATAATAATAATAATAGTATTAATATAATAATTGAAAGGAAATCCAAAACAACAAGAATATCATCAAACAACATCAACAACCATAACAACAACAACAATCTAATTAAATTAGATTCAGCAACTTCATCACCTCCACTTTTTTTTCAAAATTCAGCAACCTCATCACCTCCCATTAATCCCAATTTAACAACATCTTTGAATTCAAGATTTTCACCAATTACTCATCACCCTATATCATCCTCATCATCAACAACATACAAGAATCAATATCATTCATCTCCACCACCACCAGCGGCTGCTGCTGGACATCAAAATACTCCTTATCAATATGAAGAATATCATCAATACGATTTGCCAACTATTAATAGTAGTAGACATCATAATCATCACCACAACAGCCGGAATAATAATAATAATAATAATAATAATGACCAACCTAGACAACCACAACAACAACCAAGATATTCACCTCCATCATCACCAACCACGGTTGTGTATCCATCTTTAAATAATTCTCCACCTCCAAAATCAAAATCAACGCCAGTCCAAACCCAACAACACCAACAACCCCCAAGACCCAATTTCCCATCACCTCCCAATACATCTTCTCATGGTGGAGTTTATCCTCCTCCTCCCCCTCCTTCTTCTTCTCAAAATCATTTCCCAAATTTTAATAGTCATCAACTTTATCAACATCATCATCATCATCATTCAGTTGTACGTCAACCACCTCCACCTCCACCTCCACATCCACCTTCACAACCACCACAACAAACCCCATTACAATTTATACATTATCCTATAACTAGGTCCTCAACATCAACAACATCAACACAACAAACCCGTCCACAACCTACATTACCATTATCACCTCCACCAACTCCCTCACCACCTCCACCACCTCTTCTTCCCACTACTCCTCTACCAACACCCTCACCAACATCACACAAACCAAGCCAAAGAGGTGGAAGAAAAAAAGGTAGGGAAGGAAGACTAGGAGCACAATTACATATTAATCCTGGTATTAATGAAAGGTTGGCAAGTGGGGAGGATCCAAAGGTTGGCGAGTATAATTTCGAAGGACCCCCACCAGTTGCCAAACCAGGACACTGTGCAGCCTTTGGGAAGAACCGTCTGTGCAAGAGTAAATCATTGGTCAATTGTAAATACTGTTGGCATCATGCACCATTGGATCCAAACTCTGATTTTAAATGGTGTGAATATATTACCGATCATCAAGTTGGCAATAAAATAGTTGGTAAAAAGTGTAATGTTCCAGTCTCCAAAGCAAAGAATAGAAGATATTGTGGTTACCACGTTCCAAAAGAAATATCTGAAAATGAACAAAATAATAATAATAATAATAATAATCAATCATCAATGGAGGTTGTAGTAGTAACTGGAAAAAGAAAAAAGAATAATAGTATTATTGATAAAGATTTACCAGAAAATAGAAAAACAGCTAGATATGGTGGTGGTGGTGGTAGTGGTGGAGATGATAATGATAATGATGAAGAAGATGAAGATGATCATTATTCATATTCTTTTTCTGATCATCAAACTGGGTCATCTAGTCCATTACCTCCACCATCATCATTCTCACCATTCTCACCTACCAATTTTACAAGTAGTGTTTTATCTACATCAACTACATCAACTTCATCAACCACTTTACGAAATCCTTTTAGCAGCCGTGCTTACTTTGGAAATCATCCAAAAAAACATAATAATAATCAAAATCAAAATAATAATCAAAATAATAATCAAGATAATGACCAAGACAGTGATCAAGATAGTGATCAATAAAAATAATATATTTTCCTTTCCCACCAGCTTCATCCAACTTCATCCTCTTCATCCAACTTTCATCCAAATGAATAATAATAATAATAATAATAATAATAATAATAATAATATTGAAAAATATTAAATTTGAAATCGATCAATCAAACAAACATTAAATATATATTTAACATTCTACTCAGTGACTACTTTTTATAAAGCTTAATAGAGTTGATCTTATTATTCTTTTGTGTTTTATTAATATTTAATTTACAATCCATGAAATGAATGAGGAAAAAATTTTCAAAGTCATCTTGACATCATAACTCTTACAAAATTTGAAGATCATTCGTCTCTAGAGCTAAATTAAAGAAGAATAAGAGTAATAAGAGAATAAAGATGAATGTACAAGAGGCATTAGTATTAGACCCAGCTATTAGAAACTGGGTAGTTATACCTATTGCACTTATATTGATATTCGTCAGTGCTTTAAAGTTTAACATTGCAAACTTGATGTCTCAAACTGAAAGAAAACAAAGTCTACAGAATATAATGGAATTGTAAGAAAGATAAGAGATGATTGATTAGATAGATAGATAGATAGATATAAGAATAGATATAGATAGATAGATAGATCGATTACTAATCACACACAATGAATGATTATTAGACAAACAATACTTAGAGCAAAAAGATTAGCAACCAATTCAAATAGAATACCATATCAATCATTTAATTCAAGAAAACAATATTTTACAAATAGAGTATAGTATATCATACATAATATGATATTTAGAGACATAGATATATAATGAAACTAATCAATCATTTCTTTCTTTCATAATCATTTAGGAAACAGGAATATTAATAGCAAAAGAAAAAAATACATCATCAAATCCAATGGGAGTATTGGGTAATGCATTTAAAGATCAATCGGGAGTGACTGATATGTTGAAAGGTAATATTGTAAATTTTGTACCACAAGTTGGTTTGATGGCATGGGTCAACCATTTCTTTTCTGGATTTGTTGCTGTAAAGATTCCATTCTTCCCATTGACCATTCGTTTCAAGACATTCCTTCAACGTGGTATTGAAATGTCATCACTCGACGTTTCCTATGTGTCTTCACTCAGTTGGTATTTCCTCTGTTGGTTTGGTATGGAGGGTATCAACTCTATCCTCCTCGCTGAAAAGTATCAACCAAACTCGACTCTATACGCATCACAACTCGAACAAGGTGTGCCACCACAACAACAACCAATCACTCAACTCTACACAAACGAACGTGAAAACATTGAATTGATCAATCACGATTGGTTAATGGAAAATGTTGAACAAAGATTCTTAAACAAATTAAAGAATATTGAAGAAGTCAAACAATCCAACAAAACATCTACAACTAAATCTTCTTCTTCTTCATCATTATTAAAAGATAAGAAGAAAAAGTAATAATAGAAATCAATCATAATTTAATCTAAGCATCGTATATGTATATTTACAAAAAATGGGATCATTGGATCACATTATTATTATTATTATTTTTAAGAGTTGATATTCATTGCATTATGTAATTCCATTCTAGAGGTTATATTTTGTAATTGACTGTCATTGATTAAAGGTGAATGGGTCCATAACAAAATGACATTGGATAGAATATCAAATGTTAATTGACTGGCACTTGTTAGATCGCTTGCTATAGATTGTTTCATTTGAAAGTCTTGTTCGTAATTGGTCAATGTACAACACATAAAATCTATAAAATCAAATAATGATACTTCTACATTGTTTATACCTCTATCATTCATTTTCTAAAAAAACGTAAAAAGTAAATAAGGATGGATGGATGGTAGATAGGTCTCTCTTTTTGGTGTAAACATACATATATTTCATTTTGATTTAAAGATAAAGTTGTAGATAATATCTTTTGAGCATCTGTTTTAATATTATTCATTTCAATTAAAAATGATTCTATCATATTGATATGATGAATGATTCTACCAATTGGACTTCTATTGTTTCCACCATTATTATTTGTCTTTGTTGTTGATGATGATTCTTTAACTGATAATAAATCAACATCATTGCTTATATTTTGATCATCATCATCATCTTCATCTTCTTCGACGTCATCTTCACCAATATCTTGATTCGCTTCATCTTTATCTTCTTGTTGATCGTTATTTTTGTTTATGATATATTGTTTTCTAGGTCTTGATTTTTGATAGTTTATAGTATCTATACCATCGAGTAATTCATAATGTAGTATTGCTAGACGCGATTGATCAGCATCACTTCCAACAGCTTGTACTCTTTGTATTAATCTATGTAAATGTGTTTGACATCTTTGATTGTAATAATCAATCTTGCTTACTCTACAAAACCAAAACCAATCAATCAATCAACGTTAGTTATAACATGTTTGTTACAATATCTTCTTCTTGTATTTATTCACACACAAATACATACACATCTTGAAAGTTGTTATATAGTCGTTTGACATTAATCGAATATGATATGAGAGACATTAGATTATATTAAAATAATAAAATCTGAGGTCAAAGATACAGTATCGTCGTCTTTGCAAAAAAGGTATTTCTTGTTAAATTTTAGTTTGTTTTAAAAGATAAGAAGAAAAATGAATACAACTACCACAACCACAACAACAACCTTTCATAGTATATTCAAAGTATCAATCATTAGAAAAAGAATATTCAATCATATTGATGAGATATCAAAACAACAACAAAAAATAAATAATAGTAATAATGATGGTGATGAGAATGTTAATATTTGGTTAAAAGGTAGAGATATTGTAAAGTTACCTTTTCTTGGTATGATTGTTCGTTATGCAATGCCATGGGACTTTATCAAACATTATTTACCATCAAGAGAGAATGATAATGTATTGTTTGAAAGAAGAATGCATACAATTACAAAGTATTGTGGTCACCGAAATGCTCGGTTGGATACACTCAAACATTTGATTGATGATTGGTCACCTGATTACAATCCTCAAGAACCACATTCAAATCAACAAAAACAGAATGCTGGTTTATCAATAGAATATTATTCACAATTGGTTACATCGATTGCTGCAGTTGGTCATGTCGATCTATTTGAGTATCTTATCACTAGGTATCCAAATATCAATATTGTAATTGATGCTAAAATAGAAGCATCTGAAGCTGGTCATTTACCAATATTAAAGTCATTAGATTCTATTAATAGAGGAAGAAGTGGATTGAAAGATGATACTTTTGATTTCCGCAAGGCTATATCAAATGGACATTTAAATGTTGTCGAATATTTAACAGACAAAGGATTTAAATATACTGGTTCAATTTCAGCTGCTGTTCAAAGTGGTAGATTAAGTTTAGTAAAGGTAATATAATATAATATGATATATATATAATATAATATAATATAAATTAAATATTCTTTATTTATTCATTATCTATCTCTCTCTCTCTCTCTCTCTCTCTCTCTCTCTCTCTCTCTCTCTCTCTTTTGTATTTAGTATCTTCATTATAATCAAACTGGTATGGCAGTGAGTCATGATGCAATGGATAGAGCTGCTACTATGGGTTCATTAGGTATACTTAAAGTATGTATAAATAATAATAATAATATCTTGAAATTATTACTATAATATTAACCAATCATTTATTTAATTAGTTTCTACATGAACATAGACCTGAAGGATGCTCAAAAATTGCAATGGATAAAGCATCAGAAAAAGGATATTTGGAGGTTGTAAAATGGTTACACGAAAATAGAAGTGAAGGAAGTACAACTTGTGCTATGGATTTGGCATCAAGTTTAGAGATGATTCAATATCTTCATACACATCGTACAGAGGGATGCTCTAAAACTGCTATGGATTATGCTAGTGGATGTGGTAGATTAGATGTCGTCAAATGGTTACACGAAAATAGAAGTGAGGGTTGTTCAACAGCTGCCATTGATAGGGCATCCAAGAATGGTCATTTTGATGTTGTAAAGGTAAATATATAATAATAATAATAATAATATAAAGTATACTTTACTTTACTTTACTAATAATTTATTATTCTTTTTTATTTATATAGTTTTTATATGATAATAGAACTGAAGGATGTTTGTCAAATGCAATACATGGAGTACTTGATTTAGAGATGGTTGAATTTCTATTTACCAATTTAGGTGCTAGAAGTGGAAGATCGACAATCAATGATCTGGTGGGTCGTGGTAGACTGGATATCATCCAGTTTCTTCACGAGCATGGCGATGAAGGTGACGATGAAGATGATGGTATTTGGTACTATGCAATGGATGAAGCTGCAGAACAAGGTAATCTCGAAATGGTCAAAGTATGTAATACATCATAACCATCACCAATTTCATCAAGATTCTAATTATAATCATTATTTTTATTATTGTTATTGTTTAGTGGTTTCATACTAATCGTACAGAGGGGTGTACAAACTATGCGATGAATCATGCAGCACAAAAAGGATATTTGGAGATAGTAGAGTTCCTTCATAAACACAGAACTGAAGGATGTACAACCTTTGCTCTTGATCAAGCTGCTCGAGGAGGCCATTTCGAAGTGGTCAAGTTTCTACATTTTAATCGTACAGAAGGATGTACAACTGATGCGATTGATGGAACATATAGATTGGAAATAATACAGTTTCTTCATAAACACAGAACAGAGGGATGTACTCGACATGTATTACATTCAAAGGCACCAACAACCGACGATTTCTACCATGTTTTAAAATATGTATTGGACAATAACATGGTATCTAGATATCACATTGAACGCATATACAACAATCGGTCATACTATAATCAAGAATATGAATTAAGACATTTATTAGGTCAATATTTATCATCAACCAAATAATCCATAAATAATAATAATAATAATAATAATAATAATAATAATAATAATAATAAGAAGATTAAAATAATAATTGAATGGATTTATTTTTAATAGTTGACAACTAAACAAAATATTTTAATCTAAAATCAGAATTTTTCCTGGATGTTGGACAAGATTAACCCTTCCATCCTTCCATTCCTCTGGTGAAAGCACCAGCTACCCATTATAAATTAAATCATTTCGACTGCCAAAGATCAACACTAAAAAGGGTGGAAATAATAATAAATCGGCAATGAAAGTTTCATAAAACTATGAATCCAGAATTTAGAAAGAAATTTTCATATGAGATATCTGAATGGATGCGGTACAAGTTGATGATTATATTTAATGAAATGAACATGGTGATCACAAATAATAATAATAATAATATTACATTTATTAATTTGTTTAGGTTAACAGTTATTAAAAGATTAATATTCAATCATGTTAGAGACATATCGATATATAAACAAGGTGTTGGTGCAAGAAGACATGGAGGACATGAAACACAATCACTAAAAGGAAGTGATATTGTAATGTTACCAGATTTTGGTATGATCTCTAGATTTGCAATGACATGGGACTTTATCAAACATTATCTACCCGACAATGATAAAGCAGTTGATATTAATATCAAGATGACAATGAAAACAAGAGGTAATGCAATCAGTCACTATTGTAAACATACAAGATCAAACTTGGAAACTCTCATACATCTGATTGATGATTGGTCACCTGATTTTGATCCAAACTCTTATTGGGGTATAGTATCATCGTTGGCAAGTAATAATCGTTATGATATATTGGAATACCTTATCAAGAAGTACCCAAACATTGGAGTGTTTAATGCAATGGAAAGTGCAGTGGTCAGTGGCAGTCTACCAATCGTTCAACTATTACAATCTTTCAAGAAACCTGCACTCAATACTATAGTCAATGCAATCAATATAGCTGCAGACTATGGTCATCTCAATGTAATCACTTATTTGCACGAAATGAATAATAATTCAAATATTGGCAAATCAAATTATTATGAAACTAGTACTATTGCAAGTTCAAAAGGTCATTTACATGTTTTAAAGGTAAATATACAAATATAGAAGAAACAATGAATTTATATTAATGTATTAATGTTTATTTAGTTTCTACATGAAAATGGGTATCCATTCTATTACGAGGCAATGGACAAGGCAGCTGCAAATGGTTATATAGAAATTGTAAAGGTATTTATTTAAATAATAATAATAATAATAATAGATGTATTGTATTTATTTATTTATATTTATATTTACCCAATATATTATTAGTTTCTACATGAAAATAGATCAGAAGGATGTTCAAAACAAGCAATGGATAAAGCAAATAGTTTAGAGATGATTCAATATCTTCATACACATCGTACAGAGGGATGCTCAAAACAAGCTATGGATAATGCTAGTGGATGTGGTAAATTGGATGTCGTTAAATGGTTACATGAGAATAGAAGTGAGGGTTGTAGTACTGGTGCAATGGATCATGCAAAAACCTTTGAGATTGTTCAATATCTTCATACACATCGTACCGAGGGATGCACAAAAGAAGCCATCGACACTGCTTCATTGATTGGTAGATTGGATACAGTAGAGTTTCTTCATTTCCATCGTACTGAAGGTGCAACTAAAAGAGCAATGGATTGTGCTGCCTACTCTGGCCATTTAAATATTTTACAAGTACCCTATCTATCTATCTACCCATGTCAAATTAATTAATGAATTATTAATTATTCTTTTTTTTTTTTAAACCTACTATATATAGTTTTTGTATGAAAATAGAACAGAAGGATGTACAACAATGCAAGTTATGGATAATGTTATAAGTGATCATAAATGCAATATTGAAATTATTTCATTTCTACATGATCATCTTGGTGTTACTTGTACGGCTGATTCTGCCAATTATTCTGCGATGAATGGAAGATTGGATATCATCCAATATTTACATCAACATTACAGTTCAGCAGCATCCAACAATAATATTAATATATGGTCAACCAAGGTAATGGATAATGCAGCAGAATATGGTCATATTGACATTGTTAAAGTGAGTATATCTATAGTACTATAAATAGATAAATATGCAAATATAAATATAAATTAAAATAATTAATTTCTCTCTTTCTTTTTCTCTCTGTTCTCTTTGATTATTAATTTTAGTGGTTACATTTAAATCGAACAGAAGGATGTACAACTGATGCTATGGATAAAGCTGCACTAAAGGGTAAAATGGAGATGGTTAAAGTATGTTGTAACTTATATAATTCAACTAAATATTTATATTAATATTAATATTAATTAATTATTTAGTGGTTACATTTAAATAGAACAGAGGGATGTACAGAGCAAGTGTTGGTATCACCTCGATCATATTTGAATACAGTCCTTTATCTATTGGATAACAAACTAGTCAAACCAAAAGATTATAATTAAAATTATAGTTTTCTATGTACATTTTGAAATAATAATTTAAAACCTGTTGAACCAACAAGTTGTAAGTAGTAGAATACAATAAAAATTATCTATTGAATATTATTTGTTAAATCTTACCCTTAATGTTGTACTTTCTTACTTTATTAAGTAAGTGTGACAAGAGAGAGGAGAGCCGTGGCGACTGACCAAATACTCTAACCAAGTCATCACCAAGAAATAGAGTTGTAACAAGAGCAATGAAATGGTGGTGACTTGGTTAGAGTAGATGAATATGTGTATCGGACAATGAATACCTATAAGGTGGTTATTGCGTGATGTATCCAAATATTAAAACTTGTTACTATTTAACCATTTGACTGTGACCATGTAATGACGAACCTGTGAGTCAAGATACCTAATTAATGCTACGTTACTTACAATATTTATTAACCACTCTTTCTTCCAAAATCTATTGTTGAATCTTGTTGGATCATTGATATATTCATTCTTTTACTCTATAATATATATAACTTGATGTTCTTTGGTACATACTTCTCGCGAATGGTGCATAACTCTTTGCTTTGTATTAGCATTTGGTATAATGAAGAACCAATTTTAAGAATTTAAACATTCTGATGTGACTTAAAATTGTAGTATGATTCTAATACTGCTGCAGTTGATTGTTGTACTCGCCTCATTGACATCAATGCTCTTCGCGATGAAGACCAAGCCTGTTTGACTGCAAAGGCCAATCTCCACCTCGAGTGCATCAAAAAGAAACAAGAACAACAAAGACTAATTAATGTTCGAAATGGGTCTTGTCATCTGGTATCGGTCCATTTTCAATAATGATTATAATGATTAATTAGTCTTTGTTGTTCTTGTTTCTTTTTGTTATCATTATTGAAGAATAGAAATTTTTTTTTTCAAATCTTTTGAAAATGTACGAGATAGATACACAAATACATAAATGACCACCACTATTAATACATTTCATAGTATCATTGCACAATCATACATTAGACAATTAATATTCAATCATGTACAAGTAATATCAAAACAAATAGGAGGAATTGATATAAAGGATCCAAAGAAAAATCGATCTTTACAAGGTCGAGATATTGTAAAGTTACCTCATCTTGGTATGATTGCTCGTTATGCAATGCCATGGGACTTTATCAAACATTATTTACCACCCGACAAGGATAGTGGTGCAGTATTGTTTGAAAGAAGAATGCATTCAATTACAAAGTATTGTGGTCATCGAAATGCAACATTGGATACACTCGTACAACTTTTGAAATGGTCACCTGATTATGATCCAATCGCCACCGACAACAAACAAGGGCACCTCTTTCATAGATACTATTCGTATCTAGATACTGCTCTTGTAGAGTCTGGTAACATTGACATTATAAATCATATCTTGTCTAGGTTTCCAAACTTCAAAATTAAAGATATGGATGGTGCTGCTCAAAATGGTCATTTATCGGTCGTAAAGCTACTACATTCTAGAGGTGTAACCTCTACTTGTAGTGCAATGGATTTGGCTGCTCAAAATGGCCATTTATCTATTGTAACTTGGTTACATGAGAATACAACTCAAGGATGTACTCAATCAGCCATCTCCAATGCTGCAGAAAATGGTCATTTAGAGATTGTAAAGGTATGAACGATTAATATACTTCATGAAGTATATATATTTTATTAAAATGATTAATTATTGTCGTTTTTTATAGTTTCTTCATTTTAATCGTAAAGAAGGATGCACAACCGATGCTCTTGATGGTGCAGCGTCAAATGGTCATTTAGAGATTGTAAAGGTTAGTATAGTATAATAATAATAATAATAATAATAATAATAATAATAATAATAATAATAATAATAATAATAATAGTTATATCGAATCATCCATTTTGACTAATCAATCAATTTTATAGTTTCTTCATTATAATCGAACTGAGGGATGTACAACTGATGCTCTTGATTTGGCATCAGAATGTGGTCATTTTGAAATTATCAAAGTATTTATATATATAGCATTACAAAGACAAGATATCAGAACAATAACAATACTAATACTTTATTATTTTATTAGTTTTTACATTATAATCGTACAGAGGGATGTACTTTTAATGCTATGGATTATGCATCATCGTCAGGCCATTTGGAAATATTAAAGGTATTTAAAATATAAATTATATATTGATTGAAATGGAACGGATCAAGAGTACTAATTAACCAATGAACTATTATAGTTTCTTCATGAAAATAGAACTGAAGGATGTAGTACCTATGCGATGGATAATGCTCACAACTTAGATATTCTTATCTTTCTTGACAAAAATCGTACAGAAGGTGCAACTACTCATGCAATGGATAATGCTGCTAGATTTGGAGGAAATGAAAAATTAGATTTAATTAAATACCTTCATGAAAATAGATCTGAAGGTGCAACTACCAATGCTATAGACTATGCTTCAGGTAATTCTAATATGGAAATTATAAAGGTATAAATTTATAATTTAATAATTAATGTAGTAATTAATTAATTAATATACATTTACTAACCTAAACTTATTTGTTACTATAGTTTTTATATGAAAATAGAACTGAAGGATGTTCAAGAGATGCTATAGATTATGCAATTCGAAATAACAGCAAGATAGAGTTGATTGAATTTCTACGCGATAAACTAAATGCTCAATGTTCAGCTGCTGCAGTTCGATTTGCAATTTCAAATGGAAGATTGGATATTATTCAATATTTGCATCAACATTTTTCATTAGATACATCGATATGGGAAGGTTATCCAATTAATTTGGCAGCATTACATAGTCAATTTGAAATTATTAAAGTAAATAGAGAGAAAGAAAAAAAGAGAAAAAGAGAAAGATGAATATTATTATTTATCAATTAACCTTTTCTTTTATTTTATTTCTTTTTTTTGTAGTTTTTACATTATAATCTTCGAACAGAAGAACAATGTTCAACGAATGCGATTGATGATGCTGCTACAAAAGCAGGAAATTTAGAGATTATCAAATGGCTTCATCAAAATCGGTCAGAAGGATGCACAGAGTTTGCTTTGTGTTTAAGTCATGCCAATACTGAAGAGATTGTTCAGTACTTTTTAGAAAACGATATGATCCCTAGAAACAAGTTAAACAAACGATTCGTCGAGCATCTCTCTTATTTTTCTTATTATGAGGTAGCTGCCTTGGTCAATCAATTCTTACAGTCCAAATAAATTTAACTCTAGAGTGAAAAACAACTTTATCTATTCCACAGTCAATCAATTTTGTTATCATTTAACTTGGATTTTATTTTTTAAACATTGAAGCCAAACTTTTGTTATTTTTAAATTTACCAGCAAGTAAAGAGAATATATCATTGGCCAACTGATTATTTTCCTTTTCTTTTTCCGAGGCACCCTTACGAGAGGTTGCAGACATGACTCTTTTAATTTGGTAAACCATTTGTTTGAGATGGACTTCAATTTTTTTGAGTGTACTAGACAGCGCAATCTTGTTGAGTGCTTCAAGATATTTGTGGGTAGCTTCAACGTCTTGATTGAGCGAGGACATTTGGGCGAGGATAATGGGTAAAATGAGTTGAGTGGATTCACTGACTTGCTTTGGTTGAGCAAAGAGACAGTAAGACACACATGTGTCAGACAATTTGGGTCTGCACATTGGGTTGTCTCGAATTGCCTTGGCAAAAGATGGCAGGGCCGTTTCGATGGCAGGAACAGCATTTTGACGGTTGAGTTCGATTGTTGTTGCTATCAACTCTGACGCTCTTTCGAAAAGTTTGTTTCGAGATCCAGGTTCTGGTTGGTTGCCCAATGAGATCTTGTCAATAAGAGTTATAAAGGATTGGCTGGTGATGTCCATCATTTGGGCTTTCGACAGTCCGTAATAGCCGGACATCTCCACTAGCTCTGTCGAATGTTCGATTTTGACCGTCGACCAAGTATCTCTTGACGAGACGAGATCCAAAAAGAACAGATTATAGTAGGATCTTGTTTTTGTTGCGAGTGGGCCAAATTTGTGGCGGCAAATGTTGTATAGGTGTGGGGTCAGGACACATGCACGCCCGTGGACTTCAAAGTGTTCGTCGACAACCATTTTGGGAATAAACACAAGGCTTTCAAAGTATGGTGTCAACAACTTGGCATCGACATGCTCGCATATCGCACACAGCAACCGTAGACCCATAATCTTTTTTTCATTTGGACGATTTTGTTTAAAGCAATAGCCTAGAATGAGTTTGATTGTAAATGGCAAGTACAATGCAAAATCACTCTTTAACACTTTGCAAATCTCTTCCAATGCAAGAAAGAATTTCTTTTCTACGCCAACATAGCCATCGATGTCGGTTGCCATTGTTTGCATCATTTGGTAAACGTCTCTTTTCAACATTTTCTTGTCACCAGTTTGTGTTGTTGCTAATTCTACCAATGCATCCAATGCAACATTACGAATTCTCGATTCAATAACAATATTTGTAATTAATTTGATAGTCTCTTTAGAAAATAATTTATAATACTAAATAAAAATAATTAATTAATATAAAAAGAGCAGATGGTTGTTGATTAGGGTTTCTTTTCATCACATGTGTTGGACTTACAGGTTTAAAATCAATTTTTTTATCTCTAATCATATAGATAATATTAATCAATACATATTCATTGACAGAAGGTTCTCCAAGATTTACAAGATACTCCAAGTTACTAATGATGGTATCTTTGTGTTTGATTTGAACGTTTCCAACCTTGTTAAAAGTGGTAAGGAAACTACAAAAGACAATGCGGCTACGATTAGCATTGGTATGTCTTACCAAATAACCTAGGGATTCAAAAATTTCTGAGGAATAGGATTCAGTAATAGTATCCTTAAATGAACACAATAAATCACCCAAAGCCCATTGAACTCTTGGATCTTCATCTTTTGATCTATCTAATAAACATCTAATAAAAAAATAAAAAAATATTAATAATTTATAATTTTTTTTTTTTTTGAAATTCTACCAACCTCATAAAATCTTTTGTAATTAAATTTGGAGAGATTGTTTTGGCCGTTGGCGTTATTGATTCTATAGCAATACATCTAACACTCCAATCAGGTGATTTTAAAAGATTTGGTATTTTTTTTAGGAAAATGGAGATGGCTCTATTACCCAGGCATTCATGATGAGGCAGCTGTTTAAAGATGGCTAGTTGTTCAACTTCAGATTCGACGGGGAATACTCTTCTTTCCCACTCCTTCAACTCCAAAGTAGTAGTTGCCAAGATTGCCATCCATTTGTATGCCATATCGACCAATTTATCAATCCTTTGATCTGCATTTTTCCAAACATTGTCATTTGCCACGATCGAGACGTAAATGATAGTAAAGAGTTGGTTGTAAATCTCTTTGCTAATGTCAGACTTCTCGTCCAATGCACGAAGAAAGGCATCGGAAAAATTGGTGACCTGCGATTCCGTGATCCACAACCGCTGTTTATGTTTGACATCGTCCACGAGGAAACTAACCAGACCTTTGGCAGAGTCGTCCTTTTGTTTGATGGCATATTCCAACACTGGAATCACATCATCCGTCAGACGTTGAAAGATTAGTTTTTGTGGGTACGGTGCCGAGTTCATGACCAACGTTGCTGTTCGTAGTGCCTTGTATTTAACCTTGTCCGATTGATCACCTTTTAAACATCCTTGCAACGCCCTCTCGATCAACAATGCCATTTCCTTTGATCTATTTTTATCTGCAGTATAAACTGATCCCAGTACAACAAGTGCATTTCCCTTTAAATTATCATTCTTTTGTACTTTTGTTGATGTTTCCATAAAATTAAATATTTCTTTCCAGTCACCTTAAAAAATAAAAAGAAGATAAATAAAAGATTATATTATTATTATTATATATATATATATTTTTTATATATATATTTATATACCTACCTCTATTATAAATAGCAGACATTGAATCTGTAATGCCTTTTAAAACAGAGGTCGGTTGCTCAACCTTTATAAATCTAATCAACTCTATTTGGATAAATTCCCTTGTTTCACTATCGAAATGTGACCATGAATTATTAATACAATCTTTTAAAAAATCTAAAGCGTGACGTTTTGTCTAAGATAAAGAGAGAGAGAGAGAGATAAAGAATTTGTGCTAATATTAATAATAAATAATAATCATATGATTATTATACTAGTTGTTTTGTTTTCTTTTCTATTTCTATTTTACCTTTTCATTAATTGAACTATCTTCACAGATTTGCAATATCCAATGAGTTACTCGATCATTTTGATTACCTATAGCTTTGTTTAATTTTCGATTTACTTCCGATACATGTGCATCTTCATTAAATGTTGCAAAGAAATTAATAAATTCAGGAGGTACTGATGATGATGTGTTTTTAGAGTTATTCATCCTCTCTAAACCTTTCTCTTCTAATACCTATAGGTATCTATTAATAATCTATCTAGAGTTCTCTTTCACTTTGATCTGTACTGTACTATATAGTGAGTGGTATCAGCGAATGAATGAACGAATGTTTTTGTAAACTAGTTTGTCGATGTGGTGAACATGCACGAATCGAAATTGTCAATTTGTAGTATCATCCAATCAAGACAACATTGACAATCGAAATGAAGATGAAAAAGAAGTATTGGAAAAGAGAATCAAAGATGCAATCACTCTAAACACAACACTAGATTATTTTGGTTATAATATTACTGATGTTGGTGGTGATTGTAAGCCTACGTACATTTAATCGTCTAAGATAAAGAAAAGTAGTAGTAGTACCATCCCATGGTCATAGATGTAACAGCTACCATTGATATGATGGGCAACCTATATCCTGAATGGTTAACATCTCTATACTTCTCCTTCTTTAACATGGTTGTGGAGATTTTCATGATCGCTCCATAGTGTATCCAACAACACACAAATATGTTTGGGTAATTTAGATAATATGTTTTCATTAAAATCAATCATCATTTGGTGAATCTTGTTCAAATGTATTTGGCATTGTGGTTCTTTTTGCTGGTAAGAAAATGTTGTATAGAATCGAGTTAATGCAAGTCCAAACAGTTATCTCAGCATCACGGTTCGAGGGGTATCCCAAAATTGACAATATTGATTGTCGTATTTAGTGAATACATGTATTTGATGGCTTTTCCAAATGCCTCCTTTCATAGAGTTTATCATCTTTTCCATTGCATAAATCCTTGATCCCCATTCATCTTGCGCCATTGGTGGTTCCATCATGAATGTAGATAGAGCAAGGGGTAGAGAGATAGAAGTGTATCGAGATGATAACAGAGTAAATATGAGGGGAGAGATATGAGACAATATACGTATGTAGTAAGTAGATTATCGAATATGAGTGTTTAGTCTCATATTTATGGAAAACACGTGACTGAGTGATGACATCGTGTTGTGGTAATTAGTTCCCCTGGTACTAACTACTCTGTTTATTAAGAATGATATAAGGTTGGATATCATACATTGATACCTTCCTAGTTATTTAGGTTACTTGGATGGATAGTACTCTGGGAATCTTCTATCTATGATCGCTAATCGATATGGCATAGACTACAGATTCTACAATGAATGCCATGAAACGGTCGAATAAGAGTTGGCTGTTTTGGATAACCCCTTCCTTGGCAACTGCTATATTGACCATGTCGCACATCATTTCGAAATCTCCAAGTTTGCATACATGGTCAACCAAGTGTTGGAAATATGGATGGACAATTTCAATCATAGTTCTGTTTGTTCCAAAGAATTTGAGCCAGTGTTCTTTTTCAATTGATTGAATTTAGGGATGAGTTGTTTCATGATGGATGGGAGATAAATCGAAAAATAACTCCAATTAATTGGTCTCTTTAAATGTAGTTGTATAAATATATTCAATTTTCACCAGTTTTGATGATGTATTGTATCAATTCAAATAGATATCTTGCAAAATACTTCATACCAACTTTACTCCTATACTTTGGATAACATATGCTTCATCGTTTCTCTTTATTTGATACAATCTCTTTAGCATAATCGGGAATATTCGAGATGATACCTGTTGTACGATTAATAGAGGTTGTTATTATTTGTTAGGTTTTTTTTAAAAATTCAATTCATTGTTGGCTTTAGTCTACCCTTTTTTGATAATTAATTTTTTTTGTTTTATTGTTATTAACCACTCTACTTTTGGTGAAAGATGACATCAATATCTATACCATTAATAATACAATCAGAGATTATAGAGTATATACTATCACAAGATGTAACAATAGCATTCAAAAAGAGATATTACAAGTATACTCGTACAGTGACCTATCAATTGGCAATGGTATCTAAACATTGGTTTAATGCAGTGTCATCGATGATATCTGCTATTTGGACTCATGATATATTTAGTAACGATGTATCGATATTGGTTAGGATGATGCTCTCTCAATCGAATCAATACTCTATCATCAAACAACTACGATCATTGTCTTTGGGTGTAAATGCAGGATACATTCAAAACGCATTCTTTGATCTAGTTGATGGCATTTTGAAACAAAGAATCAATGAAAATCAACCATCAATGCCGTTGGAACACATATTGGTAGTTCCATCTTTCATGACTCGACATGATCTAATTGTTGCTTTTGCCAAAGCTCTCGACACCACCCAACGATCGTTGTTTCCAAGTCTCAACATTACATTCCATTTGCCACCTTATGACCAAGAATTAGATGATGAAGATGAAGATGAAGATGAAGAAGAAGAATACTCTCCCGAAGAGGCGATGGAAGTGGCTGAAAAAATATTGGATACCTGCAGAGGTGTCAAAAACATCAAAAAGATCAGAATCTATCAACCGCCATCTGATAAAAGACCGGACGAGTATTCCACGTTTGGTACACAAGATCTTTGGGATACTGCTATTAGACTACCCCACAAGACACATCTTCAGGGGGACCTGTCATATGGACTAGCCCCTGGTATGCTTTTCGAAGTTTTTTCAAAGGAGCATGATGAAGATAGCAATGAAATCGAGTACTTTTGGGCATCCGATAAAGAACCTCCAGGAAATGTATATGCTCATGAAGATAGAATTGGTATGGCTGAAAAATATGCTGGTTATCCAACTTTTGTTGAAGAACTTTTCACTTTGATTAGAGAATGCAAAAAAGTAAAATACTTTAATATCTACAGAGTGACACCAAACAACACTGAAATAGATATCAAACAAGGATACATGGAAGCATTCAGAGACAATACAGTAATGACAACACTCAAATTAAATTATGAATTCTTTTTCACATCGATCATTTCAACCAATATTCTAAGTCAATCATTAGAGAGATTTAAAATCATTTTATATCACCATAATATTAAATGTATGTTTATTTATTTATAAAACAATACAAAATTAATTTAAAATATTAATATTAACACTTAATATTTATTTATTTAAAATATTTTATATAGTTGATTATAGTGCATTGAATGAATCATTCCTTTTGATTATCAGTCAAAATACACATCCCAATCTTAAACACCTTAAAATTCAATTTGTAGTATCATCCAACCAAGACAACATTGACAATCGAAATGGAGATGAAAAAGAAGTATTGGAAAAGAGAATTTAAAGATGCAATCACTCTAAACACAACACTAGATTATTTTGGTTATAATATTACTGATGTTGGTGGTGATTGTAAGCCTACATTTAATCGTCTAAGATAAAGTAAAGTAGTAGTACCATCCCATCAATAAAGTAGTAAATATAATCATAATTATTATTTAATAATTATTGGTAGTATTTTTATTATTATTATGTGCACCAAGATAATAAACTTCACTGCTTTTCAAAATTAATTTTTGATAACAAAACTCAAGGCCATCTCATCACAGATATGACTTTTCGTTTTGCAACAAACAGATTCTTCTTCTTGTTTGCCTCTTTGCATTGGAAGTTTGGATGGTCGGACCAATCAGATTTCGTTGTTTGGTTGTTGTTATCTGAACCGCACACTGATGCCTTGCTCCCTTATTCTTATTCTTGGATGAACTAACAAACAAACTCATGTTTGTTCTGTTCTAATTTCTTTTATAATGTAACTATTTCAATCAATACAAGTGATAATAATAACAGAAAAAAGATGTTTAAACAAGTATACTTATTATCAGTGATCTATATTATTATAGTCATACTACTATCTTCTTCTTCTTCTAGATCATCGTCATTGGTAGTATCAGGACAATCAATCAACAACAATAGTAATTGTACAATTGGAGGATGGACAGCTGATAGTTGTTTTGACTATAAATACATCTACAACAATCAGAATTACACAGTTACATTCAACAATACAGTTCTCGATATCCCAGTTGGTACATCATTATATTTTGTAGGTGATGTCGTCATTGATAGTACTGTCGATCTTCGTTTCAATTGCAAAGCTGAGTCAAAGGACGGTAAACCTTCATCTAAAACCTATTGTAACCAAATAGAAACAAAAGGAACTTTTTATTATGGTGTCATAGATGTAACAGCTACCATTGATATGATGGACAACCTCTATCCTGAATGGTTAACATCTCTCAATTTAACTTATACCTTTCACACATTGAATCTAGTCGAAGGAAAGGTAAAAGCATTGAATTTATCCGAATACAGTTCCGTCTTTATACATACCAACCAAATTTGTAAGTTATATAAAAATTATATAAATATGTATAAATATAGCTAGCTATACACTGACTCACCAACAACATTTCAATTTAATATTTATAGTACCAAGTATTATGGATGATTTCAACTGTGAATATATCAGTCCTGATGCATTTTCTTCAAAAATCTATTGTGGTAAGTTTTTTTAAATCCAAATGCATTTGGACCATTATAAATTAAACTAATTTAATACATTATCTTTTTTTTATTTATTAGTAAAAAATGGAAAATTATCACCTGGAATGATGGTCAATGTTTCAGCAACTTGTCCAGATACTGTTTGTTTTAGCTTACCAATTGCATATTTTAAAACAGATCTAATGACTCTTTGTGAAGTGGATTCGGTTCTTACTCGTGTACGTAAGCCAATTATTATTATTAATAGTTAAAAATATATTTCTAACCATTATTTATATTATATATATATTATTAAATATAGGGAATTAAAAATGCAGGTGGTAGCTATGAATACAGAATTAAAGTAAATCCAGCATCTAGAATAGTTGATCCTTATCCTTTGATTCCAGAATTTATTCAAAATTTATTAAATGTGTATTTATCAACCGTGATCACTGTCACTGACCCACTTGCTCACTGGATTCTTTTTTCATACAATTCTTTTTCTTTTCTTTTTGTTATTTTATTTAATATTTAATTTTTTAGAACGATAACAGGTACCGCTAACAATACAGAGAATCAAATCATTTATAACCAAACTCTTCTTATTTATGTCAACAATCAATTGGTTCATGCAAATGGTACAACCTATGAAATCCCTGCTGACAGCAGCACTGATCCAAATCCCGAACCTTCATCTGCTTCTTATTTAAATCAATCCAAAATGATGATGATGATGATTATTATTATTATTGTATTGATCGCAATATTGTAATAACAAAATAAATAAATAATTAAAAAATATTTTAGAACATTTTTTGAAAGAATTATACTTGGGTTTTTGTATGCAACCAAAAATCAGATTTGTGTTTGTTTGGTGTTATTTATAACATACACCAACCACCGTGCCTCCATTTGTTGATCATCAACAACAACAACAACAACACACCGATTGATTCTCCATGGAAATAGTTATTTGAACCAAGGTTGTCATATGTGATGTGCAATGACAAACAAACACCAAACCTAATGTTTGTTCTTATATTTCGATATAAATAATAATATAATATATATAAATAGAAGACATGTTGTGTAAACAACCATCATCAAAGTTTATAGATGTAATCGAAAAGTTGGCAATAGAAAGAGAAAAGAAAAAGACCAACAACAAAAAAGATGATAATAATAGATACACAAGTAACAACAACTATAAACAACTATATAATGATATGATAACAACAATAGAAAAAGGACAAGAGGAAACAGTAATATCATGGTTATTACATTATTGTTGTAGAACCGAGAAATACTCTTGTATGTCGCAGAGCAGAGCGACCATTGAATAAAACTATTGGACTAGTTTCTAGAAATATTTGATATTACTCACACTCTATATAGATTAAAAAACAATCAATCTATCTACTATATAAAGCTCTCAAGAAATTAATCTCCATTGCCAAAACTACTACTACTACTACTACTACTACTACGACCGATTGTTATTGGAATTATAATCGAGATATTGTACAACCTACATTCAATGTTTTGATATCCAATAATAATAATAATAATGATGTTGATTATGATGAGGAATCAAAAACTCTATTAATATCAATATTGACTATTCTAAATGTTAGTGCCACTGATGGTATGTATCTTTTATTCATCCAATCACTACACTTACTAATAATGATTTATTTATAGATGAATATTTAGAGTATCTAAAGCTTTTAGAGAATACGATTCGAAATCGTCGCGATAAAGAAGAACACAGGAACCTAAAAAAACAATCAGATGATATACGTGCTTGCAACAAGTTGTCTCCATTCAATCTTCATAACTCCTCATGAAGGTCTCACGAGATTTCCTGCATATCTTTCATGTCTTTAATAATGTGACCTCATCGATGCAATATGAAGTGCACATGTTTAAAAAAGTGAGGGGTCAAATCTGAGGATCCTCAAATCCTGATATCCTTCGGTCGCCACTGGGAGCAGTATTCGCTGAACAGTGTCGAATGAGAATCCCATCTCCGGTCTATCAGCTCGCAACCAACAGGGATGACCCAAAAAAAAGGAGGCAAATATGTTTTTTGAAAAATGATAAAAAAATAAATTATATAATTTATTATTCTTTATTTTTATTTATATTTATTATATAATTATTTATTAAAAGTAAATGATAAAAAAATACTATTGGTTTGTTTTAGGTCTTTTTTTGTACCAATTTCAAAGATCAGTATTTATAATGATATTCCTTAGATTTAAATTAAAATAGCAACATCGGGACGAACTAGCTCAGGTCGCAACAAGATCAGCAACTGATCATGTCTCAAAAGGAAGGACCCTCGTCTGTTTTTTTGATCACGACATTTTTCATCTGCAGTATATGAGTGCTACGTGTCATGTTAATGATGATCAGTTGCAGATCTCATGGTTGTTACAATTTCTTTGTCATGAACTGAATTTTTTGTTGTCATGAGTTGATCATGTCAAGAGGGTGACTTTATTTTTATGCTCCTGTGAAATCAGAGAGATCATTCTCAAGATCATGGAATCGATTGAATCGAAACAAGTTCAACTTTTGGATGCTGAACCGAGAATAATCTTTGATAACATTATGGCAAGCTTTCTCACTGATGAAAGTAATATTCAATACCAATTACGAGCAATTGATATAATCAAATTAAAGAGTCAAGTAAGAGACAATGATGGATGTCAATAGTGGAAAAGTCAAACTATGATGATTACGAATTCTATTCTAAACAAAAGTTATTTTGCAATGAAACAGTAATACAACATTTACTCGATCTATTAGAATGGTCTGTTCAATCAGAAGGAATAATTCCTTCTTGGAAGAACTTTATTGATTACATTGACCCAACCAAATATAAATATGTATGTATATTGTGTTGTAAAAAAGGTATTGTAATTTAATTAATAATATTAATAATATTTAATCCATCTCTACAGGTATCATCTCGAATATTCCCAATGATGCTCAAACAATTGTATCAAATGGAGACTGGTAGTAGAGAAAAAATGGATGTATTGCGCGTTTTCCAAGACATAGGAGCAACGGTGGGTATGAAGTATTTTGCAAGATATCTATTTGAAATGATACAACACTGCATCAAAACTGGAGAAGTGGAGTATATTTGGGGAGTTCGAGGGAAGACTGGAAGGATTGGAGTTATATTTCGATTTATCTCCCATCCATCATGAAACAACTCCTCCTCTGCTTCAATCAATTGAAACCTTCCCAAAGAGGACATTTCCTCAAGTATATCTTGTGTGTCGTGATTGACAAAGTCTATCATATTTCCGACACTTGGTTGACCATGTATGCAAACTTGACACTGTCGATATGATGTGCGGCATGATACAGGCAACAGTGGCCAAGGAAGGGGTCAGCAGTCCAAACAGTCAACTCTTGTTTGACCGTTTCATCAAAATAGTGATGGATCCACCATCAACATCAAGTATGAAGAATCAATCATGGTACTCTAGGATGAATGCAATGGCAGAGATGATTGGCGTGATACAAGGAGGCATTTGGACAAATCATCAAATTCAAGTATTCACCAAACGTGATAATGAATATTTTCAAAAATTAAAGAAAATCTCTTCAAAACAATATAAAAAATCATACAAGAGGTCTGAGAATTTAAAGAGAGCACTATTCGATTGGATGCAAAATCACTTTGTTCTATGTCTCCTTTTCATTTCACCAAACCCAAAAACCATCATCAACAATCAAGAAATGCAAACATTGTTACTCGAAATGGCTCGGACATCGTTGGATGAATTTATAACAATGGCACCCATCTTTGAAAATGCCTATTGTTATTTCATTCCAACTATTGTACTTAGATGGCAATTATTATTATTACTTTACATTGAACAACAAGACAAGGTAAAAGTAGTACTAGACTATTATCAGAAAATAGTACCACTATTACTTGTGAATAACATTCCCGATGAATCACAGTATATAGGCGATGACTATCAATACATGACAGGTTCGTTTTGGTTGATAATCAAGATCCTTGTCAAAAATATGGATCAACAACAGTGTCAAATACATTTGAACAAGATTCACCAAATGATGATTGATTTTAATGATGAAAGACAAAGTCAATTACCGAACCATTTTTGCTTGTTGTTAGAGACATTGTGGAGAGTTCAAGAATATGACGACTATGACGATGATGACGAACGTCTTTGTCATCAATTCATCACAAAAGTAGATGATCGCTATTTGTTGAAACAAATAAATTAAAATGAATAGTTTGTCATCCAAAGAAAAAAGACAGATGTTTGTCTTCTGGTTTTTTGACAAGACATAATTAATTATTATCATTATCATTGTTTATGTTGCACTGTAATGAATGAAACGAAAGAAGAACTAAACTAAACTATTGATCAATAGTAGTTATTCAATAGATTAGAAGATAGATAGATAGATAGATAGATTAGAAGTATGACAAGTTCGACAATTTCATTTCAAAGTGTATTTAGAAATCAAACGATTAGACAATCAATATTTGATCATGTCAGTTTGATATCACAACAACAAACATCAATAGGGAACCCTATTGATAAGATTAAATGGGGTCCACATCAAACAAACATATCACTTCAAGGAAAGGATATTGTAAAGTTACCTCATCTTGCAATGATTAGCAAGTATGCAATGCCATGGGACTTTATCAAACATTATTTACCACCTCGAGAGAATGTATTGTTTGAAAGAAGAATGCATTCAATTACAAAGTATTGTGGTCATCCAAATGCTAGGTTGGATACACTCTTACAACTATTAGAATGGTCACCTGATTATAATCCAAATCAAGATGTTGTTACAGGTCTTGAAAAGACCTATTACTCTTTACTTGCAATCAATGTTGTTAAGTCGGGTCATTCAGATATACTGACCTATCTTATGAATGTATACCCAAATATCAACTTGAACAAGACAAAAGAATCGGCTGCTGAATTTGGGTATCTCCTCATTCTCCAAATACTCGATACTCTAGAAAAAGGAGGTAATTACTCTACCAATGAAATGAATAGAGCTGCAAAGAATGGACATTTAAGTGTAGTAGAGTATTTACACAATCAAGGTGCTAAATGTACTGATATTGCAATGGATTATTCCGCTTGTAGAGGTCACTTTGATGTATTAAAGGTATGGTAGTCATAGTTGGTAAATATTTTCAACAAACTAACAAAACAATATTAGTTTCTTCATTTTAATCGTAGTGAAGGGTGCACAACTGATGCTATGGATGGAGCAGCATCAATTGGTAATATGGAAATATTAAAGGTATTTAAATATTTAATTGAAATGGAATGGAATGGCTCAAGAGTACCAACCAAAACTAACTAACCAATTAACTATTACAGTTTCTTCATGAAAATAGAACTGAAGGATGTACAAATCAAGCTTTGAATTCAGCTGCAGAGAATGGACATTTAGAGGTGTTAAAGGTATATATTTATATGGAATATTTATTATTATTACAAAACTAACAACTCTATTATATTCTATTTAGTTTATTCATTTGAATAAAAGTGATCAATGCTGGACAAAACAAGTTATGAATGTAGCAGCATTTAAAAATCATTTAGAGATTGTTGAATGGTTACATTATAATCGAAGTGAGGGTTGCACAACCAATGCGATGGATAGAACAACCAGTTTGGATATAGTTAAATTCTTGCATTTTAATAGAACAGAAGGATGTACAAAAGATGCTATGGATTTTGCAACCATTGATATGACTACAAGTTTAGATATTATTAAATTTCTAAATGAAAATAGATCAGAAGGATGTACTACCTATGCAATTGATAATGTAGTTTTACTTGAAAATAACTTTAATATTATAAATGTATGTAATTCATTAATATTAATAATATTAGATATTAATACATTTATTTTATTTGTTTGTTAATATTAGTATCTAACTTTATATAGAACTGAAGGAGGGTCAAAAAAAGCTTTGGAAAATGCAGCAACAAGTAATTTCTGTGATCTTGATATGATTATATTTCTACATGAAACACTCCATATTGAATGTACGGAATATGTATTGGTCAATGCTGCGGATAAAGGTCGATTGGATGTCATTGAATATTTCCATCGTCTGTATCCACACCGATCAGATATATGGACAACCTCTGTTATGAATCGTGCTTCATATGGCGGCCATTTAAATATTGTAAAGGTTAGTTATAGTATTCTTTTATAATTATACTTTAATCATTTAATTAATATTAATATTTTTATTATTATTTATAGTTTTTACATTTAAATAGATCAGAAGGATGTACAACCAATGCAATGGTATGGGCAGCACAAAGAAATCATTTAAATATTGTACAATTCCTACATGAAAATAGAACAGAAGGAGCAACTCCAAAAGCAATGGATATGGCAGCCGCCAATGGATATTTTGATATTTTAAAAGTTTGTATCCATCATCACGGTATCACATAATATATTTATACGAATTCATCCATATATATATATATAGTATTTACATTATAATAGAAATGAAGGATGTAGTTTTGAAGCTTTGGATAATGCAACAAAAAATGGATTTGTTGAAATAATAGAATTTCTTTACCAAAATCGAACAGAAGGATGTTCCTATCAAGTATTGATTAAACCAAATTCACAAGTTGCAACCACCTATGATGCATTAAAGTACTTGATAGACAACAATGCACTTCCAGCTACCCTCCTACCAGACCAACTCACAAAATACAAAGAATATTCAAAAGTATCACAAGACTATGAATATATTCATCTTATTGATCAATACTACCAAATTTAAATAAAATAATAAATAGTAGGAGGAACTTTGAAAAAAACCACCCTAAAAATAAATTAAAAAAAATTAAAAAATAAATGCTTCTGTTTGAGGGTGAGGTCATGATGATTGTTAGGTACCTAACACTGAAGAGATAGACAGACAAAGAGAGAGAGACAGAGAGATTATAGTGATTGTGATTTTACAGATAGATAGAATAGTATAAGATATAATATATATATCTCTCTACTATCCTAAACTACTGGAAATCAATCAAACAATCCAAACAAACAAACAAACAAACAAAACAAATAACATATCTTTTGTCTATATATCTATTTATTTATTTATTTATTTATTTATTTATTTATATTATATATCTAAAAGAGAAAGAGATAGATATTATATATATTTATAATACTACTGTTGTCAAAAGTAGTAGAAAACAAAAAAGAATCAGACAACAAACGAGAATAACAACAACGACAAGAAGAAACTATCTATCACTATGCGTTTGAAAGCTGATACTAGTATACCGATCAATACATTGCCTTCTCATTCTTCTATATCAAGTAGTAGTAGTAGTAAACCTCGTTCAACTAGTAGTAGTAAAAGGTTAAATTGAACCAAAAAGAGTGCTCCCCAAAAAAGAACCTCAGCCTACTCTTACAAACAACTACAAACAACCTACAACCACAACTCTAAAAGAAGAAAAGAAAATGACAAAAATGAATGAAGCTGCTTTTTCATTCCTATCCAATATATCCCTACAAGGAGGTAAATCTAAAAAGAAGCACCAACAACAACAACAACTACAACAGCAGCAGCAGCAACAACAACAACAACAACAACAATTACAAGAACAACAAAAAAATCAATCTTCATCATCTTCTTCAACTTCATCAACTTCTAATTCTTCATCGTCATCACCAAATAAAATCTTGTTAACCAATTATTCATCACGTCCAATTACATCTGCAACACAATTGGAACAACAATGTCACACATGGATATTTAATTTACCATTCCCCACCTACAAATCAATCGATGCCAAACAAGGTTCACAAGTTGTCCTCAATGTCAAACAACAAAACATCACTCTTAAAAAAGGAGACAAGTTTTACTTTTCAATGACTGTTCCTACTAAAAGTATGTAATAATAGATAGAATCAAATCGAAAAGTTATAATATATATTAATCTTTTATTTATTTTTCTATTTCTATTTCTAGTTGATAGAATTGTATCAATAGCATCAGTGATTCAAGACCCACAACAACAAAATCCAGACTCTACGATTGATGTTGTTTTACAATTTGAAAAGATCTTTCAAGAACCAATACCTAGATCAATCTTTCAAGATGTTCCTTCACTAAAAGACTTGGCAGTATCGAAATCATCATTTACTCGAGTGTCGGATAGCCAACTTGCAATCTTTCAAGATGTCATCAAATCATATGCCGCCAACAAGGCTAAAAAAGAGGCTATCAACTTTCTTTCTGGTATAAAGTTGGGTGAAACATCTAAAAACAACAAAGCAACAGGTGCAGACAGTGGTGGTGCAAGTGGTGGTTCAAATACACCAAGAGATAACCAATCCGATACAAACTTACATTCTGCTGTGATTGAACATCAACAATTTCAACCACCACCGCAAACAATTAATATTAATAATATTAATAATAATAATAATGTCACTACTACTCCAACAATAATGACAATTCCTTTTAATAATAATAATAGTGGAAATAATATTCCATCTATTGAAACTTTGCAACAACAGACCATTATTGGTATGACAACAAATGTAAATCAAGTAACATCATCAACCTCTACTACAACGACGACAACAACACAACAACAACTACCATCTACCAATTTGGGTGTAAATAATAATAAT